CCTAAACCCTAAACCCTAAACCCTAAACCCTAAACCCTAAACCCTAAACCCTAAACCCTAAACCCTAAACCCTAAACCCTAAACCCTAAACCCTAAACCCTAAACCCTAAACCCTAAACCCTAAACCCTAAACCCTAAACCCTAAACCCTAAACCCTAAACCCTAAACCCTACGCATGAGGGAGGGAGGCGCTTCGGGAGAAGTGCCGTAACCGACCGACTAGCTAATACTTATTACACCTAACCCTAGTCTCTCTGCGTCGTACTAAACCCTAAAAAAGTCACTAGCATTCGCATCCTTCCCGGAACCCTTACTATGGTCGGTGTTTGGCTTTACTCGTCGAGCAAGCGGCGTAGCGCCCGTTTGCAGGTCATCGAGAACGCCAACAAAAACTTAGCCTCAAAGGTGTAGCGCGATGATTCTCTTCCTGTTACTCGTTCTTTGCGTGTCGTTTCACTTGTATTTCGGTCTTCTAAAGGCGCGAGTCTAAATACTCGATTCTAAAGGCGCGAGTAATCTAAGCTTTCGTCGTCTGAAGACGCTTCGAACTCGCGTTCGTACGCGCGTGAGCCGTTTCCGTAAGCGCGCGGCGCTTCGTCGGACTCCTCATCGCTCGAGCCATGCCGCGACGATCCAGCCGATGTCGCCATCTTCATACGCGCTGTAGCGCTTTCCACTCGCGACCGCTGACTATGCACTCGCGCAACACTACGACCTCGCGTCGGCGTCGGCGTCGAGCTCGTCGCGCGAATCATCTCGAGGGTGCCATCATCGTCGTCGCTTCGGTTCACATCTTCAAAAGCCATATCACCTGCAGATGATACCCTTGTGCGTCCCCGACTAACGCTTCGAGAGCGACTGCGCGAACGCACGAGTCGATCAACGGCGTTCGCCGCCGCCAAAAGAGACGCCGCGTCTTGGGTTGGCAACGCGTCTCTCAGCGCAGACTTGACGTCTTCAAAGTCGAGATCGTCTTCGACTGCGATCGGAGACTGCGTTTTAGCGCGAATTTCTTCAAGGTTGGATCGCACAGTATCGATGACTTCATCGGTTGGATCATCGAACGGATCGAAATCGCCATGCGGCGATGCAGACGCCGGCGTAGTGCTCGCCGTGCTCGCGCGCTGAATGCTATTGTTCTTGCTCAAATGCGGCGTGCTCGGCGTCGCAGTGCCGCTGCCTGCCTTCGAACGCGCCCGACGCTTCTCAACATATGCATCTTGCCGTTCGCTCGGCGCGAGCTTGGTCGCCTCGCGTACGCTACGAGAAATTTGACGCGCCACACGCTTCAACGTCATCGTGGCGTAAAGAAAGTTGCTCTCGCCACTGCCACCCACACCTTCTTCTTCTGAGGCACAAAAGCTAAATCGCTCAAGGATAATGGCGATGAACAAGTTCCCAAGGAAAAAGACGCTCGTGATGACGTACGTGACGAAATAAAATATGCTCACGTAGCGGGGAGAGCACGTCACATTAGCCGGTAGCGATGTGTTTTCGTAACAGCGATCGTCGACGTAAATGTCGGTGAAGTATCCTTGCCAATTTCCAGTGTAACTCACAAAAAGACTCACCATCGCTTTTGGGAACGTCACAAAGTTTGAGTACTCCGAAAGTGCAGCGCCGAGGTAATCTGAAGACATGTCGCCAAAGAGTGCGACACCGAGGCAAGCATAGATGTACATGAACAGCAGAGATAAAAGCGCGACATTGACGACTCCAGGAATCGCCGACAAGAATGTCGCGAAAAGTGTTCGCAGACCTTTGCTCACCTGAACAATTTTAAACAATCGCAAAAATCTCAGCATACGGAAAGCTCCACCAACGCCACTCTCGTAAACATCCGGGATGAGTAGACCGACGACACCGCTAACTGCCACGATGAAATCGATCTTATTCCAACCGCTCTGCCAGTAATTTTTCCACTTCATGGCGACGATCAAAAGATAAGCCTCAAGCATGTACCAGATCGCTAACGTGTTTCCCATCCAAACTTGATAGTCGTCCTCAGATTTCGACGGGTTCGCGCGTATTGCCATCATCGTGACCATGTTGAGTACGATCATAAAGACGGAAAACGCGTCAAAGGTATACTTAGACACTACGCCATGCACGACGGCTTTCCAGGGCGTTTCCGGTGATGATCTACGCCAAGAGTTGTCAGCGTGCACCGTGGCGAGTAACATTGCTTGCTGCCACACGCGTTGCTCATCGGTGACAAGCAGCTTGCCGTCGTTCTCGTCGTGTGCGATACGATTGAAATTGTCGATGAGCGCCGACACAAAGAGATTTGCCCAGAGCAAGAAGCCAAAGAGAATCGATACGAAAAAGTAAACGCACGCCCACTTGGCGTTATCTCGGATAGGTTCTTGATCTACGCCGACGACATCCATCGCTTCGTACATGAGGTCTTGCCAATTGTCGCCGGTAGCGATGATGAACACGCTGAGGAAAGCCTCCGGAAAGGAATCAAAGTTAAACTTTGCCTTTCGCCAAACTCCCCCCGCCGCTAAGCACTGCGTTTTATTCGCAACAGTCACCGCGGTGTTCGTGCAACGATGCATCTTGCCCAGAAACAACTCCATACCCAGCACTGACAACATCGTGAGCATCGCGAGGCCGACCACGCACACGGATGAAATCGCCGGCAGTGAAGACATGATGGCTTCGACTACGACTCGCAACCCCTTAATTCGTTTAACCGATCGTAAAGGACGTAGAACCCTCACAACGCGTAACGATCGTATTGGCAGAGCGTCGCCAAGCAAGACAATCAACCACGAAGTGACGACCACAACGGCATCCATGATGTTGAACTTCGACTTGAAGTACGACCCGTGAAACCTCCACGCCCCAAGCCCAAACAGTTTCAAACACATTTCGATGGTGAAGCATGTGTTGAAACAAATATCGAGAATCAAGTATACCCGTTCCATATTCGAGTCAGCCGCTGGAAACGAGTTCGTTTCCGTGGCGAGCAATACTGAACTCGCACCAATCAAGAGCAATACGACAACGTCAAACCAAGGATGCTTCACGAAGCGAAGCGCCTTGAGTCTTAGTTGGTCTCTTTCGTCGGATTCATCAATGCCGTAAAATGACATCGCTATACGAAAGTTATCATTTCGCACGTAATGCACCAACGATTCCGCCTCAGCTACGGGGTCGTTGTCGGGAAAGAGGGCATGATGCGGAATAAAGTCGCCGTTGATGTCGATCAAGTTGAGGTCTGCGTGTAAGTCCTCGTCCTTTTTCATGATGCAGCGGACGCTGAGTGGAACTAAGCGACTCGCATCGACGTCATCACGATCCAAAAGTTTGGCGCTGATGCTGTCAACAATTGCTCGACGCTTCAACTCGTTCGCCTTGTGCGACTTGGCCAGTCGCTCGCGAGCCTTTATCACGGATCGCCGCCGCATCGTCTTCGCGACTTCGAGCGATTTCGCAGAGTGATGCTCATAACCTAGCGTCACGAGCCAATGTCGCACGACCGCAACTTCGTGGACGCGTCGCATTTGAGCGATTCGTTCTTTGCGCAAGCGCCTCGCCTCGAACGGATCGCCAAACACATGTAGCGCTACTTCATCACCTTCGACTTCGTCGTCGTCGCTGTCGCTGTCGCTGTCTGTCTTCTCTTCGTCTTCATCGAGACCTAAACCTGCTTCCGTTGCGCTCTTCGCCCTCGAGCGCTCTTGATTGCGCTTTGTCCACGCCTCGTTTGCTTTGAGATGAACCCATTCAGGGAAGTCGTCTTCGTCAAACCCCATGGATTTAGCCATTTCCCGCGCAAAGCGCTCTCGTCGCGGAACTTTCATGGTGATAATCGATGCAACTTTACCTTCTTCGGTGACACAATCGATAAGAATTCCAAGTACGAGCGCCAAAATCGATGTCGTGATCAAGCACCAAACGACCATGTAAAGTCCCGCCGCGTCACCGTCAGCTTTCATAGTGCCCCAAGCGACTTCAAACGTGTTCTCGCCCGTGCTCACCACAAAGAGCGTCACGATGGACGAAAAAAAGTCTCTGAAATTCAATCTCTCATCGTCCAAATCACCTTTCGCAGAAAAGAGCTGCGTACCGAGGATCGCAAACATAATCATGAAGATTGCCCATACCAATAAAAACACCCAAATACGCTGCGCTCCTAGTACGACCGCACGCAATATTTTCTGAAAGCTCGTACTCCTACGAAAGACGCGCGCAATGCGCAAAACTCTCAACACGCGCAGTATGCGAAGGAAGGACAGGTTCACGCCAGATCCAGAGCTTATAGCTGATAGTGTCATATCAATTATACCGGAGAGAACGACCAAGCCATCCAGTCGATTCCACGTCGTCTTCCAGTACGCTACGGGTCCGACAGCAAAATGTTTCAGCGCAAACTCGGAGCAAAACACCGCGAAAAAGAAGTACTCGGCGTTTTCTCTAAATAGCTCCAGCGACGGATTCGGTTCTGCAGTCACTGACATCATCGTAAATGTGTTCAGTATAATGGTGATGTTCACGAAAGACTCGAATCGAACGTCAGCGACGAGAGCGAGTGCCTTGAGTCGCCACTTCTGCATGCCCTCGGAACCATCAATTTCATCCTGACCTGGCAACCTGAACGACGAGAGTGTTGATCCAACGCCGCTCAAGAATGACTTCGAGTAAACCGAGGGTCGCGTTGATTCGAACATTTGTGAAAGGCCCGTCGCGCCATCACCGAGCGTCTCGCAATCCATCGAGGCGCTTTCATCTTCGATGTCACTCAACGTCGCGCAAATGACCGACGTGAACAGTTGAAGCACAAAGAAACCTCCGATGAGAACGACAACGAAGTAAAATATCAACGCAGGCGCCGTCCCAGCGGCCCGCGCGGTAGGCCATGCGATCTCATTCCATCCATCGACCGTCATAATTTGTAAAACGACAAACGCACCCTTGGCAAAATCGTCAAAGTTGACGAAGCCGTCGACGGGTGACACGCCGGAATCGCAGCAATACGTATCGTTCGAGACGAGCGTATTCTTTCTACGATTCAGGCATAGCAGCTCATCTGAAGGATAATTTGGGCTTTCCGCGCTCGCCGCGGCCGACGTCGGGTAGTCGGCGACGAGGGTGCTACAAATCGCCGTCGCCGCGACGTTTGACGACCCGGCGCCCGAATACTCTCGCGAGTTCAAGCGACCACCGAACGACATCATACCGACTACGGTGCAAACGATCACGAACCACGACATGAATACCACGACGTCGAGCAAGAGCGGAATCGATTTCCGAATCGTCTCTAGAACCATTCTTCCAGATTTGAATTTGTTCAGCGCTCGAAGGGGCTGAATCGTGCGCAACAGTCGCAGCGTCCCGACTCCGCTCGAGCCTGAGCTACTCAAGTCTACGATCCCAACCACAACCACGACGAAATCGAAAATATTGCTTCGCTCCGTCAAGTACGCCTTCGATCCGATGGCGAAGCCACTCGCTATAACTTTCACCAGTGCTTCGAACGCGAAGACGACGACAAAAACCACTTGCAACGCCCACGACCCGTCCGCGGTCAGCGGTACGGAGCCTCCTCGAGCGACGTAGGCGCGCTCGGGAAGTTCCATCGCCAACACAGCGGCGTTAAGCGCCACTACGGCGAAAACGAACACCTGAAAGCTCGTGGCTCGCGCGATTTTCGCGCACATTTGTCGCACCCTGGACGCGTCGCTAAAGCACAACAAGCTCCGCTCGTCGTCGTACACGCGCGCGTACGCCTTCTTCACGCTCTGTTTCGCGCCTTCGTACGCTTTTCGCGCGGTCCCGCGCGACGCCGCGCCACTTTTCCTCGCGCCGTCGCCATCGCCCTCCGAAAGCCCCCCGCCCGCGGCGTGCGGGGAGAACGCGTGCGGCGACGACGGCGACGGCGACGGCGACGGCGACGGCGACGGCGCCATCGATCGCGCGCCGCGGACGCGCCGCGGACGGTGTCACCTGACCTGCGCGAGTGAAGTTGCGCGCGACGTGACGTGGCGTTCGCCATCGTCAATGCGCCCTTTCGGAGACGAACGTTCCGCGCCCCGAGCGGGCGTCCGCAGCCGTTGGTCGGTGCGCGCGCGCCGCGCGACGCGAGTGCGCGACGCGACGCGCCGCGAGCGAGGGTTCGAGCGAATATGCGCGCGGGCGTCGTCGCGCGCGCGGTCTCGGCGCCGGCCGACGCGCGCGCGCGACGTCGCGCGCGCGACGACGCCCGCGCGCGCGTCGTCGCGCGCGCGACATCCGAGCCGACGCCGGCGTCGTCGACGACGAATGCGAAGAGCGAGCGACGCGCGAGAGAACGCGCGAAGCGAGAGGAAGAGATGGAAGCGTTATCGCGTCGACAAGACGCCGCGCGCGTGGTGTCGCGCGTCGTGAAGACGGGAGGTGCTCCGGCGAGCGGGACGGCGACGTCGACGAACGGCGGCGACGGCGACGACGGAAAGAGAAATGCGTTGGCCGGTGTCACGGGACGCGCTCCGGCGATGACGCCAGAGATCGTGGAAGAAGAAGTCGAGCGCGAGCGCGTCGCGTTCGCGAACGAAGTGGCGTTGATGTTCGTGGCGGGGGCAATATTGGGGCCTTTACTCGACCACCAACACTCGCGATTCGACGTGTTGCACTACGCGACGCCGTTGCAAATTCATTTTGATGCCCTATTCGCACCGTTGTGGAACTCGCCGTTCGGTCCAATCATGAATTTCATAGCCCCCGAACCGGTGAAGGACCTGTTTCGAATCATGTTTGTGAACGAAAATGGTGTTTTAGAGACTGGGTGGTGGGTGCCACCGCTGTTTGGCGCCGCGGCAATCGTCATCGGTCTCGGGCACACAAGTCTCGATGAATTTCGCATTCGCTCGTCGGTGAAGCGCGCGAGAGAGATTGAGATACGAAAAGGTCTCCAAGGCACCGAACAAATCGTGAGTAGGACGTCAGAGTTGATTGAAAATGCAAAAGGCAAGCCCGCTTTGGGTTGGCAGCCGAGCTGGGTGAGCGTCAATCTGTGCATCAGCGTCTTTGCGTTTCAATACCTCGTCTCTGGAATTTTGGCGTCGCCGCAATCGCCCTTCGTGGATGGTTTCCTGCCGTACCATTTGATTGATATATTTTTGTGCGTATGGGCGGTGACGACGTGGTATTTCTTCGACAACAGCGCGCAGGGACTGTTCATGGCTAGTTTAACCGCGGTGTGCGGGCCCGTGGCGGAAATCGTGTTGATCAACTACGGTCATCTGTATTCGTACTCTCATCCAGATATCCTTGGAATCCCCACGTGGATTCCATGGGTTTACTTTTGCGGCGGACCGGCCGTGGGGAATCTGAGTCGCCAAGTGCGCAACACGCTCCGCCGACAGAGCGGCTTGCCCGGTCCGACGACGCGAGTTGTATCGTACGAGAAGCGGAAATGGGCGTCAGCGCGAGCGAGTGCGTCCATCTCCAACTCAGGCACTTTGGATGCCGCTGCGTACGCTGCGTTGGACCGTGAAAAGCGCGTGGTAAACAAGAACTTCAAGGAGATTCCAAAGGGGCGATTCACCATTCTCACAGACGGACCGATGGACATCCAAACGTTAGCGAAGAAGCGCCAGGAGGAGGAAGAACTGACGAGAGCGCTACAGAGCGCGCGCGGAGGTACTCAGAAACGTCGACGTGCGGTTCGCAGGTATGTGGCGAGGCAGAACGACCTCAAGTCTGGGAGAAAGAGCGTTCGAGAGCGCATCGTGCGCCTTCTCGTGCGACGCAAGCCCGACGACGTCGCGCTCTTGACTACCGAGGAGGACAAAGCGAGCCGACTCTCTAAGATTCAGCAGGAAATTATGCGCGTTGAAGCGACGCTTGACGAAGTGGAGCGAATGAAACAACTCAAAAAGCGACTCGAGACCATCAAGATGAATATCGAGGAGGCGGCGCCGCCGCTCATGCCCAAGCTCCGACGGTTCAAGAGTCGCCTCGACGACGCCGTGCCGGCGCCTTGGAAGCCGACGTACGAAGCTTTAGAGGACGCCATTGGAGATTCAATCGTACCTTTGGTGCGAGACAACACTCCTGAAAGCGTCCGCAAGGCTATGAAGGGGTCGTTTGAAACGGAAGAACTGCGAAGACAGCACATTGCGCGCATGAACGCCGAATTGATCGAGATTCAAGCCGAGTTGACGAAAAACATACAGGCGAGAGCGACGAAACGAGACGCGGCGCCATAGATATACCTTAGTCCTGTAGTATTATTAAACGCACGCAACGACAACATGCAGCGTGTGGCTTACTGAGTCAGAAAGCGCGAATGCGTCGTCGCCCGCGTGGGCGAGTGAGAAGGGGCGAAGAGTGCCAGTCGATCGACATTGAGTGGAGCTGCTCGCGTTCCGTCGCTATGACGGTGATGACGGACCCGCGTGCGGCGAACGCGCAGCGTGGGTACATCATGTTCTTCGTGTTTTTCTTTCTCTTGCTCACCGCGAACGACTTCACGCCCGCCAAGACGCGAAGGAATCAGCGCGCGAACGGTGGCCGCGATGGACAGGGAATAAAAGGTGAAATCGGTGCGCGCGGTGCGACGAGGACGGAGGAGGTGCGGGATAAGGTGATCATAGATTTGAGCGAATCCAACGCCGCGCTCGAGGTGGAGAACCGCCTTTTGCGCGCGTCCGTGATCGGTCTCCGGACCGCGCTGACGAAACACGAAGGAGGCGCCGCCGAGGCCAAGGCGTTCGACGAGGCGTACAATCTCACGAGCCTAAGTCTCGGTGAAAACGATAGGGAGGGTGGAGTTTTACAGTTAAAGGGAAGGAATGCACTCGCGAACGCGGGCGTTGCGAAAGAGGACGCCGAAAACGAAATCCCGGGCGAGCTCGCCGGAGCGTCGCGGAGGATCTTACGAAACCTCCGCCAGAGTTTGGCCGACGGCACGGCGGCGTAGTCGATTTTAGCAGCGCATGATTCTTTCTTTGTATTCTATGAGACGTAGATGTCATCTCGCATTTCTTATCGCACGATATCGTCACCGCCGTACGATATGATATCCGCACCGCCCAACCTCACCTCTGCAACAAAATAAAGCGCTGAAATTCCCGCGCGCGCGAGCGTATCTTTGGTTGGTTGGTTACGCCAAAACGCGTCGCGTCGTTCGTGCCGCCGAGAGCGAGGCGCGAGGCGCGAGCGGTGCGCGTCGTCGATGTCGGCGCGCATCGCCGCGAGTATCGTGCCTCGCGCACGTCCGAGGTCGCGCGCGTCGACGCGCGCGTCGCGAAGACGGGGCGACGCGGCAACGCGGCATCGTGTGCGAGCGCACGCGGCGGAGACGTCGCAGCGCGGCCGCGCGCCGCCGACGGTAGAAAACCATCGCGTCGGAAGTCGTTCGTTTGCAGGCTCGCGATCGGCATCGCGCTCGTTCGACGACGACGTCTCGTCGTCGGGGTCGTTCGACGAAGGCGCCCGCGTGGTCAAGGCGAGACCGCTGCGGTTACTCACGTCGTATGTCGACGTCGTCGAGGCGTTGTGTCGTGAACTTGGAACGACGAGTAAGGGCGATAGCGTAGAGTTCAGCGTGTACGTGTTCGAGCGCGGGAAATCGAGCGACAAAGTCGTCGCGGCGATGAAGAGAGCGGTCAAGCGAGGCGTGCGCGTGAAGTGCTCTGTGGACGGTTCCGTTGTGAGCAAGTTCACGCGATGGTGCGAAGGGACGACGACGTTAACGGCAGAGTTAGAAGCGCTACAAGAAGAACTCGGGGCGGAGCATTTTTCGTTCACACCGGTTTCGCAAGCGACGCACGCAAAGTTCATGATTGTCGAGCGAAAACACGGCACCGGATTGCCGTCGGTTATATTCGGCGGCGTCAACGTCGGCGATAGATTTACAAATTGGCGCGATTTCGCCATTAGAGCGGATGGTCGAGCGGCTGTGGACGCCATGCGGTATGCATTGGGAAGCTTCGAGCGCACAATTACGTCGAACGACGACGCAGATATCGTTTTTGCGAGTAATCTACCGACGGGCTGGTCTCCAATCGCCTGGACTTTCCCTAGATATATGACCTTTCCCGGGCGTTTCGAGGTGAAGCAAGCGATGAAGCAGTTACTTCGAGACACCAGGTACTCGAAATATTCCGTCGCGATGGCCTACATTGATTCCATGGGAGCGGATATGCTCGCCGAAATGTTGAGGCGACGCGACGCGTCACTCACGCTCATCGTCCCTCGAACGCCGAACGTGTATCACGACGCAAATCGCAAGGCGCTCAAACGACTGGTCGACGTGAACGCGTCGCGGCGAAGCGGTGACTCGAACAACTTGAAAATATTTCTCATAGACGACATGCTGCACGCCAAGGTGTTGTACGCGGAGAGCGAGGACGAATCCGTGGCGGATTTCGGGATGTTGGGGAGCTGCAACTTGAAGCAACGTTCGCTCGGGCAGTTTGTCGAGCTCAACGCTTCGATTCGGCAGCCAGCGCTAACGATGGCTCTGCGAAGACAGCTTGTGCAGCTCGTGGAAGAGTCTTTACCGCTGACTAAAGATGATTTAGTCTTCAGCGAACCGAAGGCGACCATCGAAGAGTGGCTCGGTTGAGAATTGTATTATAGATGCTGCTAAACTACGACGTGTGTGCGTTCTAAATGTCAACGATGACGAACAACTCTGCGCGATGTACTCCGGTGCTTTCATCGTCTTTGCTAATCTCGCCTCGTTCTATGATTTTCATCGCGCTGTATGTGATGGCTTTAATCTCCGTGCCTTGACGCGTCTCACCGTCGACGAACGTCGTCCCGCCCACAACTGCTCGAATACTCCATTCGTCTCGATTGAACTCGCAAACTTGCACCGCCGTGCATATGAGCATCTCTGTGTGAAACGTGAACAAAAGCTCGTCGAGAAATGCGAAGAGCAAGGTGTCTAAATCATGCCCGCTCGCGCGTATTTCCTTGAATCGCGTCGTCCGCACTCGAGCGCAGTCCTCCAGCGGGGTCATGTAATCAAACATCGCCAGCGCGGCCCAGGCGTAGGCTTCAGCGAGATCGCATCCCCAGGCGTGTATCTGAATGTCAGCCGTGTGGTCTTTATAAGCGTATTGCACTCCTCTTCGCGCTCGCATGTCGTCTTCGTCTTCGTCCTCGCGCGCTCGAAAGTCATCGTGTTCTGGCGCGTATCGCACGACGCGCGCGTCCGTGCTTTCGAATCCCCGTCGAACGTCCTCATCGTCCGTCGTCAGCGGCGTCGGGTCGGCCTCAGCCGCCGAAGAAGTCGAAGCCGTCCTCTCCGTCATCGCTGTGTCTCGTCGCGGTTTCTTCTTCGCTCGTTGTGGCAGCACGTCGTGGGCGACGCCAATAACTCGCTCGCTCGTCGCGTTCGTCATCTTGCTCGCGATTCGTCGTCGTTCGATTCGTCGTCGCCCACGTCGTCGTGTGAGGAGTTTTTCGTGCATCGGCGCGTCACACGACGACGTGAGCGACGACTCTCCTCGTTCGATCGCTCGTCGCGTCATGCACGCGAGCGACAGCGTGCCGCGAGTATCTCTCATCAAGCTCGCGGACGGCGACGACGTCGAAATCGCGCGTCTGGGTGAAGCGCTGACGTCGAGCGAGCGTGTCGGTTACTTCGAGCTCGACGCTCGAGACGTCGGCGAGGCGTCAACGTCGCGCGTCGCGCCGTTCGACGTCGCGCGCACGTACGACATCGCCCGAACGTTCTTCTCGCTGCCAGAAGACGTGAAGGCGCTGTACGTACACTCGCAATACGCGAACGAGAGCGGTGGTTTCGTGCCCCTGCTGGAAGAGTACTCTTACCAAAAGAAAACAGCCGCGCTCGTCGAGTCGTTTGATGTCGTTCGAGAGTTGAGCTCATGTGAGATTGAGCAAGTGCGAGACGAACGAGGTGACGACGCGGCACGAGGACTTGGACCTATGGATTGGCCGGTGGAGGTGCCCGCGATGCAAAGTGCGTTTTGCAGTTTTTACAGCGCGTGCGATGGCGCGGCGAGGACGCTGTATCGATGCTTTGCGAAGGCGCTTCACGTCGACGACGAAGACGTCTGGGTAAAGAAATTTGGCAATACGTCACACTGCAGCATGCGCGCAATGCGATATCCATCGATGAAAGTGGATGACGAAGCGAACGAGGAGGACTCGACTACGCGACGCAGCGAACGAATCGCCGCGTCGAAAGTGGAAATAGTTGGTATCTCGGAGCACACAGACTTTGAATTCTTCACACTTCTTCATCAGACGTGCGAAGGATTAGAGCTCCAAGGGCGAGATGGTGCGTGGCGCTCGGCGCCGGCGTACGAGAATGAGGCCATTTTTACGTGCATTCTGTCGGACGCTTTCGAGATTTTTACAAACGGAGTCGTACGCGCGACGCCGCATCGCGTTCGACCATCTCGCGATGGACGAGATCGATTATCGCTCGTGAGATTCAACGGTCTCAACGACGACGCCGTCATTGCGCCACTTCCACAGTTTGTCACTCCGCATCGTCCGTTGAATGCAGCGTACGAACCGCGGACACAAGGCGATCACGTCGGACAAAACGTCACTCGCGCCAGCGACAACCTCGCCGATATGATCGACAAGCAGGTGTACCCGAAATCAGAGCTTACGAGACCGCCAAAGCGTTTTGCTCAGCTTCTCGTTTTGGACGTCGCCAACGGTCGCATCCTGCTGGGGAAGCACACGCGCGGCGAATTCGCCGGCCGCTACACCGGCTTCATCGCCGAAGTCGACAGCGAGAAGGATTTAGTCCCACTGGACGTCGCTCGGTCCGTCGCACTAGAGGAAGCAGGTCTCAACCCCTTGGCGTGCGATGCTTTGAACGATCCGAAAGATCTTTTTGAAGCCGCGCGCTTCGTATTTCGCGGTTGGATGCCAGATGGTGGTCTCGCCGTCGAGCACGAATTTGTGTGCGCGTTTCGCGACGGCACGAGCGTCGCGAAGTTGTTTCCAACTCACGCGCGCGCGTCAGCTGACATCATTCCGACGTGGTTTCAACAACAAGAAATACCGTATGCAGATATGCCTGAGGACGACGCGATATGGTATCCCATCGTGTTGGGACGCTTTTCGAAACACGACGGTGTCGACGAATCGCTCGTCATTGGGCATTTCGATTTCTCAGGCGACGAAGGCGAGCTCACCGACCATGCCGTACACGAAGTCGAGTTTCGACACAGCTCATTCAATCGTTCGTCCACCGCGCGCGTTCTCGCACGTCTAGAACGTCTAGAAGGTAGAAGCGTGTAAGCGTGTAGAAGACGATGATGGCACCCTCGAGATGATTCGCGCGACGAGCTCGACGCCGACGCCGACGCGAGGTCGTGTGTTGCGCGAGTGCATAGTCAGCGGTCGCGAGTGGAAAGCGCTACAGCGCGTATGAAGATGGCGACATCGGCTGGATCGTCGCGGCATGGCTCGAGCGATGAGGAGTCCGACGAAGCGCCGCGCGCTTACGGAAACGGCTCACGCGCGTACGAACGCGAGTTCGAAGCGTCTTCAGACGACGAAAGCTTAGATTACTCGCGCCTTTAGAATCGAGTATTTAGACTCGCGCCTTTAGAAGACCGAAATACAAGTGAAACGACACGCAAAGAACGAGTAACAGGAAGAGAATCATCGCGCTACACCTTTGAGGCTAAGTTTTTGTTGGCGTTCTCGATGACCTGCAAACGGGCGCTACGCCGCTTGCTCGACGAGTAAAGCCAAACACCGACCATAGTAATCGTGTATCCAGCTACGCTGCGAAACGTCACCGGGTTACGGAAGAGCATGATGCTAACGATAGTGCACACGACGCCCTTCGCGTTGCCGAGAACTTGAAGCGAAAGCGCGCCGACGTGCGCCGTGACGAGAAAATTCGTCAGGTTGACGAGATACGCCACGAAACAGTTTCCTAAGAGAATGGCAATGAATGGCGGATTCATCTCAGCCGCGTCATAAAATGCCGATATTGCGTCTGGTTCCATGATGAAAGTGCAAATTCCGAGCGTCACGATGGCCACCGGCGACATGTAGTACAGAAGCGACATACTGTCGAGCTTGTTCTCGTTCGAGTTGGACATTTTCTCCGCCTCCTTTTCCCCCGCTGGAGTCAGTAGCCATCCTTGTAACACCGATTTTAACGCTCGACAGCACACCCCGACGAGGCACGCGCAGAACCCAATAAAATTGAAACTCGGCTCGCCCCACGTCGCCACGGCTATGCCCCCGACGACGGGGATGAGCGTCATGTACGTCGCCGTCGTTTCCTTCTTACGCAGCATGAGATACGCAAAAATAGCCGTAAAGAATGGTGTCGTCGCTCCCAACGCTTGATTGAAGCTCACTGGAATGTACCTCAGAGACACGTTTCCTCCCAGCACCGACAGCGCAAACGTCACCGCCAGCACCGCCACCTTGGCGTAGTGTCGCCTCGTCCGTATGAACTGTTTCGGCACGATCTTAAACTCTCTCGCCGCCGCGGATAACACCGAACACATGCACATGTGACACAGCGTCATGAACACCGGGAATCGGAACCCATACACGGATAAGATGTACTTGTTCAGCAGCAGCACGCCGACGTTGGCGGTGTACCAGCACGCGATGACGACGGCGCTGCGTCCGCCGGGCGAGCCCATGGCGACGGCGACTTCGACGACGACGCCGACGACGCGATCGAGGCGTCGGTGCGTCGCCTTCGTCGCGCGCGCGCGTTGTGACGCGCGCGAGTCAGTCGTGCCTCGTGCCCGCGGTCCGGCGGTCCGAGCGCGCGCGGGACGCCGCGACACACGGCGACGCGCGATGCGGGGGGCGCCGACGACGACGTCGACGTCCGCGTCCGCGTCCGCGCGGTGCGACGGGTGGACTAAGGGACGACGAAGCGCGCGATGGCGCCGCGCCAGCCCTCGGCGCGCGACGCGGCGCGACGCCGTCGACGACGCCGACGACGCGACGTCGACGTCCTCGAGCGCGGGCGCGTTGGCGTTGACGAAGGAGGACGTGCTCGCCGCTCGAAAGCGAGCGACGCTGGCGGCGGTGACGAGCGAAAAAGAAATTGCGCTATTGCTCGACGCGGCGCCCGAGCGCGTGCGACGGGCGTTGGCGGAAGACGCGCGAAGGCTCGAGCTCACCGAAGTCGTGCTCGACTTGGGAAGACTACCAAAGGCGCGGTTTCCGGACGGCGATGCCACAATCGGGGACGAGCTCGTGACGTACGAAGATTTGAATAGAATGATGACAAAGGTTGGAGACGTCGGACGAGATAATCGCGCGGGTATCAACGGGACTTTGCACAGAATAAGCGCGATTAAGAATCGTTACGGCAAAGTCATCGGCGCGACGTGTCGAGTCGGACGCGCGATCTCGGGTTCTGCCGAACTTATCAGGGACGTTTTGGACGCCGAAACGTCGGTGACGACGTTTAATAATTCGATACTACTTCTCGGACGGCCTGGTGTAGGAAAAACGACGGCTATTCGAGAGATTTCTCGCATTCTGTCGGATGAGCATTCTCGCCGTGTCGTCATCGTTGATACGTCAAATGAAATCGGGGGCGACGGCGACGTTCCCCATCGCGGTATAGGTGGTGCCCGTCGAATGCAAGTCCCGAACGCGAGCGAACAGCATCTCGTGCTCATCGAAGCCGTGGAAAATCACACGCCCCAGACGGTGGTGGTTGATGAAATCGGCACGCAGCAAGAGGCGGACGCAGCGCAAACCATCAGCGAGCGAGGCGTGCAGATGATTGGTACGGCGCACGGACACACGCTGGAGAACGTTTTGAAGAACCCGGCGTTATGTGATTTGATAGGTGGTGTTGTGAGCGTCACTCTTGGCGACGACGAAGCACGTAGACGAGGGGTCCAGAAGAGTGTGCTCGAAAGGGCGGGTCCACCAACGTTTACCATCGCCGTGGAAATGCTCGACATCGGCACTTGGAGAGTTCACACCGACGTCGCGGCTTCTGTCGACGCTTTACTCGCGGGGCAGTCGCCGATGACCGAACTACGCGTTCTGAACGAAGATGGAACGGTGACGACGGAGGCAGAGTACACAAGTCGCCGAAAGGCGAGCGTTCTTGGAGAAATCCTAGCGTACGACGCGACGGCGCCTCGACCGACGGCGCAAAAAGTCCAGCCTCGATCGAGCTCTGAGCTCGCGGCTTTAGAAATCGCAAGCGCATCGCGACGTCGATCATCGTCGACGACGCAACAGTTTGTGGATAACACGCGTTTCGAACTCGGCGGCGAAGACGTCATCGTGAACGACGTCGAAGACGACGAAGACGACAACACGTGCCCTCCGCACGCTCTTCGAGTGTTTCCGTTCAAAGTTAGTCGCGACGCTCTGGAGCGCGTCATGGAGAGCATGGACTTGGGTGATCGAGTGTGCTTGGTTGACCTTCTTGAAGACGCGAGCGTGGTCATTGCGCCAAAATCGCAAGTGAAGACGTCCACGTGGCTACGACACGCGGCTAGAGCGCGAGGTATGCCGATTTACGCCGTGCGGGCAGATAACTCGGCGCAGCTCGTTCGCGCTTTGCAAGCCATGTTAGGCATAACGGGTGCAAGTGATGGATTTAACGGAGGAAGTGGTGCTCAAGAAAATAGACAGCGAGCGACTACGTCGAGCGCGGATGAAACGGATGCCCTGGAAGAGGTGCGCATGGCCGTCGAGCAGCTCGTCATTCCCCATCGCGAGCCTGTCGAGCTATTGCCTCGATCGGGACGCATCATCGAAATGCAACAGGCGTTGGTGGACACGTACATGCTAAGTCATAGCGCCGTCGGTGAGGGAACGGAGCGGCGTTTGCGCATCGAATACGAGTATAAAAAGTAGCGGTCGGTTCAAATATTTTAAATCCAAGGTGCGGGAAGCGAGGGGACGACAACTCGAGCAAACGCGACGTTAATGATGACCCACTGATGATCAGTATCGCTAGATGACGGTTGTGCGCTGGTAATTAGGCTGTGCGATCGATGAAATCAGCATATTCCGTCCTCGAAAGGACGCATGAGACGACAAAACGCATTTTCCGAAAGCAAGCGATCCGCTCAACCGCACGCGACTGACTTTGCTCTAATTCAGATCTCTTCTACTGTACTACGACAGGCAGACCACGGCATAGTCCGAACAACAATCTCCAGTTTGCGCGCACTCACTGTCACAGCAGCACGGTGCGGCGTCGTCCGTGAAATCACACAGCCCGCAAATATTTGGAAGCACCGCGAGGCACGAGCCTTTTGAAGGAGGTGGTGACGGCGGCGGCTCGCGCGCACTTCCAGCAGTTGCGGACGGAGGCGGCGGGCGTGTTTGCCAATATATTGGATTGAATGAACCAAGGATTGGTGGCGGTGGTCTTTGAGCTGGTGGTGACGGTGGAGACAAAAATTGTGGCGTCGGCGTCGGCGGTGGACGCGATGGAATCGGCGAGCTCGAACCGTTTGCCTGCGGCGCAGGCACTCTGTCAAGTCTTCTCGGAAACAAGGTTCCATCCACGATGAGTACGATTCCGTTGGATGATCTTCTAGCAGAATCCACGATAGCGCCGTGCACGTTCGAGTTCGACGCGAATGCGGACGACGATGACGACGATGACGACGACGGCGCTATGATTTCGTCAAACAGTAGCGCGCGCACGTACTCTTCTTCGAAATCCAAGTCTTCCTCCGAGAACGCGTCGTCTCCATCAGCGCGGCTCTCGAGTGAGGCAAATATAGGTCCTATCGATTGCTCAGCGCGCGAAAATTTGCTCTCCACGCCTAGTCGGGCATCCGACGATTTTACGATTATTTCCGTGTACATGGATGGTAGACACTCTTTCCAAAAAAACGTTGCGGTACCGTACACTCTACAACGCGTCTCTTTCACCGGAAATCCGCCGAGCACGATCCGACGACGTCCCGTTTCGATTGCGACAAGCGAGTGTGCAACAGTGTCAGAAGACGCACTCACCATTACCTCTTTGACGCCCAAATCGGTGATTAGGCGCTGACCATGTCGAAGCGCATGATTGGAAGAGCTCATTACCACGTGCGCCGCGATGATATCGGAGCGCTCTGCTGCGGTCGCGCGAGCGGGAGTCGTCAAGTTTCGATGGTACCAGGCTATGTCTTTCGGCGCGAACACGGTCGTCATCGCGTGTCCCGATATAGTCTGAAATCGCCGACTATAGAGTTCATCGTGAAGAACGAGCGACGTAAATGTTCGAACTTCTATCGCGTTTGCGAGCGTCGACAAGAGCGTTTCAACGCATCGATTATCCACGCACGTCATGTGCGAGTCGTTGCACACGTTTCGCACTGGCGGCGTGGCGGTAACGTTTATCGATCCACACTCACCGAACGACCATGATTCGTATTCGGAGTCCAGTTCTAGTTTTCTCACCGAACGAAGATTTTCGAGTCCTTTGAGCGAGTTGAGCGCAGGCAAACCGCGAGCTGTGAATATGCCCACATCCATGAGAGATGGAAGCCCCACCGTCGCAATTGCGAGCGTTTTCAGCGTCACACTTCCAGTGACCCGCGACAGCGACGTGAACGCATCCCAGCCAGTCAAGTTTGGGGCCTCAGAAATCTCAAGATCTCCCTCAATCAATTCAAGCGCATGAAATCCTTCGAGACGCTTCAACCGACCGCCGTAGTCGTGAACACGCACGGAGCCACCGTGAACGCTCAACAGGCGTGGAAATAGAATGGATGAATTAGACACGTTTGTGATGATGATCGATCCATTGGTGATGTAACGCAATCGAGGTCCGATGACTTCGTCGACACTGGAGAAAGTTAGGTTGCCACCAGCAACGGACTCACACTGTGCGAGTCGTTCGACGTCGTTCACAAAGTCTCCAACACACTCGACAGCGAGCGCGAGTACCGACAATGAGAACACGCAGACGCACGACAGGGCTATTGAGGCATCCACGCGTGGGTACATGGTCGCCGCGCGTAGCGAAGTGGTGATGTGTGGCGAAGGAATGCGCAGTCGCGTCGTTTGCTATTTTCATTTACACGTCGTTCGATGCTTCGCCACCGCCGAGATATTATCGCTCGCGCTACTTTGTCTTTACTTCCTCCAGACCGTCTTTGCTCGAACTATTTCACCCTCGCCTCGCGCTAATTTATGTAGGAGCACGTAGGTATCGTTTGCCTCTTCAATCTCGCAGCACGTCGCCGTGACGCTGTCGCCAAAGTTGCACTCGGATCGATACTCCAAGATAATTTCACTCAACACGTGCTTTTCCCACGTTTCCGGGGGCACGCTCTCGAGTAGCCATTGAACGTACACGACATTGTTTACGTGTCCGTTCATATCCATGTCGTTACGGCGCACGTTATGCGTGATGGGAGCCGCGCACGCTCCCCCGACTTCAGACACGTCTGGGAGCTTATCCGCGGCGTATCCTTCCTCCATCACCTGTTGCTGCAAGGATTGGAATTTGAAATCTTCCAACACCGAGTTCGGGATGCGCGCCATTCTTCGACTCCCGAGATTAAACACAACCCATTGCGACGTCGCTTCGCCCATGCATTCTCCAGTTTGCGCGTCCGTGATGGCGTAGTCGCGCCTAGCCGCTATCTTCCCTTGAGGTTCGAACCAAGTGCTCACCGCAACCTTCTCCCCCCATTTCGGGTACTTGCGCACGCGCAAGTGAAGTCTGGTACACACCCACGCCAAGTTTGCTCGCGCCATCTCCGCCGGCATAGATTGACCGACACCCCAGATACCTTGCGCGTGATTGCAGGCGCACTCTTGAATCAAGTCGGCTATCGTCACCATGGTCGCCTCGCCGTTGGAACCCACTTCGGCGAATCTCACGGGAAAAACCTCACTGAATCGTCTGCCACTCTCGGAGAAATCACGCGAAAACCATTCTGTGCCCTCTAATCCGCGAAACGAATCGTCAAGCGCGGTGAAGGAGGTTCCCGCGCCGGTGGTCGCCGACCCGTTGGCTTCACCGCCACCGTCGGCGCCGTTGCGATCGGCCACTTCGGACGCGCTCGACGTCGACGACGCGCGCACATTCAGCGCATATTTACCTCTCCAACTCGCGCGTTTCAGCATCGCGCACGACGACGCATCGTTCGCGTGCACCGCCGTCGACGACGCCAAAAACGCGCGCGGCGCGTTCGAGCGTCTCGCGCCGCTCGCGCGTTGACGCCGCTCGCGCGCGTGTGTTGACGCGTGCGCGACGCGCGGACGAGCGACGGCGACAGACACCATGGCTACGCGGCGCACTCGATCAAACGATCAAGGTCGCAATTCACGACGACGACGCGAGCGACGCGGCGCCGCGCGCGCGAACAAATGGCGTCAACACGAGTCGCGGTCCGTCTCGCCGTTCCTGAACCGCGAAAATCCAACGGAACGCTATCCACATCAGGGAGCTAAACACGGACGTCGAAGCGACCGAGAGACTGAGACGAGAAATTTTACACCGCGCCAGGGACGCGCTATGACAAACTAAACAGCGACGAAGACGGCGCGAGGGCGCGAGCGAGCCATTCGATCGCGGGTTTTACCCCTAGTCCCGTGCGACAATCGACCGGGAACACGCGGGTCTGACGCCGAGAGCCGCCGCCGTCGACGCGCGCGAAGACGTCTTCGCACGACGCGCGAACCATTTCCAACCCTTCGGGACCGCTCAAATCGCTCTTCGCGCTGATGATGAGGATTGGCATCGATTTTGAGAATCGTTTGTTGCGCATGGCGCGCTCAAGCTCGACCATGGACTCCTCCAGCGCTCGCTCTTCGGCGCCGTCGACGACGTACAAGCACGCGTCGGCGTCCTGGAAATAGCTCTCCCAAATCCCACGCAGCCCGAACGCGCCGCCGAGATCCCAGAACGTGAGCTCCACGTTGAGTTCGGCATTGGAGATCTTGGCTATGTTCATCCCTACAGTGGATATGATTTGATCGGGGCGCAAACCTCTGGCGTTTGCGTCGTACGCGTCCTTGACGCGTTCGAGCGCGCTCGTCTTCCCGGCGCCCTGAATTCCGAGCACGACCACGCGTTTGGGCTTGGGATAGCCCATCATCTCATACACCGCTTCCATTCGGGCGTTCGCGCGCGTCAAGACGCGTCAAGACGCGTCAAGACGCGTCGGGATTGTTTGTTTCAATCCGCTCCCGCAATGGCGGGCGCTCGGTCGCCCGAGCCGTCGCCGCGATTGGCAGCCCCTCGGACCGCGCCGCACCGGGTCGTCGCCCGGCTTCGGCTTTGTTTCGCTCTCCTCGTCACGTTCGCGCCTCGATCGTCCATCGCCCCGCCATGTCCGCGCGGACGTCCGTCGTCTGCCGGGCGACGTCGAGCGACGTCCGTCCCCGCGCGCGACGACCGGGCGCTCGGACTGTCGGACGCGCGTCGCGGCGGGATTGATTTTATCGCGCGCGCGTGATCGCGAGCGTCATGGCGTTCGAATGCCGTGATGTACGTGATTGATTTCGCACACGGGTCAAAAACGATCGACGATCGACGATCGACGTCCGCGACGGGGCCATCCGCGTGCATCCGCGGACGTCCGTCGACGTCGCGCGCGTCACTCGCGCGCGTGATCGTCGCACACACCATGGCGTTCTCTCTCTCGACGACCCAAAAACTCGGGTGCACCCGCGTGCGCGCGCAGCGCGCGCCCGTCAAGCGCAACGCCGCGCGCAGCGCGCGCACGGTCGTGCCCCGCGCGGCGAGCGCATCCGCGGACGTGCCGGATATGACGAAGCGAAGCGTTATGAACCTTCTGCTCGTCGGTGCGATCGGTTTGCCGGCGACGTCGTTGATCGGCGGCTATGCCTACTTCTTCGTGCCCCCGAGGTGCGCACAGCGACGCGCGCGCGTCGCGATCGCCACGAGCGCGATCGCTATCCGATCGCGCGAGACGGCACAACGTTAGGCTAGGGTCAGGGATATCTATCCACACCCGGACGCGGCGCCATGGATTGCGCTGACCGCGCCGTCGCCACCGCGAGAGAGCGGTGGCGCGGAGGGGAAGCACACGCGATACTACGGCACTCGATCTCGCCACGGTCGACGCAGGCGTAGAGTTCAAACTCTACCACGACGCCTCGCGGCGGGCGATCGGGCTGAGGGAGCGATTCGAAACGGTCGCGACGCCGTTCTTGGGATTGGATTGAACAATAGTGCGCGCAACGCGAGGAGACTGACGGATAAAACTGTTTTGAACGCACAGCGCCGGCGGCGGCGGCGCCGGTCAACCGGCTAAGGACGCGAATGGTAACGACATCAAGAAGGGAGAATGGCTCAAGACGCACTTGCCGGGCGACTACTCGCTCACGCAAGGCTTGAAGGGTGACGCCACGTACTTGATCGTCAAGCAAGATGGTTCCCTCACGGACTTCGGGTTGAACGCTGTGTGCACGCACTTGGGCTGCGTCGTCCCGTGGAACAAGGCCGAGAACAAGTTCAAGTGCCCGTGCCACGGCTCCCAGTACAACGCCGACGGGAAGGTGATTCGCGGTCCGGCTCCACTTTCCTTGGCCCTCGCCCACGTCGTCGTGACGGACTCCGACGTGGTGACGTTTACGCCGTGGACTGAAGCTGACTTCCGGACCGGCCAGAATCCTCCATGGTGGAAGTAAAAAAAACGCGGGATAAGGGAGGTTTATTTACAACTTCGTCGTCTTCGACGACGAGCGACGTCAATCCTTCCAAGAGCACGCTTTTTAGCGAAACGTTCGCGTTTCCACATTAGAACTTTGAATTTGACATGATTCCCAATTAAAACAATCGCTACCGCGCTATCCATGCTCAACGTCCCTATCGTTATCGCTATCGCTATCGCTTTCGTCCGCGAGGATGTCCCAGGTCGGCTTGCCGCCGCCGACGCGCTCCTTCGCCTTTTTCGCTCGAGAGGCGTACAGGACAGCATCGCGTACGCGATCGCTCAAAGCCTCAGATTCTTGCGCGAGCCGTTTCTTCGTGGCGTCCACGGTTTCGTTTCGCTCATGGAGCTTCGCAGTTTCGAGTTCCACTCTTTTACGGTTCAAGTCCACGAGCGTGTTTTCCCGCGTGCCGCCGCGTTCGTCCAAAAGCGCCCCGCACACGCCGACGCGCGCGGCACCATCGCGTATGAAGATATCCATCGAGCGCGAAATAGCGTCGACCAAGTTGATGAATGAGCTCTCACTCGCTTTACCCAAGTACGTCGCCCTCTCCGGAATCTTAAGCGCCGCCGAACTCGCCGCGCTCGCGCCAAGGAAAACGCGCACCTCGCCTTCGTCCAACCACGCGTCCCTCGGCGTCACCTCGCGGATCGTCGTCGCCCTCTTCGTCTTCTTCGTCGCCTCGTACGCGATGGGTGCTTCTATCTGTAGTATCTTCCCGTTCTCAATCACGCGCACGCCCGCTCCCACGTACGATTGCCCACTCGTTCGCGTCTCGAACGCGTTGTCAAACCACTCCAACGCGCGCGCCGCGTTTGTCGTCGAGTCTTCGTCGTGGGCGTGAAACTCCATCACGACCGTCGCCGTCGGTTCGCAAGCGTCGGAGGCATCGGTTTTTACGACGTCTACGAACACCCTGTGCGCCGACGCCGCCCCCGTCGTCGTCGCGCGCGCTTTAGCCAACGCAACACGCTCGGCATCCGTCGTTTCGTCGTCGTCGCGGTGCGCGCGCAATTCCCCGGTTTTCGCGTCCACTTCGACGCCATCGTCGGGAACGTCGTACGCGTCGCCGAGGAGCACGTCCTCGGCCACGACCGCGCCCCTGCGGTCGGCGCCCTTCGCGCACGACTCAAACTTTGTCATGAAAGGCGCCGTCCAGTGGCGTCCGTCCGCGCGCCGCGTCCGCACTTTGCGTCCGCTTCGACGTCGAGATGGCGGCGTCGCGGTCGGGAGACGACGACGAAGACGCGACGACGAACGCGGCGACGCACGCGACGACGAACGCGACGACGAACGCGGCGTCCTCAGACGTAGACGTGCGCGTCCCCGCCCCCGGTGAGGTCTCGCGCTTGACGCAGACTGCGAGCGTGCGCGCGAGAGAAGACGGCGCGGAGGCCATCGCGTGCTTGACTCGACAGGGCGGGAAAGATGCGTTTACATCCGTGGAAGACGCCCGCGATAGATTGCTCGCGTTTCACGCGTACGCGGGACCGGAAGACGTTGGGTGGGACCCGAGGTGGAATCCGAAGCCCGCAAACGGAGGCAACGAAATAGAGGGCGTGTTGAAACTCGCTCGAGAAGAGGCGTGGACGCGAGACTTGGAAGTGTTCGCCGAGGAAGCGTCCACATTCGTTGGCGACGTGCGCGCGATGCTGCCGAAAGTCGAAGAACGACTTGCGGCTTCGGCCGACGGGGCGCCGCTGGACGCAAACGAACGCGCGTTCGTGGAATCCTTACTCTTACATCGCGCGCAGCAGAATGCTCGGGCGGCGGCGATCGAGCGGGATATGGTATTCGCCCGAGGTGCAGCGCTAGCTCGCGAAATCAATACGCTCGAGTCGCAGATTCGCGAACAGAGCGCTGAGCGCGCGCGCGTCGCCGCGGCGCCGCTAGGAGTGGATGGAGCCGCGCCGTCCGCTCCCGCGGCCACCGCACCTACGTTCGGTGGCGCGCCGTAGCTTTGAGTTTGGACGCCGCCGAGTTCGCTTGTCGTTGTATATCATTGTATATCATCTTAGTTCTCTCTAGCGATCCACCTTGCGCTGACTCGTCGACTCTCCGTGCGGTGCAAAAAGTCTCCACCACCCGACATCACGACGCGCGCGCGTTGGCGATCGCGATGGCGACGACATCGGCGATGACGATCGAGCGGTCGGTGTGTGCGATGCGTGCGCGCTCATCATCGTCGACATCGACCAGGACGACGGCGCGATCGCGCGCGACGGTGGCAGTCAAGAAGAATGTCTACTCGCGCACGTCCGTCGTCGTCGCGCGCGCGTACGGCGATGACGATGAAAATATGCGAGTGAAAGGGCGCATGCCGCAAGAGGGCGATCGCGTGGGCGATCGCGAAGATCCTGATTTGTACATTGGGACGTATTCCAACTTCTTCACCGACCCAGCACAAATCAAAGGCGTCGTCGTATTCTGCGCGTTTTTGCTTTCATTCTTTTCGCTCGGAAACATCGGCGCCGCCATCTTGCTTCCGATACTATACGGCACGGACGACACTTTGGGTGACTTCTGCATCCAGTCGCTGATCTTCGGATATTACTGTAATTAAAAGGCGGGACGACGGGACGGCGGATTGATTTTACGTCTAGCGTTTGTGTAATAGTATTTGCAGCTGTTCTAAATCTGATTGCTAATGTGCAATATGCCGATCGTTCGCTCCGCATTGCTATGTTGCGATGGAGCGAGTGTTTCAAACGTTTTACCGCCGTTTCGTGATAATGTGCGTGCACCAAATGTTGGCGTCTCGCGAGAACACGCGACGCGAGAAATCTAACGCGCTCACCGAACGCGCTTAATCGACGGGCGCGTCCCCGCGCGGGAATCCGCCTTCTTCGCCACTTCACCCACTTGTCGTTCATTGCCACTCACGTTTTCCGCGTGAAATAATCTACTAGCACGCACAGAACTCTGTCACGCGAAACGCCGGTTAGTGTCTTTGCTCACGATATCCGCCTCGCGAGCGCGTTTCGCACGGCGGTGGCGGCGGCGTTCTCGCACCTTTTGAATCCCCATCCCCTTCGCTCCGTGTTTCAACGTGTACCTTCCAGGCGTGAGTTTATTGTTCTGTTTCCATCGCACGGTCGTCGTCAGTATGTCAAATTTGCCTTCCTCTTCTCGTGCTCAAATCTGAAATTTTTTTCAAAAATTTGGCGCGTAAATCGAGTGTTTAAACTTCCCGCGCGTCATCGTGTCGGTCTTCTCGCGCGCCTTACCGGTGGAGTGAAGCGACGCGTGATATCTGCCAACGGCGGTCGCGAAGGCGTGCAATCTTTCGATCGTCGCCGCGTCGTCGCCGCCGTCGCCGTCACCGGGTCGACGTTTTCCTTATCGCCAAAGTCATTCCAAATCGTAAACTTGGCGCATTGACGTCGAGCGCCGCTGTCGTCGCCGCCGTCGTCCCCTTCGCGCGGTTTCGCCGACGGTGAGGCGTAAGTGTGAATGGTCATCGCGCTCGAATGAATGTCTGTCGCGCGCGCGTCAATGCGCAGCGCGGTGAGCATCGACGGGCGCGACGACGAGTGCGGAGTTCGCGCGCGCGCCATCGTGTTTCAAGCATTTTGAGCGGGAAATTTGATTTCAAACGACTTTTCTCTGGCGACCGCGAAGAGCGAGAGGAGCGATGTGGTGAATATTTGTGACACTGATGATACAAAAGATGCGCGACCGAGGAAAATTATATATACCGTGCGTCACCTGCCGTACAAATCGCGCTCGAGCTGAGCCAATAGCTCGTCTTGGTCGCCGTCGCCCGCGAACGGGGCGCGAGCGCCCGGGCGAGGAGGCTGACCGCCGCGCGGTTGGCCGTAACCGCCGCCACCACCATTACTCATCGGTGGTCGCTGCTGTTCGTATTGATGCGACGGTGACATTTGGTTTCCCCCGTACCGCACGTCGTTACCGCCGTAACCACCGCCGAGACCTTGGTTCGGCGCGAACGCGTTCGGCGGCGGTTGTCCGTAATATCCATCATCCGGTCGATGTTTGCGACGCTCCGAGTGATGATCGCGGTGACCACGAGGATTATCGCGAGCGCGATCATCGCGAGGCCCACGGTGCTCGCGATCGTCTCTATGCCTATGGTGATGTCGATGACTGCGTTCGCGGTGATCTCGATGTTCTCGCGCGCCCGCGCGCCGCTCGCCCGACTGCCGCTCACCGCGCGCAGCGTCGTCTTCATTTTTTATTTTCACGGAGTCCATGAACGCGAGGTCACCGGGTATCTTTCGTTCTGGCTTTCTTCTGTTGTTCCCCATCGTCCGGCGTGCTGCACCGTGACGCCTATCTTTGCGATCCACGTCCGTTTTGCGTTTCACTCCCAACGCTTTTCTCGCCGCTGGGCTGAGCATCTCTAGTACTGCTTCAAGCTTGCCTTTCGCCTTGAGCTCTTCCTTCAGTTTCCAACAAGGTTTCGATTGTGCCCCGACTGCACTCCACAGCTCGAAAGCCGGCGCGGCGATATGCGAGCTATTCGCGCAAAGAACCTTAAACTCGTCGATTGTGATCACGCCGTTGTCGTCCAAGTCGGCTTGTTTGATGATTTGTCTCATGCCTTTCACCCGCACTCGTGCCCCGTTGCGGCCAGCTCTAACGACGCGGTCCCCCATTTGATCATGTGATCCACCGCTGAAACCTTTATTCGATCCCGTGTAGCTCATCGAGTTGTTTATGATGGTTTCAAACTCCTCCATCGTCATCGAACCCGAGTCGTCTTGGTCGAACAGTCGCCAAGCGAAATATATGTGCGCCGACGCGCTTCTTTCGTGAAACTGCGCCATGCACATGACAAACTCCAACGCCCCGATGTCCCCGTCGCCTCCGACGTCGAAAAGCGACATCATACGCGGTAAAAACGCGTTCCGCGTGCGCAACGCAAACGTCTCCGCGAATTCCTTCAACCCGAGCGTCCCGCTCCCGTCTTTATCAGCGCGCCAGAATAACCGCAGCGCATCGTTCACCGTCCTCCGCTCCGCCCCCAGACGCACGAGTGTATCCGCCAATCGCGACACTTCTCCTCCCTCCGCCGGTGCACCGCTCAGCATCGACGCACACGCACCCATATCGTTCGTCTCGCGCCACGCGATTCACAATCTCCGCGATTCACAATCTCCGCGAATGCGATTCGTCGTCGGCGGCGTCGGCGGCGTCGGCCGCGTCTCGCCTCGTCGCGCGCGACGTCGCGTCGGGTCGATTCGATGCGCGTCGTTCGTTCGACGTTCGATTCGTCTCGAGTCCACCGTCGCGCCGCCACCGCGCGTCGTCGACTGACCTCCCGACCTCCACGCGAAACGCCGCGGGGCGCCGCGGGGCGTCGCGCCCGGTACCGGGCGCACAACCCTAGGTGCTGCACCTCGTCCATCCATCCGTCCGTCGTCGACGGGCGACGACGTCGACGCGCATCCGCGACCGACCGCGATCGACGACGATGGCGCGCGTCCGCGACGTCGCCGATCGCGCGCGTCCGCGACGTCGCGGAAACGCGCGCGCGAACGAACGAACGAACGAACGAACGAACGAACGAACGAATGACGTTTCGAGTCGTTGAAGACGCGATCGTCGTTCGCGAGACGCGCGACGCGCGCGCGCGCAGTCGACGCCGACGGCGAAGTCCGAAGCCCGAAGTCCGAAGAAAATCGTCTCCCGTCGCGTCTCCCATCGCGTCGCTCGTCCGTCGTCGTCCTCGCGCGACGACGCCATCGCCGACCCGGGTCCGACGTCCCGCACACCACGACGGCGGCGACATAGACGACCGCGAGGCGACGACGGCGACGGCGACGATCGCGAGGCGACGGCGACGACGACGCGGAAGGTGGAAGGAAGGAAGATCTCGATGTCGAACGCGCGCGACGACGCGTCGTCGCACGCGACGCTGGCGTACGGGTTAAATCTTCCAAAGAAGAAACCGCGAGGGACGTCGGGCGGGAAACCCGCGCCGAGACCGGCGTTGGCGGCGTTCGCGTGCGATTCCGACAGCGATGAAGGTGATGATGACGATCCCGTCAAGGCGCGGGAGCGGGCGAACGCGGAGGTGAAGCGACAACAAGAGGCGATGGCGCTCAAGGCGAGACGAGACGCGGCGAGAGCGGCGACGACGACGAGCGAGGCGTTGAAGGAAGACGCGAACGCGTTTGAGTACGACGCGGTGTTCGATGATATCGCAAAGTCACGAGGTGCGAAGGCGAAGGAGCTGGCGAGCGAACGCGTGGAGCGACAGTCGAGGTATATAGGAGATTTGATAGCCAAGGCGGAGGCGAGGAAGAAGGAGGACGACGCGTCGTACGAGAGACGACTGTTGAAGGAAAGATTGAAGGAGGATCACTTGTATGCGGATAAGGACAAGTTTGTGACGGCGGCGTATAGAGCCAAGCTACAGGAAGACGCGAAGTGGTTGGCGGAAGACAAGGCGCGCGATGCAGTGGAGGAAGAGGAAGATGTCACAAAGCGTGGCGCCGGTGCGATGACTTCGTTTTACTCCAACCTCATGCATAGGAATTCAGCCATGGGCGGCGATGCAGCGAGAGACACGCGGCGAGCCGCGCCCGAACCCGATGCAACGAAGCCATCAAACGCGACGACGGCGCCTAAGCTCACGAGCGCGGCCGATCGCGATCGTGAACTCATCGCGCGGGCGGCGGAGACGCCGGCGATACCTCCGATCCCGTCCGACGTGACGCTGGTGGAGAGGCCAACGAAAGCAGCGGGAGCCATCGCCGTCGAGACGCCGCCACCGGTAAAAGTTGACTCGAATGCGAGGAGGAACACAGAAGCCGACGTGAGCGACGCGCGAGCGAGGTATCTCGAGCGGAAACGCAAAGCTGCGGGAGGCGCGTAGTCGGTAGAATCGATAGAGAATAGCGATGTGAACACAAAACATCATCAATGACAACCGTTCGCGACTCGAATGCACCCGAGTGATTACGCCGCGGTGCGCGCGACGACGTTCTGAAGTCTTTCGGCGATTTTTCGAAGCCACATCGCCTTTTGATCTTTTTGAAGCGGGAACAAGTGATGACCGGGGATCGCGAGCAGCTCGAACTCGCCCGTCGTGTGCGTTTCCCAGCCTTGACACATCTCGCGCGTGATCATCCGATCGCTCTCGCCGTGAAACACGGTCAGAGGCCATGTAAAGTTCTCCTTCCCATCGTGTACGTGATCGTATTTGTCAAACAAGTGAAAATCTGCGCGCATCAGCGGTTGGTAAATTTTCCAAATATCGCCAAAAACAAGCTCGTTGACGTCCCATCGGCGACACTCATCTTTGAATCCCTCTTCGTCCAACAGCACGTTTATGCGCCACGGCCGGACGTCGTGAGGAATATCTGGGTACGGAAATGCCGAAAGGAAGACGTGCTCGGGCATGCGAACGCCCCGAGCGCGTAGCAGTTGCAAGAACTCGTAAGCGATCCACGAGCCGACGGAATGCCCGACAACGACGTATGGGCACTCTGACAACTTCCCCGCTACCACGGGCAACAGAGGATGGATGATTTCATCGATCTCAAATGCACACGACTCTTTCGAACGATTTCCTCGCCCCGGGTACTGCACCGCCAATACCTCTGCCTCATGCGTCTTGGCGAACTCCAGCAACGGCGACGTCGCGCGTCTCGCCCCCGTGCCTTCGTGCGTATACATGTCTTCCATGTTCCCCGCGTTCGGGAAGCACAAAATTCTCAACTTGGGCGTCTTGCCCAAGACACATCTCGTTCCGCTTCGCTCGAGTCCTGGGAACCACGTCTTGTCATCGCCCTCCTCGTCCCGTCGCGGCTTCGCCTCGCCTCGCGTGTGGTACCACGCGCGCACGTCGTCCTCCGACCAGTGCACGAACGCCTCGCGCGGCGCCGACGGGGCGTCCGGGTACTGTTCCTCCAGCGCGTCGATTAATTCAATCACCCTGAGCGTTCGCGCGTCCATCGTCGTGTCTCACACTGACGCCGGGTCATCAGTCACCAGTCATCGGTAACGCCATCCGAGTAACGCACGCGCGAAGACGCGGCGCCGCGCCGACGTCGGCGCGATTCGACGGTTCGATCGTCAGTCATGCGCGCGTGTGCGCGTCTGTGCGCGACGAGGACGAGGACGGGGACGACCTCGACGACGACCTCGACGACGACGACCTCGACGACGACGTCGACGCGACGCGCGCGACGCAGCCTGACGATGAAGGCGACGACGACGCGCGAAGACGCGAGCGCGAGCGCGAGCGCGAGCGCGACGCCGTTCGTCGTCGTCCTGAGCCCGGCCAAGGCGTTGGACGAGGCGGCGATGAACGCGAGCGATGCGACGCGCGCGACGCGACCGAGATTCGCGGAACGAGCGAACGCGATCGCGCGCGAGGCGCGCGAACTCAAGGCGGGCGACCTGAAGACGCTCATGGGGGTGTCGGACGCCATCGCGAAGCTCAACGTCGAGCGATTCGGAAACTTTGAGAAAGCGGCGACGAAGGCGTGCGCTTTGGCGTTCGATGGGCCGGCATTCAGGCACTTGAAGGCGTCGACGTTGAAGACGGAAGAGGAGAAGGCGTATTTACAGAAACATTTGAGGATTTTAAGCGGGTTGTACGGTTGCCTGCGGCCGTACGACGCCATCGCGCCGTACCGACTCGAGATGGGAACGAAGTGGGCGCCGTCCGGCAAGGATTTATACGCGTATTGGGGGGAAGACATCGCGCTCGCCATCGCGGACGATTTGGACGAACAAGCGGCGACGAGTGGTGAATCGAGCGCGAGGCCGTTCGTCGTGAACTGCGCGTCGCAAGAGTACTGGAAATCGGTCAAGCGAGAGGCGTTGACAAAGCGAGGCGTAGACGTGTACACGATGACGTTTCCCGGACCCGCAGTGTACGCCAAACAAGCTCGAGGAGCCATGGTTCGACACTGCGTCGACGCTCGAGTGGCTTCGCCCGAAGATCTGAAAACCTTTCGGGGCACGGACGGGTGCTGGAAGTTTGACGCCGCCGCGTCGTCCGAGTTCAATTTCGTCTTCGCGCGAGGCGCCGTCAAAGCCGGAGACGCAAAGCCGGCGAAGAAGGCCAAGAAAGCGTAGTCAAACAGTAGGGAGATAGCATTAGCGTCGACCGAATCGTAATGCGCGCGAGAGAGCGTTTTAATTTCTAAAGCGAAGCGAAACTGCCGAGCTCGCAAACGACGCGCTCGCGCCTCAAATCCAAGCCAAGACCAGATCGCACGCCACTCCATCGCGCGTCGTCGCTCGAGCCGGCGATCGTTCGATCAGCCTCACGTAAACGCGTCTATAGAACGCGCGCGCGCGCGCACGTTACGTCGACGCTCCGTCCCGTCCCTGACGTCCGTCAGGGTGTTGAGCGCGAAAGATGACTTCGCGAGGCGAAAACGGCGTTTTGGGCGTTTTGTGCACGCCCAAAGCGCTGAAAATCATCGGGTGCGTCGTCGGTGTCGTCGGATCGCTCGTTGTGTACGGGATTCTCCAAGAACGCATCATGACGAGACCGTATGGCGACGACGGGGAGGAAGAATTCTTCAAGTTTAGCGTCTTCTTGGTGTTGAACAATAGATTGTTAGCTGTGTGCGCGGCCGCGTGCATATTGGTCGCGATCAAGGGTGCGGTGAGACCGGTGGCTCCGATTTACTCGTATGCCACGGTGAGCGCGTCGAACGTGGTGGCGACGACGTGTCAGTACGAGGCGTTAAAGTACGTCTCGTTTCCAGTGCAGACGCTTGGGAAGTGCGCGAAGATGATACCGGTGATGATTTGGGGGTTCGCCATCAACCAAAGGCGATACGACGCGGCAGACATGCTTGTCGCCGCGTTCATCACCGCCGGTTGTACGATTTTCGCGCTTTACGGCGACGTCACGAACAAACACGTGTCATCTGGTGGCGATACGTCTTGGTACGGCGGCGTGTTGATGTTGGGATATCTCGGATTCGATGGATTCACGTCGACTTTTCAAGACAAGCTCTTCAAGGGATACCATATGGAAACATACAATCAAATGGTTTGGGTCAACTTGTGCAGCGCGGCGATTTCGTTGTTCTGGCTCCTGAGTGATAGTTCTCTCACCGAGGCGTTCAACTTCATCGGACGACATCCCGGGGTCATGGGCGACGTCATCATCCTCTCCACCGCGGCCATGCTCGGGCAGCTTTGCATTTTGTACACCATTCGAGAGTTTGGTGCGCTTCTTTTCGCCACCATCATGACGACGCGTCAGTTCATTAGTATTCTGTTGAGCTGCATCATCTTCATGCATCCACTCACGCTGCCTCAGTGGGGCGGAACTTGCATGGTTTTCGGGGCACTTTATTACAACGCGTTCTTGAAGGCGGCGCGGAAGGGGAGTAAGAAGGAAATCACCATAGTTAGCGATGACGCCAAGAGCGGCGAAAAGGAAAATTTGATCAGCAAGGACGGGATCGCTTGAAGTACTTCGAGTTTGTAATTTGACGGCAGAGGCAACTAGAACATTCGTGGTCATAATTCTACAACACTCTAACTAATTCACCATTAATTCACACAAGTCATAAAGTCATCTCGAGAGATGCTCAATCGTTCATTTTTAACGTTGCAATTCGAAAAATACGACAACCCAGGGACAGTCGCGAACTACTTTGGGAGGAGCGGCTTCTCGCTGGAAGCGACGCTACAACTCATAGCTCGTCAGGTGCAAAAACTGTCGGCTGATCAAAACGAGTTTCTTGAAGAGATCACGATCTTCTTTCATCATCTCTTCCAAGGTTTGGGCACCGCTAACCAAATCGGTGAGCTGTGCGGCGCCCAGAACAACACGCAACACGGGACCTTCGGGAATGTCCACCGGTTGCCCAGTGAGACATCTCTTCGAAGCAACGCGACGTTCTTCGTCGGTGCTACCGTCGGCGAGATGCTCCGAGATATCAGAGTGCATCAAACCATATATTTTCTTCAACTCGGGCGTCGAGTAATATTCTCCAGCAGGATTGCGCAAGCGAACAGAGATAATCGTGTTCACGCCACCGTACTGCCACTCGTTCTCGTAGTCAATCGGTTGAACGAATTCGATCTCGGGAGCATGCCGTTGTGCCTCTTCGCGCATCGCAAAGACCCACGAACGGAGTTTTTCTTCAGCGACTGCCGTGCCACCGGCGTTGGTGGTGGCGTCGTTGAGCGATTCCATCTCGTACAAGCCGGCGGCCCAACGAAGGAGCAAGCCCGTGTTACAGAAACCAGGCGGCATGGCGTCGTGAAGGCGCGGCATGAGAGGACCGATATCATAAGACGTGAGATAGGATGCGCACGCCTCGGCGATGTCAACGACCGCACTCGCGGGTTCCGCTTCCAATTCTTCGTTCATCTTCGCCAAGCACGCGTGGGGCACAAAGACGCCACTTCCAAAGGACGGACCGCCGTAGAACTTGGAGCTCGTCATGAGAACAGGACCCATTTCATTGAGCCAGCGAGGAATCAGCGACGGACCACTGCGCATTTGACACGCATCGAGAACAGAGATGATGCGGTCACCAAACTCTGATTTGAGTTTCTCGGCGACGACTGGTGACGGGACGCATAGACCCGTCTTACTTCCGGCAACTGAGTGCACGACGACGACTCTGTGCGGATTCTCCACGAGAGCTTTGCGCGTCGTACTTTCAACCATATCGTCGTATTCATCGAGTAGATCCCCGTTGACGGACGATCGTGCAACTAGCTCGATGGATTTCATGTTGCACAGCTTGTGAATTGCTGGCAACTCCTCGCCGTTGACGACGCCGTAACCGCCCAACGGGACAGTGCTCGAGAAGAATTTCCCTTCTGCTGCTTGAGTGGTGCCGCTTCCGACTTCACCGGCGCAGCACACGATGTTGACTACGTCACCTTTGATGTCTGTCAAACCAGCTTGGCGCTTGAGAGCGCGAGAGGCGAGGATTGCTTGAAGGAGCGGAACCATCTCCGCGTCGGTGCCAGACGGATGGATAACCATTCGACCGTTGCCGTCGCAGAATAACGCCTCGACGCGTTCGCGAACTTCTTCGCAGAGTGCCTCGTCGGCGTTTTCTTCGAGATCCCAAAGTCTGAGAAGCATGTCCCGAGACGCTTGGAGCGCGCCGGCGGTGGGAGAAGACGACGTGCACGTGCCTCGATGAAGCAATTCGCTGGGGCGAGCGCGCATGCCGGTGAAGTACTTGTTCAAGCGTGCCTCACCGGTGAAGACTGATCGATCGTCACTGCCCTTTTCCATGAGACAGATGAGACTTTCGTCGATGATTTGTTCCTCCAAGGCGCGAACGAGGCCGTTGAGGCGCCTCTCGCGAATTTGCGTGGATGACATGCCCTCATTCTTCTTCGTTCGTGTCTCCAACTCTGGCAGAGGGAATCGAATCTCGGCGACGAAGCCGCTGCCGTTCGTCTCAGGGACAAGGTTGATTAATCCTTCGTCAGCGTTCGCGACCACGGTGGTGACTCGTGACACGTCGTCGAGGCTGTCCATGCGAGGCGAACCCATCAAAAACTTGACGGAATGTTCTCCCGACGGTAAGACGTTGTAAGAGTACACGCGGAAGTGCGGGGACTCGAGCAATAGCTCCTTGAAAACTTGACCTTGCTTGGAGCCGAGTTCGGAGACCGAACCTGGGGAATGATCGGAATATTCTTCCCACACGTGCGGGGAAATTTCAACCAAATCGCGAAGTCGCGTCACACGAAGGCTTTCTCTTCGCATCGTACCCGTCGCGTTCACATTGGCGCGGGATGCATCGCTGGCTTGCGCGCGAACGACACGAACAACTCTGTTATGGCGAGGAGAATTTCTCGACGCACCATGCTGTGGTTGTCGGAGTGCGCGAGGCGCGCTCGACGCCCGAAGCGCCAACGAGTTGGCAAACATATTCTTTGGCGGCGTGAGATCACTTCAACACCGTTATTTATAAAACTTGTCGCGCACCACTGATTGGTCACGCGCACAACACCTCGAAATCGGGACAGGCGGCCGCCTCTGTCCCGGAATAAGAACGGTAAACGCCGTTCAAAGTCGGAGTGAACGCGCTCGCACAGGCGCGAGCAACGTTCGTGTTAAACGAACGGTTCGTTATCGAGCGACGAAAACTCCGTCGACGACTATCGAAACCTGTGAAAGCGAAAGTATCAAAACGTCCGTCGTCAGTGCGCGTTTACGCGCGTCTCAAACCGCCACCACGACGAACGAACGCTCGCTCGGGCGCGTCGACCCTCGTTCCCGCGCGAGGCGTCCCCGCTCGAGAGAATTCCTTCCCTCGCGCGCGCTCGACGCTCGTTCGTGCGCGTCGAAGCCCGCGCGAGGGAAGTAACCGTCAACACGCGCGACTTTAACGCGTCTAAGACCGTCTTCGACGCCCGTCACGCGCGCGAGAGAAAGATTCCGCGCACGATTCCGCCGACCGCCGACCGACGGCCCTGGCGCGACGCCGCGCGGCGCGCGCGCGCGGACGACGAGGAGACCGCGACGAGGACGCACCGCGAGTGTATCAAGCAAACGGATCTCGAGCTCGCGCGCGATGCGATCGCGGCGGCGTGTGCGGGACGGCGCGCGCACACCCGAGACGTCCAAACGACGGGGGGGGTCGCAGACGGGTCACGAACGGTCGCGATCGATCACAGATCGATCGTCGCAAACCTCTGGGCGCTGGGTCTATCCCGGTCGAACGAGGCAACAGGCTGGAGCTCGGGGTGGAGGTTGAATGGAGTGGAACGAATAACAGACTAACGCGATCGCGAGACTCGACTCGAACGCGACATTAACCGTACACGTGGTCGTACACGCTCACGGCGTGGGCCTTGGGGCCGCGAGATTTCGAACGCCCGCCTCGACCGCCTCGACCGCCGCCGGCGGCGCGACCGCCGCCGCGCTTCGGCCCGGGCGGAGACCCCATTTCCGTGAAGTCACGCCTCGGGAGATTGAGCTTGTTCGGGTAATCGAGACTGATTCGATCGCGAAGCTCGCGAGGGGCTTGGTTGGGCTCGGTGATGTACGCCGCGGGGATCTCGCGGAGTTCCGGGATCCAACGCTTGACGTAGTCGCCAGAGGGATCGTAGTCCTTGGTTTGCTTGGCGATGTTGAAGCGGTTGATGCGACCGCCCGTCATACCGGCGGCGGCGCACCAGTTCCCCCAGTTAGAAGCGGTGTCGTAATCCAATAAGTGGTGCTCGAACCAATCGGCACCGTGTCTCCAGTCGACGCCGGCGTCGAGGGCGAGCCACGAGGCGACGTTTTGTCGCCCTCGATTCGACATGAAACCAGTCGCCGCGAGTTCGCGCATGTTGGCGTCGATGAGTGGGTATCCGGTCGTGCCTGTCTTCCATGCCTTCAAGATCTTCTCATCACTCTTCCAAGATGCCGTCCTGTTAGCCGTACCGTCGAGATGGAAGATTTTGTTCCCGTGTTTCAGCGCGAAGAACTTGAAGAAGTCTCTCCATATCAACTCAAATATTACCCAATACGTGCTCTTGTTCTCAACGCGCGCGCTCTCGTAGCGTCGAATCTCGCTCACGACGTAGCGCGGCGACACACATCCTAAGGCGAGCCACGGTGCGAGCTTGGTGCTGTAGTCGCCGCCCAGCATCCCGTTGCGAGTTTCAAAGTACGTCGCGAGCAAATCGCTATCCCACAAATAATACTTGACGCGAGCCAAGGCTTGGGATTCGCCACCCTTGAATTCGAGCACAGAGCGCTCGTCTGCGCCATCTTTGAGCCATTTTTCGCACGCCGGGGCGATTTCGGCCGACGCGAAAGGCAAATCCTTCGGTTCAGGCATCCAATCCAACCCCGCCACGGACGCCGGTACGCTTCCCAGAGCGTTCGCCGTCGGCGCGGGCACTACCGCTCGCACTGAGCACTTTGACTCTACCTTGTTCCGAAATGGCGTGAACACATCTGGTAAATCGTGTAGACCTCCGGCGAAGTCGTACGGGAGGTCGTCGGCGTGGTAAAGTGTCGACCCCCACAGACGCTCCATCGACGCCGACGCGCCGCCGCTTCGAGCTCGCTCCTTCGACGCCCTCTCTACCGCCCTATCCATATCAGTCTCCTCGCTCGTCACCTCTGTTTGCGTGAGCACGATCGTTTTGTCGTTCGCACCCGTGAGCGTGAGCTCGGTGATGACATCCTCCGTCTTGCCGCAACGCACCAACAAGTCGCTGCCGACGCCGCGAAGCGCGCGCTTCAAGTCGTCCACGCACTCAATCGTAAACTTCCCACGCCCTGCACCGAAGCGCGCGAGACCGCGCTTGGATGTCTTAAAAAACGTCTCATCGAACACGTACACCGGGACGACCTCAGCGGCGTCCGATTGTCCGCGCAGAGCCGCCGCTCGAGCGACGACGGCGTTGTCCAACAACCTCAAGTCGTTCCGAAACCAAACAATCACCCGCGTACGAGGCGATGAAGTCGCCATCGCGTCGCTTTCGCTCGTCGTCGAAAGCGTTCGCACGACTCGCGCGCTCGTCAAGTCTCCGAACGCGCGTGCGCCGTGGCAAATCGACGACGAAGTCGCGAAAAGTGTCGACGTCGACTGTCGAAAGTAATCCGTCGACGGCGGCTTGGCGAACGCGGCGCGTGCGACGCCGCGAAGGGCGAATGCGTGACGAATGGTTGCGGGCGCGCGGACGTTCGCGTTCGTCGAGGAGCGGGCGTGGCGCGGCTCGAACGTCGCTGTGTGAGGCAGGAGAGGCGAAGACGGCGCTCTTCTATTTACTACAACTCATCTCTTATTTCGCTTCTTCTTGAAGAAATTCTTCCTGCGCTCCTTCTCGCGCCTCGACTCCTCGCTCGCCTCTTGACGCTCACGCTTAGCGCCGAATCCAGTGACGAATTGACGCCGCGCGAGGGCGGTTTCGCTCGGCGGCGGTCGCTTCTTCGCCTCCTTCAATTCCATGTGACTCGGTTTTAGCGCATCGAACGCACCGAGTTCGCCCGGACGCGCGCCGTCTAACATCGCCCGCTTCGCCCGCTCCGTCTCCTCTATGTTTTGCATCCTTCGTTCGACCGAGACGTCGACCTCTTCGATCGCCGTGAGCCAAGACTCTGCGCCTCGATTATCGTCGCCCCCCGCGGCCGCCGCCCCGCTCGCCTCGGCGTCGTCCTCGACCACCTCCCCGCGCCGTCGTTTCAGCTCTTCCTCTACGTACGCCCTCGCTCGCGCCTCTTCCGCCGTTCGCAAGCCGTATCCTCGATCGCCGTCGTCCCCGTCCCGAACCAATTCCCGTCCCGCGAGCACCACCCCCGCGCTCGCGAACGCCGAATTCGTCCCCAGCATCCGCGTCTCTCCGTGCGCGACGCCGAGACCTCCATCGCGCGCGCGCGCGTCTGCGGCACCGTCACCGCCGTCGTCCGCGCGTTTTCCCACCGCGCGCTCGCGTCGTCCCGTGATGAGCGTCCCGACGTCCAAACCTTTCGCTCGATTCCGGCGCTGCTGTCGCTCGCGCGCCTCGCGCAGCGCGCGCAGGGCGCCGCCGTCGTCGTCGCGCGCGTCGTCGTCGTCGTCGTCGCGCGCGTCGTCGTCGCGCGCGTCGTCGCCGTCCGAATCGCACGCTCTCTTCCGGCGAACGTTTCGCGGCGGCGGCATTATGCGACGCCTTCTGACGGCGCGCGTTTCGATTCGGACGACGGCGATGCGCGAGGCGGACGACGCGCGCGCGGCGCCGACGACGCGGAGCGCGCCGGTGATACGCCCCGCGCCGCGATTGCGCGCGGCGCTGTTCGATTTAGACGGTACGATGGCGGACAGCGACCCGATGCACTTTGTCGTGTTTGATGAACTCTTGCGACGCACGGGCGTGCTGCGGGCGCCGCTGACGCACGAATACTTCAAAGAAAACATCGCGGGAGGGTCGAACGCGGATATATTCGCGAGGCTGTATCCGGATAAAAGCGCCGAGGAGCACGAAGCGATGGCGGAGGCGAAAGAGGCGAGCTTTCGCGAAGCGTTGGCGCGAGAAGCGTTGCAGCCGGCGAAAGGGTTGCGAGCGCTGTTGGACGCGTGCGATGCGCGCGGCGTGAAGACTGTAGTCGTGACGAATGCGCCGAGGGCGAACGCGGAGGCGATGCTCACGCAGTTGGGGCTGAGGGAGTACTTTGGGGACGAACGACTCGTCATCGGGACGGAGTGCGCGCGGTCGAAACCAAATCCAGATCCGTATCTCGAAGGGTTACGGCGGTGTGGCGTGAGCGACGCGCCCGAGGCGTGCGTGGCGTTTGAAGACTCTCCGGCGGGCGCGCGGGCGGCGGTAGCGGCGAATATTCCGACGGTCGGGATCCTATCGTCCCAAAGCGAGGAGACGTTGGCGCGCGTCGGATGCTGCATGTGCGTCGACGATTTCGCCTCGCCGGTGTTGTTGGAGGCGCTTGGGATGTGATCGATCAAGCGAGCGAGCGAGGCATATCTATGATTCTTCTATCAAATATTCATCTAAGTCACTATAGCGCTAAAGTTTCGCTCTCGCGAGCGCTGTGTGCGGCGCGTGTTCTAACGCATCCATCTCCGTCGATTGCAGCGCCGCGCGAATGGACTTTTCTACAGCTCGGACGTCGTCTGCGGGAACGCTCATTCCTATCGCGTCCTTGTCGCGGCCACCTTCTCGTACTACGAGTCCATCCGACACAGCGCGCATGACGCACACGCAACCGGGCGAAGATTCCACAAAACCGTCGATGGCTTTGCGTTTCAACGGTCCCACTTCTTTTACGATCCATCCCGTTTGCTTCGTCTGCAGAGACGACTTTTGAAGCGCAATCCACGACGCGTCGCTCGCGTCGCTTCGAACGAAAATCACGACACGAGGAATGATGCGAACATTCACGAAAGCGAGCGAAAAATCGCCACCAACTCCTACAACGAGCGGCATCCAGGAAGCATGATTCCCGGGCGAGCAGACCGCGTCGCTCGGCAACGGCGCGCCGTGCAACGCGGGCGGCGACACGGCCACGATTAGAGAATCGCTCCCGAGCACTGTGGCCGTCGTCGAGCACAACCAACCTTTTGCTTCCGCTCGCGTGCGCGAACACGTCCGCGTGTCGATGCTTGTCCCGCGTACTAGCACGACAATACCACCACCGTCTCGCGCGAGGACGCCAACGGCGCTCTTGAGAGTCGGCTCCGGGCCTAGGTGCGAGCGCATCGGCACCGCGCGCGGAGTTTCGGCGACGAAGGCATCGGCATCGAAAGATGACAGCGCACTACGCAACGTCAGCATTAACCGGTCGCGATAAGTCTTCATTGCGTGCACGTACACCACGCTGCGCGGTGCTCGCATAAAGCCAGCCGAGTCTCGATGCACGCGCTGTAGCGCGTCGTCGTCGTCCACGTCCAACTCCTTCATCACGATTCGGCCATCTTCGAGCAAATATTTTGGACGCACAAAGTGTACGTATCCCGGTCGCGACAGAAGCAGTCTCGATATTCGGTCTTCGGGCGCGCAAATGTGCGTAAACGTCGACGTCCATCGCCGATCTACGACGAGTCGACTCAAGCTCTCGTCGCCCACGGGCGGCATGGCGAAGGTGACACATCGCACGCGCCCCGCCGCCTCGGGTCTCCTCAACAACAGTATGACCGTCGCCAACGCCGCGGTGGCCCCACCTAAGGAGTGTCCGCACATCACCAATCGTTTTCCTCTCGCTCGCGCGCGAGCGAACATCACGTCTGCGGCGACGGTTTCGGCGCGCGCGAGAAATCCTCGATGCGCCTTCGCCTCGTCCTCCACCGAGCTCATCCAATAATTCGCATCGGATATCAAATCTCTCGTCGTCTGCGTTCCCCCGAACGCGTAGTAATACGCGTCGCAGGTTTCCAAAACCACCGCTCGATTCGCCGCGCCCTTTGCGCTCGCCTCGACGCCGACGAACCATCTCCTCGCGCTTCGTCTCAAGATTCGATCGCGCAGAACCGCCAGAGGCGCTCGCGAAGCGTCGAGCGCGCGCAACACGATGGCTCGCTCCAACGTTCCGAGTCTGCGCGCCACGGCACGTTCGTCCCCGTCGTACGCGCACTCGCACGCGACGCAGCTTATAACGGTATCCAGCGCATCTTCAGCGGTTTTCTCGCGCATGGCGCGCGCGCACGACGCCGAGAGCGACATCGGACGTTGTGCGAACGACGCGGCGATCGCGCGACGCCCGCGCGTTCGCCGCGCGTTCGCGACGCCGAGTGAGGCGGTGATGTCCCGCCGCGGCGCGGAGGCGCCGAGTCAGTGAGTCAGTCGGCGTCGAACGTCGAACGTTCGGCGCACCGCGTCGCCGGTGTCGCGATAAATAATTACATTACACGTCGTGCTCGCGAAAGTCTAATCCCAAGAACCGACGCGCCAATTCCCGAGACGCAGCGCGAACCCACCGAGGAAGAATCGACGTCGCGCCGGCGTCGGCGAGCGCGCTCGGAGCGCCGCGCCGGTGGCGAGTTTCCCGCGCGCGCGATCGAAAATCCCACGAAAGTACGAAGACGCGTCGTCCAAACACTCGCGCACGATCGCCGAGACGAGCTCGCCGCGCGTGCGCGCGACGCCGGCCCGTCGATTCTCCGCCTCGAGCTCCTTCCATCGATTCCGCGCCTTGTGTTGAAACAAAATCGCCACCGTAAACAGCACTCCCGACAGGAACGACGCCGCGAAGACGTCGTTGGCGGATAAATACGCCTCCTTCGTCCACGTTCCAGTGCGCGCAGCGCGCGCGATCGGTTTCCCAAACTTTTCCGCGGTGAGCCACGCTCGCGAGGGCGGTTGCGGCCCGAAGACGCTCGCGAAGAGCGCCGTCTTCTTCTGCGCCAGGTACGCCTCGCGCGAGGCGTCCCCGAACACCCCCGTCGGTTCGATCCCTCGCACTTTTTGCCACTTCTTCACCGCCTCCGTCGTGCTCGGGCCGAAGAATCCCGTGGGCAATCCTCCGTTCGGCAGCGCCAGCAGTCGCTCGCTCGCCAGCATCGCCTGCAGCGCGCACACCTCGGGCGCGCAGTCTCCCTGCGACAGCGCGCGCGCGCCCAGCCGATGGACCTCGATCCCCGCCGCGCGCAGCGGCGCGAGTTCGCTCTCGAACGATCGTCCCGCGAGCGCGTCTCGCGGGACCGCGCGCGCGACGGCCCGCGCGCGTCCCGTCCACCGCGCCGATGTCGTTATCGTCATCGACGACGACGACGACGACGACGACGACGACGCGCGCCGTCCCGCGCCGCGCGGTGCCGCTCGCGCGCTCGTCGCGCGCGCCATCGCGCGCGTCGCGCGCATCCCTCGACGCGTTCCGCGCGCCGCGCAGTGCCGCGCGGCGACATTCAAACGCGCGACGACGAACGATGCGCGACGACGACGACGACGACGACGACGCGCGGACGCTGGCGGGAAGCGCGCGCGCGGAAAAATGGTCGCCGCGCGCGGCGGTGACGCCGCCGCCGCCGCCGCTGGCGCTGCGCGCGGCGATGCGCGCGCGGTACGCGACGACGTTCGTCGAGCGCCTCGACGACGGACACGCGCGGGACGCGCGCGAGCGCCCGATCGAGTGGCTCGAGCGCGAGTGCGAGCGCGTGTACGACGCGAAATACGAGAACGACGCGCGGGCGCGGCGAGGGACGACGCGCGAGGACGGGGGGGCGGCGGGAAGGAGGGACGCGAACGCGAACGCGAACGAGGAGGACGAGACGACGACGACGTTTGGGGATTTCGCGTACGGACGCTGGGCGCGGACGTTAGGGGTGAAATCGCTCGTGGAAAAACACGCGTGGGAAGTGATGTGCAACGCGGAGGCGGCGAGGAAGAGCAAGACGAGTGAGTGCGCGGAGTTGTTTTGCGCGTTCGTGCGGCGGGCGTACGACGACGAGGCGCTGCTCTTTTTTTTGTATTGTCGAAGGTGGTTGAAGTACGAGTGCGCGTTGATGGCGAGACGAGGGGAGCGGGTGATGCGAACGGACGATTTAGGACGCGCGAGAGCGGAGAAAGGGCGCGCGAATCACATCGACGCGGGCGTGCACGCGTGCGACGTGTCGTTGGACGCCAAACAAGCGACGACGGTGGTGCGTTCGATTTTCTATGGCGTCACGAGCGAAGGGGAGAGGCGAGACGCGTCGTTTTTATACGCTACTGTGTGTGCGATGATTGAAGATGCGTTCAGCGCAGATGCGACGGCGAGTTGGGCGACGCGGAGCGACGTCGACGGCGCGGACGCGACCAAGGCGGTGATTCGCATCGACGGTTACAGATTACTCAAAATGTTACTGTCCGTATTCGTGGACACGACCCCGCCTGCGGACGCGTTCGTGGGGAAACCGATCAAGACGCAGTCGAAAGCGTCGCGACGCGAAGCGGCGACGCGCGATTTGAGCTCGGCGATGGAGACGGTGGAGGTACGACCAAAACCGAAATTGCCTCCGGCAGCCGTCGCCACGGCGAAACCAGAACCGAGCCCGACGCCGAGCGCAGAGGCGACAAAGGAAATAGCTCTTTACCACGCTACCTTGCGCGCGGCCGTGACGGACGCGGTCGGGAAATACGCCGCCGCGTTGTTCCCGAAGGAAGTTCCCAAACAATCCATCGACGAGGCTCAGACGAAGCTGGACGCCTTGGCGCAAGATCTGTTGACGAAAATCATCGACGACGACGCCGAGATCGTCGATGAGGCGCCGATGGCGTGCAAATCTTACGCACGCGCCAAGGAATCGATCCGTCAAGGACTCGGAACTCCCGGCGCGGAGTCGCCCGCCGTCGGCGCGTCGTCCACGCGCGACGTCGCTCGCGCCATACTCGCCACGCCCGCGATCAAGCGCGCCGTCGAGCCCATGCTCAAGCTCGCGGTGCAATCGGTGAAAACGATGTCCGCGACGAATCGTCCCGTGCCTGTACCACGAATGGATCGTGAACCCGAGCCGTCGTTGTAACGCACGCGCGAGCGCGCTCGCTTTATCCACTTTCGCGCCTCGCGTCCGTCCACACTCATCGTCGCTCCGCGCGCGCGCTGAGTCGTCGCGCGCGTCGCGAGAGGATAATAAATCACGCCGCGCGCGCGACCGCGATGGACGACGCGAGACGTCGCGTGGCGCAAATTGCGAATCACGTCACGGCTGCCGACGACGGCTTCTCGCGACAAACCTACGCCCGCGCCGACGCCGCGCGCGTGAGCTCGTACGAGCGCGTGCACGGTGACGTCAGTCGTGATCCCGTTTCGTGGGTGAAGTGCGCGCCGGGCGCGGATGAACGCTCGGTGGCGTCGCATTACGAATTGCGCGACGTGATTTATGAAAAGTCTCCAGAGGGCATCGCGCGGGTGACCATAAATCGACCCGAACGTAGAAACGCGTTCACGCCGCGAACGGTGAAGGAGATGCGATGGTGCATGGACGACGCGAGAGATGATATGACGATCGGGGTCGTGGTGATGCGCGGGATGGGAGATCTGGCGTTTTGTAGCGGCGGCGATCAGAGCGCGAGGGGCGACGGCGGATACGTCGACGCCAAGGCGGGAGGAGCGGAGGAGACGCCGAGATTGAATGTGTTGGACTTACAGATGCAGATACGAAGGATGCCGAAACCCGTGATCGCGAGCGTGGCGGGGTACGCGGTCGGAGGAGGACACATTCTGCACATGGTGTGCGATCTGACCATCGCCGCGGATAACGCCGTGTTCGGCCAGACGGGGCCAAAGGTGGGATCGTTCGACGCCGGTTACGGAAGTACGCACATGGCGCGGTTGATAGGTCAAAAGAAGGCGAGAGAGATGTGGTTCTTAGCGCGTTTATACAACGCGAGCGATGCGTTGAAGATGGGATTGGTGAACACGGTGGTACCTTTAGCCGAACTCGAGACGGAGACGGCGGTGTGGTGTCGAGAGATTTTGCGCAATTCGCCGACGGCAATTCGACTGTGTAAAAATGCATTGAATGCGGCCGAGGACGGGCAAGCGGGCATTCAAGATCTCGGTGGAAGCGCAACGCTGCTATTTTATCAATCAGAAGAGGGTAACGAAGGTCGACGAGCGTTCTTAGAAGGGCGCAAGCCAGACTTTTCCAAGTTTAAACGATTTCCGTAGAGATGCGCGAAACGATGTTATTATATATTTTATTTCATCACTTCTTTTCTACGTTCGCCGCCTTTAACTGCATGTCTTTCCGATTCTTCTTGCGTTCATGTCGCTCCTGATCTGTGATCTCTCTCTTGCGTAGCTGCGCGTTACGCGTCGTCCCCGAGCTCTCCTCCGCGCTCAGCGTCAACTCCAATCCGTCGACGACGGTACCTTCGCGCATGATTACGGCGGTATTAGAGCCATCCTCATTCGCGCGCACGCCCGTACCCCACAAAACCATGTTTCTATCAAATTTAATCGATTGCGGTGATTCAGTCCACTCCGGTCCGAATCCGACGAGGAAAAGTTTCGGCACGCCTCGAAACTCGGTGAGATGCACGACGGCGAGCGCCTTTTTGTTTTCAATCGCCACCGCGACGTGTGTTCCCTCCGCGCGAGTGGCGATATCGCAGATTTCACCCCGATGGAACTCGATCGCGCCGTGTGGGTCCGTCTCTTTCCCCGTCGTCGCGTCCCACATGCGCACCGAGGCGTCGCCGCCGCCGGTGAGAAAGACATCCTTCGTCGACTTCCAAGTCTTCTTCTTTCGCGCGGGCTGAACAATCGGTCGAACGCAAGACACGTATGCACTGTGACCGTAGCAAAACGATTGAATCTCTGGCGCCGAACCGCTGAAGCGAGTGCGGTCTTCAGGCTTTGGAAGCACGCTGACGCGCGTCTTGTGTTCTCGATCCGCCGTGAGCAAGTACCCGCGGTCTCCGCCCTCGACGCACTCGACGTCGGTGATGATTGTCGAACAATGTCCCAACATCAACACGGGCTCTTTATCTGAACCTATCTCACACGCGTGTACCTCGCCGAACTTGTCTGCGAATATGAAATGCTTGGAATCTGGCGTGAAGCACGCGGACGAAATTTTCTTGGAGCCACAAATCGTGCGCGCGCATCGCCAACCGTCCACGCTCCACAGTTTGACCAACTTATCGTCCCCAGCGGTGATGAACCACTTCCCATCCGCGCTGGCGCGAAACGCTCTGATGCTCCCCACGTGTGGTTTATCGTCATCCGTCAACGCGATCCTCTCGCACGTTCCCAGCGGTCGAGTTCGCAAACGTTTCATCCGCTTGACGACGTCCTCGCTCGAACTGCTCGAGTACCCCCCGTACGCGTCCTCGGAGTCTGAATCCATCGTCCCATCGCCATCCATCGCGTCATCGTCGCGATCACCGTCACCGTCACCCCCGACGTTCGAATCGCGCGTCCACCGTCGAATTTCCACTCGCGTCCCGTACGCCGCGCCCGCCGTCGTCTCCGCCGTCTCGCTCTCGCTCTCGCTCTCGCTCTCGCTCCCGTCCCGTTCGTCCCGCGCGCGTCGCGGTCGTTCGAACACGCACACCAGCGCCCTCGGCGCGATTCCCTCGCCTCCATCGCGCGCACCGTCGTCCCTCGTCCTCGTCGTCGCGCCGCCGCGCGTCCGCGTCTTCGCAAAGTGTGCCACCGCGCGCGCGCCTCGCGCCGTCGCCGTCGCGCGCGCGCGCAGCTCGCCTCGCGCGAGCGCATCGAGCGCCGCCTTCGCGCGCGCGATCGACGCCCGGTCGTCGTCGTCGTCGTCGTCGTCGCGCGCCATCGTCGCGCGTCGCCGCGCGCGCGCGCCGCGCGTCGCCGCGACGGTCGTGGTGTCGCGACCCGACTGGTGGCGTGTGCACGACGTGGTGTCGCGACCCGACTGGTGGCGTGTGCACGACGCGCGTGTTTCACGCGACCGATCGCGACTCGAGCACGCGACCGTTCGCGCGCGCGAGGCCGTTCGGACGATTGAGAAAAAATACTGTTTTTTGTCCATCTACTGTAAAAAGAATGTTAAATATGTAACCTCGTTTGGGTCCGCTTTAAGTAGTTTGGGTCCGCTTTAGTGGTATTTGGATCCGTCATAGCGCCATCTCGGGTCCGCCCTCAGTGGTCGTCCGACGATTGACGTCGCGCGCGTTCGAATTCAAACGCGCGCGACGACGCGGACGACGCGTTCGCGCATTTGAGCGCGAACGACGCGGCACACGACGACGACGAACGTGAAATGTCGAGACTGACGGAGCGACAGCAGCTCGCGCGCGCGATGGCGGAGAGCTCCGCGATGACGCCCGCGCTCGCGACGACGCGCGACGCGAAGGGGCGAGCGACGACGGGCGACGCGCGACGCGGGACGCGCGACGCGGAGCCGCGAACGCCGGCGCCGCGCGCGACGACGACGACGCGGGCGACGATGGATTCGAGCTCGACGTCGACGACGCGCGGGAAGCGACGGTCGAGGGTGGAGAAGGAACTGGCGAGTCTGGCGCCGTGGGCGTGGGACCCGCTCGTGGGGCGACACGCGCCGGGGCCGTCGGCGCTGCGGGATTTCTCAGAGGTCGTCGCGGACGGCGTCGCGGCGCGCGTGGCGAACGCGATCGGGAGCGGGCAAAAAATTGAGATGAAGACGTTCGATCGCACGCTGGCGCTGCGGGGGGACGACGCGAGAGAGGGCGAGGGGGGGGCGAACGCGCGAACGAAGCCGCGGGAGAAGACGACGCGGGAGAAGGAGACGAAACGAGCGAGCGCGACGACGGTGACGAAAACGACGGGGACGAAAAGTCGAGAACGTTCTTCCAAGGCGGCGGCGGTGACGCCGATCGTTTTGTCCAAGACTTTGGACGACGTCGCGGCGACGCCGACGGAGAAGAAACCGACGCGGACGAGCGCGAGGACGACGCGCGGATCGAACTCCGTGCAGACGACGGCGATCGAGGTCGTCGACGTCGCTGAAAAGGAAAACAAACCCATCGCTAGAAAGAAAGCGATCGAGCAGCGCGAGATCGGTGCACGCGTCAAGCGAAGCGGAGCCGGAGTGCTCAGGGACTCGAACGGCGCCGCGGCGAAGAAGGAAGCGACGCCGACAGAGGTCGCGCCGGCGGCGAAGAAGAGAAAGACACCGCCAGCGCAATCGGTGGCAAAAGACACCAAGACGGTCGTGAAGGCTTTCCAGACCCCCGCCGCGACGAAGAAGCGCGCCATCGCGCCGGTGGAGGAAAAGACGCCGTCCAGGGAAGATCTCGCGCTTCGAAAGTTAACCGTCGCGCGAAAGCAAAGAATGGAAGCACAGTTAGAGTTGGTACTCGCGAAAACGTACGTCCGAGCGATCAAACGTCCGATCATTCCGCAGGCAAAGCCATCGCAAAGATTACTCGATGCGTATCGCGCTTTTTCTCTCGCGTGCGCGGCGAACAGAGAGGCGCCGCCAAAGCCGGCTGCACGTCCTCGAACGCTCGAGTTCGGCGCCGCACTCGCACGCGGCGTCGATACTTTGAGAGCCGAAGATGAGAGCGTCGCAGCGGGCGTCAACTAGGGATTATTTCAATCAACAAGAGCAGTTTCTAAAATTTTCTATTTTGCATTGCAGTATGTATTTGCGCGCCGCTAGGACTCGTCATCGAACGTTGAATTTGTTCCTCTCTAGAAACAACCATCCTCTATGTATGTGCTCTATTCCCCTCTCTTACTGTTTGAATGTGTTTAAGCGTGCGTGTCTCTCCCTCTCGTCTCGGCTACGCCACGCTCTGCGCTCCGTTGGCGACTTCCGGGCACCCGGCGGTGATGAGTTCTCGCACGCGCGCGAGAACTATTTCGTTCGGGCACGCGCAGGAATCCGCGGTGAACGGGTAACTCACGACGAGCGAGCCAAGAACGAGCAATTCGACGTCACCCGGCCCATCTGGCGCCGGACGTTCCGTGAAAGGCACCATGTTGGCGCGTAAGCACCGCTTGACTCTCTCCAACTGCGTCCCAGCGCTCGGTTTCAGGAGTGCCGTCATGCCGGCGTACGTGCTATTTGCCCCCCAAGAATTCGTTCTCGAGGCACTCATCGACTTCATGGCCTTCGTCATCGCGTCTCCTTGTTCACCGCCGCTCGTCATCCACCCGTTCCCGTTTGTCTTTGTCTTACTCAGCGCGTCCAGCGCGAGCGCGTTCCCCCCCACAACCTCCACCGCCTTTACCGCGTGCCCGGGCACGATCACGCACGCATCGTCTCGCAACGAGCCATTCGCGCGCACACCGTCCGTTCCCGTGGCGAGCACGATGGTGAACGACTCCGGATCCAGAGAGTACACCGTCCCCTGCCTCGTCGTCCCGTCGCTCAGCGTCATGAGCACTTCTTGTCCGAGCAGCGCCTTCAGGTGCGCGGGATTCAGACTCTTCAGCGCCTGCGTGGAAGATTTAAATAATTTTACGTCAGTCGATGCCGTCGCCTTCGCGCGCGCCTTCGCGCGTCTCCTCGTCTTCTCTTCTCCTCTTCGCCTCTCCCCACACCCGAAAGTGCCGAAGCTTGAAACGACCCGCGGCAAGCACACCCGCGCTCGACCTCCCCCGTCGTTCGTCTCGCGCGCCGCGGCGTCCCCGCACGAACGCGCATCGCGAAGAAACGTTTCTCCATCGTCGCGCGCCTCCATCGTCGCGCGTCTCCATCGCCGCGCGCGTGACGCGCGCCCACTCGCATCGAAGCGTCGGCGCGCCGCCGAACGTCCGTCGCGGAGACGCACGCGAAATCGCGCGCGCCTCGCGCGCCTCGCGCGCCGTCGCGGCCCGTGCGGCGCGTAAATTCGCGCGTCGTAATTATACTCATCGGATCGCGCGCTCGACGCACCTCGGTGTCCATCGCGCGCGGCGTCGTCGCGCCGTTCGCGCGCGCGCGCGCGCCGCCGCGGGCGACCGCCTCGCGCGCGTCGTCGCCGTCGCCGTCGCCGTTCGCGTCGACGCCGCGCGCATCGCTCGCCGATCGACGCGTGTCCGTATCCGCGCGTTCGATCGAGCGCGCGAGCGCGCCCGCGGGGAGCATGCGCGCCGCGACGGACGCCGCGAAGCGTCGGCGCGAAGTGCCGCGCGCGCGCCGCGACCGACGCCCTATCCGCACGCGCGTCGGGGGGGGCCTTTGTCGTATTCGAGCGAAGATTCGCCCATGTGTGGTAAAAATCGGCTGACGCGGCACGCGCGGCGGCTCGATTCGATTGGTTGCGATTTCGAAGATATTTTTCGACGCCGTCGCGGTCGGTCGGTCGGTCTCGCGGCGACGCCGGAGGCGCGGCGACGCGTAGCCGCGCGGTCTGTGCGCGCGCACCGATGGTACGCGTGCGAACGCGTGTCAATGAAGGGTACAATAATTTACACGAGCGAACGCGCGACGTCAAGTCGCGGAGGACGGCGACGAAGGCGAGGTTTACGGCGACTTGATGCGGCCGCTGTCCAACTTGTCGAAGAATTCCACCGTCGACTTAGTCATGGCTTCTTCGTCCTCATCCATGCGATCTTTGATGCTCACGGCGGGCGCGCGCGCTTTTTGACGTCGTCGGTAGTACTTGTAGCCGAAAAATACGCACAGCAGACCGCCGCCCATCATGATGCCTATGCCGTACGTGGGCACGTCCGCCGGCGGCGGGCTCGGCGGCGGTGGGCTCGGTGGTGGCGGCGGACTCGGCGGTGGTGGGCTCGGTGGTGGTGGCGGTGGAGTGTACGTGCCGTCGACCGCCCACACGCTCGCTGGTCCGTCGAAGTTCTGCAAGCCGCCGGGTCGACCCCACGCCGCGTTCCACGCCGTGGCGCCAACAAACATCTGCACGTAAACGGGGGAACCGGATCCAGTATAATTACTCCAACTGGTGATGTCCTTGTCGAACGCCTTGGCTTCGGAGAACATGTATGCCATGTCCTGCACCTGGGCGACGGTCCAACCGCTGATGTCTTGGTTGAATACTGTGGCGTTGTGAAACATTTGATACATCTGCGTCACCGAGGACACGTCCCAACCCCCGATGTTTTGATTGAACGAGATCGCGTTCGAAAACATGTTAAACATATCCGTCACCTGACCCACGTTCCACGCCGAGATATCGACGTTGAACGACTGCTTATCCTTGAACAGTTGTCTCATTGAGGTCACCAGGCTGACGTCCCAAGAACCGATTGCGACGCCGTTGTCCACGCACGTCGCGAACGTCGGGTCCGTCGACGCGCAATCGTCCACCCGCGTCTGCAGTGCCGTCAAATTGCTAAACGCCACTGCACCCGGCACCGCGCGCGCGAGACGCGCGGCGGCGACCGCGCACGTTCCCAGGACGCGCGTCGCCCGCGCCCGCCTCGCGCGCCCGCCTCGCGCGCGTCGCCGACGTCCATCGGCGCGCGTCATCGCGCGCGCCGGCGTCGAGATCGTCTCGCGTTCGTCTCCGATCCCGGCCTCGCGAATCGCGCGCGCGTCGTTCCGCGGCGCGCGTCGCGCGACGCGCGCGAATCGCGAACGGGTCGACGCGCGACGCGCGATCGGTGCGCCATCGATGGCGTTCGAGCGTCCCATCGTACGTGATCGCGCGTCATCGCGCGCGAATAAACGCGTCGTTAGGGTATACACTGCTACGCATACCCGGATGTCCGATTGTGTTTGAAAACCGCCGGCGCGCGCGCCGGCGACGACGCGCGACGGCGGACGACGGCGCGCGACGGACGCGCGGCGCGACGAGGACGAGGACGATGGCGACGACGACCACCGTGGCGCTCGCGGTGACGCCCGGCGCGCGGTTCGCGTCGATGGGCTCGAGCGAGACGCGAACGCGCGCGATGGGACGGCGCGCGGCGGCGGTGACGGCGACGCGGCGCGCGCGCGCGGTGGCCCCGCGCGCGAGCGCGAAGCGAGCGCTGGTGAGCGTGAGCGATAAGAGCCAGATGAACGAACTCGCGAGAGGGCTGGCGGGATTGGGGTACGAAATCGTGTCCACGGGCGGGAGCGCGAAGGCGATCGAGGCGAGCGGGACGGCGGTGACGAGCGTGGACGCGGTGACGGGATTCCCTGAGATGCTCGATGGACGCGTGAAGACGCTGCATCCGGGCGTGCACGGAGGTATACTGGCGAAACGTGAGGACGCGTCGCACATGGAGGCGATCGCGAAGCATGGGATCGATACCATCGACGTCGTGGCGGTGAACCTGTACCCGTTTCGGGAAACCGTGGCGGGCGGAGGAGATTTCGCGCAGTGCGTGGAGAACATCGATATCGGTGGACCGGCGATGATTCGGGCGGCGGCGAAGAACCACCCGCACGTGTACGTCGTCGTCGATCCGAACGATTACGAAAAGTTGATTGAACATTTGAAGAGTTCGCCGAGCGCGGCGGACGACTTGAAGTTCAAGCGCGAGTTGGCGTGGAAGGCGTTCCAACACTGCGCCTCGTACGACTCCGTGGTTTCGGAATACTTGTGGAGTCAAATCGGCGAGGGTGCCCCAGCGCCCGAGCTTTCGGTGCCGATGACGCTCACGGCGGCGCTGCGATACGGGGAGAACCCGCACCAACCCGCCGCGGTATACGCGGATGGTTCGCTCGCCGAGTCTACGGGCGAGGGCGTGGCGCGATCGATCCAGCATCACGGCAAGGAAATGAGTTACAACAACTATCTCGATGCCGACGCCGCGTACGGGTGCGCGTGCGATTACCCGACGAGCGATCCGACGTGCGTCATCGTCAAGCACACCAACCCGTGCGGCATCGCGAGCGCGAGCGGCGCCAATGGCGATTTGCTCGAAGCTTACCGCATGGCGGTTCGCGCCGATCCGATCTCCGCGTTCGGTGGCATCGTCGCCTTCAACTGTACGGTCGATGCGGACATGGCGCGAGAAATTCGCGAGTTCCGCTCTCCCACCGACGACGAGACGCGCATGTTTTATGAAATCGTCATCGCTCCGTCCTACACTCCCGAAGGTTTGGAGGTGTTGAAGGGTAAGTCCAAGACGCTGCGCATCTTGGAAACCAAGCCGCGCACGGGATCAACGAAGAGCTTGCGACAAGTCGGCGGTGGCTGGCTCGAGCAAGCCTCGGACTCTCTCGTGCCCGAGGACATTACGTTTGAAGCCGTCTCTGACGTCAAACCCACGCCAGAGCAACTCGAAGCCTTGAAGTTTGCCTGGCGCGCGGTCAAGCACGTCAAGTCCAACGCCATCACCGTCGCCACCACCGGTCGACTTCTCGGCATGGGCTCCGGCCAGCCCAACCGCGTGAACTCTGTTCGCATCGCCCTCGAAAAGGCGGGCGAAGAGGCGCAGGGCGCCGTTCTCGCCTCGGACGCCTTCTTCCCTTTCGCTTGGGGCGATTCCGTGGAGATCGCGTGTCAGGCCGGCATCAAAGCCATCGCCCATCCCGGCGGTTCCATGCGCGACCAAGACGCCGTGGACGTGTGCAACAAGTACGGCGTCGCCCTCGTCACCACCGGTCATCGACACTTCCGTCACTAGTCGTCGCGCGTTCGTTCCCGCGCGCTCTTCCCGAGCGCGCGCATCGATGCTTTAACGATCCCAGACATATTTAGCTTCAACATGATCGCACCACCACTCCCGCGTCGTCCCGCGTCGCCCGCGTCGCGCGCGCCTCGTTCGCTCCTTCTCCTCGTTCTCCCTAAAAATGGTCCGTTCGCGTTCCCCCCCGCGACCGTTGCGTCATTCCGCGACGCCCGTCCGTCGTCGGTCGCGCGTCGCGCGCGTCGATCGCGTCGATCGCGTCGAGCGAACGACGCGCGGTTCGTAGCCGTCGCCGACGGCGCGCATGTCCTCCGCGCGCGCGTCGCTCGCGCCCGACGACGCCGCGGGGGAACGTCGCGCGACGGCGACGCGATGGCAGGGACAAACGCGCGCGACGACGACGACGACGTGCGCGTACGGCGCGATCGATCGAGGCGATGGAAGCGAGAGCGTCGATGGACGTCGCCGAGGGAGCGTTCAGGGCGCGGGGGGGGAACGGAAGGCGACGGATGGACACGGTGCGCGAAGACGCGAAGACGCGAAGACGCGACGACGGGAGACGAGAATCGATGCGAGGCGATGAACGACTGACGACGCGCGCTCGCGATGCAGAACAAACGGCAACGGCGATGAGCGCGGTGAGGTACCAGATGTCGCCGACGCCGAACGAGAAACGACGGTTGAGCTCGATGACGAGCGCGCGGGAGGGGTTTCAGGGCGTCGCTTCGACGGAACGAAACGCGAAGCGACGACGGGCGACGGGGGGGGAGTGGGAGATTGGGAATTTGGGAAAATTGCCAACGGAAGTGTTGGAGCTCGTGCTGTTGAATCTTGACGTGAAGGACTTGGCGCGCGTGGCGTCGACGTGCACGTATTTTAACGCGAGCGGAATCGTGGAACGCGTGGCGGGGGCGAGGATGGAGTTCGTGCCGCGCGCGACGGCGTTGATGCTCACGAAACGGGATTCGTATCTAAAAGCTTGGCATCACTGTACGTTCAGCGAACGCGCGGAACGCGCGGCTGGGAACGTGTCGCTGGGGCAGTTTCACACCGCGTGCGTGACCGGGAACGAGAGCGACACCACCGGGATGGTGGTTTCAACCTTCGGGCGCGGTTTCCACGGGCAAATTGGCGACGGTTCGTTCGAAACGCGCGCGGTGCCAACGCAATTGAATCTGAACGATAAAGCCTTGGATATCGGTCGGGTAGAAGGCTTTTTCTTGGACTCGAGGAACGATTTCAAAGGCGTCGACTCCATCTCTCTCGGCGGCTCGCACAACGTGGTGCTGTCCAGAGATGGCACAATCGTCACGTGGGGGCTCGCGAGCTCGGGCGAGCTCGGGCATGTTGGAACGACTCCGATCGAGGTAAACGTGCCGCGTTTTGTCACAGTGCGTAGCGCTGAAGACAAGATCACGCAAATCGCCACTGGGTTCAACCACACGCTCGCCGTCGATCGCGCGGGTCGTTTGTTTGCATGCGGCCGTGGACGTTCGGGGCAACTCGGTCTCGGAACTTTTCGCGACGGCGCGCCGTTCGCTCGCATCGCAGCCTTACGCGGGATGCGCGTGGTAAGCGCAGTTGCAGGTGGTGCGCATAGCATTTGCATCACTTCCGACGGTAACGTTTGGTCGTGGGGTGATTGCAGATACGGACAGCTTGGTTTGGGCGATCTCACGTTTGCCGCCGCGGCTGGATGGAACAACGGCGTACCGTGGCCATGTCTCGTTGAATCGCTCAACGACATGGATGAACCCGTGGCGAGCATGTCCGCCGGCGGCGCGCATTCCATCTTTGTCACCACTGGCGGCCGCATGTACGTTTGCGGTCGCGGAAAGCACGGCGCGCTGGGTGTCGGTAGATCCACGTACACCGGCGGATGGCCTCATCCGAAAGAGCGTAAGGTCTGCGCGAATCGATTATCACCCGACGCGGTGAACATTCACCACTTTGTTCGTCGAGCCGATGGTTCTATTATGGAAAATCGCGTGCAGAAGTGCTCGTGTGGTACACGATGTCGAGTCGCCGTCGCCGCCGCGGGCGCGACGCACTCGTGCGTACTCACTTCGTGCGGCGGCGTCTTTACGACGGGTGAAAACTCGTACGGTCAGCTCGGACACGGCGACAAAACCTCAACCTACGTCTTCACTCGCGTCGAAGCGTTGCGTGGGAAGACAGTCACCACCGTCTCCGCCGGTCACAACCACACCGGAGCCGTCGTGGAGAGCGCGGAAAAGGGCGAAAGTAGCTTGTACTTGTGGGGACGCGGCGACTGGGGACAGCTCGGTAACGGTGACTTGCGTTCATGCACCAAGCCACAAGAGGTGAAAGAACTCTCTGTGGCACCGCCGCGCCCAGAGAACGAAGCGCTCATGTACAAGCAAGATTTGGATGCCGCCGATTCCGACAACGAAAGTGGTTCCGATGACGATTCCGACGCGTAATCTCTCATTATGCAGCGCATCGAGACGAAACGAAATAGCATAAAAAATAGTTCGTGATGTAATATTAAGCGTGTGTCATCAAAGTTCTTCACGAGCGAGCTCTTCGGCGGTGAAATCGTCGGTGAAATCCTCGTCCTCAGCGCGCGAAGAGCGGGACAAGAAGCCCTTGGCCTTGTTCCATGCGTTCTTCGCCGTGGACGCAGCCTTATCCTTCAAATCGCCCAGTTTTTCGGCCACGTTGGCGACAGCCCCTTTGGACTCGCCGCTGTCGAACGCACCAGCGAACGGGGACTCGTCGTCGTCGTCGTCGTCGTCGTCGCCGCCCATGCCCATGCCGCCCATCATCTGATCGCGGCTGAACATTTGCGCGCCGCCCATGCCCGGCATACCCTTCATTCCCGCCATCAATCGCTCCATTTCGACATCCTTCTTGTCTCTCTTCTTGAACTTCTCTCCCTTCGGCCGATCGCTCGGCAACGGCGGTATCTTGCCTCCGCACGAGTTTGTCTCCTCCTCGCACAACCACTCGCGCAGCGCCCCTCTCAAGTCGCCCGCGTTCGACGTGTACAAAAACTCACCCACGTCCGTATCCCGCGGTCCAAGAATGTCCTCACACGCCTTCACGATCGTCTTACACTCCTTTCCGCACTCTCCGTAGTTTTCTTTACCCATGTCCACCACGCGCAACCTCGAGCCCTTCTCTTGCAAGTCCTTCGTGATGATCCAATCGCCCTCCTTCGCGCTCGGGTCGCACATTTTTTCAATCTTTTCGATCACCATCGTCTCCGTGAGTTTCTTCTCCGGCGTTTCCTCGCGCAGCGCGGCGTACTCCTGCGTCACGGCGTCCGCGAGGTGTTCGCACACTTCACACTTGATGAACTTGACGTCAGATTTCACCGCGCGCGCGATCGGTTTGCTCGGCTTGGCGTCCGCGCACGCGACGAGACCGGCGATGGCGATGGACGCGGCGATGGTGGTGACCGCGCGTCGCGCGTTCGCGCGCTTGGACGGCATCGCGAGGCTGAAGCTTCGAACGCGAGGTGGAGTGTGAGGGACGCGCGCGCTGGAGGGTCGTCGGGTCGGCGGCGAGCCGCGAGCGCGAACGCGACGAACGAATGACGCGGAAAGACGCGAGACGCGGCGCGGGGGGCGCGTGTGATTAAAAGAATCGATAAATGAGGACGCGATGCGCGGTGATCACGACGCGGCGGTGACGGCGATGGTGAGATGGACGTCGCGAACGACGTAGGCGTCGCCGCCGCGAGGAGAGCGATCGAGCCGGAGCTGCGCGGCGAAGCCGTCGACGGCGAGCGCGCCGACGGTGATCCATACCGACGGTTTGTCTTCAGTCGTCGCGCTTCGACGAAGCGTGAGGGGGGCGGTGATCGTGCGGGCGTCGAAATTGACGCGGATCTTACCGTCGAATGCGCACGGTAACTCGACTTCGGCACCGTCGTTTGACGAGCGGCTGGCGAGCGCGCGGCGCAAGCCTCGAGTGTGCGAAGTTTTCGCGCGTACTTCGTTCGGTGCGCGATCTTTGGCGAAGTCGTACTCGAATACGTGGACGGTGTCGAACGACGTCGAAGCGCTGTCGAGGGTTTTGCGTTCGCGTAAGATGTCAATCTTCACCGGCGCTTCGTCGCCGCTCGAAGACGAAGGCGCCGCCGACGTCGTCTTCGCCGCAACGTCCGTCGTCATCTCACACGTGGACAAGATGTCTTCTGCGATGGACGCCATGAAAATCGCATCGAATCGTTCGCGAAGCATAATGGCCGCGACGCTTTCGTAGTACTCAGCCGATCCGTTTTGCGTTAGCGCGCGCCGATACTTGGGAACGATTTCGATGGCCAAGCGAGACGCAACGTGGACGCCGTCCAAATTTCGCACCATGACTTCGTCGAGCACGTGCTTTAAATCCCGCAACACGGGAATCTGATCAATCGTCGACTCGTTCAAGTGTTTGCGCACGCGCGCTGCCAAAGACTTGCGGGTTTCATCCCACGCAAACGCGGGGTCGCACAGGAGCGAACGAAGCGCCAACCACACCTGCGCCTCGCATTTCTGCACTCGCGTGTTGGCGTCCCACTCGGAGATATCCTCCGTCCACGAACCGTCAACGTAGACTTTGATAATGCTCGAGTTGTGCCGCTCTCGCTGAATCCAAGGCTTGGAGTCGAGAAGTGGCGCCAGCGCCTCGGCAAGCGCGTCCCGCCTCGTTTGACCCAATAGCCGTGGCGACGCCGCGAGACATCGAGCGATGGCCAACGCGGACATGGAGAGCGTAAAATCTGGCGTCGTCGAGGCACTATCGTCATCATCATCGCTCTTTTCGCCTCCCTCGCGCGCAGATAGCCAAACGATGCGTCTCAAGCAATAATCCGCGAGCTCCGCCGCGACGTCGTCCTCGACTTCGTCCAACGCCGAAGTCGAGCACCCACTCAACACGAGCTCGAACAAATTACACACCACGGATTCGTGATAACGCACAAGATAAATCGCATAAGACGTCGTCGTCATCGAACTCGGCGTTGACATCGCTCGCATCCTCGGCGCGCACTCGTCCCGCCACGTCTCCGCTCGCGCGAGCTCCACCACGAGCGTCTCCATGAGCTCGCTCGACCGCACCAACGCCGTCGCCGTCGACGGACGACGAATCGAGTCATCGCCGTTTCCATGCTCCTCCTCATCGCGCGCATCCTCGAACGCGCGCGCGCGCAGGCGATGTATCGCGAGTCGTCGTCGTCGCCAGCGAGATGAACCGACATCCGCGATTGACCCGAAATCCTCCTCTTCGTCCGCGTCCTCGCGCGCGACGAGCGTTTTGATCGCGTCCGCGACGTCGGTGGTCGAAAAAGACGACGCGAGCCGTCGCGTCGTCGCCGCCGTGTCGCGAACCGAGGTCATCATGGTGTGTCGACGGTCGACGACGAACGAACGAGTGCGAGTTCGTCGTCACGAGGTCGCACGGGCACGCGCGGCAAAAAATTCGTTGACGCGGTTCGTTAACACCATGACGTTGTCCTTCGTCGGGCTAAGGACGGGCACCCCGTTTCGAACGTTTCGTCGCGGCAATGTTATGGGTCGCGCGCGACGAAAGTTAACAACGCTCGCGTCGGGTGGCGACGAAACGAGTAAATGCTGGACGACCCGAGCGGCCACATCGTCCAGATATATTATAAACAACGCGATGATGCACGACGTCAACGCGTGACTGCTTTAAGGCGCTGCTTGAGGCGCGGACGACGCCGCGCGATTTAAAAACTTGAGATGGAACGCGTGGACGTACGCGAGGACGGCCATGATGGTGCTGGAGATACCCCCGATGGCTGATAAGTACGCCAATCCCGGACTCGGATACGCCGTTGACATTTTCGTGTACGTTGCAGCCGGAACGAGCTTTACGCGTCGAGCGTAGACTGTTCCCCCCGACGTCACGAGATTGTCGGCGCGCATCTGGTTCATGCAGAGGTTTGAGACGGCGTCGACGGTACCTTCGACGTCCACCATTGTGATCGACCACTCGTACATGGTGGTTTTTTTCTTATTGGCGGCATAATTGGGATGACTCTTGGACCAGGACATTTTCGGATCGTCGTGCTCGATGAGATTCATCAACGCGATGCCTCGATGCACCTTGACTTCCTTTTGCGCAACATCGCCGTTGGAATCGATGTAATCGGTGACGAGTGTGACGCCGAAATTACACGCACCAGAGCATCCAGACTTATACGCCCACGCTACGGTGAGCGCGTCGGTGGGATCGGCGCCCGGCGGCGAGAACGCGCACACGCCTTGCGCGGAGGAGAGTTCGGTGTCGCAGGTGGCCTTTCGACAGCACGGCCCGTTGGCCGTGCCGCACGCGTTCGCCGCTGCGGCGGTGTTACACTGGCTACCCACGCCGCACGACGCAGGCGTAGATGCTCCACCACTGGCGACGGGTAGTAAGGTCGGATCAGAGCAGAATCCATTGTTCGGCCCGGCGCCGCCCGCCACCGTGCCCGACGCGCACGCGTCCGCCCCCGTCAACCGAAAGTAACATCCATCCCGGTGATTACACGTCAGCGCCAGCGGGAAGATCTTTTGGCCGTACTGCAACTGCTCCGTGGTGATCACCTTATTCAGCGGCGGCGAATCCGGGCCGAGTCCGACGTAAAATTGCGTGAACCAAAGCGCCGAGTACAACAAGAGCAGAATCGGCACGACGATCGTGGACAAAAACACACCGAACCTGGTCGCCGTCTCTTGGTTCTTTCGCACGCTCGAGAATTTATCTCGAGTTAAATCATTCGCGTTCGTTCCGCACGGCATCGTCGCCGTCGTCGCCGTCGTCGCCGTCACCGTGTAACGATTACGCCAGTACGCGTTGCCACGTCAGCGTACGTCCCGAATTAGGGCCTAATTCGCCTAATTATTAGGCGTCGTACTGCTTACGCATACGAGCGAATTGCAACGGCGATTCACGCGCGAAAGTGAGCGACGACGAGGTCGTCGTCGAAGCGACGCGCGAGTGGAGTGTTTGGATTTAGTGTTGAGAATCTTTCTTGGAGTGGTGGTGTTGAAATGAACACCAATTGTTTGTTGTTTTTGGTTTTTTGATTTTGAGTTTGATTCCGCGGAGCGTTTGAAAAACGCTTAGCCGCCGAAACCGTACAAGGTGCGGCCTTGGCGCTTGAGCGCGTAGACGACATCCATGGCGGTGACGGTCTTTCTGCGGGCGTGCTCGTAAAACGTGTCGTTACAAAATCACTTCCATATGCGTAAACAGTGTGAAATCCGACCGACCGCGATCTGAAAAACGACTCACGCGAACTCGCGTTTGTGCGCCTCGACGCGCGCGCGCGTCGTCACAAATCGACTCGTCGTATTTCATAATCAACAATGTCCGGTCGCGGTAAAGGTGGTAAAGGTCTCGGGAAGGGTGGCGCCAAGCGTCACCGAAAGGTGTTGCGCGACAACATCCAAGGCATCACGAAGCCGGCGATCCGCCGTCTCGCTCGCCGTGGTGGTGTCAAGCGCATCTCCGGTCTCATCTACGAAGAGACCCGAGGCGTCCTCAAGGTGTTCCTCGAGAACGTGATCCGCGATGCGGTCACGTACACCGAGCACGCCCGCAGAAAGACCGTCACCGCCATGGATGTCGTCTACGCGCTCAAGCGCCAAGGCCGCACCTTGTACGGTTTCGGCGGCTAAGCGACGGTTGAGTCGCCGACGTAGGATACGCTCTGTACACTATAAACTTAATCTTTAGCGCTGTAGTAATCGAATCAGATCGAATCGAAAGAACGACACAACACACTTCGCTCTAATTTACCTCTACACTTCTATTCAACACGTTCGCTAACGCTCGCTACGGCTCCGCGTCTTCAAGAGAATGTTGGATGCGGGCAGCGTGCCGTCTTCGTCCAACCACTCGTCCAGGAGCTCGAAAAATTCTTTGATGTTTTCTACGCGCGGAACGGCGTCGACCTTTTTCGCTCGCTTCGACGATGACAGTTCCTGTTCGCTCTCGCACTTCTCGTCGTCGGGACGTTGGGACACCCACACTCTCCAACGCAGACCAGCGTTTTCGGCGCCGACCATGTCGGCGGTCCACGAGTCGCCTACGTGCATAACTTCGTCTGGTACCACGTCGACGCGTTTGCACGCCTCGTGAAAGATGGACGCCTCTGGTTTCTCGTCGCGACCGGCGAGAACTTCTTCGCCACCGACGAGGATGTTTTCCAACTTCACTACTTCGTATATCCCGCACGCGGCGAGCTTCTCTCGCTGCACGACGTGGTGGCCATTCGTGATGATGACGACGTGCACATTCTTCGCGCGCAACTTCTCGATGCCACCGCACACAGAACTGTTTAAACGTAGCTGTTCCAAGCGACAGTCCCTAAATGTGCTGTTCACGTCGTGCCGCATTGCGAGCCCTCTGTCGTCGTCGCCGAACGCTTCCGCCCACAGCCGCTCGCGGTGCGTCCACACGTGCGCAAACTCGTCGTTCCAGGGACGCTCCGCGAGCCGCCGCTTGTACGCAGCGATCACTTCATCTTGTCGCTTTTTCGACAGCCCGTATACGGTCTCCATGCGAATCGCGCATTCGCGATACGCGACGCGATCGGCCAGGGTGGTTTCCGCGAGTGTGTCGTCAAAGTCGAAGAAAACCGCGCGCAGGGGCGCGCGCGAGGCGCCGTTCGGATCGCCTTCGCGACTCATGGCGCCGAGTGTGCGCGCGTGATTCACCGGCGCCCGTCACGACCGTCGTGCGTGAATGAGGCGCTTGCGAGTGTCTGTCGGTTGTATAAATTCACAATTCGCGTTTCTTTGCTATCGCTATCGCGCTCGAACGCAGTCAAAGGCGGCTTGCATCTCGCGCCACTTCTTCGCCATCTCGTGCACGTGCGGACCGTTGAAAATGCACATCACAGTGCAATCTTCGCTGTACTCCAGTTGCGTGAGCAGTTTGGGTGTGATGACGAAACATTGGGGTGTTCCGGGCGCGCTCGCCGCCTCGACCATGCGCTTGAACACTTTGCGCTCGTTTCGCGCATCCATACCTTGATTGATCTCGTCAACGACTCGGAAAGGGGCGCTCGTGGACGCTTGCAACGCGATCATGTACAGCATCGTCGTCACCGAACGTTCACCGCCTGATTGACGGTGTGCGTCGAGCAAGTGCATGTCCTCGTTCGGGCGAAACTTGACTCGGATTTCCAGCGCATAGCTCGCAAAATCGTCGCCAAAGCCGTCGTGCTCGCGGGAACCGTCACCAGCGAGAGAAATCTGTCCGGCACACCCGATGTTGGCGAAATTCCGCGAGAAGTCGTCACTGATTTTCGCCACAATCTTTCGAAGCTTGGGCAACCATTCATTCTTCACCGAGGTGATTGCCGCGTGTTCCACCGCAAGCTCGGCTTTTTCGCTCGCGAGCGTCTTGGTGAGCGTCGCCATTTCGGCTTTACGCTTATTAAACTCATCCAAAACCGCTGGATTGTGACACAAGATCGCATCCGCTTGCTCTTGAAGTCGCGAGATGTCGAATTCCAGCTCTTCGATAGTAATCGGCCATTGTTCGAACTTCTTGTTGATTTCCTCGGTGAGGTCGCCCGTGACGGCGAGGGCGTCTCGTTTCAACGCCGCGGCGCGCTCAGTTTCGGCTTGAAAGCGCGCTTTGAGATCGTCACGCTTGGCTTTTGTGTTGATAACTCTGTCTTCAATACCCTGCAGCGCCTCTTGCAGTTTCGTCATCTGCACTTGCTTTTCGACCGACTGCAAAACCTTCAACGTGAGCGAGATCGACGCCTCGTGACTGGAGAGGACGACGTCGCACAACTCACTCGCGCACATCACTCGCTCTTTCGATATGCTTGCCTTTTCAGCCGCAGTCTTGCGCTCGATGTTCGCAATGTCTGCCGCCGCTTTGTCTTGAGCCATCAAATCGGTGTGTTGCGCAATCTGCGTCTGAATCATCCTCTTCCTCGTTTCTGGTTGTTGCTGTAGTCTATTCAAATTATTCTTCTCTCTTTGTAACTCCGTGAGCTGGCCTTGTTTGGCGTTGTGCAACTTCTGGAGTTCGCTCACTTTTTCGTTCACAGCGACGAGCTTTCTCTGGACTTCGGCGAGTTTGTTCTTCACCTCTGTGAGGTTTTCATCAGTCTGGCGCCCGAAGAGCTGGCCCTGTCGAATACTGTTTTGACCCATGGAAAACGCGTTGGGGTCGTATCGAGACCGGTTTGCTCTGTACACGCCTTTCGGGCAGTAAATGTGACTGGATATCTTTTGTCTGAATAGGCGTTCGATGGTCGCCGAATCGAGCGTGTTGCCTCCCACGTGCACTTTGGTAATTTGGTGCGTTTCGCTCAGCGCCCGCTTAACGATAGATTTAGCTTTGAACACATTATCCAGCGTGTTAACCACGCCCGCGTCTCGTAATTCTTGGCTCACTACGCCCGGCACGTGCTGCGTGTTGTTCTTTGGCGTCCACACGTTGATTCGAAAGTTCTTCATGGCGTCGTTCACACTACGCTCATCGCGCCGATCGGTGACGAGATACGTCGCCAAAACAGCCGGACCAAGATGCTGTTCGATATACGTGGCATGCGTGGGATTCGTCACTTCGATCTCGGCGATGAGCGGGCCGAGCACTTCACCGTGAAACGTCGGTTTATTCTTTTGTACCCAGTCATCTGCCTCCTTGATGCGACCAAAATTGCGATGCTGCGACAATCTCATGATCTTTTGCTCGCGCACGGATTCGAGCGCATTGTGTTGTCGCTTCAAACGTTGGAATTCGTCATCGAGCGGGCGCTTTTCAAGTTGCGCCTTACGAAGCGCCTCGTCGGTGCCTCTGACTTCGTTATGAACCGCTTGCGTGCGAGTTCTCAACTCCGCTCGTTGTTGATCAATATCCCTAGGCACTTCGGGCACATCATTAAGTTGTGCCTTGAGCAGAGCGATCGTATCCTCGCGCTTCTGTAACTTCTTCTTAGCAGAGTTGGCTTCGTCGCGCGCCTTTTTCAGAGATCGAGTCAGCGCGTCGTGCTTGCCCGCGAGTTTGTTAAATTTTGCATCCATCTTCGACAGCGTGCTCTTCGTATCCTTGTAATTGTCACGACCTTCCTTAATCTTATCCACCATGGCGTTGTACGGCGTTTCTAGCTCATGATATTCCTTAAGTTTCTCTGCGTGCTCGAGTTTGGCTTGTTGCACCTTTTCCTTTGCCGCCTTGTACGCCGCCATAATCTGCTGCCTCTCCACCGCGCATCGATCATAAAGTAGCCAAGGAATCTTAGTAGACATATCTTTGGCCTGGTCGAGTAATTTCTCACGCGTTTGAAGCCGTTCGACGTCGCGTTCTAACTTTTCGTTGTCTCGCCCGAGCTTGTCCAAGCGCATCGTCTTTTGATCCACCGACCGCTCTAAATCTAAAATCCCATCCTTCATCTTCTTCAACTTTTCGTGCTGTTCGTACATCTCTGCGTTTCCGATCGCCTTCTCCGTCTCTAACAGCAACTCCTGCGGATTGAGCATCGAAAACGCCACCACTCTGTCTTGCGGCAAGAAGGAGCACAAATTGTCCAACTGCATGTGCAACGCCTTCATCTCTTGTTGAATTCGTTCATGCTTCACCGTTTCCCCATTCAGTTTCCACGTCGACGCCCCACCGGCGCGATTATTGAAATCTCGTCGAATGATGATCGGTTTCGCCGCGTCGCGTCCCCGCAGCGTGATCTCCGTGTACGCGCTCTCCTCGCCGCGCTTGACGAAATCTCCAAGCGATCCCGCTCTACCGAGCAATTTCGGCGATCCACCGAGTCCAACGCACACCGCGCACACGAACGCGCTCTTCCCAGTCCCATTCGGTCCCAGCACGACGTTCAACCGCGGCCCAGGCTCGAACGTCGCGTGTTTATGCGTCATGAAGTTGTGCATCGTGACCCGCATGAGCGCCCCCGGGACGTACCCACGCGCGTCGTAGCGCGCATCGCTCGCCTTGGCGCGCTTCGCGCTCGGCGACGCGTCCTCATCGCTCGAGTCACCGTGACGCTCGCGCGCGAGCGCCATCACCGTCGCGCGCGCGTCGGGCGATGGCGCGGCGCGACAGACGCGAATTTTCAAACGCGGCGCCGATGTCATTTCTTTTAATACTCAAACTAAAAACGCATACACCGAATGTCCGATTACCGAACGCACACCGCGCCTCGAACATGGACTAAAACCCGCGCACTCTACGTCGCGTCGTGGTAACACTAAACGCGCGGCAGAGCCCGGCGCGCGCGATGTCCGCGCCGCCGCGCGCGAGCGACGCGTCGTCGGCGCGCCGTCATCGCTCGAATGGATCGACGTCCGCGTCCTTCCCCGCCTGGGCGAGCTCCACGGCCGAGACGACGTCGGACAGCGTCGCGCGCGCGGTCGCCGAGCGCGTCCACGTCGCGAGCAAACTCGCCGAACACAAGCGCAACGAAAAGCTCGCGCGCGTGCGGTTGGCGATCCAACAAGCGGAGCACGAGACGGATGCGATGGCGGACGGTGGCGTGGACGCGGCCGCGCTGGAGGAGAACGAAGTGATGAGCGATGGGACGAGCGGAAGGGCGACGTGGTTGTTGACGTGCGCGATGGTGGAGGGCGCGAGCGCGAGCGAAGTGCGACCATTGTTCGAATCGTTGGTGCAGTTTGAGTGCGATTTAGATGCGGTGGGGAATCGAATGAACCATGGGAAAGGGATCTCGCCGCTCGCGCTGTTGTGCTCGATGTTGGAGTCGAGGATGCTGACGCCGAGCGAGCGGAGAACGCGAGACGCGCGGGAGATGACGAGAGACAAGCATCACGAACGGGCGTTAGAGGAGGCTGACGAGGAGGGTGCGCTCTACGCAGAGAAAGTGGCGGCGATTCGTAAGAGCGTGGGTGAGCGAGGAGATTCGTTCGCTCAAAGTTCAGGGGCGATTGTGGAATTCGCGACGGCGATGCTCGCCGCGGGCGCGAGCGCGAACGGCATGTACAAAATACAGCCGGAGACGGGTGCGATCGCAGATAACCGCATCGCGCCCTACGCCGGGGTCCCGGGCACATATGGCTCACCTCTGTTCTTTTGTGCGCTGGCCATCATCTCGGGCGCCGGAGACGACGTGCTGTCTCTGGCGGCTCGATTGACTAGTCGAGGCGCGAGCGCAAATGCCGAGTGCGAGCGACCAGGTAGGCATGCGTGCTGTGGAAAATTTCTCACTCCACTAAATGTGTGTTGCGCTGCGCTCGAGTCTAGCATTCCGTACGAGATGGAGTACGAGCGAAAATGTCGGATAGCGAAGCTTGCGGGGCTGATAATACAAGGTTGCGATGACGTCAAGCTGAACATAGATTCAACCTTCACGCACCGGCTCAGCGTGGAGGAATTGGCAGATCGCCGTATAGCGCCGGTAGAGATACACACGCTAATGCGAGGGCCAGCGATTTTCATTTTAGCGTGCGCCATCGCGGAAGGAGTAGGTACAGTCGCGATTGCACTGATGGATTTGCTTTTAGAAAAGTTGGATAAAATCACCGACGACTACGTCGGCGCCCGATCGCATCACGGCCGAAAATTACCTTTGCTTGCCATGGTGATAGACGCCATAGATGCACCGTGTTCGTTCAATAGTCTCGGTTTCATAGAAACGAGAACTTGGTGGGAATCAGCCGCCGTGAAAGCGAACGTCTCAGACATGGGAAGTGTTTTAGGCTCGCAGTTGTCCAAAGGCGAAGGGTCGTGGCGGGCACTTTCGGCCGTTGACGCCGAAGATTTGAGTGCACTGGATGAATATATACCTGATATTAACGATGCCGCGTTTGATGGTCGAGGTGCCGTGGCGCGGCGCGAGGAATTTGAAACGGAGAGGAAAAAAGAAATGATCATGACGGATGAGGAAATTGCCGCCGAGGCGGAGCGCGATAGAAAAGCCGCTAGAATTGCCGCCGCAATCGCACAGGCGGAGAAAGCGCAACAAAATAGCGTTATCGAAGAGCAGCAACAAGTATCCGAATCTGAGCCTGAGGGAGATAATGAGGAGACGCTTGCTGCAAAAGGGGCGACGCAATACACAGACGAGGATGGGAATACCTTCGTCGTTGGCTTTACAGAGTACATGATGAAATCCAAGTCGGGGGTGTTCTTGGACCATGAAGATCCGGAAGAGTTGAAACGAATACGTGCGAAAGCGCGAGCGGCTCGTCTAGGCAGATTCGAGCTGCTTGTTGAAACGGCGAAAAACGTGACATTTTCTCTCATTGACAGCTCGGAAAAAGCCATCGGCGATGTCACAACAGCATTGGCGCTAGCTCAGGGAGAAGAAGAAGAGAAGGCCGTTGTCTTCAACAGACCGACGCAGGCGAGACTCGACTGTCTCGATCTTGCCAAATCACTGTTGAAGCGGGGCGCGAATCCGAACGTCCGCATGACGCTCAACCGCGAGTTCGCACACACGTGCGCGGAAACGACAACCACGCCTCTGTGTATGGTTAGCGGTTACATCGCAAGAGACATGCAAGAGGCGTACCCGCTCTTCGAAATGTTACTAGAAACCAACATTGACGTCAATGCACGAGGTCTAGGTCCTTATCCGATCGCCGCACCACCTCTCTTTACGCTCGCGATGGCGATTTATCACGGCGTTGATGGCGCCGAAGAAGCCTTTGAGAAGCTTTTAAAGTATAACGTATCCGTGGACCTGAAGGCACTCTTTCCGGATGGAAGTAAAGGAACAACACTAATACAGCTCATTCACGCTTTGCGTGCGGGCAAGTCGGATCGTCAGCGAATTCTTAGATTGATTAAACAAGTACTCGAACGTGGCGCCGATCCAAATTTGTGTTGCATCGAAGTTTACAGCGAGAAAATTCCAGAGGCATACATTGAGGCGATTAAGATTACAAATCATCAGGTACCGGCGGTAACATTCGCTATGATGCCAGAACGTACACTTCTTTGCGCACGTGCCGAGGAAAATGCGCAAGTCGCATCCATTGTACATCGAGTGCGTCAGCCATCAATGGAGCTCGTTCCGCCTCACCCCGGCGAGCACGAAGATCTGAGCGATGGCGAACTGAGCTCTCTGGATTTCGGAAAAGTATTCGAAGAGGTGACAAGACTAAAGAAAATCAAAGAGTCAGGCGATACTGACGATGATGCATCAGTCAGATCGTCCATGTTTGGCTCTGTGAAGAACTTTGATTTCGGCGCGCCTTTCCCAGCGCTTCCTCATCGTTCAGGCGAGTGCCAATATCCACCTTTGTTCTGGGCCATCGAGGCCGCGGCCAAAGAAGGCCATAAAGAAGCCGTGGAGTTGGTCGTGCGCCTTCTCGATGCTGGCGCGATGGTTCGGCGGATGATGCACAAAAATTTCCACTCATGGATTGAAGGCAATCTCGTGGCCATGGCTATCGCAGCGGCCGTCGAAGCCGCGGCGCCGCTTCCAGCACCAGAAGACGAAACAAACTTCGAAAGGCTCAACGTTGGGGAAGTTTTGCTTCGTTTGAATCAAGCTGCCAATCAAGAACAACCAAAAACAAAGGAAACGGAGGAAGACAAATTCGACAACACCATTTCAAATGCCCTCGAGCACGCGGCGTTCAGAAGGCAGAGTACCCGAGTATATGATCAGGGCGAGGAGGAACCGAGTTTCTACGAAAAGGTTACCAAAAGAAATGAAGCGCGTATTCTCGGTGGGGTAAATGACGACATAGATATCAGTGCGTTGCGGCGACGGACCGTGCTCGACGCGTTGCGTCCCGAGCGTCCAGACGATGGACGAGTGTACACGGTCGAGGAGGCGCCTGAAGACGTCAATGCTGATACTGAAGCTGTACCCACGAAAATTGTGCCTAAAATGAGCATGGTGCAGGGCGTGATTCGTCCAAAAGGCTCAAGATTTGGACCAGCAAGCATCGCCGCGCGCCGAGATATTCCAGGCCTCGTGCGAACAGTGGTCGTCGGCCATACGTCTTTCGAGACGAGGGCTCTTGAGATAACCCGGAAAGAGAATGAACGAAGAGCACACGAGATACGACAGCGATTCGTCAATCCAAACAACACCGTACGTGGTGGTCAAGTACGGTCAAGTACGTGGTGGTCGAGTTCGGTCGATAAGAACGTGTACGACTCGGATCCGCAAACAGACGATGATCTTGAAGAGCAACTCCAAGCTGCGGACACTAAAGAACTAGATTGGGCTATCAACGAAGAAGAAGAAAAGAGACAGACCGAACTCAATCGAATGGTCCATGGGATAATTCCAAAAGGCTTGCAAAATTTCGGTGTAAAACGACAAAGCGCGACGGGGTCAGATTCACAAGTCAAAGTGACTAAGAGTGGAATCGAAACGACGACGATGATTTCGTCCAGGATGAACATGGAGGTGAGACAAAACATATCCGCGGCGGTGGTTAAAGAAGAAACTGCTACTCTTCTCACCTCTGGCGGTGAATCATACGAGTCAAGGAACGAGGGGAGCGCTTACTGGCCTTCGGATGACGAGTTCCCTGAAGAATTTGATCAAACAGAGATGGACAAACTCTATGATGACGTCGATAAAATCGGTGCACCGAGCGAAGCTGACCGGGAAGAGCAGATGCTGATCGAAGCGGAGTGGGAATCGGCTCGTCCATTGACGCGGGAAGAGCTTGAACTCCGACACGCTTCCCGACAAAAGACCACTTTGGCCGTCGCGATCAAACTTTTAGAGAAGTGCAGTGCTGATAACATCGATGCCTTCGCCAGGAACCCTTTACTAGAGAGTTATGGCGTTGGTTTGGTTCCTTACGAATTCACGCCTCTATTTGCCGCGCTGTACGGCGCCGCCACAGCCAAGTCGCAAGAGCAACTGGCGGTCGGCATAACGCTCGCCAAGATTTGCATCAACAAGGGCGCCAACGTCGATAAGATTGGTTTGCATTCTGTGCTCGCCCCGGAAGCGTATTCGAATGCGCGAAACCAGCTCAAAGCGCATCGGATGCGGAGGTACAAAGAGCTACGCGAGCGATACGTCGAACAAGGCGATAAGACGGCGCTCGACGAAACTTTGAACGACAACTTCGTACTCGACCCGGAGAGATCAATCGGAATGCGAAGCTATCCACTCATGTGGGCGGTCACGGCGGCCATTCGAGCCGAAGCCAGAGAGCTCGGCTGTGAAGACATTGTCAAGCACATGCTCATGGAAGGCGCTGATCCCACGTCCATCTCCCTCCAAGCGATCGATGGACCCAGAGCCGTCGATGCGCGTGTGCACCACGGCAGTGTGCTCTACTTGTGGGGTACCGCGGAAGATTTGTTCAAGGCGTCGCAAAAGCGGTATCAGAGCGTCATCAGTACTCGACTCAATATTGCGAGGATGTTATCTGAGTTCGGCGCGCGATCATCGTACCGTTCGCAGACAAATTTCCCGTATGTCGTCAACCGCACGGAAGCGGCGTCGGCGGGCAGATGGCTCATCAAAGGCAAGGAGGGATTCGGCATCGTAGCCGCACCGCCAGAAAGTGAAAACACAATCGATCGACTCGAACCGTTCAAGAATAGAGTGGTGCGCGCCATGCACGACGGAGCCGGTCACAAGCGTCACGTGACGATTGAATCGAACCGCGAGCGCAAGGTGAACTCCATCCTCGCGGATCAGGGCACGAGCGAGACGTTTGGCACATGGATTTGGCCAAACAAGGAAGAATCGAAGGCCGATACCCTCCCTCCCGTCGACGAAACGCGCGTTCTTGGGTTTAAATCTACGGCTGAACTCGATTACGTGCATCGAAGGTTCCCCGGCCAAATCGAAGTCTTTGCGCAACGAGTCGCCGCCAAATCTCCCAGTGCGGCGGACAAGCGATCCTCGTACGACACGACCGAGGCAATCACGTTGGCGAGCGAGCACGACGTTAAAGAGGAAGCCATTCTTGCTCGGAAAGTCAGAGCGACGCAAATATCCGCTATACACGCCGCGTTTTCTGGGAAGGCTTCGGACGTGCCGAAGGACATCATCGACGAGACCTTGTTGCCGAGAAAACTGTTGCGTTGATGAGGCGTTGATGATGGCGCACCATAGTGAATTGTAAATATCATGAATGTACATTTATTTAACGAAATACATCCTCGCTACATGCTATATCGAGGAAAAGCGTTGTCCAGGGATGTATGCAACGAGGAAGCACCCGTCGTTTCAAATTTTTTCGACAGCGCCGCGCGTTTATCCTCTTTTAGTTTCGCTCTCGCCGTCGGCGTGGAGCTTTTCGACTTGAACAACTTATTAAACGATCTCGAGAGACGCTTCAGAAGCCCCCGGTTGTGATCGCTCGACACCTCCGCCGATGACGAACCTAAAACGATAATCTCTCCGTCGAGCCCTCGAAGCGACTTGGCACCGTTTGCCGGCGGTTCTTCGTCTCTTTGACGATGACGCTTTTTCACACTCTTCCCTTGGATCGCATCGTCGAACGATACGAAAGCGCGACTGCGCATGTCTAATTCCAACTCCACGTTGGCGACGTCGTTGCAACTAAACCGAGCCGCCCTCGACTCGATTCCGCGCCATTCTGGCAGCACCCATCGAGCGTGCCGAGGCGCGAGATGGCGCACGACTGATCTCGAAAACATCTCTCGCGTGCACACCTTTGGCAACCGATCGTCAATCGTGCCATCTACCAAAGCCGGCAGAATGACGTGTAGTTCGGTTGTGTACATCACGATGGGCACTCGCCGCCAAAGGGCGGCGACGTCGGATTGCTCGCGCGCGCGACTGTTGTGTCGTTCCTCCAACGCCCGCACATACTTGGACGCCGTTACCCCATCGCACCAAGGCATGTTATAATCCACGATGATGAGCGCTAAATCACACGACACATCGTTCCGTAACTCTTCGTACCGCTTGATACCCTCCCGACCGTCGTGCGCGAACTCGACGCGTACGTCGCTAAAAATCGCCGCCAACACCCTGCTCACGATGCGCAAATTCATCGAACAATCATCCACGATCAACACCGTGGGTTCTCGATCGACAAAACAGCGCTCGTCCGCGGTCGTCTCGTCGCCGCGCGCGCGCGCCGTCGCCTCTCGCGTCTTCGTCGCTTCGTCTCGCTCCGCCCTCGCGTCTTCGTCGTCGCCCGCCGCCTCGCTCGTCGCCATCGCGAACGCATCCTCCGTGCTCTCATCGCTATTTTTCGCCGATCTCAGCGCGCGCGCCGTCTCTTGACTCGCGCTCGCGCGCGCTTCGCCGAGCTCCGGCATGGACTCCACCCGTCGCATCGCCATCGCCATCGCCCTCGAATCCGCGCCGAATCGGCCCCGCATCCGGGCGGATCGGCGTCCCTTATGCGACGAGTCACGACTCGTGGAAATGTGCACCCGCACGAATGTGCACGCGCCCGCTCGTCGTCGCCCGGTCCCGCGCGTCGCGCGATCGCGTCGCGCGAGTCCGACGCCGCGCGCGATCCCTCGACGACGCCGCGCGATCCTATGCCCGCGCCGCGCGTCGCCTCGCCGACGCGCCGTCGGATTCGCGCGCGTCGGATTCGCGCGCGTGGCGCGTGGGCGTGGAATCCAAGCGTCGCGCGTTACTCGCGCGCGATTCGCGCGACGCGCGCGCGATTCGCGATTCGCGACCGACCGACGGGTCGTCTCTCGCGCGTCGACGTTCGCGTCGCGGTCGCGGTCGCGCGTCGTCGTGCGCGGCGTCGCGCGCGTCGAGGCGCGGTCGCGGTCGCGCCGACCGACCGCGACCGACCGACCGCGTGTTCTTACTGTGTACGCATACGAAACGGTCGCCCCGCGTCGCGTCATCTCACTGTTTGCCCACACGCGATGGCCCCCTGCGCGAAGCGACGACACCCGACACCCCCTCGACGCGCGCGCGGCGACGGCAGTCGACGACGACGACGACGACGACGATGCTCGCGCAGCGCGCGCAGGCGTTCGCGACCGGCGGCGCGACGGTGGCGTCGAGAGCGCGCGCGCGCGCGACGCGAGGACGCACCGGACGACGCGCGCAGACGCGCGCGGGGATTCCGATCCACATCGAGTACTGCGAAAAGTGAAACTACATGCCTCGGGTGAAGATGTTCATCGATAAGACGAACGACGCGTGCCCGGGGAAGTTTGATTTCACGTACAACGTCGAGGAGGTGCTGAGGGCGACGGTGCCGGAGGGACAGGGGTGGTACATTGAGAATAACGCGGAGAAGCCGATTCCGGGCGGGGAGAGCGCGCTGTGGAGAAAGGGGGCGTTTGAGGTTCTGCGATTGGACACCGACGAGCTTTTGTACTCCAAGAAGGCGGATGGCTCGCACTTGGTCGACGGTAAGGGTGGACCGGAAGGGAAGCTCGGTAAGTTTATCGAAGAAGTCATGAAGGCGGCGGCGTAGGCGGACGACGCGCGCTCGGATGGACTGTGGATAAAGGTTGAGTTCGCGAGGGCGCGCGCGCGATGACGGTGACGAGTGGTGCTCGAAAGTTATTTCAACGATGATTCGTTGGACGCGTATCACTCCGATGGACGTCGCGCCGCGCCGACGCGCGCGAACGAACGGCTTTTGATTTTAACAGAAAATACACGATAAAATCTTCTCTCGCGATTCCGCCTCTAACAAGTCTAGGAAGACGACGGTCGCGCGTGCGCGCCCGACGCCAACGCGTTACGCGCGAGGCCGATATCGGTCTTGATGCGCGCCACGAGTTCGGGCAAGGAATCGAATCGCAACTCGGGACGGATGAATCCGCACACGTCGACGCGCATGGTTTCGCCGTAAAAATCGTCCTCGTACTCCGGCGTCGCGTCGCTCGCGCCCATGACGTGCACCTCGATCGTCGTCCCGTCGCCGTCGACAAACGTCGGTCGCTTACCGACGTTAAGCACGCACTCGTGCCAGTTTGACTCGCCTTCGCGTTTGGCCCAACCGAAATACACGCCGAGCGGAAGCGCGCTCAAAACCGCCTCGCCGCCGCACGTCTCCGGGTCCAAGTTCGCCGTCGGCACCCCCATCTGTTTACTCCCTCGACCGAACCCGGTGACCACGGGCGCCTCGAGCGTGAATCTATTCGCCAACTCGTAGAATTTAGGCACCATGAGCACCAAGGGATTCTCATCGTCGTCCGCGCGTATCGCCGTCGCCGTCGCCGCGGCGCTCAAATCCTTCCCCGAACACGACCCACTCGCGTCCACGCGCGCCAGCGGCAAATCGCGCACGATTTCCGCGAAATCTAACCCACCATCGACGTCGGAGCCCTCGGCATCGCCCGCCTTACGCTCAGAAATCACCATCCGTCCCCCCGGCTTGAGCGCCATCGTCGCTCGCGTCAGCGCCGTTCGCCTCGCCTCGCCTCGATCGCACAGGTGCGCGTTAAACGCCACCGCATCGAACGGTCCGTGGTACGGCTTCAACTCTTTCAACGCATCGTCCGCGCGCAGGAATCGCGCCCCTCTCTCGTTCCCTAACACGTCCACGCCCGCCCGCAGCGCCCGCGGCGCGCCCACCGTCTCCGCCCCGCGCTCGAGCATCGCCGTCGACGCGTCCGCGCACAGCACCGTGCACCGCGCGCCGTCGTCCGTCGTCAGCGCTCGCGCGAGCATTCCAGTCTCGACGCCGACGACGAGCGCGCGCGCGTGTCCGGTGTCGGGGAGCGCCATCGCGCGCGCGACGGCGTCCGCGCGCGCGCGCTCGTTCGGGAGCGAACACTCGGTGCAACCGCGCAGCGCGTCGTCTCGCGCGGTCGACGACGCGCGCGCGCGGGAGGGCGCGCGTCGTCGCTCGCGCGCGCGGCTCGGGACGGGACGAGGCGCGACCGAGGGCGCGGGGGCGCGGAGGCGCATCGCGTCGGCGTGTGGCGTCGCGGCGTCGGCGTCGGCGTCGACGCAAAGTCACATCGCGCGCGGCGACGCGCGTCCCGACTACTTTTTCGAACGCATCATCATCTCATCATCTCATTTCATCATCTCATTTCATCATCTCTTCATCTTTTTACGCATCTCGGGCGTGACGCGCGCGACGTGGTACGCGCCGTTTTTGTCGAACGACACGACGTTGCCGCTCGGCTTGAGCGCGCCGTCGGCGCCGACGAGCGCCGCGGCGGCGACCTGCCAGCGATTCGCGTTGGGGATTCCCGCGAGCGCGGCGCTCGTAGGTTTTTCATCCACCGCCATCGCGCTCACGGCTTTGGCTTCGATGCGAACGACGTCCGCGTACACGGACGGGTCCGACAAGTCGGTGGCGGCGTCGCAACGAAAGTTCGCTCCGTCTCTCTCCTCTCGCGCGATGTCCACCGCCGCCGCCTTCATGTCCTCCTCGTCCGGATCGCCCAGTTCCGCCACTAATTCCTCCAGCGCCTCCACGCACATCCCCGCTAAGTCCTCGTATCCCTCCAAAAACAACACTCGAGCGAACAGCCGCATCTTCGTCACGCAGTGCTTTCCGCGCGCGTTTCTGATGGCGTGCATCCTTCGCTCCAGCCCTCGTTCGTCCATCGTCTTCACGCGCATGAGCGTGTGATTATACGACGTCGTCCCCACGATCGCCGCGCGCGCCTGTTTCCCCGCGTTTCTCGCCGCGTACGCCTCCGCCGCGCGTTCGTGCAGCGCTCGCGTCTCAGCCGTCGTCTCGTCGTCGCCTCGCCTCGACCCCTCGCCTCCATCGCTCTCGCGCGCGTCGTCGCTCGTCGACGCGAAGCGCTCGGGCGCGATCCCACGCCGTCGAGACGACCGTCGGACGTCGTCGCGTTCGCTCGCGTCGCGCGCGCGACGCGATTTCGTCGGCGATTTCACCGCTCGAGCTGTCGCGGCCGCTTTTGAATCTTTCCCCGACGCGCGCGCGCGCGACGCGTCGTGCATGCGCACGTCGTCGCGACGCAAACCGAGGGCGAGCATGCGCTGTCGGTTCACCGCGATTCTGCGCTCGCGCTCGAGCTCGTACGGGGTGAGTTCGGTCATGGCGCGTCGTCGAGCCGCCGCGGCGCGTTGTGCCGCGCTTCGCGCGCGCGTCGCGCGTCGTCCCGCGTCGCGACGCGTCCGCGACGTCGTCCGCGTCATCGCATCGCGAGCGTTTCATTACATCACGCCGTGTTCGCGACGTGCGCTCGAAACAGCTCGAACGCGCGATACCTGTGCGAGATGGAATTCTTCGTCGCCGCGTCCATCTCCGCGTACGTCTCCGCGCGTCCCTCCGGCTCGAACACGCAGTCCCATCCGAAATCTCTCGACCCTCTCGGGCGCACGATTCGCCCTCGCGTTCGCCCCACGAACGTTCGCGGCGCTTCGTCCGTCGGTCCCGTCGCGTACGCGAGCACGCACAGCGCCTCGGCGCTCTTGTCGTCGTACGCCGCGAGCGCGTCGACGAGTCCCTCCGGTCCCGTCTTCTCCAGGAACCACTTCACGTACACCCCCGGGAGCCCGCCGAGGGCGTCGTAGCACAGCGACGTGTCCTCGACGAGCGCCGGACCGTTGACGACGCTCGCGGCGCGCCGCGCCTTGGCGCGCGCCACGTCCTCGGGTTCGCCCTGGAGCTCGGGCAGGTCGAGCGCGCGCGACGTCAGCGTCAACGCGGGCGTCGCGCCGAGGATCGCGCGCGCCTCCGCGAGCTTGCGCGCGTTCGAGGTGACGAACGTGACGTCCATCGCGGCGCGCGACGCGACGACGCGACGGCGTCGAGGCGGCGAAGCGACGCGCGCGCGACAGAGCGCGGCGCGCATCGAAGTGCCGCCATGGCGCTGGCGCGCGCGCGACAGAGCGCGGGCGCGCGGGCGCGCTGCGACGCGTCGCGACGCGCGCGACGCGCGCGGCGCGGGACGACGGCGCGGCGACGCGCGGTGACGCGGCGCGGCGAGGACCCGAGCGGGGAGGTGCTGCGCGACGCGCGCGGTCGCGTCGCGCGCTTCGCCGAGCGCGACGAGCTCGACGCGCTCGCGCGGCTGCAGACGAGAGGTTTCTACGAGCCCGCGCTCGGGCGCGGCGCGGGCACGATCGACGCGATCGACGGACCGCTGCGCGCGGCGTTCGCGTGGGACGTCGCGCGGACGCTGCGGAAAAAGTACGCGTACGCGCGCGCGGGACGGTTCGCGCCGCTCGTCGCGACGGTGGACGACGTCATCGTCGGCGCGTGCGAGGTGTCGATACAGCGCGATTTCGAGGCGATCGAGGCGCTGCGCGAGGCGCGAGGCGAGGACGACGCGGAGGAGTACGCGTACCTGTCGTGCATGACGGTGGACGAGGCGCATCGACGACGGGCGCTGGCGAGCCTGTTGATGCGCGCGGGCGAGCGCGTGGCGCGAGAGTGGGGGTTTAACGTCGCGCTGTTGCACGTGTACGAAGAAAATCGAGGCGCGGTGCGGGCGTACGAGAAGGCGGGATACGAGACGATTCGCGCGCCGTTTCGGACGCCGTACGACGTCTTGCGGGGACGAACCAAACTTCTCATGGCCAAGCGAATCTGACGCGTTCGCGTTCGCGTCTCGTTCGCGTTCGGACGCGTGAGCGCGCGCGCGCGACGGAGCCGACTCGCCGTTGTACATCACATTCGTTCCGCGTTCGTCTCCGCGCTCGCCGCGTCGACGCCGCGCCGAACGCCTCGCCGCGACGCGCCGCACACGACCGCGCGCGCCCGTCGCGTCGGCGCGCGTCATGCCGGTCACGCGTCGCGAGTTGCGCGCCGGCATCCTGCGCGTCGTCGGCGTCGTCCTGCCGTGCGTGCGCGCGCCGGGGCGCGACGCGAAAACATCGCGCGCGCGCGGCGAGCTCGACGACGACGACGACGACGACGACGCGACGTCGCGCGACTCCCGCGACGACGACGGGACGCGCACCGAGTCGCACCGCGCCGAAGGCGAGCGCTGGACGTCGTCGCATTCGTCGTCGTACGCATCGTCGTCGTATTCGCGTTCGTCGCCGCCGCGCGACGACGACGGGACGCGCGAGCGACGACGCGGACGAGGATGGCGCGACGGAGAGAACGACGACGACGACGACGACGACGAACGCAGTGAATTTGACGATGACGATGGGTCGGTCGCGTCGGTCGCGTCGGGGATATCGAGCTCGACGTCCCGAACGGATTCTCAGGCGACGGCGAGCGACGCGAGCGCCAAGGACGAAGAGGAAGACGTGCTCGTCGGTCGTAGTACCGTGATCGACGAGAGCGTGGGCGACGTGTCGTCGACGAAAGTGGAGTGTGGACCAGATGCGAGCGAGGAGGCGTTGGAGGAGTTCATGCGGGCGATTCAGTTGTGTCAGGGCGAGAACGTATTCGGCGGCGGGTTGCGCGAGCGGGACATATTTAAAAGAGGTTTGGTGCGACAGGTGGTGTACGATGAAGGCGAGTACGTGCTAAAAGAAGGCCAAGCGTGGGATCACGAGCAGCGCAATTCCCGTTCCGGTGGGTACTCGGTGTACTTCGTCATTCGAGGCGCGTGCGCGGCGACCAAGCTGGTGCACCCGCGGCATCCGCGGGTGCACACGCGAGAGGCGCTCAAGTTCGCGAACGACCCTATGACGATATTGCGCCCAATCCCGACGCAAGTGGCGCACTTGAATGCTGACGCGTCGGACATGTCGGCATCGGTGCGACAGCGCGCGCTGGACATGAAGAGAGCGGATCAAAAGTCCGAGGTTGAGGTCGCAAAGTTTATTCGAGGTTGCTACTTTGGAGATTACGAGGTGCTCAAAGGCCGCATCCCGAGACGATGTTCGGTGCGTTCGTTGGTGAAAAACACCGCACTAGCGATCATGCCGGGCGATGTCTTCGAGAGACTGTGTCGGCGAGGGACAAAACTACGCGAGCGCGTCGAAGCAGATCACTCTTTATTCATTTAGGCGCGTTCAGCCGCGAAGTCGTAGAAGCGCGAGTACATTAGAATTTAGCCTTTTATGTGTACTGTAGAGTGTTGAGTTTTAAAGTCATCAATCACATCAATCAATGTCGTTGGAATTTTAAAGAAAAACGTCTTTCTCGAGCGCCTTGACGACGTCGTCTTGGTCGTTCAACTTGGCGACATCCAACGGAGACTTGCCGTCGTTGTTTACCAAAGTGACCGAGGCGCCGCCTTCGACCAAAAGCTCCACGAGATCAACGCGACCGTAACCCGCAGCGTAGTGCAACGGAGTATTCTTGTTCTTATCAGTCGCGTTCACGTCCGAACCTTCCTTGACGAGGATTTCGGCGCACTTCATCTCGCCGTAACCGCAGGCAAAGTGCAACGCGGTGCGTCCTTCTGAATCCTTCATGTTGACGTCCTGTCCCTCCTTCAAAAACGCCTGCAACGCCTCGTGGTCACCCTCGGAAGCGGCCGTGAGAACGGATTCTTCCTCTTCGCCTTCCTCTTCCTCGTCTTCTTCGTCTTCCTCTTCGTCTGCCTCTTCGGCGGGCACGCCGCCGCCAAACATCGGCGCAACGTCGCCCATGGCGGCGTTTATCTTCTTCAACACCTTGGGGTCGTTCCAGTACTTCATCATCGCTTGCGGACCACCGGTCTCGATCTCTTTCATAATCTCACTCATTTCCGGGTCGTTCTTCAATTCTTCCATCTTCGCCTTCATCTTTTCCGCCGTTTCCGGGTCGTTCATCGTGTTCATCATAGCCTTCATCTCGGGGTTCTCCATCATTTGCTCCCCGAGCTTCTGCGCCATTTGCATGAAAGCGGGGTTCTGCATGACACCTTGCATAGCTTCCATCGCGGCCGGTTGATCCATCCCCGGCATGCCGCCCATCCCCGGCATCCCCGGCATCATACCCGTCATGCCGCCCGCCGGCATGCCCATCCCCGGCGGCAGTGCTCCCATTTGCGCTTGCATGTTCGCCATGTTCGCCTGCATTTGTTCCGCCATCACCTTGAAGTTGGGATCACTACTGATCTGTTCCGCCATCTCCTTAATCGCGGGATCATCGAGCATTTCACGGAGTTTCGCCATATCGAACGGCGACCCGCCGCCGCCCGTCGGCATCGCCATGCCCGGGGGCAGTCCGAATCCTGGAGGTAAATCGCCTATCATCGCACCATCAGCCGTCAGTCGTTCGTCCCGTCGCGCGCGTCCGTAGGTATCATCTCAAGCGACCGCCCGACGCGCGTTTCCACCGCAGAAACGACCGCGATCGCTCGCGTCGTCGTCGCGAAGACGCATCAGATCGCCGAGTCGCCGACTCATCATCGGGACGACTTTTCGGACGCTCGTCGTCGATCGCGCGCGCGCGCGTCGCCCGGCGACCGAGGACGATCGTTCGAGTCGCGCGCGCCGAGGCGCGCGCCGAGGCGCGATCGAGACGCACCAGCCATCGCGAGTTCCAAAGTGAGGGCGTAGGGCTTGTCTCGTTGTGGATAAGCGCTCGACGACGCGCTTCGACGACGCGCTTCGACGACGCGCTTCGACGACGCGCGGAGAGGGGTAGAAAAACATATGATACAACACTACGACACGCCTACGACACGCCTCGCGCGTCACGCGGGACCGGGGTCGGTTTCGGGCCAGCGAAACTTTTCAAAGCGCCACGTCGCGCGCAAGACGCCGCGGTGCGTGGTTTCCTCGCTTTGGAACTCGTCTTCGTCCGGTAATCCGTGCACGATGGCGTCGACGCGGTGTAACGCGAATCGACTGCGCAATCCAGGGTACGAGGCGCTCATCTCTTCGCTCACGCACAGTTTGTACGTGTCCTCGAGCGTCTCCACGACGTAATCGTCGCCGAGCGCGCTTCCCAACTCTTCCCTCACCGCGCGCTCGACGCAATCGCGCCAGTGCTCGCCAAAGTTCATCTTTTCGCTCAGCGGTCGATTTCGTCTTCGCTTCAACTCATTCTTACCAAAAATCTGTTCCTTTTCGATCAAGCACATCCCATCCTCCGCGTTCGATCCCGGCCTTCGCACGCGCAGCGTCAGCACGTCGACGTATCGCACGCACGTCTCCCGCGCGTCTTCATTCATTTCGCCTCCGTTCTCCCCCGACGCGCGCTCGCGCTCGCTCACGAGCACGCTCTCGCCGCTCTTCAGCTCGATGAGCAAATCCTCTAAATTCTTCGTCCCTCTCGCGCGATCAAACTTTTCCACGGCGACCCCTCGCCGCGCGAGCCACGCCCCTAAATTCGCCGTCGTCGCCCCCTCGTGCGCGAACGTCTCCATCTCTCGTCCGCGCGTCGCCACCGCGCGATCGTTCGCGTCGCCACCGCGTTTCTCCCGCGCGCGCGGTTCCCACACCGCGTCGCGCGCGACGCCGCGGCTTCCGGAACGTCGCGCGCGCCACCGCGCGCGGACGCCACCGCGGTCGCGATCGCGCGTCTCGGCGCGTCCTCGCGCGTCGCGCGCGCGCGCGGCGACGCGCGCGACGCGCGCGACGGACCGCATCCGTCCGCGCGCGAATCCGCCGTCGCGGTCGCGCAGTGACGACGCCGACGCGCGCGCGACGCGCGGCGCGCGCGTCTCGAGGCGTCGTCGTATACGACGTCACACTGTATGCACATACGACGTCCACGCGGTCGGTCGCGGGACGCGAGGGGAAGGACGGCCGCGAGCGATTCCGCGCGCACACGCGCGCGCGAGGCGACGCGCGCGATGCCGAGCGACGGCGATCTCGCGAACGATGAGAACGCCGACGCGGTCGCGCCGAAGAAACGCGCCGAAGCGATCGCGAACGATGACGGTGACGCGTTGAATCCGTTGGTGCCGCTGCGCGCGCTCGACGATGAGACGCTCGCGAGCGCGCGCGCGACGCGGGAGAGCGACGCGGACGCGCGGACGACGGTGGAGGATGACGTGCGCGCGGAGGAGTTCGCGTTCGCGGAGGCGCTGATGCGGGTGAAACGGGAAGGCGCGGGCGCGGGGGGGGCGGCGGCGATGTTCGAAGACGCGTGTCGGTTGCGAGCGCGGGAACTGCGGACGCGAGCGGAGGCGCGAAGACGGCGAGCGCCGAGCGTGGCGAAGCGTGAGGTGGGCGAGGCCGAGGCGCTGGAGCGGGAGGCGCACTCGTGGTCGTTGATTTATCACTTGCTCGGCGACGGGGCGACGGTGGAGCGGGAGAGCGCGGAAAAGGAAACTGAAGTGCTGCGCGCGACGCCGAGGGAGGAGGGCGGGACGAGAGGAGACTTTCTTCCGCCGCCGCTTCGCAGTCGACTGCGATGCGCGTCTCGAGACGAAGAGCGAGATCCGGTGACGTTTAGATTGAATAGAATAATCGCGTGGTTGGAGGCCAACTCGGCTTCAGCGCTTCGCAGAGCGGAGCTGGATGGCACGGCGTACGATGGAAGGTTTTTGCGAGATGAGTGCGATTGGCGCGCAACCGCGGATGCCATCGACGCGTCGGCTAAGTGTGATCCGGATGGTAATCCGCTGTCGACGTCGCTGGACCCGGACGGGCCCATGCGCACGAAATCGGCGCTGCACCCGTCCAACGCGGACGCGGAGGTTCGATTGTGTAAACGGTTGTGGAAGCTCATTCGCGCTGGGAGCGTGCAAGAGGCGCGCGATTTGTGCTCCAAAGTCGGTCAGCACTGGCGCGCCGCCTCGCTTGGCGGTGCCTCGGGCTGGGGACCGGCTCCAGTCGGCAGCACTGCTGACGAAGAGCTCGAGCGAGACATTCGTAAGCTCTTGGCGCTTCGCGACGAGGACGCGCTCGCGGCACAAAATGAAGTTGACCTCAACGACGATGCTACTGCGGCCGAGTGCGACGGTATCGGCACTGCGCGTCGCGCGCTGTGGAAATGGACCTGCATGGTAGCCGCACGTCACATCGACAAAGCCGGCAAGCTTTCGCAAACGCCCGCGGCCAAGTATGAGGCGAGTGTGTACGGGGCGCTATGCGGTGATTTACAAACGATGCTCGCCGTTTGCGAGGGTGATTGGGAGTCCACGGCGTGGGCTTACACCCGAGCGCTGTTCGATCTTCGGGTCGATGCCGTCGTGAACACGGGCAAGGTGCTCGACGACGTGTCAAACTTTGAACCTGGCGAAGTCGTGCGAGATCCGACTGAGCTAGAGACGACGGATGACGCTGTGGATCGTTTGGGCGAACCACGATGGCCAACGCGAGACGTCATCAACGCGACGCCAAAGACAGTGGAAGAAATTTTGCTAGTCAAGATGCCCGAACGTTTTCCCGACGCCGACGCGCATCGAACGGTGCAGACGCACTTGATTCTCGGTAAGATGAAGGAGTTATTGTTGGACCATATGATGCGATGGATCTTCCCTGAGGACGAGCTTGATTCAAATGTCGAACGTGTAAGTTCCGAGCCGCTCGACATTGGTCTCACCCGCTTTACCGCGCATGCGCTACTGTTTTTAGAGTCGTTGTTGCCGGAAGGTGGTGGATTATCTCCCGGAGGCGAGCTTTACTTTCACTTGAATAAGGTGCTCAACTTGTACGTTGTGCACTTGATCGCAAACAAGCGTTACGCGTTGGTGCCAGCGTACGTGGTGCACTTGAGACACCCTCTGTTGATTGAAACGTACGCCAATTTCTTGGATCTCCTGGCGCCCGCCGTGCTTTCTCGCAAGACGCTGTGTTACGCCGAGGCGGCGCTTTGGATGGAAATAGAGGGCCCGGGCGGGTGGCGAGAAATCGTCACGAGAGCCTTAAGCGACTCCACGAGTCTCGTGAACGTTCACCGAGGACCCGAGTATCGACGTTTGATGCTCCAGTGGGCGTGCGTTACGAGTGAGACGTACCCAGAAGCGGTGAAACACGCGTGTTTGCTGCTCCGCCAACTCATGTGCCAGCGAACGTCGATCGAGGTCTTTGCGAATGACGCCCCAGTGGATGGTGAACTCCGTGCTCGCGTCATCCTACTCGAGGAGCTTCCAGAAGTCGCGCAAGAGGAAGCGAGAGCGAACGGAGCCGCGGCCGCTGCGGCTGAACTTGCCGACTGGGCGAGATACCTCGCCGCCACGGAGGCTATTTCGCAATGGAAGCAAGTCTGGAGCGTGAACGAATCGAGACGACTAGACGTAGCGGCACAAAACACTCGCCCGTACGCTCCAAATTCAGCGGGGGAAGTGACTGAAGACGAGCTGGCGAAGGCACGCGACGCCATCGACGCCGTCGTGGCGCTTCTTCGGTCGGAGAATTGGCTCGACGACGAAGCGTTGTACGACGACATGGAACAAACGGGCGACGCGACGCTACGGGTTGTCGCGATTCCCGTCGCCAAAGCTTTCGACGACCCATTGACTTCGGCGAATATGAGTATTGAGCAAATCGCCCGAGATCTCGAGACGTTGCTTGGCTCAAAGTTCGCTCAAGGCGTCGTTGAGGTGAGCGCGACTGTAGGCGTCACGCCCGGCGAGTGTCCTGCGCGCGTGGAAGGTGAGTACGGTCAAGTCGTCGTGCAGATCTCCACCGAATGCAACGATGAAGATCGAGCGTCGCTATACCAAGACGTCTCGCTGGCGATGGCCGACTGCGTCAAGGGTGATCTCCCAGGACAAGAAGTCACGCTCGACGTACAATCAGTCGGTGGCAGTAGCGAGACGTTGGTACATGCGTTATGTCGGGCAATCTGCGTGCCTTCGCTCGTGATCCAAGCGGCGCAAGTCGAAGCCGCCACGCGCACTGGAACGACACAAATAATTGAAATGACCGCCGACCCGAAGTTTGGTGTGCACAAGTATTTCGCCCCGACGGAACTCCGATGGTTGTTGGAACTCGGACGCGAGATCGGTTTGACAATTTTGGACAAATAGCGAATTAGATAGTTGACTAAAACAAACTCAAAGTACACCGCCCTATGCTACGGCTAATCTACACTCTTCCTCTTCTTCGCGCGCTTCCAACGCAGCTCGAAAATCTCGCACTCATCGTCCTCTGAAAACGCGACTAACGCCTTCTCCACGGCGACCACAGCAAACTTTTCCCCCGCGAGGCGCAAAAACTCGTCGTGCGCGTCGGGACTTCGCCGTTGCACGCAAATATAGCACACAGCAGACTTTCGCGTGTCACTCAGCGTGCGTTCGATGACGCGCAAAAGCGGTGCGACTAGATGTACGCCAAACAGCACGTCCGTCCCGACGACGACGTCAAACGGTCCTCGTTCGCTCACGGCTTTTAATTCCTCCTCTACCTCCCAATCCAGCGCCATCACGTGCAGCGCCGTCGCCGCGCCGCCGATTTCTTTGCGATTCATCTCCACGTTCTCTCTCGTCACGTTTTCCAACACGCGCGATTGATCCGTCATCACCACCTCGTCAAACGCGAAGTCCCGCGCCAAGACCAAGCCCAGGAGTCCGCAACCGCAGCCGACTTCCAGGGCTTTCTTCCCGCGCTTGGACGACCGCACGAGCCCGACCGAGCGCTCGCGCAGGTACTTGGCGAGACAAAACGCGCTCTCCCAAACGATGCCGCCGCAGTGCTCGCGCGCGTTCGCGTCCTGCGCGAGCACCAGGTTCTCGAATGCAAACTTCGGAGCGTTGGCGAGCTCGAAAAATGCGTCGGCGCCGTGCGTTTGGACGAGCTCGGCGTACGACGGAATGGACGCGCGCGATTGATTCGTTCTCGACATCGCGAGTCGTCGTCGACGACTCGTCGACGGCGCGTCCCGAAGTGCGGGCGGAGCGTGTGGGCGCGTCGGCGGCGCCGCCACGCGTCGAAAGTCTAACTGTCTCGTTCTCTATTACATTTGGAAAAGAATGCGGCGCGAAATCCTAGATTTGATCAATCTCCGGAGTGTCTTCTTCCTCATCGAACGCTTGGGCCTCAATGTCGGTGTCGGTCTCGGCTAAAAATTCCTGCGTGGCGTTCACGGCGTCGGCGCGCTTGGCGCGTTCGTGCTCTGCGATGATGCTCTCAAACGTCGGGACTTGCGAGTGATCTTGGCAGTAAAGCTCACCATTCTTGATCACCAGCGAAGCGTTTGGATCTGACGTTGCGCCTGAAACCGCGACTGAGGTCATGCCGACGTCGGCGCTGGTGAGCATGACGACGGGCTTGGTGAAGTCGAGCGAGCGGTCGAACGCGCTGTTCGCGCTCGGCGCGTTGCGTGCAAAGATGAGGTAAATCTTTGTCGTTCGCTCCTCGGTCGTGTTGAAGGATGGAATCACGTCCCCGCCGTCGAAATCTTCCTCGTTTGTCACATTGAGTTCGGTCCAAGCAATCTCTTGATAATATGCCGGAGGCAACGACACGAACGCCGAAGTATTGACGCGTTGCGCTTCTTCGACAAAGCGACCGTACCCGTCGCGCCTGGCGCTAAAAACTTCACGCAGATCCAATCGACCGTCGTTCGTCTTGGAGACGAGGAAATCGACCCTGTCAAGCGCTAAAACATGGAACGACTCAGCGGGACGCGGCAAGCCCTGCGGAAACGCCTCTCGCAAATTAACCGTCGTCGTCGGCCCATCCGTCGGCGTCGGCGTCGGTGTGACGGACAAGTCTGGGAAATCCTTCGGTCCGCGGTACATATCGTCTCGATCGATCCCGAGTTCACGCTTGAGATCATCATCATCGAATTCATCCTCCACGAAAGACAAGTACCCTGCGGAGCGCGAGATCGGGGGCACACCTACGCCATCAGGAATGTGATCGTCCAAGCTCGACGGATACTGAGGCTCGAGATCCGGGTTGAGCATTTCGTCGAGGACGAATTTGTCCGACGATGACGTCGATACGTCGAATTCCGATTTCATCATCGTGTTCTGCCACATCATCGAGTTGCCAAACCCACCGCCCACGTCGATGTCTACCTCCTCTTCGTCATCGTCGTCACTATCCTCGTCGTCGTCCTGGTCGACCTCGACATACACCGTCCCTTCTTCCGAATCGTCATAGACGTCGACGGATACCGGCGCAGTCGTCGATTTCGACCCAGCCGGTGAGCGACCGATGAGGTCTCGGAAGTCTAAATCCCGTGTCAACGCTTCTTTCAATCCAATCGGCACCGGTTGCGCCTGGGCCACGCCTAAGATGGCTTTCAAAATGGCGTCCAAGGATTGCCCAGCGCACGAGCCCTTCTTTTTCACCGCGCCCAAGCTGAAGTACTCTCCGGCGTCCGGACTCCAAACGACCACCGCCGGCGCATCTCTTTCACCGTTACCATCGATCCAGCACACCTTCCAACCGCGGCCGAGGGTGTTCAGCGGAGCGTGCGTCGACTCAACCGTGATGCACAGCTCGTCCGCGGCGTCTTCCCAATTCTGCTTTCGCCACTTGTCTGCCCCGCTCATGTCCATCCCTCGCGCCGCGCCTACGGTGGAGATGATGCCCTGCATCACCACCCCTGCGGGGCCGTGAAAGTCGTAATTAACCCCGAGCTGCATGTACAGCTCGGGCGGGGTGACGCCGCGGCCTTTACTCCACGTCTCCATGGGGCTCTCTGGGCCGTCGGCGACGTCGTCTCGTCGCGAACTCATTTCTTCGGTTTGACGTATCATCGTATCCTCGAACTTTTCCCACTCCAACCCGAGCGCGCCGAGATCATCATCCGCGCTCATCGCCGCCGTCATTTTCTTATCAACCTTCAACATGCTCGTGTACACCTCCCGAAAAGTTTCGTTGACGTTGAAAATTCTTCGTTGCGCCTCAAAAATTTCCTCCGTCGGTTTAAACATCGCCTCATCCACGTCCTCCTTCTTCACCGCCCCTTTCGCGATATCCGCCTCGAAATAAAACTTCCGCGTCGACGCGACGTAAAACATCACGATCGCTCGCTTCTGTCCCGTCGGCATATCGTTCGCGCTCGCCCAGCACACCCGATACCCTCTGCACCCCGGCAACGGCGTGTGCGAGTCCAAAAACGTTATCGGCGCCTTCCTCGACGTTTCGTCCCACATCGCCTTCCGCCAATTAGATATCCCCTTCAATTTATTCCCACGGCTCGCGTGCGCGCGCTTTATCACCGCTCGTCCCTCGGGCGAGCTCGGCGTTATGAAGTTCCACACCAGACCCAGGTTCTGCCACGTCTCCAGCGCGCTCCATCCCTCGTTGTTCGTCGTCTCCGTCGCCTGCGGCGCGTCCGCGTCCTCGCCCGTCGCTCGGCGCACCGTTCGCGCGCGCGTCTTCGTCGCTCGCGCGCGCGTGAGTCCTCCGCGCGCGTCTCGCGTCTCGCGTTCGTCGCGCGGATTCGTTTCGCCGCCGCCGGTTCGTCGCGCGCGTGGGCCTTCCGCGCGCGTCGTCGTCGCGCGCGCCCGCGTCGCCGCGCGACGCGCGCGCGACGTCGGCGCGATCGCGATCGCGCGCGCCGTCGCGTCGAGCATCGCGAGCGCCGCGCGTCGGTGAGTGCGGCGTCGCGCGGCGGCGGCGAATCGACCGCCGGCGCGGGGGGGGGTCGTCTCGATTCGTGAACCGTCAACGGTTTCAGGCACATTCAGACGCGCCGCGCGCCGACGCCAGTCGTCGACGCGCGGTCGACGCGCGCGACGCGATCGACGCGCGTCGCGTCGCCGGCATGCGCGCGGTCGCGCGCGCCGTCGCGCGACGCGTCGAGCGCGCGCGAGGATTCGCGACGGCGCGCGGAATCGCGGACGCGCGGACGGCGACGCGCGCGCGCGGCGTCGCGCGCGGGACCGCGGGCGCGCGACGCGGACGCGGGACGCGCTCGTGGGACGCGGGACGCGCGCGGGACGCGGGACGCGGGACGCGGGACGCGGGACGCGTTCGCGGGACGAGCGCGCGAGACGACGGCGGCGGCGGCGTCGACGCGGAGGGACGCGTGTACGACGAACCGGAGGTGTACGACGTCGCGTTCGGATTTCGTGATTTCGAAAAAGAGATTGAGTTCGTCAGAGAGTGCGCGCGGCGACACGCGAGCTACGGAGAGGGAGGGATTGGGATGGACGCGACGCGGACGGTGGCGAGCGCGCTGGAGCTCGGCGCGGGGCCGGCGTGGCACAGCGTCGCGGCGGCGAAGGGAGGGATACAGGCGGTGGCGCTGGAACAAAACGCGGCGATGCGAGCGCACGCGATGAATAAGTTGGCGGCGCTCGGAGACGCGGCGCCGAGGAATATACGAATCGTGGAGGGGGATATGCGAGACGTGGCGATGGCGCCGACGACGAAACCCGAGGGCGGGTTCGACGTCGCGCTGATGTTGCTCGGTACGGCGGCGCATTTGTTGACCCACGACGACGCGATGCGGTGTTTTAAGTCTGTTCGCGAGAATTTGAGACCGGGCGGTCTGTTCATCGTCGAGCTCGAGCATCCTTGGGATTTGTTCAGCGGCGAAATCGCGCAAGGCCAGGGCGACGCCTGGGAACGCGTCGACGAAGAAAAAGGCGTTAAAGTCTACGTCGAGTGGGGTCGAGACGGCGATAACTTTGACATCGAGTCACAAATTTACGAACGCACCGTGTCGTTTTCCCTCGTCGACGCCTCCACCGAAGCCGTGCTCAAGATTGTGCAAGAGGTCGTGCCGTGCAAAATTTTCACCGCCCCGGAGATGGTCGCCCTCGCGAACGCCGCCGGCTTGGAGTTCGCCGCCGCGTACGGCGACATGGACGGTCGCATCGCTTTAGACGACGAAAACGCGCACAATATGATCATGATTTTTCGTAGGCCTAGCTGAGACGTTTGAATCCGAGACATCGGCGCGCGTCGTTCGCGTCCGTCGCCGCGTCCCGCTCGTCCCGCGTCTCCGCCGCGCGGCGCCCGCATTCACCCGCGCGCGCGCGAACATGGCCGCGATCGCCGTCGTGTGCGGGGCGGCGATAATAGGCACGTCGATGCGTCGCCCGCGCGCGCCGTCCGCCCCGCTCGCGCGCGCGTCGCGCGTTCGCGACCTCGTCGGTGACTTCAGACTGACCGCGGTGACCTCGCGCGCAGGCGTCCCGCGACGCGCCGCCGTCGCCGCGGCGTCCACGGTCGGCGCCCTGGGCTCGCTCACCACCCTCGCGCTGGCGTACCGCGAACCGCTGAACCGATGCCGATGCCGCTCGATGGACGCGTCGACGTCGAGCGGCGCCGACGCCGACGCCGCGCCGTCGACGCCCGAGCGTCGACGCGCGCGCCGCGGTTGGTACAGAGCGCACTGCGCGAGATGTCGCAAGCGCACCAAACTCGGCGTCGCGCTGAGTTTCATCTTCTCCCCCGCGTACGTCGCGTGCGCGAGCGGTGCGACGGCGTTCGCCGCGCACGCCCTCGGGCAGACGGCGGTTCGCGGCGGCGCGCGCGCCTATCGTCGATGTCGCGCGCGCGCCGCTCGTCAACTCCCGTCACCCTAGCCATCGTCTCGCCTTCTGTCGACAATCGTAGCGTAGCACTCTTTTTCGCGCCTCCTCGCGCGTTTTCGCGTCCTCGCGTCCTCGCGTCCGGTCTCGCGTCCGGTGTCCGGTCTCGCGTCCCGTCTCGCGTTTGAACGTTTCGGATATGGTGGCTGCTTCCATCGGACGTCGTCGCGCTTTCGCGCCGCACTCCGCGACGCGATGGCGCCTCGCGAGATCTCGCTCGCCGAGGTCGAAAAGCACGTCGCGTACGATGACCTCTGGCTCGTCATCGCCGGTAAGGTGTACGACGTGACGGCGTTCATGGATGACCATCCCGGCGGCGGCGAGATCATGCTGAACGCCGCGGGAAAGGACGGCACGGACGATTTCGAGGACGTCGGACACTCGCCGAACGCGTACGAACAGCTGAAGAAGTTCTACATCGGTGAATACGCGGGCGGGGCGTCGGGACGCGCGGACGGGGGCGTGAAGAAGAGCGCGACGGGAGGGATGACGACGAGCGGCTTCGGCGCGCTCGGCGCGACGCTGTTGCCGGTCGCGGTGTTGTTGTTAGCGCTCCTCGCGGCGTACGTCGGGAGGTTGTAAATAAAATATGGCGTTTCGCGCGCGCGCGACGTCGCTCGGATGCGTCGTCGCGGCGTCCGCGCGGTCTCGAGTTCGACGTCGCTCGTTTCGTCGTCGCGGCGACGGCGTCCGAGTCAAACCTCCGCGCGCGCCGTCGTCACAACGCGTCTCGCGCGTCGCGACGCGCGCGCGTCGATCCGCGCGCGATGTCCGACGACGCGCTCGAGGACGCGCTGCGCCGCGCGGCGCCTCGCGGTCGCGCGGTGGCGCACTTCGGCGTCGGGAACGAGCTGTTGGTGTGCAACCTCGACGACGGCGCGCGCGCCGAGGCGCCGCGCGCGTGCGCGTGGGGACGCGCGACGGCGAGCGGCGCGCGCGTCGCGGCGTCCACGTCCGCGGCGCTGCTGACGCTGCGAAAGCGAGAGGTACGCGCGGAAAGCGACGAGAGAAGGCGATGCGATGCGATGCGATTCGTCTCGCCAGAGGGGGACTTGGTTTTCAAACGCGAGACGCGAGACGCGAGACGCGAGACGCGGACGCGGACGGTGACGCGAGACGCGGGAATCTGGACGCCGGTGACGCGGTGATGCGAATGACTGACGACGATGGATGATTTCGCGGCGCGCAGACGGCGTCGCTCGAGCGCGGGACGTACGTGGAAGACGCGTTCGCGAGCGCGCACGAGTTTAGTCGCGCCGTCGCGGACGCGCTCGAGGAGGCGTCGAGTTCGAGCGAGGGCGATGGCGACGGCGTCGCGCTCGCGCGCGCGGTGTGGGAGCTTTTGGATGTGTACTTCATCACCCGCGGCGGTGGTTTAGGCGTGGGCACGGACGCGGTCGTGGATTGGTATCGCGTCAACGCGTCGAGCCTGGCGCTCGGAGAGGCGAGCGCGAGCGGACGATTGCGAGAGTTGGTGGCGCGACTCAAGGAGAGCGCGAGACCGGAAGAAGCGAGCGGGTATTGGGAGATGATCGTCACGATGGTCGCCATCGGTTGGACGGAGGCGGCGAACGATTTGTTACAAATGCACAGCGCGTGGGCGGAGTGGCGTTTGCGCAAGACGAGCGTGCAGCCGCAAGTGGAGCTCATGGAAGCCGCCGGTGCGCTTTTACGCACGCTGCCGAAACTCGGTGGCGAAGAGGGCGCCGCGAATTTGCAGCAGTACGCGGCGTATAGACATGAATGGTTGCGCCAAGTGAAAACCGTGCTCGCGGAGGGAGGGCTTTTCAACAACTGCTGGGGCCCGACGGCGGACGGCGTTCGGAACGTTCTTCTCGTGTTGTCCGGCGACGAGCGAACGATCGTTTCGAGCGTCGGAAATTGGGTGGAGCTCATGATTGCGCAGCTGCAACACATTCATCCGACTTTGAAGATTCAGGGTGAACACGAGAGCCTGGCGCGCGCGGCGTGTCGATCGAAGGGTAAGTTGGTCAGCGAGGCGTTAGATTCGCTCATCATGTACGCCATCGCCGGTGACTCCCAAGGCGTCATCTCGGTGTGCTCGAGACACTTAGATTCCTGGTTCATGGCGTACTCAACGACGCTGCTGTCGCGCGCTGGAGGCGCGCAAGCTGACGTCTTGAGACGACCGACGGCGTCCGGGGCGAGCCAGAGCGAGTTGTACATGCTCGAATACTGCTCCTCCTTAGCGACTTCGGCGCAGACACGGGACTTAGCGGTGCGAATTCTAGCGGCATGTTGCTCAGAGCGCGGCATAGAGATGATGGCAACGACGCTCATGCGTCTCGCGGTGACGGAGGATGAAGGAGAAACCGAGGACGACGCGCCGGCCAAGGCGGCGCACGCGCTCGCCGTGGAAGTCGGTCTTCCGAACACCAGCGCACGCATCGCGAAGATGGCGAGCGAGCGCGCGCGAGCGAATGGGTACGTCTCACTCGCCTTTGACTGGCTTCGAGTGTCACAAAACACGGTGGGAAGCGACGAGCTTGCGAGAGGATTGGCGCAAGTCGGCGCGCTCGGGGACGCCGCGGCGACGCTCGCGCGCGTGGACAAGTTCATGGAGAAACACGGTGACCAAGTCCTCGTGAATGCGAATCGCGACGTGGACGTTCATGAAAATGCGGTCGACTTTTTCCGCGCGCGCGCCAAGTTCAACGCCGCGATGAAGATCCTGAAGACGTCCGTCGCGCTCGACGAGCGCGCGCGCGTCGCGGCCAAAACCGCCGCTGACGCCCTCATCGCCGCCTTAGCGCCGAGATCCACGCCTCCCGAGCTTTGGACCGCGATCATCATCGACGCAATTCCTTTGTTCGAGGGCGCTTTCGACGCCGCCGAGCTCTTCTCCCCCGCGTCTTGTCGTCTTCTCTCGGCGCGCGCGCGTTTCGCCGCCGATCTCTCCCGCGCATCTTCCTCCGCCGACCTCGACGCCGCCTCCGCGCGCGCGCCGAAACGAGTCACCAAAATCGATCTCGCCGTCGCCGCGTGCGCGCTCGCCGTCGCCCGGCTCACCAATCGCGTCGCTTTCGAAGCCTAGCGCGCGCGCGCGTCATTTCCATACAACACTCCTAAATCCCCTATATTTCCCAAATCTCCGCGCGTCCCGGTCGGGGGAACCAAATTTTTCGTCGGTTCGGTTCGTCGCGCCATCGCCGCGCGTCGCCGCACATCACGTCGCGCGCGCCGACGCGCTCGCTCGTCGCCGCACCGCCGCACGGTCCGTACCGCCGCGAGCCCTTCACCGCGCGCGCCATCGCGCCGTCGCGCGGGCGCGACGCGTCCCGCATCATCACCATCGCGCGCGAGGGGAACGCCAGCCGTTAGCGAAACACGACATCGCGACTGACGACGGACGATCGCGTCGCGCGCGCAGGCTCGAACCGCGCGAAAACGCGCACGATGAATGAAAACGCATCGCGCGGGCGGAACGTGCCGCATGGCGCGAAAGAAGGTGCGCGAGGACGACGGAAAAGGCTCGGGACACGCGCTGGCGATGTCGACACGGGAACGACTGGGACTGACCGCGGGACGCGCGCGCGAACAGGATTGCGGTCGCAAGGAGGCTTGGCGCCGGCGGGGAATCGAGCGGCGCTGTCGAACATCGGGAATATGATGAATGGGGCGCAAGGCGCGAGACAGACGCGATCGGCCAAGGCGAGGTACGTTTGTGATGAATGCGAAAAACGCGCGGGCGCGCGAGCGCGCAACGGATGCGCTCGCGAGCGCGAAATAGAGGGAGAGACTGACGATGATTATTGTGTACGCGCGGCCGTAGTCAAACGACTGAGAAGGAACAAGCGCCGGCGGGAATGTTGAACGCGTTCGGGCAGAAAGCACAGCAAGTCGCTACGCGATGGGGACGCACGGCGCAGCGCACGAGCCACGGCAAACCGAGAGACGGGAACCAAACCGGAGGGTCGATGACGACGGCGGGCGCGGATGTGGACATGCGCGAGTCGTATTCCACCTATCTCGAGCGAAGCGCGGGGAGTGGGGATGTCATGACGGATGCATTGCCGGATATCGATCTTTACGATCACGACAATCCGCTGTGCGCGACAGAGTACGTCAACGACATTTACCAATACTGGTACAAAGTCGAGCCGGAGACGCAGGTGTCCGAGACGTACATGCTCATTCAGGGCGACATCAACAGCAAGATGCGCGCCATTCTCATCGATTGGCTCGTCGAGGTGCACTTGAAGTTTAAACTCATGCCTGAGACGCTGTTCTTGACCACAAACTTGATCGATCGATTCCTCGAGTTGAAAACCGTGACGCGCAAAAACTTGCAACTCGTCGGCGTCACCGCGATGTTGGTGGCGAGCAAGTATGAAGAGATCTGGGCGCCGGAGGTGCGCGACTTTGTTTACATCAGCGATCGCGCGTACACGCGCCAGCAGATCCTGGAGATGGAAAAGCAAATGTTGAACGCGCTCGGGTTCCACTTGACCGTGCCCACGCCGTACCAGTTCATGAACCGTTTCTTCAAAGCCGCCGGGGGCGACCGCAAGTTTCAGTTGTACGCCTCGTACGCCGTCGAGTGCGCGTTGCCTGATTACAACATGTTGCAATATCCGGGTAGCACGTTGGCCGCGGCTGGTGTATACATTGCGATGAGAGGGCTTCGAACGGGGTCGTGGAATCACGTCATGGAGGCGCACACACGACTTTCTGAGGCGGAAGTCTACCCGTGCGCGTGCGACATGGCGGAACTCATGCGCAAGGCGCCGACGGCTTCGCTCACCGCTGTTTACAAGAAGTATAGCAGTGAGAAGTTCATGAAGATAGCTTCGCTTCCGGTGCCGCACGATCTTCGACTCTGAAGGAAGAGCTAGGCGATCTTTCGCCACCGAGAGGGTGTTCGCGTACCTCTAGCGCGTGAGAGAATTGCCGCGTGTCTTTCGACACGTCGTTTCTCGCGCCGGATGGATCGTACGCGTTGGGTTCGATCGAACGTTTATCGTTCGATCAAAAATTGAGTCATCTCGTAGGTTCGAGACCGACTTTCTGATCATCACGCACATACACACACGTAAATGGATAACGTAAAGAGTTGCCGGTGTAAAATTAGTTTTCAGTCACAACATCTCGTCGCCTCGCCGCGCTTGCCAAGTCTACACAACTATCTTCGCTATGGTTCCATCTATCCCATCTATTACCTAACTCTCGAGACCGCGTGTTCAATCGCGAGGACATTCGCCCTGTAGGTTGCATCTCTCATTAACTTCCCCATGGCGTTCGATCGCAAGTCCTCCGTGAAGACGAAACACTTCGGAATCTTGAAGCGCGCGAGTTCCGATTTCGCGCACCAGTCGCGAAGCGCCGTTCTGTGCTCTGCTTCGGTATCCGACGCCGTCGCGCGAAGCTTCACGATCGCCACGACGGCTTCACCCCATTTCCTATGCGGCGCGCCGATCACGACGGACGCCTCGACGTTCGCGTGCTTGTTCAGAATTCGCTCTACTTCTTCGGGCGAGACGTTTTCGCCGCCAGATTTTATCATTTCCTTTGCGCGGCCTCGTAACCAAACGCGCGAACCAGTCTCTTCGCCCCGTGCCTCCCCAACCGCGCCGAGATCACCCGTGGCAAACCATCCGTCTGCATCGAATGTCTCCGTGCGATCAACGCCGACGTAGCCGAGCATGAGCGACGACCCCCGAACGAGAAGCTGTCCTTCGGCGTCCGTTTTCACCTCAACCCCTGGAGCCGCGTTTCCCGCAAACGTTGAATCCGCATCCAGTTCAAACCGCGCGTCCTCTGGCGAAAGAAACGTCACCGATGATGTCGTTTCCGTCATACCGTACGCCATCGTGACCTTAGCGTTCGGAAAGACGTGCCGAATCGAGTTGTACAATTCGTCGGTCAGCCGCCCGGCGCCTACGAGAATTTTCCTCACCGTCGGAAACACTGTGTCGCCACCGCGCGAGTCCACGAGCTCGCGCATCATCGCAGGCACAGCGATGAACGCCGTGACGCCTTCGTCGACGATGATGCGCAACACGAGGTCCGGATCAAACTTATTCACGAACACGTGATTCGCGCCCGCGGCGAGCGTCGCGTGCGCGCTCGACAACCCACCGACGTGATATAGAGGCGCGACGTGCAGATACGTATCCCCCGCGTCGTATCCCACTACCTCCAACTTCGCCCGCGTCGCCGCGCACACGCTACCGTGCGACAGCATCACCGCCTTCGGCGACCCCGACGTTCCGCTCGTGTAGCACATCGCGCACGCGTCGTCCGCGCGGCGTCTGTACGCCTTTGTCCAACCCTCATCCTCATCGCCCGACCCCTCCTCGGGCGACGCATCGAACACTACGATTCCAACGTCCCTAAATCCCGCTTTCGACCACCGCGCGTCGTGCGCGTCGTCCAGAATCACCACCTCCGCGCCCGCGTCTCGCGCCGCCGCCGCCGCCTCCGCCGCGTCCCAGCGCCCATTCAACGGCGCCGCGCACGCCCCGCACTGCGCGCACGCCAACCAGTACCTCAGGAACGTCTCCGAGCACTCTATCCCGAGCGCGACGACCGCGTTTCTCGCGCCGAATCCCGCGAGATCGCGCGCCGTCGCGTCGACCGACCGCGCGAACGCCAACCCATTCGTCGCGCGTTTCGTCGCGCGCGCGTCGCGCGTGTCGTCGCGCGCGTACGTCGCGAGCGCGGCGTCGGCGCGCGCACCGCCGATGTATGCGCCCGTCCGCGCGTCGCGCGCGCCGCCGTACGCCGCGAGCGCGCGATCGACGACGTGCGGACGCGCCGACATGTGACGCTTTTCCGGTCGCCGGTTTCGCGAGCGTTTTTGAAGCGTTTCGAACGACCGAACGGCACACCGCGACGGCGCGAGATGGTGCGCGCGGTGGACGCGATCGCGGAGGACGCGGGAAAAAAAGCGACGCGCGTCGTCGCGTCCAAGGGGGAGTACGACGCGATCGACCGGGCGGCGAAACACTTGGCGCGGACTGAAAACTGGATGGATGCGTACATGCACTTTACGCTGTGCGTGAACGATCGCACGGCGCACGCGGAGGAGTTGGATCTCGCGAGAGCGCTCGTGAATCGGTCGTTGATGGCGTTGAAGTTGACGGATTACGATGGCGCGCGAAGGGACGCGAATGGGGCGGTGGAGCTGTTGAAGGGCCTGGTCGCGAGCGAGCGCGAAGGAGAGTCGAACGCGGCGAGGTTGATGGCGAAGGCGTTGTATCGCTCGGGCGTGGCGAGCATGGGATTGGGAGCGACCTTGGACGCTGTCGCGGTTTTGTTAGACGCGAGGAGAATGGCGCCGAAAGATGAGGATGTGCGGTTGAAGTTGGTTGAGTGCGCGGCGCGCGTGGAGATGACGGAGGCGTGCGCCATGTACGCGTCGACGATTTCGGAGGGCGAAATGCCCAACCCAGTTTCGCCGCGGGATGGGAAATGGCTGAAACCGGTGAAACCGGAGTCAGAGCGCATGAGTCTACACGCGATGGCGCAGACGTTGGTGGATTGTGCCGTGGGTGTAGAATCTCGTTGGCGCTCCGAGCTCGCCGAAATATTTTTCCTCTCCATAGGCGATTCTCTCAAGACGAGCGCGATGCGACGAGGCTTCTTGAGCGGCTTGCGCGCCGAGGCGTACGCACACGTCGGTAACTACGCTCAGGCTGTGAAGGACTATCGCGTGGCGTTGGCGTACTATCCCGCGTGGGCGCGCGCGTATCACGGTTACGCGCTCGCCATCGAACAAGACCTCGTGCACAACCACGTGTCGCGCGTTGAAGTGGCGAGCCAGTCGTCGCGAGGTGCGTACAGTGACGCTCTGATCGTCGACGCCCAAGTCGCGTCGGCGCTGTGGATGAAGCGTGCGTTGGAGTTGGATGCTACCGTGGAAGAGTACGGACGAGAATTTCTTCGACTTGTCGCCAAGCTCTCGAGTGAGATTCGCGACGTGCTCTCGCGCGAAGAAACCAGCGTCGAGGACGCGCTGAAGTGGCTCGATGAGGACAAATGGGAAAACGTGCCAGAGTACATTCGCCCGCGTCCCAAATACTACTACTTTTACGAGATGATGAAGGCGCGGATTTACGAGCACTACCCCGAGCTCCCGCAACCCGTCATGGACAAGTTGTTATCGCTCGACGCCGGCGAGTTGGATCTCTTACTCCAATACCCGCGCGCGATTCGGGGCCAAACCGAAGAATTCCTCGACGTGTACAAACGTGAAGGTGGCGAGTACTTGGCGACGTACAAAACCCCAACTCTCACTTGGGACGAGGTCAAGGCGCTCAAAGGCAAGGGCACGCAAGGCTTACTGCCGAACGGCGGTCGCGACAAATTCGCGGCTCTTCCCGAGGAACGCATCGACCCGGGTTCGGGCTTCTTCGAAGAAAAAGACACCGATCACGCAATGTTGGGCGCATCCGGTGAAGACGGCCTCACGCGCGCCGAGCTTGCCGGACTCCCGACCAAACCGTCGCTTCCCCCCGACCAGCTTCGCGACGAGCAAAATCGACTCGCCGCCGCCGCCGCTCAAGACGCGCCGCGCTTACCGAGCGCGACGCCATCGCGCGAGACGACGTCTTCACCCTTAATTAAGCGTATAGATAGACTCTTGGAATGATCACGTCCTCGCGCGTCTTTGCTCGCATCTCGAAGCGCCGTTCGCCTCGCCTCGCGTCCGCCTTCGTCCCGCTCGAGGCTTGTGCTCTCTGGGGCGGCGCGTCATACCGCGCCTCGCAGCGCCTCGATCGTCGGCCGCGACGCCCGACGCGCTTCGCGGCGCACCGAACGCGATCGATCGACCGTTCGCCGCGCCGTGCGCAGTCGCGCGCCGTCACAGCGCGCGAGCGACGCGACGATCGACGACATCGCCGCCGGCATGACGAATACCGGCGGCGGCGCGAAAAAGCCGCGCAAATCGAGCGCGCGAGCGCCGGATGCGAGCGATGCGAGCGCCATGGACTGCCTCACGCGCGACCCCTCGAAGATCACCGCTCCGATCGCGACGTTGGAGGATAAATACGAGCTCCTGCCGGCGTTTCTCAAGGTGAGAGGGCTGGTCAGGCAGCACATCGACTCGTTCAACTACCTGGTGAACGAGGAGATCAAAAAAATCATTCACGCCAAGGCGAACGAGCGAGTGACGTGCGATAGTGATCCAAACTTTTACCTGAAGTACACGAATATACACGTTGGACGACCGAGCGTGGAGGAAGATTACGTGGTGGAGGAAATAACGCCGCAGCAGTGTCGATTGCGAGACATGACGTACGCGGCGCCGATTACGGTGGATGTGGAGTACACGCGTGGGAAGGAGATCGTGACGCGTCAGGCGAAGAATGGTGTGGGTGGCGTCGTTATTGGACGGATTCCTTTGATGCTGCGAAGCTCGCGGTGTGTGTTGACCGGAAAAAATGAGGACGAATTGGCGAGGTTGGGGGAGTGTCCGTTGGATCCGGGTGGATACTTCATCGTCAAGGGCGTGGAGAAAGTGATTTTGATTCAAGAGCAGTTGAGCAAGAATAGAATTATCATAGAAGTCGACGCCAAAGGAGAGATTGGGGCATCGGTGACTTCGTCGACGCACGAACGGAAGAGTAAGACAAACATCGTAGTCAAGCACGGAAAGTTCTACCTTCGACACAACACGTTTGCGGACGACATTCCAATCATGATCGTTCTCAAGGCAATGGGGTTGGAGAGCGATCAAGAAGCGGTGCAAATGATCGGATCGGAACCAGCGTACGCGATGCTTTTGGGGCCGACTTTACAGGAGTGTCAAGCAGCTGGAGTTTTCACTACGCAGCAGGCGCTAGAGTATTGCGCGAACAAGGTGCGCGTGGTGAAGACGCACATGACGAATAGACCGGGTGTGCGAAACTTCGGTAGATCGCGCGTAGATGAAGCGCGCGACATTCTTGCCGGCGTCGTACTCGCACACGTGCCCGTGACGTCGTATGACTTTAGGCAAAAGTGCGCTTACATTTCCATCATGGTTCGCAGAATTCTGAACGCGATGCTCGACCCGACGCAGATCGATGACAAGGACTACTATGGTAACAAGCGTCTTGAACTCGCCGGTCAGCTCATTGCCCTATTGTTTGAAGATTGCTTCAAACGTTTGAACGCTGATTTGAAGCGACAAGCCGACGCCGTGCTTTCCAAAGCAAATCGTGCGACGCAGTTTGACATCTTAAAGTGCATTCGTCAAGACACCCTGAGTAACGGCCTGGAACACGCAATTTCGAGCGGTAACTGGACGGTAAAGCGTTTTAGAATGGAACGAAAAGGCGTGACTCAAGTGCTGAGTCGACTGAGTTTCATCAGCGCGCTCGGTATGATGACGCGCATAACGTCTCAGTTTGAAAAGACCAGAAAGGTTTCCGGTCCGCGGGCGTTACAACCGAGTCAATGGGGGATGCTCTGCCCGAGTGACACTCCCGAAGGAGAGTCATGCGGGCTCGTAAAAAACTTGGCGCTGATGACGCACGTCACGACGGATGACGAGGAGGAGCCGCTTCGCCGTTTAGCACACGCGCTCGGTGTAGAACCGCTTACGTGGTTAAACGCCGGTGAGATGCATTCGCCGTCTGGTGCGCACGTTTTGATGAACGGTTCCCTGCTCGGCGTGCACGCGCAACCCGAAGCGTTCTCGCACGCGTTTAGAAAGCTGCGACGGGCGGGGCGAATTGGTGAGTTCGTTTCTGTGTACACTGCGGATGGATGCGTGTACATTTCTTCAGACGGTGGACGAGTGTGTCGACCACTCATCATCATCGAGCGTGGTGAGCCTTTACTGACTCAAGAACATCTCGACGAGCTGAAAGATGGTCATCGTACGTTCAATGATTTCCTACGCGAAGGATTAGTCGAGTACCTGGACGTGAATGAAGAGAACAATTCGTACATTGCGTTGTACGAAGACGAGGTGAACGACGAGACGACGCACTTGGAGATTGAACCTTTCACTTTGCTTGGCGTTTGTGCTGGCATCATCCCGTATCCTCATCACAATCAGTCACCGCGAAATACATATCAATGCGCCATGGGTAAGCAAGCGATGGGTAATATTGCGTTCAATCAATTAAACCGAATGGACACGTTGATGTACTTGCTCGTATACCCGCAAAAGCCAATCGTCAAGACAAAGACCATAGAGTTAATAGGCTATGATCGTCTCGGTGCGGGTCAAAATGCGACAATTGCCGTGATGTCGTATAGTGGGTACGACATCGAAGACGCCATCGTGATGAATCGCGCGTCTCTTGACCGAGGTTTTGGCCGGTGCACGGTGTTGCGCAAATACTCTGCGCAGGTGAAAAAGTATAGCAATAGAACCATGGACCGAATCGTCGGGCCCAAAGATGATCATCGCGCGAACCAAAATAGTCGACATCACTTATTAGATGATGATGGCATCGCCGCCGTCGGTGGTCGCATCAAGCCTGGTGACATTTATGTCAACAAGCAAACGCCGGTGAACACTCGGGATCCGATGGCGAATCCGCACGCGATGCCAGACACCATGTATCGCTCGAATCCGCTTTCATACAAAGGTCCCGCAGGTGAATCGGCGATTGTTGATAAAGTCTTACTCACAATGACGGATGAAGGGCAATTCAATATCAAGACGCTCGTGCGTCAGACGCGTCGACCAGAAGTTGGTGATAAGTTTTCTTCTCGTCATGGCCAGAAAGGCGTTTGCGGCATCATCCTCGATCAGGAAGATTTCCCGTTCAGCGAACGTGGGATTACTCCTGACCTCATCATGAACCCGCACGGGTTCCCGTCACGTATGACGGTCGGAAAGATGATCGAACTTCTCGGCGGTAAGGCTGGACTCGAGAGCGGCCGCTTCCACGACGGAACCGCGTTTGGTGGAGACACGGTTGAAGCCATTCAACAAACCTTGGTTGAATCCGGGTACTCTTACAAAGGCAAGGACATGCTTCACTGTGGAATCACCGGCGAAGCGCTTGAAGTCAACGTTTTCATGGGTCCAGTGTACTATCAAAAGCTCAAACACATGGTTCAGGACAAGATGCACGCTCGCGCGCGCGGTCCTCGCGTCGTCCTCACACGCCAACCCACCGAAGGTCGAGCCCGCGACGGTGGTTTGCGCCTCGGCGAGATGGAACGCGATTGCCTCATCGGTTATGGCGCATCACAACTTATTTTGGAGCGTTTGATGATCTCTTCCGATCAATTCGAAGCGCAAGTCTGCACCAAGTGCGGCTTGCTCGGATTCCAGCACCACATCACCCGCAGGAACGCGTGCACGCTGTGCAAAACTGAGGCCGAAGTCGCGACGTTAAAGCTCCCGTACGCGTGCAAGCTCTTATTCCAAGAGTTGCAATCCATGAACATAGCACCTCGGTTATCTTTGACCGAGGCTTAGAAGACATTTAGTAGAACGAATCCAACTGACTTGGACCAACTCTCCACGCCTCGTCGCCTCCAGCTGGCGCCTACATGCGCCCCTACATGCGCCGCACACGTCCGCGCGCGCGGCAGCGCGCGAGCCGACAGGCCGCGGTCGAACCGAACGACATCGCGTCTGCGCATCTAACGCTCGCACCGTCGCATCGTCTCGCGCGCTCCGTCGTCTTCCGGCGACATGAGCGGCGCGTCCAGCGGCAGTGGCTGCAGCGGAACTTCATGCGTTCGTTTCGCGACGAGCGACCGCGATATATACGTTGGGTGCGTGATGACGCGTATAATGCGGCAACCTCACGTCGTGACCGCGCGCCGCGCGCGCGCGACGCGACGCGCGCGTCGAGAGAGCTTTGGGACACGGACGAGCGTTTAAACGAACTTTTACCGACGTTGACTCGACACGCGCTCGAAAAAACGACTGACGACGAGGCGCGACGCGCGCGCGAAACGTAGTTTGGGCATTTACGCCACAATCGCGTTCTTGGGGTTGCTTCTCTTCGGACGCATGCGACACGTGATGCCTATTTATTTCGGACGGTTGCGACTGCGAAATTTGACGAAGCCGCCGCCGCCGTTTCACTCGCGGAAGCGCGATGGTACGACAAAAGACGGCGTGTTTAAGCGTGTGATGCGATACTACTTTGGTTGGATTCCGCACATTTTGCGCGTGGACGATAAGACGCTGATCCAGACGGCGGGGCTGGATGCGTTTGCGTTTTTACGCGTGTGTCAGTTCGGGTTACAATTATTCGTGCCGTTGTCGATTTTTTCAATGATGATTTTGTTGCCTATTCACGTGAACGGGGACGATATGGTGCGCCAACACGCACAGTATATTGTCGCGAAAGTGAACACGACTGCGGAAGTGCCAGGCGGGTTGATCTTAACAACGGTGGCAAACATACCAGGTAAGCAAGGCGTGCTTTGGTTGCACACTGTGGGGATGTGGTTGATGGTCTTATACACGACTTGGCTTCTGAAGCAGCACAGTGCGACGTTTGTGGTACTTAGAACACTTTATTTAACCACTCGCGGCGACACCAATCTGTGGCGAGTGGTGCACCAACCGTCGAACTTCATAGAGCAGTTGCTCGTGCAAGGAACGCAGGCGGGAGCTGAAATCGACGACGATGAATTGCGCAAGATGAAAAGTGCCAATTCAGACGACATTAACGCGGCATGCGATGCGCTGGCGGCGATGGACGAGTATGAAGATGAGCAAAGAGGCTTGTTGAAGCGCGCTGTGGACGTAACTTCACACAAGGCAAAGTCGTTGCTCACTCGCGCGGCGTCGACACGGCTCGTAGACAAGAGGCTTGAAGATAAAGAGCGGCGTCAGAGTTTGCACGAGCTCGACACTGAGCCATCGCCCACGCATGCATATGGCGATACGCTAGCGTCATCGACGGTGAAGATATCACCTTTCGCGAGTACCCCTCATCTATCGCCTTTTGGTGGGCCGACAGCGCGGCGACTCACGCCTCCGCAGGTTGGCAACGTCGCGCAAGGCTTGAAGGGAGCTGGAACTTTGTTCAAGTCGCCCGCATCTGCCGACGCAGACGATCGCCAAATGGCCCGGAGACCTTCGGTACCTGTAACACCGACGCTCGGCCGGGCGTCGACGAGTCAAGCTTCTTCACAACCTGAAAACAAAACAGAGCCGGGACCGGTGACGGAATCACGGCACTTTACTTCGTTTACTTCGGGTGAAAACTCGGACGACCTGGATCTGAATGTCAATCCGCCTGTTTCAGAGCCGCCAGCAGTTGCTAAACGAAGAGAACGACGAAAGCTCCGGATGGGTTCGTTTGGATCGTTGGGAGCGATGCCGGCTTCCGTTAGTCAAACGCTTCGAGAGCACGAGGCGGCGCAGGCGTCTGGTATGCACCGCGTGACTTCTCGCGAAGATATCGGCACGAAGCAGCTCATGGAAGGTGTCATCAATCAACGAGGGAGTGCTGACAATTTGGCCTGGCTCGTAAGCCCTACGAAATCGCCGCGACGTGGTAAACACAATCGAATGCCTACGATGGAGGACTTGCCTGTGGAGAATATTGCGCTCACTCCAGCTGTGAAGAAAGCGCTCGCGAGAGTAAAGTCTCTCGAAGACGCGGGCGAGGCCGTTCGCTGCGGCGGCCGTGGCAGTGAAGGTGTCCAAATTCGCGCCGAAACATCGATCGCGCACGATTGGTGGGTCGGCCTGGACGTTACGCACCAGTTTAAAGGAACGGGATCCAAACCTAATCCTCGCACTGATGGACGACCACTAGAAGTTCCAGAGCGACAAACGATGGAGGGCGAAGAGCCGAAGAGAAATCTGACATCTTTATTCGACGATCCAGAGTCTCCTCTCAGCGCGACGTCTCCGGTGACGCGGGCGTCCTTGTGCGTGGGCGATTATCTACAAGAAGCTCCGTCGGCGGTGCCCGATGTTGACAGTATACGCACCGTCAACGCGTTTGATACGAACACGAATCAAATCGTGAGTGTCTGGGCGTCCAGCTACACGGTTTTAATCACCGATATCCCATTCGTTCGAGCCATGGGCGAAAATGGCGAAGAGGTGAGAGTACGCGGCTTGCGAGAAGTTGAGGCGACGCTCGAGTATATTTACGGCGATGAGTTCAGAGGCTTAATACCCATCTTTGATCACCGTCCAGCGGATGCGCTTTTGGACAGCCGTGATGAATGTAAGAATATGATAACGAGAATTAGGATGTTAATGGCGCGCGAGGGCATGATACCGGAAACGCAGTCGCCGAAGGCGTTGACGTACAAATTTGGGACGAGACTTTGCGAGGTTGAAAAAGGAACATTGCAATTGGGCCACAACTGGAAAGAATTCAAAAAAGCTTTCGCCGATGTGCTTAGGCCTCCGAAAAATTTGCGTAAGCTCGCGTTGTCAGAGCAGGTTGCGGTTTTGGAAGCGCAGCTCGAAGCAATTGATGAGGCAATCATCTGCGTGCGCAAGACGACTTGGGAAGGGTCCCCGGGACCTTGCGCCTTTGCAGTCTTTGAAAACCAGGTCTCCGCGAGTACGGCAGCGCAGTGTGTTATTTCGCGCGCGTCGCACAGAGTATACCGCGCTCTACCCGCACCCGGTCCGGATGACGTCAATTGGCCGACGCTTCTACACAATTCGACAGATAACCGTGCCCGAGCGCTCGCTATCTGGCCCTTCATCATAGCTTTGATGATCTTCCCGACCGGTATGTTCGCGACAGCGGTGACCAGTGTGTGTCAGGTGCGCGAAGGAGATGATGTTATCAATAGCGGGGCAGCTTTGGACTGGTATTGCTCGGATGATGCCAAGGTTTACGCCGCGATAATCTCGGGCGTCCTCCCACCGATTATCCTTACGCTCTGGGAAGTTTTTGTCATCTCCTTCTACATGATGTATTTGGTGCAGAGACAAAACGTTCATGTATCGTTAGCCGCTACAGATCGTCGATTTCTACGTTTCTATTGGGCGTGGGGGGCGTTGAACGTATTGCTTGGAGGTATCTTTGGCGGCGCGTTAAGTCTCTTCACGACGACGCTTAGCTCGAGCAACGTTTCGTTGAACGAGGTACAGTTACAATTTGGTCGCGTCTTGCCGCTGAGCAGCAATTTCTTCTTGCTTTTCATCGTTTTCCGCGCAATCTACCTCCCCGTGCAGCGCCTGTTGCTCCCCCACCCGGGATCATTCTGTCTGGCGGCTGATATTTTCTGGTGCGAAAAACGCGGCTCGTGCGCGCGAACGTCGCGAGACAAGACTCGTCTGTACTCTCCACGAGCCGTTCGCATGGGTCGCGAAACCGGCGTCTTTATGCTCATCATGGTCATTGGTTTGACATTCGTTTGCATCGCACCGCTCATTCCACTCGCCGCCGCCTTGTTTTACATCACCAACTTCGTCATCTGGCGTTACCACGTCTTGTACGTGTACGAGCGAGGATACGAATCAAACGGTTCGGTATGGTTCACGTTTACTCAGCTCGTCATCCTGTCTCTCGTCGTCGCCCAGACGTTCTTGTCCTGCGTGCTATTCAGCAAACAGGCGTACATTCAAGGCGCCGTTTTGTACGCCACCGTCCCCTATTACCTCTTCAAGGTCTACAGAAAGTTCCGCGCCGAATTCGGCAGCGCGAGCTCTTGGGCCGTCCCTCTCAGCGAAGCCACTGCGGCGCCGCCGACAGATTTCGGTGGCGAAATCTACACCCATCCCGCGCTTCGCCCCGCCGCCTCGGGATGGTTCCCGGATATCGGCAAGGTCTGGCGCGGTTATCCGGGCGTGACGTCCAAGAACAACTGATTGTAATCAATACACGAACGACGCTCGCTCGCCGTGGTTCGTCGCTAACCAACTGAGGCCCCCAATGCGATTCCCCACAATCGCGCGTGAACGTCTTAAACATGCTCGCGCGAACGCTCGCGTCACCCGCGCGCGTAAACACCCACGCACGATCGATTCGTCGCGCGCGAACGACCGGCGTGCGCCCGCACGCGTCCGCGCGCGTCTCGACCGCGTCGTTCGGGACAGTTGTCCCAGCGTTGGGACGCGACGAACGAAAGACTGTCGTGCCGCCGCGAAGACGCGCGACCGCGCGCGTCGTGCCGCTCGCACGACCGCACGCGCGCACATCCGTCGCGACGCGCGCGACGGAGGCGCGCGAGCACGCGCATCTCGTCGCGTCGGTCGGCGCGCTCTTCGCGCTGGATAAAGGACTCGAGAACGGGCTGAAAGCCGCGGGCGTGAGCTTTCCGAGCGCGCTTATCGGCATGTTCGGGGCGCTGGTGATTTTGATGGTGACGGAGAAACTCGTCGGCGAGGACGCAGCTAATAAACTGAAGAGCACGGTGAGTCCAGCGCTGAATTGGATTACGTCGTGGTTGCCGGTGTTTTACGTGCCGAGCCTGGTTGTGACGCCGTTGGTGCTGACGAAAATCGCGCCGAGCGCCATCGCGAAAGTTTTAGTGATCGTCGTCGTGGGGTTCGTGAGTACGATCGCTTTCAGTGCCACGAGCGCGAACGCGATTCGTGGCATGACTGGGACGACACTTTTGCCGGTGGCGCCCGCGAAGGCGGCGCCGCCGACGGAGGATTACGTCTACAAAATGTGGGGTGGAATTTTGGCCGTCTCCACCGTCGCTGCTCTCGCGACGGGCGCGAATTCGGCGAAAGTGGTGACAATGCTCGCCGCCACGGTGTGTTCATTTCTTGTCGGCAACAGTCCCGATGTTAAGGCGAAGATGAACCCGATTGTGACGACATCGGTTTTGGCCAACGTATACGCGGCAGCGCTCGGTCTCGTGACGGGTGACGGGTGGATGGGTATGCTCGGTCTTTATCGCACCGGGGTTCCGTTTGGACTGAACAACATCGCCGGTCTCGGCGCTGGCGATATCTTGATGACTTTCCTGGGGAGTGTCATCTTGAGCTTTGCGTTCAAGGTGTTTGAGGCGCGGAAAATCATCGCTCGACACGCCGTCGAAATTTTCGGATGCCTCGTCTCTACGTCCATGTTTGCCATGTTTACCACCGCAGTCGCGGGTAAATATCTCGGATTGTCGTCTGCGCTCACTGCCGCGCTCGTTCCGCGGTCGGTGACCGTGGCGCTGGCAATTCCGGTCACGACGCTTTTGGGACATCCGGAGATGGTGAGCGTCACCGCAGCAGGCGTCGTTCTCACCGGTCTCATCGGTAGCTCTCTGTGCATCCCAATTCTCAACAAGGTTGGTGCGAAGGATCCGATCACCAGAGGTCTCGCTACGGCGGCTTCGGCGCACGGTTTAGGTACCGCCGCGCTCGTGGGTAGCGAGCCGAATGCGTTGCCGTACTGCGCGCTCGCTTACGCGCTCAGCGGCATCATCTCCAGCGTCCTTGTCGCCGTGCCTTTCATCCAAGCCGCGCTCATCGGTATCATCGGTGCGGCATAGACACACAATAAGTTAATAATACAACACAGGCAACTCGATTTGTTAATATACAGATTCTATTTTCCCAAGTTTTGCATCGGCGGCAGGTCGAGGTCTATTGTCTCACGGCGCCGGATGACGTAAAAGTCTAGCGGTACATCCTCACACTCTTCTTCAATCCCGACGCATAGGATACTATTAGAAATACCGTGATGCGTCTCGACGCGCCACGCGCGCTCATCGAGCAATTTCTGGAAGCTCGCCGCGCCCCCTCGCGAGTGCGGTGCCGGATTGACGACGATGGCGAGTCCATCCGGAGCCAGGTATCTATCGAGGGCGCGCAACACACCGGGAGCCATGGACTCTTCGTGCACGACATCCGTACCTATGATGACGTCAAACGTTCTCGCGCCGTGTCGCGCGCAGAAATCTTCATCGGCGTTCCAATCGAGCGTCTCGCATCGAACCGAGCGATTTCGCAAACTGTCCTGCTTCGACGCGTTGTACATCGTATTTCGAACCGCTTCCGCGTCAGCGTCGGTCAACACTACGTCCCATTTCCCATCGCCGATCTGCGCCGCGAACGCCATGCCCGCGATGCAGTTTCCGCCACCAATCTCTAAAAACCGCCTCGTCGCTCCCGCGAACGTGTCCGCGAACCATCGCGCAACTTCGGCCCTTGAAAACCATCTTCCGAGAACTAAACAACTGTGCCAGACCATCGCCGACACCGTTCGATCGTTTCGCACGCGCAATCTCAAACTCAACGGCCGCCACTGCGAGCCCACGTGCGCCGCGACCCACGTCGCCTCTTGCGCGCGCCCGAACGCCGGCCACGCCGCCCCCGGCGGCGGCTTCGAGCACGCCTCGAACACCTCCGACGCGCTCGCTCGCACCTCGCTCGACGATCCATCGCCATCGATCACGCGCATCAGGCTCTGATCGACGCACCCGATCGCGCGCGTCCACTCCTCGTCGTCGTCGACGCGTCTTCGCATCTCTCGCAGGCACTCGAGCTTTTCCTCGTCTGTCCCGACGCGCAACGTCCGTCCCCACGCGCGCGCGACCGCCGTTCGCGCGTCCGCCGCGTCGCTCGCGTCGTCGTCTCGCGGCAGCACGAGCATCGCGCCCGCGCGGCGCCCGCGCGGCGCCCGCGCGGCGCGGAATGTGGCGAAAAGTGGCGAAGCGCCAAAAGTCCAAATGTCGGCGGGACGCTTTCGCTGGGACATCGCTCGGGACGGACGCCGCAGAGCGCGACGCGCGCGAACGAGCGCGAGCGAAAGCTTCCACGCGCGAAAACACGACGCGCACCGTCGATCGACGCGCGCGAATCACCGAGCGGCAGCGCGCGCGCGCGCGTGCGATTCGAGTCGGATAAAAGATCGAACCATGAGTGACGGCGCCATCATGGATAAAATCGCCGCGATCGAGCTGGAGATCAGCCGAACGCAGGTGAACAAGGCGACGAGCTCACACATCGGTTCGCTTCGCGCGCGGTTGTGTAAGCTGCAGCGAGAGCTGGTCGAGCTCGCGGGACCGAAGGGTGGACCCAAAGGCGAGGGCTTCGACGTCACGAAGACTGGGGACTGTCGAGTGGGATTGGTAGGGTTTCCGTCCGTTGGAAAGTCGACGCTGTTGACGAAGTTGACGGGGGTCTTTTCAGAGGCGGCGGCGTATGAGTTCACGACGCTGACGTGCGTGCCGGGAGTGGTGAGTTTTAACGTTCGCGGTCGAGCTCGGCGACGAAGGACTGACGACGATTTTGCTTCGACTCGATAGATTAAATACAGAGGCGCTCGCATTCAGTTGCTCGATCTTCCCGGTATCATCGAAGGCGCGAAGGATAACAAAGGTCGCGGTCGACAGGTGATTTCCACGGCGAGAACGTGCGACGTGATAATCATCGTGCTCGACGCGTTGAAGCCGTTTACGCACCGCAAATTAATCGAACACGAATTGGAGGGTGTGGGCATACGCTTGAACAAGAAACCGCCGGCGATCACTTTTAACAGGAAAGAAAAAGGTGGGATCGCGTTCACGCCTAACCCCAACGGGAAGACAACCTTCTTGGACGAAGAGACGGTGAAGAGCATTTGCGCCGAGTACAAGATTCACAACGCCGACGTCAAGCTCTTCGCGGATTGCACGGATGAGGAATTGATTGATGTCATCGAGGGTAACCGCATCTACACCCCTGCGGTGTACGCGGTGAATAAGATGGACTCCGTTTCGTTGGAAGAATTGCAGCTCATGGATGACATGAAGCACTACGTCATGACGTCTTCTGAAAAAGAGTGGAACTTGGACGGTTTGTTGGAGAAGGTTTGGGAGTATCTCGATTTGATTCGCGTGTACACGATGCCGCGAGGTACGCAGCCGAACTTCGACGAACCAATCATTCTGCACAAGAAGAATTGCACGGTTGAAGATTTCTGTAACAAGTTGCACAAGACGATTATTCGCACGTTCAAGCACGCCTTGGTGTGGGGGACGAGCGTGAAGCATCGTCCGCAACGCGTGGGTAAGGAGCACGTGCTCGAGGACGAGGACGTCGTTCAAATCCAAAAAACGCACGGAACCTAATGGATATGTTGTCTTAGAACCTAGATACCCTATTAATTTCACTGCTACTAAAACGTCCAACTGGCGAACACTGCTTCCGCGCGTTCGTACATCATCGCGAGTTGTCGTGCCTCGTCGATCTCTGCCTTCGTCGGCATCGAAAACGGCTTGACTTGTTCAGCGAATAGCTTCTTTGCAAACACACCACGATGTGCGCTCGATGGTGTCCTCGGCGCGCCGTTCGCGATCGGTACTTTGTGCGCCACGGTCTTCGGCGCCGTTGGTGTCTTTGGCGATGCTGCGGTTCGCGTGGGCAGTTGCGTTCGCATCAAACGTTCATCAAACGTCACACGCGCACCGTTCATTCGACCTGGCGATAGCAGCGCAGCTACTAAATCGTCTTCGTTTTCTATTTGTTTCGGCTGACGCGGGGAAACCATCGGAGGCGTCTTTATGGCTGATTTCATTGGCCGCTCGGGAGACGCCGACTCGAGTCTGCACACCTCGACATCCGCGTCTTTCAGAGCTGACACCGGCTTTGCGGGCGAAACCACGTGACGCACGGTGTGAAGTTCATTTATTGCCTTAGCTCGCTCGTCCGCGGCTCCGTCGCGATTTGCCCTCGCGTCACTCCGCTCGTCCAGCGGCCGGTCGCGCGGCTGAGGCGGCGGCGACACCACGACGATGTCATCCATCGAATCCTCAGCCCATATATCAGCGATCTCCGACGCGCGCGCGACCGCATTAGCACGCATCGCCTCATCGTGCACGTGCGCATCACTTTCATCCGCCGTCGTCGGTTCCATCTCCGTGGCTTCCTCCTCCGTCGCGCGTTTCGAAGGCCGCAACGCCGCGCTCCACTCGTCCTCGTCCTCGTCCTCCGCGACTTCCTCCGCCCGCGTCGACTCTGACTCCACCACAACCTGTTCCTCATCGTCATTCTCATCCGCAGTAAAACTCTCAAACGTCTCCACGACCTCTCGCGCGGCATCCTCGCTCGCCTCATCCGCATCCTTCGTCGCCGTCGTTTCGATCGCCGTCGTCTCCTCGTCGCTCGCGCGCGCGTCTCCCGGCTCCTCCACCGCCGCCTCTCCGCCTTTGTTCGCCTCACCCGCGCTCCTCCACATCGTCAGCGTTACGTACGCTCCATCAAATTTCCCCCCAGTCAGCATCACGCACTGTTCGCGTCCGGAATCGAGCGCCACGTCTCGCAGCGGCGTCTCGGCGCTCCCCATGCACTTGTGTCCCCCGTGCCGCTTGTCCCACACGCTCACCCGCACGACGTCGTCCTCGAGCGCGTCGCGCGCGGACGAAAACGTCAAACGTCCCGCGGCGTGCCAGTCCGGTGCGCCGCGCGTGCGTTTAGAGCGGGTTTTGAAGCGCGCGCCCGCGCATTCGACGACGCAGAGCAGTCGCAGGATGCGCAACGCGCTCGAACTTTTGACGTTTCGCGCGCCGTGGACGACGACGTTGAGGCAGCCGTGCGGCGTGGGAGACGATACGAGTCGCGTTGCGTCCGGCGGCATCGCGCGAGGGCGCGCGCAGGGCGCGCGTCGGCGTGTGGAGCGATGCAATTTCGTTTGGATTCTAGTATTGGGACTACAGACGCGAGACAAACGCGCGTCGCTATGATCGCGGCGCTGACGACGCTCAACTCCACGTCGTGGCGTGGTAGCAGTTTAAGATGGGTTTCGACCCCGGGGGCATGAATTGCGTCTCACCTAACCCGCGCATGTTCCAATCCTTGTCCTTACCGACGACGCACATCTTGCCCAACAGCCACGCGTCGATCATGTCGGCGCCCTTGTGGCTGATGTATTCCTGTACTTTGCGCACGAAATTGTCGGTGATGACGTAAGATTGTAACCCCGCGACGGCGTTCCATTTGTTCCACTTGTATAAGTGCACGTCAACGGGAGTGCCGTCGTCGCCGTGGCCTTTCCACTGGTCCACCAAGTCGCCGCCGGGGGTGTTACCAAACGAGAACAACAATAAATCCGCGTCTTCGGGTAAGCGATCGATCGCTTTCTGCGCCTCAGCGAAGGGTAGATCGGTTTGTTGCACGCCGTCGGACTCAAAAATCAGCGCCTTCTTCAACTTTTGCTCCTTGACAAGCTGCCATTGGAACAAGTGGGCGTACATGCAACCGACGTGATGCGCCAACCGTCGCCACTCCACGGGCAACCTGCCATCCTGCGTTTGTTTACTCAACTCGATGATTTGCACCCACGGCAGCTCGGCGAGGACGTTGCCGTGCTGGGCGGCTAACGTACGAATATCTTTCACCGCATACTCCACCAAGTGCGTGTTATCCGGCCACGCCGTGGCGTCGACGCCTTTAGAAACCGTCACCAACCGCTTCAGCGTCTCCGGCTCCAACCCCGATCTCACGCGCATGCGTTCCAAGCTATCCTTCATCTGCGTTTCGTCATCCGTCGTGCCGACAGAAACGAAAAATATCGGCGTATTCAATTCGGGCGCTCCGAACCGCGCCATGACCGACCGACCGCGCTCGAGCGACGACCCCAGGCCCGCCAACACCCCGGATCGCGCGCGACCGCCCTGTCGTCCCGTTCGAAGCGTGCGTCCGAGGGCGTTCACCGCGCCGCCGCGCACGCCGAGTGACGCGACGACGTTGGTCGTGCTCAGCATCAGGAACGCGGCGGCGAAGACGCCGAGCGTGAGCAAGACGACGACGGTTTTGAATCGATCCTTGCGAATGCGCTGGGCGACTTCGTTTTCATCGCGCATGAGCGCGTCTGTGGCGCGCGCCTTGCGCGCGCCCTGCGTAAACGTCTCCATGGAGAGTCTTCGAGCGTTTGGGCGCGAGAGATGGGACTGCGTGCGCGGTTGTTGCGAGCGGACGAGTGAAGACGAGTTATAGTGTTGGAGTTCGCGTTTCTTTTTCTTACAGTGCCATCGAAGTCAATGACTGCCCTCTAGGATTGCGTCGATAATGTAATCCAACTTAGGTTTCTCTTGGCGTGCCACTATTTCTTGATCTTGCTCGTGCTGTCGCCACATGTTGCTCAAATGAGATGGGCGTAGATGGTACCATTTTTTCGCCAAATCGACGTTTGTCCGGGCGTTGGCGGCGAAAACGTTCTTACCGCGCGCGTCGTCTGCTAAAATCGTTTTCCACTTGCCACTGCCAAACTTTTCCACGCCCTCGATCAGGGCGGTCTCTTCCTCGGGCGTCCAGTTCTTCGGGCGTCCAGGCGCGCGTCTTGTTGTTTGTCTCTCGTATTTTCTCTTACGAGTTGGGGATTGCTTGACACTGGTCTTCACTGGCTGGAGTCGATTGACGCGGGGCACGAGGTAATTGCCAGGCGTCGCCTCGATTTCGATTTCGTCGTACTCGTCGTCGGAGCCGGTTAAAGGTGAGCGCGCGTGTGCTGCTCTCACCGACACCAGTCGTTGTGCCTTCGGATACACTTTTCCTTGCCGTTTGAGCGGAGCCGGTTGTATTGTCTGCGTCGGCGCCGGAGACGGCTCCGTCGGCGCCGGAGATGGCTCCGGGTCTTCATCTTCATCTTCGTCGTCGTCTTCGTCATCTTCGTCAGTATACGAGCCCGTATGCACTTGCGTCGGAGATGGCTCCGGGTCTTTGTCTTTGTCTTCATCTTCGTCTTCGTCTTCGTCATCTTCGTCAGTATACGAGCCCGTAGGCACTTGCGTCGGCATTATTTCTTCTTCTGATTCGTGCTCGCTGGGGGGCGTGTCGTCTTCAAGAGTTTCTACTTCGTCTGTACGTCTTTCTTCTACGTCGTCGATGGTTTGCGACGCCGTGATCCGCGATGACTTGCCGAGCGGTGATTTGCCGAAGGGTGATTTGATGAACGCTGGCGCGTCCACCGATTTGCGCACCCACGAAATAGTCTTCGACAGCAAGGCGCCTAATCGTCCCGGAGACGAACGAGGTTTGGCCGGAGATGTTTCTTCTGAATGAACTCGCTTGGTCGATGGCGACGAGACGAAAGCGTCCGCGTTCGTCTCGGCTCGGCGCTTCACGCCACGCGCGCCGACGTCAACCCACTCGCGCACGCCATCATCACGCTTACCCAGCGTGAACCCTGGCTTTGCGCGCGAAGGCACGTAATACGAGTTCGCCAAGTGCTCCTGCACCGTCGTCAACGTCGTCGCTTTCCCGCAAAGCTCGGCGCGCAAGAGCTCGAGCGCCTTTTTCACCAACGCGCGCGACGGCTCGTCCCACTCCTCAACCTCGCACAATCTGTGATAACGATCCGCAGCCTTGCGCGTCCACGCGTCCTCGATGCGATCCAAGTGCTCGTCCACGTCCCGACCGTGGACGCCGAGCAAAGCGTCCTTCCACTCCTCGACCACCCGTCGCACCGCGTCTCGCGGCGTCTCGTCGCGCGCCGAACGGCGCTCATCGAGCCCTTCGCACGCCTCCCGCATCCCCAGCACCTCGATCGCTCGTTCCGCCGCCTTCACGTACGCCCGAAACGCCTCCGTATCCTCGCCGATCAAATCCTCCTCGTCGCCGTCGTCCTCCTGAAAGCACGCGTCTCTCGCGCGCGCCATCGCGTCTCGATGCGCCTCCAGACTCTTCTCCGTCTCCTCTCCCTCCGCCCCTTCGATCGCCGCGATCGACGCGCTCAGCAGAAAAAAATGTCGCACGCGCTTCCGCGCGCGCGCCGCCCGCGCGCCCTCGCCCGCGAGTCCCACCGGCAGCAGGTTTCGCAGCGTCGTCGCGTCGACGCCCGCGCTCGCGAGCTCTTCGATCGTCCAGAGCATCGCGTCGCGCGTCGGTCGCGCCGTCGCGCGCGCGTCGCGGGTCGCCATCGTCGCCATCGCGTCGATCGTCGCGATCGCGCGTCGTCGTCCGCGTCGTCGTCGTCGCGCCGCGGTCCGCGCGATGGTTTGAATCTCGTCGTCGTCGGCGACGCGGCGAGGTCGATCGCGGCGATCGAGGCGGTGACGGTTCGCGTTCTCGGGGCGACGATTCGCGTGGATTGAGCGATTGGGTGCTCGATACAGCGGCGCGCGCGACGGCGATGCTGCGACGATGCGCGAGGACGGCGCACGAACGCCCGATCGCGTGCGCGTCGTGCGTCGCGATCGCGACGACGGCGTGCGCGCTCGCGTCGTACCTGGGCGGCGCGATGGAGTTTCAAGCGCCGAGCGAGCGCGAGTGGGTCATCGCGAGGGATGGGATCACGAGCGTCGCGGACGCGGCGCGGATGGCGATGAAGACGCTGGACGGGTGCGCGCGACGAGACGAGATCGCGTGATCGAGGACGGAGCGGGAGGGGGTCGAACGAGGGAGATGAGGGGGGTCGAGGCGCGGCGGTCGGCGTCGTCGAGGCGAGGCGAGACTGACGAAACGCGCGTCGGCGGCGCGAACGCAGGTACGCGTCGAATGGAAGCGCGGCGACGGCGCACCAGACGCGCGAGAGGTCGGAAGAAAATGCACGCGGGACGTTTATGTTTCAGTGGGAAAGCTCGGTGCGCGGAAAGAGTGTGTTTACGAGAGAAAACTTGCTGGCGATGCGAGACGTGGAAGCCATCGCGCTCGCCAGGTACGAAGATTTTTGTCAAATCGAGTACGATGAGCTCGGCATCGCGCGCGGATGTGTGCCGTATCTCTCGCCGCTGACGTATTTCTTCGATCAAGATGGAACGATGGTCGACGACGTCGACGCCGTTGTGCGGGACGTATTCGCGACCAATTTAAGCGCGTTTGGATATTTTCTAGGCGATTTCGACTCGACCGCGGCGACTGTCGGAATCACGCGCGCCAAGTATCCCGTTGGGACACCGTTTCGTGGATTCGTGAGTTCGAGTGACAGACCGGATGAACAAGAGGCGATGCTCGCTTCGTTTCTTGACCCCATCGAGACCGCGCTGTTTCGTCGATACGGCATGCGAGGGAGCTTCGTCAGCTCTCCTTACATGACGTCAACGCGCGAACGCGCGAAGGGGGCTACTTTGATCACCCGTTGGGATGCTGAATTCTTGCGTGAGCGCGACTCAGCCCGAGTGATTGCGAGCGACTTGGCGTGGGCCATTGCCTCGATCGCCGCGGTGTGGCTGTACATGGCGTTCAACACGAGATCTCTGTTCATCGCAACGTGCGGCATGTTTGAGATTCTCGTGTCCTTCCCGATCGCGTTGCTCATCTACCGTTTCATTTTTCGCATCCCATACGTCGGAAACATTCAAGCGCTCAGTATATTCATTTGTCTCGGCATTGGTGCCGATGATGTTTTCGTGTACTTTGATGCGTTTCGTCAGAGCGCGACGGAAGCGGAAGTCGGCGATGCTCTCTTCGACCGCCTGATGTACTCCACCGACAGGGCGTCGAAAGCCATCTTCGTGACGTCTTTCACAACCACAGGAGCGTTTTTAGCCACAGCGTGGTCACCGATAACGCCACTGGCGGCTTTTGGGATAGTTTCGGCGACGATGATCGCTGTATTGTTCGTCGTAAACGTGCTCTTGTTCCCAGCCGCTCTCGTGCTTTTTGCACGATACTTCGAGAACATGACGTGGCGCCAATTCTTGCCGGCGAGCAAAGAAATCAACGAAAGTGAGATCGTCGAATCAAAAGAACTCGGTCGTGTTGAACGATTCTTCCACGGGCCGTTCTATCAAACGCTCAGGCGGCCATTCGTACGATTCGTTACGATCGGTGCGTTCACGGCTATGTTCATCGTCGCGGCACGATTTTGCGTGCGTCTTGAGACACCCTCCAAAATCGAGCGCTGGTACTCATCGAAACACCTCGTACAGCAGTTTAGTGATCGCGACCAGACTGCCTTTTTGCGTTCAGACGACGACTTGGTTGTGGCTGTGGACGTGTTCTGGGGCTTGCTCGGCGTGGACATGTCGAGCGTTTCGCAATGGGATTTGGCGTCGAGGGGCAGATTGCAATTGGACGAATCTTTCGACGTTTCCGCAGAGGTATCGCAGGTACACATTTTGAATAGCTGTCTCACGCTTCGTCACGCGAGCTGCTCTTCGAGAGGATGTAGAGATGGTCGACTCACGCGCGACGTGGATTGTTTCATGGAGGCGTTTCGCGATTACGTGGGCGAAGAAAACTTTCCAGTTCCTCGAGACAGCTTCCTCGACGAGCTTTGGGAGTTTCGCTCGTCGTCGGTGGGATCACGATACGCGCATCAAATTGGATTTCGACCAAACAAAAACTCTGGTGAACCCGAATTATTTTTTGTGAAAGTATCCACGAAATCGACCCTCATGCATCAAGCGCCAGCGAGCGTCTCTCGAGGGGTGCACGACGAATTCGAAGGTTTGATCCGAAATCTGAATGAAGTCGCCCCAGACGGCGTAAAGAGCGGGTCACAAACTGCATACGTCGCTTGGACATGGATGCGAATGCAAGAGACGTTGGTGGATAATACATTTCAAGGAATTAGCATCTGCTTTTGTATGGCGTTTGTCGTCTTATGCATCAGCACGGGGAACGTGTTGGTCGCGTCCATTTGTTCAGTGAGCGTCGCCGGCGTCGTGGTAAGCGTGCTTGGGATCGGCGTTTATCGAGTCATGCACTGGAGTTTAGGGATTCGCGAAACTATTGCGGCGGTCATTCTCATCGGCCTCAGCGTGGATTACGGCGTGCATTTAGGAAACGCTTACGTCGAGGCGCCGGCGGCGATGAAGTCGAGAGGCGATCGAACGCAATACGCGCTCGCAACGATGGGCGTGTCGATCGTCGCCTCAGCGGTGACGACTGTTATAAGTGGTTCGATCCTTTGGCTATGTACCCTACAATTTTTCGCGAAATTCGCGTTTTTGATCACCACGACAATCGCGAGCTCTCTCGTGTGGGCGCTCGTCTTCATATCGCTTCTTTTAATCACGCTCGGTCCCGAGGGCGAAGACTGGAAGCTCAAAACTATATGCGGTTGGATAGGAGAACGCGCGTGTATCATGTTGGAAAAGTTAAAGAATTCAAGGTTGGAAGAAAGTAGTAGAACGCGCGGTTCTCGAAAGTAAAAGTGAAGGAGGTATTTTATCAAAGCAGCAAATCATCGATCGGTAGCGCATCAATCATCTCGAATACTCGTTTCGTCACGAACACGCGCGCTCACAAATGTTCCATCGACTCTGCGTACTGTTTCAGAGTCGCCTTCATTCCTTCGATAATGCGCACGCATTCTGTCACCCGACGAATCACGTAGGAAAAGTAATCGGCGTCGCCGTCCGCGTACACTTTCTTCAAGATGTTCATCGTTACCGTGGGCACAATTTCATCGCTGCCGATGTCGTCACAAAATTTTGCCAGTAAAATGCAAATGATGGCCTTCGCGATCACGCTGCTTTCGAAGTAACACAGTGCACTTGCATCGTACAACACCGTCGTCGTCAGAAGCTCGGCTTCTCTCAAGATGGCGATTCTCATGTCGATATCGAAACCGTCTCGCTGCGGCCAAACTAACCCTTTGCAGTCGACTAACCGAAAGAAGATCGGGACGAAACAAAGCGGCGTTATACGCGAGACTTTCCACTTCAACTCCCGAAGGACGATGGCTTCCATCTTCTTCAGCGATGCGAGGTCAAACGAGATATCGTTCGACAGCTGCAATCTCGTACCCACACTATTTCGAAGATTGTTCGCGGGTTCTTCGAATTTGCAAGCGATGAACAGACAGGCCGCCGACAGCAACTGATACAGCCAAAATGAATCGTTTCCGATCTGGTATCCGCTCGTGGTCAAGAAATAGTCCATGTATCTAACCGCCAGCGACGCTGTGACGACGGAAAAATCATTCATGATGCCGCTTCGAACGATGCCTTCGACCAATCTGTAGCGCACGTGTTGGACCGCGCGCAGTCTTGAGTTATAGTCCTCACGCGTAACTCGCCCCCACATCTCATCGTTCTCCGCTCTTTCGCGCGCGAGCATGTTTGCACACGTTAAGGTCTGATCGATAGCGCTGAAATCGCACGTACACGTGATGGCGTGTTTCAAGCACGCGCGCGTCGTCGATCCCGGCGCCGAGGCCCACCCGAGACGCAGCTCGCCCACCTTCAACACTTCGGCCGCGCCCTCGTCCAACGCGAGGTCAACGCGCGTCGTCGCGGTATCGTTATGATTCGCGCGCTGACACGCCTGCGCGGACGCGAGCGGCTCGCGCGTGGGCGCGTCGAGTGCGTTGTCTTCGCCGCCGCGCGCCGCTGGCGCCGAGGCTCTCGAGTCCGTTTCAGAATTCTCAAACGTGCGCAAATCCGTCATCAACGCGCGAACGCCGCCTTGAAGCGCGTGAGAGACACGTACTAACAAATGAGTGCGTCCTCGCGCGTCAAGCGCTGACGACCTTCGGATGGACGTGCGAGGCGAGGAGTGACGTTTCTCCAGCTGTGCGTCGAGAACGGTTTCGCGCGCGGCGAGACGGGCGTCGAGAACATGGAAGTGTTCGAACGGCGTGGTTTCATCGCAATTAATGGCAACTTTATTACATCATGAATATGGTATGAGTGCTAATACAGCGTGTTGTGTGCGGTGTACGCGGGCAAATGCTGCCTGCGATTAATTCAATCCGACTGAATCCCATCGAGATTTAGTGTGTTTCTGTTTGGCGGAGCCGAGCTCGCTGGCCAGGGACGCGATGACTTCGTTCTTGCGCGCGAGCGATTCCTGGAGGAATCGCATCTCGCGCTCCAAAATAGCTTCGACATCGCGCGAGCGTTCGTTGCGCTTGTTCTCCGAGTACGGCGCTTGATCGTGGAAAGATCGATCGAAGCGCTCTGTCGGGCTTGATCGACCCCAAGCAGGTCCCGCGGAGTTGTACGCGCGTGGATCGTCTCGCGGCGCGTGGAACTCTTCTAGCGGCGTCGACAACGCCGGTTCGTCACGCGCAAAACGCGGCGGAATGGACAACGGAGGTCCATCCCACTTTCGCGGCGTCTGCGGCGATATCGCCGAGAACCTCTTCTCGTACGCGGCGATGATGGACTCCAAACTCGCCGTGTGCTCCTTGTGAGTCTGGCAAAGTTCATACATTTGCTTTTGATGCCTGTGGCGCTCGATCTCGTACTTATCTTGACGCTGCACAAGCGCCAAGATTGTGTCGTTGAGTCTCTGAAGTTCGCTTTGCGTCGATTGCTCGCGAACGCTCGTCGCGTTTTCGCGCTCGTCGCTTCCGCCGGAGAGCGTACGCTTCTTGCCGCTCGCTTCCGCGCGGGCGGTGTCGTCGAAAGTCATCGGGCGCGTCGCTGGCACCGCATCTGCAGCTCCAACGCGCTCGGAAACGTGGTACTCGCCGCGCGACAACTTGGCTTCGAGGTCGCGCAGGCGCTTCTCCACCGCGGTGAGCTTCGCCTCTGACTTGGGCGAGCCCGTCGCGTCGCTCCTGACCGATGGACTTCGGGTCGCTTCCCGCGCCTTGCGGCGTTTTGACGGCATCGCAGACGTCGTACGATGCGTGGCGGCATGCGTGGGGTGATCGATATCGTTGAGCGCATCCCAGAACAGCATGTCGTCGTGCGCGTCGCCCAAGAAATCTGAGCTGTCAAAAATCGTCCCCGGCATCTTGAGCGCGCTGAACGGCGACATCCCTGGCGCGGGGTTCGGCGTCTTTTGACGATCGGGCGACGGCGTTGCCTTGAGTCCCTTGGCGGCGAGAACTTCCGCCGCGCGCTTCAGCGGCCGAATCGGCGTCGTCGCGCGCTCGGCCACCTCCGCCACCGTCGGCGTCTTCTTCGCCTTCTTGAAATCCGCCGTCGACTCCTTTCTCGACAACGCCGAAAGTTTCGTCGCTGTCGCCGCCGCCACAGCCTCCAAATCGCCTCTTCGCTGGATCCACGTCGGTGGTTCGAGGAACTCGCTCGCCTTGATCGCGTCGCCGCGCGCTAAAGAAAACGCGGGAGGCAGCGACTGCAAGGGCGGATGCCGCGCCGCGCAGGCTGGGTTCTCGTCCGCCGCGAAATCCAGCGCGTCTTCCGGTCGACCCACGCCCACGACTCTTCGCTCCATGACGACTTCTTTCTTTCGCGACTTGCGCTTAACGCTGACGTGGGCGTAGCCGTACACCTTGCGCTCGAGATAGTCTTGAATGTACATGTCCGCCTGAATCCCGCGCGCGCGCGAGTTCGACTTGGCGAACAACGCCTTCGCCCCGAACAAATCCTCAAACCGCACGTACGGTTCGTCCGCGTCCGCGTCCTCGCCCGCCTTCCGCGCCGTTCTCCCTCCCCTCTCGTCGCCCCTCGACCGCATCGTCACCTCCCCCGTCTCCCCGCTCGACGTCTCGCGATCGCGTCCTCGTCTCGCGTTCACCTCCCCCATCCCGCTCGTCGCCCGTCCCTCGCCCGCGCCTCTCTCCATCGTCTCTCTTCGCGCCTCCGCGTCGTCCCGCGCCGCCGTCCCTCGCCTCGTCGTCGTCTCGCCCGCGTCGCCGCCGCGCTCGCCGTCGCGCTCCCGTCCCGGAAACTCGTACGCGTCCTCCGGTTCGCGCGCGATGTGTTTCGTCGCGTGCGACACCGCCCGCGCGATCGTCGCCGGGTCTATCTTTATCTCGCACGTCACCGCGTCGCGCGCCGTCGACGTCGACGCCATCGTCGCGCGACGTTCGATCCTCGCGCGTCTCCGACGCGCTCGAATGAACGTCTTTCGTTTCCGCGTCGCGTCGCGCGCCGTCGTCGCGTCCCGTCGCGCGACGCGGCGCTCGCGAATCGCGAATTCGCGCGCGTCGCGGCGACGCGTCGCGTCGCGTCGCGCGGCGCGGCGCGCGCGTCGACGCGCGTCCTCCCGCGCGTCGAGGTATCGGTCGGGTGTCCGAGCGCTCGGAACGGACACGCGCTTCGGAACGGATGCTTTTTTTTATGTATCACGGTGCTGGAAGCATATACGACGCGTATTGAAGTATACGTACTAACTATAAAATAATGTATAAAATGATACATATGTAAGTATAGAAAAACGGTATACGCGTCCTCGGTGCGATGTACACCGCGCGACGCATAAATCGCGCGCGCGCGCGCGCCGCCGCCGGCCCGGCGAGGCGACCGCCGGCGGCCCGCGAACCGCGGCGCGTAGGCGCGATGGGCGGCGGAAAGGCGAAAAAAGTGAGCGCCACGGGGCGAGTGATCCCGAAGTCGACGCTCAAGGCGAAGCGAGGGACGACGCGGTCCGCGTCGTCGCGATACGTGACGCGGAATCAAGCGCTGCATCGACTGCAGCTCAAGCTCGGGGACTTTCGAAGGCTGTGCATACTGAAGGGGATTCACCCGCGCGAGCCGCGAAGGAAGCACCAGGGGCAGGGGAAGACGTATTATCACGTCAAGGACATCGCGTTCTTGCATCACGAGCCGCTGTTGGAGAAGTTTCGGGAGTTGAGGGCGTACGCGAGAAAGCTGAAGCGGGCCAAGGCGAAACAAAATTACGTAGCGCTCGATCGGTTGAGGGATAACACGCCGCGGTATGAGCTGAGTCATTTGGTGCTGGAGCGGTATCCGACGTTTCAGGACGCGCTGGGGGATCTGGATGACCCGATGGCGATGTGCGCGCTGTTCGCGGTGCTGCCGACGGTGAATCGGCACGACATCGCGCCCGAAATCGTGGAGAAGTCGGAGCGTTTGAGTCGAGAGTTTAAGTCGTTTTGCGTGCGAACGCACGCTTTGCGAAAGGTTTTTATTTCTGTCAAGGGGATTTACTACGAGGCGGAGATTCAAGGAGAAAAGATCACGTGGCTCGAGCCGCACGCGTTGGCGCAAACCATGCCCGAGGACGTGGACTACCGCGTCATGCTCACGTTTCTCGAGTTTTACCACGACTTGATGTCGTTCGTGAACTTTAAGCTGTACAAAGACGCTGGATTGCAATATCCACCGACTTTGAACGAGGAGATGGACGACGCCGCGGCGGGTCTGGCTGCCGTCGTGCACAAGCTCGCGAAGCAAGCCGACGCGGCGAACGCGCGCGCGCTGCCGGCGAATAGCGAAGCGGCGCGCGCCGTAGAATCGCGTGCGCAATCCCTCAAGGAAAAGCTCGCGTTGATCGCCGAACATCAAGACGAAGAAGAAGACGACGACGAAGACGCGCACATGGCGAACGATGACGACGAAGATGGCGGAGACGAAGAGATGACACCCGAGCAACGCGAGTGCGCGCGACTCTTCGACGGTCTCGTCTTCTTTATCAATCGCGAGGTTCCGCGTAACATGATGGTCTTCATCATCAAATCTTTCGGTGGCGAGGTGTGCTGGGATGGCGACGGTTCCCCGTACGACGCCGATGACTCGCGCATCACGCACGTCGTCATAGATCGCCCGACGAAGAACATGAAGCTGAATCCCAAAGTCGTGTACGTGCAGCCGCAATGGGTGTGCGATTGCGCCAACTGGCGCGTGCTCATTCCGCCCAAAGACTACGCTCCCGAATGCGAGCCACCGCCTCACTTGAGTCCATTCGTCGGCGCCGATGACGATGGGTACACGCCCGAGTACGCCAAGACGCTGTTGAAGCTCCAAGAAGAGACGCGCGCCATTAAAAACGGCGTGCCGATGATCAAGGTGCTCGACGACGCGGACGCGGAAATGGACGAAGAAGCGGAGGCCGCGGCGGAAGAGAAGCGTTACAGAAAAGAACTAGAAGCGGAAATAAAGGGGGTTTCGTACTCAAAGTCTTTGGAGAAGAAGGACGAGGACGAGGACGAGGACGAGGACGAGTCGGACGACGACGCCTCGGACGACGACGCCTCCGAAGACGAGGACGCCTCGGACGAGTCGTCATCAGAGGACGAGAACGGCGACCCGAAGAGTCGCCTCACGTTCGACATGGCGCTGAGCGAAAAGGACAAAATCATGCGCGATCAGCTCGCCAAGGGTTCGGACGAGGAACAGATGAAGAAGATGTCGTACATGCTCTTGCCTCGCAAAAAGAGAGAGCTGTACAAAGCCATGCAAATCGGTATCGCGAAGAAGGAGAAACGCGCGGCCGAGCTCACGAGATTGGCTAACGAGCACAAAGAGAAGAAACGCGCCGCCGCGGAGGGCGAAAAAGAAGAACCGAAGAGTAAGAAGGGTAAGACGACCAAGGCGGCGAAGACGAAGTCGAAGAAGTGAGATTGTTTTCGCCCCTTCGTGTTGTAATAGAACGCTGAAATCACGCGATACGTCGAAACGATGGAGGCGATGAACAAATAATTCGTGATCCTATTAAATTGCGCTCGCGTCGCTCTAGTCAAGCGGTTTACACAAGGCGAATGACGCCCATCTCCGCGTTATCCCCGCGGCGGCTCAACGTGCGCACGATGCGTGTGTAACCACCGTTACGATCAGCATATCGCTTCGGCGCTTGCTCAAAGAGCGCCTCGACGACTTCCTTATCGTAAATGAACGCCTCCGCCATGCGTCGCTTGTAGTCATCACCATCCTTGGCTAATTGAATCATGTGCTCCACCGGCTTTCGCATCGCCTTCGCGCGCGCCATCGTCGTCGTCACCGTTCCGTGGCGAAGCAACTCCGTCGTCAACCCTCGAATGAGCGCCTTACGTTGATCCGCCGGCTTGTTAAGCTTCGCGTTCTTGTTCCCGTGGCGCATCATGGTCCACTTCCCTTGCTCGGTCTCCACGCCGAACGTCGCCCCCGCGCCTGCGTACGCGAAACCCGTCAGTCACAAGACCTAAAACCCTCAAACGCCCCCCGCGCGCCGCGGCGCGCCCCCCCCCCCGCGCGCGCGCCGCCGCGACCCCCCGCGCGCGCGAACGCCGCGCGCCGCCCGAACCTCGCGCGCGACCTCCCATCGTCCCGCCCGCGCCGCCCGCGCGCGCCGTCGCGCGCCGTCGCGCGTCGTCGCCCCCCCGTCGCGACCCCACGCGTCGTCGCCCCATCCCTCGCGCGCGCGCGTTCGGCGACCCCTCGCGCGGTCCCCACGCGCGCTCGATCGCGGCCACGAATTCTCGCGCGCACCTCTTCGCGAAATCTCGCACGGACGCGCGGTGTTCATCCCACCGAGCGTCGTCATCGTCGTCGCGTGCATCGTCGTCGCGCTGTGACGTCCCGTCGCGCGCGCGCGCGCGCGAGGGTTTCGCGTCGATATCGTCGCGCATCCGATGGCGCTCGCGCGGCGTCGACTACGACGCGATCGCGCTTTTCTCTTCTATTTTTTTACGCCACGCGATCGATCGATCGCGTCGATCGCTCGCGATCGCGATCGACGCGCGATCGATCGCCCGCGATCGATCGATCGATCGCGATCGGTCGCCGCGGATAGGCCCGTCGGCGTCGTCGCGTCGCGCGCGTCACACGTCGACGGACGCGCGCGTCGTCGATCGCGCGCGGACGCGAGCGCGGCGCGAGCGAGGCGATTGGGTTCGGTTCGATGCGCGCGATGGCGCGGTCGTCGCGCGCGACGCGCGCGGGCGGCGCGCGCGGCGCGGACGCGACGCGCGCGCGGGCCGGCGCGGGACGGGACCGGCGCGCGGCGCGCGACGGCGCGCGCGCGCGACGCGCGGGCGCGACGACGCGGGCGACGGCGACGGCGTCGGACGTCGGGCGCGGGAAAGCGGCGATCGTCGTCGGGGGGGGGGTCGGAGGACTCGGGATGGCGTCGCGGCTGGCGAACGCCGGGTTTGAGGTGACGCTTTTGGAGAAGAACGGCGACGTGGGGGGACGGTGTCGAAGCGAGACGTTCGCGGGGGGGGGGGAAGGGTACAGGTTTGACACCGGACCGTCGTTGATGCTGCTTCCGGAGCGGTACATGGAGCAGTTCACGTCGGTGGGGGAGAAGATGGAGGATTACATGGACGTCGAACGCGTGGACCCGGCGTATCGCGCGCACTTTGGCGATCACACGACGCTCGATTTGTTGTACGACATCGAGGCGATGCGTAAGCAGTTAGATGAAGTCGAGTTCGGGGCGGGAGGGAGATACATCGATTGGCTCGGACGCGCGCGGGCGAGTTTGGATTACGGCGTCGCGGCGTTCATCGAGCGAGACGCGAACTCTATTCTGGATTTTGTGGATCTCTCTCGCGTCGGTCCGCTCGCGCTCGCGGTGAACCCGATCGATTTGTTGCTTCCGCAGTTTAACCAAATGGCCAAGTATTTCAAGGATGAGCGCTTGCGCGCGCTCTTCTCGTACCAAGAGTTGTACGTCGGCTTGAGCCCGTACAACGCGCCGGGCGTCTTCTCTTTGCTCGCCGCCACCGAGCTCACGGACGGGGTGTGGTACCCCAAGGGCGGGTTCACCAAAGTGCGCGAAAGCTTCAACGCGCTAGCGGAGAAGAAGGGCGCCAAGGTTCGCCTCAACAGCGAAGTCGCCGAGATTCTCACCGAGGAAGTGAGCGGTTTGGCGGACGCCAAGGGCGGCTCGCACACGGGACGAAAAGTCACCGGCGTGCGCTTGGCTTCGGGCGAGATAATGAACGCAGACGTCGTCGTCGCTAATCCGGATTTACCGTGCGTGTGGGATCAAATGCTCGACTCGGTGGGCGAGCCGGCGAAGAAGGAGAGCGAAAAGTGGGAAAACGCCGATTATTCGTGCTCCGTGCTCGAGTTCAACTGGTGCTTGAAGAAGGAAATCCCTGGATTGTTGCACCACAACGTTTTTCTATCTGGTGACTACAAGGGAAGCTGGGAGCGTCCGGCGACGGTGGATGACTTTGCAGCGCCGCGTCAACACAACTTTTACTGCCACAACCCGGTGTACACGGATAAGACGTGCGCGCCGGAGGGCGGTGCCTCGCTGATGATTTTGCTCCCCATTGCGAACATTAAAGAGCAAGAAAATATTTGCAAGAAACGGGGCGTTCCGGTGCCGAGTGAGACCGAACTCGTCGAGGCTGGCCGACAAGCCATCTTGCGACGCTTCAAGGAAGCGGGTCACGGCGACCTCACAGAAATCATCGCGCACGAATCCGTCACCGTGCCCTCGGAATGGCGCGACAAGTTCAACATTAAGAACGGCGCTGTCTTTGGTTTGTCTCACGGGTTGTTGCAGCTCGCCGCGTTCCGACCGCCGGTGCGCACGGGCATCAAGCAGCTTGACTCGCCCGTCGTCGACGGCTTGCATTTCGTAGGCGCGTCGACGCGACCGGGTAACGGCGTTCCGCTCGTGCTCATGGGCGTCAAGGTTGTCGCCGAACAAATCATGAAAGAAGCGGCTTAATTAAATCGATTGCATCGCGGGAACGTGTATTTAAAACTTTAGAAATATTCAGTCCTCGTCCGCGTCTCGTCTCGTCTCATCTCGAAGAGTGCCTTCATTTCTCCACACGCTCGATGTTCCTCATCTTCCTCGCCTTTCTCGCCATCTTTCCCGGCTCGATCGCCGCCTCAAACGCCACGCTAAACTGCTCCGATGTTAACGTCGTCATCGGCTCCGCCCTGCGCGACGCCTCCAAGGATTCTCTTTTTGCGACGTTGGCCAAGTTCAGTGAGCTCGACGCGCTCGTCGTGCCTGGCGGCCTTTTCTACGAAGTCACGGGCGATTTGACCTTCTTCGTGCCTTCTGACGACGATCTCGAAGACGAAATCGAGTACTGGAAAGACATCCTCGAACTTACGGGGGAGGAATCCGTGCTCGAGAATAAGGCGTACGTGCAAGAGATTCTTCGGCAATACATCGCGTACGGCAACGTCTCCGTCGGGTATCGCGGTCTGTTTGTCACCATCGATGGAAGCATTTACAACTGGACCGATGCAGACGGGAGTGGGATGTCCAAGATCGAGCTGCAGCCCGTGGGGGTGCAGTTGCTCGAGGAGTCACCGTTGATTCTCTACGTCAACGAAACCGACGCGCAAACCGAGACGTGCAGTCGCGGCATCGAGCTCGCTCGCGTGGTGCGTGATAGAACTTACGTGCGTATGGCCGTGAGACGATCAGTCAAACGAAGCGCGCGCGGGCGACGCGGGAAACGACGTTTGATGCGCAGATTACTCTCCCAGAGATTACAACAATTAAATACCGCGGTCTAACGTGGTCTCGTCTCGCTCGTAGGGGCGACGCCGGCCATGAGGGACGCCCGCTTACTCCTTCCGCCATTTACCCGTAAATAGTCGGCGGATACACTACAGAGTCAATGATTGCCTCGACTTGCGCGCGCCACTTGTCTTCCTCCGCGCGCGGATACTGCGCGGTGGCCGTGTACAGGTGACTGACTCGTCCGTCGTAGCCGAGACCGGCGAGAACAAAGAAAATGCTGTTAATTCCAGTCGACGGCTTGGCAAACTTGTACTCAACCTTGTAGTAATCGCCCTTACCTACCGAATCGATCAACTCGGCGAATTGAATCCTGTCCTCTTGTCCTTTCTTCGCCCGCGGTTTGTTCAACGGCACCACCAAGCCGTATCCGAACCCGTACGCGTCGCCGAGCGAGCCCATCTTCGTGAAATCCGCCCCCGCCGGCGTCGCGACGATCGTCACGTTCACATCCCTCGCGTTCGCACCGGGAGGGGAGATCGTGAACAAGTCACGGGCGCCTCCACCGAGGATTTCCTCGCTCGCCGGCGTCTCGCCCGTGGACGTCGTCCAGTCGCTCGGGTACTGCACTTTGAATTTCAGCTTGTCGTCCTCGTACGTCGTCAGCGCCGCCTCCGCGCGCGCGGCCTCGGGTTCGCCCATCGCCGACGCGCCGACGACGACGAGCGCGGACGCGAGAAGCGCGCGCCTCGAGCTGGAACCGTCGCGATGGTTTTCGGGGACGTCAGCACTCGCGCCGACATCGCGCGCGGTCGCGGACGCGCGCGGCGATGCGCGGCCCGATCGACGCGCGCGACGCGTCGGCGCGCGCACGTGCGCGCGCTGGAGCGCGAGTCCGCCGAGCGCGGGCATGGCTCGGCGCGTTCCGAAGTGTCGCGACGCCGCGGCGCGCGTCCGCGCGAGATATTTTAGACGAGTCACAAAATGTCTTACAAATCATCGCCGAGATCGAGCTCGACTTTCGTCCCGGGTTGATCCTTAAACGCGGGCTGGCCCAAGTACGGACACCCCGCGCACCGGAACGCGTCGCCCAGCGCGCAGTTCCCGCACGCGCTCACGAAGGTTTCCTCGCTCGCCGCCGTCGTCGCCTCCTCCGCGGCTTCCGCCTCCGCGCGCCCGCACGTACAATTCTTACACGCCTTCTTCCCCGCCCCGACGTCGCAATCATCATACTTCACCGGCGCCGTGTTCACGTCCAGCTCCGTGAGCAGCGCGCTCTCGTCGATGAGCTCGTCGTCGTCCGCCGCCGCGCTCGCGCCCCACGCGTCCGCCGCGTCCGCCGCCGTCGCGTTCACCCTCACCGCTCGCGATTTCAGCGCGAACGCCGTCCCTCGCGCCCAGTTCGGTTTCACGCATCGCACCACCCCATCGTCCTCGCGCGTGACCGTCGTGAATCCCGCCAGCACCATCGCCTCCGTCGTCGCCGTCGCCGTGCGCTCGTCGTCGACGACGACGCCCAGCGCCCCCCCCGCGCGCAGCTTTTCGCTCGCGCGCGCGCACGCCCGTCGCGCCTCGCTCGCGTCGCGCGCGCGCGCGAAGTACGCGTCGCACGACGCGCGCTCGAGCGCGTCCGCGTCGTCGTCGCTCGCGATCTCGCGCGTCGTCGCGTCGGCGCCGTCCGCGAGCGCGCGCAGGGTTTCTAAAATCTCCGCGCGCCGCGGCGCGGCGACGTCGCGCGCGACGTCGAGGGCGAGGACGGACATCGCGCGTCTCGTCTTCGCGTCGCTCCGCGCGCGCGCGGTCGCGCGGCGTCGCGGCGCGTCGAGGCGCGCGTCGATGTGTGACGTCGGTCGCGCGTCACGTATTTAAGCTCATTTTGGCCCATATAAGGGCTCCGTCACGGACGGGCGCGCCCGCGACCCAACACTAAAAAGGCTTGACGCGGCGTCATCTTCCGCACGCGCCGCCGCGACGCGCGCGCGCTCGGCGGTCGCGCGCGCTCGGAAGGACGCGAACGCGCGCCCGGCGCGCGTCGGCGGCCGCGCGCGCGCGCCCGGCGCCATGGGGTGGCTGTGGGGCGACAAAGCGTCGGTCGTCGATGGACAGGAATTGCAAGCGCCCGCGCGACACACGACGCCCGCGGGCGCGTACAGCGTCGCCGTGCGCCTGGTGGAGGCGAAAAACCTGCAGGCGATACAAGCGTTCAGCCTGCTGCAGACGCTGATGAGCTTTAGGCTGAAGACGCAGACGGTGCACGCCGATCGGTTGCCGAACGTGGTGGGCAAGGTGAAGCTGCAGCGCGCGGGGTTCGAACCGCAGAAGCGAAGGACGGTGATCGAGAAGGAGACGGCGTCGCCGCTGTGGAATCAGTTGTTTTATTTTGATCGAGTCGAGGTGGCAGAGGATGAGCTGGAGGCGTGTAACGTGGTGGTGAACGTGTGCGATAAGTCGAGAATCGGCAAGGACATGGTGATCGGGAGCGTGGACATAAATCTCGCCGCGGTGTACTTGTCGAAGACGCACGAGATTTGGAACGAGTGGTACACGTTGACGGATTTCTCGGGGAGGCGATCGGGGAGTCAAGGGGAGTTGTGCCTGTGCGTGACGGTGCTGCGAGACGGCGACTCTCCGCCGCTGCACTTGGATGAGAAATTTAGCGACGGCGAGGAGGAAATGGTCGAAGTCGGACAGTTTGAAACCGCCAAAGCTCGCGCAAAGCGCGTTAAACGCGCTGAGAAAAAAGCGTTGGAGAAGTTGCAACATGACGAGGCGGAAATGACTCGCAAGAATGTGCAAGCTTACATTCTAAAGGCGTGCGTGTACAGCGGTAGAGAGTTTCCGAGGATGGATAGGTTCGGCGCGGGAGGCTTGGATGCGTATCTCAAGATATCCTGTGGGTCGGCGAAAGAGGCGAAGACGCGAGTGATCACGAGTAAGAACCCGGATTGGAACCAGGAGATTGTCTTGCGACTTTTAGTGCCGGGCGGCGAGCAAGGTATCGATGCGATGCCGCCCTTGCGTATGAGCGTCATGGATAGAGACGTCATGGACGCGGATGATCACGTCGCTTCGACGGCAATTAGTTTGAAGGATATCTTAGATCGCCCGAAGGCGTACGAAAAACCGAAATGGTACTGCTTCTACGGCGGTTTACGTGGCATGGAAGTTGCGTTTTTTAGTCGCATGTCAAAGTTAGCCAAGAGAATGAACGCGGGATACGTGGACGGTGCAGCATACCGCGGTCGGACGTTGATATCGTTCACATTAGAGCCAGAGAACCGAAGAAACAAGCACGCGCGGGCGAAGAAATCGATTCCTCCGGTGTTGGCGAAGATGGGCAAGGAGTGGCGTTGTTTTCTTCACTCGCAAATCATGAACGTGGAACTCTTCCAAACGAAAGCTACGGGCAAAATGTTATCCGTCGACGTCCGCATGGGGCTTGAATCCACGTCATCGCCCTCAGTTATACTTCGAGGCGAAGGTGGATCGCTCAGCGCCGAGTGCTACGCCAACGTTCAGTGTAACTTGGCGCCGTTGTTGGTCAAGATTCCAACGCCTTTCGAGGGACCACTCGCGGGTACAGGGTCGCCAGACGTCTTTGTGAACGTTAATATTTTGAGTGGAAACGGCTCTCGACGTGTGGGTTATTGTCGCATCCCAGTCACCGAGCTCGTGCCGGTGAACGAAACGTTGCGACCGAGGGCGCCGCCGACGAACGCGGAATTCCCGTACGGCTGGAAAGTGCAAGGGTGGTTTCCTCTCAGAGCGGATGCACTCAGCAATCACAAGTGGTTTCATAGTCGCCGCGCCGAAAACGTCAAACCGATTGGGCAGGTACTTCTGCGTCTCATGATTCGAGGATCAAGCGCTGGAAAGCACGCGGCGGGTGAAGCATACGTCGACGAAGATGACGTCAAGAGCGTGGCTTCCGACGCTGAAGCAGCCATGGACGATCGGCGCGGGGATTTGGAGCGCAAAGCAGAGCTTCGTGGCGAGCGCCTCGCTGCAAATTTAGAATCAGAGTTCGTTGAACCTCTTCCAACTCGTCCATTCATGCTTCGGATGGAGTTGTATCAAGCGCGCGATTTACCGGCCGCTGACGCTCACGGTTCAAGCGACCCTTTTGCGGTGCTCCGAGTCGGTCGCAACATCGCGGAGACGAATGTGGTGAATTCAACGACGTCACCTTCTTGGTTCCGAGAGTTATTCGTTCAAGTGGATCTTCCACTCGTAGTTAAGGACAAGAAACGTCTGCCTGATGGTACGCTTGTCACCGACGGCGACGACTCGGATGAGGATAGCGAGGATGTCCTACTTGATCCGTCTCGAATGGCGGAAATTAACGCGGCAAATGATGGCAACTCGAGCGATGCCAGTTTTGATTCGCGCGATTACGATGTGGAGATGGCTGAAACGTCGACAAAACCTCAAAAGAAGAAAGAGAAGTTCGTCGGTAAAGGCGGCGGCGGCGGTGTGGGGCAAGAGTTTGAAGGAATTGCATGGTGGGCGGCGCCATCCTTGAATGTCATGGTTTTTGACAGAGACGAAGGATTGCTCATGATGGACAACGATCCGTTATCTGTGCTCTCGTTGCCTTTGATTCATCCTGCCGCTGCGGAAGCCGAGCGGCGTGGCGACGATAACTTTAGCGTCATCGCGTCATCTATTTTGTCCTTCTATTCAAAGTTCAGTCTTGATTCTGAATTCCCAGATAGATACGATGACATTGCAAATTACGAAGTCGGTGCGTTGTCGGCTGAACCCGAATGGTATCCGATGCGCCAGTTGAATCCAAAGAAAGGTTTGAGCGTCTCACCAATAGACGCGGGCGGTTACATTCTCATGTTTTATGAGTTGTTACCGATGCCCAAGGAAGGCATCGCAGCGTACGCCGGTGTCGCAGACTCTTCCTTCAAGGCGCTCGCGTTGATGAGGCTCAACTCTGCAGTACGTCCGCTCGAGGACCATTACGGCGCAACCGCTATCGCAGTAGAGCTCGTTGTGTTGGGTGTGCGCGGGTTGACACCTTACAGAGGTACTCCAGTCCATCGTCCTTGCGTCGAGTTTGAGCTCAACGGTGTGACGCCCTTGTACTTTGGTTCGCGCGCTCATCTCGCACGAACACGTCAGCAAATGTATCCAAACGGACCGAACGCAAACTTCAAGGGAGAGATTCTCAGACTGAGCGGAATGATGACGAGGCTCAATAAAGTCCGTCTCAGTTTATCCATCCGTGTGATGGATGGTCGGAACAGTTCGACGCACATCATCGCGACTGCCGAGCATGCACTTCGTGTCCGCGATTCCGAAAAAGTCGAAGAGGCTGAATTCGTGAGTAAACTGAAGTCAGTCAAGATTCGTAAATTGACTCCAGACGAGATTCGCGAGAAGCTCATGGCGGAGATGTCCGCGACTGTATCCGAGTCGGAGAGAACTTTCGGTACGAACACTACTTTGTACGAGGACGACTCTGACACAGTCACAAACGAGTTCAGCGACGCCGACGACGACTCTGAGTTATTCGGCGCGAGTGTTACTTTTAAGAATAAAAGTGGATCCATGAAACGGTCGAGTACAGCTATAAACCAGTCGACAAGCATGCTGGGTAGCTCTAAGAGTAAGATGTCGCGATTGGCGAGTTCGAAGTCTATGCAAAAAGGGCAAAAACAGGGAAAAAAATTGACGGAGCCGGAGTCTGCCGCGGGTTATCACATGATTCGCTCAATGGATGGCAAGCGGAAATACATTCCGCTTGAAGATTTCAGTAAGGAAAGACGCAAGTCTAAAAATCAGCTGATGTCTATCAAAGAAGTCGAGCGTCCAGATTCTTCCGAGTCAGACTCGGACAAGACTGAAATTAGCGGGACGGAGACGGAAAAGTCGTACGCCAGCAGCGAGAGCGATAGCGACGACCTCGGCAGTAGTACGTCGAAGGACGACAACGATGACGCGGAGTCGGTGGAAGAAGAATCGAGTGACTCCGATGCGGAGCAACAAGACGCCATCACCTTTGACGACGGCACCGGTAAGCTCCCGATTTGGATGGAGGGCCGAATGATCCTCGCAGGCGGCTTACTCGAGGACGAGCTGCGGCCCTTGCAGTTCATGTCCATCCCAGTGTACCATGCGAAAGGATTCGCGGACAACACATCTGAAAAAGAACTCGCGGGTGTCGTCAAGGTTGCCATCCGAAGCGTACCACTTCGGGAAGACACGAGTTTTGTCGCAGAAAACCTTCTCGAAAATAAGGTCAACCGAAAAAGAGCTCTCAAGGAGGCGCTGAACAAGAAGGAAAAGAAGAGGCGCCTGGATAGAATTCACGAGGAAGAGATGGCGAGATGGGAACCAGAGGAAGATTTCGCAACCATGGGTAAAGATGAGTTTCTTGAAGTACAGCGAATTGCGGGAGGAGGCGATTTGGCTTCCGCACCAACGGAGGTCACGGTTCGCGTGTACGTGATTCGCGGAAGAGACCTTCGAACGTCCGACCCGACGGGTTTGTGCGATCCGTATCTCATCGTCAATCAACGTGGTTTGAAGAAGCGTTACGGTAAGCGTGAAGATCGAGTCGAACGAACTCTTTCGCCGTGGTTTTACAAGGTTTTCCAGTTTCAGACCGACGTCCCTGGTGACTCCATCGTAGACATCAACGTGTACGATTGGGAAAAGAGAGGCAAGGATATATTATTGGGCACGTGCTCCATCGACATCGAGGACAGATTCTTCTCCCCAGTGTGGGTGCAAAACCTCTCTGAAACGCCACCACTGGAGATGAGACCGTTACTTCTTCCGGACAGCGACACTCCACAAGGCTTTTTAGAAATGTTCGTTGAGATCCATGAAGGTCACGACGCGCCTCCGCCGGCGTTTCCGTTGCAGCCGCCTCCGGTGATGGAAGTTGAACTTCGATGCGTCACGTTTGGCGCGCGAAAAGTCATGAACAAAGATGTCGGTGGTAAAAATGACTTGTTCTTCAAGCTTACCCTCGTCGGTCTCGATAGGACGCAAACTCGCTTCACGGAGGCGCAAGAAACCGACACGCACTGGTTCGCCACGGATGGTCGAGGCAGCTTCAACTTTAGAAACATCTTCAGGTTTGAGCTTCCGATCGCTCGAGGGGCTTTGCGAATCTCAGCGTACGACAGAGATTTGTTCAGCGCTAACGATGCCATCGGGGAAGTTACGATTCCATTGACGGGCATGTGCCGACAGCTCATGCGCGCGGTGGACAACTCGCCTGATGGAGAGTTGGCCACCGAGGCGACTGTGGAGTTTAAGTCGTCTTTCACAGACAGTTTATCGACTTTCAACATCTTCGACGGCGCGGCTGAAGGAAGGTGGTTGAAGTTGTATCACCCGAGCAAGCCCAACGAGTGCCAAGGCGAGGTGGAGATAATGCTCTCACTCATGCCGGTGCGCAAAGCTGAAGTCAGGCCCGTCGGCGCCGGGCGCGATGCGCCGAACCGAGATCCGGAACTCAGAGAACCGGTGCGCGCGAGATTGAGTCTCATGGACCCGCTCGGATCGCTTTCTTTAATTCTGGGCCCAGAGATGCTTCGAAAGATTCTCATCGTCGGTTGCTGTCTGCTCTTCATCGGCATGTTCGCTGGTTTGTCCGTGTTCATCATCAACGATTTCATCGGCGCGTACGTCACCATCGCGGTAAACCAACAGGCAAAGAAATTCGGTCTCGATACCGGCGGATCCCCTTCCGCGGGCCCACCGCCGATTGGCCGCTAGCACACATAGAATTTAGCTAAAAAGTTGTCGATCACAAGGTGATTGTAGGAAAACAGTTTTTGTTTCCGCGCCGATTCGATTCGCTTTGCTCGCGACACCGCGATCCGAGAGACACGAAGAAGACGACGCATGCAGGACGATTCGCTCGAGATGTGCGAGTCGTGCACTTGCGAACGATGGGCAAATAATATTTTGATATAACAAGAATTGAATTGTGAAGAACGATTGTCAGAATGCGCGCGCGCAACGGCTCGTGCCAGCCGGTGGCTTTTTTGTACTTTTTTTTCATTTCGCTGTTTGGCTCATCGAATGTTCCACGACGGATTGCTGCGTTTCGTCTTCGTCTCACTCGACGGCGAAGCGTCCTTGGTCGACGCGTCCTTAGTCGCCGAGCCCTTCGTAAACGAGCCAGACGCTTTGAGAAGGTTCTTTTCGCTCCGCACGGAACCTTCCGCCTGCAACGCGTCGAGCTTGCTCACGAGGGCGTCCACCTGCTTCGGCTCGTACCGCGTGAACCCGCAGGTGATGTGCTTCGCCACGGGAGCACGATCGAAGTAAAACGCTCCCGGTTGCAAGTCTTCCGTCCCGGCCGTCAAGAGGTAGAGAATCGTATCCGCGCCCTGCGCGGTCGTCCGAAGCTTCCCCGCCATGGACGCGTAAAATTTCGGCAACGCGTTCGCCACCCCGGTCGTCGCCACCCACCCCGGATGCATGGAATAATACCCCACGTATCCCCTTCCGCTCTTCACGCGCTCCTCGCCCACGTTCTCTAGCTCCAATCGCGCCCAACGCTCCATCATCGCCGTCTGGTGTCGCTTCCCGCGCGCGTACTGCTTCACCCCGTCAAACTTCTTCGTCCTCCGCATCTCCAAATCCTTCACCTCCAGCGGCTCCGTCATCATCCCCGCGCTCGACACGACGACGACCCTCGGCGCGTAGTACCCTCCCTCGCCCTCCAGGTTCGCGTCCCCCTGCGCCGTGCGTCCCAGCACCGGCCGCAGCCCCGCGACGAGGACGTGCGTCCCGAGCGTGTTCACCGCGAAGTTCCGCTCGAATCCCTCGCTCGTGTTCCCTCGTTCGTGCACCATCGCTCCCGCGTTGCACACCAGCGCGTGCAGCGCTCGTCCGCTCGCCGTGTACCGCTCGACGAACCGCCGCGTCTGCGCGAGCGAGCTCAGATCGCACGCGTGCAGCTCCGCGCGTCCGCGTCCGCGTCCCGTCTGGCTCGCGCGCGCGTTCAGCGCCTCCACCGCCGCGCTTCCGCGCGCCTCGTCCCGGCACACGCAGTGCACGCGCGCGCCGCGCTCGACGAGCGCGCCGGCGACCTCGAATCCGATGCCCTGGTTCGCGCCCGTGACGACGCACTCCGCGCCGCTCAGGTCGCGCTCGGGCAGCGCCGGCAGCCTGAGGCGCTCGAACGCGTCGCCGAGGTACGCCCTGTAGCCGTGCGCCGCGAACGCGAGCGCGCGGTACGCGCTCGTCATCGCGCGCGCCCGAATCTGACGCCGCGCCGAAGCGTCGCCGAGGTCGACCTCGGGACGCGAAGCGTCGCGTCGATTGTTTTTTTTTTACATCGCGCGCTCGGTGGACCACGCGCGCGGTTCGGCGGCGCGACAGGCGTCGCACACGCACTCGTCGGGCACGCCGAAGGCGTCGATCGTGTCGACGACGAGATCGGTGAGATCGACGGCGTCGCGAGAGGGAGGGAACGGGAACACCTCGGCGTCGCCGCTCGCGCTCGACGCGCCGTCCGCGGTGGAGACGAAATCTGGATCGAGCCAAGCGGTGAACGCGCACGGCGCGTCGACGACGACGACGTCATCGTCGTCGTCGCCGTCGTCGCGGTGTTCCGGAAGCGCGTGCGCGAAGACGACGCCGCACGACGCGCACGCGCAGTCGACGGCGCCGCGAATCGCGGCGGCGAGAAAAAAGCCGTGCGCCCCCACGGGCTCGACGTCGCACGACACGGTGACGATCGACCCGAACCGCGACGCCGTCCCGTCGCGGTGTCCGAGCTTGACGTCCAGGCGCTCGCAGGGCACGTCCCACGTCGTGCGAAACGGCGGTTTTTCCTTTAAACCTTTGTACGCGCCGCGTCGGAAAACCACCAAACGCCGCGCGCGCGTCGCGCGCGTCGAGCGTCGCGCGTCCGCGTCGTCGCGCTTCGACGCCCCGCGCGCGCGCGGCGTCGCGCGCATCGTCGCGCGCGCGGGCGCGGCGGCGTCTGGCGGATGATGGGGCGGCGCGCGGGCGGCGGCGTTTTTCGGTTGATTTTCGTCGGCGGCGAGACGCGGCGCGCGCGCGAAGATGGGCGCGCGAAGATGGGCGATGTTACAGCGATATGTACAATTTACAGCCAATGTGCAGCGAGTTTACGCGTCTATTGTGTGGTTGGTGGCGCGGTCCAGTACCGCGCCGTACCGTCGGCGGCGCACGTCGCCATCGCGGGCTCGGCGCCCTCCGGGGCGTAATCGATCGAGCACACCACCGTGGATCGGTCGTGGGCCTGAAGCTCGCGCACGACGTCGCCCGTGACTAAATCCCAAAACACCACGCGGCCGTCTTCGGAGGACGCGACGACGTGGGCGTCGGTATTTGAGAATCGACACTCGGTTTTCGCGCGCTCGGCGACGTGCCCGCGATACGTCGCCATCGCGTTCCCGCTCGCGCAATCGAGCAGCGCGACGCGCGAGGTCAGGCACCCCACGATCAAACACTGTTTATCGTGACTGAAGCACACGCTCGTCACCGGCGCGCCGACGCTGTCGACGTGACATTTCCCGTTTCTTAAATCAATCGTCCTCGCGCATCCGTCCACGCACCCCGCCGCGATTTTCGCCCCGTCCTCGTCCACGCTCAGGCTCGTCACGCTGTCCCCGAACGCCACTCCCGTGCGCGCGTGCATCACCTGCATCGCCCTCGCGCCGCTCGCTCGACAATCCCACAGTCTGACGCTCGCGTCGTACCCCGCGCTCGCGCACAGCGCGTCCCCCGGTCCGCACAGCGCCGTCGCGTTCGCGCCTCCCTCGCCCTCGTGTCCGCTCCACCGTCGCACGCTCGCCCCCGTGGCGACGTCCCACAGAAACACGCCTCGGTCGCCGCCGCACGTGGCGATTCGCGCGCCGTCTCGCGCGCACGACGCGTCGCGAACCTCTCGCGCGTGTCCGCCGCGGTACACTCGGAGCAGCGTCCCCTTGCGCGCGTTCCAGAGCGCGAACGCGCGGTCGCGCCCGCACGTCACGCAGTGCGCGGCGTCGCGCGAGAAGCGCGCGGCGAGGACGGCGCCGTCGTGCGCGCCCGCGAGGTCGCGCGCGCGGTGCGTCGGCAGCGACATCGCGGCGCGGCGCGATGTGACGAAAAAGCGTCACGGCGACGACGCGACGCGACGCGGCGAAAGCACAGCGCGACGCGACGCGACGCGACGCGACGCGCGAGCGATGCGCGCGCGATGCGCGGCGCGCGCGACGCCGACGCGGCGCGCGACGCGCGCGACGCGCGCGACGGGAGCGAAGGATGGAAAGACGACGACGATGACGTCGCGCGAGCGTCGCGCGACGACGACGGTGACGAAGCGACGTGCGGCGACGACGCGCGGCGCGCGCGGGGACGAGGTGGTGGTGATCACGGGCGCGAACACCGGACTCGGGTACGAGACGGCGAAGGCGGCGGCGAAGGCTGGACGACGGGTCGTCGCGGCGGTGCGGGACGAAGCGCGAGGCGAGCGGGCGAAGACGCGCGTGCTCGCGGCGGTGCCGGAGGCGAAGGTGGACGTCATGCTCGTGGATTTGGCGGATTTTGAATCGGTGCGCGCGTTCGCGAGGGCGTTCGAGGCGAAGTACGATCGATTGGACGCGCTGGTGAATAACTCGGGCGTCATGGCGCCGCCGTCGCGAAGCGAGACGAAGGACGGGAACGAATTGCAGATGCAAGTGAATCATCTGGGGCACTTTTTGCTGACGTCGCTGCTGCTCGACACGATGGTGAACACGCCGTCGGACGATAAGCGCATCGTGAATCTGTCGAGCATCGCGCACAACTTTGGCACGCTCGATTTCCACAACGTCAACTCGGAGGGAGTCTTCGGGTATCCTTTTCTAGGATGGGCCACGTACGGGCGCACGAAGATGGCCAACATCATGTTCACGTTTGAGCTCGATCGTCGATTGAAAGCCAAAGGGGTGACGAACGTCGCCGTGAACGCCGTGCATCCTGGCGTCGTCGACACAGAGTTGAATCGTTCGCTTTCGCTCGACTTTTATCCGCAGTTAAAAGCCGCGGGCAAACTCATCACTCCGGAGCAAGGCGCGCGCGGCCAGATCGCGTTAGCCATGGACGAGAAGTACCGTGGCGTGAGCGGCGTGTACGTGAGCGAGCTGAGCGACGACGGCAAGCCGGGGGTGCACGAGCCGAAACGCGCCAACGAGCGCGCGTACGACGCCGAAGCATGGGCGCGTCTGTGGAAGGACTCTGTGAAGCTCACCGGCGCGGTCTGGTCCGTGTAGTTGAACTAGGACGCGCGCACTCATTTATTTTAATTCATTCACGCTGTTCAACGCTCAGCTGTCCTCGCCGGCGCCGTCGCGTCCGCCGACAGTTGCCTCGCTCTCGTCTCAGTCCTCAAAACCCACCTCGGCGTCTCCGTCGTTTCCGCACGCGCGCGCGCACGAAACGAACAAAGCGCGACTCCGCGCCATGGGTCTGCTTTCGAACCTGTTCGGTCGCGGCAGCGCGGACGCCAAGCTGCAAGATCAAATTTTCAATCTGAAATTCACCGCGAAATCACTCGCGCGCGCGGCGAAGAAGTGCGAGGCCGAGGAGCGCGCGAACAAATCAAAGGTGCGCGTTTTAACGCCGCGACGCTCGCGGTCGACGCGCGGACGCCGCGCGCGCGTTGGACGCCGCGCGCGGCGGGTGACGGGACGCGAACGAGCCAGGTGGCGGAGAACGCGCAACTGACGACGAGACGCGCGGCGAATCGACGACGCTCGCAGGTGAAGCGCGCGATCGAGCGCGGAAATATCGATGGGGCGAAAATACACGCGCAAGATGCGATACGCAAGAAGAACGAGGGGTTGAATATGCTGCGGTTGGCGAGTCGATTGGACGGCGTGGTGGCGCGTTTGGAGACGCAGGCGAAGATGAACGCGGTCAACGCAGACATGTCTGGCATCGTGAAATCGTTGGAGAAGAGCTTGAACACAAACAATTTGGAGAAGGTTTCGGAGACGATGGATGAATTCGAGAAACAGTTCGAGAATTTGGACGTTCAGACGGAATTCGTGGAGCAGGCGATGGGGAACACGTCGGCGTTGTCGACGCCGCCGGAGGACGTGGCGTTGCTGATGCAGCAAATCGCGGATGAGCACGGGTTGGAGTTTGCGAGTGATTTACCCGCGGCAGGGACGACGATTCCAGCGGCGAAACAAGCGGAAGCGGATTTAGCGAACCGTCTCGAGACGCTGAAGGGGACGTGATTCCGCGAGTCGCGACCAGCACCGCGGAGAGAATTGTAAGAATATTGTGTTTCACAGAATCGCAGTCTACTATGCGCGCTCTAGTTTTCGCGCGCGGTGCACTTGGCCCCACCAAAACACGTCGCGTACGGGAACGCTTGAGCGCACGTTTTCGTGAGCGCTTCAGCGGCGGCTTCACTCGCGTCGGCGTACGTGTCCAAAGCGTTCAAGTAATCATCAAGTGAGAACTCTGCACCCATCTTGGTCGCCTTGGCGCCTTCAACCAAGGCGGAGTCATCGCCAACCTCGCGCTTAGCGAAAGCAACGGCCGCGATGTCGACCGGGTGCGACGCTTCTTCGAACGACATCGAAGCTGCGAACTCAGAAGCCGTTTTATCGCCCATCAATTTCCCGACTTGCATCGTCAAAATCTTCTTCATCGCATTCGACTCGTCCATCTTCTCGACCGAACGCGCCAGCCGAACGATATTACGTTTCGCTCTGAAGCTGCTGGGGGCGATCTTTAATGCCTCATTTACCGTTTTGAGCGCCAGTATCGGTTTGCCTTGACGAATGAATACTTCGAACGCGAGAAGCTGCGTCTCCTCGTAATCAGCGGCGTGCTTCAACAGCGGTTCGACGAATTTCATCGCTTGTTCGAGCGGCTGATTGGTGTTTTCCAAAGCCTCACCGACAGGGTCTGGATCAACCTTCTGCGGGGTGTCCTTGGGGCTTTTGTTCTTGCTTTCCTGCGCCGCGGCTATCTTCTTTTGCTCCTCCAACGCCTCGAGGCGCGCCTTCTCCGCCGCTTCCTCGCGTTCTCTCTCGACGCGCATGTGCTCGCGGAATTTCGCGGCGTCGTCAGATGACATGGCAGCGAGCTTTGCTTCTAAATCAGCCACTTTCTTAGCCGGTGGCTCGTCGAACAGGTTGACGTAAAGTGTGATCGCGCCCCGCGCCGCTTCGCGGAATTCCGGTCTCGCGAACATGCGATCCTCCGCTCGTAACAAGTCCAAGTACGCGCTAATGGACGTTCGTCGCAAACAGTACCCGTGAAAGTCGAATTCATCTTCGATAAACTGGTCAAAATGCGTGAGCACTGCGTGGTAATATTTTAACGCACGCCCGTACTTCTTCCCTCTGATGTGGCACTTGGCCGCCTCGAGCTCGAACCACGTCGCCTCCATGTCGAACGAATTCGTCGCCTGATCGCCATCACGCGCAAACATGGCTGCGAGCTGTTCCGCGTAAGCGTAACGCCCGGCACGCAACATGTGTCGCACACAGTTAGAGTTCAAGTACCTATCGGCGAGATCGAGTTTGCGAGAGGTTTCCGCGGCGTTCGCGGCGCCTTGCAAATCGCCTGCGTGCTCGAGAATTGTCGCCTTGTTCAAGTACAACTCCACGCACGAGTCGTTCGATGCGATCGCTTCGTCGATGCACTCGATCGCCTTGGCGAACTCTTTGGCGCCACCGTCGCTTGATCTACGCCCCATCTCGTCGTAATGCATGGCGAGCAGGTTGACCGCGTACATGACGCATTCCTTCTTTTCGTCCTCGGACTTTGTCGCACCGCCGGATAAAAACTTGCCACTTTCCTTGAGCGAGCGCACGGTGTCAGTAAAAATGTCTTCCAACAGTGTCGCTTTCGCCGAATTTTCGTACAAATTCCTCAAATCCTCAAACAAGCTCGGCACGCCTTTACGAAGTGGTTTTTCCACGTATGTCACGATGAGCTTCTTAAACTCTTCGCCCGCTTTGGTGAACGATAAGGGCAAACGCTTCGCCGCGGCGCAGTACTGCAACTTCGAACCGATTTCTTCGTAAAGCGATTTCAACTTTGCGATATCATCGTCTGAAATCTCCTTCGCGCCGTCGTGCACCTTCTCGGGAAGCCCCTTGACGACGCGCAGGGCCTCGTGATAATCGTAACTGTCAGGCAAACGTTCGAGCAACTTCCAATACGTCTCCTCAGCCGCAGCGTTCATGCCGAGCGCGACTTGCACCTCGCCCTTAAACGTCAGATATGCCACTTTGTCCACGATCGTCTCCTCACCGCGCTCTAACAGTGCCAAGGCGTCTTTTTCCTTCCCCGCCGCGCGCTTCAGCTTCGCCTTGAACAACGCGAGCTCGCTCGCGTCGAATCGCTTCATCAAGGGATCTTCATCCCTCCACGCCCCGCGGTGATCGATATTCGCCCCTCTTCGTATCTTCTCGTAACTGTCCAACACCTCATACGCGTTCTCGTGCTCCCCCATCAAATGTAACCCGCACGCCAACGCCACGTACGACATTCGCTGATCGCGCTTCCTCGACAAAATCTTCCATCTCAGCTCCACGAACGCCTTCACGTTTCTCGTCTGCGCGTACACCAGCGACAAATCCTTCATCACCAGCGAGTTCTCGGGATCGATCTTCAGCGCTTGCGCGTAGCACTTCGCGCTCTCCGCGTGGTTCCGCTCCGCTCGGTGCACCAACCCGAGCACGTGCCAGCACACGTGCGATCCCGGGTGGCACTCGATCCCTCGCGCGCACAGCGCGTGCGCCTCGTCGTGGCGCTCGTGTCCCTCGTCCATCGAGCGCACGATCAGCCCCTTCATCGCCAGCGTTTCGCCGTGCTCGGGAAATTTCTTCAGGATGGCATCCGCCGCCGCGACGCCCTCGGCGTACTTTTTCGTCTCGTACGCGTCGACGACGGCGGTGAACAGCGCGCGCTCGCGATTGGGAAGCGCGTGCGGGTCGTGCGACATCGCGCGCGCGAGGGCGGCGCCGCGCGCGGCCGAATGGCGATCGACCGCGCGATGACGATCGCGCAGCGCCGCACAGCACGGCGCGCGGGGCGCGCGACGCGTGGGCGAACCGCGCGAGGGCGCGAAAACGCGCGATGCGCGCCGACATCGCGCGCGCCGCGGCGACGCGGGCGACGCGCGCGCGAGAGAGCTCGGCGATGATTTCAAATCTTTTGACAGCTGCGCGCGCGCGCGGGGCGCACGCGCGCGGGGAGTCGCGCGCGTACGCCTCGGGCGACGCCGCGACGTACGGGAAGGTTTTGAGCGACGCGCGCGGGCGCGCGCGGGAGGCGGCGTCGAAAACGATGGAATCGGCGCGCGCGGCGGCGGAGCGCGCGAGCGCGAACGCGACTCGACGAGCGCGCGACGCCACGGATCGGGTGCTCGGGAAACGGGCGAGCGAGTATTTGTGGACGGCGTCGTCGATGAATCCCGGCGTCGTGAAGCGAGCGGTGGAACAGCGGGCGCTGAGCGCGATCGCGAGGCATTGGCGGAGTTTGGAGGCGGCGAGCGCGGCGGCGTGCGGGACGGCGACGTGGCGCGCGGCGCGGGCGTTTAAGAGCGATGTCATGGGCGTGCCGTGCGATAGTGCGGTGTTTGACGTGGCGTTTGGCGATCCGTCGATGCTCGGTGGGTCGATGTTACTCGCGGGCGTCGGGGCGTTCGCGTTGCGGCAACGGTGGCGTTTGGACGTCGATTACGCGGTGACGCTCGCGATGCGCAGGCTCGAAGCGCACTCGGGCGTGCGCGAGCTGCTCGGTGGACCGGTGACTTTGGGAGAATCGCGCGTTATCGTCACTTCAGGTGGAGGTCTCGCGCTGTTTAAGCGCACGACTTCTAGAGTTTTTGGCGCCGTCACGCTTCCCGTGAGCGTGGACTCGAAATGGGCGCACGTCGCGTTTGAATTACGAGGCACGCGCAAGCGCGGCGTCGTCAGCTTGGGCGCGCGCAAGTGGGGTGGAATGTATGGAATACCGCTGCTCGCGCTCGAAGTGCAGAGTCGCGACGGTGAGGCGTATCGATTGTTTTTGGAAGGCGGAGCGAAGGATTACGACGCGAGCGTGTTGCCGTCTCTGCGCGAACCACTCGAGGCAAGCACCAATAACGTCGAGTACAAGCGCGCGAAGGCGGCCGCGGACGCACACGACGCAGAGCACGCCGCCGCTATTTCAGCGCAATTGCGCGCGGCGCGTGCACCGAAGCCGCTAGACGAGGGCGGAGGCATGCACGCGCACGAACGCGCCATCGACTTCGCTTCGAGCGCGTTGCATTTCGTGCGCAAATCCGTGGCACAAGTCAAAGCGCGGGGGACACAAACGCAAACCTAGCTATCTGTAACATTAGTATCTGTACAATGAAATCAAGGCATCAACATCTGCCGCTTCCCCACGAAAGGCTCCCGTTCGAGCACGACGCGAGCGACTTCAGCGTCGCGATGAATGCGCTCAACGAGCGCCTCTAGCGTCGTGAAATCAGCCTCAGGGCGAATGTACCCCACGACAACGAGACTGAGCTCTTCTCCGTAAAAGTCACTTTCGAATTCATGCAGGAGCCACGGCTCGATCGTCTTCTTCGAGTTGTCAAAGTACGGATTCCATCCTATGCTCATCACCATCTTGTGCGTCTCGCCTCGAATCGACGCGAATCCTAGATAAATGCCCGGCGCGAGCGAGTCGACTTGATGCTTCAACGGCACAATGTCCAAGTTCGCCGTCGGAATCCCGAGCTGCGTTGATCCCCGACCGAATCCCTTCACCACCGGCCCTCGCATCTCGATCGTCGGCACCGGCAACACGCGATCCGCGCTCCCGTCGCCGACCGGCAACCAGTCGTCGAACGCCGGCAGACCAAACTTTTCCAACTCCAAGTCGTACAACGAGTGCAGAACCACATCGCTCCACGCTTCGAAGCACTTCCGATCGCGTATCGATGGAATCGCAATCGTTTTACACCCCGCACGCCGCGCCGCTTCGCATCCCACCGGCGTATCCTCCAAAACCACGCACGCGCTCGCCTCCGCGCCCAATTTCGCGCTCGCGGCGACGAATATCTCCGGATCGGGTTTCCCTCGATTCACCATGCATCCCGTAACGACGCAATCCATCATCGCCAGCACGTCCTCGTGTCCGCGCATCTTCTCCTTTAAATACGTCGCCGGCGTGCTCGTCGCCAAGCCGAACGGGACGCCGCGCGCGCGCAGATGTTCCAACAAACGCCGCGCGCCCGGCATGAGCCTGACCTCCCGCCATCTGGCGTCGAGCAGCGGTGACGTGCGCTCGAGCAGGGCCTCCCCGGTGACGCGCTCGAGCGTCGAGAGCTCGAGCGAGGCGCACAGCGCGCGCGACGCTTCGAGCGGACGCATCCCTCGCACGCGCTCGAGGGCGTCGTGGACGACGGACGGGGACAGGCGCGGCGCGATCTCGAGGACGACGGCGGTGCAAATCTCATCGACGAGCTGCTCGGTGTTGATCAGCGTGCCGTCGAGGTCGAGGATGACGGTGGGGGCCATGGCGCGCGCGGCGGCGAGTGGGGACGCGAAGCGGCGCGAGGCGAAGCGCGAGACGTCGATGGCGTCCACGGCGACGCGGGAGTCGAACAGACGGCGGAGACGCTGGATTGGCTCGTTTCACAAGTCGCTCGCGGCGCGCGCGATGGCGCGCGCGATCTCGCGGTTGGTCAGACTGACGCCGAGACGCGCGCGAAGACGGTTTCGCGCGGATTTAATCGTCACGGCTTGATTTTCGTCGACGAGGGATCTCACGCACTGCACGACGGTCTCGTCGAGCAGATTCTCTCCGTCGCGAGGGGCGACGACGGCGCCTTTGGCCATGGCGGTGACGCGGCGCGAAAGCTGGAAGAGCGCGGCGGCGTCGCTGCGGTGCATGGGCGCCGCCGCGAGGATGCGCTCAAAGGCGCGTTCCTCTCGCGCGATGATTTCCTCGTCGTCTTCGTCGTCGCCGTCTTCGCCATCGCCGTCGTCAGCGCTCGCGCTCGACGTGGATGCGCCGACGTCCGATCGCAACACGTCGAGCGTTCGTCGCGCGGCGACGATTTCGTTTCGCAGCGTCACCTTTTCGTCCACGGTGAGGAGCTTTGCCTTCTCCGGTAAAATTTCGCCGTTCGTCGCTTCGCCGCCGCACGCCATGAATATTTCGTACGCTAATATGCCGACCGCGTGCGATAAGTTTAAGCTCGTCGGACCGGTGCCGCCGGTATATTTTAAACTCTTGCGGCAAATCTTACCCGCCCCCGCCGTCGGAATGGCCACCGCGGCGTGCGCCCAACTCAACTCGTCGTTCGTCAACCCCGTGCGCTCGTTCCCGAACAGCACCGCGACTTTCCCTCGTTTCGCCTCCTCGCGCACTCTCTCCGCCGCCTCCCTCGCCGTCATCAGCGGTGTTCCGCTCCTCGGTCTCGCCGTCGTCGCCAACACGAACGAGCACCCTCGCAGCGCCTCCTCCGCGTCGTCGCATCGCTCGGCGTCCGCCAACAACCAATCCGCCGCGCACGCGTACCGCATCGCCTCCTCGCAAAGCGGCGTCGTCCGCGCCTCGCTTCCCAGAACTTCGCTCGCCCGTTCGGGCGCGCGTCCCTCGCCTTCGCTCGCCTCGTCCGAGATTTCTCGCGTCGCGTCGCCGCTCCGCGTCGTCGTCGTCAGCACGAACGGCCCGACGTCCACGAGCGCCAAGTCGTAGATGCCAAAATTTTGCATCACGCGCGCCGCCGCGCCCACGTTCGCGGGGCCTTGCGGCGCGCACATCACGAACCGCACGTTCGACAGCGCGGGGATCGCGCGCTCGACGTCGTCGACCCACGGTCGGGCGTCGGCGGATCCACTCGTGGCGAAAAGTGCGCTTTTTCGACGCGGCGCGCGGCGGCGGGACGACGACGTCGAGCGCGCGCCGCGCGAGGACGCGCGAACGGACGCGGACGCGCGCGCGCGATGCGCGCGCGCGTGCGGCATGGCGAACGGCGCCCCCGGGCGCGCGCGCGGGGCGCGGTGTGCGGCGAGAGGGGTCGAGCGGGACGCGCGGCGAACGCGAGCGAACGCGCGAATGAATGATTCGTAATTTACAGCGGCTCGCGCGCGCGCGCGACGACGGACGCCACGTCACGCCGCTTTCGCGCGCTTCGCATCCGGTGCGACGTCGTCGCCGCCCGACGCGCGGGCGTCGTCGTCGAATATATCCGGCGCGACGAACTCGCCCGTCTCGGCGTCTAAAATTGTCAACGTCCCGTCGAAGACGTTGAACACCGCGCCGATCACCTCCAGCGTCCCCTTATCCATTCGCTCCCGCACGAACGGAAACGTCGCTAAATTCCTCACGCTGTTTCGCACCAACTCGTGCTCGAGCATTCGCGCGCGAATGTCCGGGTCGTACTTTTCGCACACCTCGCGCACGCTCGTCTTCGTGAGCGCGACCCACGATCCGATGAACCCCTCCCCGGTCGCCTCGTTCGCCGCGAACACCGCGGGATCGCCGTTCGGGTCGCCACCGTACTTTCGCAGTCCCGCCGCGGCGCCGCCGCACTGCGTGTGTCCCATGACGACGATGAGCGGCACCTCCAGGTGCGCGACGCTGTACTCCACCGCCGCGCACGTCCCGTGGTGCCCGAAATCGACCCCCGTGTACGGCGGCACCAGGTTCGCGACGTTCCGCACCACGAACACGTCCCCGGGCGCGGTGTCGAACACGATCGCCGGGTCCGCGCGGCTGTCGCAGCACGCCACGACGAGCGCGCGCGGGTTTTGTCCGCGCTCGGACAGCTCGCGAAGCGTCGACCGCACGCATCGCGCGCCGCTCGCGCCGCCGTCGCGCGCGCGCGCGTCCCGGCGCGCGTCGAAGTGCGCGGCGCGAAAATCGCGGTAGCCCGCGATCAAGTCGCGGATCGCGTCGGACGGCATCGCGCGACGCCGCGCGTCGGCGTGTGCGCGCCGAGGGGTGCGCGCGCGCGACGCGCCGCGTCGGCACACGCGCGCGCGCCGACGTCGCGAAGAAACGCGCGCGCGAGACGGACGCGAAGAAACGCGCGCGAAAATGGGGCGCGCGGGCGCCGCGCGCGCGGCGATGGACGACGAGCGGGCGTCGAAATTGAGGGCGGCCGCCAACGCCTTCGCGGTCGATCGCGCGCGCGAGGAAGCGGCGCGAAGCGGCGCGCGCGAGGACGCGATGCGACGCGCGACGACGGTGGTGCGGAGACACCGCGCGGGCGTCGACGACGGACGCGCGACGCGCGAGAGCGAGAGCGAGGAAGAGGACGAGGACGCGCTCGGGTTCGCGCGGACGCGAACGGAACGCGAGACGACGACGACGACGACGACGACGACGACGACGACGGGACGCGCGCGAGGGAACGCGTCGTCGAGCGCGAGCGACGCGAGCTCGTCGGAGAGCGAGGACGAGGAGGCGCGAGACGCGAGACGGGCGGCGATTCGAGCGCGCGCGGCGGCTCGAGAGACGGAACGCGCGGAGGACGACGACGAGGAGGATGCGGAGGACGGCGGCGCGGGCGGCGCGGTTGCGGTAGCGCGACGCGACGGTGCGTTGGCGACGGGCGAACCGGGGAACGGTGGGGCGTCGTCGTCGTCGTACGAAACGGATAGCGAATACGAGACGGATAGCGACGCGAGCGATTCCGGCGGCGGCGGCGCGCGGAAAATGTTCAAGCCCGTGTTCGTGCGTAAGATTGAGCGAGACACGATCGAGGAGCGGGATAAGATGCTGGCCGAACTCGACGCCGAGGCGGCGAAGACGGAGGCGGCCAAGGCGGCGAAGAAGGCGGAGAGCAAAAAGTTGGTCGAAGTCGAAGTCAAGCGCGAAGAGGCTCTCGCGGCGGCGATGGACGAGATGGAACCGAGCGACGTGGACACCGACGACGAGCTCGACGATGCCCTCGAATTCGACGCGTGGAAGTCCCGCGAGCTCGAGCGTTTGAAAACGGATAGGATCCAGCGCGAATTGATTTTCCGCGAACGCGAAGAGCAAGAACGCATCCGCTCGATGACCGAGGAAGAGCGCGACTTGTATCACGCCAAACGCCTCGCGAAACGCGCGGAGCAGGAAAAGGAAAAACCCAAGATGGCGTTCATGCAGAAGTATTACCACAAGGGCGCGTTCTTCCAAGAATCGGCCGACGACGCGTTCGGCACCGCGGGCCCAGATGAAATTTACAAGCGCGACTTCTCCGCCCCGACGGCGGAGGAAAAGTTCGACAAGTCCATCCTCCCCGCCGCCATGCAAGTTCGCAAGGGAAAATTCGGTCGCGCCGGCCAAACCAAATGGACGCACTTGGCCGCGGAAGACACGAGCGCGGCGCGAAAGGGCGACGACGACGATTTATGGTCCGGCCGCGACAAGAGCGTCCGCGCCATCAAAGACAAAATGCTCGCCAAGCAGGGCGGCCTTCGCGACGCCGCGCGACGCGCCTGACCGCGACGCCCCTTCGCTCCTCGGCGTTGAAATCCGTTGAAACATCAGACGACGAAATAGCTACGCTCCCCTCGCGGCGCTCGACGCGCGCGCGTCACTTCGCGTCCGTCGTCTCGACGATGTCGCGCGCGGGTCCTCGTCCTCGCGCCCGCGCGCGCGTCGTCGCGTCGCTCATCGCTTCGTGCGCGGCGTTCGCTCGCCTCGCGCGCGCGGACGCGACGAGCGCGTCGTCGCCGCATCCGTACCTGTCGTTCGACGTCTCCAACATCAACACCGACGTCAGCGCCGACTTCTTCGCCGACGCCTCCGCGATCGGCGGCTCCACGGACTCCGCGGAGTACTTCAAGTGCCGACACGGGTGCGTGTCGAGCGACGCGGTGACGCTCGAGTTTTGCGACGAACGCGTGCAGTACACGTTTTGTAAACGAGGGAGCGCGGCGACGCTGGCGGCGGGGACGAGCGATCAAGCGAGCGTGGATCTGATGGAGCAAGCGCTGCGAAAGCAGTACTTGAATTTGATTCGACAGCTGACGTTCGAACCGACGGCGGGGTGTCGAGCGACGCTGCGACGATGGTTTTGTTTCGAATACTTTAGTCGGTGCAACGTGGACGAGACGCGGTTCATGCCCACGTGCACGGCGACGTGCATCGCGGTGAAAAAATCGTGCGGGGAGGCGAACTCAGCGTTCATAAACTGTGGTTTGGAGTACGAGGAGCAAGATTTCGGCGGAAACACGCCGGCGACGTTTTACACGGGCGGCTCGTACGACGGCAACGGCACGTACTACAACGACGCCGAAGGGAAAGCGAATGGGAATTATATTTACGGCAGGAAACCGAACGGGGAAAACGGCACGGCGATTTTCGAGCCGTCGCCGGGTAAGTGCACGGGCGGCGCCGCCCTCGCGAGCGCGCGAGTCGCGTTGTTCGCCGCGACGGTTTTCGCGTCGTTCGCGTCGATAGCAGCTTAGCGCGCGATAGTATTGTACAGTACGGGTACCTAGCTAAACCCAAATCTACAGGAGCACGAGCGCGACGGTCATCATCGCGACGGTGATCAACACCAACTCGCCCGCCCCGCTCACGCACTTAACGTCTGGCCTGTCTTGCGCCACCACCACCCCCGCGTACACCGAACGATTACACACGTCCATCGCCGTCGCCATCTCCCCCGTGCACCCGAACACCGAATTCGTGCAATAATCCCAACACGCCGGCACCTCGTTGTACTTCGTCGCCTCCAACGGATCCGGATCGCACCTCGGAAACGCCACCGCGCACATGTACTCCGCCATCACCACCAGGCACGTCGGCTCCCCCGCTAATTCCGGCGCCATCGCGCTTTGCATCTTCGTCATCCTCTCGAACGCGCTCAGCACGCGTTTATCCTGCGTCGACGGCGGATTCGTGCGCACGCACGCGTCGTACGCGATCCCCGCGCAGAACCCGAGCTCGCCCGCGTCCAGCGACACGCACCGCGCCCGCGTCGCCGTCGTCCCGTCCGTCTGCGTCGTCGCGTACTCTCCCGGCTGTTCCGCGCACACGCGATACTCGTAATCCGTCGCGCGCTGGAACTGCGCTCGGCCCACGCGCGCGCGTCCGATCGCCGTCGCGAGCGTCGTCGCCGTCAGCGTCGTCGTCAACCGCCACTTCGAACGTTGGCGTCGCCGCGCCATCGCCGTCGCGCCCGCGCGCGCGCGCGAGTCGCGGTCGCCGCGCGCGCGCGAGTCGCGCCTTCGAAAACGCGCGCTCGCGTCGCCGCGCGCCGCGCTCTGCGGCGCGCGACGCGCGGTCGCCGCGGCGGACGCCCATCCTATGGGCAAACAGTGAGACAGCGGAATCACGCGCGCGACGCCCCGTCCGGATAGGGCGGCACCGCGCGCGCGACGGCGCCGGCGCGAGACGACGACGCGCGAGCGCGCCGAGGCGCGCGACGCGCGCGCGGGCGAACTCTCGCGCGCGATCGACCCGACGGCGCGCGCGATCGACGCGAGACGACGACGCCGACGCGATCGCGACGCGACGACGGATTCGAGCGGCGCCGACGCGCGACGCCGACGACGCGCGAAAGGCACGCGAGAGGGACGCGGGCGAGGGCGACGGGCGCGACGGACGACGGACGACGATGTCGAGGTGCCCGTACGCGAGCGAACGCGCGCCGGGAGGGGCGAAACGGGAGCGGAGCGCGGGGAGCGGACGCGCGAGCGCGAGCGGGGACGCGGGCGGACTGGAGACGCTGACGAACGAGCTCGTGGCGTCGCTGCGGCCGACGGAGATGAGCGAGATTCGGCGACGGGCGGTGTTTGAGCACATCAAACAGTTGGCGCAGGAGTGCTTCGGGACGGCGCACACGCTGGTGAGCGCGTACGGGAGCGTGCCGCTGCGGGCGTATCTTCCGGACGGCGACATCGACGTGTGCTTGCTGGGTGATCATCGCGTGATCGATAAGGCGCAGTGGACGACCAAGTTTAGGAAACACATCGAGAAGGCGGAGGCGGAGGCGGATCCGCCCCACGAGTTCGCGGTGAGTGAGGTGAGCGTGATCAACGCAGAGGTACGGCTGATGAAGTGCATCGTGGACGGGATGATGGTGGACGTGAGCGCCAATCAGTTTGGTGGCTTGGCGTCGCTCGGATTTTTAGAAGAGATGAACGCGTTCATCGGTAGGGACGATTTGTTCGTGCGCTCGATCATTCTCGTCAAGGCTTGGGGATTTTACGAGGGGCGCATCTTAGGAGCGCATCACGCCTTGATTTCCACGTACGCGTTGGAGACGCTCGTTTTGTACATCATCAACAAGTATCACGCCGACTTGACGTGCCCGTTGTCCGTGTTGCACAAGCTTTTGAGCGTTTTCGCCGAGTTTGATTGGGAAGGCTACGCGCTCACGATTCACGGACCGGTGGCGATCGAGGGCATCGCGACGCCGCCCGACGAGTGTCTGGAGGGTGGTTTGATCACCGAAGAGTTCATGCGGACGATGTTGTCGACGTACAGTTGCGAGTTCATGCGCGCGGCGGCGAGCTCAGCGCCCGTGACCGTGAAGTACATGAACATCATCGATCCTCTTTTACCCAATAACAACTTAGGCCGCTCTGTATCTTGCGGCAATTATAGACGCGTGCGCGCGGCGCTCAAGCTTGGAGCGCAACGTCTGGATGCGCTGATGGCCTCTTCTGCGGCGCGCGATGACGTCGGTGTGTTGCGAGGGTTCGTGGAAATGTTTGGGAACATCTTACGTCACAGGCGTTTACTTTACCCGCTTCCGCACGCGCCGGACACGCCGGGGGGATGCTCGCACGCCGATGAGGTTTCAATGACGCCCATGGGAATGCCGACAAGCGCCATCGCTTTACGTTCGAGAAGCTGCCTCGTCGAAGGCACGACACCGGCGACCGCGCTCGCGACGCATCCTCACACGCGCTCGGTCGTGGACGAGTTACAACCGAGACAGCTGAACATGGAAGACTCGGAGTCGAAGGACGCGGAAGCCGACGAGTCGTCAGCCGTCGCGGCGAACCATTGGCCCACGCTCGGCGATCCACCCTCGCCAGAGCGCGGCGGTCTTCACAAGCGAAGCGAGTCCATGGGTTCACTCTCTGAACAAGAGCGCGGCATCCACTGGGGTCGCTGGGACGCTCTCGGGGATGAGCAGCGAGTTCCGACGAGTGACGAGCGACGATCAATCGACGACGACAGCGCGCAAATGTCCACATCACCGCCTCAGAGTTTTTTTTCGGACGATTCTGGCGAACAGCACGACTCGTGCGATGGTGCAGATAGTAAGCAGCCGCCCATCCCCGAGGACGCCACCGCGCCGGGCATCAATGACATCTTTACCGGATGTCTTGACACCATTCGTGAGCATTTGGCTTTTGGTGTGTTCCACCACCGACGCGCGCACGAGCGAACGATCGCGGCAAGACGAAGTGGTGATGACCGGCGTCGAAGTTCCAACAACAATAATCGACGAGGCAACGGTAATCGTCCTCCGTACAACCGTTCTCGAAACGCGTCTAGGAGCAACAAGGCGAGCAAGAGCGCGGCGCAACAAAGTTTCCAATCGGCTGTTCCACCACCTCCTCCTCCGGGAGTGCCGCCACTGGGCACGGCGAAGCGTGGTTACGCGAGCGACAACAACTCTACTGCTGTTTTCGAGGATATGAGCGCGCACTTTCCGCACGTCGATCCAGCCAAAGAGGTCGATCCAGCCAAAGAGGCGTCATCCTCGATCGAGGATGACGCGCCGCGGCGAACTCGATCGCCGAGGCCGTCGCCCACGTTTCCACAAGCGTGGAGCGGAGTCGCAAAGCTTCCGGCCAAGTTCATGAACGAGCAGCCGACGAGCGAGGAAGACAAAGCAGTCACGATGGCGGCCATGCTGAAAAAAGACATCGAGGACAAGCTGGCTGTCAATGTCGCGTTGACGGATACATCTTCGGCTTCGCTTGACGACGTGGCGGCGACGCCATCGACGGTAAAGCCTTCGTGGGGTCCGAAAGGATCAGCACCTATCGACGTTCTCAAGGCCAACGCGGAGAAACCCGTCGTGGACGATCGCCCCAAGACGCCAGCGCTCGTCGCCGAAGACTCCTCCCAGTCCTCGCCGATGGAAGGGTCTCCCGGGGAGCACACCATCACCCCGCAGTCCGACGATTCCGCCGCCGGGAACGATTCATCAAACGCACAGTCCAAGACCAAGCGCGTTCGTTCGCGTAAAGGCAAAACGAGAGTCCCAGTCGTCGAATGCGAGGAGGCGTTTCCGTCCCTCGCTACCGGCGGCGCCGCCGACGCCCCTCGCGGCGTCCAGCCCGCCAAGGCTTGGGCCACTCTCCTGTAATCTCTCTCCCTCTTTGCCTACTACTACTTACTTATATCTTTCATTTTTACAGCGCGCGCGCTTAGTGTGTAATTTACAACGAGTTTTGACATCGATGAGTCCGACGCGCGCCCCGACGAGCTCGCCTCGCGCGTCCAGTAATCCTCACTTCAAGTCGCGCCTCGCGCGCTCGATGACGTCGAGCCACCCTTCCGACGCGACTTACGTCGCACAGCTACTCTCTCGCGGCGTCGAGAACCTCGCGGAGGTGCGCGCGCTCGCCCACGCGCGCGCGACGACGCATTCTTTGACGAAATCTCACGAAATGTCCCGACCGCCCACTGACGAGTGATGATCTTTCCGCGGCGTAGGAACCCAAACGACTCGAAGAGGACGCCGCGCGCGCTAAACGACGACTTGAAGACGTCAGCGTCCGAAACTACCGCGCGTACATCGACGCCGCGGCGTGCTACGCGGCGGTGAGGGCGGAGGTGAAGGACGCGGCGACGCTGTTGGAGACGCTCGAGGCGCAACTGCCGGATTTGAAGCGCGGATGCGATGGATTCGTGAAAGGCGCGAAAGAGATCGCGAAAGCGCGAGCGATGAATCGGACGCTGATGAATAACTCTGGGGCGGTGGCGGAATTGCTGGAGGTGCCGAAGTTGCTGGATGCGTGCGTGCGGAACGGGCACTACGACGAGGCGCTGGATTTGGAAAATTTCGTGGCGAAGATGGAAGCGACGCACGGGGATATTGCGTTGGTGAAGAGGTTAGCGGACGAGGCGCGGGCGTCGAGTGCGGAGATGTTGCGAGCATTGTTAGCGCGGTTGCGAGTGGGAATACAGTTGCCGGAGTGCTTGCGGATGGTGGGGTATTTGAGGCGTTTGAGCGCGTACGACGAGACGACGCTGCGCAGGACGTTTTTGGCGTGCCGAGAAGAGTACATCGCGAATACGGTCGGGGAGTTGGATGACACGAACGCATACGAGTACTTGAAAAAGCTCACGGACACCCATCGCGTGTCGCTGTTCGACGTCGTCATGCAGTATAGGGCGATATTTTCAGACGAAGCGGGTGACGACGCGGGCGAAGACGGCGGCGCGTTGTTGTACAGCTGGGCAACGCATAGGATCTCCAAATATTTGGACTTAGTCAAGGCCACGCTTCCGCGCGTGTACGAAGGTGGAGCGCTGGCGTCGGTGTACGAGCACTGCGAGTATTGCGGCACGAGCTTGGCGCGCGTGGGATTGGACACGAGGCCGCTGTTGCGCCCTGTGTTCGGCGACGCGGCGATGGCCGTCTTCGACGCCGCGCTCGCTTCCGCGGGTGATGATTTCGAGCGCGCGCTCGCATCGGCGACATGGACGGCGGCATCGTCCACCGCTGAATCCACACCTTTGGCTGCGAAAACAGAGGCAGGCGATAACGTCGAGGGTCCGCCCGCGACGTTGGCCGATCACGTCCCGCTCGCCGCCTTCGTCAACGGCGTCCTCTTGGCGTACAACGAGCTTCGACACCTCACCCCCGCCCTCGAGCTCAACCTTCGGCTCGCACGTTCCCTCGAGTCTGCGTTCAGCCGCGCCACCGCCTCCTTGCTCGCGCACGGCCAATCCAAGGATGCATCCGCGGCTCGAGACGACCGCGCGCGCGCCGCCTTCCTCGCGTGCGTCCGCGCCTACCTCGACGCCGCCGCCCCATTCCTCGTCCGCGCCTTCGCCAGGCTCATCGCCGGCGCCCCGCACGACTTGAATCGCGTCATCGAAGACGCTCGAGCGGCGCTAGCGCCCATCGTAGACTCAGAATTGTAAGAAGACGACTGAAATCGTAGCTCGGCGCGCCTTCGTCTCAAAAAGCTCAACACCCCGAAAGTCATTTGATTTTGATTTTGATCGTCGGCACACGCCCGCGCGCGATGCGCCGCGGTCGCCGCGCGCGCTTCGCCGCGCGCGCCGTCAAAACAATCGCGATCGTCGCGATCGCGATCGACGCCGTCGCGCGCGCCGTCGCGAGCGCCGACGACGTCGACGCCGACGCCCCGCTGCTGAGCTTTGGACACTACGTCAAGGGCGAGACCGCGGCGTCGTTGATCGACCCGGACGTGCGCGCGGCGGCGGCGATCGAGAACGAACTCATAATCCCGGGAAGCGTCTGGGCGCAGGCGCTGGACGAAGCGGCGCGGGTGAAGAGGAAGGATGCGATCGAACTCGGGGCGACCGAGAGGGTGTTGAAGACGGACGACGCGGAAGCGACGACGACGACGCGAACGGACGCGGGTGGGGACGATCGGGACGGCGTCGATGCGCCGGCGCGACACGGTGATCGGTTTTTGGCGTGGTTGTCGCGTCACGGGGAACGGGCGAAGAGGTATTGCGGTGAGGAACGACTGCCGTGCGAGGAGAGTCTGCGAAGGGAGAGGATTTTCGAGGCAAACGTGGCCAAGGTGGACGCACATAACGCGAATGTACCGCCAAATGGGATGCGCATGCGCGTTGGCAAGTTCGCTGATTTGACTGAGGAGGAGTTTGAGCAAAGGCACGTGGCGTACGAGCGAAGAACGCATCACAAGAAGCGCGGCGTCGAGGTCGCGGCGTTGGGCGTCAAGCCGACCAAGGCGAAGTCGGCAGCGAATCAGAGCAAAAACCCGCAATCCGCGGAAGCGTCGACGGTAGAAAAGTCGAACGTCGATGCGAACGCGAAGCGGGCGAAGGTGGTGCGAGCTAAGGTTGTGGACAACGAGGCGGAAAAGGAGAAGCAAACGCCGTCCGTCGAGGCGCCGACGGACGAAGCGGATGAAGCGCGGCTTGGCAAAAAGGATGGTTTAGATAGGCGGTTCGTCGATTTCGTCGCTCGTTACGGGAAGCAGAAAACGTATTGCGCGGATAAATCGTACCCGTGCGGCGAGGCTTTTCGAAGGCAGACGGTGTTTTTGAAGAATTTGAGAGACATCGAGGCGACGAACAAGCGAGGGGGCATGATTAAGCGCGTGACGCGCTTTGCTGATTTAGAAAGTGACGAGTTTGCGCGTGATCACGCCACGTATGCAAACGCGACAGTTGAGGATAGCAACGTCGTGAGATTGCCGAAACTGGGCGATTTGTCCGCTGAGGACGTTGCCGCGTTGCACGCCACTCGGCCGCACTCCCGGCGCTCGCGGATTTCCTTCAGCAGCTCAGCTCGTCATCGCCGCGACGACGCGTTTGACGCCGTCGGCTCGCTCGGAAAATTTGAATTCACTTCCCAAGGATTTAATGAGTCCATGGATTGGCGCAAAAAGATAGATATTGGTCCTATTTATAGTCAGGGGATGTGCTCTGGATGCTGGGCGTTCACCACCGCTCAAGTTGTTGGCGATAGCAAGGCGATTGCGACGGGCTCTCGCATGGCTGTCAGCCCGTATCATTTGTTGTCGTGTGACAACCTGGACTCGGCATGCAACACTGGGAACATGGCCACGGCGTACGCGTGGATCAATGTGCAGCCTAAAGGCGTACTTGTCGCCACCGATTTCCCCGAAGGAAGCAGTTGCGAGGTGGTAAAATCGGATCAGTCGCGAGGCGTGAAGATTGATGGATACTGCGAAATCCCACCTTTAGAGGGGGAATCGACGCTCATCAATCTCATGCGTGCGCTGCAGCAGCAAACGGTGGCGGTCGGCGTGAACATCAAACCGCTGCAGTTGTATGGCGGCGGCATCGTGCGCCTACACGACTGCCCGCCGGCGGATAGCGACCCGCTTCTCGCAATTAACCACGCCGCTGTTTTAGTGGGCTGGGGCTACGACCAGCAGTCGAAACAAGGGTATTGGATAATGAAGAACTCGTACGACTCGGATTGGGGCGAAGATGGATATGCCAAGCTCTCCATGGAGCTCGGCGAAGGCGGGTACGGCACGTGCGGTTTGTACACGGAGCAAAATTATCCGCTGACGGATGGTAGATCCTGCGTCGCTGGCTCCACAAAAAAGTGGAGTGTGAAGCGCGGCGATGACGTGTACTTGGAACCCGACGATGTCCTCGTGCTTCCGAACGGAAAGGGCTTGATCACGCCGTTCAAGTTTGAAATCTTTGGACTCGACTTGACGTCGACGCTGCAACTCGCGGCGATGTTTTGTTTTTCGCTCTGCTTCGTCTTGATTCTCATTGAACTGTACTTTTGCTTGTTCCCAGAGCTCGAAGGCGAACAATACGACGATGAGTTGGAATCGGGCAACGAACCGAGTGTGGGATCGTCGTTGTTGAAAGCCGAGCAGGGTGGGTACGGCGCGTCGGAAAAGTGAACCCCGCGCCAAGCCGCGCGCGGCACCGTTGCCATACATAAACATTATTAATAGCGTTCAAAGCGAACGAATAGCAAATCGTTGAATCCTCGAGGTCGCGATCGTTGTGATGTATCTTTCGATTCGTAGAAGCGCTCCTCGCGCGCAGCGCCCGCGCTCGAACGTCAAACCATGACGACCATCACCGTCCTCTTCTTCGCCCGCGCGCGCGAGCTCGCCGAAACATCGTCCGCGTCCGTCGATCTTGACGCCGACGCCTCACCGACCGTCGCCACGGCGCGCGCGCGTCTGCTCGAGCTCTACCCTCAGCTCGAGTCCGTCCTTCTCACCGCCGTGTTCGCGCTGAACCAGTCCTACGTCGACCGCGCGCGCGAGGCCGACACCGCGCTGAAGCCTGGAGACGAGCTCGCGGTCGTACCGCCGATCAGCGGCGGCTGAGCGCGTCGAACGACGAAGTGTCCAAAAAGTGCACATTTGTCCCATCGGGACGACGCGCGGTCCAGGAGCTTCCGCGCGGCATTCCTCGGCGCGATCGCCGCGAACGAGCGAAACAGCGCTCGTCGCGGAAAGACACGAACGCGTGATACCGTCTCGACATGCGCTTCGGTCCGATGTCGTCGTCGTTCGGCCGCGGTCGTTCGCCGTTTTCGTCCAACGGTAAGGGACACTTCGACGCGAACAAGCGCGCGTCGCGAAGCGTGCGCGCGCGCGCTGGGGCTAAAGATGTCATCAACGCGATCGAAGGTAAGCCGTTGTTGAAATCTGCGCTCGTGTGCGCGGCGCTCGGGTGCGTCGGGGACACGGTGGCGCAGAAACGGGACGCGGGCGCGAGACGCGCGGCGGCGCGAGACGCCGTCGGTTCAAAGAAGAATAAAAACGCCGCCCCGGTCGTCGAAGCGCACGACTTCGAGCGCACGCTGAAACAAGCGTTGTATAACTTCTTCTTCTACGGTCCCGTGCAGCATCACTGGTACATCGCGCTGGCTTCAAAGTTTCCGGCGCGCGCGTTCGCGCTCACCGCCGAATCGCTTTCGCCGTTCGCGGCCAAGGTCTTCTTAAACCAAGCCGTGTTAGGGCCGATCGTCGTGACGACGTTCTTTCTGTGGGGAGCGATCTGGGGCGGCACCGTCGCTGAGTATCCGGGCAAGGTGCGCCGAGACGCCTTACCGACGCTTCGCGCCGGTTGGTCCTTCTGGGTGCCGGCGTCGAGCGTCAACTTCGCCTTCGTCCCGACCAAGCACCAGGTGTTGTACATGTCCGCGTGTTCCATCGTGTGGAACGTCATCTTGAGCATCAACCTGAACAAACCCGCGCCGGCGGCGAACAAGAACGCCAAGAAGCGATAGATTCGTCGCGCTCGTCCCGTAATATTGTAATATCGTCGGTTACGCGCCGCGTCGCCGCCGCGCCGAACTCGAGCCGCGACACTCCGCCGCGCGCGCGCGCTCGCATCGACCGCGCGATGGAAAACTTGAGACAGCGCATGGAAAACCTGCGCGCGCGCGCGTCGCCCGCGCGTCCGTACGTCGCACCGCCGCACACCGTCGACGTTTCCGCCGGCAAATTTGAACGCGAGTTCGAACACGCATCCTCCCCGCGCGACCGCCTGCGGGCGCAGTACGCGCCGTCGAGCGCGCGCGCCGACGCGACGAACGACGCGGACGCGCACGCGAGCGTGGACGCGGCGCTGAAACACCTGGAGGCGCTGGCGGAGACGACGCCGGAGGTGCGAGCGGCGCTCGAGCTCGTGCGCCGAGGACCGGATGGACGCGTGACCGTCGATAGCTTCGCGCGCGTGGCGGAAGCGCTGCGAGAGATTTCCATCGCCGTCGGAGCGTCGCCGGAGAGCGGGACGACGCGACGAGGGCGCGAATTCGGTGGCGCCGCGTCGTCGCCCGGCGGCGCGGGTTCGTCGCCGGCGTCGTCGCCTCGCATCGTGTCGCCGAGCGGTCTTCGACGATCGGCGTCGCCCATAGGGCCACCGAGGCGCGTGTTAGTCGATGATGACGGCTTAGAAGGCCCGGAGACGGCGTCGGCGCCGCCGATGACGATGGAGGACGAAGGCGCGGGAGACGAGGACGAATCGGCGCACCGACTTCGCGAGTGGAGCGAGCACGTTCGTTCGACTCAAAAGGCGGCAGAGGTGGATCAAATAGCGCATCGAATTCGTGAGGACATGATCGAACAGTATAGATCGTTTCTGATGTCGGGTGCGACGCCGAGCGATCCGTTCGTCGCTGCGTTGGCGGAGCAACTGCTGGAATCGATCCGCGAAAAGGAGGAAATGACTAGAGGCGTTCATCGAGCGAGGCGCATGATCGAGGCTTTGAGTCAAAGCGATAAATCGAAATCGCTCGCGATCGAGCGATTAAGCGAATCGATAGAACGCATGGGTGGTCGCGTACCTGACGACGTGGCGACCGCGGGTATTGCGTGGTCTCCCGAGGCGTTTGACGACGACGACGCGCAAGTCTTCGCGGAAGCCGAGCTATGATCGCTTAAATCTACTAACAACCTTCTAACTCTAAAACTCTATCACGCCGAGAAATCACCTTCATGAACGTCGTCGATATCGTCCACGGAAACGAACGTGCGCTCGAGATCAAACGTGCGTTCGTACACGCGTCTCGAGCGTCGACTCATCGTCTTCACGCGTTCCATCATCAAAGGCACGAACGTCGTCTTCAACAGCGCCAAGTGCACCATCTCCCAGCTTTCCGCACTGGCCATCGTACCGATCCCGTACGACGGCGATGGGTTCGCCAGATCTTCTTCCGTCGCCGCTTCCCAAGGCCACACGCGCACGAAATCCGCCGTCGTCGACGCGTCGTCGGTTTGCTCATTCGCCCTCGCATTCGTCGCTCGCGCGGCGACGCCGTTGGGATGAAAATACCGCGGCACCCTCAACCGCAACATTCGCATCTGCGCCGCTAAGCTCTCATCCTCCGTCTCCCCCCCCGCCGCGCGCTGCGCCTCCATCGCGGAGAACAAATATCTCAACGAGTACGTCTCCCCCGTGCGTTCGTTCGTCGCCGGCAGCGCGAACCGCGTCGCCCGTCGCGTCTTCACCGGCGCCCCCTCCCCGCACTCCTCCTCGCACGCTTTCACCATGTGTTTCATCCTTCCTCGCAATCCGTACGCGCGTTCCAGCACCGCCCGATAATCGTCGTCGTCGCGTCCGCTTCGCCGCAGCCGCCGCGTCCATCGCGCCGCCTCCCCTCGCCTCTTCTCGATCTCCCTCGCGCTCGTCACCTCTGCGTATCGCCTGAACGCGCTCGCGAATCGTTCGCGCGCGAAGTGTCGCGCGCACGGGTCCGGCAGCCGCCGCGCGCGCTTCAGCGCGCGTCGATACAGCGTCGTCGTCTCGACGCGCGGCGAATTCGCATTCGCATTCGCGTCTTCATCCTCCTCTCCCGTCGTCGTCGCGCGCGTCGCGATCGCGCGCGCGCCGCCGATCGCGCGCGTCGACGCGGCGCCGTCGCGCGCCGCGCGCAGGCGCGCGGCGACGCGCGCGGCGACGCGCGAGGCCATCGAAACGCGCGCCGAGGCGTCGCGAATCGCCGCGCGTCGCAGTGTGCGACGCGTCGCGATGCCGAGCGTCGCGCGACGGGCGGCGTGCGCCGCGGGCGCGCTCGCGCTTGGATTTTACGGTGCGCGCGACGCGCGACGCGCGCGACGCGCGCGCGAGCGACGCGCGAGGGCGACGAATGCGCGAACAATCGACGCGCGCATCGACTGACGGAATGGAAACGTTTCGACGACGCTAGCGTACGAACACGCGCGAACGACGGAGTCGTACCAACGAATGGTGCGAGCGACGATGTCGTACTGCGCGGCGGCGGTCGCGCTGGGGGAGATACTGCAGAGGGTGAGCGCGGACGTGAAGGATTACGTGGTGGACGGGGACGGGGACGCGGCGCCGCCGGCGTCGTTGGCGCGAGCGTGCGCGCTGATGGAGGCGCCCGAGGTGACCGCGGCGGTGGCGCGCGTGGCGACGGCGGTGGCGCACGGAGCGGCGGTCGGGGCGAGCGCGGGAGCGAGGATGGTGACGAAACGAACGAGCGCGGGGGCGAGCTCGAGCGGCGGCGACGCGGCGGAGAGCGATACGTTGATGGAATCCATCGTCGACGCGCTGCTCGAACCGAAACGGTTGCGCGCGGTGAGCGACTTTGTGGGTGAAACGAGCAAGAGCTTGCTCGGCGCGATGGTGAGCGTGGCGAAGGATAACGCGGAGGTGCTGCGAGCGATCGCCGGGTTCGACGACGCTGGCGACGGCGAGGCGGTTGAGCGTCCGAGCGCGGCGGATCGCGCGGTGGCGTTCTTGGAGAAGTCGAAGAACAAAAATTTAGTCGTAGACTTCGGTCGAGAGCTTGTGGACGCGGCGATGACGACGTACGTGCGCACGATGGGCGACGATAACATGTACGCCGATATGTTTGAGGCGGTTCGAAATCCAGCCAACAAGGCGGTATTCTTAGAGATGATGCACGCTATGGTGGAAACGAGCGTTCGCACGTACGTCGTCGCGTCGATGGAAATGGCGATGCACCCCGATGAGATGCTTCGCGGGGGCTCGTACGCGGCGTCAAAGCGAGACGATTCGCCGACAAGTCCACTGGCTTCGCGCTTCACCCCGGTGGCGCAGACACCACCGCGCTCAAACGGAGTCCACAATGCGCACACAGACGGAGAGATTCACTCTCCCGCGCTCTTCGGGACTTGGAAAGAGTTGTTCCAGGCGGCGACGGAGACTCGCGAAAACCGTCGATTGGTGCTCGCCACGACGGGCACGGCGACGATGGCCGCGCTGCGAGGATTCGCAAGCGGTACGTACGACGTCATATTTAAAGGCAAATTTGCTGGCCACAGAATGCACGTTCAGTACTGGGTTCTCGCCGTGTGCTTCGCGCTCGCGTCCGTAGTGTTGCTTCTTTTCACGCGTTTGTTTACGCTCTTCGCGCTCGCGCGTCTACCAACTTGACCCATTAGCCGCGTTGTTACGAATGTAAACGTTTCTTCAACTCAACTACTAAGATGTGTATTTAGTAAAGACCTAAGGAGGATTGTAGTGTCGCTCATCACCACGGCGAAAACACGTTGAGCTCCGGATACTTTTTTTGGAGCTCTCGCAAATGCTCGCAGTGTGGCCTCTTGCTCGTCCAACTCTGACGCTCGTAGTCGCACTGCCGACGATAACGATTGATGATTTCGTTCTCGATTCGATGCTCCATCGAGCGTTGCTGGTCACCCTTGGGGAACTTTTGCTCAAAGATGTGTTTGTTGACGTAAAACGGCAACTCCATGCGCGACGTGCGAAGCAAGTCTGGATGTTCTTTCGATCGATGCATGGAAAAGTGCTCCTCTGCCGGCGTCAATAGCCACATCAGAATTGGAATCAACAGTGGCAGAAGATGCAGTATGTTGCGAATCACGGTCGCGCTATCGTCCACGTGAGGACCTCTCGCCCCGCCCGAGTGCTGCCTCTGGCGCGGGAACCCACCCCCGAACGTGTGTACTCTGAACCCCGGTCCGCCGAACCCACCCATACCGCCCGGCATGCCTCCGTTAAAGAACATGTTGAAAATGTCCGCAGGATCGATATCGTCGTCGAAGCCGAACCCTTGCGCGCCACCCGCGCCCCCGCGTCGACGCATCCCCGGCCCGAAGCCTGCTTGCTGTGGATCATCGCTCCCATATCGATCGAACGCCGCACGTTTGTTCGGATCGCTCAAGCACGCGAACGCTTTACTCACCGTCTTAAACACCTCCTCAGCCCCCGCGGCTTGACACTTGTCCGGGTGCAGCTTCAACGCCAACTTTCTGTACGCCTTCTTTATGTCCGCGTCGCTCGCACCGCGCTCGATCCCGAGCACTCGATAATAATCCGCACCGGCCTTTTTCACATTCGCGATGAGTTTCTCTTGCTCGGGCGTCCCTCGCTTCGCGCTCTTTTCACCGCTCGGCGCCGAAGTCGTCGCGCTCGCGCGACGCTGCGTCCCGGGCTGACTCGCCGATCGCCCATTCGCCTCGCCGTTTCGCCCGTTTTCGCTCGCGCTCGCGGACGCGCTGCCACTAAATCCTTTCACGCGTTTGCTCTCGACGTCGGCGCGGAGCTTGTTCGCGCGCGCGCTCGTGGAATCGAGTTTAAGTGCCTTGGAGATGAACCTCAGCGCCTTTTCAAGATCGGCCTCGGACGACGCGTTATCGAGCGCGGCGCGCGCGATGTCGCAACATCGTTCGGCCTCGTCGACGTTCATCGTCGTTCGAGCGAGTCCGACGCGCTCGAGGGCGCGGAGGAGTGGCGCGACCTGAGCGACAAGATGGGAGGAGGCGCCGGCGAGCAAACGCGACGCGGCGGCGCAAAAGCGCGAGGACGGCGGTCGGCGATGGTTGACAAACGGTCGTTCGCAAATTTAGGCAAAAGAATATAAATTCAACAGTGGGCTAGTCGATGCCTAAGCGTAAAGTCACGGCGGATCTGTGCGCGTCCAAACCTTCGACCGCCGCCATCCTGGCGACGTGAGGACCGAGCGCGTCTAAACCTTCCTTGGTGAGCTCTTGAACCGTCATGTACTTAACGAAAGAGTCCAAGGATACGCCGGAGTACATGCGAGAGTAGCCATAGGTGGGTAAAACGTGGTTGGTGCCGCTGGCGTAATCGCCCACGGATTCTGGGGTCCAGCGCCCGAGGAAGATGGAACCGGCGTTGTCTAACTGCGGTAACCATGATTCCGCATTTTCGACGTTTACGATCAAGTGCTCGGGAGCGTATCGATTGCTAAAATCGCACGCGGCCGCCATGTCGTCAACGACGACGGCGTAGGAGTGGCCGAGCGCCTTGGCGGTGATTTCGGCGCGCGGGAGCTTGCTCGCTTGGTCCGCCACGGCGTCCGTGATAGCCTTCAAATCCACGTCCGGGAACGTCACCAAAACCACCTGGCTGTCCGGCCCGTGCTCGGCTTGAGACAAGAGATCGGCGGCGACGTGGGCGGCGGGGGCGTCTTTATCCGCGATGACGAGCACCTCACTCGGGCCCGCGGGCATGTCGATGGAAACCATCGCGTCTGAGTTTTGCAGCGACATCTTCGCCGCCGTCACAAACTGATTCCCCGGACCGAAGAGCTTATCCACCTTCGGGCACGTTTCCGTGCCGAATCCCATCGCCGCGATCGCTTGCGCGCCGCCAGCCTTGAGAATGTGCGTCACCCCCGCCTTTTTCGCCACGTACAGCACCTCCGGAACGATGGAACCATCCTTGCGCGGCGGCGTCGCGAGCACGACGCGTTCGCACCCGGCAATCTTCGCCGGCACCGCGAGCATGAGCGCCGTGCTCGGTAACACCGCGGTGCCGCCCGGGACGTACAGTCCGACCGCTCCGATCGGTCTCGACACGCGTCGACAGCGCACCCCTGGCATCGTCGTCACGTCCACGTCCCCGCTCTTCGCCTGCGCCGCGTGAAACGCCGCGATATTGTCGTACGCCACGTCAAACGCCTTCTTCACATCATCATCCAGCACGGGATCGGGCAATTCATCCACGCGCACCGTCACCGCTTCCAAATCGACGCCGTCGAACTTGCTCGTGTACTCGCGCACCGCCGCGTCCCCGCGCGTTCCCACCGCCTCCACGATCGGCTTCACCGTGTCCAGGATGCTCGTAAAGTCCACCCGCGGTCGACGCATCACCTCCACGCGCTCTTCCGCGGTGAGATCGCGCTCGACGTACGTCCGCATGTCGAACGCCGTCGTCGCCGCCGTCGCCCCCGCCGGTCGAGCGATCCTTCGTCTCGCGCCCGCGCGCTCGCCGCGCGCGCCCGCGCGTGCGCCCGCGACGCGTCCGCGCGCCGCGCGCGTCGTTCGCGCGTTCGCCGCGCGCGCGCGCGCCGCGGACATGTGCGTCGCGCGCGTCGTGCGGTCGCGTTGTGACGTCACCGCGCGTCGTCTCGGCCGTCTCGGACGCGTCGGCGTCGCAAAACCTACGTCGTCGTGTGGGCAAACAGTCAGGCGCCCGGGCGCGCGCGATCGCGATCGGGGCTGGTTTTCTCGGACGTCTCGGACGGCGACGATCGCGCGTCGCGCGCGCGCCGCACACGCGCGATCGCGACGCGCGGATCGCGACGGACGCGCGCGCACCTCGCGAACGCACGGAATGCGGTGCTCGAGCGCGCCGCGCCGCGCGCCCGGCGCCGCGCGCGCGCGAACGACGCGCGCGGTTGCGGATAAGACGCGGGCGCGCGCGACGGCGGCGACGACGGTCGGTGGGCGCGCGCGCGCGAGCGATGCGCGCCGAGCGACGGTGACGCGGGCGAAGAGCGAGTCGGCGTCGTTCCCGTTCGTGAAGATCGTGGCGCAGGAGGAGCTGAAGCTGGCGCTGACGCTGAACGTGGTGGATAGCGCCATCGGCGGGGTGCTCATCATGGGCGACCGCGGCACGGCGAAGAGCGTGTCGGTGCGCTCGCTCGTGCAGTTGCTGCCGGAGATCGACGTGGTGAAGAATGACCCGTTTAATTCGTCGCCGACGAATCCGGAGCTCATGGGACCGGACGTGCGGGAGGCGTTTCAGAGAGGCGAGACGTTGGAGACGGCGAAGATGCGCGTGCCGATGGTGGAGGTGCCGCTCGGGACGACGGAGGATCGCATTTGTGGGACCATCGACATCGAAAAGGCGCTGAGCGAGGGTACGAAAGCGTACGATCCCGGTTTGTTGGCGAAAGCGAACAGAGGTTTGCTGTACATTGATGAGGTGAACTTGTTGGACGATTCGCTCGTGGACGTCGTCCTCGATTCCGCCGCGGGCGGTTGGAACACTGTGGAGCGCGAAGGCATCTCGTTGACCCACCCGGCGAAGTTTATCATGATCGGTAGCGGCAACCCGGAGGAGGGTGAACTTCGTCCTCAGCTTCTCGATCGTTTCGGGATGGCGGTGAACATCAGAACAATCTTCGACATGGATCAACGTACGGAGTTGGTGATGAACAAGTTGGCGTACGAGCGCGATCCGAAGGGCTACACGGAGGAGTGTAGAGAAGAAACCGAAGCGTTGAAGGCGAAGATTGTCGCCGCTCAAAAACTCTTGCCTTCGGTGACCATGGATCGTGATTTTGCGTTGAAGATTTCTGGCGTTTGCGCCTTGGTCAACGTTGACGGTTTGCGCGGGGACATCGTAGTCACTCGCGCCGCCAAGGCTCTCGTCGCCTTCGAAGGTCGCACTGAAGTCACGATGGAAGACATCGCCCGCGTTATCGGCCCCTGCCTGAGCCATCGATTGAGAAAGGACGTCACCGATACCATGGATGGTGGATTCAAGGTCACGCTCGCGTTTAACAAAATCTTCAAGGGCAGCGCCATGCTCAACTTTGACGAAACCATGGCTGAAGGCATCAAGGCGCCGGAGCCGGAAAAGCCGAAGGAAGCGGCGAAGCCGAAGGAAGAACCAAAGAAGAAGGCGGGGGCCTGGTCTGGGTTGCCCGGCGGACGTTGAGAAACTTAGAGAACGCGTTTTAACGAACAAACACACATTGCTTTTCGAAGCGACGTCGGCGTCGTTCCGATGTTTTTACACTGTTCTAATCGCTATTTATCATTTGCCATCGGAAGCGGATGATATTTTTTCAACTATGAACGGGTGCTGCAGCGCGTCGAGCACCGTGATGCGCTTCTCCGGATCGATATTGAAGATCTGATTGAGCAAGTCGGCCAACTGAAGCGCTTTTTTGCGCTCGCCGTCGCTCATGTCGGAGTCGCGCGTGAATATTTTCGATAAATCTTTTGTCGGTTTGGCGTCGCGAACGAGACGGCGAATACTCTTCTTCGTCACGGGATCTTCCTCGACGACCGAGAATATCCCCATGGGATCGTAGTGATTATCCTTGAACAAAGCGCGGCGAAGCAACTTTTTCGGTACGGGCCCTTTGAGTTCGAGCATGAGCTTTAGCATGTGATTGTTTGAGCGACCCGGGAACGAGATGTTACCGGTGAACAGTTCGTACAAGCAGCATCCGACTGACCACAAATCCATAGGATGCGAATACGGCAGTCCAAGAATCACCTCCGGCGCGCGATAGAATCGCGACACCAAATACGGCGTCAACTCGTTGTCGCCGTCGAACATCGCGCTGCCGAAATCGCACAACTTTAATACGTTGTGGCTTTCGTTGACTAGAACATTGTCGGGCTTGATGTCCGCGTGCACCACGCCGCAGTTCTTCAAGTGTCTCAGCGCGATGAACAACTGAGTGGCGTACGCCTGCACGGCTTTGATGTTGATGCCGACGTTACGGCCAAACTTTTTAATCACCTCGCGCAGATTCATCGCCAACGACTCGAACACCATGAACACGTGCTCGCGATACTCAAAGTGCCGCACGAAGCGCACGCAGTGTCGCTTATTCTCGGGATCACTTCCACTGAGTTTCTGTAATATGTCAATCTCGAGCTGCGCCGCCTTGTACATGGAGTCGTTGCACCGAATGACTTTAATCGCCACCTCACTCGGCTCGCCCTCCGTCTTTGACTCGTCCACCGCGCGCAAGACGTTTGAAAACACCCCCTTACCGAGGTGCGCCGTGATCGTGTACCGCCCATCCAACACCTCGCCGATGCGCGCGCAGTAGTATCCCTCGGCATCGTCCCAATTATCGGCCAAACCTTTGGACATATCCACCGCCCCTCCCGCGCGTTTCGCGCGCTTCGCGTCGCCGCCGACGTCCGTCGGATTCAAGTACAACGCGTCTTCATCCGAATCCTCTCCGAACATATCCCCGACCGCGACCGTCGTCGCCGATGTCCGCACCACCGTCTTCGTCTTCGTCGCCATCGTCGCGCTCGCGTCGCGCGTCGTCGTCGTCGTCTCCGCGTTCGCCGTCGCCGCGCGCGCGCTCGTCGCCCCGTGTTTCGCCATGATCTCCGCGCGTCGTTTCCGTCTCGCCTCGATCAGCGCCTCCTCGTCGTCCTCCGCGCCGAACGCCGTCGCTGAGATCTCTTCGGACGCCTCGTCGTCGTCGTCGTCCGTCGCGCGCGTCGCGCGCCACGCGCGGACGTTCGCGTCGACATCATCATCGTCGTCGTCGTCGTTCGGTGCGCCTTCGAGCGCGCGTTTCCGCTTCGCGCGCGGCGTCGAGGACGTCGTCGACGGCGCATCGCGCGCGCCGTTCGCCGTCATTCGCGTCGAGCGACGCGCGGCCGCGCGGGCGTGTGCGGCGTCGCGCCGGGCGCGCGATGAAGGCAAAGGAATCGAAGAAGAATGTAAATCACACCGCACCGAGAGGGCGAAAAAAATTAAATTGAATTGAATTGAAATGAAATGAAATCAAGCGACGCGCGCGCACGCGCACGCGAGGGCGGTGAAGAGGGCGAATACGATAAATTTTGGACCGGCCGGCGCGGCCGAGGCGGCGTCGCAGGCGGTGTCGCCGCCGTTGGCGAGGTCGCCGGCGGCGTTGGTGGTGTACGCGGCGCACGCGACGCACGCGTTGTTCGATACGCGTTCATTCGCCCCACACGCGGTCGCCGTACACGTCGTATCGCCGCCGTACACCGGATCGCCCGCGGCGCGCGTCGTGCCCGCGGGACACGCGGTGCAGCTGCTGGACGAGACGTGTTGGTTCGACGCGCACGCCGCGCCGTCGCACGTCGTATCCGATTGCGTGGCGTCGTCGCCGGCGGCGTTCGTCGCCGACCCGGCGCACGCGACGCACGCGTTGTTCGATACGCGTTCATTCGTCGCGCACAGAGTCGCCGTACACGTCGTATCGCCGCCGTACACCGGATCGCCCGCGGCGCGCGTCGATCCCGCCGGACACGCGACGCACGCGCCGCTCGACACGCGTTGGTTCGTCGCGCACGCCGCCCCCGGCGCTCGAGTCAGCGTGATCGTCTGTCTCGTCACCGCGCCTTGCCCGGCGGCGTACCCGGCCGAAATATCCACGCTCGACACGCTCGTGAGATCCGCGGGCGCCGTCCACGTGAACGTCTTCGTTCCCGAAGCGCCCGAGTTCGCGTACTGCTGCGCCGTCCCGCCGCACGACTTCGCGGTGAATCCAGAAATGGTGGTCGCCGTCCCCGCGCTCGCGTGCGCGAACGCCGCGCGCGCCAAACCGGTGAGCGTGATCGTTATCGGATCGTTCGGCCCGTACGTCGGCGCGCTCGCGGTCACGAACGACCCGACGCTCGGCGTCCGGTCCATTATCCTCGATTTCGTCATGATGTCGACGCCGGACACCTTCCGGTCGCAGCCGACCCTGTCCGGCGCCGCGCGCGCCGCGACGGCGAGCGACGAAAAGAGCGCGAAAAACCGCCGCGCCGTCGGCGCGCGCGCGCGGCGACGCGACGACGCGCGCATGCCGACGCGAGCGTCGCGAGGTGACGTCGAGGGCGTCAAAAAGCGACGCGATGCCCGAGGGCACCGTCTTCATCGGGAACATCCCGTACGACGCGACGGAGACGAGCCTGCGGGACGTGTTCGGCGAGGTCGGGCCGGTGCGCGAGCTCAGGCTCGTCGCCGATCGCGACACGGGGAAGCTGAAGGGATACGGGTTCGTGGAATTCGATGATTACGCCACGGCGATGAGCGCGGTGCGGAACGTGAACGGACGCGAGTACAACGGGAGACAACTGCGCGTTGATCACGCGGAGACGATGAAGGGAGAGGGCGGCGGCGCGGGAGGCGCGGGCGGCGGGAACGGGAACGCGAACGCGAACGCGGCGGCGCCGGGACGGCTGCGCGCGGACGCGCCGGTCGGGCAAGCGATGGCGAAACACGCGAATCAGATGGGGATGCGACACGCGTTTGAGGGCGCGACGTCGGCGACGGGAGCGGCGATGGATTTGTTGACGAAACGCGTGGCGGATCTCACGCCGACGCAGATGTACGAGATCATGTCGCAGATGAAACAGATGACGGAGAGTGATCCCGCGCAGGCGAGGACGCTGTTGATACAGAATCCGCAGTTATCGCTGGCGTTGTTTCAGGCGCAGTTGGTGCTGGGGATGGTGAAACCGCCGAGTGGGGCCGCGGCGCCGGCGCCGGCGCCGGCGCCGCATTTGGTCGGGCAGCAGGCGTCGCGAATGCGCACGGCACCGCCGCCGCCGCCGCCGGTGCGCGCGGTAGTGCCACCTCCACCGGCGCCGCCCGTGGCGGTGGCGCAGCCACCGATGGATCAACAGCAGGCGCTGTTGCGACAAGTGCTCGCGATGACGCCCCAGCAAATCGCGGTGTTGCCGCCGGATCAACGCGCGCAGGTGGAGTATCTCCGCCAACTCGCCGCGCAGCAGGGCATGGTACGTCGCGCGAACACTCGATGTGATGTCTCAACGCGCGACGCACGAGATGTAATCTTCTTGTTTTCAAAATGCACAAGTTCCAACTGAAATTCTGTGACGAGGAACAAGTTTACTGATGCGAATGCGAACGTTTGCGACGAACGTCGAGACCACGATTTCACGCGCGATGACTGACGGAACGAGCATGCGCTTTCTCGCGCGCGCAGGTTTAAGGATTATGATAACGAACGAATGAACGACGAAGGTGACCTAGAAGAACCGTAGAAGACTTGTTGTTGTGAATCGCCAAAGCGAACTAACTTAATCGTGACACGCTATCGCTAATCGAGCTATTTCAGCGAAGGCCCGATGGGAATGTGCTTACGCTTGTGCAGTGGGACTCCGCGCTTCTTCCCGCCCAAACCCTTAACTTGACGCTTATCGTCGGTGCGTTCGCTCCACGTCGATTTGCGCAACTTGACCGGCCGGTTTCCGATAAACTTCCCCGCCATCTCCTTCATCGCCCGCGCGTAATCCCCGATGTCAAGAAACGACACGAATCCATACCCCTTGTTCTTCCCCGGATTCATCTTATCCATCACCACCTTGGCCTTGGCGAAACTCGGATATTTCGCGAACGCTCGCGCGAGCATTTCGTCGTTGCACTCGTTCCCTAAATCCCCGACGAATATCCTGTGATCATCCTCCGGCCACTCCGCCAGCGAGGAATCGTCCCACTTATCTCCCCCCGCCTTCCGCGCCAGCGCCTTACCGATCGGTTTGTACTCCACGCCCGGGATCACTCTTCCGTGCGTCGTCGTCGCCGTCGACGCGTACGCCGCGCGCGGCGGCGGCGGCGGCGCCGTCGGTCCCGCGGGCACGCGTTCGGCCGTGCGCGCGATCGTCGCCCGTCCGTGCGCGGCGATCGGTCGCGGCGCCGGTCGCGGCGTCGGTCCCGGCACCGCGCGCGCGGGCGCGGGCGCGTCCGTCGGCGCGTCCGTCGGCGCGTTTTCGCTCGCCTCGGCGTCTTTCGCGCCGATCGCGTCCATCTCGGCTTGGAATTTCATGAACTCGTCCATCATCGCGTCCGCCATCGCGTTCGAGCGCGCGATCGAGCGCGACGGGCGTCGGCGTGTGCGGCGCGGAGGTGCGCGGGAATGTATTTACAGAAATCGTCGTCGCTATGGTACAGAGCCGATCGATCGAACGAACGAACGAACGATCGATCGATCGAGCGCGTGATCGTGAGTGTGTTTCGAATGTCGCGATTTCGTCGCGCGACGCGATATCATCGCGCGACGCTCGCCTCGTCGTCTTCGTCGCTCGCGCGTTCGCCGCCGAACGTATTCTCCCCCGAATACGTCACGTACAGAAACCCGTCCTCGTCCTTATGTTCCTCGTACACCGCCGACATCAGCGCCGCCGTCGGCGGCAACACGTTATTCACGAAAATGAATATCGCCTTCTCCGCGCTGAGCTTGATGCGCTTACGAATCACGTACACGAACTGTCCCACCGTGAGATCCGCCGGGACGAGATACTTCTTCTTATCGAGCGTCGGCGCGTCGCTCTTCTCCGCGCGCTCCACGATCACCGGCACGCGATCGTTGTATTTCCCTCGAATTCGCGCCGATTCGCTCGCGCGTTTATCTGCGTCGCGCGCGTGTCCGCGTCGTCAGTCCCTCGTCGTCCGCGCGCCTTCGTCGTCTCGTCTCTTCTCGTCTCGTCTCGTCTCGCGTTTAAATCTCGCAACGGTCGAGACCCATCGTCCGCGTCCGCGACGCGCGTCCCGTCGCGCGCGCGACGCGCGACGCCGTCCCGCGACGCGAACGATCGACGTCGTCCCTCGCGCGCCGTCGCGTCGCGCGTCGCGCGCCGTCGCGCGCGCGACGCGTCGTCGTCGTCGCGAATCAAATCGTCGCGCGCGTGCCCACCGCGCGGTCGCGCGCGGTCGCGCGCGTCGCGCGCGCGCGCGGTCGATCGCGCGCGTCGACGCGCACCGAAGGGATGCTCCTGCTTGAACGCGAACTTGGCGCTCATGGCGCGGTCGCGTCGTCGTGTGCGGCGCGCGCGGCGTCGCGAACGACGTCCATGGGTGTCTTCGTGTGGGTAAACAGTGAGGCGTCGAGATGCAAACGTCATCATCAACGCGTTATCCGCGCGCGCGCGCGCGAGTACGCGACGCGCGAGCCGCGCGCGCGCGGCGAACGACGGCGACGATGATGACGGGGCGAGTCGCGGCGCGCGCGACGACGACGCGGGCGTCGGCGACGCCGGAACCGCGTCGGAACGATCGGAAAAAGGGCAAGGCGCCGACGACGCGAAGGGGACGAAAGGGACGCGCGCGCACGCAGGAGTTCGCCGAGGACGACGGTCGACGGACGCGGGAGTTCGACGAGGCGATGGCGCGGGTCGGGGCGCGCGCGGACGCGCGCGCGAACGCGGAGGAGACGACGACGACGACGGTCGGGGCGAGCTTCGACGAAAAGCTCGAGGCGGTGCGCGCGGACGCGGCGAAGAAGAGGCGAGAGGGCGCGCGCGGGACGAGCGGCGCGAGCGGGACGTTCGACATGGACGCGAAGGTGAGTTTCGGAGGCGGCGGCGCGGCGAAGCCGGCGGGACCGATGGCGAATTACATGGACGAGGAGCGCGGGGCGACGGCGAGCGAGGACGAGGACGGGAATCAAACGCTCGTTCGCGTCGTGAGCTTCTTGGCGGCGTGCGCGCTGGTCGTCGTGTTCATTCCGAGCGATCTCACGTTTCAAGCGGCGATTCCTCAGGGGAAGGGTGGATTGAGCGACAGCGTGAAGGAGGAGGTGCAGAAGCAAGCGGACGCCGTCGTGGAGGCGCTGAGCGCGGCGCCGGAGGACGCGGACAAGCTTCGGCAAGCGGCGCAGTCTTTCCTCGCGCTGGATGATTACCCGAAAGCGTTGCCATACTTAGAACGCCTCGTCGCCGTCGATCCGACGAATGAAGAAAACGTGAGCGCGCTCGCGGAGACGTGGATAGCGGATGGGCAGCCGAGACGCGCCGTCGAGGCTTTCCGCTCCATCATCGACGCCGACGTCTTGGGCAAAGGTCAGCAAACCGCGCCTTCGCCTTCATTTTTGCGCGGGTTTCTCGACGCTTTAGGTAAAGACGGCCGAAACGGTCTCGCCCTCGATTACGCCAAGACGTTTTCGAAGAAGGGTTGGGTCGACGAAGTCGACGGACGACTGCTCGAGGCGCGCGTACAGAGTGCCTGGAAGGGCCACGGCAAGGACGCGGAAATCGCGTACGAAGCCGTCATCACGGAACATCCCGAAGATTTCCGCGGCTATCTCGCCCAAGGCGTTTTTTTCCGAACCGTCGGCAAGCCGGACGCCGCCGAAGACGCGTTTCGCAAAGCCAAATCGTTGGCGCCGAGCGACACCGCGAGCGTCGTCAACCAAGTCATCGCCGCGTCCAAGGCATCGAAGCGTTGACGCCTCACGACATATTCCTATTAATACCACATTCGTCTGTTCATTTATTCCGCGTCCGCGTTCGATCCACCGCGTCCTTCCGACCGCCGCGTCGTGTTTGATTTCAAATTTCAGTCTCGAGCTGTCGATCGATCGAACGCGCGCGCACCGCATCACACCACGTCGCGCGCGACGTCCCGCGCGGCGACCCGCGGTGACACAGAGCACATCGCGCGCGCCGCGATGTCTCCCGCGTCGCGACCACGCACGCGTCCGCTCTATCGCTCCGAACAACGCTCGCTCGAGGGCGCATTCAAAGAGCTCGATGCGAACGTAATCAGCGCCGTGCTCGAGCGTAGACACGGGAACGTCGATCTCGCGGCGCAAGATCTGCTCGAGATGAAACCCATGAATTCGTCGAAGGCGCCTGTGAGCGAAGGACGAGAGGAAGGGAGCGCTGAGAAGCGGGCAAAGGTGGATTGGGGAGACGTGCTGGACGGCGAGGCGAGGCGAGGGGAGGCGGACGCGATCGAGCGGTCTGTGACGATGGAGTGCGCGAGAGACGCGATGCGTGGGATGCATGCGTGGGAAGAAGGGCAGTGGGCGCGAGAATCGGCGGAGAGCAAGCGGTTGGGAGAAGTGGAGAGCATCGTCGGGTGGCGACGATGCGAAAAGGAGGAGACGGAGACGTTGATAAAGTGGAAAGGTACGTCGTACGCGCATTGCACGTGGGTGAAAGTCACGGCGTTGGAAAACGATCCGACATGTGGTGTGCAGGGTAAGATGCGTGTGGCGAGGTATTTCGATAAGTATCCAAAGGAGCTCGGGCCGTGCGTGGACGTCAAACCGGATTACTTGGTCGTCGACCGCGTCTTTTCGATGTTTGAAGAGGTGGACAGAACACTCGTGTGCGTGAAGTGGTCTCGAATGAGTTATGACGAGACGAATTGGGAAGATATAACTGCCGTGCGCGAGATGGAAGGTGGTGCGAGCGCTTTGGAAGAGTTTGAACGCGTCCGAAGCCGCGCTTCAGCGGCGCGCGAGCGCCAAGCCATCGTTGATGCGGAGACGGATGAGGACGTCGCCAATGCGTGGAGTTCGTACGATGCCGACACCGTGCGCGACTCGTACGGAGAGTCCGACGAGTTGCGATCGTATCAGAAGGAAGGCGTGAAGTGGATGGCGTTCAACTTCCGAGCCGGACGCGGGTGCATCTTGGCGGACGAGATGGGTCTCGGGAAAACTGCGCAGGCGCTAGCTCTCATACATCACTGCTTGCAAGTGCGGCCAGGTCTCCCTGCTCTTGTCGTCGTTCCCCTTTCAACGATTGTGAACTGGGAGCGCGAGGCGCAGCGCTGGGTCCCGGACGCGTACGTGGTGACGCACGTCGGCAAGCAAGCCGGTCGCGAATTCGCGCGAGAACACGACTGGTATCACCCAGTTGACGAAACCCAGAGCATATCGCGAGCGTTTAAGGCTAATATCGTCCTCACTACTTATGAAACGATTACTGCCGATCGCCAATCTTTCGCGAAGGCAAAATGGAGTACGATGGTCGTCGACGAAGCGCATCGCTTGAAACGAGTTGGAGGTAAGCTTGGGAACGATTTGAACAGCCTCGCGGTGGAGCGCATTTGCTTACTCACGGGCACTCCGCTTCAAAACAACACCACCGAGCTCTGGTCGTTGCTGAACTTTGTCGATTCTAAGCACTTCTCCAACGCGGAGGAGTTTGAAGAAGCGTTTGGAGGCATGGCAAAGGCTGCGCAAGTCGAGCGTTTACAAAAGGTTCTTGGTCCGTACTTGCTGCGTCGACTGAAGCGCGACGTCGAGCAAAAGTTACCACCGCGAAGTGAGACACTTGTCGAGTGCGAGCTCGCGCCTTTGCAGAAAAAGTGCTATCGTGCATTATTTGAGCGTAACTTTTCCTTTCTTCGGCAAGGTTGCGACTCGAGAGAGAGTTTTGCAAACTTTGCGAACATCATGATGGAAGTCCGTAAGTGTTGCCAGCACCCGTTTTTGCTCGACGGCGTCGAAGCTGCCATCGCGCCGGAAGGCGCGAGCACCACTGCCTTGGTATCGAGCGCGGGAAAGTTGCAGCTCTTGGACAAGCTCCTTCCGCATCTTCGCGAAGGTGGGCATCGAGCTCTCATCTTCAGTCAAATGACGCGCGTTTTGGACGTCCTGGAGGATTATTGCCGCGCACGAGGTCACTCTTACGTGCGACTTGACGGTAGCATCACCGGCAAAGCACGTCAAGAAGCGATCGACAAGTATTGCGCTGAGGATTCTGACACTTTTCTGTTTCTCCTCTCCACGCGCGCCGGAGGCCAAGGCATCAACCTCGTCCAGGCTGACACTGTCGTTATGTTCGACAGCGACTGGAATCCGCAAAACGATGCACAGGCGCTCGCGAGAGCGCATCGCATCGGGCAAACGCGCCAAGTCCAGGTATATCGACTCGTCATGCGGGCCACGTACGAAAAGGAAATGTTTACGCGGGCGTCGATGAAACTCGGTCTCGAACAAGCCATCTTTGGGAGCGCAGAAAAGGAAGAGAAATCAGCCGCGGCGTCGAGAAAAGAGATCGAAGAGTTGCTCAAGCACGGCGCGTACGGGCTGTTCACTGAGGATGAAAGTCGCGCGCAACAATGGTGCAACGAAAGCATCGTCGATATTCTCGCCAAGTCTGAAAAGAAACTGATCAAGAGCTCGGAGGAGAACACGGATGATGCGGGACCGAGTACGTTTGCGACTGCGACATTTATCGACGGCGGTGGGTCAGCCGATGGCGTCTCGCTCGATGATCCTAATTTCTGGCAGAAGCTCATGCCCGAGGCGGCGGCGGCAGAGGAGGAACGCAAGGCGGAAGCCGAGGAGCTCATGAAGAAACTCCAAGCTGCTGAAAAGCTGGCGATGGAGAAGCAGAACTCCGTGAATGCGTTCCAGTGGTCGTGGGGTGAACGCAAACGTGTTGTTGCATCATTTATGCTGTTTGGTTGGAGCATGTGGGAGCAAATCAAAGAGCGTTCGCAACTCAAGGAGAACAAAACGCTCGCGCATGTGAAGCTCTTCTGTAGATGCTACGTCGAAGAAGCGATGAAGTCACTTTCGTCTGAACTGTTCCCGAATCTTGTCGCTGTCGTGACGGTTGACGAAGACGCCGATGAAAAAGCGCTGCCGGAAGAAGAAGGCCGAGATTACCTCACGTACATCATGGCTGAGCAAGGTTTCAATAACTTCCTGCGTGGACGAGCCAGCGACGATATGATTCGCCTCGAGCTCTTGCAAGGCGGCATTAGCGCCGTTCAGAAGGCCGGTGGATTCGCTAATGCCCTGACGGCTGAAGGCATGCCCATCCCCGAACTTCACGCCGAGCCGTTGGCGGAATGGTGGACAGAAGATCACGATCGCGCGTTGGTCGTTGGTACGCTCAAACATGGATTCGGGAAATATTCTGAAATCCGCGACGACGTTGATTTGCCGTTCGCCGTCAACTTTGCGGGGAAAATCGCGCCAGAGCCGAAGAAGGAAAAGAAGATGAAACATCCCGTCGAAGATGAAATCGCGATTGCCGAAACTGAAACAGAAGCCGTGAACGCCGAGCCCGAGTGGATCCACGGAAGGTTCTTGAGTAATCGCGTGAAGCGCGTGTTCAATGTTCTCGGAGGTAAATCTTACGAGCCTCCGCCTAAAATTGAGCGCCCAGTGAAGCCCAAGGTGCCCAAGGCGCCCAAGTTACCGCGTGAGAAGAAGCCTAAAGGCGCTCCGCGAAGTGGTTCTGGTACGACGATGGAAAAGCTACTCAAGGCGCAAACATTTTTGAAAGAGTCAAAGCGAGACAACGACGGTAATCTGCGTATGCCGATAGGTCCAGTTAGTGGCGTCATGATCGAATGTTTGGGAGAGATAAAGAACAAAAAAGACTTCGTGACGCAGCAGTACATTTTGCCTGTCGGATTCAAGACGGTGCGCGTGTACCCTCGATTGGACAACTTGGACGAGCGCTGTAAATGGGAGCAAGAGATCACGGAAGGGCCAAAAGGTGAACCACAGTTCACCCTCACCGCCGAACACGGATGCGAGCGGATCGTCGCCAAAAGCGCCACCGCCGCGTGGGCTGAAGTTCTCAAGCGAGCGAAAGTTGCGCGCGAGGCTAGAGGCGAAGTTGCGAAGAAGACAGCGATTTCTGGTCCAGAGTTTTTTGGCTACTCGCTCCCGCACATTCGCCTGATGATTGAGAGCTTGCCAGGCGCAAAGGAGTGCAAAGAATACGTAACTTACGCCGAATCGTGTGCAAAATCGGAGGCAGCGCGTCAGAAGCAGGAATTGAATCATAAAAGCGCTAGCCCCGCGCCGGCTCGCAAAGCCAAGAGACAAGCGTCCGATGAAATCGACCTCTCGCAAGGATACGAAACTATTGAACTCGGCGCTGACGACGACGACACGCAATTGTTAGTTTAAAAACAACGTTGAAAATATACAATTACATTGATCTAGAAAATCTACTCACGTTTGCATCCTTCTGCGGTACAAAACACTTGCTTCTCCGTTAAATCGGCGTCGAATTCACTGTCGTTGGTTTTCGTGGTTTGGCGAATGCGTTCACGACGCCTTTTATTTAACTCTGCCAGTAGCTGCATCTCTGACGCACTGGACAGTTCTATCGGTTCGTTGATGTTAAGCTCAGTCCCAGGCTCGGTGTTCGCACCATTCTTGGCGATTGAAACTTCTCCGCGTTTGGGATTGCACTTCCCGTTTGCGAGAGATTCGGCGCGTTGCGCCTTGGCGCGCTCCTTAAACTTGTTTCTCCCATCGATTGTTTCTCGAATCATAGATAGTATATCCATAGCGGCAGGATCAAAAAGTGGCATTAGCGCATTACGCATGCACGAATACAGCGATGGGAACGAACTTTCTTCGCGAGACAAAAGTTTCTTGATGTTCTGTCTCTCCTTGGGCGCTTCGAAGCACGCCGGACAATTTTCGTTGATGACGGGCAATCCCGCTTCGTAAGAAAAGTCACGTAAAGCCTTCTCGCGTAAGTAAATGGCGGGACGAATGACAGTGATATCACCCTCGTCGATGAGATACGACGCTTTCATCGTTCGCATCGTTCCGTTGTACATTGTGCTCATCAGGAAACTCTCCACACAGTCATCTAAATGTTGTGCTAGAACGAGCTTGTTGTAACCATACTTGCGACAACACGTGTATAGAGCGCCCCGTTTCATACGCGCGCAGAACGCACAAATACTGTCACCAGTCATGTGCGCGTCCGCCATCGCCATGATTTCTTCTTCGAGATAATGGTACTCGATGCCGAGAGATTCCACATAAGGAATCAAAGGCCGAGGATTGAACGCCTCGGTGCCGGGATCTACTGTCGCGCACGCGAGAGTAAATGTTCCGGGCGGATAACGCGACATCATGCACATCAGAATGTGTAACATTGCGAGAGAATCTTTACCTCCCGAAAGACCAAGCAAAATACGGTCTCCGGGTTGAATCATGTCAAAGTCTTGTATCGCCTGGTTCACCATGCGCAACAACTTTGGTGACGGCTTGGCGAACTTGTGTCTCTTCTTTTTCACTTCTTTTTCTCTGACGGCACCATCAAGCGTTTGATCATTTGTCATCGGAACACGTTTTTCGGACATGCTATCTTCCGTCACCGTCACTTCTTTCATCGGTGGTGACACGTCGAGTGTGAGCTCTCGCACGCGCGGTTCGAGCGTCGATTCGGCGCGAAATTCAGCCTCTGCGACTGAAGGCTGTGGTGCGCTCGGTGCATCACCTACACAAAACGGTGCCGCTCGCTGATGAATCAAGCCCGATCGAATACTTCCCGACTCTTCCGTCACGCGCAGTGGGTGTTTCCTGCTTTCGGTTCGGTAACTTTGACCGTGTGCGTTTGGTGCCGATTCGCGAGCGCCGCAAATATTCGGCGGACGCAATGCGCCGGTGATCGTCCCAGTTGGAGGCACGTAACTAAGTGGTAGTATTCCGCTGTGCGAGTGCTCTGGAAGCGCGATTGAAAGCAAGGCAGCCGCCTCGGACGGAAACATGAACCAACGAAGCGCGTCGCCGCGCTCGATATTCGTCGTCGGCTCAGGAGCGTCGTCGTCCTCTTCGCCCTCGTCGTAAGCGAGCCTCGAGTCGTCGTCGCCGCGGCCTCCAGCGAGCACCATGCGCTCATCCGCAGCCATACCACCTGAATTCGGCATGCGTAACTGACCGTTCTTCGCTTTGCCTTGTTGTTCACCGTCGCGATACTGACCGCACGTTTCCAGAATGCGCATCCCGACGCTCAATTGTTCGTCGAGTCGGCGAGATATCTCCTCTTCACTCGGCGGTGATTCGTGTATTTCTTCCGAATCTACAGGAAACTGCATGTGTGCGAGCCACTTGCGTTCAGGGAAACTTCGTGCTCGAAGGGCGTGTCTCCATTCACCCGTCTTGGCGTCCATGCGATACATCGGCAGCAAGCGCCAGCCGTGCGCGGCGACGGCGCGTACCGCGGCCAACGTGTACTCAATCTCAGCATCAGACGCGAAGTATGGCAAACTGACGCGCGCAAAACCAGGTCGTAATACTTCGGCTTTGTCTAGCAAGTGCGCCTCGATCGCGGCTGCATCAGCTGGAGATATTCCGAGAAGACGATGCGCGTACGGCCCTGCGCACGCGCATCCGCCTCGCGCCTGCACGCCGAAGACGTCGTTCAACACCGCGCACGTGAATGAGTAGTGTAGAAACCTACTTTTCGAATCCACCGCTGGGGCTCGTATGAGAAACGACGCAATAGGCAAGCGCTTCGTCGTCGAATTCGCCCGAGGTCCGAGTAAGCAAATATTCTCATCCTTCTCCAGCTCGTCGAACAATCGTCGTCGCAGTCGTTCCTCCGCCGCTTCAATCAACGACGTCCCCACGTTAGCTTTCATTTGGAACGCCAAGCCAGCGCGGATGCTTCCAACGATGTCTTGAGTCCCACCCTCTTCGCGCTCCACTCTGTTGCTTAAATACCGGTGATCGGTGCTCGTGACATAAAAGACAGTTCCTCCGCCCGGTTCGCTCGGCACTTCGTTCACGAACAATGCGCGTTTTGCCACTAAAATCCCGGGCGCACCCGGCCCTCCCGGAAGCTTGTGCGGTGACATAAATATCGCATCTTTGTATACGTACGGATTCAACGCACCGGTGTTTTCGTCGAAAACTACCGGGTTCATGTCGACGTCGACGTACGCCGCGGCGGCGGCGTAGTCCCACAACGCCAACGCGTTTCCTCGATGCAACGTCTCCGTGATTAAATTCACATCCGCCCTCACCCCCGTCACGTTACTCGCCGCGCTAAAACTTCCAATCAGCGTCGCGTGTGACGCGTACGCGCGCAGCGCCGCGCGCAACGCGTCCACGTCCACCATTCCCGAGCTCTCTTCCTCTGGAATTTCCACCACAATCGCGCACGACTCGCGCCAGGGCAAAATATTACTGTGATGTTCGTGCGGTCCGACGAACACGACCGGCCTCGCTTCCCTCGGCGCGTTCACCGGTAACGGTACGTGCATCCCGAGCGCTCGCGCCAACCGATCGATCGCGCTCGTGCTCCCGCTTCCCGTAAACGTCACCACGTCGGCGTGTCTATCGCTGTATCCCACCCGCGCGTTCACGCACTGCGCCACCACCTGTCTCGCCTCCGCTCGAAAGCACGACGTCTGCGACCCCGTCGTCGACGTCGACGTGTGCGTGTTCGCGTACATCGGCAGCACGTCTCGCGCGACGCACCGCTCCACCGCTCGCGACGCCCGTCCGCTCGCCGTGTAGTCGGCGTACACCAGCGACTTCGTCCCGTACGCCCCGCCGAACGTCGCCCCGTGTCCGACGATGTCCCTTCGAACGCTCTCGAGGATCGCGTCGAGGCGCATCGCGTCGTCCCGCGTCGTCCCGCGTCGTCCCGCGTCGTCGTCGCGCGCGCGCGTCGTCGTCGTCGAAGCCGCCGCCATGACGTCGCGCGGCTCTTCGCGCGGTGCGCGCGTCCCGCGCCGCCGCGACGTCGCGGCGGCGCGCGCGCGCCGACGTCTTCGAACGGCGCTCGCGCCGCTCGCGCGCGCCGCGCGTCGAGGTCGTCGCCGCGCGTCGCCGCGCGTCGCTGACTGAGGAGACGAGTCGCCCGCCGACGGCGCCAGTGTTCGACGCGCGCGCGCGACGCGACGGTCGACGCGCGCGATGACGACGACGATGCCGTCGCCCGCGATGCGCGCCGCGCGCGCGCGCGCGAGCGCGCCGCGCGGCGTCGTCCGCGCGCGAGGATTCGCGACGACGACGTCGGCGTCGCGCGCGACGCGTTCGCGGGACCGCCGGGGCGTCGCGAGCGCCGCGCTCGGCGCGCGAGCGCGCGCGAGCGATGCGGGTGCGAACGGCGCGCTCGCGCGGGGGCTCGAGAGCCGCGCGCGCGCGGTGTCGACGCCGCAGGGGGTGGATAACGCGCGCGAAGGCAATGACGTCGAGCGGGACGCGGTGACGAAGACGGCGACGGCGGCGCGCGATGGCGGCGACGGCGGCGCGACGGAACGCGCGAGTGGGGAGGATGACGCGAGCGCGAGCGCGAGCGCGGCGTCGGATGATCTCGGGCCGGTGGAGCGGAAACCGTTCTCGGCGTGGCGCTGGGTGGCGACGCGAACGCTGCTGCTCGGGCTGGTGGCGCGACGCGCGTTCGCGGTGCTGGTGTGGTTGGTGATCGCGACGCCGGCGCGAGCGATCGCGATGAGCGCGAGAACGCGCCTGGGGAGGCTGGGGTTGGTGATGGCGGCGACGGTCGGGGCGGGGATGGCGATAAGGGGACACAACGCGAAGAAGGCGGCGGCGCCGGTGGTGCCGACGACGATGTACAGTTCGTTTTTGAAGGATTTAAAGGGCAAGAAGATATCGACGGTGCGATTTGAGGAAGGGTCGACGCGATTGTTGTACGATTTGAAGCCGAATGCGGCGGTTGGGCGTGCGAGAACGCTGCAGACGAAACGATTGGTCGGCGACGCAGAGCTGATGAAGAAGCTCGAAGCCGCGGGGGTGGAATTCGGCGCGGTTCCCGCGGCGGTGTCGAGATTGGCGTCCCGCGGTATGTTCACCGTGCTCGCGATGTGGTTGCCTATCATTCCGCTCATGATCATCATGCGGAACGCCATCAACAGACAGAGCGGTGCGGGCGATAAAAAGCGGAAAAAGGCTGCGCGCACAGACGAAGCCGACAAGGTGACGTTCGCCGACGTGGCGGGCGTGCAAGAGGCAAAGGCCGAACTTTTTGAATTGGTGCAAATCATGAAGAACGCCGAAAAGTACAAGAACGTTCGCGGCAGACTTCCCACGGGGTGCCTTTTGGTCGGACCGCCGGGGACGGGTAAGACGCTACTCGCTCGCGCGGTGGCGGGCGAATCCGGCGTTGCGTTTTTCCCCGTCGCCGCGTCCGAGTTTGTCGAACTGTTCGTCGGCCGCGGTGCGGCGCGCGTTCGCGAGCTGTTTGCCGAGGCGCGAAAGGCCAGACCTGCGATTATTTTCATCGACGAACTCGACGCCGTCGGATCGCGGCGAGGCGCGGGTCTGAACGAAGAACGCGACCAAACGCTCAATCAATTGCTGGTAGAGATGGACGGATTCGCCAAGGACAGTGGAATTTTGATTTTAGCTGCGACGAACCGACCGGACGCGCTCGATCCGGCGCTGTTGCGTCCCGGTCGTTTGACGCGACGCGTGTTTGTCGGCCCGCCAACGCAGCAAGGGAGAGCGCAAATCTTGTCAGTGCACTTGCGCGGTTTGGATCTCGAGGAAGACGTCGACGTTGTGTGCGACGTTATTTCTCGCGCCACACCAGGCTTCACCGGCGCCGAGCTCGCCAACGTCGCCAACGAAGCCGCATTATTGAGCGTACGCGACGGTAGACAATTGGTGTCCATCGACGACATGCTCGACGGCGTCTCGCGCACGAAGGATGGCATCGCTACGAGCGGCAACAGGGCTGACGCCATGTTCCGCGAACTCCGCTCAAGGTTTTTAGGCAACTACAAAGACGCCCCGGGCTCGACCACGGACACCATGAAGGAAAAACTTGGCTCCAAGGCTTCCTCGCAAGGTGTTCCAATCTCGATGGGACCGAGCTGAGGCGACGCCTTTCGCGCTCAGCCTTCAACATATTCTTTATCACACACGCGCAAACATTTCTTAAACACACATTAAACACACATTCTCGATTTAATGCATTCATCATCATTTGCCACGCACGCGCCCGCACCCGTCTCGCGTCTTGCGTCACGCGCGTTCGAACGCGCGTTGAGCCGCCGCTGCGCTCTTCCTCCTCAGTTTCACGCGCTTCGCGTCGAGTCCTCGCCGCTTCGCGTTGGCGTCCGCTGGATCGATGTCCGACGACACATCAGCCCTCGTCGCGGCGCTGCAGGCGTCGCTCAGCGCTGACGCGTCGCAACGCGCGAGCGCTGAAGAGTTTCTGCGCTCGAGATCGATCCAAGATGGATTCCTTTTGCGCGTCCTGGAGCTCGCGGCGAGCGACCACGTCGATGCGATGACGCGACAGAGCGCGGCGGTGACGTTTAAGAACATGGTGAAGAAGAACTGGGACCCGAGCGAACCGGATGAGGTGGGGGCGGTGAAACCGGTGGGGACGAGCGAGGGCGAAAAGACGCGCTGCCGAGGCGCCATCGTGGGGCTGATGCTGCGCGCGCCCAAGCTGGTGTCGGCGCAGTTGAGCGAAGCGTTGAGCATAATATGTGCGGTCGATTTCCCCGAACGATGGGAAGGATTACTTCCGGAGCTGGTGCAGAGACTCGGAAGCGCGGGGAACAGGGACTTTCGGGACGTGGCGGGCGTGTTGACGACGGCGAACGCGATATTCAAGCGATACCGCGGAGCGATGAAGACAGAGGAGCTGTATAAAGAGCTCAAGTATGTGTTGGATACGTTTTCGAAGCCGTTGCTTGAGCTGACGCTGGAGGTGAGCGCGGCGTTAGACGCGAGCGGGGCGAATGTTGAGCTCACGCGTCAGTTGTTGCAGTGCTTGCGGTTGATTTGCAGAGTCTTCTATAGTTTGAATAGCCAGGAGTTGCCCGAAGTTTTCGAAGATGCCATGGCGGGGTGGATGGGCGTGTTTCACAAGTTCTTGACGTACCAAGCTCCGCCCGGATTGGCGAGTACGGATGACGATAAAGCGAGCGAGGCTGACCAACTCAAGGCGGCGGTGTGCGACAATATCAACCTCTACATCGAGAAAAATGAGGAAGAGTTTGCGCCTTACTTGCAACAGTTCGTCCAAGATGTGTGGACACTTCTCATGTCCACGGACCTGGCGACGAATCGGGATCATTTAGTGACGTCGGGTGTGAAGTTTCTCACCACAGTGGCGAGTAGCGTGCATCACAAATTGTTCGAGTCGCCCGACACGCTTCGTCAAGTGTGCGAAAACATCATCATTCCAAACTTGCAGTTTCGAGATGAAGACGAAGAGTTATTCAACGATAATCACGTGGAATACATCCGACGGGATCTGGAGGGCAGTGACGCAGATACGCGTCGTCGAGGCGCGTGCGAGCTCGTCAAGGCGCTCACGGCGAAATTTCCCGAGCACGTCACAAGCGCAGTCACTGGCTACGTCAGCTCATTGTTGGCGCAGTACTCCGCGGACCCGAAGAAGTTTTGGAAGGCGAAAGACGCTGCAATTTATTTGGTCATGGCTTTGACGGTGCGCTCGAAGTCGCTCGTGAAAGGTGCGACGGAGACGAACGATTTAGTCAACATTATTGACTTTTTCAATCAACACATCGCGCCCGAGCTGCAGGCAGCGAAGGGCGCGTCGCACGCCGTTGTGCGCGCCGACGCACTCAAGTTTTTGACGATGTTTCGACAACAGATCCCCAAGACGATCGCTGGGCCGTTGCTACCGGCGATTGTGCAGTTGCTCGCGACAGATGAAAACGTCGTGCACTCCTACGCGGCAAATTGCTTTGAACGTCTGCTCACCGTTCGCGACGGTCCGGGCGTGCCGAGATACGTCTCGGGCGACATCGCGCCTTTGAGTCAGCAACTCTACACCAACATGTTCCACGCGTTCACCATTCCCGATAGCGCGGAAAATGAATATGTGATGAAGTGCGTCATGCGCGTCGTCGCGTTTAGCGGCGCAGACGTCAAACCTGTGGCGACGATTTGTTTGCAGCAGTTGAGTGGGATGTTGCTCGAGCTGTGCAAGAATCCTAGAAACCCAACCTTTGCGCATTATTTGTTCGAGTCCGTAGCATCGTTGGTCAAAAACGTCAGCAACGAAGCCGCGCTCATGGGTCAGTTTGAGCAGTTGCTCTTTCCGGCCTATCAACACGTGTTGACGGCCGACGTCGTGGAGTTCACTCCATACGTCTTCCAGTTGTTGGCGCAGATGATTGAGAGTTATCCGGCGGGCGCGACGCTCCCCGAGTCGTACATGGCCATCTTTCCCGCTCTACTGACTCCGCTCATGTGGGACCGGCGCGCGAACGTCACCCCGCTCGTGCGCTTGCTCAAAGCTTACCTCACCAAGAATTCGCAAGCCATTGTCGCCAGCGGTCACTTGCAAGGTGTCTTGGGCGTGTTCCAAAAGCTTGTCTCGAGCAAGGCGCAGGATCATCAAGGATTTTACATTTTAAATTCTTTCGTGGAATCTCTCGCCTTGGATGCGTGGGCGCCATTTTTGCCCACGATCTGGAGCATCCTGTTTCAACGTCAACAAACTAGCCGCACTCCCAAGTTTAGCAGATGCTTGGTCGTGTTCACGTCGGCGTTGTGCGTCAAACACGGTCCGTCGAGCGTGATGGATAGCATGAACAAAGTGCAGCAGGGCATCTTTGACATGATTTTAGAAAACGTAGTCGCGGTGGATATCGTTGGTGTCACGGGAAAGACCGAGCGTAAGCTCACGTGCGTGGCTGCGCTTAAGTTTCTCACCGAGTGCCCACCCGTGGTCGATCGTCCAGGAGCCTTTGCTAAGCTCCTCTCGGGCGTCGTCCAGCAGTGCATCAAGCCCGACGACGACGAACCCGTCGGCGAGGACGACGACGCCTTACTCGAAGAGCTTGAAGCCAACGCCGGATACGCCGCGTCTTACTCCAAGCTCACCCAAGGTGCGGTGAAGGAGAAGGATCCGGTGCCGGATGTCGTCGACGTCAGGCGCCACGTCGCCGAGACGCTGGCACGATTCTCCTCTCAGCGCCCGATCGCATCCATCGTCGTCCAAACCCCTCAGGAAGTTCAAGTGGCATTGTCAGAGTACTGTGCGCGCGTTGGTGCGCGCATTCAATGATGTTTCGTCGTGTAATACAACCACTTCAATTCAACAACGAGTGCAAACCTCACGACTCCCGGGTTTCTTTAACCGACGAGGTGACCGCGCCTTGTCACGACGCGCCTCCAGCACACGTCCGCGCGCGAGCGTAAACCACGCGCGGCGCTCGCGGCGTTCGCCGTCGCCGCTCGAGCGCGCGGCCGCGCGATCGCGTTGCCGCGCGGCCGCGTCTTCGTTCGTCGTGCTGTTTTCACGCGTGACGTGCCGTGACGTGACGTGACGGCATTGTCTTGCTAAACGTTGCCGTGACGTGAAATCGCGTCGTCCCCGCGCGCGATGACGCCTCGCGTCGGTCGCACGCTGCTCAGCGCGGCGGCGTCGAACGCCACGGCTGTCAACGCCGCAGCGCACGACGATGCGACGGCACCGCTGTGGTTCATATTCATCTCTCTAGCCGTCGGCAGCGCGGCGAGGACGGCGCTTCACGGGACGTCGGTACCGTACACGGTTGTGCTGTTCATCATCGGCATGGTCATGGCGGTGGTGTATTACTACGCAGACTTGGGACTGTTAGAGGCGTCGCTGAGCGCGTGGGGTGGGATCAACCCGCACGTGTTGTTGGCGTGTTTCCTACCTGCGTTGATTTTTGAGTCGTCGTTTTCGATGGAGTGGCACACGCTGAAAAAGGTGCTGCCCAAGGTGTTGATCTTGGCCGGGCCCGGAGTGTTGATGAGCATGGCGCTCACTGGGTGCGTGTTACGCGTGTTTCCGTTCGATTTTAGCTGGGCATTTTGTATGATGGTGGGGTCGATTTTGGCGGCGACAGATCCCGTCGCCGTCGTCGCCATCTTGAAGGAGGTCGGGGCGAGTAAAGTTTTGGGACATTTGATCGAAGGCGAGTCGCTCGTGAATGATGGTACCGCCATCGTCGTCTTCAACGTTTTTTTGGCGATCGCAAAAGGCGAGCATCTCTCGTTCGGAGATGTGATGAAGGATTTAATCACTCAACCCATCTTATCAGTCATCACCGGCGTCGTCGTCGGCGAACTGTGCTTGATTTGGTTGCGAAATTCCCATAAAGACCATTTAGTAGATATTACCATCACTCTTTTTGCTGGTTATATTTCTTTCATGCTCGCCGAAATCGTCATCAAGTGCAGCGGCGTGCTTGCCGTCGTCGTTCTCGGATGGTACCTGAGCGCCAAGGGCAGAACGTTTTTCAAGGGCAACATACAACACTCTATGCATCACTTTTGGGAGGTGCTAACATACGCGGCTAACACCATCGTATTCATTCTTGCCGGTTTTCTGATCGTCGCAGATATTTTGCTCGGCGAACTGGACATCAAAGCCAGCGACCTGGGGTGGGGTATTCTCCTCTACTTGTGCCTCAACATAATTCGTTTTGTCGTCACGGCGATGCTGTTTCCGTGGATGAACTACTACAAAGGACACGTCTTAAGCATGCGTGAGACCTTTATAGCCATTTGGAGCGGTCTACGTGGCGCTGTCGGTTTGGCGCTCGCGCTCGTCGTGTTGGAGGATGATGCGCATTTCACAAAGCGAGAGCGTGGATTGACGCTCGTAATGGTTTCCGCCGCAGTGATTGGGACGCTGTTAATCAATGCATCTTCTGCGGCAGCTATGCTTCGCATTGTCGGCCTGCTTACGCCCGGGCTTAGTCACGACCGAACGTTATTGGCTGCTCGCAAAGCCATTCACGAGCGCGCGCTCGCGCACTACGACGAAAAGCTGGACCAAACTGGTGCGCAGTATCTCGGCGCGCCCGACTTCACGGCGGTTAAGCAGCTCGTGCCATTCCTTCGCACACAAACAGACGAAACGGAAATCGAGTTCAAGCACGAGATCGCGAAAATGGACGCTCAGCTCATGCACGAGATGCGTGATCGTTTCTTGGCCGGGCTCTGTAAAGAAGTCTGGTCGATGCTTGAAGACGACTTGATTGACGCAAAAGTTGCTCACGGGTTGCTTATCGCCTGCGAGCGAGCAACTGATAAGTCAAAATCGAACGTATTGTGTACGTTCGACGAGTTCAACCGCTTCATGAAGCAGAGCCGCGTGAAGAGCGCCGTCGTCAAGGCGTTTGAACGTCGAGCGTGGGGTATGCGAATCATCAAAACCTTGCGTTACCTCAGGCTCGTCGAAGAAGGCTGGATGGGCACGAGACGTCAAATGCAAGGTTTACATGCCCTAATTAGTGCCCATCGCTTGACTTCAGAGCAATTCAAATCTTTACTAGGCAAAAACGAAGAGGAAGAGCAAGCCAAGGAGGAAGCGCAATCGGAAGTCGCCGAGCTGGCAAAGAGTTATACACTCACAAAGGCTGGTGTCGGCGAAAATCTAGCAAACGAAACGTCCATCAAGTCACATCATGTGCGAGATGTTCTCTTCGAGTCGGATACCGAGGTCGTCCAAGCCGTTGAAATGCTGAAAGAGATGCAGCACGCTCACAACGCTGTGGCGCGTTCGCTGAGATCCGAGGCACTCGCGCGTGAAATTCTGGAGGTGACGATGGAAGAAACAAAACTCTTGACGCATACGGGATTGCTGGACGAATCGGAAGGATCAATGTTACAGGCCGAGCACGACCTCTACCTTCAAAGGCTGATTATGCATCCGCTCCCACCATCGCGTACGTCACCTGGCCGCATCCTCGCTGCGATTCCGCTCTTTGATTTCACGCAACGCGTGGGCATCAAGTCGCGAGAGATTCGTAAACACTTCCTTCGAGAAGCAGAAGTTGTAGAGTTTAACGTGGGTGACATCATCATCGACCCCAATGTCAAGTTGAACGACGGAATTATGCTTGTCGGCAACGGCGTCGTACTCATCGAGTCTGCGGCGGATGCGACGCAACAAATTACGGCAGGCTGTAAGTCGCATCCGCACGCGTGGGCTTTGGCCTTGTACGAAGCGCTGGCAAATGACGCGAATGAAGAAGAACCAAATCGTAGTGGTATTCGTGCGACGGCGCAGACGACTATGTTTGGTTTCGTCCTTCCGCGCTCACTTTTGGACAGCCTACGCGGCGATCTTCGTGAGGCGGAAACGCTCGAGTTTATGTGGCGAGTGGTGCTCGGTTTGTTGGCGGAGACCGTGTTGCGCAGCGAACTAGATAGCGTCTTACCGGATCTTCCCGTGAATAAACTCGTACGCGCGGGTAAACTCGTGAAAATTTCGCAAGGATCAAAACTCGAGCACGACGACAGACAAGTGGTGATTTTGCTTCGTGGATCTCTGTACAACAATACGTGCGGCAACATCCCAGCGCCGTGCGTCGTGACTTTCAAACGGACGGGCATGCTATCCAACGCAACAACGTCGGCTTCGAGCGCGCTTGAGAGTAAGCTTGAGTCGCGCTTGTCGGCGTTGAAATTCGGGAAAAATGGTCTCGTGCGCGGCTCGTCTCAAAATCTCGCCGCGCTCGCGGCGAAGATGTCCGTGGACGAATCCGCATCTGAATCACTTCCCGTGGAGCCCGACAGGGATGGTTACTGCACGTTTGAGAGCGTCAATGATTTGCTCATTTACGTCATCCCGACCGACAAGCTCTTGCAATCGCCGACCTCTGGTAAATCGAGAACTTCGCTCAGGGCGCAAAAGAAGAGGGAATTTTTACGAGGCTTGTCGAACAAGGTTTCGCGACAACGCTCCATTTTCATCGGCCCAGACAACCGATTGAACGCTCAAAAGTCGACGATGCCGCGACGATCGATCGACTCTGATCGACGATCGATCGAGTTCGACATCGAGTCTGGCGTCGCGAACGCGACGTCGCGTTCGCCGAATCGTCGCTTGTCGTTGCAACTACCCCGACAGCCCACGGTGGCCGAAGATGCGGACAACCCAATCGGTGAAGATCCGCGCACGCAACTCACGTCCAATTCCATGATCTCATTGGGCACGGACGACGACAACGCGCAAGACACGCACCGATCGGACGACTTGGTGCCTTTACGATCACGATCGCGAGTGTGGGACGATTCGCCGATTCCGGCGCCTCGCGTCTTACCGAGCCGCGACTACGAGGATCCGTCTACGCAACACACGATTTCCTAGTACTAGCGTTAGAAATATACACGTGATGCATGCACACCACACTACTTCGCTAAAGCTCGCGATCCCGCCGATCCCGCGCCTCCAACTCGTTCGCGGCGCGCGCCGCCGACGCGCTCTCGCACGTCCCCGTTCTCGCGTGACACAGCGCCTCCCTCGCCTCCATTCGCGCCCCGCCGTCGTCCCGCTTCCCGAACGTCATCAACGCATCGTCGTGTTCTCCATCGATCAGCCTCGCGCACGCCTCCCGCGCGTACACCGTGATCCATCGCCCTCTCGCTCGCGCCGTCCCGTCGTCCTCCGCGAACGTCTCCGTGACCCGCCCGTCGCGCATCGTCAACCCGAGCTCTTCCCCCGCGCGCGCGCACGTCGCCTCCATCGTCGCGTCCGCAAGCGCGCGCGTCAGCGTCCCGCCCCTCCGCGCGCGCTCCCGCGCGAGATCGCGCACGAGCGCGTCGCACGCCGCCGCGCACGCGTTGCATCGCAACCGTCGTCGCGCGGCGTCGTCGTCGTCGCGCGGCAGCGAATCCATCGCGTCCCGCGACGCCGCGATCGTCGCCGGCGGCGCGGCGCTCGCGACGCCGCGCGCCGCCGCGAGCGCGACGAGCGCCGCGACGAGCGCCGCCGCGACGAGCGCGCGCATCGACGCGAATCGAATCGAATCGCCGCGTCGCCGTCTGACGCGCGCGTTCGCGCCGACGCATCGCGCGCGCGGCGTCGTCGCGAACGCGGCGCGCGCGACGCGACGCGACGCGACGAAATTTTCGCGATTCGGCGCGCGCGCGAAAACGCGCGAAAACGCGTCGCGTCGGCGTCGGCGGCGACGAATCGAATCGCCGCGCGCGCGCGGGCGCGTCGACGTCACGGCGCGTCCGCACACGACGGCGCGCGCGACGCGCGCGAGGGCGTTGGAGCGCGACGCGACGCGCGCGATGGCGACGGCGATGATGACGACGACGACGCGCGGCGCGACGCGCGGCGGTGGGACGACGCGCGCGACGACGGGCGGCGCGACGGGACGGCGCGCGCTTATCCAGAGGCGGCGGCGAGGCGACGGCGCGACGGCGAGCGCGGGGACGGTGGCGCAGCCGGACGCGAGGGACGTGGAGGAACTGTACGGGCAGAACGGGGCGTGCGCGATCGCGCCCAAGTACTCGCCGGCGGTGGTGAGAGAGCGCGCGATGCGAGGGCCGGGGGAAGCGGCGCGGACGGCGGCGCGGTGCGGGGAGATCGTGTTCAACGCCACGGCGTTCGCGAGTGGGTTGCTGTACGATAAGTTGAACGAAACCGAACGCGTGGTGAGTCGAAGCGAGCAGCTGAGGGTGCAGTTGGCGAAGTTGGGGCCGTCGTTCGTCAAGGCGGGGCAGGTGTTGGCGAACCGGCCGGATATCGTGCGAAGCGATTACATGGAGGAGTTGTGCAAGCTTCAAGACGACGTGCCGCCGTTCGATAACGCGACCGCGTTTGATATCATTCGAAGCGAGCTCGGACGACCGATCGATGAGGTGTTCTCGGTGATTTCGAGCGATCCGATCGCGGCGGCGTCGCTCGGGCAGGTGTACCGAGCGACGCTTCGCGAGAGCGGCGAGGAAGTCGCCATCAAGGTGCAACGGCCGGGGATCGAGCCCATCATTTACAGAGACTTGTTATTGTTTCGCACGCTGGCGTGGTTCATCAACGGCTACTCCGTGCGCGCGTTGGGTTGCAACGCCCAGCTCATCGTGGACGAGTTTGGCGAGAAGCTCTTGGAGGAACTCGATTACGTGCAAGAGGGGCGCAACTTGAGCGATTTTTACGACAATTTCAAGGACGATCCCATCGTGAAGATCCCAAAGTACTACAAAGAGTACTCCGGGTCGAAGATTTTGACCATGGAATGGATCGATGGCGTTCGATGCACAGATCCGCAAGGCATCGTCGACGCCGGCATCGACGTCGAGGAGTTCATCAAGGTGGGCGTCGTGAGCGGGCTGAGACAGTTGTTGGAGTTTGGATTATTCCACGGCGACCCGCATCCGGGTAATATTTTCGCGATGCGCGACGGGCGCATCGCGTACGTAGATTTTGGGAACGTCGCGCAGCTGACGCAAACGAATAAGGAGGTGCTCATCGACGCCGTCGTGCACGCGGTGAACGAGGACTACGAAAGCATGGCGGGTGATTTCATTCGTCTCGGTTTCTTGACCCCAGGCACGGACGTGCGGCCCATTGTTCCGGCGCTTCAAGACATTTGGCAAGACGCTCGCACGGCATCGTTAGCCAATTTCAACTTTCGCACCGTGACGTCGAGTTTCAACAAGCTCGTGTACCAGTACCCAATTCGCATCCCAGAGCGGTTTTCGCTCGTCATCCGCTCGCTGTTGACGCAAGAAGGGATTTGCATGACGTTGAAGCCGGACTTCAAGTTTCTCGAAGTCGCGTATCCGTACGTCGCCAAGCGGTTATTGACAGACCGAGACGTTTCGCTTCGCGAGCGCTTGATTCAAGTGTTGTTCAAGCAAGACAAGTTTCAATGGCGCCGCCTTGAAAACTTGATCGATCTCGCGCGAGACGGCGGCGGGAACCTCGATTTGACGGAAACCGCCACGGATGGCGCGGGGTTACTTCTTACGGACGCTAAACTTCGTCAGCAACTGCTCCTCGCGTTGACGGAAGACGATCGCTTACAAGTGGACGAGCTCGCACGTCTCGTTGCGACGCTTCAACGAGAGGTCAATATCCAAAAGCTGGTGCAAAACGCGGTCGGCGACGGGCCAAACATCGCGCGTAATCTCGCTCTCAGCTGGTCTAGTAAGGTGCTCGCGGACTAATTGATCATTACAAGTCGAAACGAATGTGTACTGTAACATAACAACGGCAAATCGTGCATTCACGAGAATATTTGCAACAACCCCGTCATCGCGCATCGACAATGTGGACACCGCGCTTCGCTCCCTCCCTGGTCTCGAAGTCGCGCGATGCACGCGCTGCAATACATCAAGTGTAAGCACGGACACACGACAGTGTCACGCTTGTTCGAGTAGCAAATCGTGCACAATACCTCTTGCTCGCGTTCGATTTGCAATCGAGCGACCTCGCCGCGAAGTCTTTCAAGCTCTTCCGCGTCGCCGCCGACGGCGCTGTAAGGATCATCTTCGTCCTCATCGCTAATCATGAGCCTTCGTGGCGCACATCGCCGTCGAGTCTCCTGTCTTCGTATAAGTACATCCGTAGAAAAGTTGTACGACTGCGCGAGTCTGAGCTCGCGTTCCCGCTCCGCGGGAACTCGAGTTTCTTCGCGAGGCATCGGCGCGACGAACCGCGTGGCGTTCAACAAAACCGGCTGTTCGCTCGCCTCGGGCGCGCGTAGTCGCAACACGTCGCTAAAGTATCGCTCTTCGAGCACGCGCGCGTCGCGCTCGTCGGTCGCGATACCACTGATCAAGATCGCCTCCACTCGAGCGTGCCACAACGATTTCCTCGTCGCATCGACGGCTGTCCGAGGGCGCGTGAACGCCGGCACGAACGAACCCTCCTTCAGCGACATCGCCAGATCGTTCAGCAAAGAACCAATCACTCTCAGTAACCCAAAAGTCATCAACGGTCGATCAACCACTCGTGCAACTAGGCGCACGGTCTCAAGCCAATCCTCGCGTTCGCCGTCGAGCCATTGCTGTTTTTGAGACGTGATCAGAAAGCTCGCTTCCAAATCGCGCAACGCTTCAGCGACCCGTCGCGCGGGCTCGGACGACTCGATCAACTGCAGAGAGTCGACGAAAAATGTACGGACGGACGGCCAGGTTGACGAGCGCGCGCTGTCGTGGACGTTTTCGTCGAGCTATGTCACATGGTCAGTCTTGCGCCTCGGGACGCGAATCGTCGCGCGCGGGGCACACCTCGAGGATGAGTCGCTTGAGTTCGTACGCGACGACTTCGGCGGGGATACTCTGCGACGTAGGCTGCGCGCGTAAAATGTCATCGACGCGCGCGCGCATGGGCGACGCGCACTGGTGTCGGCAACGTCGAGACGATTGATGTCTCGAAAGTTGTGTTCTGCGCGCGTTGTTAGGCGAGAGGCCTCGGCGACGCGAATCGGCGTTGCATGCCACCACCTACGATGACTTAGAATCCCACCACCTACGATGACTTAAAACGTCGCTACCATCTAACTTTGTATCTACCTCTGACGTACTAGTTTGAATCCCGTCGCGACCGGCGACGCTAATTCAAAACGCCCGTGGCTCGCATCACCATGACGGCGTCGATTCGCGTTCGGCGCAAGCGATGGCGCGCTCGCGCCATCGCCTCTTCGCGCAACTCTCGCCACGCGCTTTTGCTTTTCCGCTCGGACGTGGCGACCATGGCTTTTAAGATATCGTCCAAGACGTCGTTTTCGAGCGCGTCGGCGAAATCGACGAGACTCGCGTCCGCGTCTCCGTCTCGCGTCTCTTCGCGAAACGTCGCCGCCGCGCTCGCCACCAAACACATCGCGAACGCCGTCGCCGTGTTCACCGCCCTCCCCGGCGTCTGCACGCTCAAAATATCCGCCGCGTGTATCAACGCCAGACTCGCAATCTCGAATCCCGACAACGCGCGCGTCGTTTCTCCCGTGTAAAAATTCACCGCCGCCGTCTCTCGATCGAACGCCCCCGCGCGCGTCAACGCCCATCGATAAAACTTTCTCTGACTGCACGTCGCGTACAGAAACATCAACCGCTCGCTCGCGCGCCCACAAACCGCGCGAAACATCGAGCGATGCGCGCCGAACGACGCCACCGCGCACGGAAACAACTCGCTCCCGTACGCCGCGTGGCCGAGGCCGGCCCGCGCCACCGAGCGAGGCGCGCCGAACCGCGCCAACCAATCCCGCACGTCCACCAAGTGCGCGTCGAACGACCCTCGAACGTGCGTCAGCTTCGTCGCGCGCGCCTCGCGCAGGCGCAGCAGCGCGCCGTCGTCGTCGAGGTCGTCCTCGTCAACCATCCGCGACGTCGTCGCTTCGTCTTCGTCCCATCGCGCCGCGCGCGCGTCCTCCGCGCCCAAGCTCCACGCGCACGGCGCGTCGAGCGCGTACCACATCGCGCGCGCCGCCACCGCGCGCGACACCGCGCGCCAGGACGGCGTCGCGAGCGCGCGCTCGGACGACGCCATGGCGACCGACCGGCGCGGCGAAGTGACGCGCCGCGTCGCGCACTGCGCGACGCCCGGCGCCGCGAGGCTCGCGCGCGCGATGCGAGCGACGGTGTTCGCGCGCGCGGTCCCGCGCGCGAGCGCGCGCGGGACGCCCGCGCGACGCGTCGCGCGTTCGAACGCGACGAAAAGTTTATCCACAAGATGCGTCGGCGCGACGCGCGCGACGGCGACGACGGCGACGACGACGCGCGCGGGGACGGCGACGGACGCGCGCGGACGCGATGCCATCGCGCGCGAAGTCGCGACGGCGACGACGGCGACGACGGTGGTGCGGACGTGCGCGGCGGGGGCGGGGGCGGCGGCGCTCGCGCTGCTGGCGCCCGAGCACGCGCGCGCGGCGGCTGAGGTCGTCGCGGACGACGCCGCGGACGGCGGATTTTTGCAAGGGTTGCTTTTAATTTTGTTCAGTGAGATTGGGGATAAGACGTTCTTCATCGCCGTGCTGCTGGCGCTGCAGCAGGATAAAAAGGCGGTGTTCGCGGGGACGTACGGGGCGCTCGCGGCGATGACGGTGATTTCGGTGACGCTCGGCCAGTTTCTTCATCAGTTGGATGAGAATTTGCCGTTCGAGACGAGCGTTCCGTGGGATGACTTCTTAGCGGCCGGGTTGTTGTTGTTCTTCGGCGTGCAAACGATTCGATCGGCGGAGGAGAGCAAAGCTGAGGAGGAGGAGGAGGACGCCAAGGAAGCCGTGGAAGGCTTGGGTAGTACGTTTAACGACGAGATGGCGTTGATCGCGACCACGGCTGCGCTAGTGTTCGGCGCCGAATGGGGCGATAAGTCGTTTTTCGCCACCATCGCGTTAGCCGCTGCGGCTGACCCAGGTCAAGTTGTCGGCGGGGCGCTCGCGGGGCATTTCATCGCCACCGCCGGAGCCGTCACCATCGGCGACGTCATAGGCGATTACATTTCTGAGCGCGTCGTGGCGTACGCGGGCGGTTCGTTGTTCATTCTCTTCGCGGTTGGCACGCTCGTTGACGCGTTTAACAAATAATTCTGTCGCGGCGTCGTTTTGTTGGTTTTAATTTTTATTCCTATTCACGTCAGCTGTCTCTCCTTAAACTAAAGCGTGGAAAGTCTGCGAGTCTACGCCGCGAACGACGATGTTCTCCAAGTTGGTGTTCATGTTTTTAGTCAAGTTTTCGTTCGGCGGCAGCGGGCTCGCCTTGGCTTGCTCGACAGCCTCGTCGACGATGCGCCGTTGCTCCTTTTCGATTTGCTTAATTTGCGTCGCGTCGAGCAAATTATGTTCAGTGATAAGCTTGCGCAAACGCTCGACGGGATCGCGCTCTTGGCGAATGCCCGTGATTTCATCGCGCGTACGGTACGTGCTTCCCGGGTCGCTCATGGAGTGGCCGTGGTAACGGTACGTGTCCATCTCCATCACGATCGGGCCGTTGCCCGCGACGCAGTACTCCTTCGCGAACTTCATCGCTTGCTTCACCGCGAGGGCGTCCATGCCGTCAACTTTCAAACCCGGAACGTAATCCCCACGCTTGTAATAGACAGGGCTCTTCGCACTGCGATCTTGTGCGGTACCCATACCGTAATGGTTGTTTTCGCACATGAAAATCACGGGCAAATCCCAGAGAGCCGCCATGTTGAGCGCCTCGAATAACTGCCCTTGATTCGCCGCCCCGTCTCCATACATCGTCACCGCCACATTCGGTTGTTTGTTGTACTTGAATGCGAACCCCAAACCGGCCCCGATCGCGGTCTGCGCGCCGACGATGCCGTTGCCGCCGAAAAAGTTTGCCTCTCGGCGGTACATGTGCATCGACCCGCCGATCCCCTTCGCCGCGCCGTCCACGCGTCCCATCAACTCCGCCATCACCTCGAGCGGCGTCCCTCCACGACCAAGATGAATACAATGATCCCGATACGACGTCACCACCGCGTCTTGCTTATTCAACGCCGCTTCCATGCCCACGCACACCGCCTCTTGACCGTCGTACAGGTGACAAAAACCGCGAATAAACTTCCCCTTATAAAGCACATCCGCCGCGATCTCCAATCGACGCATCATGTACGCCTGCGTGAACATATCGATAATCTCGCTCTTCGTCGTCTCCACCATCTGCGACGGCGGTACGATGAGATGTCCCTTGAACGGCACCGGCGTCTCGATGACCATCTTCTCATCGTTCGCATCCGCCGCGAACGCCCGCGTCCAACGCGCGTGCGTCGTCGTCTGTTCGCGTGCGATCCATCAGTCATTCGTTTCGCCGTCGTTCGAGCGCGCGAGCGCGCGTCACCGCGTCGCGCGCGCGACCGATCGTTTCGCAATCGATCCCACGCGTCGAGCGATCGTCGACTCGCGCGTCGTCGCTTCGCGTCGCGCGCACCGTCCGGGCGCACGCTGACGAGGCGGCGCGTTTCGCGATCGCGGCGAGCATGTCCAGCCGAGCGCGCGCGCGTCGCGCGGGCGTGTGCGAGGCGAACGACGCGCCGAGCAACTGTTTTCGACTAGGGCAAACACCCGGGAGTACATGCGCGCTGATTACTATTCTAATCGGGCTAGTCTAATCGGAGTCCTCGAACGATTCCGGCTCGTCGTTCGCCATGAGCGCGGCGAAACTGAGTTTGGGCTTGGTTTTCGCCGTCACGGTCGCGGGATCGGGCTGCGAGCGAAGCGCCTCGACGAAGGTTTCCGCGGCGGCGCCTCGCGACGCGTTCGCATTCGCCGCCGTCGACGGCTGGGAAACCCCGCTCGGCGCCGCCGTACCGCCGGTGAACATGGAGAACATATCATCGAACGTTTCGAGCTTATTGGACCACGGCAACGGCCGACGCGATGGCGCGGGCTTCGCGGGCGGAGGCTCGCGCGGCGGCGAATCCGGCGTCGGCGCCGACGGCGCCGACGGCTCCGCCGCGCTCGCCAACGCTTTCGCTTTCGTGCTCGAGCCGCAATAAAATCGAGCCGCCTCCACGAGCGCATCATCCGTGACGGTCTTCACGCACCCGATCGCCGTGCTCGTCAGCGTCGTCGCCGTCGAGGTCGACGCCGTCGGAACCGCCGCCGCGCGCGCCGCCGCGTCGTCGTCCTCGTCGTCGTCCGACACCACGTCGTACAAACGCGCTTCCTCGCGCACCGGGGATTCCGCGCGCGCGTTCTCCGTCACCTGATTCGCCGCGCGCCCGCGCGCCGTCGTCCGCGCGTTCTCGCGCGCGCTCGCACCGCGCGCGGATTTCTCTCTCGGCGTCGTCTTCGCCTTCGGTCTCGCCGCGTCGCGCACGCTCGCCGGTAATCGACGCTTGCGCGCGCCCACGGGCTCGCCGACGCGCGCGCGCGCCGCGTCGTCGGCCATGCGGGCCGTCGCGCGCGCGCCGACGACTGACGCGCGCGCGTCGCGTCGCGCTCGAGCGGTCGGTTGACGAACGGTATTCCGCGACGCAGACGCGACGCGCGCGTCCGTCGCGCGATGCACGCCGCGATGGTATCGAGCGCCGCGGTGTCGACGTCGACGACGCTCGGCGCGCGTCGCGCGCGCGCGGGCGCGCGGCGCGCGCGAAGCGCTAGAGTTGCCCTAGCGGCTCTGTCGGCGCCGACGCGCGCGATGCGTCGCGCGACGCCGCGGCGGGGCGACGCCGCGCGCGAACGCGCGGTCGGTGACGCGTGGAATCGCGCGGTCGTCGCGCGGGCGGTGAAGGAACCGGAGGAGGAGACGATCCCGAGCGATGATTTCAAGCCCGAGGAGCTCAAGTTTCGCGACATCGTCTCGCTGTGGGTGACGCAGATTTTGCAGACGTACGGCGATAAGGAGAGCAAGGATAACGCGCCCGTGTGCGAGGGCGTGATCGATGATTTGGTGGGGGGACCGATTTTCTTGGCGCTGTACCCGTACTTTCGAAGGTACGGTGGGGTGTTCAAGTTGGCGTTCGGGCCCAAGGTTTTCATGGTGCTGAGCGATCCCGTCGTCGTGCGAGAGGTGCTGAAGGAGAAGCCGTTTTCGTTCGATAAAGGGGTGCTGGCGGAGATTTTGGAGCCAATCATGGGACAGGGACTGATTCCAGCGCCGTACGCCGTGTGGAAGAATCGCCGTCGGCAACTCGTGCCGGGATTTCACAAGGCGTGGCTCGATCACATGGTCGGCTTGTTCGGTCACTGCTCGAACGCGCTCGTGCGGAATTTGGATAAAGCCGCGGCGAGCGGCGAAGTGGTGGACATGGAGGAGCGTTTTTGCTCTGTGAGTTTGGATATTATCGGCTTGGCGGTATTCAACTACGATTTTGGGTCGGTGACAAAGGAGTCTCCCATCATCAGCGCCGTGTACAACTGCTTGCAAGAGGCGGCGCATCGCAGTACGTTTTATTTTCCCTATTGGAACTTGCCCTTCGCGACGGACATCGTCCCTCGACAGCGCGAGTTTAAGAAGAATATGTCCATCATCAACGACACGTTGAACGGATTGATCAAGCAAGCGCAACAGTTCGAAGGCACGGACGATTTGGAAGAGTTGCAAAACAGAGATTACAGCAAAGTCAAGGATCCGTCCTTGTTGCGATTTCTGGTCGACATTCGAGGCGCCGACGTCACGGACGTGCAGCTTCGCGATGATTTGATGACCATGCTCATCGCTGGTCACGAGACCACCGCCGCTGTGCTCACGTGGGGCTTGTTTTGTTTGGTGCAAAAGCCTGAATTGCTCAAGAGGATCCAAGCCGACATCGACGAAGTCTTCGGCGACGACGACAGAACGCCCACGTACGACGACATCCAAAAGCTCGAGTCTGTCCGTTTGTGCATCGCCGAGGCGTTGCGTCTGTACCCAGAGCCACCGATTCTCATTCGTCGATGCCTCGAAGACGTGACGCTGCCCAAGGGCGCGGGAGATGTCGAAGTGACTCTCATCAAGGGGATGGATATTTTTATCAGCGTGTGGAATTTGCACCGCTCACCCGAGTGCTGGGAAAACCCCGACGAATTCGACCCATTCCGATTCAAGCGCCCTTTCAAGAACCCAGGCGTCAAAGACTGGGCCGGATACAACCCCGATTTGCTCACTGGGCTCTACCCCAACGAAGTCGCCTCTGATTTCGCCTTCATCCCATTCGGCGCCGGCGCGCGAAAGTGCATCGGCGACCAATTCGCCATGCTCGAAGCCACCATCGCGATGGCGATGACGCTTCGCCGATACGATTTCGAGTTACAAAAGGACCCGAAAGATATCGGCATGGAGATGGGCGCCACCATTCACACCGCCGGCGGCCTCCCCATGAAGATCAAGCGCAGAACGCCCGCGGCGTGAACGTCTTCGATTTCGCGCGCGCGCGACTCTCAGACAATCGCCATGCAAGTGTAACACGTACCCATTCAACGCCCGAAACGCACCGCGCGTACTCTTACGAGAACGGTCTCACGGCGCCTAGTCTTCACCGTCACCGCCCGTCTTTCTCTCGCGTCCGGCCTCGCCCGCCGTAACCCGACAGCGTCTCGCTCTCGTCGATTCGCCCCGCGCCTCACACGCCGACGCGCGCGTCCACCGCAGGCATGGGCTCGTCCGACCAAAGCGAAATGATAGCCTCGCGCGAGGACATGAAGCGCGCCAAGCTCGACATCGGATACAGAGACTTTTGCGCGCACCTTCTCATCCCACTGAACGAGTGCAGGCGCAAATCCTTCTACCTCCCGTGGAAGTGCGGGCACGAGCGACACGTGTACGAGAAGTGTCAATACAAAGAGTGCGTGCGACCTCGATCGACGCGTCGCGCGCGCGTCGGACGCGCGTCGCGCGCGAGGCGTCGACGGCGATCGGCGCGACGGTGGCGATGGCGATCGGTGTCGCGCTTGATGGTGTCTGAGCGAACGCGCGCGCGGCGCGATGGGCGACTGACGGAATAATCGTCGCGTTTGTGCGCTCGCGCGTAGGTACATGAAGCGCGTGGCGAGCGTGAAGGCGTCGAAGGGGGACGGACACTGAGTCGGCGTACGTAGCGAGCCGTCGGGGCGGCGTTTGTAAGAGATAGCAGAATATATGCACGGGTGCGACGCCGGCGGCGAGGGAGCGCTGATTTCTGAGCTGGTTGATTGTTTTACACTGCGTTTCCTCGCGCGGGGTCGCGAACGCGTCGTATCGATCTCTTCGGAGGCCGAAGCCGCTTGGCCGAGGAGACGTCACGAGGACGCGAGCGCGGCTCTAGCGCGAGGAAAACTATGCGTCGATCACGCGCGCGACTAATTCGACGTCGAGACGCCCGCGGCTTCGAAAATGTCGTCCAACGGCGCGTGCGCTCCCGTGGAGACGTCGTACGAGACGTACGTCGCGACGCCGTCTCGAAACACGAACGAGCCGCCTTGTTGATACCCTTGGTCCGGTCTCGGCGGCAACCACGGCTTCCAACGCTTCAACACCCCGAGCAAATCTTTCGCTCCATCCTTGTTCCATCGCTTCAGAATGCTCTCCGGCGTCGACTTCTCCATGAACGTCTGTTTCGCGCCCTTTCGCAGCTTCAACGCCTCGTACGTCGCGCTCTCCGCGTCCGCGTACAGCAACTCGATCGGAAAATCATTCTCCCGGCTAAAATCCTTCGCTCGTTCCAGCGTTCCGATCGAAACCACCACCAATCGCACGCCGGCCGCATCGAGCGTCGGTATCGCGTCGCGAGCGAGCTCCACCGCTCGCTCGCTCGCGAAAAATCACCCAAACGACCTCAGGAACTGCACCACCACCGTGCCTCGCGCGCCGACGACCTCGGGCACGGTGACGCGCGCGCCGTCGATCGCGCGCATCACTTCTACCGCGCGCAGCGCCTCCAGCGCGTCCGACGGCGCGTCGCTCGGGACGTTCACGCGCGTCGTCCCACTCGCAGCCGACGTCATCATCGCCGCGCGTCGCGCGCGCGCGACGCGCGCGCGTCGCGCGCATCGAAGCTCGAGCGCCGACGCGCTCGAGCGCATCGCGAGCGACGCGCGCATCGCCATCGATCGCGCGTCGCGGGCGCGCGACGCCGACGAATGGCGCAAGCCGCGTCGGCGCCGCACTCACCGGCGCGCGTACGCGTCTCGGCACGTCGCGCGCGAGGCTCGGTCGACGCGCGCGCGCGATGTCCATTCGCGGCGTGGCGCAGCTGCGCGCGCTGCGCCTGGTGTACTGCGACGTCACGGGGACGTCGCGAGGGATCAAAGAGTTCGTCCTGAGTGGAGGCTGGGATGAATTTAAAGCGCGCGCGCTCGTCCACGGCGACTCAACCGAGGCGACGACGGAGATAAGAAGAGGAGGAGACCCGCACGTGCGCGCGACGTACGCGAACGGGCACGAGAAGGCGGTGGGGTTGAAGAATCTGAGCGCGAACGCGGTGGAGACGCACGTGCGGTGGTTGGCGAGCGAAAAGGGTAAGCCCGGGAGCAAACCGATGAAGCACAGGCACTTCACGAAGAAGCCGAGCGTGCAGGGACGGTGGACGCCGTTCACGTTCGGCGGTGGGCGGGCGTACGTGGACGAAGAGGAGGATTAGAGGGCGCGGAGGCGCGACCGCGCGGCTTCGCGCGCTAGGGTAGAATTTAATCGAGCGTCAAGAGCGCCGTTTGAGCGTCGCGCGTCGAGCGATGCGCTCGTGTTCGATCGTTTCGTCGTTTAGTTTCGGTTTCGGGCGCGCGCGTTCGTCTCGTCGTGGATTTTCGTTTCGCGGCGCGGCTTCGACTTCGCCCCGCGCGGCGGTTGGTCGGCATTATCGCGCGCGACGCGCCGCCATGCGCGCCATCGCGCGCCGCGCGCTTCTCATCTCGTGCATCGCGATATGTTTCGTCGCCTCGCACGCGCGTGTGGCGCCGTCGGACGTCGACGATGGCGGTTTCACCGTCACGAGGCGCGTCGAACGCGTCGCGTCATCGACTGAAATTTCGCCTTCTTCGCGCGCGTATGCGGCGACCGAGCCGCCGGCGACGCTCCGGACGCTCGGCCTGTGTCAGTGCACGTTTTCGACCGCGGCAAACGGGCTCGAGTGCGATCGCGAGGGCGCCGTCGTGGGCGGTTTCGAGGCGAGCGGCGAGTACGCCGGCCGGGACGGGCGCGGCGACGGGTTGGTGCCGCTATCTCGAGCGATATGCTGCGTCCCGTGCCTGAGCTCGAGCGATTTGGACGGTAAGACAAAGGTTCGAGATGTGTTTCCGGCGGTGACGGACGCGGCGGACGGAGAGGCGACGATCGAGAGTTTGAGAGCGCTGAGCGTGGACTGCGTGCCCACGCGGGCGAGCACGCCTTCGGGACAGGACATGGTGTGCCCGGCGGGGACATTCTTGCAAGGCTTCAATCGGGTGAATAAGGCACAGACGACGCGGGGGTCGGCGTTTTATTATCCCAAAGACCAAGGCGAGTGCTGCAAGGTCAAGTTTGTGTTGCCGAGCGGAAACGCTCTCGGGACGAACGAGTGCGAGTGCGCGGCGGAGGAAGGGTTCGATGTTTCGTGCGGGCAAACGAACACGCCCGAGGCTGTCGGCACGAACGGGGCGGCGGTGAGTGGGTTTGAGTCAGTGATATCCGCGATGGGCGCCCTCGGCTCGCCAATGCTCGTGCCCTCGACGCCGTTGCGATGCTGCAAGGCGTGCGTGCGACGAGACGCCGCGCCGCAACCGTTGAGCGACGGGTGCTCGCATTTGAATCACTGTAACGGTCACGGGGACTGCGTCATCGACGGTCACTGCGAGTGTCACATCGGGTGGATGGGCGACGCGTGCGGTGATGTCGACGACGGCGCGGCCGGGATGTACGGCGAGACGTGGCAATACGCCGTGATGTTGAGCGGCGTCTTACTCGGATGTTGCATTCGCGCCATTCTTTGCCGGCACGTGGAACAGGTCAACTTAATCCGGGCGCAGCGGTTGATGATGCACGAACCATTGTTACGTCAACGCGAAGACAACACCGTGATGGATGAGTGGGAAGAGGCGAGCGATTTGAGCACGTCTGACGACGAGGACGGCGCCGGCGACGGTGAGCAACCGCCGGCGACGAACGAGGACGCCACCTCGGAACTCACCGATCCCACCGCCGCACACTCCAACGATAGCGATGACCGCGAAGACACCGGCGAAATTCCTCCGTCTTCCTCCATCGAAGTCTCGGAAGACGAAACCGGCGAACCCGTCGTCACAAAGTCCAAGCGCCGCAGCGGCGTCCCCGACAGCGAGTGCGTCGTATGCATGACCTTACCCGTGCAGTGCGTCTTAATTCCCTGCGGTCACGCGTGCATGTGCCGCAAGTGCGCTCGCCGCATGCGTCGCTGTCCCGTCTGCCGCATCGTCGTCACTCGCCGACAAAAATTGTACATGGGCGCGTGAGCGTCCCGGTGTCTTGTAATTTCTTGTTCTTGTTTCTCGTCACAACATGCCGCGCGCGGCCGCGCGCGCAGCCGCGCGCGCGCATTCCTTCGCCGCGCACCATCGCCGTCACTCGTCGTCCTCGTGTCGCCGTTCGTCGTCCTCGTCGCGCGCGTCGACGTCGTCGTCTGTTCCGACACGCACCCAGGCCTGCGTGCTCTTGCTCGGCCCGCGCGACGACGATCTCGCTGCGTGCGCGCTGAAGCTCGCGGACGTCGCCGCCGCGCACAATTTGCGCGTCTTTACGCTGTCGCACGACGACGTGGATGGGTTGACGCGCGATGGGCGCGAGCTGCGGTTGGCGCGCGGCGACGGCGACGCGTACGCGCTTCGCGGCTCCGGCGAGGACGCCGCCGTCGTCGCGCTGGACGCGACGGACGGTATTTTGGCGCAACTAGGATACGAATGCGTCCTCTGCCTGGTCGTGGGCGGGCGCGAGGTGTGCTTGGGTGAGGATGGGCGCGGGAGTCGCGCTCGACGATGCGCCAATCGCGCCGCCGTCTCGGGAACGCCCACCGTGTGCGCGACGATCCCGACGACGACGCAGACGACGTCGTTCGAGCCGTGCGCGTGCGCGCTCGAGCAACTCGTGAGTGTCGTCCTGCGAGTGCTGCCGACGAAGTCGCCCGCGAACAATCCTCGCTCACATTTTCCGTTTCCGACGAACGGGCGGTGGGCGAGCCTCGGCACGGCGCAGTTGCCGATGGACGACGAGCTGGCGAGGCAAGTTTTAGATGACGGTGGCGATGATTTCGCCGCCAAAGATTGTTGGTCGCTCGGCGGCTCGGGCACGGTTCACGTCAACGACACCGCCGTCGAACACACGACTCCACAGTCGCGACGCGCGGCGCTAAGAGACGCGTTCGTGGAGGCGGACATTTACTTGGATTTGAGCGTTCCGGCGAAATGGACGCCGAAGTCAAAGTTCCGCGCCGCCCGTCCCGGCGTGTTTTGGCGCCAGCAGCGCGTCCAGGCCGTGTTCGACGACGAAGTCCCCGTGGATTCCGTCCCCACCGACCGCTTCGGTCGAACGCTGCCGTCGCAAACCGTCGCCTCGGACGTCCGAGCGACGGACCGCGACGCTCGATTCGTCCGACAGCTCGCCACCGAGAGGCTCCTCGCCGCGCGCGCGTCGTCGCAACCATCACCATCATCATCGACGTCGTCCGACGCGCGTCCGCTTTCCTCCGCGTTCCGCGTCACCAAGGGCGTCGTCGTCGCCGACGACTCGCCTCGCGGCGACCTCGACGCCGTCGCGCGCGGCTTCGCCGCCGTCGTCTCCGTCCCCACCTGGCCCTTCGCCCACGCCTTCGCCCTCACCGACCGCGTTTTCCTCGAATCTCTTCGCGAGGACGTCGCGACCGGTCTCCCTTCCTTTTTAATCGATCCTTAGCGTCCTCTCTTCCGCGTCTCGCGCTCCGTCCCGCGCGGCTCGATCGCGGCACTCGGACCGTCGCGTCGGTGTCGACCTCGCGCACAATCCGAAGCGTCGCGACGCGAGTCCCGCGCCCGCGCGCGTCGCCGCGCGCCGTCGTCGCGCGCGCGAAGAGACATCATCGCACCGAGCGTCGTCGCGCCATGCGCGCGCGCGACGCGCCGTCGTCGGCGCCGCATTCGTCGCCGTCGTGCGCGCCATCGCCGTTCGCGCCCTGGCGCGCGCGATGCGTCGTGAAAAAGGCGCAGGACGGCTACCTGGTGTTCCCGAATCTCGTCGACGCGTGGTGCGCGACGGAGCGCGATGATACCGACGCGCGCGTCGCGGTCGGGCGCGTGTGCGCGGTGTACTGCGTGTTCGACGGGCACAAGGACGACACGGCGACGGCGTACCTGGAGCGACACTTGGGACGAAACTTGGAGCACGAGTTTCGGATGCTCGAGGCGAGGACGCGATCGGGCGAGGAGGCGCGCGGTCGGGAGGGAAACGGCGAGGACGGCGAGGACACGGTCGAGCGAGCGATGCGACGGGCGATTTTGCGGACGGAGAGCGAGTACGGGATGAGCAACGCGACGGGATGTTTCTTTTGTCACGGACCCGCGCCCGAGGGGGGGTCGACGGTGAACGTGGTGGCGATACAGCGCGTGGTGAGCGGGCGAGGGGATGATGCGTTGGCGTTCGACGCGGTGACGGCGAACGTCGGGGACTCGGCGGCGCTGATGCTGCCGCATCCCTCGGAGTTTGGAGCGATCTCGGCGGAGGATCGAGACAAGCACGTGCGGCTGTCGCGCGATCACAACCCGGTGGATCCGTTTGAGGCTAGGCGTTTGATTCAGACCGAGTGCAGGCTGGCGCGCCTGCGAGGCAACGCGGGCGAAGAGTTGGGGCCGTTGCGCGTGTTTCCTGGTGGCTACGCCGTTTCGAGAGCCTTTGGAGACTTCGACTGCGCGGCACTCATCTGCGAACCAGAGTTCACGCGCGTGCGCATCCCAGCCGCGGGATGTCGACTGTTAATCGCCTCGGACGGGGTTTTTTCCGCTTTGAAGGATGGCGAAATCGCGCGCGAGTGCATGGAATACATGGGGTCCGACACGTGCGCGGATGGCATCGTTGAAAAGGTTCTGAAAGTTCGCGGGATTCACGACGACATCACCGCCATCTGCGTAGACATTCCGTCGCTCGGCGAGTTGGAGGAACGACTCAGGGTGATCGAGCCCGTGATCGGCGAAGTTTACTCGTACACGCGAACTGAGAAAAAGCGAGAGCCTCTCACGAGGGAGCAGTTGTTGGAGATCGAGGAAGCCAACGCGGATTGTCCAGACGTGACTGTGCACCAAGGACGAAATTTCGGAAACTTTGCGTCAAAGAAGGTGTACGACGACTTGGAAGTGGGAGATCTCATCGGCCGCGGTATTTACGGCTCGGTGAGACGGGCAGTCGATCGGAAGACGGGCGATATCTTGGCTGTCAAGTCGATTTTGCGCACGAAAGTCGACGAGAATGCCATCAAAGACGAGTGCGATGCATTGCAAGTATTATGTGGGCATCATCCAAACTTTCCGTTGAAGTTAATGGTGTACGAAGACAGTCCGTTATTGAAGAGCGAAGTGACTCATATCGTGACCGATATTTACACTGGTGGAACATTAATACAGGCCATCGCGCAACGCGGTCTTTTTGATGAGGGTGATTGGTGCGTATTCGCCAACCAACTACTCGGGGCAGTGTCGTTCATGCACTCGTTGGGCGTCGCGCACAGAGACTTGAAGCCCGACAATATCATGCTCAAAGAGCCGTGGTCACCCAAACCAGGCGCTATTCCGACTTTGAAAATAATCGACTTCGGCAGCGCGACGTTCTGCTTGGCGCACGAAACTATGAAAGGACACGTTGGGACGAAATTCTTTAGCGCGCCGGAAGTGCTTCGGCGCAAGCCATACACGAAGAAGTGCGACGTATGGTCTGTCGGTGTGCTTCTTATGGTATTACTCAAGGGTTATCCTTCAGGCACCGCTGTTGAGGGTCAGTGGCGTGCGCTTCAGCAAGGATTGTCTCCAACGTTCCCTGATACTGTGCCAAAGCATTTCATCAAGCTCATCAAAGCGGCACTCGTCATGGATCCGACCCGTCGACCGAGCTGCGGTAGTATTCTCAAGGCAGCGGACGATTGGCTCGGTGCCTCGTTTACGAACAATAACGTGTTTACGAGCCCAAATAAAGTGCGACCAGCGAAACGATTGGCGATTCCAACGAGTTTCAGTGACGCGTTAAGCCTTCACATCGAGTTAACTCGCGCGAGCACGGCATCTCAGGAAGTCGAACAGCGCGATCATGAAGAGGAAGATGTGTCTGTGTACAAAGGCAATAGCTGGGAACTGGACCTCGCGATGGAGAAAGGTAGCATCGCCAAAGGCGAACCCTTGAACGTAATCGATAATTTGGACGAGCAAAGCAGAAGAATGGCGTATCAAAAGCACGTCACTGACATGCTTAGCGTCGTCGCCACGCCGATGGAGGTGCATCGTATTCTTCAGTACATCAACCGACAACTACGGGCGAAAAACGCTGGTGTCAAGCGAACATCGCTCGACGGTGATCACGACAGTAGTGATGTCGAACTCGCGTGGTGTTCAGCTGATTTGCTCGAGGAAGCCGCTCGAGAAAACGACGCGCTTGAGCCGTTGACGCAACTCGAGCTCGCGAGGCGACTCACGGGCTTGGATGGTGACTCGCTGTCGATAGATTTGAGCATTCTCAACGGCTTAGATGCGCTGCACGAGCGACATAAGCACGTTTTCAATGCGCTCGCGAAACATAGTCCGACGAAGCTATCCAATTCGTCCTCACCGGTCAAATTGAACGCCGACGAACTTAGCTCGGTCGACGACGGGCGTGTCTTGGTGCAATCCAGCGCGCACGCCGAAATGGTTCGCGCCATGCTCTCGCGTGGCTTGAGTTCCCATGACCTCTCGTCGATGTCCAAAATTCCCGTCGAACCCTCCGAGCTGACCGTCCGCGGCGGCAGTGCGTGGTTTTTGGAAGATTGGAGCAACAGCGGTTCGTCGCTTCCGAAAATCAATCCCGCGTACGACAGCTCGACGCGATTAGACAAATCCGCCATCCTCGCGGAGTCCGAGTCCGACAACGCGTGAGCGCGACGCACGACACCATCACGCATTGACAACATTAACCGATTCTTTCAATTCTACGCATCGATTACTTATTACAATCATCTTCGCGCGCCGATCCGCCTCTCGCGCCTCCCGGCGACCCCTCCTCCCGCTCTCGCCGTTCACCGCCTCGCGATCGATCACACCCCACCCTTGGAGTACGCTTGCAACACGACGTGCGAAATCATCTTCGTCGCCTCGACGTACCTGTCCGTGCACCTCGACAGGCACGTCGCTTCGCCGCTCGACATCGACCCGCCCGGTTTGGTGACGCACTTTTGAAAGCACTTGTCCCGAACCGTCGTGAAGAACTCCTGCGCGTACGCGTTCGCGAGCTCGGCTTTGACTTGGTGCATCACCGCCTCGGGGTTCTGTTCGTGCGCCATGGCGTCGCGTCGTCGCGTCGTCGCGATGCGGCGGCGCGGTGTGACGCGCGCGCGTCCCGGGCGGGACGGGACAACTCGACGCCGCGACGCGAGCGATGGGACGACGACGACGCGACGACGACGACGCCGACGGCGACGCCGCGCTCGACGCGACGTTCGCGGCGCTGAACGCGTCGACGGCGGCGTACGAACGGGAGGCGCGAGTGGGAGGCGCGAAGGATGATGGCGGCGGCGGCGGTGCGACGACGGGACGACGCGAGGACGACGCGATGAACGCCGAGGCGGTGGCGCGCCGACAGAAAAAGTACGATAAAGACCTTCGCGAGCGCGCGAAAAAGTATCGCGTCGGCGAGCGGGTGTCGAGCAAGCACGTGAGCGATAAGAAGGTGCGCGCGACGCTGCGAGAGAGTCAAAATTTGGCCGACGAGGCGGCGACGGCGGCGGCGACGCACGAGAAGTGGTTGGCGAGCGAAGAACCGGGAGTGCTCGAGGCGGATGAGGGCGAGAGGACGTATCAGTATCAACAGCGGGATATCGTGAATAATGTGGATGTGAACGCCGCGAAGAAGGCGTTTGATTTGGACGTGCCGGGAACGGGACGGTACTACGTCGATTATTCGCAAAACGGACGAGAGTTGTTGTTAGGTTCGAGCGAGGGCGCGCTAAGCATGATGGAGTGGCAGCGTCATTATATGATTAGCGAGACGGATGCGCGTGAAACGGTGAAAGATGTCAAGTTTTTGCACAACGAACAGTTTTACGCCGCGGCGCAAGACAAGTACACGTACATTTACGATAAGCGAGGCCTGGAGGTTCACTGCTTGAACGATCATATGCATGTCAATAAGCTCACATTTTTACCGAAGCACTTTTTGCTATGTTCGATTGGGAATCAAGGGATTTTGCGCTGGCAAGACACGACGTACGGGAAAATTGTGGCGCAGTATCGCACCAAACTCGGCGAGTGTAACGCGATGACGCACAGCAATTATAACGCCGTCGTGCATTGCGGCCATAAAAACGGAACTGTGACTTTGTGGAGCCCGAATCAAGGCACATCACTGGTGAAGATGTTATGTCATCGAGGCACCGTGCGAGGAGTGGCGATTGACAACGGGGGTAAGTACATGGTGACTTCGGGATCAGACGGACAAGTCAAGGTTTGGGATTTGCGCACGTACATGCCCGTACACGCGTACTACTCGGCGCAGCCGTCAGATCACATTCAAATCTCCCAGCGCGGCATGCTCGCCGTTGGTTGGGGGAGCACGGTGCAAATCTGGAAGGACGCACTCTCGACGAAGCAAAATTCGCCGTACATGAAGCACCAGTTTTCCCACGGACAAAAAATCAACTCCATGAAGTTTTGCCCGTACGACGATGTTTTAGGTGTCGGACACACGCGTGGATTCACGAGTTTACTCATTCCAGGTGCTGGTGAACCGAACTTTGACACGTTTGTGGCGAACCCGTACGAGACGAAGGGCCAGCGCCGCGAGCAAGAAGTCGCGCGTTTGCTCGATAAACTTCCTTCGGAAACTATTCAGCTCGACCCCGATGCTGTCGGTAAGCTTCGAGCAGTGCCGAAGGAGGTACAAGCTGAGCGTCGTCAGCAAGCGATCGAGGCTGAGCTGTCGTCGAGAAAGGCTCAGCGCGACAAGAATGAAGAAAAGACGAAGATGAAGGGCAAGAATAGGACGTCAAAGAGGTATAGAAAGAAGCAGTTGAACGTCATCGACGACAAGAAATTGGCAAAGATGGAAGCGAAGCGTTTGCGCGAAGCTGGTATCACCGAAAAGCGCGGTGGCGTCGCCGCGCCCGGATCGACGGCAGGCGCCGCTTCTTCGGCGCCGTACGCGCCCGAAGGCACGTCAAAGGCGCTCCGGCGTTTCTACAAGTAACATCGCGCGTGTGTAACAAAATCAACGTACAGTGTAGTCTAAATCAGATCGGTATTGATGATAGCTAAATCAATCTTGATTAGAACGAGCACAGCGTGGTCACACGTCCTCCCACTCGTCGAACATATCGTCGACGGCAGCGGCGACGTCAGCCGCCACCTCTTCCTTTTTGTCTTCGGGCTTCTTTCCGCCCTGCTGTTTTTGTAGTGCTGAGAGCAAAGCTTGCAGGTATTGCTCTTGCACTTCATTATCTGCCGTTGGTTTCGCCGCCGCATCCTTCGCATCTTCGCCGTTCGCCGCGGCGCCCTGCGCGGCATCCTCCTTCTCGAATTGGTTGCGCGTCACCCACTCTGGTTGAACCTTTATGGCGTCAATCTCGGCCTGCTTCTGTTGTTCCTCCGCCGTGGACCCGAGTTCGACGACAAATTTAGTCTCCTCGAGGTGCACATCGAGTGCGGCACCGCCTCGCCGCCCACCGCCGCCACCGCCGCCGCCGCCCTTGTTTTGAGAGTATCGCTTTCTCGCCACCGCCCACTCCGTCAACGTCCCGTACAACGGCGCCGGTGTCTTCATCGCCTTCGCAAGCTGCGCCTCCAAGGGCTTAAATTGGCGCTCGAGTTCGTCGTATCGCCGCTGCAAGCTTTCTTTGGTCTCTCTCGCCGCACCCTCCGGTTCAGGCGCCCCGTCCTTCCCCGCCTGCCGCACCTCGCACCCGCAATTCGAGCACTTGAAAACCATCTCCACCGGATCCAACAGCGCCGCCGCGTCCAAGCTCGAGTAAATCTTCCCACAAAATTCCGTCGGCCCGACGCACACGTACACCTCGTGTATCTTGCCCTTATCCACGCGTTGTCTCGCCTGCTTCTTCATCACGTGCAGCCGATACCTCGTCACGTCGAGCGCGCGTCCGTAATTCAACGAGCACCAACTCACCGTCTTCTTCACGTCCGGCGCATCCGTTATCCCACGCTCCGCCAACGCCTGCGCGCGCGCCTTATCCTTCTCCCGAACGTGCGCCCGCGATACGAGCTTCTCTCGCTCGAGGTACGTCAACAACTTGCGCACTTGCTTGAAACTCAACTTGAGATCGTTCGCTAAATCATCCTCTCTCGTCCACGTCCGTCGCGTCAGCGCGTCCACGACCACCTCCACGACGCGCGGATCATCGATCTTCGTCTTTTTATCCACCACCGGCGCCTTGACCGCGCTCGGCGCGGCGCCCACGTCCATCATCGCGACGTCCCCAGAGTTGGCTTTGTCGGTCGACGTCGTCGGTTTCGGCGCCACCGCGCGCGCGTTGAGGCGTTCGCGCGCGTAGCTCGTGGCGTAGAACGCTCGCGCGGTCATCCGCATCAGTTTCTTGTGTTCGCTCATCGCGAGCGCGACGACCGCGCGCGCGCGAGTGCGGAGCGAGCCCGCGGCGGGGCTCGCAACGGCTTCCGCATTCGGCGACGCGATTTCGCGACGATATCGACTCGCGCGCGATGGCCGGCGCCGCGCGGACGACCGCGCCGACGTCGCGCAAGCCCGCGTTCAGCGCGTTCTCGCAGCAGCAGCTCTGGGCCAGGCGACCGGCGCTCACGCCCGCGCTCACGGCGAAGTTGATGATCAGCATCGGCGTCGCGTGTTTCGCCGTCGGTGCGGCGATCTTCAACACCGCCAACGATCTGCGCACGCTGGTGAAGAGATACGACGACGCGGCGACGTGCGCGAGCGGATTTTTCCCGACCTCGGCGGAACAGGCGATGCAAATGTCGTTTAACGGCGCGGGGACGACGTGCACGGTGACGCTCACGGCGAAGTCGAACATGAACAAGCCGGTGTACGTGTACTACGAATTGAGCAACTTTTTCCAGAATCATCGCGCGTTCGTGAGGGACTTGGATTACTTCCAATTGATGGGGAAACCGTCTCAAGGCTTGTGCACGACGCACGAAAAGACGTCGGCGGGGGCCGAGATTAGCCCTTGCGGCGTGCAGGCGTGGAGTTTTTTCAACGATTCGTACGCGGTGGCGGTGAACGGCGCGGCGACGACCATCGACTCTGCGAACATCGCGTGGAAATCGGATCTGAAGTATAAGCTCGGGGATTACGCACCGACGAATATGAATACGGATCAAGCGACTCGCGGTGGGGGGCAGATTACGGGCAACGTCGACACAGACGAAGACTTCGCGACGTGGATGCGCACTGCGGCGCTGAGTAAGTTCCGTAAACTCGTCGGCGTGATCAATGCGGATATTGCCAAGGGCGACACGATCACGTTTACGATACAGAATCGCTACAACACGTACAAGTTTAACGGTGAAAAGGCCGTTGTATTGGCGACAAACAGTTGGATCGGCGGACGCAACCTCGTATTTCCAGCCTGTTACTTTTTGGCCGGAAGCTTGTGCTCAGGATTAGGCGCGGTCGGCGTCTTCTTGCACATTTTTGGAGACAAATTCAAGAGCGAGTCGACCAACGAGTGGTCGACGCGTCTGTAACGATGGTTGTGTAATATCATTTTCGTACATGTCAAAAATCTATCGGGCGTTCATCTAGTTGTCTAACGTGTCGTTATCTGGTACATTATTGTCGTGCGTTTATCTTCGTCGTCTTCTCGAGCGTTTTTCCTCGGGGTCCACGGCACTGACCATGGGTTCGTCCAAGTCCGACGCGCGAGGCGCTTTGTCGACCTTGCGTTTTCTAGCTTGCGTGTGCGCAGTGGTGTTTTCCGACAACGGCCCAGGCGAGGTCGGCGGCGACGACACAACGACAAGCGCCGTGTTCGCGTCAATTTCGTCGTAGTCATCTTCACTTTCGTACTCATCATCGAATTCATTGTCAATGTCGCGATCGCCGACGTCGACGACGGCGTCTCTTCGCGCGGTGCGCTCGGGCATCGCTCGAGTTCCCGCTGCGAATGACAACTTGGTTTGCTTCAGCGTCTTCGCACTCTTGCTCGTCGTCGCCGCAGACGAAGATTTGCTTCGCGATCGTTTCTGAGTAGCCTTTGCGTTCGTCTTGGCGGTTGTGGTCGACGTTGATGCGATCGGCACCGAACGCACGATAACGTAACCGCGTGGCAAGTGACTGTAATCGCCGAGACCGGGCTGCGCACCTTCTTTCGCTGGAGGACCACTCGCCATAAACTGCGTCGTCTTGTAAAGCTGTGCCGGATACACCACGTGTCCAGGAAACTTACTCGTATCCCAGCCCTTCGTGCCGGCCTGATCGACGACGAGGAACAACGCTAAATCGCTCAGCGAGTAAATCAAATCCGAGTTGCCCGGATTCACCTTATCGAGCGTCGTCTTCAAACGGCGTAGCATCTTGCACGTGACGGGAATTGCATCACCATTCGTACCGTGCGTCAGAGAAGAAATGGCGGCGGACATGATCAGCTGCACTTGACGCCACTTCTGCCCGCGCTCCTCCATGCCTTCCTCTGCAGTCTTCGGAGCGAGCGGGTGGCGCGTCAGAAGGAACACCATGTACACAAGCACGTACTCGGGCATGTGGACGATCAAAAACTTTTGCGATGGGTCATCGTTGGTTTTCTTTGTAGCCGCTTGCGCCGCAATCGCCGCAGATCTTTGCCGTTGAGCCGCGACCCAGTTCGCAAACACATCGTTGGCCGAGTCGCGCACGCTCTTGTCCTTGTCGACGAGCGCGAGCGCGAGCGTCGCTGCCCACATCATGGAGAGCATTCGTTCGCCCGGGCGCACGACAAGACCACTCTTCAACTTAGCGACCATTTCGCGGCGCATCGTCGCGGACTCACACTGATGCAAGAACATGGAGACGCAAATCCAGGCGTCGGGTTTGACCAAGCCAATCGCCGCGTTGCGAGAAATACCAAGCATTGCCTTGCATGCGGTGAATCGCAAATGCGCAGCATCTGTGCCTGAGTATTCCGCAAACATACCATCATTCTTGTAAGAGTCGATATCGGCATAGCTATGGAGCAGCTCGATCACGCGTGTAGTGAAGGAGGACTCGACGGTATCGGCGGCGGAACGATGCGCCGCCGCCTTGGCAAGCGCCTTCAAACCATACGCTTGCAAAGTCGCGAGATCGCTCACGACACCGACGGCGATGCGGCCCGTTGGTGGTGGACGCGTCAAAAGGGTGTGGACCACGTACTGCTCGACTTCGGCGAGTTGTAACATGAAGATTTGCTGGTGCAAAGTGCCGATGCTGCCGACGGCGCCGAGCACGGCGGGGAGATCAGAGTCGGCGACCAAGTCTTCGGCGAGAAGTTCGACGATATGGAGATAAACATCGCTCAACTGCCCGGCAGTCGCTCCAGCGATGATATCAGTGGCATCGATTCGCTCGTCGAGATCCATTTGTAACAAACCGAGCGCCTTCGTCGCCAACTTGGCTTGCTTTCGATCGCCGCTCGAGCACTTCACCTTCAACTTTTCCCAAATCGACCCTCGGCGAGGAGTTACTTTGAGCGCCGCCGCGGCTTCTGAAACAACCTTGCACGTAGATGTAACCGTCAATTGATCATTAGCATCGAGTAATTCGTCAATCTCATCGCCACATCCGGAGAACAGTTTGGGGAATGTTTCAGCGAGAATGCACAAGTGTTCGAGTGCGACGACAACTCCTTGAGGGGTGCTGGTGTTCTTTGACGTTTGCGCGGCTCGAGTAGCCTTACATGCGGCCTTGAGGGTGCCGCGCACGTGCTCACGTCCAAACGGCGCGGACTGGATCTTCAACAATAGTGTCTTAATGAATTCTTGATCCACCGCTTGTGAACTAGACTTCGCACGCTTTGTGGCGTCCTCTTCAGCCTTCACCGCGTTCGCGAAAGAAGTCTCCGGATTCAACATAGTTTGAATGCATCTGAAAACATTCCCATCTTTCTGCGCATGTAACGCCATCATCGCCGTTTTCGCCTTTTGCTTATCCGGAAAGTGCACCTTGATGGCGTCTACGATCTTCGTCAACGCAGCGTCGCCTTCCTTCTTGTTCATCTTGCTCAGTTTCGAACGAAGGAGCAAGTACTCACGCATGTCGGCTTGAATACGAGACTTGGCGAGCAAGAAATGCTTCAAGCATCGAACGGTGAACGCGTCGGCGAGGTTCAAAGCGCGCAGCCAGAAGGTGCTGCGCAAGTCGGCGGACATCTTGGCCGGGAAAAGCATCGCGAGCACGGGCTCGACGACGTGTAAGCGCACATCTGGAATCGTGATAGCACGCAGAAGAGCGCCCGGGATCCAGTCAAATCGTTTCATTTCCCAAGCCGGCACGTCATCGGCGCAGCGTTGCGCGTACGCGCGGTACGCGATGCACAAGCGTTTCAGCGCCGTCTTTCGCACCCCCGATTTCTTGTCCTTGATGCGTTCACCGATCTCAAGAACGAGATCATGCGGGAAAATCTCAGTCGAAGTCGGTTTGTCTAACACGTCACACAACGCGTTGATGGACGCCGTACGAATCGTGTCGTCGAAATCATGTAAACGCTCTCGTAGTTGCTTCATGACGGTCGCCGCCGGCACAGAGGTGAGCGCGGCGTTTGGATCGACGCGTGTCTTCAAAAACTTCGAGCTCCACTTGATCATTTCCGCGCGAACTTCAACCGCCTTGTCGTTAAATCGACGAACGAACTCGAGCAGCAAGTGCGGGTAATCCTCGGCCGTTGTTGATCCCTCGTACGCGAACACTCGACGGAAGAGCTTCACCGCTCGCAGTCGCGTGCTCAAATCATCCGCCTGCAAATCGTCCGTCACCGAAGGCCATACGGTGACGAGCGCCGTGGGATCGCATACCGCGATTTCTTCGATGATATCCACGTGACGTTTACTCAAGGACGCGAGCGCGTCGTCTTCATCCACGAGTCCATGCATCGCCTGCGTCAAAAACGTCTGAATCGGCGTGTGCAGCTGATGCTCGCACTTTCGAACGAGTTCGCCCGCTAACATGTACGACGCCGGATTCTCCGTGCGCACGGGATCAATCAACCGCGACAACACCTCAAACGTCACGTCAGAAGGCACCGGAGTGTCCTCGTCCGAGCTTTCTTCAATCATCGTCGATAGCACCTTGCTGATTTCTTCCGTCACCGTGGTCGAGTTGGCCGCGTTCACCGCGTCCAGTAAAACCTTGAACAGATCGCGCACGAGCGTCTCCGCGCCGGCGCACTCCAAATCCAACATCGGCACGCACAGCCCAATGTTCGCCACGTTCACCAACAAACTCTTCGCCGCTTCGAATTCCTCGCTCTCGATGGATTTCAAACTCCCCAGCGCGTCCAAGAACAATTCGTACACGTCTCGCATCGCCTCATCCCCCGCAATCGGCGCCTCCGGCGCGCACACGCGCATGATATCCGACACGCACAGCGCCGTCAACACCCGAACCTTCTTACTCTCGTTCGTCATCATCTTCCGCGTCGTGAGCGTCTTCGTCGTCGACTCGAGCGCCTTCGCGCCCTCCCCGCCCTGGTCCACCTTGCTCAGCGCGTCCGCCAACGCCTACCGTCGCGCGTCATCGTCGCCGTTCCGCGACACCGCATCGTCAGTCAAATCGTCCTTCGCCCCTCGCGCGCCGTCCTCGCCCGACCGCGCGCGCGTCGCGTCGCGCGCGCGCGATCGCGCGCGCGCGAGATTCAAATCGCATCGCCGCACCTCCAACACCGTCGCCGCATCGCGCGTCGTCGCGCCTCGTTTCGCGCGACCATCGCCGCCTTGCGCGGACCCACGACGGAGTTCGTCCGCGAGTTCGACGCACCGCGCGATCGTCGTCGTCGTCATCGCGCCGGGCGATGGCGCGCGCGTCGCCGTGTGCGTCGTCGAGCTGTCGCGATTTGAATTCGAACGTCGGGCGGTGGTCCGTGTTACGGTTACGGATCGTCGATTCGATCTCGCCGCGCGGCACGCGACGACGCGAACATGGCGCCGCCCGAGCGCGCCGACGCCGCGAACGCGAAGGCGATCGACGACGCCGCGCGCGATGCACTGTTCGGCGCGCTCCTGCGCAAGGGTGGTAATCGTGCGTGCTTCGATTGCGGATCGCCGTGCCCGAAGTGGACGTCGAAAAACTTTGGCGTCTTCGTCTGTCTCGACTGCTCGGGCGTCCATCGATCGCTCGGGGTGCACGTGAGCATGGTGAAGAGCGCGAACATGGATCGGTGGAGCGCGAACGAGCTGGACGTGTTCAGGGTGACGAAAGGGAACGATAAGGCGAGGGCGTTTTTTTCAAAGCACGGGTGGAGCGCGGCGGAACGAGGACGCATCGGGCAAAAGTATACGTCTCGAGCGGCGATGTTGTACGCGAAACAGATCGCGAAGGAGGTCGAGGCGTTGAGGTCGAGTGGGGAGGCGCCGACGTCGCCGAGATCGCCACGGGGGGGGGACGTGTTGGAGGAGGATGACTTTTTCAAACTCGCCGAGAAGGAAGCCGCGCCGGCGGCGGCGAAGAAGGTGGTGGAGTCGAAACCGGCGGAAGTGGCGGTGAAACGCGCGGTAGAGGTGAAGAAACCATTACCGTCGAAGCCGAGAAGTTCGATTTTCGCGAAACGGCCGATGATGAGCTTACCGAAGACGAAAACTGGGCCGGGAGCGATGGCAAAGGCGCCTGCGACTTCGCCGGGCTTTACTTCAACCGAACCGCTGGCGGAAGAAGAGGAACCGGCAATGGGCGAGCAATCGGATGAAGAAGAAGTCACCGTCGTGTCGCCCCCAGCGCCCGCCGTCGCACCGCCGGCGCCGGCGCCGGTCGAAGTGAAGAAGCCTTCGAACATTGGTCGCTCGGCTGATGGGCACGTGACATTGCTCAATCCCAAGTTCACCTCGAGCGCGCCGCAACAACAGAAGTCGAGTCCAAGCGGGACTTACAGACCGAACTACTACACCAACCCAGATCCGCGTTACGGTTTGCACAATACGCAAGGCGCACAAGCTCCACAAGCTTCTGCGGGAAGATACTCATCGCCAGCAGCGAACAGTTCTTCGTACGGCAATTACGGCAACATGAGTTCGGCGTCGTCAAACCAGTACGGCCAGCGCGACGGGAGATTTGATGGGTTCGACGGTGACGACACCGATTTGAGTGCGCGCGATCTCATGCAAAAAATGTCACTCGCCGCGAAGAACGATTTGCACGCTGTGAAGAATGTCGCCAGTCGTGTTGGATCGACGTTGCGCTCAGCCGCCAATAGTCTTTACGACGAGTTGCAAAAGAGTTAGAAATGTTTGTTGTAACAACACTGAGTTTGCTTAATAGCGCTGAATCAATTGTAGTTGAGCTTGATGCTCAGCATCGTGATGTCTTCTAAAGGCTTGTCGTGCTTGTCGCACTTCGTATTTTCGATTGCTTGCACGACGTCAGAGCCCCGCGTGACGCGTCCGAAGACTGTATGCTTGCCGTCGAGCCAGGGTGTGGCGACGGTGGTGATGAAAAACTGCGACCCGTTGGTATTCGGGCCGGCATTTGCCATGGATACGGTGAATGGCCGATCGTGGCGCAAGTCACGAACGATTTCATCCTCGAACTCGCCACCCCATATAGACTGGCCGCCAGTGCCGTCGCCGAGCGGATCGCCGGTTTGAACCATAAAGTTCTTTATCACTCGATGGAAGACTATACCGTCGTAGTAACCGTTTCGCGCGTGCGTGCTGAAGTTTTCGCAAGTCCTCGGGCACTCGTTCGGGAAGAACTGAACGTGAATATCACCAAGCGTCGTGTGAATCACCGCGCTCGTCGCCACGCCCGCGCCCGCGGATGGCAGCGCCGACGCCGCGAGTAGCTCTTCCGCGCGTGGTTTTTCGTTAAACACGTCGCGTCCAGTCGCTGCATCGTCGCCTTCTTCCGGTTCGTGACTAGAAAATATATACATACGAACCTTGTTGAATGCACACGCCACGATCGTGGGGTCTTTCTCGGCTACTTTGACGTCTTTGCCTGAACCTCTCGCTCGTTTGTCTTTTTGCGGCACGCCTTGAAACAACGCCAAGCGAGTAAATCGTTCCGTGTTCTCCACTTTACCGATAATTCGTGGACACTGATTCGTCACTAGGTTTACCACCTTGATACCCAAGTGCGAGGCGTAAATGAGGAAGTTTCCGCTTTCGTCAAAGATAGCATTCGGCCACGCGTGCTTTTCGAGCGACTTCGTCAATTCGCGTTCGATGGCCAATCGTCTTCCGAAATCTATATCCTCGAGCACGTACTTCTCGATCCCACTCCGTTGAACGTCCTCCGCGCCTTCCAAGGATTCGTCTATGTCTTTAATCAACTTGCCAGTCTTCCATCGGAACACTCGCACTCGCCTGTCTGGGCCAGTTGTGCTAAACTTTTCGCCGTCGGCGCTCACCTCGAGGGCGTACGCCGCCGTCTTTACCTTGGCCAAGGCATAAAGATCTGTGTCTAATTTGTATCTAAACTCAATTTTCGCGTGGTTGGAGCTCGTCAGCGCCGCGTAATCGTCCTCTGGTCGCGATGACCAGTACTCCAACGCTCCCTTCTCCTCGGCGGAGATGACGCATTCGCGCGCCGAGTTGTATCGCAACGCCGTGATTCTCGATCTGTGCAACTTATCCAACGTCTTCACTGGCTCTGCGCTTGACGACAGCGCATCGTACACTCGGATCGTTCCCGCATCGTCCCCGATCGCGAGTGCGTGGACGGCATCTCCTCTTCGAAACACGAACTCGCACGCCGTCGGCGCGTACGGCAGCTTCAGCATCAACAACATGTCAAAGTTCACCACATCGAATATCTTGCACGTATTATCGCTCCCGATCGTCGCGCACATCCCTCCATCTGCGCTCACGCTCAATCCGAGGATCTCGCTCGCGTGCGCTCGAAAGTGCTTCACAAACTCCACGCCGCGGTGTCGCTTCTTCCAAAACTTCAAGTGTCCATCGATTGAAGCCGTGACGAAGAAATCGTGCGTCGTCGCGAACGCGACGTGCGTCACGGTGTCGCGGTGCATGAACGATCGTTCGTACATCGACGCCGAGGGCAGCGCGTCGAGGTAGACGGACTCGTGCGCGAGCGTCTTTCGCTTCTTCGTTTTGGGAGGCGGCGCGGCGAAGAGCCAGTCGCCTGCGGCGGCGCCGTCGTCGTCGGGTGGCGCAGCCGCAGCGGCGGATGACGCCGGGGGGTCATCGTTCGACATGCTCGCGTAGATGCGCGGTGAAACGCGCGCGGGTGTGGCGAAGTGTGGCTGCATTGCTTTGATTTTACAATCGCGAACGCCTCGCGTCGCGTCAATTCGTCATCTCTTGAGCTTCCGCTTCTGTGCGGCGCGCAGACGCTCTTCGGCGAGTTTGTTCGCGGAATTCGTGAGCATTTTACCAATCTCGAGCGCTGCGGCGCCTTGCTCGAGATCACCCGCGTTGATGAAGGCGCGAACTAGATGGGATACCGCCGTTTCGCTAAAGCCGGCGCGCGCGACGCCATCCACGGAGAGCACGTCGTCGGAAAGGATTCGAAGCGCTTCTTCCCACATCCCCTTACGTCCGAGAGCGTCAAAAAGCTCGTTTATGATTCGGGCGCTCGGCTCGACATCAAACTCGTCTCTGGACGCTTTGTACAGGACGAGCGCGCCGTCGCCGTCACCGCGGGCTTTCCGGGCTGAGACGCATTGTATGAACACGCCAGATTTCAGTTCGATCCCCATGCCTTTACCTGATCGAATAACGTCCAGTGCACCGTCGATATCGCCGCGAGCCGCGTACGGCTCGGCTAGAATGCTCAATGCAGAGCACGTCACACGCACACCGCGTTCGCAAGCCTTGCGAAGTTCCTCGCGACCCCGATCGAGATCGTCACCCGCAACGCACAAGCGGAGCAGTGCCTTAACCATGCGATCGGTCGGCTCAACGTTCAAAAACAAGCCCATGTCCACGATCGTCAGCGCCTGTTCCAGTTGCCCGGGCTGGGCGGCGATGTCTTGGTACGCCGAGAGCAAAAGAGTAATTGTAGACTCTCTCACTTTGATACCATGAGCCGTCGCGTCCATGAACACCTCCAGCGCGTCAACGGCACGCCCAGATTTTGCGCACGATTTTAACAAGGCGTCGATGGTGGAGATATCGTAGTCGATTCCCGCCTTTAACCCGCGCTCAAAGTACTCCATCGCGACGTCGGCTTCCTTCGCCTTGGCGCACGCTGATAACACGTACACCAACGACAGCACGTCTGGCGATGGTTCAGCGCCCGCAACCATATCGTCAAATATTTTCGTCGCGTATACGTGATCGCCCGACTCCATCGCTGCGTAAAGCAAAGTGTTGACGTGTCCGACGTCGATGACGACGCCTTCCTTTTTGCCGCGACGATACATTTCGTCCGCGCTCTTCAATCCCTCCACCGCGGCGTAACTTTGCAACGCGCAACGCAGAGCGTGCGCGTCCAATACTTTAACCTCGCCTTCCTTGAATATCTCCAAAGCGAGATCCTCGCGATCGGACAATTGAAACGTTCGCATCGCGTTCGCGAGCGAGTACCCGTTGTGATATCCCCTACCAGCATTCCACACCTCCTGCAACGTCTCAATCATCTTCTTATTCTCATCGCGCGCCCACTTCCCCTTCGCCCTGCGATATGCGTATTGCTCTCGCTTACAAGCCGCGAACATCGTCGTGAGCGCGTACGAGTTCATCGTCGCCCCCAGCGACACCGCCTCCCGCAGCGTCGTCAGCGTCTCCGGCACGTCCCGCGATGCTCGGCACAATCCTCGCGCCAACTCCCCGAGCGTGAAATCATTCAACCGCACCTTCCCATCGCGCATGTACCCCCACACTTCGCGCACGCGCGCCTTCCCGTCGTCTTCGTTCGCCGCGCGCGCGACCGCTCGCAGCGCAGAGTTCCACGCCCTCGTGCTCCCGAGCGCGGACTTCGACGCTCGCGCCGCGCGCACGATCTCCAGCGCTCGCTTCGACGCGCGCTCGTCCTTGGGCGATTCGGGCTCGTCGGCGAGCGCGCGCAGCGTCGCCGCGTCGTCGACGTCGTCGTCGCGCGCCGATGTCCCCGCGTTCGCGCGCGCCGACGCGCGCGCGCGGCGCGTCTCGCGCGCCGCGCGCCGCGAGACGACGCGCGGCGTCGCCGGCGTCGCCGCGACGCGCGACGCCATGCGCGCGCGCCTCGGACGCGCGTCGAAGTCGCGACGACGAAGTCGCGTCACTTTACGACGAATCGACTCGACATGCAAATCTTCGCGCGCACGGGTGCGCGTCGCGCGCCGCGCGCGCGCGATCGACGCGTCGGCGCGGGACGCGTGGCGAAGGCGCGAACGACGACGGCGAGCGCGCGACTGACGAAACGCTCGAACGCGCGCGCGCGCAGTGGAGGGAAAGACGCTGGTGGTTAGGGACGCGGCGACGGCGGGGTCGGCGCGCGCGGCGCTGCGACGCCGAGGCGCGGCGTTCGATTACTTAACCGACGCGCGCGGCGCGGTGCTGCGGGACGACGCGGCGCTCGAAAACGAATCTACCGTGCACGCGCGCGTGCGCGTGCGCGGTGGGCACTGTCAAGTGCCGTGCGGGATTTTCGACGATCCCGCCATGGTGGCGAGTCTTCGCGAAATGTCGGCGACGATTCGAAAAGCCATGACGCAGATCAATGAGCTCGCCGGTGGGTTGTCGGATCCGGTGAAGTTGAACCAGTCCATGCGGTGGGTGATGACCAAGGAAGAACACTGCGGGAAGATCATCGCCCTCATCGGCGAATATTGTCTCTGCCAACGCGTCAAGGCGGCGGAGATGTCGCCGGAGGATTACGTCGACGCGCTCAAGATTCACCACTTGGTGATGCAAAACGCGATGAAGTGCAAACAAAACGTCGACACCGACTTTTGCTGCCATCTCGATCACTCGCTCGACGACCTGGCGAAGATGTACACGAAGGCTTGACCGCTTCGGTCGATGCTCTGACGACCATCACGCGCGCGATCGAGCGTCGCGCTTTAAATACGACGCCTACTTCCATGCATTTCCACGCCATCCACGCGAAATCGAGCTCAGCGACCGCGACCGCGAGCGCGGTCGTTCGCGCGCCCTCCACCGCACTTCGCGCCTCGCCGGCTCATGCCCGTCGCCGCGACCCTCATCGTTCACGCGCGCGCACCGCTTCTTTCCGGCCGCGCCCGCGCTCCGAGCCGCGCGCGTCGAACGACCACGATCGTCGACGTCCAACCCGACGGCTCCGCGTGTCAAGAGACCGCCGGGGCGAAGATGAACGTCGGTCGTCCCGTGTACACCGCCATCACTCAAAAACTCACGCGCGCGCTCGCGCCCGCGTCCCTCGTCGTCATCGACGAGAGCGCGGCGCACGCCGGGCACGTCGGGAATCCCGCGCGCGGGGACCCGAGCGCGGAGACGCACTTCAAGGTGGAGATCGTGAGCGAGGCGTTCGAGGGCAAGCGCCAGGTGCTTCGACACCGCATGATTTACGACGCGCTCAGCGAGGAGATGGATAACCCGATTCACGCCCTACAGCTCAAGACGAAGACGCCGAGCGAGGCGAATTGAGCGCGCGCGCGTTAAAACGCGCGCGCGGCGAGGGATTAGTCGATTGTATGTAACACGAAGTCGTCGTCGAGGCGGAATCGAAGCGCGCGCGCCGACCTCTCTCGCGCGCCCCTCCGGCGCGCGACCTCGCGCCGTCACATCGTCGCGCGCGAGTCTTCGTCATGGCGAGCGCGATGAAGTGCGCGATGTCGACGCTCGCGATGCGCGCCGCGCGTCCGTCGGCGTCCGCGCGCGAGATGCGCGCCGTGCGAGCGTTCGCGAGTCGAACCGACGTCACCGCGCCGGTGCCTTTCGCGACGCTCGTGCAGGGGGCGTCGCGCGGGATCGGGCTCGAGCTGGCGCGGCAGATGCTCGAGCGGGATCGAGATGTTTTTCGAGGTAAGTCGCACGGCGGCGTCGTCGTGGCGACGTGTCGAGATCCCGACAACGCCGATGGGCTGAAGGAGCTGCAAAAGGCGCACGGCGACCGGCTGCGCGTGCTGCGCGTGGACGCCAAGGACGAGGCGTCGATGAAAGCCGCCGCGGCGACGGTCGAGAGAGAGTTCGGGAGGTTGGACTTCATGGCGAACGTCAGCGCGGTGCTGAGCGAGGGGAAGATGCGGCCGGAGACTTCGATCGCGAGGACGGAGGCGGAGAACATGGTGGAGTCGTATCGCGTCAACGCGCTCGGCCCGACGATGATGATGAAACATTTCTCGCCGTTGATGCTGAAGACGGCGGAGTTGAATCTTGCCGGTAACGCACACGTGCCGGTGATCGCGAATTGGAGCGCGCGCGTCAGTAGTATCGGTGATAACGCCTTGGGCGGTTGGCATTCGTACAGAGCGTCGAAGACGGCGTTGAATCAGTTGACGAGAAATTGTTCCATCGAGTTTGCGCGCAAGAAACATCCCATCATCGCGATGTGCGTGCACCCGGGAACGGTCGACACGAAGCTCAGCGAGCCGTTCAAGAAGAACGTGCCGGCGGACAAACTTTTCACTCCGGAATACGCCGTGACGAGATTGCTCGAAGTCATCGGCGGCGCCACGCTCGAGCACAGCGGTAACTTGTACGATTACGCGGGCGAGAAGATCGACTGGTGAGCGCGGAAGCCTCGTTTCTTATTCTTTAACTTCTTTTTAAACTACATTTATTCATCAATCGCTACTACACGGCACCTAAATGTACCTGCTAAACATTCCTGCAAAGGCGAAAAAAGTCACGCGACGCGTCAGAACACGAAAACTTCAAGCCGACGAAGAACTTTGATTCTAGTTTGACTTGGCAAAACGATGAGCGAAGTTCGTCTCCTCAGACATCCAAGGAAGGTGGGGCCTGCACTAGTTCTCAAGCTAGGCATCCGACGAATCGGTAGCGAAAACTCTAGAGTTCGGGCACTGCGAATGGTTTCTTTGAGAAACGCCCTTGCTGTCTTCATCATCAGAGACTCTCCCTCGCTCATCGTTCGTCATCTCCAAAAACAAGTGACAGGAAAACGTGTCAGGTTGTTACATGCTCGATCACTGCTCATGCTCTGAGGGAATCCGAATATGTAGATTATCATCGTCCACGTTCTTCCTGACACGCCGTCGAGTCGAGAAAACCCATTGCCTTGGCGTTGTGTAACAGTTGTCTTGAATTTCCTCACGAAAAATCAGAGAAATCCGCTAAGATAAGATTTCATCCTCATCGGCAAACGTGTGTGACTGGACGCAAAAAAGAGAGAAAAAAGAGAACCAAGCGCGCTCGTCGACAGTCCCGCGATCGCTATTCGCTCCGCGCCGCTCGTGCGTCGGCTAGAGCTAATAACTTAATCATCATACGACGCCGGCCACGGCGAGTAAGACAGGGATAACTAAATTTTGATCGTCATCCGCAGAGTGAACGCGTGTTTCACGAACAGCTCACGCGGGTATCGTCGATCGCGCTCGGTTCCGTCGACGAAAAAATCAAACGCGTAGCGCCGCCGCACCTCTCGAGCCCCTCAGGACGGCTTCCGCCCATCATAACTCTGCATCGCGTTCGGATTCCTCGGATCGTGCGCCTTATAATCATTCAATCGCCTCATAGCGCGCTTTTTCGTGATCACCCACCGCAAGACCCGTTCGTCGATGCGCAGCGTGCGCTCCGCCTCCGCCACGAGGGTCGGCGGCGCGTTAAACGACATCTTCACAAACTGTGCCTGCGCGTCCGATCGCCGCTCACGCCTCGCCGTCAGTCGCCATCCTTCATCGCATTCATCATCACCGCGCCGCGCCATCATCGATGCTCGCACGCGCGCGTCGACGACGTCCTCGTTCGGTTCGCGTTCGCGTCTCGTCTGGCAAACCCCCGCGATCGTTCGCTCCTCCGTCGCCGCACCTCGAAGTGTTTCTCCCCCGGTCGACGAAACTCGTACGCCAGCGTCCGCGCGCCGTACGACGCCACGTTCGTCACCACCCCGCCCGCGTCCATGACGCTCGCGCCGAGTCGTCGCAGCACGTCCGCGCACGCCGTCTTCGGCACCTTGGCGCTCACGACGATCATCGCGTCGTACAGCACCATCCCGTCGCCCGCGCGTCGCCCGCGCGTCGCCGACGCTCGCGCGCGCGCCCTCGCTCGCCGCGCGCGGTCGTGCCGCTCGCGCGCGTCGCGCACTGCCGCGCGACGACGCGATGACGCGCGCGAAAACCTGACGCGATCGTCACATCGCGCGCGCGACCACACCGCGCGCGCGACGGATCGCCACGTCGTCCGGCGACGCGCGCGCGACATGACGCGCGCGAGCAGCACGACCGCGAGCGACAGCGCGCGCGATCGCGCGACGGCGACGACGAGCGCGAGCGGTCGGACGAGGGACCGCGATGGACGAAGAATTGGACGAACGACGCCGCGCGGTGCGATCGCGAGCGCGCTCTTCGGCACGAAACCCGCGCTGTGGTGCTGCATCGCGTTCGCGCTCGCGCAGATGCTGTGCGGAGCGCCGTTCGCGTGGTTCGGTAAAGACGCGGGACAGCGGCTTTTCAACGCGGAAAACGCGACGAGGGAATTCTTTTCGATGTCCATGTGGTGCACGGTGATGCATTTTAGAGAGGTGTTAGAGACTTTGATGGTGATTCGGTGGGGCGATGAGGCGGTGCGAATGAAGTGGGTGCATCGCGCGGCGGTCGCGAATTATTTGCGGATCGGGTTGTTGATGTTCGAGGGGGCGCAAGGGCGAGGGCAGGGACGGGGGAACGCGACGTTGGTGGATTTCTATCGTCAGTCGTCGCTCATGATTTCGTTTGGACTGGCGGTAGTGTTTTGCGTGACGACGTCTTCAGGGATTCCTCGCGTGAGACCGTTTTATAAGCCGCGAAATACGGCGCATACGGTGATGCTTTTCAACTGGGTTCTGTTGGCGCTGTACGGGGCGACATTCGCGTTCGGCGATCCGGTGCTTCTGTACTATTTCAAAGTCGGTACTCGATTCGAGTACGCGATGGTAAATCATCTAGCAATCGGCATCCTATCGTGTATCATCGGCCTTGCGGTGGCCATGGCGTCGTTCCCGCCGAACTTGCAGGCAAAGTACTGCTTGCTGCACGGTGCGGTCCTTGAACCGCTTTGCATGGGGGTGATGTTCTGGCAAGAGAACGCCTACACATTGTTACGAGATGGTATCGTGGACAGACAGTGGTGCAATCACTTGTTCATCAAGATGACACTCGCCATGCCATGGATGTACGGTTACCTCGCCTGCAGGGACTCACTATCAAATTCGAGATCAAAGTCGAAGACTCGCTGAGGCTGGCGCGTTCTTCGCCGAGCAGCTGGCGCATTCTATGCATTCCAAGCGCGCTCCAAGCACATTTTCTGTCATCGCATATATATATAGATGCTGTAACATTCGTAAAATTACATATTGATGTAAACAAACTTAAAACAAACGTGTGTACATTGGCGTTATGCCTCAGCCGCGGAACCTTCTTCGTCCTTCGCCGAGCCCTTCTTCGCCTTAAATTTTCGCGCTTTCGATCTGATGAGTTTCGCACCCGCCACGCCGCGTCGCGCCAGACCTGCTTCCGCGCTCTCTCCATCGATAAGAACTTCAGAAACCGTCGGATCGTCGGGAACTTCAAACATGGCGTCGGTGAGCAAACGCTCGAGAAGCGTTCGCAACCCGCGGGCGCCCGTGCCTCGCTTGACGGCGGCACGTGCGATGAGTGAAAGCGCTTCGTCGGTGTACGTCAGGTCGGCACCGTGCATTTCGAGAAGGCGTTGATACTGCTTGCCCACTGCGTCGCGAGGTTTCGTCAAGATATCCACGAGCTCTTTTTCGCCCAGGGCGGACAGCGGTACGCACACCGGAAAGCGTCCGACAAATTCTGGGATCAAACCGTAAGAGACTATGTCTCCAGTCTCCACCTCTTGCAAGGCTTTCGCCGCCGCTTCTACCGCCTGCTTACTGTTTGGCTCATCTCGCGCGATCACAGGTTTACCGAAACCGATGGAGCTTTTGGACAGACGCTGTTGGATGACGCTCTCCAAACCCGTGAACGCGCCGCCGCAGATGAAAAGAATGTTTGTCGTATCGAGCTGGACAAACTGCGAGTTCGGGTTCTTTCGACCGCCCTTTTCCGGTACGTTCACCGTCGTGCCCTCAACCATCTTCAAAAGGGCTTGCTGAACGCCCTCGCCTGAGACGTCTCGCGTGATGCTCACGTTGTCGCTCTTGCGAGACAACTTGTCGATTTCATCAATGTACACGATGCCGCGCTGCGCTGCCTGAACGTCGTAGTTCGCGTTCTGCAAGAGCTTGTGCAAGATGGACTCCACGTCTTCGCCGACGTAACCGGCCTGAGTCAAAGTAGTCGAATCCGCGATGGCGAAAGGCACGTTGGCGAATTTCGCTAGCGTCTTCGCCAAGAGCGTCTTTCCGCTTCCCGTCGGTCCACACAGTAAAATATTTGACTTCTCCAACGTCACATCATCGAGCGAATTTTCATCCACTACATTTTCATCCTCAAAAGCACCGTCTTCTTCGTCGAGTCGTTGCGCGAACGCCGCGCTCGCCTCTCGCGCTCGTCGTTCGCCCTCCGCCCCTACGCGCTTATAGTGATTATACACCGCCACCGACAGCACCTTCTTCGCGTGCGCTTGTCCGACGATGTACTCATCCAACACTCGAACCATCTCCTTCGGCGTCGGTAAATCATCGACCGCGTACGACGTTCGCTCCCCCCCCGCGCCGTCGTTCGCCCCCGCGCGCGTCCCCCCCGTCGACGGCACATCCATCGGCGCGAACACCGCCGTCTCCGCCAGCAATCCGTGCGCGGCGAACCCCAAATTCTCTCGCGCCTCCGTCGTCGAGCTCGACGCCCGCGTTCGCGTCCCTACCGCGCGCGCCATCGCGTCGCTCCGCGCCCCCGCGACGCGCGGCGTCGCGCCAACCGTTACCACCCCTCCGCGCGCGCATCGCGCGCGTTCCACCGCGCGTCGCGCGCCGCGCGCCCGCGCGATCGCCGTCACGCGACGCATCGCGTTCGCGTCGTCCTCCTCGGCGTCCTCGCGCGTCGACGATCGTTCGATCGCGCGCGCGTCGCGCTCTCGCGACCGATCGTTCGATCGCCCGCGCCACGTCGGATGCGAGATTACGAACGTTTCAAATCCAATCTCGCGCGCCGGCGCGTCGTCGCGCGCGCTAAAAGTCGCTCGCGCGCCCGCCGCGCTCCCAATCGCCGTACCGCGTCGGCTCCAGCCCGCGCGGGCCGCCGTGCTCGGCGACGTCGACGCCGCGCGCGGCGTGGAACGCGCGGCGCTTCGCGGCGAGCGCGTCGGCGTCGGCGTCGGCGTCGACGTCGGTCGTCTCGGCGTCGGCGTCGGTCGCGCGCGCGCGCGGGAGGTCGGCGACGTCGACGCGCGCGCGCGGTCGAGGCGCGCGCGACGCGCCGTCCGCGCCGGTGGGCGCGGCGTCGACGTCGGCGTCGCGAGAAGACGTCGACGACGACGACGGCGACGGCGGCGACGACGACGACGGGCGCGCGCGGCGACGGCGCGCGGCGGCGACGACGGCGGCGAGGCGCGACGGGGACGCGAGCGCGCGCGACGCGCGGCGAAGCATGCGCGCGCGCGACGGCGACGCGCGAGGACGAGTGCGGTGGTTGACCGCCGACCGCCGCACACGACGACGCGCGACGCTCGGCGACGCCGCGCGGGCGCACGGACGGGCGCGATGAGCATCATGAGCTACAACGGCGCCGCCGTCATCGGTGCGTGCGCGACGACGACGACGACGGCGACGACGCGCGACGACGACGACGACGACGACGCGGGTTCGATTCGAAGACGCGCGACGTCCGACGCGACGCGCGATGCGACGCGCGACGCGACGGTGCCGCGCGACGCGCGAACGCACGCGAATGAACGGTGACTGACGACGCGCGAACGACCACGGCGCGGCGCGCGACGCAGCGATGACGGGGAAGGATTGCGTGGCGATCGCGTCCGATCTCAGGTTGGGCATCAACCAAAACCAAACCGCGGCGGTGGATTACTCCAAGTTGCACAAGATCCACGATCGGTTGTACTTGGGACTCACGGGATTGATCGCCGATCAACTCACGCTGGCGCAAAAGTTAAAGTTTAAGCACGACATGTATGAACTTCGGGAGAACCGCGTGATGTCGCCGAAGGTGTTCGGCGCGGTGGTGAGCGCGACGCTGTACGAGAAACGATTCTCACCGTATTACACCGAACCCGTGGTCGCCGGATTAGATGCAGATGGTAAACCGTACATCACGAGCATGGATTTGATCGGTGCCGACGCCTCGACGGACGATTTCGTCGTCGCGGGTGACAACGTCGAGTCGCTCTTCGGCGTGTGCGAGTCGTTTTACAAGCGCGACTTGGATCCCGAGGCGTTGTTCGAGGTCATCTCGCACTGCTTGACCTCGGGCGTGAACAGAGATTGTTTGAGCGGTTGGGGTGGAGTCGTGACCGTCGTCACCAAGGGCAACGGGACGTTCACCAGGACGTTAAAGAGCAGAATGGATTAGAAGATTGATTAGCACACTCCCTTGTAGCAACGAAAAAGCGACGTCACGCGCCACTCGATGCCTCTCTCGGCGCCCGCACCTTTACTCACGCACTGCGCTCGGCGTCGCCAGACGTCGAACGAACGATCCTCGTCGATTCGCTCGCATCGCGCGAGCGCTCAGCGCGTCGCGCGCGCCATGGCGAACGCCAACGACGACGCGTCGACGACGACGACGCCTCGAATGACGACGGAGGAAAAGTTTGCGTTCGATTTGCGCGGGTTCGTCGTCGTGCGCGGGGTGTACGACGCGGAGCAAGTGAGGAAAATGAACGCGGCGATCGATGCGCGGGAATCGGAGATCGTCGAACGCAAGGGTCGACTGCGGTTGGGAGGGGAAGCGGGGGACCCGCTCGCGGGCGACGGGACGACGGGGCGCGCGGATTTGGGAGGGATGTTATCGTGGAAGAACGGAGACGCGACGTTGTTTAGATCTGTGCTCGCGCACGAGCGCTTGGTGCCTTATTATCACGAGCTCGTCGGGGAGGGGTATCGCATGGATCACTTACCGTTGATGATTCAACAGAAGACGGGCGCCGACGGCTTCGTGTTTCACGGAGGGAGGATGAATCCGGATGGGAGTTGGTGTCAAGAGCTCGCGTACACGTGCGAAGGCGGGAGAATGTATAACCAACTCATCGGTGTGAGCGTGGCGTTGAGCGACACTGAACCCGGGGATGGAGGATTTTGCATCCTTCCGGGGTCGCACAAGTCCATGTTTCCGTGCCCGCAAGAAATTTTAGAGTACAAGTCGCATCAAGACCTTGTCGTAAACCCGAAGATGAAGGCTGGAGATGTGTTATTTTTTACCGAAGCCGCGACGCACGGTACGCAAGCGTGGACGGCCAAGCACACGCGGCGAGCGGTGCTGTATAGATTCGCGCCGTCGACGTACGCATACGGGCGGTCGTACTATCCCACCTGGCCCGACGGCACGGAGGACGGAATGACGGACGCGGAGAAGGCTGTTTTGCAACCGCCGCATCACATCAGACTCGATCGCACGACGCTGAACGATCGAGGTGGAGTGGCGGGCACGCAGACGCGCGATGATTTCAAGAAGGAGCACGACGCCAAGGTCTTCGGAAACAAGTATTTTTAACGACGAATAGCGAACTTAAATGAAATTTTTGATTGCAAGTAATAATGCGACAAATTTACGCGGAAATCGTCGTGGTGGCGGTCCAAGAGCCGCCCGGAGCGACGACGACCGGAGTCACGGCGGCGCTTTCGACGCACGCGAACTCCTTGTAGCACGCCTCCATGTCCGTCCACGGCGTCCACACCACGGCTTCTGTCCACGTCTTGCTCGACTTGATGCTCACAGTGCGCTTGCCCGTGGCGAGCGTAAGCGTCTCCGGAACGCCGTAGTACACGCTGTCGATCGGTCCTTGGAATTTGACGTCACCAGAGACGGTGGATTCCTTCTCCGCGAGTCGATCTAACGTCTTGCAGCCGTTCAACCCGCCGACGGCGGCGGCGTTGATGTCGGCGCTCAAGTACGTGTGGAACGAACCAGTGAAATCGAACGCTTCCTTGCCCTTGTTCTCAACCACGAGCTTCGCCTCGAGCGCGCCGCCCTTGAGCGTGACGGTTTCCGTCACCTTGAAATCCTTATCCCACATCGCCTTGGTGTAATCATTTGGCGTGAGTTCCATCGTCATCGACGGTTCGTCGCCATCCGTCGTGCTCACGAGCGTCCAGTCGACGTTGCGCGCGAATCCGTGCACTTGAATCGCCCCCGGGCCGAACTGCGGCCAGCAGTGCGGCAAACCACCAGAAATCGGCTTACTCTACGTGCGATTGTGTTTACCACACCGCAGTCAGTCTTCCATCGCTTCGCTCATCGTCCGAGCGCGTCTCGCGCGTCGCTTCGCCGCCGACGCACCTTGTCAAACTTCGCATCCGGGCGCACGTACAGCACGTCGTCACCGCCCTTGGGCTTGAAACTCGTCACGACGCCGCCGAACAAGTACACGTCCGCGGTGGAACCGTCGGCGGCGGTGAGCTTGACGGTGTCGAGATCGCCGAGACCTTTTTGTTGCGCCGCGCTGCCCGCGCGGACGACGATCGACGATCGATCGGCGCGTCTCGCGCGGGATCGGAGCGTCGCGCGCGCGCGGACGCTCGGTTGGACGGTGGCAAACGAAGCGGACATCTTGTGTGCGAGCGTGCGTGCGTGTGCGCGCGAAAATGGCGTCGGGAGACGGGCGATGATGCGTCGGGACGCGCCCTATCCACTCTCGCGGCGGCCGAACGCTGACGAGGCGCGAAGGCGGCGATGGATGGACGCCTCAAACGCGCGCCGGCGTGAAGACAAGGGAAATATCGAAAACTAAGTGTAATCTACAGTCGCTAACTACAGTCCAGGGGGGCGATTGCCCAGTCCCGGAGGGGGTTGGCCTCGGCGCGGCGGCGCCGCCGGTCTGCCGCGACCGACGCCGGGCGGTTGCGGACGACCCTGAGGCGGCGCCCCAGGAGGCGGTGCCGGCGGAGGCGCGCGCCCCTGTGGACGGCCCTGTGGTGGTGCGCCTGGGGGTGGAACCGGTGGCGGTGCGCGCGAGCGGCTCGGCGCAACTGGACGTCGAGGAGGCGCGGCGCCGGTTTTCAATCCGGGCGGCAATCCGGGCGGCGCGACCGGTCGTGGAAGCGTCGTGGGAATGACCGCCTCGACAGCGCCACCCGCCGGCATGCGACCGGCGGCTGTATCGCGCGCGACCTCGCCCGGGCGGTTGCGGCACCAAAACTTTGTGGTGTTGTCTTGTGATCCGCTCACGAGAATGTGTCCAGCCGGGTGCCACGCCAGGCTCAAAATTGAAGCTTCGTGGCCACCCTTGATTTCCGCGTGAGGCGCTTCACCAGCGCCCACGAGCCAGTAGTTGATGGAACCATCGAACGCACCCGAGGTGAACATGGCCTCGTGCGTGGGATGCCAGACAACTTCCGTGACATCCTTTCCGTGACCTCTGTAGGTACCGATTTCCTTCAACATTCGCAAATCCCAAACCTTGAGCGTCTGGTCCTTCGACCCCGTCACCAACCAGTTCCCATTCTTGTTCCATTTCGAGCATGTTATTGCGTTCTTATGCCCGTATAACGTCGTGGCGCAGTGCCCGCTCTTAGGGTCCCACATCTTCAACGCTCCATCCTTTCCTCCCGACGCCACGAGACCCAAATACGGATGCCACTCCACAGTCTTCACGTCCCCAGAGTGCCCGCTCAGCGTGTGCTCCGTCTCTGCGCGCGCGAAATCTACAATCTTCACCGACGCATCGTCACTTCCCGTCGCAAACTTCAAATCCGACCTCGCGAACGAAATCGACGTCACCGGTTCTTTGTGCACTTGAAACGAACGCAAGTTATTAAACGTCGTCTGAAAGTACTTCACGTTCCCTTCGTCGTCCCCGGTGAGGAGCCAATTATCATTGTTACTAAACTCCGCGCATCGAATCGGTCCGTTGTGCGCTTGTAGAATGGTTTCGAAATTAAACGACATCCCGTTCCACAGCGTAAACTCTCCGTTTTGCGAGCACGTCAACAACCGTCGTCCATCCGGCATGAACATCACCTTGTTCACGCTCGTTCTGATTTTATTACTGCTCACGTGCACGAACTTCGTGGCGAACGACGTCGCGGGGAGGTGTGGGTACGCCACGGGAGGCATGAAATCGAGCAGCGCGCCGGGGAGAGGGCGCGGATGCGAAGAATTCCACGGATCTTTCGCGTACACGCGCTCCTCGACGTACCGCACGGTGGTGGCGGTGTAGTCCACGGTGCGACGCTGCACGGCTTTACGATCGCTTCCGGCGCCATCGGCGTCGACGTAGACGTAGGTGCTCATGCGACGACGACGCGCACGCGGCGATGTGACGCGCACTTGGGCCACACCTAGGTCGCCGACGGCGCGCCGACGACGTTCGAACGCGCGCGGTCGGGCGCGCGGCGCGCGGTGTGGCGAGTGCGGTGAATTCGCATACGATACTGACGTGTTGTATTCAATAATGCTTTCTAGGTGTGCGTATGACTGGCTAGTTGTCGGCCGCGCGCGCCGCGCGCTTCTCATCTTGACGCCACGGCCTCGACCACGTAGGCCTTGGTAACGTATTCAGTCATGCGGTTGAGGGCGATGACGTAGGCGCGGGCAGAAGACACAACAATATCGGTGTCTGCACCGGTAGCCGTGAACGAACGAACGGCGGTTTCGCCGGTTTGCAAGTTGGTCTTGAAGACGTCGGCGCCGAGCTTTTGCTCCGCGCCTTCTCGCGGCTTCACCGTGATGGTCGTCTCCGCCAGCGAGTTGATGCCCTTGGTAACCGCGGTGACTCTGTACTCCGTCAACACGACATCTAATCCAACGAGAGCGTCGATCGCCTTGAACGCGGCATCAACCGGGCCGGTACCGACGACGGCGGAGATGTGCACCGTACCATCCTTGGCCAGCATCTTCACCGTCGCCGTGGGCAAACCGGTGGTACCACACACGACTTGCACGGTTTCCAAACTCCACGCCGGGTCTTGCACCGATTCGCCGTCACGCACAATAGCCAGCAACTCATCATCGTTGACCCCACCGAGCTTCGTCTCCGCGACGAGTTTGAAGCGATTGAAGACTTCGTCGAGCGCATCTCCTTCCATCGGCACGCCGAGCTGCTTCAACTTGGAAGACAACGCATGGCGACCAGAGTGCTTCCCCATGACGACACCGACGTCGTTTTCGCCTCTGAAGTACCCGATTTGCTCCGGGGCGATGATTTCGTAGGTGAGCTTGTTCTTCAACATGCCGTCTTGGTGGATGCCGGACTCGTGCGCAAAGGCATTCGCGCCGACGATGGCCTTGTGCGGTTGGATCGCCATACCGCTGTAGTTTTTCACCATCTGGGAAGTGGGATAGATATAAACCGGATTAATTCCAGTGTACGCGCCCGCGAGGCGTGATTGGCCGCGCATGAAAATGGACATGGCGACTTCTTCCAACGACGCGTTACCCGCGCGTTCGCCGATGCCGTTGATGGTGCACTCCACCTGGCGCGCGCCGTTCGCGACACCCGCCAATGAGTTTGCCGTGGACAAACCTAAATCATTTTGGCAGTGCGTCGAAATAACCGCACCCTCGATGCCCTTCACGTTCGCCTTGATGCCCGCGATGAGTTGTCCGAATTCATCCGGCAGGCAAATCCCGACCGTGTCCGGAATGTTCAAAGTCGTCGCGCCCGCCTCGACGACGGCGCTCAAAATGCGATACAAGAACTCGGGATCGGATCTTCCGGCGTCTTCCGGAGAAAACTCGACGTCGTCGCACCCGAGCGAACGCGCATACTTGACGGCTTCCACGGCGATGGCCACGACTTCATCCGGGGTTTTTCGCAATTTACTCTCCATGTGAATAGGACTCGTCGCGATGAACGTGTGAATTCTCGGTCGCAGCGCGTGACGCACGCCTTCCCACGCCGCGTCGATGTCCTTCTTATTCGCTCTCGAAAGCCCACAAATCACCGGCACGTACCCGTCCTCGTACACTTCGTTGCCGACCTTTTTCGCGATGCCGCGCACCGCCTCCAAATCGTCCGGGCTCGCGATCGGAAATCCAGCCTCGATGATGTCCACCCCGAGCCTGGCCAACGACGTCGCGATGTCAAGCTTCTCCTTGCTCGTCAGCGTCGCCCCCGGGGACTGTTCCCCGTCCCGCAGCGTCGTGTCGAACACGCGCACGTACTTCGGGTCCGAGATAACCCCCGGCACGTACGCCGGTCTCGGCGCGCGCGCCACCCCATCCGCGCCCTCCCCGCTCGATCCCGCGCGCACCACCACCTTTCTCGTCCATTCGTTCGTCCCTCGCGCCGCCCCTCGCGCCGTCCGCGCCGTTCGCGCCGTCTTTCCGCGCCGTCCCGCGAGTCCCGTCGTCGTCGTCGTCGTCGTCGTCGTTCGTCCGCGCATCGTCGTCGCGCACGCGTTCGTCCCGCGCATCGTATAACGCGCGCGCTCGTCGAGCGTTCGTCGCGTTCGCCGCGCCGCGATCGCGCGTGTCGCGCGCTCGTCGCGTCGCGCGCGCGCCGTCGATCGAGGTTTTCGTCCGGCGTCGTCGTCGTCCGTGTGTGATATAAAGTCTCGTTTAGGGTCGAGGGTGTAGCGTCCGTGTGTGCGATTGAGTCTCGTGTCGTCGACGCCCGGCGTCGGACCGACGCTTCGATCGACGACCGCCGACCGCAGACCGCGCGCGACGACGACCGCGATGCGCGAGACGGAGATCTCGAACGCGGTGAGCTTCCTGACGCACGCGAGCGTCAGGGCGTCGAGGGATGACGACGCGAAGCGTGGATTTTTAAAGGGGAAGGGCGTGCGCGAGGACGAGATCGACGAGGCGTTTCGACGCGCGGGACGCGAGGAAGGCGTCGGGGGGGGCGGAGCGATGGCGGAGGTAGAGGAGAGACGAGGGACGGCGTGGGGGGGGGCGGCGCGGATGGCGGCGGTGGTGGGAGCGGCGTATTTGGCGTACCCGAGCGCGCGGCGGTGGTTGGCGCGATTCGTCGAGGCGACGGCGAGAGGAGGGGACGCGAAGGACGACGCGGAGGGGAGCGAGGACGCGCGAACGCCCGCGCGGATGAATGGGGTGGTGGCGGAGGAGGGCGCGATGGCGCTCACGCCGGAGTTGGCGGGGAAGATTGAACGCGCGGTGGAACGCGTCGAACGCGCGGAGGAGCGCGCCGAGGCGCTGCGAGAGGAGATTAAAAATGAGGTTTCGTCCACCGTTCGGGACAGCATCACGGACGTGAAGACGTTTTTAGAGACGCAAATGAAGGCAGAGTTGGCGGAATTGAAGCAGATGTACGCCGCCGGTGGAACGGCGAGTGGGGTGTCGTCGCCCGCGGCGCGCGCGAGCAAGGATTGGCCGTTCAAGACGAGTCCGCAAGGGAGCGAGTCAGGGGAGAGTCTAGCGTTCACCCCAGAGCCGGCGTCGAGCGCGGGCGAGTTCACCTTAAATACCGCGCCGCGTCCGCAAACGAGCGCGTCAGAAAATCCAAACTTCTTTTCGGCGCAGCAGACGCAAAGACGACCGGGGCGAGACGAGTTGATTGATCCCCCGCATCCGAGCAATTTTATGGACATCTTAGAGATGCTCGAAAACGGCAAAACGCCACCCGGTATCAAAGACATCGACGACACACCGCCGAATCCGGACGCTGCGATCCCTCGCTCGAGTGCGTCGCGCCCGGGCAAACCGTGGCAGTCCCCAGAGAGCGGTGCCAACGGGAAAGCGCTCGAATTCGCCGACGACGAAGTCACGCAAGTTCCCATCAGGCGAGTCAACGCAGAGGGTAGCGCGGAATCGCCGTGGAAACCGCCTCCGGCGCCAGAGCTTTCAAAGTTGATGTCCGTGACGACGACTGTGGGAAGTCAATCGTCCGAGACTCCGCGGTCTCCGCGCCGAAGCGTAGAACACGACGCCGACCGATTTACGAGAGAAGCGTCCACGGCTAGATCTCCGAGCGCTAAATTGGCGATTTGATAGACGTTTCATTATGATGAAATGATGTTGTTACAAATTTTGTGTTTTACCACCACGGGCACCACCCCACGTAGCTAACGCTGAGGTTCTCTGCGCTCGTAGCTTCAGAGATTAATCGCTCGACTTGCATCTCGACTGAATCCGGTTGCATCGATTCGACGTGATGATGATCGCCGTCGCGACCTGTGAGTTTCGCGCTCATGCGTTGCATGACACTCACCGCTCGTTCATTCAGTGCATCGTTTGTCCCGTCATCGATGCCGTACGCTTCCATCGCGTTGATGAGTTCGGTTCGACGCAACAGCACCGATGTCGCCGTACTGGAATCGCGCACGCTCGAGCCCATGGCAGCCATCGCGTGCGTGGCCTCGACTCCTATAACGGATGTACTCGAAGGAACAGGACCAGACGGTGTTTCGATGACGCCGACGCTTGGAGGGCGCGAATCCTGTCTCGAGGGTCGATTTGATGGTCTGCCTGGCGTCGGCGTCCGATCGCCGTCGCTATCGTCCGCGCCGGGAGTACTGCTCGTGCGGCTGCGATTCGGCGTCGGCGTTTCAGCCGGGCTTGTTTGCGCGTCGTGCGCTGATGTATTCATCGATTCTCCGTCTGGGGCGAGAACATTGTTCGTCAGCAAACGCCAGTTGATGAGCGGATCGTGCACGAAGGCTTCTAACATCGCCATGACAGAGTCTTTGTTGTCGCGCAAAACCGTCACGACGCTCTCGCACGTGCTTCGGAAGTTGCCCTCGATGCCGCTCACCTCCATCGCCCTGACGAGCATGCGAGTGAGTCGGAAAGGGACCTTTTCAGGGAACTTTTCTCGGTACATCGACGATTCGAAGCAATCACCAAAGTCGATGTGAAGCACCTTACCGCTGTATCGATCCACCATCAAGTTTGATGGGTGGCGATCTCCGAGGCCGAGTAGGTAGCCTACCATAGACATCACGGCGAGAGATCGCGTGTACGTCGTCCGGCGCTCGAGCCATTGCTCACTACTTCGACTCTTCAACCATAAAACTCGTGCCAAGTCGCCACCTGAAGTGTTTTCAACGGCGTGTTGGAAAATCTCAACCTTATTCACGAGGGGTAGATGATCGTAATCCGGCGCCATGGCGAGCATCATGCGATGTTCCAAATTCAGTGGCACCTTGTGCGCGTCTCTGTACTCACGAATCAACGCGTGAAGGGTGTCGCAATTAGGCACCCATCCAATCAAACCGCTGTTCGGGGAGAGCGGGACGACGGCATAGCGAGCGATGCCCAAGTCTCGTTGTGCCGTGGCCATGGTCGTGTTCAACAACGTGTTCACCAAACCGAAGAGTTGCATCACGCGTTCGTCCTGGCGCAAATCTTCATGACCTTTCAGGAGGTAACCATAGTCTTTACCATCGGATCCATGAATTTGCAGTCGTCGCGGTCTCTGCTTGGACGTGATCACGTGCATAGTCGGCGCGAAGGCTCTAATCTGGGCTTGTTCCACCTGTCCAGATATATAGTTGCCGGGAACGCACAGCTCTAAATCTCGCGAATTGAGCAAACGCGGTGACACGTACTGAAGTTCCAATGTCGTCATTGTAGGAAGCTGTTTGGTGATACGCTTGAAAACGTGATAGTACAAGTCCCACGCTTGATTCAGCTCTTCTTCGCGCTTACTTTGGCGGTACTTTTGACACAAGTCGTGTGCCTCCTGAAGCTCGCGGCCGTAGTTTTGCACGAAGCCCATCTCTTGAAGAGTTTCAGCACCCTGGCGTTCCAAGATGTGATGCAATGGAGTCAATACTGCCATCATACCTTCGACGTTTTGCTCGCCGAAGTATAGACGTGACGCTTCTTCCAAAGCCTCGTGCCAGGCCTCATGCCACACGATCGCGACTCGAATGAGCTCGAGAGAAACGATTTGTGCTTGCTCGACGAGTAAGGCGCTGTGCTGTCGCACGTTGTCCAAAATCGCGTGCGCCGCGGCTCGTCTCGATGTACTCTGGCTCTTGCATGCCACGAGCAAAGGATAGAGAACCGCCTGCGGGTGCTGTCGGCCAACACGCACCAGAAGCTGATAAATCAAATTTCTCACAGGTAAGACGTGCGTGTGAATTCGCGCAACTATTTGTGGGATCACGGCGAGCCAAGTGTCGATGTTTACGTGTCCAAACCCAGCGATCAAGGCCGTTTCGACTTCGGGCGAGCCACCGTGATTGAACCAAAGTGTGAGCAGGCGTAGAATGTCCTGCAGTGATCCACCCTTGGCTTTCATGGATGAGCCTGCCAAAGAGATTGATCGGAAAAATCCACTGATTGCTGGCGCGACGTGCTGCATCGCATCCTTTGTTGACGCACCACCTTGGCGATGGAAATGTTCCATGGCCGTGGCGTTGAACAATGCCCAGTGATGCCACGCCTTGGACCAATGCTGGTCCGCAGATGTCGCGGTTCTGAACGCCATGAGCACATCAGTCAGTGTTTCATCGTTCATACTATCGGTGAGCGCCCAGCGCCATTTGCCGAGTTTGAGAAAAGCTCGCGAGACCGTCTTGTTGTGATCCGTCTCTGTCTGACCAGAAGCGCGCATGTTTTCCAATTGCACTCGCAACTCGTGTGCGAGAGATTGAAGACGCATAAAAGCTTGCCTTTTCTGTCCTGTGTGCCACAAGTGCTTCACGAACGCAAACATGACTTTAGGGCGCCCAGAACCCGCGCCGAATCCTGGCTTGCCCTCGGCACACATGATTGGGTCATACTCAAGGAGGCGCAACAACGTTCGACGTGATTGACGGTCGCGCCCTTGTTTGCGGTTCAGAGAGGCAAACTTAAGCCATATATCAGTTTCTTCGCTCATGGGCAACACCAATGAGCGAACTTGCAAGAGCTCTTGCCAGACCTCGACGTCACGCTTGACCAAGTAGATTCGATCGCGCCACATTTTTCGAATGATCTCTTGTCGCCGCGCAGCCGCGGGTGAAGCGACCGCAGTCAGTTGCGCGTATTCAATCACTTCATCCAGCTCAGTTAGCTGTTGCGCTCGTATGAGCGCTCCGTAAGAACGGTCGTAAGACTCTCTCACGAGAGCCGCGAGTTCCGTGCCGAGCATCTCGCGCGCGGCGGCAAGATGCTCCCGCGCCTCGTCCTGTGCGCCTCGACGGATGGCGAGAATGGACTTGTAAAAGTCACAATCAGTAGTGTTCACTACGCTGGACGTACGCTTGCCGATCGCATCGACACGGTCGGCGTTTGGGAGACGACCCCGGATATTTTGATCTCTATCAAGTTGATTCGTACAAATCTCCATCTGCTCCCAATCTCCAAGATGCCAAGCAGCTTTCGCGGCAATCGTAGTAACATCGTTGCGATACTCGTCCCAATCGACGTTTGCTTGATTCCCAGCTTCGTAGATTCTCTGAATTTCTTCCCACTCCGCGAGTGCGTTCAAGCATCGAAGCTGCCCCACCATCGCTTCACGTCTTTCTTCCATCGCTTGAGGTGAATCCACGCTGGCGAGCTCGTCCAGTTTTCTTTTATACGCTTCCAAAGCATCGTCCCATTGTTCAAGTTTCTCGTACCACGACTCTTTGATGTCGACCGTCAAGTTTTCTTGCGCGTACACGAGCACACCTCGAGCCGCCTCGGGAAGTTGCAACTGGTTGTTGATGGCGATGATGGCTGCGACGCACGCACCTGGGTTCGTTATGAACTCAAGTTCTTTGTAGTGCAAAGCTTTGGCGTAAGCTCTGGAGCGTTCAGCAATCATACCCAACGTCCGCACGTCAACTGGAATTGGCTTTTCATCGTGTTCCATGAACTCGCAGAGATTGAGCAAAACTGAGACGATCTCAGGAGGAATGGTCGGGCTTCCGAGAGCGGCTTCCAGCGAGCGCACTAGAATCTCTCGATGGCTTTCATTCAGCTCGGCCCAGCACGAAACAAACGAAGCGCAAAATAGATCCCTAGCAAGATTCGGCTGCACTTGCGCTAACTCACTGCACGCTCGTAGCGACGGCAGTGGTGAGCTCTTCAACAGATCCAACGCAAGTTTTCGCATCCATTCTAGCCAATCTTCCTTGGTAGACCGCTGACTGCTCTCCCAAGCGCGGCGAACGGCAAGTTGGTTCACTGAAAGATGCTTTTGAAGCACAGGTTTTCTATGTTCCGTGGCTGACGCGATTAATAGCGATTCAGATTCAAGGTCATCGAAGAGTAGCGGATTACCACTTTCGACTCGCTTGACCATGTCGTCAAACGCCGGATCCTTGACGCCGCACTTTGAAACAGCACGCTTTACGACGGGCAAGAAGAGCGCATATTCGCGCCCAAGAGACACCTCCAACGATATGAGCACGTTTAGTACATCTAAACGAAGCTCTACGTCCTCCACGTCCAATACTCTCGTCAACGCGTGAACGACAATCCCAGCCTGGTCCGCCAAGCGCATGCGCGGTAGCAGTCTGCGCAGAGACTGCAGAGCGCCTCTTTTGATGTCAAGCGGCATATCCAAAACGCTTGGTTTAAAAATGCGCACAAGCGTCGGAAGTATCAAGTAGAGGTGATCGTTGAGCGAAGTTCCGAACGTCTCCAAGGCGTGAAGAATATACGGTACTGAATCGTACCTGCGCAAGCGCTCAGCCTCTGCGAGCGACGAAACTATGCGAGGAACAATCATGGGTAAACTCCTTCTGAACTCGTCGTTCAAAGCGACGGAAAGCTCTTCGCACAAAAGCAGCGTATTTTTGGACATCCCGCTTCTATCCCATGCAATATTCATCAGCTCGAAGATGTCCGACAAGTATCGGCGAATATGTGCCTTGATGACACCCACCAGAGTAGCGAGCTCCACAAACATTCCTTCACGCAGGCTATCATCACTCGTTCGAATCACACTCAGCATGACTGGGACGACGCTAGGTAAATATTGAACACAAGCCGTGTCGAGGACTTGGAAAATGTACACGATGCTTCGCACCACCATGTGACGAACGCTCGTGCGCGAAGGATCTCGCAGCACACGAAGTAACGAATTCAGCGCTATCGTCGGGTAATAGTCATCGGATAGCGACGTCAAATGAAGCATCGGTAGTATATCCAGCTCTTCGTCACCGTCATCATTATTGCCTAAATCATCGACCTGCGCGCTGTCCGTCGCGCCATCGTCGATCTTCATACTCAGTCTCGCTTGTCGCACACCGCGCACGCCCTCTTCGCTTAGTACACCCTCTCCGTGCAAACGAATTTCATTTCCTCTGTGCGCATGCGGATCGAGCGCACCAAGAATTCCCAGGGTCCGCAGTACTTCGCTCCTGACAATACCGCGTTCGTTTGCCAGCATTCGGAGCAACTGTGGCAAAAGCTGCGGGTGCGTCGTGAACGGCTCAGCGACGTATCCCGAGCTCTCGATGAGCTTGCCGAGAGTCACGACGGCATGGTCGCGAGTGCTTGCCGATTTCAGCGCTATCAATAGAAGAATGAGAAGCTCTTGAACAAATGGCGTGATGCCATATCCACTAACATTTGCAAGCTCGCCGATCGTGCCAAGTACTGCTGCCTTTTCGCGGCCAGTGATATCGTGTTTTTTCGACGGCGCAATGGCCGACGTCTGTTTGGATGATGATGTTCGTCGCAACGTGGTCGCGGCAGTTCCCACAGATGCGCTCGACGGTGCTGATGAGTCTTGTTTTGATTTCGAGCTCTTCGCCGCTCCGCCTTCTTCCGCCTTCAACGTAGACATGAGGCAACGCAAGATAGGGGAGAGATACGGCGAGACGAGCCGCGGACAACTGCGAATCATCACCGCCATCACCTTGGCACTCTCCTCTCTATGCAGGGATTCGCTACTATATTCGAGCTCAGCTAAAAGCTGCAGCATGTGCACACGTAGTGCTGGAAGGACGTACGCCGGATTCCTCGTCGCCAAGCGTCCAAGCAGCTCAATACCTAACATGCGTATGGCAACACTCTCGTCGTTCACTGTCAAAAACAACGCCCTGAGAGATTTTGCCTGCGATAGGTACGAATCTATCGATGCGCTCGGCCTGCAAAATTCAGTCAACAGCGCATTTCTGATCGATGCATCGTTGTCGCCGACCGCCACTGGAATGAGCGCTTCCATGATGTTCTCCACCGCGGTCGTCACGCTCTTGCTCGATCCCACTCTGAGGCGCAACGCGCTGCAACACGTCAGCGCCGCTTCGAGTCGTGACTCAGCTGACGAATCGTCCAGGTAGCAAATGACATTTTTGCGAATCGATCGAAGTAACACTGTCGGTTCGAACGGGAAAGTTCGCATCGTTTTGAGCGCCAGTTGCACGATCTTTTTGTTCGGTGGCATCGGGCAGCTCTTCTCCGTCGTCGGTTCCTGATGAATCGCGCTCGCAATAGCGTCTGCCAGTTTCAATTGGATAGACGGCAACAGATCCGGTGCACCTTGGGCTGCAGATTCAAGCCCTATGACGAGCGACTTGGACAACCCCGCGGTGAACATAGGCATCAACAAGTTTACGAAATGCGGCTTCCACGCTAAGTGGAGCGAATTCATCAAAGCCCCGGCGCACTCGAGCGCCTCTGGATACGCGTTCGGTCCTCTTGCTCGAGACGTAAACATGTCGTACATTACCGCACTCACTTCCGGCAAGTACCTCAGTAAAGAGCTGCCAACTGTGACTTCATCTGAATCAACGTCTATCACTGACGACATTGCGTCGGCGAGGTGACTGAGCGCTTGAAAGCCGGCGCCGCTATCGTTCGGCGAGCGAATCGTCGTGAGGATCAACGCACACGACTCGACCAGGTACGACTCCGCGAAGCGCTGTGGACTAAATGCTGCTAACTTGGGAATCAAACTCACGATCGTTCGTCGTATGATTGACTTCTTAAAATCTTGAAGCCGCAAAATCGTCAACGCCACTTCGCGATAGCGACTCAACATGAACTCGCCAGTGTGTCTCAGTAATTCGCCGAACACCAACAATGAACCGTGTATCTCTTCTACTTTCGAAGTTTGCTTCAATCCTGCTCGACAGGCTTCGTACAACGCGTAGTACCACTGCACGCGATATCTCGTCTCTCGGCGCTCCGTCACCATCAGACACTCGCGAAGCGCCAAGACAGCGACTTCGCGCACTCTCAAAGATGGATCGCGCAAAGCGGTCCAGATGGACGAGATAAAAATTGGTACGTGGACGTTGAAGATCGTAGGCGCATTGCGCGCGAGTTCGGTCAGCGTCAGAGCTGCGGCGTAGTGCTTCATGCTCACCACGTCTTGATTCCCGTCGTCCGCGTTCAACAACTCGATGGCACGCTGCACGTGCGAGTCGACGATTTCAGTCGTCAACGCCCCGCTGTGCAAAACCAATCGACCTAAGACCAGGCTCATCATCTCCACGAGTTCGCGCGCGCGCGCATTACTCCAAAGTGGATCATTAATCGCCACAGGGTGCTCTCTGTGTTCATCCGTCAACGACGATCCGAGCAAGTCCTCCGCACTCGTGCTCACGACGTCGAGCAAGTAATCTGCAAACTTCTTCACCTTTTCGACCTCCTCGCCAAACTCCACCTCGATGAGCTGATCAATCGCGCGCAGTCCCCCGAGCTTTCTCGCTACGTCCTCGCCCGTGATCATCGTATCCACACGTTCGTGTACCGCGTTTCTAAACTTGAGAAAGTCTGCCGGGTTCGCGCTTCGCGCCTCCGTCTCCACGCGTTCCCGCAGCGCCCCGTCGTCTTCCATCGATCCCCTCGAGTCCTCATCCACGACATCGATCGCACACAGTTTTTCGAGCAGCGCGTTCAACGTGTCCTCCTTCGCCGTGCGCGAGCGATTGAAACTCCTTTTCCTCGCCACGCTCGTCGACGTCGCGCCCGCGCGTTCGCGCGCGGGTTGCGATCCCACGACGGCGTTCACCGTCCCGCTCGTCCCTCCCGCCCGCTCCGCGCCACCATCGCCCGACGCGAGATCACTACCGCGCCGCTCTGCCGCGCGCGACGTCGCGCTCGCGTCATCGCGCGCGCCCGTGGGCACGATCGACGGCGCCGCGTTCGCCGCTCCGCCCGGGACGGTGCCCTCGTTCGACGACCGACGCCGCGCGATGAACATCGCTCGCGCGCGGTGTGCGCGCGCGCGACGTCGCACGCGACTTTGCGCGCGTTGCGCGGCTCGTGCGCGCGCGACGGACGGTGCGCGCGCGCGCGTATGCGGCGAATGCCCGCAACGACCGTCCAAGGGGACAGCGCGGCGTCGCCATTCGGCGACGCGCGCGGCCGGCGACGCGCCGAAAGACGCGCGGCGCGACTTCGAGCGCGAGCGACGGTATCGGCGCGCGCGCGAGCGGGGCGTGACGAGCGATCGAACGCCCGCGCGCGACGTGAGGCGCCCTCGGGCGACGACGAAAAAGCGCAGCCGCCGGCGCTCGCCGACGCGAAGTCGTCGACGACGCGCGACGGCGCGCGGGAAACCGCGAGGGCGATGTCGAACGAGGACGCGAGCGATGTCGAGATCGCGGTGAGCTTCGTCACGCGCCTGCCCGAGGAGTTTCGCGTGAGTGAGAGCGCGATCGAGGTGCCGGGCCGGCTGACGAGGTACGGCTTGAGCGAGGTGGTGAATCACCTGCTCGGCGCGACGACGCCGACGCCGTTTGATTTCCTCATCGATGGAACGCTTTTGCGCACGTCGCTGGCGAAGTTGGCGCTGAGGCTCGGGAAGAGCGCGGAGGCGACGCTGGTGGTGGAGTACGTGCCGGCGCTGGGACCGCCGACGGCGGCTGAGACGACGAAATGCGAGGCGTGGGTGAGCTCGATCGATGGAAGTTGGGCGAAAGCGGTCGTCACGGGGTCCTTCGACGGTAAAGCACGGTTGTGGTCACCCGTGGGTAAGTTGCTGTGCGAGTTGGAAGGCGCGGAAGAGCGCGTGTGCTCGGTGAGCTTGGCGCCGCCGAGCGCCGGCGCGGACGCAGAAAACGCGTGTGTGGTGTTAGCGGCTTCGGCGGATCACACCTTGCGATCGTATGCGGTGACGCTGACTGGGAAAAAGTGTGAACTCGGGGAGCAGCGTGTTTTCAAGGGTCACGAGGGCACTGTGACGGACGTCGCGAGCGCGTACGGCGCTCGACTGTTCGCCTCGTGTTCCGTCGACTGCACGGCGCGAGTGTGGAAAATCGACGGTGGCGAGTCGGCGAACGAAAAGGTAACGAAGAAGCGCAGAACATCGAAGAAATCGGAGGCTACAGACGACGACGCGATGGTCGACGATGCGAGCGCGAAAATTGGTCTCGGCGAGGAGCTCGTGTTGCGTGGGCACACGGATCAAGTGCGAGCGGTTTCCTGGGAAAGCCCGCAAGTACTTTGGACCGGCGCATACGATAATACGATCCGAGCGTGGGACGTGGAGACTGGCGAAGAGAAGGAGTCTCATCATACGAACAGTTCAGTCCATACCTTGGATGTCTCGAGGGGAGGAAGTAGGTTCGCTTTCGGGGGGAGCGACCGCCTGGTTAACGTGTGGGATCCGCGAGAGTCGGCGTCGGCAAAGGCGTGCCTGAAGCTCAAATCTCACGAGGTAAGTTTGTCGTCATGTGTACTCTCGCTCGCGCTCGCGCCCGTTCGCAAAGTCAGTGATGAACACACTTTTGATTCCCGACACTCGTGCGTGAGGGCACAATCAATCACTCTAATTTTTTACTGAGACTTTGCGAGCGGCGCGCAAAAATTTGTTTCGCGGAATGAATTGTTTCGCCGATTGACTGACGCGCGCGATTTGAAACGCAGGGGTGGGTGTCGTGCGTTCGATGGAGTCCAACAAACGAGCATCACATCGTGAGTAGTGGATACGACGGAAAAGTCAAGTTATGGGATATTCGTGGTAGAGTGCCACTGCACAGCGTTTCGTCGCACGACGGGAAAAACTTCGCCGTGGATTACCACGGAGGCGAACGGCTGTGCAGCGGCGGCGACGACGGACAGCTGAGATTTTGGAACGTAGGTAGCTCTAAATAACGACGTTGTTGTGAAAGTTACAACTTTAAATGCGTCAACCGAAACTGAATGCGCGTCAGTCCGGCACAGTGATGGGTAACCCGTACGAGAACTCGTGTTCGGGAGAGTCGTATCGGCACGATTCTACGTGACCGATTTCGTGCCCCACGTAATCGAACCGTCGAGATTTCATCAACCCGAGCACGCCCGGACCCGGGCAACACAGACCATCGTGGTTGATCCAGCGCTGGAACGATATCCCAAGCTTGCCACCGCTCGCGCGCGCCCACTTTTTGCGCGATTCCACGGACACCTCGGACGGGTGATTATCGACGACGTACGAGGCGTACGTCGCGTATTCGCTAAAGCCGAGCGTGAGATCTTTGCGGTTCAACGATTGCAAAACCGCGGTAGCCCATCGCGGGAGTTCGTCGCTTGTCGTCGCTAGTTCGTCTGTGCGATCAGCTTTGCGTGCGAACGCATCGAGCATCTCCTCCATGATGGACGCGTCGACGACCATTTGATGCGTGACGTAGGACGTACCATCCTTGGCGTACTTCAGACGATCACCCGTGAGCGTCTCGTACGCCGCCTCGTACGACTTGATGACGTTACCACCGATTTGTCTCACTGGAATCTCTCCCTTGAACAGCGTCAACGGGCGCAAGGGGATCATGTCCAAATCCCACAGCAAAAACTTTCGGCTCAGCGGCGGATGCGCGATGGCCGTCGACGTCGCCGCGCCGAGCTTGATCAACTGTTGTAAATACCACCCTCCCAATTCTCGACCGACGAATCGCGCGCGCGCGCCATCGCGTCCGAGCGAATCTCCGTACGCGTCCTCCAAATACCACGAAACCGCATCCTTCGTCAACCCGCGTATAAACGCGTCCTCTGCGTGACACTCCACGTTCGTCGCCATGCCGCGAAACGTCTCGCACCGCGTCTCATCGGGCGCCACGACCACGATCCTCCTCGGCCCCACGTACTGATTCAACGCCGCCACCGCCACCGCGTTCACGCACGACGGTTTCACCGCCACGCTCACGACGTCTAAATCCGGATACGCGCGCTCGTTCGCGCATCCTCGCTCGCCGAACGCCGACCCGCCGACGCCGCACGTCGACGCCGCGCCGTCCACCGCGCGCGTCGGTTCGCCCTCCGGCGCGTCGCGCGCCGGCGCGCGCGCCGCATCGCGCGCCGCGAACCCGCGTCGCCGCGAAGACGCGCGTCCGAACCCGCGTCCCGCGCCGCCGCCGTCGCCGCCGTCGTCGTCGTCGTCCGCGTCCGTCCACGTCCACGCGCGGCGTCGCGCGATGACGAGCCCCGCGCACAGCAACCCGACGCACAGCGCGAGGCGCCCGCACCGACGCACGCGCCGCTTGAGCAGCAATCTCTCGCGGCGGCGCATCGCCGACATCGCGCGCGCGCGACGGTGGCGCGCGCGACGACGTCCGGCGATGCGACCGTTCGGTTCGCGGCGACCGACCTGTATGCGCAAACAGTGACACCGATGCTCGCGGCGACCGACCTGTATGCGCGAACAGTACGGGTCGGGACTCGGAACACCCGGGTGTGCGAGCGACCCACCCTAGGCGAAACCCTCAAGGGATTGGCTGGGTGACGCGTCGACGACGGCGCACCGCGACGCGCGCGGACGCGACGCGACCGACGCGCGCGCGAAGCGAACGAACGACAAACGCGAGAGACGCGCCGACGACGAAGCTCGCGATGAAGAGCGCGCACCGCGGTGGCGAAGACCCCGACGACGAAGTCTTCACGCAGCGCGCCGTCGAGCTGAAGGATGAGGCGAACGCGCTGTACGGTGCGGGGTCGATCAAGCGCGCGCTCGAGGTGTACGAGCAAGCGCTGAACCTGCTGCCCGAACGCGATCAGACGCGGGCGATGATTCACAGTAATCGAGCGGCGTGCTTTTCGAAGATGCAGTGCTACGCGGACGTCGTGGCGGAGGCGAGCCGCGCGCTGGCGCTGGACGGGAAGAGTTATAAGGCGTATTGGCACAGGGCGCAGGCGTACATGCAGTTGGGACAGGTCGGTAAGGCGAAAAGAGATTTGCAGAGCGTGATCGAGATCGAACCGAGCTACACGGACGCGAAGGATGCGCTGGACGCGCTCAACGGGACGAGCAAGGCGGGGGCGCCGGCGGGGTTGGGAGGGATGACCCTCGCGCCCGGGAAGAAGGGTAAGAAGGGCGCGAAGAAGGGCGATGGTGATGCGGGAGAGGATGCGCGAAGAGCGGAAGCGGAAGCGCGATACGCGGCGCAGGCGAAAGAGCGCGTGGCGGACCCGCCGTCGATTCTGGTCAAGGCGGCGTTCGGGGACGACGTGCGCATGTTCAGCGTGTGGTCTACAATCGGTTTCAAGGACTTGCAGACGAGCATTGCGACCAAGTTTGCGTTCGCGGGGCAGTTTTCGATCAAGTACGAAGACGAAGAAGGCAACGTGAAGAATGTTCAGTCGCGAAACGACTTTCAAAAGTCCATCTACGCCACCTCGACGCGTTTGCGGGCGATGGAAAAGCCCCCACTCATCCCGTACGTCAAGCTCATGATTCAAGAGTTGCCCAAGGTTGAAGACATCGAGGTCGTCGACGAAGATGGCAACCCGGTTGGCCTGGCGCCGAACGAGGTCGTCGAGATCGATGAATGGATTTTGGACTTTTCTTCCTTGTTCCGCGAACATCTCGGCATCGACGCAGAGGGCCACTTGGACCTTCACCACGAGGTACGTTTTCTTTCGAATAGCGCACGACGTGCGAAACAATCGCGGCTCTCATCGTGCAAAGAAGCGATGACGATACAAAAAACTTACTACTTCACTGATTTCCGTGATTAATGTTTTTGCAAATGTCTTTCGCTCCTATCGTGAGCTTCTTTGCTGGGGGTCGATGGTTTCAATCTCGACCACGAAGGCGCGACGACGAATTCTCGACTGACAATTTTCTCGTTTTTCGCGTCTCTTAGGGTACGAACTTGTCCAACGATCTCGCAAGTGGTACGAGCTTGACGGACGAAGAAGCAAAGGAAATTCGAGATGCTGCCATCGAGAAGTTCCAAGCCTGCGCCGCGGCGACCATCTTTAATTGGGGCAACGTGCACATGTGCGAAGCGCGCAAGAAGATGGACGGCGGTCGCGAACCGGCGAAGGAGCAGGGCGGTCCTCCGGGATCTGCCATCGCCATCGCGGATGAGTTCGATGAAGTCGAACGACTCATCGGTCTTGCTAAGGAACGATTCGAGGAAGCGATCGTGATCAAGCCGGATCACCACGATTCGCACATCGCGTTGGCGCAGCGTCGCTACGAGCGCTCGCGTCTGCTCAGCGCCGCCGCCGGCATGAGCGGCGATGAGGGTAAGGTAGCCAAGGGTCACGATGCTAAAAAGCGCATTGCAGAAGCAGAGGCCGAATTCGTCGGAGCCGTGGCGGATTACAAGGCTGTGTTTGCCACCTTGCCGGACGAAGTCCCGAGGGAAAAGACTGAGGAGGAAAAGGCGGCGTTCCAAGCGCTCGTGGACGAAGCCGTCGCGCGGGGCGACGAACCACCCACGGACGAGGAGCCATCGACGAAGGGACAAGTGCGCGTCATGCTTGGTAATACGCTCTTCGAGCAATCACAATTGGCGGCTCGCTTAGGAAAGGAATGGAAGTCGATGCTCGACGAGGCGCTCGAAAACTTCCACGAAGCGGGGTGTGCGCAAGAGGACATTGACAACGCAGTGAGCATGCATTACGGCACGCGGATGACCGCTGGCGGCAAGTAGAGAACGTAGACTTTGCAATATTTAATCGAGCGAGCGTTCCTTTTTATTCACAATTCGTTAAAACTTTCGCTTTTGTTGGTAAAATCTTGTAGGTCATCGGCGGGCGCTTAAAACGGTGGGTCGTCTTGGTTGAAGTGTTGCTCGACAGGCTCGTAACCGTCGTTGTCGAGCGGTTGGTAACCACCGGCATACTGAGCTTGCGGGACTTGCGTACCGTACGGTTGGTTATAGTCCGGTTCATACGCCGCCGGATTGGAGGCGCCCGTGTACGCGTCCGAGTCCTGCTGCCTCGATTGTTGCGCGCCGCCGCCCAACGTTTCCAGCACCCACGCGGGAGTATCACGGCTTTCGACCCACAACGCCTCGCCGGTTTCCTTATGCTTGAAATCAGGCGAACGTGGGTTTGCACCTGGTTGAGACTTTCGATCGCGGTTGTCCCACCACGTGTCCGGAGCCTCGGCGAGCGAACGCCAGAGCGCCTCCTTCGGAGACGCGCCCGGGGGCATGCCTGTCTGTTGCGGCGGTTGCTGGCGCTGTTGCGGCGGCGGCGATGACTGTTGGCGCGTCGCAGCTGGGGCCATGTCGCTGCCGTAGCCACCAGATTGTTGTTGCTGCCCGTAGCCACCACCACCTTGCTGCGCCTTGGCGCTCTGCACAAAGGAAAAGTTTTTCGCCACAATCTTCACTCGGGAACGCGGTGCCCCTGTGTCTTTGTCCGTCCACGTGTCCGTCTTCAACTGACCTTGCACGCAAATCGTCTTGCCCTTACTCACGTGTTCGGCCATGCGCATCGCCTCCTCGCCCCAAATGTCCACCGCAAACCAGTTCGTCTTGTCCTCCTCCACGGCGCCGTCCGTCATTTCGGCTTTACGCCCGCCGTTCACAGCCAATCGCACGTTCGCCACGCACGTTCCGCTGGAGAAGTGCCGAATCTCCGGATCAGCGCCGACGTTACCGATGATCGTCACCGAGTTCGCCAATTCCGGCGTCCACGTGACGACGCTCGGCGGCGCCGTCGTCTGCGTCTGCGGATCTCCTCCGTACGATTGCGCGCGCGCCGACCTCGGTCCCGCGGGCGTGTACGACCCCCGGTTATTCACAAACTGCGCCTGCGCCGCAAACGTCCGTCTCGCGTGTTCCCGACCCGTCGTCTGCGCGCGCGTCGCGCGCAACGGCGTCGTCGCGCCGCGAATCGTCGCGGTAATCTTCTTCAAGTGTCGCATCGTTCTCATTTCGCTCGATCGCGTCGTCGTCGCGTGCACGCCTCGCGCGTGTCCCAGCATTCGTCGCAGACCGTTCGTCAGGCTTTCGATCGTTCGCGCGCGCGTGACGTCGGCGATCGTCTTGCGGCCTTCGCGCGACAGCATGCGCGGGAGTGACGCCGATTCAAACTCGACACCGCGTTTGGCGGGAAAATCAGCCCCGTGGGCAAACAGTCTGACGAATCCGCGCGACGCCGCACACGACGACGCGGCGCGCGATGGACATCGCGAGCGCGGAGATCGCGCGGTTGAGAGCCGAACGCGCGGCGCGCGCGGCGGCGGCGTCGTCGAGCGGCGGGAAGAAGTACGCCCGACGCGGCGATCTTCAGCGCGAGGCGTCGGCGGCGCCGGTGGATGGGGAAAACGACGGCGCCGACGCGGACGCGGACGGCGCGGGGAGGGTGACGGGGGCGAAACGCGCGCGCGAGGATGATGGAAAAGCGATCGCGGCGACGGCGGCGGTGGTGACGCGCGTGCTGGAGGACGAAGAGGCGGACGCGGCGCTGGACGCGTTGACGAACGACGAAGCCGTGGCGCGGTTGCGCACGCTCGGGCAACCGGCGACGATGTTCGGGGAGACGAGGGAGGATAGGATTTTTCGATTGAAAGTGGCGACGAAAAATTTCGCGATCGTGGACGAGACGACGACGACGGCGACGCAGGTGAATGAAAAGTTGTTGGACGCCGAGCACGTCGAGGCGTTCGCGCGAAAGAAGAAGGAACAGAGCTTAAAGGCGAAAGAAAGGTCGCTAAAGGGCGTCGCGGGCGATGGAGGCGCGGAAGTCGTCGATGATGATGAGCCTGAGGTAGTCGAGGAGAAAGCACTCATGGACGCGTTCGCGAAAGCGGCGCAAAAGCTGAAGAAGCAACGCGAGGCCGAGGACAAGGAACCCATAGACCAAGTGGCTGCGTACTTCAAATCTCTCGTCGCGGAGTGGGAAGCCGAGCTCGACGCGAAGTCTGAGGAGTGGTGCTACACTCACGAAGGTCGTCAATCGATTTCGACGTTTCGCACGTTGAAGCAGCATTTGAAGCCACTGTTTAAGCGCATCAAGCGTCGTTTGCTTCCCGGCGACGTTGAGCGCGCTCTTTACCTCATCATGCAAGCGATGAAGCAAAGAAATTACAAGAAAGCCGCCGACGCGTACGTCGGAATTGCGATCGGCAACGCTGCGTGGCCTATCGGGGTTACAATGGTCGGTATCCACGCCCGTAGCGCCCGAGAGAAGATTGGCGCGTCGTCGCAAGCGCACGCCATGCACGACGAAGAGACACGGAAATACCTGCAAAGCGTCAAGCGTTTGATGACGTACGCGCAACGCGCGTACCCGACGACGCCATCGCTTTCTTTAGATTTCAACTCTGGCGTGAACGGTAGCGACAAGGCAGAATTGCTCAAAGCTGAGGCTCGGCTCGGCACCATCGACAAAGCCGTCCCCGCGCTCATGCTCGGCGACGGCAACGATCCGGGAAGCTCCGCGCAATCCAAAGATGGATGGCGTTCGCAAGATACCGACACGCGCACGTGGAAATCCATGCTCACGCATGCATACGGCGAGAAGGGCCGCGCCGCTAAAATCACCACCGCCAAGGATGAAGTCGTGCGAAAGGACACCTCCCTCATGAGCACGCGAAGCGGCTACGTCGCCGCGGATAAGAAGAAACCTTCGAGGGAGGACTAGATTAGGCGCTTAGATTGTTTTACAATGACTACATCGTTTGTGTCAGCGCGAGAACCAACGCTGTCGCGGTTATAGCTACTTTGACATCGCTCGTTCGGATCGCGAAAACGGTCGGTCGGTCGCCGCGCGCGGTGACGTCAGCCGCGGCCGACGCGCGCGCGTCGCCATCGCGCGACGCCGCGACGCGCGCGCGATGGCGACCGCGCGAGCGACGGCGAAGGTGACGATGCGCGCGCGCGCGACGTCGACGGCGCGCGGGCGCGCGCGCGCGACGTCGACGGCGCGCGCGGGGAGGGCGGGCGATGCGCGTCGAGCGGGACGCGCGGCGCGGCGCGCGGAAGCGCGCGGCGCGCTCGCGGACGATCTCGGCGCGGAGGACGTGCTGAACGCGATGGAGAGCTTTTGCGAGGAGGAAGAGTCGACGCGCGCGACGCCGAAGACGGGCGGGCGGGCGCGGAGGGACGACGTGTTTCGAGGGACGATGGACGACGACGCGTTCGAGAGGTTGGATAAGCAAAAGGCGAGTCGACGGGAGAAGCGCACGGCGGTGCGGGCGGTGCGCGAGGAGGCCGCGAGTGGTGGTGCGAGAGGCGGGACGGACGCGCGGTTGTCGTTTTTGTACGAAGAGGGGGTGAACGCGAACGACGCGGGGGCGGTGACGAAGTGCAACGACGTGTTGCGGCGATGCGCGAGCATGGAGGAAGTGCTCGGTTTGGTGAAGGAAATGCGAGACGCGGGGTTGGAGCCCGTGGAGAGCACGTACGTAGCGGTGATGCTCGTGTGTCAAAACGTTGGCTCGCCCGAACGTGCGGTGCAGGTGTACGACGCGATGACGGAGGCGCAAGTGCGCATGACGGGACGTACGTTTCATCTGGCCATCGAGTTGGCGCTCAAGGCTGAGATGTTCAAGGACGCGCTTCGTATCAAAGATGATATGCGCTATGTCGGGTTGCCGGTGAGCTCGAAGCTTTACGTGACGCTTCTGCGCGCGTTGGCGGACAACGACATGGGAAAGCGAAAGGGGCCACAGGAGCGACTCATTCGCACGTGTCGTCTTTTTGAAGAGATGCTCAACGAAGATGTCGACCCAGCGCCGGCGGCGTATCACACTCTCATCGTTGCCGCACATCGCGCGAATCAGCACGACCTGGCGGTGCGCACTTTCGATGAACTCATCGAAGAGGGGATCACGCCGGCGAGACAAACGTACGAGACTGCCCTCGATTCCATGGCACGAAGCGGACTTCTCGCGCAAGCTTTGGAAGTTTTTGTGCAGATGAAGTCGAACGGACTCATGCCACGAAAGGTGACGTACAACACACTTTTGAGTGCTTGCGTGAACGCACCGCAACCGCGCGTGGAGGCGGCGTTTGAAATTTTTGAAGAAATGCAAACGAAAGGCAACGTGACGCCGGACAGGAGCACGTACTCACTACTCATCGACGCCGCGTGTAAAGCGGGTAAACCCGAGATGGCGTTTGACGCGTTCAGCCACATGCGGGATTCTGGTATTGAAATCCAAGTCGGCACGTTAAATCGATTGATTCACGCTGCGGGATTGAACGCCAAGGAGGACTCTACATCGGTACAAGCAACTCTCGAGCTTTATGACGCGATGAAAAAGCTTGGCGTTGAACCAGACGTGATCACGTATGGTAGTTTGATCGCTACATGCGCTAAGGCGCGCGATGCGGCAACTGCGATAAAGGTGTATGAGGAAATGCGCGCCGCGGGCGTCGAGCCAAACCGCATCTTGTTCAACGTCTTGATCAACGCCCTCGGGCGTGCGAACCGTAGCGAAGAGGCGATGGAGTACTTTCGCGTGATGCAGAAGCAATCCGAAGTGAATAGTTCGTTAACTCCGAATCGGGAGACGTACACGACGGTTTTCGATGCGTTCATCGGCGGCGGCGGCGCAGAGCTCGCCATGGCGAAACAATCGCTCGAATCAGGCGACGACGCATCCTTCGTGCACAGCGCCCAGGTTGCGAAGTTGCGCGAAATCTACGCTCAGGGCGTTGAACACGGTGTGTACGAAGACTTGTCAGTCGTACTGTCGACGCGCGAAGCGGAGTCTGAGTCTTGTACGATAAACATGAACCAGCTGTCGCGCACCGAAGCTACGGTGGCGACGCTCGTCCTGCTCGAACGCATGTCCACGCTTTCGAGCGATCAAGTACCATCCGCCATGTTCATCTACGCGGGTAAGGTAAAGCCGGGTAAAAACGGTGCCCAGCGTCGATTGTTGGCGATCGAAACTGTCCTTCGTGCGGCTAACGTCAAGTTTGAAATCGGCGAAGTCGGTTCCGCCGAACTCATCGCCGTGAAGGGCAAGCACTGTCGCGCGTGGATCGAGAAAAACGCCGGCACGTTTGTGTAAATACTCTAGACCTTAGTCATTCTTTTAACCATCAGATGTGCTATTTGCTAAATCTCGCAGTCATACCTTCTTCTTGGGCACTGGTTCACCATCTTTTTTGTCCTTGGGTGGAGACTTGTAGGGCAGCGCCGAGCCGCAGTGGGGACACACGCGAGTCGGCGAACCGCACGTTCCAGCGCACTGCGGGCACAGTTTGTGACCTTTGCCGAGAGGCGTACATCCTGGCAAACCGGAATTCGTCTTTTGCATTTTCGGCGGCGGGCTGCACTGGCTAGAAGTCGTCGGGAGCACGACGTCTGCAGCGCGTTTCGCGCCTGAGACTGTCGGCGTCGCCACGCCGGTGCGTTGCCGCAAACTAAGAGGCGAATTTGATTTATCTTGCCCTTCATTGTTCACTTCATCTTTCGGGGGTCCGTAGCCCACCTTATTTCTCGGAGGCAACGGCTTGGGGCGCTCGTACACGCTCGCCAACGTGCCGATGTGACTGTACAACGACCCGAGCCACTGCCGGACACTCTTCGTCGCGAGCTGAGAAATCGTCTCATTCGGGTGTTTTTGCAAACCCACGACGACATCTTTGATGTCCATGCTATCGAGCGTGTGTAAAGATACGTACACGGAGTTGAGCGCACGAAAGGCTTCGATGACGGAGAGCAAATCCTTCACGGCGGCTTTGTTCTCCGCCTTCGCCGCCTTTAACACGGGCACGATCTCTTTCAGTTCCGCTACATGATCGGGATGCGTCGGCTCGCGCACATATGCCAGCGCGCCTCGACGCGCGAGCGCCCATTGCGCTTCGCGCTCTTCAACCTTTGTTTGAAAAGTGACTGCGGGGTCGATGAGGCTGACGCCGTCGGCGATGTCGCCGCGCTTTCTTCGCGCTAACGCTGCCGCGCTCGCCGCCGCGCCGTTATCCTGCCCATGTGCCACGCTAGAGTACGGAAAGTTTACCCCGACCAGTTGCCCACCGGCGATGTGATCTTTCAACCACTTGTGCACGCCGCTCAAGTTGCCGCATCGAAGCGGCGCGCCCGCCGTAAACGTATCGACCCGCTTGTATTGATAGTGACCATCTCGCGTCTCGCGCTCCTCTCCCAACACCGCAAGCGTCGGCGTTCCAACCTCGTCCATGACGTAAAACCGCACCCCTCGCCGACCATCGGGAAACGTAAACTTTTCCTGAGAGTAACTCACGAATCTCGCCGAACCGTCCGGCTTCGTCGTCGACACCGTCACCGCCGCCGCCGCCCCAGACGTCGCCGCCTCGTGCGTCATCACCAACTCACTCATTCCACTCCGTTTCGCCTTCCCTTGTTTCTTCTTATTCTTCCCCGACGCCCTCTTATTCTTCCCCGCCGCCGTCGAAATCGGTCCCGTCGTCACCACCCCGCTCGACGCCCGCACGATCGAATCCAACCACGAGTGCAGCGCCTTTCGATTATGACAGCACAGCGTCCCGAACGACGTGAACTCCTCGCAATTCTTATACGTGTAGTGCGAGTCTCCCGGCGTGCTCTCGTCCGCGTACGCCGCGAGCGTCTCCCGCCCGTCCGCCTCGACGAGAAAGTACTTCACCGATCGTCCGCGTCCCGTCTTCCCGGGCTCGAACGCCGCGCGGTACGCGACGAACGCCTGCGCGGACGATCGCGCCATCTTTCCGCGCCCGTTTTCCCGCGCCTCGATCGTCGCGCGCCGGTCGTCGCGCGTCGACGTGGCGCGCGCGTCGCGAATCGCCCGTTGGGCGGGACGCGCGAAACACCCGCGTGTGCGGGCGACGCCCCGCGACGCGAACAGTCAAACCGACGCGCGGGCGGTTTTGACCGCAGAGCGCGACGTCGCGCGCGAGGCGACGACGCGCGCGCGCGGCGACGGCGCGCGGGGGGAGCGGCGCGCGCGGCGCGCGAGGCGTCGAGGACGTGCGCGCGACGACGCGACGCGAGAGGAGGGACGAGGCGCGCGGACGCGGGAGGTCAACCGGCGCGTCGATTCGCGCGAACGCGCGGGAACGCGCGGACGCGAGGGCTCGCGCGAGAGAGCGAGACGCGGGAGACGCGGCGCGGGAAAGACGGCGCGCGCGCGCGCGTCGGTGGCGCGGGGGAGGGTTGAGGACGGGATTGGGACGATATGGGACGGAAGAAGATTAAGATTGAGCGCATCGTCGACGAGCGTAACCGGCAGGTGACGTTCACGAAACGGAAGAATGGGTTGATGAAAAAGGCGATGGAGCTGAGCGTGTTGTGTGATTGCGACATCGCGCTCGTGATCTATAACTCGAACGAAAAGTTGTATCAGTATTCGTCTGGGGACATCGAGGATGTGCTGCGGCGATTTCACACCGAGTGCGCCGAGGCGCACGAGGCGAGGAACAATCAGGACTTGTTCGATCAGCACTTCTCGACGCAAAAGGGGGCGTCGGCGCGCGAAAGAGCGCAGGCGAGCACGAGTCGAAGCATGTGGCGCAAGGTGAAGAGTGAGTCGTGTTTCGAAGACGAGGACGAATTCGAGGACGAAGAAGACTTTGAGGACGATGACGAAGACGAAGGCGAAGGCGAAGGCGAAGAGTTTGAAGACGCGAAAGGCACGACGAGATCGGATAAAGCGAAAGGGAAAGAGCCCATTGAGCCCGTTTTCTCGCGTAAAGGTCGACTAGGGCCGAGTCCAGCGCCCGTGTCGAAATCAGCCATGTTTCGTGCGCACGCGCGCGTCAAGCGCGAGCGCGCGTCGGCGAAGCAATCGAGCCGCGCGCAACGGTCAGGGCACGGTAAAGGGTCGTCTGCGAGCGAACCAGGTCGGGCGAGTCGACGTTCGGGCGCTAGGCGTGAGAATGGAGGATACGGCGTCGACGATGGTCAAATGGATATAGACGATCAATACGGCGGCGCGGCGAGTCGAGCGCAACGGGCGATAATACGCCCGTACGACGACGACGATGATGATGATGCGGATGCGGATGCGAATAGATATATTTTTGAAGACGTTGCTTTACTGGTGGATGAAAACGACGATCCACTCATCATACCGCCCGAAGGTTTGGAACTTTTATCGCCCAGCTTTAAGTGGCTTGGATCGCCGACGGCTCGAGACGTCGGCGGCGCTCGCGCGTCGCTCTCGAGTTTCGAGACGCGCTCGAGCGAGTTCGCGCGCGAGAATAACCTTTCGATAGAGATTCCAATCGCGGACGAACCGCGCGATCGAGGAGTCGCGGGCGATGGGGCGACCGTCGCGCCTCGCGGAGACGCGAACGGTCCATCGCCCGGTCCGCTCACCGCGTTGCTCCATTCCCACGTGGCGGGCGAACAAATATTCGGTGCCGACGCCGATAACGACGTGGGTCGCGAGTACGCGTCGTTCTTAGCGTCGTCGCCTTCGGCGACGCCGACGCCGCGATCATAGGCGTTTCTCGCGAATCGCGCGAGCGTCGCGCGTAATACCGAAGTCGTTCCAGTCTCCGCCCGCACTCGACGTCGCCTCGCGCGATGTCCCTCGCCGCCGCTCCCGGCGCGTCGTCGCGCGTCGCGCATCGCGCTCGGCGCGACGCGCGATGCCGCGCGAGCGACGGCGCGTCCGTCGTCGCACCGCACGCCAAAGTCTTGCGAGACCTCCTGCGGTCGCCTCGAATCGTGCAAGCGCCGTGCGCGCACGACGCGTTGAGCGCGCGCCTGATCGAACGCGCCGGGTTCTCCGCCGCGTTCATGTCGGGATTCTGCGTGTCCGCGTCGAGGTTGGCGCTGCCAGACACCGGATTGATCTCGTACGGGGAGATGGTGGACGTCGGGCGCACGTGCAACGACGCGACGAGCGCGAGTTTCCCAATCGTCGGCGACGGCGACGACGGGTACGGGAACGCGATGAACGCGAAGCGCACGGTGCGCGGGTACGCCAAGGCTGGGTTCGCGGGTATATTGATAGAGGATCAGGTGGCGCCGAAGGCGTGCGGGCACACGAAGAATAGACGAGTGGTATCGCGCGAGGAGGCGACGACGCGCGTGCGAGCGGCGTGCGACGCGCGGGACGAGGATGGATCGGGAATCGTGGTGTTCGCGAGGAGTGATTCGCGAAGTGCGGTGGATTTAGATGAGGCGCTGTGGCGCGCCGCGGCGTTCGCCGACGTCGGCGCGGACGCGCTCTTCGTCGACGCGCTGCGATCGAAGGAAGAGATGCGAGCGTTTTGCAAAGTCGCCCCGGGCGTGCCGAAGATGGCCAACATGCTCGAAGGCGGCGGTTCGACGCCGATTTGCACGCCGCAAGAGCTCGAGGACATGGGCTTCAGCATCGTCGCCTACCCCCTGTCGCTGCTCGCCGTGAGCGTCAACGCGATGGAACGCGCGCTGAGAGAAATCAAACTCGAGGGCTACCCGCGCGACGAGACGCTCCCGACGTTCGCCAGGCTTCAAGAATCCGTCGGTTTCCCCGAGTATTACGCCGACGACGCGCGCTACAAAGCCTGACGTTCGACGTCCTCGCATCAATGATCATCGCCGCCGCACCGCGCGTTTCGTTTCGTCGCTATTCCTTCTTCGCCCGAAGTCGTCCCCGCCCTCGTCCGCTCCCACCTCGCCCGCGCGCGCGCCCCGATCTCCCGCACCGCCGCCGCGTCCCGGCTCGCCCACTCCATCTCGTTCACCATCGTCGCCGTCGCCTCTCGCAGCTCGTGAAACTTTTCCAGTCCGCACTCGAACGTCCGGTCGCTCCCGTCGTCGAGCGCGAGTCGCAGGATCACGCTCGGCGTCATCGCGTTCGCGCCCTCGGACGTGCGCAGCGCGACGTCGACGCGCCAGCTGACGTGCACGACGCGCGGGAGGCCCGCGCGCGGGGCGTGCGCCATGGCGTCGCGATGTGTCGCGTCCGAGGGCGCGCGCGTCGATCGAATCACATCGAATCGTCGAATCGAATCGAATCGAATCCAATCGCGTCAGCGTCAGACGTCGACGCGCGTCGCTCGGCGCGCGGCGCGCGTTCGGGGACACGCGCGCGTCGCATGTTCGGCGCGCCGGCGACGCCGCGCGGCGCGGCGACGACGGGCGGGTTTTCGTTCGGCGCGACGCCGACGACGGCGTCGGCGCCGGCGACGGCGAGCGCGAGCGCGCGCGAGACGGGCCTCGGGACGGGCGCGGCGGCGAGCGGGGCGCACGCGTTCGGCGGCGGCGCGGCGACGCGCGCGAGCGGAGGGTCGCACGGCGCGGCGGCGGCGGCGTCGAGCGCGAGCGGCGGTGTGTTCGGGACGCCGAGCGCGAGCGCGGGCGCGGGCGGGGGCGCGTTCGGCGCGGCGCCGGCGTTGGCGCCCGCGGCGACGGGGAGCGCGGGCGGTGGATTGTTCGGGAGCGCCGCGCCGGTGGGATCGAGCGCGGGCGGTGGGTCGTTCGGGGCGCGGGGCGCGGCGCCGACGCTCGCGCTCGGCGCGTCGGCGTCGAGCGCGAGCGGCGGGTTGTTCGGAGGCGCGGCGGCGACGAGCGGTGGGTTGTTCGGCGCGGCGGCAACGCCGGCGTCGAGCGCGGGTGGTGGGTTGTTCGGCGCGGCGCCTGCGAGTTCGGGCGGTGGGTTGTTCGGCGCGGCGCCTGCGAGTTCGGGCGGTGGGTTGTTCGGCGCGGCGCCTGCGAGTTCGGGCGGTGGGTTGTTCGGCGCGAGTGCGGCGGCGACGCCGGCGTCGAGCGCGGGCGGTGGGTTGTTCGGCGCGGCGGCGACGCCGGCGTCGAGCGCGGGCGGTGGGTTGTTCGGCGCGGCGCCGACGCCGGCGTCGAGCGCGGGCGGTGGGTTGTTCGGCGCGGCGGCGACGCCGGCGTCGAGCGCGGGTGGTGGGTTGTTCGGCGCGGCGCCGACGCCGGCGTCGAGCGCGGGCGGTGGGTTGTTCGGCGCGGCGGCGACGCCGGCGTCGAGCGCGGGTGGTGGATTGTTCGGCGCGGCGCCGACGACGACGAGCGGCGGATTGTTCGGGTCGTCCGCCGCGGCGACGCCCGGGGCAACGAGTGGTGGTTTGTTCGGCGCCTCGCCCGCGGCGTCGACGCCCGCGCTCGGTGGATTGTTTGGTAGTAGCGCACCGGCCGCGACTTCGGGCGGTGGTTTGTTCGGCGCGAGCGCGGCCGCGACGCCGGCGACTACGAGCGGTGGATTGTTCGGTGCGGCGCCGGCCTCGAGTCCCGCGGGCGGTTTGTTTGGCGCGGCGACACCCGGTACAACGGGCGGAGGTTTGTTTGGATCGGCGACACCAGCCCCGTCATCGTCCCCGGGAGGCTTGTTCGGTGCCTCGAGTGCGGCGACGACGTCTTCGAACCCTTTCGGCGCGCCGTCGAACGCCATCGTTCCCTCGGGCGGTGGATTGTTCGCGCCGTCGACGCCCGGCGCCGCCGGAGCGTTGACGCAGCAGCAGCAGCCCAGCGGCTTATTCCCGCAAATGCAGCAGCAGATGCAACAACATCCGTCGTCGCTCGATCCCACGCGTGAGGTGCAAGAGATCGTCAACGCGTACAACCCGAACCATCCTGACTACCGATTCCGAGCGTACTTTTACAACGTCGTCAAAGATCCGCGCATGCGCGTGAAGCCGCAGAACGTGAGCGAACGGAAGTGGCGCGAGCTCTTGGACGCCGTAGGTGGCGAGAACAACCCCGATTGTCTGTGGCCCGTTCAGTACGACGGATTCGAGGGATTGATCCAACGAAAGACGCAGGCGGAGACGGAGATCAAGGCGCAAGAGGAGTACATCCAAGCCGCGGCGACGTCGGTGAGACAAATCTTGCAGTGGGCGGACACCGAGTTGGAAAAGCGCATGCGGGACGTCAAAAATAAGAACATGGAGCAGCAGCATCGGTTGATCAAAATCTTCCGCACGCTCCACCAAGCGCAGTTGAAGAATTACGCCGACGCCAACGGCGGCGCCGTCCCGCCGATGTCCGCCGAGGAAATCGAGCTCTTGAACGACTTCAAGGCGTTGAGCTCCCGCGTCAACCGCTCCGCCGCGTCGCTCCCGCGTCGCGCCGAGGCGCTCGCCGCCGCCTCTCGCCTTCAGCACACCATCGCCCCCGCGGATGAGATCCAACTCGGCGAGGACGAAGAAGCGAGAATCATGGCCGTCATCGAGCGTCAACGCGCGCAACTCGACGAGTTGCACCGCGCCGTCGAAGAAAAGCGTTCCGCGCGCGCCGCCGTTCGCGACGCGCGCGTCGACGTCGCCGACGTCGCGCGTCCGCGGGACCGTCGCGCGTCCGCGTCGCCTTCCTCCATCTCTCGCGTGCACGCGCCGGCGTCTTCGCTCTTCGCCTCGCCCTCGCTCAGGCGTCGTTGACGCGTCGTCTCGCGTCCGTAATCACATCAAAGCCGAGCTGCACCTTTCATTTCACATCGCGTCGCGCCGATCGCGTCACTCGTCGACGCCGCGGGTGATGCCGCTCGACGCCGAGACGCGAGCCCGCCTCGCGGTCGACGCCTCGCCCGAGCGCTCGTCCCGCGACGCCGCCGCGAAGCGCAAGCGCGGCGTCGATCGCGCGCGCGCCGCCGGCGGCGCGACGGACCGACGACGCGCGAAAGCGGACGCGTTCGGCCCGGCGGCGACGGCGCGACGCGCGATCGACGCGGCGTGTCAGCGGGACGAGTTCGCCGCGGCGTGGGACGCGTTCGAGGACGCGCGAAGGAGCGAAGCGTACGCGCTGGCGCCGCACTCGTGCAACGTGCTGCTGCACATGTGCGCGGGCGGCGCGGGGGCGTGGACGGCGGGACTGGCGCACGAGGAGTGCGCGCGCGCGAAGGAAGCGGACGAGGTGGTGAAGTACATGGAAGCGCGACGCGTGATGATGAGCGAGATGAGCTACACGGCGCTGGCGAGAGTGCGCGCGGCGGCGGGGGACGTGGAGGGAGCGCTGGACGCGGCGCGAGCGCTGAAGGAGGAAAAGTTGACGCCGAAGGTGCGGACGTACGCGTGCGCGCTGCACGCGAGCGCGAAAAAGGGGGATTTGGAGAAGATGGAGGCCGTGGAGGCGATGCTGCGCGATGAGGGGTTGTTGCCGACGGAGTTGGAGTTCATGGCGATGTTGAGGGCGTATCGCGCGGCGGAGGCGTTCGACGGCGGGTTCGCGATGTTGCGTCGGATGCGAACGGAGATTCGTAGCCCGAGCGACGAGATGAGCGAAGAATTACGCGCGTGGTTTAGTGCGGTGCCCGGATGGAGCGTCGCGGACGAAGTGCGCGTGGACGACGCGGGCGCCGCCGTGGCGGTGTTGGCGATGGAGGAAAAGCGCGTGGAACTTCAGCTCAAGGCGATTAGTCTTACGGAGGAGGAACGCGCAGACTTGCTCGCGGGCATCGCAAAGTTGGCGTGCGAACGCGAAGCGCAGTCAGAGTTCGACAATTTCATGAATTGGCTCAACGTTAAAAAAGATGGTATGAACGCCATCGTTGACGGCGCAAACGTGGGCATGTACAATCAGAATTTCTCGACTTCCGGGATGAACTTTAACCAGGTTGAAAAGGTCCTCGTCGAGCTTCGCAAACGCGCCAAGGAAGGCGATGCTCCGCCCATCGCGTTCTTACACCAGCGTCGTGTTGAGGGTGGCCCAGCGCGCAAGCCGCACAATCAAGCGCTCCTTGCCAAATGGGACGGCGCCGGCGAGCTCTTCACGACGGCGCACGGCTCAAACGACGACTGGTACTGGTTGTACGCGGCGGTGCACGCCGGGGACAAGGCGTTTCTCGTCACAAACGACGAGTGCCGAGATCACGTCTTTCAAATGCTCCCATCGCCCAAGCTCTTCTACCGATGGAAAGAACGTCATCAAGTTCGTTTCACCATCACCGCGGGCGAAGTTGAGTTGGATTACCCCGCCGTGTTCACGACGTGCATGCAAGAAGCCGACGACTCTTCTTGGTGGATGTTCCCTCAGGAAGACGAGAGCTGGTTGTGCGCGTGCAAAGTCGAATAGACATACATAGCGTGCGATTAATACAAGACGTACTACTTAGCGAAACGTAGTGAAAACTCCCTCGAGCGCCGTCAGATGAACGGGCGTTGGAACGGTGACTTCGCCGTCAATGCCGACGCTCTCGGCCGCCGCTGTTTTCAGCGACAACCGCTTAGCTTTAACGTATGATACGTTACGATCTTCGACGTGACCGCCACCAGTTTTCGTGGCGTCGAAGAGCGCCTTCGTGTGCATCGGGCCTCCTTTGTTACACACGACGACGTCGAAAAATCCGTCGTCGAGTTGCGCCAGCGGCGTGAACGCGAAAGCTCTGCCGCTGCAACGCGTGTTCTGCGCGAACATCATCAAATAATCATTCGATTCCTCCACGATCTCGCCCTCGAGAGAATCGCTGACGCCGATGATGCCGTTATTCTTTTTATTCTTCAAGATGTGAATCAAACCGGCGACGTCGTAACGCAAACCGCCCATCCAACGCATGCCCTCCGCCGTTTCCGCCGCGTCGCGCGCCATGCCCCACGTCACGACGTTGATCGAAATCGTATCGTTACCGACGCCGTCCGACACTCGAACCGCGTCCACCGGACGCGCGTTCCCGGCTTTCAACTTCGCCATCGCGTCCGCGACGGTGAACACCCCGAGATCTCGCGCGTAATTATTCCCCGTGCCGCACGGAAACGCGAAAATCGGCGTTCGCCTCCCGTCGCCCCGCCCGCTCGCCTCGCGCTCGATCCATCCCTGCACCGCCTCGCGAAGCGTCCCGTCCCCTCCCACGACCCCGATCGCGTCCACGTCGCTCAGATCCGCGTCTCGCACCAGTTCGACGCCGTGTCCCGCGCGTTCCGTCGTCGCCGTCTCGACGTCGACGTTCGCGGCCTCGCACGCGCGTCGAATCTCCTCCGCGTCTCGTTTCCCTCGCGTCGTCTTCGCCTTGGCGCCGTGGCGCACGAGCAGCAGTTTTCGCACGCGCGTCCGGGTCGCGTCGTCGCGCGCGTCGCCGCGCGTCTCGGGCGTCGCCGCGCGCGTCCTCGCCTGCGCGTCCGGTCGCAGCGTCGGCAGTCCACAGAACGTCGTCGGCGCCTCGCGCGCGCGCGACATCGCGCGTCGCGCTCTCGCGGCGTCACGTCGCGTCGCGTCGCATCCAATCCAATCCATGCTTCGCGCGGCGTCCGTCGACGTCTCGCGTCGACGTCGGTCGCGCGCGCGCGCGCGGTGGACGGCGCGCGCGCTCGCGCTCGCGTGCGCGCTCGCGCTGGGCGCGCTGGGCGCGCGCGTGACGACGCACGGGTTCGACGGCGCGCGCGCGCGACGACGGACGACGACGGACGGCGCGCGACCGACGCTGTCGGACGCGCGGGCGCGAGCGCGGACGCGCGTCGAACCGCTGTCGTGGTACCCGCGCGCGTTCGCGCTGCGAGACGCGCTGACGGAGGCGCAGTGCGAGGCGGTGCTGCGGGCGACGCGCGCGCGGGTCCGGCGAAGCACCGTCGTCGACAGCGTCACGGGCGAGTCGAAAGTCGATCCGATTCGCACGTCGAAGCAGACGTTTTTAAATCGCGACGAGGAGGTGGTGCGAGAGATATACGACGCGCTGAGCGCGGTGACGATGCTGCCCTGGACGCACAACGAGGACATGCAAGTGTTGGAATACCGGGTGGGGGAAAAGTACGACGCGCACGAAGACGTGGGCGCGGAGGATTCGCTGAGCGGGAGAGAGTTGTCGAAAGACGGCGGTAAACGCGTGGCGACGGTGTTGTTGTACTTGGAAGAACCCGAGGCGGGGGGAGAGACGGCGTTTCCCGATAGCGAGTGGATCGATCCGAAGATGGCGGAGGGGACGAGTTGGTCGAAGTGCGCGGAGCATCGCGTGGCGATGAAACCGCGCCGAGGCGACGGCTTAATATTTTGGTCCGTGGACCCGAACGGGAAGATTGATCACCGCGCGTTGCATGTCGGTTGTCCCGTCGTTGCGGGGGTGAAGTGGACCGCCACCGTGTGGGTGCACGCCGAGCCGTACCGCTGGCAGAAACCGCCCGAGGCGAGCGCGACGCCCGGATGCGAAGACGCGCACGACCAGTGTCGCGGCTGGGCCAACACGGGCGAATGCGACAAGAACCCGGGGTTCATGCTCGAAGGGTGTAAGTGGTCGTGTCGCGTTCCCGGGTGCGAGCATTAGCGTATTAGCGTTTTAGCGTATAACCGGCGCGTCGCGTCGCGGCGTCGACTTTGACTTTGACTTTGACGCGGCTTCGAGAAGATTCGAGCCGCGGGCCTTTGCGCGTCAAATCACCGCGCGCGTCGCGTCCAATCGCCCCGCGCGCGCCGTCGTACGAAAACATGCTCGCGTGCGGCGCTCGCGCGCGCGCGCGCATCGCGCGCGGCGCGCGCGAGACGTCGCGAGACGGCGACGATGCGCGGAGCTAACGACTCGAACGAACATCGAACGAGCGAGATGGGTCGACACCGACGCCACGCGGTCGCGTCGAGCGCGCTCGTCGCCGCGCTCGTCGCCGTGGCGGGCGTCGCGTCCGTCGCGCGCGGCGCGACGCCGGTGGTGCCGTCGGCGTCGAGCGTGCGCGTCGTCGCGGGTTCGCGAGCGACGCTGACGCTCGCGGGGACGGATAGCGACGATACGCACACGCTGTCGGCGTTGATCACGTCGTTGCCGGGGACGGGATCGGTGTATAAGGACGATCAGAACACCGCGTTGGACGCGGCGGCGAATTATTGCACCGCGCTGGCGAGCGGGACGGTGTCGGCGCGACGGTTGGCGGGGTCGCAGACGGCGTACTTCGTAGCACCGTGCGACGAGACGGAGACGAGACGAGAGTTCACGACGACGATAACGTATCGATTGATCGATAGTGTTGGTGCGTGTAGTGATGAGAGTACGATCACTGTGACGATAGAGGTGTACAAGGACTCGGTGTCGAGGTTTGTGCGGGCGTGCACGGCGAAGTGGGTGTCGAGAACAGACGTGAGCACGGTGGACGCCGTGGATTGGTGGGACCCGACGCTGACGTTGCCGTTGACTGGAACTGATGCGGCCAATAACGGGCAGTTTAAGAAACTCGCGAATTCTAGCGCAGTTGTGTACGGATGGGGCGATAACGCCATGGCGCAGCTCGCGTTCGGTGACACTGCGCCGAAATCGCAGCCCGTAACGAACGCAAATTTTGAGTTGGTGAAACAGTTCACGTATATTTCGGCCTCAGACAAAACGGTGATGGGCGTTGAATACGGTACCGGATACGTTTGGGGATGGGGTTTCGATTCCAGTGGCGTTCTCAACTTGGAGACGAAAACGCCTGACGCTTCGAGCTTGGCTGTGAATCCCGTTCGCATCGGCGCGCTCGAAGGCATGACAAAAGTCGCGGTGGGGGTCAGACACGCCGTGGCGGTGAGCGCTTCCGGCCATGTTTTTACGTGGGGTAACGACGATCTCGGTCAACTCGGTCGCGGCTGGATGCCAGGGACGTTGCAGTACGTCGGCTCGGAAACATTTTTGAAAAACAAGGGGTTGCCGACGCGTGTCGTGAACAATGGATTTGGCTCCGTCACGGCGGTGGAGGTCGCGGCTGGCCTAGCGCACACCCTCGTGCTGACTTCCACCGGCTCGATTTGGGCGTGGGGTAGTAACATCGATGGTCAGTTAGGACTCAAACCGTGCGAAGTGAGTAAATATGGAGACGGCACCGGCGCATGCAGCGCGTTCCCAGACGCCCCAGAAATGCCCACCACGCAGTCACCGCAAGAGGTGCCGTCAGCCGTGAAATTCTCAGCGATTGCAGCGAGCGCGCGGTACTCCATGGCGATTAGCGCAGCGGACGCAAATGGGGCGAACGGTGGTTTGGTGTACACGTGGGGTTACGGCGAAAGCGGCCAGCTCGGATTCGGAACGGATGGTCTGGATCCTTTTCGCTCAGCGGCGCCGAAAGTTTTGGCGACATTGGCAGACGCGGGCGTGCAAGCGGTGTTCATCGCAGCTGGAGACTTCCACGCGGCAGTAGTCGCATCCACTGGCGAGGTATACACGTGGGGGCTCAATACGTTCGGGCAACTTGGTCACAATGACCGTGTCAGTAGATTTATACCGACGAAAGTGACCGCGCTCGCTGATGCTAACGTAAAGATACATTGGGTGTCATGTGGACGATCGCACACTGTAGCGGTGAGTGATTACGGTGAGGTATTCACATGGGGATCGAATGAGTTTGGTCAACTTGGATTAGAGCCCCGACCGGCGTCGGACGCCTCGTACAATTTGACTTTGACGCTGCGAGGATGGCAACAAACCGCGATCAGTGCCAGTAGACGTCGCCTGTTAGCCAATTACGGCACAGAGTTGCAGAGCGGCGCATCGTCGACATTATTCTATGCGTTTCGAGATACGCTCGATGCGAGCGGTCGAGTTGGTGGATCGAACGCAGAATTCGAAGCGTTAGTCATGGGTGCCACTCGGCCGTTCAAGGGCGGATATCTTTCAACGGCTGACGTGGGGTTGTACGGCGAAGTGGAGTACGTCGCCGCGCCCGTCATCGTCGCTGAGGTGCAACAAGTCACCATGGTTGTCGCTGTGGGTGGTTTTTCTTTAGCTCTACGCGTTTCGTGTGACGTTGGGTACGAGCGTGATACTGAAACGGGACAGTGTTCGGCGTGTTCGGCTGGAGGTTACACGAATGACTTCACTTCGTTCGTCTGTTCTGCGTGTCCTTTGGGTCAGTATCAAAACGAATCTGCGAGTTCATCATGTATCCTGTGTGAAAGCGGAGCTTACGCGGCGACAACAGGTCTATCAGTATGCTCTAAATGTCCTGCTGGGACCTTCGTTCCGTTTGAAGGGGCGTTCGCATCTTCATTCTGCGAATCTTGCCCGGCAGGGAGCTACAGCGCGGCGGAGGGAAGCTCATCATGCACGCCGTGCGGGACGGGTTCGTATCAAGTTCTCACAGGACAAGCATCATGCACGGGGTGTCCAATAGGCACGTTCAACGGGGCCGTCGGGGCGCAGCGATCGAGCGACTGCGTGAGCTGTCCAGCTGGTAAATTTGCTGCGAGTACAGGAGCCTCGCAATGTGAGCCGTGTCCTGCGGGCACAGATGCTTCGGCGCCTGGTGCGTCGGCGTGCGACCCGTGCGATATCGGATTTTACTCAGAAGGTGGCGCTGTCGAGTGTACACCGTGTCCAGCGGGGACAACTGGCGACGCTACGGCTACAATGTCATCCGTCGATGACTGCGTACCATGCGCAGTGGGAACTTATACATCGGATATGGGCCAAAGTGTATGCCTGTCGTGTCCAGACGGTACGTACAGCGCAACTGCAGGGGCGACCGAGTGCACAAAGTGTCCTGCAGGGTATTCCGGCGTTGGAACGGCAAACGTAATCGTACGAGATAGTTTACAAAATGCATGTCAGCAATGCGCAGTTGGCACATACACCGCCGTCGCTGGCTCGACGTCAACATTAGTTCTCGGTCTGAATCAGTTCTGCACGAAGTGCGAAGCGGGTACGTATCAGGACCAAGAAGGACAAACTTTATGTAAATCATGTCCTGCGGGTAAAGTCACGGCGACCGACGGTGCGGTTGCGGAAGGTGATTGCGTAAATTGCGGTACGGGTAAATATGCACCGCATGCGGGTATGGGTGCGTGCCTCGATTGCCCGCCTGGCCGATACGGTCCAGCCGATCGCACAGACACGTCAGAGTGTACGACATGTCCGCCTGGAAAGTATTCAATAAATTACGCCAGCGTGAGCGAGGATGATTGTGATGTGTGTCCAGCCGGCTTTTATGCAGCAGATGGTGAACCGTGCAAGGAATGTCCCGCGGGGCAGTATCAAGCCGATGCCGGCGAACCCACGTGTGACTTGTGCCCGAAAGGTACATATCTCGCGGACACTGGCGCGACCAGCGTCGATCAATGTCTGCCATGCCCGCTTGGGACCGCTACGAATGATCTCGGTAGCACCGTATGTGTTCCCTGTGCCGCTGGTAGCTACAGTTCAACTGAGGGCCGCGAAACTTGTGAGCAGTGCCCAGCAGGCACGGCTCTTGCGACGACGGGAAGCGTCGCCAAGACCGATTGCGAGGACTGCCCGCTGGGCTCTGTATCGATAAATGAAGGAAGTGACGCGTGTACGTTGTGTGGGCCAGGGAGTTACTCTGACATAGCGCCGGGGAGCGGTATTCCCGCGGAGAGCTGTAAACTTTGCCCAGCGGGATCGTATTCCGCCGCTGAAGGGGCGACGAGCGTATCGGCGTGCACATTGTGCGCCGTCGGTACGTACAACCCCGCGGATGGTCAAGTCGACTGTCTTCGGTGCCCTGCGGGTACGTACGGGGATGAGGAGGGCTTACTCGAGTGCAAAGCTGCGCCCGCTGGCTATTTCCTTCCGGATGAAGGTGCCACTTCGGCGGTGAATCTACAACCGTGTCCGACGGGTACGTACTCAGACATTGAAGGTTTGGCTGAATGTCTCAACTGCGTCGCGGGCACGTATTCAAACACAACAGCCGCCACAGGATGTATCGATTGCGTCGCGGGAACATATTCCATCGTCGAAGCGAGTCCGACGGTCGAAAATTGTTTGGAGTGTGCGATCGGTCAGTACTCGCTCGACGCATCCGTATCTTGTAGCGACTGTGAACCTGGAACTTACGCGGGCCAAACTGGCATGGCGATCTGCGATGGTTGTCCAGCCGGCACGTACGGCACTGAGCAAGGCGGCACGAGCGTTGCGACGTGCATCGAATGCGCCGCTGGCACGTATTCCGACACGGAAGCATCGCAGCTGTGCGACCCATGTCCCGCGGGCACGTATTCCGACGTCACAGGTTTGTCCACGTGCAAGCCGTGCCGCCCGGGCACATACGGCGCGATTCAAGGGGCGACGACGGGCGACGACACCGTCTGTCGTCCGTGCCCGCTTGGACGCGCCTCGGCCGGCGGCAAAGCTGCATGTGATGCGTGTACGCCCGGCACATACGCCTCCACCCTCGGTCTCGCGAACTGCACGCTGTGTCCGGAGGGTACCTACGGCGTCACCTCGGGCGCGACCGTCGTAACTCTGTGCGAGCGATGTCCGCTGTACCATTTCAACAGCTCCGCCGGTTCGACTTCCGTCGAAGCTTGCGTGTACTATCACTCCGCCGCTCGCACAGGCACATTTCTCATATTTTTCCTCGTCTACGCCGCGTTCGCTGCCTTAGCTTTAGACTTGTAGCGCCGCCTTCGCCCGACGTGCTATCCAAATCTCCAGTTCCACCCACGTCACCCATCGGGAGATCGCAACTCGCGCTCCACACGCCGCCGCGCGTTCCATGTCCTTCGCGTCGCACGTCTCGCGCGCGCGCGCTGACTTCACTCGCGTTCTCATCAAGCCCACGCGCGCGCGCGCGCGCGTCGCGCGCGCCATGTCCAAGCGCGTCGACGTGACTCGCGTCGAAAAACCCGAGAGCGAGTGGAAGCAAGAGCTCGACGCGCAAGCGTTCCAAGTGCTGCGACAAAAAGGCACCGAACCCGCGCGCACTGGAGAGTACGATAAGTTCTACCCGAGCGAAGGACACTTCGTGTGCCGCGGTTGCGGTACGCCGCTGTACAGCGCCAAATCGAAGTTTGACAGCGGGTGCGGCTGGCCGGCGTTTGACAAGTGCTACGCGGGCGCGTTGAAGACGGAGATCGATAACGCGTTCGGGATGCGACGGGTGGAGATCATGTGCGCGGCGTGTGATGGCCATCTCGGGCATGTGTTTGAAAACGAGGGATTCTCGGCGACGATGGAGCGACACTGCGTGAACTCGGTTTCGGTCAAATACGTTCCGGCGAATTTGGACGCCGAGGAAGCCAAGGTAGTGGACGAGAGCGTCGCGTCGGGCGCGCTCGGGTTCGCGCGATCGCCGATCCTCGCGTTGCTCGGGATTTACGTGTTATCAGACTTGCTCGGACGCGTGATGAATTTCTTCGCCTCCAGACAAGGATAGACGCACGCGCTCTCGCCGAGCGCCCGTAGTGAAATCGCCGTCGGCGTTCGACTCGGACACTGACGCCTCGCCGTCCTCGCCGCGCAGGTCGTTTGATCACCGCGCGACTTCCCCATCGCCACCCTCGCGCGCGCGTCGTCGCGCGCGCGCTTAGATTCTTCGTATTTAATATCACTCATACAGCGCAGCCAACACTCGTCGTACCAAAGAAGAAGAAGCGCGCCAACTCAGAGATCACACCTCACACCTAAAATATCTAGTAACCGACCGACCGACCGACCGGTGGCTGCCAACGCTGGCACGCCGGCGCGCGACACAACGCGCCGCGCATCGCCCTCGCGTCGTCGCGAACGGCGCGAACGCGCGCGGTCGAATAACCCGCGAATCGCTCGTCGCGTTGTCGACGCGCGCGCGACCCGTTCGGAGCGCGCGACCCGTCGTCGACGAAAAGCGGATTCATCCAAATCGGGTGTTGTGCGCTTTCTTTGACGCCGTGCGCGCGAGCGAGGCGTGCTCGCGACGTGAGCACGCGCGCGAGGGGGAAACATGATGCGCAAAATGGAATTGCACGGCGCGCGCGCGGTCGGATCGCGCAATAGGACGAAAGCAACCGGAAAGATGGCGCCGGGGACTGTGGGACGCCGGCGAGGTTGGAGCGCCGCGCGACGTTCGCGCGAGGAATCGGCGGAGACGACGTCCAGGGTGCCCATGGATTCCAACGCGATGGACGAGGCGTGGGAGCAGAGCACGATGAGCGAGATTGACGCGATGAGAAAGTTGGAGGTGGCAAGCGACGAGTCGCAGACGCTTGAACGAAGGAACAAGGCGCTGTCGGTGTTGCTCGATCAGGTGATGATGGATAAGAAGCAGCTGGAGAGCGCGTTGACTGCGACAATCGACGGCGTGCGTGATGAAAATGTGGCGCTCCGTATTGAGATTGAACGCGTTAAAGTCAAGGCGATGGAAAGTCTCGAAGGCGCTCGCGCTCAGATGTACGCTCAAGTTGAAGGCGAGATCGAACGTCGAGTACGCAAGGCTTTGGACGCGGAACAGCAGCAGAAAATCACAAGATTTCGGCAAGATGCCGACTCGGCGCAAAAGCTCGCGACGGAACAAGCGGAAGCCGCAGCCAAGCTCATGAAGAAGCTTGAGGCGACGGTGCAAGCAGAGACGAAGGACCAAATTGCGATGTGGGAAGCGTCGCACGAGAGCGCCATGGAGGCGGAGAGTGCGAAGATTACGGCGCTGACGGACAATATCACGGCACTCGAGGAACAAAATGAGGCACTCAGAACTTACATGACCCAGTTTGAGACCACCCGCGACGAGAAGAACACGTTGGAGAATACTCTCACCGCCAAGGAGCAAGAAATCTTCGCGCTGATGGCTACAGTAGAAGACATGACCATTCGGGCGACGGAAGCCATCACGCGCGCTACGCTAGCCGAATCCAAAATCACGCAAACAGAACAAACCATCAGCAAACGCATCGAGAATGCGAAGGAATCGTCCGAGTTGGCCGTCAAAAACGCCAGAATCGCGCAAAAGGCAGCGGAAGAGCGCGCCGAAGAGCAGAAACGTACGAGTGAGCAGCTCATCTCTGCCGCTGTCGTTCGTGCCGAGACCGCAGAGTCTCAGCTCTTCCGCCAGAACGAAATTTTGGAGGAATACGCTACGCTCACCGCCGCCAAGACAAAAGCGACTGAAATCATTGTATCACTTCAGGAGCAAGTTACGGCGCAGAATGAGGAGATAAAACAACTTCGTTCGATTGTATCCGATAATGTGAAATCCGCGTCGAAGTCCAAAGCCGAAGCAGAGAGCTCCGAACACATGGCTGAACGTAAGGTGAAGGAAAGCATTGCCCAAGCGCAAGAAACCCGAACGTTCGGCGAAAAGAAAATAGAGCTCGTCATGGCGGAGACGAGCAGCAAAGTTGACGACCTGAACAAAGTCTTGAACGCGAAAAACTTAGAAATCGAGGCCCTCAAGAAGGAAATTGCGCATTTGTCGTCCTTTGATACGCGAGAGCATGATAGATTCGCGCGGGAAGTCGCCGTGCAAGCTGAACTCGCCAAGAGCTGGAAAAATCGCGCAGAGTTCATCGCCAAAGGTCTCGAGCGCGACGACGACGCCCTACCGCCCAGGGACCGTAATAGTCGTCTGAAAACTCAGTTTTCAGGGCCTGAGTTGCGCGCCTTCATCGCGAGAGGTTGGAAGCTGCCCGACTCGCGCATCAAGACTTCGGAACATGGTCAGTTTGTCGCTGAATTAGAAGTAAGCAACCCGCGAGAGCAACGCGTAGCGCCAAACAAGAACTCTTTCGGGCCGATCGGTTGGTCAGCTCGCGCATCGCGAAAAGTTGATTGACAAACTGCAAGCACGATGGCGCAACCTGTGTAATATTAGCTCGGATACGTCTTCATATTTCTTCGTTCTGCACTTACAACTCGTAGCTGCCGATGAGCTATAAATAAACGACGATCAAGCGAACTTCGAGAAATACTCTTTAGTTTGCGCGTACACATCTTCGGGCGATTGGTCGCTGTTGACGCTGCAAACCTTGTTCAAGCTGTCGTAGTAGTTGATCACCGGCATGGAACTCTCGCGAAACGTCTTGAAACGCTTCTTGATGGTATCAATGTTGTCGTCCGTTCGACCCTCGTTACGGCCGAGTAAACGCTCTGTCATGACTTCCTCTGGGCAGTCGAAAAATAGAACAAAATCGCAATCGAAGCCCGCGGTCGTTTCCCACGCATCGCGATTTTCCTTGTTTCGCGGGAACCCATCGATTAAAAATCGATCCTTTCCGCTAGCGCGCATCGCTTCCAAGAGCAAATTGACCGTCACCTCGCTCGGCACGATCTGACCTTGTTTTATCATCTCTGCCACCATATTTCCATCTTTGCTCCCGCTTTTCATGTGCGCGCGGAGCAAGTCTCCTGCGGACAAGTGCACGAAGGCGTAGTCGCGAACGATGTTCGCGCACTGCGTTCCCTTCCCCGCGCCCGGACCGCCGAGCACGAAAACCACCGTCGGCGTCCCCGTCGGCTTCGCTTCCTTCACATTCGCATCACCGTCCTCACCGCTCGCGACTTTAGTCTCACTCGCGCCCATGCACGCCGCAGACGTCGCCGACGCCGCGAACGCCGCCGCGCTCGCGAACGTCGTCGTCGCCGCCAGCCTCGCTGTTCGCGGCATCATCACCCACGCCCGCCCCGATGACCCCATCGGCGCATCGATCGATACCATCGCGCTCGTCGCGCTCTCCTGCGTCCACGCATCGCGCATCGCGCGCCGTCAGCGTCGTCAGTCGTCGTCGATCGAACGTCCGCGCGTCCCCGTGTCTTTCAATCATTCCCCTTCACGCGTTCGCGTGCGTCGCGTTCGCGCGCGTTCGACGCTTCAACGCGCGCACCGCGATCGCTTTCGCGCGTTGGCGCGCCCGCGCGAGCTCTCGAGCCGCGGTCGTTGCGCATCGTCGGAACATCTTTCGCGTTCGCGCGTCGCTGTGTTCGGTACACACCGACGCGCGACCGCGACGATGACGCCCTGCGCGCGCGCGGCGTCGCACGGCGCGGCGTCGTCGTCGACGTCGACGACGCCGACGGCGCGCGGTGCGGGCGCGACGGCGCGCGCGCGGCGACGCGCGGGCGCGACGCGTCGGTCGACGTCGACGTCGGTGCGGCGGACAGCCAAGACGGACGACGACGACGACGGCGCGCGCGCCGGTGAGGCGATGAACGATTGGATGGCCCCGATCGAGGGCTTCGTTCGGCGCGCGTCGTCGCTGGTGACGGTGTACCAAGCGCCGGCGCCACCGAGCGTCGCGCCTGGGTCGAAGATGGACGCGCTCGAAGCCGTCGTGCGTTGGCACCTCGGCGGCGAGACGTCGACGACGCTGGTCGTAAAAGAGGTGACGGATGTCATCGTGAATGAGGTGACGAGCTTTCCGGCGAATAAGCTCGTGGTCGGCGAAACGCCGAGCGTGGCGATGCACGTGCCGGTGCCGTCGTTGCGGGCGGCGACGACGTTTCCAACCTCGACCAAGGCGTTGGCGGCGGGACGGAGCGTGGAGAATCCTGGGAACGCGACGGCTGAGATGCCGGTGATGTTGCCGACTTGGGACCATTGGACGCAACCGACGACGGCTTTGACGCTTCGGACGGTGCTAATGGTGACAAGTGCGTTGGCGGCGGCGGGTGGAATGCGTGTGGGGAGCGGCTCGGCAGACGAACAAGCAGCGCTAAAGAGTAAGATTTACGTCTTGTTACCACAGTGTGCGACGATGGGAGATTTACGAACGGTGTTCGCTCGGCTCTGGCCCGATAATCCGTACGAGCTCGTCACGTACTCGCGAGAGGGGATTTGGGAAAACGAAACGAGCGAGCTATATGCAAAACGGCGAAAAGGGCACAAGAAGCTCGTCATGTTGTTGAATATTTCCGCCCCTGGGGACGAAGATGCGGCTGAATCCGACGGCGAAGCCATGGTCAACACTGTTGAACTGTTGCTCGAAAAAGAAGTCCCATTTGTGCAGCTCACGTTGTGGTTGGACAACTCACTTGCGGTGTCCGTGAAGACGGGCAAGGCGCGTAATGTGGAGAAGGAACGGCTCAAGACCCTCATGGAGGGTCGCACGAAGATTCTCCTCGGTCGATCGGTGAAACGCGTGCAGGCTAGAAAAAGTGTACTCCGGGCGTTTGAAGCGGCGCAAACCGACCCCCAAGGTCGTGCTCTTATCGTTCTCGAGGAAGCGCTCAAAGAAGCACGCGCGCTCGGCGCCATGCAGGATGAAGGCGAAAAGTTAATGAGAGACATTCGTAGTAAGGCGAGCGCGGCCGAAGAGTTGGCGCTCGCGAATGCCTTACGAGCAGCGTGTTTGCAGGTTCCTATGGATGTTCAGGCTTTGCAAGCGACTTACGCACGGGCTGAACAGTTCTTAGGTAACGCGACAGACGTCGCAGAGGACGTGCAATCGAGCCTGGATGAGTTCGACGACGTTGACGAAGCGGCGGCGTCTATGTCCTACGACCCCGATCCGTTTGCCGCTGTCATAGACTCCATCGCTGATGAAGGCGGTAGCAAGAAGAAGAAAAGCGCGCGAAGCGCTTTGACAGCGGCGGTCATTGGAGCCGAACGCGCTTTGCGCGCCGACGCGCTTGAATCGGATTTACGCGCTGCTCTAGCGGATGAGACGAGTAGGAGCGTGGAATCTGTGCCTAGGTTGGAGAATTTATTGCTACAGGCGGCTAAGCTTGCATCGAACGGTCCGCCACTGACGCAAGAAGGCGCCGCAAAGCTGAACACTCTCGTGAGTCGAGTGCAGAGTCGAGCAACCGCGCTACAAGACATGGAGGGTGCTCGCGCGGCGCTTCTCGAAGCGATGAGGCCGTCGGCAAATGGAATCGATCAAGCCGTCGGTGGGATCACGTCCGAAGATGTCAAAGTGCTAGAATCAGCCCTATCTAGGGCGCGTTCTTCTGCTTGGCCGTGGCAATTGGATGAATTGATTGAAAAAGCTGAACGAGTCCTCGTGAGGTGGCGACGTCTTGAACGTTTGGAGACGGCTATTTTGAGTAGAAGTCGAACTGAACTTCGGTTAGCGCTCGAAGAGTCACAACGCGACCCAGAGTCGACGGACGTTGATATGCGTCGAGCAAAAGCTGTGCTGAGCGAGTTAGAAGCCGAATCTGCGCTCGAAGGTGGTGACCAGCGTTTGCGCGCGTATTTCGCGGCGAGCAAAGTCGCGTGGGCCACCGGCACGGTCACTCCTGAAAGCGCACAAATGCTACTCACGCTGAGAGAAAGCTTGGATATTACGCAAGCCGAACATGAACAGATTCAACGCATGGCGAATGCGGCAAGTGGGTTGGTGAAGCCATCAAAGTCTTCGACTCCAAAGATGTCTGGAATGAGCTCAAAAAAGCCTGTACGGTTCGCAGGCCGAGACAACGGCGTGCGTGGTCCGTTGTTCGAATCTGCTGAAACCGAACTTATGGCAAGCAGTGACAGTGAAGACTTCGAAGACGTTAAACTCGCGTGGGCGAACGCGGTGCCGGACGAAGATGGTGTCGGGGAAATGACGGATGATACGTCGGACGGCACGAGTGGCTGGCGTCGCGTCGGCGAAAGCATCATTTATAACGAGGAAGAAGTCATCGGTGTCGGCAGCGCGGGTACTTACGTTTTTCGAGGATACGTTAGACACACTTCGCGTGCAAGGCACGCCGTTGCAGTCAAAAGAATCGCGCGCCCGCCTGGCGAGAAGGGTCGTGATCTCGTGCAACTCGTCGAACGCGAAGTCGAGTTGATGACGGCACTCAATCAGTCACCATTGGTTCCGTTCTTCCACTGCTGGGGTATCACGAGTTCTAACGTCTTCATCGCACAAGAGCTCTGTCCAGAGTCGCTTCGCGAGCACATCGCGCGCCAGCCGAATCTCTTGGCGGCGAAACGAATCAAGTTGCTGAAAGGCGTCGCCGAAGGCATCGCATGGCTTCACGACGACGGCAAGACGCAAGGGTGCATCACACATAACGATTTGAAGCCAGAAAACTTGCTTGTGACTTCAAATGGCAAGGTAAAAATCGCCGACGTCGGTCTCGGCGTGCGACTTCGCAAAGAAGAGGGCGACTCTGATCAATACTCGTTGGGTACGTTCAGCAAGTACGGCATCTCCATCGTCTTGGCCGGGCGTGCGCCCGAAATCTTGGCTCGAAAGCCCTTGACACCCGCGGCGGATATTTGGGCGATGGGTGTCGTGTTCTTTTACGTCCTCACCGGGTTCAACTCTCCATTTGGTGAAGACCCGAATGTGAAGCCGAGCGACGACGAGATTCTCAACGGTCGTTACAACTTACAACGACTCATGAATGCAAACGACATGCCGCCCAGACGCGCGATTGAGGCGCGCCATTTGCTTTCGGCGATGTTATCGCCCAACCCGGCGATGCGGCCGACGGCAGAAGGAGTACTGAATCATCCACTGCTGTGGGACGACGACACCGTCCTTGAAAACTTGAGCGACCTGCACGCGGGATCCGCCAAGCTACAAACCAGCCTGACGAGCGTGCTTCAGAGTGTCAACACAAAAGCGCTCTTGGGCGGTGACAGCGAACGAGGCGCACTTCTCGCCGCGGTATCCATGGACCTCCAAGATTGGCAACGTCAAATCGAACCAGCCCTCTTGTCGCGCGTGGTAAACTTTGCGCAGCGAAACGGCGACGGCGTCCCGCACTCGTCGGACGCCAACAACCACAAGCAAAAACCGCCGCGAGGTCAATCTTCGGAGCAAAGCACCAAGCCCTACCGCGCTGGCTTCGCTGATCTCTTAAGATTCTGCCGAAACGTCCACGAGCACCCGCCCGAGACCAACAAGGAGCTCGCCCCGCTTCTTCGCAAGCTCGCCGACGCCGACGCCCTGCCTTTCGGCGTCGATCTCGACGCCTCCGCGCGTTCCTACACTCGCGATCAACGTCGCGCGATTTTTGCCGCGTACGTCACGCTCACCTTCCCCGGCCTTCCCCTCGCCGTGCACGAGTGCGCCGCCGCCGTCGCGCACCCGTCGTCGCCCTCGCGTCCGAATCAGGCCGCGTCCAAAACGCAAAATTCTTTTCCTTCTTAGCCAATTTCGAATTTTTATACGCAAATATCCACGAATCGTGACTCAACATACAGTCCCTCGTGTCGTGTCGACCCCGAAAGGTCCGATCGCGTCCGATCGCGCGCGCGTGTCGGCATTTCGACGCCCGTCGTCCGAGCGTTCGTCGACGAAACATGCAGCAGGTGCGAGAGCGACGACGCGAGACTCGACGCGACGCGCGGTCGACGACGACGCGAACGCGCGATGACGACGCGAACGCGATGCGACTGCTCGCCGGTCGATGAGGGAGGGTAATTGTTGGCGAACCCATCGGAGGCGTGCGCGATGACTGACGGACGCTGGTGCGCGCGAAAATAGTCGATGTTGAGCCAAAAAGTGAACCTGGCGCCGAAGGCGCGCGCGCTGCGCGGTGAGGCGAAGAAGGCGCGCGTCGTGCGAGGATCGCGGGTGAATGCGATGTTGTCCATGAGCTCGGGGCCGGCGACGACGGAAGGTTTCGGGTCTGGATGCTTCAAGGGTGCGGTCGCGGACAAGTACTTGAGTAAATACGGCGAATCTGCGACGTTGCTCGCGAACGGGAACTGGACCAAGGATATGGCGAAGGCGGATATCGTCGCCAAGGCGGTGCTCGACTGGGCCGTGGACAACGGCGCCTCGGTGTACTGCCACTGGTTCCAACCGATGGGCTCCTCGGGTGTGCGTCACGGTAACTCTGGTCAAGTGCACCAGTCTATGTTTGATTTCGCGGCGGATGGTACCCCGTTCTACTCCTTCACGGGCGAACAGCTCCTCCAAGGGGAGACGGATGGTTCCTCTTACCCGAACGGCGGCATGCGCGCGACGCACACCGCCGGCGGTTACCTTTCCATCGACCCGTCTTCGCCGATCTTCTTGCGCGAAGACACCGTGTTCATCCCGGCCGGTTTCGTTTCTTACAACGGCGATGCCCTCGACGAGAAGACGCCGCTTCACCGCGCCACTACCGCTTTGGACAAGCAAACGAAGCGCATGCTCAAGGCGATGGGCTACGACGTCGGCTCCGCCTCCGTCTACGCCAACATTGGTTTGGAGCAAGAAATCTTCTTGGTGCCGCGCCATGCGTACTACCGCCGCCCGGATCTTCAATTCACTGGCCGTACCATTACCGGTAAGTTCCCGGCTCGTGGCCAAGAGATGAGCGACCACTACATGGCTCCGATCTCCCGCGCCACCGCCGCGTTCGAGTGCATGCGTCAAATCCAACAAGAGTGCTTCAAGATGGGTATCCCGTTGAAGACTCGACACCGTGAAGTTGCGCCGAACCAATACGAGTTCGCCCCGATGTTCGGCAACGCGATCTCGCAAGTTGACCAAAACTTGATGATCATGCAAATCATCGAAGAAGTCGCCTCCGAGCACGGCCTCGCGGCGCTTCTCCAAGAAAAACCGTTCGACGGCATCAACGGTTCCGGTAAGCACAACAACTGGTCTATCGGTACCTCCGATGGGCTTAACTTGATGAACCCGAAGCAAGTTAACGCGAAGACTGGCAACGCTGAGATCTTCCCGTTGGTCATGGCCGCTATGGTTTCCGCCATCGACAAGCACGGTGACTTGATGCGCCTCGCCATCGCGTCCCCGGGCAACGACTTCCGTCTCGGCGCCATGGAAGCGCCGCCGGCTGTTATGTCCACGTACCTCGGCCCGTCCATCACGGAGTTCATGAACAACGTGAAGAATGGTACCCTTGGTACGTACACGCCGCAAAAGAAGCCGCTCAACTTCGGCACCGACAGCATCCCGTCGATCGAAGTGCCGGCCGAAGATCGTAACCGTACCTCTCCGTTCCCGTACGGTGGTAACCGTTTCGAGTTCCGCGCCGCCGGCTCTTCCCAAAACGTTGCCATGGTCAACACGGTGTTGAACACCATCGCCGCCGAAGCGTTTGGTATCGTTGCTGACCGCCTCGAAAAGGGCGACAAGGCGCTCTCCATCGCACAAGACTTGTTGACCAAGCACGACAAGTGCGTTTTCAACGGTAACGGTTACGATCCGGAATGGCCGGATGAGGCCGTTAAGCGCGGTGTGTGGCGCATCGATGCTGGTTGCGACGCCATTAACGAGCTCGACAGCGCCAAGAACGTCGACCTCTTTGAGAAGATGGGTATCTTCTCCGCCAGAGAATGCGAAGCTCGCAAGTCCGTGCTCCTCGGCCACTACATCGGTAGCGTCGAGATGGAAGCTTTGACGATGATCGACATGATCAACCAACACGTGATCCCCTCCGTCAAGCGTGCCGACCTGGGTAACCCGGGCAAGCTCAACGACGCCGTCAAGACACTCAAGGGCGCCATCGCGTCCATCCACGCCGCTGCGGAGTCTGACGAACACAAGGCTGCTCAAATCGCTCGCAAGATGCGCCTCGAAACCATGGTTTCCATCCGTGATGTCATCGATGAATTCGAAGGCCGATGCCCGCCGGAAGATTGGACTCTCGCGACGTACCAAGAGCTTCTCTTCCTCGACACTCACCCGGAGTCTGATTACGTGTAGTCCTACACTGTAGTCCTGCACAACGTACTATGGTAATACCGTGTGCGCCGCTCATTAAATAAGTCTCGACCATAGCATATGCCGTGGCTTGCGATGCATAGTTCTTTCACCACAAGTTTGTTTTTAATATTAACATTGGACGCTAATTCAATCCTAAGACTTCCTCTCCACGCGATCCCAGCGACTCGCCTTCACCTCGCAAGCCGTCGTCTCACACAAATGTCGGATTGCGACCCATCGCTTCCGGGCCTTCGGGCCGCTGCCGTCTACCTCTTGCACTGGCGATCTCTGACTCGTCGCAGGCAAACTTGGAATTTTTCCAGCACCAGGGAGCTGCTTTGCCGTTTTTGTTAGAAATGAACGCTCCACTCGTTCGTACGTCTGACGTTCTTCACCGGCTAATCCACGTTTAAAGAATTCAAGACCACTCACAACTTCGAGATCAGTCAAAGGAACGACGAAACGTCGCAAAGGAAAGTTGTTTGGTATCGGCGCGTTCGGAAGAACGAACGCCGCACATGATACGGTATCGTCCTTTCCTTCCACCAAGATGACTTTGAAGAAGTGCGTCGGTACCGCCATCATCGCTGGCGGCTCGCCAAGCATTGGATATCGCATCTCCCACTCCGTGGGCCTAGGTAGACTCCCACCCTCTACTCTCTCTATCGCACCGTCGTCTGTGGCGCCTCGATCGCGACGGCTCGGCAAGAAGAGCGGCCCCGTGGCTACGTAAGCGGCTTTCGACGACGATTCGCTCGCCGCGTCTCGCACAAATTGCTCGAACTTTGCCCAAAAATCCCTATTGAATCCTGGACCGATTTGCGGCGAAATGTTTGATAGCGCAAACGTCGCGTCCATTTCTTCCTGACTTCCCTTTTGATCCGCCGCCGCGACCAAATGTCCCCTATCGTATCCGCTTCCGCGAAACGCGTCGAGTCTAGAGCGATGCTTCCAGGACACCTCCTCGTCCTCGTAAAAGTCCGATTTCTTCCGCGTTCCCGGTCCGGCGAGCGTGTCGGGGGTTATCTTCTCCATCACCCACCGCGGATTGCGCGTGCGCCCGTCGAAGGCGTGGGCGTATGATTTTTTAGAGTGCACCGTCGCGCTCGAGTCCAACGGCCAACCGTGTTTCAGTGCGGCGTGCTCGACGCTGTCGTCCTCGACGACGGTCGCGCGCTCGGCGACGACGTCGCTTTGCGCGTCATCTTCCTTGACGAGCGTGCGGCGGGCGTAGGTATACGCCGCGGAAGCGCCGGCGGTGACGCCAAGGAAAAAGCCGATGCCGAGGCGGGACGCGCCTGACGCGCCTGACGCGCCGGGACGGTTCGGTACGGAGGCGAATGAGCGCGAAATGACGCCGCATCGCGGCGGGATGCCTCTGGAGACCCCGCGCGGGGGCAGGCGCCGCATCGCGGGGTCGGGCTTAGTCGACTACTGGTGCGTGGGATAACAACTTGCGAAAATTTATAGAGTCGCGGCGGCGGCGGCGGCTTCCGCAGCAGCCCTGGCCTTCTCCTTCTTCGCCTTGTCGAGCTCTGCTTTTTCGTCTTCGATGTTCTTCACGAGCGCATCGATTGTCTCCGCGGAGAGCATCTCTAACCCACTGGTCGGCGAGCGAATCACGCCGATTTCTATGTTCTTCGACCCGGGCTCGACGACTTCCAGGAGCGCCTTGAGCGTAAACTTGATCGCTTCTTCCCCACTAAAATCTTCATAATGTTTCTCTAACCACTCTCGAACCGACTTTGAGTTACGTCCAGTCGCGTTTGCCTTCCACTGACTGTACGTGCCGCTTGGATCGGTGTGAAACAACTGCGGCTTCCCCTCGGGCGAGAACCCGGCGATGAGCGTGCTCAGCCCAAACGGGCGCACCCCTCCGCTCTGCGTGTACTTCTGCTGCACCCCGCCTATGTATCGCGTGATGTATTCCACCGACGCTTCATCTTCTAGCGTTAAACGGTGACTCTGGCACTCCGTCCGCGCCCGATTGATCAATATCCGCGCGTCCGCCGTGAGCCCCGCGAACGCCACCGCGATGTGATCGTCCAGCAATTGAATCTTTCGAATCGTTCGCGCGTCTTGCAGTTTCGGCACCGCCTTGCGTTCGACGCCAAGGACGACGATATCGCTCCCGCGCACGCCGACGGTCAGCGTGCCCTTTCGCACGGCTTCCATGGCGTATTCAACCTGAAACGTTCGAGATCCATGTCGTTATTAGTCGTCGATTCGCGCGCGGTTTCGCGCCGTTACGCGCGAGGAGAGGGCGAACGGCGCACCTGGAACAAGTGCCCGTCGGGGGAGAAGACCGTGATGGCGCTGTCGTACGGCATGGCGTCGAGAGGAGACGGCACGCGCGACGAAGTCTGCGGTGTCGTTGACCGCGGCGAGCCAGAGAGAGACGGCGCGAGGAGACGGGACGCTGGGAGCAAGCGGCGTCGAAGGCGACACGTGGATTACAACACAAATACAAACAAACGCAGCAATACTGGCGATGAGGGAATCACGCGCCGAAGGTTCGAGGAATCGGCGGTCGCACGCCGACGCCGGGCGGGCTGACGTTGCGTTCCTCAGCGTTGACGCTCTTGGAGCGATTGTTGTGCTCGGCTAAGTCACCAACGCGGATGATGACGCGTCTGTGCATGTGCGAGTCTTGTGCGGATGGTCGGAAGACGGTAAACTCGTACGAGTCACCCGGGGGAGTGACTTTTACGCGATCGAGAATTTGCGCGCCGTTCATCACGACGCCGTTGACGGCGGTGATGACATCGCCGACAGCCAGTCCCGCGAGAGCAGCGGGTGACTTTTCGATCACGTCTACTATCACAGTTCCCACCGGAAGTTCCAGCGCGCGGTCACCAAACGCTGAGTTCGCTGTGAAGTTATCTACCATGCGTATACCAATGAACGGATGCGGCACCTTTTCGCCGTTGGCGAGTAGACTCGCAACGCGCTTCACGGTGTTGATCGGGATCGCGAATCCGATGCCTTCCGCGTCGGCGCGGATGGCAGTGTTCAACGCGACGACCTCACTGAATTCATTCACCAGTGGCCCGCCGGAATTCCCCGGATTGATGGCGCAATCCGTCTGCACGAAATCGACCCGCCTGTCCGTAATCCCGAGCTCCGCCGAAGTCCTGTGCACGTTACTGATGATCCCCAAAGTCACGCTGTTATCCAAACCCAAAGGGTTCCCGAGCGCGATGGCGTAATCCCCAACCTCGACGCTGTCGCTATTCCCTAAAGTCGCCACCGGCAGCGCGTGCCCCGCTCGCGGCTTGAGCTTAATCAGCGCGATATCCGTCAACGAATCCACCCCTTTCACTTCCCCGTCGTACACGTTCCCATCGATGAACGTCACCTTAACCTTTTCCTCCCGCTTCACCACGTGACTGTTCGTCACCACGTACCCTTCCTCGGCATCGATCACCAATCCGCAGCCGGTGCCGCGAATCACGCCGCTTCGCCCGCTCGTCGGCTTCCCGCCCACCCGTCCTTCGCTCACCGATCCACTCACCGTCATCGCCTTCCTCAGCGACGCTTGATCGCTGTCTATGCGCACGACCGCGGGTCCGATGGTGTCCGCCGCATCCCGCACGAACGAATTCCGCTTCGCCGGTCGTCGTCCGCCGCGTCCGCCGCGCTCGCCGACGACGAATCGCTCGAACGACGCGCTCGCGCTCGCGGGATGGTGCTTACGCGCGTGCGCGCGCGCCGGCGCGTGCGCGCCGACGCCGACGATCGCGGCCGCGACCGCGAGCGCCACCGCGCGCGCGCGCGTCGCGCGCGTCGTCGTCGACGCGTCGTCCGCATTCGCTCGACGCGTCGACGACGTTCGCGAGTCTTCCGCCTCGCCGCGCGCCGCGCGCGCCGCCGCGCGCGGCCTCGACGCGCGCGCGCGCGGTTCGCGTCGACGCGCGTCGACGCGCGCGCACGGCGCGCGCGCGACCGCGAGCGACGACGACATTCGTCGACGCGCGCGAATTAGTGACGATGCCGCGACGTCGCGCGCGCCTTCTCGCGCTCGCCGCGCTCGCGCTCGCGATGCGCGTCGCGGGCGTCGCGGGCGTGCGCGTGCGTCCGTCGAGCGCGATGGGCGCGCGGCGCGGGCGCGCGGCGCGGCTCGCGCCGAAGCACGACGGTTGGGGCGCGCGCGCGGGACACGGCGCGACGACGAACGACGAACGCGCGCGGACGCTGATGCGAGAGCGAGCGAACGCGGCGGCGGACGCCGCGCGCGCGGAGGCGCTGCGCGCGCGACGGCTCGAGATGGATCGCGAGAGCGAGGGCGAGGGCGAGGGCGAGGGCGGGACGGCGAGACGACGCTCGAGACGGTTGACGCAGACGGCGAGCGAGTCGGCGTACGTCGAAGTAGGCGATGACGACGCGAGCGAAGGAGAGAATTCGACGTTTGAGGTTTGGACGTCGTTAGAGAGCGCGCCGGCGAGCGCGGTGTGCGATGGGTGTAAGTTGACGGTTCGCGGCGTGCACGCGGATGCGATGACGTCGGCTAGGACGACGCCGCAGTCATCCTGGAAGGCGTTGGACGAGAGTTTAAGGGAGGATATCGTGCGGTTGGTGTGGCGTGAGACGACGTGCGCGCGCTTTTTGAACGTGACGGCGCTAAGGCGCGAAAAAACGAGTCATAGATTGGTCGACGTTCGCGCCGATACGCGCGATTCGGAAATTACAAATCCGGGAGAGGCGAGATTGAAACCCGAAGACAATGTAGACGCATTCGCAATACGTGTCTTGTCGAACATATGCACGCTGTTGAGAGAAGACGCGCAAGCGAACGATTGGTTGACGAGCGCGCTCGCGGCGATCGACGACGTGAGGCCGATGACGGATGCGCAAGCTCGACGCGTGTGCGATAAAATTACCGACGACGTCGAATGCGCGGCGGCGCATGACGAGTTGTAGCACTAGATGTAGTTAGCTATTTAAATTCTACTGCGCAATCAGCGCTACTGCGCAATCAGCGCGAGCGCTTTCGCCCGCCAGACTTCTTTTTGAAGTTGCCCTTCTTGAATTTATTGTTCACGCGCAAATCCGGACCGGTTTCGCGTTTATCGTTGCGCTTACGCTTCTTCTTCGAACCGAACTCGGCAACTTCCACGTCCAAGTGATAATTCAAAGCATTCCTCGCGTGCTCGGAGTCCGGTTCGACGACTCTGGCCGCACCACGCCTCGATTTACCGCCACGCAAGTACCCGGGTAAATGGCTCAAGTGCTTCGCGTCTGGGTGTTTCGCTAAACTCGTGTCGTGCTTCAGCAAAGCTAAATCTTCCGCGTTATCCTCAAAGTGCGCCGCCAAGCGCTCCGAGTTCAATAGTTCTTGCCTCAACTCTCGAACCCGCGCTTCTTTCACCGCAGTCTTGCCAACGGCGCGCGCGGCGTCCTCTGCGCGGTATCGCAGCGCGTCGACGGCTTCCTTGGGAAGACGATCGAAAGGCTGCATGACTTGTGTCGCCGCGACCGCATCACCGACCGCGCTCGCGAGCTTGCTTTGAATCGCCGCAAAAGACTGCTCTTCCGACGGCGCCACGAGCGTGATAGCTGTTCCAGAGTTCCCAGCGCGTCCGGTACGTCCTACTCTGTGCACGTACGCCGCCGCCGTCGTCGGCACTTCAAAGTTTATCACCGTGTTCACGGCTTGGAAGTCGATACCGCGCACGACGCCGAACTCCTTATCGCGCCTGTCCCGTTTCTTCTTCTTGCTCTCGCGCGTGGGCGCCTTGTCTTCCTGTTCTTCTACTGCGTCCGCCTCCTCCGTCGGCTCGGCCATGTTCGCGTCGTCGGCGGCGGCGACCATGAAATCGTACACCCCGCGATTAAACTCCTGCAATATGTGCGTTCTCGAGTTCGCGGGAAGCTCACCGTGAAGTGCGCACGTGGGAACACCGAACTTGTGCAAGAAGAGTCGCAATCTAACGGCGGCGTCTGCGCTCGACACGAAGACGAGCGCCTTCTTCTTGCACAAACCCAATCGAAGCAACGCCATGACGTACAGCAGACGATCGTGCGCCTTGGGAATGTGCAGGGAGTAGTGCTTGATATCCGGCCCCGGTTTTGCGCCCTCGCCCGCTTTCGCCTCGCCCTTCTCGGCGTCGACGTCCTCTTCGTCGTCGACGTCGATCGTCGTCGGCTTGTGCGCGATGACGTCTCGCAACTCTTCAATCTCCTTACTCATCGTCGCGCTCAGCATCATCACCTGCGTCCCGCGCTTCACCGCTTTCATCACGCACTTAATGTCGTCCACGTACCCGAACGACAGCAACAAATCCGCCTCGTCCAGCACCACCATCTCCAACCCGTCGCCGAGCGCGCCCGGCGGAAAGTACCCGCCTCGCGCGCACTCCGCCACCCTCGTCGGCGTCGCCACCAGCACGTCCGGCGGCGATCCCGCGGTTTCTCTCAGCACATTCGTCCCCGCGCTCGCCACCGGCAGCTCTCCCGCGCGCATTCCCGGCGCGCACGTCCGCATCGCCGCCGCGCACGCGCGTCGCGTCTGATGCGCCAGCTCCCGCGTCGGCGTCAGCACGATCCCCCTCGGCCCGCTCGCCGTCGCGCTCGCGCGCGCGCACATCTTATCCAGCATCGGCACCAAGTACGCCATCGTCTTCCCGCTCCCCGTCGGCGCGCGCGCGCACACGTCGCGCCCTCGCAGCGCCACCGGGACGACCGCGCGCTGCGTCGCCGTCGGCGCGTCCAATCTTCGCGCCACCATCGCGCGCGCGACGGCGTCCCGCACGCCGAGCGCGCGCCACGGCGCGAGGGCGTCTTTATCCGCGCCGCGTCGTCCCGCGTCGTCGTCGTCGTCGTCGCGCATCGCGCGCCGCGCGCCGAGATGGCGCCGCCGCCGCCGCCGCGCGCGCGATGGTGGTGCGGTCCGTGTTGAGTCCACGAGTCTACGAGTCCCAACTTTACGAGTCACGAACGCTCGATCGACGCAGTCTCACGGGCGGGACGCGACGGGATTCGAATCGCGCGACGACGACGACGACGACGACGACGACGCGCACACCGCGGCGATCTCGGATCGCGAGAGACGACGCGAACGAACGCGCGAACGACGCGCGACGATGACGACGGACGCGACGACGACGACGACGCGACGAAACGATGGCGAGGAATCGCCGGCGCGGGACGACGCGCGCGACGCGCGACCGACGGCGACGCAGGCGCGACGCGCGAGCGCGTTCGCGCCGAACGTGAAACGATCGGCGTCGAGGACGAGGCTGGGGCGAGAGGAGGGCGAGCGCGGCGCGGGCGAGGGGGAGGGGGACGCGCGCGACGCGAGGGGGACGGCGAAGCGCGCGAGCGAGGACGGCGAGGGAGGGACGAGGACGGGGTCGAGGCTCGGAAAGAGCGCGGGGGAGAACGGAGGGGAGGCGACGAAGAAGTCGAGGCTGTCGGGGGTGGCGGCTGGGGGAGGGAAAGCGCCGAGCAGGTTGAGGACGGCGCGGGAGAGCGGGACGCCGGCGGGGAAGAAGCCGGCGAGCGCGAACGCGACGACGCCGCACGCCGCGAGTCCGGCGCGCGTGGCGCCGCCGTTGGGGTTTAGATCGCCCGCACCGAGTCGGGCGTCGAAGCAAATGGTGCCCGCGGTGGCGAGGATGGAGGCCAAGCCCTCGCCCTCGCCGACGCCGACGCCGACGGGACCGTTGGCGTTGCCGCCGGGGGCGCTGGCTGAACCGATTTCGTCGCCGGGGGCGCTGCCGCTCGTGGCGGTGCCGCCGCCGATGGTGATTCCGGCGCACAGGTGGGTGAGATCTGCCGGATCGACTCGAGGCGGACGCGTGGGCGAAGGAAGCAGACGAGACGCGCTCGAAGCGTCGACGTCGTACGCCGACGACCCGGCGATGACGATTCGAGACATCATCCGTCAAAAGTCTGCGGAAGAGCGCGCGAACGAGGCCAAGAGTCGGATTTTGAAAAAGGCGAAATCAAGTTCCAAACCGATGCCGGACTTTGGTAAAAAGAAGACGGCGTCCGAGCCGGTGGGGCCCTTGGAGCTGCCGGGACGCGCGTCGATGGCGCCCAAACTCGCCGTAATGGCGCCGCAGGTGCAAGTCATCGACGGGAACATCGTCATCAATCCTCAGTCACTCACGGTAAACGCGGCGGCGGAGAAAGATGTCGGGATGTCGGACTTCAAACGCGTCGAAGAGAGCGGCACGCGCTTGAACTCAGCCACGTATTCCAACAGGGCAAAGGCGGAGAAGTGGAGCAAGGACGACACCGAGTTGTTTTATCGCGCGATGACGCAGTTCGGTACCGATTTCTCCCTCATCGCGCGTCTGTTCCCCGGACGCACTCGTCGTCAAGTGAAGCGAAAGTACTTGATCGAAGACAGAGCGGATCCGCGACGGGTCGAGGCCGCGATCAAGCACCGAGACCAAGACCCAGCCATGTACAAGAGACTCATCGAGGTGCTTCAGGCGCAAGCCGCCGAGGCGGATCTCGCGCGCTCGAGCATCGATGCGCGCGTGGTTCTTGATGCGGATACGGCGGAGGAAGCGACGCCACCTGCTGTCGAAGACGCGCAAGCGACCGATGAATCGTCTCCGAAGACTGGTGGTCAGCGCGGCGCGACGAAGGAGGCAGCGGCGCTGTCCGCAGAACAGCCTACGGCGACGCGCGCGCGGCGTTCGCGCAAATAATTTAGGGGTTTTAGGCACGAACGTTGCAATTCACAGCGCTTTTATGTACTTTTTCAACTCGATTTTAATGTGTTTTGTTTTCGCCCGACTCGACTCCCATCGCCGCTTCGAGCCTGGCGATGGCGGTGTCCAATCTCGCATCCGTTCGCGCGAGTTCATGCGAAACGTTTTCAATCGTCGCCCCTCGAATGCGCTCAACGTGATCTTTAAGACCAAAAAGCAATCCGTGAAAGCCAGTCAAGTAGGACATCAAATGTTCGACGTGCGCGGCTTCAGACGCCGAAGCAGCGCCGTTCTTTGGTTTCCTCCCAGACGCCGGCGTCGCGTATTCGCTCTGCGGTGGAGACAACTGCGAAGGCATCGGCGTTGGCGGCGGCGACTTCTGCACGACTTGCGCCGCACGCGGCGGCGGGGTCACGTTCGCCCGCATCGGCTCTCTCGTCTCCACGCGCGCCGCCGCGCCCAAACCGCCGCCGCGCGGCTTCTCCGCCACGAAATTCTCCATCTTCTCCGCCTCCATCTCCACCTCCACCGCTCTCGACGGCGTCTTCATCTTTCGAAACGATTTCTCCGCGTCCTTTACCGCTTCCGGCGTTTCCCGCACCGGCGTCGACGTCTCTCCCGTCGCGCGTCCTCGCACGCGCTCGCTCGCTCCCAAATCCTCGCACACCGCCTCCACGCACCGCGCATCGCTCAAAAACTTCTCAAATTCGTCCGCAAACATCGGCGATCGCTCCCGTCCCCACTGTTCGAAGTCCGTCGGGCTGCTCGCGTCCCGCGCGACGCTCGAGAGCGCCGACGTCTCGTCGTTTTTCAAATCTTTCAGCACTCGAAACAAGTTTCTCCACTCCGCGTATCGCGTCTGCACGACGCCGGCGAACGTGGACGATCGCGTCGCGAGCTCGACGAATAAATCTACCGCTTTCTCGTCCATATCGAGCGATCGATCGCGCGCGCGCGGCGGTGTGCGGTCGCGGTCAAACGCGCAACGAACGGAACGGCAGAGATCGACGCGGACGACGCGCGTCATGGGCGTCCCGAGCGCGGAGGACGTCGAGTTCGGCGACGCGGATAAAAAGATCATCCCCCTGGACGAGGACGACATCGCGCTGCTGAAGACGTACGGGTTGGGGGCGTATAACGACGCGATTAAAGATCTCGAAAACGACCTGAAGACGATCAGTAAGCGCGTGAACGACTTGTGCGGGATCAAGGAGAGCGACACCGGGCTGGCGCCGCCGTCGCAGTGGGATTTGACGGCGGATAAACAGGCGTTCCAGGAGCAGCAACCGTTGCAAGTGGCGAGATGCACGAAGATCATCAACCCGGGGACGGAGGACGCGCAGTACGTGATAAACGTGAAACAAATCGCAAAGTTCGTCGTGGGTTTGGGGAACGAGGTGGCGCCGACGGACATTGAGGAGGGGATGCGGGTGGGGGTGGACCGGAATAAGTATTTCATACAGTTGCCGTTGCCACCGAAGATCGATCCGAGCGTGACGATGATGACGGTTGAGGAAAAGCCCGACGTGACGTACGGCGACGTCGGGGGGTCGAAAGAACAGATTGAGAAGCTTCGCGAAGTCGTGGAGTTACCGTTGTTGCACCCCGAGAAGTTCGCGAAGCTTGGGATCGATCCGCCGAAAGGGGTATTGTGTTACGGGCCGCCGGGGACGGGTAAGACGCTCCTGGCGCGCGCGGTGGCGAATCGCACGGATGCGTGTTTTATTCGCGTCATCGGGAGCGAGTTGGTGCAAAAGTACGTCGGGGAAGGTGCGAGGTTAGTTCGAGAGCTGTTCCAGATGGCGAGGAGCAAAAAGGCGTGTTTGATTTTTTTCGACGAAGTCGACGCCATCGGCGGCGCTCGCTTCGACGACGGTCAAGGCGGAGACAACGAAGTGCAGCGTACGATGCTTGAGATTGTGAACCAGCTCGATGGGTTCGACGCCAGAGGCAACATCAAGGTATTGATGGCCACGAATAGACCCGACACTCTGGATCCGGCGCTGTTGCGTCCCGGGCGTCTCGACCGCAAGGTTGAATTCGGCTTGCCCGACTTGGAGTCCCGAACGCAAATTTTCAAGATTCACACCCGCTCCATGGCTGTCGAGCGCGACATTCGCTACGAACTTTTAGCGCGCCTGTGTCCCAACGCCACCGGGGCGGAGATCCACTCCGTGTGCACCGAAGCCGGCATGTTCGCCATTCGCCAGCGCCGGAAAACCGTCGGCGAAAAGGATTTCTTGGACGCCATCAACAAAGTCATCAAGGGCTATCAAAAGTTCTCCTCCACCGCGAAGTACATGCAGTACAACTAGCCGCTCGATCTCGCGCGCCGGCGCGCGCCGCGCGCGCCGCGCGCGCCGCGCGTCGCGCCGCGTCAATTTTCAATAGTCACCCCTCTCCAATCACGAATCGTCGCGAATCCGACTCGCTCGATCCGTCGATCCGGATCGCCGAATCGCCGCGCGTCATATCAGCACCCGCCGACAGACGCCATGCTCACGTCCACGTTCACCGGCGTTCGCGTCGCCGCGGCGCCGAAGCGCGCGACGTCGCGCAAGATCGACACCGCCGTCGTCGCGCGCCGCACCAAGGCGAGCGCGCCGGCGAAAAAGTCCGCCTTCAAGGTGCGATCGCGCGCGACGTCGCGAGATCGTATCTTTGCCGAACGCTCGCGAAAACAGCGCGACGCGCGCGAAACGAACGCGGACGCGAGCGAAGCCGCGATGGAACGAGAGCGGAAGACTGACGATGGACGAACGCGATCGAACGATGCGAACAGGCGGGACAGTTCGGGTCGCTCGCGCCGCCGGACTTGTACCCGGAGTTCGGCACGTACCCGGGCGGCGGCGAGTCGCCGATCATTCCGTTCGGCGATGAAAAGAATGCGGAACGCGAGATCATTCACGGCCGATGGGCCATGCTCGGCGTGACCGGTGCGTGGGCGGCGGAGAACGGCACGGGAATCCCGTGGTTCACCGCGGGCACGTTGTGCACGCCGGATGACTGCACCGCGGTGGCGGACAAGTTCCCGGGCGCCGTCGCGCCGCTCGCGCCGGCGGGCTCTGGCTACCCGAACTTCTGGGCCGTGCTCGCGATCGAGATCTTCCTCGTTGGCTCCGCGGAATCCTACCGCACGGGCATCTTCGAGAACCCGTTCCCGGAGCTCACCCAAGGCGACGTCACCCCGGGCGGCCGCTTCGATCCGCTCGGCTTCGCCGAAGCGGGCGACCTCGAGGAGCTCAAGATCAAGGAACTCAAGCACTCCCGCTTGTCCATGTTCGCGTGGTTGGGCTGCATCTTCCAAGCGCTCGCCACCCAAGAAGGCCCGATCGCCAACTGGCAATCCCACGTCGCGGATCCGATCCACTCGAACGTCCTCACCAACGCGGCCAAGGGCTTCTCCTTCTACTAAGCGTCGGGTCGTCTCTTGCCGTACACCGAGTGGCCGTAGACCAAGGGTGACTTTCCACTTAACATTACATTCCTATTCCTCAATCGTCTTTCGTCTGCGTCCCACCGTCGTCGTCCTCGCCGCTGTGTTGGCCGCGCCGCGCCGTGCGGCGACGCGCGCGCGGTGCTCGCGTCCCGCGCCTTGCACCTTTCGCTCCGTACTTTTCGCCGCATATCGAGCGCGCGAAGCCGTCCACGCCTCGGCGGATCCAACGTGATCTTAAATATCGTCACGCACGAACCGCAACGCTAGCGTTCGCGGCTGACGACGCGCGAACGTCCGCGAGCTCGCCGCCGATCTTTTCTCGCGACCGACTTCGACGCCGCGCGCGCGCGAAGCGCGATGGCGAAGACGCCCAGCGAGCCGCGGCTGCGCATCAACACCAAGAGCGCGGGTAAGGGCAAGCGCAGGGACGTGGCGTGCATGACGGAGATGTTTGCGCTGTTGACGTGTTACAAGACGAATAGCTTTGAGGAGGGCAAGTGCGCGAGCGCGAGAAAGGCGCTGGACTCGTGTTTGGAATTGCGCGCCAAGGCGCCGAAGAAGATGAACACGATCAATCATCATCTAAATAGGTTGGCGAGGATGACGAAAAAGTAGGGGTTCGGTCTAGATAGAGCGTGTTCGCGCATTGTGTAGTTTAGCGAGGCGGGCGACGACGGACGCGTCGAAGGAGGCGGCGTCTTTTTTAATTCATTTCAGGCGTGTGAGAGCGCTCATCGTGACGTTTGCGTGTTGTTCAATTGTTCCATATTACAAGCTCATCGCGCCTAAGCCCGCGACGATTCGCTTTTCTGGGAATCACCCACTCTCTAGAAGTTTGCAACTAAAGTTCTGCGGCGCTGTTTCGAAGCCGACGGCATCACATCTCTATCCTTGATGCTCTCCGATGAGTACAGCACTTAAAGCTTACCACCCGCGTTCACAGTAGCCATCTTCACTTCACCCGGGATGTTCACCGCCGGGATCTCGACGAACTGCGAGAGGATCTCGCGGAAACGTTCGCCAGTCATGGTTTCGACTTCCATGAGTTCCTCCGTGATGACGTCGATAGCCTCGCGGTTGTCTCTGATTTGCTTGACGGCAACCTCGTACGCTTCGTCGGCGATGCGCTTGGTGGCAACGTCGATGTCGTTGGCGAGCTTCTCAGACATGGAGTTGCGCGCCATCATGCGCATGATCATGTCACCACCTTGAGCGCTCGGATCTTGGAGCGACCACGGACCAATGTCAGACATACCGAACGTGGTGACCATTTGCTTCGCCATGGACGCGACTTGGTTGAGGTCGCTGCTCGCACCCGTGGTCACTTCAGCCTCACCGAAGATAACTTCTTCCGCCGCACGCCCACCGAGAGCACCGACGACGCGAGCGAAAATCTGTTGCTTGGAGATGAGAGACGCGTCCTCACCCGGGATGAACCACGTCAAACCCTTGGCTTGACCACGCGGGATCAAAGTCACCTTTTGCACCGGGTCGTGACCCGGAGTGAGCGTGCCGCAAATGGCGTGACCGACTTCGTGATACGCTACGAGGCTCTTGGCCTTACCATCGTTCAAGCGCGTACCTTCCATACCGGCGACAATGCGATCAACGGAGTCGTCGACTTCAGAGAGGCTGATGGCGGTTTTGCCGCGTCGACCGCAAAGAATGGCGGCCTCGTTGAGAAGGTTGGACAGGTCGGCACCGGAGAATCCCGGGGTGCGCTTGGCAATCATTTCAAGATCGACTTCGTCTTCGAAACGCTTGTTCTTGGCGTGAACACCCAAGATTTCGACGCGACCGGCGAGATCCGGGACGTCGACGGCCACTTGGCGGTCAAAGCGACCCGGACGGAGGAGCGCCGGGTCGAGGATGTCGGCACGGTTCGTCGCCGCAATGACGATAATACCGGTGTTGCCTTCGAAACCATCCATTTCGGTAAGAAGCTGGTTCAACGTTTGTTCGCGCTCGTCGTTACCACCGCCGACGCCGGTACCACGGGAGCGACCGACGGCGTCGATTTCGTCAACGAAGATGATGCACGGGGCGTTTTCCTTCGCCTTCTTGAAGAGATCGCGGACGCGGGACGCACCGACACCGACGAACATTTCAACGAATTCAGAACCAGAGATGGAGAAGAACGGGACACCAGCTTCACCGGCGATCGCCTTGGCGAGCAAGGTCTTACCCGTACCCGGCGGACCGACCAGAAGGCACCCCTTCGGGATCTTGGCACCAACGGCGGTGAATCGCTCCGGACGCTTCAAGAACTCGACAATCTCCATGAAATCGTTCTTAGCTTCCTTCACACCGGCAACGTCATCGAAAGTGACGCCAGTGTTCGGTTCCATTTGGAACTTGGCCTTGGACTTGCCGAACGCCATGGGGTTGTTCGGGCCGCCCATGCCGCCCGGCATGCCGCCGCCGCCGCCGCCTTGCTGGCGGCGAGTGAGCAAGAATAACCCCCCGACGAGCAAGAGCGGGAATGCCAAGTTGCCGAGCAAGTTCAAGAACACTTGTCCGTTGTCCTCCGTGTTCGTGTGCGCCGCGAAATCAACATTCTTTTCACGGAACTTCTTGAGCAACTCGGAAGACGTTCCCGGAAGCTGCACGCGCACGCGCTGCACGCGGTTACCAAGCTCCGGCGAAACCGCCTCCACGATAGCGATCGTGCCTTGCTCGTACAAATCAACCTTCTTCACCCGTCCCATGTCGAGGTACTCGAGGAATCGAGAGTAAGACATGCGAGAAGACGCGACGTCGTCCGCCGCGCTCGCGCTTTGCGCCAAGCCAAACGTCGCCGCGAAACCCGCCGCCATCTTCAACGCATCGCGACGCGTTTGGTCCACCTACGTTTCGTACGCGCATCCGTCAGTATCTTTCGTTTCACACCGTGCGCCCGATCGCGCGCGCACCGCGTCGTCGCCACGACATCGCGCGTTCTCGTCGCCGGTAATCCACGCGCGCCTTATCGCGGACGTCACGCGCCGTCCGCGTCTATCCGCGCCCGCACGCCCACGCGGACGTTATCCGCGCGCCTGCGCCCCGCGCGCGCGCGAACGAAAATCATTCCGACGCGCGTTCGCGCGCGCGTCTCTCGCTCCCCGCCGCGCGCGTCCCCGCGCGCGCGTTCACGTCGCATCGCGTCGTCGCCCCGCGCGCACCTTTTCGGCATCACCACCCTCGGTCGCGGCCGCGCGCGGCGTCGCGCGCGCGCGGCGAGCGCGGGTCTTGAGGGAAGCATTCTTCGCGTTCGTGCGCGCGAGCGACGCGGTCGCGCGCTGGGCGAGCGGAGCGCTCATGTCGACGGTGTTCGCGTCGTAGTGTGAGGGTCGCGCGCGTGTCGTCGACGTCGACGTCGATGCGACTCGTCGTTTATGTGTTTTTGATGGTTTATTTGTGTGTGTGTTTACGTGAGTCATGCATCAGTTTGGGGAGTTGGGATTGAAATGTGAAGGCTCACTATTTACCTAGTGCACCCGGGTGGTCGGCGAGGTGCATGCCATCAAGCAAAGGAGCGCGAGCGAAGGCGACGTCGGTGTGATCGTCGTCCGAAACGGTGCGAACGACGGAACACGCGGTATCAACGAGCCAGTCGAGCTCGAAGTCGCGCGTGTTAGTTGCTCGTGCGAGGACATCGGCGTGCGATGTCCATCGGTGTACGTACGCGGAGACGTTCGCGCACGGAAAGTCGCGAGCGACGATTTTGCCGACGTTGGCGTGCAGGAACAGTGGGACGTCGGCGTCATCGAACTGGAGCATGGCATTGCCCCAGATTGAAATGCGGTCGTGCACGGCGACGCCGACGTGTTGGGGTAAGCGCGAAACGCGCGCGAAGGGCGTCTTCGTCGCGGCTAAGGCTGAGGCGAGAAACTCTTTATCTCCCCATCCCATGTAGTTGCCGCTTAATGGAGAAAATATCTCCGGGTACGCATTCATGAAGAGTGCGAGCGCAAGTGCGCGCCACACACGAGACTTGTGGACGAGAAACTGCCCGCTCTCGTGCGTGCCGTTGAAATCGAGCGCAGGCGACGACGGCAGGACGTCGAACAAATCGGGAGCCGCGCTCGACGACCAAAAGTCTTGCCATAATAAAGCCCCGGTGCGCGCGTAATCTTCGCTCGTGTCAAAAAGTCGACACAAGTTCGCTGTAAGCGCGATATTATCGGCATCCATGTACAAGACTTGATCGAATTCGCTAATCGCGACCGCGAGAAGCTTGTATGCGAAACGATTCTTCGCGAGGCGCTCAAACGAGCGCTCAAATGAGCGCGGCGTCGCACCGAGAGCGCGCATCGACTTTGCTTGTTCGCACGTTGGAAGTTCGCCTTTTGGAAACCAAATTTCGACGGGGAGCGCGCATGCACCCGTTCGCCGAAGCGAATGGAGAGCGATCCAATACGCTGTCGAGTATTTCGCGTTGCTCGCGCTGCCGACGATGACGATCCCGCGCCCTCGAAATGCACCGTTCGCGCTCGGCGCATCCCGAAGAAATGTGTCTACTCGTTCTCGGAGGCGTAAGCGATGGATGATTGGAATGCGCACACCCGATGCCACGAAGTCCGTCGTAATTATTTTGCGCAAATTGGGCAACGATCCGACTGGCATCTTCGGCGTCATCGTTGCGGTCTCAATCTTCTCGAATAATCGTCGAATTTCGGGCTGAATCGACGTTTCAACGCATTTTGCACGTCGTCGTGTAGCGTCGAACCGATGGAGCCACCGTCTCGATCTCTTCACGCCATCATGCGGCGGTGGCGGCACATCGGACGTCGCGCACTCGTTTGCGCAGTCTACGGGAAATTTCGGGCACCCGCGATGCGCCGTCGACCACGCGAATCCGTCGTGACTTCGGCGACACAAACAAAACCCACTCTTCGGATCGAACGAACGCCGAGGTAAATGACGGTGTTTACCTCGAATCGAGATGGGTTTGCCGTACGCGTGGCAACCGTGTGTTTCGACCCACACCGCAGTGGCTGGGACGAGCCACCTCGCAATTTTCCGACTGGCCCAGAAACTCAGCGCGAAACTCAGCACGACGATGTTCGCGAACAGATATCGCTGACAGAGTGAACGACGTCTGCGATGCCGATGTCTTATAGTCATCGACGCGACGATGCGCGTCGCGCTCTGTGTCCTGAACGCCGCGTCCGAGGCGACGATGTGAACAAGAAATGTTTGACGTGATTTACAACGCGCGAAGAGTCGATACATGATGAGTGAGCGGCAGACGGCCTAGTTTTCCAGATGATACTCGCCGTACGGCTTGCGTCCGGGCGTGGATGGGTCGACGTAGTCCTTCTTGCGAATACAGTTGCTCCCGTCTTCGTAGCACGCGAAGTTCATGTGGGTCCAAGAGCCGGGCGTCGCCCACGCGACTTCGTCTTCGATTCCGAGAGAGTTCACGCCTCGAATGATGCGAAAAAAACCCATCTCTCCCCAGTATTGACCCCACGAGTTACGCACGACCCAGTATTTGGTTCCATCATCCGCGGTACCCCAGCCGACGATGGAGACGATGTGATTGATTTCGAAATCCGGCGTGTCTTTGTAGATGCCGCCGACGTAACCTCGCAATCCATCGGCATCGATCCCCGCAGACACGGGACCGCGAGCGAAAATTTCAGCCATGATTTCCTTTTCACCCGAGATCATCCCGTACTCCGCGACGGTGGCGTTCGGGAACGTTGACAGCGCGCTGCAAAAGCCGCCGAATTCCGCAAACGTGCTGCACGTTCGGCAGGTGTTCATCGCCGTGCACGTGTAATCACCACCTCGCGCGCAGTTACCTTCGGTAGATTCCGCACTGCACGCTTCGTAGGGCAAACACGTGTCGTACGGCACGAATCCAGTGTCGTGAACGAATTGATAAGCTCCGGTGTGCGATCCCCCGTGACAGGACCCCGCGATTTCCGTCCCGCAGTTTAGAATGTGCTGAATCGCCAAGTTCACGTCTTGCGCTCGTTTCTTCCCGCTCGCAATTTGAATTCGATCCGCCAGCGCGCTCATCGCACCGTGCGCCCAGCACGAACCGCAATACTGAGGGATGTGCTGATTCAGCGACTTCGTCAAAAAGTTGTGTCCCTTGACGTCGTTCCACACGAACGTCTTCGGCAGCGTCGCCGCGTCGACGTACTCGTGCGCGCGCGCGCTCAGCACGTGCGACCGCTTCGTGTGACCGGGCATGATCTTGTACTCGTTAAACCGCGCCGGTTTCGCGCTCGTCGGCGCCGCGAGCTCGAGCGTGGAGGTGCCGAGCGCGTCGACACCGAGCGCGCGCGCGCGGACGCGCGGCGCCGACGCCGCCGCGAGAGCGACGAGGAAGGCGAGGAAAGCGCGCGAGAGACGCATGTCGCGCGGTTCGCCTGAATACGCGCGTCGCGACGGGCGATTCGCGCGCCGCCGAGTGCCGACGTTGGCGACGGTTTGGAGAAATTTCAAACGGAGGTCGCCGCCGACGCCGCGAAGAGTCGAGTCGGACTGTCGACGGCGCATGCAGCGAAGGGCGCGACGAACGACGGCAACGCGATGGCTCGCGCGTTGATTCATCTACGCTAGGGCTAGGCTTACGCGGTCGAACGATGGAGCGTCAGTCCCACCAATACGAAACGCTGAACGAGACGGTGGCGGCTTTGACGCGGTGCCACCAACCGGGTGGAATGTACAAGGCGTCGCCGGGGTACAGCGTCGCGTCGATGAACTCGACGTCGACGAAGAGAGGGAACTCGTCCAAGTTCGGGTGCATGACGTCGACGCGGGAGGTGTTGCTCATCGGGGCGTCGCGCGGGTACATCTTCGGCGTCTCGCTCGGCGCGAAGAGACGCACGCGCTTGACGCCGATGACTTGGCACAGTAGGTTGTGATGCGGGTCAGTGTGCGCCGGAGACTCCGTGTGCGCGGGTCCGAACCAGGCGTTGACCGCGCACACGGTGCCGGTGCCGAGCGCGCAATACAGCGGTTCCTCGATGTCGCGCTTCAATTCTGGGCACTGCTCGAAGAGTTCGTGCTGGGCGAGGTAACCCACGTCCGCACCACCGCTCGCGCGTCGAGTCGACTCGTCGTCGTCGCCGTCGACGTACGCGTCCATGAACTCACGCATCGTCATGAGTTTCTGCGACCACGCGTCGTCGACGTACGTCTTCCCCAGTTCGACGGGCACCGTGCGATCGCCGACGATTTCGTCCAGGTACGCCCCGTCTCTCCACTTCGTCACCGCGGGCCAGTGCTTGACGAGCGCATCGAGCACGATCGGGGTACCGCAATCGCTCGACTCGCCGTCCTCGCCTCGCTTCGCCATGAAATCCCTATAAAACGCCTCCATGGACACGTCGGCGCGCCTCGTCGCCGTCTCGTCGCCGTCGCGTCCCGCCGTCGATTCTCCCTCATCGATCGACGCGCTCCAGCGCCTCGCTCGCGGTCTTTCCCTCTTCCCACGCATCGCGCGCACGTCCGCTATCGCGTCGCGCACGTCGTCCCGAAACCACGCGCCTCCGAGCATGGCGGCCAAATCGAGCGCGCGCAGCGCGTCGCGCGCGCGCTCGCCTCCCTCGTCCCGCCCGTTCGCCACCGCGCGTCGCGCCCACGCCACGGTCGCCGCCGCGTACACCCCCCGCCAGCACTCGTCCGCGTCCGCCCACGATCCGCGGTGCAGCGCGTCGTGCGCCAGCGCGCGCGCGCTCGCGAGCGCCGCCTCGCTCGCGTCCGCGTTCGCCGCGACGCGCACCGCCGTCGACGCGCCCGCGCCGCGCGCCGCGCGCTCGAGCGCCGCGAGCGCCTTCGCCCGCGCGTCCATCGCGCGCCGCGCCGCGCCGCGCCGCGTCGCGTCGGCGTCGGCGTCGCGCGATGGCGCGTCGTCGCCATTCGCCCGCGCGTCGTCGTCGCCATGCCCGCGTGCGACGAGCGCGAGCTCCGCGGCGTGGAGATCGACGTCATGGATCTCATCGAGCGCCACGCGCGCGACGTCGACCGCGCGCGCGACGACGGCGACGACGCGTACGCGGCGGCGATGTCGTTTGCGAATTTCAAAGCGCGCTGGTGCGAGCGACGGTTCTCGAACGTGCACCTGGGAAAGCCGGCGCAGCAGACGTACAACGGGTACGTGCAGTGCGCGTACGATTGCGCGATGAAGTACGCGCGGACGGGGAAGACGCTGGCGACGCGAGCGACGGGGGTGTACTGCGTGTACGCGCTGCACGAGACGCAATTGGAGGGAGAGCCGGTGCGAGCGTACGCGTGCCCGAGGGCGCTGGAGGCGCTGGCGGAGACGATCGAGGCGTGCGATGCGATCGGAGCGCACGCGGTGGGACGGATCGTGAAGAAAATGATGGACGCGGAGAGCTTCGTGGTGGGGGCGAGGGACACGACGAACGCGCCGATGTCGCGAATGGGCGCGGGGGCGCCAGAGGTGTTTAAAAATTTCGACGAGAAGGAGGCGATTCACGAGGCCCTGGCGCATTTGTTGCAAGAGAGGCTCGATGATGAGTTAGATGAGATGAGCGCGAGCGCGAGCGAGTACACGAGGAGTTTAGCGGGGGCGACGAGGTTGGAGGAGTCCACGTTGGCGGCGCCGGTGACGATTTGCTCCACGGTGCAGACGCTGTTGACCAAGACGAAGACCAAGGTTGAGCGCGCGTTGAAACCCCCGATCGAGGCCGGCGAACCTTTAATGTTGCCGGGCATTCCCGTGAACCTGCCGAAGGCGAAAAAGAAGAAGACCCAATCGAAGACGCAGGCGGCGCCAAAGCGCGCGGAGAAATTGGCGTCCATGCCGAGCTTCGCGCCGTCGTTTGATTAGCGCACTACAGTAGCGAACGAATTGTGAATCATGAGCATATTTTCGTAGCATCGGTTTAAAAATGCTTAGCAGCGAGCGCGCATATAGTACGGCGGGCAGGAAAAGTACAACAAAGTTTAAGTAGTCTCGACTCGAGGCGGCGTTAACGCGCGGCGACCGCGGGTTTGATGCAGATGCACTCGTCCACGCGCGCGAAGCACGCGCCGCATCCGCAAACCGCGTCAACGCGCGCCTCGTACACCAGCGGCACAGGGGCTCGCATTAAGATTAGGCCCTTCAATCGCTCGCCGTTGAAGTAATTCGGCAAGCCTTGTTCCGGATGCGAGCCGCTGGGCGCCCGGAAACCGTACGCGTGGTACAATCTTCGCGCGCCCACGTTATCGCAGTGCACGTGCGTCCAGATTTCCGTGATTCCACGCTCTTCGACCCAGTCGCTCGCGCACTCCATCATGAGCTTCGCCGACCCTCGTCGACGAGCCGCGGCGTCCACCGCCACGTTGTCCACGTACGCGTACGACGCCCCCTCCGGCACGCACACGCCGTTGATCTGACTCGCGCACGGCCCCTCGCGCACGCTGACGTCCAAACACCCCACTAACCCCAATCCTTCGCAATCCGCCATGAAACATCGCGACTCCAGCGCCGGCCCCACGCGTCTCGTCGTCCGCTCCCGCAGCGCCTTGCGTTCGCGCTGCGCGAACTCCCGATGAAACGTCGGCGTGAACCGCGGCGGAAACGGCATCTCGTGCCTCTCCGCGAGATCATCGTAAAACGCCGTCGCCCTGAGATTCGCCGCGATCTCAAACGCGAAGTCATTCGTCGCGACGACGACGTCCACCCCCCCCCTCGACTTCACCCGGCTCGCGCCCGTCGCGCGCGCGTCCTCGTCCTCCGCCGCCTCTCGCGTCGGTCGATCCGCCAGCGCGCGTCGCGCCACCCCTCCCCGCGCGCCCGCGCCCGCGCCCATCATCGTCGACGTCGACGCGTCCCTCGTCGCGCCGCCGCGTCCCGTCCGCGCGAGCCCATCGCATCGCGTCGTCGTCATCGCGCGTCGTCGCGTCGTCGTCGTCTGCGTTCCGCGCGTCGCGCGTCGCGCGCCGTCCCGCGTCGCGCCGCGCGTCGCGCGCGACGCCATCGCGTCGCCGCGCGCGCGCGCGTCGATCGACACCGCGCGCGACGCCATCGCGCGCGTCGCGCGGTCGATCGGTCGACGATCAATGCCGGCGGTCGGCCGTCGGTTTCGGATCAGATCGCGCGATCGCGCGCGATCGACGCATCGCGCGTCGCGCGATCGATCGCGCGCGTTTCGAGCGTCGAGACCGATCGCCCGCGCGAGGTTCGAGCTCGAAACGCGCGATCGATCGCGCGATCGATCGGCGCGTCGATCGATCGTCATCGCGCGCGTCGCGCGATCGATCGCGCGCGTTTCGAGCGTCGAGACCGATCGCCCGCGCGAGGGTCGAGCTCGATGCGCGCGATCGATCGCGCGATCGGCGCGGCGCCGGCGCGGCGCCGGCGCGAGACCGCGACGGGGCGACGATGCCGACGACGACGATGCCGACGACGACGCGCGCGATGACGATGCGCGCGACGATGCGCGCGACGCGCGCGACGCGCGCGGTGCGCGCGCGGTGCGCGACCGGACGCGCGCGCGACGCGCGAGTCTCGGCGCAGATGGGGCCCGAGCTGCGCGAATCCATCGACGCGTTCGTCGCGGAACACCGCGTGGTGCTCTTCATGAAGGGGACGAAGGACGCGCCGAGGTGTGGGTTCTCGAACACGTGCGTGCAGATTTTGAACTCGATGAACGTGCCGTTCGCGGACGTCGATATCCTGGCGAACGAGGACTTGAGACAGGGGATGAAGTGCGTCGGGGCGAGGCGACGCGAACGCGAACGCGAACGAACGACGAGTCGGACGACGGCGCGGTGACTGACGATTTGGGATCGGGGGGGTGACGTAGGGATTATTCGTCGTGGCCGACGTTTCCGCAGCTGTACGTAGGCGGAGAATTCTTCGGTGGGTGCGACATCACCGTCGACGCGTTCAAGGACGGGTCGCTCAAGGAGGAACTCGAGCGCGCGATGTTGGAGTGAGGACGAAGGGTTCCGCATTTATGCTGTAATTTCTAAAGACTCGCTGAAGTCGTCGTTATTCCACAATGCTAAAAGATGATAGATGATCACGCCCCCGCTCTGATGCTCTCGCGCTTCGCGTCCAGCGCGCTCTTTTCTTCCTCCGTCATGCGTCGCCGTTGCAGTGTCACCTCGCTCGGTTTCCAAGAATCCGTCGCCTCTTTACCCTTCGAGTGCTTGCTTCGCTTCGACAGCGTGAGTTTGGTGTGTAAGTCGACGTACGTGACGCGGTCCTTCTTAAAGAAGAAGCACATGTTCCCGCCTCCGAGATTCGGATCGTCTTGGTGAATCTTGTACACGTAGTCGCGAACGTGGTCGTATTGGCGCGGCTCGCCGTCCAAGGCGAGAAAGTCCTCCTCCATCGCCGCATCGGGGTCTTGCGGAAGCATGAGCGATAAGAATCGTTCGGTTTGATTGCGCTCGTTCACGATGCTGAACGGTTTTACCACCCCGCAGTTCAACGCGTTTTCAATCGTCTCCGCGGATTTGCCCGAGAGCGACGCGACGTCGGTTTCCTGCTTCTCGTCAAAGTTCAAGCGCACGTAGTCCATCGCGATGCGCTCGAAATCGGGCAGCACGGGAAGAACCTCCACCACTTTGGCCTTCTTGTTCGTCGGATGCACCGGAGGTCGCTTCGCCGCCGCGAACGAGGCTTCGATTTGTTCGACTTGCGAGAGCTCGACCTCTGGCTCCGCGGCGCCCCCCTGCGCCTCGAGTCTTCGGCGTTTCATCTCCTTCTCGCTCAACCCCGTGCGCGCCTTGATGCTCCCCGCGGAGATGTACTGCGTGTTCATCAACCAAAGCGCGTCGGAGGCGTCCGGTCTGCTCACCGCGCGTCCGCTCGTCCCGATCGCCCCGTTGCGCTTCCCCTCGCGCTCCGCCGAGCTCATCGTCAATTCGTGATCCTCCGGATCCATCGCCACCCGCCGCGTCGGCACCCGATACGCCCGCATCAGCGCAGGATCCAAAGGTATCCCTAAATCCTCGCTAAAGTCCCCTCGCTTCCGCAACCCGTCGTACAGCGACAAGTGCGAGTACTCCGTCAGCGCCCGTCGATCCACCCTCGTCTGCAACATCTTCCAATCGATCGGCACCGCCGGCAGATCGTTCTTAAACTGCGCGTGACACAGGAACGCCGTCTCCCGCTTCAACCGAGTCCCATCCGCGACCGCGGGCGCGGACACCGCGCGCGCCTTCGCCTTTCCGTTCGATCGCGCGTCCGTCTTCGCGTTCGACGATTTCGTCGCGTCTTTCGCCTTCGCGCGTTTCTTCCGCGCGTCGCTCGCGTCGGCGCTCGCCGCGGGCGCGTCGCTCGCCGCGCCGCGCGCGCTTCGTCGCGCGCCCGCCATCGCGGTCGCGTCGCGTCGCGCTGCGCGGCGTCGCGCGTCGTCGTCGCGTCGTCGTCGCGATCGCGTTCGACGGTCCGTGTGCGCGCTTGAGACTCGCGCCGCCGCCGCCGCCGCGCGCGACGCGCGCCGCGCGACGGAGCGCGACGCGCGTCGAGCCGCGACATGACGACCGACGCGACCGACGCCGTCGCGAGCGACGCGCCGAGCGACGCGCCGCGCGACGCGCCGCGCGCGTCGACGGGCGACGACGACGCGCGCGCGCGGCGCGAGGACGACGCGACGGGGGCGGCGGATTTCGACGACGCGACGCGCGACAGGGTGCGCGCGCAGATCGAGTTCTACCTCGGCGACTCGAATCTTCCGCGCGATGCGTTCTTGCTCGACGAGGTGTCGCGAGCGGTGCGCGAGGGACACGAGGGGGGGGTGCCGATCGCGCTCATCGCATCCTTCTCGAGGATGCGGGATTTTTTGGCGGCGTACGGGGGGAAGGATGAGGCGAAAAACGTGGAGCGCGTGGCGAGGGCGCTGGAGGGAAGCGACGTCGTCGAGGCGTGCGCCGATGGGACGCGGGTGCGGCGGAAGTCGATGCTCGTGAACGGGGAGACGCCGGATCTCGCCACGGACGACGGCGTGACGGCGTATCGAAGCGCGATGGTGGAGGAGTTGGACAAGCGGTTCGTGTTCGCGAGTCCGTTCGCGAAGGACGCGACGATCGAGGCGCTTTTGGCGTACTTCAAGACGGTGGGTAACGCGCGGTCGATTCGTTTGCGTCGACACACGACGAGCAAGGATTTTCGGGGGAGCATTTTCGTCGAGTTCGCCACCGAAGAGGAGGCCAAGGCGATTGCCGAACGCGCCGACTTGGAGTACAAGGGCGCGAAGCTCACGCTCATGATGAAGGCGGCGTACATGGAACAAAAGAAGCAGGAACAATTGGAAAAGAAAGCCAAGGCGAGGGAAGAAGCGATCGCGCGCGGGGAAGACCCAGACGCGCAGCCGCCGACGACGCACGAGCCCGTCTTCGTGGGCAAGGTCGACGAACGCGGCCGAGGCGGCCGAGGCGGCCGAGGTGGCGGCCGAGGTGGTCGAGGCGGCCGCGGTCGTGGCGACGGTGGTGGCGGCCGAGGCGGGCCCGATCGCGGCGGCGCGCGTTTCGGCGGCGGTGGCGGAGATAGCGCAAACAAACCAAAGGAGGACGGCGACAAGCCGCGATTCGGGCGCCCGTATTAGAAGACTGATGTCAATAAAAATTACTTTAAAAGTACACCGCGATGCTATTCTTCTTGCTCATCGAAGCCAACGAATCTAACGCGCCCGTCGAATAACGCCTCCGTGGGCGTCAGCGCCAACGACGCGAGCTGATGTCGAACGTACCGCTCCAACCCCTTGGCGCGGTCGACGTCGCCGTCGCCGTCGTACACGTTTCTATGCAAAGCCTTCACGAGTTCTCCACCCCCGAGCTCGAGCGCTTTATCGTACGACACCGCATTCCCATAAAATGTCCTCTCTAAATCCTGTAACCACTTTCGCACGCGCACGCGCACGCCCTCATCGTGCACGCGTCGCTCCACGTCGTCTTGAAACGCGTCGTAAAACGTCTGACTAAACGCCTTCCCCCCCTCTCCCTCTTTTCGCAACCGCCCCAAGCACATCCACACGTGCAGGCACATCATCGCGTGTCGACTCGCGAACGTCTTTTCCACCGCGTGCGCGTCGTACAGCGCATCGATCGCCGTCGCCCGCGTCACCTCTTCGTACAGCCGCTCGCCGCCGCGCACGCGTCGGCTCTCCGGGCTAAAATATCCACCCAGCGTCAGCGCCACCCGCCGCCAACCGGTGAGCGAGCGCTCGGGAACGACGTCTCCGTCCTTCGTCGCCGCCGTCTCGAGCGAGCGCGGCTTGGCGTTCGGCGAGAACGCGCGCACCGGCGCGGCGAACCGCGCGAGCGATGACGTCTGCACGCATCGCGTCGCCGTCGTCGTCGCCGCCGTCGTCGTCCGCGCCGTCGCCGCCGTCGTCGACGCGACGGCGCGGCGCGCGCACTCGCGCGCGAGGCGTCGCGCCGTCATCGCGCGTCGCCGTCGTCGTCGTCGCCGTCGTCGTCGTCGTCGTCGACGCGTCGGCGAGAAGTGCCGCTCGACGCGGCGGCACACGCGCGCGCGATGCGTCGCCGCGCGGGCGCGCGCGCGCGAGCGATCGCGCGCGCGATCGCGCTCGTCGCGCTCGCGTCCGCGGCGACGACCGCGCGCGCGAAGACGCTGCGCGCGCGCGCGACGAACGCCGACGGATCCTCGGTCGAGGCGACGTTCGCGCAGGCGTACGAGGGCGGGGTGACGTACGCGCGCGTTCGCGTCACCGCCGCGCGGTCGTCGACGAGCGATGATTTCCCGACGCACGTCACGGTGCACGAGCGCGGTCGAGGCGCGAACGGGGCGTGCGACGAGGCGACGCTGGGGGAGGTGTATAATCCGGACGGCGGCGCGGGCGCGTGCGCGGGCGGGACGTGCGCGATCGGCGACGTGTGCGCGCGCATGGACGCGGGGATGATCGCGAGCGTGAGCGGGAAGACGTACGAGTTCGTCGATCGGAATTTACCGCTCGCGGGACGACGGTCGGTGAGCGGACGCGCGTTGGCGGTTTGGCGCGGCGACCGAGCGGCTGGACTAGATGGATTTAGCGCTGGTAAGGTTCCGTTCGCGTGCGCGACGATCGAGGAAGATGACGGTGAAGACGGATTCGTCGAGGCGCGCGCGACGCTCGGGACGACGTTGAGTAAGATTAGCGGGTTGGTGACGATGCGGCAGTCGGCGGCGGACGCGGCGGCGGATACGCGGATCTCGGTTCAATTGGTAAATCGCGCGCACGGCGATGCGATCGGGCCGTATCGATGGGCGATTTATTCGGGTACGGCGGGGAGCTCGAACTCGTGCGCGCACGTGGGAAGGCTGTACAATCCCGAAGAGAAGTCGTCGTGTGCCTCGCGCGGCGCGGAAGCGCTCGCCGAGGATTGCCCGATTGGTGAGATTTGGGTACGACAAGGGACGTTATCGTCGTCAGAAATAGTGCTGTATAGCGATTCGAACTTGCCACTGAGCGGTGCGAAATCTATCGTCGGGAAAACGTTCGTACTACTCGACGGGAACGACGCCGAGGTGCTGTGCAGCGACGTCGTGCTCGCGTCGAAAACCGGAAGATCCTTGGCGATGCCCAAGGTATCCATCGGGGCACAAGTAGGTCTGGTGACCGTACTTCTCATAGTATCGGTGCTCGTCCTTCGCTACTACGGCAATTTGCCAAGTTCGTGCTCGTTCAAGCGTCGATCGTCTCGAGGCGACTTCTCTCGCCTGAGCGAAGAGTTTCGGGAAGTCGCGTTCACGAACGTTCCGTCGGCGTTTTCCGTAGCAGACGACGACGACGACAGCGGGGTAGTGGCGAAGCAGTCGTCCTCGATGTTTAGAGGCACGTCGTCGAGGTCGAACGCGGCGCGAGCGCATATTATTTAGGATGAGGTCCTTGACCGTGTAAAAAATTAGTTAGCTAGAAACATCTACGGCCAGCTCGTGAATTGGAAAACCTTACCGACGATCTCCAACCCGGTGGGGATTTGCCACGTGAACAGAGCGAGATTGACGCAGTTCAACGCGATGTGCAAGTCGCGCGCTTTTTGGTTGCCTTTTTCCATTTGCGGCACCAAACCAGCCGCCATGGCCCAAAGTACGACGATAGACGCCCCGGCGTACAAGTGCGGCCCCGGGAAGAGCTTGCCCACGCGCAAGTAGGTGTTCATGCCGCCCTCGACGGCCAGAGTCACTCCCAAAGCCAGGAGCAAGTACCCCATATTCGCGTGCTTATCCTTGAACTTGCCCGCCACGAGTTCCTTTCTCGTCGACGTGAGCTCGTCAATCTGTTTCGCCACCGCGCTCCCAGCCGCCGCCGCCGCATCTTCGGGCAACGTCTTCTTCAATCCCGCGATCTCATCACCGACGGTCCGCACGCGTCGCCACTGCAACCCGAGCCACCCGGCGTAAAGCGTCACCGCGTACAGCGACCCCAAGCCGATCGGATGCAAAAGCGCCGCCGATCGACCCTCGAGAATCCCAAACTCCCCCCCGCTCGCGTGCGCCATCTCCGGCATCGCCGTCACGCACGTCGCGATCGCCAACGCGCTCACCGCCGCCTTCGCGTTCTCCATCGTCGCCGCGCGCTCACCGGCGTCATCTTTTCCCAGTCCTTCGATCGCTTTACCGCGGCTCGCGCGCGTCGCCCGGCCGTTCACCGACCGCGTCTTCGCGCGCGCGTTCGTCATCGTCGTTTTCATCGACAGTCGCGCCGTCATCGTCGTCGTCGTCATCATCGTCGTCGTCGTCGCCGTGAAGTGCGGTCGCGCGCGCGTGACGTCACGCCGCCGACGTCGGACGCGTCGACGCGCAGGCTGGACAAACGTCGATCGCGGTTTCTAGACTCACGGCGCTCGATTCGCTTGAATACACAGAAAACAATTCGAGAATTTTTGCAAACCGAGTCGGGCATCAAAACATGACTCTCGAATTGTTTTCTGTGTATTCAAGCGAATCGAGCGCCATGAGTCTAGAAACCGCGATCGACGTTTGTCCAGCCTGCGCGGCCGAGGGGAACGACAGCCGAGATTTGAATGCATGCGCGCCACACCGCGACGACGACGACGCCGGCGCGCGACGCGACGCGTGACGCGAACGCGCGCGCGCGATGGTGAAAGTGCGCGTCGCGACGAACGATGAACTGGCGAAGATCGAAGAGAAGCTCTGCGAGGCGGTGCTGGAGACGATCGATCACGCGAAACGCGATCCGAAGTGGTCGAACGAACGCGCGAAGGCGCTGAAGCGGCACTTGTACGCGATGACGGAGCGCGTGCTGGGGAGCGTGAGGGCGAACGTGATATGTGGGACGGCGGAGGGGGGTGAAAAGGGGCGCGAGGTGAGCGAACGGGAGATCGCGGATCCGGAGTTGGACGCGTTGGAGGAGGAGGTGGCGGAGCTGAGCGCGAGGGTGGCGGAGCAGCGGGCGACGACGCCGGGGGCGGTGGCGAAGAATTATGCGGATCGTTTGACCGAGCTTCGACCGATGATGGCTGGAGATGATGACGGTGATGCCGCGGCGTTGAACAGGGTTGAGGCGAGCGTGGATGGTGAGGCAATGGAGGCGCTGAGGAAAGAGCTCGACGCGAATTTGGCGCTCGTTCCCGAGTTGCAGACGCGACTGCAGGAAAGTTTGTCCAAGCTCGGACGGTTGATGGGTGAATTAGATTTGCAAAGACAGCGCGCACCGCCAGGTACGATCGAAAAGGCTATCAACGCGCCCGTGGGATCGGACACGCCCGCCACCGGCGAACTTCCGCCGGGTGGCGACGTCGCCACGCGTAGACGACTTGCGCACGAGTTGCAACCGGCGCCGATCGCTTAAAAGTGTACGCGTATAATCGTATTCTTTGTGTAACAAAATTTCATCTATGTTTCCCTATATTTGCTGTTATATCTCATTCATCGTGATTGTCCGTGTACATGTCCTAAGTTCGCGTTCGCGTCGTCGACTCACTTGCGGCGCGAGCGACTGCGCTCGGCGGTCTCCACCGGACCGTCGTCCAAAGTGTGATCATCCGCGGTGGTTTCGGCGTCATCGTTGGCGGTTTCGATGGTGTCGTCTTGCTCCATGGCATCATCATCGCCTTCGTCCTCGTCTCCGTCGTCGGCCTTGGACTTCTTGACGTCTACATCTTGTTGTTCCGCGGAGCGTTTTCTCGCCCAACGCGCGCGGCGCTCCGACGCGCCCTTGGAACGCTTGTTGAGCTGATCGGCGAAATCAATCAATGGCGTACATCTCGTGTCCTCACTATCGACTTTGGCGAGCGCATCGTCGACGAACGTCGTCAAAGCCTTGGCGTCGACGGCGGACAGTCTTGAGAGGAAGGGACCCAGTCCGTACGCCAAGAAGGAAAATCGGTCGTACGACGGTTCGGGGAGAAGGACAGACTTGAGCGACTCGTCGAACATGATGCGCATGACCAAGCGATCGCGTTTGGATGATAGCATAAAGATATCACTCAATCGGGTCGCGAGATCGGTGAACGCCTCGATGAGCACTTGTCGGTTTCCGAGATCCGTCTGTAAGACTTCTGCATACGCGCTGTGCAACGCTGTCAAGACAGCGCGCACGAGCACTTGTGGACCGGTTCGGCGTAAATCACTGCAGTACGTGCGGATGGCGGCATCGATCCAGGGGCCGGTAAGTTTGAAGTTGGACAAAAAGTCTGCACCGATCGCACCGTTGGAGGCGATACGCTGTTCGTGCACTGCCATGCGGTACGCGAGGCGTGCCGAGTCCAAGTCGGCGTCTTGCTTGACGTCATCCGGCGTGATCAACGCGGTGCACTGCTGCCACACAGCTTCACTGTCCGCCGAGTTGAGCTTCAGCTGCAACACTTTCGCAGGATGCGCCGCGGGCAGTGTGCTCGCGTTGTAATAATACAGCACCATATCGCAAACGGTGGAAATCAAAGAACGCCGAAGATCGTCCGAATCCGCAATCGAGTCCTCGGCGCGACGCAAGATGTGCATCACGTTGGACAAGAAGGCGTCGCGTTCGGTCAAGTGCTCGTTCACCTCGACGCTCGTCGCCGAATCACTATCCATTAGTTCAAGGCCTTGCCAAATGAGAGCGAAAGAAACAGACGAGGACGCCATGGCGACAGATTCTTTACCCACTGGCACGTTGGCGCGCGAGACGTCGGCGACGTATTGAGACAAGTCGTTAATCACGCGCACGCCGCTGGAGATATTGCACTTTGAAATCAAAGCACGCACCCGATACAAGCACATGCGAAGCTCAAACGCGTAACCCTCGTTTTCGTTCAGCACGCTTTCATCGCTCTTGGCCATCAAAGCTCGAACCTTCTTCAACGCCGGAGATAGGCGAGCCGACAAGTCGTTCACCGTGCTGTCGAGCACCGGTTGTGCGAAAGGCGCCGTAGCTTCGAAGCCCTCGTTGCAGAAGTAATTGAACGCTTCACCGCAGGCTTCCAAAGTACGCTTGTCGCTGTGCTTGAAGAAGATGTCTTTTATTTGCTCGGCAAGAGCGGTAAATTGATCCTCCTCGTGACGCAACGAGTAGTGCTCGAGTTTCACAAAACGAACAACTTCGACAAGCGGACCGATGACGTTAGCTTCGGCTTGATACTTGCTCAGAAGTTGCGGAATCAAGCTACCGATATCTTTCGTCATTTGTTCGTGCGCAGCTTCGATCGCGTTTCGTATTTTTGCGCTTTGTCGAGACACCGTCTTGGTGTACGAGTTGGAGACGTCTTCGCCCATCGCCTTGCGCATGGTGAGAACCAAGACGTTCGCGATCACGGCCGCGTCTGCCATTTCCATGTCGTGCTTCAAGATGCCCGCGATAAAGCCAGGTTGTGCCAAGACGGGATATACCCCCGACAAACCTTCAATGACTTTACCGTGCCCGCCATTTTCATCGCCGAGATCGTTCAAGAGCTGCACGATGCCGTGAAGTTCCTTCTCGAGCGCCGGGTTTGTCGAATCATCATAGGAAATCCCTCGCGCCTTGCGGTACGTCTCGGTAAGCGTGTGCATCAGTGTCTTCGTCGCTTTCGCCGCGGCGGTACGGATCGATGGAGTCTTGTCCATGATGAGCGCGGTGACAAAGTTCATGTGCTCAGGATCCAATTCGGTGTGCTCGTGCAAAACCGCGGCGAGTCGCACCGCCTCCACGACGACGTGGGCGTCGACGTCGCGCAACATTTCCGCCATGCGACCACGGAATCGAGCAATAAACGTATCCATCATAGCTAAGTGAGACTGGCTGGACGCCAAAGTCTTCAGCGCGAGCAAAACTTCGAGTCGAACAGCGGCGCTCTTATCGTTCAAGCTCCAACCGAGATATTTCAAGTAAAAGTCGGTGAGGAACACGAGCTGATGCTTCATCATCCACTTCCCAAGCGCGGTCATGCACGCGGCGCGAATGTTTTCGTCGCAATCACGGAAGCGATGCGTGAAAACGTGAGTGAAGATGTCGTTCATGTAACCTTCCACCAACTCGATGTGTTCCTGCGCGCTTTCGATTTGGCGCTTCAAACTCTTGACCACTTCGCCGCCAGACTTTTTCTTCTTCAATTCGATGTCCACCTGGTTTTGTTTCAAATCGCGAGCCTTCTGCAAGTTATTCACCACCGTAATCAAACTGGAAATCATCTGTAAACCCATCATCGTGGCAGCCATGCGCAACGGACGCGCCTTGCTCCCGGCGCACGTGCTCACGATCTCCGCCAGCGTCGCGAAGAGCGTACCATCGTACAGCTCCCCGCCTTCGCTCGCGTCGCGAATGCACTTATCGATAAAGTCCAAGAAGTTCTCACGGAATCCCTTGAAATCTCGCGAACGTTTTGCCAAAGGATCGTCGCCGTACAAATTCCCCGCCGCCATGTCTTCGACGACGCGATTCATAATCATCAAGCAGTCGCTTCTCTGCAACTCAATCGCAGTCACCCCAGACGAGCAACCGGCCGCTTTCGACAATAACGAATAAATCTCCGCCACCGCCGAGATCTCGCTCGCGTTGTACCGCGCTCGCCAATCACTCGCGTGTAAAATCGTCGCCGCGTTTTCCACGCGCAACAGATCAAACAAGTCCCCCGAGCCCTCGTCCGCGTCTTCGTCCCCATCTCCGCTCACCGACGCGTTCTGCACCGACGCGTTCTCGTTTCTATTTTTCAACGCCTCCCCACCCGTCGTCGGTTTCTTCTTACGCGCGCCGCTCCTCGACTTTTTCTTCGCCGGCGCCCCGCTCTCGTCCGCGTTTTCGTTCCCTCCTCGCGTCGCCGTCGCCTCGCTCTTCCTCGACCGCGCCGGCATCGCGTCCGTCCTTCCCGCCTATCCGCGTTCGTCGCTTCCGCGTCGTCTTCTCCGCGTCTCCCGTCGTCGTCCTCGCGATCGACGCGCTCGACAGCCGCGAATTCAAAATTTCAAAAATCACCGCGCGCGACGGGTCCCGTTCGACGCGTTCCCGCCGCCTTTCGTCGCTTTCGCGCGTCGTCGGTTCGACGCGTCGCGCGCTCGCGCGTTCGTCTCGCGTCTCGCGCGCGCTCGCGCGTCGTCGCGGCGTCGCGCTGTGTCGCGCGCGTCGCGGGTCGCGCGGCGTCGTCGACGCCACACCCGCGCGCGGCGCCATCGCGGCGTCGTCGGACGTCGCGCGGTCGTCACATGGCGTCGCTCGGCGCGCGCGTCGCGACGGCGCGCGCGCGCGCGACGCGCTCGAGCGCGTCGCGATCGCGCGTCGCTCGGCGCGCGACGGCGCGCGACGACGACGACGACGGACGGCGACGACGCGCGACGCGCGTCCGGGACGGACGACGTCGAACGACGTTTCGCGAGCGAAACGGGTTCGATTGGACGGCGAACGCGGTCGAACGGGCGGAGCGGATGAAGCGCGAGAGGAACGAGGCGGACTGGGGCGAGCGCGCGGCGAGGGGCGGGGAGACGGCGACGAGCGAGGGAGGGGAGACGTGGCGGTACGCGGAGACGGCGGACGAGTACGAGTATCGAGGCGCGTGGTTGGCGCTGCATCGACAGCCGGGTGAGTCGACGCGAGATGAGGCGTTCGAGGAAAAGGTGCGGGCGATGAAGGCGGTGTCGAAACGGTTGAAGGAGGCGAACATGGCGACGAGCGATTTCGAGCCGGGCGGGGAGTCGTACGAAAATTTTCTGGGAGAACACGTGCTGCGGCACGTGACGCTGGCGAGACGCCTGTCGGAGTGGCGGACGAACTTTTTGATTCGGTTCGCGCGCGAACCGGAGTACGCGGACATGCCGAGCACGGTTCGGGACTTGGAGATGGAGTGGATAGCGTTGGGCTTTAAGATTAGGGCGATCGAGAAGATTTAGGACGGGAGACCTCGGATTCTCGGATCGGGGTTGTATCGATACACGCTTGCTTGTAAAATAGTGCTACAAAACACATTCATCTCGATCGCGGCGTTTCTCGGCTCGACCGCGAAATGACTACGTCCTACTCGCCGCGCCGCGATTCCCCGCCGTCGCTCCCCAACCGCACGCCGACGGCGATGTTCGACACGATTTTCCCACTCTCACTCACCGTCGGCGGATTCTCCACGACGACTAAATTGTCGCTCGTCAACGTCGCGTGGTCTCCTCCCCGCGCGCTCTTCACCGAACTCCCCTCCCCCGTCGTGCTTGGCGTCGCGCGTTCCGCGCACCGCGTCACCGCGCCGCACGCCGAGCACCGCACCGACGCCGACCCTCCCGGATACGCCAGCGTCACCCGACACCCCTCGCACCGCACGTACGCCGTCCCTCGCGCCCAAGCGTCGTCGGCGTTCCGCGTCGCGCGCTCCCGCGCCGCGTCGCGCGCGGCGAGCGCCGACGACGCTCGCGTCCCGCTCGCGCGCGGCGCCCTCGTCCCCGTTCGCGCGTTCACGTTCACCGCGTCGCACATCGCGCACCGCACGTGCGTCGCGTCCGCGGGAAATCGCATGACGACGTCGCATCCCACGCACCGCGCCTGCGCCTCGCGGTCGCGCGCGCCCGCGTCGTCGAAATCGAAATCGAATGCCACCGCGCGTCGCCGCGTCGGATCCGTCGCCGCCGGCGTTCGCGTCACGTGATCGCACAGCGCGCACCGCACGAGCGGCGATCCGGTGGGGTAGCTGAGCAGCGCGCCGCACCCTCGTCGCGCGTCGCCGCACGTGATCTCGCTCGTCGCGCGCGCGCGCGTCATGGCGCGCGGCCGAGTGACGAATCGACGCGACCGCGCGCGCGCGACGGCCACACGACGACGCGCGCGAGCGCGCTCGCGATCGACGCGCGGCGATGCCGGCGACGCGTCGATCGGCGCGCGCGACGACGACGCGCGGCGCGCGCGACGCGGGCGCGAGCGACGACGACGCGCCCGAGGAAGTGTCGGGACGCGGCGCGCGCGCCGACGTCGCGAGGCGGCGCGACGACGAGCGCGCGGCGCGGGCGCGCGCGAAGGCGAGCGAGAACGCGGCGAAAGTCGCGCGACGAGACGCGGAGGACGCGCGCGCGAAAGCGAAGGCGGAGGCGCGGACGAAACGGACGGAGGCGGCGATGGCGGCGGCGGCGGCGGATGACGAACTCGAGGCGCTGCCGGAGAGCGTCGTCGACGCGGTGTTCGGGGAGAAGAAGCGGGCGAGGCGCGATGACGATGAGTTGGACGCGTACGAGGCGCACATGGGGGAGCGGAAGCGGGAGAAGAAGAAGAAGAAGGGGAAGAAGGCGAAACGACGGGCGTACGAGCGGGACGGTTTCGAGGTCGTGGCGCTGGACGCGGAGGACGACGACGGGGGGGGGGCGGTGCCGAAGACGGCGAGCGAGTTTGTGCGCGCGAGATTGATGGAGAAGCACGCGCGGTCGGGGGAAATGCTGCGAGATGTGCGCACGGGGCGAATCCCGAACGCGTTCGCGAGGCGGTGACGACTCGCGGCGCGCGAAGAGGCGGACGAATTCCAATGTAACGATGGTAGACTAAGATAATAATGGACTAGACGCGATCGTGCGATATTATTTTTCGAACGCGAACGACTCGAAGAGCGACATTTGCCAAAACTTGTCGTTACCGGTTTTTCGCTTTTGTCCGTCGCCGCGTCGTCTGCTCGACGACGTCCCGGCGGCGCGAGACTTCTTCGCCGCTCTCGCGGGTGTCGTTCTCGTCGGCGTTCGTTCTTGGCGCTTGGTGGCATGTGTCGAAGGTTCCGCGACGCCGAGTTCGACATGTACGCTCTGTTTGACTCGATCGATCGAATCTTTCGCGATCTTTGCGTACAACTCGGATGGTCCGGTTGATTTCGGCGGCGTCTTCACGTTCGCAAAGTATGGACTCTTCTTCACTGACGTCTGCACGATCGGTGTTTCGTAAATCACGCGTCCCGTAATGTTTGAAATATCCTTCGGCAATCGCGAGTTATGCTTGGGCGTGATCTTCTCCACCGAGTCCGGCACTCTCAGCGCCTCTTCGCGGGCCACGATCGGGCGATCCGTACTCTGTCTACGCAGCCGCTTATCCAGCGGCGTTTTAATCTCGTGACCCTGGATCGCGGCGTAAAACGACTTTCCGACGCGAGGTGGCTGCACGATTTGCATCGGTGCACTTGCGCGCACGAGCGCAGCTCGATACGTCTGCACGTCGTCCTCGGGCTTTTCGCGCAAAAAACTCGTGAAAGCGTTTTGCTTCGTCGATGTCAAAGGTCTTTCCGGCAGCGCGCCGAGCGCGTCGTCGTCACATGCGTCTTCAGGCCTTAGGATCGGCGCGCTCGTCGATGGCGCCAACGCGGCTATGTGCTGTCGACGATGAGGCGCTCGCACTCCGCCGAAAGCCTCGAGCGTCATTGGATGCACCTCGTTGTTCGCCAACGCTCTCGCTACCTCGGGCGGATGATACGCACCTATGAGTCTCGGTAAGTCGTCAATCAAACTCTGATCCAACACCCCCACTGGATCGTTCAAGTTCACGATCTCTCGCCTTTGCGGGCAATACACCCACGAATATTTGAACGTGAGCAACGCGTCGACGAAACGCGACTCGTAATCCTTCGGCACCGCTATCCCCTCAAACTTCATGTGACGCAAGACCTTATTGTAAGTTTTGAATCTTCGAATCAGGCTGTGCGCCTTCTTCACCCCCACGCCGTTCAAAGACGGTAAATAATCACACCCGCTGAGTACGCACATTTCCAAAAACATATCGGGCGTGAACCCGACGAAACTCAACCCGCGATTCCTCCCCAACTCCTCGAAGCGGATTTCTATGCCAGAACCATCACCTGCCATCTTTGTGAACACGCTCCGACACCCATGCGCGATCAAATCGCTATCCTCCGTGATCACTCCCGCCACGAAGCCATTCTTCACCAAGTACGCCATCTGCGCATCCGCCTCGTACGGCGCCGTCAAGCTCTCGAATCCTTCCCTCGCCAGCGCCTCGATCACCTCCCGCGCCATCTCCGGCGTGATATCCACCGCTCGCACATAAAAATCATTCGCCGCGCTCGCGTTCCCCTGCCTCGCGTGCGCTTTCGCCTTGGCCAGCGCTTCGCTTCGATTTCGTCTCCGCTGCGCCTCCTCGTTCGCCTTCCCCGGCAATCGTCCACCGTCGAACACGTATATCGCCCGCACGTTCGCCCGTTTCAGCGTTCGCGCGCGATTTAAAAAGTATTCCACGTGCTTGCGCGTCGGCAATCCCTCGCACAGCTCGCGCGAGCACGCGTAGGCACCGCGATGAAGCCAGACGTAGGCGTCGACGCAAACGACTTGTCCCGCGTACGTTTCGCCGACGTGCGCGTGTCTTGAGATGGATTTCAGCGTCGGAAGGAGGGACGCGATGCCCATGCCGATCGCGTCGACGTCCGCGCGCGAGTGCGAGGCGCGCGCGGACGTCGAGCGGCGATTTATGGAGGAGCTGTCGCGGGTGGTTTGAATCTCAATTCGACGCCGCGAAATCGAAGCGCGCGACGAAGATGTTCGACTTCACGTCCTCGAATGATGTTACAATACGCGCGCGGCGTCGATCGCGATGACGATCGCGGCATCGACTCGTCCGTCCTCGCGGTGCGTCTCCGACGCGCGCGCGCCTCGCGCGTCGTCGTCGTCGTCGTCGTCGTCGTCGTCGCGTCCCGCTCGACTCGATCGCCTCGCGTTCGCCCTAGCGTCTTTCGCGATACGGATACGCGATCCGCTCCGGCGTCGCCCTGTCTTCCCACGCGTCGCCTCGCGCGATCTTCCGTCCCGACGCGTCCACCGCCGCGCTCGCGAGCGCGAACGCCGCCCCCGCGCTCGCCGCGTGTCCGACCTTGCCGTTGCGCAACCCCACCACCGCGCCGCTCGCCAGCCCCCCCAGCGCGCCGTTGTACGCGTCCCTCGCGTTCCGCGCGCTCTCCGCCGCGCACGTCACGCTCGCGTACGCGCCTCCGATGGCGCCGAACAGCGCCGCGCCGCTCGCGAGCGCGCCCGCGGTCTTCGCGACCGCGGGAAACGAGCGCGATCGGAACACCGCGGGCGCGTCCGCCCCCCACGCCGCGCGCGCGCACCCGACGACCGCGCCGAACGCCGACGACGCGCACACCGCGCTCGTGAACCGCTCGAAGCACGAGCCGAGCTCGACGGCGTCTTCCTCGGCCGGCATCCGAGCGTCGTTCTGTGTCGATCGGCGCCGCGCCGCCGCGAAGACGCGACGTCGCGACAGCGGCGCGCGCATGGCGACCGCCGACGCGTGGGACGCGTTCGGGCGCGACGACGGCGCGCGCGCGACGACGGCGCGCGCGCGCGACGACGCGAGGGACGCGCGCGCGGCGGCGACGCACGCGTTCTTCGAAAACGCGCGCGAGCTGTGGAGCGGCGCGCGCGCGAGGGACGGCGCGACGCGCGACGCGCGAGCGGTGGCGGAGGAAATCGCGCGCGCGCACGACGCGGGGTGGGCGTCGACGGCGGCGGAGCTGGAGGAGTTCGCGCCGAGCGGACGACGCGCGAGGGACGCGCTCGCGAGGTGCGCGGCGAACGCGCGAGCGGAGACGTGGGACGCGTGCGCGCGATGGGCGAAACGGACGATCGAGGCGTGCGGCGAACAGTTGGGACGAGGGAATTGGCCGGTGAGTGGGTTCTTGGAGGCGCACACGCTGGCGCACGGATGGCTCGTCGTCGCGGGCGTCGCGGCGACGGCGAGCGACGCGGGGGAAGACGTCGACGAAGGCGCGCTCGAGGACGATCCCACGGCGAGCGCGGCGTGTCGGGGGGCGGAATGGAGCGCGAGAGAGCGGCTGGGGAGGATTGGGTTGGATTTACTCACCGCGACGACGTTATTCGAGCGAGGGTGCGTTCCGACGTGGTGCGCGAGCGCCATTTTACTCGTCGAACGCGCGTTTCAGCCCGACGACGCCGAGGGACGCCGGGCGTTTCCTTTGAACAGCGCGATTCCGACGACGCTACCGATGAGTGGGGTTCCGACGATCGAACCGAGCCGACAGATTCATTTCGAGGACGCGCGCTCGTTAACGGCGCCGCGATTTTACGCAGACTTCGTCGCCTCGGAGACTCCGGTCGTGATTCGAGGCCATCTCGACGAGGACGGCGAGAACTGGGCCGCGTTGGACGTTTTTAAAAATCTCGACGCGTTCGAAAAGTATGCGGACACAATCGTTCCCGTGGAATACGGTACGGCGTTCGATAGCCACGGCGTCGGGATCACCACGCTCGGATCGTTTGCGCGCGATTTTCTCGCGCCTTCCAACGCGGCGCACGACGGCGCGCCGACGAGCGACAAGGTGGCGTACGTCTCGCAGCACCCGATATTCCACCAAATACCCGAACTTCAGAGCACGTTCACGGTGATTCCGTACACCTTAGGCAGGCTTCGCGTGGAGACATCCGCGGTCAACCTGTGGCTGGGCACGGCCGGCACGAGAACCGCGATTCATCGCGACCCGTACCTCAACCTCCTCTGCCAAGTATCCGGGTACAAATACGTCCGCATCTACGCCGTGAGTGAGACTCCACACCTTTACGTCGCCGACACCGACACCCTGCGCGGCTCAAACGTGAATAATTTCACCCGGTCGCCCGTCGATCCCGAGAGCCCGACCGTCTCTCGCGAGCATCCCCGCGCGCTCGCCGCAAAGTTTCTGGAAACCATCCTCGCGCCCGGCGACGTCCTGTTCATGCCCAAAGGTCACTGGCACTACGTCCGTTCCTTGACCTCGTCCGTGAGCGTCAATTTCTGGTTTTAGCTCGTAGCTCGTAGCTCGTAGCTCGTAGCCCGTAGCTCGTAGTCAAACACAATCAAACCGCGAAAGTCATCGGCCAACCGGATTGCGATCGCGTCGTCCCGCACACCGCCGCGCGCGACCGCGCGCGATGTCTGAGCCGCCCGCGACGGACGCGCGCGTCGACGACGGCGATGTCCGCGGCGATGCCGCCGCCGCGCCGTCGCATCCCGCGTCGTTCGACGTCCTCGGGTGTCCGAAGTGCCGCTGGTCGCTCGGCGGATGCCAAAAGTGTCGCGCGACGCCGCACACGAATCGCGCGAGCTGCCCGCCGATGAGCGAGCGCGCGGGGTACGCGAAATACGCGGCGTCGCGCGGGATCAAGGTCGCGCGGCGATCGCGAGGAGGAGAGAAGGCGGGGAAGGCGAAGGGCGACGCGGGGAGAAAGGCGAAAAAGGCGAAGCGCGCGTGGTCGGACGAGGACTCGGACGAGTACGAAGAGGTGCGGAAGGAAGGAGAGGAGGCAGAGGATGAAGATTGGAGAACGACGAAGGCCGTGGGGACGATTGGTACGGGTGCGCGAGGAGGGCTGGTGTCGAGCGTGGAACACGAACGCGCGAAGACGCCGAAATCGCCGACGCCGGAGCCGGGGATCTGGATCGAGGTGGATTGCGGAAACGCTCAAGCGCTCGTGTACGTCATGGGGAAGAATTCGGATAACATACCGGTGTTACAGTGGAAATCTGGCGCGTCGCTGCGGTGTCATCCGACAAAAAATGCGGTGGTCGAGATTTGGGGAGCCGAGAAGAACGTCGAGAAGGCGGAGGCGCTCGTGGCTGAGAGAATTAAACAGCACGAGGAGCGCAAGAAAACGCTCGCGGATCGGCCAAAGACGCCAGTGGCGGCGGCCAAACGACCATCGTTAGATGTCATGAGTATCGTCAACGACATACGAACGCAATCGATGAGAGAGGACACGAGGGGCGAACCCGAGGAGGCGAGTTCGAGTTTGAGTTCGGCGGCGCGTTCCGCCGTCGACGCATTCATTTCGAAGCTTCCTGATCTCAGGATGAGTCGACAAGTGATGTATGAGTACACTCAGGAGGCTCTTAGCATTTCAAAGTACGAAGCCGTTCCTGAAGTCTTGGTTTCGACGCTCAGAGAACGAATCGCCGACCTCGCGACGTCCGCTTCTACACGGTTGACTCTGTTTTATCTGCTCGACTCCATCGTTCAAGCCAGTCGTGTTGACGCGCGCGGAGGATCCGAAGCCACGCACGCAATGTACAAAAAGGCGCTACGCAAGCATCTGACCGACATTGTGAAGCACATGATCGCCATCGTAAGGATTGATGAAGCGACAGAGATGAAGGGCGTCGAAGTACAAGACGGCGCCACCATCGGCGAGGCGCACGCGAGACACAGACGTCGAGCGGTTCAAAAAGTCTTATCCATCTGGGAAGGTCGAGAAGTGCTTTCAGAGACTGAGATCCTGATCGGGAAGCAGGCGATCTCGAAATTTAGACACGAAAAAGTGAAGCAACAAGCGAAGGAGTTTGACAGGCGCCTACAGCGGCAACCAGAGCCGGCGATCAAAGTACAGGCAGACGGCGTCAACGCAGACGAATTTGACGACATCGCCGCGATGCTCGGAAATCAATACGGTGGTATCGACGTCGGCGACATAGACCTGTCGTTACTACGCTCAAGCGTACGCGAAGAAGTTCCGTCACCGCCGCCTTCGAGCCATCCGCCAGAGAAGAACACGTGCATGGATTGGGAGGCACCGCCGCCGCCGCTTCCACAGGGACCGCCGCCGCCAGGTCAAGCGCGGCGACAAACGCAGGAATCGACGGCACAGCACGCATTTCTCGTCGCAGCGGGTGAAATTTCTGATTAGGATGGTGGATTACAAGCTGGCATCTATGCGTAGAAGTAGCATGTTCAACAGTGCAAGAATTGAAGAACAGGAAACATGAATGAAGTAAAGTACATTATTCGACGGCCATTTTCCTCACGCCGCAAGTGACCGCGTGTTGACGAAGCTCGACGTCGACCGCAATGATCCGACGTTCGGTTGAGAGTCGTCGTCCTCCGCGCGGTCGTCGTTCGGGCCGTCTCCACGCCAGCGCCTCGACGTACCAGAGCTCACTTCCTCCTCCACACCCTCATCCGTGTACTCGCACACGACTGTGGGTAGAGGATCGCTCGTCGTTGGACTCGTTGGACTCATATGAACCGAGCCGAGCGCCTGGAGCAAGTTCAAAACATCAAACGAACCGTGTCGCCTTCGCTCGGCGGCGTCTTCGTTTCTAGCCTCCGTCGTTTTCAACGACCGCACCCGCGCGTACATCGAATCCGCATCCAACGCACGCGCCTCTGTCCCACTCAATCTTCGCTCGCGCACGATTTCATACTCCGCTTCGCGCCCGCCGCTTCGCGCATCCACCGTCTCGCTCGAGTTTGACTTTCGCAAACCGAGAGGTCGCGCGCTCCAGTTTGATTTCGTGCGGTGATCTTTCGTCGCGCATTCGTCGTCGGACTCGCTCGCGTACGACCGCACCTCGCACACGGTTTCGGAAATGCGCGACTTTTTGCCAACCGCGCGTCCTTCGCTCAGCGACGCCGACGGCGACGCCATGAGCGACGGCAGTCGCGGTGTGACGGTTCGCCGATTGCGGACGTCGTGCCGACCGGACGGCGGGACCTTTCGCCGAACTGAAACGTCGCGGCTGAGTCGTGAACGGTCGATTGCCCCACTCTCGGAGGTTGGTCGAAGGTTGGATTACTGGATTACACTGTGATTCTCGGACGAGACCCACGACCGCGCGGCGCGCTACTGGACTAAGCTAAAACGCGAAAGGCTTCGCGTAATGCCTCGAGGCGAGCCGTCGCGCGCGCGTCGCGCGCGGCGGTGGCGCGCGCGGCGGCGAAAGCGCGCTCGAGCGCTCGGGACGAGGCGCTCGGGCGAAGCGCCGCGGAGACGGCGAAGCGAGGCACGGCTCGTAAACGCTCGAGCCACTCGAGAGCGGCGGACGCGTTTTCGTCTTTGGCGTACCAATGCTCGAGGGCGATGGTGGCGACGTCGGCGAGGATGTCGGGGTCGAGGCCGCCGGCGAACATCGTCTCCAACTTGTCCGGCGGGACGAGGATGAGAATCTCCGCTCGACGCGATGCCGATGTCGTCGAAGCCGCGGCTTTCATCTCGCGTCTGTACGCGCGTTCGAACTCAGCGCCATTTCGTGGAGCGACGACGGGTTTGCTCGCCGCGATCGCCGCCGCCTTGCTCACCAAATCGTCGTCGCGACCGGTCTCCGGCGCCGGCGCCGGGCGTCGACTCGTCTCAACGCTATCGCGCGCGCACGACGCCGCGTTCTCAACTGCGCCCATATCGACGTCAACTAAACTATCATCACCACGCTCGACCGCTCGATCGTGCTCGACGGGTATTTTCACGCGCGCCTGCGTTGGCCGTATCTTCGCCTCGAGCTCGAACGCGCGTTGACTCTTCGCCCGCTCCTCCTTCAAAATCTTACTCGTCGGCTCCAACCGCAGCGCTTCCTCGAAATCCATCGCACTCTCCAAATACTTTCCCATCTCCCGTCGCGCCATACCTCGTCGCTGGTACGCCTTGACCCCGAACGCGACCGCGTCGAGCGCCAACGCGCTCGAGCAATCCGCCTCCGCCGCGTCCCACTTCTCCAGCTTCAACCAGCACATCGCTCGATTCGCCAGCGCCGCCGCGTTTCGCTCGACCGCGCACGACGCGTCGTAGTGTTCGATCGCCGCCGCGTATTTCCCTTCGCGATACGCCGCGTTCCCGCGCTCGCGCTGCGCCGTCGCCTCGCGCGCGCGTTCGTTGACTGCCGGCGCGCCTTCAGCGCTCACGCGCGCGCGTCGCATCGCGTCGTCCATCGCGTGCGCGTCCGGGAGCCACGTCTTGACGGATTCGATCGCGTCCGACGCTCGTCGCGCGCGCTGGACAGCGTCGAGCGCCGCGAGAGGCGCCATCTGACGGACGCGAGGGCCGTGGTCACTCGACGACGCGCGATGGCGACGACGACGACGACGGTGCGCGCGACGGCGCCGCGCGCGGCGGCGAAGACGACGCACTTCGGTCGACGCGCGCGCGTCGCTCGAGCGACGGCGACGACGGCGACGGTGCGAGCGACGACGGCGGCGATGGCGACGGCGACGGTGACGCTCGAGCGACGTCGGCGCGTCGCGACGCGCGCGGTCGAAGACGACGAGGGCGCGTCGCGCGACTACGTGAAGCCCGTGCAGGAAGAGAACGCGCTGCTGGAGAGCGAGACGTTCTCCACGGTGCTGAAGGCGGGATTCGCGGCTTTCTGCTTGGTGTGCGTGCTGCTGGTTTTTAAGCTCGCGGGACCGGTGGTGAACGAAATGGTGTCGACGTTCCCCGGGGCGTCGTCGCGATAGGCAGGGTTGCGTGTAATATAACGTTAAGCGCTTCGTATTAATTAAATTCATCGTCTGGCGAGTACCGTTCGACGACGCGTGCTACGTAGAACTCTAGTACCCGAGTCGAGCCTTGAGTTCTCTTCGCGCCGAGACGCGGCCGAAAACCTTCAGAACTTCGTCGATCAAGCACACCGGTGCGGCGCACAGAAGGACGAGCATCCATTCGTTGAAATCCAGCGGGACGATGGAGAAAATTTCCGCGAAGTACGGAACGTACATGATCAAGAAGTGCGAGCCAAAGGAGACAAGCATGGCGATGAGGAGGTACGGGTTGCGCCACGGCGGCATGGTCACCAACGATCCGTCCTCCGAAAGCGCGTTGAGCGCATTGAACATCTCGATCGCGACAAGAACAGTGAGCGAAAGCGTCGACGCTTTCACTTTGCCCGCCTCGAAGTAATCGCACGCGTGCTTACCGGTGTAAGAGTACGCGACGCCGCCGGCGGTGAATTTGCCTCCCTTGAAATTTTTCCAGCTCGCGCACTCGCCCCAGTTTGTCAGCTGCTTGAAAGTCACGGGCGTGTGACCGTCTTGGCTCAAGTCGATACCCATGAAACTAGTGCGCGTGAACCAAATCGCGAACGCGCCCACGGTAGCGACGCCGACGTAAAGACCGACGACGGCGTATCTGAACATGACCCAGTTGGATAAGAGATCTTCGTCCTTTCGTCTCGGCGGCTTCGTCATGATGTCTTTGTCCGGAGGATTGAAACCGAGCGCCGTGGCCGGAGGACCATCGGTGACGAGATTCACCCAAAGAAGCTGCACCGGCACCAAGCCCTCGGGCATGCCAAGCGCAGCGGTAAGGAAAATGCTCACCACTTCGCCGACATTGGAAGAAATCATGTATCGAATGAACGCCTTCATGTTGTTGTAGATGCTTCTACCCTCGGAGACGGCTTCGACGATGGTGCTGAAGTTGTCGTCGGCGAGAACCATGTCGGACGCTTCCTTCGCGACCTCAGTACCGGCGATACCCATGGCGATACCGATATCCGCGAGCTTCAACGCCGGCGCGTCGTTGACACCGTCGCCCGTCATGGCGACTACGTCGCCGCTATCGCGAAGGAGACGAACGATGTCTTGCTTGTGTTTGGGCTCAGTGCGACTGAACACGCGACCGCCTTCACCAAGAAGCGCTTTGAGTTGCTTAGATTTGGACATCGCAGCGAATTCACGACCGGTGAAGGATTTCCCCTTAACGTCCGCCGAAGACTTGAAGACGCCAATTTCGGTGCAAATCGCCTCCGCGGTAAGCTTGTTGTCGCCGGTGATGACGATAACGCGAATACCGGCAGTGTGACACGCCTTAATGGCTCCAGCGACTTCCGGTCTCGGGGGATCTCGCAAACCAGTCATGCCAACGAAGATTAAATCGGATTCGATGGACGCGTACGCGGACGGATCCTTGAGCACCTTGTGCGCCTTGTGCTTCTCTGATCCGTCGTACGAAGACAAATCACCAAGCGAAACCTTTTTCGCGAACGCGAGACATCGCAGCGCGTCGCGAGCCATCGTCGCTTGTTCGTTGAGGATGACATTTCGCATCGTTGCGGAAAGCGGCGCCGTCGCGCCGTCCGGCATCTGCACAAACGCGCAGCGTTCAAGCAACACTTCAGGCGCCCCCTTGACGAGGAGTTCGTTGGCGCTACCCCGCTTGCTATCGGTCTTTTCACTCGCGATGACGCTCATCGACTTGCGATCACGATCGAATTCTAAAGTTGCCCGGACGTCGTGTGCACTTTCAATCATGTCGCACACGATTTGTGCGTGTTGCTCGGGTTTGGAGGAGCGCTTCTTGGCGACGCCGCGCATGTCATCCAAACCAATCTTCTCGCACAAAACTTTGAGCGCACCTTCCGTCGGTTCACCGACGCACTTGTACGCATCGTTTTTGTACTCCAACTGAGCGCCGTTGCACAAAGCAGAAATCTTAGCGATGGCGCGCAAACTCGCGTCAAGCTTTTTCGGCGCGCCGACGACGCCACCCTCGGTGGGGTTGTACGTCGTCCCTTCGACGGTGTATGTCGTCAAGTGAGTCTCATCGCGCACGGTGATGAGCTTTACGGCAGACATTTGATTCGTGGTCAACGTACCCGTCTTGTCGCTGCAAATAACACTCGTGCAACCAAGAGTTTCCACGCTCGGCAACTTGCGAACGATGGCGTTCTTCTTCGCCATCTTTCTTGTACCGAGCGCCAAGCACGTCGTGATTACCGCCGGTAAGCCTTCGGGAATAGCCGCCACGGCGAGAGCGATGGCGATTTTGAAATAATACGTACACTTCACGAGATCAAACGCCACGCTGGGGATCGTTGACCCAGCCTTGAACTCAAATTGAACAAAGTGCCTGTAGTTGATCAACCACACGAGAAGGCAAATGACGCCAATCATCATCGTCAAGCTCTCACCGAATCGATCGAGCTTTTGCTTCAGCGGCGTATCCTCCTCTTCCTCGCTCGCTTCTTTGATTTGCGACTGAATCTTCCCGATCTCGGTCGACATACCCGTCGAGTTCACCACGCACAGACAGCATCCGTTGGACACCGCCGTGCCGGCGAACAGCATGCACGTCTTCCCTTGCAACTCGATGTCTTCATCCTTCACGCTCTCCACGCGCTTATCCACCGCCACGGATTCCCCAGTCAACGACGCCTGCTCCACGCGCACCGTCGCCGTCTTCAATCGAATCACTCGACAATCCGCCGGCACTCGATCGCCCGTCTTCAGCTCCACCACGTCCCCCGGCACCAATTCCCGCGCCTCGAGCGAGCCGTTCCATCGACCGTCTCTCAGGCACTTCGCGTGTTCGCTCTGCATCTCCTTCAGCGCATCCAGCGCGCGCTCCGCGTTGCTCTCCTGCCACACCCCGACGATCGCGTTCAGCACCAAAATCAGCGCGATGACCGCCGGCTCCGCGTACGCCGCGAGTCCCTCCTCCGCGCCGCCCTCCGCGTACGCCAGCGCCAGCGACACCGCCGCCGCCGCCAGCAGCACCTTCACCAGCGCGTCATCGAACTGTTCCAGCACCAGTCTCCACAGCGCCTTCCCCGGCTCGCGCTCGAGCTCGTTGTGCCCGCCCGCGCGCGCGCGCCGATCGTCCACCGACGCCGACGCGATCCCGACGGTTTCGTCGCTGTCGTGATGCGCCAGCGTCCGCGCCGGCGCGTTCGACCACGCGGGGTAGACGGGCGCGGTCATCTCGATCGTCGACGTCGACGCCGACGCCGACGACGCGCGTCGCGTTCCGTCGCGCGCCATTAATCGCGCCGCGCACCCGTCGTCGACATCCAGAACCTTCGACCGCGCGCGCGGCGACCGACCGCCCGACCGCGACGATTGACGTTTTGTGTCGCCGATTGTCGTCGACCACACGGTGCGACGCGAAGGCGCGACGACGACGACGACGACGACGACGACGGGATGGGGCGAAAGCGACGCGCGGGGACGGCGACGTGCGTCGCGATGGCGGCGATGCGAGCGATGGCGACGCGGGCGACGGACGCGGGCGACGCGGAGGCGGTGAGGACGCTGCTGGCGAGCGCGAGGGACGACGAGGCGCTGGGACGCGCGCTGGCGATCGGGGACGTGTGCGCGATCGGGGACGGGACGGTGGCGTGCGATGAAAACGGGAGGGTGGTGAAGATACGGTTGCGCGGACGAGGGCTGCGAGGGAGGCTGCCGGCGCGCGTGCCGAGGATGGAGCGGTTGACGACGTTGGACGCGAGCGATAACGCGCTCGAGGGAACGATTTCCGAGGAGTTCTTGTTGGCGATGCCGAATCTCGTGGAGCTGCATTTGAATTTGAACACGCTCGAGGGACCGATTCCGAAGTCGATCGGGACTTTGACGTCGCTCGAAGTCCTGAATTTGGACGGCGGCTTCACAGAGAGACAGAGACGATTCGACGCGTCGGTACCCGTCGACAAGCGCGAAGTGTACGGATTTCCGGGGGTTCACTTTGGCAATCAACTTTCGGGCAGCGTTCCCGCAGAAATCGGTAATCTCGTCAAGCTCAGAGAGTTGAATTTGCACAGAAATATGCTCGGTTTGAAGACGGATCGTCTCGCTCTCCCGGCGAGCGTCGGGAATCTCGTCGAACTCGAATCCATGGACGTGTCCGGGAACCAACTCCACGGCGCCATTCCACAAGAGCTCGCCACACTTCCACGCCTTCGAACGTTAAATCTGGACGATAACTTCATCAGCGGGTTTATACCGAGCGACTGGTCCTCCGCCCTGGCGCTCGAGTCCTTGATCGTCGAAGGCAACTTTTTGAGCGGAACTTTACCTCGATTCCTACCGCGAAACTTGACGTTCCTCGACGTGCACGAAAATTTGCTTACGGGTTCGATCAACGAACTTTCTCGGCTAAAGCGGCTCGAGGGCGTGCTGCTCGATCGCTGCCGATTCACGGGTCCGGTGACTCTATCCAAGGCGTCTCTGCCGAATCTCAAAATGATTAGCCTGGCAAACAACGCTGGGCTTTGCGGTGCACTTCCAGACTTACCATTCGCCACGAAGGAGCAAAAGGAAGCCGAGTGCGACAAACCGTGGGAACTTTGTCAACTTTGGCCGGAAACAGCGGGCACGCTTCTCGGTTTGGGGTCATGTCAATGCGCTGCGCCAGGCGAAGGCTGTTCCATCTGGGAACTCAGCGGAAGGAAAGAAACGTGCTGCGAGGAAGGTACGTGTCTCAGCGTTCCTTTCGAGTTCGGTGGGAAGCAGTGTGTGCCATGTTCAGACGCGTATCAGAAATGTGGTGGGAAATCTTTCGACGGCCCAACTTGCTGCAAGCGCGGTCTAACGTGCACTCGAATTGACGACGACAGGTCCGAGTGCCTGCCCTGTAACGCGCAGTGGGAGCAGTGCGCCGGCGCACTTTACGACGGACCCAAGTGCTGTGCGCCTGGCAACTCTTGCGTGTACTTTGATGCGTATTACTCGCAGTGTCAACCTTCGTCGGTGTTGTTATAAATCGAGGCGGCGTTCCCGAGGTGGCGCGACGAGCCCGAGGGGCAGGCACGTCGGTGTTGTTATGAATCGAATCGAGGCGGCGTTCCCGAGGCGGCGCGACGAGCCCGAGACGCGGGCGTTATATGGACGCCATTTCGAGACTCGCGCGCGAATAGTCGTGCATTTCAGACTCAACTTCAAACACAACACTATGATTTGCAAAGTCTCAAGCGCTTTCTACTCGGTTTTTCTCATCTTACTGCTCGGCGCCTCTCGCGTCTCCGCCGTCGCGAGGCAGGAGGTGGACATCGTGTACGCCTCGGGAGAAGACAGAGACCCAATCACGCTCTACATCCCCGACGTCTCCGTGCCCGGCGAGGATAACGCGACAAATGTACCACCAGATGTTCCTCTCATCGTTCTTCTCCACGGGCGCTGCATGGATGGCGACTCCACAAACCGAATTTTGCGCTTCACCGAGCAGGTGGATTCTCGCGAGTTCATCCTCGCACTTCCCGAAGGGACGAGAAATCGATTCTGGTGCTCATCGTGCACTCGACTTGGTGGTATTTTGAACACTCGCTACGGATGTAGATCTTGGGCTGCAACACCCGCGTGCTGCGCAGCTGGACGCTTCTCGTTACGCCCGGGGGATCCGGAGACGTGGGAACCCGTCGACGACGTCGAACATCTCGCGCAAGTCATCCGAGCCGTGAAGTCTCAGTACAACGTCGCCGAGGACAAGGTTTACATCGTCGGTTGGGAGAACGGTGGGTTCATGGCGTATCGCATGGCTTGCGAGAAGCCCGATTTAATCTCGGGTATCGTATCTATCTCTGGTCTGACCTTCGCGGACGCGCAATCCAACTGCGCCGCGTTCACGGCGACGACAAAGACGCCAGTGAACGTCTTGGCCATCCATGGTGAACTCGACAACATTCCCGTCGATGGCGGTCGATTCGAAGGTAAACCTGTACCTTCCGTTGAACAAACGTTGGCTGGCTGGGCCGATCACAACGGGTGCGATGCGTCGGCGAAAGTCACGACTGCAGACGCGCTCGTCTCTCGCCAAAAGCTGCTCCCGAACAACCCAGATACTGATCTCGTGCACTTTGGCAACACGAGCCAGTGCGACGTCGGTGGTCGCACCGAGCTTCGACTTGTTTCGGGTTTGAACACCGAACTCGCGACCGCGCTGACCTTTACGGCAGATTTTGGCCCTTCTCTCATCGACTGGATGCTTGAAACGGATGGCGTGTCGAATAACGGCTTCGTCGACGATGATGATTTGGCTCCCGCACCTGGACCGAGCGTCGAGACATCCTCGGGCCCAAATGGTTTCACTCACTGTCCACCGGACGTTCTGCGTTGCCCTGATGGTGAAATGGTGACTCGACAAGTGCCGAACTGCGACTTTCAATGCTCGAGCGGCGCGCCGACGCTTTCGTATCTCGAATCAATTTGCACGGCGAACGATTGCTGCGGGACCTACGGACTGTGCTTATCAACTTCAAAGTGCGCCGATACGTCATGCCCGAATGATATTACGCTCGAAAACTACGATGCATATATGAGTGCTCGCGACAACGAACCGCGTTCGAGCGGCGCGCCCGCCGGCGTCGCCGCGGCGCTCGCCTTCGGGTCCTTGGTCGCGTTCGCGACGTTAATTTAAAGCGCTGTATTTACCACATGCGCCATGCGCTTGTCGGCTTGACTATCGTACGTTGAGTTTTAATATGCACCGAGAGCTTTTACTATAACATTTTGTGTTTCTATCGCGGCTCGCTCGCCCTCTTTGGTGCGCGGACGTTTAAATGCTTGCTTTTACGCGCCGCCGCGGCGCGTACGCGTACTGACGGTCGAAGCCTTCAACGCCGAAATCATCGCGTTAGATGCATCGGTCTGCTGAATTCTTGCTGCCGGCGCGGGAGCACTTGGCGGAGCGTTGGACTTTTGCGCGCGCAAAGTCAAGCCAACGGTCACCGAACTCGCCCCGTTATCTTCCTCGAGATCCATTCCCGTGGCTTGGTCCTCCACCGAATCAGATTTGTCAGGCGTGCTCGTCTTCGTATCGCTATCCGCGGCTTGAAGCATGAGTAACATCTCGGCCTCTTCTTCAAGGTTCTTCGCAGGCTTATTCGAAGTCGACAATTTTGACATGCGCCCGGACAACGCGCTGTCGTCTCGCGGCGTCCCGCCTCTGCCTTGCACCGGACGCGTCGGAAGCGGAGGCAACTGCGCTCGTACAGACGCTGGGATCGGAACGTCTTTGCCAAAGTTCGTCACTGCGGCGTCGCCGCGGATCGCACGAGCCGCGGCGTCGTACGCCAAAGCCGCTTCTTCGGCAGAATCGAACGTACCCAACCAAAGCCTTGACCCGCGCGTGGGGTCTCTGATTTCGGCTGCGTACTTGCCCCACGGCCGTTGTCTAACCCCTCGGTACACACTCTTTTGCGGTTTACCGCTCGAGTTCAGCGGCATCGACGCGCTCATCGAAGCGCCGGGCATCGACGACACGGCTACGGCCGCAGCAGTCACCTCGTTGACCGCAGCTCGGGCGATCTCCATCTTCTTCGCCTTCGTCGCGCCCGACGGCGGCTTGTGCACGCCGCCCGACTTGACTGGAGGCGAGGACGAAAAGTGCGCCATCGCTCGCGGCGAGTCCTTCAAGTTCATCGGAGGACTAAACGCACTAAATCCACTATTAGGAGATCCGATGTGATGCTTACCCGGAAGCGAGGAAGACAATCCCGGAAACCCGATCCCGCGGTCCATGGGCGCCTTCGGCCGAACGACTTGCGGAATCGCCGTCGGCGACGACCCGTAAAACGACGGCGACGACCCGAGCGATCCCGGCGACGTTCCCGCCAAAAAGTTCGGTGACGTCCCTGCGATCATATTTCCACCTCGTCCGATCCCCGACGCCCCCGCCAACGCACCACCAACCCCTGGATAAAATCCCGGCGCGCTCCCCACCGCGAACCCCCGCGTCGGCGGGGTCGCGCTCAAATCGACCGGATTCGCAAACGCCGCGAACGCCGCCCCTTGCATCGCCCCGATCGCTCCCGCCGCCATCTCATCGTCGCCCATCATCGCGCTGTCGCCTCTCGACGCCGTCATCGTCCCTCTCGCGCGTCCCGCGTCTCGAGTCCGGCGTCGCGGCGCCCAGTCGCCCGCGTCCGTCTCCTCGACCCTCGCGCGCGCGCCTCACCGTCGCCCGAGCGCGCGTCTCACCCCGAGCGATCGCGAACCACCCTTTATCTCGCGTTTCCCGCGCGCCGTCGCGCCCGTCGAACGCCGCGCGCGTCACCGCGCGCCCGCGCCCCGCGGTCGGATGGATAGGTCGCGACGCGATGCGTCCGATGCGACGCGATTACCGTCCGTATCGTCGTCGCGCGCGCTCGAGCGTCGCCCGAATCTCGCCTCGCGCGAGATCGCGTCGCGTCGCGTCGCGTCGCCGCGTCGCTTCGATCGCGCGTCGCTTTGCCGCGTCGTCGCGCGCGTGGACGTGCCGCGCGTCGACGCGGCGGCGGCCGCCGGTCGTTTCGAACGACGACCGCGCGATCGCGACGGCGCGGGTGACCGCACATTGAAGCGATCCTGACGCCATGTCGTTTGTCCGAGTAGCGTTTTATGTGTGAGTTTATCTTCAGGATGATGGGCGAATCTCGCGCGCGGGGCGAGCGAATCGACGATCGCGGGCGCGTAAGTTTTGCGTAATGGCGTCGTCACTGGTGCGCGCATAGGGGAGGCGCGTGCGCGCATAGGCGCGCGCGAAGGCGCGGCGCGCGAGTTCGCCGCGCGCGATGGACGCGCTCGCGTCGAGCGACGCGCTGGTGCTCGCGAGCGCGACCGTGCTCTGCGCCTCGGTCGTCGGGTTGATCGCGGTGCGCGCGGCGTCGAACGCGACGGGGAAAGATGGGACGATGACGACGGCGTCGTGGTTCGGCGCGCTCGGTCGCGGGCGGGCGCCGGCGACGGCGAAAGAGACGTTCGACGACGCGGGGAAAGTGCGTCTGAGCGTGTTTTACGGCACGCAGACGGGGACGAGCGAGCGGTACGCGCGGGAGGTGGTGGCGCACGCGCGCGCGCGGTACGGCGCCGCCGTGGCGGCGCGCGCGGTGGATCTCGAAACCGTGGATTCCATGCACGCCGAGGACGCGCTCGTGGCGGAGACCGGGTGCTGTGTGTTTCTGCAATCGACGTACGGGGACGGGGAACCGACGGATACGAGCTCGGATTTCGTGTATTGGGCGCGGGACTGCGCGAGCGACGGGCGGATGCCGGATTTGTTGGAAAACGTAACGTTCAGCGTGTTCGGGCTCGGTAATCGTTGCTACGAACAGTTCAACGCGGCGGCGAAGATGGTTCACAAGGCTTTGGTGGATTTAGGCGCTCAACCGCTGCTGAAGCTTCACTTGGGAGACGACGACCAGTGCTTGGAGCAAGACTTTGAAAATTGGATCGAGGCGTTTTGGCCCGCGTTCGAGGCCAAGTTTGGTTTACATTCCGACGGCGGCGACGAGGAGTTGCCTCGTTACGACGTCATCATTATGCGTGGTAGCGACGGCGAGCGCGCAGCGGCGAGTCAGGCGGCCAAATACGAAAAGGAGCACTCTAACACGCGCGTCGCGCCGACGGCGGCAAAGCCGTACCTCTCCTCCGTCAAAGTTGTGCGCGAACTCTTCAGTAAAGATGCCGATCGAAGTTGCGTTCACGTAGAGTTTGATATTTCAGGCTCGAGCGTGCAGTACAAGACGGGCGACCACTTGGGCGTGTTTGCGGAGAACGGTAAGGACGTCACGAAGCGCGTAGCCAAAGCGCTGAAGCTCGACGTCGACGAGGTCTTCCGTTTGGTGAAGCCGAGTGGTGCTCCTGCGTCGCTCGCCGAGCCGTTCGCGACGCCCATGACGGTCGGAGATGCGATTGCGCGGTACGCGGACGTTTTAACGCCCCCTCGAAAGCAAGCGCTCGCTGCGCTCGCCTCCGTCGCTTCGGGCAAGGACGCAGAAAAGCTCGCCTTTTTAGCCTCGCCGGCGGGCAAGGATGAATTCGCAAAGTACATAACGAAGCCCCACAGATCGCTTTTGGAGGTGATGGAGGACTACTCCAGCGCTGTTCCAGATATTGGATTATTCTTTGGCGCCGTTGCGCCTCGTTTAGCGGCTCGATTTTACAGCATCAGCTCAAGTCCGGCGGCTAACAAAAACGTCGTCACCGCCACCGTCGCCGTCGTCAAAGAGAAAGTCTTCACCGGTCGCATGCACGAAGGTGTCGCGAGTACATTCTTACAGCGCGCGGCTGAAGGCCAAAAGATTCCGATTTTCGTGCGAACGAGCACTTTCCGACTGCCGACAAATCCAGAAGCGCCTGTTATCATGATTGGACCAGGCACCGGCTACGCCCCTTTCCGAGGTTTCTTGCAAGAGCGCACGGCGCTTCAAGCTTCTGGTGCCAAGTTAGGCCCGGCGATGCTGTTCTTTGGATGCCGTAACAAAGATCGCGATTTCATATACGAAGCAGAGATGCAGACCGCGTTGCGAGAGGGCGTGATTACCGACCTGGACGTGGCGTTTAGCCGCGACGGGCCGAAGAAGGTGTACGTGCAGGACAAGATTATCGAAAAGGCGTCGACGGTGTACCCAATCGTCAAAGGTACCGTGGGCAAAAACGAGGGCGCGGTGTTCATTTGCGGTGACGCGAAGAACATGGCAAAGGATGTGAACAAGGCGCTCCTGAGTGTGTTGATGCGCGAGGGCGACTACGCGGCGCACGAAGCGGAGGAGATTTTACGTCGCCTGAAGGCAGAGTTTAGATACCATCAGGACGTGTGGTAGCACACATGTTTGTAGCAACAATTGTTTGCACGTTCATCGCTCGCGATGTGGCATATCGTAGCCGCCGCGCTCGTTCGCCACGGGGACATCGAGAGCGCTCGCGATCGCTCGCCTGAAGTCTTCCATCATCTCCTCCCTAGTCGCATTTTCTGCTACTTTTGGTTTGATAAACTCCACGCGTGATCGATTCGACGGAATCTGTGCCAAAAAGAACAGTATGCCGAATAAGGTGTGCAGTCTCGACGACAACGGCCACGTAGGTGAAAATTCTCCGAGTCCCTGGAACGTGAGTGCGACACCCTGCATACGCTCAGCGGACACGATCTGAAAGCATCCCGGATGAATCCATGTTCGAAGACTCGTGCCATAATCAGCCGAACCTTCGGGGAATACGACGAGCGGCCGACGACGAGTGGAAGATTTAGGGCTGAGGAGGTCGCGTAATTCGTACACCGCAAACTTTCGCATGGATTCGTCGACGAAATACAAGTCCAAGGAGATCCCAAGTTCTCGCAGGAACGGCAGCTCGACAATGGACGCTCCACCGACGAAGATTGGCACTTGATTAAGCGCGAAGGACAACACCAGCGCGTCGATGATTCCACGGTGATTGCACACGAGTACATCAGCTTGCGGATCACGCTCGCCTTGGACGTCCAGTTTCGAGTATCCCAAGCAGAACAATGCCACCTTTGCCGCAAAATGCGCGACACGAAGATGTGTGTCGTGAAACTTCATGAACCATGTGGGATACTCCGCATTAAGTCGTAGCTTGAGCCAATCATTCACGAATGCGACGCGAGAGTTGGTACCGGCCTCCTCGGCGGCGTGCTGAGTCGCTCGGGGGCCCAAGCGAACGTTGAGAAGAAAACACAGCAAAATGTGCGCCACGCTTTCCACCCAAAGCAAACCGAGCGTCGTCACGAACGCGCACAGTCGCAGCGGAAGAAGGATGAACACGCGATAGCCTCTCCGCACGAAGTTGCTTCGAGGGTAAACGGCGGTGGGGGTCATTTTCTGACCACCCTCGGATGTTCGAGAAATTTCCTCAAACTTGAAAAAAAAACTAACATCATTTACAGTCTCAGCGTGCAGGTGGAGCGGATTCTACGCCCCCGGTCAGAGCGAATCTTCCTTTCTCCCGGGGAAACACTACGGCGTCTTCGGGCCAAGGCCAGCCACCGAATTGGGTTTGTCTATAGTCTGAAAAGGCTTGGCGAATTTCAGCTTCAGACGTCATTACGAAAGGCCCGTGCTGCGCCACAGGCTCGCCGATAGGCTTTCCTTGCAAGACGAGAATGATAACTTCGTCTTCACCAATATTCTTTACCTGAACTTCACGCGACGCATCCACGTCCAGCACGGCTTTACGATCGAGCGTTTGACCGCAAACTTCAATCGCGCTCCCTTCGCAAAAGTATAACGAACGATTCGTCGACTTGCCACCGCGCGCACGGGCGAGGGTAAACGCCGCGCCTGGTTCCATCTTCAACAAATATACTCCTACGTCGTTCTCCGGCTTTGCGGCCCACGAATTGGGCGTGGGCGCGAGCGCCTTGACGCCGTCGTACTCTCCGGTCCAAACCGTGATTTCCACGCCGTCTCGCTTTCGCACCGGTATGTCCTCGCTCCAGTGCATCACAAAAGCGGGCTCAACCATCTTATCCGCACTCGGCAGGTTCAACCAAATCTGAAACAACTGCAACGTGTTCGGCTTGTCGTCGTGTTTCAACGGGAACATCTCGCCGTGAACGATACCCGCGCCCGCCGTCATGTATTGCAAATCCCCATCCCCGTACCGCCCGGCGTTCCCGTGCGAGTCGCTGTGATCGATCGTTCCTTTCATCACCGCCGTTATCGTCTCGAATCCTCGATGCGGGTGCTGCGGGAAGCCGGGAATGTTGTCGCCGTGGTACATTCTGTACGGCTGTTTGGCGTCAAAGTCAGCGCCGTTCCCGCGCCTCGGCGCTTGCATTTTCGCGTCGCCGGCCGGGAAGAGGTCTTTGTGGTAGACGCAGAACAGAAACGGATCGCGCGTCGCCATGGGCGCGGGAACCGATATCGCGTGGGCACCCTGAATCACCTCAGACATGACGGCGCGCGCGGTCGCGCGACGCGCGAACGGACGCGCGTGCGACGCCGTACAGTCGCGCGAGAGTGCTGGAACGCGCGCGTGGGAGAGTAACGCGCGACGCATGCGCGCGAGCGCGAAGTGGGGAGGTTTGACTTTTTCGACGGCGGGTGCGACGGCGGTCTCGCGACGGCGTCGCGGTCTCGCGGCGACACCGCGTGGCTAAGAACTAAAACACCGGCCTAAAACGATGGCTTGGTCGGAGTGATTTCTAAATCTAAATCGAACACGCGCGCGAACGCGCTCAGGAAGGCGTCGCGAGCGTCGAGCATCAACGCGACGTCGTCGGCGTCGGCGCTCTCGCGAGGGACGAGCGGCGTGGCTTCGGACGCCGAACTCACCAGACCGACGTCCCCTCGCAAGAGCTGGGAGACGCTACCGACCGGTTTATCGCCTATGCCGCACGGGATGATGTTGGCGAAGTGCGAGAGGTCGGGACAGACGTTCAGGGCGACGCCGTGGTAGGACACCCATCGTCGCGCGCGCACGCCCACCGCCGCCACCTTGTGCCCGTCGCACCACGCCCCCGTCAACCCATCCACGCGTCCGCACTTGGCCGCGTCCAACCCTAACTCAATCATCGCCTCCAGCGCCACGGATTCCAGCGCGCGCATGTACCAGTGCAAATCAGCCTCGTGCGGCGCGCGCGCCAAGTTTAGAATCGGATACAGCACCAACTGCCCCGGCCCGTGATACGTCGCCTCCCCCCCCCGCTCGCACCGTCGCACCTCGAACCCCGTCGGCGGTCGATCGACGTTAAATTTCAAGTTATCCACCGTCGATCCCGCGCCCAGCGTCACCGTCGGCGGGTGTTGCAGCAGTATCGCTGCGTCGTTCGCGTCGTCGCCGCGCTCGAGCGCGCGCTCGAGAAATCCTCGCTGCCACGCCCACGCCTCGTCGTACGGCGTCAGCGCCGTCGACAGGTCGTGCACCTCGCACGTCCGTCGCGCGTTCGCGTCGCGTCCCGTCGCGCGCGCGCTCGTCACGCGTCGCGCGTTCGCGTCGCGTCGCGTCGCCGCCGCCGCGTCCGTCCCGCGTCGCGCGTCGCCGTCGCGCGCGCGTCGCGCGTCGCGCGCGCGCGTCCGCGTCCGCGTCCGCGTCCGCGCGCGTCCCGTCGCGCGCGCCGTCGCGCGCGCCGTCGCGGTCGCGGTCGCGCGCGGCATCGCGTCGTCGAGTCGCGCGCGTCGAGTCGCCGCACTCGATGCCGCCGAGGAAGCGCCGCGCGTCGCGCGCGCGCGCTGAAAACGACGGCGCGCGCGACGGCGACGACGCGCGCGCGACGCGCGCCGTTCGCGCGCCGTACGGCGTCGAGCGTCGAACGATCGCGCTTTCGCGCGGCGACGGCGACGGCGACGGCGACGGCGACGGCGTCGCGTGCGTGGACGGCGCGTGCGTCGCGCGGTGCGTCGATGGCGCGGTGACGGTCGGCGGGTACGCGCTCGCGGCGTCGCGGGCGACGGCGGAGGAGGTGGTGGTGCGGAGCGCGGCGGGGATGGCGAGCGCGACGACGTGCGCGGCGAGCGGCGGCGGCGGGGCGACGTTGGAGTTCCGAGCGGTGCGCGGCGGCGGGGCGTACGCGGTGTGCGGGGCGAGGGAAGCGCGGGCGTTGGGATGGACGCCGACGATGGTGTCGAGAGATTGGGAGCGCGCGCTGACGCGCGTGCGGGAGGCGGCGACGAGGACGAGGGAGGCGTTCGCGGCGGCGTTCGTCGGGCCGAAGGGCGTGGGGAAGAGCACGCTCGCTCGGCACGCGGCGAACGTGATTTTGCGCGAACGAGGGGTGTGTGGGTGGTTGGATTTGGATTGTGGACAGCCCGAGTTGACGGCGCCCGGGATGGTGTCGCTGACGATTTTACGCGCGCCGTTGCTCGGGCCGCCGCAGACGCATCAGGCGAGCGGCGCGGAATTCGAGGGCGCTCCGAGCGCGCCGCTGTACGCGAGCTTCGTCGGCGACGTGAGCCCGCAGGGCGATCCAGACGCGTACGTCGAAGGGGCACTCGCGTGCGTCGACGCGTGGGCGGCGCTGGGTGAAGACAAACCGGCGCTCGTGGTGAACGCGAGCGGTTGGGTGAAGGGACTCGGATTGGAGCTCGCGGAGGAAATTCTGCGCGCCGTCGGTCGAAGCACGGAATCGTGTTACGTGATTAACATAAATTCGCACGTCGCGAGTAGGAACGTGCCCGACGATGTGTACTGGTTTCACGACGCAAACGTTCCGGAGACTTCGAACCCGCGAGTGACGACGTACGAAGTCGCCGCCGGTTTCGGGACGGCGCCAAAGGGCGCCGACGCGGAGACAGAGGAGACGAGCGTAGAAACGTACGAAAACATCGCGAACGATGCGTCTCCGGGCGGGACGAAGTCGAAAGACACGAAAAGGTCACCCAGCGATTCGCGCGCGTTGTCCTGGCTCGCTTGGTCTCGACAAACAGTGGCGATGTGCAACGAGCGACCTCACGAAGGCGCTCTCGAACTGGACGATTTGGGCGAAAACGAAGCGTTCGCGGCGACGGCTTTCGACTTGACGACGGCGACACCGTGGCGCGTGTCGTTTGACGACATCACTTTGCACGTATTGCAAAGCGATTTGGATGCGCGCGAGGCGCTGATGGCGCTCAACGGTGCGGTCGTCGGACTGTTGAAATCCGCCGCACCTGGACGCTATTGCGCTGAATGCGTCGGCGTCGGCGTCGTGAGAGGAATCGATGTTGACAACCGCTACGTTTACATCCTCACGCCGGTATCGAGTGAAAAACTTAAATCGGTAACGACCCTCGCGCTCGGAACATTAGAATTTCCGCCGCGTCTGCTCGGACATGCCGGAGAATATCCGTACATGCAAGTGGGAGCGATAGCGAACGAGGGCAGCGGTAGCAAAGCGATCAAGAGTCGAAACAACATCCTTCGTCAAAACACCGCGCCGACGAGGCGTTGACGGAATAGCTGAACTATAGTGTATTTCATTTCAATCGATCAAAGTGTATCATTTGTTTCAACAGACATTTTCTAGTGCGTTTTGGACCTTCTCGACGAGTTGCTTGACTTGCCCATCGTTCGACGTCCACAGCGCGTTGAGAGCGTTCCGCATTTGTATCTTGTCCTCGGACGTAATTTCAAGCACCTCCATCGTTCCGATCAAAATATTAAGCAAAACAGTCGTGACTTCGTTCGTCCAATCGAGGGCGTCTTCGCGATGTACGATGCACGCACCCAACACGGTGACGAGAGTTTTGCGGCAAGCGTTGCGGTCGACCGCGCTCGTCCAGGCTTCCATCGAGAAACATTTCTCGAGAAAGTTCAAACCGGACGAGACGTGGCGGACATTGTCGCGAATGTCCGGCGACTGGTAACGTATGCCCTTTGCAAGTTCTCGCGATAACGTCAGGAACTCCTCCGGGCGTAAGGCAGAGCACGTCTCAATCGCAGTTTGACTGCCGAGGGCGCGGCAGAGAATGCGCATGGCGAGAACGGAAAACTCTTCGTTGCGTCTGCCCAGCGCATCAATCATGAGCTGCATCACTTGTTTGGAGAACATGCGATTGGTCACGAATTTCATTCCCGCCGTAGGGTCACACAAAAGCGCATCCATTATCTCCAATGCCGCGAGTTTCAACGACTCCTGTCCACTTTCTATGCAAGAAGTTATCGCGCTCACGAGCGCATCTCCACCGCAAGCGGCATCGACGCTCGCACGGGCTGGTGTGACGAGCTTGCGCTCCGAAACACCATTTTGGCCGTTCCCGAGCGTGCGAAACACAACCACGAGCAATTTCTCACACGCAATACGGAATGCCGTCTTTTGCGATTTGGCGCCGACGCTTCTGATCAGACATGAAACAAACGAATCGGGAACAACCCCCTGTTCAACGCACGCTTTCAAGTTCGACTCGTCAAAAATGTGCTTGTAATCATCCCGGAACATCCCTTTGGAGTCTTTCGACCTCGACATACTCGCAATCGCGAGATTCCAGATTGGCGCGTCCGTCGCGGTGGGAAGTTTTTCCTGCTCTGTTTTGCCGAAGAATGTCTCCAAAGTTCGTGGAGCCGCAGCGGCGCCATCGCCTTGCTCGATTTTGCGTTTTTTCACCGTACTCTTTGCTGGAACGACAGCGTTAGCTCGCAGCTCTGCAACCTCTTCGTCACTCACACCGGCGTCTTGCATAGCCTTCTCCGTAATGATCCAGCGATTCGACACATGCGTCGCAATTTCCATGATCTTTCGTTTCACCGCCGAGTGATTCAAACCGGCGATTGAGTGACAAGCTTCTTCGAGGAACTTGGCTTTCACCTGGTTCACTTTCAACGACGGGTTTCTCAAAAGGAAGATGACCAGCATTCGGAGATTTTCCTGAAGTATGTCGTCCGCACTCTTTTTTGTGGCAGTCTTGGCCGCTTTCGAAACCGTCTTCGACGCTTTCACCGCCGACGCCGGCTGTGAAGTTGACACTTTGAGGCTAATGCGCGGCGCGTTCGAAAACGGCGCCTCCAACGCGAACAGGCGTAACAAACTTGATTCTCCGCCATTTTCAGCAACTGTCGTGGCTAATTTAGAAATCACGAGCGGAGCCGCCGAGCGGCGTGAACGGTTGGCAAGCATCGCCATCGTGCTTCGCTTTTGCGTCATTTCCGCATCATCGCCAATAGCTGCAGCGTCGAAATGCCTGGGTTCATCGGCCATCTCGTCGTCGCCTGCGATAAAACCATCGTCCTCATCATCTGAAGCCTGCGGCATGTCGTCTTCTTCGTCGATGTCTTCATCCGAAAGGCTTTCGCCTTGGTCAGCGCCTTCCCATTCCTCCGCGGAATCATATTCGTAATCAACATCTTTTTCTTGTCCGAACGGCCTTCTTCCAGTCACAACGGATGCGTTCGCCGGACGGTTTGGAAACGGTCCAGTTCCCCAAAATGCGGGGCGCTCGTATAAGGCGACATCGATATCAAACAAGCGGCGTTGACGCGCACTCTTGTGAACCATCCCGTCATCGTCGCGCTTGCGCTTACTCAGCAAAGAAAAGCAAAGCACAGATGTCACCTCGACGTCCCGTTGGATGCGTCGCGCACCCCATCGTTTCTCAATTCTACATTCTTTACGCTTGGTCTTCCAACGTTTCAAAGACGTTTCACGAATCGCGTCCATATCCTCGACGGCATCCTCCGCGCGCACGATATCATCCAACTTTTCCCGCACCTCTCGCGAAACCTCCGGCGTTCGCACTTCCGGCGTCACCACGGGTTTCGATTTCACCGCTGGCGACTTCACAAAAAATTGCGCGAAAACGTTCGCTTCCTTGGCCTTTTTCGCCTCGAGTCGCCGCTTCTCCTCTAATTTCGCCTTCTCCGCCGCCTCCTTCTCCGCCTTCGATTTCGCCTTCTCTGCCTTCAGCGCCGCCGCTTCGCGTTCCTTCTCCGCATTGGCCGCTTCCTTCTCCGCCTTCGCCCTCGCCATTTCTAGTTCCTTCTCCACCTTGGCCGCTTCCTTCGCCGCCTTCGCCCTCGCCATTTCTAGTTCCTTCTCCGCCTTGGCCGCTTCCTTGGCCGCCTTCTCCTCCTCGCGGCGTCGCGCCTTCTCCGCCTTGGCCGCCTCCTTCGCCTCCTTCGCCGCCTGCGCCGCCTGCGCCTTGGCGAGCTTCTCCGCCTCCTTCGCCGCGTCCACCTTGCGCTTCTTACTCGTCGTCGTCGTCGTCGCGTTCGGACCGAAATTTGAATTCGTCAAGTCGATTGTCGCTACCGCGCGCGTCGGCGACTTAGACGCGCGCGTCGGCGACGGCATCGCGTGCGCGTTGGTCGTGTCCACAACTCCCGAACGATCGCGCGACGGCGAAGACATCGCGGTGCGATGTGAAGCGTGAGTTTGAATTCTTGGACACTTCGAGCGACAGCTGAGAACGCGCGGGCCGAGTCGCGGCGCGAATCAAAGCACAGCTGGAGTAAAAAATGGTGCGTGATTTACAAGACACGATCACTGGTCGTATGCAGACGTCAATGCTTTATATTTGCCGCCGGCGCGGATGAGCTCGGCGTGAGTGCCGCTCTCGGCGACGACGCCGCCGGCGTTGTCGACATTTTCGAGCAGGAAAATCTTGTCGGCGTTTCGAATCGTCGACAGGCGATGGGCGATGACGATTGTCGAGCGCTTGCTGCCGTCGGCGAGTAAACCGTCAAGAGCGGCTTGAACGAGACGTTCTGACTCGTTATCGAGCGCCGAGGTAGCTTCGTCGAGGAGTAAGATGCGGGGATCGTTGACGATGGCACGCGCGATGGAGATGCGCTGCTTTTGGCCCCCAGAGACACGGCCACCACCGATGCCGACGTCGGAATCGTAACCGTCGGGCATGCGAACGATGAATTCGTGTGCATTGGCTGTTTTCGCCGCAGCGATGACTTGGTCGCGAGTTGCGATGCCGCCGGGCATGCCCGCCGCGATGTTATCGTGCACGCTTCCTGAAAAGAGCGTCGGTTCTTGCTCGACTAAACCCACATTGCTTCTGAACCACATCAAGTCTAACTCAGAGAGATCGACGCCATCGATGTAAATCTTACCCGCTGACCCCGCGCCTTCGATCGCAATCTTGAAATCGTTACCGTTATCGTCGTCTGTGATTCGTTGACTGACGCGAACGATTTCATAAAACCGTTCGAGGAGTTGAATCGCCGTCGACTTACCGCTTCCTGATTGCCCGATCAGCGCCACAGTCTGCCCCGGATTCACTTGGAGGTCCAATCCCCCAAGAACTGGCGCATCACGAGTTGGGTAGCTAAAGAACACGCCCTTGAACTCGATCTTTCCCTTCAAGTTGTCGATGACTTTGCCAAACTTCTTCTCGTCAGTGTCGCTCGACGAAGTCGGGACTTGGCGAGCGGTCTCCTCAATGCCGGAGACTTGAATGAACGGTTGCGCGTTCACCGGCGGCACGCGATCGATCATCTTGAAAATACGCCCGGCCGATGCCGTGCCATCGCGATTATCGCCGGCAAAAGTAGCCGCTTGCCCCGCGCCTGCAGCGCAGAAGCCCAGCGCCCAAAGCGACTTCATGAAATCCATGAAAGTGAGCTCTCCTTTGCCGATCAACTGCCCACCCCACCAAAAGGCGAACCCGTAGAAGCCCATCGTCAAAGCTTGCGCGAGGCCAAACGAACCACCAGTGCGCAAAGCCTTGCGTCGCTCTTCCGCCGTCGTCGTCGATATAGCTGCATCGTAATTCTCCGCCATTTTATCCTCAAGACCGAAGGCGTGTACGTCTTTAATCATCGTCACCGTCTCGGACACCCGAGCGGAACCTTCGGCGACGGTTTCGTCCAGCGACGTGCTATCAGCAAGATTTTTCATATTCAGCATTTCACCGATACTCAAAACGGGAACGCATGCAAGCAGCACGAGACCGTACTTCCACGACGCTGTGAGGCTCACAGTGAGACCAAACGTAAGCGCGGCGGCGGCTTGAATCACGCTTCCAAAACTTTGACCCGTCATAGTGCGAACTTTTGTCGTGTCGGCTTGGAGAAGTGTCGTCAACGCGCCAACGGTGTTCTCCTTCTCGTCAAAGAAGGCAACATCTTGGCGCATGATTGATCTGAATAAGTGAATGCGTAAACGCGTCGTGAGACGCTCGCCGATGTTACCAAAAATACCCCCTTGCGTTCCCATTACCAAAAACGCTCCGACGGCGACGGCACCCATCGCACCCGAAAGAACAGCGGATCTTTCTCGCATGTAAGTAATGTCATCCATGTAAAAGACAGTCAACAGCTCGGCGAAGACGAAGGCGACGGATGGCATGACGCAGCCATTCGCGATGGCGAAGAACATGCCAGTGATGAGCAAAGGAACGTCCTCCTTGCTGTACTTCCACACGCGCGCCGCGCTCACTTTGTACACCTCGGTCGGCTTATTTGCCGTAACTTGAACGTCTTTCTTTGTGAATTCTTCGCCGAATTCGCTCGTTTCGCGACGCACTGACTGAAAGGAGGAGAGTGACGCAGATCGCTTGACGCGCTTAGAGCCATCATCCTTGGTCAACCCAACCAGGTTTCTGTACATGCCCTTTGAGCCGAGCGCCATGAGCTCGTCGTGCGTGCCCTGTTCGAGAACAATTGAGCCATGTGCACCACCACCACCACCCGCCAACCCAGCGGCGGCATCCTTGCTGCCAAGCACGACGATCTTGTTGGCGTCACGAACTGTTGTCAATCTGTGTGCGATGACGATGGTAGTGCGTTGCCCACCAGCGACAGAGTGCACTAATCCATCGAGAGCGTCTTGCACAAGCATCTCATTTTCGGTGTCGAGCGCTGAAGTCGCCTCGTCGAGAATCAATATTGCCGGGTTGCGCAGCGCGGCGCGGGCGATGGCGATGCGTTGCTTTTGTCCTCCAGATAGTTTGGAGTTCTTCCCACCGACCATGGTATTGTATCCATTCGGAAACGACATGATGAATTCATGCGCGCACGCTGCTTCGGCGGCAGCGACGATTTCGTCCATAGAAGCTTTCGAACCACCTATCGCTTGAGGGCGTCCGGCGGCGATGTTGTCGGCGATAGATGCCTCAAAGAGAAGTGGTTCCTGAGAGACGATGCCAATATTCGCGCGTAATTTATCGATGCGAATATTTCGCAAGTCGACACCATCAAGAAAGATGGTACCGCTCATCGGGTCGTAAAAGCGTTCGACGAGCTTCGTAATCGTACTCTTACCGCATCCTGAAGCGCCGACGAGCGCAACCACTGCACCTCCCTCGATGGTGAGATTGAGACCGCTGAACACTGGTCGCTGTGGCGAGTACTCAAAGTCAACGTCTTTGAAGACTATTTCACCACGCATGGGCGTGATTGGATCGACGCCTGTAGGTTTACGCGTGTCTATTCCGTTTTCAGGTTTGCGATCGATGACGCCGTAGATTTTAAACGCGGCCATCCTTGCTTTCGCTAGAGCCTCGATCGCAGGACCAGCCTGTCCCAGGGCGAAGCCACCGAACAAGATTGAAAAGAAGACCATCACAATGGTACCGCCCGTCAGGCATGGCGATGCGGCCGAGTCAAGAACGCCTCCGAACGTCGTCGACAGTCGATAACCGCAACCGCAGTTTGGTGATGTTGTCAGGAGCGCCATACTGTAATCCAATCCGCACGCACATTGTAATAGTGCTTCGCCGGTGTAGTTTTTCGTTGGTTCATTCGTGTAAACACACATTTGACGCGCGAACGTCGCGTGCGCGCCCCACGTCGCGTCGGTGACATCGGTCAAACCGGCAGGCGGTGGGTAGCTCGCGATGGCGTCCACCTTACTATCGGCGATGAGCTTGGCACCGTACCACAAACCTAAGGCATACATGATGAACATCGAAGCAAAGAGCCCCCCACCCGCGAAAGACGCTTTCCAAATTTGCTTTGCGCCGTGTCGCTGCGCCTTGCCTAAATTTGCCTTGAAGCGATTCGTCGCGACGTTTTGATAATTCAACGCGTTCGTCACGCGAATGGCTCCGATGGTCTCCGTCGCCACGGCTGCAGCACTTTCGTACTCCACGTTCCCTTTCTGCATATCCTGGATCGATTTAATCAGAAAAAACGTCGCGAAACCGAGAAGAGGAACGGTGGCGAGAATCACGCCGGATAATTCGGCATTGAAGTAAAATCCGACGCCAAAGCCACCAGCCATACTGAAGCCACTCTGAATGAGCTCCGCAAATTTCTTCGACATTCCCGTTTGAAAGTCGTTCACGGTTGCCCCCGTGAGAGTCGCGATTTCCCCGGCCTTTTTGCTTTCAAAAAAGTTGATATCCTGCGCCAACATCGCTCGCACGAACGCGCTTCGCATATTTCTCGCCGCGCGCGCCGCCCCCCACGACGTGAACCAGTACCCGAGCGTCAAGCTCACTCCAAGAGACACCGCCACGATTTCCATCGCGATCACCGCGTTGTTAATCTTCGATCCCACGTCCCCCACCGCCGTCGAATCGAGCATGTTCCCGAACGCCACGTTGACGGCCGGGAAAAGCGCTCCGCCCAGCGCCGAGAACAACGCCCCGGCCGCGAGCAGCGCCATGTCCACCGGCTCGTAAAATCGAAACATCGTCGACAGCGGCACCATCTCCGTCTTCACGTCGCGCGCTTCCGCGTCATCCGGCGTCGCGTCGTCCGACTTCGTGTCGTGTTTTCCCATCACGTCCCGGTCGACGTCACGCGTCGTTCGCGTCGTTTCTCTTCGCGGCGCCTCCGTCGCGCGCGTCGACGTCGACGGCGATTCGACGTCGACGGCGATTTGAGCGCGCGCGCGATTCCTCTCGAGCGGTCGCGCGAGGTCGCGGCCGTCGTCGCGGCGCCGCGTCGCGTCGTGCGGCGCGCGTCTCCAGGCCGTGCCGGGTGTCGACTTTCGGCCGCGCGGTTTCTCTCGGGTGACTTTTGGAGTCGCGCGATTGGCGCGAGATAACGACGCGCGCGCGCGCGACGGCGGCGTCGCGAGGGCGCGGACGCGCGCGAACGACGACGGCGATGCCGGCGGTGGTGACGATGACGCGCGTCGCCGGCGCGGACGCGGCGATGGAGATGGAGAAGACGAACCGACAACAGAATGCGCTCGTGGCGAGGATGGAGTATCACGCGCGACGCGCGACGGAGACGGCGCGGGCGCTCGCGGAGGCGAGAGACGCGCTAGAGTGCGCGGGGAAGGAGGCGAAATGCGAGCGCGAGCGGGCGAACGCGGCGACGGCGGCGTGCCAATCGTTGCGAAGGGAGCTTGGACGAGCGCAGAGGCTTAATTTAGACTCAGAGCGTAAGGCGCGGTACGAGCTCGAACGCGGAGCGAAAGCGCGAAAGGCGCTGATGGAGATGGTGCAAGACGCGAAAAAGGATGTGAAGGACGCGCGAGGCGAGTTGAAGGCTTCGAACGAGCGCGCGAGGCTCATCGAAGAATGGGCCAAGCGAAGAGACGCGGCGGCGACGCATGCGGCGGCTCGATTACGCCGAATGATGGAAGACGCGCAGGCGCTCGCGCGACGACTGAAGGTAGTCACCGACGAAAACGTACGTCTACGACGTCGTTACCTTCGTGATCGCGCCGAACTCGACGACGCGAATGAGTATTCAGAACGCCTTGAAACGGACTGGACGACGCGCGACGGAGCTAAAATCGTCGTGCGTAACCCCATCTTCGCCGGCGCGTGCGACGATGCCGACGTCGACGTGCGCGACGACGATTTGTAATCGCAATCACACACGAACATCATCAGTAGGTAATACAACACTTACGCGAGCGCTTTAAGCGTGGCCACGACGCCCGCTATGGACGCCGCCCCCAAGAGCACAGGCACCGCGTAATTCAAAACGCTAACACTCTCCCCTTTCTCGCCGACGAACCCATCGTTATTGATAAAATTCAACGGTTTGCCATCTTTGTCTTCAAAATTATTCGCCTCTGCGTCGTCGCGCGCGCAAACGCATCGTCAGTCGTCCGGGATAACGCCGCGCTCCCAAAAACATATCCAGCCGTCGCGCCGCGCGCGGCGAAGGCGATCGACGCGACGCACCGAGCTCCATCACGACCGTTCTCGTGGGATCGTCCAAGTTAATTTCCGTGATGTCCCCGCTGATCGTGCCGAGGCCCATGCTTATGAGCTGCTTCAAGCCTTTGAAGTCGATCTTCGCCTCGTCCTCTTCGGTGGCATCTTGCTTCTTTTTCGCCGCGTGCACGACGACGCGGGCGCCGCGCGCGGCGCCGCGCCGCGCGTGGGCGCGCGCGATCGTCTTTGAGGGCGCGCTCGACGCGAGGGTGAACGACGACATCGCGTTCAGACGCGCGAGGTTGTGAAGGTTGTGAAGGTTGTGAGGTGGCTCGAGAATGGTGACATGGTACAACAGCGCGTCGTCTCGCGAGAAGAAATAAATACATACTGCGCGAGCGACGGTCGTTCAATCGACGAATTGCGCGAGGGCGATGGCGACGCCGACGGCGAGAATGGTGCCGTGCGCGATGTGGTTCCACAGAGGGTGACGATTTCCTCGGCGTCCGAATACGTGTACGAGCACGGGGGCCGCGTAGGCGAAAATCAAGCCGAACACGGCGCCGCACTTGGAAAGAATCATACCGATGTCGATGTCGGGATGCGCCGCGCAGAAGGAGCCGAGAGCGATCGCGGCAAAGTTGACCGCGAACGACGCCGCGCCGTGGTACTTGGCTGGAAATTGCGGAAGCAGGCCAAAGACTTGCGTTCGCAGAATGTACAAGAGCAGCGGGACCATGGTCAAGAACTGTACCGTCACCGCCACGTGCGCGGATAGAGTATAGTAATCGCTCGGTGGAAACACGCGCAAGAAATTTGCCGCCCGAGACGAACCGTTCGGCCCCCGTCGCACGGCGACGTACGCAGCGCTGAAATTCCCAGCCAACGCCGGCGCCAGGTACGACATCAGCGCCAACACGTACGCGACGAGAAGATTCCGCCCGTTATTTTTCGACTTACTGTTCGCCCGGCACACCGGAATCACGGCGTGATGGGAAAATAAACAGCTCGACAACACCCCCGCCGTCTTTTTAAACGTCGAAAAGTTCGCGTACGGCGCGATCGGCGCCACGGGCGCCGACGCCACGACTGATTTGAATACGATGAACAAAATCAAGTACGTCATGAAGAAGGGCCCGAGCACGCTCACGGCGACGAAACCGTCGAGATTCTTCAGACTTCCGAGACACATCAGCGCAACGGCGGTGACACCCACCGCCGTGAACGGATTCCAACACTTCGCGGCGTCTTTCGCGGCGTTCGTGCACGTCGCCCAGCCCGTGGAATTCGAAGACGCGAGCGTCGCCGCCAGCGCCGTCGTCCCGCCGCCACCGGTCGCCGGCATTTTCGCCAAATCTGCGAACCCCTTGACGATGCCGTACACGCTCGTCGACAGCATCATGTCGAACACCACCACGCACTGCGCCATCATCAGCGCCATCGCCGCGTTGCACCCCGCTCTCGCTCGCGGTCCCAGCGCCGCGCCGCACATCCCCGCCAAGTCGTCGTGCCCTCCCCGCGCGCCGTACCGCAGCACCAGCGTCGCCGTGTACGCCATCGCGCACGTCATAACGACCGCGCTCGCCGCGCCCAGCGCTAATCCGCTCTCCGTGAACGCCCACGGCACCGCGAGCACCGCGCTGCCGACCATCGTGTTCCACAGCGCGAAAATCGTCGCCAAGTCTCCGGCCGACGCGCGCGCGTCCTCGCTCGCGTCGTCGTCGTCGTCGTCGCCGTCGCTCGCGACGTCGCGAAGCGGCCGCTCGACGTCGTCCTCGAGAGGCACCGCGCGCTCGACGTCGTCGGGCGCCATCGCGTCGCGCTGTCTCGACGTTTTTTAACGGTTCGTCCCGAACGACATGTCGCGGCGCTTCACCGGCGCCTACGCCGCGATCGCGCGCGCGCTCGTCGCCGGCGACGCCAAGGCGCGACTCGCGCGACACGGTTACGTCGTTTTGGACGACGCCTTCGACGTCGCGCGCGCGCGCGCGCTGAAAGATGAATTCAACGCGCTGCGGCGACGCGGTGCGTTCGTCGCGAACGCGTCGCTGTTCGCGCGCGAGGGCGTCGTCGCGCTCGCGAAACCGCACGTGTACGAGTGCGAGGTGCATCGGTTGTCGAAGGAAGACGCGGCGAGCGCGCCGTTGGTGAACGAGCTGGCGAAAGAGACGTCGGTGATGGAGGCGCTGAACGAGGCGTTCGGCGCGCTCGGCGGCGGCGCGCTCGATAGAACGTCGACGAAACTGCAAGTGAACGAAGGCGCGGGCGGATGTTTTCCGCTGCACTTCGACAGCGACGCGAGTTTAGATTCGAGGCGGGTGACGATGTGCGCGTACTTGGACGAAGACTGGTGCGAGGCGAGGGACGGCGGCGCGCTGGCGTTGTACCCTTTTCCGCGAGGACGGGTGACGATCGCGCCGAAGGCGGGACGAGTGGTGATTTTTTCGTCCGAGTTTGGATTGCATCGCGTGATGCCGGCGATGCGCGAACGTTTCATGTTTACGGTGTGGTATTTCGCGAAGGAAATGCGTGCGCCGATGAAGGCGAAACCGCCGGGGGTCACCGCGGAGGCACAGATGACGGCGTTGCTCGATCCCGCGTTGCGCAAACACCTTGGAAAAATCGTGCTCGCCGACGAGTGGGCGAAGAGCATTCGCGAGGCGCACGGTGAGTCCGAGGGCGTGGAGGCGGCGCTGAAAACGCACTGGGACGAGGTGGCGTTGATATCGCGAGTGTTATCGAATAATTATCCTTTAGGCTTAGAGTTGATAGCGAAAGAAATGGAGCGAGGCGACGGCGCCTTCGACGCGGGCGTCGACTGGTTTCCAGAGTAGGTGAAGTGTGACAAAACATTTTTACATTCACAACGGCAAAAACAAAAACCAAATTGAAACGAATAGAATATGTGATGTGTCTATAGTAGATACAGTATTTACATGGCCCCATATGATTTGGCCATCGGACTTGCCTTCTCGGGGCCTGACGGCGACGACTTTCCGCGCGGGCGTTCGCACGAATTCAAAACCATTTGTACGGGCCATCCTTGCCAGATCCCCCCGCGTTCAACATCGTCACCCACCATTGCGAGCGTGTGTTCGAGGAGAATGGAATCTGCTCCGACTTTCGTGCCACCCATGACACGACTCTCCATGCAGAGGGTCGAGCGTTCGCGAATGAGAATGTTGTTCAGCGCAAAAGCGCCCAACGTATTCGTGTGCGCGATGACGTGGGCGAAATTGATGCACGCGCCGTCGCCAATAGTGACCAAGTCTGGTTCGGGCATGGGCGGATCCGCTCCCGTGGGGTACAAACAAACGTTCTGCCCAATGTTGGCTCCTTTCGCGCGGAAGTATCGGCACAAATGTTCGCTTCCGGAGAGAAGCATTAAATCTGTCGTGTCGCTCATGATATCGCACAGTTTCCAGCGGAAACAATACGAACTAGTGTCCCACGGATAGTTTCCGGGCGTGCGTCGACCGACGATGATCCACTTCAGAAAGATGGAATTCACGAGATTGAACGTCGTTTGAACACCGCGCAAAATCAAGAATACGACGAACAAGATGCTCAAGTACCGTGTCGCGTCGAGAGTTTGCCAATCTTCGTCAAGGTATACTCTGGAGATGTACGCGGTGGCGTACCACGCGACGTAAATCGGCAACATGTTCGCGGCGGCTTTGAAAATTTGCACGCTGATACAAATCACGGGCATGAAGTACCACGGGACGACGGGGTACGTCGCTTGTCCCAAGTACGTTGCACGTCCGAATGGCTTCGCGGTCTGGCGCTCATCCATCATACTCGACGCACCGCCAGGGTCGAGTTGTACGGCTACGCCATTGCGACTGCCGACCCAAATCGACCCGCTCGCAATCGTCATCTTGCGAGCGGCGACGCTCCCAGAGCCGAGGCACGCGTTCGGCATCACAGTAACGCCTCCAAAGATGACGCAACGGTCGCTGATGTTCGCGCCACGCCGAATACGTATGGGAAGAGCTCCGATGGTATCTGCTGGATACACCGCAGAACGTGATCCCCACACGACATCGTCTTCTATGTGCAAAAGATCGTACATTCCGTCCCCGACGATGACGCCAGAGCCTGGCCAGAATATGCGCTCACCAACCGTCGCGCCAAGCGCACGGTAAATATACGTTGTGTACTGGTAATGCTTACCTAGTAGATCCGTCGCACCGTAAAACTTGCCATTAGGGCAAAGTTTACGCATGATGTAGCGACGTGTCAATTCCCACTCGCGCGCCGCCGGCGCTTGCGGTAAGCCGCCAGATTTAAACTTACCAATGATGACGCGCTTGACTAGAATCGTCGCGAAAAGCTGTACAAACGGGCCGGCAGTCGCGTGCATCAGACGCGCAAGCGCTATGCAACCCAGCCGAAACGGGTCCATAAACCATTCGATGCAATCCGTCCAGCTCAAACGCCCGAGCAGCGTGACGAACACTTCGAGCGCGTCGTAGTCGTTGTCAAGTGTGTCGAGCTCTTGTCTCCAGTTTGCCATACCCGCGTGCGTGAGTAAGTTATCTCCGATGGAGTGTTGCTGGACGACGCGCAGCACTAAAACCCACGGCAGCCAACGAACGAAGAAGCACGTGAAAACGATGGGAAACGCGACGAACAAACGCGACGCCAACCGCGGCGTTTCCGAGTGCATTTGTGCCGTTTTCGTGCTCACGGGCCGGACTTGTTGCGGATCCATCTCTCTCCAGGATGTGAAAGCGGCAAGTGTCGAACCAGCTGGAACGTATGCGCCCGGCCCGCACACCGCGTGGACGCACAGCGTGCAACCTTCACCGATGAAAATTGGCGACAGACGCATACCGCCGCGACGCGCTTCAAAGGCGCGAATGTTGCACCCTTCATCTACAGTGGTGTTCTTTTCAATCGTGATAAGATCAAAGTCGCCGATGATGGCTTTCGGGCTAACATATGAACTTTTTCCAATCGAAGCCCCCATCATGCGCATGTACCAAGTGAACAACCATGGAGAAAGATCAAAAATGCCGAGACCCGCAATCTTGGTCACTTGCTCGACTAAGAACCATCGCAAGTAGTACTGCCCCCAAAGTGGATACGATCCCGCTTGTAATCGCCCCAACACTACCCACTTGAACACGATCGCGCTAAGTGGGAACAGTATCGACACGATCAAAGCTACAAAGAATATCGCCACGAAGAACGACAGAAGCTGCACGGTACTGTAAAAGTGCGAATGCGCCTCATTCATGCCAAACTTTTGAGCCTTAGCCATGAAGTGCTCGCGCCTCATCCAATGCAAGCTCGGACCGAGGTAGTGGAACACGTGCGACCAGCACATCAAGAACAAAACCCAACGTGCCATGTTGTAGAATGGCTTGATCAGGTACAAGGGCATTAGCTGCACGATGCTCGGGATGATGCCCAAGCTTGACTTCGGCGTGACCCAGTCAACCGGGCCGACGGGTCGTGGAGCGTGCGTCGGCTTACTATCCGAGCTCTCCGCCTCCTTCGTACGCTTGTCGATCATCTGCGCAATTCTTTGAATCGTGCGAAGCTCGAACATATCCGCTCCGGTGATGTTGACTTCAAACTTCTTGCGAATCAAACCCGCGAGTTGACCCGCCGCAATGGACGAGCCGCCGCTCAGGAAGAAATCATCCTTGATGGATATCATGCTCGAATCCGTACCGAGCACTTCGCCCCACAAATGCGCGAGAAGCTCTTGATTGGGGTTCGCTGGAGCGTCTGTCAAATCTTGGCGCATCATTTCGTAAACTTTGGAAACTTCGATGGCGCCTTGCGCATCTCGTGGGACTGACGCCACGGGCAAGATTTCCTTTGGTTCAAGATAACCAGGAAGGTAACGCGTGGATGCCGAGCTCACCGATGACGCATCGAGCGTTTTCGGGGTAACGACAGCGATGATTGAGCCGGTGCTATCCATCCAAGCTCCGGCGTCGTTGACGCCAGGCACTAGAAGAAGCGCTTGCACGACTTCTGACGAGGCGTTGTCTACATTCAATGCCTGTGCCCCAGAGAGGGCGTTGTCCGCAAAGTCTGCTTCAAACGTTGTTTCTAACTCCCGCATACCATCTTCGAGCGAAGGTAGTCGCAGCTGCCTAGTGATCACGCTGCGACTCACTTTTCCCGTGATGGACTTCGGAATGCCACTCGCTAAAATAAGGCACTGCGGCCACTTGGACGGTGGCAAACGTTTGGCGACGTGCTGTACGATTTGCCGCATACCGGGAACTTGTCCACCTTTCACTGGAACAACCAAGACCCCAACAACTTCTTGAAGCGTACCGTGTGGGACAGAGATGGCGACGCACTCAGACACTGCCGGTAGCGACGCGAGCGCTTCCTCAATCTCAACCGGCGAGATGATTTCCCCTCCTCTATTAATGACTTCTTTCGTCCGACCAGTGACGTACAAATAACCATCATCATCCATCCTACCCATGTCGCCAGTGTTAAACCAGCCTCCCGGCTCAAATCCGCTCGAACCGGGCGCTTCGCCCTCGTACCCGGTCAACACGAGAGGGCCACGCACCATGATGTTCCCAACCGCACCAGAAGGGCAAAGATTACCGCTATCGTCTATGATGCCGATTTCCGGCCCGATTGATCGACCAGAAGTCCCCGGGCGCTCTAACGCGTATCCCATGGGCGGGCACGAGATAGGCATGCACTCCGTCATACCGTACGAAGGCAAAACCGAGGCGTTGTTGAACAAGCGTCGAAGTTCCGTCGCGGTCGCCGGTTGTAACGGGCCCGCAGCGTTGGCGACAAACCTCACACATGTCTTTACTGATCCCTTGTCGTTCTTCGCCATGGTTTCCGCGGACTTTACGATGAGCATGTGCATAGTCGGCGCGCCGTAGTACCACGTGCACTTTTTGCTCTCGAGGACTTCCCAAAAGTTGTCGACATCGAAGAAAGGCATAGCAACCGTGGATCCACCGGACATGATTGGCGCCAGTACATTTCTTAAGATACCTCCGACGTGGAACAACGGCATGAAGTTGCAGCAAATATCGTCTTCATTCAAGCCGCAAGACGCCGCGATGGCGGCGGCGCCGATAAGGATTTGCGACATCGCAATGGGAACAACCTTCTTTTTCCCCGTGCTCCCAGACGTGTGTAGAATCAAAGCCAAGCGGTCGGCTTGCATGAGCTCGATGTCGTTCCCAGCCGAGTCCTCTTCTGTGGCTAAGCCGTACGGATCGCCGATGAGAGTGAAATCGCCCGCCACTGTCGGGCTCGGCGTGATGATCAAAGGCGTCAACTTGAGCTTCTTGCACAACCGACGCATCTTAACATCGCCCTTACCCCCGTCACGTTGATACAACAACACTTTCGCGTTCGTATTCAACAGCTCTTCTTCAATCTCCTCTTGCGTCGTCACCGGATTGATGGGCACCGCGCAGTGTCGCTGCAACACGCACATCAAAGAAGTCATGAGTTCGGGCCCGTTTGGCACCACCACCGCGATTCTCCCACCGTGCGCGCGCACGCCCCACTCGGGCATATCTTTTTCACACACTCGATCGATCAAAACTCGCAATTCACGATGCGTCATCCCTCTTCGCACGCCATCAACTCCCTCCACCGCCACGCGATCGTCCGCGTCGGCGAAGTAATCAGTCATGAGCGCCGTCCGCTCCCCCTCGTGCGTCTTTCTCGTGATGTTCGACAGCCTTTCGCGCAACCACACGTCCCGCAGCGTCCCTTGCGCGCATTTTTCGCGCGCTTCGCGCGCCAGCGCCTCCCACGACGTCCGTCTCGTCTCGTACACGCGTTTTTCCTCCTCCGCGAGCGCGCGCGATTGCATCGCGAACGCCCCCGGCGGCGCTCGCGGCGCCCCTCCCTCGCCCGTTCGCGCGCGTCCATCGCCGACGGATAGCGTCACCGACGTCGTCTCGCTTCCCGACGCCCGACGCTCGCGATTCGCGTCGCCCACGGCGCCGTCGAGCGGTCTCGCCGCGTCGTGCATCGCCCACGCATCGACGCTTCGTCGCGCCGTCCTCGCGCGCTCGTTCGCGTCTTCGCTCGCGCGGCCGCGCCGCGCGTGCGCGTGCGCGTTGTCCGTCATCGCGCGCGCGGCTCGAGCGCCGCGCGCTCGAGCGGCCGACGCTGCGCGCGCGCTTCTGCCGCGTTTTCTTCCGGATGGTGTTGCGCTGGAGGTCGGCGCCGTCCGCCGCACTCGCGCGCGCGTCGCGTCGCCGCGCGCGACGATGGCGGACGACAGGCCCGAGAACGCGCCGGAGGCGTGCCCGGGAACCGCGAGCGCGCGCGCCGGGCGCGAGGCGTCGTGCGCGGGGTGTCCCAATCGCGCGGCGTGCGCGTCGGGCGAGGCGGCGAAAGCGCGCGAGGGCACCGACGCGGACGCGACGCGCGTCGCCGAGCGCCTGCGCGGGGTGCGGCGAAAGATATTGGTGCTGAGCGGCAAGGGCGGGGTCGGGAAGAGCACGTTCGCGGCGCAGTTGGCGTTCGGGCTCGCGGGACGAGGGAAAGAGGTTGGACTGCTGGACGTGGACATCTGCGGACCGTCGGTGCCGACGATGTGCGGCGACGCGGAGGCGGAGGTGCACAAGAGTAACTCTGGGTGGTCGCCGGTGTACGTGGAGGAGAATCTGGCGGTGATGTCGATCGGGTTCATGCTGCCGAATCGAGACGACGCGGTGATTTGGCGAGGGCCGAGGAAGAATGGTTTGATCAAGCAGTTCTTGGCGGACACGGAGTGGGGGGAGCTGGATTACTTGATCGTCGACGCGCCGCCCGGGACGTCGGACGAGCACTTGAGCGTGGTGCAGTATTTGAAGGAGGCGGGCGTGGACGGCGCGCTGGTGGTGACGACGCCGCAAGAGGTGGCGGTGGCGGACGTGCGCAAGGAGCTCAACTTTTGCAAAAAGACCGGCATCAAGGTTTTGGGGGTGGTGGAAAACATGTCCGGACTTCGCGTGCCCATGCGCGAGATGTCGTTCGTGAACGAGGACACGGGCGCGGATGAGACGAGTCGCGTGCGCGAGCTTTTGGCGACGCACGCGCCCGAGCTCGCGGATTCGCTCAGCGCGCGCACGGACGTATTTGCGCCCTCGAAAGGCGGCGCCGAAGCCATGTGCGCGCAGTTCAACGTGCCGTTTCTGGGTAAAGTTCCACTCGACCCAGCCATCTCCAAGGCGGCGGAGCACGGCAAGAGCGTCTTCGATCCCGAGCTTCGCGTCGCGTCGGCGGGCGCCGTCGCCGCCATCGTGGCGGGTGTCATCGCCGCCGCGGGCGAATGACCGAGCGATCGAATGCGCGCGGAATCTCTTCGTTAGGACAGTAGACAGACCCGTTGTCGTTGATTTCAATTTTTTTTGTTTTTACACCTCTCGCCTACTTTACACCTGTCGCCGTACCTCGCCGTACCTTACCCTGTCGCCGTCCATCGACGCTCACGCCGGTTTCCCTCGATCGAGTCCGACGTCTCGCGATCCGCTGTTCATGAACGCCCCTCGTCGCACCGCCGCCACGCTCAGACTCTCGTCCTGCGTCCACATCGGTTTGCTCGGGGCGTAGCAGTACCACAGCGGGAACGCGAACGTCGCGCTCGCGAACGCGGCGAGCGCGAGCGCGATGGGAGCGTTGGACTTACCAGCCATCGCGCGCGCGCGCGCCGACCTCCGCGCGCGCGTCGCCGAGGCTGGAAGTGCGGCGAACAACGTAAAAAGAATGCAAGCGAAGAATTAAAAAGCGCGCGCGAGAGCGTCGCGACTATTTCTTAGAGTAATCCCGCGCACCGAAGATCGTGCTCCCCACGCGCACGTTCGTGCTCCCCATCGCTATCGCCGCTTCGAAATCCCCGCTCATCCCCATGCTCAACTCACACTCGCTCTCGCTCATCCCGAGCGCCGCGCACACCTCTTCCCGGCACTTGCGCAGCGTCTCGAAATTTTCCGGCTTGCTCGTGTAATCCGGCATCCCGATCGTCATCAATCCCGCAAACTTCAACCGCGGGCACTCGCTCACGATGTGTTTCGCCAGCGTCACGCAATCACCCGGTTCGACGCCGTGTTTCGACGCTTCCCCGCTCGTATTCACCTGCACCAGCACTCGCAGCGCGTCGACGCGCCCCTCCGGCACCGCCGCGTTCAGCTTATTCGCCAGCTTCGCGCTGTCCACCGTCTCCAGCATCGCCAGCCGCGGGCACGCCTCGAGCAGGGCCTTACATTTATTGCTCTGCAGGTGTCCGATGAAGTGCCAGCGCGTGTCTTCGGGCATGCGCGGCACTTTTTCGATCATCTCTTGCACGTAGTTTTCACCGAAGTCGCGATGTCCCGCGTCGTAGCACTCCTTGAGCTGTTCCACGGGTTTCGTTTTGCTCACCGCGACCAAGCGCACGGCGCCCTGCGCGCGGTTCGCCTTCGCCGCGGCGCTGGCGACGCGCGCGACGACGTCGCTGAGTTGACGCGCGGTTTGCGACGCCATGACCATGGCGCTCGGGCGCGACGACGAATGCCGCGCGACGCGCGCGATTCGCCGACGCCGGCGGTACTGCGCGACGCGCGCGCGCGCGAACGCACGCGCGCGATGGTGGGGAATCATCCGCAGCTGTCCGCGGCGCTGACGAGCGTGCAAGCGCTGAACGCGGCGTACGCGGCGCATCAAAGAGAGAAACTTCGCGGCGGCGACGACGACGACGACGACGAACGGCGACGGCGGAAGAAGGAGAAGAAGAAGAGAAAGAAGACGAGCAAGGAGAAAAAGAGGAAACGCGAGCGGGAGCGAGGGACGAAACGGCGGCGACGGGATGGGACGTCGTCGAGCGGGACGTCGTCGAGCGCGTCGTCGAGCGACGAGCGGGACGAGCGGCGAAGCGTTCGGGAACAAGTATCGAGGGGAAGGGACGCGGCGGAGGCGTTGAGGCACATGCTCGCGAAATTTCCGAGCGAACGCGAGAGCTTTAGGGAGCTGCTGCGCGCGGTGGATGGTGGACGAGGGGTGGCCACGGCGGGCGTCGCCGACGAGCGCGTGCGGAAATACTTGGAGTATTTCTTTGATAACGCGTGCTTGGTGAGATCGTCCAAGACCGGGGCGTGGGCGCTCGGTGATGGTGATTTGAGTTTGTCTAGTAGATTCGGTGCGGTCTTCGACGAGACACCGGACGCGTTGGCGAGTCTGTCGCGCGCTCGCGAGCCTTGGCTCGGACTCGATCCCGAAGTCGTCGCCGCGGCGAAGGCGAAAAAGGACGAGGCCAGAGCGGCGAAGCGCGCGAATGCGAAACCGTCGACGGAAATACAGGTTTTGACTGGCGAAGAAGCGCACGCATTCATGGCCGAGCGCGAAAGTGATAGTGAGCGAGATGAGCCCAAACCTTCTGCGCCGGGTCCCACGCAGAGGCCGCCGGCCTCAGCGAGCGCAGACATCGGTCCCAGCTCGCGCCCACCGCCGGTCACGAGCGGTGCTGACACGGACTTGTCGGCGAAGCGTGTTCTCGGACCAATGGCGCCGCCGAAAAGTATGCTTGAGGCCGCTGCGGCGGATTTAGCGTTTGATGTCACATTCGGGCCGCCACCTCCAGAACTTGTCGCCGAAATGGAGAGTACGAGTGATGAGAGTCGGGAAGCGTGTGCCATGCGACTTGTGCGTACGCTGAGGCGCGGGGGCGATGCGTACGACATACTTGGTGTTTCTCCGGAAGATACCGCAGGCTTTATCAAGAAGAAATACTGGAAGCTTTCGCTCATGGTGCACCCGGACAAGTGCGCGCACGAAGACGCTAAGGATGCGTTCGACGCCATCAAAAAGGCGCACAGCGCGTTGTCAGATCCAACGCAACGCGCAGTTGTGGATGCGAAGCGAAATGAGGCGAACGAGCGCGAAGAGTTTGAGCAGTGGCTAGCCGGCGAGCGCGAAAAGGCGGCATGGCGCCGCATGAAGGGTACGCCCTTACCCGGGGACGACGAGTTGCTAGATGGGGCGAAAGACGACGGCAACACCAGAGAAGAGTGGATGACGCACCTACCCCCGGAGAAGCGTCCGAACCAAGGACCCCCGACGGCGAATGTCACGGCGTTTTCCAAAACAGAAAAGGTTGCGCGCACGGCTGAAATGGAAGCAGCGTGGACAGACACGCCACAACAAGCGGCTGAACGCGAGAAACAGCTATTTTTACAAGCTCAAGAACAGCAATACGCATTGCCCGCGGCGAAGGCAAAGGAGGAAGAGACGAAGCGTTTAGTCGAAGAGTTCAACGCGACTCGACGGTCTAAATCGTTAGTGGAAATTCACCAAGAGAGGCAACGTGAATCTACGAAGCGAGAAAAAAAGGACAAGAAGGATAAAAAGGAAAAGGACAGGGATAAGAAGAGGGACGATCCGAACGATGGTACGAACTGGGAGTATCGACCGTTCGACCGTGACACCGATCTCAAGCTGAAGAAGCCTGGGCAGTTGAAACCCGAAGAAATGTTGAAGCGCGCCGGGGGTGGGCTCGGGGATCGTTTTAGAAACTAGTTGTGACGAGAGTGTGATGAGAGACTAATAGCGTTCTACAAACTTGCTACTCGCGTACTTTACAGCGCGAGGCGGGATTTAAGTCTAATAAACCATCGTCGTCGCGCGCAGACTACCTCAGAGTGCTGAGCGGCGAACGATGGAAACCAGCGCCGGTGATGAAGTCGTTTAACGGCGAGCGTCCCGGCCCGCCGAAGCCTCGCGACTTCTTGGCGCTCTTTAACACCGACCCGTCCACATTTTCGACTTTTTGACTCGTCGCGCGTCCCAGATTGGGCGTCGCTGGCGTGGCGAAAGTGAACGAGCCATCCGTCGGTGCGGGCGTTTTCAAGCTAAGTTCGCTCATGCGATCCGCCACGCGTTTCGCAAGCGGCGTCACTGTCGTCGTCGCAGCAGCCTCCGTTGCACCGTTTTCGTGCGCCTCGGCCGCGTACTTACCGTAACACGCCCGGCACACCGCCTTGTACTGCGACGCCCCGCCGATGAGTTCGACGCTCGTCTCCTTTGTCGTGCGCGCCGTGAAAGCGGCATCCGCCGCGCAATCCGTGCACACCGCCGTCAACTTGGTCACATTTTCTGCCAACGGCACCAGTTGAAGCACCGAATTGAACGGCTTGCGCTGAAACGTCGCGTCGAGCGCCGCGACAATGACAGTCTTACCCGCGTGCGCCCACTTTTCGCAAAACGCGGCGACGTCGTCGAAAAACTGTCCCTCGTCGATTCCGATCACGTCGTAATTGTGCGCCACGTTATCGATATTCCTCAAATCTTTCGTCGGCAGCGCCGGCATCGTCGCCAAATCGTGCGTCACCGCCGCCGTCGTCGTCCCGACCGCGTCGTCGTATCTGTTATCTCCCGCGTACTTCACCACGAGCACGCGTCGACTCGCCATCGTGTGCCTGCGCAATCGTCGCTGCAGTTCCGTGGACTTCCCGCTGAACATCGGGCCGAAAATGACTTCCAGCGACCCCACGCGCTGGGTCGCCGTCTCATCGATGCGCGACAGCGTCATCGCGCGCGTGAGCCGCGGCGTCCCGCGCGGCGTCTCGAATTCAAATTTTCACGACGCGTCTCGTCGCGTCTCGTCGCGTCCCGCGCCTCGCGCGCCGAGCGCGACGAACGCACGCGCGCGAAAGAAGTTTGGGAGCGCGTGCGCGCGCGCGAAGCACGACCGCGTCGCGTCGGTGAGTGCGGCGCGCGCGCGAAGCGCTTCGATTTCAAACGACCACTTCGGTCCCCTTGAAATGATGGGGTTTTATGTGCCTTTATACGTGACGCCAACCGCACGGCGCCGCAGATGTCGTCGCGCGTGACGTCCGCCGACGGCGCGGGCGTGCACGTGCGCGAGTACCTCCCGCGCGCGCTCTCGCGCGACGTCGCGCGCGAGCGCGCCCCCAAGGTGGTGCTCGCGCACGCGAACGGCTTTCACGGCGGTGTCTTCGAGCCGCTCGCGCGCGCGCTCTGCGACCGCGGCTACGCGTGCTACGCGCTCGATTTCCGCGGGCACGGCGCGAGCGACGCCGTGAGCGTCGATGCGCTGACGTGGGGTGCGCTCGCGGACGATTGCGCGGCGGTGGTCACCGCGCTCGGGTTGCACCGATGCGCGGCGTTCGGGCACTCGTGCGGCGGACACGCGTTGTTGATGTGCGAGGCGCGCAGACCCGGGACGTTTCGCGCGATTTACGCGTTCGAACCGATTTTTGTGGTTTCTTCGAGCGATGTGCCGACGCTGGACGTCTCGCCGGGATCACCGCTGATGGCGAGCACGGCGTACATGGTGAAGAGCGCGTCGAGGCGAAGGGCGAGATTCGCGAACGCGGCCGAGGCGTTGAACGCGTATAAGAGCAAGCCGCCGATGAGCGCCTGGAGCGAAGACGCGCTGGACGCGTACGTGAATAAAGGCGGTTTTGTTCCGGACGATGATGGCGGCGTGCGGTTGGCGTGCTCGACGGAGACAGAGATTGGTATCTATCGAGCGGGCGATAAGGAGACGACGGCGTTCGGAGAGTTGAAAAGTATAGCGTGCCCGGTCGCCATCGCGCGAGGAAGGTCGACGACGCCCGACGGGGCGTCGCCCATATATTCCGCGGTCATCGCTCCCGCGATCGCGGCCGCCGTGCGCGACGGTCGTCTGATTGAATTTCCGGATAACGGCCACTTGGCGCCGATGGAAATTCCTCGAGACGTGGCGCGCTCGGCGCTCGATTTCTTCGACGCCGCGCGCGGTGACGACGTCATCCGCGCGCGCTCGAAACTTTAGCATTCCATCTTAGTTCTTAGATTTAGTTCTCGCGTGTCATAGAAGATGCATTTAGGTACACGTTCGAGGCGCGGTCGGCGTTTTCGAGGCAAACGCCTGAACGCCTTATCGAGGTGACGTCGTCCCTTACGCCCATCAGCCGTCAAAACGCGCCTCTTGCGCGCGCACCACCGCGCGCGACGCGAACGACGCGCGAGGCGAAAGCAGTAGACCGCTTTCCCGCGCGCTCGCATCGAACGCGCGCGCCGAACGCGCGGCGCGGCGTCGCGTTCGACGACGACCGGCGGCTCGCCCGAAATAGCGCTGCGAACGCGCGAAGCGTCATGACCGCCAGCGCGCACGAGCTCGAGGGGAAGGCGTCCACGGGACGTCGGTCGATGACGGTCGAGCGACGACGAAGCGTCGATGGCTATCACAGAGACGGGTGGAACGTTCGAGCGAGCGCGCTGAAGGAGCTGTGTAATCCCATTCGGCGAATCGTGGACGAGATGGTCGGGTTGGCGAATCCCGAGAAGAGGCTGATATCGCTCGCGCAAGGAGATCCGACGGTGTTTGGACACCTTTTGCCGCCGAAGACGGCGATGGATGAGGTGGCTGGGGCGTTCTCGACGAGCGCGCACAACGGGTACACGGCGAGCGCGGGTTCGGCGACCGCGCGGGCGGCGGTGGCGATGCGGTATTCGTTACCCGATCGTCCACCGTTGAGAACAGAGGACGTTTTCATGACAGTTGGTTGCTCCGAGGCGCTCTCACACTCGTTCGCGGCGATGGCGGTGGAGGGAGCAAACATTTTACTGCCGAGGCCCGGTTTTCCGTTGTATGAAACTTTGTGTCATAGGCACGGTTTGGGATACAAGTTTTATGATTTAGACGACGAAAATGGATGGGAAGTCAAGATTGACGATGTTCGCAGGCTTCGGGACGAAAACACGGTGGCGATCGTCGTGAATAACCCGAGCAATCCTTGCGGCGCGGTGTTTAGTGAAGGTCACCTGCGAGAAATTTGCGAGACTTGCCACGAGTTGCGCTTGCCAATCATCGCCGATGAAGTGTACGAAGACGTCGCTTTCGATGAAGACAGGCCGTTTCTGTCGATCGCAGCTTTTAGTGGTAGAGTTCCCGTCATGGTGGTGAGTGCGTTGAGCAAGCGCTGGCTCGCGCCCGGATGGCGCATTGGTTGGCTTGTCCTTCACGACTACGATCATATTCTACAGACTGCAGGCGTGCAGCTTGCGATTAACAACTTGTGTCAGGTGTCGTTAGGTCCGCCGACGCCGATCCAAGCCGCGATTCCGGGAATTTTCAAAGCCAACGAGACGGAGTGGCTAAAGGCTACGCTCGGCGTCTTGCGTCGCGCAAGCCAGCGCTGCGTCGAACGCTGTGCGCGAGTTCGTGGTTTGACTGTTCCTTGTGAACCTCAAGGAGCGATGTATGTGCTGTTGAAAATGAATGGTGATGCGTTCAAGGACGCAAATGGGTTTTTCACTGATGTCACCTTCGCCAAGCGCCTGCTTGCGGAGGAATCAGTACTCGTGTTGCCGGGCACGTGCTTTCACGCGCCCGGATACTTACGTCTAGTGATTACAGTTCCAGATGACGAATTGCAGAACGCGTGGGATCGCATTGAGACGTTTTGTGAACGTTACAGTGTCGAACGCGCGCTCACGGATTCACCGAACGAACTGGACGCGTTGTCCAATTTACACATTAGCGAGTTGAAGACAAATATCAAATTTGTCGATTCAGACGAGGACCTGCTCAAGGCGAGGAGTAGATGAGGTGGCGCTCTTGTAACAAAAGATTTAGATGGTTTGTTCTTGAATAGTTCTACATATACGTTTGCATCTTGCTTGCTACTAAGGTACGACGAGTAATAAGTTTTTGCTTGTCGACACGAATCGACTTATTGAAGAATCGTGCTGAACGCGGTGATGCCGAGGGCGATACCGGCGACGGTCAGACCGATCGCCTGCGGCGTCGGCGTGTTGTGAATCACCGGTTCTGCCGCACTCGCGCCGAGACTGATGGCCTTGCCGTCGTTTCTCGCGCGCATCTCAGCTAATCTCGCAAGCTCGTCTTCCTTGGGCGGACCCGCGACGTACTTCGGGCTCCACGAACCGTGCACGCCGAACGGCACGTACGTGGGCAAGCGAAGTCGCGCGACCGGACCTTCGGAGAACTTTTGAGCATCAATGATCACCATCTCGGTACCACGACCACCGAACGTACTCTTATCGTACGCAGCATCGTGGACGAGCGCGACGACCCAACCATCGTCCTCCGCCGTGCCTCCAGGCCGTGGCACGAAGAAGGGCTCCATGGCGAACTTTCTGTCACCCGGCACCCACTGTTCCTCGTAGTAGAGCTTATCACCATCAGATTTGAGCGACGCCTTGGTGAGCGCCTGCATCGGGCCGTTGACACCTTCTGCGGTTCGACCGACGGAGGTGCTGAGGTACATGTGCTCATACGGCGCCCCAGTGTAGTCCCAGCTAGTAATCGGGAGCTCGCACGGAACGTCGCTTAACTCAGTGTGCTTGGCTTCGAGCTTCTTCATATCAATCAAGAATCGGCTCAACTTCATACGCGGGTAGTTGTCCTTACCGTTCGGGTTGCAAATATCGGTAAAGTACAACGTGAACTTATCCCAAGTACACGTGTCGAAGACGACGTTGCCATCCTTATCTTCAAAACCGTTCACATGGTGGTAGGCGTAGCACCAATAATCGGCCGGAGCGGTTTGAACTTCTCTCGAATCACCACGGCGCGGGAAAATACGGAATAATGGGCGTCGTTCGGTGTCTTCGCAGATGAGCTCGGACAAGCACGATCTTTCAAAGATGTACTTTGTGAAGACGGCCGGGAAATCTATCTTGATCGGGCAATCGAACAAGATGTAGTAGTTTTCGGTGACGACCAAATCGTGCACGTATGAAGCCGGGTAGTCGTACGCACGACGAGACACTTCCTTGCCTTGTTCGTCAAACTCATAGAAGACGGCTTTCGTAGTCCCGACGCCAGCGTTGGCGCGCCAGTCGACTTCATTCAAGAACGCCACGCAACGACGGCTACCATCGGGCTCGGTGACAGTGCGGTAGTGAGACGTGTGCATGACGGAAGACAAATCGCACGCACCGTGACCGATAGTTTCCAAAGTATCCGGGTTCAACGCGTACGGTTTTTTGTAATCCACGGCGACGAGCGAATCGCCCCAGTTCAACACGTTGTACGCCCCGTTTTGCTTACGCGAGAGATCCCCCCCCAAAATATCGTTAAACAATCTATAAAAGAACGCAGGCTTTCTCGGATCGCTCGCGGTGAAGATGCTCGGTTCGGTATACTTCCCGAGTTCCTCCTCCTTATCGAAGTGCTCCGTGCGCACGAACTTGTTCCGAAAGTACGCCTTCCCATCCTTGATCGCGATCGACGTCACCATACCGTCCCCATCGAGATAACTCTTCACGAACCCATCTCTCTCGTACATCGCCGGCCCGTTGCGCAGCAGCGTCCCGACCATCTCCTTCGGGATCTCGCCCTCCACCTCGGTCACCCAACCCATGTTTTCGTACGCCAGCCCCGGCACCGACGCGTATCCCGTCGCGTAATCCTTATACTCCCTCTCGAACGGCGCCGCTTCTTCCGTGGACTCGCGTTCCTCCGCCGGTTTCATCGGCGTCTGCACCGCGCGCGTCCCCACCGCGCGTCGTCGTCCCGCGTCGCGTCCCGCGACGACCATCGCGCGTCCCATCGTTCGTCCTCCGCCGAGCGTCGCGTTTCGCCGCATCGTCGTCGCGCCGCGCGTCGCCGCGCGCGCGGGCGCCATCGCCATCGTTCGCGTCGTCGTCGCGTGCGGCGCGCGCGTCGCGCCGGGCCCGCGCGAGTGTGCCGCGCGCCGACGGGCGTCGTCGCGCCTCGTATCTTCGCCGTTATCGTATCTTCGCCGCGCGAGATTTGCTCGATATAAAACGCACCGCGCGCGGACCTCGATCGGGTTTTTTTGCGTTCTATGCGTGGCGCGTGCAATCGGTAGTTTTCGTCACACTGTTTGTGCAGCTACGAAATGTCCGAACACCCGCGGCCGTCGCGCCCGCGCGACCGCCGCGGGCGGCCCGCGCGCGCGGACGCGCGCGCGCCGGCGCCGCGACGCCGCGGATCGCGACGCGAGGCCCGCGACGCGCGGTCGCGCTCGGACGACCGCGCCGCGGGCGCGCGGGCGCGTCGCGGTGCGGCGGGCGCGCGCGCAACGCGCGAGTCGTTGGGACGCGACGCGACGACGACGCGCGATGGGACGGCGACGACCGGCGACGGCGGCGCGGGCGATCGTGGGGGGGGTGCTCGCGCTCGCGAGCGTCGCGGTGCCGGCGCGAGGGGCGTTCAGCGTGATGCCGTCGACGGGGACGGGGACGACGGTGACGTACGCGGGGACGGCGGCGTTTCGCGAACGCGTCGTGGACGCGTGCGGGACGTGCGGCGGGGACGGCGCGGCGTGTCAGGGATGCGATGGCGTGACGAACAGTGGGAAGGTGTTCGATGCGTGCGGGGCGTGCGGGACGGCGTGCGATAAGAGCGATACGTCCATAACGTGTACGTTTAACGCCACGTGCGAGGACTGCGCGAGCGTCACGGGCGGCGCCGCGACGACGGACGCGTGCGGGAATTGTAAAGCGCCGACGGACGCGACGTTTTCGCGAGAGGGGGTCCCGGATCATCATCTCGGTGGCTGCGTCGGGTGCGATGGAGTCGCGAATAGCGGAGCGGTGATGGACGTGTGCGGGGTGTGCGGCGGGAACGGGTGCTCGGGAACGGATCCGTCGCTGTGGAGCTGGTGCTGCGATTGCGCCGGCGTGGCTTTCGGGACGAGCGCGCAAGATTTGTGTTGTGAATGCATCGACGGCGCATCGTACTACCCCAACGGTGTGAAACCAGCCGAGCACACGCAGATAGAAAATTTATGGACGCAAGGGCAAGAGGCGTTCGCGGCGGCGGCGGCGACGATGACGACGTTTCGCGCGCTGGTAGAACCAAGACACAAGGCTGCGGCGCAGACGCTCTATGAACAGGCAGAACAGGCGTTCAAAGATGCATGGGCGCTCGTCGCCACGCAGGCCGCTGTTCCAGGTACGACGATGTGCTATCCAGAGCTCACGGCTTTACCGCAAGTGACAAACAATCGCGACGCGTGCGGCGTTTGCAAGGGGCAGCTTTCGTCTTGTTTAGGTTGTGCGACGAGCGCGACGCCGCTTCCGGTAGGGCCGTTAGAGGGCTTGTATCCAGATGATTGCGATGTGTGTGGTGGATCGACTGAGGTGGATGTGTGTGGGATTTGTGGAGGGAGTAGCAACGGCTTGGATTGCGTCGGTTGCGACGGCATCGTCGCGAGCGGTAAAGTGCAAGACGCGTGCTACGACTCTGACGACACAAGAATGTATAGTATCGACGCCGTTTCGGGAGCGAAGACGCTGCTCGTACAAGTTGGCGAGGTTGGTAGCGGGTGTAGCGACCCCGATGCTTTCATCACCGCGTGTGCAGCGGGGGGCGGCGGATGTTGCGGTTGTGACGGCGTGCCGAATAGCGGTAAAACGCTCGACGCATGTGGCTCGTGTTTAGCGGCGGATGCCACGGATAGGAAGACCAACGCGAATGCGTGCGAAGAAATCTTCCTCGTTAAACTTCCAAGCGGTGTAGTGATCGGTCCATTCACGAAAGAACAGATCCGAGGAGGATCTTTGACGTACACCGAATCGTCGACGAACACGGAGACGATCTACACCATCGAGCCGGATTCGCAGATTGCTAACGCTGCAGTTATTGATGTCACTGAAAGCGTCGAATACGGCTACACTTCCGTCGAGCAAGAATATTTAGATTCTTGGCAGTCGATTTTTGTGAGCGGACGAGCGGATGTGATCAGCTCCACGAGCGTGCCGAACACGGTGAACACAGTCGTCGTCACTGGTAGTCGAGTGACGAATACGAGCGAATATCAAGCGTTGCAAGTGAAACCGGAATTCGTCGGTGTTATTTATCCGTTTTGCACGGGGGCGACGTATCGGGCTGGTCATAGACTGCACGGCAAGAAAACGGGGTCGAACTATTTAGGAATCATCACCACGAGCGCGAGTATGCCGGAAGACTGGACCGAGGCACAGTCACGTCTCGATCGTGACTGGAACCCGTATTCGGAGAGAGTGTTGGACTACGTCGCAGAATGGGCCGATCAGCGGTGTACGTGCGTCGCCGACTGGAGAACTGAACCCGAGCCCGTACCTCCAACATGTGAGCGGGTTTGGCTGCAAGCGAGCGAGGAAAAGAAAAGTTCAAAGATGGAGCGGAGCTGGGCGAGCGGCTCGTGGCGCGTTACGGGTGGTTGGTGGACGCAAGACTTTGGGCAGAAAACGACGACCACGCAAAATGCTGCTCGCGGACCAAGACGTATAGACTCATTTGGGACGCTGCGCACACGACTCTCGCGTACGGCGAGCCAAGAAACCGACGAGCTCGGGGCGTGCGACTACAAAGCACTACGGGTCATCGATCCCGTGCGAAACGCGAGCGGCGCGGTGTGGTATCCACAGCAACAGCAAGTCGCGCAAGGATTCAACGTGACCTTCAAGTTCATGATCACGCAACCGACAGTCACATGTGACTACGCCGAGAGCGTCAGCGGTGCGTTCGTGCAGTCTTTACACACTAAGCTCTATGAAAAGTGTACGACTTCGGGCGGCGACGGCTTTGCGTTTGTCATTCGCGACGATAGCGCTTCGGCGCCGGGAGCGACAGACATCGGGTTCGATGGTCCCGGATTGGGATACGGTGGCATCACCAATTCGATTGCGTTCGAGTTCGACACCGTGTTCACCGCAGCATATAACGAACCACGTGAGAGTCACGTCGCGATTCACACTCGCGGTAAATCCCCAAACACGGCGCATTCGGCGGCGAGCCTCGCGACCGTCGCTCTTGACGGTTCCGTGCCCACGACGAGCATCACCGACGGTCAGATTCACGAAGTCTTCATCACGTACAAGCCCAACATCACCTCTGAGGAGATGTTTTTCGCCATCGAGTCCGGTGAAATCACCGGTTTGTCCACCGCCCTCAGCGCGCACACCGCCGACTCCCTCGGAGTCGTCTCCGTCTACCTCGACGACATGTCCTCACCGCTGATGAGCGTCCCTTTCAACATCGAGAGCATCTTGCGCGACTCCGCCACGAGCGGCAGCGCGTGGGTCGGCTTCACCGCCGCCACGGGAGATCTCTGGCAAGCCGTCGACATCTTAGAGTGGAACATGACCTCGGTCTCCGTCTCGTGACGGCGGCACGGTCAGACGGTTGTAACCAACTCGCTTCGATTCAGCAACCACGACGTCCCGCACTTCTCGACGCCCGCCCGCGTCGTTCTCGCGCTCGCGCGACTAAATCACGCGCGAACCGCGCGCGCGCGTCGCGGACCGCGCGAACCGCGCGCGCGCGACGCGCCGGCGACATTCATGACGGATGCCGCGTCAGCGACCGCGGCCGCCAAAAAATCGTCGAGCTCGCCGACGGACGCGTTCGGGTTCGATCAGCTCGCGCGCGCGCTCGAACCCGAGCGCGACGATGGAAATCGCGAGTACAAGCGGCGTTTGGTGGACGTCGCCCCCGAGCGATTCGAGGAACTCGTGACGCAGCTCCACTGGCGCTGCCTCGCGGAGGGCGCGGGCGAGGCGTTGTACGATTTAGGAGTGGACGACGACGGGACGGTGTTCGGATTGAGCGAATGCGAGATGGAGGAGAGCGTGGCGACGTTGAAACGAATGGCAGAGGCTATCGAGTGCGATGTGTCGGTGGTGTGCGAACGGCGGACGAAGACGGGAAAGCGAATCGCGACGTTTTTGGTGCGTCGACGCCCGTGCTCGAGCGAACACAAAGAGATCAGAATAACGACGTTGGGAAATGTGGATTCCGGGAAATCAACGGTTTTGGGCGTGCTCACAAAAGGTGGTTTGGATAACGGTCGAGGACTGGCGCGCGGGGGCGTGTTTCGACATAAACACGAGCTCGAGAGCGGAAGGACGAGTTCGATCTCGTCGCAAATTATGGGATTCGATGCGAAAGGAAATATAATCAACTACTCCAACCCAGACGTACGAGAGGCACATCAGTTGAGGTGGGAGCAAATCTGCGCGGCGTCGTCGAAAGTCGTGCATTTTAGCGACTTGTGCGGGCACGAAAAGTACTTACGAACGACGATGCATGGCATCGCTGGGTCGCTGCCTGATTTCGCGCTCATGTGCGTAGACGCGAACAGAGGCGGAATCATAGGCATGACGCGGGAGCATTTATCAATTATGCTCGGCTTGAAGGTACCTTTTTTCGTCATCGTCACCAAGGTTGACATGGCGAGCGAAGAGAACAGAGTGGCGACGCTAGACGCTCTTATGAAGATGCTCAAGCGCCCGGGCGTACATAAAACGCCCATCCTCGTGCGCGATGACATCGATGTCATGACATCTGTAAAGAACATCGCCGGCGGCGTGATCACGCCGATATTTCAGGCGTCGTGCGTCACGGGACTAGGACTCGATCTGATAAGGATGTTCTTGAATCACATTCCAAGCAGGCGGACATTCAAGCCGCTTGAAGGCGACCGCGCGCTTGTGCACTTGGATGAATCTTTCAGTGTGCAAGGTATCGGCACGGTGGTGAGCGGTCTCGTCGTGAGCGGAAAAATTACGACGCACGCGTCGATGTTACTCGGGCCTGATGGCCGCGGCGCATTCACGCCAGTGCAGGTAAAGAGCATCCAAAATAAGCGTGTGGCGGTCGAAGCAGTCGGTCAAGGGAACACGGCAAGCTTCGCCATTAAGCCGAAGAAAGGGCACATCCATAAGGAAGAAATTCGTAAAGGCATGGTTTTGTGCGACGCGAGCGTTCAGCCGAAAGCTACGTGGGTATTCAAGGCAGAAGTCATCATCTTGGCGCACCCGACCACGCTTCGGGTGAACTATTCGCCAGTGCTACACGCTCTCACCGTGCGACAAGCGGCGCGTATCAGCGCAATCGAAGGCAAAGACTTGTTACGCATGGGCGATCGAGCCATGGTGACATTCGAGTGGTGCCACAGGCCTGAATTTTTGTGCGAAGGGACGCGCATCATTTTCCGCGAAGGACGAACGAAAGGCGTCGGCGTGATTCGAACGATTTGTGCCGACGTACCGCGTACGCCACCGAGGACTTACAAAACCACACACATAGCTACCGTCGAGAGCGCGCACGTCGCCGAGGCTCGCTAAAAGCGTCGAGTATGCGTTTGCAATCTCATACAAAAACTCTCTCGTTTCCTCCTCCTCAGAACGGACTCTCGTTACGTCGCGAAAACCAACGCGTGTGGGTGTTACGAGCAAACTTCGATTAGAATCCGCGTCAAAGTAAAAGCTCGGATCCACTCCCAACACGAAACGCGTCGACAGAACTGCGCCGATCGACGGCCGTGACGCCGGAGCCGCCGCCGACGACGACGACGCGGGTTTGAGTAAAGCGCAAGGGTGGCGTCGATCGTCTTCGACACCGCGCGACGACGACGCGTGACGAGGAGTACGATCGATGCGCGCGCGCGCGATGCACCGTGAACGCGAAGTCGATGCTGTTGACGAGACGGCGTCGACGACGACGACGACGACGACGTGCGTGTCGCAGTCGGATACCCGAATCGGTCGACCGGCGTTCGATGCGATGGAAGGACGGCTGATGGCGCACAATCGAGCGACGTGCGAGGGCGACGGGCCGTCGTGTTCGTACCGGTTGGAGCGGCCGCCGGAGTCGGCGTCGCCGTATTGGGCGAAAGTGTTTCTCGTTCGCGATCTTCTCCGCTCTGGGTCGTGCGATCGAGTGATTTGGTTGGATTCGGATGCAACGTTGCATCTCGGGCGGAGCGTGTGCGAGAGCGTCGATGACGACGGGGTCCGAAGGTGCGACGGCGCGACGCGGGCGGGCGTGTCGGCTGTGGCGGACGAGCTCTTCAACGGCGCGGAGTTTTTTTACGCTGGGCATACCGCGGTGACGTGTCCGGTGGGGCTGAATTGGGTGGCAAAATTTAACGCCGGGGTTTGGGGGGTGAATAATTCCACCAAAGGCCGGGAAATCATGGACACGTGGGCTCAACTGTACCCGAGACAAAACTGGCGAATGAACCCGGACAACACAAGTTGGACGTGCAACGACGAAAGTCGCGACGGGACGTGCGCGTACAGCGGGGGTAAGTATGAACAAGGGGCGTTTATCCGATACGTCATGCCGAAATACGCAAACGCGGGCGTTCTCCGCGAGCACGACGCGTGCCACATTGGAAGTCCTTGCGCGTCAAAGGCGGAGGCGACGAGTCGCGGCGCGAGCGTCTGTCACTTTCTGGGATGTTTCAAGGATCATTACGCAGCCTCCTACCTCGTCGGGAACTTCACCAGCGCCAACCTCGACGAGATTCCGGGTGAACTCGCCCACTGTCCCCACGCCAACGCTAGATTCTCTCTGCAGAGCGCTTCGGGCGTCGTATCCATCGACGGCAACCGCGTCGCTCGAGTCGTCGGATGCGGTGTGTTATTAACCCTCATCGTCGCCCTCTTCGGTCTCTTGAAGCGTCGTTCGGCCGAAACGCGCAAAGTGCAATCGTGCGGTGACAAAGATGAATCCACTCCGCTCGTTTAGTCTGATAGATAGTCTGCCAGTCTGCTCGTCGCCGGCGCTTGAGGGTGACACCGAGTACATTACAACTACAAATTTGTCTCGAGCGCTATCCGCCGAGGCTCGCTAAAAACGTCGAGTATGCGTTTTCAATCTCATACAAAAACTCTCTCGTTTCCTCCTCCTCGAGAACCTCCGACGCGCGCATCTCATCTAGTCTCAGAACCCACTTCCGCACGCACTTCGTCCCCTCGAAATCGTTCGGCAACCGACTCACCTTGCACAGCGCCAGCAACAAGTCCCCGAGCGCCGGCGCCACCTGATCCTTCGCCCGCATGTCCAGCTTCACCGTATCCATCACCCCTATGAAACAATGCGTCGCGTCCGCCACCGCGCGCGCCTCCGCCCTCCCCTCCGCCTCCGTGCCTCTCGCCGCGCCTCCGTGCTCCGCCGTCGCCGGCACCCCAGCCTCCAGCCTCCGTCTCGCCGCCGGCACCCTCGCCCCGTACGTCTCCAAGAATCGATCGAGGTCCGGCACGGAATCGCGCAGCACGCTCCGCAGCGTCTTAAACTTGCTCGTCAGGTCCACGCACGCGCGCTCGTACGCCTTCGCGTCGACGCTCGACCGCACGTACGCCCGCTCGAGCTTCTCGAGCGCGCGCGCGAGCGCGTACAGCGTCGCGAAATCGTCGTACCGCTTGCGCTCGTCCGTCGTGCGCCACAGGCGCACGCATTCACCGTCCGCGACGTCGCGCGCGGGCGGCATGTCGGCCGCGCCGGCGCCGCGCGGCGTCGCGATGTCGCGTCGCGTCGCGTCGGTCGTCAGAATTCGACCGCGAACATGAGCGAGGACTCGACCGCGGACTTCGCGCAGGCCGTCGTGAGCGCCGGCGCGGACGGCGGGAGCGCGAGCGGTGCGCGCGCGCGACGCGGCGAACGCGACGCGCGACGACGAAGCGACGCGCGCGGCGCGAAGGCGCCGGCCGATCTGAAAACGGACGGACGGCGCGGTCGCGCGAATCGGCGACGGCGCGCGGAGACTGACGACGACGACGAGGGGTGTGTGTTCGAGACGCAGCGCACGATACCATGGACGATGGATCGGTGCACGAGGACGCGGGCGCGCAGGAGGCGCAGATGCAGATGAATTCGTCGTTTCAGAGCGTGAGCTCGCTGAGCGCGTCGAAAGATTTCGGAACGAACGCGGGCGCGGAGGACTCGGGGCACGCGGACGGTGGATTGGATGACTTCGGCGATTTTGCGGCGGAGCCGGCGGCGGTGGAACAGATGACGGCGGAGGTGGGGCAGATGGCGGTGGAGCACGCGGCGCCGGCCGAACCCGCGGCGCCGGCGCCGGAGGAGGCGCCGATGGAACCCGTAGCGGTCATGTCTAACGCCGGGTCCGCGAGTGCGTTGAGTGAATCCGATTTTGCGGCGCCTGAGCAATCGGTGATGGCGGAGGAACCGGCGGTGAACATGTACAACTCGCCGCACTTGCAGGCGTTTCGCGCCGAGCAAGCCAAGCAACTCGCCGAACGCGAGGAGGCGGAGAAGCGCGAAATCGAACGCATCAAAGAGGAAGCCCAGGCCGAGCTGGAACTCATGGATTCGCAGCGCGCCAAGCAAATCTCGAGCGCCAAGCAGGCGAACCGCGAGCGCCAAACGGCGGAGGAAGAGCTCTTCGCGAACGCCAGCGGTTGGGAGGCGGTTTCCAACTACGTGTCGGATGAAAATCTCGTCCCCGACTCCCTCACCGACCTGTCCAAGATGCGATCTCTGATTCGCGTGCTAAAAAACACGCCACCCGTGAAGAGCGCGTAGATTATGCAGAGCAACAACCACAATAACACCAAACCTCGTCCCCGCTCGCGAAGCGCCGTCGAGGACGCCTGAACGTCACAACTCGGCTTCCGCGGACGGCTCAGTTCGATCAACGATGCCGCGTGGCACATCGTTCGCGCGCATTTCGCTCGCGCGCTGCGCGCTCGCGTGCGCGCTCGCGCTCGCGACGTCGACGCGCGCGTGTGGTGAATTCGTCGTGACGACGGACGAAGTCGCGCTCGCGTCCAGAGCGTCGTCCGCGCCTTTGCGAGGGCTGACGCTCGCGGACATGATCGCCAAACACGTCGCGTTCCCGAGAGAGGTGAGGCCGACGCTCGATCGACGCGCGCTTAGGGACTCGGGCGGTCGGGGACGCGTGAGACGCACGCGCGGGACGACTTCGACTGCGACAGACTGACGATCTCTACTTATCGATCGGTTAGGCGCTCGTGAGAAACGTGGGAGATGCGTACGATGGCGACGATGCGTGCTCGTCTCTGGAGGGGCCGACGTGCGCAGCGCTGGGGGGGTCAAACGAACGCGCGACCGACGGCGACGACGCCGCGACTGCGCTCAAGGCGACCTCCGTTCGGCGATCGCGCGTGTCGCTCGTGCGTTTAGACGACGTGAGCGATTTAGTAAAGTATTTCAAAAAGAACGGCGCGCAAGGGGCGCTGTCGATAGCGATGGAGGAAAACGCCGGGGGGCTTCGGGAACGGCTGAGCGAACTGACGCAGGCGGCGGCGACGTCATTCGCGAAAGCGCAAGCGAGTACGGCGGCGAGCGATGCACAAGATGCCGTTACCGATGGCGCGGGCGTCGACGACGCATCAGACGCATACTCTACGTCATCGCCGATTTCGGGCTTCACCGGCGGGCCGTTCGACGGGTCGTCGAAGTCCGTCCCGGGTTTGGCAAAGCGAGTGGCCATCTTCTACAACGCCCGTCCCACCGCGGTGTCGCTTTACTGGGTTGATTTCGACGGTAACGAAGTCCACTACGTCGACGTACATCCACAACACCAAGGCATCGTGAAAACCTTTCAAATGCACATCTGGATCGTTCGCGAGTTGGATTCTTCGCGCTTCGTCGCGCAATACACCGTCGGCGACGAAGACACGTCCACGCAATCGTTCACCATTCCCACTTCCTAGACCGCCTCGAGGCGTTTTGTAATTTGTTTAATCCATTCGATGTAAATCCGGCGCAGTTTTCGCGTCTCGTTGCCGCTCTTCTCGCGTTATCCTCGTGGCTCGCTCTGAACCGCGCGTTGGGCCGACTAACAAGATTCAGAGGATAGAGCGCCTTCTCTCGCGCCGCGCGTCACTTCCCGCACCCTATCACCAATCGCCGCTCTCGGCGATCCATCGAGGCCTTTCGAGCCCATCTGCGACTCAGCGCGACCGACGCGCGACCGACGCGCGACGTCGTCGACGCGTTTTCTTCGCCGCCGGACGCTGACGTGGAAATTTCTCGCAATTTCTCGAACGCTCGAGGACGACGCGCGTGAACCATGAGTGGAAACGCGCTCGACGGCGTGCGGCGCGCGCACGAGGAAAAGTTCTTCAAGACGGAACAAGAGCACGAGGTGCGAAGGTACGTGGCCAAGCTGAAGGCGGAGGGACGGTACGACGCCGCCATGACGGCGGCGAGCGAACGCGCGGCGAAGCGAACAGTCGGCGCGAGTGCGTTACCGCAGATCATGGCGCATTCGTTACGGCTGAACGGTGTCGAGGAAGCGAAACACGTGAAACGCGTGATAGATCGTGAGTTCATGACGAAGCACCACTTGGTGACGAATTTGCGATACACGGACGGGTTTCTGCTCGGCGGACGCGTGACGCTCGGGAAGAATAAGTGGGTAGCGGGCACGACGGGGAGTGGCGTCGAGGGAGCGACTATATTCAGCGTACACAAAGCGACGACTCTCATGTCGGAGGTTCCTAAGCAAGCGCTGGACGGGGTGGAATCGCGCGCGGCGAGGTACATGGTTGATAACTCATTCGTGGAAGTCGCGGGCAAGCGAGTCAAGTTGATGCCGGATCCGACGCCGGGACGCGCCATGGCGTGGGGGGGGACGTTGGCCGTTTGGGGTACCTTGGGCTTAACATTGACGGCGTGCAAAACGCTCGGCATTCACTCTATCGGCGACGTGACGACGGTGATGAAGCGCGTCTTCACGCCGTACGCGAATTCGATTCGAGAATCGATGGCGCCGCTCAAGTCCCGTTTCTCGATGAGCAGCGCGGACGACTCGCCAAAATTCAAGGATTCAAATTTCGCGCACGATATCCGACGCATGTTCGCGTGACAAAGTTGTTAATCTACCGTCTGAAGATCTTAAAATCAAATCGCGTCTCTATCGTCTTCTATCGCGCGCACGCACTACTCCTCAATGCCCCTAACCTCCAACACTCTCAATCCCGTGAGCTGCGCTCTGTACCCATTCATCCGTCGATAATTCTTCCGCCGCTTCTTCTTGAATATAAACTTCTTCCCGTCCCGCACGTGCTCCTCGACCAACGCGAGAACCTCCGCCCCTGGCACCGTCGGCCGCCCGATCACCGTTCGCGTCTTGCTCCCCAGCATCAGCACCCGCGGCAACCTCACCACATCGTTCACCTCGACGTCCTTTATCTTATCCACGAATATCAAGTCGTCCGGGGACACCTTGAACTGATGCGACCGCACCTCGACGACGCCGAAGACGTCTTTAGGGCGCACCTCGACGCCGCGCTCGGCGTCGATCGCCGGCGCCTCCTCGCGCGGCACGAGGACGATGGATTCCGGCACGGCGTCCACGGCGGGGGTGACGCCGCCGTTGATCGTGAGTCCGCTCGCGAACGCGCGCGCGAGCGGCGGCGAGGGCGACGGCGACGACGACGACGGGGCGAAGGCGGCGACGGCGCGCGCGAACGACGTCGACGGCGCGGTCGCGGCGCGCGCGGCGCGCGCGGGCGCGACGGACGTCGCGAGAGAGAACGCGCGACGCGCGACGTGGCGAGACATCGGCGAGGGACGACGATCGGTGGGACGACGATCGGTCGAGGACGCCGCGCTGCGCGTAGTGACGTCGAGGCGAGACGGCGCCGAAGGGAGTCGTCGAAGGATTGGTCGGGCGATGGGACGATATCGATTACAGCGGTGTGGGGTGCATAAATAACTAGTTGCGTCAGGCGATGTCCTCCACCTCCGCCAAGGCTTCGGCCATGTGATGGTGCAGCTGCGCCAGTTCGCGCTCGAGGACGTCCATGTCCGCGCGAAGGTCGCGCGCGAGCGGCGAGGGAGGAGAAGACACGCGCGGTGACGGTGCGTCGGCCCTCGAGTCGCGCTGTTCGACGTCTTCGCGCTGTTCGCGCACCATCTCTATCGCGCGTGACGTGGCTTCCGTCGCCACGCGGATGTCGTCGTCGTGACGCGCGGCCTGCGCGTGAATTTCTCTTCGCGCCGAAGCCAACTCTCGCTCTAAGATGACCCTCTCCTTCTCGGAGGTGCGGATGATTTCGTGCGCGTCGCCGAGCTCGCGCTCTAAAATCTCCACTTGCGCCTTTGCTCGCTCTATTTCTGCGACGCTCCAAGACGACGCGATGGTTTCGCGCGTCGCCGGCGCGTTGTCGTCCTCCTCCATCGCCAAGCTATCTCTCAGCGCGATCGCCTCGGTCAGTGCGCTCAACTCGGCGATGACCGCGCTGACGGCTGAACCGCCCAGAGCGCGCCCGCTCGGCGCCGTCGGCGCGAACGAACGCAGCGCATCCAACGCCATCTTGAGCGTCGATACTGACCGGCGCCTTTGCTTTGATTCTCGCTCCAAAGTCTTCGTCAACTTCTTCTTCAGAGCCCGAATCTGTCGCTTACGCTCGTCATCATCCCCGTCTTTCGTCTCCTTTAACTTATCGTGCGAATATCTCAACGCCGCGTGCTCGCGCTTTAACTTGACGCACTCTCCCGAGAGCTCCTCAAGTTTTCCCTCCGCCCTCTCGCGTCGACGCTTCTCCTTCGTCAACTCCTCTCGAAAGCAAGCCGCCTCCTTGGACAACGCCCGAAGCTTTGCGCTCGACGTCGTCGCGCCGCGCGACGCCCCACCGTCGCGTCTCGACGTTTCCGCGCGCGCGTGCGCTCGCGGCGGTCGCGTCGCGCTCGGCGTCGGCTCGCCGTCCGAGCTCGACGCGTCTGAATACCCCCCCACGTGCGCGCCGAACGGTCTCCGAGTCGCACCGGCACCGCGCTTACTCGCGTCGCCGCGCGCGCCGCCATCGGCGCCTCCCGCGCACGTCGGCGTCGTCATTCTCGCGCGAATGCGCTCAACGGTCTGTTTCCCTCTCGTCCGAAATCCCGCCCCTTCGCGCGCGTCCTCCTCCGCGAGCGCCCATATCCACGACGATCGCACGACGACGTCGTCGACCTCGCGCATGTCGACCGGCGCGATCGATCGACGCGCGATCGCGCCGGTCCGCTCGCGGACGCGCCGGTCTGCCGTCGGCATTGGTTCGCGCGTCGCGTCGGCACCGCGCGGCGCGTCGACCCGCCTCGCCGTCGACCGCGCGCGTCGATCGGGCGCGATGGCGCCGTACGTTCCCACCGGACGCAAGCGCGGGCGGCCGCGCGATCCGAACAAGCAGCGACCGCGCAAGCCCGGGCCGCCGCCCGCCGCGCTCAGGGTGCGCGCGCGACGACGACGACGACGACGACGCGGCGCGACGCGACGACGACGATGACGCGCACTGACGATGACACGCCGACGCGAACGCGCGCGCAGGTGCGACGGAACCCGATATTCGAAGAGATGCGACAGCAGATGGACGCGGTGGTGGCGGCGGTGCACCCGAAGCGCGAGCGCGACGGCGAGGAACGAAAGAAACGAACGAAAGAGACGCTTGCGGATCGAGTGGAGAAGGCGGTGGCGATATCCATGACGGAGGAAGAAAAGGCGAACATCGAACGCGAGCGGAGGGAGGCGGCGATGTATTGGCCGGTGTGTTTGAATCCGAAACTGAAACCGAAGGGGAGCGAGGTGAGCGAGGATCGTAAGACGTTCACGAGCTCGAAAGGGTATCGCACGTGCGCGGCGTCGCACGGAGTTCGATGCGGTGCGTTTTATTATGAGATTACGATTGCATACTTGGGGGAGAGCGGACACGCCAGAGTGGGGTGGAAGTCGAAGAAGGGCGAGGCGAACGCGCCCGTCGGATTCGACAAGTTTGGGTACGGGTACAGGGACGTGGGTGGGGAGAAGGTGCACGAATCGACGCTGGCGCCTTACGGCGAGCCTTTTAAAGAGGGCGATGTCATTGGGTGTTACATATTCGTCGAAGAGATGAAGATGAAAAGCCTCAAGAAGGAAGAAAGCGGCGACGCCCCCGAACCCGCTAACGCGAGTTTCGTCGCCTTCTCGCGAAACGGGACGTTTCAAGGCAAGGCGTACGTGGGTCTGAACGACGACGACGGCGCGTACTTTCCCGCGGGTTCACTCTTCACCGCCCCGGACGTGGAGCCGGCGAAGTTGGTGTTTAATTTCGGACCAGATTTCCAACATCCACCGGACGCCGAGGCGTGGGACGTGCCCGCGCCGCGACCGATGAGTGATTTAGATCCACCCCGACCGACGCCTGAAATTAAACTCGAACCATCGCCGGAGGAGACCGCGGTGATTGTCGAAGCGCCGAACGCTGAAGAAGAGACGCACGCCGCCACTAGCACGTAGCACTGTGTACATAATTATTGTTTTGAGGTATGAAATCTAAAAACACAACGTTACAAACATCTCCTCCACGCTATCACGCCGGTACCTTCAACCGCGCCGACTTGACTTGTTTCAGCTGTCTCTTCATCTTCTTTCGCGCCTTCGAATCGTTTTGAAACGTCTGCGCCGCCAGCTGTCTCGGAGTCGGCGCGCCGTCCGGCCTTCGTCCCTTCTTCGTCACGCCGCTGCCCTTCTTTGTTTTCAAAAATATATCCGCCTTCCCGACCGCGTTCATCCCCCAAGCCACCGCCTCGTCGTTTCGTCTCGCCGCGTCCTCGGCCCGCGCCAGCGTCTCGGCGTCGACGACGACGTCTCGACTTCTCCGCGCGTCGTTCGCGTCGTCCGTCTCCATGGTCATGTTCTGATGCGCCCGCGAGTTCACCACGGGTACCTTCGGCGCCGCCATCGCGCGCGCCATCGCGGCTTGCTTCGCGTCGAACTTTGCGCGATCATCATCGGTTTCGTTGAGCGCGTGCAGGCGCGAGGCGCGGACTTCGCGCTTACACGCGGCGCGCGCCGATTTACCCATATATGGCGGCGGCGGCGCGACGAAGACGACGACGGACTCGCGAGCGCGACGCGCGCGGTGCCTCAGACGCGAGCGCGGCGAACGGTTACGATTCGTTCGCGCGAGCGCGGCGTTCGAGCTCGCGAGCGAGTCAGCGAGCGACGAAGACTGCGGCGCGCCTCGCCGCCAACGCGAGGGACGGAGGCGCGACGAGCGGCGAGCGGAGGTTCGTGATTCGTGCGAGCGCCGTTCGCGCGTCTACGCTCGCAATCTATCATGCATTCCTCCTATCTTTAATTCTATGTCGAAGCGAACAGCGCGTTGACGAAATCGCGACGTGAGTCGTCGGCGTCGGCGTCGGCGACGCACGAGGCGTCGATGTCTTCGGCGAGGCGAAGCCACGCGGACGTCTTCGCGAGGGACTTTAATGAGGCGTCGATGATTTGTGCACGATATGCACACGCGCGCGTCGCTCCATCGGCGTCGACGAAGGTCGCGAATCGTACCAAGTCGTCGTCCCTCGATTCAATATCCGAAACATTGACATCAAACGTCACGGTGAAGAGCACGCTGCAATCTTTCGCCATTTGACCGAGCACGAATGAGCGTAAGCGCTCGAGTAAATCTTCCGATACCTCACCAGCGCGTTGGCGCGTGGCATTCAGTCGCTCGCATAATTCGTGGACGTCACGATATGTCTTCACGGCGTCATCTCCGCCTCGTAATTGGTGGTGAAATATAAACTCGAACACTTCTCTCGCGTTCATGACAAGATTTGGGAGTACGCGAGAAAGCGTGGACACAACATCTGCGTCGGCGGTTACACCTCGCGCGTCGACGAACACACGCGCACCACGCGTGACTCGCAGATTGTTCTGCGGACACGCCATCAACGCTTCGCACGCGCGGCGAACATCCGCGTCTCCACCCAATAAATCCACCGGAACGTACGAGCTCGCCGCCTCGCGCTCGCCGCGCGCGACTTTCAACCGCTGATGTGCCGGAAATCTCCACGCGCGTCTCCCGTTGACGATGGCCCCGACGAACGATTTCGGCTTGATCTCAATCACCCATGCGTTCTCGACGTCGTCCTCAAAGACGCGGCTCGTCTCCGCCGCGACCTCCGACAGTTGCCCGAACGCCTCCGCCGCGTTTGCGACGCGTCCATCGCGACCTTCCGCCCTCGCCGTCTCGTGCGCCGCATCGCGCGTCGTCTTCAGCGCCAACGCATTCAAAGCGTCGCCGTCCACGCGCACGACCGCCCGATCGTCCCGCCATCCCGCGCGTCCCGACGTCGTCGGCGCGTTCGCGAAGAACGCGTCCCGCGCCGCCGCGTCGAGCGTCGTCCACGACGCCTCATCGCGGTCGGCGCCCCACACCAGCGCGTCCACGGTGTGACACCGCCACGCGCGATCGCCGCGGGCGCCCGCGGGAGTCTTTAACAGGCGCAGCAGCGCGCCGCGAAGCTCGGGACGCGGGCCGGTGTAACGAAACACGACGTGGGCGTTGCCCTCGCGCGCGTAGGCGTAGTGCGCGACGTCGTCCGCGGTGATTCGAATAACGGCGGCGGACGTCGAGGCGCTCGCGCGCGCGTCGCGCATCGCGCGAGGAGGCGCGCAGTGGCGTCGACTGGGCGCGGGCTCGGAATACAGTTACAGATGTGACTAGTCGTCGCGTCACGCGGCGCGCATGGCGTCCAGGCGTTCGAATATGTTTCTGGGCGCGCCGTCGATGAGTTTGGCGGTGCCACACGACGATTGCGTCGGGCGCTCGGCGCCGTCTTCGCGATGCGCCAAGTAAGATTTCACGATGCAGTTGAACGCGTCGGGCGTTTCGTGCGCCGGACAGTGTCCGCTGGGCGTGAGCTCGTAATAATCGGCGCGAGGGATCACGCGCTTTAATCGTTGTCCCCAGAGCGGCACGACCCACGGGTCGTCTTTTCCGTACACCATGGCTACCGGGAGATCGGCGGGAATTCGATTCAACATTTCGTCGAAGCTCAACGCGGCTTTCGGCGACCACACGACGGAGCAAAACGTGCTCAGCGCGTGAACGTTATCCGTAGGTTCGATGATTTGACGAACGAGCGTGTCGTCGATTCGCGCGGAATTTGCGTAGACGAGTGAAAGTAATCCTCGCACGTTGGCCGCGCTTCGAAAGCTTTCCCAATACGCTTTAATCGGCGTGCGAATCCATTTCGGCGCCGGCAGCGCGCCTCGCCAAGGCGCGATCTTACTTCCCCACGCGTTGGGATCGCTCGGCACGAACGCCCAAAACGGCGTCGCGTTTACTAAAATCAACCCTTTCGTCAGCTCGGGCGCCATGGCCGCGACGTACGTCGCCACGAATCCGCCGAGCGAGTTTCCCGTCAAGTACGCTCGCTCGCCCACCACCTCGCTCAAGAAATACTCCACCTGCTCCCGCCACGCGTCCACGGAGTACTGAAACCCCTCCACGTCACCAGCCTCGCTCGGCCACGACCGTCCTTGTCCGACGAAATCCAGCGCCCACACGCACGCGTCGTCGCCGAGCGCGCCTCGCGCCAACTGCGCGTCGTAGTGAAACGACCCGACGCCGAACCCCGGCAGCAGCACGACGTGCTTCGCGCTGTCCGCGCGTCCCGCGCGTTCGTACCGCACGTCGTGTCCGCGCCACGCGTAAGAGCAATCGCACCGCGCGCCGTCGTCCGTCGTCGTCGTCGTCGTCGTCCCAGCGCTATCTCGAGCGGCGAAATCATCCTTCGTCGCCCGCGCGCGCGCCGGCGCCGGCCGCCGTCGCGCGCGGACGCGCGTCGATCGCGCGCGCGGCGACGCGCGCGTCGTCGCCCGCGCGCGCGTCGTCGCCCGCGCCATCGCGCGCGCGTGTGCGAACGCGGCGTCGCGTCGCGTCGATCGCGACTTCGCGACGCGCCGACGCGACGCGACGCCGCGCGCGCGACATGGGCGGCGAAGAGTCCAAGCCCGCGACCGCGGACGCGACCGCGGACGCGACCGCGACGACGGCGCGCGCGACGGACGCGACGGACGCGACGGACGCGACGACGGCGCGCGCGATGGATGCGGCGGCGGACGCGGCGGAGCGCGTCGAAACCTTGACGATCGCGACGCGAACGAAGCGAGCGACGCAGATCGCGGCGAACTCGGACGTGGACGTCGCGTTCCGACCGTTCGGGGCGCCGCTGGCGTTTCTGGCGGCGTGCGCGAAGATCGGGGTGAAGACGACGTGCGGCGAGCAGGTCAAGACGGCGCCGGCGGAGGCGCGGACGACGACGAAGGATGGGAAAGTGGACGTCTCGGGCGCGATCGACGCGTTGGAGGCGTTGGAGGACGCGTGCGAGGGCACGGGGTTGCTCGGCGCGGGATCGGCGGCGCGGGAGGAGGTGTTTGAGTGGCTGACGAGATGCCGAAGCTTGGCGCCCGGGGGCGGGTTCGAGAAGCAGTGCGAGGGCGTGAACGAATACCTCGCCACGCGGACGTATCTCGTCGGGCACGACGTGACGCTCGCGGATTTGGCGCTTTGGGCGGAGTTTACGACGAATCGACAGTGGGCGGTGGTGGAGAAGAAAGGGAAGTGCGGGAACCTCGCGAGATGGTTGGCTACGATGAACGCGGACGCCGAAACGCAAGCGGTCGTGGCTGCGGCAAACGCGGGGAATCCGATTCTCAGCAAGAAGGCGACGACGGTGTCGGATACCGGTAAGGTTGTCGGTGCAAAGACATCAGGTTCGTTCGAGGTCGATCTTCCGGGAGCGGAGGAGGGGAAAGTCGTCACGAGATTTCCCCCGGAACCGAGCGGAATTTTGCACATTGGCCACGCCAAGGCGGCGCTGCTCAACCATTACTTCGCTCGACGATACAAAGGTAAGCTCATAGTTCGTTTCGACGACACGAATCCGGACAAAGAGAACGTCGACTTTGTCGATGGTATCATGCGCGACATCGCGACTTTGGGTCTGGATCCGGACGTCGTCACGTACACGTCAGACTCCTTCGACGCCATTCTCAAGATGGGCGAAAAACTCATCAAAGAGGGCAAGATGTACATCGATACCACGGACGTCGACACCATGCGTACGGAGCGTATGCAGAAGATCGAGTCCAAGTGCAGAAGCCAGAGCGTCGAGGAAAACTTGCGACTTTGGAAGGAGATGAAGGCGGGCTCCAAGGAGGGCGCGGAGTGCGCCGCGCGCTTCAAAATCGACATGTCCAGCAACAATGGCTGCATGCGCGATCCCGTCGCTTTCAGATGCAACGTCGAGACCCCGCATCACCGTACGGGAACGAAATATAAGGTCTATCCGACCTATGACTGCGCGTGCCCTTTCGTCGATGCGCACGAAGGCGTGACGCACGCGCTTCGCACCTCAGAGTACGCCGATCGCGAAGATCAGTACAAGTGGATTCAAGAAGCGATGGGAATGCGCAAGGTGCACATTTGGGAGTACAGTCGATTGAACTTGGAGTACACCACGTTGTCCAAGCGTAAGCTTCAGTGGTTCGTCGATAACAAGCACGCGACTGGATGGGACGATCCGCGTTTCCCGACGGTGCAAGGCGTCGTTCGTCGAGGTATGCAAGTCGAAGCGCTCAAGGAGTTCATGCTTTCGCAGGGTGCGAGTAAGAATAACAACCTGATGGAGTGGACAAAAATCTGGGCGATGAATAAGAAGATCATCGATCCGATCGCCCCGCGCCACGTGTGCATCGACAACGCCGACGCCGTAGTCGTCAAGGTGCTCAACGGACCCGAGGGAGAAGAATGGTTCACGACTCCGAAACACAAAAAGAACCCAGATTTGGGCATCAAGGTCGTGTTGCGCATGAACGAAGTCATCATCGAGCAAGCCGATGCGCGCGCCATTAGCGAGGGCGAGGAGTGCACGTTGATGGGCTGGGGCAACGCGTTTTTCAAAAACATCGTCAAGGAGGGCGACGTCGTAAAATCCATGGATTGCGAAATCAATCCGGAAGGCGACGTGAAGACGACCAAGTTAAAGATGACTTGGTTGGCGAACTGGAACGAGCTCGTGCCGGTCGAGTTGAAGGACTATGACTACATGATTACGAAGAAAAAACCAGAAGAGTCTGACGAGTTCAAGGACATCGTCAACCCGACCACCGAGGTCGTCACGATGGCGAAGGGTGATGGAAACTTGCGCGCTTACAACAGAGGTACCGTCATTCAAATCGAACGCAAGGGCTATTACGTCGTCGATCGCGTGTACGTGAACATGGACACGCCCATGGTTTTGCTCAGCATTCCGGACGGCAAGAAGGCGTCGTGGGGGGTCTCGGCTAAGTAGGCGGCGAACGTCTTTAACGGCATGTTAATACGAATTTCTGTCATACATTGACACACATCGATAGCTAATGCGCGCGCGTCAATCACGCTCCGAGTTGCGCTTTCAACTCCCCGGATTCGTGCATCGAGTTCACGATGTCGTGCCCGCCGAGAAGCTCGCCGTCGACGTACAGTTGCGGAATCGTGGGCCAATCCGAAAAGTCCTTGATGACGAACAGTAAGTTGGGGTTATAGTAATCATCCAACACGTTCACCGTGTCGTAATCCACCATGAGCTCGTTTAAGACGTTAATCATGCGATGCGAAAACCCGCAATCGGGCTCTTCGCGCGTTCCCTTTATGAACGCGACAATCTTATGTTCGCGCACGCACGTCCCGATCGCCTCCTTCAGCGCGTCCGCGGTCATTTGTGGAGTTTTTCCATCGCTCAATCGCAAGCACGCCTTGCTCGGCCGCGCCCGTCGCTCGCTAAACAGTTTATTCCCCGGCGCGTTCCCCGGCGGCAACCCGCCCGCCGTCGTCACGTGTTCCATCACCCACGTCTTCCACGCCGCCTGTAAATCCGCCTTGCTCGCGTCCGGCAGCGCCATACACTTCACCGCGTAACAGTACTGCGGCATCTCAAACGCGTGCACCTTCACGCTCGCGTTCACCTTTCGCGACAGTCCCACGTACTGCAGCGCGTCCCGCTCGTCGTACACCGCGTACACCCCCGCCGTCGCCGGAATCCGCGCGTCCGCGTGTCCATCGTTCGCCACGCGCACCGTCTCCGCGTCCGCCAGTTTCACCGCCGTCGCCGCGTCGAACGTCGTCGCCGACGTCGACGTCTTCGCGTCGTCGTCGTCGCTCGCGCGCGTCGCGCGTCCCGTCCGCGCGCGTCCCGTCCGCGCCGTCGCGCGTCGCGCGCGCGTCGTCGGCGTTCGCGCCGTCACCGCGCGCGTCACCGCGCGCGCGCGCGCCATCGTCGCCGTCGCGTCGTCGACCGCGCGTCGTCGAGTCGCCGCCGTCGGACGGTCGGTCGACTTTCTCTGGTTTTTTCGCGCCGGCAGCGCGTCGCCAGTGCGCGCGCGACGACGCGAACCGGCACTGTTCGGCGCGAACGACCGACGACGACGCGACGACGACGAGACACCGAGCGAGATGAGGTGCGACGGGCGAAGAGAGACGAAGCGACGACGACGAGACGCGAAGCGACGCGCGCGCGCGCGCGACGACGACGACGGACGCGCGGGAGACGCGCGCGCGCGCGTCGAGGGAAAGTCAATGACGGCGAGGCTAAAATTAACCGACGCGGGACTGACGACGACGATGGACGACGGACGCAGAGAAATCGTGCACATTCAAGCGGGCCAATGCGGTAACCAAATCGGGGCGAAGTTCTGGGAGGTGCGCGCGCGCGCGCGGCGGCGATCGAACGCGGGCGCTCGGGAGAGTCGAGACGCTCGGCGCGAGTCAACTCGAACGCGGCGAGGCGCGACGGCTCGACTGACTTTGTGCGCGATCGATGGTGACTAGGTTATTTGCGATGAACACGGGATCGATCCCACTGGGACGTACGCTGGAGACGCTGATTTGCAGCTCGAACGCGTGAACGTGTACTTTAACGAAGCTTCCGGAGGTACGCGCGTTGACCGACGCGCCGAATGTATTTTTAACCGTCTTTCGCGCAGGTCGCTACGTGCCACGCGCCGTGCTCATGGACCTCGAGCCGGGCACCATGGATTCGGTGCGCTCTGGGCCGTACGGTCAAATCTTCCGACCGGATAACTTCGTGTTCGGGCAAACCGGTGCGGGAAACAACTGGGCGAAGGGTCACTACACCGAAGGCGCCGAGTTGATCGACGGCGTGCTCGACGTCGTGCGCAAGGAGGCTGAATCGTGCGACTGCTTGCAAGGTTTCCAAATGTGCCACTCTCTCGGTGGCGGTACCGGTTCCGGTATGGGTACGCTTCTCATCTCGAAGATTCGCGAAGAGTACCCCGATCGCATGATGCTTACGTTTTCCGTCGTTCCGTCGCCCAAGGTGTCGGATACCGTCGTCGAGCCGTACAACGCCACACTTTCTGTGCACCAGCTCGTCGAAAACGCCGATGAGTGCATGATCCTTGACAACGAAGCACTTTATGATATTTGCTTCCGCACGCTAAAGCTCACGACGCCGACGTTTGGTGATTTGAACCACTTGATCTCCGCCGTCATGTCCGGCGTCACGTGCTGCTTGCGCTTCCCGGGTCAGCTCAACGCCGACTTGCGCAAGCTCGCGGTGAACTTGGTGCCGTTCCCGCGCTTGCACTTTTTCATGGTCGGGTTCACTCCTCTCACGTCCCGTGGTTCCCAGCAATACCGCGCCCTCACGGTGCCGGAGTTGACGCAACAAATGTGGGACGCAAAGAATATGATGTGCGCCGCCGATCCGCGTCACGGCCGTTACCTCACCGCCTCCGCCTTGTTCCGCGGACGCATGTCCACCAAGGAAGTCGACGAACAACTCTTGAACTGCCAAAACAAGAACTCTTCGTACTTTGTGGAGTGGATTCCGAACAACGTCAAGAGTTCGGTGTGCGATATCCCCCCCAAGGGTCTCAAGATGTCGTCCACGTTCATCGGCAACTCGACGGCGATTCAAGAAATGTTCAAGCGTGTCAGCGAGGCGTTCACCGCCATGTTCCGTCGCAAGGCTTTCTTGCACTGGTACACGGGAGAGGGTATGGACGAGATGGAGTTCACCGAAGCCGAATCGAACATGAACGACTTGGTTTCCGAGTACCAGCAGTACCAAGACGCGAGCGCGGAGGAAGAAGGCGAATTCGACGAAGAAGACGCAGAGGAAGCTTTCGCCATGTAAGCGCCGGCTGTGCCCTCGTCGTCGTTACCAAGACCCGTCGCGTGTTCATCTATATCAAACGGCGAGTGTTTAAAGAAGGATGCTCCACGATCGAAGGATCCGTAGGTTCGTTGGGAAGAGCGGTAGTAGATCGTACAAAAATAAGTCGCGCGGGCGCGCTCGCTTGTTCAAATAGTGCAGCAGCGTTTGTTATAAAAATACAAATCCCCTTCTCGTCACCCGCGCGCTTCTTCGTCAACTTTCAGACGCTCAGTCAACGATCGCGACAATCCCTCTAAGCTAGTATTCTGTTTCTCTAAGCGAACCACTCTGTCTCGCAGCGCGTTGCGCTCTTCGACGAGTTCGATCAACGCCGCGTCTGATTTTTTCTTCATCAACTGCGCCTCCAACTTCGCCTTCTCAATCGAGAGCGCTTCGTTCCTCGCCCGTGCCAGTTCCTCGTGAAGAGTGTCATACGTCGACTCGTTCGTCTTCACCGCCTCTCGGAACTCGTCAAATTTGTCACCGAACGTCTTCAACTCCTTCGTCAGCTCTATTTCGCGTTCGAGTCGCTTCGCAATCTCCACTCGCGCCTCCTCCAGCTCCAGCTCCAGAGCGCGCTGGCGCTCTTCCATAATCTTCACCCTCGCGTCGCACAGTTCCTCCATCTTCGCCATCGCTTCCATCGTCCGCGCCGCGCGCTGCTCGTGCGTCGCGCAACTCGTCTCCAAAAGACTTTGTCTCTCTTCGTACAGCGCGAGCTCGGACACCGCCCGCTCGCGCATCGCGTCCTGCGCCTCCGCTCGTTCGCGCACGGCGACTAAATCATCATCGATGGTTTTCACCAGCGTCGCGTTCGCGCGCTCGAGCTCTTCGTTTCGTCGTCGCAATTCGCGCGCCAAACGCTCGAGCGTTTGATTGCGTTCGACCGTCGCGCCGAGCTCCGTCGCCAGCGCCACGGCGTCCGCGCGCGCGGCGTTCAGCGCCTTGGCGTTCGCCCTGACGTCCGCGTCGACGACGCCGACGTTTTCTTTCGCGTCGTCGCGCGGCATCGCGTCAGTCTATGCCGCTCGCGAGCATGTCGTCCGCCGAGCTCGCCGCGCTGCGCGAAGCGTACGCCGACGCGGAGGAGTGGATGCTCGAGGGCGTGTGCGCGTCGCTCGACGGCTTGCGGGGCGATCGCGCGGGCGTGCGCGAGACGCTCGGGTCGTTTTTGGGCGAGCTCGACGGCGAAACCATGGAGACGCTCGCGGACGCGTGGGCGCCGCGCGCGCCCGAGGGCGCGGCGGGGGGGCGCGCGCGCGAGCCGGCGTTCGCGAGCGGGTCGACGCGCGACGACGACGCGCGAGCGGGCGATGGGGCGACGGTGGGGACGACGACGACGACGACGGCGGCGGCGAGTCGAGACGGCGCCGGCGCGAACGCGAAAGCGGGCAAGTCGTCGCGCGAGCGCGCGCACGCTCGGGAATCGAAGGCGCTGCGATTCGTCGAAAAGCCTTTGAAAGCGCGGCGCGGGCCGTCGCGAGGTGAGCGCGCGATTCGACCGGGGGACGAGCTCGCGCCCGGGGACTTGGCCAAGTCGTGCGTAAACTGTCTGGCGTGCGGGAAAATTTTTGATTTACGCGCGAAAGACGGCGTACTTTCGCAAACGGCGCTCGCATTTTTAGAGGGTAGCGCGCGGTGTACGTTTTGTGGGGCGTACGTGGAAGTGATGCTCGCGGACGGCGTGACGCGATTTCGCGGCGGGGACGCGGGAGACGGCGGCGCGAAGCCGACAGCTGAGGCGGCGGCGCGAGACGTGTTCGAAGAGCTGAGCAAAATTTCTTTGGGAACAGTCACGAGTGACGCTCGGGCGGATGGTGATGCGGCCACCGCCGCGGCGGTTGCGGCGAAAGATCGTTTGGTACATTTCGACCAAACGAGCGCCAAGCGCACGACGGTGATCGACGACCAGTCCGAGTGGTACGAAATCGACGGTAACGCCTGGCTCGATGAGACCGAACGCGAAGAGCTAAAGAGGCAGGCGAAGGAAATGGCTGAGGCTGAGGAGGAAGCTAAGCGTAAGGCACGAACGACGTGGACACTCGACCTCGTCGGTCGTAAAGTCGTCGCCCCGGCCGCGGAGGACGACGCCGAATCGACGGCGACGAGCGACGATCGCGCTTCAGACTCCGCGCTCGCCGCCGCGAAAGCCATCCGCGCCGCGCTGGCGACAAACGAAGAGTACGCTCAGGGCGGTGGTGGCGCCGCCGCATCAGCTGCCGAGACTGCTCGCGAGCTCGAGCGTCGCGTCTTCGTTGATCCTAGAGTTTCGGCGCGACCGTCGTTCCTCGCCGCGGCGTCCCCGGCGCCGGTGTCTGGCGGGCAGAACAAAGGCGCGGCATCGAAGAAAAACGACGCCTTCGCGCGGCGCGCCGGCGAATCTTCGCGCGTTCTGGACGACGATCCGTTTGAAAGCGTTTGGGAAGAGCTCAACGATCTCGGGTTTTCGCAAGTCTCGTAGCGTTTCGCGCGACTAGAAATTGTACTAACGTTAGCATTAGAAAATGTAGCGTCTAGCGAACCGTTCACACGATCCACACGGTGTCATCCGATGACGCCCCGAACTCTTCCGCGACGACGTTACTGTCGGCAAACATGGGATTGTCGAACCCGCGACTGAACGAGCCCGGAAGCTGTCGGCGACGCGTGTTCGAATCCCACGCGCTCTTCCACGCGTTCGCGCCGCCTCGCACGATGACGACGCGCTTAAACCCGCTCGCCTCGAGAATCTCCTTCGCTCTCACCGCGCGACACCCCCCGACGTCGTCCATCACCATCGATTTCGCATCTTTCGAGCCATCCGCGTCATCCGCGTCCGCGCCATCCATCCGCGTCCGCGTCGTGCGTCCGCGCCCGTCGTCGTCCCTCGCGCCGTGTCGTCGCCGTCGTCGTCATCGCCGTCGTCGTCGTCCCGTCGCGTCGTCGCGCCGTCCCTCGTCTGCGCGCCGGCGTCGCGACGTCGCGACGTCGCGACGCCGCGTGGAAAATCCGCGCGGTCGTGCGGTCGGTCGCGTGTGCGTAAACAGTCAGCGCACATGTACGAGTTCGCGCGGGACGGCACATGCGCCGTGGGCGCGACGACCGTCGCGCGTCGCGCGCGGCAGACGCGGACGCGACGCGCGCGCGTCGCGCGGGCGAACGCGCGCGCGCGCGGAGGCTCGGACGACGGCGCGGCGACGCGCGACGCGACGCGACGCGCGACGCGACGCGACGCGACGGCGACGGGACGACGGCGAGGACGAACGTTCGAGGGACGCGCGGCGACGCGTTTTGAGCGCGCGCGCGAGGACGACGACGCGAGGGACGACGGCGCTCGGCGAGAGGGATGGTGAAGTTCGCGCGAAGGCTCGAGAGCGAGGCGTTCCCGTCGTGGGCGGCGCATTACATCGATTATCGCGCGCTGAAGAGGGTGGTGTACGAGGCCAAGGACGGGGCGGACGGCGAGGAGGGCGCGCGGAGGTTTTTGAACGCGCTGCGAGATGAGATCGTCAAGGCGAATGGGTTCTACGCGACGAAAGAGCGCGCGCTGAGGGAGAGGTTGGATGCGCTGGAGACGGACATTCGGAGCGATAGCGTGGACGCGACGGCGTTGCGAAGGGCGAAGAAGACGCTCGTGCGCGAGTTTTATCCCGAGTTGAGCGAGTTGAGAGAGTTTGTGGTGTTGAATTATACCGCCGTCGTCAAGGCGGTGAAGAAATTTAACAAGAATTGCAACCGTAGCGAAAATGCGGTGAGCATTCTGAGCGAGTCGCCGATGTTTTATTCGCTCGGGTTGGCAAAGTTGGTGACTCGGACCGAAATGCTCGCCGTGCACGCGGCGCCGACGAAGTCGGCAAAGGTGCTCGAAGACTCCATATGCCCGGTGTGCGAGGAGGTGCTGAGCAATCCTGTGGTGTTGCCGACGTGCAGACATAAGTTTTGCTTCAAGTGCATCATCAACAGCGCGCCGTCGGCGAGCACGCCGCTCATCACGACGGCTTCGGTGACGAATTTAAACGACATCGCAAATCTTGCCGAGACGGGGTCTCCCATCATGAAGACGCCGGCGAGCAAAGTGGCGTTGTTCCCTGGTCGCTGTCCGGTGTGTCGCGCGAAAGAAGATCGCAAGATCGACGGTCGAATGTTCAAGCCGGACTCGAATTTGGATGAGCTCATCCGCAACTTCAACGACAGAGACTTGGACACGGATGCGGACGAGCTCGACGCGGACATGTTGATGACACCCGCCGCCGCGGGATCTGCGTCGGATGAGAGCGCGTCGGACGTGCAGCCGGAGCATCCCGTGCCGACGCTCCGAAAGGTTTTACTCGTCGCTGTTGCGGGATGTCGCGTGGACGCCATGCTCACCGCGAATACGCCGACGCTTAAATCGTTTATTCGCGGTAACAAGAACGCGTGCTTCTCGCTCGACATGAATGCGAGCGCGATGCGGTGCTCGACGAGTGCGAACTCGCCGATGCTACCAATACTCACGGGGCAATCGGTGAGCGTGTTGAAGGCCATCGATGAAGACGAAGATGCGACGTTGTCGTCCATTTATGATAGACTGAAGGAAACACGCTCGTGGATCAAAGGCGCGTGCGCCATAGGCGAGGCTGAAGATCTGGACAAGATCATTCGTAAAGAGACGAAATCGCTCTTGGCGTCGTCCGTGAGCACAGATGCAGAGGCGAGTGAAGCGATTGCGAAATGTCTTGCGGAACCGACGACGCCTGACATGCTCCTGTTGCATTTGGGCGACATTCAAAACACCGGTTTCAGGCACGGCTTCGGTCCGCACGTCGACACTTATATGGACGCAATCGAATCGGCCGATCGTAAGCTTGCCGAAGTCATCGCGGCTTTGCGTGCTCGGCAGTCGATGCATCGAGAAGAGGATTGGCTCGTCGTCATCACCTCGCCTTCAGGCGGTACGTGTCGTCACGATATGCCCGCCGGGATGCAAGGCCAATTCGACGCGTACGATTGGAGCGACGGCGGCGGTCGTCAGCTTCGCTCAAACGGTGTGAGTGGACTCCTCGAGTTACCGCAACACAGCGCGGGATGGGTGTTGATTGAAAGTGGTCCGAGAGTTGAAATGTCTGGTGAGTTATTGCCGTCACCGTGCGACACAGACATAGCGCCAACCATTCTCGATCATTTCGGCGTCGCAACGCGACGCGAGTGGGCGATGGACGGCGAAGACATGTTGGCGTTTCGACGTCGAGAGGCGCAGGCAAAAGATCCAACGTTGAACTCTCGGTTGAAGAACACGAAGAAAGGGTTCGAGCAGCGACGAGTCAGTCATCCGATCATTGGTTCTACTCCGTTTCCTTCGCATCTTCCGGGACTGTTCGAACCCGCCGGTTGCGCCGTCATCGGGCACAGAGGTTTACAAGCGAATCGCGCTTCTGGCGCCGGTATTCGTGAAAACACGCTAGCATCGTTCAACGCGGCTTCTGCTGGTGGCGCGGAGTGGTGTGAGTTTGACGTTCAAGTGACCGCAGACGGTGTTCCCGTCGCTTGGCACGACGACGTCGTCATCATTCGTCGCGGACTCGGACCTTTGGAGTCGTTTAGCGTTCGAGAGATTGACTGGGCGGATCTGCGCGAACTGTCTCGCGCCGCGCGCGCTACCGCCGCGCGAGCGTCCAACGCCCTCGGTGTTGAAAAGACAGTTCCTTTAACCACCGACGACGAAGACGACGAAGACGACGACGATTACGACGAAGACGACAACAAGGTGACATTTTATCGCGTGTTCGGCGGCGATCTTGAACCTCAACCGTGGGTCATGGAAGTCGAAGATGAGATCCCAACTTTGGCACAGATTCTTGGAAACACGCCGAAAGAGCTTGGCTTCAACATCGAGCTCAAGTTCGACGAAGAGAACAGCTGTGAAACGCGCCGCTTGGTCGCGGAACTCCGCGCCATTCTAGCGGTTTGCATGGCGCAACCCAGTCGCAGAATCGTGTTCTCATCTTTCGATCCAGATGCCGCTCTACTCATGCGTGCCATCCAGGGCTCATATCCAGTGATGATATTGACCGATGCCGAGCCCCATCACGTCGACCCGCGTCGACGTTCAGTCGCTGCCGCGATGGAAGTCGCGCTCGAAGGTGGCTTGTGTGGCGTTGTGTCGAACGTCAAGGCGATTATATCGCGCCCGTCCGACGCGACCGATGTTCGAGACAGTGGTTTACTTCTCGCTACATACGGCGAAGGTAACGATGATGTCGCTGCATCGTCGACGCAAGTCGAGCTCGGCGTTTTCGGGATCATCACAGACGCCGTGCCAGCCGTCGCGAAGAAGTTCAATGCGACGACTGTGAATCCTGGCAACTTGGCTCCGGCGCTTGCGCCATTGGTATCACCCTCAGTTGACGCAGCGAGCGCGGCGGCGAAGCTGGGCAAGCTTGAACTTGATATGGTGATGCGATCGAACTGGTACAGGCTTTCGGACGAAGGGCAACAGAGCGTAGTCAACACAGATGGCTCGGCGAATTCGTCTCGGCCATCATCGCCAAAGTACCGTCCCCGACGAGATAGCTATGAAGATGCCGCGTCAGACAACGCGGATGCGTTCGAGCGACCGGCGTCGCCAGACTCTTTCCAGGTTCACAAGGTGAGAAATAACGACAAGTGGACTGGATTCCCCCAGTTCCAACGAGGTCGTAGGGAGCGTAAACCGTCGCCTTTGACAAGTCTGCAACCGGTGACGGTAAAAACGTTGCTCCCATGATAGTTTATCTGTACACAAATCCGTCCCAAAATGGACTGTACATCCCGCAACATGTATCTTCTGCAATTTTGTAGCCGCGCCAGGGCGATTCTGCCGTCTTAAACGGCCAAATGCGTCTCGCCGCCTTGTAATATCTCGCAGAGCTTTTGCAAACCGACCGAAACTCGCGCGACGAGCACCCGCAGTGCGCGCCGCACGCCTCGACCCGAGGCGCTGATCGCGCGCGCAGGCAACGCGCACATCGATCGCGAGGACTTCTGTTATCGCTCACAGCCAGCGAGGCCGCCGCCGCGCGTCGACCGACGTCGATGAAGCTCTTCACCTTTTACATCTTCAACGCCAAAGGCGAGTGCATGCACTACCGAAACTGGGCCCGCGAGCGCGCGGGAGGGGATGAAACCACCGAACATAAAACCCTGTTCGGGCTGTTCTTCACGCTGAAAGATTTCGCGCGCCAGCTGGACCCGACGGGTGGCGAACACGGCGCGTGCAACTTTTATGCATTCACGACGAACAACTACAAGCTGCACTACTTCGAAACCGCCACCGGGTTACGCATGATGCTCACAACGGACGTGCGCGCGGGTGATCTCCAAGCCATCATGCGGCACATATACGCCAACATATACGTCGAGTACGTGGTGAAGAATCCGGCGCTGTCGCCGCTCGAACCGTTCGAGTCCGCGGCGTTCGACGAGGCGTTGGACGCGTACGCGAGCGTGTTGGCAAATTAGCATCCTAGCACATCGCATTGCCTGTATTATTTCTTTGTATTCTCCTTCGGTCGCATTCGCGCATCCGCGCATCCGCGCGTCGCGTTCGCGCGCCTCGACGCGCCACGTTCGCGCTTCGACGCGCCGAGGCCGCGCGATCCTCAGAACGAGACGCGCCTCCGTGCGTCCGTACTCGCGTTGCAGCGCCGCTTAGCGCGATGGCGGGACCTCAAGGCGGTCCGCACGCCGCCCCGGGCGCGAGCGCGCCGGCGCGCGCACGAAACGAAGTCGACGCCGCCAACAGATCCACCGCGGCGCAAGGCGGTGTGACGCCGCGTCGCTACGAAAACTGGGGCGCGCGCAGCGTGGAGTGCTACGAGAAGCTCGAACAAGTGGGCGAGGGGACGTACGGACAGGTGCGTGCGAGGTGACGAGCGAGCCGCGCGCGCGAAGCGAACAAAGCGAACGCGAGGGGAAGGAATGGAAGATCGCGACGAGACATAGACGCCGCCGCGAACGCGCACCGTCGCGCCCGACCCGAGCTAAGAGACTCACCGACGAGCGTGTTTCCGTTGTTAACGCAGGTGTACATGGCTCGATGCAAGGAGACGCAAGACATCGTGGCGCTAAAGAAGATTCGAATGGACAACGAGAAGGAAGGGTTCCCAATCACGGCTATTCGAGAGATTAAAATCTTGAAGAAACTTCGGCACAAAAACGTGGTTGATTTGAAAGAGATCGTCACCTCTAAGGCGAACGCGTCGAATGGACACAAGGGGAGCATTTACTTGGTGTTTGAGTACATGGATCACGACCTCACCGGGCTGGCGGAACGGCCAGGTATGAAGTTTAGCTTGCCGCAGATAAAGTGTTACATGAAGCAGCTGCTCACGGGTTTGCATTACTGTCACATCAACAATATTCTTCATCGCGATATCAAAGGAAGTAACTTGCTCATCAACAACAACGGGGTGCTGAAGCTGGCGGATTTTGGTTTGGCGAAGTCGATTACGAACGAAAACGCAAATCCGCTGACGAACCGAGTCATCACACTTTGGTATCGTCCGCCCGAGCTGTTACTCGGTGCGACACAGTACGGTCCGAGCGTCGACATGTGGAGTGCGGGTTGCATTTTCGCCGAACTCGTGCACGGAAAACCGATTCTTCCTGGGAAAGGCGAGATGGAACAACTGGATCTCATCTTTAGGCTCTGCGGTACTCCGACGCCGGAGAACTGGCCGGACGCCGACAAGCTGCCGTACGCGAAACATTTCAAGCAAAAGAAGCATTATCCGCGAAGACTGCGCGAAGTTTTCGCCCGGTTTTCCCCGAGCGCGAAGGATTTGGTCGAGCGTTTCTTGACGTTAGATCCGGCAAAGCGGATCACGGCGATTCAAGCTTTAGATTCAGATTGGTTCTGGGAAGATCCGATCGCGTGCGAGCCTGAAGACCTGCCTCGGTACGAGCCTTCGCACGAGTTCCAAACGAAAAAGCGCCGTCAAGAGGCAAAGCGCGCCGCGGCGGAGCAGCAGAATAAGAGACAACGCACCGACGACGGCAGAGCGCCTCCGCCTCCGACGGATATGAGACGAGGCCCCGGCCCTGGCGGTCCACGACCGCCCGGAGGTGGTCGCCCGCCTCCTGGTGGTAGTGGCCGTCCGGGCGTGCCATCTGCACCCAGTGGTCGATACGGCGCAGGGTCGTCCGCTGCTGGTTGGTCAAGTGGTCCGCCGCAGCAGCACCAGTCTTACGCCAATCGCGGCGGCAACGCTTTGGGAGGATTCGGAAGTATAGGCGGTGGCTTGAACAGTTTAGGCGGTAAGACTGGAAGCTACTCAAATTTGAACATCAAAACTGGCGCGAGCGGTGGATCGTACAGCGGTTATCGCGGCAGTAAGACGGCTGGTTGGGCCGCCGGCGGGAGCGGCGGCGGGCAACAAAAGCCGGCGGGCTGGACCGGCGGATCCTCCAAGCAGGATCAGAGCAAGCGCGATGAGAAGCGCTAGCAGCTCGAGCTCCAAGCGCGCACATACATAGAAAACGACGTCGTCATTCGGCGCCAACAAACGAAATTTAGCACCGTACAGTAAGATTATTCACGATCTGACACTTCCGAGACCGCGCGCGCGCGAGCGCGCACAACTCGACGCAACGCGCACCAACGCGCGCGAGACAACGCTCGAATAGAAGACAGGTCTCGACCGATACCGTTGATTCTCGCCCGACGCGCCATGTCGCATCCGCGCGTCGTCGACGACGTCGCTCGCAAACACGTCGCGCCTCGACCGTCCTCATTGCAGCTCCCATCCGCGAGCGCTCGCGGACGAGAACTCGCGTTCGCGAGCGCGGAGCCGCGCGGCGATCGGATGGAGATGCGTTCGTTTTCTCGCACGACCGTTTTGAGCGCACCGACGAGCCAGGCGACGGGCACGCTCACGGGGTTACGCGCGGAGACTGGTGCGCGCTCGGGTGCCTCGTTTTGTCCGAGAACGCGCGCCACGCCGATCGACGACGGACGACGGGCAGATCTGACTGACGGACGATCGCCACGCTCGCGCTCGGCGTAGGACGGATTGCGTCGGAATACATCGCGATGAAGGCTGCGAGCGATGATCTGAAGCGCATGAACGAGGAACAGAGAGAGGAGATCCAGCGATTAGAACACGAACGCGGCGCGGCGTTGGCGCAGTGCGCGGCTTTGAAGGCGACGTTGGAGAGCGGAAAGCGAGAGCGAAGAGAATTGTTGATGAAGCAGCAGGAGTTGGAGGAGATCATACACGATATCAAAGCCAACCAGGCGCGCGCGGGGGTCTTACTGGAGGAGGCGAAAGGAAATTACGACGTGTCCTCGAAATTGGTGGAGGATCGCTTGAAGGATGACAAGGAAATGATGGAGCGGGTGTCGTCGATCTCCGAAGAGTTGGCGTTGAAGAAGGAAGAGTGCGATCGAATGAAGCGACATACGCGCAAGTTGAGCGCTGATATGGGCGAAATGCAGTTGAAATTGGACAACGCGAACGTCCGCTTGAATGCGCTCGAGACGGAAAAGGAGACGCTGAACACGCAGTTGAACGCCTTGAGCGATCGCTCCGCCAAAGTCGAAATCCAACTCAAAGCTAGCGAAGAAGTCGTGCAAACGAAGGAGCAAATGATGAAGCGGCTCGAGCAGGAACACGAGAAGATAGAGAAAAGTTTGCGATCGCTTCATGATGAAAAGTTGCGAATAGTGGAGAAGCAACTAGCGGCGAAAGACGACGAGCTCGAACGGGAGCGTGAAAAGTCGGCAGCCGCACAGGCTCAAACGAGCAGTTGGGAAGAAAAGCAAGTCGAACTTGAGCGCCAGATACACGAGCTGACGCCGCAACTAGCTGCTAGAACAAAAGAGCTCGATAAAATCAAGCGATCGCTCGCCACCATCAAAGCTGAAAATGCTGAAAACAAGAAAAAAGTAGACCAAGCGGAAATGGAGATGAACGAACAAGTCGAATCAATGAGGGAGAAAATCGCTGAAGCAGATGAGGCAAAGCTCGATCTAGCGATGAAACTGAAGCACGCCGAGGAAGAACGTGAGATGTTTCACGCTCAAAATAAAAAGCTTGAAACGTCTGGTGCCGAACAGCGTGAAAAAATCGAAGCTTTGACGGCTGAAATCGAGTCGACTCGAACGCGACTCAAAGAGGAGTACGAAGCTCTCGAGCGCAAACACGAGGCGACGAATAAACTGCACGAAACCAAAGTGAACGAAAAAATGGAAAAGCAAATAGAATTGCTGACGAAGCAAAACAAAGAATGGATCAACAAGAAGGACGAGGAGCATGCGCGTCAGCTTGCGGCGAAAAACGAAAAGATTGATTTGCTCGAGACTTCGATCAACGAACTTCGCGAAGAGCTACGACGTTCGCGTGAGACTGTCGATGAGGAACTTGAAGTGCCCAAACCACCCAAGCAGAGATCGAAGCAGCGTTCGGGTCCTAAATCATTGGGTTCTCAAAGAGAAGAAGCACTCCCGACGCCGCATCTCGGTTCGAGCAAGCGGCGGGCGCGTTCGCGGCCTCAACCTCGTCAAGACGAAGAGTCTCCGCCGGATGAGCGAGTGCCCATCGCTTCAAAGCGACCGATGACGGCAATACCGCTTGCGCGTAAGAAGGCGAAAACGACTAAAAGGTCGAAGAAAGAACTCAAGAATGAGGTTCGCGCGTTGGCCATGGAGGCTGACGACGAAGATTTCGATCCTTTCGCATTCGTCGATTCCGAAGCGTCGCTTTAAAAATGCTTTGCTTGTTTTAAAACTGAAGAAATGCTAAATTCGATCCTTGGTCTTGTAGCCGGTGTGTACGGCCACCATACCTCCGGTCAAGTTTTCATGACTCACGTGCTTAAAGCCGACGTCTCGCATCATGGATTTCAACTTTTCCTGTGGTGGAAACTTCCTGATGCTTTCCACCAAGTACTGATATGATCCTCTATCGCGTGCGACTAGCTCACCGAGCTTTGGAATCACGTTGAAGCTATAAAAGTCATACACTTGCTTAAGAATTTCGTTCTCGACGTGACTGAACTCCAAAATCATGTACTTTCCTCCGGGTTTCAGACATCGGTAGGCGTCTGCGATCGCCGCCCTCGTATCCGTTACGTTTCTCAACCCGAACGCGATCGTGTACACATCGACGGACTCGTCCTCGACGGGCAATTTTTCCGCGTTGCCCTCCAGCCAGGTTAATTGCTCTTGATTCAACCCACGCTGCGTGGCTCGTTTCATCCCCTCGCGCAACATCGCCGGGTTGATGTCGCTCACCACGACTTTACCTCGCGTATTCGCATCCAAAACCTGGCCATCGAGCTCAGCCTCGCGCTCAACTCTCTGCAGCGCTCGCAGCACGCGAAACGCGATGTCCCCAGTCCCTCCCGCGACGTCCAAGTGCGTCATCCCCGCGAACACGCCAACTTTACTCACAAAGTAATCCTTCCACAGCCTGTGCACGCCCGCGGACATCAAATCATTCATCACGTCGTACGACGGCGCCACGCGCTCGAACACCCCCCTGACGAGCGATTCCTTCTCCCGAGCGTCGACTTCGACGTAACCGAAGCTCGCCGTCTTCGCTTCGCCGCGATGCGTCGACGACGTCGACGCTTCGTCCGCTGTCGTCGGCGGTTCGTCCGCCGTCGTTGACGGCGACGTCGCGAACGCGCGCGCGCTCGAGACGCGCGCCGCGCCGCGCGCACATCTCGACGCGAACACTCGGAGCGCCATGCCGGCGCGCTCGTCCTCGCGCGGTCGCGCGCGTCGCGTTTTCCGGCGGATCGTCGCGTTCGAGAGGGGGCTCAATCGGGTATTTTCTTCGTCGAACGCGCGATATTCTGCGACGCGCGCGCGCGACGACGATCGCCCGCATCGAAGCGCGCATCGAATTATGTACGCCGCGCGTCACGCGTGCCGACGCGCCGCGGGCGCGTTGCGACGCGCCGAGGGCGCGTCTTTTGTGGATAACGCGCTGATGAGTCTTGGACAAACCATCGGAACGCGCGTCGCGGGGACGCGCGCGTTCGCGGCCAGCGCGGACGCGCCGCTTCTGGTGACGATGATTGGAGCTCAAAAACCCGTCAGTGAGGTGCACCGCATGATCGAAGCGTCGGGGGCAGAGATTAAGGAGTCGCGCAACGTCCGACTCGGCGGTCGGGCTTCGAACATGTTCTTGGTGACGAACGTGGACCCGATGGCGCTTAAAAAGCAATTCGAGGGACAAGTGTTTGATTTCTTTTCCGTGTTTCCGGCGAAAAACACGGTGCAAGACATCAAGGGTCCGTACTGCGAGACGTCCCCGCTCTTGCCGTATGTGCGTAAAGCGACGATGAGCGTGCCGTTCAAAAAGGGCGTGGTGAACGAAATCACCGAATTCTTATGCTCCAAGGGGGTGACGTTGAGTCACATGGACGAGTACCGATCCGGCAAGGATATCGTTTTGGAGTGCATCATGCATTTGCCCACCGGTCTCGCCGAGTTCCCGTCGGTCGACGACAAGTACGTTCTCCAAAATCTCGAGGCGCTCGGTTGCACCGTCGCTGAGTTTGGACGCGTCGAGGGCCGACCGCAAGCGGAAAAGGCGGCGAAAAACTAACGCATCGTCACATCGCTCACACCGCGATGATTTTGTAAATCGAGACGCAGCTATTCATATGTAACCGATGACCCCGCCTCTCGCTCGTAGTCGCGCTTTGCTTTGACAGATTGCCGCACTCGCGCGCTCGCGTGAGCCTTCGCGCGATGCTCGACTTTTTTTACGACGTCGAAGAGAACGGCGAGGTGGCAATCGACGTGCTGGCCGTGATCGTCGCGCTGCTATGCGTCTTCATCGCTCGGTTCTTCGCCACGCCGGGGGTGTACGCGAAGAAATCGCAATACTTTCAACTGCCCGGATTGACGCTGAAATTCGTCGACGACGCCGCGAAAGTCGCGCGCGGACCGACGCTGAGCGAGATCCCAGACGTGTGTGAAGATATGCGCGCGTGTTTCGCGGCAGGGTTGTCGCTCCCGCTGCAGAAACGGCGACAGCAGCTCATGGCGCTGCTGAAGATGATTCGCGAGCACGAAGCCGAGATGTTGGCGGCGCTGCGAGAAGATTTGTCTCGAGTCGGCGTGGAGGCGTTGTATTACGATGTGATACTGCCTCGATCGGAGATTAAAGCGATGGTGAATAACCTGCGCGCGTGGACGGGGAGACGCAGGGTGTGGACGCAGCGATTGATCACGTGGCCTTCGAGTCAGTGGACGGAGAAGCAGCCACGCGGTTGCGCGTTGGTGTGCTCGAGTTGGAATTTCCCATTCATGTTGAGTCTGGTGCCGTTGGCTGGCGCGATTGCGGCTGGGAACACTGTGGTGTTGAAGCCATCGAACGAAAGTGCGGTGTCGACGGCATTGTTGGTGAAGTTGTTGCGGCAGTATTGCGACCCGCGCGTGGTGCAGTGCGTAGGGAGCGAGGTGAAAGGGGATGGAATAGACGTCATGCAGACCGTTCTGAAGGAAAAGTTTGACATGATATTTTTCACTGGATCCACGACCGTGGGGAAGATAGTCGCGCGCGCCGCTGCCGAAAATTTGACGCCGACGGTGCTCGAGCTAGGAGGAAAGAATCCTGTCGTCGTCACAGATTGCGCGGACCTCAACATAGCGGCGAAGCAGTGCATGTGGGGTCGCACAATCAATTGCGGCCAACAATGCATCGCACCAGAGTACGTGATTTGTCATGAATCACGCGCCGACCGCTTCATGGAGTTGTGTAAGACATGGGCAAATCGCTTCGTTCCGGACGCGTCCGTCGATGGCGCCATGGCGCGCATCGGTGGTCCTAACCCGGCATCTCGGATGGCAAAGATTGGCAAGATGCTCGACGACGCGAAATCGGGCGTTGAGGGCGATCAGATCATATGCGGCGGAGGATATGACGTCACAAGGCGCATGGTTGAACCAACAGTGGTAAAGTGCGCCAGCGAAAAGTCACCGTTCATGAACGCGGAGCTCTTCGCGCCGATTTTGTGTGTCTTGCCGTATAAAACTCTCGGTCAGGCGGTTGACTTGATTCGATCGAAACCCAAACCACTCAGTATGTACGTGTTCTCTCGAACAGCGTCGAAGACGCGTATATTAATTGATAACACACACGCCGGCGGGGTCACCGTCAACGGCACGTTGACGCACTGCGCTCACGATGGATTACCCTTCGGTGGCGTCGGCGAAAGTGGTTTCGGCAGATACCACGGCAGATACTCTGTCGATTGTTTCCAACGCGAAAAGCCTGTGTTACAAAAGACGCGCGGGCTTGGGTTTTTGGGGTTTGGTTTGATCACCGATCCTCCCCTAGTGTATTCGCCGCCCGCGGAGTGGAAGACTCGCGTCGCTCGCATGGTATTGGGGTAAATTAGTGTCGAGGCTGGGGGTGCGCGCGTGTGACGTAGGTCTGTAAACGTCTGTAATACAAAGTATGCAATGATCGTTGCTGTTGATCCCTAACGCATCTCAATCATGGTTCTCGCGTTCGCGAAGCGATCTTTCGCTCGTCGCGCAAAATAGATTTGCGCGAGAAATCGTGTTCGCATGAACATTCGAGAATGAAACCAGCTTCATCAAATGACGTCGACACATTGAGTGTGTTTACGACGTTCATCGTCACTGTTTCTGGTTTCCTCATTGATCGAATTGCGCAGAGAGAGCTTTCGTGTTTCATAGCGAAAGCGAGCCACCGTATGGAAAGAGCCGAATGGGCAAAATGCGCCCCAGTTTCCACTCTACTCCACGCGCACGGTGGCTGACTTATCCTCAGCAGCCTTTCTTTGTGGGGTCGATGCCACTGCGCTTCGTGATTTCGAGAATCGTAAACTCTTCGGAAACCGTCGGGTGAATGCCGACCGTCTCATCGAAGTCTTTCTTCGTCGCGCCCATCTTCATCGCTACGGCGTAGCCTTGCGTCACCTCCCCGGCATTCGGTCCCAAGTAATGGAAACCAACAACGCGCTCGTCGTCAGCCAAATTGGTGATGAGCTTGACGTAGCACGCGTTGTCGCCGCGAACGGGCACGCCTTTGTGCTCCTCGTGGTTCAACGTCCACTCCAAAGGCTTGAAGTAAGACACGTAGCACTCGACATTATCCGCGCCGTACGTCTCCACCGCGAGCTCTTCGCTCATGCCAATCGTGCCGTACTCGAGCGGAGTGAAGACAGTCGTGGGCACGAGGTCGTAGTTCATCTTTTCCTTGTACGGAGTATCCGCGAAGACGCGTCGCATCAGCCGCACACCCGCCTTGATGGCTACGGGCGTGAGCTCTTGGCGCGTGTCGAGCACGTCGCCGATGGCGTAAATGTTATCCACGTTGGTTTGCTCGTCTACGCACGCGATTTTACCGTTCTTCGGGTTGAACTCGACGCCAGCCGCGGGAAGGTCCAAGCCTTCCGTAACCGCGTCTCTTCCGACGGCGCACACGACGGTGTCGAAAGTTTCCTCAAACGTGTTTCCGAACATGGTGTTTTCAAACGTTACTTTGATCTTGCCATCCTCTTGCTTTTCGAACACCGTCGGTTGCGAATCGCGTAAGAAGCGCGTGCCGTGCTCGCCCATGTACTTGACAATCTTCTCCGCGACTTCTTGATCAAATCCACGCAGCGGAATCGATCGAATCGCCACCGCCGTGTCAAACCCAAGCGCGGTCAAGAACCCAGCGGTTTCGAGCGAGATGTACGACGCGCCCACGCACAGCGTCTTCCCCGGCGCCTCGGGCTTGGAAAAAATATCGTCGCTCGTGATGCAACATTCCTTCGCCCCCGGCGCGTCGGGATACGACGGTCGTCCTCCCACCGCGACGACCACTTTATCCGTCGTGATCACCTGTTCTTGTCCATTCTTTTTCGTCGCGATGATCGTATTCTTATCCTTAAACCGTCCGTACGCGTTCACGTACGTCACGTTCTTCTCTCGCAGCGTCGTGCGATACCCGAAATTCAGCGACCCGATGTGGTTTTGAATCTGTTCCACCATCTTCCCCCAATCGTGTCCTTCGCTCGCGAGTTTCCACCCGTACTCCCGCGCATCGCTGAACGACTCTCCCAGGATCCCCGCTTGATGCATGAGCTTCTTCGGGATGCATCCGACGTTCACGCACGTCCCGCCGAGTCCCCACGTCGTCCCCGCCGGGCTCGGCTTGACGAAGTCCAGACACATCGTTTTCGCGCCGTGTTTCGCCGCTTCTTTCGCCGCGGCGAGCCCGCCGGAGCCACCGCCGATGACGACGACGTCGTACTCGTGCCCGTGGTCGCCCTTACACGACGTCTCCGTCATCGCGGGCGCGCCGAACGACGGCGGTGCGCGCGATCGCGGCGCGGGGAGGTCGACGCCGGTGAGGATTGAAAACGCGCGACGGAACGTCGGGAGCGCGCGGCGCGCGCGCGCGACGCGCGTGGTGAGCGAGATGACGCGGCTCGACGCGCGCGGCGACCGGGACGCGGTTCGCGGCGAGGCGCGCGCGCGAGTGCGGGACGGACGCGACGAGATGGATGACTGGGCGACGACTGGGCACTTTTTGAATTTCAGTCGACGGCGAGCGACGAATCGACCGACTATCCTAGGTGGTAATCGTGCCTCGCGCGCGATGGCGCGGAAGAGCGGCCGATTGATTTTAAGAGACCCGCGACGCCGCGCTGCGCGGCGTTAGCGCCGGATGAGAACGCATCCGCCATCGGACCGGCGACGTGGCGCGAGGCGGCTTCGAAACCGCCGGCGAACGCGGACGACGCGCCGCCGAATTGTGTACGGAAACGCTCGTGCGAGCGCGTCTGAACGTCGAAAAATCGTTTCACCGTCATCACCTGTACCCCGGTGACGCCGATGAGGACGCAGACTTCTATGAAAGTCGTGCGAACCATGCGTCGCGCGTTCGATTCCACCGTTTTTTTGTGTCGCTCGGCTCTCACGCGTAAATAATTCATCTCTTCTCGTAACTGCTGCACCCAATTGTTCAACCCCGACGCCTTGCTCGACACGCTCAACACGCCATCCGTCCGGAGTCCCTCGCTCGTCGATCGTTTCGCGCGTTCACGTTTCGCCTTCTCCGATTCGTCCTCTATCCTCGCCTCGACGTCGTCGCCGTTCGCCGACGGTTCGCGCAACGCCTGAAAATAATCAACCTCTATCCTCGCCTCCTTCGACTTCCCGCGCGCGTGATGAAAGCACACCTCATAATCCCCGCATCCACGCGTCTTCACCTCGATCTCTTTCGCCCGTCCTCTGTCGTCCGCGTCGCCGTCGCTTCGTCGCTCGTCGAACGTCCAGCGCGCCGCCTCCGCGCCGCGCGCGTCCCGCAGCGTCCCCTCCACGTCCGTCCCTTCGCGCAGGACGAACCGCGCGTGCACGACGACGTCCATCGCATCGCAATTCACGGTATCGTCCGCGCGCAGCGTCTGCGCGTCGTCGGCGTCGTCGTCGTCGTCGTCAGTCGTTTGGAACGCGACGCGAAACTCTGCGCGTCGCTTCGCATCGATCATCGCGCCCGCACCGCGTACAGACACTCCGTCGATTCCCGACGAAGGTTGAGGACGAACGCGCGCGTCGTCGCGCACCGCGCGGCGAGCGCGCAGAGCGCGAGCGCGAGCGCCGCGCGCCGCGAGCGCGGCATGTCGTCGTGTGGCGCGCGCCCGGCACTGATCGACGGCTCGACGTTCGACGATGTCAGGTGCGCGACGGCGACGACTCGACGCGCGCGGCGTCGACGACGGCGCGACGACGCGGTCGAGCGATGCCGCGACGCGCGCGCGCGAGCGCGCGCGGCGACGCGCGAGGAACGAGCGAACGATCTCGGATGCGGAATCGTGAATGTGAATCAACTTTGCGGGCGACGCGAGGCGCGCGGTGGACGCGCGCGGCGCGTCGCGCGCGATGGCGAACGCGTCCGGCGTGATGACTGACGACGCGATGTCGAGCGGCGGTAGGTTCGGTGCGACGACGCGCGAACGCGGGGAACTCGGGGGAGGGGAACGTCAGACGACCGCCGCAAGGTTCGGGGAGTCTGTTGCGATTCTACACGGATGAGAGCCCGGGGTTGAAGATCACGCCCGTGGTGGTGCTTGGGATGTCGGTGTGCTTCATCGGGTTCGTGACGATGCTGCACGCGATCGCGAAGATTTCGGCGTACACGTCGTCCAAGTCGGCGTAAGGTTGTTGTGATGGACGACGAGAAATAATTTTATCGCGAGTGTGCCTCTCCTCCTATCTAAAGCATGACTACCGTGCTATTCTATTGAGCTATGTTTTGATGTCGTACAACTCGAACCCGCGTCCGGCGACGGCGAGCGTGAGCGCGCCGTCTCGCGCGCGATGCACGTCGATGGCTTCTGGTTCGGGCGTTTGCGTCACGACGCCTTCGCGAGGAACAATTTCCAACCGCGCGTCGAGCGATGCGATGTCCCATATTTTCACTCGTTGATCGACGCTTGTCGAAATGATACGCGAGCCGTCGGACCAGACGCTTCGCATCGCGGAGCTGTGCGAAAACTTGAATTCGGCGAGGCGACTCGGCGATGCCGACGCGTCGTCGACGCGAAACTCTTGCACGCGCAAAGTTTGGTCGTCTCCACCGCTGACGATGATAAAGACGTTTTCATCCGACGTATGTGATATACATAGGGCGTTGACGCCGGACTGATGCGCGCGTTCTATCACGCACACGGGAGCGGCAACTTCGGCATCGTCGAGAAGCCACACGGCGATGCCACCGTCGGTGCCACCGCTGCACGCCCAAACCCTTGAGCGTTCAAGCACGTCCACGGCGAGCGCTGGACACGAATGATGTTTCAATGACGAAATCATACGCCATGCTCGATTTATCTCGCTCATGGCGACGATGGTCACGGCACCGAGACTCGTCGAGTAAAGTACGCGCATTTCCCCGTCGCGCGCGTACGTGGCCACGTCCATGATTCGCTGGTCACTTTCCGCCCTCGGTTCGACGTACCCGCACCCTTTGGTCCAAGCTCGCGTGCCTGGCTTATCTTCCGGTTTTGGTATGACGAGCGCGGCGGACTTGAAGTCCCACGCACCCGTCTTGTCGCGCGACCACGTCAGACGAAAGGCGAGCAAGACTTCTTTCGCGCCTCCGGCGCATAACACGTACGAGTGGTCATTCTCTTTGTAAATACTCAACGATTTGACCGTTCGCCCTCCTGGATGCTTGCAAATATCGCTCGGAGAGTACACACGTGCGCCATCTCGTCGCGTTGCATCGTAAAGCAACCGCATGATTGTTCCGTCTTCAGCGCCGGAAACGACACCGAGCGGCGCGTTCTCTGCGCTACCTGGAGGTGGAACGAAGCGTATCGTGTGTATCTCACGTCTACATGCGGGTGTGCATTTCGTCAGTCTTTGTCTCGTACATAGATCTTTTAAAGCGAAAAATGTGAATTCGATCCTCATAATTGCCTTCTGCGTTCATGATTGTCACTCGTCGCTCGTCGTCGCTACACCGCCGTCATCTAGTGAGCTAGGGGCAATGTCCGCGACGAACGCGACGAGCCGGTAGGACGCTCGATGCGCCGCCTCACATTACTACATACGTTATGATCACTGGATCGCTGCGAGAAAAAAGAGTCGGGAAATACTTACCCATGAGACCAAAGCGCACCGGATTTGTCCTCGACGACGTCTTGCTCGGACCACCGCATCGAGATGTGAAGCGACGTTTTGTATCGATGCACGAAGATGATGCGATCGCCGTCACCCATAAAAACGTCGTGCGGTACATTTTGTGCGTGACAAGGTATGCGAATCATCTGACGTTGATCGCTTACGGAATACGCGACAAAGTCCGTCTCGCGAAATCCAGCCGCGCGCGAGAAATCGCCGTTTGCGGTGGCGGATAAAAAGAGCACACTCGCTTTCGACGGTGCAGTCCATTTCGTATCCAACACGAGTTCACCATCTCCGGAAACACTCCAACAGCACGCGTTCGAGTCTCGTCCGCCTGTCATGAACACTGGACCAGGATGGATTTCGCACGCGTTAATGGAAGACGCCTTTTCGTGCGCCGACCACTTCTTCGCCAGCACGACGAGATCATCAGCTTTCGTATTCGCGTCGAAAACACACAAATTTCCTTTTTGATCGCCGACGGCGACTATTTGCAATTCTTCGGAATAGTCAAGCGCCAATATTCGATGTTTGTACGGGTTGCGCAAAGTGAACACGCACTGTTCGACTTCGTCGCGCCGCCAACACTTGATGACGCCGCCTACGATGGACGCGAACACGTACCCGTTCTTCAAGAACACATCCATCAAAACACGAGTTTCGGACGCTCTGAAGGAAATCAAATTCGTGCACGAGCCCGTGTGACACGAAATGTGAGCAATTTTTATGATCCCTTCCAAATCAGAAACGGCGACGACGTCCGAATCATCCGTCCGTTCGACGCTCATCGACATGAGTGGCGACGCGCTCTCGCATACGCGCTCCCACACCCACGCGGCGCCTTTCGATGATATCGTTACGCGATACAAGATTCCGCAGTTCGTTGCTACGTATATCACACCGTATCGAGCGATGCGAACGGCGCGAATGTACTCGTCGTTCGGGCCGAACAAGCTCTTGCGGCGTTTGCTCTTCTTTTTGCGCTTTTTCGACGAAGCGCTCTCAGCGGGTTCCTCGTGCATTTCGATGTCCGTCGAGTCTGCGGCATCGTCCGAGGTAAGCTTACCGTCGGGACACGGCGTCACGCTTTCGTGTAGCGCCATGCTGTCTTTCTGTCCCGCGCTTGCGCTAGTCCAATCGCTCATGTTCCAAATCTTTACGCTGCCGTCGGCGCCGGCGCTCGCGAGCACGACGTCGCCGTTGAACGCTTTTAGTTTACACACGCGCCATATACCACGTCCACGATGGCCTCGAAGTACAGCGAGCTCGCACTGCGGTCTTCGCGTGACGCCTTGCTCGAGGGTCTCCGTACCACGAGCGTTATTTGCATCCCACACGCGCACCGTACAATCCTCCCCCGCCGTGGCGTACACGGGCCGTTCGCCGTCGATGCGCACGCAATCCCATACGCGCGCGACGTGACCAGCCAGCACCGCGCTCGGGCGAACGGAAACGCACGTGTTTGAATCCATCGCGTTCTCGGGCACGTCCCACACACGCGCCGTTCTGTCGTCCGAAGACGAGTACACGACGTCTCCGTCTTCGCCGAATCGCACGCGCATCAACGATCCTTCGTGCCCGACGCATTTCACGCGAACCGCCCCATCGCGCACGCACCACAGCTGCACGTCGTTAAATATCGTTCCTGCCGCCACAGTCATCCCCGCCCACGTCTCGCTCGCGCTCAGCGCGAGCGTATAAAGCAAACATCTCGACTCGCATTCCACGCGTTCCGCGCGCGTCCAACCGTCGCCCTCCGCGTCTCGCCTCCACAGCTCCACCGCGTTATCGCTGAATCCGATCGCCATCGCGCGCCCGCGCGCGCCGTCGTCATCCGCGATTCCGCGCACGTCGTGCACCCACGCCGCGAACGGCGCGAACGGCGTCTCCGCCGTCCAGCCGTCGCCGTCGTCGCCGTCGCCGTCGCCGTCGCCGTCCCGCAGCCGCATCACTCGCACCCTGCGCTCGCCCCACACCGCGCACGTCTCCCCGTCTCGTAAATCTCGCACGCCGTGCACGCGCACGCCCTGCGCCTCGAACACCGCCGCGCTCGCGACGCGTCGCGCGCCGCTCGCGCCGCATCCGCGCGCGCCATCCGTCCCGAGCGCGAATCGATGAATCGACGCCCCCGCGCCCGCGAGCAGCGTCCCGCGCGCGCCGAACGACGCCACGCACGCGACGTCCCCGACGTACGCGCGCGACCGCGTCGGCATCGCGGCGCGACGCGCGCGACGCGCGGGACAGTGCGGCACAGCGCGACGCGCGACCGCGAGCGATGGACGCGCGACGCGCGCGTCGACGCGCGTCGACGACGGCGCGCGCGGGCGTCGCGTGCGTCGTCGCGCTCGCGCTCGCCGCGGGCGCGCGCGCGAGCGTCGCGTTCGATCCGCCGAGCGGGACGCGCGCGACGCGAACGCTGCGCGTCGCGATGCGAACGACGGACGGCGCGGCGACGACGATCGTGTACACGCTGAACGGCGCGACGCCGGCGATCGGGGAAGAGGACACGAAGACGTACGAGGGGAAGGTGACGCTGCCGTGCGTGCGCGAGGCGAGGCGAGGCGAGGCGAGGCGGCGAAGGATTGGACGCGCGCGTTTGAGTTTTTGGTGTTCGAGACGCGACGAGAGACGACGGCGACGGCGCGGACGGCGACGGTGAGACGCGGAGAACGAACGACTGACGCGTGAACGGTGATCGCGGTTCGCGACGCAGGATCGGGACGTGGACGGTGAAGGCGGCGGCGACGAAGGACGGCGGCGTCGGCGAGGTGACGGAGGCGAAGTACGACGTGACGACGGGGGGCGGAGAAAACTCGAGCGCGCTGACGCCGGGGCACGTGTTGGGGGTGGCGTTGTTGTTAGTTATGGGATTGTTCGGGTTCGTCGTTTTCGCGGGCGTGTGCACGGCGGGGTTCAACGCGTTGTTCAAGACGGCTCCGCCGACGATACGAGGACCGGGGGCGTCCGATCCGAGGATACCTCGGACGTCCTCCGCGTCCGGAATGGCGGAAATGGGGCAGGTATCGTCGCTTGGATTTCGAAACACCACTAATCCAGCGATCGGTGGTGGCGGTGGAGACGACGCTGGAACGACGAGGCTGCTCCAAACGAGCGCGTCGTCGGGTGATTTGACGCCCATGCGGGCGGGCAAGCGAGATTGAAGGTGTAATATAGGGGAGATTACAATTGATTCGATTACGTGCGCCAAGCGTCAGAATCTTCGTCGTCGCACTCTTCTTCCCACCACGTCGACGTCTTATAACCGCTGCGAAGCTTCTTCATCGGGCTGTCGTCGGGATCGTTGATGCCAAGCGCGATGAGCATTTCCTCCTTTGCCTCCGCGAGCGTAAATCTGTCCTCGTTCTCCGCCACGCACGCCAACACACCATTGTTTTGCTTGATCATCACTTGCCACGGCGCCGGGTATTCGCGGAAAATCGCACCGGAATAGTTGATGACGAACGGCGACACATTAATGGTGCGCGAATAGTTGCGCGTGCGCAAGTAAAACGCCGGCGTGAACCGGGACAGAAATCGGTAGTGAAGCGCCTTTTCCGGGAACGAAAACAACCCAAGATCGGCCCGGAGCGTGTCTAACTGCAAGTTCAACCCAATGAGCGGTCTGCCATTCGCCGTCTCGTCGGCAAACTTCTCCAAGCTCTCGAGTTCAATCGTACTCAAGTTGACGACGATGAAAACATCCGCCGAGTCGAAATCATTATCCCTTTCTTCCTCCTTACGCGTGCGCAAACCTTTACCTCCAAGCATATCACCGAACGCCGATCCAAACATACTGCTCTTACGTCCATCAAGTACGTTCAACCGCACGCCCGCGCTCGACAAACCCAACGCGTTTTCGAAAATCTTCTTCGCTCGTCGGTATTCGATCCCGTCCGGCACCAACACGTCGACATTCTTCCCCATCTCCGCGTTCAGTTTCTGCGCCACGACCAGCGCGTACTGTACGTTCGCATCGATGTACACGTCCGACGCCGCCTTGTAATCCGCGTCTTCGCCGGGAATCGCCGGGAACTCGACTTCGATCAGAGTCTTACCTTCGTTCAGGCAATCTCTCACGCTCGCGTACGCGTCCATGCACATCGCCGTGTAGCTCTCCGGCGCGTACGTCGATCGTCCTTCCATGCGTTCCTCCATCGTGCGCTCCGCCGGCGCCGCGCTGGCGCGCACACGGTGCGTTTTCGCGGCGGAGACTTTCGTCGACGTCATGCGGCGCGACGGCGCAGACGCCGCGCGCGCGGGCGCGGTTCGCGCGTGCGCTGCGCTGAGAGCTTGCATGATGCGCGACGCGAACGACTCGTCTCGCTCGGGGCGACGCTCGGGACGCGCGCGCGAAACAGTGCGGCGACGACACCGAAGTGCTTTATCCAGAACGCGCTAGCGGCGTCCGCGACTTCGCGTGAACGCGACGCGACGCGCCTTCGCGCCTTCGCGTCGCGCGTTTCGGTGAGAGCGCTCATTTAAATTACAATCCACGTAGTGTACACTCGCTTCGCCCGATCGTCGTCGCGCGATGCGTTTCTCGGCGTCGTTCGGCGGCGGCGCGCCTCGAGCCGCCGCTCGCCGGCGTCGTCAATCGAAACACTTGGGTATCTTCCCCCGATCCGCGATCGACGGCTTCCCAGCCTCGGTCCATCGCGCCTTCATCGTCTCCAGCGTCGCATCGCTCGTGTGTTCGCTCAGGCACGCGCTCATCGCTCGCGCTTGCTCGCGGCACGCCCACGCGACGCTCAGCGTTCGCCCCTTCACGCACTCGTAGTACGTCCGCTGCGCCGTCTTGCATCGCACGAGCGCGCGCTCCTTCATGAGCGTGATCAGCGCCTCCTCTTCCTTCTTCAGCACGCTCGGCGCGGGCGACATCGCGCTCGAACGCGCGCGACGCGATGTGACGAGACGTGGGCGTCCGCATTGCGCGCCGCGCGATGGCGTCTCGCGTTCGCGCGCGCGGCGCGCGCCAGGACGAAGCGCAGGACGCGCCGTCGTCGTCTGACGCCGCGCGCGGCGCGAGCGGTGCGTCGGCGCGTGCGAGCGACGACGACGGCGCGACATCGGTCAATGCCGAATTGGAAACGTTCATCGTCGCGCGCTACTTGCGCAGGCGCGGACGCGCGTTCGCGAGCGTCGCGAGTGATTTCGAACGCACCGCACGCGCGAGCGGGGCGTTCCCGCGCAGGCTGGACGTGTTCGGTGAGGCGCACGATGCGAGTTTCGAGGATTTGGCGCGCGGCGCGTTCGCGAATGTGCCGGAGGACGCATTAGAGCGCGCGGTGGCGCGCGCGCGAGGAGCGACGCACGGACGAGTCGATTTTAGAGATGAAGGTGGTAGTGGTTCGGTGTGCGCGCGCGCCGAGGGGCAAAAGCGTTTGCGAGGGGCGTTAGTCAGGACTTTGATGCGCGAGACGGCGGCGACGGGCGGTTGTCGGGTGGAGGCTTTGGCAGAGACGAAGACTGTCGCGAAGAATATGAATTGTCTTCGCACGCTTCGCGCGCACAGAGATGCAGCGTATTGCGCGGTGCTGAGCGCGAGCGGAAGACGGTTGGTGACGGGTGGGGACGATCGGTTGGTAAAAATTTGGTGCGCGTACAACGGTTTGCTTCGCGCGGCGTGTCGAGGGCACGTCGGGGAGATTACGTACGTAGCGATCGATTCGCGAGAGGAAATCGTGGCTTCGTCGTCGACGGATACAAGTATTCGGACCTGGGACTTGGAAAGTGGCGCGCCCATCGCCGTGCTTCTTGGCCACACGCGTTCGATTACCGAGTTGCACTTTTGTCCATCGGTGCCGCACGTGTTGTTGAGTACGGCAGACGACGGCACAGTTCGTTTATGGAGCGCTCGACGAAGTTCGAACGACGTGAAACCAATGGTGATAGATTTGAACGTGAACGGAGGGGCAATCACCGGCGGTAGAGTGGTAGAACATGGTGTCATGCCTCTGGCAGCGATGGCGAATGAAGCAACGTCTCCGGGCATGCGCACTCGCGGCGCGCAACTCAACGCAATCGCGGATGAGGCGAGCGCAGAGCGCGACGGCGAGGCGTGTCAAATAGTCTGTGGTGCGTTCAACGACGTCGGTGATACGTTTGCCGTCGGTACGAGTATGTGCAAGGTGTTTATGTGGAAGCTTGATTTAGAACAGTTGCGCTCGTCTGGAGACTGTTCTCCTACGGAGAATGCGGTGAAGAAGATTTCCTTATCTGGATCGCATTTGAACGATGTGGTGTCGGTGCACTTCTCACACTCGGGTGACATGCTGTTATCCGCGTCCAAGGACGGGCAGGCGAGGATATGGGTGCCGAGTTCGAGCGCGTCTCTCCCTGGGCGCGCTCGCTTGTCTTGGGTGCTTCGATCGACGTTGACGACGCCGGAAGACGCCGCTGCGTTGCGGGAACAGCAACGCATCGGCGCTATTACCTCACAGCAGTACTCGAGGCGCGCGCCAAAAGTACCAAACATGCATATCGCCGTGTGGTCGACCGATGACACGCGCGTCATAGCTTCCATGGGAGATCAAAGTATTCGCGTCTGGGACGTCGCGTCTGGTGAGTTGCGACACGCGATGCGCGAACACACCGCCGCAACGTACGTTATTCAATCCAATCCATTAGATCCTCGATTGGTGATGAGTGCGAGTTACGATGGTAAAGCCGTGATATGGGATATTGTTGAAGGCGTCGCGCTTCGTGTCTTTGATGGATCTCAGTACCACACCAAACTCGTCGACGGCAATTGGCATCCAGACGGCACATCCATCATCTGTTCTGATTTATCCGGTCAGTTCTCCGTCTTCGGCACTGGCGATAGCGTGCGACTACTTCGTGCGAAGTACGAGCAGTTCTTGCAGACGGAGTTCGTGGGTGATGACGCGCTCGGTCGAAGCGAGGGCGGGCATTTGATAGAGCTCGCCACCGGTGCGCTCCTTCACGAAGCGTACCCGAGAAACTTGCTTTGCGACGCCATGGGTGATCCGTATCCCGACCCTTACCAGTCGGCGTTTCAATCGGGGCAGGTTGCAGCGTGCTTGCCATCAGCGGATTCGGGGATGCCGGATGTCGTCGTGCAAGCCCCGACTTTAGCCGAACTAGCGCCGACAGACGTGCAAGGTCCGTGGACTGCTCAAGACGAAACGATGCCGATGCAAGAGATCATGTATAGAATGTCCGACGACGAGAACGATGGAGTGAATGAAGACAACATAAGTGACGCCGACTTTGAAGAACCTGATGATGAAGACGAGTCCGACTACGATACCGATGCAGAACGTCGCGCACGCTCAGCACGCAGCCGAAATCGCGCTGTGCGCTCGCGTCGGCGGCGGCGCGCGCGCCGTTTCGACTCGGATGAGTCAGAAGAATCAGATGACTCAGAAGATCGCGCGACTCGCAGAAGTGCTCGAGAGCATCGCAAACCACAGCGTTTAGGCGTAGATGCGTACGAATCGACGAGTGATGAAGAAGAAGACGCGCCGGCGAGAATCACTCGCAGACGCCGCCGGGAGCTCGAAGAACTCGGGATCGATCCTGACGAGGTCAAGAGCGACGACGTTTCCGAGGAAGAGGAAGGTAAGAGACCTGCGAAACGAGTAAAAAAGTCAGTGACGTCTCGCCACGATATCCGTCTGTTAGATGCGTACTCTTGGCTGTGCGCTGAGGAAGTTATTGTCGGCATGTACGTTCCGCAACTGGGAGATGAGTTGGTGTACGTAGCCCAAGGCCACTACGAGCGCATGCAAGCGACGGGAAAGAACTGGCGCGATGAGGCACCGTGGCAAACGCTTACATCGATGCGGTTCGTCGAGCCTTGTACCGTTTCGTCATTGCGTTACATGATATCCGACGACGGCGCTTACGAAACGCGCTGTTTGCTCGAGTTGAAGCTCATTGATCCTGCTTGTGGTGATTACGGAAAAGAGTTCCTTGTCGAACTCCAGAAAAGTGATACACCAGACTTTCTTGTTCCGATTTCACGTTATCAAACGGCAGAGCAACATTCGTGGAAACGAGGCGACTATTGCGCGGCCCTGTGGGACGACACTGGTCTCGGCGACATGTCGCCGTGGTACGGGATGGTTCACGACGCACAAAGCAATGAAGGCAAATGGACTGGGTCACCGTGGAACACGCTATGCGTGCAGTATTTGAACGTGCAGAATGAAGACGATAAGTTCATGAATCATAGCTTTTGGGAGCTGTACAACGACGAGGCGATGAAAAAGGAGCACGCGAAGTCGTTTTCAGACGCCTCAACATCGCGTGGGCCGCAAAAGGCCAAATTTGCGAACGTCGATGAGAACTATCCATCGCTCAGTGCAAGCGTGACGAAAGATTTGGTCGCTCGAGTGCAGAGAATCATTCGAAACTCGAGATTTGCGGCTTTCGTCGAAGCCATCGGCCCGAACGAACGCTTCGCTCGAGCAGACGGCGCAATGACGAATTATTGCTCTGTCGTCCCAGCGCCCATGAGCTTGAAGCTCGTCATGCAACGATTAAAAAGTGCGTACTATCGGCAGATTGGTGGATTTCGTTCCGATATCGAGCTCATTCGTATCAACGCCCAAATATTCCACGGCGAAGAAAGCGCATTCGCGAAGTGTGCCGAGGAGCTTGAGGACGATTTACTTGATAATTTGCCCACCGATGAACGCGATGTGGACGCCGACGAGATCATCACACGCATGACTCCGTATCCGCGCATCATTTCAGCGCAACAGCCAGTTGCCGCGAGCGGAGGTTTGCGAGTCCGAATGCGACGTTCGACGCGCCAGTAGCTACAACTCGATACACTCATATTAAACGTCTGTCTACATTCACCCATCGCGCGGTTTAAACCCGTACTTCTTCCGCTCGTAAAACAAGTCCGTACGCGCCGCCCCGAGATTGATAATCTTCGGGCATCCATCCCTATCCTTCTCCATGAGTGTGCACCCCTTGCAATAGTACGCGTCGCTCACGCCGACTGCGCCGCAAATCACGCACCGCCCTTGATTCGTCCCGTAGTTACACTCATCGCACACCCGCACCAGCGTCGCCGGGCGCACGTGTGAATCACAAATCACGCACTTCCCATCGCCTATTCGTTCAATTTTCCAATCATCATCGTCAGTCGTCTTCGTTCGCGTCCGTCGCTCGGCGCCCTAACCGCGCCCGCCGTCTCGCCGCGGCGCCCCTTCCCCTCTCGCGTCGCCTCGCTCGCACGCACACTTCTCGCACAACCGTCCGATGGATATTCCGGGCATCTTCCTGCACATGATCAAATCGGGGTGGTGTTTCGACTGCGTCCGTCGTCGTCGTCGTCGTCGTCGTCGTCGTCAGTCGCGGCGTTCACAATCGCGTTCTCAATCATTCGTCGAGCGCTCGCGTCGTCGTCGCGCATCGTTCGCGCGCGCGCGCGCCGTCGTCGTCGCGCGCGTCGATCGCGTCGTCGTCGTCGCGCCGCACCATGTCGACCGCGCGCGCGCGGCGTCGCGCGTCGGTCCGAGTCCGTCCCGCGCGACTGCGTCTGGCGTCACTTCGCGCGCGATGGCGACGACGACGACCGCGGCGTTCGCGCGCGCGGCGCGCGCGGCGGCGCGCGCGGACGCGCGGGCGACCGGTCGCGACGCGCGTCGCGCGGCGCGCGGCGCGCGCGCGACGCGACGCGCGAACGACGGCGAAGTCGAGGTCGAGGTCGGGACCGGCGACGGCGACGGCGCGCGCGGCGCGCGCGCGACGACGCGACGGCGCGCGCTCGCGGCGACGGTGTTCGTCGGCGCGGCGGCGTCGGGCGTCGGTGCATCGCGCGCGGAGGATGAGATTACGGCGGGCGCGCGGGAGGCGCTCGCGCTGGCGCCGACGACGTTAGACGACGTCGAGCTCGAACCGTACGTCGACCTGGATAACGGCTACGCGTTCTTGTCGCCCAAGGGTTGGGTGAAAGATTTACCGAATGGAATCGCGGAGATCGAGATACATCCCGTGAGCGAGTACGGCGGGCGACGGTTCAAGGTGCAGGTGCGACCGTACGGGAAGAAGACGAAGTCGCTGCGCGTCGACGAACTGGACGAACCCGAGTACGCGAATCCGCGAGCGTACGCCGAGGATGTAGCGCGGAAGTACGCGCCGTTGGAAGGCGAGGGCGAGACAAATCGAGGGCAAGCGGTGAGCAAGGTGCTGAGTTCGAGGATGAGCGACGACGGGAGGTATTATTATTTTGAGTACTCGACGGAGAGCATGTTGCCGCTGCATTTTTGGGGAGTGCTCGCGTTAGGACCTGGGCCGGTCGGGAGCGCGCGCAAGTTGGGGCGAAAAGACATCATCACCATGACATGTCAAATGCCCGAAGACAAGGGACCGGAAGCGGCGGCGCTTTTGGAGCACCTCGTGTCGACGTTCAAAGTTTTGGACGTGTAGAGTATCAAATCCAATCGCGTGCGGAATAGTAATTTTTTGATACACAGCTCGCTAAGCTCGCTAATCATCCGTCTCAGAGTCGGACGCTAAACTATCGCGATCCTCCAAAAGCTCCAAACACATTCCGAGCGCACGAGCTTTGTCGCGGATTCGGCACACGAACGCCTCCTTCTTCATCAACTCGCGCGCGAACCGCCGCCTAGCCAAATCGTGTGACTTCACTTCCAGTTTCAACTCGTTTTGGGTCTCTATGACGCGCTCTCGAAGCGCTGCAAGTAAATCGCCGTTTCTGAGCGATCTTATACGCAATTCTAAATTCATTTCCGTTGACAGCGCTTCTTCTGCCGCCGCGCGTGCGCGATGCAGTTCTTCGCTCACCTTGGTGAGCTCTTCCCTGAGTTTTTCTCGAGCCATTTGCTCTTCATGCAAAGTCGCCATGCATTCGCGTAGCGTCTCACGCGCCTCCACCTCCTTCGCCTCGGTTTCGTACAATCGACGCTCCATTTCCTCGCTCGCCACTCGCGCAGAAGCGAGCGACGATCGCAACATCTCGTTCTCCGTCGTCATCGCCGCCAAACTCGCAGATTTCATTCGCAACGCTTCATCCTTCACCGCTTCAGCTTCCCTCGCCTCGTTCGACATCCTCGCGATCGTCTCCTCGAGCTCGCGCGTCGCGTCAACTCTCCTTCCGTTTCCGTCGCGCATCTTTAATTTCGGCCCCGGAGATTCTCCCTGATGACGCCATTCCGGCAGCAACTCTCTCGCGAGTTCGCGCAGCGGGTCCCTATCGTCGCTCGCTTCCCTCGCGCGTTCTCGCGCGTCCGCGCCACCGTTCCGTCCCGGCGTCGTCGCCCGCTCGAGCGCGCGCAAGTATTCGCGCACTCTGACCCCGCGCTGCGCCCCGCTCGCGCTTTCCTCGTCCGCCACGGCGCACGACCGCATGAGTGCCGTGACGTTTTCAAACGTCAGCGCGTGTCCGCGCGCCCGCATCGTCGCGCGTCGCGCGTCGAACGGCGTGACGACGTCCCTGTCCCCTAACGACTTTGCGACGGTCGACACCGAAAAAGAAGCGCTCGCATCGCCGGTGGACGCGCGGGGCGTCGCGCGCGCGACCGCCTCGACGTCGTCGCGCATTCGCGCGCGCGCGCGCGTCGTTGAATGGTGAAGTCTACTCGCTACTACAAAGGACTACAGTCTCTCGGGACGGCGACGAAATAATGAAAAGCCTACCGGTTGTCGTTGTACTTCTTGCGATTCCTCGGTCGCCTGCTCACCCTAAATCGGTCGGTGCGCTTGTTATTGCGCGTGCGCTTACCCTTGGTGTGGACGCCCCAAGGCGTGACGCTGGGACGACCGCCCGACGTGCGACCCTCGCCGCCGCCGTGCGGGTGGTCGATCGGGTTCATGGCGACGCCTCGCGTCGTCGGCCTGATCCCACGCCAACGATTGGCGCCGGCTTTACCGATATTACGATTTTGATGCCCACGATTGGACAGCATCCCGATCGTCGCCATGCATCCCTCCAAAACTAAACGCTGCTCGCCGCTCGGAAGCCTGACGACGCAGTACCCGTCGTCGCCCTTCTTCACGAGCGTCGCCGCCGATCCCGCCGATCGACACATCTGCCCCCCTCGTCCCGGCACGAGCTCAATATTATGTATCGTCGTCTGCAGCGGTATATTCTTCAACGGCAGCGCGTTTCCGATCTTTATATCGCTCTCCGCTCCGCTCTCCAACTCGTCCCCGGCGCGCGCGCCGTGCGGCGCCAGCACGTACCTCGTCCCCAGTCCTCCCTCGTAGTCCACCAGCGCGATTCGCGCCGTGCGATTCGGGTCGTACTCCAGCCTTCGTATCACCCCTCGCGCGCCCGTGAGATCGCGTTTAAAATCAATCATTCGGTACAGTCGCTTCGCGCCGCCGCCCCGGTGCCACACCGTGATCCGCCCTCGCGCGTTCCTCCCGCCCGTCTTCCGCAGCCCGACCGCGAGCGCCTTGTGCGGGCGTCCTCGGTGCAGGCCCTCGCGCGAGGTCGTGATGCGCCCGCGCTGTCCAGGGCTCGTGGGCTTGTACGCGCGCATGCCCTCGCCCGCGCGCGTCGCGAACGCGCGCGCGATGGCGACGGCGCGGAACGTCGGCGTCGGCGCCGCCGTCGCGGCGACGCGCGCGCGCGCGACGACGGGCGGCGCGAGCGACGACGCCGCGGTCGCGCGCGTCGCCGCGAGCGCGCGCGTCGAGCGCGCGAGCGCGGCGCGGAACATGGTCGTCGCGCGTCGCGGTGTCGCGACGGCGCGACGGCGCGACGGCGCTCACGGCGCCGCGGAGCGCGACGCGCGCCATGAGCGCGTACGAAGACGCGGTGCGAACGACGCTCGGCGCGCTCGCGCGCGCGCTCGACGCGAAGCGGTGCGACGCGACGCTCGAGGGCGCGTGGAAGCTCGACGTCGCGCGAAGCGAATCGCTCGGCCCGTTCCTGCGCGCGCTCGGCGCGCCGCGAATCGCGACGCCGATCGCGGATAACCTGCCGACGACGGTGACGGTGAAGTGCGACGACGACGGACGCGGATTCGCGATCGTGGACGCGACGGCGCTGAGCTCGAGGAACGAGACGCGCGCGCGATTCGACGGCGCGGAGACGCTGCGAACGACGCGGGGAGGGCGGAAGCGGTTTTATCTGTCGGGAGACGCGCGAGAGGGCGCGCTGGTGATCGTGTGTCGATTGTTCGAGCGCGGCGAGGGGTGGGCGACGGAGCAGATTCGCGGGATGGATCCGAGCGGGAGCGGGATGCTGCGAGAGCGAAACGTGCTCAAGCGACCGAACGGCGAGCCGGACGTCGTGGTCGATCGGTTCTTTCGTCGAGTGGTGGATTAGATGATTAGAGTGAAATTAGTTCTAATACTAAGTGTTAGTGTCGTGGCGTCATCGCCGTCGTTTCGACGATGTTCATCGCTCGAGCAAGAGGACGGCCTCGACGTGTGCGGTGTGCGGAAATAAATCGAGAGCGAGCGCCTTCACGGGCGTGAATGGGACGCCGCCGCCGTTACCATCGGCGCCTTGCGGCACGCATAGATCAATAACGTTAGTCGCCATCGTGTTCGCGTTGCACGAGACGTACACGAGACGTTTCAAACGGTTTTCTCGCCGCAACGCCGACAATACGTGTCTATGCAACCCCGCACGCGGGGGATCAACGATTGCGACGACGTCATCGAACTCGTGATTCGCGCCCACGAGCTCCGCGTTGGTGGTTTCTTTCGCTTCGACGATCGCTTCTGTTTCTTCATCCGCGCTCAAGTCCGGGTCGTCGAGCACAGATACGGCGGTGAACGGTTTTGGAGCGCGGCCATCGGGCCTGATCAACGTCTTGTAGTCGTTCAACACTTTCGGAAGAACGTGCTCCGCCTTGCCCGCGAGCCAGTCGGTATTATCGACTCCGTTGAGTTTCGCATTCGTGAACGCATCTCTGATGGATTCTTCCACGATGTCGACACCGACAACTTTTTTGACGGCGCGCGCGAGCGTCAAACCGATCGTCCCCGTGCCGCAGCACACGTCCAACAGCAAGCTTTGCCCACCAGGACTCGCCCACTCACCGGCGAGTCGATACAAAGCTTCGGCGGCGACCGTGTTGACTTGGAAAAACGCCGTCGCGGAAAGCGAAAACTGGAGACCGCACATGTGTTCGTGAATGATGTCTGCGGACTTCTCGCTCGGCGCGTTCGTCCTCAAATTTTTAATCTCCGCGTCGTCCGGCGCGACGTTCGATACACCGTCCCAGAACTGCACCAGACACGTCTTTAAATTGATTGGCTTCGCGCTCTTCGCGACGGCTTCTTCGACCGCGGCGAGAACGCCATCGCATTCCTCTTTCACTTGCTCGTCGGTGTAGCCTCGCGTGCACACTTGAAACATGACTAAAACTTCGTGCTTATCGCTATGTTCGCCCGATGGCGAGGGTAACGAGAACTCCTCGTCAGGGTACGTGAACGCTACCCGATCCGTCGCGTCGGGGTCTTTAATTTCCCCGTCCGTGCCCGCAGACGGTTTCGGAGGACCGGCGCCCGTTCGCAACCAGTGCTTCCAACCGTGTTCGCTCGCCGGCGCGGTGCCGGCTTCGCGACACAAGAATAGTCTCCAAAACCCTGTCGCCTTTCGCTTATCGTACACGGGCAGCCCTTTACCGTCCGCGGCCCGCGCGCGAAGGTACGTTTGCGTGGCGTCGCCCAGATACTTCGCCGTATCGCTGATGTTTCGGCATCCCGTGGGCGGCGCCACGGCGGTGACGCCGTCGCGAAACGACCCGACGTTAAAACCGCACGTGATCTCGCCGTTCGCGCTCGGCCCTATGGTAAATTCACTCTTGTTTCTATACCCATCCAGCACCGGCGACCGCACGATGCCTCCCAGCTCGCAACAAAGTTTATCGTTTCCCAACGCCGCGCGCATCCACCCCACGTCGGCGCGACGCCCGCTCTTCCTCGCCTTATTACTCGCGTTCCGCACCCCTCTCGTGATGTTCCGCATCGCTTCCGCGACGATCTCTTTCTTCCTAGCCAACTGTTCGCCGTAACTCACGTTCCACAGCGGCGTGATGACGTCGCGTATGTCCCGTCTCGCGTTCGCGTTCGCGCGTTCGATGAGCGCCGACGCGTCCGTCGACCCGTCCGTCGACGCCACTCCCGTCTTCCCCTTCGCCTTCGCCTGCTTCACGCGCACGCACCGCCCACGAAACTCGACCCTCTCCATCGCCGTCGTCGCCTCGATTCGATCGCCGACCTCGCCGAACGTCACGAAGCCGTACGTCCACCGCCGCCGCTTCTTGCTGCTCACGCGCCGGCACCCGAGCTCGGTCAACCACGCCGCGAACGCGCCGTCGTCCCACTGTTCGGGGACGCCCTGAACCATCGCCGTGCCGCCGCTCGCGCCCGCGAGCGCGACCGCGCCCGTCGTCGTCGTCGTCGTCGTCGTCGTCGTCGTCGTCGTCGCGTTTTCATCCGCGGCGGCGCCGCCCGCGCTCGCGTCCGCGCGCGCGCGCTTCGCGTCGTCCGCGCCCGCGTCCGCGACGTCCTCGCGCGCGCGCTTATCGCGCGTCGCGTCGCCGTCGGCGTCGGCGTCGGCGTCGGCGTCGCGCGACATCGCGTCGGTCGGCGTCACTGCGCGTCGCGCTCTGATGACGTCGCGGTCGCTTCGCGCGCGCGTCTGCGCGCAGACGCGACGCGTCGACGCGCGCGCGCGACGCGGTGGGCGCGTCGCGCGCGCGACGACGCGCGCGGGCGCGGACGCGGACGCGAGCGAGGGCGTCGGGGAGACCGTTTCGACGCATCTGGATGAGGGAGCAGTCGACGACGACGCAAAGACGACGACGACGACGACGACGACGACGACGACGACGACGACGCTCGACGCGCTGGCGTCCGTGCTCGTCGATCGCGCGGGCGATAGGAACGGCGACGACGCGTCGACGACGGCGACCGAGGCGCGCGAGGCGACCGAGGCGAAGGCGAAGGCGAAGGCGAAGGCGAAGGCGAAGGCGAAGGCGCGGGACGCGAACGCGGCGGAGGCGTCGAGACGGCGAGCGACGCCCGAGGGCGTCACGGACGCGTCGTGGAAACCGTATTGGAGCCCGTTGTCGACGATGTATAACGTGCCGACGGTCGAACCGACAGTGGCGTACTTCATCGCGTTCGCGCACTGCGCGGCGTTCGCGACGGATTTGGCGCTGCTGCGGAGCGGGACGTCCAACGGCGGAGATTTGTTCATTCGTTTGGCGTTGTTCGATAACGCCGTGGTGTACGGGAGTCAGTGGATGCGAACATTCACGGCGTGTTTCGTGGACTTTGGGTTGTTGCATTTCGCGCTCGTCAACGTCGGGTTGGTGACGATTGGAGCCGAAGCCGAAGCCTTGCTCGGCACCAGGCCGTTTCTGGCGGTGTACGCGTTGAGCGCGGCGATGGGGGGCATCGGCTCGATGGCGTTCGACCCGACGACTTTGCACGTAACCTCAAGTGACGGTCTGATGGGTGTTTTCGGTGCGTTGTTACTTTACTCGGCGCTGAACGTCGAGAACGAGTGGAACCTTCGCGGCTTCACCGTGCGATTGCTCTATTGCGGGTTCTTCTCGGTTGGTTTTCAATACCTCGCGAGTGTCCCCACAGAGGATGGCACGCACGTCGTGAACTCCGTGGGACACCTATGGGGCTTTCTGGCCGGCGCGGCGATGGGCTACGCCGGGCTCGCTCCCTTGTTTACCTCTGGAAAGAAATTTTCCAAGCCGCCGGACGACGGGCGCAAAAATCTAGAAGACGTCGGGGCGGGTCCGAGAAAGACGTTCGTCATGCTCGGTTCGGCGTCCACCGCGCTCGTGGCTTTATGCGTCGTCGTTTTGCTCAAGAGAACTTTAGACGTGGACCCGAGAGATGTATTTTAGTTCGACCTCGCCCGCCGTCGACGCCCGACGCCGGTTGTTGTAACCTCGCGCCGCACAATCACGCTCGACTCGTCTCGATGTCGCACGCCGTCACTCACGCGAACGCCGCGCGCGCGACGCGCGTCGTCACCTCGCGTCCCGCGTCTCGCGCGTCGCGTCGCGCCCGCGTCGGCGTGAAATCGTGCGCGACGTCGTCCGATGACGTCGCTCTCGGCAGGCGCGACGCCGTCCTCGCGGCCATCGCGCTCGGCGCGCTGACGCGCGCGGACGACGCGCGCGCGATCGGATTTCAGAAGGAACTGAAGAAACGCGGGCCGGTGAGCGAGGACGCGTACTCGAAGACGGCGGGATTTGAGTTTCGAGGCGAGGCGAGGGACGGGGTGAAGTACGTCGACGTCGTCGAAGGGAAGGGAAAACCCGTCGAAGCGGGCGCGCTGACGACGCTGCACTTTGAGTGTAAATACAGAGGTTTGACGGTGTCGTCCACGCGCGAGGCGCGCACGCTGGGGGGGAATCGCACGATTAGCGAGCCGTTTCAGTTCAAGTACGGGACGCTGCCGAACGAGTTCACAAAGGCGGCGAAGAGAAAGAACATCATCGGCGTCGGGATCGAGGTGAGGATCGATCCCGATTTGAGAGAGCTTTATGTGGTGAAGTGCGTGTTCAACGGTCCAGCGGATCGCGCGGGAATCAAACCGAACGACGTCATAATCTCAATCGACGGCGTCGGCGACCTCGTGGACAAGCCGATTCAAGATATCGGAGCGTTGCTCGTCGGCGACGTCGGGACCGAGCTCGAGTTGAAGGTGAAGAAAGGCGGCTCGCGCAACGGTCCGGACGCCCCGATCGAAACCTTCAAGTTGACGCGAGAGGTTACCGCTGTAGCGACGCCGAAGCGTGAAATTCAAGTCGACGGTGGCGGAGGACTCTTTACCGGCGGCAGTGGCCCCAAACCGCCGCCGATTATTTACGTACCGGAGGCACTCGCGGGAATGCAGGTGGGTGGTCGACGCAAAATAATCGTCCCTCCGGATGTCGGTTTCGAGGACGTCGGGGAAGGTGAAATTCCTCCGGGCGCGACGTTCGAGCTGTTGATTGATTTGCTCGACGTTCAAGAGAAGTCTTCGTAAAATCAGCCGGTTGGCGCGCTCACGTTCGTGAACATTCAAAATTCAATCACTCCACGTGCGCGCAGTGTGGAAGGAACTCGCAGGATTGTAATCTATTTTTTGCATCAAACGTACTGCACTTCGCGACTTGCGAGCAATATGCCGAAGGAACAGGTTACGCCGCCAAAGAAGAAGACAGGCAGTAAGACGGATAAGAAGGCGAGACCGAAAGCCGATGCAGCGGATGGTCTGTCGGGCGAGGGTCCGATTCAAGAGACTCGCGCAGAACTCTTAGCGAAGATCCAAGCTGTGGAGCGCGAAGCGGTCAAGGCCAACGAGCACAGAAACTATATGCAGCTCGAGCGCGACAAGATCGATTCATTTTGGGAAATCACCAAAGCAGAGCTCGAGTCTACTAAAGTCGACTTACGTGATGCTCAGCGCGAGCTGGAGGTGGCCGGCGAACAGCACGAGATGGAGCTGCGTCTACAGACTCATAAGCTCAAGCAAGTCAAACACGAGCGTTTGGAGGCGGAATCAAAGGTTCGCGCACAGTACGACCAGGCAGAAGCACAACTGCGGGAGGACTGTCGAGATCGACTGCAAATCAAATCTCAAGAACTTGCGGCGATGGAGGCGAAAATTCGCGAGATTCGTCGCGAGCACGAAGATCGTCGCCGAAGACTAAAATTAGAGCACGATGCGAATTTAGGCGCAGCGCGAAAGCAGTTTGAGCAGAGTGCCTCGGAGCACGTGAACAAAGTCGAGCGAGAATCGTTTGACGCCATGAATTCCTTCAAGTGTCGCGTCGAAAAGCAGCTCGCTGACACTGAGGCGAGATATTCAACCTACATTGATGAGCTCGTCGAAACGCACACAAAGGCGTACGACGAACTCAAAGAGTACTTCAACTCGCTGACAGACACGCACGTCGTTGAGATTAATCGACTTGACCAACGTCTGAATGCGAAAGAAGAGAGATTACACAAGCAAGCCCTAGAGTTAAACGAGATTCGTAAGAAAAACGCAGCGCTTGTGGTCCCGCTGACGCAAGCCGAACACAAATGCGAGGAATATAGAAAAAAACTTCTTCATTCCGAGCGCAAATGCAAACACCTCCAGTATAGCGAGAAAGCCCTACACGACATACAGAGCCAATTGAAGAGTTCAAAATGGCAAAATGAGATTTTGATCCAAAAGTTGGAGAAAAGCGAGGAAGATTTAGAAGCTCTGAGGCATGAAGGGATGTCGCGTCGGTTCTGCGCGCCAAGTTTTACGAAGACGATAAAGTAGACGAACGTTTGTTGTTGTACTTTCTGTGTTAACAAGAGAACTAAGAGTCGAATTCCAAATCGTACGGCTGGTGTTGCCGCTGCGCGTGCTTAAACTTTTTCGTCGGTATCCATCGCATCTTCAGCCTCTTTGGCCTTTTCTTCCACCCACGCGTGGAATTTCGCGAGGCGAGCCTTTTCATTCTTTTCGAGCAATGATTTGCGCTTCGCCGAAGCTTTGCCGTTCGTCTTCGCCTTCTTCTTCGCACGGCGTAATACATCTTCGGTGTCAAGTACATACGACACCTTGCTCGTGCTACAGCTGACTTTGCATTCTAATGAATTCGTCACGATGGCATTTTCCATCGCCGCGTCCAAGTCGCTAAAGCCAGCCTTCTCCTTCGATCGGCTCAGGAATACGGCGGTGTGTTCATCGTCGTCATCATCAAGCTCCGCAGACTCTGGAATATCATCGGTGGCCGGAGTGGTCAAGAAGGTCTGTAAATGCGTCGCAAAGCGCGCGTCCATCGTTCCCATCGGCAAGTCGGGCCGTTCCGGTCCCACTTCTACGAGTCTAACAAACATTGTCTTGCCATCTTCGGATGACGCTAAGCGATAGCATGCTTCGTCTTGCAGTAGAACACACGCATTTGCGCGGTAGATACCTTCGTTGAACGACGCTTCACGAGCCAATTCATAGTCGTGGAGGTGCAAAAGTTTACTGCTCGGCTCCTCCTGAATAACAAGTTGCACTTGTTTGATGACTTTATAGATGAGCTTGTCTAAGGTGAACAGGAGGTACGATTTCGCTCCCAACAGCGTGCGACAGTCGTCCTCGAATTTACCAGACTCCGTTGTGCCGTTCAACAAGTGGAAGAGTAGTCGAAGGAACTCGGTGTGGACATCAGCTTGCTTGCGCGCGGGCTTGCTTGCCTTGGCCATGGCCGCAGCGCTCTCTCGCGCAGTCGACATGCGCTCAAACAAATGCGAATGAAGACGGAACATGTGGTAAATCTGATCGTTGGCGTAGAACACAGTCCTCTTCATGTTCTTAAGCGCAACTGCGGCCGACGCTTCGGCGGCATCGACGATCCCACTGACGGGTTTGCAGAGTGCAAACTCTTTTTCCTCTTCGTCGTCTTCGTCATCCTCTTGTTCCTCTGCTTCCTCTTTTGGCTCAACTTTCGGTGCTTTCCGCGCACTCGAAACTCGCATTTTATCGTCCTCGTCTTCTTCCTCTTCGTCTGATTCGGACTTCTTATTCTCGTTGAGTTTCTTGACGTCCTCTTTCTCGGTACCCCGAACAAAGTTCGCCGCCGCCTCGGCGGAGGAATCCTTGAAATCATCCGGATTTTCTCGGTTTACGTTAAAGAAGGACTCGACAAAGTTTCGATAAAGCGTCAAAACGCGCTCGCCTTGCTCCGAGTTGAGCATTTCGTTGGTACTAAACTTGATAACGGCGTACACGTCGTCGTGCACCCGGGCGTCAGAGTAATCAAGAGTGAGATCAGGAGACTCGTCCACCGGAGGCATCCCCTTGCCGATGACTTCGTCGGACGTCTTCTTCTTGTCGTTCAACTCCTTGACTTCCTGGGCCATACCCTTCATAGAGAGCGCCTTTTTGTCCATTTGCTTGAAGTAGAAGGATTGATGATCGAGAGACTTGGCGTAATTCTTCGTGTACACGTCGGACCAAATCGGCATCATCTCGTTCTTCAGCTCGACCCACTCTTCCTGCTTTTGGTGCAAACGCTTCAAGACGATTGGGATCGTCGCTTGCGGCGCAGTCTTGACCAGGTATCCGATTTCATCCCCACGATCACCGTAGATGCGCAGGATGGCGCGCTCACACACGGCGCCCAAGTATCCTTCGGGCATGACCGCGGCTCCGCGAGCCTCCTCGGGCATCGCGTTGATTTCTTCCTCAAACTTTTGCAACTTTTCGATGCAAGACTTGGTCGTTTCGAGAACCATGTCGATCTCGAATCGATCATCTTCACAGCGGAACAACGCCTCCTCGTACTGGTTCTTACGCATCGCCTTGAAAGAGTAATCCTCCGAACCCGAAGTCACCGCCACCCAGTTGTCGTTGAGAACATCCTTGCACAGCTGCGTCCTCGTCGTACACGGGGCTGGCGGGAAGTTCTTGGGCAACAATCGGTACGACGGGCCACAGCGCTCGCTCATGGAGAGATCCAACTCCGAAATGGGTTTGGAGACGAATTTCTCGCGCTCGGCCACCACCTTCATGAGTTGCAAATCCTTCGGCGACAGCTTCTCTGGCGGTCGTTTTGCCATAGATGGGTCGAAATCGAGCGCCTCGCACCGAGCGACAAAATCACTAAATCCAGACTGAAGCTCGGGGAACTTGCCGAGAATGTCGTATGCGAGCGTCGACATCTCCATCTTGGTGATGATACCCATGTTGAAGATGTTCAGGATCTTGATGAACTCGTTGTATGCGTCGCGGTTGCGAAGTCTCGCCTTTACTTTTTCGAAAAATGCGAGCTCCTTTGCCAGCGCCGCCGCCGCGCGTCTCGCCTCAGCCTCTTCCGGAGTTTCCGGCGGCAACCCTTTTCTACCACGCACGCCGCGCACACCGCGTCCCTTCTTACCAGCCGCCGGTTGCGTAGAATCGGGCAAAAAGTACGTAAACTCGTCCAAAAGGTCGTGATGATGTTTGAACAACTGCGCCACTTCCTCGTAAACCTGCGAAATCGTCTTCACGTTCTTCCTGTACATGTTCAAAATCTCCAGGAAGTTCTTATACACGCGCTCGTCGTTCGAAAATCTCGACTTGATCTTGTTCACGTACGATATCGCGTGCACGAATTCGACTTGCGGCTTCGCTCTGACGCCGTGATCCATCGCCTCCTCGTCGTCTCGCTCGATGTCCGCGACCGTAATCTCGTGTCCTCGAGGCAGAAATTGATTGAATCCGAGGATTAAATCCGTGTGTCCGCGAAAAATTCGCTTCACGCGCTTGATCACCCCCTCCGTGTCCAGCCTATTCGCCTTAAACTCCTTCATGATCTCCAAAAACTCATCGTACGTGTGTCTCTTATCGCGCAATCGCTCCTTGAGCTCCCTCAAGTAACTCAACGCCTCCTGCTTGCGCGCCTTTTCGCTCAGAGGTTCACCGCTCGCGCCCCCCGCTCCCGGCCTGTCGTCCGTCCGCGATCGCGCGCGCGTCGTCAGTCATCGCGCACTCATCGCCGCGCGCGTCGTCGTCGTCCTCGCGTCGCGCGCGACGCCCTCGGTCGTCGGTCGGTCGCCCGTCGTCCCGTCGAAGGCGGCACGAAAACTCGGCGCCGATCTCGTCGCGAATCCCGCGTCGCGCGTCGTCGTCGCGTCGCGCGCGCGCGCGTCGCGCCGACGCGTCGACGCGCGATCGCATCGTCGTCGCGTCGCGTCGCGTTCGCACCGCTTGATCGCCGCGCCGGCGCCCGGGCCGTCGTCGCGCGAGCGCTTCATCCCTTGACCGCGCGCCGCGCGCGGGTTCGATTTTAATTAAATGCGCGCGCGCGCGAGAGCGCTCGCGTCGGCGCGCCGGGACGCCGCGCGCGCGCGGAGAGCGCGATCGCGCGACGATCGGCGCGACGATCGGCGCGCGAGGCGTCGCGGGCGAGCGGGCGCGCGCGTGTGACGCCGGACGCGCGCGCGAAACGATCGAAATCAGTTTGCCCTCGCGCGCGGCGACCGACCGAGATGTGCGATCGGGTGTCGGGCGCCGCGCGGTGGTCGTATTGTGGGCGAAGGTGGGGGGATGAAAGTTTTTAGGGAGACGCGCGCGCGAACGCGCGCGCGCGCGGAGGGAGGGACGCGCGATCGATGATCCGATGGGTGGGTATTAAAATCATAGGATGACGCGCGCGCGCGGTGAGGCGATGGTGTGGGCGCGCGACGCGCCGAAATCACCGAGGGCGCGCCGTCTTTTTCGCCGCGGCGGCGGCGTCTCGAGCTTGGAACTCCTGTTCTATGTTCTTTCGCACGGTCTCGAGCATCGTGCGCGTTTGCTTGCGCGTTTGAGTGGCTTGCGCGAGCATCGCTGGATCGACGGTGAGGCCGTTGTCGGCGCGAGCGCGCAACGTTTTCACCGCGGCGTCAGCCTTGAGATACATCGCTTTGATTTCGGCGAGAAGTTTCTTCTTCGCCGGATCGACGCTCGGATGCTGTTGAGAAGCGGCGCTAGCCGCGGAATTTTTGCGTTTTTTGCGCATTTTCGCGCTGTACTCTGGATCGCGCCACTTGTCGGCGATGGCTTTAGAGATCTTCGCGCGGTGCTCGCGCGTTCGCTTGTTGGCCACCTTTGGCTTCACTTTCCGCATCGCTCGACGCTTCAAGACGAGCGTGGCGACGAGCTGCTTCTTCAACTCGCGTTGCGTCTTTAGGCGTACCTTTTCTTCATCCTTTTGACGTTGTCGAAGCCGTGCGATGTCGGCGGTGCCGTTGACTCCAAAGGTCACCGTCATCACCGCGGAGTTTCGGCGAACGAATATCCCCGCTGAAGCCGCGCCGTTCATACCTCTCTTCAGGCCCCAGACCTGTTTGGACTCCAAGCCAGCTGTCTCTAGCTTTCGCGCCCGCGCTCTTTCCACCGACGCCCTCTTGATCTTCGCTCGCGTGTACTCGGAATGACGAGCGTTGGATCCGTTGTACGACGCCTTTAGGCGCTCTCTGTACGCGGGATTCGCCATGTGCATGAGCGTCGTCGCGCGAATTTTTTCGATCGTTTCCTTGCTATGCTTGCCGCCTTTATTCCAGGGCACCTTACCAGTGTTCGCGGTACCGATTCGACGGCGTCGCAACTGTTCCACCTTGGCCATGTCCTTCACCGTACCCACGGCTTTCAAGGTTTCAAACTCCTTCTCGCTAATAACCACAACCTTGATCGGCTCACCGCTAATATCGACGCCGTTTCGCACGCGACATCTGAAGACGTTACACGTCGGACAAGGACAGCCGTTCAAGTGGTACAGCGTCTTGCGCGCGCCCATGATGAAACCGTCGTCGGGCGTCACGAAGACGACCCTCTTGTAGTCGTGCTCGACTCCCGGATCGCCTTTACCCAAATTCTCCACGCAGTGCGTCCACGAAATCTCCTTCAACGCACCACCCGATCCATTTGAACCTCGCGCACCGTCCGATCGCATCGCCACGACCGACGCGCGCGTCAAAGACCGCGCGCTCGCGGCGCGCGCCGCGTCCCTCCCTCGCGTCGGCGTCGCGCGCGCCTCCAACCCCCCCTCTCCCGCGCTCGCGCCCCCATCCGCGCCCTCGACCGGCGTTTGCAGCGCACCGAGCTTCGCCCGCGATCCCCGCGCGTTCGCGCGTCGTCGCGTCTTCGCGCGCGTCGTCTTCGCGCGCGCGTCCGCGCGAAGTCGCCCTAAACCCCCGAGCGCGGCCGTCGCCATGACGCCCTCCCGTCCGCGCGCGCGCGACCGGCGTTCACCGCCCGTTCGCGCTCGCGACGCGCTCGCGACGCGCTCGCGACCGCGCGCTCACGTCGCGCGCCGTCGCTCGGCGCGCGCGTCGCGCGAGTTCCCTCGCGCGCGTTCGAGCCGCAGCCGCCGCGCCCCGCCGTCGCCGCGCGCGCGCGCGCGGCGCCTCGTCGCGCGCGCCTCGTCGCGCGGCTCCGCGCGCGCGCGTCGCGAACGCGCGTCCCTCGTCGACCGCGCGCGTGTCGCGTCGAGCGGCTCGCGCGTGCGCGCGCGAATGCCGCGCGCGCGCGCGCGAGGGGTGGGGTCCCCGCCGACGTCGGCGAATCGGCGTCGAATCGCGACGTCACAGTCGCGCGCGTCGACGCGCGCGCGCACGAGGCGCGCGAGCGAGCGACGCGAACGCGGCGACGCGGCGACCGCGCGCGCGCGTCGCGCGGAGGCGCGAGAAACGCGCGAGTCGGCGATAAGGATGGCGCGATTCGCGACGCCGCGGATGATTTCGAGCGCGGTGGCGGCGCGCGGCGCGCGCGCGAGGACGAACTCGGGCGCGCGAGCGTCGACGAGGACGAACGAGTCGTCGATGCGTCGCGCGATGGGCGTCGGTGAGGCGCGAGGGGTGGTTTCGCGAGCGCTGACGGGGGAGGATTCGGAATCGAGCGAAGGCGAGGACGCCGCGGCGAGGGCGGCGGCGCGCGCGAAGAGAAACGCGGCGCGAGGACGCGAGGCGCCGCCGGCGATGATGCCCGCGGTTTTTGATGACGGTGCGATCGGGACGTTCGGTGAGGACGAAGAGTGCGATGAGACGAAAGACGCGGCGGCGGAGGAGGCGCGCGCGTTGATCGAGGCGACGATGCTGCGATTGCGTAGTCGGCAGGCGTTGGGGAAGCCGTTGATGGCGAAGAAGCCGGCGCCCGTGGCGACGACGGCGAACGCGGTCGCGGCGAAGAAAACGGCGAGAAAGACGGCGAAGAAGAGCGATTGGCAGAGTTTTGTCGATTGGAAGACGATGGAACATCAAGAGTACGAGACGCTGAGCGACGCGCAGTTCAGCAAGCTCAGCAAGAAGCTCGCTCTCGAGCCTCAGTGGCGCCCGATGGTGAGTTACCTCATCTCCCTCGGTCTCAAGACGGCGGATTTAGAAAAAGTAGTGGTGAATTGCGCCGAGCTTCTCAATCGACCGGTGCCGCGAGTGATTACTCGCGTGGAGTACTTGCAAAGCGAACTCGGATTGGAGAAGAAAAACTTACGGCAGATCGTGAACAAGGATCCACGTATTTTGCTTCAGAGAAATCGACACTCTATTCCGCGCTGTAGATACCTCACCAAAATCGGTGTTCCCCAGGAAAAGTTGGCCGACGTGCTCGGTAAGCAACCAAGCATTTTACACCTCAGCGTGCAAAAGGGATTGATGCCTCGCGTGCAGTATCTCAAGCAAGAGGTTGGAATTTTGGCGGAGGATATCCCCCTGTTGATCCAGCGGTCGCCCGCAGTGTTGACGTTTTCTATTGAAAACCAGATTCAGCCACGCGTGGAGTTTTTGCGTGACCTCGGTATAAGCAAGGACAACGTGGTGAAGATGATCACGCGGCACCCGCAGATGCTTCACTACTCTTTCGAAAATCTTGAAGAGAAGCTTCGATTTCTCGGCGAGATTGGCATGAACGATAGCGAAACTGCGTTGACAGTGACGCGCCTTTCGCAGTTCTTTTCGCTTTCGGTCGAGGACTCGCTTAGGCCAAAGTTCAAGTACTTGACGAACGAGCTCGGCGGCTCCAAGGATACGTGCGTCAAGTATCCCGCGTACTTTTCCCTTTCGTTGGATCAACGCATTCGCCCGAGGCACACATTTCTCGAGCAGTTCGATCTCGCGCCGGATCCGTTTCCCATGAAGTTGTTGAGCGTGAAGGACGAAGACTTTGTCGTTCGAGCCTCCAAGTCGATCGCCGAGTTCGAGGCGTACAAAGAAGAAATGGTTCCGATTTTCGCCGCGCAGACCGCCCGGGAGAAAACTTTACGCGAAGTGTCGAACTCTGCAGAGCAGCAACGCATGCTGCTCGAGCGCAAGCGCATAGAGTTCATTCGGACTACGCACGAAGAAACTGTTCGCAAGCGCGAATACAGCGAGCGCGTCGCCAAGGCGCGCCAGAGTCTTCGACTACTGAAGGGTCGATCTCAGCACCGCTCGCGTTGAGACATTTAGGACATGATTGATTACCTATTCTTTCATCATTAGCTATAGCTCTATTGTTTATACGATGCCGCACGACAATCTCTCTTCTCACGCGCTCTCGCCGCCGCTCGGATTGGCGAGTTTCATCATCTGCTGTTGCAGCGCGATAATTCCCTCTTGTTTTTCCGTTTGCTTCTTCTGCATCGCCTTCGCCGCCTTTTCTAACCGTTCATTCTCCGCCCTGATGTAATCCAATCGCTTCTCCACGTTCCCTCGCGCCTCGACGAGGTCCTGCTTCATCAACACCGGCCCGACGAGCTTGTACACCTTCGCCTCGTCCTCCAACAACTCCAGCTCCTTGAGCACCATCTCGTTCTCGCTCAGCTGTTGCTGCGCTTGCTGACGCGCGATCACGTTCGCGTTCATCTCTATCACACAGCGCGCGCGCGTCTTCCCTCGTCAGTCTTCGCGACGGTCTCGCTCGATCGCCGTTCGTTTCGTTGACCCAAGTCAATCGAAATCGTAATCACGACGCGCGCGTCGCGTCTTCGTCGACGCACCTTGCGCCAGACTCTCGTACGTGCGAGATTCCTCTTGAAGTTTCCTTTGCATTCCCTGGAACGCATCCATGGCGCTCGCCATCGTCGTCGCGCTGTGCGGCGGCGCTCGCGCGCCGCGCGCGACGCTCGAAATCCGTGTTGTGCGCTGTCTCACAGATCAGCGCCTCCGAGACGGTCGAGGCGGCGAAACTTCAAACGACGACGGTCGATCGCGCGACGCGCGCGACGACGCGAGACGACGCGAGATCGAACGCGTAGCGCATAATGTTCTACTCCAGCGAGCTCCTGTGCGCGAAAGGCGCGATGGGGCAGATTTGGGTGCGTCCAAAGTTTAAACGTCGGCGCGCGCGCGAGCGCGCAGACTGACGACGACGCGGTGGCGCGCGCGCAGATTTTGGCGAATCAGCCGGAGAAGGCGGACAGAATGACGAGGAATAAGACGAACACGATCTCTATTCGCGATTCGTGCGAGACGATCATCAATCCGCCGACGCCGTTGGTAGGTTTAGTGAAGCGCGGTTTCTCGCGTCCGAGACTGACCGACGGCGGTTCCCCCGCGCGCGGCGCGCGCGCGGCGAGACGTTCGGTTCGTAGGCGCTGCGATTGGCCGCGTTGCTCATGCGAGGGGTTGTTGCGGTGTATGCGCGCAAGGTGCGATTCTTGTATGAAGATTGCATGAAGACGTTGTCGCGATTGAATGCGTTGTCGCGGGCGCAACGCCAGGATCGTAATCTTCTTCCCGAGAAACCAGAGGGAGGAAGAGACGCGCGCGCGACCATGACGATGGCGTACGATGGTGATATATTGGCGCGACCTGAATTTGAGCACATGCATGTGTCGCAGGCGTACGACTCGCAGGCGTTTCACATGGTCGCGAGCGAGCAATTGGAGGACGCGTTCGACGTGGCGGGCGGCGCGGCGGGCGATCGCTTCACCGTGCGAGACGACGACAGAATCAACCTTCTCGAGTTACAAATGCCCGTGGACGAAGATCAAGCGCGCATGGACGAGCAATACGAGTACGAGTTTGCGATGCGCGGCGACGATGGTCGACGGATCAGCATACAGGAAGAAGATGAAGAATACATGGACTATCAAATTGCGCGCGCCGACGATACGCTCGAAGAAGCGCTCCCGCTCGCCGTGGAGGATGAGGAACCACTTGAACAAGAACCCATCGGAACTCAGTTGAAGCGCATGCGCGAGCGCGAAGCCGAAGCTGAGCGAATGATGGCGCTTCCTGAACCCAAGGCGAAGAAACGTCGTACGGCCGCGATGGCTCGCACTCGCGTGTTCGTGTTTGATAACCAGACTCATCTTGGGTCGGATGTCTTTCGTGCGTGGCTCTCCAGCACGCGGGACATCGTTCAGCAACGCCCAGACGAGGACACTGCTGAGGCGGTCATCGAAGGCAAAGAAGCAGAGCGTGACTTCTTCTTCCACTCTGAAGCGTTCAAGGTGAATCCTTCGATCTGCGCGCGATCGGCGCTCGAACTCTTCGTCGTCAACCCGAACGCGCGATTCGCGTTTGAGCAATTCATCGGTGAAGAACCAGTCATGTATGAAAGTGATGAAGAACGTGATCACTATCATGATGTGATGTATGACGAACACGGAAACGTGCGGTCGACAGAAAAGATGCGCGCCGTGCTTTCTGCAAAAAAGTCCACGCCCGGCTCTGGATTTACGACTGGATTTTTCAACCGCGAAAAAATCACTCCCTCCACTTTTCACAAGTCAGGGCGCAGCTCTGGTTTGGGTTTGGACAGTGGTTCGAAACTTGCTGACATGTTCATTCCCGAAGACCCCGATGAAGATCTCGCCATTCCGGATAACTACGACCACATCCTCGGAAGCGAAATCGATTTCGGCGAACAACCACGAGCTGGATCGCACCGCCGCCGAACGACGACCACGACGCCGTCTCAACAGCCCTCACTTCTCGAAACGGACGACCAAGGTACGTTCGCGCACGCGACGCCACGCGAAATCGGCAAAGCGTCCCTGAATCTGTTGCAGTTCCTCTCGCGCGCCGTCTTCACCGCTGAGAAACCGGATACGGAAATGGAGAGCGTGAGCGTGACGGATCTGTGCGTTCGCAACCACTTGTCTCGGGCAAAAGCTGCGCGATTATTCTACCAAACCCTCGTTCTCGTCGCTGCCGACTACCTCACCGCGTATCAAGACGCAAGCGAACCGTTCGGCGAGATTACGCTCGTCCCCGGACCTCGTTTTGAGTTCAACGCGGGCGCCGCGTGAGCGCGACGAAATGTGTCGTAACGTATGATATGATATTGATTGTGTGTGTATGAATGAACAAATTTGAGGCATCTATTGACCGAACATCTTCTTCATGTTGTCGCCCATTTCTTGGAACTTGTCAGCCGGCGTCTCGCACTCCTCTTCGCTCGGGATGAGCCAGACCTTGTCGTTCGCCGGGCTGAACATCGACCGCGGGTTCTCCTTGTCGAGCACGCTGAAACCGTATTCGATCTCCTTCGCTTGCTTCAACATCGGCATCGATCGCGCAACCTTATCGATCGCCGCCATATCCTTATAGATGGCCTTGCCGATGTTTTGCGAGAGCGACTTCTGCGCCATCTCCTTGGACATGTCGTTGTCCAACCCCTTCACCAACGTGTTCGCCGCGCTCCCGCCCGTGACCACGTTCAAAGGGTACCAAGCCTTAATCCCTCGCTTCGAGCGCACGTGGATCACGAATTGTTCGTTATCCGGATCGATCGGCGGCATGAACTGCTCCACCTGCTGCTGCATCTGCGACGCCGGCCCTCCGCGTCGTCCGCCCGCTTTACCCTTGCCCGCGTACGTCGCCACCCCCCCACGGCGCGCCGGCGTCGCGATCCGCGTCGTCGCGACGACGCCCTTACCCGCGATCGCCCGTCGCGAGCCGCACGCGCGCGCCTTCATCGCCGTCGCCGCCGTCGGCATCGCCGCCGTCGTCGTCATCCTATCCCTTTTCACGCGTCGCGCGCGTGCCTCGCGGCGTTCCCTCGCGCCGTCTCGCGCCTCGTCCGCGCGCGTCGGTCGCGAGCGGTCGCGAGGCTTCGCGCGCGTGCGTTCGAGCGCGGTGACGTCGACCGATCGACGAGCGCGCGCGCGTGTGCGCGCGTCGACGCGCGCGCGCGCGCGCGACGTCATCGCGCGTTCGAGCGCGCGCGCGGGACGGGGTTTCGTGGTTTTATCGATGGGTCGATTTCGCGAGTCACGACTCGACGCGTTGACCACGACGCGTTGACCCGCGCGATGGCGTTCGCGACGCGTCGACTACGAGACGTCGACCTCGATCGCGGGGCGCGGTCGGTCGGTCGGTCGGTCGACGCGCGCGCCCGCGCGGAATTCGACGGCCGGGGCGCGATCGCTCGATCGCGACGACGCGCGCGCGACACACCGCGCCGCGACACCGCGGACGGACGCGCACGGACGCGACACGCAGTGAACGCGCGCTCGAACGCTCGAACGCGACGCACGCACGCTCGAACGCGAGAACACACGACGGCGAAACATGGCTGCGGATTTAACGGATGAGCAGATCGCGGAATTCAAGGAAGCGTTCGCGCTGTTCGATAAGGATGGCGACGGGACGATCACGACCAAGGAACTCGGGACGGTGATGCGATCTCTCGGACAAAACCCGACGGAGGCGGAGTTGCAGGACATGATCAACGAAGTCGACGCGGATGGGAACGGGACGATCGACTTTCCAGAATTCTTGAACCTGATGGCGCGAAAGATGAAGGATACGGACAGCGAAGAGGAGCTGCAAGAGGCGTTCAAGGTCTTCGATAAGGATGGTAATGGGACTATTTCCGCGGCTGAATTGCGACACGTGATGACGAACTTGGGAGAGAAGCTCACGGACGAGGAAGTTGACGAAATGATTCGCGAAGCCGACGTCGACGGCGACGGCGAAGTCAACTACGAAGAATTCGTCAAGATGATGATGGCCAAGTAAGACGGACAACGTAACGAAACTTGAATTATACTATTTTCATCGCACTCTACCACTATATTGCTCATTTCGCCGGCGTCTTCGCGAAGGCGGAGACCGGACGAAGCGAGCGCAAGCCCGACGTCGCGGGACAATTTTGACGCTTTTAAATAAAAATGAATCGGTCTGATTTACATCATTACAACTCGCGCGCTACGTCTGCTCGGCTATTGCTCTACGCTGGCACGTTTTTCAACCTCGCACGGGCTTTAACCCGAGCTTGGCGCGAATGGCGTTCGCCTCCGCGATTTCTGGGTCGACCTCGGCGGCGGGTTTCTTTTCCTTCTTTTCCTTCTTTTCCTTCTTCTCTTTCTTCTCTTTCTTTTCCTTTTTTTCAGACTCGCGAAAGTAATCAGCGCGATGATCGCCTGGGCGCGCATGTTCGCCGCGATCACCGCGATTTCCGCCGCGATCTCGCGACAACCCTCTCACGCCGCCGCCGCGACGCTCGCCGTAGTCGCCACCGCCGCCGCGACGCTGCGGCGACCTCGAACGATGGCGCGCGTTTCCTTCATCGTGAAGATCGACTGGTTGCCGCCGGTTCACTTTGGCCGCTGGCGTGGAGGCGTTCGCTAGCTCGCCCTCTTCATCCTCCTCACGTGGGCGCTTACCGGCGGCGTCTCGTGTCGCCGTCGTGTCCAACTCGTCGTCGTCCCCGTCGACGTCCATCCGCATCTCGCGCCCGATCGCCTCCTCCACCGCATTCTCCAACTGCTCTTCTAAATCTTTCACGTCGGTTTCTAACGCGCTCACGCGCGGTTCGAGCGATCCCGCGGCTTCGAGCGCCTGTCGATGCGGCACCCGCGGCAACGCGACGTCGCAAAACATATCTTTCGTCAACAAGTTGTTCACAAACTCGTCCACGTGCGTCAGCACGTACTTGCCATCTCGGCTGCGATACCGAACCTTCCTGTAATCGTTCAATAAAGGCTCGAGATACTGGTATACATCCGTCGGCTTTCCGACCAAGCGCAGATAAAACGCCCCGAGCAACCGCACGTACTTGTGGTCTTCGTTCTTTATGAACTCCAATATGATCTCTTTTTCGGGCTGAATCTGCAACAGCTTCAGCGTGAGACACAGAAACTCCGTCGCTCGATTGTTCCCGCCGTATATTCCCCCCACCGCGCGTAAATCCACCGCCAAGTCCACGAGCGCCTCGGCGCTCACCGCGAAACACTTCTCCTTCCAGTACGTCATCGCGTACACCTTATCGCGCGTGATGCGCTCCATGATATTCTGCGTCGACGAAAACGAGCGCGCGAATCGCATCGTCAGTCTCGCGTCTCTGGTCGCCTCGCGAACGCGCGTTTCGCGCGTTTCGCGCGTCGTTTCGAGCGAATCCGCGCCGCCGCGCGCGACGCACCTGCGGGTCCATCCCGCGCACGGTCTTCGCCAGCGGATCCGTGGCGTTCGCCATGGCGCGCGATGTCTTCCTTCGTCCCGTTCACCGATTCTCGCGCGCGTGCGGGGCGTGCGGCGCGATCGAGGCGTCGCGCGCGCGCGTCTGCGGCGCCGCACTCGACGACTCGCGCCGATATGGCGCGACGACTCCACGGGAAACGGTTCAAGGTGCGCGAGCGACGCGAGCGAAGGCGCGCGGGTGACGCTTGAAACCTCCGCGGCGGTGCGCGGCGACGCGGACGCGCGGAGAGGGGCGCGGCGAGGCGCGGTGGCGAATGCGATTTTCAAACTTGAAACGCGCTGACGATTTATGTGACTTTGCGCGACGCAGGCGCCGCAGCGGCGATTATCGGGCGCGGATGGCGCGGAGCGACAAGGTATGTGACGTTCGGGGTCGACGCGCGCGCGCGTGGGGGCGTTGAGAAGGCGCACGCGTGGGAAAGGATGAATTGAGATTTTTGAAATTTCAATGGCTGTTGGAGTCCGAAGGGTCCGCGACGGCGCTCGTTCGCCTCGTCGCCGCGCGCGGCGCGTCCCGACGGCGCGCGCGCGCGCGCGAAGTGTTCGTAAGACTGACTGCGGTGCGTGATGCGCGTTTTCCCTCGCGCGCAGAGTTAGACAAGAAGAAGCGGCGTTATCGCCCGGGGACGTTGGCGCTAAAGGAGATTAGGAGGTTTCAGAAGACGACGGATTTGTTGATTCGGAAGATGCCGTTCGCGCGATTGGTGCGTTTCATCGCGCGAGACGGTGTAAACGATTCGAACGTCGTCTCGCCGCGCTCGACCGACGCGCTCTCAGACACTGACGAACCTCGCTTTCCCCTCGACTCGCAGGTTCGAGAGATTTCAAACGAGCTCTCGCCCGAACCGTTGCGTTACACGGCGGAGAGTTTGTTAGCGTTACAGGAGGCCACGGAGGACTTTTTGGTGCATCTTTTCGAGGACTGCAACCTTTGCGCGATTCACGCCAAGCGCGTGACCATCATGCCCAAGGATTTGCAGCTCGCTCGACGCATTCGAGGCCCAATCTACGGCGTCGCCGCCTACTAGGCGTCTCGCGCGTCCCACTCTAGTTCCCGCCCTCGACGTCCTCGCGCGCGCGCGCGCGAGGACCCGCCGACCATCGCGTCTCCGGCGCGTCCTCGCTCGTTCGCGCGCGTCGCGTCCTTCATAGCCTGTAATCTAAACACTGTTTCGCGGACCCCGGAGGTGTCCCGTCTCCCATCCCGGTCGCGATCTCGATCTCGATCTCGCGACGTCGACGCGCGATGACGTCACGCCCTCGGCGCGACGCGCGCACACGACGACGCGCGGCGCCGACCGACGCGCGCCCGCACGCGCGCCTCGACGCGCGCAAAGACGCGAACGCGCGCTCGCCTCGACGCGCGCAAAGACGGACGCGCGACGGCGGACGCGACGACGACGCGACGACGCGCGCGGGACGCGCACGTAAATGCCACTGGTGGGCGCGCGAAGCACGGAGCGGAGCGCGTTCACGTCGACGTTTCAGACGTTTCAGGCGGTGAATCAGACGTCGAGCGCGAGCACGTCGACCGGAATGACGGCGGGGAGCGGCGGGAGCGGACGGGCGAAGCGCGCGGGGGCGGGGGCGCGAGGGAGCGGGACGCCGCCGAGCGGGGCGGTGAGCAAGCCGACGGCGCGAGGGGGACGGGCGGCGGCGAATCAGGGTGGGTTCGGGATGGGGTACGTCGGACGAAACTCGATGCACATTCCGCACGGGAACACGGCGCTGAGCGTGAAGGCGGACGAGGAACGATTGAACACGATCACGGATGAGAAGGAGAGAAAACGGCTCAAGCGTTTGTTGCGAAACCGCGTGTCGGCGCAGCAAGCGCGAGAACGGAAAAAGGCGTATCTCGCGTCTTTGGAACAAACGGAGGCGCAAAAGGCGAACCGATTGCACGAGTTGGAAAACCGCGTGACGACTCTGGAAAGAGAGAACCAAATGCTTCGTCAAGTTATCCAAACCGTCACTCGTCGCGCCGTGCCGCCGAACGCGTCAGACTTCCAAGTTCCGGCGATGTGATCATAGATTCTTTTATTAGAGCGCTCCACTAGACGCCATTCATTCATGTTGCATCCGATGCTCCGATGTGGTACCTTACGTGTTACGAGGACCTGGATGCTTGATTATCAATCTTTGTTTCAATGTTTATCGAATGCTATTCACGCTATCATTCCGCGCCGACCCTCTACGCTCGTGTTCTACAACGAACGGACACCTGTCGCGCGCTCTGTGCTCGCGAGCGAATTTCTGAGTCATCATGTCATCATTCGTCGGTGAGTTCAATCACTTCGTCTTTGCCCGTTTCATTTTTCCATCGCTGTGATAAATGTTTCATGACGTCTTTGTGCGGAGTCGAAGCGCCGAGAGCGTTCTTGGTGGATTTGAAGTGCTCCTTCACGAACAACGAAAAAGCCGTCGGTGCTCGAGCGGCTACTTCGTCCCCATTCTTCTTGAACTTGCCAAGGTACTCCAACTTCCCCCCGCACGCACCACACGCCTTTTTCGTGATATCGATTGACTTGCTGTGACGGCCGTACTCTTGTTGACACCAGTCTCTGGTGCAACGCCATTTGTACGGCTGATGGATCGTGTACGCGTGGCACGTACTGACGTTCGTCTCGGGATAAACTTTCATCGCTTGACTAGCCCACTTCTTAAACACCGGCCCGTGAGGTGGTTTCGCGGTCTTGTCGACGAGCCAAGCGGAGGCGTGACACATCTCGTGGAGCAACGTGGATTCGAGTTTTTCAACTGTGTCCAGCACCTTGTTGGATAGTTCGATGCGCGCGCTGTACGTTGTCTCACCAGATTTCGTTGAACGTTTGTAATGTGTCAGGCCCGCCGTGGTCAGCAGCTTCTTGTTCCACGTCACTTCAAAGTCCGACGGAAGCTCGGCATCGAACACCTTTTCGTTGAACTCTGCGAATAGCGCAGCGGTGATGGCGTCCTTGTCTCGATTAAAGTTCAACTTTTGAACACCATTCTTGGTCACGCTCTTAATCGCAGACTGAAGAGCCTTACTGTGCGAAGGTGGTGGTCTGAACGCTTTCACTGCAGACGTCGGCGAGAGCTCCTTTGGTGGCGTCGGCGTGTGCAGATTCGACGGGCTGTACTCGTCGATGACGAGCTTATCGTTCATTTCCTTAGCCACGTCAATCTTACTTGATGGCTTTCGCGGCACTGGTGTCACGTTTTCTTCGTCACTGTCGTATTCCACCGCATCATCATCCGCGTACGAGTCGTCGTCGTCGTCGATGAAATCATCGTCGCTAGAGTGAAGTTCGTCATCGATGTCATCAAAATCTTCACTTCCGGATAAATCATCGTCCACGAAAGCGTTGCGAGGCACGAGTGGCTTCCGCGCTGCGATGCGGCGTGGTCGCGTATTCACCACGGGTGCGTCCTGATCTTCTTCCGATGCTTCATCGTCATCATTGTCGTCGTCGTTGAGCGTGACTTCGTCCGACTCGCTCTCGTCCTCGGCGTCGCTGTCAAGAATAACCTTGCGCCGTCTCTCGCGCGCTCGTGGACGACGAACGCTAGCGACGGCAGGTGAATCTGAAGCAGTTGAATCTTCGAATCGAACGTGATTTTCGATCTTCGCGGTAGGCAACTCCGGCTCACCTTTCAAAGCTTCAACTTCGTCGCGACCACCGGCAACTTGAGGTGAATCGACGACGATCGAATCGTCGAATCGTATATGCGTCCCGAACTTCACGATGGGTTCGATCGTTTCATCTTCAACGACTTCTGACTCAGTCAAAGCCGTCTGATCTTCGTCGAGGTCATCCTTTCGAGTGTTCAAATCGAGCGCGTCCATGGCGTCGTCTAAATCGTCCAAGTCGTCGACCTCCGTTCCAGCCACCGATTCGTCGTCGGCGTCGTTTTCGTCATCCGTCTCCGCGATGGATTCGGACTCGATCGACGAAACCGTTCGAGTGTGATCTAAGAGCGCGAAAGGCCCGCCGCGCGCGTGCATTTTCACCAAAGTACAGTCCGCCGCGCCGCAATCGCACGTCGGAAAAGTCCCTTCCTCTTCGACAACTTCCTCTTCTTCCGCCGTCGCCTCGAAACTTTCGCCCGCCGAATCAAAACTGGCATCTTCGCTCACATCACAGGCCGCGTCTCGCATCACTGTCACCGGCGTCTGCGTCTCCGCCGTAGAAAAGCTCAAGCGCTTCCCCTTCGTCGGCTTTGTCGGCGACAGCGCGTCGATGGCGCGCGCCAACGCCTCGAACGAACCACCACCTCCCGGCGTCTGTTTCGCCAACGACGCGAACACGCGCGCTGGATCGAGACCATTCGCACGAATAGAAACCATCGTCTCCCTCAGGCACCGTTTCGTCGCCTCCGCGAGCTTCAACTGTTCGTCGAACCGCGCCGTCGTCACCGGCGTTCGCGTCGTCCGCCTCGCGTTCGTCTTCCTCGGCAGCGGTTCCGTCGCTCGATCCTCCTCCTCGCGCGTCGATCCCGCGGACATCGACGACGTTCGGCTTCTCTCCGCGTCGAACATCAAATCACCGCTCGTCTCCCCGTCGCTCTCGCTCTCGCTCCTCGCGTCGCCGCGTTTGTTCCCCTCGCGCGTCGTCCCCGCGCTCGTCCGTCCGTTCACGCCCACCGCTCGCAGCGGCGGTCGCCCCGTCGACGCCGTTCGCGGCACCGGCACCGCTTTCGACACCACCTCGTCCGACGGCGCGTCGCCGACGATGGACACCGACGGTCCGAGCGCGCGCTTTCGCGTCGACGCCGACGGCGTCGCTTCGACATCAACCGTCGCGTCGCCGCCGTCGCGCGCCGCTTCGCGCGTCGATCGCGAGAGCGCGCCGGACGCGCGACGCGCGCGCTCGCGCGGTTTCTGCGCGCTGAGCCTGGCGAACAGGTCCGACATGGCGGCGCGCGGCGGCGCGACGCGACGCGTCACAATGCGGCCTCGCGATGGCGTCGAGCCGGGCGTCGCCGCGAACGTCGCCGTCAGCGGCGTCGCGGTGATGTGCGCGACGACGGTGACGAACCCGCTGGACGTGATCAAGGTGCGCATGCAGACGAGCGCGCGAAGGCGCGCGGGCGCGCTCGTGGGGACGGCGCTCGACGTCGGGCGAAGGGAGGGACTGGGGACGTTTTGGCGAGGGATTTCGCCGGCGCTGACGCGCGCGGCGCTGTACGGGGGGTGCCGATTGGGGCTGTACGATCCGATGCTGCGAGTGGTGGCGCCCGCGGTGGAGCGCGAGCGCGAGGGCGCGCCGAGGGTGGCGACGAGACTGCTCGCGGGGGCGGCGAGCGGAGCGTTCGCGGCGGCGGCGCTGAATCCAACGGAATTGCTCAAGACGCGCATGCAGACCGAGGCGGGGGCGTCGACGACGTTGGTGGGACACTTGCGAGCGGTCGTGCGCGAGGGCGGCGTGGGTGGGCTTTGGCGCGGGAGCGGGTTGGCGATGATGAGGTCCGCGGTGCTCACGGCGACGCAGGTGGCGACGTACGGGGAGGTGAAACGTCGCGTCGTCGACCTCGGGCTCGTCGACGCCGACGGCGCGAAGTGGCGATTGCACTTCGCGGTGGCGATGTTGACGGGGGTGGTGACGACGGCGACGACGAATCCAGTGGATATGCTGAAGACGCGGCTGTACGTCGCGAACGCTGCGGCAAGCGGCGGCGCGAACGCGCCGACGGTCAGAGGCACGCTCGTCGACGTTCTCGCTCGGTACGGCCCGTTTGGATTATTTAGGGGCTTCAGCGCGAATTACATGCGACTCGGACCGCAAACAGTGGTGACGTTCGTCGTCGCCGAATATTTGCGCGAGCGTTTCGGTATGAGCGCTCTGTAGAGAGTTCGTTTAAGGCGACATCGCGCGCGACTCAGCGCGCGCGACTAGGATTAGGATTAGACACTTTGGATTATACTCGTTAGCAACTCGTCCTCTTCAACGTCGTCAGGATCGACGCGAATGATTCGGAAGATGCCCGATGTCGCTCCCGCGCGTCACTGCCCGGAGCGCTATGCCGAAGGCGGACGACCCCCACGTCGTCCTCGGCGTCGCCAAAGGCGCAGCCGTGGATGAAATAAAAAAGGCGTTTCGCGCGCGCGCGCGCGTGCTTCATCCCGACACGAGCGACGGCACCACGACGGAGGAAGAGTTTCACGCCCTCAAGGCTGCCTATGAAGCACTTTTGAAACGTCGCGGCGCCGAGGCGGATCCTCAAGACGAAGTCTACGGCCCCGGGATGCGCGCGAGGTTAGATGCCGCGCGAGCGTGGCGTGAGCGAAGCGCGATGAAGTCGTCCGGGGTAGCACCGGCGAGGGAGTGGAATGAAATCAACGCGGCGGCGAGCGGGACGCAGCGGCGTGCGTCGGGACGGGCGTTCGACGCTGAGGCGCATCAGACGCTGGAAGAGTTACTCGCGGCGAGGAGAGCGGCAAAGTCGAACACGGTGTCGTCCGTGAAGAGCGCTTTGGGGGCTGGAATTGTCGAAGGCAAGGTTAGCAGAGGGAGCCGAGGGTTGCTCGTCGTCGGGTGTGGGTTGATTATCGGGTTGATTGCTACGCGCAAAGTGATGCATAAGATGGAGGAGAGGGAGAAGCGTGCGGTCAAGTCGTCATAATGTCGTTGCTGTATTTTACCATTTCTATAGTCGCTGCGCATAGCTACAACCGCAGCATTGATTGTTACTACGTGTTTAGGCGTACTAAAACCGTACTAAAACTTTCTCCTCAGAACTTCGACGGTCGGCGATACGGCGAGGTGTACGCCATATCTCCGTCGAATAAGTTTTGAAACTGTTCCACAATATTTGCGTCGTGCATCACGATCTCGAAGTCACGGTTGATGGATGCACCGCCCTTGTGCAACGGGAGAAATGGACGGACTGGGAGCGGCAAATCGCTTGGCGACAAATTTCCCGTCGCCAAGACGACGCGTTCACCCTCGCGTCCACGATCCACGATCATAATCTTCAAATGTGCGTAACGATAATATCGCGGCGATGAGCGAAATACGATTTTTTCATTCTCGCGCATCTTGTCGACGAGACTTGCGGATAGCTTTCTATCGACGTCGGAAAAGATGGCGCGCGACAACACGATTCGCACGATTACGCCGGCATCAGCCAGTTTCAATAGCCTTGACGCGAAGAAATCGTCCGTAATTTGGTATGTGTAAATGTCCAGCGTCGCACTTGCGTTCATCGCCTCGAGCATGGTCGCCGCGCCTGCGTCTGGGCTCACACTCACCTTGACCGCGGCGCCCTTACACCACGTCTCACGCAGTTTCTTCGGCGAGTAATGCGGCGCGGAGATGTTTCTCGATGGTATCGGAAAAGGCTCGAGCCACTCGCTCGATTTCATTCGTTGAATCTCATCCTCGCTGATTCCATCGTTTGCCGGCATTCGCCAAACTTCGGCTACGCTCCAGTCGTATTCAAACACCTCGCCCGCGAATTCCGCGACGCTCTTACTTCTCGCGACGACGCCGGCTTCTCTGTTTTCCAAGTAACTCGACTTCGACCAGTTTACCGAGCTTATCGCGGTGACGTTATTATCGACGATCATCGCCTTCGCGTGCATGAACGTCGTACTGGTGTACGTGCGCACGTCGAAATTCTCCGCGAAGTAGCTCAGCACGGAAACCGCGCCCGCACACTCTCGAACGCTATCGAACCGATTCGTCAACAACCGCACCCGCACGCCTCGATGCGCCGCGTTCAGCAGCTCTCGAAACAACACGAACGCTTCGTTCGCGCGAACGCGGTCCGGCGCGCATCCCGCGCACCCCGATTTCGTCGCGCCGCACCCGCTCCACGATTCCACCGCGGGCGCGAAGACGTCCACGCTTTCCCTCGCCTCGCGCACGAGCGACGCGCTCGCGTCCGCGCTCGTGTCCGGCGAAAAGAACGGCGTCAATCCGACGCGCGCGTCCGCCGCCGCGACGAACTCGCGGAACCGCGGCGCGTACGTGTCGTTCTGCGCGCGCGTCGTCGTCAGTTCCGAGAGACACCGAGAGGTGCTCACTTTTGAATCCGCGCCGCGCGCGCGCGCGCGCGCGTCGCTCGAGCGCGTCGTGCGCGTCGCTCGCGCACCTGGTGATCGTACTCCCTTCGCGGCGCGCCGAGCGCGCTCGCGCCGAGCGCGACGAGCCACAACGACGGTCGCATCTCGCGCGCGCGAGTGACGGCGACGGCAGTTCGAGTCGCGGATGAGCGACGCCTCCGCGCGCATCGCCGCGCGACTGCTGCGCGGATGGACGCTCACGGCAGAGCGCTGCCCGGTGGCCCGGTGCGGGACGCCGCTGATGCGCGAGCGCGCGACGGACGCGACGTTTTACTGCGCCGGTGGCGACGCGTCGGTGCGACTCGACGACGTCGAGCACGGCGCGCGGAGCGGCGCGGTGGACGCGTGGGAGGCGGAGAGCGACGAGGACGAGGACGCGCGTGATCGCGACGGCGCGCGCGCGCGCGAGGTCGGGACGTCGGAGGAGGAGGACGGCGACGCGGACGACGCGAGGTCGCCGTCGGCGCGCGAGGACGCGACGCGCATCGACGGCGGGATCGACGGCTTGGTCCTGCGCGACGGCGTCGTGGACGTGTCGGGACGCGTCGCGGAGAAAATGCTCATGGGTTGGACGCTGACGAACGATGTGTGCCCGGTGTCGTCGTGCTCGGCGCCGCTCGTGCGGAACCGGGCGGGCGAATCGTTTTGCGTTCGCCACGAAATGTTCGTTCGAAAGGGCGAGAGCGCGACGCGCGCGATGGGGGCGACGGTTTCGGCGCCAAAACCACCTCCGGGTACGGCGGCCGCGCGCGACGGAAAGAGTCGCGTCGGTAGGCAATCGCGCGTGGACGACGAAATCGAGGAGTCGTCGCTCAGGACGCTTCGCGCCCTGGAAGAAAAACTCGCGCAGGCTCGCGGCGCTCTGCGCGATGAAACCGACGTCGACAAGTGTCGATCGTGGCTGGCGTTCATCGATGAGCTCCACGGCTCCATGCGCGCGCTTAGCGGCGGGATTTGACTATAGCGTATTTGAGTTTAGCGCCGCAGACAGTTACAGTCGCGCTCGACGCCACGGGCCTCGCCACACCCGCGCGCGCCCGACGCACGCGCGCGCCGCGACCGCGAACAGATCGCGCGTACGAAATAACATGTCGTCCGCAGCGCTCGTCGAGCTCGCGACGCCGCTCGACGCGGACGCGCGCGCGATGGATTTAAAATCTCGTGGATTCAAAATTCAAAAGCGACGACGCCCGATGGAAGAGGGCGAGCTGTGCTGCGGCGATGACGTCGGCAACGACGACGACGACGAGCGAGAGAATCAATCCACGCCGCCGGGAGCGCACGGCGCGAGCACGCCGAGCGCGAGCTCGTACGGGTCGTGGGGACGAGGGCGAGTGGCGAAGAAGACGACGCCGGAGACGTCGGAACGGGACGACGCGGTGACGCGAGATGGCGCACCGACGCCGAGCGCGACGAAAAGTAGCGACCAGAACGAAAACATGGTCGCGTGCGAACGCGTTGGGGGTGGGATCGAAAGTGGGATGGGTGGCAATGGAAATCCGCACGCAGATGCGAAGGCGTTGAAAAAGTTTGCGGACGGTTTGTGGGCGGCGAGAAAGGAGAAGAATGATCCCGCGACAAAGCTGCGCATGATGAAGACGTACGCCGAGAGCGTGATAAGTTTCGTTGAGGCGGCGGCGCGAACAAGCGATCAGGAAAAGAAGAAGATGAACTATCGCGGCGACGTCGATTTCGCCTTGTTTGTCGAAAAGGTTTGCTCGACGTGCTACGCGACTGAAATGGGACGGAATGCCGACTTTAGCTTCCGTTGCATGGCCTTGAGAGCGCTTATATTGCGCCTTTCGGTCGCATGCTCCGTGCGTGTGATGAAGTTGAACACGTACGCCGCCGCAGACGCGATCAAAGATGCAGATGACGAGGCTGTCATCGCCGAGCTGAAGAATTATCAAAAAGATACCCGCGCGATGACCGAGTCAATGTCTCGCGTGTCGAGTCACCTTCGTACGCTCAAGACCATGGTTCCAGAGAATCGAGCCGATGTCGCACGCGTGTGCGAATATCTCTTAGATTTTGCGAGCGACGGCGGTCTCGGCACGGAGACTACGTTGCGCGTCGTCGACGACGCTCACGAGGTGCTCACGAAGATCTTTTCGATGAAAACGCTCGAGGACAAATGAAATTAGTTGATAGGGGATAGCAATGATACTTGATACACAACTCGCAATTCGTAACTCACGATCGGCGCCGCCTGCCTGCGCCCATAACCGTCGCCGTCAGCGCGCCCGCGAGCGCGGCGACGACGTGCGACGCGAACGGCCGTGCCTTTTCCGACAGGCTTTTTCTCTCCTCGAGCGGTGCATCCTCCTTGATGGGCAGCGACATGCACTGCTCCAACGCACCCTTCGCGTCGAGTTCGCCGCGTAGACACTGCGCGCACGTGGACATCATGGGCGCCGAAACACCGAGCTTTTCAGCCAGGCGCTCCGCCGCGGGCGCCGTGGCGACGCCCTCGGCGACGCCTTGAAGCGACTGCGCGCGTTCGTTGAGAATATCTTGAATCTTCTTCCCTCGCCCGAACGCGATTCCCACGGCTTTATTGCGCGACGCATCGCCCAAGCACGTCAGCATCAAGTCACCGATCCCCGAAAGCCCCGCCATCGTGTGTTCCTTCGCCCCCATCGCGACGCCCAGGCGCGTCATCTCTCGGCATCCGCGCGTCACCAACAACGTCTGCGCGTTCACCCCCAACCCCATCCCCTCCAGCCCTCCCGCTAAGATCGCGATCACATTCTTCAACGCACCGCCTATCTCCACGCCCACGACGTCCGTGCTCGGATACACCCGCATCTTCGGTCCCGAAAACAACGCCGCCGCGCGTTTCGCGAGCGCCAAATCCTTCGCCGCCATGACGCCGCCGCTCGGCGTCCCGTCCATCAACTGCGTCGCGAACGTCGGTCCTCCGAAGAACGCGCACGGATGTTCCCTCCCTAGCACTCGCTCCAGCACCTCGTGCATGAGTTCAAGCGTGTCCGAGCGCAGTCCCTTGCTCGTGTTCACGAAGAGCGCGCCGCTCGCCCGCACCGCGTCCCGCACGCCAATCAAGAATTCCTCCGTCCCCTGCATCGGTATCGCGTGCACGATCGCGTCCGCCCCTCGCAGCGCCTCGTCCGCGTCCGTCGTCGCCGTGACGTTCGCCGCGAGCTCGAACGCGCTCAGATGGCTCGGATTCGCGCGCGCGTCGTTTATCCCGCGCGCGACGTCCTCGCGTCGCGTCACGATGACCACCTCGCGCGCGTTCCTCGCCACGACGCTCGCCATCGCGGTGCCGAACGACCCCGAGCCGAACACCACGACCCGCATCGCGCGCGCTCGGCGTCGCCGCGTCGCGTCGCGCTGTCGCGTCGCGTCGTCAGTGCGCGACGCGCGAATGTCCGCGACGCCCGCGCTCGCGCGCGCGACGACGCGCGTCGAGCACGTCCTCGCGCGCCGCGCGCGCGACGACGGCGACGCGGTCGACGCGCGCGACGACGTCGCGGGCGTCCTGCGCGTGGAGCTCGCGCGCGAGGATTCCGCGCGCGACGATTCGCCGCGCGCGTTCGAGTGCGAGTGCGCGCTCGACGCCGCGCGCGCGCTCGACGACGCGCTCCGCGACGCGGCCGCGCGCGTCGACGCGCTCGCGTCGCGCGCGGCGTGATCGCGCCGACCGACGCGTCGACGCGTCGACGCGTCGCGCGCGCGCGACGGCGCGGCGTCGCTCGTTTTGTGATTGAATCGATCGATCGATCGCATCGACGCGTCGCGTCGGTCAACGCGACGGCACAGCGCGACGCCCGCATGGCGTCGATCCCGCGCGTGGGCGCGCGCGTGGAACTCGGCGAGGACGGCGCGCGCGGCGTCGTGCGGTACGTCGGCGCGGTGGGCGAACGCGCGGGGACGTGGATCGGCGTCGAGTTTGACGACGACGACCGCGGGCGGCACGACGGCGTCGTCGACGGCGTGCGGTACTTTTCGTGCGAGGCGCGCGACGAGGACGCGGGCGCGGGCGGTGCGGACGACGGAAGGGGCGCGCGGCGCGCGTCGATGGTGCGCGCGCACAAGATCGCGCGAGGAAGGACGTTCGCGGAGGCGCTTCGAGGACGGTACGCGCGAGACGACGCGAGCGCGGATGACGGCGAACGCGGCGGCGATGGGAACGGTGGAGGGGACGATATGTGCATACGGACGGCGAGGGGGCGAGTGATGCGCGTGGAGCTGTGCGAGACGGAGGAAGAGGCGACGATGGACGCGGCGGCGACGGCGAGACGGTTGAAATCGATGACGCGCGCGTACGTCGATCACGCGAGAGTGGAGACGATGGGGGCGAGAGGCGAGGCGAGCGCGTGCGCGGGGGCGCTGCGAGTGTTAGGTTTAGCGGGGAGTCTGTTGACGTCCGTGGAGGACGTCGCGAGGATAGGGGAAGAGTTCCCGACGTTGGAGGCGTTGGATTTGAGCGGGATTCGGCTCGGCGACTGGACGAAGGCGTCGTCGATGTGCGCGCGTTTCGAGAAGTTGAAAGTGCTCGTGTTGAATGATTCGATGGTAAAGTGGCGGGATGTGCGAGCGTTGAGCTCGTTGATGCCCGAAATCGAGGAACTGCACTTGAACGGAAATAATATTTCTTCGTTCGCGATGGACATCGACGACGGCGCGAACGTCTTTCCAAAGTTGCGAAAGCTGAGCGTCGATGGGAACGCCCTGAGCGACTGGAGTGAGATCGAAGAGCTTGGACGACAGTTACCTTGGCTTGAGAAACTGCACGCGTCGCAGAATGCGCTGGCGGAAATCCGACCGTCGCGCGCGTTTTCGGCGCTCAAGACGTTGCTCCTCGGCGACAACGCGCTGAGCGCGTGGTCATCCGTCGACGCGCTGAATGCGTTCCCCAAGCTCGAGGACGTGCGACTGAGCGGCAACCCGTTCGCGAGCGCGTCGTCATCGCGGCACGAAATAATCGCCCGCGTGGACAAGCTCGTCGCGCTGAACGGGTCCACGGTTTCCACCGCCGAGCGCAAAGACTCCGAGATTCGATATTTGCGTCGCGTGCTTCAACAGCTCAAGGAAGTATCAATCGAGGGCGACAGCGCCCGGGTACGCGTGACTGAGGAGAATCCTCGAGTCGACGCGCTTGTGGCGAAGCATGGTGATTTGGTCACACACGCCGCGCGCGCGCCCGGCTCGGGCACGCTCGCGAGCGCCTCCGTCGACCTCGTCCTTTGCCTCGAATCCACCGGCCAAACGATGACTAAAAAGCTCCCCAAGACCACGGCGATCGCAAAGCTCAAGCTATTCTGCGCCAAGCTGTTCAAGTTCGACGTCTCCCAAGCCGAGATCTTCCTCGTCGCTCCGGACGCCTCGCGCGTCTCCCTCGAGCCCGACTTCGAACCTCTCGCCGCGTTCGCCCCGATCGACGGGCAGCGTCTCGCCATCGTCCTGACGTGATTCATCATTCATTATACCCGCATTGTATTCATCCCAGCGGCATCCCTCGATTCGCGCGCGCGCGTCCGAAGCGTCGCGCTTCGCGAACGCGCCACGTGTCGCGTTCAGTTCTTACCCCTAGTTCGACACCTGTCCCAATCCTTCGCGACATCGCGACGCTCGTCGACCGCGATCGACCCCAGTCGTCGCGAACGCGAGTCACGCACGAACGAACGCATTATGTCGCTCAACGCGCGCGCGTCGATGCGCTCGAGCGGCGCGCGCGAGCACACGCTCGGCGCCGGTCTCGTCCCGCTCGTCAACCGTTTACAAGACATCTTCGCGAGCGCGGGCGTTCGCGGCTCGAAACTGGTCGATTTGCCCTGCATCGCCGTCGTCGGCTCGCAGTCGAGTGGGAAATCGAGCGTGTTGGAGGCGCTGGTGCGTGCGACGCGCGACGCGGGGCGAGGGTGACGGAAGATGCGAACGCGCGCGCGGGGGGAAGATACGAACGGACGCGCCGCGGAAAAGGATGACTGACGATGGTGATGACGATGATACGCGCGCAGGTTGGACGAGATTTCTTGCCGCGTGGACCGGATATTTGCACGCGACGACCGCTTTTGCTGCAGCTCGTGCACACGCCGGCGGTTCGCGGCGAACCAGAGGAATGGGGCGAGTTTTTGCACCAGCCCGGGCGAACGTACACGGATTTTGAGGAAATTCGAGAGGAGATTCAGGCTGAGACTGACAGAACGACGGGAAACAACAAAGGCGTGAGTAACAAGCAAATCCGGCTGAAGATTTGCTCGCCGAACGTGCTGACGATGACGTTGGTCGATCTTCCTGGAATTACGCGCGTCGCCGTGGGCGACCAGCCGGAGGACATTGAGACGCAGATTCGCAACATGATTTTGAGCTACATCAAGAAGGAAACGTGCTTGATTTTGGCGGTGACGCCCGCGAACTCGGATCTCGCGAACAGTGATGCGTTGACGCTGTCGAAGCAAGTGGATCCGGAGGGTAAGCGAACGCTCGGCGTCATCACCAAGCTCGACATCATGGACCGAGGCACGAACGCCGTCAAGTATTTGAAAGGCGAAGTCGTACCTTTGCGTTTGGGATACGTCGGTGTCGTGAACCGATGTCAGGCAGACATCGCGGAGCGTCGCACGATTCACCACGCTCGAAAGCTGGAGGCCGAGTTCTTCGCGTCAAAGCCCGAATACAAGGAGGTCATCAAAAACTGTGGCGTTCATTCGTTGAGTAAAAACGTAAGCAGCTTGCTGGCCGACCACATCGCCGCTTTGTTGCCGGATTTACAAGTTCGCATCATGCGCGAAAGATCGGAGGCTGAAAAGGAGTTAGAACTGCTTGGACCAGACGCGCCCGAAAGTGAATCGGAACGCGCAGCTCTCGTGCTTGCGAAACTCGAAAAGTACGCCGCCGGCTTACAAGCCGCCGTCGAGGGGCGTAGCGCAAAGCTGAGCATCGACGTGTTAGAGGGTGGTGCGCGCATTCACTACGTTTTGCAAGAGATTTTCGTAAAGGGTTTACTTGAACTCAACCCTACGGCATCCATGACGGATGAGCACATTCGTACCAAGATTCAGAACACTGCCGGCACGAAGGCCGTACTCCTCGTCCCGGAGGAACCGTTTGAACAACTCGCGAGACAGTGCATCGAGAAGATGTTGGAACCATGCAAGCAGTGTGCGTCATTGGTTCACGACGAACTGTGCAGCATGGCATTGGCAAACTTGACGAAGGATGTGACCAGCGTGTACCCGCGTCTCGGACAAGCGTTGGAGCAATCGTGCAAGGAGTATTTGAGACAAGGCTTGCGACCTGCGCTGGACATGATCGTAAATCTCGTGGAGTGCCAGTTGGCGCACATCAACACATCTCACCCAGATTTTATCGGTGGACCAGATGCGTTGATTCTCGCGCAAAAGGCTTTGAAGAGACGCGCCGGCGAAGAAGAGGAAGACGAAGAGGCGCCAGACGTTCCCGGAAAGGACAAGAACAAGAAGAAGGGCGCCGACAAGGAAAACGTCGGCGCGAAACCTACGACGATGGAAAAGACCGGACAGTGGATTAGTGGCATGTTGAGCCCATCAAAGCGACATTATAGCATCGAAAACGGTACGGTCAAGCTTCAATCTCCGCCGAAAAAGCTCAACGCGCACCAATGCGAGACTCCGGAAGAGTTTTTACAAGTTATGGTGACGCGGACGTTGCTCGAGAGCTACTTTAGCATCTCTCGTGGCATCCTCGCGGACATGGTGCCCAAGGCTGTGATGCACTTCTTGGTGAACTCTATCAGTCGAGGATTGAGACAGCACTTGATCGGCAAGTTGTATCAGCCTGGTATCATGCGGAACCTACTCGCTGAGGATCCTGAAATAGCTGCGATGCGCCAGCAGACGCGCAAGCGCGTCGAGGCGCTCAACGCGGCCGCGCTCACGATGTCGGAGTTCAAGTCGCATCTCACAGTGGCTTAGAACTGTTGTAACTGAATTTCTCGCCGTATCTTTACAGTTCGTTCTATTCCCATTCTATTTCTAATATAATACCATCATTACGTGCGTTGTCCGTAAGAATCATAGCCATCGTCGTATGATGTGTAATCGGCGAATCGACTGGATTCGCGTTTCGCTCTCTTCTTGATGTTCTCGAGAAATTCAAAAAGTGGTCTAGAATACGATTCCAGCATTGCGGCGCCGTAAGCAATGCGTGCATACGTGTCAGATGTGGACATGGCCTCTTGCCAGATGGCGCGCTCTTGATTTGTGCGCCACAGCCGTTTTCCCGCCTTCTTCTCATCCGACGGAATGATAAGCTCCCACCACTCGTGGCTCGCCATGAGACGCTCGTTCGATGCGTTGATCGCCGAACCGTTCGCATCCTTCGCGGTAACGTCTCTAGGGAGATCGCACATTTCGACCATTGCCTCCTCGATTTGCATCAAGTATCGTATCATCTCAGTAAGCTCTGTGGTTTTCTCCAACTCTCTGCCCCAGATTCTCCATCCAGACATGGTGCCGTCGGGCGCGGATACCTCGCAATTTACCACATCAGCCATTAACAGTTGGATGATCCTCTTCGCACCTTCCATCGAAAGTGTCTCTCGCGCAGCGATTTCGTTCCATCTCTCAACTTTCGTTCGCTGACTCGACTTTGGGAAGGCGTTCATGGCTTCCAATTCAGCCTGCCTAAACGCGGCGACGAGTTCGGCGCGAATCTCAGCTACGTTCTTGTGTAGTCGATGCTCACGAATACCTTTTGTGTTCAAGGATTTGCTCCATTCACGTAGCTGCTGCTCTGTAGTAAGTTTTGACCAGGTACCATCGACATGGATAGCAAGCAATGCGCCCGAGCTATACGATAGATTCCAGTAATACTTCGTGCCGTTGCGGTCTTGACCCAAACAATTCGATCGAATGCGTTCTTCTTGAAACTGTCGACGACGTTTAGCAGCCTGGGCCGCTATTTCATTCTTTTTCGCCTCCGTCTCTTTGAGAAGCGATCGCGCCTCAAGGAATGCGCGAACATCAGATTGCAACTCGGTTGGCACTTCGACGTCAGACTGCGGTAGAGTTATCAAAGCTTCGTGAGCCTGAACTTTTTGGATGAGCTCGTCGGATGCATTTTTGACGAGCGCGTTCGCATCGCGTAATTGTGGCGCAAGTTTCTTGTACTCTTTCTCGAATGCATTTTCGATCGCCTTATCACTCTCTTTTTCCTTCGACAAATCTTCAAGCGCCTTTACGCGTCGATTGACTTCTTTGTTGACTTCCGGCGCCTCAAAACATTCACCACACAACCAATCGAGCACGCGCGTGTGCTCCTCAGGCGTGAACATGCCTATTCGCTTCTCTGTGAGCGCGTTAATCGTACTCAGCGTAACGGCATCGATCTGTCCAACCCGGCTCTTTTCCTTGGCAAATTGCTTCATGATTTCAGGGAAAGTACCACTAAACTCCAAAGCGTCCGACCACGTCTTCACGAGGGCCTCGATTCCGTACGTCGTCGTCGTCACGGCCACTCGAAGCAAGGATACGTACAACTTCGAAAGTTTTGTCAAGTCGGAATCATCCAGAATAGTGTTCAGGTACTCTACCCCGAATTCGTCCACGCTCGGTTTTAGAATACGTCCAAATGTGCTAAAGAATTCGCAAATTTGCATCTGCGAGACATCTACCGCGGATGGCTTCCACGCCGTCCCGTTCGCGACGGCGGGCCAAGGGTCGCGATTTTGTTCTTTCGCTTGCGCCGCGTCGTATGCGACGAGCTCGTTATCATCCATAGGGTAGCGAGCCGCCTCTGCTCTCACTTTGGCTCGCTGCTCCGCCTCTTTGAGTTTGCGTTCGGCGTCTTGTAACTTCTGAGCTTCGCGTTCGAGCTGAATCTTTGACTTTTTCGCCGCTCGTTCCTGCTGCTGCTGCGCACGGTAGGCTTCAGCTTCTCTCTTTCTGCTCGCCAGCTCGGCTTCATGCTGCTGTGCTGCAGTTGCTCTCGAACGAAGGCGCTCTAACTTTTTCGCGTGAGAAGTCGCCACGGAAAATGTTTGCTGCACTGCCTTTTTCGCCTGCGCGATTTCTCCTCTGAGAGCACTCAGCTTCACGTTCCTCGTCGCATTCGCTTGTACTTTCGCCGCCTGCTTCGCCTCCTTCCTTCTACCCGCGATCCATTTTTCTTTGGCGACCGCCAAACGGTCGCTTTCCTTCTCAATTCGCTTCCTATGCGCTAAAATTTCTCGTCTGTCGTCGGGATCTCCCTTGTATTCCCTCGCCTCAGCGTCCAGTTCGAAGCTCGGCATGTCAGAAAAGTCGAGCTTTACCTGTGGAACCTTTGTCGCGGCCAACTCGCTCTGTAACTTCTGTTCTTTCGCCAACAGTGCTTCTAGTTTTGACTGCGCTTCTTCTGCGAGCAAAGCGCTATCCATCGTCTCCTGAAGCGCCAACTCGAGCTTTTCCATGTGCGGCGAAATCGTGGCGCCGCTCGTCGCCGTGGCGCGCGGCGCCGTCACCGCCCCAGACGGCGCCGGCGCCGCACTCCGATCCCCACCGTCCGTCGACGCCCCACTCGCGGATGCCGAAGGCCCTCGATCAACTTTCACGCGACCATTATCTCCCTCAAACTTGCTCGCCGGCGGCTTCTTCGTCGTCGGCGCCGCGCGCTTCAACGGCGTCAAATCGTACATCATCACAAACCCCGGACGCGCGCAAAACACATCCTCCTCGCTCTGCCTCGGAAACATCACCATATTCAAGTAAGCCACGACCTCTTTCACGCTCATCACGTCCTCATCGCGCGCGAGCCCCTTCGCCGCGCGCGCCGCCGCGTCTCGCCCCGCCGCCGCCGCCGCCGCCATCCCTCCCTTGAACCCGTGCACCGCGCGCACGACCGCCTCGTGCATCGCCCCTCGCGCGTTCGCGTGCACCATGGTCTCGCGCGCGCGCCCTCGCGTTCGTTCGCGCGCGCGTCGCTCGCGCGACCGCGTTCGATCGCGTCCAATCAGTCAATCCGCGCCCCGCACCGCGCGCGCGCCCCGCGTCCGACGTCCTCGAGCGCGCGCGCGCCGCGCGAGGCCGGCGCGCGCGAACCGACGATCGCGCGTCGCGCGTCGCGCGTCGCGCGCGCGCGAGGCCGCGTCGCGCGCGAACCGGACGCGCGCGCGTCGTGATGTGTCGCGCCCCGTATTCGGCGCACCTCGAGCCCCGTGTACCGCGCGACGAACCGCGCGCGACGTAAACCCAGCGCGTCGCGATCGTTCGCGCGCGCGCGCGACGCCGCACAGTCGCGCGCACGACCGCACGCCGCGCGCGAACGATCGCGCGCACGATGTCCACGAATGCGATGCGTCGAAACGCCGCGCTCGCGGTGCGATGCGCCATGCGCGAGGGCGCGCGAGGGACGATGATGACGCCGAAATCGACGACGGCGCCGCGCGCGGGGACGATGGTCAACGCGAGCGAAGGGTGCGCGCGAGCGACGCGATGCGCGCGAGCGAACGCGAGATGGCGGGGGATATATGTGCGCGCGCGATGATGGGCGCGGACGCGCGAAAACGCGATCGGGACGCGACGAGGGACGGACCTTTGAAGTCGGCGCGATCGGGGTCTGGGACCTGGAGGTCGGCGCGAAGGACGACGACTGACGGTGGTGCGCGGATGCGCGAAACGAACGTAGGGTGCCGGCGAACGTGAGGACCGTCTCTTTGCAAGCGGTGGCGATTCGAATGCGATCGGTCGGGAATATTCAAAAGATTACGAAGGCGATGAAGATGGTCGCCGCGTCTCGCCTCAAGGGGGCGCAAACGAAGTGCGAGAAGTCGCGCGCGCTCGTGAATCCGTTCGTGCGTTTGCTCGGGGATACCCCGGGGACTGAAACGGACAGCACGCTCGTCGTGCCGATCTCGTCCGATAAGGGTTTGTGTGGTGGTATTAACACCGCCGTGGTTAAGTACTCGACCGTTTTGAACGCGATGAGTCCGGGGGCGAGAATCAACGTCGTCGGCGACAAGGCGCGAGCGCAGCTCAACAGGCTTTACCCGGATCGAATCAACAACGTCGTTGTGGACACGACGAAGCAGCCGTTAACTTTTGGAACCGCTTCCGCGATCGCTGACGAGATTATGGCGCAAAACGCGCCGAAGACACAGCTGGTGTTCAACCGCTTCGCCTCTGCGATTTCCTTCAAGCCTACGGTTGCGACTGTCTTGTCCAGCGAAGAGCTCGAGAAGGCGGCGGAAGAGGGTGTGAATGAGTTTGATTCTTATGAAATCGAAGGACCCGACCGATCGGAGTTCCTCCTCGATCTCTCCGAGTTCAAGATGGGCGCGTTGTTGTACAACGCCATGTTGGAGAACAACACGTCTGAGTTGGGCTCGCGCATGCAATCGATGGAGAACTCGAGTAAGAATGCGAGTGACATGCTTCAAAAGCTCACTTTGCTTTACAACCGTACGCGTCAAGCCGCGATTACGACCGAGTTGATCGAGATTATCTCGGGTGCGAGTTCTCTTGAATCCAAGGAGTAAGCGGTTCGGAAAGAAGATTTCCGACGCGGACGCGCGAGCGTTGTCTCGCGAGCGCCGATGCGGTGTAGACCTAGCTTTTGAAAATGTAAACATAATTGGAGTGGGAGTGGGAGTCGTCGTCATCTTCTTGCGTTCATTAAAAATTGAATGTATCACTAAAGTTCGGAGTGTTTGTTTGTGTTCGTCGCAAAAATTGAGCTACCCTTAGTCGTACAAATCGTCGTCCGCAGCCGCGGCCGCGGGCGTACCGGCGCTCGCGCCACCACCCTGGGCATCTGGAAATTGGAAGTCGCTCGCACCGAATCCACGCGCTTGGTGAAGCGTTTGGCTAAAGGTTTGGTACTTGCGAATGTCCGCATCGGTGACAGATTTTCTCGCGTGCTTCATCGCTTCTTCGAAGTGCGCCTTGGTAATTTCAGGCACCGGGTCCTCGGCGTTCTCGTCTTGCATCGCATCCGGGTTCACAGCAGCGGCACGTTCGGCCTCGATATCACGTTGAATGCTCTCACGAATGGCGTACTTGCACGCGCGCTGGCATATCTCGGTAATGTCCGCACCGGAGAAACCATTCGTGAACTTGGCCAAGACTTCGAGATCAACGTCGGCAGCGATCGGAGACTTTCGCAAGTTTGCCTTGAAGATGCTCAAGCGAGAAGGTTCGTCTGGAAGCGGAATGTACACGAGTTGATCGAGGCGACCCGGACGCATGAGAGCAGAGTCGATGATGTCCGGTCTGTTCGTGGCGCCGATGATAAACACAGTCTTCTTCGAGCCCATGCCGTCCATCTCCGTGAGAAGCTGATTCAACACGCGATCACCGGCTCCACCAGCGTCACCAGCACTGTTACCGCGCTGGTTGGCGATGGAGTCGAGCTCGTCGAAGAAGAGCACGCACGGAGCACTTTGACGTGCCTTGTCGAAAATCTCGCGCACGTTGGCTTCAGATTCACCAAACCACATGGTCAAAAGCTCCGGACCCTTGATACTGATAAAGTTCGCTTGGCACTCGTTCGCGATCGCCTTGGCGAGGAGCGTCTTACCACAACCCGGCGGACCGTAGAAGAGCACACCCTTGGAAGGCGCCATGCCAAACTTTTCAAACTTTTCCGGGTGCTCGACGGGGTATTGCACAGTCTCTTGAAGCTCTTGCTTGACGCCTTCAAGACCACCAATGTCGTCCCAAGAAACATTTGGCACTTCGACGACAGTCTCGCGCAGTGCAGACGGGTTCGACGTGGTCAACGCCGTGGCGAAGTGCTCATTGGTGATGGCCATAGAATCTAAGACAGCGGCGTCAATGTTCTCATCCTCAAGATCGATGAGATCCATCTTTTCACGGATGCACTGAAGCGCGGCTTCGGTAGAAAGCGCGGCCAAATCGGCGCCGACGTAGCCATGCGTCTCCTTGGAAATCTTTTCCAAGTCAACGGCTTCGTCGAGCTTCATATTCTTGGTGTGAATGCGCAACACTTCGAGACGACCGACTTCATCCGGAACACCAATATCGATCTCGCGATCGAAGCGGCCGAATCGACGAAGAGCTGGGTCGATAGAATTCGGTCGGTTCGTCGCGCCCATGACGATGATGTGCGATCGTGACTTCATGCCATCCATCAAAGTCAAAAGCTGCGAAACGATGCGACGTTCGACTTCGCCGTTGGTCTTTTCGCGCTTCGGGGCAATGGAGTCAATCTCATCGATGAAAATGATCGCCGGAGCGTTCTTTTCGGCTTCTTCGAACGCCTTACGCAAGTTCGATTCGGATTCACCGGCGAGCTTGGACATGATTTCGGGGCCGTTGATCAAGAAGAAAAAGGCGCCGGTTTCGTTGGCCACAGCGCGAGCAATCAAAGTCTTTCCGCTACCGGGAGGGCCGTAAAGTAAGATACCTTTCGGCGGCTTGACCCCAATCGTCTTAAATAACGCCGGGTGTCGAAGCGGTAACTCAACAAGTTCGCGGATTTGCGCCATTTGCTTGCGAACCCCGCCGACGTCGTCGTAGCCGACGTCGTCGAGGCGCTCCTCGTCCTCACGGTTGATGGGCTCTCCTTCGCAAAAGATCTCCGTATCCGGGGCGACAATGCAATACTCCGCGGGATCGGTTTCGACGACTTTGAACTCCACCGCCCGCATACCACCGCGAGCCAAGAACGTATCGCCCTTTCTCACCGGTCGGTACGCCTCCAAAAAGTACGGCTTCAAGTACACGTCGAACAAGTTCCCAGTCACGCCTTCGATCGAATCACCGAACGGCAACACGTGCACGCGCTTACCATACTTCACATCCGTACACTAGTTTTCGCGCGAAAATCGCACCCAACGTTCGTTCGTCAGTCACTTTGTCCAACTCTTTCCGAGATCGCCAATCGACCTCGTTTCTTCAACCTTCTCTTCTCTCCGCGTCGCGTCGCGTCGCTCGAACGTCTCCCTCCCAGTCGATTCACAAAACGCACCTGATGCACGCTCACGACGTCCCCAAGTCGCACCCGCAAGTTTTTCCGCACCACCTTATTCATGCGAATCTTCCCCTCCTCGCAACTCTCGTCCGCGAGCACGATGCACACCGTGTCCTTTCGCTTTTTGCCCTTGAGCAGCACGGTGTCCCCTCGGAACAACTGCAGCTCGTCCATCTTTTGCAGGTTCAGCGCCACGACGGAGTTATCGTCGTTGATCGCCTCATCTGCGCGCGTCGCGCGTCGGCGCAGGGCGTCAGTCGCTCGCTCGTCGCGTCGAACGACGCGGATTTCTCGCGTCGCGTCGACAAATCGTGATCGCGACGCGCGCGCACGCACCGACGACGAGCCTGTTCGGCGCCTTCTTGCGCTCGAGGATGGCCAGCGATGGATCGGCGGGTTTGGTTTCTTTCTTGACCTCGTCCTTGGATTCGGTCATGGTGCGAGGGCGAACGCGCGCGCGTGAGTGACGCCGATGGAGAAATCATCAGATCTGAACGACGCGGGCGCGGGCAACTGTCGCGACGGCGAGGCGAGCGCGAGACGGGAAAAGACGAGAACGAGGACGAGGACGAGGACGAGGACGAGGACGCGGAGCGAATGATGTTAAAAAATGATTCAGCGCGCGCGCGCGGCGGGATCGACGATCACGCGCCGACGAGGGCGCGCCAGGAACGCTCGTCGTCGCGCTTGGCGAGCGAGACGCAGACCTCGTCGACGCCCATCGTCCACGTGCACTCGTCGGGACGAATCGGGGCGTGAAGACCGCTCAAGTCGCACACCACCTCGTCGTTAACTTTGACGATGAATTGAGAGGGTTTGAATAGGACGCGGACGGATTTAGAAACCGTGCCCGGGGCGACGTCGACGGAGACTTCGACTTCGTCTTCGGTTTGCGACCAGCGGTAGTTTACTCCCTTACCGCTCGGCATGCCGTTTCCGGTCGACGCCACGTCGGACGCGTCGCCAGTCATGTTAATCTTCTCCAATCCACCGTTTTTACCCATCGCCGCCTCTAACTCTTTCAATCCTTTGCTATATTCAACGTTTTCCATCGTCGCCATGCGCATCCACTGCGCGCTCGAGTCCAAATCGCTCAAAGGAAAATCAACGCTTCGCATGGGCTCGGGCTTCGTTTGCACGCGACCGATGAACATATCGCCGTGGAAGTTCACCCCATCGAATCCGCACTCCTGCGCCAATCGTCCCGCTCTTCGATTGATCGGCAATCCCTTCAACATTCCGACCTCGTCCAGGTACAGGTACACGCCGCGCCACCCGTTCGCCTCGCTCGGCCGCACCAACGCGAACGTCTCCGTCGACCCACCCGCGGTCTCCCGCGCGATCGCCTCGCTCGATATCCCCATCCCTCGCGCACCGAGCGCTCGCACCGCCTCCGCTTTCGCTTTCTCCGCGTCCACCTCGCCGCCGCCCGCGAACGCCGTCCGCAGCGCCGCCGGCAGCGCGTCCCCGGGTTGCCCCTCCCCGATCGTCAGCGTCCGCTCCTCGAGCGCCTCGTCGTCGTCGCACGGGATCTTCACGTACGTAAAACTCCGCGTCGGCCCGTCGCGCTCGATCGCCGCGCCGTCGCCGCGCCGCGCCGCCGCGCGCGCGGCTTCGCGGTCCTCGCGCGTTTCGATGACGACGCCCTTCGAGCGAAGCCACGCCGTGCGCGCGTCCGCGTCGAGCGGTTCGTCGTCCGACATCGCGCGCGCGAGGCGTTCGCGCGGTTCGAGCGAGGCGTCGCGGCGCGCGGTCGAGCGCGCGTCGAGCGATGCCGTCGAGACGCGCGCGAGAGAGATTCGTCATCATTCATCGACGCTCGAACGCGCGATGTCGACGGCGCTCGCGACGCGCGCGACGGCGTCGTCGCGCGCGACGGCGCGCGTGGATCGACGCGCGCGCGCGCGCGTCGTCGCGCGCGCGCGCGCGGCGGTCGAACGCGCGTCGGTGACGCGATCGAGACGTCGCGAAGGCGATGCGTCGCGAAGGATTCGCGCGACGGTGAACGACGAGAGCGGCGCGCCGCGCATGCGCGCGGCGGAGATGAAACGCGCGCTCGTGGACGCGGGCGTGGACGTGTCCGATTGCTTCGAGCGGGCGGATTTAGAGGTGAAGTACGCGGCGATGAAGGCGAACGGCGCGGGGTCGACGCGGGCGACGGCGGACGACGCGAAGGATTCCGGATCGACGCGTGAGACGAAATCTGCGAAAGAGAAGACGGCGGATTCGATGGCGTTTACGAACGCGCGACGGTTCTTTAAGGAATCGATCGATGCGATCAAGGAACGGATGAGCTTGAACTCGATTTGGTCGAGCGTTCGAGAGAAGGCGAATCGAGTGAACGCAAAGTACGGTACCGGGAACAAGGCGAAGTCCATGCTCGAGGACGCGCGCCGAAAGGTGAAGAGTGCAGATGATAAGATGGGCGTCACGAAGTGGTTTAAGACGAACGTGCCGAAGGCGATGGATCAATACGCCAAGGTGCGAAACACCCCGGTCGGTCAGTTCGCGAATTTCATGTTTTGGATCTGGCTCTTCACGAGCGGGATCTTTTGGAACTTGTTGTACTTTGGTCTCACGGCGACATTTTTGGTGAACATGTTCATGCCGTCGTTGATTACGGATCAAGTCCAAAACATGCAGCGACGTGCGCAGGAACAGATGAACGCTCGAGGCGGCATGGGCGGCATGGGCGGCATGGGCGGTATGGGCGGTATGGGCGGCATGGGCGACATGGGCGGCATGGGCGGCGCTCAGCAGGGTGGTCAGCAGGGTGGTGGTCGTAAAAGCTACGGGGGTGGCTCAGCGGGAGATACTATCGACGTCGACGCGCAAGTTTCTGATCGAGATTGAATTTAATATACATAGAGCGCGCGTTACATCGACACCGATTTCTTACGTTTACGGTAAATTCCTATCGTGCTCGTGTGTGACAGCACGTTACTCGCACGACCTTTTGCAAGGGGCGCGATTTCGCTGCGCAAGAACGCGCCGCCGAGGGGCGTCCCCGGAACGCGTTCGCGAAAATTGCTGGCGTGCATTCGGTTGCCGTTGCCACACGCGAATATCATGGCACCTGTCGAGTTCTCTGACCCCAACTCCTCACTACTCACTTTTTTCGCACTATCGGCACACTTTTCAATCACGCGATTCGCGTGCTCTTTCGCCCAGTTCCCGTCGCGCACGTGTAATTGTACGACGTCGCCCTCTTGCAAAGCCATCGACGCGACTTCCACGCCCCCGGTTTCGCCCACGGATAAAATATCGCGGCACACGAACGGACCTTTAGAGCCACTCACCCCGAGTCCGAGCATGACGGGCAGCGATTTAGAGTTCTCTGGCAACTGCTCGAGGGTTTCCAACAGCAGCGGATGTGCGGGCGAATCGTCGAGCTCCAACACCGCGTTGTCGTGCGCGTGAGTCAACGACATCACGGGTCCCACCGGTCGCGCGCCGTGCGCGACGTGCGTGTCCAATTCGAACTCACCACGAATGAGCAAAGCGACAGCTCCTCGTCGCACGACGTCATCGTTCAAAAACATGAGACTCCCCTCGTCCACGACCCCTCCTAGCGCGACGCTGTTCGGCATCGCCACGTGCAAGCGCGTCAGCAGCTCGCCCACGTGCTCGAACGACGCATCCGCGAACACCGTCACCCCCACGGTCTCGCCCTCGTTCTCGCAACTCTTCGCCAAATCAACCCACGAGCACGCGCTCCCGTCGTCGATCGCCGGAAGCGCCGATTTCGTCGCTCGAAACGTCGCCGTCGTCGTCCCCGGCATCGCCGCCGCCGTCAACGCCACGCCCGACTCCGTCATCCCCTCCGCGCCCACCCCTCCTCGCACCACCGCTCCCACGAGCGACACCGACGTTCCACCGAGCAATTCACGCGTCAGCTTGCCCGCGCGCGCGACCGCGTCCTCGTCGTAGTCACCGCAGACGAACAACTGCGCCCACGTCGCGTCCCGACCTCGACCGAGCCCTCGCGCGACGTCTCGCGCGCACGCTCGCACCGCGTCCTCGAGCGACGTCGCGCGCGACATCGCCGACGCGAACGCGTACGACGGCGTTCCCGTCGTCCGCGCCGTCGTCGCCCGCGCCCGGTCGTCGTCGTCGCCGTCGTCTCGCGCCGCCGTCGCGAAGCGTCGACCGGTCGTCGTCGCGCGCGGCGACGCGCGCGCGCGCGGCGACGGCGCGGCGTCCGCGCGCTCGAGCGCGGGCGACGCGCGCGCGCGCGCGTCCGCGAGCGCGTCCGCGAGCGCGCGCGCGACGCGGCGTCGCGGCGTCATCGACGGGACGAGTCGAGATGTGACGACGCGCGCGCACACCCGCGCGCGCACGGCGACGCGGCGCGACGCGGCGCGACGCGCGACGCGAATCGCCGGCGCGGACGCGACGCGCGCGACGCGACGCGAATCGCGCGCGCGCGGCGGCGCGGCGGCGGTCGCGGATCTTCAACGCACCGCACCGACCGACGACGGGCGGGTGACGGCGCGCGACGCGCGCGCGCGATGGCGACGGCGGGCGCGGACGTCGACGACGAGGACGCCGTCGCGCGCGATACGACGCGCGGAGCGACGCGCGAGGGCGACGAGGGCGACGGCGCGGCGGCGGAGGCGGCGGCGGCGGCGAGGGACGCGACGGCGCCGTCCGAGGTCGAGGGACAGACGCTGCCGATGCGCGTGCTGGATGAGTACGAATTCAGGGATAAGTTCGCGGAGGGTAAAGCGGTGAGCGTGCACGGGTCGAGACCGAACCGGGTGCTCGTGCTGGGAAGAGCGAGGAAGTTGGAGGGCGGCGAGCACGGGTTGCCGAGCGAGGTCTTGGCGGCGCCGTTGACGCCGCAGGACAAACCTCCGCACGCGTTAAAGCTCATGGAGGTGCACGATTGGACGATTAAGTACGGTGGAGACGAGCCCGAGTTGTGGCTCGTGACGCCGCGGGCGTGGTACAAGCTGTTGAACCCGGCTCCGAGGTTTGAAAAGTACGTGACAGTTACGACGCGTCGCGCAAACTTCACCAACGCGATCGTTCGAGCATTGGTGAAGAACTGGGAATTGTCGCTGGAGGAAGGCTTAGATATCATTCTTGGTGTGCCCGTCGTGGCGCATGATGTACCGGTGGCGGTGAAAACGCCGACGAAGGCGGCGAAGATGTTGGGCGATACCACGGCGGAGGCGCAAAAGGAAGCCGCGTTGAACGGGTGCACGGAAGAGGAGATACGCGAATCGAAGGATACCAGCGCGTACAAGTACACGCACGCGGACATCGTTGGTGATGGATTCTTCATCGTGTCTCAAATCGAGACTTTGGTGAGATGTAAAGCGCTGCGACCGCCGACGGCGAGCGAAGAAGCCGACGTCCCGGCGCCGCAATTTTTGACAGCTTTGCAAACGTGGACGACAGAGAAACACCAGCTGGGTTCCGCGACGAAGGCATCGCGACTAGAGCGTGATCGCGCCAGGCGCGAAAAGTTGAGGGCTGAGAAGAAGGCCGAGAAGGAATCGGAAAGCAAGCCTCGAGTGCCGAGACTAGAGCCTCCGCCGCCCGCGTCGCCGATTCTTCCCGAGTATTCGCACATCGGCCCACATCTGCAGGCAGAGCTGCTCACGCTTTGGGATTTCGCACAAGTGTTTGCAAGCGTCATGTACTGCCCACGCTCGACGCTTGAGCGTTTCGCGAAAGCATTCTTCGGTAGTGATCTTGGAGCTGCAGAGGCGACGCTATTGCGCGATTTCATGGTGTCTTGTTTGCGCGTCACAGAGGGCCGCATAGATTCGATCGATCAAGAAACGATTAGATCAGCGCCTACGCGCGCGCGTTGGTGGGACGCTCCCGTTCTTGGGTTGAACGACATCGGGGAGTTGGATTGGCAAGATAGAGCGAATAACTTGATTGTTGAGTTTCAAATGGGCGTCAACGCGCGAATGCGAAAGCCCGCGCTGGAGGCAGTGGCAAAGTTGGACAAGGGCGAAGTTTTAGAGAGTTTTTCGCCCGTCCACAGAATAGCTTTGGCGGTTGCACTTAGTTCTATCGCCTTAGAGAGTGAAACCATCCGGGAATACTTCACGGAGATTTACGATGACGTGCGCGCGCGGCGGAGAACAGGCGATTTTCACAGCAACCCGCCCACGCTCGCGACCGAGGTTCCAAAACCGACGGAGGAGAAAAAGAAGGAAACCAGCAAAGAGATCAACGTAAAGGATGAGAATCCCGAGGTCGTAGATGATGCTGACGAATCGGTGTCTATGGAAGTCGATGAAACGGACGCGAGCGAAGAACTGGTGAAACCACCCACTCTTGCCGACTATCGCCGTGAGCAGCTGATGAAGTGGAAGTCTGAAGCCGTCGAGCGCGCAGTCATCTCGCGAGGTAAGCCTGTCGCTGTGGACGAGCAGGGTAGGAGATACTTTGCCCTCGGCGGTACGAACAACGCGGGGCGTCTGTTTGTCGAAACTGCTCCACTGGGATGGTACGATGGCGACGAAGACGCCGCATCGTCGCAAGTCATCGACGGCGTAGAGTATCCCAAACAACCAATGGCTGGTCCACCAGTCGAAGATGCGCCGTTTTCAGAGGACGCTGCGAATACACCAGATTGCCGGCGCAACGTTTCCGGTCTAGTAGAGTGTGCTTCAAGATGGGGCGTGTACACCCCAGGAACTGTAGAGTATGACGCGTTGAGCTATTGGTGCAACCCAAAGTATGACAACGAGCGATACATCACAAAACTCCATCGACTCATGTCGCACGCCGTCGACGGAGACGCCGATGCGCCAGAACTGAGCGACGATGATAGAAGGAAAAAGGTTGAAATATTGTCCGAAACTTTGGCGATGGACGGTTATGCGAATCTTGATGACGTCGCTCTGGGTTCTGTCGACGATGCGAAGTTGACGTCTCGACTTTTCAACGCCGTCAAGTTTATTCTCCACTCCGCACCGTTTTGGCGGACTGGAGATATGCGTTGGATAGATCGTTTCATTAGAACGTGCACACATTTTGAAAGCGCGCTGAATGCATCTGAGCAATCTCTCGTAAGACTTTTGAAGGTTTTGCCCGGGATAGAAATTGTCTGCGCGCAAGCGGGTTTGATGGATGACGTCGCCTGGCCAGATGCTAAACCCACTTGGTTGGCGCAGCTGCGGTATTACGTTTTCGGACCGAGAACAGAGGCGGAGCTTGAAGGGACAACCGCTGCTCCTGAAGTATCGGAACCTATTCCGGGAATAAACGATATTTTAGCCGCGCCAGAGTTACTGGATCCGTTACCTCCTCTAACAGTCCGCCGCGCGGCAAACTTGGTGAATCAGTTTCTGAGATTTCTCGTTCAAGATCCTCAACGAATGTCGCAAGGCGCGTTTCAAATGTGCACCGGCGTTTCCCACGGCGTTGGTGCAATTAATACCGGCGAAGTCGTCGCTGTCATCAAAAGAGGTTTGGTGAAGACGTATAACCGATACGTTGACAAGAAGTCGCGTCCACGAAACTGGATTGATGTGAATACGCTGCGACCGGTCGAGCGGTGTGTGGTGCTCGGAACGGCGTATCGAGGAAGCGAAGCTCCGCGGCGCAACGCTGCAAGTGATGGCGATACGCCGCCTTGCGCTTGGTTGATGTGTCTACTTCTCGATGATCCTGAGTTAAGTCAGTTCCCGAGCACGCGGAGACAAAGTGCCGACGCAGAGCAAGCCGACGCAAAGGAAGCAAAGGATGAACGAAGACTCATCATAGCGCCTCTTTACGCCGGAGGAGACATTGCCGAGTACGTTTTACCATGGTCGAAGTACCAGGAAGTCGATGAGAAACCTTGGGACGGCGGAAGTCGCATCATTATGCACTTTGAGGGCGTCGATGCGGAAAACGAAGCGCGCGGGATCGTGTCTGTCGATGGCTGCGTCTATTACCTTGGTCGCGTGCGGAAAGTCCGTTCGAGCCCTGATCGTTGGGAAACCGTCATGGTCGTGTTCGATAGTGATCCCGAAGACTACATGTGGGTCTCGCCTTGGGAAATAATCGCGGCACCCGAAAAGTACCACGATCCCGTGCACGAAGGCCCCGCTCCCGTGGATCACGAAAGGGAACTGTCTCCCGAAGACATGACTCTCATCGCACAGTGCAAAGCCATCGCGCGACGACTGGGATGGCCTTCGGGCGACCACCGCAGGGATTTCGACAAGTTCCGCGCAGAAGCCTTCGCGGGTGGTGTTATTCCTCAAGCCCCGATATTTTGCGGCGCGCAGATGAATCTGCACCGCGTGTTCATAGAAGCCATGCACCTCGGAGGATACGAACAAGTCACGCGCTGCAAGTTTTGGAAAGTGGTTGCGCGTACGCTCGGCCGTGATTTGAGTACGCAAACGAGCGCGTCGTTTGCCATGAGAAAGTACTACGAAAAATGCCTATTCCCGTTGGAAAAGTACCTGACCAGCGCTGAAATGATCGAAAATCTCGGCATAGTCATCGACGCGTCGACTGATCCGATGGACCGATTCCCCGCGTCGCGCCCCGCGACGGATTTCGACGACGACGACGATCGTGTCGACGACGGCGACGACGACGACGACATGGATGATGAAGATGACGCCGATGGCATGGACGTGGTAGATAAAAAGAAAAAAGAAGAGGACGCTGACGATTACAAAATCTCAGACGACGACTTCGACGAGGACGACCCGAGCGATAGCGGCGAATCAGATAGCGACTTTAAGGGTCGATGAATTGTAAAAACCATCCCGCCATTTAAAAAGATGCTGGCCAGTAGATTGTGAAAGACGTCGCGCGGTCGTCTTCTTCGTGTTCCCGTTCTTCATCTTGGGTCTCGACGGCTTGTTCGAGCTCGTGCGCGGCTTCGGCCAAGTAAATCGCCGAATCCGCCAACGCCACGACTTCGCCGAGCAAGAGCGTCGAATACGGGAACAGTCGTCCATCGCTCGCGCACTCGTAATACGCCTCGATTCTGAACGCATCGCCCTCGCGCACCGCGCAGGAACGCTCGCCCGTTCGCAATCGAACGACGACGCGTCCGTCCGCGATCTCCATCGCGCCGCACGAATCCCCGACCTCCGTCCCGTCGCGCGCGCGTCGAATCGTCCCTTCGCCGATCGCGCACGCCGCGTCCCCACTCGCGATGTCGTGTTCAAAACACATCTCTACGCGCGTTCGCGCGTTCGTTTCCTCGCACGGCGCGAACGCCGCGACGCGCATAGCGACCGCGTCGTCGCGCGTCCCCTCCAGCCTCGCGCGCGCGTCGCCGCGCGCCCTTCCCGCGAGCAGCGCGACGCTCGCCGCGACGGCGACGCCGACGCTTCGCGCGCGCGCGCGCGTTCGCATTCGTCCCGTCGTCGTCGTCGTCCTCGTCGCCGTCGATCTCGCGCGCGCGTCGCGGTGCGCCGCGCGCGCGCCTCGGGAAGACGAACCGGCGCGGAATCGCGACCGATCGACCGCGCGCGTCGCCGGCACTCGCCGACGCGACGATGGACGACCGCGCGTGGCCGCCGAGGCGCGCGACGCGACCGCGCGCGTACGAAACCGCGTACGCGTTCGCCCGCGACGGGTGGACCGACGCCGCGCGCGCGCGCGACGCGCACGCGCGATCGGACGCGCGCGCGAGCGACGGCGCGGGCGACGCATCGCGACGACGCGCGGCGTCGACGACGCGCTTACCGCCGTTTCCGAGCGCGAACGCGCTCGCGGACGACGGACGCGCGCGATGCGCGAGGCGCGAGGCGACGATGGACGCGCGCGCGCGAGAACATCGGGCGCGAGGCGGCGCGGAGGATGGGGACGGGGACGCGCGCGTCGAGACGCGGCGCGGAGGCGCGATCGGCGGCGCGGACGGGACGAACGGGAAGGCGCACCCGGAGCGCGCGCCCGCGTACCTCGCCGTCGGTGGATCGTCGCAGGAGGGGATTTACGGCGTCGGGGGGTGGGGGCAGGGATTGGGGATCGTCGAGAGCGGCGCGATGGACGCGCGCGGGACGCCGCGCGAATCGCAGCCGAGATCGCAGCCGCTGGCGGGCTTCGATAATCGACGACGCGATGGACGCGTGGCGAGCGGGTCGACGCCGACGCTCGACGCGAGCGCGCCGAGTGCGCTTCGCCTGTCGTCGCAGAACGTCGCGCGAGCGCATCGGATATCGCCGGAGATGGCGCCGGTCTCGCGCGACGCCGATTTGGAAACGCCGATGTCGCGAGACGCGTTCGTCTCCGTCGAGCGCCGCGTTCGAGCGCTCGAATCGATGCGAGACGAGGAAGCGCGAGACGTGCAGCGCTTAAAGTCCATGATCACGGACATCATGACCACGCAGGCGAATTTATTGGCCGCGCTCGCCTCGAGGCCGCCGACCTTCGTCGTTCCGCCCGAGCGCTTCGACGATCGTCCCCGGCGTTCGCGTTCGCCGAGCGCCGACGCCAAGAGCGCGTCGCCGCATCCCCGAACCGACGACGCGCGCAAGCGCCCTCGCGCCGGCTCGCCTCGCGTCGACGCCGACGTCGACGACGCCTCGGACGCCGACGTCGAAGTCAGCGAATCCCAGCTCCGCAGAGTCGTCCTTCGCCGCATGCTCCTCCACCAGCGCGGCGCCGCCGTCGACGCCGACGACGCGTCTTCCTCCGATCGCTGACGACCCGACCCGACCCGACTCGACGCATCGCACGAACCATGAACGCCACACCGCTCGCTTTCGAAGACCCTTCGAAGACCCGTCGTCCGTCGTCGTCGTCCGCGTCGCGTCACTCTCGCGCTCGCATGCCTCGAGGCGTGCTCGACGTCGCGCGCGGCGACCGCGCGCGCGCGCGCGTCGCCACCGGTGACCTCGCGCGTTCGATCATCGCCGCGTTCGCGTGCGCGACGCTCGCGTTCGCCGGCGGATGCGCGCTCGCGCACGCCGAGGTCGCGCGCGGGCATCCGGTGGCGTTCGCGCTGTTTCCCACGTTCGGCGTCGCGTATCTCGCGGCGTGCGTGCCGCTCGCGGTGGCGTACACGAACCCCGAGGACGTGCGCGCGGACCTGAACGCGTGCAGGCCGAGGGATTACGCGTGGTTGTTTCGACGGACGTGGGGGGCGTTCAAGGACGCCGAGGACGGGAAGGTGCGAGGGAAGGATTTGTGACGAACGCGCGCGTCGCGCGGTCGGACGATCGGACGATCGGACGATCGTTTATTTCTAGCTAGCCACGCGTCGCGCGTAATCACACGAAAAGCGCGCGATGACGACGGCGTCGTCGCGAATCGAACGTCGAACGCGAACGCGCGCGACGCGCCGCCGAGCGCCGCCGAGCGTCACGCGTCTCGCCGCGTCATCGCGAACTCGCCCTCGAGCACGCGAACGAGCTCGTCGCAGCGCTCGCCCGCGCGAACGATGGCAAAATCATTCGCGCGCGAACTCAAATCCACGATCGTGCTTCCTAAACGCTTCGCCGGAATCGCCCCCCCGTCGAAGACTTCGTCGCACGCGTCCCAGAGCTCGGCGAACTCCTCCGCCGCCGTCGCGCTCGTCTCCCCAGATCTATTCGCGCTCGTCAGCGCGATCGCTCCGCCGTGCGCGCGACACACCTCGCGCACGAAATCGTGCGCCGGCACGCGAATCCCGATCAAATCCACCCCCGGATTCAACTCGGGCGTCGCGCGTCCCGCGTCGCCGCGCCGTCGCCGCAACAAAACCGTCGTCGGTCCCGGCAGCAACCGCGCCAGCGCGCCCTCTCTCAGGTGTCCATCGTCACCGTACGTCCCCACGTCGCGCACGTCTCCCACCGCGATCGCCAGCGGCACGCCCGCGCGTCGCCCCTTGATCTCGTACAACCGCCGCACCGCGTCGCCGTTCGCCGCGCTCGCCGCGAATCCATAAATCGTATCCGTCGGCACCGCGATCACGCCGCCGCGTCGCAGCGCCGCCGCCGCGCGCGCCACCGCGTTCGCATCGCTCGCGTCGATCGCGCGTCGACGCGTCGCGTCCTCCCCCGTCGCGCGCGCGACGACCGCGCGACGCACGCGACGCCGGTCGCGTCCCGCGACCCGGCCCGTTCGCCGTCGCGTCGCGTCGCGCGCGCGCGCCCGCGGCGCGATCGCGCGCGCGAGCGACGTCGCGCGCGACATCTCGACCGCGACGCGCGCGTCGCGATGCGCCGCGCGCGACGCGCCGAATCCGCGTCGCGACGATTCGCGCCGGCGGGGGACTCTGCGCGCGATGATGCGCCTCGGGAAACGCGTCGTCTGACTGTTTGCGCATACAAAAAGAACGCCTCGGCACCGACCCCGACCGCCGACGCGACACCGCGACGCGCGCGCCGACGACGACGTCCGACGCGCGCGCCGACCGAACCTCGATGTTTCGCGACCTCGCGAGCAAGCTCTACTCCGCGCGCGGGCCCGCGTCGACGACGACGCGACGCGACGACGCCGACGCATCGCGCCGACGCGCCGCGTCAGCACCGCGCGGATCGACCGCCGACGCCGCCGACGACGCGTCGCGCGCGCCGTCGACGTTCGCCGATCGATGGATGATGTCGTGGACGGACGAAGACGTCACGTTTCTCGGCGAGGACCCCTACGGGGACTGCGCCGGGAACGTGTTCGCGGCGGCGGCGGCGGAGGCGAGGCGACGACGCGCGAGCGTCGACGAGACGCGCGAGCCGAGGGCGAGCGGCGACGAGGACGCGGCGTCGAGACGCGCGTCGATGGACGACGCGCGAGGCGCGACGGCGAGCGCGGAGGCGAAGGCGCGGGCGTTTTGGCGGATCGGGCCGACGTAGCGCTCGTGAGGCGCGACGGAACGAACGAACGAACGAACGAACGAACGAATGAATGAATGACGCATGCGTCGGAACGAATCGTCGAACGACGTTGTAACAACAGTTTTCTCACTTTAACGCGCGGCGACGCATGGATTGGAGACGCGCGAACTCGTGAGGGATGGCGCGCGACGAAGCGCGCGCGCGACGCGCCGGTCGACGGCGCGCGGCGCGGCGCGGCGTCGGGACGAATGGATTCGCGCGCGCGATGTGCGCGACGCTCGCGAGCGTCGCGGCGATCTCGAGCGAAGCCGACGCGCTCGGAGGCGACGCGGGCGACGATCGCGGCGTCGCGGACGCGCGCGACGGCGCGAGCATGCACACGGTGTTCAGCACGGAGTGTAACGGGTACTTTGATTGGCAGTCGTACGGGTTGTACGACAGTTGGCGACGCGTCGGACAGAGGGGTAAATTCACTCGACTCATGGCGTGCGACGACGAGAACTCGCCGAGTTTGCGAGTGGTTCCGGACACGCACGTGCATCCTAATTACGCCACGCATCCGGTGACGAAGGATTCGTACACGGCGTATAACAAGCCGTTTAGTATTCATCACTGGTTGACGAACGCCGAGGTGACGGCGGACTTTATAATCGTGTTAGACGCGGATATGATCTTTCGAGCGCCGATGACGGTGGATTTACTCGGTGTGCGAAGAGGGGCGCCGGTGAGCGCGAAGTATGGGTACTTGATCGGGACCCAACCGGAGAGTCACATGGGAGTGAAGGCGCGCGTGCGGAACGTGGAAAAGGCGCAGCAAGTGGGCGGTTTCACGGTGATGCACAGGGAGGATATGCGCAAACTCGCGCCGAGATGGCTGTATTGGACCGAGGAAGTGCGTCAGGACCCGGACTCTTGGGCTAACACCGGAGACATATACAACGCGAACGGCAAATACGGTCCGCCGTGGATATCCGAAATGTACGGGTACGTCTTCGCCGCGGCGGAGGTGGGCATCACGTTTCAAGTGCATGACGACTTCATGCTGTATCCTGGGTACGATCCACCGAGTGATTCTAGATTTCCCGTCGTTTTGCACTACGGCTTGACGTTCAACGTCCAAGATTACGCGTTCGATAAGCAATGGTTTCACAGATCTGTACTCGGATGTCCGACCCCAGAGTTGTTTCAACGGCCGCCAACGCTCGCCGAATTGCGAAGCAAAGGCCCTCAACGTCGGCGTGACGAGGTCGCATTAGTGTGCGCGTGGGGTTTGTACAACGCGACGCGCCAGTACGCGATAGAGCGATGCGGTATCGCGAATCCGATCGATACTCGCAAGATACATTACTCTTGTTCAAAGGACGCTCGCGGCGTGTTGTCGTGCAGCGAGCGAAAGAACACCGACGACACATTTCGCGGCGGCGGCGGTGACGACGACGAAGAAGAATGTCGAGACACGAATGATATGTGTTGCGGATGGGCGCACGACGGTGAATGCGAGAAGAACCCGTCGTTTATGCTGCAAAGTTGTCCGCGATCTTGCGACACGTGTACGGTGCGATGCGAGTCTCGTTGTTGTCCGCCTGAGAAAGAAGCGGTGAAGGAGGAGACGGAAACTCAGAATGATTTAAACAAGCCTATGAATGATGGAGCGTCGACTGTCCGGGACGACAAGGTTGAAGACGAACTCCACTCTTTCGAGGACGCACGGGAGGACGAACCGTTGCGAGCAGTCGAAAAAGACTTTGCGACGACGCCCGACGACGAAAGTGGATGGTACACGTATTGGCACGCGTTTCTCATCAGCTCGACGCTCTTGTTCTGTGTCGTTCGTATTCGATTAGCGCTAAAACGTCGCGCGCGCCGGCGTTCGCGCCATTATGTCGTCGTTCGTAGATGATAGATAGCGATAGTAGTAGAAATACAGTTCATCAACAGTTCATCTTAGGCGTAGACGACGCCCGTTTCTTGTTCGAGGAGTCGCCAGAGTTTCGCCTGGTCTACATCACCGGCCTCGCTTCGACGAGGTTGCGGTGCGGCGTTAACAAAGTACGCCCCGTTGTGTTTCGCGCCGTTCCTTTCGATGTCGTCCACCATGATTGTAAATTCATCGTTCGCTTCGTACGTTTCGATACCGCACCGACCCCATCCCGCCAACAGCATTTTCGTGTTCACGGTCCCTGGATCGCACGAGAACACGTTTAAATCTTCCACGCTCGCCCCGGATAGCGCTCCTCTCGCTAATCTATCGTACAGCTCGTACGAGAACGCCTTCATGCACGCCTTGCTCTGCGCGTACGACCCGTGGGGCGAAAACATCTTTTCGCACCGCAAGTTGTCAAAATCAATCGCCGGCGCCGCCGAAATCGACGCCACGTTCAACACGCTCGACTTCGTCCCCGTTCGCCGCGCGTTCGCCGCGAGCGTCGGTAACAGTAACCCGCACAGCGCGAACGGCGCCAGCACGTTCACCGCGAACGTCATCTCGTGCCCGTTCGCGCACCGCGTCTCCTTCGTCGAGTACACCCCCGCGTTATTGAACAGCATCGACACGTCCCCGCGTCCGTCCACGACGTCGCGCGCGAGCGCGCGCACGTCTTCCAACGACGAGAGGTCTCGCGTCAAGCCTTCGATGACTTGTTTTTCCGAGCGCGCGTGTTTCCGCACGGCCTCGACGGCGCTTCGCACGCGCTCGCGGTCTCGTCCGTGCACGAGCACGTCGCGCCCGCTCGCCGCGAGCCTTCGCGCGGTGTGCAGGCCGATCCCATCCGTCGCGCCCGTGACGAGCGCCGTCATGACGTCGGCGCGAAGTGACGACACTTTTCGCCGCCCGTCGACGCGCGAGGCGATGTCCACCGCCCCCGCGCGACGCGTCGGCGCCGTGCGCGAGCACTTCATCGACGACGACGCGCGGGAGTACTGCCGCGCGCTCGAGGGCGCGCGCGAGGCCGCGTTCGCGATGCTCGACGCGCGAAAGTGCCATCCAATCATGGTGCGATTGGCGTGGCACGACGCGGGAACGTTCGACGCGACGGCGGCGGACGCGTGGCCGAGGTGCGGCGGCGCGAACGGGTCGATCAGGTTCGACGCCGAGTTGGCGCACGGCGCGAACGCGGGCCTGAAGAAGGCGTTGGGTTACGCGCGAGAGATCGTCGAGCGGTTTCCGGCGCTGAGCCACGCGGACGCGATTCAGCTGTGCGGCGCGTGCGCGATCGAAAGCGCGGGCGGACCACGGATTCCGATGAAGTACGGACGGAAGGATTCCGACGAACCGGCGAGGGAGGGGAATCTACCGGACGCGGAGGCGCCGTTCGGCGATGGGTCGAAGACGCCCGGGGAACATTTGAGAAGAGTATTCGGGCGACTCGGATTCGACGACAGAGAAATCGTGGCGCTGAGCGGGGCGCACACGATCGGGAGGGCGTTTAAGGAAAGAAGTGGGACGACGGAGTACGGGTACGGGGTGAAGAATGCGACGAAGTACACGGGCGGGTGTCCGTTTAGTCCAAAGGGTGATGGAGACGGCGATTTCGGCATGCCGGGTGGGGCGTCGTGGACCTCTTGCTGGCTGAAATTCGACAACTCGTACTTCACCGAGGGTGGATCGGATGACAAAAATCTTTTATGGTTGAGCACTGATCGCGTCTTACATACCGATCCCGGATTCGCACCGCATTTTATGCGCTACGCTCGCGACCAAGACGCGTTCTTCTTCGAGTTTGCCCAAGCGTTCGCGAAACTGTCCGAATGCGGCGCGCGTTGGGTCGTCGGAAAGGGTGGCGTGTACTTACCAGCTGCCGATCGTTAGTTCATTCATATGTAGTGAGATCATTCGTCTCTTATTACAAAACCTACTAAATGATGTTGTGCTTATTTGTCGCTCACCGTGGTGGCTTAGGAAGGATCTTTCCTTCGCGCGGTCCGTTTTTCGCGACGTGTCAAATCGTTCATCCCGTTCATCAAAGTTGCAGGATGAATTTCCAAATCCCTGTATCTGGGTTGTATTCTACGAGTTCGGCGCCCGCTTTTTCGGTTTGTTTCACAATCTTCTCGCGATACTTTTCCTTGGCGGCGGTGCCAGACTTCTTCGGCAAGATTCCGTACAGCGTTACCTCGGCGCGCTTCTTCAAACCTTCACCCTCTTCCGGCGGCTCGATACCTTGATCTTCGGGGTACAGGCACAAGCACGCCTGCTCGAAAGACACGATTTTATCGAGATCCAAGCCACGAACATCGACGGGCTCGAGCCACTTTACGCGACCGAAAGCTTCGTTCGACACAGAAAAGTTGTCCACCGCCGCGAGGGCGTCGTCGCCGCTGCGCTCAAACATTCTTTCCATTTGTTCAAGCGTCGGGTTCATGCTGTAGCCTTCAGAAGTGAGCTTCGGCATGATGATATTGTGACTAACCGGTGCGCCTTTACCCGGAGTGTTTTCTTTGTCCTCTGCGAAATGGACTTGACGACGTTCCGGGCTTTGATCTGCGCGCGTCGGCGAAACCGCGAGCGCGACTGACGGCGCTGGCGAAGCAGAAACACCCTCTGGGCGAATGAAGAGCGCGCGAGGATTCTCGCGTGGCTTGAACAACCACCCACCACTCGATGGCGTGGCCACGGACACCGCGCTCCCAGGGCGAGCAGCCGAAGTGGGTGTTCCGATGGCTTGTGCCGCGCCTCCAGGAGACGGCAAAGACGCGCCGCCACGCGGCTTCGGTTCGCGGCTTAACCCACCGCGGCTCGTGAGCCAAGGAGAGCGTGGCGTCAGCGAACGCACTGGGAATGCCGTCGCCGCGGCACCAGCGGCTGGGCTTTGCATCTTACCGAGCAAAGATCTCTTCGCTTGGGCTTGGTCCGTCGTCGCCAGCGCGAGCTGCGGAGGCTGAAGTGGTGACCCGTACGGAGTGGACGCAACGGCAGGCTGAGCGCCGAAAGGTACGAGCGCACCCATCGCCGGCTGCGAGGCTCCAAGCCCCCCTGCGCCGAAAATGCTACCTCCAGCGGCGGGTGCGGAAGCGCCAAACAATCCACCACCCGCCGTCGGAGCCGCGCCAAACAAACCGCCGCTCGGCGCCGACGTCGGAGCCGACGCACCAAACAGTCCGCCACCAGGAGCAGCTCCGGTCGTCGGGGCGGCGCCGAAAAGTCCACCGCTCGCGGGCTTCGCGGCACCGAAAAGTCCGCCACCGAAGGCACCGCCGGTCGCCGGTGCCGAAGCGCCGAACAAACCGCCGCCGGGCGAAGACGTCGGCGCGGCGCCAAACAGTCCACCGCTTGGCGCAGAAGTCGGCGCGGATGCACCGAACAAACCACCGGACGCCGCAGAAGATGCACCAAACGCGGGTGTCGCCGCAGACGCGCCAAATCCACCGAACGCAGGCGTCGCCGCCGCAGACGGCGCGGCGCCAAACAAACCGCCGCCTCCGGTTGCCGGAGCCGAGGCGCCAAACAAACCACCCGTGGACGGTGCTGCGCCGAACCCTGGCGTTGAACCGGCGAAGCCAGGAGTGGTTGCACCTGTACTAGCACCAAACAGCCCCCCAGTCGCTGGCGTCGACGGCGCAGCGCCGAACAGCCCGCCCGCGGGCTTTGGAGCGCCAAATCCTCCGGGCGCGGGCGTGCTCGCGCCGAACGCGCCTGGAGTGGAAGGCGCAGACGCACCGAACAAACCACCACCCGTCGAAGGCGCCGCGCCGAACAGTCCGCCACCGGATGATGGCGCCGCGCCGAACGCGCCCGGTGTCGGCGCCGCACCGAATGCCGGCGTCGACGGCGCCGCGCCGAACGGACTCGCCGCCGCGGGCGCGGCGCCGAAAGGGCTAGACGCGGGCGCTGCACCGAACGCGGGCGTAGACGACGGCGCTCCGAACGCACTCGGCGTCGGTGCGGCGCCAAACGCGCCCGATGCGCCGAAAGCGGGCGTCGAAGCCGGCGCCCCAAACGCGCCCGGCGTCGAAGGCGCCGCCCCAAACGGACTCGCCGACGGCGTGGCGCCGAAAGCACCCGGCGTCGGCGCGCTCGCCCCGAACGCGCTCGTGGTCGACGGCGCCCCGAACGCGGAAGACGCCGGAGAAGCGCCGAAACCGCCTGTCGTGGACCCGAACAAACCGCCGCTCGGCGCCGAACTCGCGGGCGCTCCGAAAGCGGACGGCGTCGCGGCGCCGCCAAACGGGCTCGGCGCCGCCGCGGGCGCCCCGAACCCACCCGTGGGCGATGATCCGAACGCTCCGCCTCCCGACGGTGCGCCGAAAGCGCTCGGCGCGGCTGACGCCCCGAAACCGCCCGGCGTCGACGTCGACGCTCCGAAGGCACCCCCGCTCGGCGCCCCAAACGGACTCGCCGGCGTCGCGCTCGCTCCGAACGCTCCCCCGCTCGCCCCCCCGAACGCGCTTCCTCCCCCCGTCGTCCCCCCGAACGGACTCGTCGCCGCCGGCGCCCCGAACCCACCCGCGCTCGTCGCCGGCTGATCCGCGCTCGCGTACGCCGCCGCCCGAATCTCCTCCGCGCTCTTCCCCAAATTCTCCGGCATCGCGCTGATCGAGTGCACCATCGCGTACGACGTCCCCGGCGTCAACAGCTCCTTATCCATCACCCGCGTCGCTCGATATCCGCTCACCCCCGGCGTCATCGAGCAGCTCACCGCGCGATGCGCCGTCGATCCGCACTTTGAACAGCAGTGCTTATTGTTACACCGCGCCCCGAATTTACAGCTCCCGCGGTTCCAAAACTTGCACGCGTCCGCCACCGCCCGCGCCGCGCCCGGCGCGCCGCTCCCAGCGCCGCCGATCGCGCTCCCGAACCCCCCGCTCGCCGCGCCCTGCCCCCCGAATCCACCGCCGAACGCGCCCGTCGTCGCCGGTCGAGCCCCCGTCGCGCCGAACGCGCCGCTGTGCGGCTGCTGCGCCGCGCCGAACGGCGACGGCGGCTGCTGCGCCGCGCCGAACCCACCGAATCCACCGAACGCCATCGCGACCGCGCGTCGCGACGTGCCGACGCGCGCGTCGCGATTTCTCGCGCGCGGCGAAAATCGCACGCGTCGGCGCCGCGCGCGTGTGATTTACTTAATTTATCACGCGCGTCGACGCGCCTCGCGTCGACGCGCGACGGCGATCTGGAGTGTTTGTATACGAGAGACGAGACGGCGACGTCGGCGATCGCGCGCGATCGATCGCGATCGATCGCGCGTCGTCGATCGATCGCGGCGCCGCGATCGCGCGCGATCGATCGATCGATCGATCGCGATCGATCGCGCGCGATCGCGGGCGCGCGCGCTGACGTGGCGACGCGCGCGACGACGATAACGACGCGAGACGCGCGCGCGAGCGACGCGCGAGCGAGCGACGACGCGCGCGCGAGCGACGGCGACGACGGCGGTGACGACGGCGACGCGGACGCCGGCGCGACGGGACCGAGGCGCGCGCGGGATCGCTCGCGGCGAAGCGCGCGCGGGGCACGTCGTCGCGCGACGGGACGATGCGAGACCGCGTGGGGAAGTTTCTGTGCGTCGTGCCGCCGAAAACGCTGCGGGTGAATCGGGAGACGGGATCGGCGGCGCGCGAGGGCGGTGAGGACGCGCTGGAGGACGCGCTGAACGCGCTGGAGTTTAAAAAGTCGAGCAGCGCGCTGGACGGGGGCGGCGTGGCGATAAGCGTCGGGCCGGGGATACAGGCGTTCACGGATAACGAGCTCATCGTGTCGTTCGTGGGACACCTGACGAATGTTGATTACTTGGCGTGGCGGTTGTTCTCGGACGAGGGACGACGAGGGGATACCGCGCCGTCGGCGCTCGAGGCGGCGAGGCAGCTCGTCGGCGGACGGTGCTACGAAGCTGAGCTGGTGTGTCACTTGTATAAGACGTTCGGCACCAAGGCGCTGCCGAAACTTCGCGGAAGGTTTGCGTTCGTCGTGTTTGACTCCAAGAGCGTGCGCGTGTTCGCGGCTCGAGACGTGAGCGGAGAGTACGAGTTGAAGTACACTCGCGACGACGACGGCACCGTAATCGTCGCCAACTTTGACGGCGCGAGCGAGCTACTACCGAGCAAGCGCTCGATGAGCGAAGTGCCCCCTGGGTGTTACATTTACGGGCATCGAAGCATCAGTCCGAATCGTTTCGCGAAGACGATCGCGGAGAAGAGTTCAGAGCTCGCCGCCGCCGCCGCCGCCGCCGAGCGCGCGCTTCGTGGACTCAACGTAAAGTCGCGCCGCTCTCTCAACGTCACGGCTCGCTTGAGCGTCGACGGACGATCGTCCGTGGATTTCGAGCGCGAAGAAGTGCTCTGCGACGATCGAAAACGCGCACTCGAGGATTTGGATGGTGGACACGAATACGAATCCCACGAACGCGCTCAAGAAGTCGAGGAGAGCGAACCCGGTACCGAAGACGATCACAGGCAGGCGGAAGCGGTGGCCATCAAGACCGCGCACGCCGCGATCAAACGCATCGCTAGTGGCGTCAATATGACTGGTATGGTGCGCATGGATGGTGCCAACGCGCTCGCAGCCGTGGGTATGGGCAAAGCTGAGCACCTTCAGCGAGATTTTGCGCTGGATCGCGTGCCGAGCCGTACGGGTTTGCTGAGTGATATGGTCAAGGTTGCCTCGTTCGGTGACCTTAAGAACGCGAGAAAAGGAAGTCTTACTGATTTAGTACACGCTGGTGTGTCTTCGCCGAAGAAGGGTGGCTTGAGCAAGTCAGACCGACGCGGATCGTGGACGGACTTGACGCTTCTCGTCGCGTCCGGCGAGACGGCCCCCGAGGAAAAAAATGGTGAAACATGAGAGGAGGCACGTGCAACTAATACATTCGCACGACGCATTGTTGTATTCTAAAGCTAATCAATGTGCTTAACAATTAACGTGAGTGATTCCAAAGAACGACACGCTCCCGGAATTCGTGACTTCTTCTGTACCATGACGATCGCCGTTGACGAGCATTCCCGTGTACCCCTCAGCCCCACAATCGATAGTGACGGCTCCATCTTTCGCCTCCGCCTCGAGCATCTTACCGAGAGGGTGTAATCCTACGTTCCCCGCTCCAGCGTACGTTCCAGTCTTGACGCGCACCTTGTCGCGGTTGACAAAGTAACCAAAGCCTTTATTGACGGGAATCTTTGAAGCCGTGCCAAACTTGACGTTGCGATGTTCTGAAGGAAGCCGAATGCCCGTGTCGGGGTCGTCTAGGTTATAACGAATGTCATACGACCGTGCTTCGCCGAGAGCAGCTTCAATCGAGCGCTGCAGCGTGAGGTACGGCGCGTTTGGCGTACCATCACCGTACGCGTCTGAACCAGATTTTGAAACGTAAATGTCGCAGTAGAGAAACTTCACGTCTGACTTCACCACGCTGAACGTCGACTTATCATCCAAACTCAGTTGAATATTCTTGTAGAAGCAAGGTCGAAAAGTCCCTGGAACTTCACCACCCGAGCGAGGCTCATGCTTTTCCGTTATGCATCGCACTCGTTTCATGTTGTCGAAATACGCCGGCACGGTATGCGTGACGGTGGTGTCGCTATCGTATAGCTTGCACCACATACCATTCGATGGAAAGAAGGATTCACCGATGATGGTGATTTCCGTGTTTCCAAAGAATGGCCCTCTCGCCGCGTACGTCGTTTCTTCGTGCGTTGTTCGTGCGGAAATAACGTTGGGATTGCCACCGTATACTCTTACGATCCAGCGGTCGCCGAGCAAATGATGGCCTCCGGAAGACGTGAAACGAATGCTTATTCCGTCACTCAATAACCCCGATGGGGATATGGTGCCCCCGAAAACACCGACAGGAATTGCTCGGGCGGTTTCGACCCAGGCTACGTTCGAACCGACGCCCGCGTGCAGTCGCCATCTAAATGTTTCAGCGCCACTTGTTGCGTCGTCGATGACGATTTCGAACCACGCGATTCCGTTTCCTGTAAAAGTTCCCTCTACCACGAGGTCGTCCGCGTTACCAGAACCTACTACGAGTGACGCTTCCGTCGCATGCGATGTTTTCGCGCTTGCATACGCCGTCGCCGCAGTGCCGTCCTTCGTGCCGTCTTGAGCGTAAATTGTGCTCACGGCGTGCTTGGACGACGTTAACTCAAGAGCGACACCTCCGCTGTACGAAGCGCCAGACCCAAGAAAATACAGAGGAACGTCTGTAAACGCCGTGTTGCCGAAGTAGGTGAACGTGGACCCAGTACCTGCATCAGTGGGTGTTGCCGAGTCGGCGCCGCCCTGCCCGCTGTGGTACGATACGCCGTCGTTTGAGACAAAGATTGTCACTTGATTTCCGCCATGATCCGCGTTGTCGTCCAGCGCGCTCACCGACGTTGGGGCGATACAGCGGATTTTGTTGTATGAAACCCATTCCGCGCGTACCGTATTCGCGTTGGCAGCACCAGTCTCGAAATCTGCCGCGCCTGAATCTACGACGGTGATCATACCGCCCATGAACGCTCCGCTAGTGCTGTGATAAAACACATAATCTGGCGTGTTAGAATCCGGCGCGAAGGTCACCGAACCGCTATCTGTCGCCGTCGTGAGCGTGGCCGTTGGCGTGTTGCTTTTTTCCCACATGGATGGCTCTACAGAAGATAAATAAAATGGATGTCCAGTCGAACTCACCGTAAACGTGTACGTCGTTCCTCGTCGTAAAATAAACGACGGACCTTCCATCGCGGAACCACCATTCAAGCGGTTCGACGTCACTGTGTACCCGATATTACCACCACGCCCGAACCATGGATGTTCCGCCGTCTTCGTCGCCGTGCCGATCGTCAAATTTGTCGTCGCCGACGCGTCTGATGGATTTCCAAACCTACATCGCAGGTGCACCCCGGGGAGAAAATTATTATCCGTCGATCTCGTGCTCGTCGTGTGCGACGGATTCGTAATCTCCACCACCGCCCCGCCGAACGCGTGCCCTGTGGCGTTTTTCACCGTCCAACTTCCCGCGGGCGCGTTGGATTTGTACTCAAACAACGCGTACGTCCCCGCGTCATCCGTATTCAACGGCGTCGTGCTGTATCCAATCCCGTTATTCGTCACCGTCACGTGCACGCTCGCCGCAAATTTTCTCGGCGGTGTCACCACTCGTATGGTGCCGTAATCGACGTACGTCGCCCGAACCACGTCAACCTCCGCCGTCCCGGTGTTTGAGTCGTAATACGCGAACCGCGCCGCCAGTCCCGCGTGATTCTGGAATCCCCCCCCGTATATCGTCACCGTCGTTCCTCCCACGACGTGCCCCGTGTCCGGCGATATGCTTTGCAAGTACGGCGGCTGCACGTACGTCGGCAGTCGCTGCGCGCGCGCGATGACGGCGAAGAGCGCGACGATGAAACATGCCGCGGCCTTTGAGTAGACCGTTGTCGAGACGACGCGCGACGACGCGCGGTGGCGCCGTCGACGCGCGTCGTCGCGCGACATGCGCGCGAGACGTCTGAGGACGCTCGCGCACCGATCGTCGCCGTCGACGACCGAGAGCGGTGCGTTCGCGCGCGCGGTCTGGGTGTGCGGGCGTGGACGCCGCGCGCTGAGAGGCGAACGCGCGGCGCGGAGAAACTTTCAAGGGAAAGTCGTTCATAGATTTGTGTAACGATGAGCCAACTACAACGTATAAGTTCCTAGTACTTACTTCAGAGGCGATTAGTGTACGATGTCGATGTCTACTTGGATGGGGAGACGTTCTGTCGGAGCACCTTGAGTGGACTGGTGAGCACGGAGTTGTGTTCGCTATAGGCTGCGCTCTTGCGAACGGCGATCGCCTCGTCCGAGTTGTACTCACCGAGTTGAGAGCTCGCGGCGAGGATGAGCCCCATGAAAAGCGGAGAGGGTCGTCCAGGACGAGACTTGTACTCGGGGTGATACTGGCAGCCAACCATGAACGGATGGCCGTCGACTTCGCAAATCTCCATGCGCAACTGCGTGTCGTCCTTGCCGACAAACTTGCATCCAGCCGCCTCGAGCTGAGGCACCATTTCCGGATTCACTTCGTACCTATGACGGTGACGCTCGTCAACGTGCGGCACCGATCCGTACAAGCGAGAGGAGATGCAATCCTGCGTTTGGAAGATGGTTCTTCGACTGCCGAGACGCATCGTGCCGCCCATGTGCGTCTTGCTCCCTTCGGGCATAAAGATGACGGCCGGGTTCTTCGTTTCCGGTTCCATCTCCGTTGAGTGCGCGTCCGACAGACCGAGAACGTTGCGCGCGTACTCAATCACCATACACTGCATCCCGAGGCAGATACCGAGGTACGGAACCTTGTTCTCGCGCGCGTACTTGGCGGCGATCATTTTCCCTTCGGTACCGCGACCGCCGAAACCACCCGGAACCAAGATGCCTTGCGCCTTCTTGACGCTCTCCCAAGCCGCTTCGTACTTGGACACATCCTCGCTCTTCGTTTCCTCCTCCAAATCGCTCGCTTCGACCCACAACAAGTCGAGTTTACGATCGCACGCAATGGAGCTGTGCAGCAAAGCCTTGGTGACGGACAAGTACGAGTCGCCCAAACCAGTGTACTTTCCGACGAGTGCGATGGTGACGGGCGTCGTGACGGCGTCCCACTTTTTCGCGCGGTACTCCCATTGCTGCATGTCCGGATCAGCGTACGGAAGCTGCAGTTGGGACATGATATTCCTCAGCGCGTCCTGCTCGAGCATCACCAGCGGCACGTGCCAAATATTACTCACGTCGCACAAGTTGATGATACACTTCGGGTTCACGTGGCAGAACAGCGCGAGTTTGTCCATGACGCTTTGCTCGAGCGGGTGCTTTGAGCGACACGCGAGCATGTGTGGCGACAACCCCGCCGAACGCAACGCCTGGATCGAGTGCTGCGTCGGCTTGGTCTTTTGCTCTCCGACGGCGCCGACGACGGGCACGAGCGACACGTGAATCAAGCAAAAGTTCTCCGTCCCCACTCGAAACTGAAACTGTCGAAGCGCCTCGATGAACGGCATCGATTCAATATCACCCACGGTCCCCCCCAGCTCGATCACGCACACGTCCGGCACGTTATCCGTCCCGTCCACCGGCACGTGCGCCACGCGCTCGATCCAGTCTTGAATCTCATCCGTGATGTGCGGCACCACCTGCACCGTCTTCCCGAGATACTTCCCCTCGCGCTCCTTCGATATCACGCTCTGCGTTCACATCGAACCCGCGTCACCGCACCGTCAGTCTCGCGCCGACCATTCGTTCGCGTTCGCGTTCGCGTTCGCGCCTCGGAGCTGTTGTTCATTTTCAAACAACGACGAAAAAACAAATCGTCCCTCTCGCCTCGCCCGTCGTCTCGCGCACCTGGTACACCTTCCCGGTCGTGATGTTGTGATCTCTCGTCAGCGACACGTCCACGAACCGCTCGTAGTTCCCGAGATCGAGATCGCTCTCGCCGCCGTCGTCGAGCACGTACGTCTCGCCGTGTTCGAACGGCGACATCGTCCCCGCGTCGATGTTGATGTACGGGTCGATCTTCACGCTCGTGACGCGCAGCCCGGACGCCTTGAGCAGGACGCCGATGGAGGACGCGGTGACGCCCTTGCCCAGGCCGCTGACGACGCCACCGCTGACGACGACGTACTTCATCGTCGCGCGGCGTCGAGGTGTGCGGCGCCGCCTCGCGATGCGCGGCGTCGCGCGCGCGTCGCGACGCATTCAACGCCGCGGGAGACCTAACGCGCCGCGACGCGCGCGACCGACGGCGCTAGACATAAACCCTAAATCCGTTTTCAAAATTTGAACGCGCGACGACGACGGCGCGCGCCCGCGTCGACACTCCGCGTCGACTCGCGCGAACGTGCGATGCCGCGAAACCGAAACGCCGTCGCGCGCCCGCCGGGGTACGACGATCTCTTGGACGCGTACGACGACGAGACGCGCGGCGTGAGAGCGACGAATCCGACGACGCTGCGAACGAAGATTCGAAAGTTTTTGGCGGAATTCGACGTCTCGGTGACGTCTTTTCAGGCGCTCCTGGGCGTGAATTCGAACTCGTTCGGGAAGTTTATGGCGGGGCATTACAAGAATAAGTGGCGCGCGATGGAAAACGGGACGTACGCGGCGGCGGATTACTTTTTCTGGCGCGAGAAGAAGATGAAGAGTCAGAGCGTCGGGGCGACGCTGCGGGCGCGAGACGCGGGCGCGGGCTCGAGTGGGATTTCGGCGCGATCGCCGTTGGCGTCGACGATGAATCGACACGTCGGAGGGCTGCCGAACAGCGCGGTGATTCCGGCGAGAGATTCGTGCGGCGCGGCGAACGCGAAGGCGAACTCGCGCGGGAAGCTGCCAGACGTCTCGGACGTGGAGATCGACGGCGAGACCTGGCTCACGCCGGGTGAGGTTAGAAAGGAAATCAGTGATTTGAATCGACGGTATAAATTCTCAAGCGTCGAACTCGCGAGAGCGGCGGAGTGCGCCACGGGGGTTCAGCCGGGTGCGCCGGTGAATCGATTTTTGGCCAAGGGGGGCGAGTTCGGTGGCGACCAGATGGACTGTTACGACCCTCTTGCGCGCTTCTGCGAAAAGATGCGAATCTTCGAGAAGCGACCAAAGTCGAACAAGCGCCAGGCTCTCGAGATCGATCACGCGCGCCGTCAGGAGCAGCTGAAATCGACGCCGTTTTTTGCGCTGTTGCCGCCGTCGGCGACGAAACCGTTTCTCGGTCTCGACGGCACAAAAAAGCATCTCATGCCCTCGGGCATGGGATTCGCGAAGGACTCCCTCGGTCGCCTCGTGATTATGGATCTTTGATCACCGCGCCGATCGAATCTGTCGATTGTATCCACCGAATCGAACATGACGCGAAGAGCGTTCATGATTCGAGACGGTTGTGCGAACGAAGCCGCGGCGGAATCCGCGCTCGTTCGCTTCACGACCTATGTAGCACCACATCGCGCGATCACTGTGATAATCAACGAATGAATGAACGACCTCGTCGTCGCGCGCTCTCGAAGACGCGCGGGCGCGGGCGCTACTATTGAATGCGGTTATCGCGGCGGCGCAGCGCGCTCGCGCCGTTACGGCGCCGCTGCGCGCCCGCGGGTCCGCACAACACCGCGACGCGCGCCGAGCGCGCGCGCGACGCGCGTCGACGGTGCGGCGTCGCGCCATGTCCGCGCCGCGCGACGCGCCCGCGCGAGACGTCGACGCGCGCGCGCGAGGGACGGACGAACGCGAGAGGGGAAGCAGCGCCAGCCGCGGGACGACGACGGACGAAAACGCGGCGCCCGAGCGCGACGGCGCGGCGACGAGCGGGCGAGACGCGGTGAAAGACGTCGAGGATGGGTTCACGCGGTTTAATCTCGGCGCGGGCGACGCGGGTCGGGCGCGGGTGGAGAGGGGACGGAGTTTTCGCGCGCGCGCGAACGGCGCGGCGAGGACGCCGAGGGCGAGCGCGGCGAGGAGCGAGCGCGGAGGGGGCGATGAACGCGCGACTTGGGGGGCGTTCGCGGAGAAGTTGGAACGAGAGGCGACGTCGTCGGGGCGGGAGAGCCCGGTGAAGACGTTCGAGCTGCGGGCGATGCCGGAGAAGAGTCCGGGGCGCGCGCGGAGCGCGAGCCAGCAAAATTTGACGCGAGAGGACTCGGGGGCGCCGCGAGCGGCGAGATCGTTGGACGCGGAGTTTGAAAAGGATACGGCGTCGGAACCGGCGCGGTCACCGGATCCGATGACGTCGCCGGAACCTATGGTGGTGGATTCACCGAATGATTCAGAGGCGAGCGAAGGCGCGCGGTTTACGCCGCCGAGGACGTTCACCATGGGCGCCGCTTCGACGAGTGGAACAAAGAAGAGCGCGTCGTTTAGAAGTAGAGCGAGTGCGTTACGCGTGGAGGCCGCGGTAGAACGCGTGGAGACGCCGGCGTCGACGAAGAGTGACGCGAGCGTGTTCGGTACGTCACCGCAATCGCCAATTTTTGAGGCGCCGACGCCGAGGCAGTTTACGTTCACCGCACCACCGCCGACGAAAACGACCCCGACGGTGCGAGCGACGCGATCTGCGGAAAAGTCGAGCGGCGATTTTAAGATGGGCGCGGATGACTCTCCCGCGCTCGCCAAGCACAGCCGAAGTTTCAAGTACGCGCAACGCGCCGGACGGGACAGACGCCCGCCGATCGCCGCGGCGACGGAGAGCCCGAGCGTGAGTGTCGGGGATATCGAGCAAGCCGCATCGCAGATGTCGCTTCACTCACGCGATTCCGAAGAGACTGAAAGGCTCAGGCAATTAGGTAACGCGCTGTACCGCGAGGAGAAGTACGTTGAAGCGGACGAGATGTATAGCAGAGCGATTATGGTGTTCGCCTCTGCGCCTCGAACCAACGCCGGTAAGGGCGACGAGAGCCCTCTGGGGGTGCAAATCGACACCTTTGTCGGTCGCGACGCGGCAGTATTACTGACCAACAGAGCGGCGGCGAGGATGATGATTCCGAACGAGTCTACGCCGTACGATGAGTATCGCGTTCTTATACTCAAAGCGCTCACCGATTGCGAGCGAGCCGTTCGCGCGGATGCGTCGTACACTCGTGCTCAACTTCGCGTGGCCGCGTGTCACATGAAATTAGGTAGCTTTGGTACCGCGATGGATTTTCTGGAGGTGCTTTCGACGTCTGAGGACGCTGATGTCGAGAATGCGAAGATTGAAGCGAAAGCCGCTTCCGAACATTTGTCGAAGGTGCTCGGCGCTTCGCTCAAACTTCGAGCGTGTGTGCCTGGTCTTCCTAGGCTTTACAGCGACAGTCGCGCGCGAAAGCTCGATGAGACGTACGAATCAGTCGTCAAGAGCGTCGCGGCGTTGTCGAGTTATCCGCTGCTTTCATCGAGTGAGTTTGGGAAGCCGTTCGTCGAAGCCAAGGCGGCACTGCTAATCGCGTGCGGCGCGTACCACGAGGCGAGCGCTTTCATCTCGGAAATCGAAACGCTCGGCCTATCCAAGGAAGGTTGGGTGCCCGAGTTCACATTTTCAGCTCTACTGGGTAAAGGGGATCCACATGCCGCGTGTGAGTACGTCAAAAGCGTGTCGGAATGCGACGTCGACGAGGAAGCAATCGAAATGGCGCGAACGATGCTCAAAGGTAAAGAGGACGGCAATAAGATGTTCAACGCGGAGAAATACGCCGAAGCCGTCGCATCTTACACTCTCGCGTTCGACGCGGGTAAGGTGCCAGTTGCCGCCGCGTATTGTTCAATCGTGCTCGGTAATCGTGCCGCCGCGTATCAAGGTTTGAACGAGTTTCTCAACGCCTTGGCCGATTGCGGCAGAGCGTTGGCGTTAAATCCTTGGAACATCAAGGCGCTGAGCAGACGCGCGACGTTGCACGAGAGCATTCGATGCTGGGACGATGCGATCCGAGACTTGCGTTCGTACGTCGAAATCGCCGGAAACGCGCAATATGACTTATTCGCCACGGCTCAGGAGCGCAAAAACGCTCTGGCGATGGCGACGGATCGCCTTCGAAGGCTCGAAACGACCAAAACCACGCAGGCGAACTCGCAGGTTGACATGTATCGAATCCTCGGTTTGGATGAGCTGAAAGACAAGGCGACGCAAACGGATATTAAGAAGGCGTATCGCGCGTTGGCGCTGAAGTATCACCCAGACAAGGCGAATCGGAACATGCCGTCGTGGGCTCCGGCGTCTGAACTTCACGACGACGCCGACCGTCTCTTCAAGCTCATCGGCGAAACCAACGCGCAGTTGAGCGACCAGGCACTTCGTCGCGTGTACGACGAAACTGAACGCATTCGCGCCCAACGAGAGCGACACGCGAGCTACGAACGCTCCTTCACGAGATCAAACACCTGGTCCGCGCCGACGCCGAACGATTTCCAATTCGGCCAAGACGCGCCGTGGATGTCCCCGAATTCCCGCCGTTCAAAGCCTCGCGTCAACAGGCAATCCTCCGGAAAGAATTACTATTGGAACTTTTAGACCCTCATAGCGCACCGTCGCGCGCATCGCGCGCCTTTGTAAATCCATCGCCGAGCGGCGACGACGACGACTCGCCCTCGCGCCGCGCTCGACTCGCGCACTCCACGCCGCCGCGCGCCACTCCGCCGCGCGCGCGTCCGGTCCACCAGGCGCGTCCACCAAGCGCGCGCGTCGTCGCGCGCGCGCCATGAGCACGGCCAAGTATTCCGGAATCGCCGTCGCGGCCGCCAACCGCGCCGCGCTCGAGCGTCAGGAAGCCGAGGCCGAGCGCCTGCGCGCGCCCAGAGCGGTCGACGCGCGAGAGAAAGAACTCCTCGAACATCTCCGCGCGACGATGACCGCGGAATCCCTGCTCGGGGCGACGAAGCGGCCCGACGCGCGCGCGCTCTCGCGCGCGCCCGAGTCGACGCCGCGCGCGACGGCGAACGCCGACGCGTCCTCGAGCGGTCGCGCCGCGCTCGTCGCGCAAAAAGCGGTCGAACGCGCGTCGCGCGCTCGAGCGCACCCGACCGACGCGCTCGCGCCCGAGAAGCGGCACATGAGCAAAGCCGAGCGTAAACGATTGAAACGCGAGCGCGCGGCGCGCGCCGAAGCCAAAGCCGAAGCCGAGGCGGACGCCGCGCCGCGCGTCCGGGGCGCGACGCGCGACGACGACGACGGTCGCCGCGCGAAGAAGCGACGTAAAAAAGCCATTTCGACGCGCGAGTAGCTTTTCGCGCCCGCGCCGCGTTTCCTCGCGCGCGGGGTGTAACATTAACGACGAAACCGCCGCGTCGCGGCGCGGCCCTCTGGACGGCGCCGGCGGCTCGGGACGATCGCCGCACACTCGCGCGCGCGCGGGTCCGACGACGCGCGCGATGAGCGACCTCGGCAAGACGCTCGCGGCGAAGAAAGAGAGCTTCGACGCGTGGCTCAAGGCGCAGTCCGACCCGGTGCGCGCGACGCGACGCGCGCGTCGACGGCGCGCGATGATGATTGTCGAACGATGATTGGATCGCCGCCGTCGAGAAAGCGACGCGCGATGACGCGATGAGGCGACGACGCGACGCGATGCGGGCGTAAACTGACGAAAGATGCGACGATGCGAACTCGCGCGCAGGTCGAGGTCGGGATCACGGCCGCGGGCGGTGCGCTGCAAGGCTCGGTGCTGGGCTACGGCTTGGGGATGATGAACAAGTCGCTCGAGGCGCAGGCGGCGACGATGCCGAATAAACCCCCGATGGCGGCGCAAGGATCGTTTAGTGGACCGCCCAAGGTGCTCGCGTTGAACTTGGCGGTGTTCTCCGCGGTGCAGGGTGGATTGACGCTGGCGATTAAAAAGTACCGCGGCGGCGTGGAGGATATTCAAGGCTCCATGATGGCGATGTTCGGCGCGGGGAGCGCGTTGAGCCTCGTCGGCGCGGCGACGGGGTCGTCCACGGGGGCGATGGGCGGGGAAGCGCCGAAGGACGCGGCTGGCGTGGCGACGGATGCGGTGCGCACCGGTGCGTTATTTGCGCTGTTGAATGGGGCGTTCATGAAGGTTGGACAAATGTTTAGCGGGAAGGACGCGGCGCAGGATCACTACTACGCGCACGCGAATAACATGCTCGCGACGCTCGGGTTGGAAAAGTATGAAAAGAACTTTCGGAAAGGGCTGTTGACGGATGACACGCTGTTGTTGCTGAACGACAGCGCGTTGCAAGAAGTGCGGATTCCTCCTGGCCCAAGATTGAAAATCTTAAACTACGTCGACGCCACGCGAGCCTCCATGGCGCGCCAGCACGCCGAGGCTTTGTCGCTCGCCAACTCGACGCAAGATGCGCCGATCAAGTGAAAACGCAATGAACGTCGCGTTCATATCCCATGAGTGACGCGCCCGATAGTAGTCCATCTTAGTTTGTCAATTATCGAAACGAGAACTTTATAACAACGAGTGGCTCGCCGCGCGTCGAGCAGAAGGATCAAACGAAAAACATTTCATGAAGAGCTCTTCAATTTTTATTCACAAGACAAAACTGGTCGAGAAAGCATGCCAACCGTACTTAGGCATTCTTTCTATTTTTCTTGGCGAGCGCGAGCGTCATGCTCGCCTCCGTAACGCGTCCCACATGAGACGGCGTGGAGTAATGAACGGCGTCAACAGAAACGCCGCTGTAAGCGCGGCGGGAATTCTTCATCGCCGCATTCGACGCGTTGATCTCCTGCAGACGCTGTTGTTCGCGTTCGGTTTCGGCCTTGACCAAACCGGAGCGGAGAGCTTCGTAGAAGCAGAAGAAGATGGCGGAGTTAATACCGTTGGAGACTGCTCGCGGGCGAACGCCGGTGAAGAACGTTCGGACGCGACCGACGCCCGGAGGCGAGTCCTTCCAAACGCCCATGATGGCGCCACCGAAGCTGGGTCGAGATGAGGCATTGCACATCATCCGGGTTTTCACCACATCCAAAGGAGTAGTCGCGGCAGCGGCGACGGAACCCGCGATGAGACCCATCACGATGTCCGCACCCGTGCTACTTTCATCCTTGCTCTTCTTCATGAACGAGCGATGCATCGTTCGAAGAGTCTCATACGCTGCAAACTTGACGGCCATGTCGGGCACGTCTTCAAGGAGCGTTGGAATGTAACCGGTGAACAAACCCCGGGGACCGGCGGCCGCGGTGATTCTGCGGCCGGCGGCGATGACGTTCGGGTACACACCGGCTTGTACCGAGCGAATGCACACAGCGGCGGGTACCTTGACGATGGAAGATCCAAGGGCACCGATACCACCCGCCACAAACGCAATCTGCGACACTGGCATGTCGGATTTCTCTTGGAGCAGCTTCTTCGCCGTGCCGTAAAATGCAAAGTATGCGCCGATGGCGATGCCCGCACCCGTAGCGGCGCCGAAACATCCCTTGTACATCATGCCTACTTCAGAAGTAAACTTGGTAGCCCCAGCCTTGGCCGCTGACGCCAACGACCTCTTCCCGAGGCTGACCGCGCCGTTGGAGACCGCACTCAGGCCGACTCCGTACTTACCAACGCTCGGAGGCGTCGGCGCCGCGGCGCCGGCGACGCCCTTGAGCGTGGCTTGCATGCGCACCTTGACGGTGTCCAAAGGATGAATCGTACTTTGGCTCGCCGCTCGAGCCAAACCACCGGCGATGATATCCTTCACTGGGACAAATCGTCCGATGTCCTTTAATGCGCTTGATTGCGCTGCGGTTGCCATAGAAACCTCGACATATTCCTCTCCATGTCGCCGAGGTCTCGTCAACCGTCCACGTCTACCGAGCAGCGTCGTCGCGGACACTTCCTTCTTCCCCATGGTTGTTTTATTTCTCGTCGTTCGCGTGAACGAACGAAAGAGTTCTTGTCTTGTAGAAACTAGAGTCAATGACTAGCGAAAGCAATATAGCGATACACAAAGAATACACTCTCTAAAAGGAGAGAGAAAAAACCTTTGCGTTCGCGGCAGCCGCTTCGCTCGCCCCCGACTCGGCCGTTCCGCCGATCAAAAGCTGCTCGTCTAGATGTCTAAGACGTGCCTGTAGCGATTGTTTCGTCTGCTGCGCTTTACTGGGTAATAGCGCAGTAGATACAACCGACAACGCTTTCTGTTGCCAAGAACTCTCTTGTCTCCACGCGAGCGCTAGACTCCTCAAGTCTATCGCCGGAATGGGCACGCGCACGCTCGCTCCGTACGCGCTCGACAAGTTCACCTGTGCGTTCAAAATCCCGCGTTCGCGCCCGTCAGTGTCGATCCATCGCGTTCCATCGCGCGCGCTTCCGTCTCCATCGCTCCATCGCCTCGTAACGCTCAAAAGTCGCCTCAAAGTCAACCGCGCGTCGTCGAATCGAGTCAAGTCAAATCGCGCGCCAAACGCGTCGAACGTTGACGCACCGTCTCGCGCGTGTAGTACGCTCTCGCCGCGTCGTTCCACGCCCCCGACGTTCGCCCGGGCACGAGAACCACGGACCAGAGTAAAACCTTCGTAATCACCGATCGCACGCGCGCGCGTCGTCAGTCTCGCGTCGAGCCCGGTCGATCGCGCCGCGACACGCGCCTTCGCGATGATTCCGCGCGCGCCGCATCGCGTCGACGAAATCGCGCACCTCGAGCGCGCAGATGAAGAGAATGGAATAAAACACTCGCACCGGGGAAGAGAGAAATCCGTTGATAATCTCTGACGCTTTATTGCTGCTCGATCGTTCGTTCCGTCGCGCGTTCAGGCTCACCATCGTTCGACGCGCATCGCACGCGTGAGGGTGACTGAGAAACGGCGCGCGTCGCGATTCGAAGCGTCTTCCCACGGCGATCGGTGCGTTCGTTCGTCGTGCTGCGGCGCGATCGGTGCGAAAGAATCGATCGTGTGCGTGAGCGCGAGCGCGAACTCTCAGCGCGCGTCGTCGCGTGGATGCGACGCGTCGTGAGATGGCGCGATGGCGGGCGCGGCGTTCCGAAAGCTCGGAAAGCTATGAAAATCGGGCGTGTGCGTATTTAAAGAGGCGCGGTGCCAGCTGTACGCACTGGGCATTCAGTCCGGCGTGGGTTATGATTTAAATTACTTTGGTGCCAAGTGGCGGTTTCGCGGCGCGCCGCTTCGGAAGCGCCGCGTCCTTACGAATTACACGGGGCGGAAAAACGTGGAAGAAGCGAGCGCGGCGACGGCGTCGGGATCGGTGGGGAGCGCGGCGCTGAGAGCGACGACGGCACCGTTCGCGTCGACGACGCAGTCGTCTTCGATGCGAACGCCGATTCCGCGGAGATCGGCGGGGACGTCGAGGTCGTGGGGGGAGAAATATAAACCTGGTTCGATGGTGAAGGCGACGTTGCGCTCGAACGGGGTGGACACGGCGACGGATGGGACGTCGTGGGTGTCGGCGCCGAACCAGTGACCGACGGAGTGGGGGTAATATTTGGCGTACTCGCCCGAGCGAATCAGCGCGCGGGCGGAGGTATTGGGTAAGAGCTTGGCGAGACCGTTGGCGAGAACGTCGATGGAGAGCCGATGGATATCCATGAGTGAGGTCTCGCCGTCCACGCGCGCGGCGCGCAGACACGCGTCGTGCGCCTCGAGGACGACCGAGTACACGTCGAGCTGCGCCTGCGTCCACCGCCCGCTTATGGGCCAAGTGCGCGTGATGTCGCTCACGTAACCGTTGAGCTCGCATCCCGCGTCCATTAACAGTAAATCTCCATCCTCGAGCATTTTATCGTTCTGATGGTAGTGCACGACGCACGCGCCCGCGCCCGAACCCACGACGGATGGATACGCCAAACGGTCGGCGCCACCGATTCTACACGCCGCCTCGTGCTGCGCCATGACGTCTGCCTCGGTCGCTCCCGCGCGACTCGTCTGAAACGCTTTCACGAACGCCTGTACGTCTAAATCTACACTGTTTTTTATCAACGCCAATTCGGCGTCGCTCTTGCGCCACCGCAACCGGTGCGACATCCCGCGCACCGGTCGAACCCCGTCTCCTCCCCCGCCTCCGCGCGCGCGCGCCCCCAAAGCCCTGTGCACGACGCTCGCGTCCTCATCCACCTTATCCAAGTCCACGAACACCCCTCCTCGCGCGTTTCTCACCGCTTCCGTCGCGTACGCCGCCGCTCGCTCGTCCGCCTCGTACGCCGCGTCCGCGCCGAACACCGTCTCCCCCGCTCGCGCGTCGATGCGCTCGCCGTCCCACTGCGCGTGTCGTTCGCATCGTTTCGGCACGATCAGCGCGTACCGCACGTCGTCCTCCGTTCGTCCTCGCTCGACGACGGCGACGCAGTCCGGCTGCGTCACCCCCGTGTAGTACGCGAAATCGGCGTCTTGCCTGTACTTCCCCGCCGGGATCGCCGTGCCGGGCCATCGCAGCGCCGGCGCGGCGGCGAAGATGGCCGCGCTGTGCGGCGGCATCGCGCGCGCGAGCGCGGCGCGGCGCGCGGCGTACTCGGCGCGCGAGACGCCGGGCGTGAGGTCGGCGGCGGACGCGATGACGTGCGGGTGCGTCGCGCGCGTCGGTTGGCCCGCGACGACGCGCGGGAGGTCGAGCGAGACGTCGGACGCGCGCGCGGGGCGCGCGGTGGAGAGCGCGCGACGCGCGGACGCGCGCATGACGCGCGCGCGTCCGCGCGGCGCGAAGTGACGCCGAGACGCGGCGCGAACGGTTTCGATAAACGTAAAACGCGCGCGAGACGACCGCGACGCGCGCGAGGGACGCGCGCGGGAAAGAATCGATCTAGGTTGACTAATACGCCTAGCTACGAGCGCCGCGAGTCGACGGGAAGGAGAACGCCTCGCGCCGTCTCGAGCACCGAAAAGAAACACCCGCCGCCCAATCCGATCCAAAGCACGCGCGGCTGCACGCCCTTGAACATCGCGAGCGCGCCCTCGTCCGCGATGGTTTTCCGCACGCACTGCAACACGCCGCGATAGACGTCCGGGCTCGTCATCAAACGCGTCTTGACGACGTCGAGCGGCGTCGTCACCGCGCCCGTAAACGCCCCCGCGATCGACCCGAGCGCCGCCGCCTCGACGGCGGTCGCGCCGTCCTCGCCCTTCATCTCTCCCCACGCCTTCTTCAGCGACTCGTACCCCGCGAACTCGATCGCGTCGAACGGTAAGTCGCGCAACAGAAACGACCCGTATCCCACAAACAACCCCGCGACGCCGCTCGACGCGACGACGCTCCTCAATCCCACCCCACCCATCGCGCCCACCTGCCTTCGCGTCTTTATCACCTCCGTCGGCACGCGCACGACGCTCGACACCAGTCCTCCGACCGCGCCCGCGAGCAGGTGTTCCTTCGCGCCGTCGCCGCCGCCGCCGTCGCCGTCGTCGTCGCGCCGCAGCGCCGCCTTCATCGGTTCGTACGCCGCGAAGAACAGCGCGCTCGCCGGGGCGACGCCCGCCAGGTTCCCCAGCAGTCCGCGGTACAGTCCTCGGCGCAGCGCGACGCGCTCGCCGCTTAAGCGCGCCTGCAGCCGCGTCTTTATCGTGTCGAGCGGGTAAAACGCCGCCTCCACCGCGCACCCCGCGACGGCGCCGCTCGCGCAGTGCGCGGCGAGCTCGCGCGCGGACATCGCGCGCGACGTCGCGCGCGGCGTCCCGTCGCGCGCGGCGCGCGCCGTCGACGCGTCGCGCGCGGCGTCGTCGCGCGGCGGCATCTGCCGACGCGACGTCGCGACGATGGCGGACGACGTCGACGACGTGCGCGCGCGCGCGACGCTGATGCTCGGCGACGCGGTGCGCGATGAGACGGCGCTGTACGACGTCGCGCGCGAGATCGAGCGACGCGCGCTCGAGCGCGCCGACGGCGACGCGAACTCGAAGAGGTATCGCGAGTGCGTGCGCACGCTGGCGACGAATCTGCGACGGAACGACGCGCTCGCGGCGCGCGTGCGACGGGGGGAGGCGGACATCGAGGCGTTGGTGCGCGCGGACGCGACGGAGCTCGCGACGGAGGCGGTGAAGGCGGCGCGGGCGGCGGCGGAGGAGCGATGCGCGAGAAGGCGAACGCGGCGACACTTCGACGACGGCGTCAACACCGAGGCGTACGCGTGTCCGATGTGTGAGAACGTCGAGTGCAGGTACGTCATGGTGAGCGGTGGTAGGGACATTCGCAAGGCGGAGATATGGGGAGGCGGCGAACGGGAGTCGCTGGTGTTGGTGCAGTGCCTGCGGTGTCAACACGAGTTTCGCGAGCGCGTGTTGTGACGACGTCGCTAGAGACGCGCGGAGATAGATATTAGGCTAGTGTAGTGGTAGAGCTAGGAATTGTGTCACGCCTTCTTGCCGGTGAACTTCACGACGTCTTCTTCGAGACTGGTGAACGCGCCGCTGCGAGAGAGGAAGTGGAACGCGGCGTCGCGATAGACGGCGTCGCAGTCGTCGGCCGCGCACTCAGCCTTTTTCAAAACCTTTTCGATGAATTTTTTCGTCTTCATCGATCCCGACGCCTTTTCGAGGATCTTCTCGCCGATTTTGAGCCACTTCACCTTCTTTGCTTTCGCCGCGGCGGCTTTCTCGGCGTCGCTGACCTCGTCGCCTTCGCCGAACGTCTTCTTCGTTCCCGAAAAATCAGCCGCGGCGTCGCGGCCTTGGCCAGCCCCCAAACCGCGTCGATTCTTATTCGCACCCGCGTGCGTGTCTTGAAACAAGTTCACTTGATCGTCCTCGTCGAAGCCTCGCTTGCGTTCGAGTGCGTCGGCGTCGGCGTCTTCAGGTTTTTTACCGTGACCCTCCGGGCGAAATCCGACGCGCCAGCCCCACCAGCTCTCCGGCGGCGGATCGAAGACCCACTTCGGTCGCTCCACGACGACGAGTCTCTTGGGTTTTTCTTTCTCCTTATTCGTCGGCGTCGGGATGGACTCGTCCGCGTCCGACGCGCTCGCGGACGCGGACGCGTTGTCCGCGCGCACCTCTGGCAACGCGACGAATCCGCCGCCCAAAATCGCCCCGAGATCCTCCGCGCTATAATTCGACACCATCTTTTGCGACTCTCGCTTATGATACCTCCCCGCGTGACTCACCACCGACCGATTCACGACGATTTCATTCTTTTTCGCCCTCTTCGCCGCCTTCTTCGCCGCCTTCTTCTCCTCCTTCGTCATCTTTCGCTTCTTCGCCTCGCCTCGCGTCTTCGTCTTCGCCCCCTCGTCCTCGTCCTCATCCGACGACGACGCCTTCTCCGCGTTCGCCGCGCGTTCCAACTCTTCCGCGCTGTGCGTTCTATTCAACGATCGCAGCACGTCATCGAACGCGACCGTGTTCATCGTCCAATCCACCGCGTTCGCGCCGCTCGCGTCGTTTCGCGCGTCCGCGCCCACCCCCGTCCCCACCTGTCGCTTTCGCGCGTGAATGTGCCTCGCGATCCCGTCCTGGTTCTTCCCCAGTCCGCGGCCCTCGCGCCATCCGAGTCTCGTGAGCAGGCGCATGCCGAAGCCATCGCGCTCGACGCCCTGGTAGAGCGTCTTCGGGGCGTCGGGCGCCGCCGCCGCCGGCGCGGCGTCCGTCTTCATGCGTCGACGACGCGCGCGCGCGGGCGCGGCGTCGCGCGCGGGCGACGGGCGCGGGCGCGGGCGATTTCGATCACCGGTGCGGTCGCGCCGGGCGCGGCGCGTGCGGTGGCGCGGCGCGGCGCGGCGCGCGCGATTGTGATGCATTCGACATTCGTCTCGCGCGACGAGGCGTGGCTACGGCGCGGCGTCGAGGAGAAGCCGGAGACGCGCCTCGGCGGCGCGCTCGGCGGCGACGGACGCGTTGAACGCGGTCAGATGCGCGTCCGATTCGCCGGCGTCGGCGAACGATTCGGGGTCTTCGGCGGTGCCGGGGGTGTTGGTCGCGAGCGCGGCGAGCCAACGCTCGGAGGCGTCGGCGAAGCGCGCGTGCGCGTCGACGTCGCGACGTAAATCGTCCAAGACGGCGCGAACGTTGTCCAAGGGTGCGGAGTCGATCTCTTCGAACCGACTGGCTTCGGGGATGGCGGTGGCGAGCGCCTCGTGCTTGCGCTTGCGGTTCGTGGCGTCGTCAAAGGCTTCGGTCGGCGTCTTCGAAGACGCGCGTTCGGCGAGCAATTCCGGCTCGGGCTCGTACGGCGTGAAGTCGTACGAGGGATGACCCGGAGGAAGGTAGATGCACGCGTCGCGGCTTTGGCTCTCTAATCCGCTCAGCAGAAGTGTGATGAGAGTTTGGAACAGCGTCACCCACGGAATGTCTTGCAGCTTGTGGAAATGCGGGTCGTATCGCGCTTGCGCGAGCAAGCATTGGCCGTAGTCTTTCGGGTAGTGCGGTAACACCGCTGCGACGTAATCGATGAAAGCGCGCACGGGCTTCTCTCCAGCCTCGAAATCTGGCAGGCGCACGGAATGCAACAAATCTAACACTTTCGTTCGACGGGACTTGGATCTCCAGCCAGGCGGCGGAAGCGCCGCGTTGACGAGACCGATCTCAACCGGCGGCCATTCAGCGCCGTCCTCAGTTTGCGCGGCTTCGAGTATTTTATGCTCCAGCTGGTCGAGGGCATCGTTGAACGCGCGTATGCACGCTCGCGGAGACACACGTGGCTTGACCGTCAAGTTGACATAGCCTGGTCGTAACGCTTCTTCAATTTCTGCCGAAAGATATGCGATCCTGCGTCGAGGCGCCTTTGGCGCGCGTTCCGCCGTCCAAACCAGCACTTCGGACAACTTGTCGTCGGACCATTCTTCCGGACCTTTCGGAGGAAGAAATATCACCAACGCGCCCTCGATGCCGGAACTTGTGATACTTTTCTTGATATCGTTCTGATTCGTGTTGTCTCTCGATGCGACGAAGATTACAAGCGGCGCTTCACTCCTCTTCACCGCTGAGCTGAACGCTCGAAGACGCTTCAGCTCGTGACTCTCACACGTGCCGCCACCGCAATCGAGAACGAAAATCGCCGATGACGCGCCCGCGTTGGAACCTTTGGAATTTTCCATCATTGCTGGCACGTCTCTGACGACGATCCAGGCCAAAGGACCCATCATGTAATCATTTTCCTCATCAGTTCCTGGAAGTGGAAGTCGGGCGCCGTAGAGCGACAAAATCGTCCCAGTGCCAGGCTCTGTCGCGTGTGCGCTTCCGCCCCGAGAAAGTTTCGTGCGCAGCCACTCCGCGACGATTGTCGCTGTAGTCGTCCTCGGTCGTGATGACGCGCTCGCTCCGGAGTCTGCCTCCGCGCCAGTGCAGATGAGACACTTCCAAACAAGAGCGCTCGGCGCCGCGGTGGCCGCAGCTTCGTGCAGCGCCAATCCAACGGTTTGCGGAACATCCAAAGGCACGCCGAATTCTGGCGAGCGGACAGATTCAATCTTCTTTCGAAGTTGCGCAAGCGCGTCCGTCGGACGCTCAGATGCCGCACTCGCGTCGAGGAGAGCCTTGCCGCCGAGATTCAGCGCCGGCGCAGGACTTGCCATGGCGAGCGCTTCGCCGATCAACCGCTCTCGCTTGAACTCCTTCGAGTTCATACGCCAAAGAGAAAATGTGAGTCGGCGGATCGCCATGTGCCTTTTCGCTCGCTTTCGCGCTGCTTTTGCCTCAGCCGCTTGACGTCGAGCGTTCTCTTCAGCGATAAGACGGAGTCGCTCAGCCTCAGCCTCGGCAGCGCGGCGCGCGCGAGCTTCGGCTTCGGCTTTTGCGATTGCAGCCCGGTGTGCGGCGGCAGCTGTCTCTCGAGCTCGTTCCTCGGCAAGTACTCGTTGACGTTCCGCTTCCTCTTCTGCTTTTCGTCGCTCAGCCTCAGCGAGCGCCTTCGCCTCAGCTTCGGCTTTGGCTCGAGCGGCTTCTTCTGCGAGACGTCTTCGCTCGGCTTCCGCAGCTTCAGCCTCAGCTCTCGCCTTCGCCTCGGCAGCCTTCGCTTCTTCTTCCGCTCGCCTTGCCGCCTCCTCTGCTTCCTTAGCCTTTCGCTCAGCTTCTTCCGCAGCCTTCTTTTCCGCAGCCTTGCGTTCTTCGATCTCCTTCTTCTTGGCGAGAATGGCGGCTCGTTCCTTTTCGAGCTGCGATTCGCGCAACGCAATCTTTGCTCGGAGTTCATCAGCCTGCTGCTTGCGTTTATCCGCTTCGGACAATTGTGGCGTAGTTTTGGGTGTACTCATAGTTGGGAGCGTTTTGGCAGCAATCCTAACCGATTCGTCCTTACCGACGATCTCAAGCAAGTAAGAAGCGGCTCGCTTGTTCATGATTAAATCTGAGCGCGAGATTGGAAACTCTTCCGCGGGAGAAATGTACGACGATTCGCGCATAGTCACCGCAGGTGGTTTATCCCCGGCTTTACCTCTGGTGACGTTTAATCCGTGATGTATACACAACGCCTCCGTCTCCATATCATCCGTATGCAGAAGACGCGCGATTTCGGTAATCGGCATGATGAACTTGCCGTACGTCGTGTTCATGACCTCGAGCGCTTTACCACGCATGCTATTGAAGAACTTGTGCAGACAGCAAGCTTGAACGTACGTCGCTTTTTTCACAAGATGAAAGAATCGGGCGACGTTGTTTTCGTGATATGCACGATGACACTGGAGCGCGAATTGAACGTCACGATGCTTTAGCACCTCAGCGCGGACGCTCCTTAAATCGTTCAACATCTCCGACCGTTGCACGGCGTAGCGTCCGTGCGAGTCGATGCGAAGCAAGAGCTGATAACAGAACATCTCGGCCTCGGCATCAATACCGAGTTGCTGACCACGATCGGCATGATCGTCGTACATGTGTCGAAGAGACGTGAGTGTCTTCGTCAGCTGCTCAACATTCAAGTGAGAATTGTGCCCGTCCGGGTTCGTCGCCGACGCTGTCGCCTCGCACAGCTCGTGTTCGGCTAGGATGGTGTAACGAACCATTTGCTCTAATAGCTTTACCGCGAACGAATCCGTGATTTGCTGTAAATTCAAATCCTGGCGAATAGATCGCAGCCTGTCCCAAAGAAATTTGCTCTTTGTCATGAAGTCTTTGTCCTCGGCGTCGAGAATTCGCCAAAGTTGATCTATCGCCAACTGTAAACCTTTCTTCGTTCGAACCATGTCAGGCGTAATTTCATCAACGATGCGCGTATATTTTTTAATGCACAAATCTGGATGAGACTTCATGCGATCCTCTGGGTCGACTCTCTCGAACACTTCCAAGTCGCCGTTCGCGCTCCTGAATTCTCTCTCCTTCGCCGGGCACATCAAATCGCACGTACCCACGATGTGACCACTCGAGGTGGTGATTTCGCCCGTCTCATCGCCCGCAGCATTTGACGTCGATGGCGCTTCACTAGCTAAGTTTAATCTATCCGCAATGGGTTTTGGCTTCGGCGGGACGAAAGCTTTCGCGCCGCCACCAAACGCAGGAATACTTGCGATGGCGTCTCGTTTCTCCGCCTCTGGTGGATTCGCGCCGCCGAACGCGAAACCAGATGTGGCCGGTTTAGGCGCAAAAGGCGATGCCGTGGCGCTCAACCCCCCTGTCGTGGGCGCTACGCCGAAGATCCCGCCGGTCGGAGCCGAAGATACCGCTGGCGCCGCGCCGAAAGGACTCGCGCCGAAAGGACTCGCGGGCGCAGTCGTCGGAGACGCGCTAAAGCTGAACCCACCGCCACCGAACGGCGACGCCGCCGCCGATGGTTCTGGTACCTTCACCGCGAAAGGCGACGGCGTCGAGCTCGGCGACGCCGCCCCGAACGCGCCGAACACCAGCGCGGTCGTCGACGATGGGCCGCCGCCGAACGGCGAGCTCGCGACGGGCGCAAACGGCGTCGACGGCGCCGTTTGCGGCGCGCTCGCGCCGAAAGGACTCGCGCTCGCGCCGAAAGGACTCGCGCTCGCGCCGAAAGGACTCGCGCTCGCGCCGAAAGGACTCGCGCTCGCGCCGAAAGGACTCGCGCTCGCCGCGGGCGCGCCCGTCCCGAACGGACTCGCGGGCGCGCCGAACGGACTCGCGCTCGCCGCGGGCGCGCTCGCGCCGAACGCCCCTCCACCCCCGAACGCGTTCGCACCGCCTCCAAACGCCGACCCACCCCCACCGCTCGCTCCGTGCGCCGCCGCGCCCGTCCCGCTCCCGAACGGACTCGCGCTCGCGCTCGCGCCGAACCCGCCGAACCCGCCGCTCGCGCCTCCGACCCCCCCCGGCGCGTTCGCCGCCGGCGCGCCCCCCCCGAACCCCCCGAACGGCGTCGCCGTCCCTCCGCCCGCGCCCGGCGCCCCTCCCGGCGCCGTCGTCGCCGTCGTCGCGCTCGCGTCGCCGCGCCCGAACGGGTCGCTCGCGCCGAACGGACTCGCGCTCGCGTCGCGCGCGCTCGTCCCGAACGCGCGCGCGCGCGGCGCGCCGAACGGATTCGCACCGTCCGCGCCGTCGCCGCCGAACATGACGCCGCCCGCGCGCGCGGCGCGACGCGACGACGAGTGAGGTCGACTCGAAATCACGATGGCGCGCGCGCCAGAGCGCGACGCGATGTCGACGGCGACGCGCGCCGGCGCGCTTCGAGCGCCGCCGACGCGGTCGAACGGTGCGGCGCGTTCGCGCGCGGGCGCGGCGACGACGAGGGCGCGCGCGAGGACGAAGGATGGCGACGACGACGACGACGACGACGCGAGGACGACGCGGGCGCCGCGCGTGAACGCGGTCGGCTCGAGCGCGCGGCTGAAGAGCGTGGAGAAGACGCGGTGCTTTCGACTGGGCGTGTTCGCGGACGCGCAGTACGGCGATAAGGTGGACGAGACGCGGGAGGACGACGCGACGCGGACGAAGCGGTTCAGGGCGAGCGAGCGACGACTGCGAGAGTGCATTCGCGCGTTCGAAGACGAAGCGGCGACGCTGAGCGGAATCGTGAACTTGGGTGATTTGTTTGATGGGTACAACGAGGACGATAAGACGACGAAGCCGGTGCTGCGGACGCCGATGCGCGCGTCGACGACGGAAAAGAACGGAACAGACTTGGCGGTCGTCGCGGATTTGGTGAACGCGTCGAAGGTGCGGATGTTCCACTGCGTGGGGAATCACGATTGTAACGTCGGGAAAGAGGTGTTTTTAAGCGCCGTGAACGCCGAGGCGGCGTATTACAGCGCGAGTATGCCGAGAGGGTGGCGATTAATCGTTTTGGACACGACGGATTTGAATCCGCGGTACGTATCTCGAGACGCGCCAGAGTTCGATGCGGCGATGCGATTCGCGCAAGACGCCGTGGACGAGGGTCGTGAGGATGTCGTTCCTTGGGGCGGAGGCATCGGTCCCGTTCAATTTGACTGGTTGCGGGACGAGCTGAACGACGCGGCGGCGAAACGCGAGCGAGTCATCGTCGCGTCGCACAACGCCTTGCACAGAGACGCGGCTCGGTATCAGATGAGCGCCTGGAACAGCGACGAGGTCTCCGATCTCATAGAAAGCAGTGGGTGCGTGAAGATTTGTTTGGCAGGACACGACCATCCCGGACACTATCATTATCGAAATGATGTTCATTACGTGACGCTTGAGGCGATGCTCGAGGCGGCGGAGGGCGAGACGAGCTTTGCCTTTCTAGACGTATACGAACACGACGCCGTACTCACTGGCGTTGGCGTTGCTTCATCACGTCGTATGCGAGTCTCGCCTCCCGGTGTCTTCACTGGAATCGCCACTTTTGGCGCGGCCGAGATCGGCGCCATCGCGGGCTCGGGATCGGACGCTCGAGTGGAGACGTCAAGCATGGGCCTCGTGGATTGGATCAACGCGTACGGCAGAGACTAGGTGGAGGTGTGTTTCGTTCATATTTCAACTCTCGCAAGCGGCGATGAGATCGCGTTATATTGTAGAATCGTCACAGAATCGTGTGCGTTGTAAATGTGTACTAATAAAGCTTTGCGAGAGAACGTCGAGACGCTCGCTTACGCCGCGACCGGTTCAAGGGTGTCGATCCATTCGGTGGTGTCTCTCCAGTCAGCGTATTGGAACGCGTCTTGGTTTTGGAAACCCGCACCGGTGGCGTGCACGCCGCAACCGTCGGCACCGTGGATGTAGTCTTCCTTGAAGACGCCCGGCAAGTTGCGCGTGCGAAGCTTGGCATCCCATTGACGGTTCCACAAGTTGTAGCCACCGCGGAGACCGACGATGTTGACGTAGCCCATTTCATCCATGGTCTCAAGCGCTTGAAGCGTGCGGTTGCGGCCATCGGAGCAAGCGACGATGACCTTCGCTTCCTTATCCGGGAACAATTTTTCAACTTGCGCCTTGAAGTCGGCGTTGACGCTTTGCTGGTACACCTTTTCGCCCTTCTCGCTGTCGTACTTGCGCGTCGCGTTGACGATCGACGCCACGACGAACTTCGAGCCGTTGATTTGATCCCGCGGGTAGTTACCCACGAAATCAATCTCGGAATCCGCGCGCACGTCCAAAATCTTGTACCCGCCCGCGACGACGAGAATCATCGCCTCCTGGTTATCGCAGATGCCCTCTTCCGGGAACTTCCCGAGCGTCTCCTCGATGAACTCATCGCTGAACCCGTGGTGGGGTTCCTTATAAATCCCTCCGTCCACGCGCTCGGTGCCTCGCATCGCCACCGCGCGTTTGCTCGCCGTCTTCCCGCGGGTCGCGGTGTTTCGGATCGCCATCCGCGCCATCGCGGGCGCTCGCGTCGTCGTCGCCATCGTGCGTTCGCTCGTCGGTGGGTGTTCGCGCGGGGTGCGCCTTTCGCGTCGTTCGCGTGCGTTCGCGCGCGCCGAAGTGTCGCCGTCGGCGCGTCGCCGCGCCGTCGCCGCGCCGCGGGAGTGGATAACGCGACGTCGAAGGGGGCTTCGCCGGCGAGGGGGTCCGCTCGAGTCAGGACTCGAGTCGTCGTTTTTGACCCCCGACTGGCGACGACGCGACGCCGCGCGACGGCGCGCGACGGCGCGCGGCAGACGATGCTGCGCGCGATCGCGCGACGCGCGTCTCGCGCGGCGGCGACGACGCGCGCGCGCGCGATCTCGACCGCGCGAGACGCGCGCGACGACGCGACGGACGCGAGACGGCGACGAATCAATCGCGCGCTGTATCGCGCGAAGCAGCGCGGATTCTTGGAGCTGGACATCGTCGTCGGCGAGTGGGCGGCGCGCGCGATGGCGTCGACGACGACGACGAGCGATGGATTCTTGGACGCGCTGGACGCGGTGCTGGACGTTGAAAATCCGGAGCTGTTCAAGTGGTTGACGGCGCAGGAGACGGCGCCGCGGGAGATGCGAGAGAACGAGGCGTACGCGTCGCTCGCGGCGCACTGCGCGAAGTTTTTAGACGAAAAGAGCAGCGAGGCGTCGAGGGCGGCGCACGGGCGAGAGTGGATACGGGGTTGGAACGATAGCGGAGCGGGGAATCAGTAGGGAATCGGTAGTAGTGTTTAGTTTCGTTTGTATTAATAGTGCGCGCGGTCATTTCGCCGCTGCGCTATTAAGCTTTTATTTAACTCGTCAATAATCATCAATCAGGGCGACTGTAGATTGGGGGGTGCGAATAACTGCTTACTTCTTCTCTTCCGGCGGGACGCACTTCTCGCCGTTGACCACCCAGACGTAGTGGTACGCGGCGCCGACGAAGATGATCTCGACGGCGAGCACGATGAGACCGTACCAGTACGTCTTCCAGTCGGAGCGGAAGACGGGGGCCATGGTCAAGGAGAAGATGGTCATGAGCTTGATGAGGATGTTCAAAGCCGGGCCGGAGGTATCCTTGAAAGGATCACCGACGGTGTCGCCGACGACGCACGCCTTGTGCGTGTCAGACTTCTTGCCGCCGTACACCTTTTCGTTTTCGATGTACTTCTTGGAGTTGTCCCAAGCGCCACCGGCGTTGGACATCATCACGGCGAGCATGAAACCGGACGAGATGGAACCGGCGAGGAGACCGCCTAGGCACTTGGCGCCGACGAGCAAACCGACGGCGATCGGCGTCATGACGGCGAGGATGCCCGGAATCAACATTTCGTCGACGGACGCCTTCGTGCACATGGTGACGCACGCCATGTGATCGCACACGACACCTTCCTTGCCTTCAAGGAGACCCGGAATGTCGCGGAATTGGCGTTGGACTTCGACGATGATCGCGCCAGCAGCCTTGCGCACGGAGAGCATGGTGAGGGCGGCGAAGAGGAACGGCAACATGGCGCCGAAGATGACGCCGGAGAGCACGTACGGGTCGGTGAGCGTCAAGGCGGAGCCCAACGCACGATCGTTGGTTCCGACGGTGTACGGGACATCCTTAACGAACGCGTTCATCAAAGAAAGCGCGGTCAAGACAGCGGAGCCGATGGCGAAACCCTTACCGGTGGCGGCGGTGGTGTTGCCGAGCGCATCGAGCTTGTCAGTGCGATCGCGGACTTCGTCCGGAACGTCCGGAGACATTTCAGCGATGCCACCGGCGTTATCGGCAACCGGACCGTACGCGTCAGTGGCGAGGGTGACACCGAGGGTGGACAACATGCCAACCGCAGCGATGGCGATACCGTACACACCTTCGTTACCAGAGCCTCCGACGTTAAAGCACGCGATGACGGTGGAGACGATGATGATGGTCGGCGGCAACACGGAGATCATACCGATGCCGAGACCTTGGATGATGACAGTCGCAGCACCACCGGCGGAACCGGCGTGCGTGATGGACTTGACCGGACCGTACGCGTAAGACGTGCAGAACTCGGTGGCTTCGCCGATGAGAATACCGGCGACGAGACCAAGGATGACGCAGCCAAAGTACCTGTAACCTTGCTTGCTGCCGTCGAAGAGGATCTCAACGCAGGCAATGGCGAAGACAATCACGAGGACAGAGGCGGTGTACACACCACGGTGGAGGGCGTGGAGGAGGTCGGTTTGGGAAGCGTCATCCTTCGTGGAGACGGTCCAGAAGCCGATGGTCGCGGCGAGGATGCCGAAGCCGGAGATCCAGAACGGCAAGGCCATTTCACGGAGGTTGTTGGAAAGCGCGGCGCACGCGATGATGGAGCCGCAGAAGGATTCGAAAAGATCAGCACCCATACCGGCGACATCACCGACGTTGTCACCGACGTTGTCGGCGACCGTGGCCGGGTTGCGAGGGTCATCTTCCGGAATGTTGGCTTCAACCTTACCGACGAGATCGGCGCCGACGTCAGCAGCCTTGGTGTAGATACCACCCGCGACACGCGCGAAGAGCGCGATGGAGGAGGCACCGAAACCGAAGCCGGAGAGATAACGGATAGCGTCACGCATGTCGAGCTCCTGCCCACTGGCGCCCGGAGAGCTTTGAGCGACGGCGAAGATGTAGAAGAGGACGGTCAGACCGAGAATACCGAATGCGACGACGGAGAAGCCCATGACGGCACCACCGGCGAACGCGATTTGGAGCGCTTGGTTCAAGCCCGAGCGCGCGGCTTCCATAGTCTTGACGTTGGTTTTCGTCGCGACGCTCATGCCCGCCCAGCCCGCGCCCGCGGAGAGCGCGGCGCCGACCAAGAAGCAAAGCATCGTTTGCCAGCCACCCTTCTTCAAGGAGGCCACCGCGCCGTACATCGGCGGGGCGTCTTGGCTTTCCAAGATACCGACGATGAACGCCGCGACCGCGGCGACGAACGGCAACAAGTACTTGTACTCCGTCTTCAAAAACGCCACCGCGCCTTCGGAGATTTGGTTCGCGATCGCGATTTGCGCGCCCTCACCGGACGGCGCCTTGTTGACGCGCATCATGAGAACGCCAACCATCATCAACGCCGTGATGCCGCCCAAGAACGGCACGCCCGCGACGACGAGCGGCGTGATTTCAGCATCCGTGAACACACCCATCTTGCGACGATCGAGGTTTTGTCTTCGCCTCGGTTTCGAGTGCACGCGACTGTTCGCGGACTCGTCGACGACCGTGCGATTCGCGCGGTCGTTCGATCAGAGATTCGGCGTGCGTCACCGCGCGTCGACAACTGCGGCGCGCGCGCGCGCGCGACCCATCGAGCGATCGCGATCGCGGCTGCCAGCTGTCATCCGATCGCGCGCGCCGCCTTTTTCCCGCGAAGCCTCGATAAAAACACGTCCTCAGTCTTGTTTCACTCACAGTACGTTGGTGTAATTTTTTCGTTGTGGATATATGGTGACGTGGCGAATCTACCTACGTAAACAGTACGGCTATCGGTCGGTCGAAATGTTGGCGCCGCACGCGATCGCGCGCGCGCGCCGCGACGCCGCGACGCCGCGACGACGCGCCGGCGCGCCAGATCGCGCGCGGCGCCGCGCGCGCGCGAGACCCGCGTCGGGACGCGCGCGATGCGCGACGTCGAGGCGTGCGCGCGCGCGTGCGCGACGTTCGCGCTCGGCGTCGGCGTCGGCGTCGCGGTGGTTGAGGCGCGACGGCGCGCGAGCGCGCGCGCGGACGGCGCGAACGCGCGCGCGCGCGACGACGAGGACGGCGGTGCCGCGCGCGGCGCGTCGGTGGGAGGCGGGACGACGACGACGACGGCGTACGACCTGCGGGACGAGATTTTGCGAGAGCAGTTTACGAGAAATGTGCAGTTTTTCGGCGAGCGCGGGCAGACGCGCGTGCGGGACGCGTTCGTGGTCGTCGTCGGATTGGGAGGGGTCGGGTCGCACGCGGCGCACATGATTTTGAGATCTGGGGTGGGTAAGTTGCGGGTGGTGGATTTCGATCAGGTGAGCCTGAGCTCGTTGAATAGGCACGCGACGGCGACGCGCGCGGATGTGGGCACGGCGAAGGCGACGTGCCTGAAGAAGCATTTTGAGAAAATTTATCCAGAAGCCGACGTGGACGCGCGCGTGGCGATGTACGAAGAGGACGCGGAGGATGAACTGCTCGGTGCGTGGGGGGGCGATGGGCGCGCGCCGGATTTCGTGGTGGATTGCATCGACAACATTGACACCAAGGTGGACCTCCTCGCCGCGTGCGCGCGCCGAGGCTTACGCGTCGTCACCTCTGGTGGGGCCGGCGCGAAGTGCGATCCAACGAGACTGCGGTTCGCCGACATCGCCGACTGCGCCGCCGACCCTCTCGCGCGCGCGGTTCGGTATCGATTGAACAAAAAGTACAAGATTCAAGGTGGAATAAAAGCGTTGATTTCGCTCGAAAAGCAACGATGCGAGCTCGTGGCGGAGATGGAGCTCAAAGATGGAGAAACGCTATCGGATTATCAAGTCATTCCGAATTTCCGCGTGCGCACGATTCCCGTGCTCGGCTGCGTGCCCGCCATTTTCGGCATGGCGCTCGCGAGCCACGTGTTGACGGAGCTCGCCGAGGCGCCGTTCGAGGGCGAGCCCGTCATCGTGCTTCAATCAAAGCAGTACGAAACCCAGCTCGATCGGTTGCGCGAGCGCGAGAGCGAGCGTGGGAGGGAGGTGTCCAACATGGCGGTTGATTTAGAACAAGTGATGTACTTGGTACGCGAGACTTGGCGCGCGCTGAGCGCTCGAGACGACCAAAACAAACGCCTCAAGGCGTATTGGCGAAACACGAGCGCACTTTCGTTGACGAGATGGAACCCGTCGCGCGCGGCATCTTTAGATAATCTCATCCTGCTCACCACCGAAGAGTGTGATGCGCACGACGCGGCGTGCGCCGAAGAGGGTGGTTTTGAGAAGCTCGTCGCCGCCGAACCCGAATTCGCGCGCTTTGTCGAGACTAGACTCGCTCGCGTTCGCGCCGATTTTGGCATCGTGGACGACGCGCGATAGACGTTGTATAGCGACAACACTAGAATATTACACTTGGTTGGTGTTGTATCTCACACCGCGCGCGAAAGGTCACACCGCGCGCGAAAGCAACCCCTCGCTGTCTTGATATCCGCCGTCCGCCGTGAACAAGTCGCCGCCCGCGCGCGCGGTCCTCGCCGGCGACCCCGGTATCGGCTCGTGTTTCATCGACGACCCATCGCCGTGCGACAGATTCGGATCGTTATACACGTTTCCGTCGTTCCCATCGAGCAAGCCTTTGCTCCACATGAGCACCCACAGCGCCACGCTCGCCACGCGCACGAAGAACGCGAACAGCTCCGGCACCAGGCAAAAAAAGTTATTCACGCTCGACGCCAACAGTCCCCACTTGATCGACATCAGCGACGAGTCGATGTTCGCCGAGTTCGGTCCGACCGTCACCGTCATCCCCGTCGTGCCGCTCCCGATCGGTCCCGCGTACGTGGCCAACCAAAAGAAATCAGTAATCGTCAGCGCCGCGAGCAGCACGGCGTAGATTTTCAACAACCGCGGCGCCTTGATCTCCATCGCCACCACCGCGTACAGCGACAGCGCGAGCGCCGACGCGTGCACGGTGCCGTAGACGAACGCGAGCGATCCCATCATCGCCAGCACGATCTGCGCGTACGTCGACGCGCGCGCGATCTTCAGCATTTGTCGTCCACCGACGCCCTGGTCCTCGAGGTGATGCAGCACGCCGTCGATGCGCGCGGCGAACTGATCCATGACGCGTCGCGCGCGCGGTGCGCTCCGAAGTTCGGCGTTCGTTCGCGTCGAGCGCGGGCGCGGCGCGGAGTGCGGCGGCGCGCGCGGGCGCGGCGCGGGACGCGCGCATTGAAAACACCCGGGAGTTGTCGGTCGCGACGGGGACGCTTATCCACACGCCGCGACTCTCGGCGCGCCGCACGCGTCGACGCGACGACGACGGCGACCGAAACACCGACGGCGGCGAAAGACGAGTAACATGCACGGGTTGACGATCGGCGCGACGCGCGCGATGACGCTGGCGAAGAGGGACGTCGTCGGAAAGAGCGACGCGCGAGGACGAAGGATGCGAACGCGAAGGACGACGACGACGACGGCGGCGGCGGGAGGGAACCAAGATCCGATCTTGCTTCGCGCGGCGCGAGGGGAAGACGTGGAACGACCGCCGGTGTGGCTGATGCGTCAGGCGGGGAGGTACATGGCGGAGTTTCGCGCGTACAGTACCAAGTACGGGTTCAGGCACCGAAGCGAGACGCCGGAGATCGCCATCGAGCTGTCGATGCAACCGTGGCGGGCGTTTAAGCCGGATGGGGTTATCATGTTTAGTGATATTTTGACTCCGTTGCCGGCGTTGGGGATCGAGTTCGATGTCGTGAAGGGGAAAGGGCCGGTGGTGACGCCGGTGAGGACGATGGACGACGTCAAGGCGATGAAGCAGCTGGACGATCCAGATTCGCAATTGCCGTTCGTTCGTGAGATTTTGAGCACGCTTCGGAAAGAAATCGAAGGCCAATCCACCATGCTTGGTTTCATCGGTTCGCCGTGGACGCTCGCGGCGTACGCCATGGAAGGTTCGAGCGATCGACACTTGGTGACGACGAAGCAAATCATGACGCAAGATCCGGAGACGCTGCACGCGTTTTTGTCCAAGTTAGCCGACGCTCTCGGTGTGTACGTGTGCCATCAGATCGACAGTGGTGCGCAAGTGGTGCAAATTTTCGATTCTTGGGCCCACCACCTTTCGCCGCAACAGTATCTCGAGTTTTCCCACCCGTATAACGAGCGCGTCATCGCGTACGTCAAGCAGCGTTATCCGGACACTCCGCTCATCTTCCACGCGAACGGCGGATGCGGCAAGCTTCACGAGCTCAAGAAATCTACGGCGGATGTAATTGGATTGGATTGGAACACGAGCATGAGCGAGGCGCGAGCGGTGCTCGGTCCGGATCGCGTGTTGCAAGGAAACATGGATCCCATGTACCTCTTCGCGAGCCCGGAGCGCATTAGACAAGAGGTGGCGAACAACGTGAGAGACGCCGGTAGCAGGAAGCACATCTTGAACGTCGGTCACGGTGTGGTTCAAGGCACTCCGGAGGAGAACGTCGGACACTTCTGCGATGCGGCGCGGGCGTCGGTTTACGCGCCCAAGGCGGTTGCGCGATAGTAAAAGTTTTTATTAATACGATCAGTCACGCAAAGCTAAAATTTGTCCATCTCAAAGCAAAAGCTGCGTCACGTCCGGCACGCACGTCATGCGCGCGATCGTCGGTCCCATGATGACGCACTGTTGCCTATCCCCATCTAATCGAGCGAGCTGCTCCGAGTGTTGGTACGGCGTTCCTCGCATGACGTCGAACACCGCGTTTCCAATGTACAGCTTCGCCGAACCGTCGGCGTGAATCTTCAATTCCCCGAGCTGTCCATTGGAGAGTTCGGACACGCCACGCACCATACCCGAATCTTCGTCGTCTGGATCATCGTCTCTGAGCGTGACGACGCCGTCCACGTCCATCTCCTCGCTCGCGATGCGCTTGCGAAGCGGTAAATCCGACGGCAGTTGAAGCACCACGTACTTGTCCTCGGTCGATTCGCGAACCGTATCGCCTACGGCACCGACATCGACCTCGCGCGAACTTCGTGTGAGCACCGTGGGGTAATACTGCGACTTATCCGTCCAATCTTCCTCGGCGTCGTACATCTCCTCCGTCGTCGCGCGTTCGGGTTGTATCCGCCTCGAAGCCTCCTCCAACGCCAGTTGCGCTTGCTTCGCCTTGCTCATCCGCGCCTGACGCGCGGGCGTCGTCTGCACGCCTACCGGCGCGTCCGTCATGATCGCATCCGCCGCTCGCGCGGGCGTCGACGGCGTCGCCGGCGCCTTCCCCGGCAACCCGTCCTCCTCGCCGTCGTCGTCCGCCGTCGCCGCGTCGCCGACTTCTTCCTTCACCGCCACCGCGCTCGCGGCTTTCCGCGTCGACGCACCACCGATCGCGGCTTTCCCGCGCTTCCCCCCGCTCGCGCTCGTCGTCTCTTTCGCGCCTCTCGCCGCGCGTCCCGCGCGTCGCGGCGTCCCGCTCGCCGCGCCCTCGCCCTCGCCCTCGCCCTCGCCCTCGCCCTCGCCCGTCCGTTCGCCCGCGCTCGTCCGTTCGCCCGCGCCCGCGCGATTCGCGCGCGTCGCGCCCTCGCCTCGCTCTCGCCGCTCCCTCGAGCTCCCGCGCGCGCCTCGCGTCGTCGTCGTCGCGCGTCGATCGCCGCCGCCGCCCGCGCTCGCCGATTTCCCTCGCGTCGCGCTCGCGCTCGCGCGCGCGCGCTCGCTCGCCGCGCTCGCGCGTATGCTCCCCAACCGCGCGCTCGCGCCGCGTCCGTCGCGCGCGCGCTCGCTCGACATCGCGCGCCGCGCCGTGCGGTCGCGCGTCGGCGCCGTCGCCGGGACGCGCGACGTCGCGCGCGCGTCACAGCGCGCGCGCGACGCCGCGCGACGCCCCGCGCGCGCGACGCCGCGCGGGATGTCCACCGCGCGCGCCGCGCGCGCGAGCGACGCGCGCGAGCGCGAGGGCGCGACGCGAGCGCGCGCGACGTCGCCGCGGCGGGGACCGCGGGCGCGCGCGCGGGCGACGACGGCGCGCGCGGACGGAAGCGCGCGCGCGACGACGGCGACGGACGCGCGAGCGACGACGACGGGACGAAAGCGATCGCGGCGCGACGGCGACGGGACGAGAGCGACGACGGCGCGCGCGGACGAGGGCGAACGCGCGAGAGCGGGCGAACGCGCGAGAGAGGGCGGCGACGCGAGCGGAGACGGGTGGAGCGCGAACCCGTGGCGCGCGGCGAATAATCTGGACGTCAACGACGTGGCCATGGTGCAAAATTTGCTGGAACGCTCGCTGCGGTTGTACATGTCGAAGAGGGAGGTGGTGGCGCACCTGCAGGCGCTGGCGAACATCGACCCGGTGTTCACGCAACTGGTGTGGGGGCAGCTGGAGAAGAGTAATCCGGAATTTTTTCAGGCGTACGGCGTCATGGTGGAGGTGAAGGATCAGATCATTCGCTTCAACGCGCTGCTGGAGAAGCAGCACGAGTGGATGCAGAAGAACGGGGAGGCGGGAGGAGGAGGCGAACCGAAGGCGAAGGCGAAGGCGAAGGCGAAGGCGTCGCCGAAGAGGAAACAAACCGCGCAAACGAAGACACCCGCGGTGGAGGCGGCGACGCCGGCGCGCGCGTCGAACGCGTCGGGGGCGAAAAAGAGCGAATTACCCGTGTTGACGCCCGGAGTAAATGCGGGTTTGACGGGGGTCGGCGCCGTCGGCGTCGCGGACGCCGCGCTCTTCGGCGGAACGCCGTACACCGCCAATCCCGATCTTCACGAAGAAATCACCAAGTTGATGATGGAAACGCCGTCCATGAACATAGCCGTCGCGGATTTGCAGCTCGATTTCGAGAAGCACATGGAAGACCTGATGCCTCGAGACGCGGACCACCCCGCGAGCTCGCTGCCGCGAGACTTTTCGCTCGACGACATTCCCGACTTCAACCTCTGATTTCGACCGGCGCTCGCGTAGGACGCAGTCAATAGCGTTAACTAGATAGACACACAGTGTGCGGTTCAATATTCAGTATAATATTCCTTCATTCCCCATCCGAGCGCCCTCGTCTCGTCGACCTCCGTCGTCCCGTTCGTCGTCGCCGCACTCGAGGGCGCGCGTCGTCACCCGCGCGTTCGCCCGTTCCATGCCCTTGCGCCACCTGAAGCGCGTGCGCGTGCAATTCAACCCGCTCGATCCTCGCAGCACGGCTGCGCGCGAGTTCCTCGCCCGCGTCACCACGGCGAAGGCGGCGAAATCCAACCCCGAGTGCGCCGTCGAGCCGCGCGTGCGCAACGACGCCGCGCCGCCGGTCGTCGCGGTGGAGTTCGCGAGCGGCGCGCGCGATCAGTTTAACGTCCATCGCATGACCGTGGACGATATCGCGCGAAGGATCAAGACGGTGAGCGATCAGATGGCGGTGAAGCAATCCCTCGCCGAGGCTGGGTTGAAGCTTGAAGACTTGAGGTTTGACGTGCGCGGGACGTGAACGCGATGTCGATGTCGACCGTGCAGCAGGAAGCGCTGCGACGAAGAGCGTTGGAACATCGCGCGCGATGGGAGGCGCAGCGACGCGAGGTGGAGGAGCGAAGGGCGAGGGAACGCGAGGACGAGAACGTCGCGCGCGCGTCGCGAGCGGCTCGAGAAATCCGAGCGACGACGAACGACGACGACGACGACGACGATGACGACGAACGGTTGTGTAGGATATGTTTTTCGGGTGAGGATGGCGGACGGTTGTTTTCGCCGTGCCGGTGTCGAGGTTCGATGGCGTTGGTGCACGTGGAGTGCCTGAACGAGTGGAGAAACCTCAGTCGAAATCCTCGGAGCTTTTACGGCTGCGATCAATGCGGATATCAGTACAATCTCGAGCGCACGAGAGCGGCGCGTTATTTAGAGCGAGAAGAGCCCGCGTTGGTGTTCGCAGTCGTGGGTGTGTTTCTCTTAACGCTCTTCGTCGCCGCGCTGTGTCGCGCGGCGAGCCACGGGGCGTTTCTCATTATGACGCGCGTACGCCAGTTTCTTCAAGCGCGAAACATGTTGCGATCGCGTCCGAGCATCGATCGCATCCTAGCAGAACTCACCATGAAGCGCGTGCAGACCCATCGAGGCGTGACGCTGCACGCGTCGACGTGTTACGTCGAAGTCTTCTTCTATCGTCTTGTGCGTTGGATCCCTCCTTGGCGCGACTTGCGTCGCGCCGACAGTTGGTTCCACGCCCCGCGCATCATCGCGATACACGAATACCTCGACTTTTTCACCGGTGGGTACCTCATGGTCGGCTTGCTCGCCTTCATCGTGAGTATGTACAACAAAATTCAAGTTCAGGGAATTCGCCGCGTCGCCGAATTCGTCGGCCCGAGCTTTGCCTTCGTCTTCGCCGCCAACGGCTTAAAGGGCGCGCGGCTTCCCCTCTTCGCCGGTTCGCTCTACGCCTACGCCAAGCTTCACGAGTACACCAAGCTCAAGAGTCGCGCGCTGTTAATGCGCATAGGCCAACGCGTCTTAGAAGTTCAATAGTACGGAGCGCCGCCGGAGCGCGACCCAACCGACGCAACCACCTCTCGACCCCAGTCGCCGCCTCGCCGCGAACATGTCGGACGACGACGACTACGGATTCACGTACTCGGACGAGGACGAGTTCAACGAAGATGAGGTCGACATCGAGAACGCTTACTACAACGCCAAAGGTGCGCCGCGCGACGACTCGACGGACGAACGCGCGTCCCCTTGCGAATGCGAACGCGTCAACGGCGCGACGAAACGACCCGACTGACGCGAGATGACGTCCGTAGGCTCGCTCGAGAGCGGTGCGAACGAAGCGGCGATGAAAGGTTTCGAGGAAGTGATCGCGATGGAGCACGAGAAAGGCGAGTGGGGGTTCAAGGCGTTGAAACAAATGGTCAAGCTGCTGTATAAAATGAACGACGCGGGGGCGATGCTGGAGCGGTACAAGGAGCTGTTGACGTACGTCAACGACGCGGTGACGAGGAATTACAGCGAAAAGGTGTTGAATTCGATATTAGATACGATTGCGTCGAACGAGGATATGGGATTTTTGCAAGAGTTTTACGAGACGACGCTTAGAAAATTAGAAGAGACGAAGAACGAGCGTCTGTGGTTCAAGACGAATCTCAAGCTGTGTAAACTGGTCTTCGACGCGAAAGATTTCGCGCGCATGCAGGTGATTTTGAAGGAACTGCACAAGAGTTGCCAAAATGAGGATGGCACGGTGGATCAGCGCAAAGGGACGCAGCTTTTGGAGGTGTACTCGATCGAGATACAAATGTACACGGCGCAAAAGAACACGAAGAAGCTCAAGGATTTGTACGAAAAGGCGTTAGAAGTGACGTCGGCGATTCCGCATCCGCGAATCTTAGGCATTATTCGAGAGTGCGGTGGGAAGATGTACATGGTAGAGCGCGACTGGGAAAACGCGGCGACGGATTTCTTCGAAGCGTTCAAATCCTACGACGAAGCCGGTAGCGATCGACGCGTGCAGTGCTTGAAATATCTGGTCCTGGCGAACATGCTCATGGAGAGCGAAGTCGACCCGTTCGACGCGCAAGAGGTGAAACCGTTTCGCGAGGATAAAGAAGTCACCGTCATGCGATCGCTCGTTGGCGCGTATCAACGAAACGATATCGCGGCATTCGAGCAACTCCTCAAGACGCATCGCGAGCAAGTCATGGGCGACGACTTCATTCGCGATTACGTCGAGGATCTCCTGAAGAACATCCGCACCCAAGTCCTCTTGAGACTCATCGAGCCGTACACCAGAATCACGATCCCTTACATCTCCACCGAGCTCAACATTCCCGAGCCCGACGTCGAGTCCCTCATGGTTTCCCTCATCCTCGACCGCCGCGTCGACGCCAAAATCGACCAACGCGCGCAAGTCGTCCACATCGCGCGCGAGGATCCGCGCGCCATCGACGCCATCGCTCGCGCTCGCGGCTTCGCCAACTGGTCCGAGCGTTTACGCGATCTCCATCTCACCGTCGCCTCGAAGCTCGCGCGCGCGTGACCGTCACCGTTGTAAAACATTTCTTCTCCTCGTCGCCGGCGCCGGCGCCTCGCCCGCTCGACGCGCCAGATTCCGCGAGCCCATCCGACCTCACTCGCGCGCGCGTCGCGAAACTCGCTCGCGCCATGCGCGTTCGCGCGCGAAACGCGCGCGTCGTCGCCCTCGTCGCGTTCGCGTGCGCGCTCGCGCGTCGCGTCGGCTCCGCGCGCGCGTTTTATCTCCCCGGCGTCGCCCCGATCGATTACGAGCGCGACGACTTGGTGTACATCAAGGTGAACAAACTCACGTCCACGGTCACGCAGTTGCCGTACGATTACTACGCGCTGCCGTACTGTAAACCGGATAAGATAAAACACGCGGCGGAGAACCTCGGGGAGGTGCTGCGAGGAGATCGGATCGAGAATTCGCTGTACTCGCTGGAGATGCGATTCGACGATCGGTGCAAGGTGCAGTGTCGGAAACAGTTGAGCGAAGAGGAAGCGAAAACGCTGAAAGGAATGATCAAGGACGAATACAGGGTGCAGATGATATTGGATAATCTACCGGTGGGGATGACGCGGTACGTGGAGGACGAGCAAGGGACGAGGAAAAAGTACGAACGCGGATATCCAGTGGGATTCACGACGGAGGACGGGAAAGCGTACGTGAATAATCACATTCGCTTCACGATCTTGTATCACAAGGATCAGGAGACGGATTTGAGTAGAATCGTTGGATTCGAATGCGAGCCATTCAGCGTGGATCACAAGTATAAGAAGTGGAGCGACGATAAGCCGTTGTTGAAAACGTGCGATCCGAGGCAGCAAGTGTACGTTTCGGAGGGGAGCGCGCCGCAAGAGGTCAAGCCGGGTGAAGAAATCGTGTACACGTACGACACGCTATTCAAAGAGAGTGACATTCGGTGGGCGAGCCGTTGGGATACGTATCTCTTGATGGCAGACGATGAAATTCACTGGTTTTCCATCATCAACAGCATGATGATTGTGCTCTTCTTGTCGGTGATGACGGCGCTCATCATGCTGCGAACGCTTCATCGCGATATTACCGTGTATAACCAGCTCGAAACCGCTGAAGAAACGCAAGAAGAGTCTGGTTGGAAGTTGGTTCACGGTGACGTCTTCCGCGTTCCGGCGCACTACACCTGGCTCTCCGTCTTCGCCGGCACGGGCGTGCAACTCCTCTGCATGACGACGGTAACCATCTTCTTCGCTGTTCTCGGGTTCTTATCACCCGCCAATCGAGGTGGGCTCATGACCGCTATGGTGATGATTTACGTCATCATGAGCTTCGTGAATGGTTTCGTCAGCGCATTTTTGTTCCGTATGTTCAAAGGTCAAACTTGGAAGATGAACGCCGTCAAGGCTTCTTTGTTGTATCCTGGCGTCGTCTTCACAGTGGGTACGGTGTTGAACGTTCTTATCTGGGGTCAAAAGAGCAGTGGTGCGATCCCGTTCGGAACGTATTTTGTTCTCATGTTCTTGTGGTTCGGTATCTCCGTCCCGCTGACTTTCATGGGGAGTTACTTGGGTTTCAAGAGAGAGCCTTTGGAGGAACCTGTGCGAACGAATAAGATTCCACGCCAAATCCCGCCGCAGCCTTGGTACATGCACGATGCCGTGGCCGTTCTCATCGGAGGCGTGCTTCCGTTTGGGGCGGTGTTCATCGAGCTGTTCTTCATCCTCACTAGCATCTGGCTTCAGCAGTTCTACTACATATTTGGCTTCCTGGCGCTCGTCTTCATCATTCTCGTCGTCACGTGTGCGGAAATCACCGTCGTCATGTGCTACTTCCAACTCTGCGCCGAAGATTATCGTTGGTGGTGGCGATCGTTCTTGACAAGTGGAGCGGCCGCGTTCTACATGTTCGCGTACGGGATCGTCTACTACCACACCACGCTTGTGGTGACGCACAAACTGACGACATTCATCTACTTTTCGTACATGTCGGTTTTGTCGTTTGGATTCTTCATCCTCACGGGCACTGTGGGTTTCTTGGCGAGTTTAGCATTCGTTCGTGCGATTTACGGAAGTGTCAAGATCGATTAAAGCATCGAAATAGATATTGCAATAACCACGGCAGAATTCTTCTATCATCGCGATGCACCTCGTGAAATATTTACTTCATCGAGTCAATCAGTGCCTGGAATTCCGCGCTTTGCTTTGCGTACATGTGCGTCAACACATTCAGCTTCAACCTGAGTGCGTTATTCATCTTCTTCTGATGCTGATTTTCTTCCAGAACAGCATTCATTTGTTGTAACTCATGACGCAGTAAGTGAACAGTGTGATCCAAATCCTCATTTTCATCGTCGCCGTAAACCAGGCCGTCCATGTAGTCGTCATCCCCGTGAGGGCGAAGGCCATTCCGAGACGCTACCCGTTCTTCGGCCACAGGTGCTGGAGACGGCGTTTTGTTCCCAAACTTGAACAACTCCCCGACAAACGCGCCGATCGTGCTATTCGCTGAGGCGCTTCGAGACTCGCTCACGACGCTCTGTTGCGACAAAGGAGAATCCGAGTTAAAGTAGTCCGACGCGATCTTGATGAAGTAGTTTACGAATTCAGGAAATGTCACCACCCTTTTTGCGTCAATCGACATCGCCTTGAAGATAACCGCGACCATCTTTTTCGTCTTGTCAGCGCCGTGGGAGATGTCGCTGCCGACGTCGAGTGCGAGCGCGATGTTGGGGCTCTCTCTGAGCTCGTCCAGGAACTCCTGCAACACGATGCGCTCGTTCTTTTCGTAATCCACAATTTTGTACACATCACGCAAGTATGATTTAAGGACAAGCAAGTCAGAATCCGGTATTTTGCTCATGTTCTCCTCCTTCTTTTCTTTCTCGCTCGTTCGCAAGCCTGCTTTGAGCGCTTGCTTGCTGACATACCGAATGCCACGCTTAAACGCGCTCATGCTTCGAACTTTTGCCTGATCGAACGACATTAGCAACGCTTTCTTTTCGTCTCTCGACAGCTTGTTCAGAGCGTGATTCGAGTGCGCGTTTTGCTGCACCGTAAAGTACTCCACGAACTCTTCAAAGTTAACGCTCTTATTCTGGTCGGCGTCCATCCTTGAGAAAACCTCGCTGACAACGTTCGATACGTCGTCGCCGGCGGGCGTGCCTTCATCTAACAAGGCTCCGATCTCCGGATTCGAGTGTAAAGCCGATAAGAACTCCACGAGCGTCACCTCGCCGTTGCCGTCGTAGTCGATCAATTTAAACACTTGCTTGAGGTAATTCGCGTCAACCACCACCTGAACCGGAGCCTGCGGCGGCGGCGGCCTCGGCGGCGCCGCGCGCGCCTCCGGCTCCGGTGCCGGCACCACCGCGTTCTCCTCCGCGTTCCGCCCCGCCCGCGCCTCGATCTCCGGCGCGTCCTCCCCCGCGCCCTCCACTCTCGTCGCTCCGTTCTCCACCGCCGTCTCCTCCTTCACCGCCGCGTTCGTCTTCCCGCCCTCGAGCGCCTTTCTCTCCTCCGTTTCCATCTTCTTCTTCGCCTTCGCTCGCTTATTCGCCTCGATCGCGCTGATTCTGAACAATTCCAAGAATTCCTCAACCCGCACCGCGCGCGCCGCCGCCTCCTCCAGCGCGTCGAACACCCCGTCCAGCATCTCCGTCGACGTGAACGCCTCCGTCGCTCCCTGCAGCGCGTCCGTCATCGCCGCGTCCGCGCGCAATCGATCCAGGAACGCGCGCACGACGATCTCCCCGCGCCCGCTCGCGTCCAACGATTCGAAGCATCGCCTCAGCGCGAACTCCTTGACGATCAGCCGTCGCGCGCGCCGCGCCGAGGCGCGCGCGGACGCGTTGCGTTTCGAGCCGTCGCCGCGCGCCATCGCCGGCGGTCTCGGCGCCGCGGCGCGTCGTCGCGCGGCGTCGATCGGCGCGTTTTGATGTGCCGCGCGGCGCGGCGCGGCGCGATTCCGCGACGCGACGGCGACGACGGCGACGATGGCGACGGCGACGACGACGAGGATGACGGCGCTCGCGGCCGCGCGCGCGCGCGGCGACGCGACGCGACGCGCGCGCGCGACGCGCGCGAACGCGCGCGGCGATGGTCGACGTCAGCGCGCGGTCGACGCGCGCGCGGGGAAGCGACGAGGGATCGGGGACATCCTGGACGACGAGTTCAGCGAGAGCGATGGGAAGAAGAAGGAGAAGAAGCGCGGGGGGGTCTCGCGCGACGGAGGGGCGCAGTTCGAGCGGAAACCGATGGGGACGACGTCGAGCGCGCAGGATAAGTGGATTAAAGTGGGCAACGTGAGCGAACTCGAGGAGAAGCCGATCAAGGCGCTGCTGCTGGCGAATGGGAACTTTTGCATGGTGAAGTATGGGTCGATGGTTTTCATCACGGCGTGTAACTCGACGGCGTATCAGTATCCGCTCATCGACGGGGAGCTGTTCGAGGGACCGAGCGGGGCGGCGATTCGCGTGCCGCTCGACGGCACGGAGTACGACTTGGCCACGGGAGAGGTGATCACGTGGTGTCCGCAAAATACCATGATGCGCAAATTTTTGGGAGGACTCAAGAAGGCGGCGACGCCCGTGCCGTTGGCGGTGTATCCGACGAAGATTGATTCGGAGGGCGACGTGTTCACGTATTTCATCTGACTTGATTCCGCGAATGAAAATATAAATTACACAACGCTCTAAAATTGCTGCTCGCTAAATTCTAATCGTCGCCGCCGCCGCGCGCGCTCGCGGACGAACGTTTGTTGCCGCTACCGAATTCGAGACCCATGCTGGCCGCCACTTTCTCGGCGCCGCCGAAACGCTTGAGCGCATTGACGATATCCGCTCGCCCGGCGTCGCGCAACGATTTCTGAGACGGCATCCTTCGGGGGTTCCGTTGAACATTCGGATCCTCTGTGTTGGCGATGAAGTCTTTGATCTCCAACTCCAACGTTCGCAGTGTCCAATACCCACGTGGTCGCGTCTTCGCGCCCGACCAATCTAGAAGTTGCGCCACCTTTACGAAACCGCCGAGGCTTTCGATTTGCTGGATGGCGTCCCAGTGACGCCCGCCGCGTAACTGTTCTCGCGTCGGCATGCACTTGTTCTCGCCGAAGCCGAGAGTGATAAGTTCGCGCTTCAACGCTTGTATCTGTTTCTCTTGGTTTTCAGTGGCTTCAGAGTTGAGCGCGCCGACGATTTGCTCGTCGACGGCGTCTTCCTCGTCGACGGACATTCCAGCGCCTTTCAGCACAAGATCGGCGACTTTGATGTTGACGTTCCCGTATGACTGCACCTCTTTACTCGCAATTCCTTCCATGAAATCTCTCGCTTGTTTGAGCATGGTTGAAATCTCTTCAAACACGATGCGCTCGTTGAGCGGGTCCACCTTTTTCGCCGTCCCATCTATTCCAGCATTGCTCACAACGCCCTCGATGGCGAATTTCAACACCGTGGCTGCGGAGTCTTCGGTCGGAACGACGAGCCATTTACCTTGAAGCGCGCCGAATTTCGGGTTCTGTAACACGCGAAACTGTAACTCGGTGCGGTCGTCCTTCTGCACGACGTCCAGCGCCGTCGACTCTTCGATGGCGTGAAAGAGGTCGCACTTTACGAAGACTTGCCTGAGACGCAATCGTTTGATCTTTTCGGACGCCTCACGCTCGACTGCATTATATCTTTGAATGTACTCAGTGTGCATGAGATGCGGCATGAACTTTGGCATGTTTTCGTAATTCGTCAACAAATCCCACACCAACGCCGGCGGCGCCTCGATGCGAACCGCGGCCAGCGCGCGTCTGTGCAACAAACTGTCCGTATCGTACCGTCGCATGTGCACCTCGAGCGAGCCTGGATTTTCAAACGGGGTAATGTCGCTTGAAAACCACTTCTCTCCTTGCGCACCACCACCGATAGCTCTCCAGCTCTTCGGTGCCTCTGAGGCTTTGGCTGTCTCGCCGCGCGGACGCATCCGCACCGCGGCGGGTTTGGAGGCATCCGGCGTCTCCTCGTCTTGACTCGATTCCGAGTTTTGCGTCGGGACGTTGACCTCACTCAATCCGAGATATCCACTCGGTACTAAAGAATCGTCCGCTTTCTTTGCCAGTTCCCTGGATGCCCCGAAAGGGGTCTCGAGCTGAGGCAGGAATCCCGGCGACCGCAGTCGTCGTTGGTCTCTCTTCACCGCCTGCTTCGTCACGCTCGCGATGACGAACGGGAAGCTCTCCTCCACCGCCCTGCGCAGGACATCAGCTGGAACTTCGTAATTTGTCGGCCTCAACTCAGCCCTGTACTCCAATCTGCACTTGTACGATTCGCCAAAAATAGGCCGAATACAAAACGATCCCACGAGCATGAAATCGCTTCGCTCGTCGACGTTTCTCGCCAAAAATCCAAGCTTCGCCGGCCCGTTTTCCCAGTTCGGTGGCCCCTTCGACTTATCCACGATCCGAACGCTCACCGTATTCAGCATTCTCGGCGTGAACAGCGTGTAATCCATCGCGAGCAATCGCACCTCCGTCTCCGTCGATCCGTATTGCTTCGGCCCGCGCTTGGCCACGAGCAGCGTCGGCGCGAACTCCGACAAATTCTCCCCTCTCGCCAAACACGCCCACACCGACTCCGGCGACGCGACGACGTCCACCGCGACGATCGCCGCCGCGCTCTCCTCTTCCTCCGTCTCCTCGTCGTCCGCCGCCTCGTTCGAGCCTCTCTCGTCGTCGTCCGCCTCGTCGTCGTAATCGTCCCAACTCGTCGAAATTTCGTACCCCGCCCGCGCGTCGCTTCCCCACGACGCGCGCGCGCGCGTCCATCGCCCGCGTCGACGCGTCGACCCTCGCTCGCGCGTCCGCGTCGCGCGCGCGCGCGACGCGACGTCGCGCGCGACGCGTCCGCCTCCCGCGTCGTCGCGCCCAGCGCCCATCCGCGCGCACCGCACCGCGGCGCTCGACGCGCGTCCGCGCGCGCGCGACGTCGACGCCGGCGTCGCGGGCGTCCGCGCCGACGCCCGCATCGTCGACGCGCGCGCCGACGCGCCGCTCTGGCGACGCGCGTCGCGCGCGCGACGGGACGTTTCACCGCGAAACTAGCATACACACGGACACGAATTGAAAACTAAAACACGGACCTCGTCCGCGATGCCCCGGCAGCGCGGACGGATAACGTCGCCCGTCATGGCGCTCCGACGCACTCGTATACGACGCCCGCGCGCGTCGCGCGATTTATGCCGCGCCGCGCGCGCGAAAGGCCGACCGCGGATCCGCACACTCGAACGCGACGCGCGCGACGGCGACGGTGCGCTGAGCGAACGCGCGCGATCGCGCGAGCGCGAACGCGCGCGAAAGACCGCGATCGACCGCGCGCGCGACGACGGCGCGGCGGCGTCGCGACGTCGGACGCAGACGCGCGACGCGCGACGCGCGTGACCTCTCCGGCGCGCGGCGTCGAGCGCGCCGGACGCGCGCGCGACGACGGTCGCGAGGCGCGGACCGCGCGCGTCGACGCGGGAATATTCTGCGCGGCGCGCGCGCGAGGCGACGACGACGGGCGATCGCGCGCGCGCGAAAAGCGACGCGCGAAAAGCGACGCGCGAAAAGCGAACCCCGTGACTCACGTCGCGCGCGTGCGAAACACAGATGGCGCCCGCGACGCAGCGCGCGTGCGGTGCCGCGCGTGCGGTATCGACGAAGACGAAGTGTACGTTTTTTTGTTCGCGCGGCGAACGATGCGCGCGGCGAGGCGAAGCGCGCGCGCGAGGCGACGAGCGATCGCGCGCGATCGAAACCAACGGCATCCCGTTATTCGATAAGGTGGAGTGGATGAAACCTAGGTCGGCGCGCGAACGCGGAGAGCGGAAGACTGACGAGGACGCGAACTCGTGCGAGCGCGCGTAGTTTTGGGTGACGTGAAGAAGGGGACGTCGGCGCGCGCGTGCGTGCGCAGGGCGGACTCGGCGCGACGCGTCGGCGTGGCGCGCGCGACGAAGCGCGGCGACGCGCAGGCGCGCGACGCCGTCGCGGATTCGGCGGCGAGCACGGCTTCAGCGTCGAGCGCGGATGCGTTGGCCAAGTATGTGGCTGAAAGAGGAGGGAAACGGGTGATTCGTAAGGTGTTGATCGCGAACAACGGTATGGCGGCGACGAAGAGCATTCTCTCGATGCGGCGTTGGGCGTTTAACACGTTCGGGGATGAAAACGCAATTCAATTCTTGGCCATGGCGACCCCGGAGGACATCGCGGCGAACGCCGAGTTTATCCGTTTCGCGGATGACTACGTCGAAGTTCCGGGTGGTTCGAACAAGAACAACTACGCCAACGTGCCTTTGATCACAGAAATCGCCAAGCGCGAAGGCGTCGACGCGGTTTGGCCGGGATGGGGTCACGCTTCCGAGAATCCAAAGCTCCCGACTTCGCTCAAGGCGATCGGCGTGCAATTCATCGGCCCGACTGCGCCGGTGATGAGCGTGCTAGGCGATAAGATTGCGGCCAATATTTTGGCGCAAACCGCCAAGGTTCCGTCTATTCCGTGGTCTGGCGACGGTCTCGTCGCAGAGTTGACGGAGGAGGGCACGATTCCGGAAGAAATTTTCAACAAGGCGATGGTCACGACGGTCGAGGAGTGCGTCGCGGCGGCGAAACGCATCGGTTTCCCGGTCATGTTGAAAGCGTCTGAAGGTGGTGGTGGTAAGGGTATTCGTATGAGCGCGGATGAAGAGCAGCTTCGAACAAACTTTGAGCAAGTCAAGGCTGAAGTCCCGGGCTCGCCGATGTTCATGATGCAGCTTTGTACGCAGGCGCGTCACTTGGAAGTGCAAATTGTCGGTGACGAGTACGGTAATGCCATTGCCTTGAACGGTCGTGATTGCTCCACGCAGCGTCGATTCCAGAAGATCTTTGAGGAAGGTCCTCCGACGATTGCCAAGCCGGAAATTTTCAGAGAAATGGAAAAGGCAGCGCAGCGTTTGACAAAGAATATTGGTTACATTGGTGCTGGTACGGTTGAGTACTTGTACAACGCAGCGACAGACAAGTACTTCTTCCTTGAACTCAACCCGCGTTTGCAAGTCGAGCACCCGGTGACGGAAGGCATCACTGGTGTCAACCTTCCCGCGACGCAGTTGCAAGTTGCCATGGGTATTCCGCTCGAGCGCATCCCGGAAATTCGAACCTTTTACGGGCGTGACACGGAAACGACGGACAGTATTGACTTCATGGAAGAAGATTACATCTTGCCGCAAACTCACGTCATCGCAGCGCGCATCACCGCCGAGAACCCGGATGAAGGTTTCAAGCCGACGTCTGGTGGCATCGAGCGCGTGCAGTTCCAGTCTACGCCCAACGTGTGGGGTTACTTCTCTGTCGGCACCAATGGGGGCGTACACGAGTTTGCGGATTCCCAGTTCGGTCACATCTTTGCATCTGGCAAAACCCGTAACGAAGCGCGCAAGGCGCTCGTGCTCGCTCTCAAGGGCATGGTCGTGCGCGGTGAAATCCGCACCGCCGTCGAGTACTTGGTTCAGCTTCTCGAAACGGGTGAGTTCAAGGATAATACCATCGACACCTCTTGGTTGGACGGGTTGATCGCGAAGAAGGAAATCGCCAACAAGCAAGACCCGCACATGATTGTGGTCGGTGCTGCTTTGTTCCGTGCTTTCAACATGGCGAAGGCTGAAGAGAGCGCCTTTACGGAGTTCTGGCAAAAGGGCCAGGTGTCTGTGCAAGGTGTCGACAAGATGATTCGCTTTCCGGTCGAAATCACGTACCAGGACACGAAGTACTCTTTCGAAGTGACTCGACCGGGCCCGGATACTTTCTGCATTGTCACTCCGGAAGGCCAGAAGATCGAAGCCAAGCTTCGCGAGCGTCCGGATGGCGCCCTCGTCGGTACTTTCGGTGGTGAACAACACGAGGTCGAGGGTCTCGAGGAACCGCTTGGCTTGAGAATGATTCTTGACGGTCAAACTTGGCTACTGCCGAACGTTTTCGACCCATCTGAGCTTCGCACCGACGTCACTGGTAAGCTCATTCGCTTCCTCCAAGACGACGGTGCTGAAGTCGTGGCTGGGAAGCCGTTCGCCGAAGTCGAAGCGATGAAGATGGTTATGCCCCTCATCGCCACTGAAAGCGGCAATGTGTCTCACGCCAAGTCTGCTGGCGCCGTTATCGAAGCCGGTGACTTGCTTGCGTCGCTTGAGTTGAAGGATCCGAGCAAGGTAAAGAAGATCAGCACTTTCTCTGGTGCGCTTCGCATCCCCGCCGATGAGTCTACTCCGGCGGGTCCGGAGGAAGCTCTCGAAGCTGCTGTGGCGCGAGTAAACTTACTCTTAGACGGTTATGAGCTCGATGCGGATGAATGTGTTTCTGACTTGTTCAACTGCCTCACTGCTCTTCCGGCAGATCAAGGCCGATGGGAACGAGCGACGACTGTGCTCGAGCAAATCATTCAACGTTACCTCAGCGTCGAAAGCGTGTTTGAAGGCAAGCCGATGGATGCTGTCATGCAACAATTGATTCGCTCGAACAGTAGCAACTTGACCCCGGTGTTGAATCAGGTTCGTGCGCATATGCGATCCAAGCAGCGTCAAGATCTCATCTTGTCGCTATTGAAGCAAGCGCCGACTTTGCCGCAGCGAGTTCTTTCTCGAGGTCCGATTTCATGGGCGGACGATCACGCCCCGATCTCCGACTCTCTACGTGGAAACATCGAAGCTCTCTCTAAGCTTCGCGGCAACGAATACGGCGATATCGCTGTCGTCGCGTCCAACATTCTCATCGAGCGTCGCTTGCCGTCTATTGACAAGCGCTTGGAAGAATTGAAGAAGATTCTCATCGGCTCGCAACCGTTGTCGCGCACCTGGGGCAAGGCAAGCGCGGGTGGTCTTCAGTCTTTGGTTGAGTCGCCGACTCTCGCCGTTGATTTGTTGCCTGCGCTCTTCGCGGACAAGGATGAAAAGGTGCAGAATGCTGCCCTTGAAGTGTACGCCAAGCGTGTTTTCCGTGCGCACAACGTGCTCAGCACCGCGGTGTCGCGCGATGATGGCATGACTTCCATCAGCTGGCAGTTCAAGTTCAATACTTTCCCGGATGAGAGCCCGCTCCGATGCGGTCTTTTGGCGCGCGTGGACAATGTTGCGGAAGCCAAGTCGCGTTTCACCGCAATCTTGGACCGACTTGATGCCACCATCAAGGCGGCCGGCGCTTCGAACGACCAAATGCACGTTCTTCACGTGGCAATTTGCCAACAAAGCGCCGACGATTCGTTGCCGGGTGATCTCGAGGCCTTCATCGCGACGCAAAAGCCGCGTCTTGAATCGATGGGCATTAAGTTCGTGAACGTTCTCGCGTATGCGAACCTCGAGCTTCCGTCGTACTACACGTTCCACTCTTCCAAGGATTTCAAGGAAGACTTACTGTACCGCGGTGAACGACCCACTGTCGCTCACCTTCTCGAACTCGCTCGTCTCGAGAACTATGGCTTGACTCGTCTCCCGACTGTGAACCGTGATCTTCACATGTACGTCGGTGAGTCTTCGGTCGGTGCTCGGCGCGGTCCAGCAAAGCACTTGTTGTTGCGCCGTCTCTCTCATTCCAAGGATGTCATGGAAGGCGGATTGGAGCGTGTTCTTGACAAGGCCGTCGAGGCGTTGTCTCTGTCTCTGATGGACAGCCGAGCCAAGGGTGCTTCGTCGTCCAGAATTTACGTCAACTTCTTGCCGCATCTCGAAGAACAAAACTTCTCCGTTGCTATCTCTTCTCTGAAGAATAAGCTCGCCGACTTCATCAGCCGCGAGTCTGCGTCTTTGCTCGCGCGACGAGTGGATGAAATTGAGATCCGCGTCCGCGTCGGCAAGGAGAAGGTGCCGCTTCGTCTCATGGCCACCTCCATGTCTGGTCAGTGGTTGAAGGTTGATATGTACAAGGAGTATTTGGAGCCGACGACTGGCAAGGCCGAACAGTTCTGCATGCTCGGCCCGAACGGTGAAGAACAAGCGTGCTTCCTTGAGCCGTATCCGCAACCGGGTGCTCTGCAACAAAAGCGCGCCGTGGCTCGTGCGATCGGCACGACTTACATTTTCGACTTCCTCGGTCTTTTCGAAAAGGCCTTGGTTCTTGACTGGCGTGCTCACGTCGCCGATGTCGGTGGTACGATGCCAAGTGAATTCTTCAGTGCTTCCGAACTCGTCCTGGGCGAAGATGGAGTGCTCACGAAGGAACAACGCCCGGCGGGATCGAACAACGTCGGCATGGTTGGCTGGCATTGCTTTATGAAAACGCCCGAGTACCCCCAAGGCCGAGAAATCGTCATCGTCGGTAATGATTGCACCTACATGTCTGGTTCTTTCGGTGTCAAGGAAGACGATGTCTACGACGCCGTTTCCAAGTATGCGCGCAACTTGGGCTTGCCGCGAGTGTACATCGCGTCTAACTCTGGCGCGCGCATCGGTCTCGTCGAGGAACTCAAGCCGTACTTCAAGATCGCGTGGATTGACGATTCCAATCCAGGCATGGGTTTCAAGTACCTCTACCTCACTCCGGACGATTATAAGGTGTTCCCGGAAGGTACCGTCGCGGCGGAAGAGATCGTAGAGGGTGGCGAAACGCGCATGAAGCTTACCGACATCATCGGTCAAATCCATGGCATCGGTGTCGAAAACTTGCGAGGCTCCGGTATGATTGCCGGCGAGCAATCCGCCGCGTACGCCGACGCTTTCACGTTGTCTTACGTCACCGGTCGATCTGTCGGTATCGGTGCCTACCTGTGCCGCTTGGGCCAGCGTAACATTCAAATGACGAATGGTCCGCTCATCCTCACCGGTTACTTGGCGTTGAACAAGCTGCTCGGCCGTGAAGTTTACACGAGCCAAGATCAGCTCGGCGGCCCGCAAGTCATGATGCCGAATGGTGTGTCTCACTTGCAAGTGTCTGACGACCAAGAGGGCGTTCGGTCCATCTTGAAGTGGTTGTCGTACACTCCGGCCACGTCCAAGTCGCAAGCGCCTGCGCTTCGCACGTCTGATCCGGTCGATCGCGACATTGAATTCATGCCGACGAAGACGCCGTACGATCCTCGCAACATGCTTGCGGGTGTGCAGTCGAATGGTGCTTTTGCTAAGGGTTTCTTCGATGTGAACTCGTGGACTGAGACGTTGCCCGATTGGGGTAAGTCCGTTGTCACCGGTCGAGCGCGTCTTGGTGGTATTCCGTGCGGTGTCATTGCCGTCGAAACTCGCTTGATGGAGCAACGCATCCCCGCCGACCCCGCCAACCCGGAATCGCGTGAAGCGGTTTTGGCTCAAGCTGGTCAAGTGTGGTTCCCTGACAGCGCTCACAAGACTGCGACTGCTATCAGAGATTTCAACAACGCCGAAAACTTGCCTCTCTTCATCTTTGCCAACTGGCGTGGTTTCAGCGGCGGTACCCGGGACATGTACGGAGAGATCTTGAAGTTCGGTGCGATGATTGTCGATGAACTTCGAGTGTACCGCCATCCGGTGTTCGTCTACATTCCGCCGAACGGTGAGCTTCGGGGTGGTGCTTGGGTCGTCGTCGACCCGACCATCAACGAAGCGAGAATGGAGATGTACGCGGATAAGGAATCTCGAGGTGGTATCCTCGAACCGCCAGGTATCTGCGAAGTCAAGTTCCGCTCCAAGGATCAGATCGCCGCGATGCACCGGTTGGACCCGATCCTTGCCAACTTGGCTGAGGATCCGGAGAAGAACAAGGATGAGATCAAGAAGCGGGAAGCGAACCTCTTGCCGATGTACACGCAAGTCGCGCACGAGTTCGCCGATCTCCACGATCGCAGTGGTCGCATGAAGGCCAAGGGAGTCATTCGAGATGTCGTCGAGTGGCAAAACGCTCGCCGCTATTTCCACGGTAGGCTCACGCGCAGACTTGCCGTGGACGCGTTAGCAAGTAGGATCAAGGAGCAGCTTGGCGACGTTGAGCTCGACAAGTCAATCGAAGCTCTCGTCGAAGATGCCATCGCTGCTTCGGGGGTCAACGCCAACGACGACCGTGCGGTCGCTGCGTTGCTTGAAAACAGCTCTGATAAGGTGATGGCGGATGTCATGGTCAAGGGACGCGCCGCGCAAGTCGCCCAATTCGTGAGCGAACTCAAGGGCCTCGATGCGGAGGCCTTGAGCGCTATCCTCGCGCAAATGTAGGTTAACCTAGAAACCTACAGCACGTACGCTTTGCAACAAAAACAAAAACAATATAATTCAAATACAACTCAGCGCAGCTACTAAACGACGACAAAGGGCTTCGGTCAGCGCTCTCCACAAGACATCGCCACACACCTTACGAGGCGAGTGCACGCAGAGCACGAGGGCCGTCGTCAATTCGCTCGTAACATCAATATTCGCGTGCAGCAGTGCTAATCTGACGCAATGATACAAATCTCTCGTGTACTCAACACCATCAACGGGCAAAGCATACTTCTCGTAGGACGCCCTGATGAGACGTTTCAACGCCCACGTGAGCGAGCGTTCTGAACCATGCCGAATCGCGGCGTCGACGTCGTCCTGCACGCTTTCCAAAATTCGAGGCTTCGGAATTCGCGCGCTCGATGGCAGGGAAGTTGGAAGGGGTGATCCGAAAATGGTTACGCTTTGCGTCGCGATGACAAAAGTATCCACCGAAGCACTCGTTGCGATTTCTGCTTCCGACGCGACGTACTCAAAACGAACATCACATTTCTTCACCATGTGTGCGTGACGAGGTAGCCACCGTTGCTGTAAATCGTCGCGCACGAAGTCTTCGTCCAATCCGCGTTGACGAGTGATGACGATCAAGTCAACGTCAGAAATATTTTTGCGCGCAGTTCCATTTGCCACGGAACCACGACTATAAATCCCAATTAAATCTCCCTCTGCGATGTGTTCTTTGATCATCGTCGCGCACTCGATCGCCGCAGTGCGCCACTCAACATTTGTCGACCTTTCCCAACCACTCGAATCGATCGGCATCACTTCACCCGTGCGTGCGTTGCGTGGCAAAACTGTGCCGACGTCAGACTCCACGAGCCCGCTGGAGACGAGACGCGCAAGCGCATTGGGTCTGTCGCGATTATTCGCCCAGCGTTGAAATTTTCCTGCGATATCATCGCTGTACTTCATGCCGCGACTGTGCTTGAATCGCTGCGTAACCGATGCGGACACTCGATCGCCACAACTTTCAGTGTAGTGCGCCCAGCGCGGAGGGAAAATGAGCGCGTCTCCTGGCGCGATGATAGCCTCTCTAACAAGGGCTTTCGGCGCGAAGCGTCTTCCTCGTCGACGAAGAGGATGCCAATTTGGATACAAGTCAATCGCAGAAAGCGCGAATGGTTGATACAAAAGCATGCGCTTCGTTCCTTCGCCGACTTGGACCAACGTGCTCGTCGACGCGTCGAAATGCATCGGCGACACCGACCCGGCGAGCGCGAGCCACAGCCTGCGCTCCTGCGACTCCTCACCGAGCGCGCCGAACGCATCGCTCACTCCCCCGACGCATTCCAGCGTCATTTTCTCCGATATTTTTGACTGCACGTACGCCCCATCGCCGTGAAATCTCAAAACTTTAGCCGCCGCCGTCGCGAAATCCATCGTCGCCGTCGCGCTCGGCGCCGCGAACTTTCCCTCTCGCACCGCCTCGTGCGACTCCTCGCAGTACACGAACTCCCGTCCATCGTTCGTCTCCGGCGACGCTATCACGCGCACGTCGCACCGCCAATCGCCGTATTCTCGCACGAGCGTCTCCAGCGTCCACCGACCGCTCGCGCGCCACGCCTTCGCGCCGCCCCTGACCACCAGCGGTTCGCGCAACCGCGCGAGCGCTTCCCCGAGCGCGCGCGCGCCGACGTTCGCCGCGACGACGTCGCGTTCGTAATCAATCTCCGCGCACGCCGTCGGCGCCCCTCCCTCGAGGTCGATCGGCGGCGGCTTCAGCGTCGCGCGTCGCGCGTTCGGTCGCAGCGGTCGACCGAGCGCGACGGCGACGCGCGCGCGCGCGCCGGCCGCGCGCGCGCCGAGCGTCGGCGCCGACGTCGAGGGCGCCGACGTCGACGCCGTCGACGCCGTCGACGCCGCGCGCATCGCGGGCGCGCGCGTCGCGCGGTGCGGGACGCGACCGTCCCGGTCGACGCGACGGCGGGCGAGCGGCGACGCCAGAGCGCGACGCGCGTCGCCTCGCGACGCGCGATGGCGAGCGACGGACCGCCGGTGCGGCGGTTGTTCAGGGACGTCGCGCGCGACGTCCTGGACGCCGCCGAGGAGAAGCGCCGGGCGCGAGGGGAGCACGGGTCGTTTTGGGACGTGGCCAAGGAGCTGCGAAAGCGAGCGACGCACGCGCGCGCGAGGGCGCGAGAGCGCGGCGCGAGGAGCGCGCGCGCGGTGAAATCGCTGCCGGTGTTTTTCGATAAGGATGGACGCACGGGCGCGAGCGCGGTGTGGTGGAGGGACGCGTTCGCGGTGTCGGCGGCGCTCGACGGCGACGAAAGCAGAGCGGAGGAGGCGAGCGAGGCGAGCGACCTCGGACACGCCGCGCGAGCGACGTTGTTTTTCGCGCAGGACATGAGTCGGGAGTTGTTGCTTGATTTACACGTCGCGACGAGCTCGCTGAGCTTTTGGGAGGTGTTGAGAGATCGACCGAGCGGGCAGGCGCGGTTTTTGCTGTTCAACACGGGGCCGAGTAATTTCGTGGCGCTCGCGAGGGAAGGGACGTATCGTTTATGGTGTCACGCGCGCGCGGCGTTGAACGGGACGGACGCAAAGTTTGCGCTTCCGAGCGCGAGCGCGCGAGTGATCATCGATGGGCGAGTGAACGCGTTGAATGAGTTGCAGGTGAGCTTGGCCAGCGTCGTCGGCCGCGTGCATCATCACGCGGACACCGTCGCAAACGCGAGCGGGGAGAGTTCGTTGAGCGCGAGCATGGGCGGTGAGTCGAGAGAGATGACGCGGCAGGCGATCATCGAGGCCACGGATGGCTTATTAGAGTGTTTAGAACAAGTGAAAGAGTACGCGACGAAGTCGAGAGAAACCGTGGGAGACTTGGCAAAAGTGTCAAATTCGTCGCGGCTCGCGGCGAGAGACTCGCCAAAGTTGTTAAAGTCTCTGCATCGATTGAGTCACGGTAAGCGGTTGCGAGATATGATGCCCGATTTGCCCGAGCCCACACCACGGTCGAGTACGCGATCGAGTGGTGACTTTGATCGCGATCTGTCTCCGGGACCGACGCGTCCTTTGAGCCGCTTGCAGCGGTTGGCGAGCATGGACTTGAGCAAGCAGCCCGAAGACGCCGCGGTCGCGCATCGCTTCCGACAGCCTCTCGTCGTCAACGGTCGGCCACTTTCTCTGCCAAAGGTGAATGATACGATTTGGCAGGCGTTGAATCGCGTCGAGCAAGAGTGGTCGGAAGTTCGCGACTCATCGCACGATGCTTTGGAGGTTCACGCGAAGCCGTCGAAGCACGTCAGACGGTGGTTGCTGTACACGATTGGCAGCGCGACGTTTGTGATTTCGACGACGGTGATGATTCGTCACAGTCGCCTGTGTGGAAGCGATGATCTGGATAACACGTTACACGCGGCGAAGGCTGCATTCATCACGTTCCTGAAGATGCGCATTCTCGATCCCGTGAAAGAGTTGCGAGATGAGCTCAAGGCGGCGTTTGTCTCAGATCGCCCGGACGACGCGATAGAGAGATTGGAAGAAAGTAAGGCGTCTCTTGATCGCATGCTCGGTGAATACACGAAACAAGCGTCGAGACCGGGTTACTCTGAATCTCTCTATCGCGCATACAAGTCCGTGGGCGGCGGAAGCAAAGGTGAGGGCGAAGAAAAGGTCTTAGTCACCCCCGACCCGACGCGCCTCGTGACGGCTCGTGTCGAAGAAGAACTCAAGAGTCCGCTGACGAACATGCTCGCAGGAGATCTCATGCAACTGCTTCTCCTACAAACGCAAGTCATGAAAGTAGAGATGGAAGGTGCGTTGATGCAAATGGATCAACTCATGCGGGCGAACCGCCTTAACTTTTCCCTCATGGCTTGTTTTCCCGCGGCTCTCGGCATGTACACCACGGTGCTCGCGATGAAGGCGTCGCTCTCGCTCTCCGCTCATCGTCGTCGCTCGAAACATCGGGAAGAGATGCGCATGCTCCTTCACGAAGCCGAGCGCGCCTTAACCAGCTTAAAGATCGCTGAGCGTCGATCGGTGCAGCAAGGCATGTTAATTTACGCCTTGAATTCATTGTACCAGGCCATTCAACGTCATCAACATCTCTTTTCGCGAGACGAGTGGCGTTCGGTGCGCATCGACGTCTTGGAGCTCGCCGATCCGAGCATTCCCATCGACAACAAGCTCGTCACGGTAGCTCGATTATCGCGCACCAAGGCGCTCATTCCCGAGCCCCACCGCGTGGCCGGTAGACATTTGTAGTTGACTTTTGTACTTCGCTCGCCGCCGCGCGCTCTGGTTTGGATTACTCGCGCCAACGCCAACCATGCGTGAGGTCTCCGCACACGTCGTCGAGCGCGCCCGCGCGCCGTCTCGAAAGCGCCGACACGAACGCGCGATATGTTCGGCGTCATCGCGCGGCGCACCGCGCGCGGTCACGCGACCGCGTTGACGCGCGCGTCGGCGATTATCTCGCGTCATAATTCCACGAATGCGAACGGCGGTGGTGGTGGCGGTGGTGGGTTCGGCGCCGCGCTCGGCGTCGCCGCGCTCGTGGGAGGTGGCGTCGCGTTCGATCGCACGTACGGACCGCTCGTGAGGCCGGAGGAGACGTGGCAGCAGTGGTTTGATCGACGCGCGCAGTACTACCCGAACGAGTTCGGCAAGCTCAACTCCGGGTTCTCGCACGAGTACAAACAGGATGTGTTCTTTAGCTATGAACGACGATTGCGAGCGTTTTCACCGCCTGAAAAAGTTTTTGACTACTTCGCGAGCGTACATCAAGATGGGAGCACGTACATGACGCTGAGCGATCTCGTGCGATCGTTGTTACCGTTGCACCCGGCGGTGGGCAGCGGGGAGACGCGAGCGGGGAAATTGCACGGTGAAACGGATGGGAGCGCTGAGCTGGGGAAGAAGGTGAGCACAGAAGTGATGCGCAGTAAGTTATTCGAGCTTTTCGATACCGATAACAACGGGTTGTTTGATTTCGCGGAGTATTTATTCTTTATGACGCTGTTGAAGACGGATCGGAAGCAAGCGACGTCGACGTTTCACAGGTACGACGTCGATGGCTCCGGTGCTTTAGACGTTGAAGAGTTCACGGCGATGATGAAGGATATGCGCACGCAAGTCAAGCACGCAACTGGTATGCGTACGGGCTTGGACACGGGGGTCGCCAGAGTGGACGAAGTCGGCGAAGGCTTGTTGGATTATTTGTTTGGCCCGAAGCGCAACAAGAGATTAAAGTTGAAGCACTTTCACTCGTTTCTTCAAACTCTTCGCTGGGAAATGGATGACCTAGAATTCAAGCATTACGACTATCACAACGTGGGCTCCATTACCCCGCGAGACTTTGGATACGCCCTCGTCGCGGGCTCGAAGGTGGACCACCTCGCGACGTTTTTGCAAAAAGTCAAGGAACTTCCGGGGCGCGAGGCTAAGAATCGAGTCAGCCGCGCGGAGTTCCTAGCCTTTGCTCGCATTGCAAAACACGGTGATGGGGCGTTCCAGGCCGAGATGAAGGAAATCTCCGATTCCGGCGCGCCCATCACCAGAGAAAAGTTTAGAAAAATCGCCAAGCGCACCGCCGGCGTCAACCTCAGTCGCGAAGTCGCCAAAATCGTCTTCGACATTTTTGACGTCGATGGCGATGACTCGTTATCTTACGATGAGTTCTTCAACGCGATCATCACTTGGAAGTAGTACAGCACTCCGGAGTCGGCAACTTTGTAGCAACGCCTGCGCAACTTCGCCTCACATTCGCTCTCACGTCCCCCACTGACGATGCGTCGCGAGAAGCGTCCCGCGTTCGACGATGTCGACTCCGACGATGAGGACGCCATCGCGACGCACGAGCCCGGATCCACCGCCGAGCTCGTCGCCCGCGTCCTCGAGGAGGGCCAAAAAGCAAAGTCGAAATCCGACGTCCCGCGCGCGACCGTTTTACCGAGCGGCGGCGGCGATAGCGACGACGACGCACCGAAAGACGCGCGGGACGGTAAAAAAGTGGTGTCTTTCGCGGAAGATGACGACGAAGACGACGCCGCGATGGCGAGAAAGGCGAGCGGGGCGGCGAAGACGCGCGCGCTGTTGAGGTCTGAGTGGGCGGCGGGCGTGCGGGACGCCGACGACGTCGACGCGCGCGACGACGTGAAGGATGCCGAAGAGGCGCTCGTGGGAGACGATGAAGGGAAGGAATCGGAGTTCATGGCGTTCAATTTGGATAAAGAGCGACAGGAAGGGTACTTCGATGACGATGGGAATTACGTCGAATACGCCGAGGAACAGGACGAGGCGGATTTGTGGTTAGAAAAAGATGCAAAAGTTGACGAGAGATTAGCGAGCGGCGCGATCAAACGAAGCACGGCGGCGTTTGAAGAGGAAGAGGGGGCGACATCGATGAGCGAGCGCGAGGTGGCCGTGGTGCAGCGCGAAATAGCTGGATATTTGAACCCAGGGGAAACAGTGCTCGGCGCGCTCAAGCGTCTCGGCGGGAACGCGAAAAAAGGTGGCGGTGGACGCGGTGGTAATCAAGGCAAGCCCGCTAAAGTCATGAGTGATGAAGAAAAGAAAGTGTTTGATAAGCTGACGGAGCTTTCGAGCGCACTAATGGGTCAAGGGGAATACGAAGTGTACACGTTTCGTAAAGAGGCGTTCGAGCGCGCAGCAAACCTGTACGCGCCGACGACGACTTTGACGGAAGACACTGGTAAAGACATGTTCGCCGATAGCGACGACGATGAAGGTGTCGCACCCGAGCCTTCGTTGCCAGCAGCGAAGAAGGCAAAGGTGGAGCCGTCGAAGATTGAAGATCCGCCGCCCTCTAGCGGCTTAAACTTCGCTTCAATGAGCGTGAAAAACCTCAAGGCGTACATTCAAGCGCATGGTGGGAGCGTCGCGGGCAATATCGCAGAAAAGAGTGAGCTCATTTCTCGCGCGAAGTGTTGCAAGCCGGTCGTGGTTCCCGAGGGCTACGCGTGGAGAGCTGATGACGGCATGTACTATTGCCAAGCTTCAGATTTGTTTTACGATCATCATAAGCAACTCTTCACCGACAAACATAAATACTGGACGTATGATCAAGAGAATGGATTCGTGGAGTGGACAGCGTAGTAGTAGACAACGTTTCGACGCGTGCTCAATGAATAAATATTAGATATTTGGCCTCTACGCTAAAAAGATGGCTTTAGACGCGTCAAACGTAGCCCCGACTTGTTTATACAAATCCATGTTTTTGGCGTCGAAGGCTTTTTGTTCCTCCGTTGGATTCTCGGGATCGGCTGTTTCGTACACCTGGGCATTCAAGATGTACAGCGTGCTGTCCACGATGGACACCGAAGTGAAAATACGCTTATTCCCGTGCGTCGTGATCAATCGATACTCGTAGTCGTAAAACGTCGCCCCAGATTTTGCCCCCACGCGCTCCGTCTCACTCAACACGCTCACCCCGCCCGGTATGGTGCTTTCTTTCTTACTCTCCGCCTGCGCCAGTTTCTCTCCAATCTCACTCAAGCTCCCAAACTTACCGAGCGAATCAATCGTCACCGGCGAAACCGTGACGCCGATGTTGCTATACTTCGCCTCCGGGTTCTTAAACAACACCTCCGCCCCGGGCTTGCTCGCCACCGCCCAACTCGACGGGTATCCCAACTCAAACATTTTTTTCGAATCCACGTATCGCGTCAACCCGCGCTTTCCCTCCTCGCCCGCGTCCGCTCTCGCCTCGCCCGCGTCGTCCCTCGCCAACCCCGCCGCCGCGTTCGCGCTCGCCCCGACCGCGAGCGCGCGCAGCACCTCGCGCCGACCTCGCCGTCCATCGTCCGCGTCGTTCGCGCCGACCACCATCGCGCGCGCTTCCCCTCCGCGCGCCTTTCGTCCGCGCGTCGTCGTCGTCGTCGTCGTCGTCCGCGCGTCGTCCTCGCCGTCGCCGTCGCCGTCGCACCGCGCCGCGCGCGTCGTCCTCGCGCGCCGCGCGCGGCCTCGCGCCGTCGTCGCCGCGCGCGCCGTCGTCGCCGTCGTCGCCGCGCGCGCCGTCGCCGTCGTCGTCGTCATCCGCGCGTCGCGTCGCCGTCTGTCGTCACTGTCGCGCGTTCGATTCGATTGGCGTTCGACGATGCGCGCCGACGCCGACGACGACGACGACGACGCGCGCGGTGGCTTCATAAACCCCGAACCGATCGTCTACGCGCGCGCGCGCGACCGCGCGTCGGCGCGCGACGCGCGCGCGGCGCGAGAGGGCGACGAAACGACGCGCGACGCCGTCGACGCGCTCGAAATCTTTGACCACGTGCGGGACATCAACGACCCCGAGCACCCGTACTCGCTCGAACGGCTGAACGTCGTCGGCGCGAGCGCGATCGAGTGCGATGACGCGCGGAATCGGGTGCGGGTGGAGTTCACGCCGACGGTGCCGCACTGCTCGATGGCGACGCTCATCGGGCTGAGCATTCGCGTGAAGCTGCTGCGGACGCTGCCGAGGAGGTTCAAGGTGGACGTGGTGATCGCGCCGGGAACGCACGCGAGCGAGAGGGCGGTGAATAAACAGTTGAACGATAAGGAACGCGTGGCGGCGGCGCTGGAGAATGGGAATTTGCTGGAGAAGGTTGATTTGTGCCTGTCGGGAAAGACGGCGGTGTGACGACGACGGGTCGAACGCGCGCGGAGTCGCGGTTTTGTTGCAATAGCGAGCTAGTCTAAAATATAGGAATCATCGATGATCATCCAATATTCAGTCTAAACACGTCGTTGAAGATGAAGTAGCTGCCGGGGGCGAGCCCGGCGGCTTCGGTGGGCATGAGTTGAAAGCACTGGGAAAACTTTTGCGGCTGTTGTTCGCTGTCGATGAGCAAGTTCCCGCACACCATCACGACCACCCCACCGTTCGGCGATGGTTGCGTGTCCAACGTCACCACTTGGTGCTTCACCTGTTGAAACGGTAACGTTCGGAGTTTTTCGACAATCGCGGCGCTGCCCTTGAATTGTCCCGGGCGATCGACGCTGTGCTCAAAGTTTAGCATCGAGTACGTGTCGTTGTAAAGCGGGCCGAGCTGCGATCGGTCGGTGTCAAAGGTGTTATAGTAGTGTTCCGCGAAAGCCTGCGCGCGAGAGCCATCGCGAAGGCGTCAGTCGAGCGCGTACGGCGCGGTAATCTCTCTTGGCGATTAAAGTGCAATCATAATCGTCGACGTCGAGTAGCGCGCGCTGTCGCGCGATGCGCACCTTGCCCACTTGATCGAAGTTGGCGCAGATGTTTTGCATCGCATTCGCCATGGTTCGCGTCGCGTGAACTCGAAACTGGCGCGCGGGAAGTGACGCGGGTTCGAACGCACCGTGGAGCTTCCCCTCGGCGCGACGGGACGAGCGAGCGGCTCTAATGTAAAGTTACAACGCATTCGCGCGCGGACGCGACGAATGCGAAAAGCTAATGCTACAAATGACTTTTTTTCTAGTATGCGCTGAATGCGAGCGCGGTGCCGTTGGCGTAGGCGAATCCTACGTCCAACTCGCGCTGCCCGGCCGAACCCGTCACGGCGAAGGAGACGTCGTACGTTCGCATCGGATACAGCGATGGCACCACGCAATCGGCGTACGTGGAGTTGTAGACCATGGCCGCCACGAAGACGTTGCCAAAGACGCAATTCGCATAGCCAGTTTGCGAGGCGAATTGTGTACCAGTCACGGCGAAGATGGCGCCGCCTTGCGCCGACGACGCGACGGGGGAAACCGCCGTCACCGTGGGCGTCAGCAGAGTTTGCAAGCCGAACACGTTCGCTGCAAGAGCTATAGTACCCTTTCCCGGTGACAACGAAAGTTCGATCGGCTCGGTACCGTAGAAGTCACCGTATCGACCGATTCCCAAATCTTTCTGATCGCGGTAGATGGTGTTGCTGCTGAGCCCCGTCTCGCACTTCAACAGCCCCGACGAGACGAAGACGGCTTCGATTATCGTTGAAGAATCCTTGTACGCACAGTATATGAGCATCGCGCCAGGTCCGGAGTATAAATCTCTACCCATAATGTCCACGATCGATCCACCGTTAGCGTCGACGAATCTCGGTAAAACCATGCTCGCGTGCACGGGCTCAAGAATCTCGATCTGATGCGCAAAACTTGGTCCGACCGAGGCGACGCCCAAAGTGATGGCGACGAAGCCTGGAGAGAGCGACCTGGGAACGGTGCACACGCTGGATGAGTACGCCACTGGATCTATAGAAACGCCGAAATAACACAGCGTAGAAACTGATGAGGCGCTTGAGGGTAAGAAATACGGTCGAATAACGACTCCGCCGGCGGTTGCCGAAGGCAGCCACGCGTCGACGACGTCGCCGAGCGAGTAGCTCCCCGATCGAGTCACAGGTTCGTACCAAGCCTTGAGCGACGTCCTTGGGGATCCAGATGATACACCGTTGCTCGTAATAGTAAGTGAATACCATTCTTCCGCCGCAGTGATAGGCGCCTCGCATACCACGAGCGCAGACGATATGATGTTCGCTACCCTCGTCGTGACGACGCCCGCATCCGTGGTGAAGGTACAATTTGCGACGCCATACGTACCATGGCCGTATCCTTGACTTGTACCAGACCAACTTCCGCCTGGTGTCGCAACGAGTGCGTGAGCGGTGCTAACCCACTTCAGAGGCTCCCAGACTGGCGGAGATATCGCTCTCTCGATGATAGTGATCGTTTCCACTATCTTTGGAGTTCCTGGAAGAGTTACAATCGAGTCGACGTACGTACTCGCAATCGTAGCGGCGGTGATGTTACCGAGCAAAAGAGAGTGTTCCCCGAGAGGACCCACCAGTCGCACGTCCACAGTTGTTCCTCTAGCTATCGATGTAGAAACACAGCTCAAGTCGCCGTAAGGTTTGCGTCTCGCCGCCACGCTGACGGTGCCAAACAAGCACCTCCAGTCGTAGAAGGAGTTGCGCTGTTTTGTGAGAGATCCTGTCGCAGCGTACAAGTCCACCACGACTCCACCATCGGTAAACGAGCTGTCTCCGCTATGATCTTCATACGCTGACGTTGTGATGCCGGCATCGAAATCAGTAACGTACGTGTAGACGCCATATCCAGCCACTTGATGGGATAAATCACCAACACGCAACGTCTTCGACGCAGTCGTGGTCGACGGCGGACTCTCACATCGAGCGAACGCAGAAGACACGGCGATGCCACTCGACGTTGTTGAGCCAAAGACGCAAGATACTGTGGTTGGTCCGCTATTTGCGAAGAATGTGGTGTCTAGATCGTATTTTTCCCAATCAGACGCCACGGCGCCAGCTCTGAGAAATGAACCGGATAACGAGACGACGGTTCCACCAGACGAGACGCCTTCTGGCGGGACGACAGCTCGAACTTGTGGAGATGCGGTTTGTAAGTAAACAAATCTGGTGTCACTCGACATGCCATTCCGTGAGTCATGGAACTCTACGATAGTAAATCCAGCGTATGCCACCACCGGTGACTGGCAGGACACGGCATTTATCTTCGTACCCAGGATGGTGCTGTCCGAGCCTGAAAGCTGTGATCGAGTATCACTCGAAGCTACAGTGGTTGCGACTGTGAAGGTCTCACCCCATCGACACTTTTGATACGTTGTTACCGTATTTACGGTACTCAGCGACGAAAAGTCGACACCATCCAACGTCACCGTGACGTCTCCGTCGAGCCAGCCACGCGGCGGCGAGATACTTCTCACCGTTGCTCTAAACGCGACGCCGTAAGTACCCATGGAATCAATCGTTGCCGAGGCGATGCCGTTTGCGGCGTCGAAAGTAGCACCATACAAAGTGATAGCATCTTGCATTGTGCTGTCTGAAGCCTTGAAAAGGACTATATTTTCGTTACCTTCTTGCGACGGCACTCCAGTTTTGTCATACTTTAGCGAAAGCGCAGCAGAGACGGCTAGCTGGTATCCAGTGGGCGTGAGTGCCATGACGTACGTTGACACGCCAAGAATATTAGTGTTCGACGTGTACCATAAAGAATTCTTTATCGAGGTCGACGATGCGACTTGTGTAAACGTCGATGTAATGGTGGCTAGCGCCGGAACCGAACCTTCGACGAAGGTCACGCTTGACGTACCGTCATCGCCAACGAGTACACCACCAGCATATCCCACCACACCGTTCGCGCCGATATTCAGTGAAAACGTGAACGGGAACGAGACTGTGATACGTTCTGAGTCTGTTGTGGTTGAAAATCCGTATGAATCGGTTCTGAGTGAACTATCAGTGCCGAGCCAAGTGCGAAGGTTCGTGTAAGAACCAGAGTCATATTGTTGAATTGCCCCCGAAACATCTCCGTACGATTCAAACTCGTACACGCCGGGAGTTACCGACATATCCAAAACAAATTGATCCGTAGCGTTGTCCAATGAGATCCCATCGACCGAAGCGACTTGGTCCGAGGTGCCTACGATGGAGCCAAAATCGTACCACGACTCTGCCGACGCGCTGGCGTTGAGAACGACGCGCATGGTGCTCGCAAAGGTACATGCATTCACTTCGTCCGAGGCCAAAGCATACTGATCATACGATGGATACGATGGGTCGATGCACCCTGGCCCAATGACCCGAGCTCGCTGCACACTCTGGTCGCTGGCTTGACTCGACGTGTAGGTCCAGTATGTGATCAACGTCGCTCCCAAGCCCGACTGGCCGGACACGGTGGTTAACGAAGCATTCAGTGCACCGTAAAAAGTTGCAATGTACACCGCTCCTGGATATGCCATGAAGTCGAAATCTATCGATTGTTCGTAATGAGCTTCCCCACTTCCGCTTTCGAAAGAGTCTGAGATGTAAAATCCTGGTCCTTCGAATTCGTAAACAGCATGATCTATGACGCCGTACGCTCCGACGGTGAAGCGAAGTTGTACCCCACTCACGCACGAACCGTCATCACTCGTGGCGAACGGATTATAATTAGGCGCCGAAGCGTCCGTGCATCCCGGTCCACGAATCCGAAAGGTGCGTGCCAAGCTGTTATCCACCGTCGCGCCCGTGTACCCGAAGTACAAATAACTCGCATCCTTGACCGTGGCTTGCATGGCGCCTTCGAATTTCACAAAGTATTCAACCGATGGATAAGCGCACATGACGAGCTCGTGTATCTCGCCAAAATACGTCAAAACACCCGAGAAGTGCGTAGTCTCATTGTACGGAGGTCCGTTGACAGAATACGAGCCGTACTCCTCTATCACCAAATCATGACTTTGTTCCGTCTTCTCGATATCCGCCACCGATTGCATCGTGAACGTGATCTGTACCGGTGCCTCTAAACTGACTTTTCTAATTGCGTGATTGTCTTGGTCGACAACCACGTATGTTGAACCGCTGACGTATGAAATGGACACCGGCTTGTTTAGCAACGCCGCGCTTCCCACGGTACTGTCTCGGAAACCAGAGGTTCCGGTGTAGCTTCCGGCCACCGTCACCACCGTCGCAGCATTCGATGCTGTTGCATCCGTGAGAATTATTTTACGAATCTGATGCGTTCCCCGATCCGTGACTAATAGAACACCGCTGCTGAGGCTGGAATCGAGGTTATACGCGATCCCCGCCGGGTAGTTGAAGCGTGCTGGGGTGGAAAGTATACCGTCAGAATCGAGTACCGCACCGCTTGCAGAAATCGTCCCATCGCCCAGTACTGTCGTTACCGCTCCGGTGGATAAGTCGATCGCCCTAACGGCGTGGTTTCCGGTGTCTGCTACGTATAATATGCGATTCGCGCCATCCAGCGCCAAGCCTTCAGGAGCGTTGAAGCGTGCGCTCGAGGGAGTGACGTTGTCGACGAGTCCCGACGTCCCTTGACTGCCCGCGTACGTTGACACCGTCCCAGACCCGTACGCTATCTTGGACACATGATTCTGCGACGATCCTAGAAAATAAATCGCCCCGTCGCTCTCGTCGAATACCATCGCCGTCGGTGCAAATGCCAGTCCCGTGATCAACGTGCTCACGTCATCCCCCGACACTCGCCTGATGGCGTTATTACCGCTATCCACCACCAGCACATCTCCCGCCGCGTAATACGAGCTCGACTGCGACACGAGCACGACGCTCGCCGGCTGTTTAAACAACGCCTGCGTCTCGCCTTTCTCCGCGCACGCCTTCGCCTTTCCGTCCGTCGACCCCGCCGTGCCCGCCGTCGATCCCGCATACATCACCATCTCACTCTTCGCTATATTGATGGTTTTCACCGCGTTATTCCCACTCTCTGTGACGTAGCACACCGTCGCGTTGCACGCCGCGCCGGCGGGCGCGCGCAGAAAACTCTTTTCAAACCGTCCGTCACGCATTCCTTCGACGCCCGCGCCGACGATCGTGCCGACGACGCCGTTATCGTGACATCCGAGCACATCGAACGTCGCGGTGACGACCGCGCCGGCGAGGGCGGCGCAGAGCGCGACGAGCGCGCATCGCACGGCTCGTGCGCGGCGCTTGAAACGGAAATGCCGCGCCCGTGGAGACATTTACGTCGACGTTTGTGACGCTCTAACACGCCTGCGACTCGCCGGGGGCGGTCGGCGTCGATGCAAACATTATCATGATGCTCTCGAGGCGCGCGGCCGCGTCGAAGGGTCGGACGCGTTGTGCGGGCCGCGTCGCCGGCGGCTCGACGAGGCGTTCGAGGAAACAATCTACCGCCGCGGGGCAGTCGTGGCGTGCGCGCTTTGATGATAATACTCAGAATTTTTTGTACTGACAACGGTTTATGTGAGGGTTGTAAAGATGCGGTGACGAGCGGTCTCGCGACGCGAAAGCGAAAGTGAAAGCGACCGTCGCCACGCGACGCCGAAGCCGCCGTCTCCAGCTCTTCTACTTCAACGTTTCCTTAGAAATCATCTAACTCATTCGAGTTTAAGAGTTGTTCACTTCCTTAATCGCGTGAGCTTGTTCGATACCCATGGAGCACAAAATCGTCACTTGCACTTCCTTGCCGTCGTCGAACGCGGTGCGCAAATCCTCGGCTAACTTTTCCGCCTCCGCGTGTCCCCCCGGAAGCTTCAAGTCTTCACGCGTGTCTCCCTTATCATCCATGAGAGACATGTGGTCATCCTCATCAATATCCAACAAAGTGTATTCTACCCGGTTCACGATCGGCACTTCAAGGTTGTGCGAAGACGGCACGAGTTCTTCAACCTTTTTGTTGGTGAAAATATCGAGCGCGGTGAAGTGGCACTTCGCGTGCCCGTGCTTCCCCGTCTTCGACGTCGTGACCTCGATCACCTTGGTCGGGCGACCCTTAATCACCTATCATTCAACATCGCGCCCGGCGCATCGTCAGTCGTCGTCCATCGCGCTCGCGTTCGCGCCGCCCCGCGCGCGTCCAAACAGGGTTACCCCGCGATAAACCCCAAGTCGCGAAGTCGCGAAGTCGCCTCCCTCGCCCCACCGCGCGCGCGCCTCGCCCGCGCCTCCCCCTATCGCGCGCGCGCATTTCTTTCCCATCGCTCTGCCTCGCGTCGCTCGCGCGCGCGCTTCGCCGCGCCCGTCGCCCCCCCCGCCGTCGCGCGATCGCGCATCGGGTCGCGTCCTCGGTCGCGCGTCGTCGGCGCACCATGAAGCCGCCCTTGCGCACGGACCCGGCCTGCATGGGCACGGTGTGCGAGGCGCCCGCATCGGCGGATTCGAACGTTTCCACGTCGTGCTCGTCGTCGCTCATCGCGGCGTCGCGCGTGTTGTGACGCGCGTCGCACCGCGCGCCGACGCGTCGCACCGCCCCGCGCGCCACCGCGCGGGGCGAAAATCGAGGTTCGCGAACCCGGCGTCGGCGAACCGCGATCGAGGTTGGCGGGCGATCGATCGATCGACGACGCGATCGATGGCATCGCGCGACGCGCGCGCGCGCGCGGCGACGGCGACGGCGATCGCGCGCGCGCGCGCGGCGGCGCGCGCGCGGATGCGGACGCGCGGCGCGTCCGGGACGCCGGCGCGGGCGCGACGCGCGCGCGACGGCGCGTTTTTGACGAGCGACGCGGCGAGGCGGTTGGACGAGGACTTGACGGCGGGACGCGCGTGCGAGGCGCGGTCGTTGGAGGCGCTGATGCGCGCGGCGGGACGCGCGGCGGCGACGGCGACGTTGGACGCGTTCGGGGGGACGGATTTCGTGGTGCTGTGCGGACCGGGGAACAACGGAGGGGACGGTTTGGCGCTGGCGCGAGAGGTCGCGACGCGGCGAAGAGACGCGCGGGTGTCGGTGTGGTACCCGAAGGGGGCGGGGACGAACGAATTGTACGGCGAGTTGGTGAGAGAGTGTCGAGAGACGGCGAACGTGGAGTTCGTGGACGAGGACGCGGTGTTGGGGATGATGCGGGAGCGCGCGACGTCGGCGGCGGCGACGCCGCGATGTTTCGTCGACGCTCTGTTTGGTTTTTCATTCAAAGGCGCCGTGCGAGCGCCGTTCGTGAATGTTTTGAACGCGTTGGTCGCGCTCACGAACGGGGACGCGCGCGAGACGTTCACGGTGAGCTTGGACATTCCGAGCGGTTGGGACGTCGACGCGGGCGCGCCAGACGACGGCGACATCTTCGTCCCCGACTTGCTCGTCTCGCTCACGGCGCCGAAGCAGTGCTGCGCGACGTTGGACGATCCCGCGCGCGGCGAACCGCGACCTCGCGTGAAGCGCATGGCGCAAACGCACGTCGTCGCGGGGACGTTTCTCACAGACGCGTTGTGCGAAAAATACGGCTTGGAGCAGATTCCGCTTCGCGTCGATTCCGATCGCGAATACGTTCCGCTCGATCTCTGGCGACGATGAAACGTAACAACAATAGCCGCGCACCGTTTACACAAACTCTTGACGATGTTACACAAACTGAGACGCGCTGGTGTAAATCCGAAACGAATCCACCATTCTATCGAGCACCTTTTTATCGCGATTAAACTGCGAAGCCGGCGCCGTGACGACGAACGCGAACAGTCTCCCGGTGTTGTCGATCGAGATCTTCACCGTGTACTTTCGATCGGCGTCGACATCGAACAGCGCGTACTCCCTACCGTCCTCGGTATCGCGTCGACTCGTCACGCGTCCCGACGCGATCGAATCTTGCATCTCGCTGAGCGCTCCCGCCACGGCTTGCAGCGACGCGTCCGTGAGCTCGAACGCCGCCCCATCCTGACCCGCCCTGTTCAGCGTCAGCAGGTACGCTTTTTCCTCTCCTCGCGAGCCTCTCTTCACCCATCGAGAGTCTTGTCCGCCGCTTCCCTTCTCCACCTTCGTCGTCGCTTCCTCGACCCACGAGCTCGGCACGTCGTACGAGTACTTCGCCAGCGACTTCGTCGTCCCGCCCGTGGTCCCGTACGTCGCCGGCGGGTTCGCCGCGCCGTAGAACGTGCCCCACGTCAAGTCGCTCGCGTCGGTGTCGCTCGAACCCCCGGCGCTCGTGCCGTACGCCGCGTCGCTCGCGCGCGGGCGCAGGAACGCCGCGAGCGACGACGCGAGCGCGAGCGCGACGCGACGCGACGACGACGACGACGACGGCGACGGCGCGGCGGCGCGCGCGACGACGACGCGACGCGCGCCAGACGCGCGAGGCGCGCCAGACGCGGGCGCGCGAGGCGCGAACGCGGGCGCGAGGGCGAACATGGACGCGCGCGAGGACGATCGAACGCGAGCGGATGTGGCGTGCGCGCGCGTCTTACAGCGGCGCTCGAGGCGCCGCGCTATAAACTATGAGCGGTGATCACGCGTCCATGGCGTCGACGCCGTCGTCGTCGACGTCGACGTCGTCGTCGCGTTGATTGAAGGTCTCGATGGTGTGGTTGGCGATGAAGGCTGGGATGGAACGCATGCGCGTGACGAAGGTTTCGACGCTGCGCCGAATCTCCGGCGCGGCGACGAAGGGGGTTTCTTTGAGCGATACCGTGCTGGATTTATCGTCGTACTTGAACGCGAAGGCGTCGGTGGGGTTAGTGGCGTAATCGGAAGTGAGCGTGAACGTACACGCGCCGGCGTCTTCGTTCATTTCAATCTTGTAGCCAAAGATTTTGTGGCACGCCTCGCGAAAGGCGGAGATTTGACGCTTGAACACAGTCATCAGGCGCTGTTCGCGCTTTTGCAAATCTTCCAATTTTCGCTTCATCACGGTCATGTCGGCCTCGCTCGCGGAGCTTACCGAACCTTGTTGTAACTTGGACAACGCCTCACGCAAGCCAGCGGCTTCGCTTCGCAGCGATTCGACTTCTTTTTCCAACGCGCTTCGCATCGCCGAGGCGACGGGGTTGGATTTGAAGTGAAGCACCTTCAAGGCTTTAGAGTCATCTTCCTGTGCGCTCTCTCTTTTCAGTCGCTCTAACAGCTCTTCGCGCTCGCGTTCGAGCGTTTCGATGCGCGCAAGAGTCACTGGGTTCTCCACCGGCAACGCCGCGGCCGCGGCTGTCGCGGCGGCTTCGGCGGTTTCGGCTCGCGTCTTGGCTTCGCTCAACTCGCCGTCGAGCACGGCGATTCGTTCCTTCGCGTGGGCGAGTAGCTTTTCGAGCTCCTTCATCGCACGATCGGACGCAGCCTTGGATTTCTCCTTTTCAGTCGATTTCCTTGCCGCCGCGGCGTTACCTTCGTCTTCGTAGGACTTAACGATTCTATTCAAGCTCTCGACTTGCCCCTTCATCATCGCGATTTGACGCTCCGCCACGGCGAGCGCCTCGACGGCGCTTGAGGCGCTGGATTCAATTTTCTGATACTTTTCCTCGGCCTCGGTGGCCCGACGCGTAGCCGCAGTTTCTTTCATTTGAGCTTGCGCAAGATCGGACATCATCTTTCCTTGTTCGCCAGTCTGCGACGTGAGACGCGTCTCGAGCGAGATGACGCGCTCGACGAGATCTGACGGCACCTTTACGCTCCCCGGCGACAAACGATCGATGACTGACGCCCAATCGTTTTCGAGATACTCGAGCTTTGAAAGTCGTGCTTGTAAAGATGACGTATCGATCACGCTCGCCTCGGCGCGAAGCGCGCGCGATTCCGCAGCCATGGCGCGCTCTTCGCACGTCGCCGCGAACTCAGCTTTGCGACGCAACGTCTTCACCTCCGCCGCTTCTCGAGTCGCGACTCTGAGCTCTTCTTGTAAAGTCCTGTTCATCCCTCGTAAGTCTTCGATAATCTTACTCGATTCTTCGTCGCCATCCGCGCCTCGCGCGAGCTTGGCGTCATCCGCTTCTCTTCTAATGTCCAGCACCGTGGCTTCCGCCTGCGCCACCAAGGATTCGCACTCGCGAAGCGCCTCTTCGGCTTGCTCCGCGCGCGTCGTCACCTCCACGCGCTCAGCCTCGACCGTTTGAAAGCGTGCTTGTAAAGACACATTTTCCTTCTTAAGATTCGAAACTTCGTCCTGTAAACACGCGACGGAGTACTCCAACTCGGCGTTTTTCTCCGCGAAATCGCTCGGATAGCGCTCGGCGTCGTCTTCAGCGGAATCCTCCGCACGTTCGCGTTCGATCGCAGCCAAAGTTTCTTTCATCGCGGACAACTCTTCGGCTAACGTTTTAACGCGCGATTCTGCCTCGCACGCGCGTCCGACCTCGCGCTCGAGCGCCAACATGTTCGCCTGTCGCTCCTCGGCGAGTTCCTCTCGCATCGCAACCTTGCTCTTTTCATGATCTGACTTCATCTCGCGCAAAGACTCCACCTCCGCCGTCGTCGCCGCTAACAGTGATTCCGCGCTCTTCGTTTTCTGTTTCAACGCGTGCGCCTCGCGCTCGAGCTCGATCAATTTTTCCCCTCGGCGTTCGAATTCAGCAACGAGCGCCGATTTAACCATGTTCGTCGCCTCGTACGCGTTCACCAGCGCACCATCCGTGCGGACGATCTCCATGGGATCATCCGAGGTTTCACCAGCGGTGCCTTGAACGTCATCGTCGTCGTGCTCGCCATCACCGTCCGCTTCCTTCATCTTTCTCGCCGCCGCGCGCGCCGCCTTCGCCGTCGACGCCAACGCCCGCCGAGAGCTCTGCGGTCGCGATCTCGCGCTCGACTGCGCCACCTCCGTCGTTTCAGGCGAGCGTTCGCGTTTACGCTGTGCGCTCGCGCGTCGTCGCACCACGGGCGCATCGCTCAGCGCCACCGTCGCGCCGGACGTTTCGGCATCGGAATCTTTCGCCATCGAGCCCAATCGCGCGCTTCTTCGCGTCGTCGACATCGCGACGACGACGCGATGACGACGCGTCGCTTAATCGCGCGGCGACTCGATCGAGACTCGCGCGACGCGACGCGCGGGCGACGATGCGCGCTAAGTTGTGCGGTGTTTTAGGATTGGATTGCGCTCCGACGCGCCATTCAAACGCCCAGAGCGCGCGCGTGAGAACGATGACGCGAAAAATGTAATGACTCAAAGATGGATGATCTTTACAACCTAAGACATCTTCTCTTCCTCCGTTTCCCGTTCCTCCGTGTGCTAAGTTTACGTCGTCAAGAGCGTCGCGGCGCTCGCCGAGTTGTACTTGAACGACGGCTCGAGCTTCTTGGCGAGCTTGTAGTATCGCGCCAAGCGGTGAATGCGAGATTCGATGAGAATCAAGCGGAACTTGGAGTCCATATCCTTACGGTTGCGCTCCAAGTGCTTGCGCACGCTCACCGCCTTCTTGATCAAACAATAAAGATCTTCCGGAATCCCCGGCGCGAGCCCTTGCCCCCGCAAGATTCGCAAAACCTTCGAGTTCGTCACCGAGCTCACCTGCGCGATGCCGTGGTTATCGCGCAGCGCCACGCCGATCTGCGACGGCGTCATGCCCTTCTTCGCCATCTTGGTGATCATCTCCGTCACCTCCGTCGGCGTGACCTTCAACCAGCTCGGCGCCGAGCGCTTGTAGGGCAAGGCGGAGCCGGACATGCCCTTCCCGGGCGTGTGCATGCGACCCATGTCGAGAGATTTGAGTTACGTCGCGCGGTGTGCGAGAGTATCAAGCGTCGTTTACGAGCGACGGATCGAGCGTTCACCGACACGGCGCGTCGCGAAAAGACGGATTCGCGCGCCGCGCGATCGCGCTCGCGTTTTAGGGCTTTGGGCGTGACCTCCCGACGGAAAAAATACAGGACGGCATTTCGTGATTTTCGCGCGATTCGACCGTTCGTGACTCGACGATCGGGGGACTCGGGGGCGTCGGGCCGACGACGGCGACGCGACGACGCGACGCGACGCGACGCGACGGCGGACGGCGACGCGCGACGACGATCGCGATGCTTCGACGATCGATCATGGCGGTGACGCGCCGGCGGGTCGAGGTGCGACGACGACGACGCGCGCGCGCGCGCGACGACGACGGGGGAACGCCGCGCGCGACTCGATCGAACGATCGATTCGACGCGCGCGAAAGCGCGAACGCGGCGCGCGAAGACGCGCGGTGGTGATCGCGACGCGAGCGCGAGACTGACGGTGAACGCGCGGTCGCGGTGCACGCGCGCAGGCCGCGCTCGGGACGTCCGCGCGGGCGTACAGCGGGGGGGGCGTGGTGACCAACTTGGAAAACGCCACGGGTTTGTACAAGGCGGAGCTCGAGGGGCGGCTCAAGGGGGAAGATATCTTCGATCATCACGCATTTTTGCGCGCGCCGACGGGGACGAAAGAATCGCCGTGCGTGGTGGAGTCGACGATGGAGTATCGCGTCGTGGGCTCGCCCGATCCGGACGACGACTCCATCATTCACTGGGGACGCCTCGAGGAAGGCGCGCCGCCGATGCTCATCGGTTCCGAGTGGTTCGTGCACAAGCGCGTGCCGGGAGGTGGGCATCATTAGAAGACGAAAGCAATAACCGTCGTCGTCGCGGTCGTGATTCGACCGGAGCGTCGGTTTTCAGACGCGGGACTCGATCGAGCCGAGCGAACGACGAACGGACGACGACGACACCTTTAGCGGCGATACACCTTGTAACATGGAGACCATCGATATCGATCGACGATGCGTACCACGCAATCAATGTATGAGCAGCGCGCGTATCGGGCGGCTTCTACGCGCGCTTTGCGGCGAACATCTCCGCGTCCTCTTGATCTCTCTAAAAATGTCCGACAACTGGGTGTGGTACCACAGTGATTACCAGTAAGCATTGAGGAGGTATAAAAGTGATAGGAAAACAAACTGCAAAATATGAGTGAAGCGAAAAGAAGCCCATACAGGAACAAAAAGTGCGCTCGGACTCGCGAGCGCGCGCGAGCGTCGTCAGCGCGCGGACGTACCGCTTCGGCGCGATGTCAACGACAACCGTTCGCCCAAAAAAAAGATGCGTTTAGGATGTCCGGACATCCTTCGCCGCATGGAGTCGCCAAGTATCGATCTCGGTACCTCGCGCATGCTAAGCGCGCGCTCTACCATTTGAGCTACGACCCCGATCGCGGTAAACGTCGCATTATACGCCGTTATGCGCCATCAGATAGGTGGAGAACGCATAAAGATCCGGGCACCTGGCAAAATCGGGCGCGCGCGCAAAGTTACGGGTTGTTTGTTTCGACGACGAGGGGACCGACGCCCGAGCGCTCGCTTCCCGCGCCGTCGCGCCAGTCTCCCGCGCGCGATGTCGCGTCGAACGATCGCGTCGGCGTTCGCGAGCGCGAAACCGAAGCACTCGGACGTCGCCGAGGCGTGGCCGACGGTGCCGCAGCGCGATTTCGACGCGTCGCTGCGATGCGCGATTTGCGCCGAGTTTTACGCCATGCCGGTGACGTTTCGCGCGTGTCAGCACGCGTTCTGCTCCGATTGCGCGCGAAGATCGCTGCCGACGATGCACAAGTGTCCGACGTGCCGCGAACCGGCGGAGGAGTCGGATTTAGTCCCGGCGAAGGCGCTGGAGGAGGTGGTGGAGAGATTTAAAAAGATTCGCGACGAACTCCTCGACGCGGCGTTGACGGCGAGGACGGCGGCGGCGACGAAAACGAGCCAACGACGCGCGGAGAGGACGTCGCGAGCGAAAGTGGCTCGACCGGTGATCGAACAGGCGGACGAATTCGAAGACGATGGGGCCATCGTGTTGGACGACGGAAGCGACGACGACGGAGACGGAAACGACGCGAGCGATTCCGCGACGGATGGGGGGCTCGGAACGTCGCCGACGGCGCACAGGCGAGACGGTTCTGATAACGTCGCGTGTCCGGTGTGTTGCGCGCAAGTGCCGTCGAGGGAGATTAACTCTCATCTCAACTCGTGTTTGGTGCGCAACGAACCGCTTTCGTCGCCGGGCGGGGGGGGCGCAAAGAAACGCGCGCGTTCGGTTGAAGAAACGACGTCGACGGCTCTCACGCGTCGACTGCCAAAGCTTGCGTATCACGTCTTCACGTTGAACAAGATACGCGAGCTGTGCAAAAAAGAAGGCTTGGCGTCCAACGGCGACAAAAAGATGCTCGAGGCGAGGCACAAGGAGTTCACGACGCGCGTGAATTCCATCATAGGATACGGACGCGTGCCGGATTTACCCGCGATCGCGCGTGAAGTCAATCGCGAAGAAGCGCGCAAGGTAGGTGCGGGCGCCAAAGCTCGCATGTTCAACACGGTGGCGACGAGCAGGGAGAAGGCGACGGCGGCGGCGGCGAAGACGAGCGACGCCACCTTCGCTCGACTCATCGAGGAAGTTCGAAGTAGACAAAAGGCTGCAAAGGAAGAGGCAAGCGGCGAAACGCAAACCACCGAAGTGATTTCTATCGGTACCGACGACGAGAACAAGACGAGCGCGTTGGGGGGCAAATCTTCGCCGACGACTTCGGAAGACGAAGACTGGCACGACGAAGAAATCTTACCGCTGAGCCAAGCGGCGCCGCGATGGGTGCCGACGGACGACGAAGACGAGTGATGGAACACACACACACACGAGTGTTCGATAGCACATAGCAATTCATTTAGTACCAAAGAAGAACGAATAGATGATGAACCTATATTTAATAGTTTTCCTCGTTCGCCGCTAGCGCAACTCGCCCACGGGCGCCTCGGCGAGCCACAAATCGTGGATGAAATCGTACAGCGACGCAGACACGCTCACTTTGTACGGCGTCGGATTGGTGTACCGCAAATGGTCCGCGCGCAGCTGACGAATCGACTCCTTGCATCGAGCGCGGGAGGTTTCTAAACTCAAATCTACTTGCGGGTCCACGCCGCGCGCGCCGTCCCAAACTAAATCAAACAATGGTGCCACCTTGGATGGAACGACGTACGCGCGTTTGCTCTCCATGAACGGATGACGACACAACATCCGTTCGCCAACCTTCGGTACGGGCTCGCCCACGCGCGTCATCACGTCTACGATGGCTTCTCCCGTCTGCGAAAAGAGGCGATAGCCATTCTTGCACCCAGGAATCGTCACCTTGCCGATATCCTCGCTCAGTTTGATTCGCGGCGTTCCGTCGACTTCAACGAGCTTGTACACACATCCCAGTGCGGGTTGTTTCAAGCACGTGACGAGATGCGTGCCTATGCCGAACGCATCAATCTCGTGCCCGTGTTGGCGAAGCGAATACAACACCTCCTCGTGGATGTCGTTCGACGCCGTGATGGACACCGCGCTCAAGTTATCCGCAATCTTCGTCCCTAGCAAACGTTCGATGTTACGCAAAAACGCTCGCGAGCGCTTACTGAGGTACGACAAATCACCGCTGTCGAGCCGAATCCCCACGGCGGCGTACCCCAGCTCGCGAAGCGCCAACGCGACGGCGCAAAAGTTTGGCAAACCGCTTTGCAAAACGTTGTACGTGTCCACGAGAGCCAAAAACGCGTTCGGAAACGCGAGAGCGTACGATGTGAAAGCGGCCAGCTCGCTCGTGTTCGTCTCGCTCCACCGCAAGTCGACTTCCATGTCGTCTCGAATCGCCTCTAAACTCTTCATCTTTTCCAACACGAGCGCGGGAAAGTCTTCGCACACCGAGCCATCGGCGGCGACTAGCTTGGGGTTTTTCACGCAACCCCATCCCGCGTGCGATTGCACGTACGAGTGCGCGTGCGTGCCCTTGATTGGAATCCCAAACTGTCGTCCCGCCTCGACGTTGCTCGTGGCGTCGAAACCGCCGAGGTACGCGTACCGACTCGCGCTCACACCTCCATCCACCCCTTGCGCCCGTCGCAACCCAAACTCGAGCAGCATCGCGTTTTGCCCCGCCACAAGTCGATGCCTCGCCGCGTTCGTCGCCAACAAACTGGCGTAGTTGACGAGACACAGCAGCGTCGTCTCGAGCAACTGCACCGTCGCGAGCGGTCCCTCGAGACGCAACAGCGGCACCCTCGGGAACACCACCGACCCTTCCTTTTGCGCGTATACCCTCACCTCGCTCGCGTCGAGTCCGAGGAGAAACTCGAAGAACTCATCCTCCATGTTCTCCCCCACGGGCGTCGATTTCAAGTACTCCACGTCCCGCTCCGTAAACTCAAAGTTGCTCACGAATCGCAGCGCCTCCTCCAACCCCGCGAACACGGTGAACTCGCCCTGGAACGGGTTCGCTCGAAAGAACAGCTCGAACACCGCGCGTCGGTCGTGCGTGCCGTTCCTCCAGTACGCGTACGCCATCGTGAGCTGGTACGTATCCGTGAGCAGCGCCGTCACGAGGGCGTTGTGACACCGACCCAAACGACGCGCCCCGGCGTCGAGCATGGCGCTTCTCGCGCCCGCGCGCGCGCGACGCGACCCGCGACGATTGTTTCGCTCGTCCGAGCGCGCGGTCTCGCGGTCTCGCGACGTCGGCGTCGAGATGTGCGACCGCGCGCGCCCGCCGCGCGACACAATCGCGCGCTCGACGTCGACATGGGCCTCGACGCGCGCGACGCGGACGCGAGCGAGGCCCCGCACACGGGGACGACCATCGTCGCGTGCGAATACGCCGGCGGCGTGGTCCTCGGCGCGGACTCTCGCGTCAGCACGGGTGCGAACGCGCGCGAGCGGTTCGAACGACGACCGCGGCGTTTGACTCGACGACGACGCGATCGAGCGCGAAGACTGACGACGACGCGACGACGCCGTCGATCGCGACGCGCGCGCAGGGATATACGTCTCGAACCGGGCGTCGGATAAGATGTGCGCGCTGAACGATCGCACGATCATGTGTCGATCCGGCTCCGCGGCGGACACCGAGGCGCTCGCGGGGTACGTGCGAAACATCGTGAGTCAGCACGAGATGGAGCTGGACGAAATCGCGGACGTGAAAACGGTGGCGACGATCGCGAATCAAATAGGGTATCAGAACAAGGGCGCGAATCGAGGCCGAGGGCTGAGCGCGTACACCATCGTGGGCGGTTGGGACAAGCGCCGCGGGTCGCAGGTGTACGCGTGCACGGCGGGCGGGAACATGATCAAGGAGCGATGGACCACCGACGGCAGCGGGTCGACGTATATTTGGGGTTTTTTAGACAGCGGGTGGCGCGAAGGGATGACCCGGGAGGAGTGCGAGGCGTTCGTCGCCAAGGCTATCGCCCTCGCGATGTCCGTCGACGGTTCCTCGGGCGGTTGCATTCGCCTCAACGCCGTCGACGCGTCGGGCATTCACAGGACGTTCATTCAGGGCAGCGACGTCCCACCGGTGTTGGGCGAGCTCTCGCAGCGTCGCGGTCGTCCCGAGATCGCGCGTCACGGTCATCAAGGCGCGTCCGGCGGTATGATGTTGTAACGCTTCGCTTTAGTGATCACCCGCGACTCTAAATTTCAATGTTCTCGGCGCGTCGTTTTTCGTCGGCGCGGGACGCGCGCGCGCGACGGGCGCGACGCACACCCGCGCGCGTCGCGAATCGCGAATCGCGAATCGACGACGCGCGCGAACGAACGCGCGACGCACCGCGCGCGCGACGCACCGCCGACGCGCGCGCCGACGACGCGACGGCGCGCGCGCGAACGAATCGCGTCGCCGCCGCCAGCGCGCGCGAAGAGCCATGGGAGACGAAGAAAAGACGCCGAAAAAGGCGAAGACGACGGCGGACGACGACGACGATGGGATCAATAAGCACACCGGGAACGCGCTGTCGCGGCGGTACTACGACATCCTGGAGAAACGGAAGACCCTGCCGGTGTGGTTGCAGAAGAGGGAGTTCATCGAAAAGCTGAGTCAAAGCCAGACGATGATTTTGGTCGGGGAGACGGGGAGCGGGAAGACGACGCAGGTGCCGCAATTCGTCGTCGACGCTGGATATACCGCGGATGGGAAGATGTGCGTGTGCACGCAGCCGAGACGAGTGGCGGCGATGAGCGTGGCGAAGCGGGTGGCGGATGAGATGGACGTGAACATCGGCGAGGAGGTGGGCTATTCGATTCGTTTCGAAGAAACCACGGGGCCGAAGACGATGTTAAAGTACGCGACGGATGGCATGTTGCTTCGTGAGGCGATGACGGATCCGTTGTTGTCGCGATATTCCGTCGTCGTCATCGATGAGGCGCACGAACGGACGTTGGCGACGGATATTTTGTTTGGTTTATTGAAGGAAATTTTAGTCAAGCGCAAAGACTTGAAGTGCGTGGTGATGTCTGCGACGCTCGAGGCGGAGAAGTTTCAGGGGTACTTCTTGGACGCACCGTTGATGAAGGTTCCGGGTCGTATGCACCCGGTGGAGATCTTCTACACGCAAGAACCGGAGCGCGATTACTTAGAATCAGCGATTCGTACGGTGACGCAAATTCACCAATGCGAGCCGCCGGGGGACATTTTGTTGTTCTTGACGGGCGAGGAAGAAATCGAGGACGCGTGCGGGAAGATTCGTCGTGAGATTCAAAACTTAGGCGATGAGGTGGGTGTGGTGAACGTCGTACCGCTCTACGCCACGCTTCCGCCGGCGATGCAGCAGAAAATCTTCGACAAGGCGCCAGAGGGAAAACCGGGCAAACCCGCCGGGCGCAAAATCGTAGTCTCCACAAACATAGCCGAAACGTCTTTGACGATCGATGGGATCGTGTACGTGATCGATCCTGGCTTCTCAAAGCAAAAAGTGTTCAATCCGAGGATTCGAGTGGAGTCTCTCCTCGTGTCGCCCATTTCGAGAGCCTCGGCGCAACAACGCGCCGGTCGCGCCGGTCGTACGCAGCCTGGTAAATGCTTCCGCTTGTACACCGAACAGTCGTTCAAGAAGGATTTGCAGGAGCAAACGTACCCGGAGATTTTGCGATCGAACCTCGGAAGCGTGGTGTTGCAGCTGAAGAAACTTGGGATAGATGATTTAGTGCACTTCGACTTTATGGATCCGCCGGCGCCCGAGACGCTCATGCGGGCGCTGGAGCTACTGAACTACCTCGGCGCCCTAGACGACGACGGTAACTTGACCACGGTCGGTCAAGTGATGGCGGAGTACCCGTTGGATCCACAGTTGGCGAAAATGCTCGTCACGTCGTGCGAGTTCAAGTGCTCGAACGAGGTGCTCTCCATCGTCGCCATGCTCTCCGTGCCCATGTGTTTCATTCGCCCGAGGGATCAAGCCGAGCAAGCGGACGCGGCGAAGGCTCAATTCGCTCACGTCGACGGCGATCACTTGACCTTGCTCAACGTTTATCACGCGTACAAGCAGGCCAAAGATGATCCGGATTGGTGCTGGAACAATTACATCAGCCATCGCGCGATGAAGAGCGCGGACAACGTGCGCACGCAACTCGTGCGCATTTGCCAACGCTTCAACCTTCCGCTCGTGAGCACGGATTTCGCGTCGAGGGATTACTACCCGAACATTCGCAAGGCCATTTTGAGCGGATACTTCATGCAAGTCGCCCATCTCGAGCGCGGTGGACGGTATTTGACCGTCAAGGACAACCAAGAAGTCATGCTTCACCCGTCCACGTGCCTCGATCGCAAGCCCGAGTGGGTCGTCTACAACGAGTTCGTGTTGACGTCAAAGAATTACATTCGCACCGTCACGGACGTTCGTGGCGAGTGGCTCATCGACTTAGCGCCGCACTATTACGACCTCTCAAACTTCCCGATGTGTTCCGCCAAGGAGGTTTTGAAGAGGTATTATCATCAGCGCGAACGCGAATCGAAAAAGTAGTCTTTGTGAATAGCAACCGAACCAACCTCACTGCGCGGATGTACGCTCGCGATCCCGGCACCGATCCCCCGGCGCAAACCGCGTTTCGCGCGGCGGAGAAAAAGTACCAGCTGAAACTCGTCGAGCAGTTCCGAACGAGCGCGAACGGACGACGCAGGGGCGGTCGATTCGTCGCCGAGCCGGTAGACCTGCGCGACGCGCTCGACCTGTCGAAGGACGCGGCGAACGCGCACGGCGCGACGCTCGCGCGCGAGGAAGGCGCGGTGAAAGTCTACGCCCTGGACGAGCATCCGGGGTTTTATTACGTCTCGAACGCGCTGTCGAGCGATGAACAGCGGACGTGGGTGCGAGCGGCGGCGACGGAGCTGTGCGAGCCGCCGGCGCGAACAAACTTTGGAAAAGAGCTCGGAGACTTGCCTCCTGGGTTGTGGGACGCCGCGCGGGAGGATTTGATGTTAATCGATGGTGAGCGATGGGCCAGGCCAGCGCGTGAGGTGAAGCGAGGCGACGCTGACGAGCGACTCCTCGCCAGGCGGTTGCTATCAAAGCTGCGTTGGGCGACGGTGGGCCCTTCATTCAACTGGACGTCGCGGATATACGAACCGGACGTGCCGAGACGGGCGATAAGCGAAGAGCTCGTGAGTTTGACGCGGCGAATCGCGAGCGTGGCGCCGGAAAACTGGGAATTTGAGGCGCAGGCGGGATTGGTGAATTATTATCAACCGGGCGACACGTTGAATGGGCATGTGGACGACGCTGAGTCCAATTTGGACCGCCCGATAGTGAGTATTTCTCTCGGGTGTCCCGCAATTTTCCTACTCGGATACGAAGACCGAAACCGCGCACCGACGGCCCTGGTGCTGCGAACGGGCGACGCCGTGATCCTCGGCGGAGAGTCGCGAAACTGTTACCACGGCGTGCCGAGGGTCTTCGAATCAAACGAGCGTGGATTCGAGCTTCCTGACGCGCTCGGCGCCGATGCCTGGGATGAAGAGTTCGCGGAATACATCTCCCACACGCGCATTAACATTAGCATTAGGACGATAGATTAGGAATTAGGAGGATAGGCGTCTGAGATAGCGAAGAACTATTTACGCATCGTGACAACTCATCTTCTACTTTTCTCTCACTCTTCTTCTTCGTCATCCTTCTTGATCTTCTTCTTCTTCTTCTTTTCGTTTTCTTCTTCTTCCTCATCTTCCGGTTTTTCCTACGACGCGACGCGAAAGCGAGGAGTCAGTCGAGCGTTCGCGCGAGCTCGAGTCGCGAACGCGCGTCGGTCGAAACCAAAACTTACCCCCGGTTCACCGGGATTCTCCTTGCGCTCCTTCTCCTCTTCCTCCTCATCTGCGCGTAAAAAATTAGTCAACACGGTGACCACACGAGACGTCGTCGTCGCGTACCTGGCATCTCCGGGTCGCCCGGCATCGGTCGCGGCATCGGCGTCTTCGGCTCCTTCAGGTCTGGAAATATGTCCGGTCGTCTCGACGGCACCGCGCGCTGGTACTCCTCCGGGAAATCCAAAACCGACCCCTCCTCTTCCTCCGTCTGCGGCTCCGGCGCGTTGCGAAACGCGCCCGCGCCCGTCCTCGCGTCGCGCGTCGCCGAAAACCTCGAGACGACCGGATATTTCCGCGTCGACGCGCGCGCCGGCGCCGCGCGCGCGCGCGCGCGCGCGCCCGTCGTCGTCGAGCGTCCCAGCATCGTCGTCGTCGCCGCCGCCCGCATCGCGCGTCGTCGTCGTCGTCGTCTGTCGCGCGCGTCGTCCGTCGCGCGCGACGGTCGGTCCCCGCGCGTCGTCGCGCGCGCGCCGCGACCCTCGCCGCGAGGTTCGCGCGCGCGCCTCGACCCTCGCGCCGAGGGTCGACCGTCGCGCGGCGATCGATCGCCACTCCGCGCCGCGAAGCTTCGAGAAGCGATGGCGCGCGCGGGCGAGGGCGACGCGCGATGGATCGTCGAGGATCGCGCGGACGGCACCAACGTCCACGGGTGGCACTGGCAGGAGAAGGACGCCCTGCCCTGGGCGCGCGCGCGATTGGACGCGCTGTGCGCGCGACGCGCGATCGACGGCGACGGCGACGGCGATGGCGACGGCGTCGTGACGCGCGTCGCGGTGACGGGCGTGACGAAGTGCGAGGGCGAGGCGTACGTGAACAAAAGAAAAGGAAAAATTATACCCGGGTACGAGCTGGAGCTGGAGATGTCGTACGTCGCGGAGCTGAGGGACGGGAAGACGCGCGACGGGAAGATTCGGCTGCCGTACGTGGCGGACGAAAACGCGGACGAGGACCCGGAGTGCGTCGTGGTGCCGGCGAACGATACGAACGAGGACGCGCGAGTGAAGGCGCTGATTTTGAAATCGATCGTGCCGAAGGTTTTAGAGGGCGTGAGGACGTGGGTGAAGGAGATGGCGGCGGGCGGGCCGGGAGGCGACGCGCCGGCGAGCGCCGAGGCGGCGGCCGAGGCGGCCGAGGCGGCCGAGGCGGCCAAGGCGGCCAAGGCGAAATCGAGCGCGTCGGTGCCTAGGAGCGATAAAACCGCGCCGTTATCGCAAACGAACCACACCATCCGGCTGACGGAGAATTTTTACTGTCGCCCGAGAGATATTTGCGACGCCTTGCTCGACGGAAATCGCGTGCAACATTTCACGCAAAGTCGAGCGTCCGGATTGAACGGTTCGACGGGTAAATTCGAAATGTTCGACGGAAACGTTCAAGGCGAAACGACGGAGTACGTTCCGGGCGAAAAAATAGTTCAAAACTGGCGATTCTCGTCGTGGCCCGACGACCACTTCTCCGTCGTCACCGTCACGTTTCGCGAGCCCGAGCCCGGCAACTGCTTCGTCGACCTCGTGCAAACCAACGTCCCGGAGTGCGACAAGTTCGGCAACGAGACGGTGATGGACACCACCGAAAACGGGTGGAAGAATTTAATCTTCGGTCGCATTCGACAAGTGTTCGGATACGGCGCCTAGGCCCGCGTCGGTTGTTAACCACCTCTCGAAGAAACCGTAACTTTGCGCCGTCGCGCCCGCGCGCCCGCGCGCGCCCGATTTTCGTCGAGCAGTCGGTACCGTAATTGTCCCTGGTGTCTTGGTTTCATTTTTTCGTAGCGGCGCCGCGCGCGACACAACCCGACGATGTCGTCGTCGTTCGAGGATGTCGCGTTCGGCGCCGCCGGCGCGCGGGCCCGCGTCCTCGCCGCGCCATCGTCCGCGTCGACGCGCGCGGCGGTGATCGTCCTGCAGGAGTGGTGGGGCGTCAACGACGTCGTCCTCGCGCACGCTCGACGATTGCGCGACGAACTGGGCGTGACGGTGCTCGTCCCTGACTTGTACCGCGGCGAGCTCGGCGTCGACGTCGAGGAAGCGCATCACCTGATGACGAACATGGATTGGAAAGTGGCGACCGAAGAGATCCGCGAGGCGGCCGCGTGGCTGCGGGCGGAGCGAAAGGCGGAAAGAGTGGGCGTCGTGGGATTCTGCATGGGCGGCGCGCTGACGCTCATCGCCGCGGCAAAGGCGAGCGTGGATTGCGCGGTGCCGTTTTACGGGATTCCGGGCGACGACGCGTGCGATGTGAGCGCGATCGAGGTTCCGGTGCAAGGACACTTCGGGGAGAAGGACAATTTGGTTGGATTTTCGGATCCCGGCAGCGCGAAGAAATTGCGAGAGAGACTTCGCCAGGGCGAGATACACTTTTACGAAAACGTCGGGCACGCCTTCATGAACACGACGCCTCAACCGTATCCGAACTTTGAGGAGCGAGAGAAAGTGCAAGGGTTTCCAAAGCTCGATGAGTCCGCGGTCGAGCTCGCGTGGTCGCGCGTAGACGCGTTTTTGCGCAAACATCTCCAATTGTAACGACCGGAAAGGAACGCGCGTCAGAAAGTTGTTTCTCAGCTTGACTCTAATTGAGCTTACCGCAGCTATAACGCTAATATTATCTATGCTGTACGAACACGGTCCACGTGTACGGAGGAATCGTGGGAACGCCTTCGATGAAGACGCTCCTCATCGCGACGGCGTCCGCGGTGACGCCGCCGACGAGCGGATGTAATTCGAGATCGACGCCAGCGAAATCAACTTTAAGCCCAGCCTCGTGATGTGAAATTTCGTTCGGAGTGGCGTTGAACGCGAGCACGACGCGCTTGTAGTTCGCGTCGAGCGATGGTAACCCAGGCGTGGACGCGTCGCCGTCGTTGATACTAGCGATGATGAGCCCAGGCGTTTGCGCCGGTCCGCGGTTATAAAACTTCATGCGACGCTGAATGTCTCGCGTGGTTTGAAGACGCAACAGTGGCGTCGATTGACGGATGCTCAGAAGTTCGCAAAAGTTTCTCGTCGCCTCTTCGATGAACTCTTTCGAGGGGCGCATCGACGTATCGGCGAGCATGGGCGTGATGAAGTCGTATCTATCGCCGTTCTTTTGCTCCCCGGGCAACCCGACGCCGAAGTTGTGCGTGTCCCCAGAGTAGTCCAGCCTATTGAACCAGTCACCGCTGGAGTACGAGTCTCGGTCTAAAGATTTACTCCGTAAGATTTCGTCGCCCGCGTGGAAGAATGGCACGCCTTGCGACAACGCCACAATCGCCGTCGCTAAATGATTGATTCGGCACCTTTGTTCCAGAGACACAGACGCCGCCGCTCTTAACATGATGCAATCGAATAGGGTTTCGTTATCGTGCGCGCTGACGTAGTTCACCGTTTCTTCCGGTTCGCCCGCGTAGGCAACGTTTGAGTCTGGCCAAGCCGCCGAACTCGACGGAACCTCGACGCCGTGGCGATTGACAAAGACAAAATCACGGACGTTTCCAGCGAGCGCGGCGATTATCTTCTCGCCGTCCTCCATCATTCTATAGCGTTGGGAGTCTTGGTCTCCTTGATCGACGGCGCCGTTGGGGGTGTAGTACAAGCCCGTGAGGAAACCTTGCATGCGAGGATCGCCAAAGGGACTGCCTCCGATGCAACCCTCGCGGACGCGGTCGTTAAAGCTTCCGATACCAGTGTGAGCCAAATTTAGCTGCGATGCATTCTTGCCGACGCGACCTTTTTCCACCTCGGCGTAATCCCATCCTTCTCCGTACAGGTACAGTGATTTACCATCGACACCATCCTTCTCGAGCGTCAACGATTGGAGCGCGTCCTTCGCTCGAAGCATCGTGGACAGCATCAAGTGCCCCATTAAATCAAATCGGAATCCATCAACCTTATAATCTTTCGCCCAGTGCACGAGATCGTCCACAATGAGACGATCCATCATGTAATGCTCGCTGGCCGTGTTGTTGCAACACGTGCTCGCCTCGATGAATCCGTCAAAGTTGCGTCGATGGTAGTACCCCGGGACAATTTTATCCAAGACGCTGTTGACGTCACTCGGTCCGGACGACAAGGTGTGATTATACACCACATCACATATGACGCGTAATCCGTTCGAGGCGAGCGCATGCACCATCTGGCGGTACTCGAAAATGCGCCGGGGACCGTCTGGATTGGTGGCGTAACTGCCTTCGGGCACGCCGTAGTGCACGGGGTCGTATCCCCAGTTGAAGCAATCAGACCATGCAATTTTACTGATTTCTTCTTGTTGCTTTCGAGAATTCGGTGGTAATTTGGCCAACTCTTTGAAGTCTACCGACAGCTGATTTTCTGGGAGCTCGGGCACGGAACCAAAGTCGTAAGACGGCAACAGGTGCACGTGCGTGAGACCGGCGTCGGCGAGCTTTTTGAGATGGGACACGCACACGCTCGATTCTTCGCAGAACGCTAAATACTTGCCTCGCGCAGAAGCGCTCACGGTTTCATCCAACGCGCTGAAATCTCGCACGTGTAGCTCGTAGATTGAACAATCCACGGGATGCGTGAACTTTGGCTTCTCAAACGTCTCCCATCCCTTGGGTTTGAGGTCGTCTCGCGAAATGTCGCACACGTGCGCTCGGCGACCGTCGGCGGCGAGGCTCCGAGCGTACGGATCCGACGCGACGTTCGTCGACACTTTCCCAGTCGTCGGGTTGAATACGGTGACTTCGAAATTGTAATATTTATCCTTGAAATCGTCACCGGTCGCACTCCACACCCCCGACGTCTCGTCCCGCGTCATCGCGACGACGCGTCTCGTCTCCTCTCCTCTGGGTTCGTCGAACAACGCCAACGCGACGTTCAAGGCCGTGGGCGCCCACACGCGTAGCGTGACTTTGTCGTTCACTCCAAATTCCGCTCCGAGAGGTCCATCGTAAGCGAATAAATCATCGATCGCGCCTTGCAACTGCACGCCCGTGGCATCCGTCGGCTTACCCGCGGCGTCCACCGCGGCTACGGCGATTTGGCGCTTCAACGCGTCTCGCACGTTGACGCTCGAAGGAACTTCGAGCGCGCGATAGCCCGCAGCTTTGATGTGTGGAAACTTTGCGCACACGCTCGAAGGTAACTCACCCGAACGAACCACGGTGACGACGTCGTCGCCGCCGACGACGCCTTCGCCCGTGACTTTCAAATCCGCCGTGGACGAGCTCACGAGCGTGAACGAGTCCCCATCGTTCGCGAAATCCCCCGGCACCGCGATCACGCGCTCGGCGACCCAGATCGCGCGATACTTTTCTATGTCTCCTTTCGGCAACGACGTCAAATCGGGCTCCGTCTCGAACGCGCTCGAATATCCGCTCACCAAAAACACCTCTGGCGCCGCCGTCGCGTCGAAATCCTCTACTCGACAGTCTTGCGCCTCGCCCTTATGAATCAGCACGCTCACCGATCCATCACCGCGAGAGATATCCGAGAGCTCGACGTCAAAGGTCACCCATTCCGACGCGTCATCCGTCGTCGCCGCAAGCGGCGCGTCCCATGGCGTCGGCGACGCCGCGCCGCGTCCCCAAACGTGTGCGCCCCATCGCGCGTACGCGCCATCTTTGCGGTGATATCGCACGCGAAGCACGCGCGCGGTGTCTTCTTCGACCGTCGGCTTCTCCGCGGGCGCGGCGGCGACGCGAACGGGACGAGAAGGACGGTGTTGGACATCAAGATGGTGATGTTGGCGCTGATGTTGGCGACGTCTCGTGGACGACGGCGACGACGAAAAGCGAGACCATCGGTGCGCGGACGTCGTGGACGCTCGGAGCGCGACGTTCGACCGCATGAGACGGGTCGTCGCGCGCGACGCGGCGCGCTGTGGCGAGGTCTGGGTGGAGATACGCGGGACAACTGTGAGCTGAACAGCTTTCAGCTCGCAGTTGTCGTTTCGGTTTTGAGTCGTGCGAGGGAAGGTTGATGTAATTCATGTAAAGAAGATTTCATTGAAACGAGTGGCTCGACGAGGAAGCGCGTAGCGTACTGATTTAGTACACGTAGCCCTTCTCATACATCGAAGAACCTTCCGTCTGCGACTTCGTCACGTCGAAGACGCCGCGTTGCGCTTCAGAGTTCTCGCGAGCGCGGCGGAGAAGGATTTCTTGCGCTTCCGCGGTTCGAGAATCATCGCCCGCCCACGTTTTAATAACCTGGCGCGTTATAAGTGTTCGTCAGTCGTCAGTACGCGTTATTCTCGCGATTCTCAGACGCTTCTCAGACGCGTGACGAGGCGCTCACAAAAAAAAATACGTACCGAGTTTTGAAGAGCCCGCGCGTACGAGAAAGACACGTGCCACGGGTTCGGTTGCTGGTTCATGGCGTTCAAGTACATGGTGGAGTCCAACTCGGACAAGCCACCGGACAAGAACATGATGCCCGCGGTTTCCGGCGGGACTCGGGAGTTGAGCATCTTCAAGGTGTACGCGGCGACTTCCTTGGCGTTGGACTTCTTCGTGCAGTCGGCGCCCGGGGCAACCATGGACGGCTTCAAGAGCATGCGGTCGAACTTGACGTTGTTGTCGGCCAAGTACTTGAAGGTCTCCGCCCAAACCATGGAGGCGACTTCGAAGTTGCGGTCGATGTCGTGGTCACCGTCGAGGAGGATCTCCGGTTCGACGATCGGGACGAGACCGGCGTTTTGGCAGATGGCCGCGTAGCGGGCGAGGCCGTAAGCGCAGTCCGTCACGGCGATCTTGGACGGACCGGCCGGGATGGAGACGACGGAGCGCCACTTGCAGAAGCGCGCGCCTTGCTTGTAGTACTCAGCCGCGCGTTCGGCGAGGCCGTCGAGACCTTGGCACCAAGACTCGCCGTTGGAGTTGGCGAGCGGCCGGAGGCCCTTGTCAACCTTGATACCCGGGTACATGCCTTCCTTGCGGAGCGCGTCGACGAACGAGGTGCCATCCTTGCAAGATTGGTACAAGGTTTCTTCGAAGAGAATCGCACCGCCGACGTATTCGCCCATACCCTTGGTGCTGATGAGCAACTCGCGGTAGCGGCGGCGGTTTTCTTCGGTGTTTTCGACCCCGACGCCTTCGAGTCGGGTACCGCACGTGGCGTTGGACTCGTCCATGGCGAGGATACCCTTACCCGGCTTGGTCATGTTGGTCTGCGCGCGTCGCGAATCGCGTTTCCATCCTCGTCAGTCACCGCGTTCGATCGATTCCGTCGCGACGCGAGTCGTTTCGATCGATGGATTGATGGATTATCACCCTCGCCCGAACAACCCTATCCGATCTCGCGCCGTCGCGCCGTCGCCCCCCCCCGACGCGCGCGCCCCCCCCGACCGCCGCGCCCGCGCGCGTTCGACGCGAAAATATTTTCCATCCCAACTCCCGCGCGCATCGCCGGATTCCCGCGCGCGTCGCGCGCGCATCACCGCGTCATCGCGTCGTCCCGCGTCGCGTCGCGTCGCGTCGTCGCGCGCACCGCGGTCTCGAGCAATTCATCGTCGTATTGCCCCGCGCGCGTCACGCACGCGGCGCGCTTGGCGACGGTCGTCTTGGCGGTCGCCTTCGCGACGACCTTGACGCCGGTGAACGTGGAAGCGGAGGCGAGCATCGTGTCGATAGTCGTCGGATGCGAAGAGTGCGGCGTCGCGCGCGCGCGCGCGTGGAGTCGCGCGCGGCGACCGACCGCCCGATCCCGCGCCGCGCGGTTTTATCGTCGTGCATGATTACGCGCATGACGCATTGATTTTAATCCCGTTCGTTACACGTAGAATACGCGCGATCGCGCGCGGATTTCGACGATAGGGGGCCTTCCGTTCCGATAACGCGCGCGATCGAGATCGACCCGCGCGATCGAGGTTCGCGCGCCGCGATCGACCCATCGCGCGCGCGATGACGTCGCGACGGCGACGCGACGACGCCGACGGGCGCGGCATCGCGCGACGCGCGCGCGCGAGTGGTGACGGGTTCTCCGCGATGGGACGACGGCACGACGTCGTGCGCGATGTCATCGCGCGCGGTGCGAAAGCGCTCGGCGCGAGCACGTCGGCGACGGTGAAGACGGGCGTCGATCGCGCGACGACGCGAAGCACAGGGGGCGTCATGCCGACGTCGCGGCGAATGAAGACGAGCGATGCGAAGCGGTCGGTGCACGCGCGACGAGGCGTGCGAGGCGACGCGAAGCCGGTGAATGGTGCGCTGCGCGCGCCGGGACGGGAGACGGCGCGGGCGAAGGCGTCGCCGGCGGCGGCGACGACGGTCAAATCGATCGATTACGGGCTCGCGGGGACGGTGGAGACGGGGGTGTACCCGGTGAAGCCGTTGACGAACAAGGTGTACGAGAACGCGGACGGCATGCGGGTGAACGATGGGAGATATACCAAGTTTCAGAACGACATCAAGAGCATCATTCCCGAGGAACGCATTTACACCGATCCGGTGAAGACGTTCGCGTACGGGACGGACGCCTCGTTTTATCGTCTCCTGCCGCAGGCGGTGGTGAAGATCCACAACGAGACCGAGGTGAAGAAGGTTTTGCCCGTCGCGGCAGAAAATGAAACGCCGGTGACTTTCCGAGCCGCCGGGACCTCGCTCTCGGGTCAAGCGGTGTCGGACTCCATCTTGCTCAAGCTGTCGCACACGGGGCAGAATTTCAGAAAGTACGAAATCAAGGGGGACGGGAGCGAAATTACCGTCGAACCGGGATTGATTTTGGGTGAAGTCAACCGATTACTTCAAGCACACAAAATCAAGGGTGGTCACGACGTTCAGTACAAGATGGGTCCCGATCCGTCGTCCATCGACTCGTGCATGATTGGCGGCGTCGTCGCGAACAACTCCTCGGGCATGTGCTGCGGCGTGTCTCAAAACACCTACCACACGCTCAAGGACATGCGCATCGTCTTCGTCGACGGTACCGTTCTCGACACGTCCGACCAAGCCAGCCGCGAATCTTTCATGCGCACGCACAAGCCGCTCGTCGAGGGTGTGCAAGCGCTCGCGCGCCGCGTGCAAGCGGACGAGGAGCTCACCGCGCTCATCAAGAAGAAGTTCGCCATCAAGTGCACCACTGGTTACTCCATCAACGCCTTGGTGGATCACCCGGTGGACGACCCGATCGAAATCATCAAGCGTTTGATGATTGGCAGCGAAGGTACGCTCGGTTTCGTGAGCCAGGCGACGTACAAGACCGTCGTCGACCACCCGCACAAGGCGAGCGCGTTCATCGTGTTCCAAGACGTCGAGGATGCGTGCAAGGCTGCGGCCGTGTTACGTCGGGAAACCGACGTCGATGCCGTCGAGTTGTTCGATCGTGCCTCGCTGACGCAGTGCGAAGGTCACGAAAAGATCATGAACTTGGTGCCGACGATTAAGGAGGCGCCCAAGTACGGCGCCGCGCTTCTCATCGAGTGCCGAGGTGCGACGGATGAAGAGCTGAACAAAGGTATCTCTGCCGTCGAGAAGTCCATCGACAACGCTGGTGTGCGATTCTTGCACCCGCGCACGGAAAAGTACCCCTTCAGCAAGGAGGAAGACGTTTACAAGGTGTACTGGGACGTCCGCAAGGGTCTCATCCCGATGGTCGGTTCCAGCCGCGAAGCCGGTACGTCTGTGCTCATCGAAGACGTCGCGTGCGAAGTCGACAAGCTCGGTAACATGACGAAAGACTTGATCGCCATGTTTGAAAAGTTTGGATACGACGATGCGTCTTGCATGGGTCACGCCCTGGAGGGCAACTTGCACTTGGTTTTCTCTCAAGGTTTCCGAACCGACGAAGAAGTCAAGATGTACTCGGCGATGATGCAAGAGATGTGCGAAATCGTCGCCGTCAAGTACCAGGGCAGCCTCAAGGCTGAGCACGGTACCGGTCGTAACGTTGCGCCGTTCGTGGAGATGGAGTGGGGTACCAAGGCGTACGACATCATGTGGGAGTTGAAGGAGCTCTTCGACCCGAACTACGTGTTGAACCCGGGTGTCATCCTCAACAGAGATCCGCACGTGCACGAGAAGAACCTCAAGCCCAAGCCGGTCGCCGATCCCATCGTCGACATGTGCATGGAGTGTGGCTTCTGCGAATCCAACTGCCCGACTCGCGACGTCTCGCTCACGCCGCGACAGCGCATCACCGTGTACCGCGAAATCTCTCGCCTCCAGGCGATTGAACCGAACACTCGCACGAAGGAAGACCAGAGCCGATTGGACGAATTCCTTGACATCTTCGCGTACGCTGGTAACAGCACGTGCGCAGCTGATGGTATGTGTGAAGTGAAGTGCCCGGTTGGCATCAACACCGGCGAGCTCGTCAAGAGCATCCGCAACCGCGAGATGGAAACCGCGCGATCGGCCAAGTCCATGGCTGGCATGGTCGCGCGCAACTTTGGTGCCGCCACGTCTGTGGTGCCGCCGCTCTTGAACACGGTCTCTATGGCGCACGGTATCCTCGGTGAAGGTGTGTTGAAGGGCGTCTCGAAGATGTTGAACAAGGCTTCGGGCGCCATGATTCCGGTTTGGAACCCGTACATGCCCACTGGTGCTCCCAAGCTTCCGGCGCCGCTTCCGGCGCGTGCCGACGCGGCACCGTCCAAGGGTATTCCTCGCAAGGTGGTTTACTTGCCGTCGTGCGTGACTCGCATGATGGGTCCGGTGAAGGGCGAAGAAGCGAACGGCGGCGTTGCCGACGCGATGATGAGCATCTTGGATAAGGCCAAGTACGAAGTTGTTTACCCCGAAGGTCTCAACTCCCAATGCTGCGGGATGATCTTCAACTCTCGTGGTCTCAAGGACCAATCTTTAGCTAAGGGTTACGATCTCGAGCAAGCGCTCTTGAAGGCTTCCGAAGGGGGCAAGTACCCGATCATTGTCGACACGTCTCCGTGCTTGGCGCAGATCAAGGAGCAACTCGAAAGCCCTGAGCTTCGTTTCGCGCTTTACGAGCCGTCTGAGTTCATCGCCAACCACCTTATCGATAAGCTCGAATGGAACAAGGTGAAGAAGCACATCGCCGTGCACGTGCCGTGCTCGTCGAAGAAGATGGGCGTCGAGCAAACCTTTATGAAGTTGGCGAGCAAGTGCGCCGACGAGGTCTCCGGCTCCGGTATCCCGTGTTGCGGTATGGCTGGTGATCGCGGTATGCGATACCCCGAAATCACCGACTCTGCCTTGGGCTACATGAACCTCCCTAAGGGTTGTACCGATGGCTACTCCACTAGCCGCACGTGCGAAGTGAACCTCTCCAACCACGCGGACGGCGTCCCCTTCCGCGGGTTGGTGTACCTCGTCGATGAGGCGACTTCCCCGAAAAAGTAATCACTCACAATTTAATCACGCGTTTGCGGTATGCGATTTACGAGGTTACAGTTTACAGTACATTTAATTTGATATTAGAAACTTGCATTGCATTAGGCGCTTCTACAGCTTTGCTTTCCCACCGCTCAATTTCATCAATACCCCCCCGAGTGCCTTGACGATGTGCGGCTCATTCAACATCTTCCATCCTCCCTTCGCCTCCTCTTCCGCGTATGCCGCCCACGATGCGCTGAAATGTGAACGAATCGTCCGCTTAGTCGTCGCCCGCGCGCTCGAAGGAAGCTTCAAGTAGCGTTCCATGGCGCTCGCCGCCGCCGACATGAGCGCGCCTTCGCCGACGACTTCGTCGATTAATCCAAGACTTTGCGCCTCTAAAGGTCGCACTAAAACCCCACGCTGCAGTAAGCTCTCTCCCTTCACACGATCGATACATCGATACAGAAACAACTCGGCCCAATACTGTGGCACCGCGATACCCAACGCGACTTCGTTCAGCCCGAGCGACCCGCTCGTCGTCTGCAACCGATAATCGCAACACAGCGCCACGACGCATCCTCCCGCCGGGCACGCGCCTCGAATCGCGCACACCGTCGCCAATCTAGTGCTCAACAGTCTAGACAAAAAAGTCGTCTGCGTGAGCCAGAATTCTCGGTATCGTTTCCACGTCGTCTTCGGCGCGTACAGCTCCGCGATGTCGTTCCCAGCCGTGAACACCGACCGTCGCAACCCGCTGGCGAAAATCACCCCGTGCACCTGTTCGACGCGAGCGCGCACCGTCAGTCTTCCCATCTTTGCCTCGCGCGCGCGTCGCGCGCACCGTAGCGTCGTTCTCGAGCGCTGTCAGCGCGTCCGCGAGCGCGCGCCAGAATTCCAACGTCATCGAGTTGACGGGCTCGCGTTCGAGCCACACGACGGCGTGCGCGGCGCCGGCGGCGCGATCTACGCGCACGCCCGTTTTAGTCATCTCAGCGCGGGACCGTGGACGTCGACCGATCGCGCGCGCGAGTGTGTCGCGACGCGAGCGCCTCGGCGGGCGGCGGCAACCGACGACGCGCCGCGCGAAGGAACGATGACAACTATGAATGCTACCTACAAGTACTACGAACGCATCGATCGATGACGCGAAATACGGTTTCTCTTCCACCATCGCTCGCGCGTCCATCGCCGTTTCCGACGGCGTCGACGCGCTACCATCTCCCGACGCGCAGCGTCCCGCCCGGCCGCCGCTCGTCCTCCTCCTCCGCGTACGCGTGCGCGCGCACGTGCTTCATCATCAGCCCCAGCACTTTTGAATCTAACTTTCCGCGTCGTTCTCGCGCGATCTCTTCCACGATCGCGTCTGAGAACGCGCTCGCGCGGTGTCGCTCGAGCGCTTCGGCGACGTCGCGCGGCTTCAGCAGCGCCTCCGTCCCCGGCGGTTCCCTTCGCTTCACCGCGCTCGCTGGCGACGGGGCGTAGCCGTAGTCCTCCGCGGAGACATCGGTGGTGCGCACGACGAGCTTGGACATCATCTCGCGCAGCGCGGTGTCGTCGGCTCGCGCGTCGTCGACCGGGGACGCCTGGACGAAAGTGTCGGGCGGGACGTACGGCGCGATGGGCGTCGCGCCGGGACGAGGGAGCGCGCGCGCGGGTTTCGACGCGTTCACGATGGACGCTGATTTCGATTTCGCGGCGCCCATGCGTGGCGAGACGACGACGCGAGGCGACGTGTGCGGGAGCAAAGGCGACGCTCTGACGACGGGCAAAGGTGCGCGCTACAAGGCGTCACGCGACGCGAAGGGTAATTCCGGCGTACTCCAACGCTTGACGCACCCACGGTGGGGCGGTGTCGTCGGGATACTGCTTCTCGATGAAATCTCGAACGAAATCGGCGAAACGTTGCTCGACGATGGCGTGGTGCATCGCGGCGCAGAGACGCATTTGATAGCGCAAGTTGTGAATCGTGAGCAACTGCGCCGCGCGAGGCTCCTTCGTCGCGATGGCGTGCATTTGCGCGCGCGTGTACGTTTTGCACGTCAAACAGTCGCACGTTTCGTCGATAGGCCGGTGGTCGTGTTCGAGAGCGGAGCTCTTCAGTCGAAGAACGCCCTCGGGCACGAGCGCCGTGCCGAATCGCGCCGTGCGCGACGGGTACACGCAGTCGTACATGTCCGCCCCGAGCGCGGTGCACAACACTAAATCCAACGGATAGCCCACGCCCATGACGTATCTTGGTTTGTGATCGGGTAACTTCGCCGTGCAGTGCGACACGACGCGCACGAAATCTTCCTTGGACTCGCCGCCAGCTAAACCGCCCACCGCCATGCCCGGCAACGCGTCGCCGCGCGCCAACAACCCTTCCAGCGATACATCTCTCAAATCTAAGTCTAACCCCCCCTGCACGATGCCGAACAAGCACTGTTCGTGCGGTCGCTTGTGCGCCGCGATGCATCTATCTATCCACCGCGTCGTTCTATGCGTTGCCTCCTCGAACCTCGCTCGGTCCGCCGTCACGCTCGACACCACGTCGTCCAACGCCATGATGATATCCGCCCCTATATCGTTCTGTATGTGAATACTTCGCTCGGGCGTGAGTAACATCTGTTTCCCATCGGTCGGGCTTTGAAACGTCACCCCTTCCTCGGTGATATCCGCTAAATCAAGCAGCGACACCATCTGGAACCCGCCGCTGTCGGTGAGCATCGCTCGACGCCAGTTCATGAACCCGTGCAGACCGCCGGCTTTGGCGAGCACGTCCGCCCCGGGGCGATTTCCCAAGTGATACGTGTTCCCGAGAATCACCTGGCACTCGATCGCCTCCAGCTGCGCGCTCGTCAAGCCTTTCACCGAGCCTTGCGTACCGACGGGCATGAACATCGGCGTGAAACATTCGTGATGCGGAAGCGTCAGCGACGTCGCGCGAGCGCGACCGTCCGTGGCGATGATTCGAAATTTTAGTGGCGATGGCGCCGGAGCGTCGCCGTCGTCGTCGACGACGACGGACATCGCGCGCGAGGTCGCGAGTGACGCGACGACGACGCGCGACGGCTCGAGCGGCGGCGGCTTTGGCGAGCTATTACTTTGGCTTCAAAAGGTATTACGTTCTAGTTGAGTTCCATTTCTCTAGGTTCGTCGTCGTCGTCGTCGCATGGGGTACGCGTGTTCGCGACGCTGTCCATGGCGGCCATGTTGCACAGCGAGCCGGCGCGAGACATGGCTTGGCGCATCGGGACGTCGCGGCGCTTGTAGAACAAGACGTAAGCCGCGCTGTTGTTCAGCGCCGCACCGACGTCTACTGCGGTACAACGACTATCGTCGTACAAGTGCCACGTGCCCTCCTCGGCGTGTCTCGTGTACGCGGTGTAATGACCGCCGCCCATGCCGCCAAAGTGGTTCACCACCGCGTACAAGTCATAAATCGGCGCCGGCCCACTGGAAGCGTTCGGGAGTACGTAAGGCGTCATGTCAAGCGTGTTGAGTGGAAAATCAATCAACGTATCGATCTTATCTCGCCACGTTCGACTGTAGCTGAAACGCTTGAGGTGCATGACGAGAATCGGCGGCATGCGCCACAAATCGAGCTTTTTCATCGCCTGGACGTGGTCCTTGCACTGCTTGCAATACCACATGTCATCCTTACCGAGCGGCTCTTCTTGAATGAAAGACTCGATGCACGACGCTAGTGGTGTGCCTTGAGTCCCGCTGTTCTCAATCGCGTTCTCCGTCACGCTTGGGTGCTCCTCGATTTCACGCTCCAACAATTCTTCGTCAAAGAACTGGCTCAGAGCCTTCGAAGACCAGTCTATCGCAACGCAATGCATGGAGGAGGCGATGGTGTACTGCATTTCGTGCGAGTCCGACGTCGATGCGGTCGTTGAACCATACTCGTGGAACGATGCCGAGGCGCTCTTATTCGTGTACTTCATTTTGAAGAGTCGAGAGTCCTTTTCTGCGACGGCGCGTCGAGACGCACTTCCTTCTGTATCGCCGCTCGTGGTAGGCGAACACGATTTCTCCATCGAATTTGTGTGTGCAAACTTTGCGCTAAACTTTTCCACCTCCTTCTCTACGAATCTCGCGTGGTCGGGACCAGCCTTCGTGCCTTTTGGCACGCTCACTGGAACGATCCACGGAAAGCCAAATCGGACCATCGTCGTCGCCGCCACGGAGCTAACGTGCGAATACGGCGTCTTGTTTTGATTCAACTCTTTTCTGTGCACAAGAACGGTGTCGACTGTTTCCACGTTGTCGTTGTCTTTTATCGCCGGTAAGCGGTGCGCGTATATCACGTCGCGTTCTCTGATGTCTGTGAGTGAGTAGGACATGTTCGAAAGAGTCTTTTCCATTCGATGATTGTACACTTCGCAAAGTACCACACGTTCGTCCATCGTATCGATATCAGCGGCTTCGCATAGAGCACTAAGTAACATGGCAATCTCACCATTCTTAGGCAGTTTCAAACCGTACGTGATTGCAGAAAGTTCGTCGCCGTACGATACGAGTGTGACTTTAATCATGCGCTCACGAGCCGACGGGACCGGAATGGAAAGGTACATGAACGGATCGAACTTGACCGATTTGTTGCTGCATGACGGGCAAACCAACTTCGATCGATACTGACCCTGAAAAGTATCGACGATGCAAGAATTGTTGCGAGCCGTGTGTGCTTCCCAAGATTCGTTTGCAACGTCCTCGTCGCTTCTTCCCTCCGCGTCTCGCTCTGTGGCGTACGGTTTGTTCTTGACGCGATTTAAATCTTCGTGCAAGCCATCTAGTAAAAACGCCAACAGCTCTTGTGCATCTTGTTGCATATATCCACTGAACTGAGGCGCGAAACGAGCCAAGGAAGACTTGAACTTGCGCGGCGTGACCGTGAGCGCGCCGTCCCGCCAAAGTGCGCCTATCAAATTCGCGTACTCCTTCGCCAGCTCCCCGCCCATACCGATGGGATTGTCCGTATTAATGTCCACTTCGTATTTATCGGACAGAAAGTAATCCGTCAAAAGCGAAGAGTGACTGAGACACTGCAATGCGCTATTCATAAAGCACGTATTCCCGAGATTGCTCAGTCCGGCTTTGCCCCTCGTTCCTACTTTTGCCTCCTCAGCGCAAGTCGTCACGTCGTTCTTTGGCGTCAAACTCACATCGCATCCAAAAGTCGTGTCTTCCATAACTTCATCTTCGCTCGTTCCCGGCAACGCTATGACCGAATCCTCGTCTTCGTTCCACGAACCGCCAGCGGATTTCGTCTCCACTAGAACCTCCTGTCCCGGCAACAGGTGAAATTCTTCCAACAACTTCCTCGGGTTTCTCGTCAGCACTTCGCCTCGATTACCGTACAAGTAATCTGCCACGCGCACATCAGCATCATCCACGTCCTTTAGCGCCGCAAACGCCTTCTTCACCACACGCACGAGCTCACTCGCCGCGCTCTCCCTTCGCACCTCCACCGCTCGCTCCTCGTCGCCGAATTTCGCCACCAACCCCAATCCATACACATCGACGTATATCCCACTCCCCCGTCGCACGCACGTCCTATAAATCGATCTCGACCCTTCCACGTGTCCGTACCACCCCTCAAGCTTCACCATCGCTCGCTCGCGCACGATTTCAAAGTCCACGCCCTCGGCGAGCGCCGGTTTCAGGATAGCCTCGTCGCGCGCGTCGTCGTCGTCATCCGCCCGCACCGCCGTCGTCGACGCCGTCGCGAGCAACAACTCGCGCGTATCGATCGCCCCGACCGCACTCTCGCCCTCTTCGCCTCCGTCCACGCGTTTCATCGACGTCGCGCCCGCGAACGACCGCGCGAAGGCTTCAAACCATTCCTTCGGGACGATCGCCACGCGTTCGCCCTCGGTGAGCGTCTCCGCGTCCGCGCGATCGCTCGCTATCGCGCGCGCTTCGTCGACGTCCACGTCTGGCGCGCGCGCGCGGTCGCGAGGCGCGAGCGCGGTGACCATGGTCGATCGCGCGCGCGCGAGTGACGAGACAGCAGAGCGCGACGGTTCGACGACGACGACGACGACGCGCGCGCGATGCGGCTGCTGGCGCACAACATGCTGGCGTGTAACGCCAAGGTGCGCGCGATGCGACGCGCGATGGCGCGAGCGCGACGCGGCGCGATGCGCGAGCGGCGACGAAAGTTGCGCCGGCGGCGGTGATGCGCGACGACGACGGCGGCAGCGACGACGACGACGACGACGCGCGCGATGCGAAACGCGAACGAGTCGGACGTGGTGATGCCGCGCGCGAGCGTGACGCGCGACTGACGAACGAGGTCGACTGGACCGGGCGCGCGCAGGGCGTGGTGAACGGGTTCCCGCTGAAGATTGTCCCGAAGGAAACGCGCGAGGTCGAAGTGGACTTTAACGCCGAATTCTTGACGCACATGCTGCCGAAGATGGAGTGGAGTGCGTTTGTGAATGCGGCGAAGGAGATCGGGCTTGAGGGACTACCGAGCGAGATTCCCGACGACGCGGCGAGCGACGAGGAGTTTTTGAGAACGTTTCATCACGCGCTTTTAGAGGTGCACGTGGAGGAAGGCACGTTGGTGTGCCCGGAGAGCGGGAGAAAGTTTCCCATTAATAAAGGGATTCCGAATATGCTGCTCAACGAGGATGAGGTGTAGAGGAAGCGCGCACAGATGCGGCTTTTGATGATGTATGACTAATTAAGTGAAGATTACTAAAACATTTCTATGCGTCTTCCGCGCCCATATCTCCTTTTCCTTTCGTCGCACGATCGGCTGCGAGTCGAGCTTGCTTGCGTTGCTCGTTTTGCGCCGCCGTGGCCGCGGCTACCGACCGTCGCACCGCCGCCAGTCGTCTCGAGTGCGTCTCCACGCTTTGCTTCTCCGTATACTTTGGCACCTCTTCACCACCGTACCCGGGAATGTGCATATCCCACTGCCGCTCGAGATGTAACAACACATCTTTCGGTTCCACCGCCTCGCTTCCTCGATGTCTCGCTAATCGCGCCGCGTGTTCGAGCACGTTGTCGACGAAGTCGTCCGTAATCTCCAACAGCATTTCCTCAACCTCCGGTTCGAAGCTCTCTCCCGGCGCGAACTCCTTCAGCAGCTCCTGAAGCTCATCCTTGGAGATCGCGTGACCACCATCATCGGTCTTCTTTTTCGCCGCCGCCGCGGACGCCGCCGCCGCCGCTTGCGCCGCCGCGAGTCTCGCCTGCGCCGCCGCGCGTTTCTCCATCTGCGCCGCCACGTCCTCGGCGGTTTGTTTCTTCGATCGCGCGCGCTCGACGCGCTCGGCGTCAGTCGTGTCGTCATCGCGCGCGGGGGGGGCTCTGCGAGTCTCGACGCGCTCGAACGCGCTTCGCGTCGTCGCCCTAGACGCCAACGCATCGCTCGATCGCATCGAAATCGAATCGAATCGATTCGAACGGCGCGCGGCCCGTCGCATCGTCGCGTCGCCCGACGCGCGACATCGTCGCGTCGCGCCGCGCCGCGTCGCGTCGTTCGCACCTGTCGCGCGCTCATCTCGTCTTCGTCTCGCGTCGTCGCGTCGAGCACTGCGGCACGCGCCACTCGCCACCGCGGCATGAAGCGCGCGCTCGCGGGCGCGCTGCGAGCCACCGCGCGCGCGTCGGTGGCGATCGTCGGCTTGCCCGCGCGCGCGGTGCGCGCGGTGTCGACGCGCGCGATGGGCGCGCGCGGCGTCGAACGCGACGCGTGGTTGATTTGTGGACTCGGGAACCCAGGCGCGAAATTCGCCGGCACGAGACACAACGTCGGTTTCGAGGTCGTGGACGCGCTCGCGCGACGCGCTGGGATCGAGCTGACGTCGACGAAGCACCGCGCGGTGCTCGGGGTGGGGAAGCTTGGACGCAGCGCGGTGGTTCTGGCGAAGCCGCAGACTTTTATGAACCTGAGCGGCAAGAGCGTGCGAGAGATGATGCGGGCGTTTAAGATCGGTAAGTCGCGAATCGTGATCGTGTACGATGATTTAGAGACCAAGCTTGGAGAGTTGAGGATGAAGACGAGCGGGAGTCATGGTGGGCATAACGGTGTGCGAAGCGTCATCGACGACGCGACGCGCGGCGATAGATCTTTCGCGCGAGTTAAGATTGGGATTGGACGGCCTAAAGATGAAAATACGGCGGTGTACGAGTACGTGCTTTCGAGGTTCGATGAGGACGACGCGGTCAAGGTGAATGGCGCCGTGGAAGACGCCGTGGAGGCGTTGCAGGAGGTGTTGCTTGACAACAAGTTTGGTGACGCGATGACGAGATATAACACGAAGTACGCGCCGAAAAAGGTCAAGCCACCGAAGAAGCCGAAAACTCCAAAGCCGTCGCAAGAGCGCGTGAACATCATCACCACAGTCGGTGCGGATGATGACGTGAAGGTGACGTTAGAAGTTAGTTTACCGCAGAAAAAGAAAACGCCGGTTCCTGCGCCGGCGGAACGATTATAATATTGAGCTGCTAGGACTAGTTATACTACCGTCGGGGTTCATCACTAAGTCTGAATGATGCCTTCGCATGACTACGGGATGAGACCGTGCGAACGATTTGAACGCGTTTTCGCCGTACGCTGAGATGAGTCGATTCGCGCCGCCGTGCGATCCCGTCGCTCTGAAGGAATCGTCCGACGGTCGCGGCCGATGCCAAACCAAACTGTCCAATATGGAGGACTCTATAAATTCGACTCGATAGTCTAGCTCCGGATTCCAAAAGTAAGGCACCGAGTATCGCGCCTGGCTGCCGTTCAGGTTTTGAACGCGATGCGGCGTGGCAAGAAAGTAGCCGCCGGTGATTAGTTGAATCATCTCCCCCAAGTTGACGACGAGCGTTCCGTCGATCGGCGGCGCATCAATCCATTCACCGCTATCGTGAAGCTGCACTTGCAAACCACCGACCGAGTCTTGGACGACAAAAGAAAGAATTCCAGTGTCGCTGTGTTCGCCGACGGATCCGTCGCTCGGCGGATACCGGCAAATTTTCATCTGCACGTTCGGTTCGTCGCCGAACATGGAATCGAAATAACCGCCGTCGAGGTCTAGTCCGATCGCCAAATAAGTCATGATTCTTCGACTCAACGTCGCCATTTTGTTTTGGAAATCTTCCACTGGTGCGCGAAGCGGCACCTGAGCCGGCCACTGATTTGGACCTTTTAATCGCTCGTAATATGGCCCTTCGGTGGCGCACGTTTCGGCGCACTCGACACCGAATTCAATCTGCTCTCTTCGATCTGGCTTTCCAGCGGTGTTTTCGGCGCCGTCGTACATGTATCCTCGAAACGCTCGACTTCGCGTGTAGTCTATCTCTTTCTTCTCAGCCAGTGGCAACGCGAAGAACGCCCTCGACGCGTCGAGAACGTTGTCGCACGCCTGCTCGACGCCGTGATTCGATAAATAAAAGAATCCAACGTCGTGACACGTTCGACACAGCTCCGCGGCGAACGCGCGGTGTGAGTTTTCGTCGGCGTCTTCTCGCGGCAGCGACAGCACCGGGAGCTGGCTGGCAACCGACGCCATCGACGCGCGCGCGCGCGAAGGGCGGCGACGCGAGAGATGACGCGACGGCGACGATGTCGAGGCGGCTCGCGCACCGCAACGCGATGACGCTGACATGCGCGACGACGAATGACGTTTAATCAAACGCTAACCGCTTTACTACAACACGAGCTTCACGCCGCGACGCGCCATGGCGTCCACGACCTCTCTCAATCGCCCCTCTAACCCATCTATCACCGCCACGTTCCCCCTTAAATTCAAAACCTTGAGATTCGGCGCCACATCCTTGGTCTCGTCCATCAAATCGTCGAACGGGACGTCCGCCGGCGTCAACGCGTTGTCGCTCGCGTCCAACACCTCCAGCGCCCGCATCGCCCACACCGCGCTCGGCAGCGCGCGCAGCCTGTTCCCAGAAACATCCAGCACCCTGAGCGCCTCCCCTCGCCTGTCGAGCGCGCGCGCGAGCCTGCACGCGCACGCGTCCCCCACCCACTGACACATGATGTCCACGCACTTCAAGTCGTCGCTTCGCGCGAGCAACAGCGCCTGCAGCGCCACGCCGCGCGGCATCGCGACGTCGAATCGCTTGCCGTTCGCCTCGAGCAGCGTGCGCGCGGTGACGTCGTCGCTCGGGCGCGTCGTCGTCGTCGTCGTCATCGACGCGAACTTTGACGACGACGAAACGTTCCCACCGCGCGCGCGCGCGGCGACGACGCGCGCGCGCGCGCGCGCGAGCGCGCGCATCGCGCTCGACCGCGTCATCGCCGTCGACTCGACGCCTCGACGCGTCGTCCGCGCGTCGCGCGTCGACGTCTCGCGCGCAGCGCGTCGGTGTCGGCATTGTCACGCGCGCTCTCGTCGCGTCGCGTCGTCTTCCGACATGCGCGCGCGCGCGCCCATCGCCGCGTCGACGCGATCGACGGCGGCGCGCGCGCCGTCGTCGTCGCGCGGCGCGGCGCGCGCTCGAGGCGTCGCGCGCGCCGCCGTCGTCGTCGTCGGGCGTGGATTCGGCGACGCCGCGACGCCGCGCGCGCGCTGCGTCCTTCGCGCGCGCGCGGACGGGGCGACGCCGGTGACGCTCGCGCCGTCGCGACGCGCGCGCGCGGACGCTCCGCGCGGCGCGGTGGTGGCGCGAGGGAAGAAGAAGCTTCGAGGATTTCTCAAGAAGGCTGGGGACGCGGCGGAGGCGGCGTTGGTGGAGACGTCGCGCCTGCGCGTCGAACGCACGCTGATCGATAATGAACTGCGGGAGATACGCGAAGAGCGAGGAGAAATAGTCTTGGATGCGGCGCAAGTGCAGATGGAGCTGCTGAAAGAGATTCGGTCGTTGACGAAGGAGGTGCGGGAGCTGAAGGAGGAGGTGCGAGCGGCGACGACGCGAGGAGGGACGCTCGACGCGGGCTCGAGCATGAACGCCGTGAAGGGAGAGAAGAGTGATGCGGATATGTTGGCCATGCTTGGCGTTGGTGGTGGTGGGTTAGGCGCGGTGGATGTGGAGGCGAGCGAACCGATTGTCGAGCCCGTGCTCGACGTGAGCGAGTGGAGAGGCGACGGCACGGATCGTTCGGGGGAGTGGCCGCTCGTCAAGAAAAATGACGACGACATCTATCTGATGACGACGATTCACTACAAATTAAACGAGGCGGGATTCTGGGCCGGGGAAGACGACGAGGAGGATATGTTCTTCGGCGAAACGACGAAGGTCGCGTTGTTGTATTTCCAAGCCAACGCTGGGATCCCCGAGACTGGGCTCGTGGATTCGGATACGTGGCGCGCATTGCTCGGTGAAGAAGCATTCAAGTGGGGACCTCCACCGGGTGCGATCGCATTCGATGAGAGCAAGATTCCAGAGGTCGTGGACAAGGTGCCCTCGGTAGAAGCGCCCGCAGCAGAAGCGGCCACTGCGAACCCGAAATATGTCATGGCGGAAGAGGACTACGCCCCGGATGATTACGATCCTTTTGGCCACGACGACGAGCGAGGTGCGCCTCAAGGCGCTTCATTCGAAACGAACGGTAAAATAGGTGCTCATAAGTGGCCCGTCCTTCGCGAAGACGACGGCGGTATGGAAGTTCACAAGATGCAAGTCATCCTCTCCGAACAAGGTTTCGATTCGGGCGAAGAGGACATGGAGTATTGGTACTTCGGTAGCACCACCTCCGCGGCTCTTCTGACTTTCCAAGCGAGTAATCGCTTACCAGAAACGGGAATCACCGATCTCAACACCTGGCGCGCCCTTCTCGGCGACGAACTTCTCGATATTTCTCCTGCAGACGCCCTGGAGCGCATCGGCCATGGCGGATTCGAACACGACTTGTCGAGAACGGACAAGGTTTTCTTGCTCGGCGAGCAGCGTTACGAAACTTGAGCGTAACTATTTCACACGCGTAGCGCGCGCAATTTATTTTTTCAATACTATAGCGATTCGATGTCTCGATGCTCCGCTCTTCGGCGTTGACAACCGACGCGCTCGACCTCACAGCCAGCCGCGTCGTTCGCGATGCGACTCCTCGTCGAGGGCGTCGGTGATCGCGTGGCCCTCGTCCCCACATCGAGCGGTGACGTCCGCATCGTCGTCGTGGACGAGGACGACGTCGCGGACGTCGACGCCGTCGAACGCGTCCCCGCGCGCGCGCTCCGCTTTGACCCAACCGTCGTCCCGAACGACGACGGCGCTGCGCACGACGCGCGAGCGCGGCGCGCGAGCGAACTGGATGACGCCCTGATTGCGTCCGCGTCGATGATGGCCCGCGTGAAGCTGAGCGCGCACTGCGCGGGCGCAGAGCCGAGCGAGGCGGAGGCGGCGGTGCTTCCGCGCGCGCCGACGCCGACGCCGTACGACGTGGACGCATACGACGCACACTCGACGCCGACGCCGTCAAAGGATTGGGCCGAGCGACAAGCGCGAGGGGAGACGTTGGCGACGACGGATTGGATCGAGGTCGAACTTCTCGCCGAAGGTGGGGCTGGAGATTCGAGTTCGTTGGCGCGTTCGCCCGCGCCGCAGAGCGATTTCGTGCGAGGTTCGTTTAGTCAAGTGCCGTTCACGCCGGGAGGAGAAGGATGGGACGCAGCCGCGCGAGAGAGCGCGGCAAAGCGTATGGAGCTGGCGAGTCGCGCGGGAAAGGCGTGGTTGGAAGAGTTTGAAGCGGGGACGTATCTCTCAGCGTCGACTCTACCAAACACGCTGCACGGGATGCGAGAAATGTTTGATTTAGACAGTGGCATGGAGCAAATGGAGCTCGAGCTTGAAAAGCTGACAGTGATGGACGATGAAGAGTTACCGATGTCGTACGACGATTTATTCATCGATGCGCTTCGCGGCGCTGTTCGACCGGAGGAATCATCGAGCGAGGAGGATGACACGGAGGACGAAACGGAGGACGAAACGGAAGAGGACGGCGAAGCGGTCGACGAAGTCACGCTCGAAGGCGAAGCCGAAGTCGAGGCATTACTGAACGGCACAAAATCCATTATTGCGGCTCGAAGGCGAAGTAAGTCGAGGAAGAAGAAAGGAGAGACATGGGCCGTCATGGAGAGATTTGACGACGTTCAGGAAGCGTATAGACGCGAGGTACCCGAACCGGCGCACGATTTCCCATTCGAACTCGATTTATTTCAGAAAGAAGCCATCGTCCACTTGGAAAAGTCCGAGAATGTGTTCGTTGCAGCGCACACTTCCGCGGGCAAGACCGTGGTTGCGGAATACGCCTTTGCGCTGGCTACGAAACACTGCACGCGCGCCATCTATACGTCTCCAATCAAGACGATTAGCAACCAAAAGTTTAGAGATTTTGGGAAGATGTTCGACGTCGGCCTGTTGACAGGTGACGTTTCCATCAAACCAGAAGCGGCTTGTCTCATCATGACGACGGAAATTTTGCGGAGTATGCTGTATCGAGGCGCGGATCTGATACGCGACGTCGAATGGGTTATCTTTGACGAGGTGCACTACGTAAATGACGCCGAGAGAGGTGTCGTGTGGGAAGAGGTCATCATCATGCTTCCCGCGCACGTTGGTTTGATTTTGTTGTCTGCCACGGTACCAAACGTTTTCGAGTTTGCTGATTGGGTTGGAAGAACGAAGAGAAAGAAAATATTCGTCACGGGAACGAAGAAGCGACCTGTGCCGCTCGAACACTGCATCTACTTCGGAGGCGATAAGGAGAAGGACTTTTACAAGGTCGGAGAGCACGAAGCATTCTTGCCGACTGGGTATAAAGTCGCGTCAGATGCGCACAAAAAGAAGCTACTTGGTAACAAAACGACGACGGCAACACCAGCAAATGCGCAAGCTGCGAAACAAACCGCGCTCGCCGGACGGGGCGGCCGTGGTGGAGCCCAACAAGGGCGAGGAGGCCGAGTGGGCGGGCGCGGAGGAACCCAAAACGTCACCGGTGGACGAGGAAGCTCGTTTGGACCCAACGCTGGGCGCGATAAGAATATGTGGGTAGAGCTCATTCGCAATCTTGAACGTCGAGAACTACTACCCATGGTTGTATTTGCGTTTAGCAAGAAACGATGCGACACTCTCGTCGACAGCCTGACGTCGATGGATCTCACATCAAGCTCTGAGAAGCACGAAATCCACGTATTTTGTGAACGCGCGCTGAGTCGATTATCCGTCACCGACCGCAAGTTACCGCAAGTCCTTCGCGTGCGCGAACTCCTTCGTCGAGGTCTCGGCGTGCATCACGCTGGTCTACTGCCAATCGTCAAGGAGATTGTCGAGATGTTGTTTTGTCGTGGTTTGCTTAAAGTTCTCTATTGCACGGAAACTTTTGCGATGGGTGTAAACGCTCCAGCTCGTTGTGTGTGCTTCCAAAGTCTGCGCAAACATGACGGGCAAGATTTCAGAGGTCTTCTAAGTGGTGAATATACGCAAATGGCTGGCCGCGCTGGACGTCGAGGCCTCGACACAGTCGGCACCGTCATCTTGGCAGCTTGGGAGAACTTTCCTCCAGAACTTGAGCTTCGTCAGTTGCTGTCGGGTCAAGCAACGAAATTGCAGTCACAGTTCCGATTGACGTACGGCATGATTCTCAACCTCATGCGAGTCGAGGACTTGCGCGTCGAGGATATGCTCGCGCGCTCGTTTGCCGAATTCCATGCACAGCGCAGCGTCATAGATCGACGAGGCGATCTCGCTATCGACACCGCTGCTCTTCGCAAAGTAGAGTCGCTCATGCAAACTGAAGCGCAGTTTTCACCGGATGAATGGCAGAAAGCCGTTCATTGGGACGACCATGCGAGAGAGATTGCACGAAGCGTGGAGCACGTGAGAGAAGCCATCATGACGAGTCGAGGGGCGCAAAACGCACTCAGCCCGGGAAGGGTCTTGCTCGTCGCTCCTGAAGGCGAGGGAGGTGAGAGTGTGGACGGACTACCAAGAGGTGGTGTCGCAAAACATTGCGTGCTCCTGCGCGTGGTGACTTCTGCGACGAATGGAAAGTCTTTCGTGGTTCTTGTTTCGTGTCCTGAAGGCCATGCCTCCAAAGGTGTCGCCGAAGCTGAAGACGCTGCCCGAGACAACGCACCCACGGCGATGAAGTCCATGAATAGTAAGGACAAAGATGACGACGATGATTTCTTCGGCATGTCCAAGAAGTCCGCCGGCGGAGGTAAGCGCGGTGGCACGACCTCAAATAAAATGCCCGACGGCCTTCCGTGGTTTCGACAAGCGGGCGGCATCGATTACATTGTCGCGAGCGTTCCTGAGACCGCGATACTCGCTATCACGACTAGTCGGTTGAGCGTAGAAGCGGACGCAATACTAGATGGTAGTGGTGACGTAGCGGCGACTTCTCGAGCGCTCCTATCGATGGAGAAATTGTCGAGTGAGACCTCGTTTGAAGCTCTCCACCCGCTCAAGGATTTGAAGATACAAGACATCGTCACCGTGGAAGCTTGTCAGCATCACGCCGACTTGGTGAAGAGCTTGCCCCCGAGACCGGTCGCATCGGCGCAGAAACTTCGTGAATGGTCGGCGTTGCTGCGAGCAAAACATGTTCTCACTTCTCGTGTCGCCGAGCTGGAGTTCGGATTGTCAGACGCAAACTTGCTCCAAATGCCCGATTTTGAAGCGCGCGTCGCTGTGCTCCAGCGCATGGGCTATCTCGACGAAAACAGGACGGTGACGTTGAAAGGTCGCGTGGCGTGTGAAATTGCCACTGGGGACGAGCTCGTCGGAACAGAAATTATATTTGCGGGCGTGCTCACGGATATACCTTCAGAGGAAGCCGTGGCGCTTCTCGCGGCGCTCGTCTTTCAAGAAAAGAATGCTTCCCCGCCCAACCTCGAAGGCTCGCTCAAAGCGGCGTGTGATCGCGCGAAAGAGCTAGCGTTTGCCGCCGGCGAGATACAGATGGCACATGGTCTACCGATTGCGCCTGATGAATTCGTAGAGACGACCATGCGCTTTGGTTTATCCGAAGTCGTCTACGAGTGGGCGCGCGGCACGCCGTTCGCGGACATCTGTCAGCTCACCGACGTGCAAGAGGGAAGCGTCGTTCGCACCATCGTTCGACTCGATGAAATGTGCCGCGACGTGAGGAACGCGGCGAGAATCATGGGCGATAGCACCTTGTTCGCGAAAATGGAAGAAGCGAGCGCGGCGATTAAACGCGACATTGTCTTCAGCGCGTCGCTCTACGTCGCCGGCGCTCAGTAGTAACGCAGTAGTTTTAGTAAATTAGCACGGCAGTACGAGATGTAGCCATCATTCTTCTATTTTCTTCTATTTTCGTATTACAATTTGGCGAGTTCCTTCTCGAAAATTTGCGAGAGCTTCTCCGCGCACTCGCGAACGCCGCTGGGATCGCCCACCGCGTTGTACACGTACGCGTTACGGAAAACCGTGCGCACGAGGGCGACAAACTCATCAGGGCTTTCGATGTGCCCGTCGTGCAACTTCGACTCGATCGTTTTCAAGTCCATGGGATGCTTGATGATGACCGGGTAATCCGGGATGTTCAAAACCTCCCAATCCACCGGCTCCGTAAACGGCCACGCCAACTTTTTGTACGTAAACAACTTTTTCAAAATCCCCGCGCACGTCTTCTGCCACATCCGCTTCGCCTGACTGAGCGGCGTTTGCCACTCACAAACCGTCGGATTCGACTTTTCGAGCGCGTTCAGCTCCTGCGCCGTCAGCGGTCTTCGCGTGCCGTCCAACTCCACCTTCACCAGCTTGTACGGCTGAAACGGGCTCGTCGGCCCCTTGAGCGAGGCGTCGTAATCCCCATCTTTCAGCGCCTTCGGCACGCACACCGCTGTTCTCGCGCGCGATCACCGCATCCGTCAGTCTCCCCACTCCCCGATCGCGCGGTCGCCGTCGCCCGCGTCCCGCGCGCGTCCCGCGCGCCGTCGCTCGCGCGCCGTCGAGATCCCGCCCTCGACCGCGCGCCCTCGACCCTCGATCGCCCGCGCGTCGTCGTCGCGTCGTCCCGCGTCCCGTCGCGTCGCGCAGCGTCGCGTCGCGCGCACCGCAATCGCAATTCGGTCTCGCCGGCGGCGGCGCGCACGTCGCGTCCATCGCGTCCGACTCTATCGCCCCGTCGCGAACGCACGAATCGATGCATGCGCGACCGCGCGCGCGACGCGCCCGCGCTCCATCGTGGACGCGCGATCGCGCATCGATGCGTTCGAATACGGCCGCGGTCGCGTATTTACGATACACGTAAACCCATAATCGACGCATGCGCGACCGCGCGCGCGACGCGCCCGCGATCTATCCGGGATCCGCGATCCCGCATCGATGCGTTCGAATACGGCCGCGGTCGCGTATTTACGATACACGTACACCCATAATCAATGCATGCGCGCCCGCGCGCGCGACGCGACCGCGATCGATCGTGGACGCGCGATCCCGCATCGATGCGTTCGAATACGGCCGCTTTAGGCGTATTTACGATACACGTACACCCATGCGCGCGACCGCGCCGCGCCGCGCCGATATCCGATATCGCGTCGCCGGTCCCGTCCCGCGCCGTCGCGCCGATATCGCGTCGGTCGCGCGACGCGCCGATATCGCGTCGATCGCGCGACGCCACTCGACGCCGGCCGACGACGGATCCGACATCCGACGACGTCCGACATCCGACGACGACCGACGACGACCGACGCGCGCGACGGATCGAGACGACGCGCGCGCGACGCCGCAAACCGCGACGACGCGGGCGACGGATCGAGACGACGCGCGCGCGCGCCAGGCGCGTCGGGGACGCTCCGCGTGAATCGATTCGTGCGCGCATCCGTTTGAAACGCGCGGGGCGCGCGCTTAGCGGAGGCGCGGGACGCGCGCGGGTGGATCGGAGGCGAGGCGCGGGACGCGCGCGGCGTGAAGGAAGGCGAGGGAAGAGGAGGGGGACGACGCGCGCGCGACCGGGACGGGCGGGATGACGCCGGCGAGACGAGGGGGGGGGAGCCCGGCGGCGCCGCGGCGGTTGGTGCAGCTGCTCGACGTCGACGGCGAAGACGTGCCGTGCGTGAATTATAAAAAGCTGTTGAGGGAGCAGAGCGGGGAGACGCGCGCGTCGGCGGAGAAGGAAGCGAAGCAGAAGTCGGCGACGGCGACGGCGAGCGAGGCGGCGATGAAATCGCCGAAATCTTTGTTGGAGAGCGGCGGCGCGGGCGGGGGCGGACACATGGCGGCGGTGATTCGAAGAATCGAGGCGCTGTATCAAGGTGGACCGGGGAACGCGTCGAGCGATGATGAAGAGGACGACGACGAGGACGGGTCAGAGGAGGATTCTGAAGAAGACGAAGACGACGAGGGCGATGAAGAGGGTGAGAGTGGTGAAGAAGGCGAGGGCGACGACGACGAGCTCGGAGAGAGCGGAGACGAGGAGGACTCCGGAAGTGAAATGGAGGACCCGGATGATAAGCCGACGATGACGCCCAACGGTACGCAGCGTATTGAACAGCCTCCTGCGGCGAAGTCGTCCGAGGAAAAGAAAGGGAAACCGGCGAAGAAGAAGAAACAGGCGAAGAGAAAGAGAGACGTGGACTGGTACGACGTCGACGACGATTTCATCGACGACGACGAACTGGATGAGTACTTTGAAGACGATGGCTTAAAAACCAAACATAGTGGATTCTTCATCAATAAGGGCGAGTTGCAAAAGGTCGATGAAGAGGGGCGAACTCCCGTGAAGCATGTGGCGATGACGTCTGACGACAAACCCCCGGCGAAGAAGGAGAAGCCGGCGCCAGCCAAGATGGTGGAATGGACGGAGGAGACCAAGAAAACGCTTCGAAAGGCGGTGACGACGTACGGTAAAAGATGGCAGATGATCCTTGATTGTGGCGAGTACCCCGAGCTGAAGTCGTATTCGACTCATCGCATGCGCAAACAATGGGACGCGATGGAGAAGGATTTGCAGGCGCTCGGGATCGACATCGTCATCCCGAAGGTGCCACCTAAACCACCATCGATGATGAATGTCAAGGAAACAGACGACGACGAAGAGGAGGAGGAAGGTGAAGAGGATGGTTTGAGCACGCCCAGGCGTTCGCAGCACGCGGCTGCGGTTGTCAACTCTTCCTCGCAAAAGACAAAATCTTCCAACGCCACGGCTTCCCGTGGCGCCGCCAACCTTGACGTGACCGACCCGAGGCATCCCGAGGCGAGGAAGAAGATAGTCGATGGCAAAGCTGCGGAGTTTGCAAAGATCAAGGCTTTGGTCGATAAGCAGTGCGAAACGATTCGCGAGTCTGAACGAATCAAAACAGGAGTGGCGACGTCTGAGAGCTACACATTTGAATGGACGAAGGAAATCGCCGAGCTCATGTTCGTCACGCTCGTGCGTATCTTCTTTGCAACCTCCAAGGCAACCGCCGGCGCGGTGTGGAAAGAAGTTGTGGAGCTTTGGCCGAAGGATTTCCACATGGATGAGCAAACACTTCGAAAGAAGCACACTTCAGTGCAGAAAAAGAAGACGGCGGCGGAGAAACAAGCAATCATTGGCTTACCCGATGACGCGAGTTAAGACTTAAACTTGGGTGACTCACCATCGATAATACCACCGTGTTGCGGCATATTTGTAAATACAATCCTATCCAATGATGGTGCGCTCAGCTTGAAATTTCTCGCAACGCCTCGCGAGACTTCGCAAACCGAGACTCATACAACTCTGACAAACGATCGAGTAATGTTTGCGTCGTGCCAACGTTGGAAACAGTGCAGTCAATAGAACGCATGCGTTCGTCATTGATCGCGTCGCATACTCGCCGCACGTCGTTCGCAATCATGCGATCGACACTGCGAATCTTTGCGTCGGCGTGCTCCAATTTTGCGTGCGCCATATGCAGCAAATCCATCAACTCATCCCTCTCCGATTCTGCCGCCTCTCGCCGCGCGCGCTCATGGCGAATCGTATTTTCAAATCCTGTCATCTCTTTCACTCGATTCACTTCATCTCCCTTCGCGTCTCGATTCATCTCCATCAACGCCGCGCGCGTCGCGCGCAACTCGTCCCGCTCCGCGTCTCTCAACCTTTTCACCATGTCGAGCTCTCGTTTCGCCTTCAACGCGCTCGCGCGGTGGCACTCCATCTCCTTGCGCAATTTTCCCCGCTCGGCGTTCCACTGACGCTCGGCTTCCCTGCGCACGCGGTTCAGACGTCGGTCAATCGATCGCTTCGCACCAACCGTCGAGTCAACGAAGACGACGCGAATCGTCGCGAACGATGACCATCGACCGCGCACCTCACCGCGCCGACCGCGCACGCCCCGCCGCTCGAGCACTGAAACCGCATTTTCGCCCGCGACTCGGGCCCTCGACCCGCGCTCGCGTCGCGCGTCGTCGTCGTCGCGACCGCGCTCGCTGAGGTGTGTCGCGTCGGCGGCGCCGCGCGCACACGCCGACGCGCCGATGGATCACCGCCCAGACGAGCGCGCGCGCGCGATGGCGACGACGACGAACGGCGCGATGACGACGGACGACGCGACGACGCGACGCGCGAGCGAGCGCGCGGAGATGTACTTTCTCGCGCACAACGTGGCGAAGAAGCACAACATCGGAACCATGGCGCGGTGCTGCACCGCGTTCGGCGTGAAATCGCTCGTGTTGATCGGGTCGAGACAGTTCAACACGTTCGGTTCGCACGGGGCGGACGGGCACGTGCACTTTGAACACTTTGACTCGCTCGAGGAGGCGAGGGAAAAGTTGAAGGGCGAGCGAGGGTGCACGCAAATCTTAGGGGTGGAGATAGTGGACGACGCGCGGGCGATCGAGAGCCATCCGTTCACGGGGAACACGGCGTTCATCATGGGTAACGAAGGACACGGGATGACGGAGGCACAGAAGGCGATTTGCGATGGTTTCGTGTACATACCGCAATACGGACCCGGGACGGCGTCTCTCAACGTGTCCGTCGCGGCGTCCATCGTCATGCATCACTTCGCGTCGTGGGCGGGATACGAAGAACGGTCACGCGAAGGAGAAAAGTTTATCGTCGCCGAGCGGCCGCAGAGAACGCGCAAGCGCGGTGAGGTGGGCGAATCGCCCGAGCAGGTGCGCGCTCGTCGAGCCGCCGCTCGCGCGCTCGACAAAGAACAGGAAACCCGCGGCGAAGACGCGATCGCGGACGCCGATATTTAAGCGAAAGCTCAAAGATGCCGCGTGTGCATTTTCCGTAGCCCTTGACGACTTTGAAATCATCACTAGACACCGTAGTTCGAATCCGCGACCGCTCCGCCGTGCCGCGCGCCGCTCCAACTGTCCACACAACCCGCCGACGACGATGCGCGTCTCCGTGCGCTGGTCCGGCGGAACGCCGCCGACGTTCGACATCGACGTCGACGACGACGCCACGGTCGCCGACCTGAAACGATCGATCGAAACGACGACGCAAGTGCGCGCGGCGCGCATCAAACTTCTCAACCTGCGAATCGGCGCGAAACCGGCGATGGATGACGACGCGCTGTCCGAGATCGGCAAGTTCCCGAAGCAGGTGATGATGATGGGAAAACGCGAATCGCAGATCGAAGCGCACGCCACGGCGGAGGCGTTGGCGTCGTCGATGGCGCCCGAGGTCGAGGATGATTTTGAGCTGGATGCGCGGACGACGACGGCGGCGATGGCGAATCCCGAGTTCATCGCGAAGCTCGAACGGCGCGTGCGGGATTGCAAGTTTCCGAAGAAACTTTCCGACCCACGTCCGGGGGCGAAGTGTCTGGTGTTAGATATCGATTACACGCTGTTTGATCATCGGACGACGGCGGAGAATCCGAGCGAGATTATGCGACCTTTCCTCCACGAATTTTTATCGCGAGCGTACGCGGCGAACTTTGACATATTCATTTGGTCAGCGACGTCTTTGAAGTGGATCGAGTTAAAGATGACCGAGCTTGGAGTGTTGACTCACAATGATTACAAAATTGTTGGTTTGATTGATTCGTCGGCGATGATTACCGTGGAGACGGCCAAGTACGGCGTGTTCAATTGCAAGCCACTCGGGTACTTGTTCGCGCAGGATTGGTGCGAGTATGACTCTAAAACAACCCTCATGTTTGACGATTTGTCTCGCAACTTCATCATGAACCCACAGCTTGGACTGAAAATTAGACCATTCAGAAACGCGCACACGAGTCGGGCGACCGACCGCGAACTGTTACGATTGAGCGAGTATCTAGAAGAAATCGCCAGTCTAGATGATTTTTCCGAGCTGAATCACAACAGATGGGAGTCCTTTTTAGCCAAAAAGAAGCAGAAGCGCAACGATCAATAGACCACTATAGAATAGAATACAATGAGATGCTGCTAAAACTGACTACACGATGAATTCGCGCAACGCCTTGACGTACTCGTCCGGATGCTTTCTCAAATGCGCGCAGTGCGGCGACTGCTCGAAACAGAGCACCTTGACGTTTGCCGAGTTTTTCGCTCGATGAGCGATTAACGCCTCGAGCTTCTGCGGATCCGTCAACGTATCACTTAGGGAATAAATATACAACTCCTTCTTTTCGTTCGGCATGTTCAGCATCGTCGTCCAAAACTTCCTCGTCAACATTTGATCGTACGTCCCCGTGCATAGATGCACAGTCGCGAGCACTAAAACCAGCGCGTAGAATGTCAATCGCACGACGAGCGCGAGCGGTTGCCGCATCACCGCCGTCAGCGCGTCGCCGCCCGATTTCATCGACATGAACGCTGGACACGAATCAAATATCACGCCCTCGAAATCAAACATCAACTCGCGCGCGATGGTTCCCTCGGCGCGCGCTCGCGCGAGCGTGGCTTGGACCCAGCATCCACCGTTGGAGAAGCAAAACAGGTACACCTTCCTCGGCGTCTGTCCGCCGTACGCGCGACGCGCGAACGTCAGCGCCTCCGTCACGTACGCCACCCTCGACCGCTCGAACGGGCTGAACGCGCGCGCGGTCGGCATCGTCGCTCGAACCGTCGCGCAACACTCGAGCTCGCGCGTCAACACGTCGGTGTATTTCTTGACGTGCGCGTCGCGCGCGTTCACCCAACCGAACACCAGGCACAGGGGTACATCGGGCGCGAGCGTTCCGGCGCTCGCGCAGCGCGCGGGAACGTCCAAGGCGAAGCGCGTCGACGCCATGCGTCGCGAACTGCACCGGTGACGCACGACACACGATGACGCGGGCGTTCGCGCGTCGCCCGTCGGCCGCGACGCCGCGGGCCGTCCGGGCGCCGCGCGGACGCGCGCGCGCGATCGTTCGCGCCGACGGCGCCGCGCGCGCGTCCGAGGCGCAGCGCGTGCTGATCACGGGGAGCACGCGAGGCTTGGGATACGAGTTGGCGAAGAGCTTTCTCAAGCGCGGGGACGCGGTGTTCGTGACGTCGCGGGACGACGATAAAGTGCGCGAGGTGGTCGAGGGACTTCGTCGAGAGTATGGTGACGCGCGCGTCGCGGGCGTGGCGGCGGACGTGCGCAGAGCGGAGAGCGTCGAGGCGATGGCGGCGGCGTGCTGCGAAGCCTTCGGCGGCGTGGACGTGTGGGTGAATAACGCCGCGAGTAACGGGTACTCGTACGATAATTTGGAAGACGCGACGCCGGAGGTGCTGGAAGAAATTATTTTGACCAACTCGCTCGGGTCGTTGTTGTGCACGAGGCAGGCGATAAAGACGATGAAGGCGACGACGGGACGCGGGCACGTGTTCAACATGGAGGGCGCGGGGAGCGACGGCGCGGCGACGCGTAAGTTTGCAGCGTATGGGCACACCAAGGCTGGGATGTCGCAGCTGGCGAAAACGATGGCGGTGGAGCTCAAGGATGTGCCCATCGGCGTGCACACGATTAGCCCCGGAATGGTTTTCACCGAATTGATTTCGAGTGGGCGCGACGCGTTTGGCAGTCAAGGAAGAATGTTTGTCAACGCGCTCGCCGAGCCGGCCGAGGTAGCGGCGGAGCAGATCGTGGATAAACTGAAAGTGGCGACGGTTTCTCCAGATTCGGTGAATAAGACGATCGCGATCAAGATTTTAACGCCGGATGTGGCGTTGCGCAAAATGTTTGGTCGATTCGTACTCGGCGAAAATCGCGATCGGTTTCAGAAGGAGTGAAAGATTCTGAAAGAATGCATCGGTATTTGTAACAAAAAGGACACAATTGCACGTTCACGTCACAATGCACTACGCTTGTCTTGAAGAGACAGTCGCATGTACACCTTCTCTCGACATCTGAAACCAGCGACTTGAATCGTCTCGCCTGAAACCAGCGCGTTGCGGACTTCGAGATCCGTCCACTTCTCAAATGACACGACGGCGAAGAAACACCGCACCCGTCGACTGACCCCGACGTACACGCGATCGATTATGCCGTAGGAAGACATGATCGATCTCACCCATCCACTCGCTTCGGTTGATAACGCTTGAGTCAAGCGATATTCGCTCTCCGACGGAGCGTCTGACAACCGAAGAATCGAATCATCGAGGTGAAGCTTTTTGCAAACAGCTTGCATGAATTCAAACGGCAACATTTTCAAGTTCACCTTTGGGTTCACAATTTTCGGCGGACCATCATCGGCGATCGTGGCCTTGTACCAGTCATCAATTTTCATGCGCGTCGGCATCGCTGGCGTTGTTCCGTTTGAAGCCGACGAAGGCTTTGACGTTTTTTGAATTTGGATTTTGCCGACGGGTTGCGTTGGAGACGCAATTTGAATTCCGTCAGCTGGTTGGGCCGGCGCTTTCGTCGCCATCGTCGCGTACGCGACTTTAGTAGGATAGTCGTCTTTCCGTTCATCCCAGGCGTTCTCGCTCTCCGGAGGCGAAACCGAAATCGAGGGCGAGCGTTCGATGGCGTCTGCGTTTAACCAATCGGACGTCGTCAGCGGTCCGATGACGCGCGCGGTAAACACTGCCTCTCGAAGCGATACGACACCGACGGCCCGATACATCCTCCCACCGCGGCGACTTTTGATTATATCTACCACCACCGCGGCGCGCGTTTGCATGGATTTCGAATCCGCTTTGAATGGGAGCAGCATTTGTACCTTCCCAGGACCGCGAGCGCCTTGCAAGCGCGCGAATCTCGGCACCGGAGCGTGGAAGCCGTACGACACCAAGCGCGCCAATCGCGAAATCGCACTCATCCCGGCGTGATGACGCGCAGTCAACGTTGAAAATTCCTTCAGAAGAGCGACAACGGCATCTGACTCGAGAGATTCCCAAAAACGCGCGTCGATTTCAAGGACGACGTCGTCGCCGGTTTCATCGGCGATCCAGAGACAATCGCACGGATCCTCCACAAACGTCGGTCGCGGTGGCACGTGCAAGATTGGCTCGATCGCGTTCCACGGCTGCGATGGGTCGCGCAAGGTGACATCATCGACGAACCCCACCAGCTCCCATTTCCCTCCGTTAACGGCTTGGGACTTGTCGATTCGTGTAAATTCTCGGCCAAACATCGCGAAGAGAGGGAACTCGTCGTACGACAGTAAATTCGTGTGAAACGTCGCCCACGCCGCGTCTCCAGATTCAGTGAAGCATTGCACCATCTTTCCTTGCTCGACACTTCTGAGAAATTGCGCGTCGAGGTACGCATCCATCATCCCTCGCGGCCAGGTCTCTCGCACGACCGCCGACTCGAGCGACGCAAACGACGTCGCTCGAAGCGCGTCACCCATCGCCCTCTTACCCCCGTTTCCCACGCGCGCCCACTGTCCCAGACTCGTCATATCCCTCGTAAATTCATCGAGTGGCAATCCCTCGATATTGTTCGCGCTCCTCATCCCGCGCTCGCGCTGAATCTTCCCTCCAACCTCCGCCGCGTGAAGCCAGCCGGGAACGCTTCGCGCGCCGTCCCCGCCCCCGCCCCGCTCTCCTCTTCCCCTCGGTCGCGGTTCCGACGGTAACGGCGGCACCGCTCCAACTTCGCCCAACGTCGTCGCATCCTTCGCGCTCGTCGCGTTCGTCGATTCCGTTTCGCACTCCGCGTCGTCCTCCATCCCGCGCCTTCGTCCCGCGCTCGAGACGTCGCCGCGAGACGCGTCGCGCCGTATCCCTTCCCCTCGTCCCGTCGTCCCGCGTCTCGACCGCGCGCCGCCGCGACGATTCAGACGCGCGCGCGCGTCGTCTTCGACGCTCCGCTCGCGCGCGCGTCGCGCACTGGCCGTCACCGCGCGCGCGCGCGCCGTCACACGCGTCGATATCGCGCGCGTCGATTCGCGTCCCGATCGCGAACCGTCGTCCACGATCGATCGATCGATCGATCGATCGATCGGCGGCGTCGGCGGCGTCGCGCGCGCCCGGGGCGCAGACCGCGACGACGGCGTCGCGACGGCGCGACGGCATGGCGACGCCCGCGACCGCGACGCGAGCGCGCGCGGACGTCGACGTCGATGATCACGACGCGCGGTACGAACCGGTGAACGACGCCCTGCTCGGCACCGGGTCGTACGGGTACACGAAACTCATGCGCGAGAAAACCACGGGGCGAATGTACGCGCTGAAGTACATCGAACGCGGTGAAAAGATCACCGAACACGTGCGACGAGAGATCACGAATCATCGGAACCTGAGCCATCCGAACATCGTGAAGTTTAAGGAGGTGCTGGTGACGCCGACGCACCTGGCGGTGGCGATGGAGGCGATCGGGGGGGGCGAACTGTTTGGGTACGTGCAGCAGCAAGGGAATTTTACGGAGTCGCAGGCGAGGTATTTTTTTCAACACTTGATCTCGGGGGTGGAGTATTTGCATAATATGAGAATATCGCACCGAGATTTGAAACTTGAGAACACGCTGGTGGATCTCACGACGACGCCGGTGCTGAAGATTTGTGATTTTGGGTTCTCCAAAGGGGGATTCGACAGTCAGCCAAAGACGCAAATCGGGACGCCGGCGTACATTTCGCCGGAGGTGTATAGCGGGGCGCAACCGTACGATGGCGCGGCATCGGACGTGTGGGCGTGTGGGGTTTTATTGTACGTCATGTTAGTGGGTAGATATCCGTTTTCGGATCCTCAAGATCCAAACAACTCGCACAAGATGATGCAGCGCGTGTTGTCGGCCAAATTCGACCTTCCGCAGAATATGACAGACGAGTGCAAGGATTTGCTCACGCAAATTTTCAACGTCGATCCGAAGAATAGAATAACTGTCTCAGGGATATACCATCATCCTTGGTTTTTGCATGACTTGTCTCCGAGCGTACCGCTCGGGCCGACGCAGCCGGGACCGACGGCGGACGACGCCGAGGGGCTTCAGTGCCTCGACGCCATCAACGCCATCATCGATGTTGCCCGCGAGCCCCCGGTCAAGACATCGAGTCCGTGGGGGTACGACGAAATCGATGGAGATGGAATCGACGACGGCAACTATCTAGATGACGATTATTAACACGGATTGCGTCTCTTTCTTTGTTCTGTAATAATTGCAAACGTTTCAGCCACGTGGCGAGTAATAAGTCTCGCTCGATATGAATCTCTTTTGCGCGAAGATTCCGAGAACTTTTGGACGTCTTAGAATCGGTTCTCCGGTCGCGTTTCTAACCATTTTTGAATGCCCGCGTTTTCGCCTACCTTGTCGACTATGGCGGACACTTTGGGGCAGTCGACATACGATGCCGCCGCCTTTTCCGCATCGGAGAAGGCCTGCGTTAACGCGACGTAAAGCACAATATCCGCGAGTGACATCTTTTTTCCGACGCACCATTGGTCGCCGACGACGGATTCAAGTTTGCCCATCCACGTCTTCATCGTCTCATCGTACCACTTCGCCATCGCTTCTTCAATTTCAGGCGTCGGCGGCGCGAACGGATTACCGCGTGCTTTTTGATACGCGTCCCGCAGATCTCGCACATGTTCGCAAATCGCATCGATTTTAGCCTCGTCTATCTTCCCTTTGCCCATGAGTCCCAAATCTTTGGCGACAAATCGCTCAATCGCGCGGCTCTGCCCGATCATCTCGCCTTGGACCTCGAGAACAGGAAGACGCTTAAGATTCGCATCGAACATCCCCGCCTCCTTATCGACCCCGTGCTGCTCACAGATCTGCGGCTTCGGCCCATCCATAGAGAAGGTGTATCTATAATCCTCGTAATCGACGTTTGCCGCGGCAAAAATCGTGCGAATGACCTCCGCCGCGCCTCGTGCGTCGAAGTAGCGCAGCGTGGCTCGAGTCTTGCGCAGTGTGCTTCCCGATTTTGCCGCGATGTGACCCTTGATGATCGCCGCCGCGAGGAAGCCGCCCACGCCAAAGGCTTGCACCGGAGACACATCTGCGAAGAGCGGCTTCTTTACCGGCACCGGCGCAGGTTTGGCGGCGATACTCGCGATTTCCTGCGTGCGTTCGTGAACCTTCTTCGGCGCGAGCGATGAGGCGTCTCTGGCGACGACGCGCGTTCGATCGACGCGCGCGCGGCGATGCACCGGTCTCACGATGAGGGGTGTAGTCGTGATGCTAGCAAGCATGGCGTAAGTGTTCGTGAAGACGCTGCGCGAACGATTATGCGGTCAGCCTCTCCCGAAATGACCTCGTTTGAGGTTTCGGCAACGGTGATGAATTGAATCATCATGAGAACGCTAGAGCTATCGGGAGCTAAGGAACTATTCTACTTTTGAAAACTTCTGCAAGCGACCTCTGGAAAATATCGGTGCGTGCGCATACGCTGCGATGATGTTCAACAAGAGCCAAATGTTTGCGCCGAAGAACGCGATGGACGCCAACCACACGCTCTCAAATACTTGCGCCCCTTTGAATTCGAGGGCGTACGCCCAAGCCAGCCAGTGTAACTGGGCGATGAGCCAAATCAGCGTGGCGAACACCACACGTTTTCGATTCGCACTTCGCATCAGCGATGGTAAAACGAGTGGCAAGAGCATGAACCACCAAACAAAGTATTGCGCCGTGCACACCTTGTTGAAAGCTACAAACGCGAGTGTCTGCACAAAAAGTGCGAAAGGCATGTCGCTAGCAAACGCAAACCCAAGTGATAGAACGACTGTAAGCATGGGCAACGGACTCATAGCCAACCGATCGGCGGTTTGAACGATTGCTGAACCGTTCAAGTCTGGAGCGTCCGTCGTCGGATGAATGCTCAGATATATCCCGTAAAACGCCGGTGAGAAGTTGTGACGATGGTCTTTTCTTTGCGCGTGATACAGAATTGCCTCATCGATGTAATCCATGCCATACACGGCGTACGAACCAGCCGTTAGCGCGAAAAATGTCGCCGACGAAACCACGGCAAACTTGACGTTTTCTACCGTCACCCACGAAAGCGCTTTGGATCCTCGCTTACCGAACAAAGCGCGATTGCCCATGTAATCCTTATTAAGAAACGCAACGAACATCAATGCGTGTATGATTGGATACAGCCTCATGTGAACGACGAATCCGTACGCGATTGCGGCCCTTGTCGTTGCGCCCGCGGTGAGAGCCTCAACCGTCAACAGCATCAACACTCCCGTCAATGCCTCGCAGCTTCCCCTCGTGCTTATCGCGCACGTGAACGGATTAAATAACCAACACCACAAAGCATATTTGAGCTCTCGCGCGTTCATACCGCGTCGCCGACCGATTTTCAAAATCAAACCGCCCACCGCGATGTCCAACGTGCTGAAGAACACTTTCCCCCACATTTCGTGCACCAACACGTTCGGCGCGAGTAAGACGGCCAATAGCGGTGGATATCGATACGTTGCTCGTTCATACGGCGATCCGCCGCGGACGACATGACGCGCGGCGTCGGTGTAGACGAAGTAGTCAATGTCGGTATACTTGACGTCAAAGTTTGCGTCTTGATACGCGCTCCAAGCGATGAGGACGAGGCGAAGGATGACGGCGCACACGAACGCCATGTTCATATCGTTCCTTCGACGCGCGCCCATCTCGCGCACGGGCTGCCGCGCGCGCGGACGAGTGCGGCAGCCCGTGCGGCGGACGCTCGCTCGCGACGAACCGACTCGCAGCGACGGAGGACGCATATCGATCCGTGTCGCTTTTGTTAATCGCGCTAATTAAATTAACAACAACTAGTAGTGCTTACGTGTCTTCCCAATCTCATCTATGAGTTGATTGAGCTTAAAGTGAAGCTCTTCTCGAGGCGCGCTCTCGCGGCGTCGCGAGACTTTGTCAAGTCCCGCTCGAGATTTTTGCTTGACCGCCGAAGCGAGCTGCAACCGAAGAGAATCGAGAGAATCTATGACGGAGTTCGTCGGAGAGTCCCGACGATAGATGGCATAGTCTCCCGATTGCGGTGAGCGTGGTCGAGATGGTGAAGACGTCGCGGAGGGCCCGAGGCGGTTGACAAATTCAACCATTCTTCGCAGGCGTACTTCAGCGGTGTGGGCGCCGGATTCAGCTGCCATTCTGCGAGCTTCGGCATCTTTTGCCGCTTTTTCCATGATCATCAGACGATGGTACGCTTTGTCCTCTGCCGAGACTTTCATCATCGGGCTGTCGTCGAACAAACGAACACCCTGCATCGGGGCTTCCAACGGTGAATTTTGCGCGCTGTCATACACATAAGAATGTCCAACTTGACGGTACGGTGGTGGTGTTCGAAGCGGGTTCGCAGTCCATGACATTTCTTGCTCCGCCGTATCCTTTGCAACTTGCAATAGGTGCACAGCCTCGGCGAGTGCCTCTTGTGATCGCTCGATGTCGGCTTCGTAACTGCGCTTGTCCTCTTTAAGTTTTTCAGCCTCAGTCTTGATGGCTTCCAACGCGCGTTGCGCATTCGCTCTATCTTCCGCTTCTTTCGCCCGTAATCTGTCACCTAGTTCACTTTCTTCCTTAAGCTTTGTCCGCAACGCTTCCAACTCCTCTTCAATCGAACCTTGATCGCAGTCGAGCTCTCTCAAGAGCTTCGTCTTTGATTCGACTTCGGCTTCTAATCCTTCCAACTTTCCCTTAACCTTCTCGATGTACTGTTCGTGCTCTTCGAGAATTTCCACGGTGATACAAGTATCGGACTTCAACTGCATCGCGCGTTCCTCCTCATCCGCGGCCTCTTTCCTCAGTTCATCAATCTGTTTTCTCAACCTGTGCTCTTCATCCTGACACGCCTTGCGCACCGCCGCGGAACTCTTGTGCTGGTACTCCAGGTCCTCCGTCAATTGCGCTTGCTCGTTTTCGAGGAGCGTCAACTGCGTGCGAGTCTTGGTGAGCTTGTCTTTCACCACGGCCTCATCGCTCGACGTCGCCGCGCGCGTCGTTCGTAACTCAGCCGTTTCCCGACGAAGCCCTTCGAGCGTGAGCGTCTCCTCGAGCACTTGACGCCGAATCTTCTCCAACTCATCGCGCAACTGCGCTTTGTGAAATCCATAGTTGATATCGTCCGGAGTTGAGTGCCCACTTCTATTCGAAGATCCCTTCGAGCGCGCCGCGCCCGTCTCCTGCGCCACTTCGACGAAACTCTCCCGTTCGCGTTGACTCTTCAACAACGCCTTGACGAGCTCCTCCGCGTCTGCGCTCACGTTGAAATCGCACGCATTCAACGAAAGATGCACGCAATCGCTCGGCGTCGCCGGTGGTGTCTTCAAAATCTTCGTGTCCGTCTCGCTCTCTCTCACACTCGCGTTCTCCGTGGTCGTCGTCGCCAATTTCGCTCGCAACTCCTCCTGCTCCGCGCTCGCGGCTTCCGCGTCCCGTCGCACGGCGTCGCATCGCATCTCGACGTCTCGTCGAAACGCCGCCGCGCGTTCGCGCGCATCACCGCGCGCGGCGTCAACGACCTCGTTCTCCTCGCTCTCATCCACCGCACGCGCCGTTTGCCCCGTCACCGGCGTCACCATCGCGCGCGCGATCGCGCAAAGTTTTCGCGCGCGAATTCGCGACGATCGCTCGATCGTCGCCGCGATCGCGCGTCGCCCGCGCGCGCGTCGCGACGCGAAATACGCGCGACGCGCGACGCGACGCAAGAGACGACCGCGCGCGCGCTCGACGGGCGATCCGCGCGCGCCGACGACGCGCACCACCGCGCGCGGTGTTCTCCCGCGACGCCAGCCCCCATCAGCGGCGTCGCGGCACGCGCGCGAAAGGGCCGCGTCGCGCGCGATCGCGGACCCCGCGCGGGGAGGGGGTCGCATTTGAGTCGCGAACCGTCGTCGCGAAATCCGAAAGGCGCGCGACGGGAATCGGCGTTTTTTTACGCGTTTTCGCGCGCGTTCGAGAAAAAAGAAGACGAACGGGCGCGATCGCGACGGCGACCGGCGCCCGGCGATGGGGCGATTGCGGGGCGCGCGACGTCGCGCGCGCGTCGCGCGTGATGGGAGATGTCGAGGAATCTCGCGCGAGGGACGCACAGGGGGGACGCGCGGCGTTCGCGTGGCGAGACGCGCACGCCGTCGCGCTCGTCGCGAAGATGCGCGAGCTGGGGGTCGTGGCGAACGAATCTTTGACGCGCGCGGGTGATGGGAAGGCGTACGTGACGACGGAGAGGGTGCGGGAAGAGGTGATGCGAGAGGTGGAGCGATGCGGAGGGCGCGTTGGAGTGGTGGCGTTGTCGACGGCGCTCGGGGTGGACGCGTCGACGTGCGAACGCGCGGCCAAGGCTTTGGCTCGAGAAAACGCGTCGAGCGGCGCGCGGTTCTTGGAGGGGGAACTCATGACGGATGGATACTTTGACGACGTCGCGAGGGAGACGCAGGAGATTTTGCGCGAAAACGGAACGGCGACTGTTTCGGACGTCGCGCGTAAGTTTTCGCTCGGTGCCGACTTGGTGGTGAAAGTTTTGCGCGAACGCGTCGTCGGCGCGTCGGACGTTAAGATGGACGGAAGTTTAGTTTACACCTCCGAGTACGTCGCGAAACTCACATCGCGCGTGCGTGAGACTTTGATGGCGTGTGCGGTGCCAACTTCTCGCGACGCTCTGCTCCGCGAGGCGCTCGGCGAGGAGGCCAGAGCGCAGCTTGTGGGAAGCGTATTGAGCGAAGTTATCAAGTCGAAAGCGGTGAGACTCAGTGGTGAGATGTCTGGAGGCGTTTGGTACCCAGCGGCGCACTTGGATCGTCAGCGCAAGAAGCTTTTGGAGATGTTTGCACAAATGGGCGTTGTGAGCGTCGACGCCGCGGCACGCGTCGGTTTTGATGCAAAGCAAGCAAAGAAAATTCTCTCAGAAGCGGACGAGTCACACTTGGAGTTCGGATCGCCGGCGTGTTTCGTCGCTAAAAGAGTTCTAGATCAGTTCGAAACTGCCGTCTCAGAAGCGCTCGACGAAGATGGCTATTGTTACACGCCGGACGTCTTACCGGAAGGCTTGACAAGTTGTGCCGAGACGCTCGCCCAGACGAGTGTGTTGCAGAAGCATGTCGAGTTTGGCAGGGAGTACGTGGTTACGAAATCCTTCATCAAAAAGTGCACAGATGCGATTAAACGCTTCGGGGAATTGGCTGCTGAAAAAGCCATACGCGAGAACGAGAAGAAGGATGTTGCCACGCTGCGTGAATTCCTCGTGGCAAATTCGGTCGGAGATTCAGACGTCATCGCAGCCGTCAAACGCGCCGTTCCGGGCGTGGAAGCCGACTTGATTCAAGAACTGGTGCGAGTGCATAAAGTTGCGGCAGTATTGGCATTTAAAGAACGCATTTCATTCGCGATAGCGAGTCACGGCGATAAGCTCAGAATGTCTTGCGACGCGGCAAAGAAGATATTCCTGGCGTCGTACCCGACGGCATTGTTATGCTCCAAGGGAACCGCAGAGGTGTTGTCGCACGACTCACACGCCATGACATACACATGCAGAAGATACGCCGTGCCATGTGCGGACGCATTTTTACGATCGAAAGCCGAAAAGAGTTTCGATGAGGGCGATAGCGCAGCGCCTTTGACAGAAAAGCTTCGTGCATTCATCGTGGAAAGTTTTTCGGATGGCAACAAAGCGAAAGCTTTAGGTCGCGACTTAATCGACGCAATCCGTCGTGAGAAATCACCCATGGACGTCATGGATTCCCTAGGAAGACTTTGCGAATTATTTGGAGTCCGCCTTCCGGCGCCGAATAAAAAAACGGAACGCTCGATGCTGCACGTGCACAAGAAAGGCCTCGAAGAGCAGCTTCGCGCCGCGACAGACATCTCAAAAGCTTTGTTGATTGTCGTTCCTTTATTAGTGGCGCAGACTCGAGGTAAAGTCGTCGCCATCACAGGTCGCTCTCTTGGCGCTGCGCTCGAGGCCTGCGAAGGCCTTGAACCTGAACGCCGCACCGTTGTCAAAGCCGCTATCACGCAAGTCCTCGACGAGCTCACCGGCGCTTCTTCGTCAACGAGCGCAATACCCATAGATATAGAGACTCTAAAAGCTGCCGCCCTAAGCGGTACGTCCTCCCGGGACGATTAGTTATGGAGCACTCACCCAGCCACACCACCTGTCACTCACTGTAACATCTCAACACAACCCGACGCAAGTCATCGACACTATGTCAGCCATTACGGTGCGTCAGCGGACGAAACGCGATGCGCGGCGTCTTTGCTCGCGATCGTCACGCGCCGTACGCGCAGTTTCGCTCCCAACGGCACGATTCTCGCCTCTCCGACTGGGCACGTTGAAATAAGATTTCGTTCGAGATCTCTCGCCTCGCGCGTGATTACTGACGCGCACACGCTCGATCGTGCATCACACAGGTCACAAACGTCGCTCCAAGCGCGGAAGAGTCTAATTTGAGGGAATTCTTCAGCACGGCAGGGGAGATTGAGCGCGTGCGCATCTTCAACGTCGCCACGAAGAGCGGACGCAAAGCCGTGATCGAGTTCACGCACAAGGAGGCGGTGAGCGCGGCGGTGCTATTAAACGGATGTTTGTTACTCAATCATCCGTTGAACATCGCGGAGTGCGCGTACCCGGTTTCGGACGACGTCGCGAACGAGGGCACGACGCTGAACAGCTTTGAATCCAAGTTCGCTGGATTTTTAGGCAAGACGCTTCTCGCTGGCAAGCAAGCCATGGCGGCGGTGAAGGATTTCGACGAGAGAAATCAAATCACGGCTAAGACGAAAGAAAATATCAAGGCTATGGATGAGAAATTACAAATATCGTCCAGCATGAAGAAATTTGATGAAAAGGCTGGTTTGTCGACGGGCGTCAAGAAACTGTCAACCACCGCGTCGGCGCAGGTCGCAGAGATTGACAAGTCGCTGAAGATAACTGCGACGACGAACGCTGTGGTGGGGATCGGACGAGACGCTGCTGGCATGGCGATGAACAAGGCGATGGAGAGCAAGGTGATAAGTAGCGCCACGACGACCATCGGCGAAGGCTTGAGTCAGGCGACGAACAAGGTGAAGGCGGTCACGGCGGAGGCAAAGGCGACGGCCAAGGTGGGCGAACCTGAAGTCAATGTCGATCTTACGCAAGTCCAAGACGCTTCCGCGCCCACCGTCGAACCCGAAGCCGTTCCCTCGAACTAGTGCAGCATTTCTTGTAGCAAACCACCGAACAGCCAAAACTTCAAACGTTCGCGCGCGAGACGATGACGAACTCGTGTGTCTCCACGCACGCACGCGTGAGCCTCTTTAGGACTCCCACCCGCGCCAACAGCGCTCGCGTGACGTCGCGATGCGTCAAAGTTGACGCCATATCCTATGGACGCGTGTCCAACTCCGCCAAGTCGATCGCCGCCGCGACCGCGCTCGCGACGATGCTCGGTGCGAGTTTGGTGCAAGCCAAACCGGTGGAGATCGCGATCGATGCGAGTACGATTGAACAATCGTCATGCGGGATGGCGGGAGGCGTTCCCGGATCAGGGACATACAAGGCGAAGTGTATTCTGTTGAGTTTCAAAGCGCTTAACCCAACGAAGGATGTCGTGTACAACGCCGATGTGTTCGGATCGGTGAAAGACCAGGCAAATGACGACGTGTTGAACTCTGGTAGAATTGGCAGCATCAAAGAGTTGCAGCCGGGAGAGAACGATGCTCGATTGGAACTCACAGTCGGCGCGTCCCAACCGCTGCCTCTCAAGTTAAAGGCTTTCAAGGGACGAGGAACGACGGAAAAGCTGTCGATGAGTGGGAACCCGTATGACTATGAAGATGTCTTGGCATATGACTCTTACTAACGCGATTGGAGTTGTGAGAGTGGCACACCCATCCTGTCGCTTCATTTTCAGGCGCAGGCAATATGTATGCGAAGTGGGACGCCCTCGCGTCGTCTTTATCGGATTCCGAGGAGGAGCCAGTGATTAGTAAACGACGGGAAGATCACCTCAGGATTCAAGGGAGGACGTTTGAACCACCGGTGGTCTCTCGTGAAGACGTTCGGATCCGTGCAACGGGCACAGCAAAGGACGCCATCAGTTTGCACGAGTACGTCTGGTACGACGACGAGCGTTTTGCGCACGTGTTTGTTCAACTACCAAAGGAAAGTTCGTCATTTAGAATAGTTGATCGCAAATTCGGATCGCAAAGTTTCTCCATCGAGCTTGCTGCGACAGCAAGATCGTATCGCTTCGCCGTCGCCGAGCTCCCGCTAACCATCCTTCCAGAGCAGTGTGAGTGCTTCGTCAAGGAAGACGAAGTAAGTGAGTTGGTGATTAAACTCGTCAAGTTTGGCAAAGTGCGATGGACTAAGCTAGCGTGTTGATATACAAATTGAATTCTATTCAGCTACTCTAATCTGCGAGACGGCTCCATCGAGATATTGTCTCCTCGGCCACTTCCGCGCGCTTACGCTCTTTATTAGCGGTGCGCCGCGCTTCTTCCAACTCTTTTGAAAGGCCTACGGGAGCACCTCCGAAGATCGACGACGTCGTTCGTGGTGTGTGTTGAAACGGTCGAGGACTACGGCTCGGTGTCGATGTGACATCAGAAGTTGATGGAGACATATTGTGCGTATTTCCTCGCGCGACATACGCTCCTGTCAAGCCCCTCGACTCAGCCATCATTGCAGCAGCAGATGCTATGCGTTCTGCGGTGATCAAATCTCGCAAGGCTGATGCATCACTCGCCGCCTTGGCTGCCAGTTTCTCAGCCTCGTCTCGACGCTGAGATTGATCATCAAGCGCTTCTTGAAGCTCGCGAATCTTGTCCTCTGAACGATCGCTCGACACACTAAGAGGGGTTTCCATCATTCTCTGAGAATATCCACCCGTTGATGCTCCACCAGAAGACATCACCGTTGAAAGACGTTGGCAAAGCTGTTCGGCGCGATCGCAACTTCGTTGAAGGTTCTGATCAATCTCTTCTAGAGAAACTGACACCGATCGCGGTGAGTCTAAGGACCCGCGTGAGATGGTTCTAACGGGATGTTTTTGATCAAGAGTATTGATGTGCTGACGCAGCGTGATAACTTCGACCGTCTTTGAATCTAACTCTGCTCGCATCGTAGTAACGAGTTGCTCAGCGGCGTCCGCTCGAGCTCTGGATTTCAACTCTTCTTTAGCGAGCTCGTGGACTAACAAATTCAACTCGCGCTCGTTCGAACGTCGTGGTACTGAAGATGCAGAAGACTGCTTTGATACGGAAACAGCCAACTGAACAATCTTTTCTTCCAGGTCTTGAATTCGCTTCAAATTCTGCTCATCACCCACGTTTTCAATCTTTTTACCGTTGCTGACATCTCGGAACGCATCGCGCAGTCGAGATATCTCGGCTTCTTTTGACTTGTTCATTTGACGCTCAGTTTGCAAATCTTTTCGAAGCATCGCAAGCGCACGCAGATTTTCCTCGTCCTTGGCTTGCGCCTCCGCAAGTCGCTTCTCTACCTTCTTTAATTTTTCCCAACGTTGGGCGGACTCTGCCCTCGAGCCTTCCAAAACTTTGGAGAGCTCATTCACCTTCTTCGATAGTCTCACAATCTCGCCTTCGGCGAAGTGCAGCGCTTTTTCGCTCTGCGCTGCCCGCGCTCTTTGCTGCTCAAATGCAAGCGTCGCTTCGCGCTTCGATGCCAAAGTCTTCTCAAGTCCAATCACCGCGTTCTCCTTCTCTTTGAGAACCACCTCCAGCTCTTCTGCAAATCGTTCCACCGCCGCCTTCGTCGGTGTGCCCCATGGCACGTCTTCCTCGCGTTCGGTTTCGCTCGAGCTTGTCGCTCGACGACGTCCTGCTCCCGCCGCGCGCATCGCCTCATCCTCGCGCTCTATGAGGTCCGCACACAGATCCAGCGTCGCCCCTTTCGTCACAACTTCATTCATCGTTCGTGGTGCGCGGTGCAGCGCCGCACGGAGCGCTGCATCGATCGCCCGAAGCTCAACGACGGCGTCTTCGTCGCTGCGATTCAACGGTTTGTTCGTCGCAGCCAAGCCGTTCGTGGCGTCGGTGTCGCTGCACGACGGTGCGTCGGTGTCGGCGTCGAATACGTCGAATGGTAACGCGCGCGTCAGTGTCGATCGCGCGGTGTCGCGCGATGCAAGCTCCATGACGCCGCGGTGGGATCGGCCGAACTACGCGGCGGCGTCTGAAGCGTTGTGGGGGACATCGGGCGTGGTTGAAAGTTGAAAGTTGAAGGAGTCTAATTCATCGAGCTAGCTAATGATGAACGCTAATGGTAAGTGTTGGCTAAATGGCTAATAATCGAGGCATCGGTAATCGTCCTCGTAGAGCGTTTTGAATCTATCAAAGTACGCACCACCGTTTGCGGTACTCGGCTTCGGGATGTGTACCTCGGCTCTGTCGCGTGAGTAAATGACTTCCACTGGTTCATAAAGCTCGCCTGATTCTGGAGCTCGTTCACCACGGACTATGTGAGAGAAGAATACGTCACGTTGGGCTTTCAAATGTCTTTCGCGCTCGGAGATCGCGCACTCGTGCTCGACGTGCTTGAGCGGAGCACGAACAGGGTGACTTGGTTCGACGCCGAGCTCATCCATAAGACGGTTCCAATCTTCGTCCAACGACTCAGTTCGACCTATAAAGTGCATTGGTACGCGCGAGCCACGTCGAGTTACACCACTGAGCCTCGATACGGTTGATTGTAAGTGCTCATCCAACCAAGGATTGTTCAAAAAGCTCTGGTCTTGCGGCGCCCCCAGACGATTCGAGCAAAAGCTGTCGTCATGCTTCGCCCTACCGCGCATGATTTCTATCAAATCGATCGTCTGCTCAATCGTCGGAGGCCGGGTGGGTGTCTTTCCATGCATGCATCCCTGACACAAAGAGCGACAGAAAGCCTGCTGATAGCCAGAGACGAAACGCTCACTTGGATTTCGTACAAACGTGAAGAATTTGTATGAATCCAACAATTCATCCGACAACGAAGAAGTAGTCGAACGAACGATGTTGTTCCCTTCGTCCATGGCGTATTCTTCATTTGTCCAGCTTGAGTTGTAGACATCTAATAGACGACTTCGTATACTTTCACTCGCCGCCTTCGTCACATCCACGTACACCGCTTTGAGTTTGGGCACTACCACGACGTCTGTGCCAGCCGGATTACACCGAATATTCTCGTCAAGCGCACGATCAAGACGCCACTGACAAGCCGCGGTGTCGAACGATTCCACGCGCACTGTTCCAGGCGTGTCTCCCAACGCCGCCGCGCTCGCGCGCTCAACGCCAACCCAGCGCCGCTTTGCAACGACGCCGAGCGCGATGAACGACGCAAACGTCAGCATCGCGCCGGACCATTGTAATGCTTTGCGTGCGAGACGACGATCGCGTCCCGACCCACTCGCAGGCTCCAACAGAGCCTCGGACTCGACAACGTTGCCGCCAACACCCACCGCGGCGTCGATCATCTCGCCGTCGAGCGTATTTGACTGTGCACGACGACGCGTGGAGCGCGTTCGGCTAATGCGTGCGACCTGGACGTTGCGTCAATTCAGAGTCGTAGCGCGCGCGCCGCAAGCGTAGCGACACGCCGTGCAGTGAAGTGTTTGAAATGGGCAGACTTGACGCAAGGTGGGATACTCGTCGCATCGCCAGGAGAATATTAAACGACATTACTTAGTACATGTGCAGCCGCTCAGTAAATAAAATTTATAGTTTGTTTTGAAATTGAATTTGTTAAGGAAGAACTACTTCGTGTCTAAGCCTGAAGGAATCTATGCCTGAAGGAATCTCGCCCCAACATTTTGCTACTGATCTACGCCTCAAGATTTTTACGCTGTGACTTCGCGAGGATGGCATTTAAACGCTCAAGACTCGTTCGCAAATTCTCAAATCCACTTTCAGCGATGTGATTCGAGAAGTTGTGGAGCAGCGCCGTACTACCCGTCTCAAACTTTTCACCATTTGGCCCAAATAAGATTATTGGGGTATGCGCTGGATCCGCGAGAAATTTATCTCGGATCTGCGCCTTGGCCTTCATGTTCTGATTGACGATTAGATTTGAATCGAAGGCAAAGCCGTGATTGTGGCCTACTTGCCACTCTATTGGAACACGCTGACCGTGCTCATTTACCTCGCAAACACAGTATTTATATTCGTACGCCTCATCTGCAAAGAGCGTGATGGCAACTTGCCAGGTACCATCAGCGCCGCGCTGCATGTAATCAGCTGTCTGTACATCCCACTCGTGCCAACTTCCTACCAAACAAAGGAATTGATGTTCGCCAACATCTTTGCGTACTTTGAACTCGCAAGAGATGGCATGCGAAACCAGCTCGCCTCGCGCTTGTTGTCTCATTTTGGTTACCGCCTGCGACACTTGTGCCAATGAGAGCTGTGCTGCTTGTCTCGCTTCAAGCATAGATAATTCCATGTCACGCCGCTCTTCCTCGATCAGCCACATTGGAGACTGAGAAGGCTCGATAGAAGAGACACGCATTTTCGCTATATCCTGTTCCATGTTTTTCAGCATTGAGTTCGCCTCGGCGTTTTCTGACTCAAGCCTCGAAATTTGTTCCTGCAGCAATCGCACTTCCTCTGTTTCAGAAAATTCAGCAATCGACTCAAGGGATTCTAACTTGAGCTGCATATTTTCCTCGAGCTCAAGCAAACGCTGCTTATAGCGATCAGCTCGCTCATTTGCTGCACTAACTTCAATTTGCATGCGCGCGATCACTTCCTGGTTTTGTTCGGATCTTTCGTGTTTTCCTCCTTCAATCTCAGCTCGCATCACTGAAAGTTCAGATTCCGCGTGCTCCAACTTACCCATGTATGACTCTATTTCAGCCGATGACGCTGAGACTTTTTCTTTTAAGAGTTCTAACTCGTCCTCAAGCTGACGATTTTTTTCTGCATCTTCATCTTTGTCGGGGTGCTCCATCTGAACTTGACCGAGTTGGTGTTCGAGAGAATCTGCTTTGCTCTTCCACTCGCCAATTTCATCGGCTAATCTTGCAACTTCCTCACGGGCGTCGATGAGATTTACTTGATACTTTTCTGCTTCTTCAGCATTTACCGCTGCTTTCACCCTAAGAGTTTCGAGTTCTAATTCACTGCTCGCAAGCCGTGATTTATAAGTTTCAATCTCAACGTTGTCTGCCCCGCTCGATGCTACGATATTTGCCAACTTTTCCTCCATGCCTTGAAATTTGATTTGTTCTCGCGATAAAGCCTCTGCTGTTTTCATAGAGTCCTCACGGGCAGACAAAAGCTCGGACTGCAATGATTCAACCTTGTTCTTATATTCTGTAAGGTCTGATGACGTGTCACCGCTTTGCGATCGTAACGCATCAAGCTCGCATTGCGCTGCTTCAAGATTCATCTTGTAGCCATCAGCAGAAATGCGAATCTCCGTTGAATCCCGCACCGCGCTATCGAGCGCCGCTTGCGCCGCCTGCAACTCACCTTGCAGGCGATCAACTTCCTCCGACGCTTGCATGCCCTGCTGAGATAGCTCCTCGCACATCTTCGAAAACTTCTCTTCCATGGATCTCTTCTCGTTTGCCTCATTCTCGAGCGCCTCGCGAGCGCGAGCGAGCTCGCGCTCTAGGCGTCCCCCTTCCTCCGACGCTTGCATGCCCTGCTGAGATAGCTCCTCGCACATCTTCGAAAACTTCTCTTCCATGGATCTCTTCTCGTTTGCCTCATTCTCGAGCGCCTCGCGAGCGCGAGCGAGCTCGCCTTCATACTCAGAGGACTGCGTGCGCGCTTGCTCGAGAGCTTCCTCGACCATTGCTAGCTTGCTCTTGAAACCAGTGAGGTCGATGGAAAGAGTCGACGACTCGCCCGACGCGCTATCGAGCGCCGCTTGCGCCGCCTGCAACTCACCTTGCAGGCGATCAACTTCCTCCGACGCTTGCATGCCCTGCTGAGATAGCTCCTCGCACATCTTCGAAAACTTCTCTTCCATGGATCTCTTCTCGTTTGCCTCATTCTCGAGCGCCTCGCGAGCGCGAGCGAGCTCGCCTTCATACTCAGAGGACTGCATGCGCGCTTGCTCGAGAGCTTCCTCGACCATTGCTAGCTTGCTCTTGAAACCAGCGAGGTCAATGGAAAGAAGTGAAGATTCGCCGTTAGCTTTATCAAGTGCGGTTCTAGACTTTTGCAACTCACCTTGCAGGCGATCAACTTCCTGCGACGCCTGCATGCCCTGCTGAGATAACTCTTCGCACGTCTTTGAAAACTTCTCCTCCATGGATCTCTTCTCGTTTGCCTCATTCTCGAGCGCCTCGCGAGTGTAAGCGAGCTCGCGCTCTAGGCGTCCCCCTTCCTCCGACGCTTGCATGCCCTGCTGAGATAGCTCCTCGCACATCTTCGAAAACTTCTCTTCCATGGATCTCTTCTCGTTTGCCTCATTCTCGAGCGCCTCGCGAGCGCGAGCGAGCTCGCCTTCATACTCAGAGGACTGCGTGCGCGCTTGCTCGAGAGCTTCCTCGACCATTGCTAGCTTGCTCTTGAAACCAGCGAGGTCGATGGAAAGAGTCGACGACTCTCCGCTGGTTTCATTGAGCGCTACCTCCAACTCGTCTACCTTAACTTTCAAGCCCATGAGCTCGCTAGACAATTGTACAGCCTCATTACGTGCTACTTCCAGCTCGCCCTTATACCCAGATGCCTGATTGCGAGACTCTTCCAGAGCTTTTTCAGCCATTTCGAGCTTACTTTTAATCCCTGCAAGATCGATCGAGAGTGTTGAGGACTCGTCATTCGCAGTAGCAAGTTGTGATTGAAGCATTTCAAGCTCGCTTTTTAAGCAGTCGAGTTCATCAGATAAGCTGGAATTTTCAGTCTTTGAAGCTCGTAGCTCGCTCGTTATCTGCTCAAGTCCATCGCGCACCTCCTCAAGTTCACGTTTATTTAAAGTAAGATCATCATGATAGCTTGTGGCTTCATTACGAGATATCTCAAGCGACGATTGAACCATTTCGAGCTTTGTTTTGTAACCCGAGAGATTGATCTCATATTCTGAAACGTGATCTTGCGAAGCTTTAAGACTTTTTCTGAGTGTTTCGAGTTCGTCCATCGAAATCTCGAGGTCGGTTTTCACAGTTTGAAGCTCATTCGAGTATGCGAGTGCCTCTGATCGGCTATCTTCCAGTTCAGACGTAAGTGAACTCAATTTTGTATTCGCGCTTTCAAAATCAACCGTCAACTCTGACAGATCGTTGCGAGAAGCCGCGAGTTCTAATTCCAGCTTTTCCATGTCGTGCTTATGAATGGCTAGCTGGTTTAGATGATTTATCACCTGTTCGTTCGTTTTTGAAAGCTCTGCCTCGAGCTTGTCATTCAACTCTGTCACTTTGGCAATTTCGCTCAGTGTCTCTTTGTACTTTTCTTTTGAGGTATTTGCTTCATCAGAATAACCGTCGTTGAGCTCTCTGAGAGCCATCAGCTCCGCCTCGATGTCCAATAATTTACTTTTATAACTCAAAATATCGCCTTCGTACTGCGTTGTCATCTGCGTGACTTGGGCAAGTTGAGACGCACTGTTTCTCTCAGTTTCCCGCAGCGCGTCAACTTCACCTTGAGCGTTCTTAAGCTTGGTTTTGTACTGCTCCGCAAGCTCATTGGCTTCAGCGTTCGAGCTTTCGAGACGTTTGACATCGTTATTTCTTGAGTCTAGGGACTCTTTCAGCACGCTGATTTGGTCTCTCAAAGATGCGTCGGCTCGCGACGCACTTTCCAGGAGCTGTTGCAAGTTTTCCAGCGACTGTTCGTTCCTCAGCCACTTCTCTCGCATGTCCGTGAGATCACGTTCCGCGACATCCAGGTGGGCTCTGAGAGCGTCAATTTCGTTGTCTTTTGCCTCGAGTTGTGGGTCCGCGTTCCCCGTGAGCGCCATGATGACCGTGGATAGCCGCCTTTTCCCCGCGAAAGCTGCGCCGGTGACGATACCCACGATGAGCACACCCGCTAATGCGACGGGTGAGCTCCACGTCGATAATCTTGGCGTCACCACGACGGAAGACGTCGGTTGTGCCACCACTGCTGCAACCACACGATCGTTCGGCTTTAAACTCGGTGGTCCACGGATAACAATTCTATCTCCCGGAAACGTCGTCGTCAAATCCATGTCTGGATTCAGTTGCTCCAGAGTGGCCCAGTCTAACCCACTCTGTTCCACCAACCACCGCACGTTCTCTCCGTGCTTAAACGTGTACCATTCCCTACCATCCTGCACGCTCGTTCCATCGTCCGCATCACTTCCCGAATCCCCTCGCCACGTCGTCTCGCCCTCCGCCACCGAAGCGTCGACGCGTCCGCCTCGCGTCGATAGTCTCGCGTCGCCGTCGAGCCACCCACCACGATCGACACGCCTAAGGTCGGCATCACCGCACGGCACCGCATCTGCGTCAGTCTTTCGCGCCCTGTCTCGTCCCACGACCGCTCGATCGCGAACCCGAACGCGTCATCGTCGCGCAGCCTCGCGCGCCGATTGAAATTTCAAATTCAGCACGCGCGTCGTCGTCTCGTCGTTTCGTGTCGTAGTCGCGCGCACCTCGTCGTTCGTCTCTCGCGCGCACGCCAAGAGGCGTGTCCACACCGCGCTCCCACGCACACCGTCGCACCGCGCGCGACCATGGTGGCGGCGTCTTCTGCCGCGCGCCGTCGTCTTTCCCGACACGCCGGTCGGTCGAATTTCGCTCTTTTTGCTCTGGACCAACAATGGTGTTGCGCGGCAAATCGACGCGCGCGTCGTCGATCGAACGCGGCGATCGAGCGCGGCGATCGAGCGCGGCGCGCGAACGAAGGCGCGGGCGTTCGTCGCGCCGCGCGAGGCGCCGAGACGCGCGCGCGAGGCGAGAGGCGAGAGGCGCGAGCGACGCGCGAATCACACGGTCCGAGAGACGCCTGCGCGGGAGCGACGCGGGAAGATCGCGCGCGCGCGGTATGCCGGCCATTCGCTTGTTCGGACGCCACTGGCTGTTGTCGAGCGATGATTTGCCGCTGCCCATGGCGGGATTGATGACGGTGCACACGCTGTGGTGCGTGATCATATTGGTGGTGTACGAGCGCGCGCACAGGACGTTGCGACAAAACTGCGCGGGCGGGGAACACGCGATGGCATGGTTTTACGCGACGTTCTCGTGTTATTTCGTCGCGCTGTGCGTAGAGGCGATCCTGCTTCATCTCTCCCTGCGAGGGAGAATCTTAGAACCGGAGAAGAGACGTTTGGTGCCATACTTCTTGTACGCGCACTTGTTCCTGTTGTCCGTGGACATTGCGTTTACAATTTTGGGTACTGTTGTGGATGCGGAGTTATCGGCGTGCATGGATCGCGCACGCGTGCGGGGAATGGTGTTGAGCATCATCATTGGGAATTTCATCGTCATCGGCGTGCATTTCTGTGGAATTATGCTGATGTTTAGCATGTTTGGACACTTACCGAGCGATCAAAAGTGGTACAAGATTTTCAACATCATCGCGACGGTTTTGTGCATCAGACGTCGAGAGAGAACGGAGGATCCCGAAGTGGACAGGCAGTTAGCGGAGCAAGGGACGTTAGGTCACGTAGCAAATTGTTTCGCGGAGGTTTTTCAGGGCGCAGATGTGGTTCCGAGCGACATCGCCGCAGGCATGGGCTTGCTCGCGATTCAGCATAGACACATGATCGAGAACGAGCCGTTGGGTAAGCCGCTCGCAACAGATTCGGACGCGCTCGCGCCGTACAAGTCTCTCAACGCGATGTACGAGGATGCAGCACATTATTCTCGATGGGCGCTCGCAGCGTACGGATGGGCGCTGTTCGCTTGGGCGGATCCGCGTTCCGGCATCGGAATGGCGTGTTCGTCCGAGGCATGCATGAGTTGTTGCGGTTGTCGAAAATGCTTGAGGAAATCGCAGGACCATCGCGATCCGCACGATTTGAACCGTGAAGCGTTGAAAAAGTGCGCGGGGATTGCGTCGGATGATTTGTTTTACGTGTCGATGGCGAACGGCATTGGTGAACCGCCATATTTTATTGCTCGAGACGTTCGTCGCAAGGCGGTGGTGCTCTCGGTACGGGGTACATTGAGCATCGCAGACTGTGTCACGGATAGCATGTATAAGCCGTGCATGTTAAACGCCGATGCCATACATGAGCCAGGACTTCAAGGTTCTGATCTTCACGTGCACTCGGGCGTTTTTCGAGCGACCAATTTTATTCTCTCGGACTTGAACGCGAATCGAATTTTAGAACAGACAATTTTAGGAGAGCAGCCGTCCGCAGAGAGTGCGCCGCTTCCGAGCAGCGCCGTCGATTGTCACGACTGGGACTTGGTCTTAACTGGGCACTCCTTGGGCGCGGGCGTCGCCGCCGCGTTGTCCTTGCATCTTCGCAAAAAGTTTCCCAACTTGAAAGTGTGGTGCATCGAACCTCCTGGAGGCGTGTTGAGTCCAAAGTTAAGCAATATCACTAAGGCTTGGACGTATAGCACGGTGCATCACTGTGATTTATTCTGTCGACTATCGGGACCAGTGTTGTTGAAGCTCCGTAGCGACATGATGGACTCGCTGACCAACGCAAAGCTGAACAAGTTTTCTTTGATGATGCGAATGACGTTCAACGGCACCAAGTTGCAAATTTCTGACGTTCTTGACCCAGAAAGTGCGGCGAGTGAGTCTACAGCGCTTCGCGAGGATTTCAGAACGTTCTCACGGGCGCAAGTCGACTCGACACCCATGATGGCGGCGCCGTTGCATCCTCCGGGACAACTCATTCACTTGCTCCGGCTTCCCAATGGTTCATACGCCCCGCGCCTCGTGGAAGCCCACGAACTCATGGACCGTGGGATGATGATTCAGTACGGATTCTTCGCCGATCACTTCCCGGATAAAGTCGCCGCGGTGCTTTCTGATTTAGCCGCGGGCAGTACCGAGGCGTCGCAGTCCATCACCTCCATGGGAACCTCCACGGCTGACTCCACGCGCACGCTCGTCGACAGGCTCGTCAACAGGCAAACGAGCCAGTCGAGCCGTAGAGTTCTTGGAGACCTAGAAAACGTTTAGTCAAAATATTATTAGCCCACCACACTTCTGCAAATTTCGCTCACGCACGCGTTTCAGACCCGCGCTGACGAGCTCGAGCGCCGCCTCGTGTCGCCCCGATCGCCCCCCCCAGCGCCGTGGTCGCAGGCCCCCGACGTCACTTCGCGCGCGACAACGCGATATGTTACGACGTGCGATCGAACGAACGGCGCGCCGAGGGACGACGAGCGCGAAATCCGTCGCGTGCTCTCGAGTTTTCGAACGCGCCTACGACAAAAAGGTGCGCGCGACGGAAGCGCGCGGTGGAATCGTCGTCGTCGACGCGACTCGAAGAGAAAGCCAAGAATGAGACTAACCGAGGCGTGCGACGCGCGCATCGCAGGTGGTGGATCATTACGAAAACCCAAGAAATGTTGGTTCGTTCGATAAGAGCGATCTGAACGTCGGCACGGGCGTCGTCGGGGCTCCCGCGTGCGGGGACGTGATGAAGCTGCAGATTAAGGTGGACGACGAGGGCAACATCGTGGACTCGTGCTTCAAGACGTTCGGATGCGGAAGTGCGATCGCGTCGAGCTCGGTGGCGACGGAATGGATCAAAGGCACGCACGTAGATGAGGCGGTGACGATCAAGAATCAGGACATAGCGAAACATTTGAACTTGCCGCCGGTGAAGTTGCACTGTTCGATGCTCGCCGAGGATGCGATTCGATCCGCGGTGGCTGACATCAAGGCGAAGCGCGCGGCGGCGAAGACGGCGTGAGAGAATGATGTGTTTATGACTTGCGCCCGATAGATATCCTCATATAGAACGATGCTGTAGAATTTTTTGACGAAAAGTTGACACCGAAACGTACGGGTCTACGGTATCCACATAACTCGACATGCGACTCGGCGCAGCTTCGATCGCTCCCACGCGCCTAGCGCGCGCCAATCACGCGTCAAATATTGTTGTCTGTCGATCTCGCGGCGTGCGTGCCGCCGCAGCGTCGACGTCGGTCGATAAATCGGCTCAAACACCCGTTTTGATTGTCTCCGATCTCGATGGCACCATGGTTGGGAACGACGAATACACGCGCTCGTTCCGAGAATTTTGGGAATCGAGCGCAAAACCTCCTGGGTCTAAGCTCGTGTACTCCACCGGACGATCGCTTGAGTCGTTCACCAAGCTTATCGAGACGAAATCGCAAGTCATGGTTGAGCCGGATGGCCTCATCTGCGCAGTAGGCACAAAAGTGTTTCAACCGAGCGGCGACGTTTCGCGCCCATGGGTCGAAGACGCCGAGTGGACGGCGGCACTAGACGTCAACTGGTGCTGTGATGTCGTTACGGCGGCGGCACGAGGAGCGATCGATGCGTGCGGCGATGACAATGCGCACTTTCGACCTGCAGATGAACAGAACAGACACAAAGTCACGGTGGGAGTGAAGGATGAGCTCGTGAATGTAGTGGAGGATACCATACGAAGCGCGTGCGAGTCGAACGGATTAGAATATAAGATCATCATCAGCGGTTCGGGCGGTTGGAAGTTCGTGGACTGCGTGAGCGCGGGGGCGGGGAAATTAGAAAGCTTGGAATACGTGCGAAAACAGTTAGGCTTTGAACTTCTAGAGACCGTGGCCTGTGGGGACAGCGGGAACGATATCTTAATGTTATCGGGGCAGACGAGATGTATCATAGTAGGAAATGCTGAGTCGGAGCTTCGCGAATGGGCGAATGATCGCGTGGCAAAGGGCGAGCTCGCGGTCGACCGCGTCTTTCTCGCGACGGAGCGCGAAGCACTCGGCATCTTACAAGGGCTTTCATCGTTTGGCTTCCGCGGTTGATGTTGTAGAATTAGTGTGATTCTATTAGTTATTATTATCGTATTACATTAGTGCTCGCTTCGCGCCGCTTCGTGCGACACTGTCTCCTCGACTCCGCGACTCCGCGACTCACATATGTCTCCTCGAAATCGACGTATCCGTCACTCGCGCGCGCGCTGTCCACCGGTGGTGATGGATTTCCTTCGTCGCGTCGGAGACGTTGTCGGGGACGCGTTGGTGGGTTCGGATTCGGATTCCGACGGTGATTCGGACGACGTCGCGCGCGGCACGCGGCAAGGCGGTGGTGCCTCCGACGCTGGAGAAATCTCTGGACCTGACGACGCTCACGAGGGCGACGATGCGGACGAACTCGACGAGTTGATGAACACTGCGTTTACTTTCGGTCGTTCGACGCTGGCAAAGTTAAAAGACGTGTCCAAGGGCGTCGGTAAGGAGCTGTCCGAGGGACTGAAGGATATCAAGGAACAAGTGCGGGAGGACTTTGCGACGTTCGGGGACGACGACGTGGACGAGGATGAGGTCAGCGACATTGATGCGGATACGACCGCTACATCATCGAACGGTAGAGTCGTGTATACTGGAGAAGATGTGATGATTCCCGGCGCCGGCGACGAGGATGTGGGCGACGAGGACATCGCGCTCGAAGTGCAGGAAAAATTTGAGCAAGTTGGGGAAAAGATTGAGCTTTTGGGACAAAAAATGTTTGTAGGAGCAGGCAAGCTAATCAATCAAGTCAAAGAGACGACTCGAGACGCCATCAAAGAGACGAAAGAAGTGATCAAAGAGACTAGAGATGCGTTTGCAGTGAAAGACTCGGGCAAGACACCGAAACGCGGGCGAGACGAGTTTGCAATTCGTGTGCAAGCAATTCAGCGAGATTCGGGAACGTATTGCGATGATCCAAAAAATGTGAAACTGTTTGAGCATTTCAGCGAAAGTTTTACGATGGCAGGGCATGGTCAGGATATATTGACGACTTTGAATGCGAACAACTTTATGAAGGAACTTTTTGCGCGAATCGTGCCTACAATTGTAGACGAGGACACGTTCTGGCGTCGGTACTTCTTCAAATTGTATGAACTAGAAATAGAATTCGAGAAGCAGGCTCTCCCCGATTTACCAGACGATTCACCACAAGAAAACCTGCAACCGTCAAGCGCGGCCGTCACTGCGGTTTCGCACCAGCGAATTTCGTCCCTCGCAACGGATGAAGAGGGATTTGATTCCGACTCGAGTCTTGCAAAAGACGAGTGGACAAAACTTAAGCAGCCCTACGCCGCTGAGAATAAAGAAACTGAAGAAAGTGCCGTCGCAAGTCTCGGCGAGACTGGTTCAAACGACGATAGTGACGACGACGAAGACTGGGGCATGACATGAGGCGCACGACACACCGCAATTTGTAACAACACGCGATTAGAAATTAGAGCAATGAATTTTTCCGTCACAGTGGCACATACGTTCAGCCGTTTCCCTTCGACATGAGCGAATGCGCAAAATCTTTGCAAGGAGGTGACACTTTTTCAGCCTCGAAAAGTGAGATTGTGGTTCACTTCGCGTTGCGCCCCTTCGTCGTCGTCCAATGTCGCGTTTCATCAGCGCTTACTACATCTTGAACACTGCCGTCATCCTCACCTACCCTCTGTTCTCGTTATGGGCCCGTCACGAGTACGCGAGCGCGGTGACGATGCTCGACGGCTGGGAAAAGCAAACCTTGACGACTTTGGGCGCTATGGCTCTGGCAAAATTCATTCGTAAGGTCAACATCGACTCCTTTGTGTCGGACATGTTCATGTTCACCAAATCTGGCATCTTACTACTGTCTTGGATGATGGATCAGCGTATCTTCAGCTGGTATTGCGTGGCGTATGCAATGCTGTTTCTGTACGTGCGACGGCCCGAGTACAAGGGACCAAGTCGCATCGAATGGTTAAATCCTGCGACACTCAAGCGACTAGTGCTCGAGCCTGATGATACAGACAAGAACGTCGCTTGGCTGGTGGAGTTCTACGCATCTTGGTCACCGCCTTGCGTGAGCTTGGAACCTACGTTTGCAGACCTGAGCTGCAAGTACACCACCGCTGACCTCAAGTTTGCCAAATTTGATCTCATGAGATGGCCTAAGACTGGGGAAGAATACGGCATTAACGTTGCTGGGACGAGCAAGCAGTTGCCTACTTTGATTCTGTTCGAAAAGGGCAAGGAAGCGGTGCGCGTTCCTCACGTGTACAAAGATGGAAGAATTGCTCGCGCTCGTTTGCGACGGAGCGACTTGATCGCCGCTTTCGCTCTGGACAGTAGGCGGAAGAAAAGTCTCATCAAAGCCACGTTCTCAAAAGGAGATTAGCATAGCAATAAGTCATTGAATATCACTCAATCGTTTTAGTTGAACAATGCTATGCGCTAGAACGGCTACAATTGATACAGTCGCGTCAAACCTTTTCAAACACGGCGTTGGAACTAAGAATAATGGCCACGATGACGCCGAACAACCCGAGCGCACTACCGAAAATTTCAATCACTAAAATTTTCACGAATAACGTGGGGTTTGCCGCGTCTGCGAGCGCGCATGAGCTACCGACTACACCGACGCATATACCGCACACCAAATTCGCCAAACCGCACGTCAACCCACTCGCGAATACGGCGTACCCAGCCATCATTGTCGTTCTGTGAAACGCCCCAGTGTCGGGATCGCTGGGAACGTACTCGAGCTTTGTGCTGAGAATGATGGCGATGATTACGCCGTAAATTGCGACTGCTTCACAAAAAATGACACTGATCAAGTTTTTGCTCGTGATGCGCGGCGTGTGCACCGCGGCGCCGAGCAAGCTGCTGCCCGTAATGAAGATCCCCCACGCCGCACCGGCCACGCTTAGTCCGACCGCGGCGGCGATGCCCATGGCAGAGAAGAAGTACGGGTTAATGCGCGTGAACAGCACCCACAACCGCGCCCAATCGATGAACCCAGATCCTTCAGTTCGAGTCCCACGAACGAGGAGAACGAGCGTGAACGTCCAAAGAGCGGCGATGACGGGAATCGAACGACCATGGAGAATACCAGGCATGGTGTCGTGAACCACTCGAACGCGATCACAGCGCACGAACGGTGGACGGCGACGAGACCCACTGCGTCTGGCAATGCGGCAAGCCAGCGGGGCTGCTGCGCCTCGGCGAGCTACCGCGCAATCGTGGCGCTTTGTGACGCTGAATTCAATAATTGATGCTAACAGTTATATTACGGGCTATTCTAAAGGTGCATTCGGTCGGACGATGTCTCCGAATGCCCAAGCGTGCGTGGACAGCCAAGCGTGGCTCGCGTTTCTCAAATTGACGTTTGAGATTAGCTGCTCAGGCCGCAACGGCTCTCTCGTGATTGGGTCGAACTGAGAGATTTTCAAATGCTGTAAAATCGCCAATCGTTCGTAGCTATGACCACTCGGCGCGATGACCGGATCGCGAAATACCTCAAAGGTTAATTTGCAACAGAACGCGTCCGGCGGTTCGCACGAGCGGTCATCCGGCGCGCGGGCGCAAGCAATCACTTCCCCCATCGTACTCACGTCCTCTGCATCGAGCTGCGAGCTGAAATTTCGCACACTATTTTCTAAGTGCGAGTATCTTCGATCTCGATCGCTCGCTAACAGCTCCCACTCTAAATATTTCGCCCTCGCGAGTTCTCGCCACACGTCGTCTTGAATCATGTCCCCGCTCTCTCGCGCCTCCTCCAGCGCGCGTTGTAGCGACTTAGCCGCGTCCGTGAACTTTTTTTCCGCGATCAACGCTAAGCCAAGCATATACAGCGCCTTCACGCTGTTCCGTTCGAAGTGTAGCGCCGTCTCGCAGTCCCTTTTCACGCTCGCCCAATCCTTCTTCTTCCGATGGCACAGCGCGCGATTGATGTACAGCACCGTCCACCGCGGGTCGCACGTGATGGCTTCCGTGTACGCCTCGATGGCGGCACCGAACTTGCCGCGCTGGTAAAGTTCATTTCCGCGCGATTTCAGCGTTTGGGCGTCCATCGCACCGGCCGCGCCCGCGCGCCACGACGCGCGAATCTCGTCGCGCGCCGAGCACTGCGCGCACCGACCGCGCGCGCGGCGTCGTCGCGCGTCGCGTTCGATTTTGATTTTTTCGCGCGCGCTTTCGCTTTCAAAGAGTCCCTCGTTCTTGAGTCCCGATCGGTCGTTTGAACCCTAGCCTCGATCGGACGCCCTGATTTCGGCCCTCGTTTCGCCGACGCCCGCCGCGGTCGGGCGCGACCGAGCGCGCGGGCGGGCGGGCGAGCCGGCACATCGCGAGGCGATTGGCGCGGTGAAGATGGAGCTCGCGAAGTCTACCGTGGACACTGGGATTGGAGAGAGGAGCGTGAAGGTGGATAACGCGCGCGCGGTGTCGCTGGAGACGCACACGCAGACGGTGGGGGTGATTATACCGCCGCCGGACGTGCGAGTGATCGTGGACAAGACGGCGCAATTCGTGGGGAAGAATGGACCGGAGTTTGAGCAGAGGATCTTGGCGTCGGAGAAGAATAACGTCAAGTTCAACTTCTTGACCGAGGGAGACCCCTATCACGCGTACTACCGACAGCAAGTGGACGAGGCGAAGGCGCAGGCGAACGGAACGGCGAAGACGGAGACGGAGACGCGAGCCGCCGCGCCGGTGGCTGAGCAAGTCCTGGTGAAACCGAGCACGGGTACCGCCAAGCCCGTGGTTTTGGAACCACCTAAGAGCGATGAATTCACTATCCCTATTCCAGCGGGCATCTCGTCGGTAGATCTCGACGTGATTAAGACTACCGCACAGTTTGCAGCGAGAAATGGGAAGAAGTTCGTCACCGCGTTGGCTGGGAAGGAACACGCCAACCCGCAGTTCAACTTTCTCAAGCCTCATCACTCCATGTTTACGTTTTTCACCGCCCTTGCGGACGCATACGAGAAAATTTTAGCCCCAGACACGGCTCTGCTCGAATCTCTGGAGAAAGGTAGCGACAAGAGTGTGGTGTTGGAGCGCGTGTTGAAGCGCGTAGAGTGGGAGTCCGCGCAAAACAAGGCGAAGAAGGATAAGGAAGACGCGGAAGAAGAAGAGCGCATTCAGATGGCGCTCATCGACTGGCATAGTTTTGTCGTCGTCGAAACCTTAGATTTCGAAGATGCCGAAGATCGCGACTTACCACCACCGATGCAGCTGAATGAAGTCGTCGAAGCGATGCGCAAGCAAGAACTCGAAGCGCCCTCAGTACCTGAGGACGTCGAAGGTCAAGCGGCCCCTGTTATCACGGCCACCATGGATGAAGAGGAACGTGAACTTGTGCGTCAAGCGACAGAGCCGCGCTCGAATCCTGAACCCCCTGTGGTGGAAAATGTCGGCGCAATGAAGGTTGTGCGAAACTACAAGAAGCCCGAGGAGCGCAAGACGGCTGTAGTTGACTCGACCAAGTTTGTAGTATCCCCGATCACTGGAGAGATGATTCCACTCGACCAAATGGCGGAGCATATGCGTATCTCCCTCATCGATCCTAAGTGGAAAATCCAGAGAGAAGCCATGATGGCAAAACTTCAAGGGAGTACGCAGGCCTCTCACGAAGACGTCGCGGCGAACGTTTTGAATTTGGCGAGAAATCGCCCCGATATTTTCGGTTCCACGGATGACGAGGTATCGAAAGCGATAAATGCGGAAATGCTGAAGAAGAGATCGATCGCTAAGGCGACCGCGCCGTCTCCCTCTATTGCCCCGCCTTCCACCGCCGTAGCTCCACCGCCGCCCACTCGTGTTGCACCGCCTCCTCCGCCTCCGCCTCCAAAGGTTTTGACTCCTCCTCCGCCTCCAGCACCACAAGAGGAAAAGAAACGCGCAGCACCGGAGCCAGAAGAGGAGGTCGAACCTGAACCTAAGAAGTTGAAGGTGGGTGACGTTGAATTAGACGATGAATCAGAGTTCTTGGAAGCAAATCCCGGAGAGGCCACCATCAACGTCGTGTGCCCAACTGTGGAGGGCGACAGTAGCTTGACGGGGCAGACGCTCGAAATCAAAGTCAGTTCGCTCGCGGATAAAATTGTGGATTTGAAGAGATCGATCAAGCCACTTGCTGGAGACCTCGCTCAAAATAAACAAAAGCTCAGCACTCTTGGCTTGGGATTCCTCAAAGACACAGCGAGTTTGGCGTATTACAATTTGAAAGACGGATCGACGCTCAACTTGTCGATCAAGGCACGGGGGAAAAGATAGACATATAGCCGTAGGAGAACCCCAACTACTAGAAATGTTATCTGTACAACAACTTTTCCAATAGGTTTTCTTCAATTAGAAGCACGCTCCGGCTTTTCCACGAATCTCGAATTGACGCATGCAAGGTCGCGGTACGCTTCGCTCGCCATCGTCTTTCTCGCGACGTTTTGAATCGACTGCTTTCATTCGATTATTTTGCGTCACTAACTCGCGCGCGCGTCGTATGGCTTGACGAATGTTCGCATTAGCCATGTCAAACTTAAGAGCGGCTTCGTAATCTAATAGAGCAGCTTCGTAATCTTCTCGTTGTTCATGGGCGGTCGCTCGTTTGAAAAGCGTGTCGGCGTTCGGCTTGATTTCGAACATTTCTGAGTAGTCTGATATAGCGTCCTTGAGGGAACCGAGCTGGATATTTGCGTACGCACGATAGTTCAACAATTCAAGTTGATCAGCTGGAGATATGTTCGAATGTCGTAGACCGCGAGTGATAGTAGTGAGGGCTTCAACGTAGTCACCGCATTCGAATTGCGACGCGACTCTCATCAGGGCAACATCAGCGGCCATGGCTTCAAGCTCACTTTTATCGTCCTTGAATGGCTTTTTATTGAGCCAGTTCATCATGGATATCAACTTTCCTTCTCTTTTGGCGATCATTTCGGTACGAAGCGCTCGTAAATCAATACTCGAATGACTCGCTCGAGTCATTTCTGTACTTGTATTTGCGGGAAGGGCCTTCACATATGGAGCCTCTAGATTCGGCCATCGCATCGCATCGTTCAATTTTACTAACATCAGTAGAATACACTCGTCTGTTACGATGTGCGTACATTTATCTGGCACTATGGCACCATATAGACGATCAATTTTCAACACAAACTCACGCTTTGCGATCGCGGACGATGTTGCCTTTGGAATTTCGATGAGAAGGCTTCGATCGCCGTACTTCAGTGCGATGTCATTCCAACGCACGTCGTCACACAATGATGTATGAGGTATCTTTAGCGTGATGGAACCGTCGCTATCCCACCAAGTAAATTTTTCAATCCCAGTGCGTTCTTCTCGCACGCCAACATCCGCCGTCGTCACTGATAAGAGTTCAGGTAATTTGCGTTCGACGCCTCGCGCGCGATCGAGTCGCGCTCTGAAGACTTCTCTGTTCGGGTCGATCTTCGTCAGCTCGTATTGCACTAAATCAATCGCCCCTTGTGTCATATGGTTGCCGACAAAGTTTGTCGTCGGCCCGCTCTGAGGCTTCTCGTACCCCGGCGCTCGAGCTATCATCGTTCCATCACTGTGCTGCTCGAGCGCATCGTACCCTCTGCGCACGTCTGGGCCTTTGTCGATCCTATACTCCCCTCCGTGCGGTTCTTTCGTCCACACGCTCGGATAATGCTTGCCGTACTCCTTCTTCTTCTCCTCGATCAGCTCATCTTCGAGCGTTTCGTTCCCATGCGATGCGTCGTCTGGTCCGCCCGCGGTTCCGTTCGTCTTGTACTGCTCCCATGCCTTAGCTTGGAGTGCGCCATCACTGACGGTGTCGAGCGATGGGTTATACGCATCCATCGTGCGTCAGCGTCTGCGGCGACGGCGCGCACTTTCAGCGAACGTCGAAAGAGCGTTTTTTCCTCGTTCGCTTGCTTTCATCAAAACTCTATTTTCCCGCTAATTTCGCTAATTTCTGTTTCTTACGCGCCAGGAAGCGCTCTCGCGCGGCAGAAACTTGCTCGTCGGTGATTCTACGTCCTTCGACTGGCGCTTTATTCGCGTCCACCGTGTCGGCTTCGTGCCCACTCGCTGCGTCCGTGCTTTCAGCATCCCCGGGGCTCAACACGCCGCCAGAGAGACGATGAATGTTCACCTTCTTCGAGAGCAGCTCTCTTTGCTTTGAAATCCATTCTGGCTCAATTTTGCACACGTGGCGGAGAAAGGGTCGAGAAGTCGTGATCAACTCATGGTAAACGATCCACTCTGGAAGCAAACCGTCTTTGTCGGCGAGTTGGCGAGCCATAGAAGGGTGGACCTGGCACAGCGTGGAATTTTCTCCCAATGTTCTGTAGCCATTATGATTCGGTAGTCGATGCGCAATCTTTGTCACGAAGCCTGCGCACAGCGATTGGCGCAATCGGTTCAGACCTTCATCTGTTCGTGAGAAACAATCAAAGTCGTTCCTATCGCTTTTACGCTTGTCCTTGAACACTCCAAGTAATTGTTTTCGTATCTCTCGCGCGAACTCCATTCCTCGATCCGACAACGAATACCGCTGGTGAAATTTTCTTTGATATCCACTGCTCTCCCAGGCTTGATAGATTCGAAGTAACACCGCGTGATCGCCAAGAAGAAAATCTTCGTGAGTCGCAAGCTCGTGAAGACTCTCAGTTGCATCTCGGTGCTGACCTAAAAACACTCTTTCGACGCTCAACATCGCGGCAACTGTTGCAGTATCTGCAACACAATCAAGGCGTTTCGCTTCGACCATCGCACGCGATAAGCATGGCTCAAGTGGAAGCGAACTCATCTCTCGTCCAATAGAAGTTGCCTTCCCATCGGGATCGATTGCACCAACGAAATAAAGTTGGCGCAAAGCATCTGCGATGAGTGCAGTGTCTGGAGGATCCAAGAAATCGAAAGTCATCACATCTAGTCCTTTTAGATTCAGTGTCTTCAGATACAGAATCGTACCGACTAGACATGTCCGTTGGATCTCTGGCCGAGTGATCGCTGGCATGTCGAGTTCGAGCGCGTCCTTTGTGTACAGTCGGTAGCATCGCCCAGCTTGCGTTCTTCCTGCACGTCCTGCACGCTGCTTCGCCTGCACGCTACTGATAGGCACTACTTTTAATGCATTCATTCCCGTCATCGCATCGTACTCAACCTGCTTCACCACGCCTGGATCAATCACAAAAACGATTCCTGGGACCGTCAGCGACGTCTCAGCAATATTTGTCGCAAAGATTATTCGTCGCACGTTCGGATCATGTGGGTGAAACACCCTCGACTGCATATCCGGTGGGAGTGATGCATAGAGTGGCAAGACTTGCACATCTGGACACTCTCCCTCGGGCATCGATCGCACGTGAGCCTCCACAGCCCGACACGCTTTTTCAATCTCTTCTTGACCTGTTAGGAACACCAACATATCCCCAGGGCCGGTATTCACATGTACATCCACCACCGTTTCAATCGCACTTTGAAAGTACGACTTTGGAGCCTCGGTGGCGTGCGCGATTTGAACCGGAAACGTGCGTCCAGGCACGGTGAACACCGGTGCGTCGTCGAAATACGTCGAGAATTTTTCGCTGTCGAGCGTGGCCGAAGTAATCACCAGCTTCAGTTCACGCGCGGACACGAGCTTCTTCAATAATCCGAATAATATATCTGTGTGCAACGACCGCTCATGAGCCTCATCCAAGACGACGACACTGTAACGCGACAGAGTCGGGTCTTCGAGAAGCTCTCGCAGTAACGTGCCGTCAGTTAAATATTTTATCCTCGTCAGGCGGCACGTTCTGTCCTCAAAGCGCACCGAATACCCAACTTCTTTCCCAATCTCTACCCCCATTTCTTCTGCGACGCGTTTTGCCACGGAAACAGCTGCCACACGTCTCGGCTGCGTCACCGCCACCGCCGAGCCGTCGGCGACGACGCCTGAGCGCAGGAGAATCTGCGCAATCTGTGTCGTCTTCCCGCTCCCCGTCTCCCCAATCACAACCGTCACCGCATTCGTCTTTACCGCACTCGCAATATCGTTCGCTGTTCGTCGATCACCGCGCTCGTCAGTCACCGTCGTCGTCGCTCTAAGAAAAAGATGCTCCTCTCGTTCGCGGTCGGGGGTCCAGTCGGCGCTCTCCGTAACGCTCGACGCACCGTAACGCGAGACCGGTAAGTCGTCCGTGGAAGACGTCGAAGGATGATCATCGTCGTCACCAACCGCGCGCGCCATGACGTCGCGCTGAACACTGGCGACTCTACGCCCGCAGTGTGCGCCGCGGATGTCGAGCATAAGAGCCGCAGCGCGCGCGGCGTTGGCGCGAAAACAGCGTGAGGCGGAGGCTGTGAAACAGAAACAAGCGCCACCGACGCGAGCAAACGACGTCGTCCGAGGCACGGGGACGGAGAAGAAGGATGAGGAGGACGACGGAGCCGCCAAACGTGCGAAGGTGTCGAAGCCGACGACGGTGAAAGGGTCGAGATGGGGCTCATCGGACGAAGAGGACGAGGATGAAGATGTGCGCGAAGGAAGTGCGCCAGACGCGACGCGGCCGACGACCGCGAATCAGGGGTACATGGAGAAGATGCTCGCGGAAGCAAACTCGTTCGCCGCGGCGCAGCGGGAAAATCAGCAGCTTGAAGTAAGTGGGCGTAAGCAATCTCAAAGTGTAGATCCGAAGAGTTTCTTTGCACCGTCGCCGAGTACCAGTGACGAAGGTGAGGCAGCAGCTTCAGCAGAAGCGGGGCCTTCGCGGCCACCGAAGCAGGACACGTTGCCGCAGTCGCTCGCCGGCGAGTTAGCAGAGCTCGAATCCGACGAAGAGAAGGAGCCCATGGCGGGACCGGCGAGACCTCGTGCGATAAATGATGAAGAAGATGACTTGACGGTTGGACCCGCGCGACCGGATCCAGAGGCGATGCGCGCCGCTGCCGAAGAAGCAGAAGCTGGCCTGGCGCGAGGGCGAGAAGCAGGTTCGTCTCCAGTTCCATCGACCAATCAGGTGGAAGTGCAGTTGCAAAAGAGACCATTAAACATGCTTCAAGCGTGTCGTAGCGTGGACGAGTTTGAGAGATTGAACAAGATCGATGAAGGCACGTATGGAATAGTCTTCAAAGCGCGGGATAAGAAAACGGGAGAGGTGGCGGCGTTGAAGAGGGTGAAAATGGACGAGGCGACGGATGGATTCCCTCTTACTGCTCTTAGAGAAGTCAACATACTGCTATCGTTGGATCATCCGAGCATTGTGAACGTCAACGAGGTAGTCGTCGGCTCAAAGTTAAACTTTGTATTCATGGTGATGGAATACGTTGAAAATGATTTGAAAGGTCTCATGGATCAGATGGCGCAGTCGTCTTCGCCCAAATTTACGATTCCCGAGACAAAGGCGTTAATGCTACAGCTTCTGAGTGGGATGTCGTATTTGCACGAAAATTGGATCATGCATCGTGACTTGAAAATGTCTAACATTCTCGTCACGAACTCGGGCGATTTGAAAATATGCGACTTCGGTCTGGCAAGACAATTTGGTGGAGTCGGTAGATACACGCAACTAGTCGTTACGCTTTGGTATCGTGCACCGGAGTTGCTATTGGGATCGACAACTTACGGTCCAGCCATTGATGTCTGGAGTCTAGGCTGCATCTTCGGCGAATTACTCGCCGGAAGTCCTCTGTTCAATGGTCGTGCGGAAATCGATCAGCTACAAAAGATTTTTAAGCTTCTCGGCACGCCAAACGATAAGATATGGCCGGAGTTTAGCTCACTCCCGAGTGTGCAAAAAGTCACGTTCGCCGAGCAACCTTACAACAAGTTGCGTCAGAAATTCCCGCAGGCGTCGACTGGTTTGAGCGATAAAGGATACGAGTTGCTCAACCATCTGTTGACGTACGATCCCGCAAGGCGCCTCACTTGCTCTGAAGCGCTGAATGATGCTTTTTTCGAGGAGTATCCGCCTCCACAACGACCCGTATTCATGAACTCAAAGTAGACATGTAGACACGACAGCCTACGGCTGTGCTCGCTCACTCGCCTCGACCTCAGTAGCGCGCATGCCAGTAGTTTGCAACATAGTCCTTAGGTAGGTTAGCTCCGCTAAAGTGCTTGAGCGTTACTCATGAACACTGTTCATCGCACGTGCCTCGGCGCATCTGCGCTGAGCGCGTCGCCCGAGCGAAAGTGTTTGGGACTGTCGAAAGCGCGAAAAGGGCGGCGTCGCGTTGAACGTCGCCTCGCACGCGTTTCGAGGTGCGCACACGCACAGCATGGTGACGCGAGCCATGTCAAGGTTAGTCGCGAGCCGGATGCGATACCCACGGTCGTCCTAGAGCGCCCGAAGACGAGTCATACGGCGGGAGTGAAAGTAATTCTGTTACCGACGGCGCATGTGAGCGAGCGCTCCGCCTTGGACGCCGACGAGGTAATACGAACGAATAAACCCGACGCAGTGCTACTAGAAGTGTGCGATGAGCGCGTTGATGGCATCATTGACCGAATGAAAGGCGTCGAGAACGACGACGTAGTAGTACCCGGTGCGGTGCATATTGTTGGTATGCCGGCGGGTGTTCTTCCTGGCGGAGTGGATGAGGTTGTTCTACTGTCGCGTTTACGCACAAAAGTTGGGAAGGGAGTGTCGTTGGAAGATCTCAAAAGTGATGCTGAGTTATTGTTGCGCACTGGTTTATTCGAATCGGTCATTGTACGCGGACGTGCTGAAGACGAACACGGTGCGCGCACCGTCGTTTGGAAGGAAGGGAAGGTGACTTTGGTGGTATCGGTTGCCGAAATTGTCTTCACCGTTCATCCGATGGGCGCAGAGTTGACTTCAGACATCCGATTCAAGTGGAACGTTTATGAAAATTTCGTCTCCGCTACTTCGGATGCCGCTGCAGAGGTTGAAGTGATGCGACGAGCGGGCGAGCTTGTGAAAGTGAGCGATTGTGCGAGCGGTCAAGGCAAGATGAGCGCGTGGCAGACTGCAGCTTTGTGCGCATCTTTGGTTATTGCGGTCCAAGAGAGGCTACAAAGTGGCTACACCGTAGCGCTGGATGTGAGCGATGGGGAATGTATAACGCTCGACGTGGTTCCAGATGTGGCTTTATCGACGGATAGGTGGTTTGAGCGCATTGACGTCAGTCTTCAGGACGTGTTGTCCATTTCATTCATCGGCGAGGCGGCGAGAGCGGGGGCGGGAGCGAATAAGTCGTCTCCATTGACTGTAAAAATTATGAACGGGATGATGACGCTTGCTGAGTCTATTATTTCGAACAAACTCGACGCTCAAGACGGTGGGGAAATCATTGCTGGTTTATCAGCAGCGTTCGAGTCGCGCACTTCACGTGTCTACTTGGCTGATTCAGAAGTATCCAAGACGATGCGATCGCTCGAAGAAAAGCTTCATGAACACGTTCCAGGAATGAAGCGTTCGCTCGCGCGCTATATCCTCGGATCCATACGATCGTTGATTACATCCGCCTTCAAGACACGTAAACAGTTAACCACGGCTATCGAAACCGAGCGTTTGACGCTGATGCGTTCGGGTGAGGTCAGCATGCCGCCTCACATGCGCGAAGTATTCATAGATGAACGAGACAGCGTCTTGTTTGATTGTTTATGGTCCGTGATCGAGGGTAAACCGACGGACCGTCCTGGCTTTTACCACAGCGCCTCCTCGACGTTTGAATACGCGCGTCGCGTCCCGGCACTCGACCTCCCCGCCGACGGCGTCTCAATCACCGTAGTCTTCGTCCTCGGCGCCGCACACGTCCCCGGCATCGTTCATCGTTGGAACGAGGCGTGCTCGAGGGATTAGTGTAGGATTTTGTCATCGAATCGACGCTTCATGAAAAACAAAAAATCCCACCACGCTCTCGCGCGCGCGCCTGGGGTTAGAACCAGATGAACCCCTTGCACGTCACACCGGCGCGCGCCGCTGGTTGATGTCAACGCGCGAGACGTCTTCAAACGCGAGTTCGTGCACGCTCGGCGATATCGATTGGAAGGTGCGTTGATACAAATTATTTGCACATTTCGCGCGGATTTCGACGCGCATCGAGCGCGCGCGCGCGCGTCGCTGGTCTCGAACGTGTCCGCCGACGTGCCGACGCGAAGAACCCTCGCGCGAGGGTCTTTCGTGGACGACGAGACTTGGCGTCGCCGACGGCTCGAACGCGCGCGCGCGACTCGATGGACAACGTCGTGGATGAATGAATATTTGTTTCACGACCGCGCCGAGCACAACGCGCGAGAGCGGGCGCAAAGGGCGATTTCGACGAGTAATCGACCCATTTGGACCGTCCACGTGGGCAAAGGAACCAGGTCCATTCCACAAAATCGACTCCGAGGACTGACACGTCTACGCTCGTTTACGCGCTCACCAGGTTCATCGAGTACTGTCGAGCGATAAAATCGCAAACATCGACGAGTCTTTGGTGAGACTTGAACTTCATCTCGACCAACCTTCGTCTGAAAGTAGACGACAAGTGTCCCTCGAGCTTTCGCGGGAAGAACTCGAGCGCGTCATTAGCGAGCTTGATAACGCCAAAAAGGCGCTCGATCAGCTTAAGGAAAAGTAAACATGGTCGCCGTCACGAAGAAGAAGATTCCGGGTCCGACGAGCGAGATCGCGGCGTTCACGAAGAAGTCGCAACAGCTAAAGTTGGAAGCGGATGTCTTGTTTGCGAAGGGCAGCCACGGCGAAGCGCTCGCCAAGTATAACAAGGCGCAGCAACTCGCTCTCAGAGGGAGTGCTGAATTCGTTGCGATCGCAACTAATAAGGCGGCGGTTTACTTGCGAGGAGGTGTCCCAAGTCAGGCTATCAACGAATGTGATGCTGCGCTCGATGCGCAGCCCACTTACAAACCAGCGTTGCTGCGCCGCGCAACGGCGTACGAGGCGCTGCAGGAGTATACCAAGGCCAAGACAGATATCGAACGTGCCCTCGCGATCGATTCGTCCGATGATTCTGTGAGAAATCGATTGGACAAGGTGAAATCCTTGGCTGCCAAGGCCGCAAAAGCCAGCCGTCCGGCGGGCATGGGAGGAGCGGGCGTCGGTAAGCAACCAGCTCAGAAGTACACGAAGGAGCAAATCGCTGCGTTACGCGCCGAGGTACTTCGTCAACAAGCGGCACAGCAAGCGGCCGAAACGAAATTCACCTTTGACGTCACGTACGAAGGGGAAGTCAAGAGCATTCAGCTTCCAGTGTCTCTGAAATATTCTGACTTGACGGACTCCATCAAGAAAGAGTTTGACATCAAAACGCACGTAGCTGTCAAGTACAAGGACTTCGACAATGACTTCATCACCATCACATCTCGCATGGATTTACGATCCGCCTTGACGAACTTCGCCGCCATGGCTGAGCACCGTGCCAAGGAGAGCGGTGAAAAGGCAGAGACATCGATCCCAGTCATTCAAGTCACCGCTTTTGCGTCTAATACCGAGATTCTGGAAACGCCCGAGCAAGTACAGCCAGCGCAATTGCAAGAAAACGATGAGATCAACGAAGACGTCATCGAAATTGACGAGTGGCTCCTTAGTTTTGCATCGCTCTTCCGCAAGCGGCTTGGCGACCTGGCGCCCAAGGAAGGCCCTCTTGAGTTGCGTGAAATCGGACTTGAGAAGTGTTGCGAGGTGCTGGAAGAAACTGTGGGCTTGCCGGAGTCGAAAGCACTCCTCGTCAGTGCAACTGATAAGTTCCAAGAAGCTGCCGCCACCGCCATCTTCAACTGGGGTAATGTGTATGCGTGCAACTCACGCAGAATCATCGATGCTTGTGGGAGCCAGGATGACGACGGCGTAAGTGGGAGTGATGAGGCGCTCATGGTGGCTGCGAAACTTCACATGGCTGAGCTAGATGCAGATTACGAGGCGTGCTGTGAACGTTTTGCGGCCTCTCTCAAAATTAAGCCGACGTATTTTGAAGCTCCCATCACATGGGGCCAGCAAGCGTTCGAGCGTGGCAAGTTGTACCACCACTTGTCTAGTCAAGTAAAAGGTGCCGAGGTCAAGAAGGCGGAGGAAACCGCGGACGTAATGTTTGCCCTCGCCATCACCAAGTACCAAGAGGCCATGGAGATGCTTCCACCCGCTGAGAGAGACGTCGTGCTAACTGAGAAGAGTGAAGAGTCGAATGGTGTCAAGGCGCAGATCTTAATCCTGTGGGGCAACGTGCTCTACGAGCAATCTCAGGTGAAGCACTCACGAAGCGTTAAGAACTGGAAAGACGACGCAGTAGCCGCGATTGCCAAGTTCAACGAGGCAGGTTGCGCGAAGGGGGACATCACGCGGGCCCTCATGAACCACTCGAGCGGCGAGTGGGAAAGTGAAGAAGCAGCGGCGAAAGCCGCCGAGTAGTTGAGTAGCGGCGAAGCAGCATTCGCATTATTAATTTTCAAATCTCAGTGCGGCTAAAATTAGCTTCTTATTGTTCTTACATCAATCAAAATTCGCTAATTCACTGAACATGGAACATTTGAGATGCATAAATCGTCCATGGCAGGGACGCTCTTGATGACCAGACCGTGCTCATTAGCAAGGTGAAGGGCGCAAATGAACGCCATATGAACGCTGATATCTTCAACATGTCCAGCTGGGTTATTCACGGGGAATTCCCGGAGCATCTCATTGAAAGAATGCACGTCTTCCTCTGACGTTGATTCTTCGAGGTTGGCCCAGAGCGTTTGCTTGAGAGCGCGGACGTTCACTTGCTTCGTGGTCCTAGCGTAATTGACCTCAATCTTTTCCACACGTCGCGGGGCATCCACAAAATCGTCATCGTCTCCTAACTCATTGGCGTCATACCACCCGCCCGCTTCACCGACCAGCTCCTCACCATCATCGAATTCGCCTCCAGCTTCATCTGCGCCAAAGGTGAACCCTTCCTCGTCTTGATTCGTCATGGATTCACTATTTACCAAGCTCGCCACGTTTTGAGACTTCAAGAAAAGTTTTATCAGATTGGATGGTTCATAACCGAGATCTGGTGGAAGGAGAGTGTCGGACGCACTCGGTGCTGTGGCCAACAACAGGTCGTCCTCGTCGACGGCGAGTTCAAATCTTCGTTCATCAAGCTCGCTCGGATTTTCAAAGTCATAAGTGAGCTCACCCTTCCCTCTCTTCTTTTGGTTTTTGTTTTCACCGTCGTCTTCGCCGTTAGCACTCGATTTGGCGCGAGGTGGAGCTCTGAATTGCCAGTGTGTCGGGCCAGCCCAGCCCATCTTGCCACCTAAGCCAGATGAAACGATCCACTCCAAACCACCTTCTTGGGTCGGTAGAACGGTATCATCATCCATGGATGTACCATGGTCGCCATCTTCCGCCCAATTTTCGTCTTCGAAACCATCAGCACCGGCAGCCCAGTCCTCTGGCGACTCCTCCGCAATATCTTCATCTTCGTCGTCGTATTCTGCCAAGTTTATCCCTTCGAGCGACGAACCCGTAAAGAATGAGCCCGCACCCTCTGCGCTTTCTTCAGTTGCCTTGGTGGGAGCAACACCCGTGACTTCCGTGAGCATAGCTTGAACTTCATCGATAGAAGGTGTGATGCGCGACACCGACGCCATGGCCGTGGTCGCAGCTTCGATTGAAGCACGCAACGACGAGAGATCGAGCGTCCCCGTGAGCGGCGCGTCCTCGCCCTTCGTGTAGTCTGGCACCTCTTCTGAGTCAAAACAAATATTGCACCCTTTGTGTACGGCTAAGTTTGTCAATAGAAGACCTGAGGCACCACCTTCATCAAACATGGCACTCGTCTTTTGGAAAAGAGGATCGACGACTAACGTTTCGTCGAGCTGCTTCAACGAGTGTGCGTCCGGCATCTCCAAAGTGTTTACGGTCGCTCGTCGTTTCTTTGTTTTCGCTCCATCGCCGTCTTCCGGCAATTGACTCCCATCCGCACCGTCTCCAAGTCCTTGTCGTCCATCATCTTCTTCTTCTTCGCCGTTGGACGAGACTTTGTTCATCCCACCGAGCATCTTGAAAGTTTCGCTGTGGAACGAATCTACGCGCGATGCATAAATCTTCACACCAGCTTCCAATGTGCAGCTCGCCTTTTGAAAGTTAGTTTGATTGTCTTCATCTTTTTCATTCTTCACGATATCGCTGATGTGATCGATCAAAGCCAGGCTCCATGTGTTTTTGGCGTTGATTTTGTTCTCCGACGCGAGCTTGATGCAGTTGGTGTAGAGGTTCAAAACCGCGTCCGCCGACAGCTTCTTGACCGGTTTTGGTGGTGCTTGCGGCGCTCCGGTGAGTTCTTCGAGTTTACTCGGCTTCTTCACCGGCGCAGATTCCGCATTTTCTTCGAGCTCGGTGGCGAAATCCCGCCGCATCTCTTCCGTCGCTTCGCGGGACAGGAGCGATTTTTGTCGTTCCAGCTGATCATCGTTCGGGGATAACAGTCCGGATGGTGCGGGTGATCGGCTCAGCGGGGTCTTCTTCCGCCCACCGCGTTTAATTTTCTGATTGTGTGGCGTCAACACGCCGGACATCGCGTCTTCGTACCGCGAACGCGCCGTCGAGTGCCGCAAATCGCCCGTTCGCGGTGAACTCAATCGTTCCCCTTTTCGATGAAAAATGGCCGCAGACTAAGAATCATACATGGAAACTAGAGCTAGACTAAAAGTCGAGAAGAACCGACGCCTCGAACTTTGCGCCGTCCTCACGCCTCGCGCTTCGGTCGATACATCCACGCGTCCGCGTCTAAACTATCGGCCACCTTTCTCAAATCCTCCATCGCGGATTTCACCACCATTCGATCCACCGCATCGAGCGCGCGACGCTCGTGACGCTCGCGCGCGGTCTCCGCGGACAACCGAGCGCGGGATCGAGACGCGGAGGTGTCGCGCGCCAGGGCGGGGGAGCGCGCACTGGCGGGCGGAAAGACGTTTTCCGTCCACGTCTCGCCTCCGTCGTCGCGCGACATCGCGTTTCACGCGCGCGTGACGCGCGTGAGCCGAGTTGTGGCGCCGCGCTCGCGTTTCGAAATTTCGAAAACTCTCTCGAGGCGCGCGCGCTCGCGTCCACAAAACTCGACTTTTCGCGCGAACGCGCGTGGGTTCGCGCGAACGCGCGCGAACGCGCGGAAAAAGTTTATCTCAAGTAGAATTCACGTCCAAAACGGTCTCGACACCCGTCTTCGCGCGTCGGGACGGGTGCAAAGAATCGAACAAATCCAACCACCTCGAGTCGCATCGATGCGGCTCGCGGGGACGACGACGGAAGAGGTGTCGAGCACGTCCACGCGCGTGTTGAAGGAGGAAGAGGAGCGAGTGATCGGCGAGCTGTTCGAAAGCACTCGTCATGCGACGACGGAAGGGATCTCGAGCTTGGATAGGATCCTAAAGCTCGAGCTTGAAGACGCCGACCGCGCTCTCTCTGACGCGTTGGAGTCATCGGGAAGCGTCATGGCTTCGTTGTCCGCGTACGTATCCGAAGTCGAACGCTCGATGGAGGACGTGAACGCGTGGTCCACGGTGTTTGAAACAAAACTGGTTAATATGCGTAGGAACATCGAGATTATCAAAGGCAGAGACGACAAGCGAGACGTCTCCAACGAGAACAAGCGAGCGCTCGCAGCTGCCGTGCGGGGCTTGCTTGGGGAGTTAGAGTTACCTGTTGGTGTCGAGCGTGCAGTCCGCGAGCATTCACTCGATGATGAACGAGGCATTTTGACCATCTACGACGCACTGCGTCGGCTGTTGGACTTCAAAAGAAAGCTGAGGTACGCTGTGCGCGACGTTTCGACTTTACACGCCGAAACTAACTCGGTCTCACGTAGGGATGGTTTACCAGCAGGGATTGCGACGATGCGAGTCACCGTCGAAGCGCGCGAACAAGTAGAAGTAATAGCCATGCACGCGTTTGAGCGTGTATTTGAGCGCTTGCGAGCGATCGCAGAGGTGTGTATCGTGTTGCTCGTTGGAATTAATTTATTAATATTTCTTGCAGGGATGGGTGCGATGGTCGACGCAAAAAAAAGCGATGAGCGACGCGAACACGTGGGAAGCAATACAAAGGTACGGTGCATGACAGAAATAAATATTGTCACGAATCTCACATCTATCGCTCACAAACGCAGCGACTTAAAGAAATTCGAGAGATTATTTGACGCTTTGTCCGAATTAAGTCCAACAACCGCGGATGCTTTCGCGCGTCTATATTGCCAAAGCTGCGTTGAAGTGATGCGATGCGATATAGTGATGATTATGGACGCGATCGACAAACAAGATACTGAAGCAGATGCCATAAACGTGAGTTCTTCTCGATTTCAATGAACGATGTTGGATGAAATTAAATAATTAATTCGCAGGTCGCGTTTCAAGCGCTAAGGACAGCGATTGCAGCCATGGAGACTGTGGGAAATACGGTGGAAACGTTTCTCGGCACGACATTCCGAATCGCGTCGAATAATCGCGAATTCTATCATCAGGAAATAATTACAGGATTGGAGGGATGTTTGCTCGATTTAATTGAACAATCGATTGCGACCAATAGCGCACTTTGCGTGGCGTTTCTGGCGGCTTTGATTGATACTTCTGCATCGACGCACGCTCTAGGTCAATATGCGTTGACTGAAAGCGTCAATAACTTTCAGGTGCGTCATCGCATTGTTTTCTCTGCGCTCGATTTGATTTATTTATTTGATTTAATTACAGGTCGTCGTAGAAGCGCACATCAACAGCGCTGCGCAGGAATTCGCTCGAGAGCTGAGTGCGCTTCGCTCGAAGCAATCATCGACGCGCAATTCGGGTGGAGAATATGAGTTTCGCATGCCAGAGCTCGATCCGTTGAGAAAAATTATTTCAGCTCATATGCAGCTTCAAAACGTGTTTGCGGCAAATGGTGAACACTCAGCTGATGCTTGTTTTCTGTCGATGTGTGATGTAGCGTGCACGCACATAGAACATACAGCGAGTGCGGTATCCAAGAGGTAATTTTATGCCTCATCTCTACTTTTACTCGAATCGAAACTCACGACTTCACTCAGACATGACAGAGTAAGACTTCAAGGCTATTTTTCACTTGCTCGGTGTTTCGAAAGAGGTGAGAATGAAGGCGACGTTTCTGCCGGACTAGCGGCGCAATTGGACGGATTCATGACTTTAGCGAGCTCAACTTACGTCGCGGAGGTTTGCGAAAAGCATTTTGGAAAGCTCTTCGGGGAGATCCACGCTTTGCGCTCGGGCTCGAGTGTGGGAACGTTTCAGCCTGCCGGCGACCGCCGCGCACACCTACTCAAGCTGTATAAGATCGCCATTCCGAACGTTCGGGGCGTTGAAAAGAGTGTCGAAGCTTGTGCAAAAACCTTGATGAAAGATTTGATTGTCCACGAGCTCGTGTTACGAACTTGGCGAGAACTTGAAGCACATGTGGTTGAGGGACTGTCGTCTCTCAAGGCAGCACTTGGAGACAATAAAACATCCGATGCGATACCAATCGCGCAAGTACAGCACACGTTCGCCGTACAGTCGAAATCGTTTCACTAGCTCAATATGAGTTCCTACTTCCTTCATCGTTTACAACAACTAATAATAATACGGACAGCATCGCCGCGACGCGAGAGAAACGCCGGCGACCTCAAGGTTCTGGCGCTACGACGCCAAAGTACAACATCATCAACGGCTCGTCCTCACCATGCGGGATAATCTCGTGAGGTTCTTCCGGTCCAACGTATACGCTCACACCAGGTCTGAGGTCAATTTCTTCTCGCGCCTCTTCCGCTTCGCTCGCTTTGCGTCTCCACACCTTGAACGCACCTCGTCCGCTTTGCACGAAGAATACCTCGTACTTGCTCGGATGGACGTGACGATCGATAACGGTGCCCGGGGGCAAAGCGACGTGCGACATGTTCGTTATTCCCGGCACTTCGTCGTACTTTAACAAATCTCGCACCATTTCTTCCGTGGCTTGGTGATGCAGCGCGCGCGCCTTGACGGTTCCCAGCGAGGCCGCGCGAACTTTAACCGGTGGATATCGCGCGCCCGACGCCTCGACGTCGCGCGCGAGCGCAGGACTGGGATTGAAACGACCATCGTCTCTAGCGGTCGCCATGGTTGGACCGCGCTTCGACGGTGCACCGGCGCCCACGACCGCCGCGCACTGGCGTTTCGTGGGCGGCCGCACCAGCGGCCTGCAGCCGCATTTTGGGTCGCCATCGCGCGGCGCAAACTAGGTCGGTGCGCGTCACTCGATCGCGATGGTGAGCGCAGGCGCGGGCGCATCGGGCGCATCGGACGCGTCGGGCGCATCGCCCGCTCGTCGCGTGCTCGTGCTCTACGGTTCGGAGACTGGGAACGCGCAAGACGTCGCGGAGCGCGTCGTGAGAGAGGCCAAGCTCAAGCATTACGCCCCCGTGCTCATGACCATGGAGGGATATGACGTGCGAACGTTACCTCGCGAGCGGTGCGTGGTGTTTGTCACGTCCACCACAGGACAGGGTGACGAACCGAGGAACATGAAGAGCTTTTGGAGATTTTTGCTGCGGCGGAGTTTGTCCGCGACGTCTCTGACGAACATGTCCTACGCCGTGTTCGGGTTGGGCGATTCGGGATATCAAAAATATAACGTCACCGCTAAAAAACTTTTTCGGCGCCTGCAAGGGCTCGGGGCAAACGCGATTGAAGCGCTTGGGTTGGGAGATGACCAGCACCCACTTGGGTACGAGGCGGCGTTGAATCCGTGGTTGAGAGAGTTGTGGAAATCTATGCGCGAGATATTTCCGTTGCCACCGCACTTGAAAGACCTCACCGAGGCCGAGCTCTCGAGTGCGCCGTTACCCGCTTGTAGATTCGTCGTGGAAGAGGTTGCCTGCGCAGAGGGCATTGTCGAGGCGAGCGGAGAACGCCTGATGGAGGCACACACGGCGTTGCGACTCGCGCTCGCGGCGGCTGATGCGAGCGACGCTAGCACTTCATTCTCAAAAGCTGAGTACGAAGCTCGCGAATCGCGCGACACAACGTATTACGATGGATTCGTGAGTGAGAATAGATGTTTGACGAGTGACGACGCCGTCAAGGAGGTTCGTCACCTAGAATTTCAAACCTTAGACGCCTCGATCGCGCACTACGAAGCAGGTGATGTGTTAGGCGTGATACCTTTCGCAACGCGTGCCGCCGACGCCAAAGTCTCGGCTCTGATTGAGCGTCTGGGCATGTCTCCGGATGCTTGGGTGCGCGTTTATCCTTCGTCGGCGCCCGAGACGAAGGCTGCATTGTTCCCGTTGATTCAGGTCAAGTACTTACTCGCAGGTGCGATCGATGTGGATTCTGCATCCCCAAGACGTTACTTTTTTGAGGTCATGAGTCATTTTGCCGAAAGCGAACACGAAAAGGAGCGTCTTCAGTACTTTGCCTCGGCAGAGGGCGCTGTGGATTTGTACAAGTACAATCAGCGCGAGCGAAGGACGGTGTGTGAAATATTCGACGATTTTCCGTCGTTAAAACCGTCACTGGCGTGGCTTTTGCAAGTAGCTCCTCACTTGCATCCGCGATATTATTCCATATCGTCTTCTCCAGCGGATACTGAGCGGACGGCGGCGACGCACATCACCGTTGCCGCTGCGGAATGGGTGACACCGATGAAACGGGCGCGGAAAGGATTATGTTCTTCCTGGCTGAACTCTTTGGACGTTGGCACGCGCGTGAAATACTCTATCACCAAAGGAAGCATCAGTTTACCACCACCCGAGACCCCATTGATTCTCATCGGTCCGGGCACTGGTATCGCACCATTTCGATCCTTTGTTCGAGCACGCGTGCTGCAATCCTCCACGGCAAGCGCATTGGTCGTGTTTGGATGCCGTCACGCACGGCACGATTATTTATATAAGGAAGAGTGGAAACAAATTGAAAAAGATGGCTCTTTAATTGGTTCTGGCGGCGATTCACTCGGAGGTGTTGTCGTCGCGTTTTCTCGCATGGTGCCAGAGGCGAAGAAGCGATACGTGCAAGATTGCGTCAAGGATGAAGCGAAACGTATATGGTCCTTGCTCGAGGCTGGAGCGAAAGTCTTCGTAGCTGGATCGGCAGAAAAGATGCCCGCGGCCGTGCACAAAGCGATCCAGGAGGTCGTGCGCGAGCAAGGATTGCTCGACGAGGACGCAAGCGCACGATACATGACTAAATTAGAAACGACTGGTCGATATTTTGTCGACGCTTGGTAGCAGTAGCAAAGTTGAAAAGAATGTAGTAGTAGTACTAAAAGAATGAATCAAAAATCGGTCTGATAGTGAAAAATCATCAGCGTATCGCCCTTTTCTCTTCATGATGCTTGTGTGGATGCTAGACTGACCGTGTTCGTCAACGCGGATACGTGCACCCTTCTTGGTCGACTGGTAAAAGTACGCTTGTGTCGATCCCGAGCTCTCGAGCGGTCGCTTTTATCTGATCCACAACATTTTTGGAAACGAGCGGATCGCGCACGAACAACCAAAGTCCGCCGGATGGCTCACACAACCCTTCATCGCCTCTCGGTGTCGTCAGCGGCCCGCCGCTAATGATGGCCCACGAGTAGCCGCGCTCCGCAAACTCGTCCGATTCCGGTGTTGTGTCCGTGGCGACGACCCAGTACGGACCATAGGTGAACGATGGTAAAAAGTTCAAACCAACGACGAGTTTTGATGGAGTTTCGACGTCTTCCACGATTCCTCGGAGCTTAAACAACCCTCGGGCATTTCTATCGCGTCCCGAGACGCCGTCTCTCCTCGCCGTGTTCCAAATTGAAATCGTCTGCGCATCCACGAGCGTGTAATTCGCTCGCACGCAAAACAGATCGCGACGCGGCTGGTACGACGTCGGTTTTTGTGCCACCACGTACCACTCTCGATCGACGTACTCGGTGAGGTTGAACGGCTGCACGGGGGCGATTGGCGCGCACGCCGTCTCGGGCGCTCTCTGGCGCGCGCGCGTCGCCTGCGCGCGCGCACCGCCGAGGGCGTCGAGAAAGATGCCGAGGACGAGGCAGACGATCGTGCGCGACGCGCGTTTCGTATTCATCGATGCGCGCGATCGGTGTCGTCGGACGCGTTCGCGTGTGACGATTCTCGCATTTGGCCGATTCGTTTCTCGGAGGAACGATCGGGCGATCGCCGCGCGCGCGACGGATTTTATCCGTCGCGGCGTCACACCGCGAACCGGCGCGATGTCGTGTTCGAAGGCGACGTCGACGTCGACGTCGACGTCGACGCCCTCGACGCCCTCGACGCCCGCCGCGTCCAAGCGTCGCGCGACGCGGTCGCCGCGCAAAGCCGCGACGCCGAGAGCGACGCCCGCGTCGGTCGCGGCGTCGGCGTCGAGCGAGCCCGTGGTGGTGGAGCTGAAGGTTGAGGGGATGATGTGCGACGGGTGCGTGGAGAGCGTGACGACGAAACTGATGAACAACGATAAAGGGGTCAAGGTGACGGCGGTGGACGTCGATTTGGCGACGAAGATTGTGCGCGTGTCGATCGATTGCGAGAGCGTGGTGGACGGCGTCACCAAGCTCCCGGCGCTCGTGGAGACCGTGGTGGAGGGAGGGTTCGAGGCTGAACCGATATTTTAGTCGATTTAATATAATATTGTACGAGACACTACTAGTATGGTACAACGCCGGCATCGCGCGCGCATCACGAGACGTAGAGCTCCGCGAAGGCGTTGACGATGGACGGCGACGGCGACGCTCTGACGAGACACGGCGACGACGCTATCGAAATAGATCGCGGTTCAGACTTGGGTGTGTGGAAATGATTATCGTCATCATCATCGCACGCATCGTCGAGCGCGTTGTCATCATGTTTTTGCCGCTCGTCACATCTCGAAAGCACCTCATCGAGCTTGCTTTCGACCGTTTCCACGCGTTTGACCAACGCCTGCAGCAAAGCTTCGATTCGAGCTAAGGATGAAGACGATGGCGATGGTGACTCTGACGGCGATGTCTTTAAATTCGGCAGAAGCGTGTTCAGCAGCGCTCGTCCTTTTGCTGGGAACGGCTCCGTCGGTGGCGGCGGCGCCGTCGGCGTCGTCAGCGCGCCGTCGTCGATGGGCTCGGCGTGACGACCAAAATCTCGATCGAGTCGCCGATTGGTGGTGGTACACCGAGAAAGCGCGTCGTCGTCGTCGTCGTCATCGTCTTTTTGGTCTTCTTTCTCGGCGTCGTCGCCCAGTGGCGCGGGCGTTATCGTCGTCCAGCCCGCCAAGACGTGCAAAAGATTATCGGAAGAACTTGGCGTTTTCGGCGGTGTCTTCGGCGCGTCGTCGTCGGATCGACGACGTTGAATCGCGATCACATCGTTCGTCGTCATCGCGTCGCCGTTGGTACACATGTCACGCGCGTCGCCGTGTGTGTCGCGCGACCGTCGGCGTTCACCCAAGAAAAACGCCTGGAGCGGGCGTTGTCGTCCCCGCCGGTATGGGGTGCAGTGAGTCGAAATAAATAAAAGGTTGTAAAATGATGGGCAAAAAAGATACTCAATTCCGGGATTGAACCGGAGACCTTCTGCGCGTTAAGCTAGAAGCGCGCGACTCGCGTCGCGCTTTCCTTGAGAAACGTAAGAATGCGAAGTAAATCGCAATCTCGTGCTTGTCCATATTGTGGCGCGGAGGCCGGTATATGTTAAGCAGACGTCATAACCACTAGACCAATCGAGCATTTTGGCGACGAAATGATCGCTTATTAAGCATTTCATCTGGTATATACACCGTAGTCACAAAATGAGGTCCGCCCCACTCGCGATTTCGCGATTTCGCGATGTTACGGGTTTGTGCGTTCAGGAGGTGCACTACCCGACGGTGTGTGTGAAGAAGTCTCGAACGAATCCCTAAATGCAGTGTATCTATTGATGAATGTCTACTTAGCTACGTTCCTCTCTCCGCTCTCTGTCTCGTCACCGACATCAACCGTACCAACGCCTAAACTGTGAATCGGAGGACGTTCATGCACGAACCCACGCTGCAAGTGATTCCCTCGAGTGCTTGAAGGCGTCGCTCGCGGCGGCAAAGCGGATGAAACGTTCAGTAATCTCGAACGCATGAGTGCGGCTTTCCGTAAATCGTGAATTGGCGAAGGATCCGACGGTGATGACGGAGGCAGACCACCGCCGCCGTGATGACTCACCATCATGCTTTCTGTTGGTGACTTGGCGAGCTGGGGTGCCGTCAGCATCAACATGCCCGTGGTATCTCCGTACGTCCCTGACAGCGTGCGCTTCAGCAGCGACGTTGACGACTTCACGGTTTCACCAAATGACATCGGTGCGCTCGACGACGTCCATGATTCATCAACTGCGCACGCAGTACCACCATCGTTATTTGTCGACATCGGCGACACGCTCAAGAGCTGCGACAAGTTGCTCGCCATGATCTCCGATGTCAATCGCTTCGCTGCCGTGCCACCGCTCCCCGGCGTCCCCATGACCATCGACGGGTGCACTTCATCCTCAATCCAATCATTACTCATTCTTGGTCGTTTCGACGATATTCTTGGCGACGTTCCGACCGACATCGGTGTCGTCGCCGGGCTGTGGGTGTGCCTTTTTTGGCGTCCAGTCGGAGGCGAGAGGAACGACATCCCTTGCGTCGCTTCGTCGCCGTGTTCGTCGCCGTGCTCTCCCAAAGACATGGACGCTCCCATGGACATGCTCATGGAGTTTTCTCGCGACGTCGTGGTCGTGGTCGTGGTCGTGGTCGTCGTTCGTTTCCTCGTCGTTCCAGCGCGTCCTTTCTCGTCATCGTCGTCGCGCGCGGGAATGTTTAGCCGCAATTTAATCTTCGGTGGACGCTGATGTCGTGTGTCGTTTGTGGCGACGCCCGCAACATCGTCGTTCATCTCGCGACGACGCACGCGGACGCGCAATGAGGTCTAATCCAGGGAGGCTGTTTTGTTACAACGTCGACGTCGCGGCGGCGACGAGAATGATTTCCAAGTTGTTCTCGCTCTTCGGCCTCAGCGTCAAAGGTAATCGAAATGAACTCGTCGATGGTGTGAAGTGACAGTCAATGACGGAGAGCTTGAGTATTTGATCCACCGCCGATTCGATGCCGTCGTCGCCGGCACGGATTCGAAGCCGAAGCGGTCTGGAGACACCTCGAACAAGATTGGACTCCATGCCCGTGGTGACGACGACGGCGTCGTCGCCGACCGTACCTAAAGGCGACCAGAAACCACGATCAGGTTGCGTCACCGCACCCGCTTGTTTGCTCCAACCGAGAACACGACCGAAGTCGGCGTCGACCACGTCGACGACGGTTGAAATCGTCACGTTGTTTTCGCGCGCTAAATTCATCGCCGCCCTGACGTCCTCGACGTCGGATTCACCGGCGTGGTGAATGGCTATCATTTTTAGTCTAAGGTCAATTGCTGTGCGCACCGCACCAGTGACTGTCGCGCCAGAAGGAGCGCCGAATTGTCGAGCAATGACTCGACCGTACGAGTCGACGACAGGAAAGCCTGACTTGACGCCGGCGCCAACGATGTGAGCATCTTCGGCGATGATTCGATCTTTGCATACCGTTGCTTGACCTCCACGTCGAGCGATGAGCGAAAAACACAGTCGTCTCGCGTCTGAGTCATCCGCGGCCCATCTCACCGTGGACTCATTCGACACTCGTGACCCGGCTTGACGAGCGCCCGCCTCGACAAATTGCTTCGTCTCAGAGAGTGCAACCAAGTACGACGACGACATATTCTCTCGAAAAACCTTTATGAACGCCGAACGTGTGGCATTCAGCGAGCTATCGTCGTAGTAGCACACCACCGCGTTTGCGATATCGCCCTTTATCGCATCGATGTCTTCTTCTCTCGCGCTCCACCCTCTCATCGCGGCTTCTACGTCAGCCGTGAGCCGTGAGATGTAATTCGTCGCCGCCGTCTCGTCCGTCTTCGTCGACGCACCGAGCAGTAAAGTCAGCGTTGGAAGCGCTTTCTCCATCGTCGTCATCGTAGACGCCGAAGGCATGACCGCCGGTCCAGTTTTCATACTTCCTCGACGAACGTCATCGTTCGCTGATGCCGGCGGTGGCGCCGCGGCGAGCCTTTGCATCTTTTCGTCGACTTGCAAAAGTGGTGTAAACGGTTGACCTAGCATCGATCGAACGGCTGAGATCCGACGTTGCAAATCCGCTGGCGTTCCAGAACACGTCTCTGAAACTGCTTCGCGCGTGGTTGCGTCGAGTATGTTCATCTTAATCACGGGTGAAAGAAGCTCGGCTGGGTATGCACTCGGCGGTCGCCCCGGTTGCACGAGCTGCACTGCGTCGTCGTCATCGCGCGCGTTGGCTAACAATTCAATCCGTGCCGGGTAGCGCGCGCGATGATAGCTTAGAAGACTTTCCCCTTTTAACTCCTCTCGAGCCTCACCGATCGTCTTCCCGCCGATATTTGTGTACGAAAGTTGTCCTTGAAGATGCGGTCCGCCCAACGCGACGACTTCGGCACCCTCCGGGAGATCCATCAACGACGGATCGTCCAAGATTTGACGAACGCTCAGCGGACTCCGCAGCTCGTGCCCGAGTGTGCATAGTATCTGCGCCGAATCCTCCGCCCCAATCTCGATATCTATCGTGTACTGATCTAAAACCGCCACGGCATCGCTCACGGGCGTCCACGCCCATGACCCACGCGTCAACTTTGCCGTGAGCAACACGCCGCTTCGTCCCAAACGCGAGACGTCGAAGAGCTCGCCTGCCACACTCAGCGTGTGCTCATACAGCGCTTCGCGAAGGATCTCTCCGTACGCCACCCGCGACTCGAAATCATTCGATCTTGGCACTAAATCAAAAGCCGCGCCCTCCTTGACTTCCCTCGTCGATCCCCGCCCGAGCGCCTTCTCCGCGAGCGCCTTCGCGTTCGTGCGCGCGACGCCGTACCGCAGCACGTCCCCCTCGTCTCGCACTCCAGCCTGCGCGAAGAGTTCGCACGCGCCTTCGTTTGAAAATGGCGTCATCGATTTCCCTCCCCGATCCGTGTTCGTCTCCCGCAGTAACCGCACCGCGCTCCACAGCGCGCGCACGCACGCCTTCCCGGCGTCGTCCGACAGCTCGAGCGGGACGACGCGCAGCGCCGGCAGCGTCCCCGACGAGCCTCGCACCGCGTACGCCGTCAACACGTGCGCGCTCGGCGGCGATTGCGATTGTGATGACGTCATCGCCGTCGTCGTTCGTTCGCTCGCTCGAGTCCGCGCGTGCGTCGTCCTGGGCGTCTCGAACGCATTCGCCCCGCGCCCAATCGTCACTCGCATCCGTAACGACTCGCGCGCGCGTCGAAGATGCGACGAATGACGCGGCGTGAGATGCGCGTCCCGCGCGTGCGCGAGCGATTGTGCGATCGCGTGCGTCGTCATGGTGACACTCACGCGCGCGTGCGATGCGATGAATCCTCGTCGCGCGACGGCCCACGCGCGCATGCCGAGGAATGCCGACCGACACCGTTCCCCCGGGGGAGGGACGAAGACGCCGAGGACGAAGACGGCGCGAGTCCGATGGGACGACGCCAAGGCGCGTAAAATAGTTAGTGAATGAATCGAAATAGATCGATTAAAGCGTTGTGCTAAAGATGTGGTGATGAATTGTTGTATGGACTAAATGAAGGCGACCGGGGAGACGCTCGCGCGGCGCGAGCGTTACCAATCGCGTATGACGTCTGAAACCGTCGGCGTATGAAAACCTAAACACCGCCGACGTGCGCTCGATAAACAGTCATCGCGTGCAGCTATAATTTACTGGAATGTGATCTAATCTCCTTCAAAGAAAAAGTTCAGCATGTTGTCCGACGCATCGACGCCGAGAACGTCGCCTTTGCCCACCTTTTCTAAATCCAAAGGCGCGAGCAAAGATGGATCGAACGTCGGATCGTCAACGAGAAGGTCCCCGGGGAGACTCAAATCGCCGCCGTGAAAGATGGTATCATCCCCTAAGAACGTGCTCGTGGAAATCTTGGAGCCGTTATTGCTCAACTGTCCGTCCTTTGAGCGGGCCCCAGTCGAAGAGGCGTTGCCGCCGCCGCGGGCATCGTTTCCTTGCAAACGCTTGAGGTATAGTCGATACTTTTGCAAGTGACTCGCGACGTTTTCTCTCGTCAAACCTTGAACCCCCATGAGATCTAAAATACGTTTTGGCACAGCTTTATCGATTCCAAGTTGATTCACTGCGGTCACGAACTGCGCGTGGAGCTCAGCGCTCCACACCACTCGAGGCTTCTTTGAGTTCGAGTTATCCACGACGTCCTTCTTTTCCGCTTCCTTGACGCTCTTGCCTCCCTTCTTACCCGTCGGTTTCTTCCTCGCTTTGCCCGAACTCATCTCGCTTGCCGTCCGATCGACCTCTTCGCTCTTCGAATTCGACCCAGACGTTTTCGCACGCTTGCTCGGCGACGAAGCCTCCACGTCTTCCGATCCCGAGCTCTTCGCCGACGAGTAGTCGCGTCGAACGACGTGTTGCCAAATATTACGCAACTCCTCGATTCGAACGGGCTTCAACAAATAGTCTACCGCCCCGTGAATGATCCCTCTCAATACCACGCTCGAGTCCGAGTTCGCACTCATCATGAGAACGGGTAAAGCGAGTTCAAACTGAATGATCTCCAACAGCTTGAACCCATCCATGTCTGGCATGTGCACGTCGCTCAGCACGATGTCAAACTCTTCCTTTCGCGTTCGCAGAATCTCCAGCGCAGTCTTGGCGGTGGAACACGCGGTGACTGTGCGTTCAACGGCATCGTCATCATTTCGTCAGTCGTCGCGTTCGTTTCGTCGCGTCGCTCGTCGTGTCATATCCCGTCCGATTTGTCAACCCTTAGCTCGTCCAGGGTTGGGTCCCAGGGTGAGTTCCGATGAGGGCCCGATTCCCAATCGCACGCCTCGCGCGCCTCGCGCGAGCGTTCGCGCGTCCATCGCGCGCCCACGCACGATCGAACGTATTCCTTCGCATCGTTCGCCGCCGCGTTCGCGTTCGCGTCGCCGTGTCTTCCGTCGCCGCGTCGTCTCAACGTCGGGGCGCAACGCTCGCGCGCCATCGGTCGCACCTTTGTACTTGCACGCCTTCAGCATCTTCTCCACGACTTTCAGGCACAACAAGTCATCGTCGACGACTAAAACCCCGAGCCCCGCTGGGAAGTCTTTCTTCTCCACAATCTTACTCGGCGCCGTCGCCATCGCACGCGATGGCTCGCGCGCCGCGCGTTGACGCCGCGACGCTCGCGTGCGCTATCCGGACGCCCGGGCGTCGGGATGACGAGATCTAAAGTATCGGTGTGCGAGAGATAGCGTTCGCGTGATATTCAATGCGGGATCTTGGATCACGGCGTCGGTGTGTTTGCGTGATAAATAAAAACACACGGACCTTGGACCCTCTAATGACGCGGACGCGCGCGCGACGCGCGTCTGCGCCAGGGTTGGGTGAGGTCGCACGAAGGCGTCGGTCGCGGTCGCGCGCGCGAGGAAAAACTTGATTATTTAAGGTGAACAACAAATGATGAGGTGCGGTCGACGCGCCCGCGGGTAATTTACACGAAATCCCAGTCGTCGTTTTCCCAATTCTTGCCGCTCGAGGGCCGCGGCGTCGACGACGCGTCGCCCGCGGCGGCGCGGAAACCATCGCGATACGGACTCGCGTCGTCATCGGACTGTTCGCCGTCAAAACTATCGCTTACGTCGGCGTCGATGTCGTAGAAATCGCCGTCGTCGCCGCGGCGCGCGCCGGTTGAAGACCTCGCGGCGCGACGGTTTCCGTAGCTCGCCGCCGTCGCGGCGTAAAACGCGTCTTCTGATTCCTCGTCATTCTCGCGCGAATACCCTCTGCGCGCGCCGTAATCTACCCTCGACTCAACATTGCGGTCATTGACCGGCGGTAACGACCGAACCCGTCCCGATCGTCGCCCTCGCTGCCCTCGTCCCGGTCGCCCGCGCGTCCCCGAGTCCCCCGCGTCCTCGACGTCGAGCAACTCTTGCCTGAGCGAAATCGTCTCCGTCGCGAACGCCACCGCGGTGGCAGTCGTGAGTAATTGCCCGAACAGCATCAACGGATCCAATCGCCATCCCTGAAAGATCAAAATCCCCCCGCACAGCAATCCTATAGAGCTAAAGAACACGTCCTTGTCCCTCGACACCTCCGGCCTCGCCGCCCGCACCTGGTACAGCGCAATCGCGCTAATCATGAGCGACGATCCCAGGACGACGGACGGCCCGAGATCGACTTGCACGAGCGCCTTCACCGCGGGCATCGCTCGCGTCCTCGCGCGTCCTCGTCGCGCGCGTCCATCGCCGCGCGTCCATCGCCGCGCGTCTTCGCGCGTCCCCCCGCGCCGCCCGACCGCGCGGTCGCCTCGCAGCGTCGTCGACGCGCGCGCGGCGAGCGCGTTCGCGCGCGACGGCGGTCGACGCGTCGCGATTCCGCGCGTCATCATCGTCGTCGTCGTCGTCGTCGTCGTCATCGCTCGGCGCGCGCGCCGTCGCGATTCCACGCGTCGTCGAATGCGGCGCGCGGCGAACGCGACGAACGAACGGGACGCGCCCGTGGATTGTGGATTCGATTCGCGTCGATTCGCGCGCGTCGCGCGTCGTCGTCACGCATCGTCGCGTCGCGTCGGTCGGTCGCACCGATGCGCGCGTGCGCGTGCGCGCAGTTCGCCGACGCGCCGTTCGCGCACGTCGTCACCGCGCTCGTCGTCGACGACGTCTCGAATCGGCACCGCGAAGGCGAAGGCGAAGGCGAAGGCGAAGGCGAACGGGACGACGACGACGACGGGATCGCGACGACGTCGCGCGCGAACGTGCGGACGTGGGCGTGGACGGGGGCGAGAGACGGAGCGATCGTGCGATGGGCGCTCGAGGTCGACGACGACGGCGACGCGCTGGGGGCGAGACAGGCGTGCGCGGGACACGACGACGGCGTCGAGGCGTTCGCGAGGACGCGAAGGGCGATGGTGAGCGTGGATGCGAGCGGAGGGGTGTGCGCGTGGGATCGACGAAGCGGGGAGTGCTTACATAAACGATTCATCGCGAGCGGTGGGGAAAGAGTGGGGATGGTGTGCGAAAGAGAAGTGGAATTCGCGAACGGCGTCGGCGGCGTCGCCGTCGTCGTCGTCGCGGAGGCGACGCGGCGACGGCGATGCGAAGTCATCGACCCACTGAGCGACGTTGGCGTGGTGCTGGAGATACCTCAAGAATTGAAAAAAATGGTGGAGATTTTCGTGGACTCGAGCGGGGCGCTCGGTGTGCGCGATGAAGATGGGCGGACGCACGTCTGGTCGTGCGTCGGAGCGCCCGCCGAGAGCGGCGACGACGAATCGCCGTCGGCGCCAGAAGCGAGCGCGTTCGATTTGACTGGGTGGAATAATATCGCTAAACCGATCGTGCAATACATCGGTGACGTGCGCGAGCGTGACGTTTTTCATCACGAGCTCGACACCGCGATCGGACGCGTGTGCGCGCAAGGCAGTGAAGATTGTTGCGTCGTGTCTTCTCCGGCTGGTTCGTTTTCCTTGGCAGATAGATGGGAGTCTTCTCCCTCGAACGTGGTCGTGACTTCGTGTGCACCCGCGAAAGGAGCACGATACGCCCCCGAATCGTACGTGTACGGCTACTCTGATGGGACCATATGTTCCCAGCCATTGTACGGAAGCAGCGCACCGTCGACGAGTTTCCGCGGACACGACGGCGCCGTGCTTTCCTTGCTGGACTGGACTGGCGATAAGAAGGAATCCTTTTTATTATCGGGTGGCAAGGATGGCACAGTTCGCGCATGGGACTACGCATCATCGAAAAATATGGCCGTGCTACGTCACCACCAAGGTCCGGTGCGGTGGCTTCTCCCCGCACCTATGAGTGCTCGCGATGCGAGCTGGAACAACGTGTTCATCACCATCGGCGATGACGGAGTGCTCGGTCTAGTGTCCGCTGACACGTGGGCCGTTAATTTCATCATGCCTGGAAACGGTTTCGGAGTCAAAGAAATGATATGGAACGCACCTCGAGGCGTTCTAGCCGTTCTGAGTAAGGACGGAAGCTTGCACGTTTGGGACATTCTCACGGGGGTGTTGGAGCGCCACTTGACGGGAGGCGCTGTGCAAGCGATGATGGCCAATCTTCGGGAAGGGTCTTTTCACGTCGTGCTCCATGGCATGCTGGGTCCGGCGCAGCGTCAGTGGAAGTACACGAGGAGACGTCCTCAGCCATTGATGTGGAGATGCGTGCAAACAAACGTGTTCGCGATCAGCGCAGACATCAACGCGTTACTGGACCCGGCATCGAATGGTCTCCCTTCGCACGGTGTTAAACGAAGAATCAGTCTCGATTCGATAAAATCATCGCCATCAGTGATAAGCGGATCGTTCGTTGACGAAGAAGTACGCGCGCTGCACCTACTGTTAGGAATGCTCGTGCTATCAACCGAAGGCAACCTCGACGCCAGCATATTTGATGAATTCTTCGCAAACAAGTCGAGATACTCAGACGTGAGTGTCATCGGTGCGAAAGGTTCGGTAACTTTTGACTTACCAGGTGTCCGCAGTATGAAAAAGCCGTCAACAACTCGCGAGCTCCGTCTCTTTATGGCGGCCACGGCCATCAGAATTGTTCAAGTGAGCGAGGCGGTGAGCATGGCGCCGTACGTCGAAGTGATGGAAGCAGTCGAGGCAAGGAATAGGGTAGTTGATGACGCGGATTTAGTTTTTTACGCGTGGCATTGCATGGACAAAGTCGAGTGCGTGCGCCAAGCTTCGAAAAGACTCCTGTGCGCTTGTCTTATGAAATCCTTACCACCGTCTTTCGAGCTTGCAGCGCCGGATGATTTGTTCACGTGCGAGCAATTCGCAAGATGGGATCGCTTGACGCCCAACTCCCAATTCGGGAACGGTTTACTCGGTTTAATAATCTCAAGCACGGCTTGCTTGACACCGAATACGACTGTGCACGACAGCTGGAATATCAAGATCTCTCGCGCCCTTCTGGAGGGGTTGAAATCCCCCAGTAAGACGGTCGTCCTGACCTCCGCTGCTTTATTGACAGAAGGCATCAAGCACTCAAACTGGATGTCCTGTTTAGCCGATCCCAACAAAGCCCTGGAAGAAGTGTTTGAGCTTTCTTCGAAAGTTATGAGCATGTCAACCGATCCCACTGAGTCCATGATCAACCGAGAAGCGCTGAGCGACGTGCTCTCGGCTTTCGCTGGAGCGAGCCCGCCGTTCTTCTTTACGCACATGAACAACCGTCTTCGTAGTCTGGCTCCAGAGCATCCGGCTCACATGCTAGCCTTCATGGCGCTCATGCGCGTCGCTCAGACTAATGTGAAAATGCTGCAAGTTCACGCTGCCTACTTGATGGATACCGTGATGCTAGCGCTGAATCCCTCGAATTCAGCGTTGAGGAAAAGTTGCTTGCAAGGCGTCAACGTTTTATTGACTGAGCTTGGTAAATCCTCATCGATGGCTTTCCATCGCGAGACGCAGCGTTTTACGGCTGCCATACATGGAGCTGTGAAAAACGGTACTGTCATGATCGTATACGACTTACAAACTGCCACGAAGTGGCGAACCTTGGAGGATAATCATACAGATTTAACTGACAGAGCCACGAGTGAAGCCTTGGCGACGAATTGGTCGAATCCACTCGGCCTCCTTACCTCACCCGAAAACAGCGTCAAACACTCTTCAAACGTACTCGTCGACCACATGCGATCGATTTCCATGGATGAGTACGATTCCGGTGAGCTCTCTGTGAAAGCAGTGTCGTTCGATGCGGATGGGAATCAAGTAGCGGCGTATTTGGACAAATTATCGTTTGTGTACATCTGGGATTTAACTCCCTCATGGCGACACACGTTCACTCGAGGTGCTTTACCGTTAGGAACTTCGCATTATATGCCATGCGTTCCCTCTGAAGCGCCTTTGAACGACAGCGATCTAGGAAGATCGGGCGAATCTGTGGTCGAGTGCTCTTTGAAATTCGTCAAGTCACGTCAAATTCGCCTCGTACATGGCGAAGTGGATATGGTTTTCTCGTTCGTGTAGAACGTACACGCGACAAACGACCATGAAAATTAGAAATAGCTTAATAGATTGTATTCCAGCATAGCCGTAGACCGAGTTCGAGTAGTAAACATAGCGTCTCCATCTCTTCTTTGAAACGTCTCGCGTCGTCCGCACTCGCACTCGCACTCGAGCATCCAGCGATCACCATCTTAAGCCACACTGCGCGGTGCCTGCGCCCTTCATGGGGTTCACCAGCCAACCCCCGCTGAGTTCGCTCGGTGCACGCGGCGGGTTCGTCCCTGGTGCGCCCCCGACGCAGGGATGGCGCGAAGAAGACGTCGCGGCGTCGGTTTCGACGGCGCCTCTGGCACCACCGACAGCGCTCGTTCCGCCCGCCGTGCCTTCGCCCACGGCGTCAATCGCGCCTCAAGCGGTGCCGCCGACGCCGGCAAACGTAACAGTGTTCAACCCGGGCGCCATCGCGCACACGGGAACGCTGGCGATGCCGTTGGTCGGACACCCTTCGCCGGCTCAGTTTGCGCCCTCTGCGGCGCCGCAACGCGTCGTTGGTGGCGTCCCTGTGTCTACGCCTTCACCGAGTGCGTCGACGGTGACGTCGTTGAGAGGTAGAGAGAGATATTGTAGCGGTGGAGCGTGGGTTGGCCCAGCGCCGGGTTGGCCGAAGCCGCCGGCTTCGGCTACGATTGAAAACACCGACGTCTCTCGAGTGAGACAGAATAATTTATCAATCGTGAACACGCTGCGAGAAAAGTATCAGCTCGCCATGCAAGGCGCACCGCCGATGAAATTGAAGGAACTCGAAGGGATATCGAACAAAATCGGTGGGTTGTTCGTCTTCTTGAACAACACAGGAGCTGCGGCGGGCGCGGACGACGAGAACACCATCACGGAGCCCGTCGTGGAGGCGCTGGTGACACTCTCTGACTGTTTAGCGTCCGGAAACACACCCGCGGTGAACTCAATCTTGCTGCATCTCTCGCAGAAGCACTGGGAAGAAGTTTCCTATTGGTTCCCGGCGCTCAAGAGACTCGCCAGGTTCGCCGCGGGCGGTTGAGTTGAAACAACCTGCTTCATATCGGCGATAGCACTATTCTTAATCCTTAGTACCCCGTTTTCATTGAATAGCGACGATGATGCACTTCAAATCTATTTCTTTTACGATCTCGCCTAGTCTTCCAGGCATCGCGTCGTCACCCATTCCGAGGTACTCTTCTGTTGTTACCCAGCTCAACCCGCTCGGTTGATCGATCGGAGCGGCGCTAATTAATCGTTCGATCCAGCCTCACTTTAACGCGCTCCCCGCACGTGCGGTCACGGATTCTCCACACCGGCACGAGTATTTAAGCATCAAGTCGCGCCCGTCGTCGCGCAGTCGCAACGATGGGTTCGTGTTGCTCGAAAAGCGTCGACGCTCCCGAGGCCGAGGAGACGGAGTTCCAATTACGAAAGACGGCCGATGGACGACGTTTGGAGTCAGCTGCGAGCTTGAAATCCTCGGAGGAGCTAAGAACTAGCAGTGGAAATATGAGCGGCGATATCAGTGGCATCCTTCCGAGGAGCGATGACGACAAGCACGCTTCGACCGCGTCGAAGACTCAGAAGCCAAAGAGCAAGGATTTCAAGGAGAAGAAGAAAAGCGCGCTGGCGGCGGGTAATGAGGACGATATGATTGATGAAGACATACAAAGGATCGATACGTTCACTCCGCGTCGGAATGAATCCTTGAGCGATCAAACGCGAAAGATTCTCGCCGACAACGATGACGACTCTCGTCTGCGCCTGGACATCCGCGATAAAGCTACGAAGACGGAAGAAGCTGTGGAGTTGAGCGCTCGACTTAAGAGATACGAAAATGAACCTAAATTAGCTCCCAACGTGTTACCGAAATGGGAAGGTCCTGAATGGATCGCACCACCGGATATCAAGCAAGAAGATACGGTGCAAAAGCCAAAGGCATATGCCATCGGCGATCTTTCTCGAGGCGACCACGTACTGCGAGAGAGAAACGTGTTCGATATAGCTGACTTTTCGACGTATATTCCTGGAACTGGTCCGATTTTCAACGGACCGACGCCGGAGATGTTGAAGTCTTCGGCCAAGGAGGCCGGATTGAACTTGAGTAAAATTGGAATGTTGGCTATGCTCGCAATGACTTATGTGCCGAACGTCGTCTTTTCCGGAAAGCTTTCGCCAGACGCCTCGACGGCATCGCATATTCGCAGATTGCTTGCGTTTGCGTCCACCATTCTGATCGTGTACGTGCTGCTGAGTTTAAAGATACAAATTGAGCGCATGTTTTGGCGCGCTTCGTTGGTTCAGTCGCAGATTGCCACGGCGATCATCTGTGCGATCTGCTTCACGTGGCAGGTGACGGTTATTTATAGCATCGACTGGTTGAGCAATAACCGAGGTGTTTTCTCTTTTCTCTTCGCTTTCATAGGTGGATGGTTGGTAGTGAGGAAGCACGAGACGCGTCTTCAATCTCGAGCAGAGATCGATGCAGTGTTATCGGCCTTCTTGGAAATTGAAAAGAATGCAGCACGCATGACTGAGCTTATGGGCTTACCTGCCGTGCGTACAAATGATATGCAGTACATGAACGCAGCGCCGGTGTGGGCAAGGTATCGCCCTGACGAACTCGTTCCTTGGCTCAACAATTTATTGACTACCGTGTGGCCGTTCTACAACAAAGCAGTCAGTGGTATGTTGCGAGAAATACTTGATCCGCTCATGGAAGCGACTAGACCGTCTATGTTGAAGCGTTTGACGTTTAAAGAACTTGATTTTGGTGAGAACCCATTCGTCTTCAGAAACTTCACCTACGTAGGTACGAAAGCTGAAGGAATGGCGACGAGCATCGACGTAGATTTTGCTTGGGCTGGGAAATCGAACATCGTCCTCGCTGCAAAGACGCACATTGGAGCGGATATAAATATTGCGGTCAAAGATCTCGAAATCTATACGAAATTGAGAATCACTCTCAACCCGCTGGTGCCACTCCCAAGTCCGCTCGGTGGTTTAACAGTTTCCATGACAGAACGACCCATCGTTGAATTTCATTGCGAGCTTCCTAGTGGTTTGGATGTGCTGTACAATGTCGTCGATAAATGGTTGGAAGAATTCGTTGCCGACCTACTTGGTGACATGTTCATTCAGCCCGAACGACTAGTCATACCTTTGAGCTTCAACTTCGATCCAATTACCATGCCGGACGGAGAAATCAAACCCTTCAAGTGGTACGATACTCACATGTTGCAATTGCGTAACACTGGGGTTCTCAAGGCGACTGTGGTGCGAGCTGAAAACATTCCGAGAACGGATCTACTTTCGAAAACAGATCCGTATGTGAAGATGTTCGTCAAAAAGCATGGGTTACAAGTGCAAACTACCACCATGATGAACAACGAAGATCCAATTTGGAATGAGACTTTTTACATTCCGGTCGATGACGTTGACTTACGCACGCTGAAAGTAAGCGTGCTCGACTATGATTCAGACCCGCTTAGCTACGAAACTCGACTCGCGATGACAGAGGTGCGGATTGATACAATCAAAGACGCAACGGAAGATGGCGCCGAAAAAGAATTGTGGCTCGATTTCCCTGAGCAGGTAGCTGGGAACGTGAAGAAGCCACCGATGCGACTATTGCTGAATACTCAATTCATACAATTTGGTAGCGTTGCCGCAAAGGAGCTCTTTGCGGGGCTCGGGTTGTTGACTGTTCATGTGATTCGCGGAATCAATCTGCAGGTGATGGACTCAAACGGGTTATCTGATCCCTACGTCAAAGTCAAGCTTCCAGTTGAGAGCATGAGTTCAAGCTCCGCCTTGATGGATAAGGAGACGCGCAAAAGCGCGCGTAAGAAAAACAAGGATGGAAAAGATTTCATCGTGTACACTTCCAAGGTACATTACAAGAATCTCAATCCAGAGTTCAATGCAAGATTCGAATTCTCCCCGGCGAGCGAACAAAGCAAGGTCATAATCGAGTTGTTCGACGTCGATTCAACCTTCCCGATCGGAACAAAGAGTAACTTTATGGGTAACCTTGAAGTACCCATCGCCACCATCTTAGAACACGGTGGATCAATGGAAGCTAGGTTCAAGGTTGGTAACGCTAAAAGTGGGGAACTAGATATCGCATTCAACTGGCAATCGTACTCGTGAATTCATCCATCGCCGACGTCGACGCCGGCTGCGGCTTTTCCTCGAGCTGTAGCTCGCACCTGCGCAGCAGCGCGCCGACGACGTTCCGACACTCGTAGTATTAGAAGCTTGTAACACACTTCACATCACATTAGAATCGTACCCAAAAGTGTCAATCTGCGCTGGATACCCTGGAATGGGTAAGCTTTGACCATCGTACTGGAGTGCAAAACTCTCATCTTTTCTGAGCCGATCTATCTGCTTGCTGACTTCTGTGCACCACTCAAGTTGTGCCCCGCGATCGGCGAGAATCGGCGTGGAGACTTTTACGACAACAAATTCCGATTGCGCTGCGTTTCGAGCTAACTCTACGCTCGTTGATCGTACAAGCTCGTCAAGCGCAGCATTCGCAACTTTGAACGCAACGGCGTTCACTGCCGATGCACGTGGTGATTGATGCGAAAATATTGCAACAACTTTTCGGCGTCCGATGAGTGTGGGCGCCGCCATCATGGACGGCAGTATGGTCTTCAGTAAAATTCCAACGGCGGCAACGTCTTTACACAGTCGGATCCATTCACTCGCGATCGTATCTCCGATTAAAGGCGTTGTAAGAAACTGGCGCTGCCATCGACTCGGTAATTCTCCTACATTCGCGAGCAAGACTTGAACGTCGTCACCTAGACTATACTTCGACCTCGATACAAAATTTTCCAACTGACGTTGGTCAGTCAGGTCAAAAGATGATGTTATCAGTCGGTCGCCGTCCCAGAAAGCGTTCTTGAATTCTTGCGCGCACGCCGTGCTCTGCGTCGCGGCCGCGAGTTTAGTCATGGGTGATTTTCCCAGAATACTCTTTGCCAGAGTGAAACCGACGCCATGACATGCGTCCGCGAGAAAATACGTCACAGACTCGGTCTGCGCATGCACGACGCTTGCAAAACATCGACGATAGCCCAACTGAAGAAGCATACTTCTATGCGCGCGCTTTTTTGACTACAAATCTACAGCTATATCTTGTCGACGTTGGAGCTCGAAACACCGTTCACCATCGTAATGATATGTTGCAAGTTTTGAACACGCTCAAGCTGACTATAACGCAACCGAAATCCATCGAAAGCGATAATAGGCTTAATCTTAACCTCATCGAGATAAATTGCTTTGGGATATCTTTGACTGAAATGCGTCAAGACGATATGTTTTACTCCAGCGTCTGCCGCAATTTGAAGTGCCTCAGCGGTGGTGGAATGTCGTTTCCGCACCGCATGGTCACTCAGTTCGTTATCAAAAGTCGCCTCATGGATCATCAAGGCACACCCTTTTGCTGCACGGGCGAAACCTCGCGACGGTCTGCAATCTCCAGAGTAAGCCAGACTCCACCCAGATGGCGATCCGACGACGAGGGCCGCGGCGTCGCGACAGTGTTCAACGGCCACGGCCTCAAATCGACTCAATCCACACAACTGCATGAGACGGCTCTCCATAGACTTAGCCGAGGCATTGGATTGATCAAAAATTGAATGTCGTTGATTTCCTTCATCTAGTGGCGGCGGAGGTGGCAGAGGTGATCGCGACACGCTCTGCAATTTTGTGGGCGGCGGAGGCGGTGGCAGACGGCCAAATGGTCCTGCAAACAAGTCGCGCGAATGGACGAAATGATATAGATTTTGGGACACACCGCAAGTATGTAGCCATTCCTCGAGGACCCTTGGGCCCACAAGCGTCAAAGGCGCGTTGCAAACGCGAGCATGTACTTCCAATAAACCACGAACACCAAGCATGTGATCTGCGTGATGATGTGAAATCCAAACAACTTTCAGATTCTTGACAATCCTTTTCATCGTCGCGCATCCAAACATTCTTTGAATCGAACCCACGGTCCCCTCACCGCAGTCTAACATCATCCATGTTTTGGACGTTTTCGCCGCTACTGACCGCGGCAATTCAGTGAGGATGCCGCTACTCCCCCGATATTTGTTTGGCTCGGCGGACCCAGTGCCAAGGAAAATCACCTCGGTATCATTTTCTATCTTTTGCTTCTTCCTCCCTATCAAGCCCCGCATTAAGCGCGATTTCAAATTTGACGCCACGGCTTGACTTGTCTCAGCATCTCCGTTTTCTTCGAGATCAACCATCTCTTTTCGGTGTATTCTGGTGAGTGATGCTTGCGCTGCCGCAGCGAGCTCTGGGTGTTTCGTCGCAAGCTCATTCAGTACTGCGTCGGGATCAACATCATCAGGACGAAACACTACATGATCTACCTCGCACTTCGCGACAGTGTTCTTCCGAATATGCACACAAGCACACAGCCCAAGGCTTGTGAATTTATCACTCACTCGCTGTTTGGCATCGCTGTCTCCAAACGCCCTCGGAATGGGAAACGATTCCGCATCGACTGTGTTCAATCGCAGAGACATTCGGGCGCTAGCGCGAAAACCCAGTTCATTTTGAGCACGGCAGAAAAAGTGCTCGCAATCGACTGATTCTAACCATGACTTATAACCAGGAGCGTCCGCGACGTCGGTTGGCGAACAATGGAACATTGCATCCAGTGAGTGCAGATCCTTTGATGCGAAGCAATTCAGCGTCGGATTCTGATCAAGTCGTGCAATCAAATCCATACTTTTCACATGAATAATCGCAATGCGCACACCAGGCGCATCGTCAAATTCCTTGACTTCGCAAACGTAACCCACGCACGCCGTCTTTGTATTGTCCGTACTTGTCATTTTCACACGAGATGACGGCGACGCCATCTTATCGTCTTCTACGCCTTCACTTTGTTCGCCGCCAATATGGCCTCCCTCATCTACATCCTCCTCTTCATCACTCGTGGTCGCCGTCTGACGCCTATGATTCTCCCACTCGCAGACTAGACATTCACATGTGTCTTCAAGAAACAGCGGCCAGACCGTCACAGCGTTGTCGGCGTAACACCCAATACCCCCACACCGTTTAGAATTCGCGCACAGCTCAACTCCATCAACTTCAGGATGCACCCACCGCGTACATTTCCGAGCGCCCTCAACTTGGGCGCTCGTTCCGCTCGGCCCCACCACTGCCAACCGTTCGTGCCCATCCGCGGACAGGCGCAAAATCAACCCCGTTAGCCCCCCCAGCGAGGCTGCGGAATCGTCCGCGGCGAACACAGCTCGCAATTTTCCCGTCGGTCGAATCTTACACTCCAGCGCGAGCCTGGCGAATCCCTCGGGGACGTTGAAGGCGTACTGCGACCCCGCGTGCGTGGTCACCACGAGCGCGGGCTCGACGCCATCGACGGAGGCGTTGAGCGTCACCACTCGAGCATCACCGCGCGCGAGCGATGGTGGCGATTTTAACGCCTCATCGTCCATGTTGTTTGACCGCGCAGCGCGAGCGCTCGTGCGGCGTCGCGCGATGACGATTTCTCCCGCCAATGCACTTTTTGGGAGACTCTCTGAAACCTCTGTTGGGTCGCGTCCCATAAGCAGACGCGCCGCGCCCTGCCGCAAAGGGCCATGGATGACTTCTACGTGCGGTACTACGTCGGACACAAAGGCCGATTCGGGCACGAGTTCCTCGAGTTCGAGTTTCGCCCGTGCGGCAAGCTTCGATACGCGAACAACTCAAACTACAAGAATGACACGTGCATTCGTAAAGAGATGACGGTGTCGCGCGAGATGCTGAATGAGGTGGCGCGAATCATCAAAGAGAGCGAAGTGATGAAAGAGGACGATCGAAATTGGCCCGAGCCCGATCGTGAGGGGCGACAGGAGTTGGAGATTGTGTACGGAGACGATCACACATCCTTCACGACGTCAAAGATTGGGTCGCTGTTGGACGTACAGAATAGTAAAGATCCGGACGGCTTTAGGAACTTTTATTACCTGGTGCAAGATTTGAAGTGCTTGGTGTTTTCGCTCATCACGTTACACATGAAGGTCAAGCCAATCTGAGGGATGCGCGTGGCGGCTTCCTCGAACTAGCGTTTAGAATTTTAACGATAGATTTGTGTGATTGAAACACGCTAAGGTCTACGTCTATTCGCTCACTTGAGCACTAAGCGATTATCTATATTTTTTGCGTTCCTCAGACGCCTCGTTCCTTGTCAAAGTGGCATCGGCGGAGACGCCGTAAACAAAAGCGGAACATCGGTCCGAATGACGACCTTGTCCTCGATGAACTGGTTACTTGTTGAGATCAATCCACCGGCGTTGAAAGACATCACTTCATCGTTCAAATCCCACTTTAAACCAACGGTTGACACGCGCGCGTCGCCTTGTAATGGCACCAATCCACAGTGCATGAGTTTGTAACGTGTGTCGCGTTTGATGATTGTTTCGCCCGCGGGCACCGCGCGCGCCATCGAATGGTCTCCAATCAGAACAATCTCGAGCTCTGGAAAATCAAACAGAGTCTTCATGTTGTATAAAACGTGGTCCAGCCGTCCTCCAAGTGCGCCCAAGGTGAACACGCGCTTGACTTCCGGCTTGTGTTTCACTATGGCTCTCAGACACTTGACAAAGTCTGTCGAATCCTGGTCATCGCTTTGATCATCCAACAGGCATCCGTACGCTTTGTTATCGCGATATAACGACGCAACAGACCCCCATACGCTATCCATATCACCCACGATTCGATGAGGGTGCTTAAACACGTCATCTCCGTTGTAGTTCAACTCTTTCGTCGCCGCGTCGTACGCCGCTCGCAAGTCTTGCACGCGATTCGCTCCGCCGTCCGCGCACACTCTGTACGAACACGACAACCACAGAGACAGTGCGTGCGGAGGCAGGTCGTAGTTCAACAAAACCACCGCATCGCGCGCTCTTTCCGCGGTTTGAAGGTCTTCCATCGTTCGCATCGGCGTGAGGTAATTCGTCGCCGTGGGTACGTCTTCGTGCGTCGTCGTCATCCCCGAGGCGCGCGTGCGACGACGATACGTGCGCGAAATCGGTGCACGATAGGTATGTACTTCTACGCGTTGGGATGTCAAATTACTAGCGCGCATGCGCGCGGTCTTGTTGTGAGGCAGGCTTCTACGGGTGTCTATTTGGTCGCCGCCTCTGCTGCGATTCTTCCGGAAACGAGCGCACCGTCGAACGTGGAAGAGCTTCGATGATCGCCTGCGATGAATAATCCATTGCCTAAAACGCTCGAACGAGCAAAGTTCGTCGGAGGCTCTTGATTGGGCTGCGCGTACGGGATGCGATAGGTGCGTAACAAACGCCACGTCGCAACTTGGTCGTCACCAAACCACGAAGAAAGTTCATCGCGAACCTTGGCCTCCATCTTAGCGTCGTCTTCGCTCGGGACACCAATGATAGACACAGAAGCCAACGCTTTCCCGGATGGGGCATAGGAAGGCGCCACGTTACTGGGAAAGCAGCAATTATTTACGATACCCCCTTTGTTGTCGCCGTCCAAATACAAAATGGCATCATCCGTTGGTGCCTTGTCCATGGAGAAATACAGGCACATCGTGCCGACTGCGGACTCTGGTTTACTTGGACTCTGCTCCAAGGAGCCACCGAGTAATCTGGCCGCCTCAGGCCCTTCACACGCTATGATGACGGACTTGTTTGCCGTCACTGTTTCTCCGTTGTCAAGCGTGAGCGTTCTAGACATGTCAGCGTCTCGCTCGCTCAATGTCGTCACCTTGGCGTTCACACGAACTCTGTCAGCCGTGAGATAACCGCGCAGCTGAGCGCTCACCGCTCCGATCCCTTTGGCCGGCAGACAGTTCTGCCCAGTCGCAAGCATGCGCATCACGAAATTGAACAGTCTGCTCGATGTCGTCAGCTCGCGGTTGAAGAAAATCCCCGCCATAAATGGACGAAAAAATCGATCAATCATCTCATCACTGAATCCAGAATCCTTTAAACGCTTCATGATCGTCGTCTCTCCGTCGGCTGACATCATTTCATCCAGCGTTCCCATCGCTAGCAAGGTTTGGAATCGCACCAGCCCGACGAGCACCTTGTCCGCGACGCTCCCCACCGGATTCGTCAACGACTGTAACCCATCCAGCGGGTGACGAAACGGATCCGCCACGCGATGAAACGCACCGTTGAATCGCACGTCCGCGCCTGCATAAAACGGCTTCAACTCCAACGCGTCGTAGTTCAACACTTTCTGCGCCTCAGGATATCCAGTGAGAAAGATGGCAAAGCCTCGATCGAGCAAGAACCCATCGACGATGTCTGTGCGCACGCGCCCGCCGACATCGTCGCTGGATTCAAGCAAAACGTAATCGGCCCCACGTTTTTCTAGTTCGTTACACGCCGCAAGACCGGCTAGTCCGCCACCGATGACGACGACGTCGGCTTTATCTTTGTGCGCCAACGTCGTCGTTCGACGTCGACGCGCGGCGACAGTTGGCCGATTCGAGCCACGAGCGTCGGACGCACGACACACATTCGCACACGCTTTTGCTTTCGTCGCGTAAGCTCGCATGATACACGACGCGCGACCGTATGAGGCGGTGAAGTCGAAGTCGAGTTCAACCTTAAATTTATTGCACAAGAATGTTTACGCGACGCGTCGACGATAGACCAGCTGCGTGCCGTCCTCTAACTCGCTCACGCGCATGTCCTCGTCGAGGTAAGTTATGCGCATGGTGACCTCGGACTCACCATCGGCGATTCGACCCATGACGTCGCCTACGGGAACCGTGGTGCCATTCAAGAAGTTCAACGCTGGCAAAACATTGGCGTCGTCTTGCCGCACCGTCGTCGACAAAGATCCCAGTGGCATCGCGATCGTGTCGTCGTCCAACACCCGAGTCGTACCCTTAGTTATCACGGAACCGTATCCAGAGAAAAGCGGGGCGAATCCGAGGAGTGGGACGCCCAGCGAAGCCTTGACGATGCAGTCGCTCTCGAGCGCGCCTTCGGAGATTTTCTGCAAGCACGTCCCGCAGCCGCCGCCAAACATGCTCGTCTGATGCTCGTGCGCGCCGTAAAAGAAGTCAGCATTCTCACCAAGGAGCTTACCCACGGCCCAAAAAAACGGGGACGAGCGGAACGGAAAACCGCTGCTCTCGTACACCAACTCCCACGTTCCGTTGAGCCGCTCGTCTCGCGCCGGCGCCGCCGTGGGATTCGTCAACGAGCGCACAAGCGCGCGCATCTCGTCGCGCTGCTGCGTCGTCGCGGCTTCACCGCGTCCCGCACACGCGGCCAGGGCGTAAATATTCATCTTACACGGCCCGTTCTCGATAGAATCAGAAGAGGACGACGACGAAGATGTGACGACGTCATCGCTCACGCCGACGGCGCGCGGCGTGGTGTGCGCGCGGCGCGATTTCACAGCGCGTCGTCCACGGGACGAAGACCGGGATTTGACGTCAGCGACGTACGCGCGAGAGTTCGCGGTGGCGGACATCTTCGACGTCGAGCGCGAACTGGCGTCGGCACCTCCCTCATCTTGTGGAAAAGACAACCTCCGAGAGGCGGGCGCTTTCTTTCTTTCGCAGCTGGCGGACAAGACTATTGAAAAACGAATGGTGTTACAGCGTCTTTTAAATTGCGAGCGCGTCGAAAATTTTTGGAACAACGTTCGCAGTGGTGAGACCGGCGGTGATGTCCTGGGCGAGCTCGACGAAGTAGAGTGCGGCGCGGCGCATGTGCACCGTGCCGACGGAGCCGCTCTTGTGCCCGGGCTTTTGCACGCGCGGTTTAATCTCTCGCACATAGAGGCGAAGGGCACCTTCGAAACTAATCTTAGCGAGGGATCCAATCGCGAGAACAACGACGTAAAGAACGATGTGGCCGATGATAGCCTTCGCGGCAATCAAGGTGAACCACTCACGGATTGTCGTTGGAAACGCCGCGACTTTCGTCGGCTTTTCGCGCCAAATCGCGCCCACTATGAATGCAAGCATGTAAAACAAGGTGCGCCACATGCGGCGGTAGCACGTCTGCGCGGCGACAAGAATGTGACCTCGGCTGTTCAGCGGGACAGGGAAAAGAAGAATCGCCGCGGACGTCAAGGCGAGGAAAGAAGCGCCTTGCGTCGTCATCACCGTCCCAGCCTGGAGGCCGGCGTTGCACCAATCCATGAGAGGTAAAACCAGTCGCAGCCCGACCGCACCGAGTACTACACCACCCTGCATATTGGCTGGCGACTCACCAGTGGCCAAGCGGCTGATTACGATCGCCATCATATAAGCGAATGCGAGTAGGTAATCTCCGACGACGATGTAAGGATGCTCCATCTCCCAAAGCGGCACGCTGCCGTATCTCCAACGAAGCACGAAGAAAGGAATGGCGGAAGCATTCATACCAGCAATCGATGGCCATGCGTACACCTTATGAGGAGCTAGAGCGCCGAGAGAACTTTGCGCCGGTCGCTTACTCGAGCTCTGAGTGCTCATCGTACCCTTCGTCAGGCAGCCGTAGGCGCAGCTCATGCAGTAAATAATCATCATTAACTGCGCGTAACTGCTGTCCACAGTCCACACGATAACGGGAAGTACTAAATAGTAAAAGTTTCGGCTGCCTAACCACATTGAAATGACGTGGAAAGTGCGACCGACGGTTCCGACTTGCTCTGGATGCAAGCCAACTTTAGTGAGAATGTTAGGAACCAAGTGTTTGGTGATGTTGATTTGACCGATGATGTAACGGCGGAATAAATTGTGACACCAGAGTAAACCCACGAGCAGAGGCACGGAAAGACTGTTCGGCTCTTCATCGATGTCGTTATCGAGAAGCGAAAGTTTCCAAGCCTTGGTTTCTTCCATCTCTTCTTCAACCATCATCTTTTTCCTGATGGCTTCGAGTTCTTTGCTATTGAACGTTTTCGGCACACTTGGCGCATCAGTAGAGTACGACTGCGATGTGAATAGTGACCTGGGCGAAACGTGAACTTGATGATCGAGCGACGGTCGCTTTTGCGGTAATGGCGACGCTAAAGCGTGCTGCGGGAGGATATCCAACGCAGCATCTCGAAGCACTGTGAGCATCTTGTCAATCTTGTCCGCCGTGTGACTGGCGTGCGCATATAGACGAAGGGACGGCGGGGGGCGGTGAGACGGTAAAATGACAGGACTGACTCGAGCCACGCACACACCAAATCCTTTACTTCGCATACGAGCAGCGATGCGATGCAGAAGCATGTTCTCGTCCCCGCTCCCAACGCCGGCCGAGAGCTTGACGGGGATGACTGGCGAGTCGGCATCTGCATCAGTAGTCATACCGGGAATGTCTCCACTGACGAGTGCGCTGCGAGTACGTCGCGCCGCGTCATGAAGCTTTTCAACCATGGCCGGTTCAGCTTCGATGCGGCTGATGGCGTGTAAAGAAGCCGTCGCGAGGTAGGGCGGTAAGGACGCTGAGAAGACGTAACCACTTCCCATCAAGCGTTGGTAAGCCACGACTCCCGTATCTCCGGCCACAAAACCACCCACAGATGCGCACGCGTTCTCCAACGAAGCACAAATGACATCAACAGAGCTGCTGGGTAGTCCAACGTGTTCAATCAGACCACGACCACTTTCACCCATGGCGCCAAAGGAGAACGACTCATCGAGAATCATTCGTGCATGGTGATGATCCTTCAAAGCTACAAGTTCACGGAGAGGCGCACATCGACCGGTGGAGCCAAAACATGCTTCAGTAATCAACCATCGACGTCTGACAGGTCGGGTGAGCCTCGCAGACGTGGAACCATCTTCGGTTTCAATTTGCGCAAAAACACGCGCCGCATCAGCAGGATCGGCGTGATTGTACCATCTAATTTCGAGCTTCGCCAAACGTAAACCAGCGATGATACTCGGTCCAACGCCTCGATCGACCACAGCCACATCACTTTTTGACGCTAAAGCTTGAATGACACTGGACGCAGTGCAAACGCCGAAAGAGTAAAGCACAGCTTCACCCACGCCGAGAAATTTCGCAATCTTGGCTTCCAAATCCATGTGCGGACGGAATGTGCCATAAAAACCACGAGGTGAGCACGATCCGAGACCATAGCGATGAATAGTTTCAGCGCACTGAGATCGCATGGTTTCGTCGAGGGTCAAATCTAAGAAATCTTGCGAGCTAAGTACCATGTCGTACGAATCCTTCATCTCGGACTTGGCGAACTGCTCAACCTTGGCATCTTCGAGTTTCATCTCTTCGTTTACCTTGCTGCCCACGGAAACGGGGGCCCAGTGGAGTCGAGACGCAGACTCCAAAGCCTTTTCTCTGTTTTTTAACGCGTACTCTACTCGTTTCTTACTCTCTTTGTGCTCTCGCTTTTCGAGCTCCTCGATGGAACCCGGAAAAAATCGGTTCGCGGGATACTTCTTAAACTTGAGGCAAAGCTCGTCGGCAATGTCAGAAATCACGTGCAATGCATTCTCCAGATCGGCCCTCTTGTGCGCAGCAGAAATGCAGAAGCGCACACGCGGCAGCGTTATCGGCGTGGCGGGAGAACCGACGACGACCACGGCTAAACCACGATTGAAAGCAAGACGAGAGAAATCGCCAATCTTGTATGGTTGATAGAGCATGACGGGCATGATTGGTGACGGATGATGGCCGAGAACTTCCAAGCCAAGCGCTACTAAGCCATCACGAAAAAATTCCGAGTTTGCTCGGAGCGCATCAAGCTTTTTCTTTCCGATATCTGTGCCGTCTTCGCCGGAAATCAAACGCAAAGATGAGAGGACTTGTGCGCACACCGCCGGCGCCATGGAAACCGCCTCGGTGTACCCGAGCGAAAAGCGCTTCACGGCTTCCACAACCTCTTTATCACCCGCCACGTATCCACCGGCGGCACCGAATGACTTGGTAAAAGTACCCATCATGACGGTGATGTCCTTGGTATCAACGCCAAGCTCTTCACACACGCCTCGCCCCGTCGGACCGACGGCGCCGATGGAGTGTGCCTCGTCCAAGTACACGTGCGCGCCGTACATTTTCGCCACCTCCACGATCGGCTTCAAGTTGCAAACTTCACCTTCCATGGAATAAATACCTTCCACGATGACGACAATCTTGTTGTAATTGTATCCACCCAAAACCGCGTCTTGTAAGATGAGTTCCAAGTCACCCACGCACTGGTGCTTAAACGGGCGAATCTTTGCCCCGCTCAAGCGCGCGCCTTCAACGATCGATGCGTGATTTAAGGCATCAGAAATGATCAAGTCGCCCTTCGAGCAAAGCGCCGGAATCACCGTACTATTCGTCGCAAAGCCCATACCGACCACGCACGCGCTCTCTTTGCCTACGAATCTGGCCACGAGATCTTCCACCTCGCGCAAGTTTTTGTCTCGTCCGAGCTCCGCCGCGGGCGATCCGCTCGTCACTGGATACTCGCTCAAAGATTTCTCCACAACCGGTGTGCAGTGCTCGTTGACGCCACCGAACCCGAGATAATTATAACTCCCCAAATTCAAGCACTTTCTCGACTCTGGCGTCGCTTGCAAGCGCGCAAAGTACCCGCGGTTGTGTTCCGGCGCCCGAATCGCGACGTCGATAAAATCCTCCGGCGACGAATAAATCGGTCGATTAAACGTATCCTCGATGTTTCCGTACATGTTCCCGATGTAGAAAAAGTCCTTAGCCTTACCCGCGCTCAGCGGCGTCAAGTCATTCTTTTCCCCATTCTCATCATCCGTCCGCCAGTCTTTTATCCCTCGCAGCGCGTTGAACGTATTCTTCGCCACGCCCTCGGCGACGTACACCACGTACTGCGCGTACGTCGCGCACGTGTGTCCGACCAATCGATACGCGCTGCGATTCTTCAGCGCGACGTTTTTACTATCGGGTCTGTACTCCGCGTACTCCATCCCGCGCGCCTCCGCGCGCCGTCGCGTTCAAACTTTCTCGCGCCCGAACGTTGGCGAGCGCCGATGGATAGGCGCGTTCGCGCGCGTTCGCGCGCCGACGCCGCGGTCACCGACGCCGCGCCGGGTCGCGCGCCGGGTCACCGACACCGCGCGCGACTCGGCTCGGGTCCTCGCGCGGTCCCGTCGCGCGGTCGAGTAGCGTCGGTCGTCGGTCGTCGGTCATCCGTCGTCCATCCGTCGTCGTCGTCGTCGCCTGGCGGGCGGCGCGTCGGATGGAAAAAACACGCCACGTGGCGCAAAACCGACGGACGGACGCGGCGCGCGTTCGATTTCGAACGTCGAACGCGCGCCCGCACTCGTCGGTGCGTGCGTTCGTTCGCGGACGTCGCGCGCGCCGCGTCGGCGACGACGACGACGACGACGACGACGACGACGACGATGACGATGACGCCGATGACGACGGCGAGACGCGCGGGCGCGCGCGCGACGCGATTCGCGCGGCGCGGTGGTTTGAATGCGCGTCGACGGGGCGCGCGCGCGACGCGCGCGTCGACGGAGGTCGTGGACGGCGCGCACGGGAAGACGACGCTGGTGATGATTGAGTGCGACGGCGCGCTCGTGGACGTGCACGGGGACGGGCACCGAGTCGCGTTTAATCGCGCGTTCGCGGCGAAAGGGGTGCGGAGCGCGAACTGGGACCACAGGGAGTACGCGTCGCTGTTGCGAAGCGGCGGCGGGAGCGCGTACGGGATGCTGGAGCGGTACTTTCACTTTTACGGGTACCCGAGCGAGTTGAACGCGACGGCGAAAAGGGCGATCGATAACGACGAGTACTTGAAGGCGATAAAGAGACTCGGGGATATGGTGCCGCTCGCGGACGCGGCGGGCGTCGTCGACGCGGGCGCGCCGACGGGGATGTCGAGGGAGGACGAAGCGCGGATGAGGGACGTATTCCTTCGCGACTTGATCGACGAGAAAGAGAAACAGTTCCAGTTGATGATTGACGAGCACGCGCTCAAGCTTCGAAGCGGGGTTGAGCGATTCGTGGATGATTGTATTCGCGAAAACGACAAGCTACAAGTGCTCATCATCTCCGAGACGGCGTCCACGAGCGAGGATCGAGTGTTGGAAGCCGCGCTTCACGGGTTGGGTCCACTTCGCTCGGCGGCGATTTCCATCACAGGTGCACCGGAAAGTTTCAACGCCACCAAAGGTATCGCTTCCCAGGCGCGCTCGGAGGCGGCGCGAATGATGAAGAAGACCAAGGGCGATTTGCTCGCCCCGGAAATCGGCGGCAATTTGCAGCGCCAAAACTTCAACTCGGACGTCATCATCGATGCTGGGATGTTCTCCACGAGTCGTCGCTCGATGCTCACCGCCGAAGTGATATCTGAAATCGCCATCCAGCGCGGGTTTTCTTCCGAGAACGTCATCTTTATCGGTGGATCCCAGGCGACGTGTTCCGAAGCCACGTCAGCCGGTGGTTTTTCCGTCATGGTGCGCAACCAGCTCCAGCGCGGCGGCGAGTTCCCAGGCGTGGACTCCGTCGTCGACGGCTACGGAGCGGGCGAGGGTATCACATTGCGCCGCATTCTCGCCGTTTTGGACACTCGCCGAAAGCAGCGCGAAGCGCAATAGTCAACATAAAGCTGTAATTTTATGCAACGCACCCGCGACGAGCAGACGAGGTCTTGTGGATGACTGTGGATTGTTGCGCATCTTGCGTCACTGATCCGCGCCGAACGTCCGGCGACCGACCCGACGTCGCGGACGAGCGCGATGCTCGACGACTCGCGCGATGGTCGCGGCCACCGCGTCGTGGACGCGCACACACGCGCGCTCGTCGAACCATCGAGCGACGTCATCGCGGCGAGCACGAGCGACCCGAAGGAAGATTTGCGACTCGAGCGCGCGCGGGCGTCGTTCAACTCGCGCGAACTCGAGGTCTTGCTCGCGGGAGGGAAGGATAATTATAAATTGCGTCAGCGAATCGCGTCGGTGATGACGACGAACGAGGCGTTCAGTAAGCGAGGCAAGTACTTTGACGAGCGGGACGAACTGTACGAGCGCACGCTGCGAATGTACTTGGCGCTGCCGAGCGCGGTGGCGAGCATGAATGAGAAAGAACCCATCGCCGTGGCGCGAATCATGCGGGAGTTGATCGACGAACCCGGGGGGCTGGACTTACACCTAGGAATGTTCATTCCCACAATTCAAGGGCAAGGGGACGAGGAACAGCGAAAGTATTGGATTCCAAAGTGCGTAAAGCTGGAGTGCGTGGGGACGTACGCGCAGACGGAGCTCGGACATGGAACCTACTTGAGAGGGCTAGAAACGACGGCGACTTATGATGAAGAGCGCGAGGAGTTCGTCGTGCACTCGCCGACGTTGACGAGCACAAAATGGTGGCCGGGCGGATTGGGAAAGACGTCCACACACGCCGTCGTGATGGCTCGATTGTTCACCAAAGGCGTCGATCATGGCGTGCATCCGTTCGTGGTGCAAATTCGCGATAATAAGACGCATGAGCCGTTACCAGGATGCACGATAGGTGATATCGGTAACAAGATGGGCTACAACGCCGTCGACAACGGGTTTCTGAGATTTGATCACGTTCGCGTCCAACGCCGAGCAATGTTGATGGGTCACTCCAAGGTTGAACGCGACGGTACGTACGTGCCAGCGCCGGTGGCGAAAGTTTCGTACGGTACGATGGTCTTCATTCGCTCCGACATCGTTATGAACGCCGCGCTTTACATGAAGAAAGCCGTCACTATTGCGATTCGATACAATTTAGTTCGCCGGCAATCGAACGCCGACGAGGTGACGGGGATGGAGTGCCAAGTTATCGATTATCAGCACAGCCAGCGAACGCTGTTTCCCATTCTCGCTAAGGCATTTGCCTTTCACTGCACGTCTGATTACATGCGCCGTATGTATTTTGAGTTCCAGAGGGACTCCCGCGAGAAAAAGGACTTCTCCGCCCTTCCAGAGCTTCACGCCACATCGAGCGGGCTCAAGGCGTACTGTTCGTGGGCGACGAAGGATGCCATCGAAGCATGTCGTCTAACGTGCGGTGGTCACGGCTACATGAACCTAGCGGGATTCGGCACTACACTAGCCACCTACGCCCCCAACGTGACGTATGAAGGTGACAACAACGTGCTTTGCTTACAAACCGCTCGGTATTTGTTAAAGGCGCACCGAAAAATGCTCAATGGCCAACCACCTGTGGACGCGCTCCGTTATCTCGACGGTGCAAGTTCTCGGAGCGCGCTTGCTCTCGGCGCAAGTTTACGCGATGAAAAGGCCATCCTCGATGCGTACGCCCATCGGGCGTGGCGGTTAGTCACGGAAGCCTCCAAGGTGACGGGCGATTTGTCGCCTGACGAAGCGATGCGAGTACACATGGTACAGTGGATCGGCGCGGCGAAGGCGCATTGCGCGTTCGTCGTCATGTATAATTTCGTCCTCGCGTACGACGAGACTCGATCTCGAGTGAGTGCGGAAACGTTAAACGTGTTGCATCGCCTCGTCTGCCTTCACGGTTTGTGTGGTATGGATGACACGATGGGTGAGTTTTTGGAAGACGGGCACATCGACGGCGAACAAGCGGCCGAGATTCGACAAGAAATCTTTAAACTTTTGTCTGAAATTCGACCAGATGCGGCAGCGCTCGTTGACTCTTTTGGACTGCACGACTATTTCTTAAACTCCGCGCTCGGTGCGAAGGATGGAGACGTCTACCGCCGACTGTACGAAGAAGTACAAGCGGCGCCGTTCAACAGAAAGCACACGCCACCCGGATACACCGAGCTCTTGCAACCAAAGCTGAGCCGCGGTAACTTCGGCGTCTCCAAGCTTTAATTCGTGGTAGATTATTTTTTGTCATTTAGATGATTGTTTGTTTGTTTCTCAGCGCCGCTGCTCGGTATTACAAAAGAATCAATCCGCTGAAGGCGTTTCGAGAGACGCCTTCAACTTTGAAAAATCGTTCAGTCCGGTGCCATCGCCGCCACCGTATTGAATGTCGTCGAACGTATTACACGTATCGGCCAAATCTTGATCGCTCTTCGTCATCACGTATCGATGCGGTGAGATGTGTTTGTTGCCGCTGATGAAGCTCCCCGCGGGCACCTTTGTGAGCTCAAATACATCTAGCGCGGCGCACTGTCGCGGGTTAAAACTCGACCCTCGCGGGGCGTACATGATGATCACCCCGCCCTCACACCCTCGTCCACGGTAAATCGTGTGCGTACCGTCGCGATCGACCGCCGCGAACACCGCTTCTCGCTGCGGATGCACCATGGCGAACGCCCAACTCCCCTTGAGTTCATCCAGAAAGTGCGTTCCGTACGTAGACCGCAATTGCGTCACCACGTGCGCCGGGTTCGCGTCGCTCGGCAAATCACAATCTCGCGCCATTTCCTCCAAATTCTCCAACTCCCCCACGAACACGGCCAGCATCCCGCTGTCCTCGCACTCGTGCACGTTCGCCTCCCGCGCCGCCGCCAAGAACCCAGCCGCGCCGAAATCTCGCTTCATCTCGCACCCGAGTTCCTCCAGCGCCACGAGCGCCGACCGTCGTCGACACCGTCCTCCCGTCGCCGCCCCGCCGCGCGACGACGACGACGCGCTCCCTCGTTGTTTCGCCCCCACGAAGCACACGAACGCTCCCCCCCAGCGCGTCTCGCGCGTCGCCTCGTCGGCGCGCCTCGTCGTCTCGTCTTCCTCTTCCCGCGTCGTCGCGTCGTCCTCGTCCATCGTTCGCGTGCGCGCGCGTCGCCGTCTCGCGTCCTCGTCGACGTGCGTCGTCCGGCGTCAGAGCGGCGCGCGCGCGCGACGCGCGCGATGTCGGCGTCGAGCGATCGCGCGGCGCTCGTCGTCGTCGTCGTCGTCGTCGTCGCGCGCGCGGCGAGGGAGGCGCGTCGCGCGCGCGCGCACGCGCCGAGAGACGACGCCGAGCGCGCGAGATTCGCAAAGGGAGGCGCGACGCCGCGCGGGAAACGGTTGGCGATGCTCGCGCACGCGCTGACGACGCTCGGCGTCGCGCTCGCGATGGCGGCGCGCGCGGTGACGGCGCCGACGAGAGCGAGGACGGCGAGGGTGGATCACGAGGACGCGGCGACGCGCGCGGCGCGAGCGACGTCGACGCGACGGGCGCGAGCGCGAGTGTGGATCGACGCGGAGGGAGGAGAAAACATCGTGCGAGAGGTGGCGCGAAGGCGAGGATTAGAGGACGTCGCGCGTTGGGTGACGATCGAGGCGGCGACGCCGAGGCGAGGCGAGGGATGGATGGACGCGCTCGCGGCGGCGTCGGACGAAGACGTCGACGCGCGGACGCGCGCGCTCGCGGACGAGAACGCGACGGTGTACGACTTCGTCGTCGTGCGCGATCGTCGCGGTGAAAACGATGAAGAGCGTGGGAAATTTGTCGTCGGGACGCACCGAGCGGCATGGATGCGATTCGACGACGAGCGTCTCCTCGCGGATGAACTGGAGGAACGACTTCGCGCGCTATTCGCACCTGCCGATGAAACGACACCCAGCGCGTCACCGTTTCTCACGACATCGGACGGTATCTTGCTCGCATCGTTTAGTCTGGTGAACGCGGAGCCGACGCCTGGGTACGCGTTTTCATGGGATTTTCAACGCGACGTCGAGCAACCGTTTCTCGGCGCGCTCCCGGAAGCGTTGAGTCGCGTATTAGAGGTGCGGATCGAGGCACAAGTGTTGCGACACGCACGCAGTCGGGTGCGACCGATGTGGTCGGACAAACACAGGGGATACGTGGTTGACTCGAAGCAGACACCATTCTTCATAGATTCAGACTGGCCGATCGACACGTCCGTGACGTACACGCCCATCGACGGGAAACCGTTGCACTTTGTGGTGTACGTACCGCCTCAAACCGAGTGTCCACTGTATGTGTTGGATGATAATCATGAATTAACGGCGACAAATGCGTTTATCGTCGAAGGTTGGGGTGGGCTCGTGGTCGTCAATCCTCCAGGATGTGCGGTGGCTCGCGGCGAAAACGAAATCAGACTGCGAAACGACGAAGTTGTAAACGTCGTGAACGCTTTCGTGCGCCAGCTTAGGATTCATTTAGGCGCGGGCGAATTTCTGCAAAAATTCGGAGCAAAGGTTTTACCGCCTAAGCACACCGGTTTCGCGACGTGGGAGGTCGATGCGCTTGTGCATTCGCGATTGGTTGCCGATTCGCAATCGACGATTTCTACTTTGAAATCGCTTGACGAGGTCATCTCGAGCATAGCGGACATCGCTGTTCCGGACGCTATCGCTGAAAGAATACTGGAGTCGGTTGAAGCACTCGAACGAGCGATTGATTTGGCGCAGAACGCACGGTACGACGAAGCCGGCGCGAGCGCGCGCTCGGCGCACGCGGCGGCGGAGAGAGCGTTCTTCGATCCATTCTCTCTCGGCGGTCTCGAGTCTTTTCCGTTCGAGTACAAAGTCGCATCAGTGATGCCAATCATATTGCCGACGATTTTCCCGCTAATGTTAGGCTTCATGCGTGAGATGCGTCACTTCCAGCTTCGTCGCAGAGAAGCTTTTCGTGCGAGCGAGAGCTCGAAGAAGACGTCGTAACGCATCAGATGGCGCTATAGATTTAGTCTTTAGTAACAACACTCTAGTAAATTAAGCTTCTTTTTTTTGCACTACGGTTTGTGCTCCTTCATCAACTTCGCCCCGATTGAATTCAATTCTTTCACGTAGAACTTGCCGCAGTCGTTCGCGCAACTCTCCATCTGCGCCTGCGCCTTCTCGACCCCTTTCGCCTCCACGATAGATTGCGCCTTATCTTGACACTGCACCACGCACCGCTGCACGCGTTGCTGAAACTGTCCGAGCGTCTGCATCACCGCGTGCTCCGCCTGCGATGTCGCCTGTCCCGCGCGTTCGAGACACGCCTGAAAGCTTTCCCTCGATTTGTCCCCGTCGCAGCACTTGGACGAAGCGTCGAACGCGCGCTTCTGCAACGGGCGAAACACCTTGAGGTCGAGGTCGTCCTGAATTTTCACGATGTTCTTCTGGAGATCTTCCATCGCGACGGACGACGCGGCGTCGCGTCGCGCGCGCGCGAATGCGACTGTGTCGTAGAGTCCTGGCGAGAAGAACACGTTGGTGTGGCTGTTTCTTTACAAGCGTCGCTAACGCTCGGGCTTTGTACGCAACATCGCGCTGCCGAGGTGTGAGTACTTGTGTCCATCGAGTGGATACTTCACGGATGCATCGCACACGTCCACCGGGGCGTTCCAGGAGGGAACGCACGAATCCACGGAGTCGTCTCCAGCCCAGGACGTGGGAATCCAGGCAGATTTTGACTTGAACTCGTCGCCGCCGCGCTGACAACCAAGCGAGTTGAACTTGGCGTCATCCCGATCCATGGCGTCAACCTGCTCTTGAGGAAGTGCTCGATCGCCCACGGTTTCGTCAGTGTACCAATCGGGCACGATTCCACCCAGGAGCTCTTTCTTGGTTGGCACGCTCGACGCGTGATAACAGTTCAAGGAAAGACGACTCGTCTTTCCCGATTTAATGCATCCGCCCATGAGGAAAGCATCGATCATGTCGAGACTGTGTTCGGTACTGTACCGAAGAAGTTTCTCGACGCCTTGCTTGGTGAACATGAGAGCTGCCGTTCCTGCCCACGAGCACATTTTGTTCCACTTGTACAAATAAACGTGCGTTGAATTCATCGCCGTGTGCATCGATTCGGGCGACCAGTCTGTCTTTACGAGACCCCGGGTACCTTTCCCCCACGTGCCAAACGCCCTTGAGCGGAACTTTTTCACGAATTGACCGGTGCTTCTTCCAGGGTTTAGGAGCCAGACCATATCTGCGTCGCGAGGAAGCTGGCGTCCGAGCTCTGTGTAGTCAAGCGGGCTCACGGAAGCGAACCCCATACCATCTTGCTCCCACACGGCAAACCGATCCTCACCTCGCGAAATAGCTTTCTTCCACACAGACATGTGAGATAGAAGACATCCAAGGTGGTGGTTATGCGGGAATACGCATTTTTCGCCGACGCAACGGTGCTGTGGATTGAGCTGCGATTCGTGAACCTGTCTGATGGGATACGGCAACTCACTGGTTGGAACGTTCGCTTCTGAAGCAGCAAGGGCTCCCGCTAGTACATCGTGCGTCGCGCTTCGCGCTGTCTCGAAGGTATCCGGCCAAAGCGAAGGAAACGTCGCACTCGAGATTTCCACAGTATTGCGCGCTTCGGCGTCGCTCAAACCACCGTGCGTTTTGAACAGGTTGAACACGTAATCGCGTCCTTTCCTAGATCTCTCCATCTCGTCTCCGGGCGACGTATCTGCTATGATATACGTCCGCACTCCCGTCGCTCCACTGATCCCGAGCGTCGATTTCCCACCGCCGCGAGCTCGTGCGCTCGTCCTCGCGTCGTCGACCCCCCCGCGCGACGCGACCGCCATCCCCGCGCCGACCGCACACGCCATCAGCGCAACACTCGCGAGACATCCTCGCGACGTCGACGTTCTCGCTCGGGATCGCTCGCTCACGTCGGTCTCACCGCGCTCTTCGTCCAGGATCGCAACACCCTCAACGACGCCGTTCGCGGCGTTGCGCTCGCAACACCCAATGCTCGCAACACCCTCAACGACGCCGTTCGCGGCGTTGCGCGCGAGCAAATTCGAGCGCTCGCCGCGAGAGATGCTTTGCGCGTCTTTGTCACTCATTCTCGCGTCGCGTGGGCGCGCGCAGTGTCGGCTGCGGACGCGCGTCGGTCTCTGTCGATCGGTCGGACATTTGTCGGCGACGGAGCTACAGCTACAGCTAGGCTACACCTACTCCTATTGGGGCGACTCGCTTGTACCGCACGGAAGCGCTTTCCAGACTCGCACGGTGCGATGTGGGGAGATGACGGACATGTCCTCATACTCTGGCACCGCTCGATTCGGGGCGTCTATTGCGGAATAGTAGTTGCAACAGGGCAACGCGATGCACGCGGCGGTGCCGTCTTCAGCCTGGATTGAACGCAATGTCGTCGCTAAAGACACGTGCGCGTGCACCATGACGATGATACACCGTTTAGTTTTGATGCGCATCTCTTCGATTTTTGCGCAGTGATGCTGCAAACGATCGATGTCGTACGACGCTTTGGAGTCCTTCGCGAAGCCCATCTCCGGATCCACCGCGACGCAATTCCAGCGCGTACGAAACGCAAACAAGGCTGCGGTTCGCGGCGTGTGACCATCTCCCACGGACACGAGCGTGATGTTGGGATCATCTGCACTAAAATCATCGCTCAGATGCGTACGCCACGCGTTGAACGCCGAGAAACTCTCCGTCAACTCCTTTGCGTCCGGGAACACTCGGCTCTCAACCAACTCCGTCGCGCAGTGCAGCTGCAAAAACTCCGTCATATATCTCGACGATATCGCGTCTTCCGCCTTTGAGGCGACAATTTTCCGACTTCTGTTGGGATCGAGCTGTCGCCCCTTCATCCGTTTCGCCTTGGCTAGCTTTTTATTCACCCTAAGATTCACCTTTTCGCTCGGGACTCGCGCGCTCGTTATGTTGAGGTTGTCCTTGCGGCGTCGCAGCGCCTTTGTCCCGAATTTCGACACCAAGTGTTCGCCGAGTTCGCTCATGAACGCGTCGCGCTCGACGTTGCCGTCGACGTGCGCGTCGCGAAAGGCTTCGAGTATGCGCTCGCGCGCCGTCCACTCGTCTTCCGGCGCGACTTCGAACGCGAGCGCGTCGAAAAACGCCGCGTAGTGGCTTCTCTCAAAGTTGGTTGTCGAAACATCGGCGCGCGCGGCTGCGCGCTCGCGCTCGACGCGCTCGTTGTGGTCGCGCTGTAAAGTGAGCCATTTAGGTTCGAGCTCGATGCGAGCGACCGAGCACGCGGGATCGGACGACATCGTTGCTCGGCCGCGGCGAAGTGAGGTGGCGACCGGGACGGGACTCCGGCGTCTGTCTCGTCTAAAGCTATGATTACAATCGAACGCGGACTACGCGCCTTTACTCGCGGTGAACTTCTTCAACCACTCTTCGAGCTCACTCTTATCTATCTCTAACGTCCCATCTTCGCCTTCGACGAGTTTCATCGATCCGCGCGCGACGCCGCCTTCGCCATCCTCCGCGTCCGCCTTTTGCGCGATGAAATCCTCCACGCTCCCCGGCTCGCCGAACCATCCCATTCGATCGGCGACGACGTGTTTCGCTTGACATCCCGGGCAAGTCACGATGACGACGCCGTTTTCGTACGCTTGGCGACTGAATCCTCTCGCAGCGCGCGCGTCGCACCGCCCGCACGTGAACATCATGTATAAATCTTTTCTCGCGTTCGGCGTCGATGGTGAGGCGTCTTCGACGTCTTTCGGTTCCTCTGCCGTCACAGACGATGCCGGTCGATCGACGTCGGACGCGAACGGGCGCGTCGAGCGCCACACGCGGTCGTGTCGCGGCGTCCACGTGGCACACGACGTGTGCAAGACGTCGCGCGTTGTCGCCGCGCGCGCGACGACGATAGAGGACGAGACGCGGAGCGCGAGACGCGAGATGGCGCGACGAAGGTGTGAAGACGTCATGCGTGCGTCGGTGCGTTCAACACGCGCGAGACGGGCGCACACGCGCGGGACAATGACGGTCGTGGGGAAGCGACAACGTTGACAACCTGCTAAACGACGCGATTCCGTTCGGCGACACGGCGATTGATTTCGACGGTTTCGATCCACGTCTGCTTCGTGACTTCTGAACCTCCGAGGGCGAGGGCGTGGAGACGCGCCATGGTGAGCAGCAAATGTAAAACTTCTTGCGTCAACGCCTTGTCGTTTTTGCGAGCGGCGACGATTTCGGTTTCGATGTCCGCAGATGTTTGTTCAGAGATCGTGTGCTTAGTCATGCGAGCTCCGGAGACGAAGGCACGCATGATTGCAAGTTCATCTTCGGTGGTTTCGATGACTTTCGGCTGACGCACGCGTCGCAAAGGTACGATAACGTCCGCCGGAATGATGCTCTTCGTGTCGGACAAGATGATGAGCGGAACGTCCACGGGCATTCGCATCTGATGATACTGAAAATCGTACTCGAGATCTTGCAACGTAGACAGCGACTTCAGCGCATCGACGTTTCGAATGCCAATCTCAGTCAAAGTACCGGCCTCCAGTTTGGTCTCGTCCAATAGCAAAACTGTGCTCGCGGCAAGTTGCAACGGACCAGAGCGAAGACGGTTGTACACGTAATCCTTCTTCGGCGACCACGAGCGTGCGTTAAGCGCGGGTACTGTCACGGGAAGGTGTGCAGTGCTCGGGCACACCTGACCGATCACAGTAGACAGCATTTCAGATATCGTTCCCGTTTCGCACGAATCCAATTTACATCCGGTGAGGTTGACAGAAAACTTACCCAATGTGAGCATGTCCGTTCGCGTGTGGACGCGCGAAATCAACGTCATCAACACCAACTCCGCTGCAAAAACATCACCACCGAGGACGTTAGTAAGGATATCCAGTAATTTAGAGCGCGCCGAATTAACCTGCTCTGGCGAGAGCTTGTGCGAAGTTTCCATTTCGGTTTCACTGAAGCGTTCCACCGGCGTCGAGTTGACAAATTTATTCTGGGACGTCACCTTGTACGCCAAGGCGTGGAATCTAGGAACCAAACTCGTCACCGGATTCTTGGACGCATCTTCCTCGGGAAACGCCGATGACGCGTACAAAGCGGCGTTCGGGCTGTCTTCCATCTGCTGATCCCGTTTCTCGACTCCGAGTTCTGGCGCATAGTACAGCATGCCGACAAATTCTACGACGTCGTTCAACTTCAGTGAGTCGTCCGTTTCGCCGTACAACTTCACAATGCACGGCGAACGCGACTCAGGAATAAGAGGAAAGTTTAGCAACTGATCGAGCGATTCCTCGTGGACCTCTTCTTCACCAATCTGTTCCGGAGTATCCGGCGCCGTGCGATCCCCCGCGCTCGCCTTTTTCACGCGTTCAATGTCCGGTCTAATCAACATCGCCGTCCCCGTCGTCGGCGTCATCACGTTCGCATCCGCACACACGTCCATATGTGCTTCCTCCTCTCGCGCTCGCTTCTCCCCGTGTGCATCTTCACTAGCCGCCCGCTCGTTCATCGTCGCCCGCTCGCGTTCGCCCACCCACCGCCGTTCGCCCGGCACCGGCACGCAATACAGCACGCGTCTCTCGAACAGTACGCTCTCTCCGATCCCTCCGTTCACGTCATCCATCGTTGATTCCGCATATTTCGTCGTCACCCACGTCTTCTCGTCCCCATTCGCGCGTTCATACGCCCCGACGTAGTACTCCGGCTCGTACATGTCCTGCACCAAGCCGCGAAACCGAACCAGGGCGTTGTTTTGAATCGTCTCCACCCCGCCGTGCGCGTTAATCTCCGGCAGCGCGTTGAACTTTTCCTCGCATCGTGTGAGTTCAAGCGCGGTCTCGCGCACGCCCCAATCCTCATCGGTCGGCTTCGTCGTCGTCGTCGTCGTCGATCGAGCGAACGCGCGCTGGATGAATCCCAGTGGGTCCGTCACGAGCGCGTCGACGGCGTCGTTCTGCGTCATGCTGCGATGCGTCACGGTGCGTTGCGATGTTACGTCACTTCGCGTCACGCGCGACGGTCAGCGCGTTCGGCCGACGGCGCGGTGTGCGGTATTCGAAAAATTCCATCTGGACGACAGCCGACTTTTCGGGTTTAAAAATGTGGAGCGCGCTCGCGGTTGCTTTTGTTTGGAATCGTACTAATGGTGCTATGAAACTAAGCGAGTCACGCGAGGTTGAGGTCAAAGTCGAAGGGGTCGTCGTCGTCGTCGTCGACGACGACGACGTGGGATCGCTTCTTCGACTTTTTGGACGATTTCTTTTTGGACTTCGGCGGCGGCGTCGGGACTGCGCCGAGCGCGGGCTCGAATTCCCGGCCCAGGATTTCGTTTCCAACGTTCTCGGAGACGAAATAGTTTGGGAACTTTTCCACGGCCATCGATAAATGAGTTTTGGCGTTGGCGGTGTTGAAATGCCACGCGCATGGCGATTTCCCGGTCTCGGCGTTGTACACGCGGCCAGTTTTTTCATCTCGGCGCATCAGTCGCATATCCATCGCTCCGGGAGAGTGGAGGATCGACCCGTCGAGGTCGATTTTGAATTTTGGATCGCGGTCGGCGATGCGAGACATGGCGTACGAGGCCAAACAAAGCTGATCGTCGTAAAATCCATCGTTCATACGCTCCTCCTTTGCTTGTGCATCGGTGTGCTGAAACGCCTTGCACGTGCTTCGAAAGCGTCGCTCGCCTGAGAGATTCTCCGTCTCGACAAAACTATCTTCGAGATAGTCGAAATACTTGAGCAGTGCATCTTTGCGACCCATCATCAAGCCGGCGTTGGGCCAACGGAATGCGCGTGGGTCACCAGGAATGCCGCCGCGGAACGGCTCGCCTTCAGCGACTCGACCGATTTCACCCATATTGTTGTGCTTATCCATCCAGTCAATGTCGTCGCGAAACTCGTAATAACTCATGACTTCCGGGTACAGTTGCGTCTCTCCACTAACAAGCATATCCGCTCCACTGTCTTCGAATCGTTTGAGCAACTCGTCTTGCCCACACGAGAAGAAAACATCGCCCGTGTCGCTCACGACGACGACGGGATTGCCGCTCATGTGTTCTAAATCTGTCCTCAAACCCATTGTCTTATCCTCCCAGTTGTTCCAGGTCGTCCCGTGACCGGTAATTCTCGCCGGCAACCCCCAATGCGTGGCCGACGCCAACCACACGTTGGCGTATTTCCCCATATCCGTCGAGTGTCCACTGACGAAAAGCTTTCCCGTCTCTGAATTCGGACTCTCGTGCACGTTGAGGTACGCGTTGTCTTCCCAAAACGGCGCCGTCGCCCACTTTTCCAAAAACGTTGGCACTCGCACTCGGCGACCATCGTATGATCGCGTTACTTCGACGACCGATCTATCCTTCATCGGCACGTTCCGCGTCTCCTCTACCAACACCATCTGCCTCGTCAACGCCTTCGTCGGCGTCAACACCCTCGATTGACCGAGCGCCGCACCCTTTCCTTGCGCTGTGCTCGCGTTTCCATCGCCCCCAGCTTCGACATCCGTCGACGGAGCGCCAGAGAGCATCGTTTTGAACCACGCCACCGAGTTCGTGCGCCCTAACGATTCCGATCGCACCGCGTCGTGCGCCATCAGGAAGACGAACGCACTCAAGAGCAGGGTCACGCACGCAAAGGCGACGCACTTCGTCCGTCGACGGATCGCGCGCGACGGCGCGACGTGCGCGTGATCGATCGATCCGTCATCGCTGTCGTCACGCACGGTGACGACGTCGAGCAGCGGCTTCGACTCCATCGCGCGCGGGCGTCAAAGAATGGTGTTCGCGGTCGGTCGACGAAGCTTTGCTGCTTTCGCAAGACTTGGGATTTCTATTTCTATCTATTTCTTCCTCGGCGAGCGCGACGACGCGTCGTCGTCGTCTACGAATCGAGAATAGGCGTGGAAATGATGACGACTACATGAAACCGAACATGCCGGCAGATTCCGTTTTGCGTATGGAAAAGTGTGCCTTGATCCACTTGCTCGCCGAGTGTTCTGCGCGGTGGCAGAGCACTCGCAAGACGACGTCGGCGGTGTGGATATTTATGATATCGGTGTCGTCCGCGTTTGACACCGGCGTGTGCATCTCTTTTTGACTCAAATCGGTGTAATTTTGGCACAAGTCGTCCGTGGAGAGGCTCATCATGGACAGAATGGCGGACATCGGCGTGATGCGAGCGGTGACTTCGGCGACGTCCAAGCCGTTGCCTCCCGCGATGAAAAAGTCTCGAAGAATTTCTATTTCTTCTTCTAAAAGCTCAACATCGTTTGCAACGAACACACGACTCGGCCCACCGTTCAACAACACACGCATCCATCCCGAGACCGTGGCTTGTAGCAAAAAAGAGCCAACCGCGTTTCGAGTCTGACTGTCCAGTCGCACGGCTACGTAACCCAAGACGCCATCCAAGTACGGCAATATCTCAGTGCTGATGTTGTGCGAACTTCTATGAACGCCTTGCGCATAGATGTTATGTAGAATTGCGCCGCTCAAATCCCGATAGATAACGCTGTACGCCATGTGGTTCGCTATTTGACTCATGCTCTGGCGAAGCGCCTGTCTCGCCCCAGCCATCATGCCTTCAAACCAATCTGCACTCGGCACGACGTGTTCCGCGTTGGGATGAGTCAGCAGTGACGCAGAACGTTGCATACTTTTCCACTTCGGAATGATTTCTTGCTCAAGCAAGTACATCTTATCCATGAGGAATTTCAGTGAAGTCAAACGCAGCGTCGACGCACCGACGCATCCTTCTTCAAAAGAAAATCGTGGCGGTTCTTCGGACTTGAAATTGTTGTGGAGATCGTCGACTATAGCCTTTTTGTACCGTGTCATAGTAGGTATTGGCGGCACGATCTCTTCAGCCGAACCGAGCGATTGAACGGCAGACCTTGAATACTTTCGCACAGCGGCGTCGATGCCCTCAGTCAGCGCTCTCAAAGCGCTCACGTGCGCAGGGATTTTCAACGAGAAAAAACCATCCAACGTCTCGTTCACGGCTCGTAAAAAGTCGACTGCACTCGGAACGGGAGCGCTATCCTTGTTTACTTTCCATCTCTCGGTCGAGATGCATCGATCGACGATGGTGTTTAAATCGTCAATTTTCACATTCAGCCAAGTGAACACGAGAACAGACGTGCGCTCATCTAACGCCATGGGCTCGACCGCATCACCACCAGTAGCGACGAGTGCGTTTTGTAGATCACCAACCGTCCATATAGTCTCTAAAGATTGAACATTGAGTTGCGGTCCTGACTCGAGCCAAGCGTATAAATCTTTCTTGAAGCGGTCGCCGAGTTGAGCAGCAAAGCATCCCGTCACGTTGGAACTCATTCCAGGGGAGGTCACTATGTACCGTTCTAGATGCGCAGAGAACTGATCGGCGCTGTGTGCTGTCGTTTGAGCGATCGTTCGGAGGGAGGTACACGTTGCATCACCGCCTTGTACATTCGCATCCTCCATCGCAGCGGTGCGAACGCGATCATACTCTGCGCACGCAGACTTTTGACAAGCATCCTTCAAAATAGCGACACCATCTAGACCCAACATTTGCGCTGTGTCGTAAGTGATGTCAACAATAACGTCAAACACCTCTGGATCGATCATCAGGATGTCACGATCATCGTGTGTCGCTGGTGGCGCGACGGTGTGCATGAAGTCGTGCAGCATGAATCTGCCCCAGCTCAGAATAGAACTCACCGCTGAAGCAACCGCCGGCGACATTTTCGTCTCCGTACGATGCAAACTATCTCTCGCTTTTGATAAAAGAGCCAGCGCTGGTGATCCTTCGTCGTAGTCTATTCCCACGTCTTTCATGGCTGCGATCGCTTGCCTGACTACGGCAAACGCCAGCATCACACCTCTAGAAGTTTCATCTGTCAAACCCAAAGCGCATGCCACGGGTTGAAAGCTGTCAATGATGGTCGTTGCATCGTATGCCAGAGTGTAATCTTCCACCTGGTCAAAGACTGCGCTTAAAAGTTCGACGTATAACTTCATACCAAAGATGCCAGGGTACCCAAAACCGTTCTTTTCGCTTTCGATTACGGATTCAATCATCTCAATCGCCGACTCGACCCATGTGGCGTCGACTTCAGGAAGCGTCAACATTCTGTTTATCTCGGACAATACGTTTTGTGTCGTAAGATTCGGAGTATCGTCGTCTGAATCATGCTTCGCTGCTGTCTTCTTGCTCGCACTCGCGTTTTGCTCAGAGCAATGACGCGCCCACAACAGCTCGCATGCTGCGCGACAACGCTTCTTGAAAAACTGCTCACCCTCGCCGAGAGGGCCATTAAAATGCTCTATCGCGGATATCATCGCGCGCAGATGGATACGCGCTGAGATCCCCTCCTCTTTGATGGCTGGCGCGAATTTCTCAGAATGCTTTTGAATCTTGTCAGCAAGTTCCTGGTCGATATCTAAGGCGATGCGAGCCGTTTCTAACTGCTCTTCGTCCATCTGTACCGAGCAAACAATTTCAAACGCCAGTTCGCGTAAATCTGTAACGCTGAGAGCCGAATACAAATCTGGTAACTTCAGTTCGCCAGAGCTTGCGCACGACGGCGCTTTGTCGAGCGTAAAGACCGCGGTCGTCTCGTCTGCTTTTTTCGCCTCTACCGTTGCTACTGCCGTACCCATACCATCGCTCACACCAACATTCACCATGTTTTCGAACGGATTAGTCGAATTTTTCGCCGTCGACGATTCGTTGGAAATCGCTTTGCTCCGTTCCAGCCGCTTCGGCGCGCACGCGCTCGTTTCTTGCGTTGCGGCGTCCCCTCCTGCTCGTTTCGTCGCCGCGGACGCCGTGAGCACCCCGCTCAAGTCTACGCGCTCGTTACGTCGTAGTCGCTCGATTACGTCTTGGACGTTCACCGCGCCGTAGTTCACGTCATCCATCGACGTTCCTGGCGGTAGATTGAACTCGAGGCGTTTGTCGTCGAGAATGAAACTCAACATCAACGCGTTGTCACGCTCGAGCTTGACGAGACGCTCGAGGGAGACGGTTGTTGTTGCCGCATCCTCGGTGTGGTCCATTCAAACCGAGGGCTGGAGCGCTCCCGGGTCGCCGAGCGCGCGCGTCGCCGTGTGATGATTAGGTGACCCACGCGCGAGGCCCAGGCGACGGAAAAGTTCAGGAGTTATGATGGAATCACTATGTACAAACGATGGCCTATTCGAAATCAAAGTTGGGGTTGATGGCGAGCACGCGCTCCTCAATGATGCGCTGGCGCTCGCGAGCAGCGACGGCGGCGGGATCCAATGCTGCGTCGTCTTCGGCGAGCAAAGGCGCAGGTTGCGCCTCTTGCACGACCAAGAGCGTTTGCTCTCGGTTGATGAGATGCTTGATGATGTTGCGCACCAGTTTGTATTCGGCTAAGAGGTCCTCGGGATCGGAAACGCCCGAGGGTACGACTTGCTCGTCGATGTACCAGCTGATTAAATCTTTCTGGAGCATACCAGCTTCGGCGCCATCTTCGCTGTCGCGCTCGCGTTGGCGCATGTGGCGCAGGAGAATGTGTTTGACCTGATTGTACCTTTCGGAACTCACCGTGGTCGTTCGCTTCTCAGCTACAGGCTCGGGTTCAGCGGGGGCCATGTCCTCGCCGTCAGCCGCATCCTCTCCTTTCTCTTGCGCTTTTGCTTGACGTTCTTGCTCGCGTCGCTTAGCTCGCAAGCTCTCGAGAACTTCTTCGGGAAGGATGGGATCACTGATGTCGTTCTCGAGCTCCATGTCATCCGCGTCGAGTGTCAAATCGCGAGCCTCGACAGCGATGATGGACTCGGACAAAAGTCGTCTCGCTTCTCTCACGTGCTTCGGATGCACTTCCGCCCGGCAGTGCAATCGCGCGAGAGCCTCAGACAGACGGACGATTGCCTCGAGCTGACGAACGGTGATTCTGTACGCTGTTTGCGTACCTGGCTGGCTATCACCCCGACGCAGTTTCACGTACGCATCCACGATTTCTTTCTGAGCTTCCGGCGTCATTCTCGGTTTGATTGTGCGCGCGTATCGGATGTAACGTTGAAGCTGCTCCAACGAAAAATCAACTTCCACGGCGGTTTCACGCTTTTGATGCAAGCTCACGATGTGTCGAGCCAACGTGTAGTCGTGGAACTCATCCGGTTCATCGATCATGACGTGAACTAAATCAAAACGAGACAAAATAGCCGGAGGAAGCGACAAGTTATGTCGCAACTTTTTGCTTCGATCGTAACGTCCGCCGTTTGGATTCGCGGCGGCCAAAATACTCGTCCTCGCGTTCAACGTCGCTTGAATGCCTGCTTTAGCAATACTGATGGTCTGTTGCTCCATCGCCTCGTGAATGGCGACTTGGTCTTTCACGTCCATCTTATCAAATTCATCGATGCAGCAAATACCGTTATCGGCGAGCATGAGCGCGCCGGCTTCGATACAATATTCACCAGTTTCGATATCTTTAGCGACAGTTGCCGTCAAACCAGCCGCAGAAGAGCTCTTGCCTGAAGTATACACGGCGCGCGGTAAGAATGCGGTGACATACTTCAGGAACTGACTTTTCGCGCAGGATGGATCACCCACGATCAACACGTTGATGTCTCCCCGCAAATTCGTCTGACCAGTACTCTTGTGAACGCCACCGAATAACATAAGGGTGATGGCACGCTTGATATCGCTGTGTCCGTGCACAGTAGGAGCGATAGAGCGCACAAACTTGTCGTACAAGTGCGGATCTTGCGCCATTTGCGTGATCTCGCGCTTTTCTTGCGAAGAAAAGGTTTTGACAACTTCTTCCTCGTCATCGCCGCGAATATCTACCGCACCGCCGCCACTTGGCTCGGCCGTGTTCACGACGCTTTGCGCGACAAAAACCATGCGATAGAAGAGTTCTCGGCAACCTAACTGACGCAAGCCCGTAATACCATCGCTTCGTCCCTTGGCCGAAGATTGGAGCTCGGTGCGATCGCCCGCCATGTTCTTTGGGGCGACCTCTGGCACAACGAGCAAAGTGCCAGTGAACACAGCCTTGTCACCGGCTCGCGCTTCTTCGACGATTTCGTGTCGAAGTATGACGTCCATGCTTCTTGGCAATGAGCCAGCCGGGACCTCGTCCGCGTTCTCTTGTACACGCACTCTTTGCCAATCCACAAACTTGCACCCCTCTCGCTCCAGGGTCCACTTGTTTCTGTTGCCGCAAACTTCGTTGAGGCAGATTGACGGTTCCGTATACCGACACTGCTGCTCCACATTCGGCACCAGGGTTCCACACTCGCCACATTTGAAGCACCCCATCAACAACTCCGGTCGAACGTCCGACGTGCGCGTCACTGTCCCGCTAAAGCTCGAAAGTTGCCCGATGTTGTTTGCCTTCAAACTTCGTAACCGATCGACTCGAGGCAAGTTGAAAAACTTCACCCAAAACTCTTTTTCCACGCCACCATCGTACCTTACCAATTCCGGTCGATGTTCTCGTACAAATAATCCCACCGCCTCGTTCAAGAACGGCTGATACATGTAAAAGTTCGCCTGCACCGCCTCGGCACCGAGTTCGTTGTCGTAGTCCATCAAGTGTGAAAAATCAACCGTCAACGTCGTCTTAGAGTCCATGTACTCCAACTGCTCCACGTACACTCGTCGCTGATTCCTTCTTGCATCATCTCGAACACCCGGACTGGCGAGCACTCCATCGTCGGGCGCATCCGCGCTTGCGTCGTAGACGTACTCGTTCAAAAAAGACTGAAACCTCCTTCGCACCTCATCGCTCCCTTGCACGTTCACGTTCACGCTCGTCATGTCGTCTCCGCCGTCGCGTCCGACGCGCCGTTAAATACACTTCTCGTCGCCGCACCTCCGTCGTCCGCACGCTCCCACGACGCGCGTCGGCCGATGTCTCGATGTCCCGGCCGCGATCGTCCCGAGCAATCCCACGAAAATCTCGTTCCGCGCGCGCTCGTCGAGTTCTTCGCGGTTCGATCGCCCGCACGAGTCAAGGAGCCCGCACGAGTCACAGTTCTCGCCGTCCGTCGTCCGTCGTCCGTTTTCCGCGCGCCGTGCGACGCGCACGAGTGGCGTTGTGTCGTCAGCTGTCACAATTTCAAAAATTTTCTCCCCCCACGCGCAGCACATCGCGACATGTCGTCGGTCGATGCCCTCGATCCGTGCGCGCGCGTGCGCGCGACGTGTGCAAAGGTAGCCCAACGCGCTCGTCAGGTTACAGTGGACGCGGATGCGGTCGCGCGGTTCGTCGACGCGCTGGGCGACGACGACGTCGCGCGTCTGAAACGAGGCTGTCGCGGCTTCGACGACGGCGCGCATCACGGGGACGTCCGTGGAGACGACGAGGCGATGGCAATGTTCACGCTGTGTGTGGACGCGATAAACTTTTGCTTTTGGCCCGATCACGACGACGGCGTGGAGGAAGGACTAGAGTACGAGCATCTTACGAGAGGCTGGAGGAACGCACACGCGGGAGATTGGACGGTGTTGACGTGCGAGCGGTTGCAAACGATGAGTGGGCCAGATTTACGAGCGATATTGAATTGGCCGCGGCCTCTGCCGGACGAAGAGACGCGGGCTAGACTGATTCGGGAAGTGGGTGATGGGTTGGCGAAAAGTTTCGGCGGTTCGTGCGCCGAGTTTGTTCGAGCCGCGAACGGATCGGCGGTGCGGTTGGTGGAGCTCCTTCTTGAACACTTCCCGGGATTTCGTGACGAGGTGCATGCGAACGGGGATGACGTTTTCTTCTATAAGCGCGCGCAAATTTTCGTGGGGGATCTCTGGGGCGGCTTTCGCGGACAAGGTTTGGGATCGTTTCATGATATCGAGGCGCTGACCATGTTCGCCGATTACAGAGTCCCGGTGACGCTTCGCGAGCAAGGCATCTTACACTATGACGACGCTCTGTTAACGAAAATCGTGAATAAGGAGGAGATACCAGCGAACAGTGCGGAAGAAGTCGAGATTCGCGCATGCACGGTGATGGCGGTTGAAGCGATTCGCGAGTCCTTCGCGAAAAAGCACGGTGAGCGTGTCAGCAGCATCGTTATAGACTGGTACCTGTGGGAAAGAGGCGAAGAAAAGCGCAAAACCTCGGTAGAACCGCATCATAGAACGCGAACGACGTTTTATTAGTCTGTAGCTTGTTAGCATGTAAGTTGGTTGACGTTCGTTTGCGCGCTATATTTGTTCTCGACCCTCGTGCGCACGCTGTGACTCTGCAGAACGCGCTGCAGCGCCGCAAAAGTGGCGAATTATTTTGCTAGCGACGGAAATCATCGATGTGCCAACCACCTAAAGACGGCGATCAAGTCCGCGACGCACGCGCCGAAGAGTCCGCCCTCGCGTCAGAGACGCTCGAACGCATCGCCCACGCGAGAGAAGTGGCCGTCGGTGCTGCCGCCATCGCAAACTCTCTCGCCGACTCTCTAATCACTGAATACGCGCAGAACCTCGCCCACGCCGCGAAAGTCGCCTACATCGTCGCCTACATTACCGAACGTCGCGCCGCCGCCGCCGCAGGAAACGATGGCGCTCGAGACACTCTCGAGCATTTTCAGCGCGCTGCTCTCATCGCCCGGCTCCTTCACGACTCGCTTTGTCGCGCTCTGGAACAAAATCTCGCAGAAACAAACCGCGCAATCTTCGTGGAGCGCGAGCGCGCCGCGGATCTCACCGCATCGCTGGACGCATATCATGTGAGAAGTTAGAACCCTTTCCCCTAACGACGCGCCGACTGCGAACCTCAAAGCGTGACGCGGGGCGTCGACGCGCGCGCCATCGACGCGCGCGCCGTCAACGATGGCGCTCTTTCCCATCGATGCGCGCGACGATGGCGTTCGCGCATCCTCGTCGCGTTCTAACGCCGACGCTGCGCCCGACGCTTGGCTTCGAATGAATTCTTTCCGCGCCAGCGCGAACGACGCACCCGCGGACGGCGACGTCGCCGATGCGCGCGTGCGCTCGATCTCGCCTTCGACATCGTCGCGAGATGACGACGACGACCGGGGAGAGAAGCGTGGGAAGAAAAGTAAGCGGGACAAGCGGCAGCTCAAAGAGAAGAAGCGCGAACGAAGGGAGAAGAGACTTCGAGTTGACGATGCGCGCAAGATTGCGGCTTTAGAGGAAAAGTATGGGCGTTTAACGCGGGATGCGCGCGTTGGTGACGTTCGCATGCGCCAGGGGAGGGATGCGTATGAAGACGCGCGACGCGACGGCGACAATCTGGCATATGGGCGCGTCGCGCGCGCAGACGGCGTCAAGTTTCGACGGGCCGTGGATCAAGCGCGAGAGTGGTACGAACGCGTGGCAAGAGTGCGCGAGAGCGATTTTTATGGATTGAATTTGACGTGCAAACGCGAGCGTGAATCGACGAAAGAGCGCTACTTTACACGAGGGATGTCTTCGCGAAGCGATCGAAGCGCGCCAAGACTGCGCAAACCTTCTCTTGTGGATACGGCAAAGGCAGATACAAACGCCGAAGAGTTTGTCAAGCTAGAGTTACACAACTTGGGCGTTCCGCACATGGCTGAAGACGGGATGGAGAACGCGCATGCGCATCTGATGCAAAGGACGAAGAGCTTCAATGAAAAGACGCGAGAGCGTCCGGAGGACGTCGAACTTTGGATCGAATTCGCCCGATTTCAAGACGAGTTCATGGCTTTGACGAGGAAACGAAGTGAAATTCGTCAACTGGTTGAGAAAAAGATCGCCATACTGGAGCAGGCACTGAGGTATCATTCGCACGATGCGCGTGTGATCATCATGCTGCTCATGGAGTACGAAAAGGTTGAAGAGAGTCCTTCAATCAAATCACGCTGGCATTACGCGTTAGAGCAAAATACTGGAAGTCCTGATATTTGGCACGCGTATCTTCGTTACCGTATGCGTGACTTTAGTAACTTTAGCGCGAGCAGCGTTCGTGACGACTTCAACAGAGCGTTACGTTCACTCGCGATAGCAAGGAACCAGTTGAAGCAAATATCTGCTGCACCAAGCAAGGTGTCTGAACTAGAACGCGCAATTGTCGATCTCATTGTCGATGTATGTCGATTCGACATTCAAACTGGTGAAACGGAACTAGCAGTAGCAAGGATTCAAGCAGCAGTAGAGTTTTGTTGCCTCTCCCCGTCGACGCAGACGGAAGACGAATTGGTGGATGCATTCGAGCAATTTTGGGAGTGCGGTGAGCCTCGTATCGGTGAGCCGAATGCCACGGGATGGAACGAATGGATGTCCATGAACACGGAGCTCAAGATAATAGTTCGTGATGCGAAATCAGACGCAGCGAGTAGGAACAAACATGCGCATCAAACGCCTTACGAAGTGCCTCCGCCTCCTCCGCCTCCACCGGATGTGCCAGCAGGAGCCATCCTTGGTGGTGGCTGGGAACGTTTTGAAGACACTGCAATAGACAACGATGAAGATTGCGTTGGCGACGATAGTGAGGAGGATGAAGAACCAGACGCAGCCGCGCTCGCACTTCTCGAAGAGCAGCTTGACGCAGCAGCGGACATTGAAATTGATGATGAGATATTGCGTCGATGGATTGTGAAAGAGAGGGAACGCTGTTGCGAGATATGGAGACCAGCTCGATCGATGGACGTGCAAGAAGATGAACAAAGCGCGTCACCTCGTGTGATATGGTTCGATGATATCAAGCACGGTTTGATAAGGCTGAGCGACGAAACTGCAAAGCGGCGATTGTGGATGCAAACACTACGTCTCGTCGGCACTTTGGACAAGCTCCCTACTGATTTTGATCATGATAAATCGCTCGATCTCATTGAATGCACGGCTGGTCCGTATGTAAATGCCTCGAGAGTTTTTGCCTCCGCCGATGGCGTGAAGCACAATGGAACATGGCTTTCACAGAGTTATGGACTTGAGCACGCGTGGGTCACCGCCGATGCTGGACGCGGCGCTCTTGGAGCGAATATGTTTCGCGTTTTCGCAAGCTATGATCCAACCATTTTCTCATGTCGCGTCGTCACCGAGAAAGATGTTGCAAAGGAGCTTCTGTCGGGTGTCCACGAAAATTCTCTCAAGCTTTGGTCGCATTTTGCGAAAATGGAGTGGGAATCTGGACGTAAGGCATCGGCGCGAAAAATTTATGCAAAAGTGTTCAGCACTGCGACGTCAGCCAAGGTGCAAGACATCTCACATCTAGCTCTATCTTGGGTCGAATGCGAACTGCGCGAGAGTGATAGAGAAAACGCACTGAAAGTGTTGTTGGCACTCGCGAGCGTAGATTCTGGTGAAGAGACCACTCCGAACGCCGCCCGCGTTGAAGGCGCCACGGTCTTTCTACGAGCGCAAAATTTGTTCAACCAAAAAATGAACAACGCTTTTGCAGGCGGCGGTGTGTGGAAGGGTCGCGAACACGATGGTCTGCAAGAATATGGAATTGCGTTGATTCAATGCTTCGCGCACTTCCAGTACTTGAACAAGCAGACGTGCAAGGAAATTGACGATGCGATTTGTGCAGTACCACCAGAGACGCAACTTCGCGCGACGAACGTGGAGCATTGGCACAGTTTGCACGTCAAGCTGTTGGACATGAAGCCACTCGCAACACGGCGCTCAAGTCTTGAATGCGCGCTAAAAGTTTTTCCAAGGAGTCCGCATCTGCTTCTGAAGATGTGTGAACTTGAACTTGATGTCCAAGGCAGGCAGCGCATGCGTCGTTTATTGGATTTTGAACTCGAGCGCAATCCAAACGTGACGCTGATGTACTACGCGCTCGGCATGGAGGTCGGCAAACCGTTCGTATCGAACCCTCGCGTAATTTCCGTCCTCGAGCGAGCATTGCAACCGGCATTAATCACGGCGCAGTCGCCTTTATTGTGGCTTACGTACATGCGCGCGTACGTGTCGTGCGGACAAGCGTCCAGCGCTAAGACAATCTTCTTACGCGCCATAAACGCGGTACCGTGGAATAAAACGATTTGGCTGTATGGGATCGAATCACTAGCGTCGGTGTTTTCGACCAAAGAACGTGCCGCCCTGCTCGATGTCATGCGTGGCAAGGGAATCAGCCTCAGAACGGACGTGTTCGAGATCCAACTCGAGCGCGCTGTCGAGGCAGCATGAAAGAATTCAGAATTTAATTTTAGTCCTACTGTAGGTAGATACTTGTTGTACATTCTAGTTGTACATTCTAGTTTGCTATCGATTCTTCTTACTCCACGCCAGGATATTCAATGAGTGTCGCACGCACCACACCGCGAGCGGTAGCGCGCCGATAACTATGATCCAAAACGACCACCATCGAAAGTTATCGACATGTCGCGGCGGTCGAAACACGGGTTCCGGATCTTGATGGTCGGTTGCGTAAAAATCACCAAATTCCCAGAATATACACCCGATCGACCACGCGAAAAGAGCCAAGGCATAGTCTACGCCCGAACTTTCCGGACGCGCGCGATAAATCTTGATCTGTAAGTACAGATAGTACGATACCTGAAACACAATTACAGCGCCCAAGATCCACCACGCGACACGGCAGTAATCTTGCGATACCGACGACAGATTGTAATACAAAAACACCGTCAAGTCGTGCGCCGCCCAGGACAAAATTGCGATCGCCTGAAACGCATCGGTGACGTCTTGCGTGTCGACTTCGCCCGCATTATTCATCGCCGGCACCGCCAAAACCGTGAGCTGCGCGGCTTCTATGAGTACGCTCGTCGCAAAGCAAATCACACACCACACCTCGAGCGCGTACACCGACCCGTAGAAATCCATCCAAACCCAACATGAATTCGCCCCGACGAGCCAAAAGAACACCGCCAGCGCGTGTCTGAACTCATTCGCGTCGTTCCTCGACGCCCACACGTTATGCGTAAAGAATATCACCACGAACGCCATCGGCACGAATACCCACGTCGTCTCTTGGCTCCAACAGCAATCGTTCGCGATCCAAAACATTACCGAAAAATGGTCCAAAACCTCGGCTCGCGCCATCGCGGACGCGCCCTCCGCGTGTTCCGTGAGCAGAATAGTCTTCGGCACGAGCGCGACGAGCTCGTCGGCGCTTTTCGGTTGCGCGAGTCGATGCACGAGCGTCTTTTCGGGCGTTCGCGGTGGCTTTGGCGTCGTCGCGGCATCGCGCGCGTCGCGTTCGTCCGACATGACCGATTCAAAGCTTCGCGCGCCGACCCCGCGCGCGGCGCGTCCGCGCGCACACGAACCGCGCGCGGCGCTATGGCGTCAGCACCCTCGAACGCGGCGTCGCTGTGTCCGTCTCGATCGCCGCATTGCGCGGCCGACATCGCGGGTCCCGATGTCCTCCGCCGACGCCGACGGTGTTCTGGTCCTCGCCCTTCGCGCCGCGGACGTCCCGATCGCGTCCGATGACCTCGCATCGCTCGTCGACGACGGCGTGGCGTTCGCCAAACTCATCCGTTCGGCGCTCGTCCGCATCGATTCCGTCGCGTTCAAGCACCTCCCGGAGACGCTACCGAGCGAAGATGACGATGCGAACGTTGCGGAACGGTTTCGCGTCGCCGGGGCGTACGCGGAAGCGCTCAGGACGATTGGGTACGGAGGGGATGGGGAAATTGGATTTCAACAGTTTTTGTATCCGAGCGAGGCGAGCGCGCGGTCGATTTTGAAATTCGTTCTCGACAAATTGCCGAGGAAAGAGGTCGAAGAGGCGATTTCTGGAAGTGCTGGGGGACGAACGAAGAATGAGACCGTCGGGGTCGGGAGTGCGGGACAGCGTGCGATCAAGGCGGTGGCGAAATCGACGCGCGCGGGCGCGGCGTGGGGAAAGGCGGCCAAGTCACTCGGAGGGTTCGCAGGGATCGCGGCCGCGGCGAGGGCGAAGAAAAAGACGGACGACGTGGAGGATACTCAAGAATTTCGCACGGTGCGGTTGGCGACGGAGGACGAGGCTGGGTTTTTTGGGAAGCTCAAAGAAGGCGGAGAGGCCTCGACGTTGGCATCCATCTTAGAGTATGCGTCGCGCAGCCGCGCGGATACCGAACGCGAAGAAGATGCGCAAAGATTGAAGTTTGGAGGCGTGGAGCGCATAGATTTTATCGGACCCGATGGAAAACCATTCGATTTGCGCACTCGTGGAGGCTTGCGTGGATTGATTGCGGAGGTGTTCAAATTCGCGATTGAAGGCGGATTCTATGCTGAGCCAAAGGCGAGACGGGCAAGACGCGAACTCGAAACGAAGATGGACGAGACAAACGTTCTCGAGACAGCGATGGAAGTAGAAAATGAGGCTCTTGATACACTCGAAGGGCGTTTGAGCGCGCGAGAACGCGACGTGGAAGATATTCAGCGTCGAATCGATGAAGCCATTGCCGTGCTGTCGACAGTGGATGATGAAATCGCCTCGTGCGCGGCCAAAGTGAAAGAAGCTTTGGAGTCCACAGATGAGAAACGCGCGCGAACGGCAGAGCTTGAGTCGAATTATTTGTTGCATAAACAAGCCGTGGGTATGGTATTGGCCACCGATCGTCCCATCGAGGAGAGCGAAGCCGAATTGAACAAGGTGCTCAACACTGCGAAGGAGAGAATGGAACAACTCAAGGCTGAGTGGGAAGCCGCAAAAGCTCCGCTTATTGCCGCCATCGAAGCGCATGCGGTTGCGGCCAGTGAAAAGCGTGAAAATGCAAAGCATCAACTCGAGGAGATTGAACAGTGGCGCTCTGAAGGCAAAGAAACGAGCGCGTTGTTGCGCGTCAAGGAGCACGAGCAACGTCAACTGCTTGAGGAATATGAGGCATCGCCGAAGAACGTGCACCGTCCTTCGTTCGTGCGACGAGTTAACGAAATCATAAAGAATATCAAGAAGCAGGAAGGAGAGATCTCGAAAATCGTGAGCGATACTCGCAGCGTGCAAACCGAAATCCAATCCGCAGAGGTGCTGCTACAACGCACATATACCGTCGTTGAGGAGACGTTGTTCAGAGAAGCGCGCTCGGATGAGTTGTGTCGAGCTGCGTACAAACACCTTCACGGAATGCATAGCGACTTCGCCGACTTAGTGAGTAAAGTTGAAGCCACCGGCGTCGCACGTCGCGCGCAAACCGATTTGCAGCGAAAGGTGGTGGAAATTAGCAAACAACCGAACAATACAGAGCGCGTGGCGCGAGACTTGGCGCTGATGAAGGAGCAAATCGCAGAGTTGGAGAAGAAGCTCTCGTCTTCCGCGTGAGTTGTTTCAAATCTACTTTCGTCATAGTACATTGTTAATCTAGAGCTAGCCAATTCCTTTAGAGGATGCTGTACTGCGAGTAAAGGATCTGTCGAACCTCGAAATAGTCTTGGGATAACGCGCCCTCGACGACGAGCTTTTCATCACCGTCCTTTCTAACCGTGACACGACCGTTGGCACACACCAGCACACCATCGGCGAATTCGGCGATGATGCCTTCTTGAGCTAGCGCCTGACGGAAATCAGAAAGACGCAAATCGCCCAAAAATACGGAACCGGGCTGCGCAGACACCTTTGTCATCGTGGCGTTTGACGGCGCGAGCGCCATGCCATCAGCGTTCGAGTTCAAGGCAGAGACAGGCAGCAACATTGGAGCACCACCCTCTTCCAAGGCTTTGCCAACGACACCGTTGACCCAGCCAACTTTGTAACCCGCCATGTCTCGCATGTTTGCCTTTTGAAAGAGCGCGTCTGAGACGCGAATCTTGTACGTTGCCGAAGCCGAAGTGCACTCAATCGTCTTACCCGCATCAGGAGCATCGATCTGCACACCGGGTAATCCCGCAGTGAGCGCATCTTTGAGCGTTTTAGTCTCCTTCGCATCACCATGAACTAAAACTACCCGTCTCGGCGCAGCTTGCGTGATGAGAGTGCGGACGCTCTTGCCGTCTGCCTTTCCTTCAAAGTCAACAGTTATGATTGTCGCACGGATGTTAATTTCACGAGTCTCGGTGACGAGTTTCGTAGGAACCTCTTGAGGCTCTTCTTCTTCGTCTTCTTCGATGTTTGCGACATCAAGGTCGTCGACTACAGTTGTCTCCTTCATCGGTTCTGGAATAGGTATCCCGCTCGACATTTGTGAAATTTGATGAAACGTTTCGATGTCTATCTCTTGACCATAATCCGTCATCGTCGGCTCCCACACTTCATCAGGAAACATGGGACCATGTGGCGTGGAAATCGGTGTGAATCCCTCCGTCAAGGTATCGCGCCGTCGTAAATCGGCTTCCTGAGTAGATCCCACCGTTGTCACACCAAAAAGTACATCCATGGGCTCAGCCTCTGCTTCAACCGGTTTTATATCCGTCATTTCTTCCTCTGCTATCACAGTCTCGCTCTCCTTCTTCTCCAGCTCAGTACTTGTACTCGATTTGCGACTACTCTCGTGCTCCGCTAGCTCTGATCCTTCCAAAGGGATGCGGCGCGATAACGTGAGCTTGATCTTTTTCTTCGCCGTGGCCTTCGCGCTGAGCTGCACGACTTGCTCAGTGAGCGAACCATGCTCCGGTTGACCGGTGAGAATCACCAAGTTGCTCTTATCTTCAGCCCATTCAGCGAACAAATGTCTCGATGGTCCCGCCTCCAAGCTTCCGAACGACGCGAGGACGACTTTAGGCCCCGGCGGTAACGCCTGCAACTCCTCCATCGAGTGGCACAGCGTGAGAAACTTTGTGTTAAATGGGTTCTCGCGTCTACGCTCGAATGCGTTTGTCACGTGATCCCCCATCCATTCTAAATGTGATTTCGCGAAATCGAGCGTGTTATACGCCACGTTGGTCAAAAGCACGATTTGGTACGATCCCAATTGACGCTGCGCCCACTTCTCTTCTAGCAACAAAATCAACTCGAGCACGCGCCCAGCGGGATCGATCGGAATGAGCACGTTACCGTTCATGCGCAAGCTAGACAATATCGAATCAATCAGCTTGGCGTCTCGAGTAGTCTTGTTCGGCACTTCGCGGTCGACACTACTCGCGTCAGTGATGAGAAGCGCAGGTCTGTGAATGGCGTCGAAAGATGTGCCGTTCAGGTGTCTCTCCTTCCGCACGTTGTAATCTACGGCGTACACCACGTCTTCAGCATCTTTTCCTATCTTCCACACCGCACCACCAAGCGTGTGGCCAGCGGCGTAAGCCATGACCGAGATTCCATCACCCTTCCCGCGCAGCATCGACAATTGCATGTACTTGACGGGCACAAACGCCGCGAAAGCCGTGTCGACGTCGTCGAGCGAAAACACCTCCTGAAAATCCCCCTGATCTTGCCTCGTCAAAAAGTGATCATACATGTACATCTGTCCCATCTTGTGCACCGGCAGCGTCGCGTAAACCTTGCAATTCATTCCCAACTTTCCAAACGCGTAGGGCAACGCGCCCAAGTGCGCCGTGTCTGGATGCGAAATCAAAACCGCGTCAACCTTCGGCGCGATCGCCGCCAGCGGCTTGAGCATGTCCACATCAAATTTGTCATTCCATCCACAATCGAGCAAGATGTTACAGCCATCGATGGAGACGTGATAGCACATCGGTTGTTCTCCTGCGCGATTCGTTCGTAATTCGCCGTCGTCAGTCACTCTGATCTCTTCATTCGCACCATCCGCCGTTCGCGTCCTCTCGTTACTTACCCTTCACTCCGTACAAAGGCGTCACCAGCACCTTATTCCCGCGCTCGACTTCCGTCTTTTTCACCTCCGCCACCGCAATTTCCATCGCGGCGTTCGCCTCGACCTTCATTGAATCCGTCAACTTCGCGCGCCGCGCCTCTTTCACCGCCTGCGCGCGCGATCGCCGCTAGCTGTCGCTCGAAAGCGCGTCGTCGGACGCCTTAGCGACTTCGCTCGCGCTCGATTCGCCGCGCGACGCGTTCTGCCGTCGGCGCGCTTCGTTCTTTCTTCGTTCGATCAAACCTCAGACCTTCGCGCGCACGCCCGCGGCTCCTCGACGCGCGTCGTATCGACGCCGATCGGTGGTTAAGGAGTTTCTCGCGCCCACGTCCACGCGCACGCGTCGCGCGCGCACGCGATCGCGCGCGGCGGACGAGGGAAATGAGTTCCATGTTTGGCAGCGTCGGTGGCTGGTTCTCGGCGACCGCGGATGGCGAGGATAAACCGTACGTGCGCGCGATCGACGACGCGCGCGATGGTGTTTGTTGACGCGCTCCCGCGCGACACGCGGTGGCAAAAGAGCGATCAATCGAAGCGAACGACGCGGATATGGATGAGATCAGAAACCTCGCCGATAGCTGTCGAGGACGCCGGCCGCGACTGACGGAGCGCGCTTTGACAAACGCAGGGAAACTGATCCTACTAAATTGTTTCACGAGTTTCCGCACCCGGAGAACTGGAAAGAGCTCGTGGATGAATTGGCGGGGCGATTCGGGGAGGACTGCGAGGAAATTCCCGAGGGGATGTGCCCGTTGGGGAACCGCCGCGCGACGCTTCGACGATTTTTAGTAGCGCGCAAGTATAGTTTGGATAACGCCGAGGCCGCGCTGAGAGAGGCGATGGAGTGGCGTAAGACAGTGAAAATTGGCGATCGTGTGGGCGTTGATGCGATCCTAGCGAGCGAACCACGATGGGATTTGCTCGCCGATAACCGTAAGATTATGACGGGGACACCATTTTTATGCTACACGAAACAGGGGTTCCCGGTGTACATGTTACGGCTGGGTAAGGGTGATGCCGCGTTAGCGACGTCGGCAAGCGACGAAACGCACGTCTACTCTACGATCGTACGCGCTGAGCACTTGGTGCAGTCGATTATCCCCGAGGCTACAGAGAGAGCGAAGAAGATCAAAGCTGAGGGCAAGGAGCAAGAGGCTTCGAGCGACGATTACGACGGTTTGGTGGATAAGCAAGTCGTCATCATCGACATGGACGGGATAGGTATGTCGGCGTTGAGATGCCTCTATGTGTTGAAGACAATCAATAGCGTCGCTTCGCACAACTATCCGGAGCTCTCCAAGGCCATCTACGTTGTCAACGCGCCGTCAGCGTTTGACTACTTGTGGAGCGCGGTCAAACCTCTTCTCGCGGTGCACACGCAACATAAAATCAAGATTTTCAGCCAAGCAGAGTCGCAGTATACTGGTTTGCAAAGATTACTTGAGGATGAAGATATTCCCGACTTCCTCGTGCCGGAAGGTCACACGCCAGGACAGAAGGACTGCGTTACGACAGTGGACGGTTTCTTACCGACGACTGTGAAGAAAATGGATGACTGGCTCAAATGTCTTTGTAGTGAGCAAGAAGGTGAAACAAAAGGCGATGAAGAAGTGAGTGCGACGATCGAAAAGATGAGCGCTATTGAAATCAAGGAAGATTACGCCGCGGAAGCTTGAGCTTGACGGTAGTGAAATTGCTATATTGAGTCTAAATCTATGCGATGAACGGTATCATCAAACCGCCTCAACGTCGAAATTCAGGGCGTCCATCGTCTCGAGCGTTGCGTCCGCGATTCCCACGAGCCCGTTCAGAGGCTTCCCGCAAAAGGTCATGCCGCACAGCTCTAATACTTCGTGCAACCTATCGCTCTCGAATAAATACAGGTACGCCACAAGCGCCTCCAAAGCGCTTGCGTCCCTGTGCACATCCCCTTTATGTCCCGACCGCGACTCGTGTCCGAAATCTCTTCCCCATTTCAACACCGCGAGCTCTTGATCTGTCAATAAATCCTGTTCAAGAAGCCTATTCAGGTGTGCGTGCATGGCTTTGGCGCTGCACCAGCCCTTGGAGACGCCGTCTTGAGGCCTGATGGCCCTTCCCGACGTCGACGCGCTCTCGCTCGACGTGACGCGCTTTAGAATCATGTGTTGTCGAGCGTAGAGCTCCCAAACCGCGTCACCGAGGTAAGTGAAGGCCAGAGCGACGGACGGCGAGCGTTCGACTAACGGCTGCGGAATCTTCTCCAGCGTCAGCCCGCCACGGGAAACGCGGTACGCCAACGACTTCTTGGACGCCGCAGATTGCTGCTTTGATGCCGCGGATGCTTTTTTCTTTCCCGCGTTCCCGCACGTTACCGTGAGTGCGCGAACGTGCGGCATGTCGACCGAGTCGTACTCTGTGGCTGCTGGCGCAACGCAAGGTTTGCCTCTCGTATTTACATCAAGCTAGTGTGATTTTAATCAGCCTTCGCCGGTGCGGCGTCATCGTCCAAACCCCAATCCTCTTCACCACCATCTGCGGCTGGCTCGCCGGATGATACCTCGGGTTCCTGTTCCGCCTCGACTTCCTGTTCCGCCTCGACTTCCTGTTCTGCCTCGACTTCCTGTTCCGCCTCATCCACCACTTCAGATTCTGGCTCCACCGCGATATCGGATTCCGGCGACGCCTCTTCCTCGATTTCGGGCTCCGCTACAGCTTCTGACTGATCTTGTTGCTCGTTCACATCGATGTCGTCGATCGCATCCGTAAGCTTGTCAACGGCGAGCCCGACGCCATATTCGCACGCGTCGGCCTGGGCGCCCGCTTGCGCTCTGGCGTGTTTTTCCGCGTCGAGTGCCTCATCAAAGCCTTCGAATAACTCCAGATGTCCCGCTGGATCGGCTAAAGCCTCGGCTGCCTTCTTGTTTACCTTACTCAAGTCATCCTTCCACAATGCGATGATTTCAGATACACGACTCGGCGCATATGTGCGCGCCATGAACGCCGCCTCGGGAATACGCTTTGTCTCGATCAATAAGTCGATGCAACCATCGATATCTTTCAGCATGAACATCGATACAAACGCCACATTGTTCTTACCCTTGAGTTTCGATTCCTCCACGAGTTGCTTGAGCGTCTCTGGTGATCCAGATGAGGTCGCAAGTAACAACTGACCAGACAAATCTCCAGACTTTTCTAAGCACTTGTTCGTGAGCTCGAGGTCACCATTCGACATCGCAAGCTCACCGAGTTGCTTCCATTTCGACTCATTCGCACCTTCCGTTTCTACGATTTCTCGGGCGATATCGAGTTCACCTAATTGAACAGCGAGTTCAAACTTGAAATCCGGGTCGGTCGCAATGCGTAAGGCGTCGCTCACCAAGCCGCGAGACTCGAGGAAGCGCGCGATGGAATTGTGCTGATCGACCGGGATCGTCTCGAGAACTTCCTCTGCGGCCTCCAACTCACCGCGAAGGATCAATGTCTTGAATTCGACCACGGTCAACAGCAAAGTAAAGGACACGACGGCAAAATTCTTGTCCATCAAGAAGACACGGTTTTGCGCCGCGAGGTAACCCAAGATGAACATGGAACGATCCAAGTGTGTAAGGGTCGTCACTTCGCCACCGACGCAGTAGTTCAAACGCTTATCGGTGTTAGTGTAGATGAAGCAATCTCCCACCCAAATACCCGTGCTGACCGACTCGTTGATTTCGGAAATCAGCTCGAACGACTCTTCAACGCCCTCGCTCTCGTCCACGTGTCCAGATGCGAAAGCCTCCGCAGTCGCTTCAAGGTTGTATCGCAGGATAAAGAAGCTCGTATCGCTTACTATGGTGACCATTTCACCCGACTCACTCCAGATGACGTTTTTAACCGACACATCCAAGCGACGAATGACACGGCACTCATCCCAATCGTAAAAGCAAATGAAATCCGTCGAGCGAAGACCGAGCAATGCGCCGCCGTGCAAACCTTCAGCGGTGAAATTAGGGCGGAAAGCGTTCTTTTCCGTAAAGTTCTTGAAAACTTTAATCTTACTCGAACTTTCACGAACAGCGAACTCGCTGGGATCGATGCTCCAAGCGAATTCAATCGCGCTCCCGAAGCTCTTATTTCTCCACGCGAGGGCGGTGTAGATGATGTATTCGCCGTCGCCGCAAACGGCAACGAACCGTCCGTTCGGGTTGTGCGCCAAGCTCTGCGGGTACAGTTCACTGTTACCGAGTTCCTTCACCGGTAACGGCAGTCTCTCACCGTCCGCGGCTTCGTAATCCGCCGGAAGCGCCTTGACGTTTGTCGTCTGCACTTCGTTGTGTTTGCACCAGATGATCTTACCGGTGCTGTCCATGCTCACCACGGGCTCATCGCGACCGATCTTGAACATCACCGTCCCTTCGTCGTAACCGATCGCCACCGAATTCGATCCCTTCAAGCAACCGATCGCCCAAACCCGCTCCAATCCATAGTTGAGCGTGTTCTCCAAGCGATACGTATTCTGATGCCAGATGCGCAGCGTCCCGTCCTCGCTCCCGGTGATGATCACGGGAAGTTCGGGGTGGAAGCTCACCGCCGAAACGTTGTGCGCGTGACCTTCGAGCGTTTGAACGCACGATTTCGTCTGGTAATCCCAAATCTTAGCCAACTTATCGTCAGCGCCGGAGATGAGGTACGGGCGATCGCCGCCGGCGAAGTAGTCGACGCAGTTGACCCCTTTTTCGTGACCCTCGAGCGTAAAATTGCACACCGGCGACGTCACGTTCCACACCTTGATGGTGCGATCGAGCGAGGCGCTGGCGAACGTGTTCGTATCCTTCGGGTTGAACACCACGTGCATCACGTAGTGCGAGTGTCCCTCGAACACCATCGCGCAGTCCCACTGCCTTTCCCAATCCCAAAGCTTGATGAGCATATCATCCGAGCACGTCACCACGTACGGTTGCGTCGGATGCACCGCGATCGACCGTATGTAATCGCTGTGCGCCTCGAACCCGACCACCAACTCCGACGTGTTATAATTATACACCCTCAGGAACATGTCGTCCGCCCCCGTCGCGATCCACTGCTTGCGCGCGATCCACTTCGACGTCCTCACCGGCAGTTCCGTCACCTCGAACGACTTCACCAGCGCGTTCGTCTCGTAATCCCATATCGCCACGTTCCCCGAGTACAGATTCGTCAGTATCCACGGTTCCGTGGGGTGTATCTCCACCCCCTTCACCCGGTCGCTCCGCTGCACGAGCTTGCGCTTGATGTCCAACCGCATCGGCATCGTCGCTCGCCGTCGCGTCCCGCGTCCGTCGCTCGCGTTCGCGCCTTCGCGCGTTCGCGCCTTCGCGCCTTCGCGCGTTCCGCCTTCGCTCGGCGTTCGCGCGCGTCGCGATCTGCGTCCGTCGCGTCGCGCCCTCGCGCGCGAGATTCGATTCGTTCGATTCGCGCGCGTCGAAAAAAACCCTCGCGCGGCGAACGTCGAAAAACACCCTCGTATGGCGAAGATCAGCGCGCGTCGAGAAACCCCAAAAGAGAGGCGACGCGCGCGCGGTGCGACACACGCCGACGCGCCGCGACGAGCGCCGACGAGGGACGAGGGACGAGCGGACGACGACGATGCGCGCGACGACGAGCGCGAGAGCGCGAATCGCGAACGCGAACGCGCTGAAAGCGACGACGAAAAGGATCGCGCGGGGCGCGCGCGGGACGCGAGGGGCGGTGCGCGTCGAGGCGAAGCGAACGGCGGACGGACCGAAGGTGGTCATCGCGGGAATCACGGGCGCGGTCGGACAGGAGTTCCTGCGCGTGCTCAAGGAGAGGGACTTTCCGTATAGCGAGATGAAGATGCTGGCGAGCGCGCGAAGCGCGGGGTCGAAGGTGGATTTCGACGGCGAGACGTACGTCGTGGAGGAACTGACGGAGAGCTCGTTCGATGGGCAAGATATCGCGTTGTTCTCCGCGGGGGGGTCGATCTCGAAAAAGTTTGGACCGGTGGCGGTGGAGAAGGGGTGCTTCGTGGTGGATAACTCGAGCGCGTTTCGCATGACGGATGGGGTGCCGTTGGTGATTCCGGAGGTGAATCCGGAAGCCATGGCGCACTTGAAGCTCGGTGGTAAGGCTGGGATCATCGCGAACCCGAACTGCTCCACCATCATCGCGCTCATGGCGGTGACGCCGATTCACCGCGCCGTGGGCGTCGAACGTATCGTCGTGTCGACGTACCAAGCGGCGAGCGGCGCCGGCGCGCTCGCGATGAAGGAGTTGGAGCAACAAACGAGAGAAGTGGTGAACGACGGTGAGTGCAAGACGATGGAAATCTTCCAGTGGCAGTATGCGTTCAACTTGTTCTCTCACAACGCCCCGATGACGGAGAATGGTTACAACGAGGAAGAGATGAAGATGGTCAAGGAGACGAGAAAGATTTGGGACTTCAAAGACGTCAACATCACCGCCACGTGCATTCGGGTGCCGGTGATGCGTGCGCACGCGGAATCCATCAACTTGACGTTGAAGAACCCGCTCGATGAAGTCAAGGCGAAAGAAATCTTGTCCTCCGCCGCGGGCGTTTCCATCATCGACGATCGCGCCGCCAACCGTTTCCCCACCCCGCTCGACGCCACGGATAACGACGACGTCTACGTCGGTCGCATCCGTCAAGACATCTCCCAGCCCAACAACAAGGGCTTGGATTTGTTCGTGTGTGGTGACCAAATCAAGAAGGGCGCCGCCTTAAACGCCGTGCAATGCGCCGAACTCCTCCTCAAGTAAGCTTTTCAATATAATATTCGCGCGCGCGCGCGCGTCGATCGTCTCCCCTCGTCGGCGTAAGTGCGTGTCATTCATATTAAACTTATTGTAATTGTCGTGCGTGCTGTGTCGTCGTTGACGAACGCAGAGGCGTCGCGCGGCCGATGGCGTCGGCCGAGGCGCGAGTGGATGATGATTGGAATCATCGCGCGACGGTTTGCGCCGTCGGAGCGGCGGTGGGCGCGCCGCCGGTCTTGCCGCCCATTTGCTTTCTCTCGTTGATCTCGCGGCTGACTTGGCACGCCACGCAACTCGGCATGGAGCAGGATTCCACGTATCCGACCGGTTTGACGCCGACGGATTCGAGAGCCTTGCTCGCGACGCACTTCAAGTAGAGGGGCGAGAATGGGCCGAGACAACTCGCGATAGCGGCCGTCATGCAGAAGCTGCCCGTGTTCGTTCTGTCCGCGATCGAACCCATGTGGCAAGCCGGGCAGCAGGACGCGTAGCAGCAATCGCCGGTGTCCTCCATGCAGCCACCGGGGACGTGCATCATGTAAGCCAAACCAGGGTTACGTTCCGGCATGGTGTTTTAAAAGTTAATTGAGTGATCCGATTGAGGATTGAACAGGTGTCGCGCGCGTTACAAACGTGCGTCGAGATGCGTCAAAATCGAGCGTGTGCGCTCGGTGACGATACTTTGAGAGTTTTGGCGCGCGGTGCGTCGATGTATGCCGCGTCCCGCGCGCGCGCGCGCGTCGATCGTCTCCCCTCGTCGGCGTAATCGTCTCCGCAAGGGATCTATCTCCGCACGAGGTTTAAGATGTAGCGACGAGTCACACACCTCCAAGAGTCCCTCCTGACGCGGGCGACCACGCCGGAATTTTTCTCTATGCGCAAACAGTGAGCCGCGGAGGAACGGTGGTTTTCCCGCCGTCGTGACCACTACTACGAGTGCGATGTCGAGGAATGCAAATAGATGGGTGAAGAACGCGCACGATACGTCATCGTGACCACTACTATGAGTGCGTACACATAGCCAGCGCCTCGCGCCGTCGGTCGCGCCCGCGCGCCGGTCGCGCCACGCGCGGACGCGCGCCCTCGCGCGCGCGTGGAGGAGCGCTCGTCGCGAGCCGACGCGTCGCGAGACGATGCGTCGCGAGACGATGCGTCGTCTTCACCGTCGTCGTCCTCGCGCGAGACGGTGGGCGCGCGCACGTGTCTCGGCGTGTTGACGTTCGACGACCGACGCGAGAGTCGTCGCGAGGTGCCGGTGCGTGCGCGCGATGACGACGCGACGCGGGAGACTGACGAGAGAGACGATGGTGATCAAAATTGTTTAAAAAGGATGGTGATCAAAAATTGTTGTAAAAGGATTTCATTTCTTGTAAACTTGTAAAGGATTTCATTTCTTGGGACTCAATCTTCATCGTCGTCGCGTGCGTGTTCGTCGATTTGAAAAAGATCATACTTGCCATGGCTCGTCTCGCATTCGCTCCACGGTTGTTTGGCCAAAAAGCACCTTTTATGTCCGAAGGCAAAGTGAAGGCTTCCGTGTTCCCTCACCATCTCAGCGCACTCGTCCAAGGTGTGCGCTTTCAATTTTTGTAAGGGGCATTGCTTTGCGTCTACCTTCCTTCTTTTCCCTCCTTTTATCCGACTGTACATGTTTTCCCCTTCATCGGCACTCGCAGCAATGTCCACTTCCGTCACGATGTTTCGCGGTGACTCGTGTACTTGAGCGCCCTCCGTGTCTTTAGTATAGAACGTAGCCGGGTATTTGGTCTCGCGGAAGCTTCCAGGAAAGAGCGGGCAATCGTTCGCCGCGTAATTTGGAGTTCTAGTCTTGACTGCATGACACGTCGTGGCTGGACATCCTGTTGCGCAACACCAAACAGCCACGCATTCCTCAGACGACGCACAACGCTGTTTGGCTTTTTGAATCGTCTTCTGGCGGTTGACACCGCGTGCTATCAAGCAACCGGCGCTGTCATTTCCGATACAAAAACCCTTTGGAAACGTCGTCATCGCCTCCCAATCAGGTACGTTCTTCTGTTTTGGCATAACCCTGAATTTCTTTTTACCAGCGTTATAGTACTTTTTGGCATACGCGCCTTTTTGTGACTTCCATGACACCGTCGTGCATTTACGTTCCGTTGGTGAGCAATAGCCTGTCACGCACGAAGCGTGCTCGGTGCATGCACTGTTCTGGGCCAAAAAACTCGTGCAAACGCCTGACTTACAATAAGCGTTCAAGCAGCTTGAGGAAGAGGTGCAACTTGCGCCAACAGCTGATGCTGGTTTGCATGCGCAGAGACGTGCTTGGATTGGGCCCATCTTCCAACACTCGGGGCTCGTAGTATTGGCGCCACTCAGGCGAACTGCATCATTCGTACCGTAAACAGGAATCTTAAAGACTGAACAGCCACAGCCACCACCCCCGCCGATCGCTGGCCCATTCGTCCTTGCCTGCTTTTTAAACATCTGGGCGACAGCCACACACTTGTCCCAGGTCTCAGGGTTCTTCGGCGAGCCCAGGTGCGTGCCCTCATCATATTGAAGATTTTTGTCAGCACATGTCTCTTCACAAGATGTGTCAGTCGTAGCCATATGCCAGCATTTCCCATCAACGAACTTGCCACGATCGCGCTTGCATGTCGCTGCACTGTAACTGTAAGTGGAAGGTGTAGACGACCACGTAGACGACCACGTAGACGGCGTAGGAGGCGCAGGAGGCGCAGGCGGAGGCGCAGGAGGCGCAGGCTCTGCTTTGATCTTGTAAAGATCAAATCGGCCCTTGCGAATGCGACGACATTTGCTCCACGGTTTTGGCTGCTCCAAGCACACGGTGTTGCGGAGGAAGGCAAAGTGGAGGTGCCCACGTTTTTTCACCAACTCAGCACACTCCTCCACACTGCGCGTTCGCTTCACTCGCTTGGCACGAGGCAGCCCTACGCACCGTGCGCCTGCGTGCTCCAAGCTGTAGATTTTCGCGTCACCTCCATCTTCGTTGCTGGACTCGTCGCTTTGCTCCACTCCTGGCGAAGGTGCGGGTGTGGGCGCAGGCGCAGGCGCAGGCGCAGGCGCAGGCGCAGGCGCAGGCGTCGGCGTAGGTGTGGGCGCAGGCGCAGGCGTCGGCTCGCTCATCTGTACGTTTTGTCCCATGACTACGTCTCTCGCCGCAGTGAGCTCTTGCCCTATCGCAAGAGGTGTAGTATCTCGAGGGAGCTTCTGTATCTCTGACCGGATGTGTTTGACGAGACCAAGCACATTGAACTTATCACAATGTTGAATGGTCGTTGAAATTGACTTTGGTACAACTTGCTCGAGATCCGATGCGTTCGTTGCAGTGTCAAGCCCGTCGTCGTACTTCGCATCATCCATGGTTGCCGTTGCAACTTGCAGTGTTTTATCTGTGGTTGCATCTTCTTGTGCTGAACTTTGTTGTCCAAGTTTGTTGTGTGAACTTTGATCTCCAAGATTCGATGTTTGGTCAGAACTTTCGGCTTCGACCCCGGCGCGTCGTGCATTTTTGGCCACGCGTTTGGCGCGTTTGGCCGACAGTGCAGCTTGGTACTCCCTTAGGCGAGTAAGAAGTTGCGCATCTTTCGGTCCTGACACGTTCGAACACGTTTTCAGCTCGTCAAGGAAGTACCCCTTCCGTAACACCTTATCCCAGGCCACCGCAAAATTGGAATGGAATTCGTTTTCATCTTCTGCATAACGCTTCAGAATCGATTGTGTTTCATTGTTCCCGAGAAGAGCCCAATCACCGGCAAGTCTTATCATTTTCACGATGGTTCCGCGAAAGTAGGGCAATTTTAAGAGCGAATGTCTGGGTTCGACCCAAGCTTTTGTAGACTTCATGTGTGTCCTACCTTTGCGGTCTGAGCGGCACCAATTTATGTTGCATAATGAGGAAAAAGGGAGTTTTCTCCCAGTTTCCCTGTCGACTGGTTGCCCACCCCGATGGCAACCGCCATTCTTCTTTTTCCCGCAACACTTAGTGCGTCCCCCATAGTCTTCGTCGTACATCAACTTGTAATACTGATTGTCAAGCGAATCAGGCGTGTGATCCCAAACCCCACCGTCGGCGAAGCCGGTCTTGTACCCTGTTCTCCCACCACGAAAGAAGTAGTAATACGGAGTGGCATAAGACTTCGGTCCAGAGGGTTTCCAACAGTTGCCCTGAACGTGTTTTTGTGGCTGGCACTGTGGGGATTCATTCCCTATCTCGATGGGTGGATCATATCGCTTCTTCATCGGGCAAAAGTTACCTTTTTCGATACCGTTGAGTCCACTCGCGCATGGTGAAATTTTACCCACACTGTGAGCTCCCATCAACGCGACGTGCTCTGAAGGCGTAAATCCAAGTTTTGCAAAGACTCTCGAGAAGGTGCCGGGATCGTCCATGGCATGAAGCGCCGGCGCAAAGTTCAGCGCAGGTTTTCCAACGTAGGATTCAAGCTTCTCCCTGCTTTTGGTAAATGGTGTAACGATGCTGTTGCCACACTCACCGCCTCGCCTTCCCCAAACCATTGAAGATGGGGCACTAAGCTTTGAGTGCTTCTCCAGAACGATTATGGAACTAAACGCTAACATGTCCGTATAGCACCGTTTAGGTTTATCATTCTGCAGTTCACATAAACCAGTATTCAAATCTTTACAGACAGCGTCACACAATTTGATAACCTCGCGGTTCATTCGAACATTTCTGTTATGCCCAGGGTCTGGTTTCCCAGACGTTCCATGCGTCAGGGGAGAGTAAAGGCAAAGGTCCAAACCGCCGTATATCGAGCCAGTTGGTGCCCTAAACGGTACATAGCCTCCATCCTTTTGGATTAATAAGTTGTTCTCGTCAACCGCGTCGTGGAAAATGAAGCGCAACAATTTTGGGAGTAGAAGTTTGGGTGCGCCGCCGTACTCACTCAGGATTTCACGTACGAGTTGTTCAGCCTTGCAAGAAATAAACGACGTCTCGTTTGTCACCTCTGCGGCAGAGTTGGCGACAGTTGTTTCATTCACGTCATCACCAACGAGAGCAGCGAGTTTATCTCGCACGGTTTCCAGTTCAGCGCGTCCGCGCACGACGTCCAAGCGCGTCCACTTTCGCCAGTTGCCCAGTAAAACAGCTTCAATCTCGTCGAGCGTCGCCAACGCGCGTGACGGCGGCAAATCGGTCGGAAGTGCGGGCTCGCCCAGAGTTGCGACCTTTGCCAAGCCTTCGTTTCCTCGACCGTGCAGTTGGTCTGTCGAAGTGTGTTCGGCAACCTTTCCGTCCTTCGCGTCGGCGTCAATTTCGTCGATTTCGTCTTCGATTTCATCGTCGTCTTCGTGAGGGCGCAGTAAATCACGTTCGAGCGACGTGTACACGTAATCAGAATCATCGCGTCCCCACACCGCACCGAGGCGCGCGAAGACCGCGTTCACCCCGCGCGCACCCGCGCCGTCCGCGTCTCCAACACCAATCGCCCGTGAGAGTGTCGACACCAGGTGCGGGCAATTCGCCAACGCCACGAGCGTTCCGCACGCGCACGCGAGCGCGCCGACGACGAGCGCGCCGCGCGCGCCGCGTCTCCCTTCCCGTCGCCGCCCGATCAACGGCGTCGATTCGTCCATCGCGGGGCGACGCGCGCGCGCCAGAATGTCGATCGGTCGGTCGGTCGGTCGGTCGGGACGACCACTGAGGGCGGACCCAAGATAGCACTATAACGGATCCAAACACTACTAGGTACTAAAGCGGACCTAAACTACTTAAAGCGGACCCACACGATGTTACATATTTAACATTCTCTTTACAGTAGATAGACAAAAAACAAAAAAACAAAAAACGGCAGGTGCCCACCCGGGCACGAGTCTTGGTCGCGCGCGTCAGTGTTCGTCGCCCGCGTCGCGTCGCTCTTCGGGCATGGGGATTCCCCATGCTGCGAACTGATTGATGACGCGCGCGGGCGTCTCACGCACAAGCGCTGGGGGCATGCGCGCCGGGCGTCCCGGCGCGACAAGCTCGTGGACGCGCGCCCTCGCGCGCGCGTGGAGGCGCGCTCGTCGCGAGCCGACGCGTCGCGAGCCGACGCGTCGCGAGACGATGCGTCGTCTTCACCGTCGTCGTCCTCGCGCGAGACGGTGGGCGCGCGCGCGCGTCTCGGCGCGTTGACGGTCGACGACCGACGCGAGAGTCGTCGCGAGGTGCCGGTGCGTGCGCGCGAGGACGACGCGACGCGGGAGACTGACGAGAGAGACGATCGCGCGCAGACGCGTTACGGCGTGTCTCGACGCCACGGATAACGACGACGTCTACGTCGGTCGCATCCGTCAAGACATCTCCCAGCCCAACAACAAGGGCTTGGATTTGTTCGTGTGTGGTGACCAAATCAAGAAGGGCGCCGCCTTAAACGCCGTGCAATGCGCCGAACTCCTCCTCAAGTAAGCTTTTCAATATAATATTCCACGAGTCGACTTCCTCCGCGTCGCCCGTCGCGTCGCGCCGCGCCGCACTTCTCCACGCTCTTCTCGCGATGTCGACGCCGACGCCGACGACGTCCGTCATCAAGGCGTCGAGCAAGCTCACGTCGAACGATAAGATCCTCGTCGAGGCCTTGGCCGGTGCGTCTCGCGTCGCGCCGCGCGCGTCTCGACGGCTCGACGCGTTCGCACGGCTCGATCGCTTCCGACGAAACCGCGCGACTGACGACGACGCGCGCGTTCGCAGGCGCGCTCGGCGGATTGTTCGGCACGCTCGCGTTATACCCGATCGACACGGTGAAGACGCGGATCCAGGCCGAGAGCGCGGCGCGCGGAAACAACTCGGAAGCCGACGACGACGGTAACGGTTTTTGGTGTCCCCAGTGGGTGACAAAGTTGGCGCGGGTGTTTCGCGAGGAAGGCGCGGCGGGGGCGTACGGTGGGGCGTTGGCGAAGTCGGCACATTCGCTTTCGTCGAGCTTTTTGTACTTTTTAGCGTTCAGCGCGCTGAAGCGGACGTACGAGGAGCGAACGGGGAAAAAGATTGGGGTGGGGGCGACGCTCGCGGCGGCGGCGGCGGCGGGATGCTGTAACGTGCTCGTCACGGAGCCTTTAGATACGTACACGACGCGGAAACAACTGGAAGGAAAGAAAACGGTCGGTGATACTGGCTCAAAGGCGTTCGATGACGACGAGGGCGATGATGGGTTCAAAAACACTTTACGAGCGTTGCGAGGCGGACGAGGCGCCGCCGACGCGCGCGGCGGATTGTATAGCGGTCTCGGCGCTTCACTCGCGCTGACGATCAATCCCGCGATTCAATACACCGTCTTCGAGCAACTTCGTCAAAAGTTGATGATCGTGCACAACGCTCGCGCGCAGCGGCGTGGGATCTTAAAGCCCGTCGTGGAGTTGTCGATGTTTGACGCCTTTGTCCTCGGCGCCGCGTCCAAGGCGACGGCGACGATGCTGACGTACCCTCTCGTGCGCGCCAAGGTTTTGCAAAAGGCGGGAACGCGCGAGGAAGATAGACGTTCGCTATTAGGCACGCTCAAGCGAGTGCACAGAGAAGAAGGCGTGAGTGGTATGTACAAAGGTCTCGACGCGCAGCTCGTGAAAACCGTCCTCGCCGGCGCGTTGACGATGACGATTAAAGAGAAGAGTTTCACGAGCGCTCTGTGGTTCATGCTCCTCGTGCGCGGTCTCGACGACGAGCTTGCGTGAAGCGACGTCGTTGAGGCGACGTTAGTTTAGCAGATGATTGTAGTCTATGTCGCGATTTGAAGTTTTAAAAATGCCTCTAAGTCCCACCGCTCAAACCTCGCGAAGCTTCTACGAACATGCACACGACGGCGATGTCGTCCATCTTCCCACCAATCAAGTTTCTTCTATCGGCCCATTCCGGTCTCCCCTCCGCCGCTTTTCGCGCTTCTTGCGTGAAAGGCGAGTCGTACTCGGGATCACAAGAGTAACCGAACGCGAGCGTCGCGATGGCCTCGGCGCACTCTTCGGCGTCGCCTTGGTGCTCGGCGCACAGCGCCGCGACTTCAGCGTACGGCACGTTGTCCCATAAACCATCCGACCCCAAAACGACGGCATCGCCCGGTTTCATCTCTACCTCGACGCGATCCGCCGCGTCCGGGCGATCGCCTTCGGGATACACCTTCGTCCAGCCGAGCTGATACGGCAAGTTGAACTCGTGCTGTTGCGACTTTGTGTGAAACACCACGCCGCCGTCGCGCGAAACCAACGCCCCGGCGTCGCCCAAGTTCGCGATATCCAGCACGTTTCCATTTTTCAACACCGCGATGCACGCCGTGCACGAACCGATCACCTGCGTCGCCTCGTGCGCGTCCCTCATCACCGCGACCGGGTCGCGTTGTCCCGCCAACACGCTCTGCGCGGATTTCTCGGCAAACTTTTCGCTATACTCCGCCGGATCCACCCCCTCCTCCGCCCATCCTCCGACGCCGTCGAACACCCCGAACGCACCGCTTTGCTTCAACACGAAGCACGCGTCTTCGCCGCCCTTATCCGCCTTATCCGGATGCGGCACTAAAATCGCCCCCGCGCTCGAAACCTCCAACCTCGTCGCCGCCGCGCGCGCCGCCGTCCCTCCCCTCGCCCTTCTCGCGCCTCCTCGCGTCGTCCCGACCCCCCCACCGCCGCGTCCGCGCGATCTCCAAGCGTTCACCCGCATCGCGCGCGCCGTTCCCGCGTCGCTCGCGCGCACTCGCGTCGCCATCGCGCGTCGTTCGCTCGATCGCGTCGCCAATCCAATCGCGTCTCCGATCGCGCCTTCCCGTCGCGCGCGCGTCGCTCGCGCCGCCTCGGAGCGCGTCGATCGCGAACGCGCGTTTTTTTCGACGTTTCGCCGCGCGCGTCGACGCCGCGCGCGTCTGCGGCGTCGTCGGACGCGTCGCGCCGTCGCGCCGTCCGTCGGTCGGTCGGTCGGTCGCGTTCGCCTGATGAGGGCTTCCTAGGGTTTAGGGTTTAGGTCGGTCGCCGCGCGCCGATTCATTCGCGCGCGACGGCGCCGCGTCGACGGCGTCGGCACGGCGCGACGCGTCGACGGCGCGCGCGATCGCGATGGCGACGGCGCGCGCGATCGCCGGCGCGCTGTCGCGACGACCGTGGACGACGCGAGCGCGACGCGCGACGACGACGACGACGACGCGCGCGCGCGGTGGCGGCGGCGACGCGCGCGACGACGCGGGAACGTCGACGAGGGACGCGCGCGACGAACCGCGCGAGCGCGGACGCGAGGACGAAGACGCGGACGCGCGAACGGACGAAACGGTGGCGGCGACGACGAGGCGAGCGCACCGGCCGGGAGCGTTCGGGCGGTTGCCGAACGTGTCGCCCGCGGAGCAATTGATCGCGAGCGCGGTGAAACGAGCGGGACGGGTGACGCCGACGCGGGGATTGAAGGATGCGGCGAGGGAGAGGAATAAGAGCGCGAAACAACTCGACGCGCTGACGACGGGGGTGTGTAAACCGTTGAAGGAGTACGTGAAGGGGTTTCCGCCGCCGGAGCGGTTGCACCCGTTTGAGCGGGCGCTGTTGGAGCTGACGCTGAGCGATAAAAAGTATAGAACGACGCTCGCGGCGGTGGATTCGATGCGGAAGGGGATGCTTGGGATAGGTAAAGGGTACGCGTCGCAAGTCACGAAGACGACGGCGCTGAAAGAGGCGGAAGAGATGCGAGAGAAGGGGTTCGCGGAGATGGAGGCGTATTACAGAAAGTACGCGAGGTGCGTGGACGATTTGAAATCCATCGCCAAGTTGCTCCGGAAGCTTCCGGTGGCGGAGCTCGAGACGCCCACAGTCGCGCTCGTCGGTGCACCGAACGTGGGGAAGAGCTCGTTGGTGCGCGTGCTGTCTAGTGGATTGCCGGAAGTGTGTAACTACCCGTTCACGACGAAGGGCATCAAGATGGGGCACTTTTTCGTCGACGACGAGCGACACGTGGTCACGGACACCCCGGGCTTGATTAATCGATCGGAGGCCGATCGAAATAAAATTGAAATGCTCACCATCGCGACGTTGGAGCACTTGCCGACGTGCGTGATTTTCGTCACCGATTTAACCGGGCTATCGGGCACGTCCATCGACGACCAGTTGCAGCTCAGAGAAGAGCTCTACAAACAATTCGCCGAGCGTCGACCGTGGATCGACGTCTTCTCCAAGTCGGCACTAGTACCGGTTTTAGGAGGTGAGACAGACCCGGATACGCAAGAGTTATGGAGCGAAGAGGACGTTAAGGAGGCTGAACGCGCGATGGCGCAAATTCCAAACGCGACCGCGACGAGTGCCGACGAAGGTCGAGGAATCGATGAGCTTAAAGAGCGCATTATGAAGCTCCTTCACGAGCATAAACGAACTTTGCCTAAATCAGACGATGATTATAGTCCCGATTACTCCGGGACTGAAGCTTTGCCTGCGTATATTCCTATGTTGTAGCCACGCCTCAATGTTGTAATTGTTATTTTTTACATGCTCAACTCGTCGCTAGTGGTGCGTGCTTTGAATGCGTAGGTTTGAACGGATCGTTCGAGTGATTTAAATGCTCTGTCCGCTTGAGGTTCGAAAGACCTCCTTCTCGTTGACGAGGGGTAAACTCCCGATTCGTTCGCGTAAGTTGTTTCTAGAGCTGCTCATCGAAGGAGCGCTCGACAACGAGTCCTCAAACTGCAAGAGTTCGATGAAGCCTTTTCCGTCGTTCAAGCTGTTCGTCAGGGCTGCGAGACACTGCGCAATCTCGTCGGAATCGTTCACGTAGTACCGAGCACTCGAACGTTTGCGTCCAACGGTGCAGGTGAAGACGTCGTGGAATCGAATATCGGCTTCTTTCTTTTCGTCGTCGGAATCAGGGTCGCCCGCAATCGGGCTGGAAATGCCGACGGCGCTGTTCATTTTGATGGGAGATCCCGGCGAAGTTTGCACAGCTGGCAACTGATCCTCCGGAGGCAAAGACTTCATCTCCAAGAACGAGAAGATATCCTCGTCACGGCCTAAGAAGTGACCGCAGCACGCGACGAAATCGACTTCAATGAGTTCTTTGCCGTGTCCGCCGATCATTTGCACGATGCGCTCGACTGCGGTTCCCTTGCTCAAGCCGACCGGACGCACTTCGACAGACTTTGCACCCATGATGACATCCACGGGAGCATTCGAAATCGGGCCAGTCCATAAGTGCTGTAGCAAGTCGCGCGCTTGTTGACGACCAAAGTCCGGATCGGCGTACTTGTAACTCCACACCAGCGACGTTTCGCGCATCTCCACGTGACTTCTCGGAGTACGCTCACAAAAGTACTCAAAAACGACTTCAACGCTCTCCAACCAGTCCAAATTCGTAGTCTCAATCATGGTCAGCCACTTTGGAGTGTCGGTGCCGTTCTTGCCTTGAAGTGGTGGTCGAATAAAAACGCCATTTTCCGCCGCGATCCAAACCTTGGGCAACATCGCAAAGATTTGCGCCAACTTGTTGCGCTCGGAACCGCTGAAGATACAAACAGTGGTATTAGGATCATCGCACAGGCGCGTGAGGCACTCCTGTGCGACCGGATGAATCTTGTGACGACTCTTCTGCGACTCGAGCTTCGGCCGTATCTTGGTCTTGCTCTCCATGGGATCGGTGAGTGTGGCGTTGTAGCCCAGAATGATGAGCCGTTCTTTACCCATTTGAAACGATTTGACCATCGCTTCGGGCTTGAGATGCGGCGGAATACGCTTTTGACGTAATTCTGCTTCGACGTGCGTGTCGTTGAGTTCACTGATGAACGTGTCCGCCCACGCTTGCGAAGTGTGAATGCTCACGTGCGAGAAGCTGCTTCTGTGTCGCTCAATCTTTTCCACTTCAGGCATCGTTAACGCGTCTTTAATGGCGCTTGCGACGTCGGTGACGTTGTACGGGTTCACTAAAAGAGCCCCAGCGCCGATAGACTGCGCGGCGCCCGCGAATTCGGATAGAACCAACACGCCGGCGTCGTTCTTGCTTTGGCACGAAACAAACTCATAAGAGACGAGGTTCATACCGTCGCGCTGAGAAGTGACGAGCATGACGTCTGTAACTGCATAAAGCGCGCAAAGCTCAGGAAACTGCATAGTACAATCCAAATGCTGAATCGGAACGCTCCCGATGGAGCCGAAACGGCCGTTGATTCTCCCAACAAGTTCGTGCACTTGCGAGGCGAGTCGTTGGTACTCCGGAACGTCGCTGCGAGTCGGCACGGCGATCTGGATGAGAATCACCTTATTCGCCCAATCAGGATTCTCACTCAAAAATTTCTCAAACGCCAACAACTTGTGCGGGATACCCTTGATCATGTCGAGACGGTCGACACCGAGCATGACTTTGCGACCTCGGAAGCGTTCGCGGAGCTCGTTAATGTGCACCTGCACCTCATTTGTGCGTAGAGCCGAGGTGAAGCGACCCGGATCGATACCGATGGGAAACGCCGCAACACGCGTAAAGCTCCCGTTATTTTCCACGCCCTCGGGTGTCGCCTCTAAACCAAGAATTCGGCTCGTCGCCGATACAAAGTGCCGCGCGTAATCGTACGTGTGAAAGCCAACGAGATCAGCCGCCAAACACCCGTGCAACAGCTCTTCTCTCATCGGCAACATTCGGTAAATTTCCGAACTCGGAAACGGCGTGTGCAGAAACCAACCAATTTTCATGCTATCTTCGTACGCTCGCAACATTTGCGGCACGAGCATCAAATGGTAATCGTGCGCCCAGACGACGTCCCCTGTGCGATACACGCTCATGATGGCATCGCTAAACGCGCGATTGGCTTCCTTATAAGCCAACCATTGCGCGTGCATGTTCGTATCTTCGCTGAGCTTGGCTTCGAAACTCAGCGGCACGTAGTGAAACAGCGACCACAGCACATTGTTGCAGTACCCATTGTAATACAGCTCGACTTGCGTCTTCGTCAAGTACACCGGCAAGAAGTTCTGCTTACGTAACGTCGCCGTGAGCGCGTCGCGATCGGGTCCCTCTTCTACGAACACCCCCGGCCATCCAATCCACGTCATGTCGTACGTCTTTCGTACGCCCAACAGCGCGCTCACCAGTCCGCCCGCCGACGTCCGAAGATCCCACGTCCCGTCCGGCTTCTTCTTCACACTGATCGGCAATCGATTCGCCGCGATGATGAGGGACTGCACGCGTCCAACGGATTCACCATCAAAATCATCGCCCTCATCGCTCGCGTTCAGATTCGTCTGCGATCGAGTCTTTCGCATCTGCTCGCGTTCGCGCAACAACCGATCGACGCGCGTGGTTTCAATCTCCCCCGCGTTCGCTCCCGCCCCCGCGGCCACGGTCGCGGGCGTCCCGATCGTCTCCATGCGTTGTCGCAAGTCATCGATCGAGCCTCGGCTGGCCACGGCGCCCGTGAGCGAGCTCATGGACGCGCGCGCCAGTCGTCCAGCCTCGGAGTCGGCGTGCAAGTTCCTCAGCGGCGACGACGCGAGCGTGCCGCTCAGGTCTTGGCTGTTTCGCGGGCTTCCCATGCGTCCGCCGTCGACGGAGGTTCGCCGCGCGCGCGGCGGGCTCTCCGCGCGCTCCATCGCTCGCGCTCGCTCGCTCGCGCCGCGAACTGCCGCGTCAGCGGCAGTTTCTCGTTTCTCTCGAAAGTTCGAGAAGAACGACGAATCAGGACTCGACGCGGAGTCCCGTCGTTTGGGAAAAAAAGATCGGGTTTCAAATTGATGGTAACCGGCGCGCGGGCGGCGGCGACGACTGCGTTACAAGCGATGATTAGGAAAACGCGGCGACGGCCTCGTCGACGAGTCTGTTGGCGCTCTCGCGACCCTCGACGTCGCCGATGCCGAGCATTTGGGAGATTTCCTCGACGCGAGAGTCGCGAGAATCGATGCGGCGGATGTCGATGGTGGTGCGACCGTCGGCGTCGTCGTCGGGTGATTTGGAAACTATGAGGTGGGTATCGCCGCACGCGGCGACTTGAGGGAGATGGGTGACACACAAAACTTGCTGCGAGCCCGTGGTGGTGAGGCGACGAAGGGCGTGGCCGATGCGAGCGCCGACGCGACCGCCGACGCCGCTGTCGACTTCGTCAAAGACGGAGATGCCACCGCTCGCGAGCTCTCGATTAGCGCGCGTGCTCGCGTAATCATCCGTCATGACTGGAGCCATTTTCAATGCGAGCATTAATCGAGCCTTTTCACCACCGGAAGCGATCGACGCCATCGGTCGGAGCGGTTCGTTTTGTCCGGCGGCGAGCAAAAACGTCGCGCGATCCAAACCAGTCGGACGCACCGCAAAGACAAGATGGTCGTCTTCACCGATTTCGCTCGCTCTCGGGACGCGCAAAACGTTTCCATTCGTATCCTCACTCGCTCCCTCGCGCGCAGTCCACGAAAGAGTGACGTCGAATCGGCTTCCAGCCATCTCCAGGTCCGTCAAAGCCGACGTGACGGCACCTCTGAGGGCGCCCGCGGCTTCTCGACGAGCAAGCGCTAATTGGAACGCACAATCCGCGGTGGCCTTGCGTAAGCGATCCAACTCCGCGATACTTTCTTCGCGTTCTTCTTCGCCCACCTCCGCGGCTTCGAGCCTTTCCTGAGCAGCTTGAGCGGCTTCAATGGCAGCGTCGGCGGTTCGCACTCGCAGCGTTTTGAACAATCTATCGAGTTCGCGCAAACGTGCCTGCGCTTCCTCTCGCCGGTGTGGCGAGCTCGCGAGGGCTTCGGCGTACTTTCCCACCTGCTCCTCCGCGTTCTCGGAGATTTGTTCGGCCTGGTAAAGGAGGTCGAGCGCATCGTTCAAGCCTTGCAGCGACGCCTCGTCGAGGCCTGGTTCCGGTTCAGACGCTGAGTCCTCATCTCCTGGGGTGCGCGTTGACGAACTCGCGCTCTCAGCGCGGCGTTCGGCAGCGGCGATCAAGCCTTTCACTTCGTGCGCAGCTTCACGAAGCAAACCTCTCGCTCCACGCTCGCCCGCGATGGTTGAAATCACAGAACCGCACATTTCCACGGCGACTCGGCTCGACTCCAACCTTCTAAGTTCAGCTTTCAAGGCGACGTCTTCGAGTGGCTCCGGATCAACTGCGTAATACTCCTCCAACAAAGCTTCGAGTTCTTCGCGCTCGCCCGGCAAGAGCTCTACCGCGTTCTTCACCTTGTTGAACTGTACCGCCAACTCCGTGGACAGGCGCTCAAATTTTTGTCGCATCGCCTTCGTGCCTGCCCACTCATCCAACAACTCTAGCTGCGCGTTCTCGTCGCTCAGCGTCGACGCAGCGCCTTGACCATTGAAATCCATGAGAATCTCACCCAAAGCCTTGAGTGCTTTCAGTGGGACCACTCTGCCATTGATGCGACACACGCTTCGAATGCGCTTCGTCTTCCCGCTCGAGTCGACGTACTGCAACTCCCTCGTGATATTCAACGCATTTGCGTCTTCTTTCGGCGGTGCGAACGGCTTGACATTTTTCCCATCCTTCGTGGACAAAGACGTAATCTGATCGTTCACGATGTCGTAAATCGATCCGAGAGACGCCGTCGCCACGCGAAACGTCGCCTCCAGTTTCGCCCCACCCGCGTTCGCCCGAATGCTCTCCTCCTTCGCCGGTGATCCACAAATCTGCGCGATGGCGTCCAACAGCACCGATTTACCCGATCCCGACTTCCCGGTGATGACATTCAACCCCTTCTCAAACTCAATCGTCTGCTCGCTCACCAACGCAAAGTTTGCAATTTTCAAAGTTTGCAAATACGTCCGCTCGCTGTCGTCCTCGCGCGACGCCGCTCGAGTCACCACCCTTCGCGCCGGCGTTGCGAACGATCGCGCGCATCGCCGCGCACCGTCAAACGTGCGCGCGACCGTCGATGCGCTGACTTTCGTTCGCATCGCGCTCGACGCGGTCGGTTCCACGCTCGGAGTACGCGCGATTAAACCGTGCGTCCGCGCTGAGTATCGACGCAGCGCCCCTCGAGACGCGACGGAGAGTTCAAACGTCGCGCGTAAGACGTTCAGGACGCCCCGTCGAGCGCCGCGCATGAGTCTGACGCGCCCGCGCGCGCGATTTCTATCGTGAACTCGATTGCGCAGCCACACGGACTGTCACCGCGCCGGAGGGTGTTACGGCTCGTCTGCGGCCGCACACGTCGTCGCGCGCGACCGCCACGCTCGCGCGAGCGATGACTCGATCGACGCGAGTGCGCTTGGTCGTCTCCGACGCCCTCGCGCGCCCGAAAGTGCGCTCGATGGACGTCGGCGACGCCGCGTTGCTCGACGACGCGAGCGAGGATCTTCGGGACAACATCGCGTACCGCGGCGGAGCGTTGGAACGGGTGATGTTCACGCTGCCATTCGCGATGAGCATGACGCTGATTACGTTTGTTTTGCTGTGGGGGGCGCGCCTGAGCCCAGCGCTGACGGTGGCGTTCATCTGCGCGTACATTTGTTATGGGTGGGTGAAAGGCATTCACAGCGGCTTCGCGGCGTTGCTGGTTGGGATTCCGTTGTTACACACGTATAAGGATGCGGATTGGCATCGACTCGGAAACGATGGAACGTTGAAATCACCGTGTTACGATAGGTTCTTTGGCGGCGCCGGACAGGTGTACAAGGCGAACGAAAAACCGACGTTGGTTGGGGACGACGAGCACACGTGGACGAGCGGCGTGGACGGGAAGTTGAAGCGCGGACTCACGGATAAGTTTAACGATATCATCCATGTGTGCGTGATTCCCACGTACAAAGAGCCTCTCGGGACACTGCGTAAGACTGTAGGGACGTTGGCGACGCAGACGTGTGCGAAAGAGCGATTAATCGTCGTACTCGCGACGGAGAGTCGAGACACCGAGGCGCCGGCCAAGGTGGGAGAACTAATCGACGAGTTCGGGTCGTCGCTCCTGGGACTGTATTACACCAAGCACGTGCTCGGCGCAGGCGAGGCGGTCGGGAAAAGTTCGAACTGTGCGTGGTCGGTTCGATGCGTCAAGAGAGAGTTTGTGGAGAAGCGCGGATTGGCGCCGGAGCAAATTATGCTCACGGTGTGCGACGCGGATACGTACTTTGACTCGCAGTTCATGGACTGCTTGGCGTATAATCACGTGCAAAATCCAAAGCCGTACAACACCACGTACCAGGCTGCGGAGACTTTTTTCCCGAACATTTGGAACGTACCGATTCTCATTCGTATCAAGGCTGTGATTGATAGCGTCGGTTTCCTCGGTCAACTCGCGTCGCCGTTTAGTCATCCGTTCCCATTTGCGATTTATTCGCAAAGTCTCAGAACGTCCATCGAGTGCGGTGGTTGGGATGTGGATATCATCCCCGAAGATTGGCACCACTATTTAAAGTGCTGGTTTAAAAAGGATGGTGATTACCGCGTTGTGCCCATCTTCATGGTGATGGGCAACGATGCCATCGAAGAGCGGTCATGGAATGAGGCCATTAAGGCTCGATACATTCAAGCCAAAAGACACGCCTGGGGGGCGATCGATCTGTCGTACATCGTGATGAATTACTTAGAGAGACGAGACAAGGTTTCATTCACGCGGATGATGAAGCTGTACGTGCACGCGGCGGAGCACCACATTTCGTGGACTCTCTTTTGGTTTACGTGCATGTTGGGCGGTTTATGCTCGACTTGGGCGAACCCAGTGCTCGAGACGTATCCATTTGGAATTGGGTTACGCTCTCTCACCGTAGTAGCGTTCTTTCCGATGACGTTTGCGTGCTGGGCCATCATCATCAGTGAATTTTACATTCGTCTCTTCGTCATTCACGACAGAGAACACTTCGAGTGCAACGTCGCGCCAATGTGGTGGCAACTCGTGAGCCAAGTGCAATGGATGCTCATGCCCTTGGCTGACATGATTTTTGGCTCCTTTGCCGGTCTTGAAGCGCAGTTCCATATGGCCATAAAGCCGACGATGAAGTACGAAGTATCTGCCAAGCTTGCGAAGAAGTCTGGTCTTCCTCCGACGGCGTCGGGCGCCGCCGCGCCGAATCCAAAACAGCCCGCCGCGGAGCCGTCCATGTACACCGCGTTGACGAGCGGTGAAAGTCCTCGCCATCTCGACGGGCGCGCGAATACCGCGTTTTCCAACGCGTACTAGCTCATCTTAGTTGTAACGTAGAAATAGATATTTTCGACTGGCTCGCGTCGTCCTTCCTCGTCAGACCTCCGCGCGGCGATGGCTCTCGCGCGTGGCGGGCAGTACAGACGAAATGTCGACGCTCGAGCGCTTCTGCGTACGGTGCGTTACTCCGTGGCCGCCGCCGTTGCGCTCGCGTTTTACGTCATCGTGAACAATCCAATCACGTCGCACTCGCGCGCGTTCGTGAGCGACGTAAATGGCGTCGATGACGTCGATGTCGTGCGCGCGATCGATTCACGACGATCATCGATGACCGGAACGTGCGGTGCGGACGTCGGGGCTCGCGTTGAGCTCGACGGCGGCGTCGTGCGCTGGGGCAGCGATTTCAAGACGTCGAGCGCCGAGGCGTGCTGCCGAGCGTGCGAAGAGAGCGCGAGAAAATGTAACGTATGGGTCTGGTGCGGCGACGAAGGGGGGTGCGGAGGTGATAGAAAGCGCGGGGAGTGTTGGTTGAAGTACGACGCGAAGAACGCGGCGCGGGCACTGTTTGCCGCGGAACGACGAGGCGGTGACTCTCGATGGACGAGCGGGGCGTTGTTTTCATCGGAAGAAGCGGAAAAAGCGGAGGAAGAAGTCAACGCAGAAGAAAGAGCGAAGACTAAAAGACGCCACGCCAAAGGGAATCATCGCGTGTACCTCGACGTCTCCATCGACGGCGCTGACGCGGAGCGCATCGAATTTGTATTGTACGCCGACACGAGCCCGCTCGCGGCGGAAAATTTCCGACGAATGTGCGTGGGCGAACCTTCGGAAGAGTATACATGGGTCGGTTCGAAGTTTTATAGAATTCTCGACCGATTCATTGACCAGACAGGGTCGCACACCGCCTCGGGAAGTGCTGTGAATCCGGGAAAAGCGTTCGACGACGATCCCGGCGGCTTGCGACTCAAACACGACCGGCCTGGTTTGCTAAGCGTCGCCAACGCCGGACCAAACACCAACACAGGGCACTTTAGTATCGTCATGGCCCCAGCGCCGCATTTAGATGGCTCGTACGTCATCTTTGGCGAAGTCGTCGACGGCATGGAGCACGCTTGGGCGATCAACAAGTTGGCCTCTTCCGACGGCGAGCCCACGGGCGAGGCAAAAATCGTCCGCGCCGGCGTCCTAGAATCCTTTAGATGACGATCTTCATCGTATGTATGTATTACAAGTAGACTCCTTCAGATGACCATCGTCGTCGTCCGTATCACGAGTAGACTCCTTCAGATGACCATCGTCGTCGTCCGTATCACGAGCAGACTCCTTCAGACGCCCGACGGCCTCGAAAGCGCTGAAAGCCCTAATGTCGGTCTTGCCACACGGACCACGAAGTCGAAAGCCCTCGCGCGGCCAGTCGCATCCGCCTTTAGACGACGCGTGCGGTCAAGAGACAAGCGCCATGGTCCGAATCAGCGTCTTGAATGACACTCTCAGTACGTCTATCATCGTTCGCACGCGCGTTATGACGCGTCGCGACGTCGCGCGTGTCGCGACGGCGCCGAATCGCGTCCTCGCGCTGTGGTGTTTTAGGGTCTGTGACTAACCTCGCGATCGATCGTGTTCGCGCGCTCTGCAGAGTCGATGTACAACGCGGAAAAGCGTGGGAAGCGTCAGGTGCTCGTGCGCCCGGTTTCCAAGGTGGTGATCAAGTTCTTGCAAGTGATGCAAAAGCACGGTACGTGTGAAGAGAGGGGAACGCGAGCGGGACGCGCGCGAACGATCCTGAAAGCGGCGCGCGCATCACAGGATGAATGTGGAGACTGACGACGGAATGGTTTACAACGAATAGGCTACATCAACGAATTCGAGTTCATTGATGATCACAGAGCGGGAAAGATCGTCGTTGAGCTTAACGGACGTATCAACAAGTGCGGCGTCATCAGGTGCGTGTGTTTTAGGGTCTGCGCGAACGCTCGTCGAGAAGCGCGTCTTCTTTAAACGTCGATTAAGACTCGGAGACTGACGATGAATGGTTTTAAACTCGTAGCCCGCGTTATGATTTGTCCCACCACGACCTTGAGGACTGGGTTGGTCGACTTTTGCCCTCTCGTTTGTTTGGTGTCATCGTGCTCACCACGTCGTCGGGCATCATGGACCACGAGGAGGCCCGTCGCAAGAAGGTTGGTGGCAAGGTGCTCGGCTACTTCTACTAAGTGGTCGCGTGGAGTGGAGAATTCGATCGAATATGATCGACCCTAGATCGTCGAGAGCGGTGTCTAGCGCTGGAGCGTCTCGAGGTTTGAGTTAGATTTCATCAGCGGTGTAGTGAAAAGTCAGAAGCTTCGCCGACCTCATGCGCATTCGCCCTGTTTTGCCTCCTTCGTCGGCGCTCGTTCGTAAATCATTGCGTAATCATCGATATTAAAAATGTATGTCCTACTCGCGTTCAACTTAGTTGCCTTCTTGGATCCACTTGGCGGCATCGATGGCATAGTACGTTAACGTCAAGTCGGCTCCGGCGCGCTTGATGGCGATCAAGGATTCCAAGACCGCATCGCGTTCGTTAAGGTAACCCGCCGCGGCGGCAGCCTTCAACATGGAGTATTCGCCAGACACTTGGTACGCGGAAATTGGGAGCGTGGTGCTGTCTCTAAGCGCGCGGATGATGTCTAAGTAGGCGCCCGCCGGCTTGACCATCATGATGTCCGCGCCCTCTTGTTCATCGAGAGCAGCTTCGCGCAAGCACTCACGGTAGTTGGCCGGGTCCATTTGGTACTCAGCCTTGTCCTTCGGAATCTTCCAGTCTTCACTACCCGGACGCGGCGCCGACGCCAAGGCATCACGGAACGGACCGTAGTACGCGCTGTTGTACTTGGCGGTGTAACTCATGATGGCGACGTTGGTGAAACCTTCGTCGTCGAGCGCTTGGCGAATGGCACCGACGCGACCATCCATCATATCGGACGGAGAAATAACATCAGCACCCGCGCGCGCTTGGGACACGGCTTGTTGGCACAAATAGTACACCGTTTCGTCGTTCATGACGACGCCGTCGGAGCGCACCATGCCGTCGTGGCCCATAGTGTTGTACGGATCGAGCGCGACGTCGGTGTACACTTCCAAATCGGGGAACGTATCCTTCAACAACGAGATCGAGCGTTGGGCTAAGCCGTTCGGATTGAACGCCTCCTTCCCGCAAGCCGTCTTCAAGTTATCCGGGGTCTTCGGGAAGACGACCACTTGGTTCACGCCGGCCGCGCGCGCCTCGCGCACTTGCTTGATCATGCCATTCTTGAAGCTCAGGCGGTCTTGTCCCGGCATAGAACCGATGGGAATGTTCTCATCGCCCTCGTGCACGAAAATCGGGTAAATGAAGTTATCCGGCGTGAGAATCGTCTCGCGGAACGCCTTTCGCACCGTCGGCGAGCGGCGGTTGCGTCGCGGTCGGCTCGGCAAATCTTGCGGCACCACCGTCGGCGCGCCTGGAGCAATCAATCGTCATCCACACTCGTCAGTCATCGCGTTCGCCCGCGTCGACGCGTTTCGCGGCGATCGATATCATTTCACATCCTTTCTCATCCCCATCGCGTCGTTCACGCATCGCACGCCGTCACACGCGTCGTCATCGTCACCCATCGCACTGGATAAACCACGACATCGCGTCGGCGCGCATCGATCGCGCCGTCGCGCACCTTCGGGGTTTCTCGGCGGCACGCGCGTCGTGGGCGGGGCCATGGTGCTGTCGGCGCGCGCCTTGACGCGCGTTCGCGGCGCTTGCGGCTTCACGAAAGCGCTCGGGGTGGTGATGGTCGTCGAAAGCATCGTGTCGAGTTGTGCCGTCGCGTCGCCCGCGACTGTTTGCGCATACGAAGATCTCGAGATTGCATCCAGGCGTGGATTTTACGGTTTTAGTGAAGAGCGAAAACGCGAGCGCGCGAGCGCGCGAGTGAATGGAGAAAGAATAGTTAAAAAATAACGATCGTTTACGCGAGCGCGGTGCGCATGGTGTCGCGAATGACTTGCGCGTTGGCGTCGATCCATCGAACGCGCGCGGCGTAGTTTTCGGCTCTGAGCGCTAGTTGCGAGATGTCGTCTTCTTTCGCGGCGCTTCTCGCGACGAAGTACACGACGGTTTCGAGCACGCGAAGTTTTATCAAGTCCGGAAGGGCGTCGATCTCGGCCTCGGTCGGCGTCGCGCGCCGGCAAAATCCCTTGATGTAGTCGACAACGAACGGCAGAGGATCGCGTTCGCCGACGTACTTGGACAAACCTGCGGCGGCTTCCATCATACGCCAGTCGTACGATGCAAACTCAAAGTCGATGATGCCCGTGACTTTACCCGTCGTCTCATCCGCGAGGGAATTATCGTAATGGACGTCGCCGTGGATCAGCGTCTCGGGTAAGCCTCCCGAAGATTCGATGTCGGCCAATTTTTCTTCAAGTACGCGAATAGAGTTGAGCAAGTCGTTCACCGAAACTCGAACGGCATCCAAACCTGGGTTCGTCTCCGCCTCGACGAAAAATGCATCGCGCGACCCACCTTTCTTGATGAACGCTCCGAAGATGTCCCGATACACGCTCGTCGGGCTCACCGGAGCAACGGCACGCACTTCGCTTTCGGCTTCTTCCATACACTTCGAAAGCGCCGCCGTCGCCTCTCCCACCGCGTCGGCGAAGCGCGTCTTCGGGAGCGAACCAGGAATGAGTTCAAACACGCTCGGTTTCGCGTCCATTATTATATAATCGAACGACGAATCGCTCACCGTTCTCGCAATCGCAATATCGCACGTGATTATTCACGCCGCCGCTCGTATCCGTCAGCGCGAACGCGCTCCCCGGCGCGAACGCCTCGCACGTCATGCGCAGCTCCGCGTCGTCGGCGCTCGCGAACGTCGACGTCGACACCACCGCCGGCGCCGCGGCCGCCTCCGCGGACTCGTTCGTCGACGCCACGCTCGCCGCCGCCGTCATCCCGCGCGTCCCACGCGTTTTATCCGCGACGCGCCGTCCCCGCGCGACGCGCGACGTCACCGTCGGCGCGCTCGCGCGCGTCGCGCGCGCGCCGCGCGCGTTCGCGCGCGTCGCCATCGCTCGCGCCGCGCGTCGTTCGCGCGCGCGTGTGGCGCGCGCGTCGTCCGTCGTCCGTCGTCCGTCGTCCGTCGTCCCGTCCGCAGAGTCGCGCGCGCGCCGCATCGCTCGTCGCACGACCGCCCGCGCGCGCTCGCCATGGGCAAGCGCAAGAGCTCCAAGCCGCCGCCCAAGAAGGTGGCCCCGAAGGTGGACACGACGTTCACGTGTCCGTTTTGCAATCACGACAAGAGCGTGTTCGCGCGACTCGATCACGTCGCCGAGAAGGGGCTGGTGGAGTGCGGGACGTGCGGACAGAAGTACACGTGCAACATCACGCACCTGAGCGAACCGATCGACGTGTACAGCGATTGGATCGACGCGTGCGAGAGGATCAACGCCAAGGACGAGGACGAGAGCGAGGAGGAGGATTGAGATTGATTAGAAGGCTATGTAGAAGAACGAACGGGACGTCGTCGTTCGTTCGTTGTGATGATAATGAACGACGAGTGAGCGAGAAAATAGCGCACGCGCGCGCGCGAACGAAGTAAGCGCGATGCGCGCGACGACGCCGTGACCCGGGTCGACGGGGGTTTGATTTGATTGTATGTCTCTTCGAGACGCTAACGCTATTCGCACTACGAGATTTAATACGCCAACGCGCTCGGGATGTCGGGCCCGCCTCGGTATAACTGAATTGGCACCGCGCGAACGGCCACCGGTTCTTTATTTCCAGGGTTCAATGGCTCGAACACGCACAGAACGCGCAGCATGAAGGCGACGCTAAACGTCGGCGCCTGCACGCTCGGACACGCGAACAGGCGCGGGATGACGACGTGTATCGGAATCTCCACCCCGCGCGGACAGTCGCCGTCGACGATTTGCGTGAACTGCACGGGCGATGTCTCACTCACCACCTGACCCTCGCTCGTGCTGCAACCCTCGATGCGACACAGCTCGATTTCGATCGCCCTGAGCGGCGCCGCCGAGCGTTCGACGACGAGCCGCCCCGTGATCGCCTCCTCTAAAAACCAACTCGTCTTATCGAACGATCCGCGAATCAAGAACCCTTCGCTCGCTAACAATCCAGGCGCCGGTCCCAAATCTTGCCGCTCCTCCGTGATCTCGAACGCCATCGTCTCGCTCGCCGCCGCGTCGGCGACGTCGTCCTCGTCCGGCTTCGTCTCCACTAAAAATTCGCACATCCCCGTCGACAGCGACCCCCCACGCAGGATCGGCCGCACCACCTCCGCATCGATCGCGTACACTATCTGCGTGTTCTGCCCGTGAAACGTCTCGTACATCGGCGTCGTCGGCGGAAAGCTCCCCAGCGTGAACGAAAACGGAAACGCGTGCACCCCCACCGCCAGCCGTCCCGGCGGCGCCAGCACCAGCGACACGTCCAGCACGCGCACCGGTTCGACGACCATGAACAGCGATTCCAGCACGCTCACGCTCGAGTCTCCGACGCGCAGCTGCACGTTTCCACACGCCGTGAGCAGAACACCGTTGTGCGCGAACGGCGCGTCTTCGCGTTCGACGCGCACCACCACCTCGCCGCGCACGACGTCGCGCTCGCGGTATTTACTATCGCTCGACTCCAGGAACACGTCCACGCGGCTCATCGCGCGTCGTCGTCTGGCGCGCGTCCATCGATCGATCGATCGATCGACCGATGCATCGCTCGACGACGCGCGGCGACGGACGGCGACGACGCGACATCGCGACGCGCGCGCGCCTCGAGCGCGCGCGAGCGAGGCGCGACGCGTCATCGCCGCGTCGTCGCGGACGACGGCGACGCGCTCGCGCGCGCGACGCGCTCGCGCGCGCGCCGACGCGAGCGTCGAGGCGGTTACGACACCGCGCGCGCGACCGGCGACGCCGCGCCGAACGGCGGCGTGGGCGTGCGTCGTCGCGGTCGCGATCGCGTCGATGAAGATGACGCTGAAGCGCGAGCGGCGGGAGACGTACAGCGCGCGCGAAGAGACGACGCTGGAGCACGCGGTCGACGCGAACTGGGCGGAGGCTGAAAAACTCCTGGCGCACCTGCCGACGCGCGAGGGGGAGACGAACGCGTTCTTTCCGAGCCTGGACGACGCGATATTCGTCGGACACTTGGTGACAGATTTAGATTCCGTCGCGGGGGCGATCGGGGCGGCGAATCTGTACGGAGGGAGCGCGGCGGTCGCGAGCGCCGTGAACACGGAGACGCGATTCGCGCTGGATACGTGGGGCGCGACGCTGCCCGAACCCGTGGAGACACTTTTAGCGGAACGACCGGATAGGAACGTCTGCTTGGTTGATTTTCAGCAGCAGTCGCAGTTGAACCCGGCGATTCCGATGGGGAACATCGTGGGGATTATCGATCATCACGCGCTGCAGTCGAACACCATCGTGACTGAGCGACCGATTTTCGTCGACATTCGACCGTGGGGGTGCATGTCGTCCATCATCGCGCATAATCACGCGGTACAAGGGAAGTTTTTGCCCAAACACATAGCCGGAATGTTGCTTAGCGCGATTTTGAGTGACACGCTAAACTTGAAGTCTCCAACGACGACGACGTGGGATGAGCGCGTCGTGACGATGCTGGTGCAGTACTTAGAGGTCCAGGATGTGAACGAGCTCGCAGCCCGACAGTTTCGCGCGAAGAGTCAGTCGCTGAGTCTGATGACACCGTATGCACTCGTGAACGGTGATATGAAGCAGTTCAAGTTCACTGGTGATCAGGAGACGTACGAGGTGGCGTATTCGGTCATCGAGACGACGGATGCGGACGCATCGCTCTCGCGAGCGGCGGATATACTTCCGGAAATGCGCGCCGTAAAGTTGGTGACGCCATCCACGAAAGCCATGCTTCTAGCTATCGTCGACATTGTCAACCTCACGTCCACACTGCTGATCTGCGGACGCGTCGAGGCCTCGCTCGCCGTGGCGGCGTACAGTGGAGTGCTCGAGAACGATGGAACGATGCTGAAACTTCCGGGCCTGGTGAGCCGCAAGAAAGACTTCGTTCCACCTTTAACGAAGGCGGTGAAAGATGGCTGGAAGCCCCCACGCCTGTCGTTTGACGAAGATACGGAATCTGAAAACGGGTTGCATCGCTCGCGATCGATGGTTGACATTCCAACAGGGGACGTGGTCGTCGACTACACAGAAACACCGTCTGGCAAGCTTGTTCGCCAAGAAACAGGAGATTGAAACGCGTCGAGCTTTAGCAATGTTAGCAATTTGTTTTTACTTTTCTGATTTTCCTAAACTAGCTATCGAACCGTGCGCCGCGTCCCTCGTTGAGCGCGGCGACGAATTTGGAAATCCTCGAGAACTTTTTTATCTGCCTCTTGCTTAACGCTAGATCCCTCTGATTTTAAGAACTCTCTCTCGAGTGCGCAATTTCCGAAAACGCGTGTGAGTAATTTTCTAAGTTCGGAGATATCTCTACCGCCGTAGCGGCTGATAATCATCTCCAAAAGATGCGCGTTATCTACACGTCCGAGCATCACTCGTAAAACATCTTCCAAGTGTTCGTCAAGAACATCGCGCACTCTCTTGTAAGCGCCATCCGTGAGCTCTAACAACGAACGGAACACACTATCGAGGCAAGACCACCACATTTCTTCACTATTTGATACTTCGCTCGAGACGCGTCTACACATCCCGACGGCTACATGTAAAGCTTCGTTTGTCTCGATGACGAATCCCTTCATCAAACTCTCCGCGGGCGCAGTCTTTGTCCACTCTGCCCCACTCGTCGTGAAGAGCTGCGCCATCGCGCGAATACCAGTGGAGTAGTTGCATAGATGAATACTGAGCGCTTCGTTGTAGTTACCCGCAGCCTCGAGCAAGTAGGCCGTAGCATCCATGACGTTGAACTCTCGGCAGTATTCAAGGCACCGAGCTTCGTCTAAACTCTTCACGTCTTCACTTTTTAAGTACTTCAACACATCTTGTGGTTCGAATTGACACATGAGTCGAAAGTACAACTCAGCCATTTCCGTCGTTACGACGGATTTTGTCGCCGACACCAAGTCCACGAGACTCATGTCGTGAGGGCTGCCGACGCCGTCTTTAACTTCGTGCACGGCTTCGAGAACTTGTCGCAGGTATTGAAACTGCAAGACAGGCTCCGATGATAGTGCGTTCAGAACTTCAGCTTGTGCGTGTGGGAAGTACGCGATTGCAATACGAGCGCATACATCAGCGGATTTAGCGGCGACGACGGGCATGATCGCAAGGAGCTCGTTTTGAAAGACCTTGGCGCTCTCGGTGTCGAGTGGATGCGCTCGTGCCACCGCTGGTCCAGCGTTCATTTGCTCTGCATGCACGATGCCTGGACCTGATTTACCAAGGCACACGTCTACATAATGTACAGCAGCGTTTCTCCGGTGCTCATCACCGGCGAGCGCCTTCAAAGCGTTGATATGATCACCAGATGCGATGTATATCACGGCTTCGGCTTGAGCAAAATGTGCTTCTCGCGCGAGATTGAGGATTTGACACTCGTCATTCAACGTAATATCTTCGTCTATGCGCCGTCCGATGATGGATACCATCGCCTTCTCTCTTTCTATGACGTCATGTTTCGTCTTCGCGAGCGCCAAAGTTTCCAAGAGCTCCCGTTCAACTTGCTGCGTCACTGTGGCGCGGCCGGTACCGACGATGCTTGCGGCAAACGTGAGAAGTCTTGAACGAGTTGGAGCTGAATTTACGGGACCACACGCACCGGCGGCGAAAACCACGGCTTCAACAATAACCTGAGATCCCATGCGATCGGTTGGAAGGCCATCTATGGCGAGTATTTCGCTCTCACTTGCGTCCCAGTCTTTCAAAATTTCCGTCAGCACAACAGTCGAGGCTTTGGGTTCGGCAAGAAGAAGATACAAAAGACGCAATGGTGGACATGATGAATCGTCTTCTCGTACGGCGAGCGCCATCGCTGCGTTCCACGTGGTACTCAAACTTGACTCGGAATCATGCGTGCTCATTGTAAACACATTAAGATCGACTGGCTCAAACAGAAATTTCATCACCTCCATTCGAAACTGACTAACGATTTCGCTCGACAATCTACAACCGTTTGTTGGAAACTGTTCGCCTTGAATAGTCTTGAAAATAAACAGCAAGACCTGTCGAACGCGAGCTTTATCACCAAACTTGGGCTCCAGCGAGGCTTGAAACATGGCTTCGACCGGTGTGATGAAATCATTTAAAGCTCTCGTGAACACGTGCGCGAGCGCGCTGTACATGCCATGATGTTTGCAGAGTCGAGCGACTTGATTCAAATCAAGCGATTCTACATCCATATGCAGAACGCACTGTTCAATCACATTTGCCGCATCAAGCGCAGCATAGTGCTCCACGAGCGCTTGCATCACTTCTGCAGGTAACGAACGCAACTTGTCCGATAAGATATGGGGCACCATGCCTTTCAAAAACGCCGCTTTGCATTTTGAGTTTAGGAAGGCACCGAATACCACCGGCGCATACACTTGATTCAGTGCGTTAAACGCAAGCAACAGACCGAAAACGACACTTGTTATTAGTTCGAAATACGCAGCATCGTCAGAGTCGATACCACGTTTGTTCAAAGATTCATCAAGGAACTGTGGGACTACGTCGACAAACGCTTGCACCGCCCTTTCCCGGGTAGTCTCCGGATCTGCATACTTTTTCGACAAGCTCGGCCACAACGGCAGCTCATCCGATGCGACTTCAATAAGCGTGTTCAAAGTACCAACCCAGTTGCCTTCCGCCTTCTTTGCTTGCATTCGCTCGAACCAACCGAAAAATTTGCCGCGTCGTAATCTCGAAGGTGATAGCATAGCGAAATGAACGCCGCGCACGGCGACAGATCCATGCCAATATGGCAAACGCTCGAAAACAGCGTCATGGCTCGCGGTGGCTTGTACAATTTCACGAGCAATCGGAGGCTCGCTCGTCGCAACACGTTCTATGAGCTGCCCATGAGACGTGTAAACAAATAGCTTGTTTCGGCTACTAAGGACACAAATCAAGTCTTGCGACAGCCAAGCCGTCGCCATCGCACTCGCAACGACGCCTTCTGGATCGATGCTCCACGAATTCAGGATACGCGATGTATTTGCGGCGCGTTTAGTTCGTTCATTTTCTCCAGGCGATCGCTTGATCGATTCAACGTCGACGGAGAGCACGTACACGCTCGCGCCCCATACCACGACAAGATTGCATTCTTCTACGTTGTCATGCGTAGTGACTTCATCCGCCCACCTCGGGCTCCAACACATCACAGGTAGCACGGTAGCCGCGATGTTTGGCGGCCGAACGATCTTTGCGATGACCTCAGCTCGTGGATTGAGTCGCATGATGAGCACGGCGTTCATCGTGCACAACGCCGCAACGCCTGCGGCGTCTGCAATATTCTTCGCTGCGCTCAGCGTTTCACCGTACGTAGGACTGATGATACCATTATCATGGGCGTTAATATCTGATACACTCACCGAGCCGACTCGAGGCAGCGCGTGCGCCGCTATCACGAACGTCCGCTCGCCGAGCGACGCCGATTTGACTCGAACGACACCCATTCCGAGAGGCGAAAGCGTGTGATGAATGACGAGGCCACCCTCCTCGGACGATATCACGTCAACAACACCGTTTGACTCCACTTTTGAAAGCATTACGAGCGCTATCACGGGCGTTCGATGCGCGCCGACGATTGTTTTCAAAATCGTCGGCGTGCGCTTGATATCCCACAGCGTGAGACCGCCGTCGTCGTGTCCCACCAAGAGCCACTCACCCCTTTCATCGAAGCACAAACTCGTCACCCCGGGCGTGGCTGAAATTCCAGCAAAAGTATTCGCCGATTTCAGGCACGAAACCGTCCGCTCATCGTTCACGCCGCGTTCGAGAAAAATAAAACCGCCCTCCGTTCCCACGGCGACGCGTTCTCCGGGACCCAGCGCGCAACACATCGCCCTCCCCGCGTCGACGGTATCCATCATAGCGTTCGTCACTCTCTCCACATTCACTAAATCTACCACCCCACCCGCGCTCGCCGCCGTCCCCACCGTCCTATTCTTTTCCGTTCGAGCTCGCAGCGCGCGAAGCGCTCGTCTCGCCTCGTCTCGCGCGTCGTCCGCCGTCGACGTCCCCACCTCGCTCTTCCCTCGCTCTCCGGCGAGCAACCTCGCCTCGCGCATCGCCGCGATCGCTAAACCATCCTCTTCGCTCTCGTCCTCGTTCGCGTCGTCCGCGCTCGCGTCGTCCTCGTCGTCTTCGTCCGCCGCCGACGCCTCCGCGCGTCTCGACACTCGTCGCACGAGCACTCGCACCGCCGCGTCGCTCGCGTCCCCGATCGATCGCGACAGCGACAGCGGCATCGTTCCGACGTCGCGCGTCGCCTCGCGCGTCGTCTCGCCGCCGTCGTCGTCGCCTTCGTCTTCGTCTTCGTCGTCGCTCGACGACGGCACCAACAAATCGTCCACTCGCGGCGCGTCGTCGTCGTCGTCGTCGTCGCTCGACGTCGCGTCTCGCTCGACGCGCGCCGCTCGACGCTCGCGCGCGCGCGGCGTCGCGCGCCGCATCGCGCGCGCGTCGCGCTCTGCCGCGTCGCCGGTCGCTTTGAACGATAACGGCCCCGCGCGTCGGCACACGGCGCCGCGCGCCGCGTCGTCGCGCGCGCCATGCGCGACCCCGCGCGCGCGGTCGCCCGCGCGAGCGCGAGCGCGCTCGACGCCGCGGCGCGCGCGCGCTCGACGCCGCGGCGGACGCAAGATGAGATTCTGAGCTCGAGCGCGGCGCGTCGTCGCGCGTTCGCGCCGTCGTCGTCGTCGCGCGCGAGCTCGAAGAGCCTCCTGAACTCGATGCTCGGCAGCGGCGCGCTCGCGGTGCCGTCGTGCTTCGCGGCGTGCGGATTGGCGCTGACGACGGCGACGAGCGCGGGGGCGTGCCTGGCGTGCGCGCTGTCGCTCGAGCAAATGTTGTACTGCGCGAACGCGCACGGCGCGTGGTCGTACGAAGATTTGACGAGCGCGACGCTGGGACGACGAGGGAGGATCGTCGCGAAGTATAGCATCGCCGCGCTGTTGGTCGGGGTGGTGGTGGCGTACGTAAACATCGTGGGGGATAATTTCTTCACGGCGGCGTCGAGCGGCGTGCTGCCGGCTGGGGTGGAGGTGAATCGCGAACGCGTCATGGCGGGGGTGACGTTTGGGGTGTTTTTGCCGTTGGCGACGTTCGTGAAGAGTCAAAAAAGACTCGAAAAAGTGGTGGGGTTCGGGTTGGCGACGACGGGGTTGTTTGGATTGTGTTTGGTGACGCTCGCGGCGCGACGGTTGGCGCTCGGCGACGGGAAATCGAGCGCGTCGAAGACGTGGGACGCGAGCGGGCTGGGTCTGGTGCTACCGATCATGGTATTTAATTTTGCGGCGCACGTGATGGTGTTTCCAGCGTTGAAGAGTTCGGGCACGGCGGTGATGTCGACCTCGCGCGTCGTCGGCATCGCGAACGAGACGATGGTGCATTTGTTGATCTTTTACATCGTCACCGGCGCGTGCGGATACGTGGCGTTCGGGTCGAGCGTGAACGGTAACGTTTTGCGCAACTTTGGTGCGGAAAGTGGATGGTTTGGGATTTACACGCAGTTGGTACGGTTCTTGTACGGGTGCGCTATATGCACCGGCGTGCCGCTTCTCTTCATTTCCTTGCGAGAAATATCGCCCTCGCTCTTGCTGTCGCTCTCGCGCGTGGCGGGAAGACACACCGAATTAGTGTTTGATGTTCTCGTGCTTTACAGCTGCTTGCGCGTGTCCATTTCAGTGCCAAACATTCAACACGTGTTCGGTCTCATCGGTAGCACGACATGCTCGATACTTACATTCATTCTTCCTGGGATGATGTTTCTGCGCACGTGTCCGTCGTCGAGCTCGAAGAAAAGTATGAATGATTTCAAACTACTGCAGCAGCTCGGGAGCGGTGTGCGTCTCAGCGCGCACGCGCTAATTCTATTTGGCGTATTTATTGGTATCGCATGTACACGAAGCACACTGCAGTCCTTGAAAGAAGAAGCTGAGGTTGTCGTCATCATACAACGACTCGTCGCCGCTCAAACATTCGTACGATCGAGGGTGCAAGTTTACGACAGGATTCTCACCGCGGCGGCGAAATTCAGAAGAATCGATGCCGTAGAACGAGTTGTTTCACAACTTTCCGAAGAGTCGAAATTAAGCGAGAGCGTGGTGAAAGATGTGACATCCACGCTCGCGCTCGCTTCAAGTCAGGAAACGCGTTCAGCGGCGATGCGCGAATTCGACTCGCTCAATCCGTTTCGAAAAGATGTCGACGAAGAGGACGTGCGAGAGGCAAAGGAGAAATTCGCCAAAGCGAGAGAATCGTACAGAAATGTAAGCGATACCCTACGCGAGGTTCGCGAGACGTTGAGAGATATAGAAGAGGAAGGGGAAGCGAGCCAGGCTGATGAGAGCTCCGACGACGTTCACGAGCGCGCAGATGAGGCGCTTGAGAAAGTACGAGCAACGGACGATGCGCTCGAAGAAACATCGGACGTCCTAGAACTGACCGAAGACGTCAACACCGATCTCGATGGATTACAGGTTGCGTCTGAACGGTTAGAAATGACGGACACGATCATCGAGCAAACGTTGGAGGAGGTACGAGGGGCGAAAAAGTCTGGAGCGGAGGCCGTGTGGCAAGCGGCGACTAATGTGGTCGAAGAGACGGAGAATAAAGATGAACTCATCAAGAATCTGAAAGAACCCATAAATATCGCACCACGTGCGTGGAAGAAGGGCAAGGGCAAAGACGTCGATAGTCAGGAAGATATCGTTGAAAAGATAGTCGCCGCCTCGAACAAGGTGACAGACGAAGAGGCGGAGCGCGCTGTCGAGACGGTGCTCCAAAACAACACGCAAGACGGTGCTTCGAGCCGCGCCGTGCAACGAGCCAGTGAAATCTTAAAAGAAATCACCGCAGAAAGTCCGTCGGATTCTTCGAAGAACCCGACTAAAGCCGACGAGAACGTCGTATTTAAAAAGTTTGTCAACGCGACGACGGAAGGGCGCCAAGTAGAGCAGCAGTAATACAAGTTTCTAACACTAGTTTTCAGCCCCGACGACGACCACGCGCTTCGCTGACTGACGGTACACGACGATAACACCATCTAAACTTACGCGCCAATCCGTGTCTGGCGCAACATCGCCCAAGCGCTGGTGATACGACCGAATGTCTCGCCCGAGCGCCTGCGTCACAAACGCGACGAATTCGTCGGCGCTTTCGTACAGTGAATCTTTGCGCCGACGCTCCCACGCCGCGCGCAAAGCAGCCTCGCCGGCGTCCGTAAGTTTCACTTCATCTACGGTCAACGGTCCGTCACCATCGGCGAGATCGTTTCCGACCCACTCCGGCGCGCGAGCGTCGACGACGCAATCGCTGTACGGCACGTATGGTTTTACGTCCAAAACCGGCGTCCCGTGCACTAAGTCCGCCCCCGCCACGTCCAACGATTTCCCATTCACGCGAACGATTCGCACTAAGCTAAGTCCTATCGGACACGGTCGATGCGGCGTTCGTGTCGCCAAGCACCCTCGCTTCTCCCCGTTCAATCTCGGCACCCGAATCTTCCCGCGAAGCGTCGATTTCGGCCCATCCGCCGCGCCCACTTTCCCATTTTTCTCCGCCCCCGCGCCCAGATCCGTGTTCTCATGAAACACGTACACCAACCAACAGTGCGTGAACTCGTCCAATCCCTCCAGCGCGCTCGCCGGCACCCGGGCGTCGAGTTCGACGCGTCCTCGCGCCAGCGGCACCAGCGACGGTTGCCGCGGCGTCCCCAGCCTTCGATCGAACGCGCTCGCGAACGTCCCCATCGCCATCATCTCGTGCGACGTCGACGCCCTCGCTCGCGTCGCGCCTCCGCGCGCGTCCATCGCTCGTCGGCAGCGCTCGAGCTCCAGGCGCGCCTCGCGCAGCGCGCGCTCCGCCGTCGTTCGCCCGCGCCGCTCCGCCGCGCGCGCGTCCTCCGCGCGTCGCAGCGCCTCGCCCTCGTCCCGCGTCGTCGCGCGCGCGAGCGCGACGAGCGCGACGAGCGCGAGCGCGACGTGCGCCATCGCGCGCGCCGTCGCCGGCCGTCGTCGCCGTCGCCGTCGCCGTCGCCGCGACCGCGTCTGCAGACTCGGTCGCGTCATGCTCGCGGCGGTCGCGCGCCGCGCGCTCGCGTCCGCGCGCGCGACGACGTCGCGCGTCGTCCGGCGCGCCGCGCTCGCGCCCGCGCGCGCGCGCGAGTCGTCGACGGGCGCCGTCGAGGCGGCGCGCGCGCGGTGTCGCGCGTTCGCGTCGACGGCGATGGTGACGGCGACGACGGCGCGCGCGGCGACGGCGACGGCGACGGCGACGGCGACGGCGACGGCGCGATCGTCGATCGGCGGCGTCGCGGCGCGGCGCGCGTACGCGCGCAAGGTCAAGGTCGGGGCGAACGGGAAGACGAAGGTGAAGATTAAGCCGTACTCGTCGTACAAGGGCAGGTTTCAAGTCACGGCGAGCGGGAAGATACTGCGGAAACGAAAGGGAAAGAGACACTGCGCGTTCGCGAAGACGCCGAAACAGAGGATGCGGTTGCGGTCGTCGACGCTGGTGCACGAGACGCTGATGCAGCCGATGCGGAAACTCGGATTTAAGTTGCGTTGAAGGTTTGCGGGACGACGTCGGGAGACGGAGAGGGATTGGGTGTGATTTATGCGAGACTTTTAGGTCGTAGTAGGGAGTGAATGAATTACAAAAGTTTGTTCGTTTGTTCGTTCGTTCGTTCGTTCGTTTGCCAGCGCTAACCGTCGCGTTAACCTCGAAACGCGAGCAAGAGCGCCGGTTTGACTGTGCCTGAATCGAGCGCCGGCGCGTTGGACGACATGATGGACGGCTGGTTCACGATGCGCTTGAGCGCGGCTTTGTACGCCATACCTGGTTCCCCCGCTTGATCGAAAAGCGCAGCTTCGAGCGTGAGCGAGGCGTTTCGAGATAAGCCGTGCTCTTGCTCCAAGTAGCGTGCCACGCGGAGACGAGTGGCGTCGTGCGCGGGCTCTTTAGGTACTCCGCCAGCAGCCGGAGCCGCGGGCTTGGCAACCGACCCCTTCTTAGCAAATGTTTCCGCTAATACCGGAGGCAAGTTTAACTTGGCAGGTGAATCCGTCGCGGGCTTGTCTTCAGCGTCTTCCATCTTCACGTCCTCCGCCGAATTTTCCTCCTTGACCACTTTCTTCACCTCTTCCACGGGCTGAACGGCGACCATGTTCACTGCAGAGGTTCGTACAAGCTCGATCCACTCTACCATCACCGTTCCACACGTCTTTGCAAAGTCTGCGAGCGAAGGATCCTTCACCTTGCTACCTTTTTTCACGGTTTTGGTGATTAACGTTTCCTGCAACATGACTGGGTTCACGCTTTGCTCCTGAATATGCCGAGCGGTTTGCTTCAATCTTCGAACGACGCGGTTGGCGTGCGAATTTGCCTGCTCCACTTTCATCTGCGCCGCAGCCACGGCTTCCTTTGCTTTTTCAAGCTCCAATCGAGCACGCTCTTGTTGCTCTTGCGTGTCCTCGTACGCCTGCAGCCCATCCTCGAGCTCGGTTTTCAACTCTAACAATCTAGGTGTACTCGACGGTACTTTGATCACTGGTTTTTCGATTTCTACCTTTTTCGATTTCGCCGGCTTCTTCTCCGCGGGCTGTTTATCCTTTTTGTCTTCGCCGTCAGCCTTTTTACTGAGCTTGCGCTTCTTGCCGCTCGGCTTCGCCTCCTCCTCCTCGGCGTTCGGTTTGTAATCTTCAACGTCATCATTCGCCGCTTGCGTCTCTTCTTCTCCCGCCACCTCCGCCGGGGCCGCCTCTTCCTCTTCCTCGATGACTTTCTTACGCCCGCCTCCTCCGCGCTTCTTCTTCGCCGCCGGCGCCGGCGCCGGCGTCTCCGCCTCGCTCCCCTCCTTCGCCGCCGTCTCCACGACCGCCTCTGGGGTCGATCCCACGTCCACGCTCACCGCACCGCCACCGTTCTCGTGCGCTCTCGCCTCTTCCAGCGCGAGTTCCAGTTTATCCCTCCCGCGTTTCACCTCCGCCAGCGACGCCTCGAACGCGTCCGCGTCCCACGCCTTCAACTCCTTCTCCGCCACGTGACCGAGGGACCTCGCGCCGAACCAATACACCCTGCGCGAACCCTTCTTCGCCTTGAGCGCGTCCGCGGCTTCGTCATCGCGCAGAATCTACGGCGCGCGACGCGTTCGATGTCGAATTGTCAGTCCGCCGTTCGCGTCGTCGCCTCGTCCTTCGTCGTCGTCGTCGCCGCGCGCGGTCGATCGAGCGCGCACCCTGCACGGCTGCGCCGGCGCGCGCGCCACCTTGCCGAGCGCGATCGCTCCCGGTTCCATCTCGGCGTCGCGCAGTGACGCGAAACCCAGCGCGAAGCCGCACACGATGACGCGCGGCGTCCTCGCGACGTCGTCGCTGCGCCGCCTCGCGCGAGACCTTCGCGATCGATGCGCGGCGTCGCTGTCGACGTCCTCGCTCGCGCGGGACGCGCGCGAGAGCGAGGGGGGGGAGAAATCGCGCGCGCGCGATGATGATGCCGAAATCGCGAGCGCGCAGCGAGGCGCGCGCGAAAGAGCGGCGTTCGTGCCGAGATATCGACGCGATGGCGAGCAAAAAGCGCGCGCGAACGATTCGGGGCGAGGGGCGAGCGCGACGCGCGCGAGGGGGCGGTACGAGGGCGCGTCGGAGGGGTTCGCGTACGGCGGCGAGCGCGTCGACCGGAGACTGAGCACGGAGTTAAACGGTGAGATCACGAGCGCGCGCACGGGGGAGGAGATATTAGAACACGTTCGCGTGCGGTCACATCTATATAATCGGGTGAATTGCGCGACGGCGTGGCACAGATTGGCGAAGAAGGCGCGGCAGCGGTTGTTACCGCGAGCGTGGGAAGCCGGAAGCGACGCGAGGGTGATGGATTTGGAGGCGACGACCAAGCGGTTGCTCGCGACGTTTCAGATTCAGAACTTGAGCAACTTTGCGTGGTCGTGCGCGGTGCTGAAATACAAACCGAGAGATGATCTCTTGGGTTTAGTGGCGGATCGCATGGAGCAGAAGGTGGATGAATTTTACCCGCAAGCGCTGACGAATACGTTGTGGGCGTATACGGTGCTGAAACATCCTCGTGCGCAAAGGTTGGCGGAAATTCTCGCACCAGTGATATTGTCAAAGCTCCCCGAACCGGACAAAGAGTTGATGCAAGCGGAGAGCGCGACGGGAGGAGAGTTCAGCACGCAGACGGTGTCCAACGCGCTTTGGACGCTGTCGTCATTGGGCGTGCATCCCGGATACGAGCTTCTCGATCGTTTGGCGATTTTTGTCGTGAAGTCGTCCCAAAACTTCAAAGCACAAGAGCTTTCCAATTCAGTGTGGGCTTTTGCGCAGTTTGCACACCATCCGGGGAACGAGGCTCTGCGCACTTTTGAACGCTCGCTCCTGGAACGAAGAGAAGAATACACCACTCAAGCTTTGGCCAACACAACCATCGGTCTCTCTGTCTTCGGTGGCTCAGAAGACGATGGCCTGAACAAGCTCTTCAATGACGTCACCCCATCGTGGTTTCGTCTCAGTGAATGTAACAGCCAAGATCTTTCCAATATCACTTGGGCCATCGCTTCCGTGGGAGCGTTTCAATCAGACCTGTACAAAGCTGCCGTGCGCGAGCTTTTCCGCAGGGATTCTATGGATTTCCAGCTGGAGGGATTGAAGATGCTCTTTCACGCGAGGCTGATGCAGCACGATTTCGATCCAGAACGTGAAACTGTGGATGTTGTTTACCCAGACTGGGTGGCTGAGCTCGGCCGCTCGGCGTGGCTTCAACAAACCGAGGACACTCGCGTGAGTACGTTTCAAAAGGAAGTCTTGGAGACGGTCAAAAGCCTAGGTCACGAGCCATACATGGAGGAACTCACGGACGATGGATTACTTAGCATGGATATATGCTTAAAGGACAAGCGAGTCGCCATCGAGTGCGATGGGCCGTCGCACTTTTACACAAACTTGACGGAAGGATTGACGCAGAAAACAAAGCTGCGAGACAAGGCGCTCGCGGTGCGCGGTTGGAAAGTGGTCACCGTGCCATATTTCGAGTGGCAGGTGGAGTGGGGTGCGGGTGCGGTGAGCGCGAAATCATACATAGAAAAAAAATTGCAGGCAGTAGGCGCGTAGGAGCATCGTTTTAGGCAATATCAACACATAGATAATTATCACACTGCGATATTATTCTTGAGCTCGTGCTTGACGTTTTCACTAAGTCCAGTTTGTTCGGAATGCCACGCCATCATGCGCCTCTTCTTCAAAGGTAACATAGACAGCGGCGTTCCAGAAAACTTTTCTTCCTTCACGGAGGGTTTCGGCGTCGGCGGCGCAGCCTCAGCTTGCGTTTGGGCTGGCTTCTCCGCGGGAACCTTCTTCTTCTCGACTTTAGGCTTCTCCTTCTTCGGCTTAGTCTCAACGACGGGCGTTCTAGGGCGCGGTCGTGGGTTGGCGCGATACGCCATGGCTTCGGCTTCGTATCTCGACGAGGTGTCGTCGACGGCTTTGCCGAACGCCTTCAGCATTTCATCAAGCTTCGCGACTTCGGTGACACCAGAAGCTTTTCCACCTACGTCACCACACGCTTTGCAGCGCACGGTGTCGGGCGCTCGAGACGTCGTGCGTGACCTTCCATTCCCTGCTTTTTGTGGTGAGTACTTATCGCTCCAATTCTTCATGCAGCTCTCGTGCGCGATGGCGCCGCCGCTGTCGCACGCGCACGCTCGAATCATTGAACCATACTCTCCATCGCAATCTTCGCATCCACACACGCAGCACACGGCGATGCGATCTTCCTTTAGCAACGCGGCGACACCGTCTATAGTACCAAAATAATCGTCTTTAATCTCGTCGCCTTCGGGCGAGCGCACCGGGGTGGGCGCCGTTCGCAGCGACGCGGCTTTGTCATCCGACGCAAACTCGAGCAACACGACCACCTTCTCGCTCCGACGAACGCACGAAGAGCACTTGTAATCTTTCGGAATTTCTTCCTCGGCGTAGATTCTACAGCATTCGCCGTGCTCCCAAGCCCCGCACGTCTCGCACGCCACCATGAACCCGTACTCCTCGTTGTCGCCGCACACGCAATCAATGATGTCGTCGCCCATGATCCCGCTGTACGCGTACGGATGCTTCTTAGCCCGCACACGAGACCCACCCAATCCAGCTTTCTTCGGTCCCGGCACGCACTTCGTCCCGCGCACCCACGCGTCGAACGCCGCGCTCGCGGTGAACGCCGCCGCCCGATTTCTCGCCTCCGCCTCTGCGTTTTCGCCGGCGCCCACGCGAAACGACATCGTTCGCATCTCCCGCGACGCGTCCTCGTCCTCGTCTTCACCCCCCCCACGCGCGATGACCACCCAAAACTCCGTCCCGGTGCGTTCATTCCGTCGTTTCGCCACGCACGCCGTCGTCGCGCGTCGTCCTCGCTTCGTCGTCGTCGTCCCTCCCGCCTTCTTCATCGCCTCTCCGACCCCTCTCGCGAGCGCCGCCGTCATCCCGGCGTCCCTCACCACCGCATTCGCTCTCGCTCTCGCGTCCTCGTCCTTCGCGCCGCGTATATCGCACCGCACCGCGCCCACGCGCGCGTTCGGCGTCCTTCGCTCTCGCTCCGTCGACCCCCGCCCGCGCGCGTCCCCGAGTCCCTCCACCTGCGCCGCGCTCCACAGCTCGATCCTCGCGTCGACGCAGTAATGATGTTCCCCTCGCTTCCCCTCCGCGTGTCTCGCGACGATCATCGCGCGTCGCGCGCGAGAGCCGTCGCGCGCGTCGTCGCGCCAGGGCTTTCGCGCGCGCGCCGTCTCGACCCTCGCGCGCGTCGCGCGCGCGTCGTCGGGCGCGCGCGCGTCGCGCGATCGCCGGAACCGCGTTCGCGCGCCGCGCCGGCGCGCCGGGACCCGCGCGCGCGTCGCGTCGCGTCGCGGTGTCGCGCGACGCGCCGTCGCCGCTCGACCGGACAGTTGGACGCGCGATGGCGTCGGCGTCGTACGCCGCGCTCGACGACGGCGACGCGCTCTTGGCGGCGCGAGGCGACGCGCGCGAGGACTCCGCGCGCGTCGACGCCGGCGCGCGACGCGCGACGTCGCGCGCGAGCGACGAGAGCGACGAGAGCGACGACGACGGATGTTGCGCGGGGTGCTGCGGCCTCGGCGGCGCGCGATGGCGCCGGAGGCGCGCGCGCGCGGCGGAGACGGAGCGCGCGAACGCGCTGGAGGCGCGACGCGCGGCGAGCGAGGCGGCGCGCGCGCGAGAGCGCGCGTTCGAGGCGAGCGCGGCGGGACGGGCGGCGAGACGGGCGAGCGCGAGCGCGAGCGCGAGCGCGAGAGCGGAGGAGGGACGGCGCGCGCGCGAGCGAGACGCGGACGCGGACGCGGCGAGAGATTGGGCGAATTAGCGACGCGCGCGGTCGCGACGCGCCTCCAGCGCGGTCGCGGGCGTCGTTGTAATTTTAGTCGGAGCGCGCGAGACGCGCGGCGCGAAGCCGCGAAGCCGCAGACGTCGACGCGCGCGACGCGCGATGGGCGGGCACGGCGGACTGAACATCCTGCCGCACAAGTCCTGGAACGTGTACGGCGCGAAACAGCGCGCGCGCGTGGCCAGGGACGAGGCCGCGGCGCGCGAGGCGCGAGAGGAAGCGGCGAAGGAGGCGTTGGACGCGTCCCGAGCGGAACGTTTGCGCGCGCTTCGCGGCGCGGCGACGACGACGTCCGCGTCGACGATCGGTGCGAACGACGCGCACGTAAACCTTTTCGCGGAGGAAGAGGCGGCGGCGCGCGCGACGGGACGGACGAGAGATGGAAGAGAAGAGAGAGGGGACGCGCGCGAGGACGACGGGACGCGCTTCGGCGGACGCGGCGTCGGTCGGGACGCGCGGACGCCGTGGTACGCGAGCGGGGTGAGAGAGAGAGAGGATGCGAACGATGATGCGTACGCATCACTTCCGTCGCGAGTGCGTAGGCGACGGGAGGAAGAGGAGGCGATTCGAGCTACGAGCGACGCGAAGTTAAAGTCGAAGTCGCGGCGGTTGACGCCCGAGCGAGACGACGAGAAGAGGCGAGAGAGGAACGATCGACACGAGAAGAAGAGGCATCGCGAGAAGAAGAAATATCGAAGGGAAAACGATGATCTCGAACGACTTCGGAGCGAGCGATTGGAGCGGGAGAGGAAGGAATCGACGCGCGAAGCTGCGCTGTTGAACGACGGGCTCGAGACGAAGTATTGCGCTGGGTACGGACACGCGAATAAGCGTGGGCGTCGTTAGCTCAGGGGCTTAACTTAGAATACACACTCTAGACGTTAACAACGTAATTGGTTTAGATACCTCGAAACACGGGATTCTGCCGAACGACGCTCGCGCCCTTTTCCTCGTACTCGGCTTTGGTGACGCAGCTCGAGTAAAAACCGGGCGTGGACGCGAGTACGCTTCCACCGAACCAAACTGCGGTGCGCTGGAAGTTGTGCGTCACGACCTCGACTTCGACTTCTTTCGACTCGAACGTGGCGCCTTTCGTCGTCGCCGCTATTCGCCCGTCCACGAGCCTTTTGACGTCGCGTTTGATGCGCTTGCCGAATCCTTTAAACATCGTGCTTCCGCCCGAGAGCACAATGTTACCGTACAGATTACGTCTGGTATCGATCGGGCTCGACGCAATCGCCTGGTGCACTAGCTCTGGTAACGGGGTGATGTAGTCCGACGAGTATATCTCGGGCTCGAAGAAGACCTCTGGGGCGAGAAATCGTTCGTAACCGACATCCGCCGTCCACGTGTCGCCGGTTTTCCCCCGCACGCCGTGTATTTGCACCACGTACTCGCCCGGCATGCGCTCGTGCTGCAAGAACTCTTTCACAACATCTTTGCACACGTAGCAGTAATCCTCCTTAACCTTTCTCGCCACCTCCATCGCGTCCTCCGGCGGCACGCGTTCGCCGCGCTCTCGCATCAGATATTGTACAAACGTCGTCAAATCTCTCCCCGCCAACGGCACGCTCTTGATCGAGCTCCCCAACACGTACCCATCACTCACCGGTATCACGTGCGTCACCCCATCCCCGATATCAATCACCGTCCCCGTCAACGCCGACGCGTACTGACTCTGCTTCTTGCTCGCTATGCTCGCCGCGAGCGCCAACACCGCCTGCACGCCGATGTACATCCCCGGCGCGTTGAACGATTCAAACATGATCTCCGCCGTGTACTCTCGATTCTCCGGCGGATTCAACGGCGGTTCGGTCAACAAAAAGTAGTGATCCTCGGGATCGCACCTCAGGTATCGACAAATCGACGCCTCCCAAAACTTTTCCATGTGTTCCCAATTCTCCACTTGTCCGTGTCTGATCGGCCATCGCACGTCTCTCGACCCACTCAGCGCCATCGCTTCGTCACCGATCGCGAAGTCTAAGTCATCCATCGCGCCCCGCCGCTTCGACGCGCTCGCGGGCGCGTTCTCGGCGACGCAGGTCGGGATCACGTGCGTCGGATTGACATTTTTGGCGAATCCCATCTTCGTGTACCCGGTGCCGTTGTCGATCACCACGGCCGGGCGCGTGTGCGCGTCGCTCGACATCGCGGAGCGCGACGCCCGGGCGCGGTTCCCGCGCGCGAGGACGCGTCGTCGTCGTCGCGCGCGCGCGTGTGGCGGCACGGACGGATGGTCGAGGTCGCGACCGAGCGCGCGCGCGTCGTCACACGCGCGCGCGCGACCGAGCGCGACGACCGAGCGCGCGACCGAACGACGCGACGCGCCATGTTTCGCAACGTCGAGCGCCTGCGCGCGGCGCTGGCGAAGATGCCGGACGCCGCGCGCGCGAGCGTGAACCCGGCGAACGGACGGTTTCGCGCGCCCGAGTTCTCCGGACGCGTCGTCGCCGAGCTGCGCAAGGCGGCGATCGCGAACGGGTACGAGTGGACGCACGATAAACCGCGCGGGACGCAGAAGACGCTGACGCGACCGGGGAAGGGACACAAGTGCGATCGCGAAAAGCCGGCGAGGGAGGCGGCGCGGGCGGAGGCGCTGGCGAAACAGCCGGAGCTCATCGCGGCGTATAGGGCGCGGATGCGAAGCAAAGCGAAGGGATTGGATAAGACGTGGGATGATTTCGTGCTGACGAAGTCGGAGAAGACGCTGAAGATTCGGATGCAAGATCAACAGGGCGGGAAGAAGTAGAGGTTTGAAGAACCTAGAAAATGTTTGTAGCGTAGCTATTGTGTAGGATTATACAACGACGAATGTTCGCGTATTACCTCATCTCCTCCGCCGCCTTAATGGTCCAAATGCTTCCTTTCGATGAGCACAAGTCTGAGAGGACTTTGGTGTAGGTGTGCTGACTGGGCGCGCCGTCGCCGAGGGCGTCCATGATTTCGGAACGCTTGACAACGCCGCTCTGCTTGTAGAGCAAACCTAAGATTTTCCTGCGAAGAGGGTCGATCGCGGGGTCGTTCACGGATACCAGAACGCAAATACCCTCGATGCACGCGATATCACCGTCGAACATCCCCAGAAGTTCGGCTTGTCGAAAGTATGCGCACGCCGCGACGTCGGGGGCTTGCGTCAGCAAAAACGCGCGAATGTCCGCCAAGCTCAGGTGGGTCCTCTTCTCAAACTTCGCGTACACGAGCGAGCGAACGGTGGTGAGGCGAATTTGTGAGACGTGTGGCGGTACGCTCGGCGTCGTCAATTCGTTGGTGAGCAACGTGATGTCGAGGGATGGCGCCAAGGCGAGCCACGATTCCATCTCTCGCGAGACGACGTCGGGGAATTCTGCTTCGAACGCCTCGTCGGTGGCTTCGTTGAACTCGAAACCATCTGCTGCGCTACCGTAACCTCGAGGACGAGAGAATTCTGCGAGAACTTCGCGACGCATCTTTGCCAACGTTGGATCCGATTTTGTGCTGTTACGCTTCAAACAGTTGGATACCAACTCTGGTTTGACGTTGCGCGAACGCGCGAACTGAAAGAGCGCCGAGTCTCGCATGTTTTCCCAGGTCACGTTCCCACCGCACCGCAGCGTGGACTTGGCCACCCAATTACCTTGCACCAAGTGTGCGCTGTCTTGAATCACCGCGATCAATTGTTCAGGCTCTATGGGTTCCGTCACGAATTGACGAATCCTGCTAAATTTCATGCACGACTTTTGACCCTTGGCGAACAACGCTCGAATACGTCTATCGAGCGGCAGAGACGCGAGCTGAGACTTGCTCAACCCAGTTCCATCGCCCAAAGTGTTGGCATTTTCGTCCTCGGGAGCGACGCGTTTGCTTCCGCTCACAGGGCACATGACGTCGAGGTATTCTCTCGCCGTCACCGCCTGTCCGCACGACTCGCCGTGCGTCGTCGTCACGTACGCCTTGACGAACTCTGTATCCGCATCTCCCGGCATGGAGGGCTGCAACGGAATCCATGCCTCCTCGTGCTCACGCTGCCGCAAAAACGCGTGCGACTGCACTCGCATTTCCGTCTGTTTCGCCGTCTCTCGTCGTCGCACTTGCACCTGAAGAGGCAGCAGCATGCGTTCCTCCTCCTCTTGCAACTCTCGCTCCTCTCGCGCCGCGTCGTGCGGTTGCCTCGCGCTATCCGCCGCGTCCAAATGCTGTAAACTCGGTCGCATCTGATAAACCGCCTCGATCGGCGTCAAATACATAGCCCCGTTATGTATCGTGCCCACGACCACTCCGTCTCCGTGCGCCTCCGCCTTCGCGCTCGAGCTCGTCAACAGCAGCGAAGAAATTCGCGTGTGCTCCGCCGCGTCCTCGTCTCGATTTCTTTCGCTCTCCTCGATCGGCATCGTCATCTCTAGTTTCGCCGCATCGGGTTTATATCGCACGCTCTCCACGTTCGCCACGTCGTACGGCCGATCGGGCGGTCGCAGCGGGTACTGCGTTCCTCGTCGCCGTCGCGGCGTCTCGTCAGTCCCCATCGATCGCTCTCTCGCTCGCCTCGCGCGCGTCTCGCGCGCGCTTTCCGCGCGGTTTTCGCACCTGAATCAGAACCATCTCTCCGCCATCGTCCGGCGGGCGATTAAAGTACACCGGGATCGTCTCGACGACGCTGCGTCCGTCGAAACGCGTCGTCAGTCGTCCGTCGTCAGCGGCGGCGGCGGCGTCTCTTTCGTCGTCGGTTCGCGCGCGTCGTCGCGTTCGCGTCGTCGCACGCACGGATTATCGTCGTCGAGCTCGGGCTTGATGTCCCCGCGGCTCGCGCGCATCGCGAGAGGCGGGCGTCGCGCGCTGACGACGGCGCGTCGCGCGAATCGCGGGATTCGCGCGGTGTGGACATTTGACGTTTGACATTTGACGTTTGACGCGGCGACGCTACTGGCGATGGGACGCGAGGACGTCCGGGACGGCGCTCGGACGCGAGGTCGAGGCGCGCGGCGACGCGGTGGCGGCGACGCGAAAGAGGTCGCGCGCGCGAGCGTCGGCGATGTCGGCGTCGGCGAGGGCGGCGAGCGCGCGGCGACGCGCGCGCGCGGCGACGAGGGCGGGCTCGACGTCGAGCGCGAGGGCGTCTCGCGCGGAGGGATGCGCGGCGATTTCCTCGGCGAAACGCGCGCGATGGCCCGCGGTGGACAGGAGGCGATAGACGGCGACGCGAAGGTTGACGAAATGGTCGCTCTTGTTCGCCAAGGCGGTGGAGATGATGTCGCCGAAAGATTTTGAGCCGCACGCGGCGAAAATCGCGTCGGCGAGGATGGACTCGGCTTCGTCGTCCAGGATTTCTTGTTCGCCTCGTTCGGCGCCGAACACGTTCGCCAACGCGTGCAATGCGACCACTTGCGACTCGCCGCGTCCTCGCAGCGCGCTGTCGGCCGCGGTGAAGACGACGGTCTTCGTCGTCTTGACAAAGTTTGTCGCGACGATCGCGTTCGTCAAGCACAGCTCGCCGGCGGCGTCGACGACGGCGTCGCGAAAATTCGATTCCTGGGCCGTCAGCACGCGCGCCATCTCCTGAACGAGCGCCTCATCGCTCGTCGCGCAAGTCGCCGCGATTCTCGCACCGACGATCATGGCGCGCGTGCGGAGCGCCGGGTCCGCGGTTTCGTCCAGCGTCGCCCGCACGAGCGCGTCGCCCAGCGACCCCACGCTCTTCAACCCTCTCGCAGCCGCGGAGGACGATTCCGCGACTTCGGCGAGAATCTCGAGCGACGCGAGAGACGATAATAAATCCGGACCATCAATCTCACGCACGCACGCGTCGAGCGCGCCCGATTTCACCACGACGCTCGCCGCGTCCTCGTTCGCCGCCGCCGCGCTCGCGGCGAACGCCAAACCGCGCACCTTCGCCTCGCTCGTCCCACCCTCCCGCGACGTCTCCTCCAGCACATCCCCTAAAACATCTTCCAGCATCTCTGGAAACCGCGCGCACAGCGCCAACAGCGCCCCGCTCGCCGCGATCGCCGTTCCCGTATCCTTTTCTCCGCACCGCCGCGTCGTCGCCGCGCGCGTCGCCGCCGCCGCCGCGCGCGCCCCCTCCTCCATCGTCGCCCGTTCGTACACCCCTCGCACCAGCGCGCACGCCGTCTCCACCGTCTCCGCGTCCTCGAACCCTCTCTCGAATCGCATCGCGAACGTCGCGTCGTTTTCGTCGAACGCTCGCGCGAGCGCGTCGACGCCCGCGCGCGTCTCGCCGAGCTTCCTCGCGAGCGCTCGCGCCGCCGCCGCGTCCTCCTCGCCGCCGTCCGTCGTCGACGCGCGCTCGAGCGCTTCGAAAATGTCCCGCCACGGGTGCGCGCGCAGGATGGCCGTCGCCGCGTCTTCGCTGCGTCGCGTCGTCGTCGTCAGTCGACCGAGCGCGCCCGCGCGCGAATCCATCATCGCGCGCCGTCGCGCGCCGTCGCACCTGGGCGTCCCGGGAACGACGAGACAATCGCGCGCGAGCGCGCGCAGGCTCTCGGACGCGCTCGCGCGCGACATGTCGCGCGCGCGCGTGCGTGCGGTCGCGGTCGCACATCGCGACGGCCGGACGATGTCGCGCGCGCGGTCGCGCGGTCGACGCGCGCTCGCGCTCGCGCTCGCGTGCGCGTGCGCGTGCCTCGCGTCGCGCGTCGCGCGCGCGCGCGCGTTCGACGACGCGTGGTTGGACGCGGTGGAGGACGACGTCGTCGACGAGCCGCGGGGCGATTTTGAATTCGAAGGCGCGACGCACGACGCGGCGACGACGCTCGAGGACGAGGACGACGACGCGCGCGACGCGTTCGAGGACGACGCGGCGGCGGTGATGCGGGAGCTCGCGGCGGCGGCGGCGGCGGCGGACGCGCTCGAGGACGAGGACGAGGGAAGGGAAGGCGCCGCGGTCGAGAGCGACGGCGCGACGGAGGTCGAGGACGCGGACGCGAGTGAAGACGCGCCCGAGGCGGCGGCGGCGGCGGCGGCGGACGATTCGAACGACGTCGAAGCCTCGGCGGTGGATTGGGTCGAAACGATCGAAACGGTCGAAACGGTCGAGGAAGAGGAAACGCCCGCGGCGGCGGTTGAAGTCGTCGAGACCGCGGACGAAGACGCGTCCGTCGAGGACTGGGCCGCGGCGGCGCCCACGGCGGCGTCCACGGCGGAGCCGACGGAGGCCGAGCCGACGGACGAGACCGCCGCCGACGTCGAAGGTGCGATGGAACTCGTCGAAGACGCCGACGAAGACGCGGACGATAGCAATGAAGGTTTCATCGGAGGTTTATTTTCACGCTTCGGTGGGAAGAAGGACGCGCGCAAAGTCGAAGTCGAGGAGGAAGCGCGAGACGAAGCGATCGACATCGCCGAAGCCGTCGACGAACTCCCACCGGTGCCTGACGTTCGCGAACCAGAACCGGAACCGTCGCCCGAGCCGCGTGCGATCGAACCGGTCGTGGAATCAGAACCAGAGCCCGAACGAATCGCCGAACTGGAGCCTGAACCCGTCGTCCAAGTAGAAGTCGCGCCGCCGAAATCCGAAGAACGCGAAGACACCGAACGTCGTCGCTTGCTCGAAGCGCCTCAGGCGCAACAGCAACAGATCGAAGAGCCGCCCCCGCCGAAACCGGAAATCGTGTATGTGGGCGGGTACTACAAGAGGAGTAATCCTTGGGCAAAAGGTCCGCGCGTAAAAGTCGTCGACTAACGTCGAGTTTTTGTAAACAATATTCAAGTCTTCAACGAGAAAAATACGCGCGCGACGAGGACGAGGGCATCTTTAATGAATGGTTGTGTGGTATTCCAGAGATAAAACAATGCGTTTACATCACCATACCACCGTCGACGTGGAGCGTCTGGCCGGTGATGTACGCCGCCGCCGGGTCCATGGCGAGGAACTTCACCAAACCGGCAATCTCTTCCGGTTGACCGTAGCGGCCGGCCGGAATCGTGGTGAGAATCTTCTTTTCCAACTCCTCACCGAGCACGGCCGTCATGTCCGAGGCGATGAAACCTGGGGCGATGGCGTTGCACTGAATGTTACGACCCGCGTATTCTCGCGCCACCGTCTTCGTCAAGCCAATAACACCCGCCTTCGCCGCGGAATAGTTCGCTTGACCGGCGTTACCGGTCACACCAACCACCGAGGTGATGTTGATGATGCGTCCCGAGACCGGCTTCTTCTTACCCATCGCCTTCGTCGCCGCTTGCGTGCACAAGAACACGCCCGTGAGGTTCAAGTCGATAACCTCTTGCCACTGTTGCAGCTTCATGCGCATCATGAGCGTATCGCGCGTGATCCCGGCGTTATTCACCAAGACATTCACCTCGCCAAACTTATCCATCGTCGCCTTGAACAGCGCGTCGACGTCTTCCGGCACCGCCACGTTGGCCTTCACCGCGATCGCGTCCCCGCCCGCGGCTTTGATCTTCTCGCACACCTCGTTCGCCGGTCCTTCGCTCGCCGCGTAGTTCACGACCACGCGCGCGCCTTGTTGACCGAGCGCCAGCGCGATCGCGGCGCCGATCCCTCGCGACGCGCCGGTGACGACGCAGACGGGACCCGAGGCTTCGGCCCGCGGGACGACGAGGGCGCGCGCGGCGCGCGCGACGCGACCGTGCTTGGCGGCGCGCGAGGCGAATTTCGCGACGGAGCTGCGCGAGGCGAGCGCGCGGGCGGCGACGGTGGACATATCGAAGTCAAACGCGAGCGTGGAAGTGGCGATTGCGAGAGGAGGGATTTGAAGGTTTATCCACAGCGTCTGACGCGGGCGCTTCTCGAGGCGCGCGCAAAGTCTCGCTTAATCATCGTTTGTCGTTTACATATGTTGCTCGAAAAGGCATCGATTGTGTCCTACGCTAACCGTGGGTGTCTAGAATGCGCCGAAACGCGAGGCAGAGGCGGCGAGACGAAACGCGCGCCGTCGGTTGGTTGGTCGCGTCGAGAGACGCGCCGCCGAGACGCGCGAGAGAAAACCGCCTCATTTGATCGCCTTATTTAATATGCCCCGTCCTCGTCTTCGTCGTAATCACCATCATCGTCCACAGTGGCGTCTTGGTACTGCTGGTACTCGGACACCAAATCGTTCATGTTAGATTCAGCCTCAGTGAACTCCATCTCGTCCATACCCTCACCCGTGTACCAGTGCAAGAAAGCCTTGCGACGGAACATCGACGTGAACGCTTCGCTGACGCGCTTGAACATCTCTTGAATCGCGGTAGTGTTACCGACAAAGGTGGCGGACATCTTAAGACCCTTGGGAGGGATGTCGCACACCGAGCTCTTCACGTTGTTAGGAATCCACTCCACGAAGTACGCCGAATTTTTGTTTTGAACATTCAAGAGTTGTTCGTCAACTTCCTTGGTTGACATGCGACCGCGGTAAAGCGCAGAGGCGGTGAGGTAGCGGCCGTGACGCGGATCGGCGGCGCACATCATGTTTTTGGCGTCCCACATTTGCGCGGTGATTTCCGGCACAGAAAGCGCGCGGTACTGTTGCGCGCCTCTGGACGTGAGCGGCGCGAAACCAACCATGAAGAAGTGCAAGCGCGGGAACGGCACCAAGTTCACCGCGAGTTTACGCAAATCAGCGTTGAGCTGACCCGGGAATCGCAAGCAGCAAGTGATACCGGACATAACCGCCGAAATCAAGTGGTTCAAGTCACCAAACGTCGGGTTCGTGAGTTTCAGCGTGCGGAAGCAGATGTCGTAAAGCGCTTCGTTGTCGAGCACGACGCACTCGTCGGCGTTTTCGACGAGCTGGTGCACGGAAAGCGTGGCGTTGTACGGCTCGACCACGGTGTCGGACACCTTGGGCGACGGTACGACAGAGAACGTGAGCATCATGCGATCGGGGTACTCTTCGCGAATCTTCGAGATGAGAAGCGTCCCCATACCGGAACCGGTACCGCCTCCGAGCGAGTGCGCCACTTGGAAACCTTGCAAGCAGTCGCATGATTCAGCCTCTTTTCGCACCACGTCCATCACGGAATCGATCAACTCCGCACCTTCGGTGTAGTGACCCTTGGCCCAGTTATTCCCCGCACCAGTCTGTCCGAACACAAAGTTGTCCGGTCGGAAGATTTGTCCGTACGGTCCCGAGCGCACGGAATCCATCGTCCCCGGCTCGAGATCCATGAGCACGGCGCGCGGCACGTAGCGTCCTACATCATCGCATCGCGTCATCGCACATCTCGTCAGTCTCTCTGTTCGTTCGTTTTCCTCTCACCCCACCGCTCGCGCTTCGCGCGCGCGTCTCTCGCGTCCCGCTCCAGTGACATATAGCCGTTAGCGCCCGCGCCCGATCGAGCGCATCACGTACCTCCGTTCGCTTCGTTGTAGTACACGTTCACGCGCTCGAGCTGCAAATCAGAATCACCGATATACGTCCCATCGGCCCCGATCCCGTGCTCGTCGCAGATAACCTATCGCGCGCCGTCGTCGTCGTCGATCGTTCGCGTCAGTCGTCGATCTCGCGGTCGCGACAGATGACGTGAAATCGCCCTCGCATTCGCGCTCGCGACGGTCGAAGCGCGCGCGCGAGGCGTGACGTACCTCCCAGAACTTCGCCCCGATCTGGTTACCGCACTGGCCGCCCTGGATGTGGACGATTTCGCTGTTCACGAGGGAAAGATTACGCGCACATTCGTCAGCGAGCGATCCAACTTCAAACGTCGCGGGCGCGGGATCGCGGTTTCGACGCGCGCGCGCGCGCGTCGACGCGCGCGCGTCGACGCGATTGAATGAAGAAAAAGTCGACGCACCGCATGTCTACGACGAGAGGCGCGCGTTCGGCGCTCGCGCGGCGTCGCGAGGTCGAGTGTGCGGATTGTTTGTTCGAACGTCGTCCCCCTGGGGCGTTTTCGATTTTGATTGGCAAAAACAGGGCGGTGTACGCGAGAGCGGGCGCGCGCGCGCCTATTCACTCGCGATCCCGCCCACGCTCGAGCGCGCGATGCATGACAGACGCACTCAAAGCGTTTATGACGCCGAGTGCGATTAAACCGACCCTGGCGCGCCGCTCGAACGCGGCCAAGACGCAGAGCGAGGCGAAGACAAAGGCTCGACCGAGAACGGTGCTGCGGTAAAACGATTCGGCGCCGAAACCTCGAAGTTCGTACAGCGGCGTGCCGACGTAATACGCCCCAAACGTCACGCAAAGCACTCCAAACACGCGAATCCACGCGCTCGTGATGTCTGCGGCGTTAAACAGGATGGAAAACGTCGCCGCGGGCGCGACGAGCAACGCCAAACCGACGGCGCCGATGTACGCGCCCGTCAACAGACTCGATCGCCGCACGCTCGTCGACGTCGAGCAATCTCCTCCGACGTTTTCATCGCATACGACCACATCCACGCCGTCCGCCGCCGCGCGCGCGACCGCCGGCCGTCCAGTCGCGTCCTTCGCCGTCGACAACCGCCACCGCGCGCCGCCGACGCGCAGCGCCGCCGGCCGCATGTCGATCGCCCGCACGCACGCGTCTGGTTCGCAAGCCTCGACTTCACCCAAGAGCGAGCCCCAGACGGTGACGTCGCCGCGCGTCGCGCGCACCGCACCGTCCCGCTCGACGTCCCCGCACACCAACACATCGCCGTCGTGTTCGACGCGCTCTCCAGCGCGCACCGTGCGCGAAATCACGAGCGCGGGCGCGCGCGGCGGCGTCGAGGCCGCCCGCGCGCGACACCGCGGCGACGCGCGCGCGCGCGTCCCGGAGGCGACGCGGGCCGCCGCCGCGCGCATCCGTCACACAGTGGCGCTCGGCGTCACGTCGCGCGCGGTGTCGTCGCGCCGCGCGCCGCCGCGCGCGCGACGATCGCTCGCGCTCGCGCTCGCGGCTCTGTGCGTCGCGTTCGTCGCGCGCCGCGCGCGCGCACCGCGCGCGATGGGCGCCGGAACGTCGACGAAGGATGGCGGAGTGGATATCGATGTCGTCGCGCCGAAGCGCGTCGTGTCGTACGCGCGCGCGAGCGGCGACGCGGCGACGAAGTGCGAGCGCGTGCTCGAAGACTTGCGCGCGGGCGCGCTGGACGACGCGACGGAGCTGGACGTGTCTAACTGCGGGCTCACCGAACTGCCGGACGCCGTCGGGCGACTGACGCGCCTGGAGTTTCTCAACGCGGGCGGGAACGCGCTGCGAACGTTGCCGGAGAGCATCGAGAATTGTCGCAAATTGAAGCGGGCGTTCTTTCTGGGGAACGCGTTCGAGCGCGTGCCCGAGGTGCTGGGACGGTTGCCAGAGTTGTTTATGGTTTCGTTCAAAGCGTGCGCGGTGCGAGAAGTGAGCGAGGACGCGCTGGCGCCGAGTCTTGGGTGGTTGATTTTGAGTGATAATCAAATCGAACGGTTGCCGGCGTCGCTCGGACGGTGCGCGCCGATGCGAAAGTTGATGTTAGCGGGGAACAAGTTGCGCGCGTTGCCGGAGAGCATGCGGGAGTTGAAGAATTTAGAGTTACTCAGACTGGCGGACAATCGCTTTGAAACGTTTCCGAGTTGGATATTGGAGTCGCCTCGACTGAGTTGGTTCGCCGCCGCCGCGAATCCCGCGACGGATACGATCGGAGATAAAGCAAAGACACGTGCAAATTCTGCAGACGTGGTGACGGTGGATTGGTCCGAGCTCGGCGTGGCCGAGGACGCCGAGCCGCTCGGTAAAGGCGCGTCGGGCGCCGTGTATGCGGGACGATGGAACGGCGAGACCGTGGCGGTGAAGGTGTACAACAACGCCGCAAAGACAAGCGACGGGCGCCCGGAAGATGAGATGACGGCATCGGTGCTCGCGGCGACGATTAAGAGCGAGGGTACGATCAAGACAATCGCGCGATTTCAACGCGGCGATTCGCGAGGCTTGGTGATGCAATATCTTGACCACGCTTCGTGGAAGGACCTCGGGAAACCTCCGAGCTTTGATACAGTGGCGAGAGATACGTACGATGACGATGTTCGATTCACGGCGAAAGAAATCATGGCTGTCGCGCGAGACGTTGGTTCGGCGCTTCGAGAGTTGCACGCGATGGGCGTCGTCCACGGCGACGTCTACGCGCACAACATTTTGCACGTCAAAGAATCTCCAGGCATCGAACCACGCGCAAAACTCGGCGATTTCGGCGCCGCCTGGTTCTACGAAAGAGATTCATCGAACGCACGAACGATAGAACTCAACGAAGCGCGAGCGTTCGGCGCCGTGTTGGAGGAGGTGTGCGCGAGGCACGACGGCGTCGACGGCGTCCATCCCATCGCCGCGCTCGCCGCGCTCGCCGCCGGGCTGCTCGGCGAGCGCGGCAGTCGTTTATTATTCGACGACATCGTTCAGCGCATCGCCGCCATTCAACTCGACTAGCCCGTAGTATTTTAATTTAATGTGTTGAGATATTTCGCCGCGCGGCAGTTCAAAACAGTTATGCGAGCCAATTAATCAATCCGTACACCCGCGCGCTCACCTCCGTCGCGCGCGCGCTCAGAAGCCACGATGTTTCGAAACGCGCTTCGTGGTGCTTCTCGCGCGCTCATATCGCGCACGTCTTCGCACCCATCGCGCATCGCGCACCCGCGAACGTACGCCCTCGTGCCGATGGTGCTCGAGCAAACGAACCGTGGCGAGCGCGTGTTCGACATCTACTCGCGCCTGCTCAAAGAGCGCATCGTTTTCGTGAACGGACCGATCGACGACAACGTGTCCTCGCTCACGGTGGCGCAGCTGCTGTTTCTCGAGAGCGTGAGCCCGACGCAGCCGATTTGGATGTACATCAACTCCCCGGGAGGAAGCGTGACGGCTGGATTGGGGATTTATGACACCATGCAGTACGTGTCGCCGCCCATACACACGCTGTGCGTGGGACAGGCGAGTAGTATGGGGTCGCTGTTGCTCGCGGCGGGCGAACCGGGTCAAAGGAGAAGTTTACCGCATTCGCGCGTGATGTTGCATCAACCGAGCGGAGGGGCCTCGGGGCAGGCGAGCGATATCGCCATTCACGCGCAAGAGATATTGAACGTTCGCCAGAAGCTCGTTCAGATTTACATGAAACATACCAAGCAAAATTTCGACTCGATCGGCGTGACTCTGGAGCGTGATACGTTCATGACTCCTGAAGACGCTAAGGAGTTTGGACTCATTGATGAAGTCATCGAAACCCGACCCGCGGAGACGTCTCCGGTTTCCGGAGAATAGTCTTCGTTTTTACTTTAGAGTAGTTTAACCTGGTTCTCTTATAGAACTGCGCTGTAATGTTGCCTTATGTGTCTTATTTCATCACGATTTTATCGACGTGCCTAAAACCTCTTCAAGGCGCTCGCGTTGAGTCTCTTTAGCAGCGATGCCTTCCGTAGGGTCTCGCCATTTCATGCGCAACACGTGCGTCGATCCTGATGCGCAACCGACGAGAATGACTGGCGCGTCATGCGCGTATGTCACGCTCACCGCGGCTGTTTTATCGTCTGTGATTGAAAGTTCATGTTTTGGCACCACCGAGGAGGATGCCAAATCCCAAATCTCGATCGTCCCGGCGTCCGTCACCAGTGCGAATTCTGTCGCGCACCATGGGCTCCAGTCCACGGCATTGATGGGCTGTTGGCTGTACTCGATCACAACGCGAGGCTGAATCAGGCTCGATGCTTTCAATCGTGATGATGCCTCGTCGATGGACGCAAATGCGTCGTCGTCTCTTTGAGTATCATCGAGAAAAACGCGCACCGTCCAATCCGCAGAGCACGTCACGAAAACGCGTTCGTGGAACGGATTGAACTTGATCGCGTACACAGGACCGACGTGTGAGGCGTACGAGGCCAAGTATTGATCAGAGTACGACAAGGAACATTTGTGGATTTTCCCTTCCTCCGTTCCGACGACGTAGTACTTTGCATCCGACGAAAAGTCCAGACACATCACCCCGCTGTGCTGAACAAGATCCCCCCCGCGCGTCTCACTCGCCTTCGAGCTCACGGCTCCATCGTTCTCGACACCCGGCGGCGACCACCGCACGGCGAGCACCTCCGTCCCGTACAAGCCATCGCGCAAATCCCATCGCATAACTTTGCCATCCGTCGACGCCGAGACCAGAGCGGTTACCGTATCCACATTCTCTTCGTCTTCGAATCCATCGGTTGCTTTCACCGCAACCCACGTGACCGCCCACACCGGATCGCTGTGTCTTTGCTCGCTCGACGTGATTTGACCACGTCGAGTCGTCGTCGTCATCGTCGTCGAATCGCTCGTCGTCGCCGAGCCATCGCGCGACACAAATTCTCCAACGTCGTAAACGAATACTTCACCGTCGTAACACCCCACGGCGAGTAAGTTCGGATCGCGACGCGACCAATCTATGGACATCACACCACTTTCGAGTCGTAAGACGCACAGGGGTGCTTCCGATCTAATCGACCAAAAAGCCAGCGCGCCCTTTTCACGCGTTTCCCGATTCGCCCCCGCAAAACTAAACTCGCCGTACGCGACGCACACTAGGTCTCCCCATACCGGATTTAACTTCACGCTCGACACGTTCATCCCTCGCGTTTGCTCGCACGTTAGTATCGTGAGCGCGCTCAGAGCGCTCGCGTCGTCGTCGCTCGGACGTAAACCGCGATACTTCAAGCAATACTCCAATCGCTCGCGTTCTCGCAGCGCGGATTCCATCGCGCGTAAAACGTTCACGCGAATCTCCGGCGCTCGCGACGACGACGCGCCATTAACACTATCATCGTCATCGCGATCACAATCGAACTCATCCGCTTGCACCACGCGCACCTCCCGCTCGATTCTTTCGGTCAACGCGTGCGCGTCGAAGCGCAGCGCGCCCAACGTTTGCGCGCTCGCGTCGTTCACTCGTACGCGCGCCGCGCGTCGATCTTCAACCCTCGCCAAGTACGCCAAATCTCTTGCGCGCGCATCGCCGTCGTCATCGCTCGACGATTCGCTTTCAGATCCATCCGCGCGAACAATCTCAATCGTCGACGCGCGTTCGCGTTCGCCTCGACTTCCTCGTCCTCGATCGCGACGCGCGAGCGCATCTTGCCCTATCGCGCACTCCGCGCTCGTCGTCTCGCTCGTCTCGCTCAAAACCGTCTCGAACGCGCTCACCGACGCCGTGAGCGACGGTCTCGGCGCGCGCGCGTCCGCGCGTTCCCGCGTCGTCGTCGCTTCCGCGCCGATTGATCTTCCGCCGAGCGGTCGCGGCGTCACCTCGCGCCCGTCGTCGTCGAACACCCGTCGCGCGCTCCCCGCGTCGTCGACGCTCGCGCTCGCGCTCGACCCGGGCGGTTTCGCCGCGCGCTTGCGCGCGTGACGCGACATCGCGCGACTAAAACTGGCGCGCCAGGCGTTGACTCGCTCGACGCGCGCGAAAGGCGTTACTTTAATAAACGCTCGAGTCGCGCGCGCGCTCGGGCGCACTCGACGACGCGCGCGCGGACGCGGCGCGAGAGGCGAACGGCGATGGATCTCGACGACATCGATGCCGCGCTCGACGCGATCCCGCTCGAGACGTGGGAGCCGACGCCGTCGCACCGACGCGCGCGAACTGAACGACGAAGGGCGGAGTGCGAAGCGTTATTCGGACTGAAGGCGCCGACGAGCGCGTTGACGGCGATGGCGACGAGCGCGGTGATCGTGCGAGCGTTGACTGCGCCGCACGCTGACACAAGGCGTTTGGAGCGCGCGATGGTGGCGGCGGAGGCGCACGAGCGCGAGTTGGGTTCGGGGGCAAAGGCGCGGTTCGCGGACGTCGGGACTGGGATGCGGATGCGGTATCGCGAGTACGGCGGCGATGATCGCGTCGTGCTCGTTTTGCACGACGTCGGGGAGTGTGGAGACGTGTATTGTGGTATCGCAAAGTCTTTGAGTGAGCGCGGGTATCGGGCGTACACGATCGATTTGCGTGGACACGGCGAGACGACGTGGTCGCGCGAAAAGCGATACTCGCCGAGCGATTTAGCCGACGACATCGAGTCTTTCATCATCGAGCTCGATTTATACGTTCGACCGTTGACGATCGTCGGAATCGGTATGGGTGGCATCGTCGCGACGATGGTGGAAAACAAGAACCCGAGGCTGGTCGCGTCGACGGTGCTGGTGGAATGTTCGCCGCTGGCTCCGATCGACGCGTTTGCATTCCACCCATTGCAAGCAGCGGCGTTTGAGGACGCGGTAGGTGCGGTACACGCATTGTTATCGCCGTCTATCACCACAAGTGACGTGGACCCGGAGCGGCGTAACTTGAAACACGTGTGCTTGCGCGCGCTTTGCACGATCACGCGCGGTTCGCGACGCGACGATGGCGCAGAGGCGCTATGGCGCTGGCGAATGGATCCTGAGTTTTATTGCGAGTACGACGAAGACTCAGTGTGGAGATCGATCGAAACTGTGTCGTGCCATTTCGCAGTTGTATACGGTGAACACTCCTCGCGCATCGACGCGCGCGACGCCGAGCTCATCGTCAAAGCGGCTTCGATGAACGCCAAATCGTCGCGCGCGTACGTCGTCGCCGGCGCCTCGCGTTTCGTCGTCGAAGACGCGATGGCAGATACGCGAGACATGATCATGTACGCCCTCATGCGAGCTGACGACGATATGTTGGTGAAGAACAAACAAGCACGAACGCCAGAACTCCTCGGGATCCGTCCACTCCCGCAATACGCCACTTTGGAGGAAGCGATGAAGGCGCTCGCTCCGCGCCCAGTGCCGACATCCGCCGTCGTGGAAGAAGCCTTACGCGACGCTCGCAAAGATGACGAGTGCGAGAGCGACGACGACACACATCGATTGAATAATCGCACGAAACTCATACAAAACGATCCAGAATACTTCGGGTTCGTCGGATGAATCTTGGAGACGGATCGAGCGCGGCCGACGCCGCGCAGCGCCGCCCGAGCGTCCCGCGGCGTCATAACGCACCGCGCGCCGGACGCACGACGCGCGCGATGCTCGCGACGCGCCTCGCGACGCCATGTGCGAACACACGCGCGCGTATCACCTCCTCGACGCACCACCGCGCGCCGTTGACGCGTAAATTTGCTCGCAAAGTCGTCGTCCCGCTCAGGGCGGCTGAGACTTCGGGACAAACTGAGGAAGAATCCACGTCGTTCAAGCCAGCGGATGAGATAAACCTCGACGGCATGCGCAAGGAAACGCAGCGACGCATCGAGCGCGCGCTGAAGAAGGTGGGCAAGGCGACGACGAAACTTCGCGTGGCGCGAGAGACGGTGGAAGCGCTCATGGCAAAGGAGGACGCGAGCGAAGCCGAGTTAGCCGCCTGTCCGGACGTCGACGCGATCGCGAGCGATCTCACGAGTTGCAAGACTGAGCTCAATGATTTAAATGCGTTGAGTGACGTATTGCGTGGGTGTAAGAGCGTGAATTCGCCGATGTTCGTCGATGACGCGTACGAGCGCGCGAAGGCGTTGCGCGTGGACGACGCGCCGCCCGCGCGACCGCCGCGAGTGCCAAAGGTGAAAGGGCCGAGGTCGGATAAACCGAGGATGCCGTACTGGACGTTCGTCAGCGTGGATGGGATTGATATACGCGTCGGGCGAACGTCCTCAGATAACGATAGCGTGAGTTGTGATCCGCAGTGTCGCGACTCGAGAGACTGGTGGATGCACGCGGCGGGGTGTCCGGGATCGCACGTCGTCATTCGATACACCGGAGACGATTTACCGAAGGAAACGATGATAGACGCGGCGGTTTTAGCGGCTGCGAATAGTAAGGCCAATCAGGTCGGGCGCGCGCCCGTGTCGCTAGTGCGATGCCGGCAAGTGAGTAAACCACGCGGCGCCAAGCCTGGACTGGTGCAGTTGAGCGGCGACGTGCGCACGGTGACTGTAAACGTCAAAGACGAGGCCGCGCGCTTAGAACGATTGATGACGACGAAAAGTTGAAGGAAAGTGATAATTATTTGATAACAACTTGCATATTTGAACAGAGAGCAGCGTACACTAGTAATTACAGCGTGCGGCGATTCGTGAGCGCTCACCTTGTTCGCGCGGCGGGATTTGAAATTTTCTTGTCCTTGTGCGTGCGAACGATTTGATTGACTGGTATGTACGGCACCCACTCTTCCGGTGGATTTACGAACCGTCCATGGCGCGTATACATGCACATGTTCGCCACCGTCGGCGCCGTGGGCGTCGTTCGAAGCCGCATCCCGCTTTGTGACAACGTTTTGTCGCCCTTCTTGTTGTTGCACTTCGCGCACGCCGTGGCGAGATTCTCCCACGCCCAGGGCCCACCTTTCGACGCCGGCACCACGTGATCGACGGTGAGATTCTCACCCTTCCCACAGTACTGACACCGAAACCCATCCCTGATGAAGATATTTTTTCTATGCAACGAAATCAAAGGCGTTTTGTGACTCTGGTGCCTATTGTAAGATCGCGTGCGCACCACCGCCGGCACGTAATACGCCTCCTCCGCGCTCAGCGCCCAAGGCCCGTCGTAGTAACTGATCACGTCCACCTTCATCATCATCTGCAGCACCATCGCTCGCTGCCACGGCACGATATCGATCGTCTGATACCCGACGTCCAGGACCAACACGCGTTCGTCGCTCGCGAGCTCCAGCTTTCCATCCGTCGCTTCCTTGACCAAGCTCGTCGGCAGCGCGACCGCGTTCGCGTGCGCCCCGACGCTTCGCGCGTCGTCCCCGCGCTTCGCCGCGCGTTTGCGCGCCGCGGGGCGTCGATTTCCCGCGTTTCCCGCGCGCTGCGCTCGCATCGTCGCGGCGACGCGCGACATGTTCGCCAAGTTTGAAATTCGTCGCGACGCGTCGTTCGTTTCGACGCGCGCGCGCGCGAGAGAGGCGAGACGAACGCGCGCGCGCGCGCGCGGAGTTCGCGCGCGCGCGACGATTCGCGATGGGACGCGCGACCGGCGCGGTGGTGTGCGGGACGACGATGAATGATGATTCTCGGGCGCAACTGTTTTTAACCGTCTCCGGCGGTCCGGCGCCACGCGCGGCGGATGGGAACGGAACGGATTGGATTGATTGGACGCGTCGCGTTACACGCGCGGCGGACGGCGGTGACTAAACTACGCGGATGGAACGCTCGTGACTTGGGCGTCGGCGGCGAAGTCGGCGCCGCAGGTATCGCACGACGATCGACGTTCGCAAAAGATGCTGAGGCACACCGAGCACACGAAGCCGACGCTCACCGGACGCTTGTGGCAGAAACAAGAGGCTCGAAAGTCGACGCCGCGCGCGGCGGGGAGCTTGAGGTGAGAGCGACTGCGCATGTCCAGGGCGGCGGTGGAGAGGAGGTATTGAAGCAAACCGGCGCCATGCGTGGGCTTTACGTAGGCGCCGCGAGTGATGTGCGCGGCTTGTTGGAGAAACGGCAAATCGTGCTCGCCGAGCGCGAACGCGTCTATGGGTATTGATTGTCGTTGCGCCGAAAATATCGCGTTCATCATCGAGATGTAATCCGTGGGATTGTCTTGAGATGCTTGTAAGCACAGAATGCGCGGTCTGACTCGTAAACCGGCGGCGGTTTCCAGCGTTTGCGCGCGGTTGCAGTAACACAGCGCCAGACTCAACGCGCCGGCGAAAGGCGACGACATCGCCGCGCGCGACGATGGGGTCGCCGTCTTCGTACGCTTCTTACCCGTCGCACTTGCCGAAGCGTCTCCAGCGTTTAACTCTCCTAACCGCGTCAACATCGTCGGTCCCGCTTCCGTTTGCAACGGATCCAAGCCGCCCACCTTGTTCGTCCAACGCGCGTCCTCCGCGTCCTCGGCCTCGTCGTCGATGGCCCCACCCAACGGCGACGTATACAGATAATGGCATCCATCGTCGTGCACCGCGATCACCGCCGCTCTATTTTGCTGATTCAAAGCAAAGAAACTATTCAGAAACACCGTCGTGGCCTCGAGCACGCTCGACAACCCGTTCGCCGCCGCGGTGCCGTCTCCCTTCCCCTCGCTCGCCGCCCAGTACCGCGGGTTCGTCTCCACGAGTACAACTAAAAGTGACTTATCGTCCGCCACGTCGTCTTCGCGAGCCGCCATGATTTACTCGGACGACGCGCCGTCTCGTCTCTCTTCGGCGGCGACGGCGACGTCCCCTCGAATCGCCCTCTCGTCGAAATCGTCGTCAAAGTCGTCGAAGAACCCGATATCCGTCCGCACCGCGCCCTGTCCCGCGTCAAAACGTTCCGCACCGACGACTCGCTCTATCTCTGTGCGTCACGCGAGGCGCGCGCGTCAGTCACGGTTGGAAACGCTGATTGAGATTCTCACGCAGCGATTCAGAGAAACGTCGTCGCGTCGTCGCGTCGCGCACCCGTGTCGAGCGCGGTCTCGTCTTCGATCGTCCCCGTCCTCGGGTCTTGCTGCGTCTTCCCTCGCTCGCCGCGCATGAAACTCCGCGCGTCACGCAGTGTGTCGTCGACTCGAGCGCACGAAGAGAAACATGTTATTTTACAGTCGTCGCGCGAACGCAAACTACATTAAATTCTAAAGCCTGCACGCGTCGAGGGCGCCGATGAAGCCGCGAGAATCCGAGATTGGACTCTCACCCTTGTGCTCGAAAACTGAGAACATGCCGAGGCCGCCGACGCGCGATTCCAAACCTTTCATCAGCATGCACTGGTGGTCGACTTCGACGCGCCTGCCGGCGAGCGCGGCGTCGTCCAAATCGCAACCGACGACGTACGTCTTCGGCATGTTATCCGTCGACGCGTCGTTGCAGTGCGCGCGGGCGACGACGGTGTCGAGGAGAACGACTTTGACGCGGTCGTGGCTCAGTCGCGCGACGCCGCTTAACTCCGCAGTCGTGCCTGGCACCGAACCATCTTTGCCCAAGAGCGCGGCGTCGACGCTGACTTCGTACGGTTTCGTTTTGAACGGCGCCGCATCGACCGGACCCTGCCCGTTCGCTAATTTCCATCGCAAGCCCGTCTTCACGCTGAGGATGTGGTTGAGAACGAAGGCAACGTTCGATCGCCAGCTGAGTTCCGCCGATCCTAAATCGCTCGACGCTCCCGCAGCCTCTAAAACGTCCGCGGGAACGTCCGCATCCCTACTCGTGAACATATCATCAATCAACGACTGCGAGCCCGGGGTGAAGATCAAGAAATCATCACGAAGACTTGCGAGCGAGGTCCCACCCGTCCAAACGCGCAAATCCTTCTCGGTGACGACGTTCGAGTGCACGCCTCGCATCGCGAACACGCTATTTCGCCCGTGTCTTGAAATCGAATCCGCGACGACTTCCATCGGATTCCTACGAAATCTTATCGTCGGTTGCGCGAGGATCACCGAGTACCCTTCGCTTAAAAGCTCCTTCGCGCTCTCGAGCGAAGCCCACCGACACGCGTCTTCGCGCGACTCGCCGTCGAGCGAAAATTTCTCCGCGCTCGCGCTCGCGTCGAACACCGGCGCATCCAGCGATTGTAACGTCTTTAAACACGCGTCGTCGACGCATCCAATCATGAATTTACGCACGCCGACGTCTTTCAAAGACAACGCCCACTCGTAAGTCTGCGCGAGCGACTCCCCGGTCGACAGCGCGAGCACCACCACGCGATGGGCCACCGCCGGGACGAACTTGCGCCCGTCGACGTTCGCCTCGATCGCGACGTGCGCCCAACGCGCGAGCGGGGCCGCGGACGTCCACGTCCGACCGAGCCGCGTCACGGCGCCTCGCCGCGCCGGGATGTTGGCGATGAAATCGGCGCTCACGAAGACGCCGACGGCGACGAATATGCCCAGGACGAAGAAACGCGCGAACTCCTTGCCTATGATTCTACTCCCGCGCGATTTCTCGCGCGGCGTCGAGGGCTCTTCGCCGAGGAGCGCGGTGCGATCGTCCATGGTGTGCGGTGGGTGTTCAGCGACGTTTTCGGCGTTTTCGGGAGATTGATACGAATTAAACAATCCAACGCGCTAATCGGTGCAGGTGGTAGAATTTCGATGCTAAATATCGTCGTACACGAGCATGTCACGCTTGACGACGTCTCCGCCGTCGTCGACTATTTCGCCGTCGCGAATGCGTTCGAGTTCCTCCAACGCGCGTTGGCGGATCTCATCTCCGAAAGGCTTGTCGCCTTTGGCCTGCACGCTGTATTCAACCATAACGACGCGCCCGTCCACGATCACTGGCTCTTTGTCGGGATCGTTCATGTGCGCGATGGCGGCGTTTACGATTTTCTCCGCCGACGCCGAATCCGCAAAGGTGACGAAACCGAAGTGCTTTCTCTCGATCACGCGACAGCTGTTGACGCGGCCGTAGCGATAGCACGCCAACGATAGACTCTCGATCGTGCAACCGTCCGGTAAGTCGCTGATGAAGATCTCGCGCTCGCCCTTGTCCGTCCTCTCCCCCACGCCGTCGGTGGCTTCCGGGAACGGCGTAGGCGTGTTCATCTTCTGTCGTTTCGCGATTCCAGGAGAGAGCAAACCCGGTCGCTTCGGTCGCTTCACCTCCTTCTTGCCCTGCGACGCGTCCTCTTCGACGGGCGCCGGTGCCTCTTCCACGGGTTCCGCCTCCGGTTCAGGCTTCGCCTCCGCCTCGGGCGCCGCCTCGGGCTCCGGCGCCTTCGTCTCCGTCGACGCGTACCCGACCACGGTATCCGCGTACCCGAACGTCTCCTCCTCCGCCGCCTTCACAACCACCGGAGCAACCTTCGGCGCGCGTTTCCCCATCGTAAACACCAACTTCGGCTTCTTATCCTCCTCCGATTCCTTCTCCGCCGCCGTCGTCGCCGCCGCCCGCGCGTTCAACGCCGCCACGCCGGGCTCTTTCTTCTTATGCAATCCCGCCAGAATCGCCTTCGCGCGCGCGTGCGCGGGATCCACCGGTTCCTCCGCCGCCCTCTCGTCCCCCCCCCCTCCTCCGACGCGCGCGTTTCCCCTCGCGTCGTCTCGTCCGCCGCGTCCTCCGCGTCCGCCGCCGCCGTCGCGTCCGCGCCCGCTCGATTCCGCCCCCTCGCGCGTCGTCCCTCGCGCGTCGCCCCGCGCGCCGCTCGCCGCGCGCATCCTCGCGCCCTTCACGCGCGCGTCCTCGCGCGCCTTGGCTTCCTCGCGCCGCGCGCGCGCCTCTTTCTTTTGTCGCAGCAATTCATACTTTCGTCGCAGTTCCAGGTCCTCCTTCGTCGCCACGGTGAACGTCTTCTTCGGCGGCATGGCCGCGCGACGCGTCGCGACGCGTCGGTCACGTCGCGCGCGGCGTCGCGCGCGGCGTCGCGCGTCGGCGCGTCGGCGTGTCGCGTTTCGGCATCCATCCATCCATCCGTCGCCCGCACGTCGACGCGCGCGATGCGATTCGCCGTCGTCGACGACGCGCTCGACGCCGACGCGTTCGCGCGCGTCGGCGCGTTCGTCGACGCGTACGTCGCGCTCGCGGACGGCGGGTACGACCCCGCGACGTCGCGCGAGGGATGGTTGGACGAGGACGCGGTCGGCGGCGACGACGACGCGACGACGACGACGACGACGACGACGACGACGACGACGCTGACGAGCGCGTTCTGGACGCCGAGACGCGCGCTCGCGGCGCCGCGGTGCGCGATCGAGGCGCTCGCGGGCGGGTGCGCGGCGGCGCTCGGGCTCGCCGACGACGACGCGCTCGCGGGCGCGGAGTGGTGGATACAAGACGTCGCGTGGAACGAGCGGCCGAAGGCGTATCACGCGGATTGTGACGTGGCGATGCGCGATGGGGTCGGGACGAGGACGTTTCCGGCGATGGCGAGCGTGTTTTACGTCGACGGGGAGCGAGGGGGAGGCGCGACGGCGGCGTTCGATCAGACGACGGCGAGCGAGGCGGGCGAGGAGACGGCGAGCGGACTCTGGCCGGAGACGCCGGAGAGGGTGTTCGCGTGCGAGGTGAGGAAGAATAGGTTGATGGCGTTCGAGGGCGATCGTTGGCACGGGGTTTTGGCGAACGAGGGTGGGTTTCGCGGGCAACGCGTGACGGTGCTCGTGAATTGGTGGCGCGAGCGACCGTCGGGGGCGAGGAATTTGCCGAATAGGTTCGTGAGTCCGACGCGAACGGCGCGATTGGGGAAGTGCGTGCCCGTCGAGCCGTGCGTCGTGAAGCGCGCGTCGTACGAGGACGATCGCGCGGCGTGGGAGGCGCAAGAAATGCCGGCCGTCGCGGGCCAATCCGTCGTCGAGTTCGATTATCGAAGCGGTTGACGACGAAGCGGTGGTTACGGTGGGGGTAGTTTTAGCTCGTAGAGAATGAATATTATTTAGAATTTAAAAATCGATGATTTTTTCCTTGTACATCTTCTCTCGAATCACGTCTTCGCACTTTTTGAAATCCGGCAACGAGCGAATCTCAACCTTTTCTCCGTTCCGAAGCGTGACGACCATGTCCCCCCAAGCCCCGATCCCGCGGCCGACGGAGATGACGTCCGCGATTTGATCCAACGGAATATCCGTGCGCTCCTTCCTCAACGGAGATTCCGAAATCACGCTCACGCGCTTGTCCGTAATCTTATACTTCAACCAGAGCGCGCGACCGACGGCTTGAATCGCCAACGGAATCCACACCAGCGTCCACGACATCGCCACGTTCGCCACCACCTCCCCTCTCGCCGGCGGTCCTTCGAACACAATCGTCTCGTTACCCCAATCGATCGCCGGCTCATCGATGTTCTCCGTCACCGTGAATTCGCGCACGCCCTTCGCTCGGCTCTGCTGCGACGCCGCGCTTCGCTTCGGCGCGTCGCCGACCTCATCCGCCGCACCCGTCGAGCTGTTCGCCGCCCGCTTCGACCGCTTCCCTCGCAGCGCGCCGAGTTTCGCCTCGAATTCATCCTCCGTCTCCTCGCTCGCCCGCGTCACGACCGAGGCGCGTCCCGCGCGTCGTCCCGCCGTCGTCATCATCGCCGACGTCACCATCATCGTCCCGCGCGCTTTTCGCGCGCGTCGCGTCGCGTTCGCGCTCTGTCGCGTCCCGCTCCGCGTCGACGCGAGCGCGCCCATCGTCGTCGTCATCGCCGTCGGCATCGCGCGTCGTCGTCGCGCGTCGTCGTCGTGTGTCGCGCGCGCGTCGGCGCGCCGAGTGGATAAAGTCTCACGACCGGGACATGTAACACACGGATTACAAGACGCGCGTCGAATCCTCCCGCGCGCGTCGTCGCACAGCGCGTCGCGCGATGCCTCGAAGACGCGCGCGCGCGCGCTCGAGCGTCGCGCTCGTCGCGCTCGTCGCGATCGTCGCCTCGCGCGGTGGAATACGCGGTGCGAACGCGCGCGCGGTCGCGAATCGTCGAGCGGGAGACGACGGGACGCGCGCGCTGGCGCGCGCGGTTCGCGACGGTGGGAGCGCGCGGGACGCGCTCGCGACGCTGGTGCGGAGCGCGCTCGCGGCGCTCGGCGGCGGTGACGCCGATGACGCGCGGTCGTGCGTGGACGAGGTCGCGGAGGAGGGAGAGAAGTGCGCGAAGGCGCTGCGGGACGCGGCGGCGGCGTTTTCGCGAGGCGACGCGAGCGCGGAGGACGCGGCGAAGGAATTCGTGACGGTGGGCGAAGCGTGCGCGACGAAGATGATGGAAATCGGACAATCGTGCGCGGAAATGACGAAGGCGTGCGAGCGCGAGCTGACGAGGATCGAAAAGGAATGCGAGGAGAAGGCGGCGCGGTTGAAGACGCGTTGCGAAAAGAACGAGCTGGCGCCTTTCGAGTGCGCGGCTTCGTTCGCCGAACTCGGACAGGCGTGCGCGACGGAGACCGCGGCGGAGGTGTCGAAGTGCGTCGGGGAGATCCAAGTCGTCGGAAGTGGCGAGACTTTCGGCGATGACCCGGATGACTGCGACGCCGAGGCGCGAAGGCTCGAACGGCAGTGCCACGACGATTACGACGCGATCAAGGCGGCCATCGCGGACGGTACGCTTTCTTTCTTGGATGGCATGCGAAAGTTAGCGGCGCTGGGTCAGCGGTGCGCGAAGGAAGCTATGGATCTTCGCAAGAGGTGCCACCCAGACGGCCCGCCGCCTTGAACAAACTCTTAAATTCTCGCAACTTTCAATAAAACGACGGAAGGATGAAAATTCGCCGTCGAGTGTATTTTGACGTCCTGTAATTTGATGCAACATCTGATCACAACGCTACCCTTGCTTCCCTAAATCGACCTTTTCTCGCAACGCGCGCTGGCCGCGATACACCAAGCCGTCTACGATGTTCACCACCGCGCTCACGCCGCCTATGATGGCCGCGACGTTTGACAGATATTGAAAAAATCCGATTCGACGTTCCTCGTACTCGACGCGCAACGGCGACAAATCGTAAAAGAAGAAGAGGCCTGGCAGACCTGGATTCTTCGTCACGTCAAAACCACGAAAATGATCGGTGACAGAGTAATCGTTACTCTCCACCACGCGCGCGCGAAAGCCTAGGTACTTGTAACGCGCCGGGACGACGGAGAGTCGGTACTGATACACGCCGGCGTTCGCGTCGTCCATCGTCCTCGTCACGCCGTCCAGCGGGTTCACCACGCCCGGAAATTCTTCCCCGAACGACAACTTATGAATGATGTGCGAAAAATTGAAGCTCTCCACGCCCGCGAACGGGGATAAATCGTGCACGTGCTGTCCCAGATTGTTATAACTCTTCCCCGGCGCGATGTGAAAGTTCCCCGCCACCTTGTTCACCTCAAAGTGTCCCGAAAAGTGGCACCCCTCCTTGTGTTCGTTGCGCATCGCCACCACATCGTACTCCTTCGTGCACTGCGTCACCCGTCGCAGATCCGGCAGCGCCCATCCCTTGACGCGATACGCCTCTCGCACAGAGTCGCAGTCGTCGCAGCACGTCCCCGCCTCCGCCGCGCCGTAACAATCCCCGCACGCCGACCTCCCTCCCGTCGCTTCCCTCTCGCGCTCCCCCGCCTCCGTTTTCGCGTTCACCGCCGTCCGTTCGCTCGTCATCGCGATCGCCCGCCCTCGCGCGTCCACTCGCGTCGTCCGCACCTCGCTCCTCGACACGTCCAGCCGCGTCTCCCCCGTCACGTCCATCGCGTCCAGGCTCACCTGCGCGCAGTGCATCGCCCGCAGCGTCAGGTCCACGTTGATCACGATCTTCTTCGTCGCTCCCGCGACGCCGTCGTCCACGCGCAGGTCGTACGCCGTCGTCGTTCGCATCAGTTCCGCCGTCTGCTGAAGAAACAAAATCACCATGAGCGCCAGCCCGATCGTCGCGATCGCGCCGCCCGTCGCCGTGCGCCGCGCGAAGTCGTCGGATATCTTCGGGAACAGGTCGAAGCGGTCGCGGAACGCGTCGTCGCGGCGCATGGCGCCTTCTTCGCGCGTCACCGCGTCGCGATGTCTCGCGAAGTGAAATCAAATCAAATCAAATCAAATCAAATCGTCGCGCGGTGCCGGGACTGCGCGACGCGCGCGCGACGCGGGCTCGCTCGATGCGCGCGGCGTCGACGCGCGCGGCGTCGACGTCCGCGCCGTCGCGATCGATCGCGATCGCGCGCGTCGCGACGACGCGCGAACGTCCGCGACGTCGAATCGTATCCGCGGCGTCGACGACGACGCGCGCGTCGCGCGACGCGGCGACGCGCGGCGCGACGCGCGACGGCGCGGACGCCGCGCGACGTCGCGCGCGCGCGGCGACGCGCGCCGAGGCGGTGCGCGCGCGCGAAACGGGGACGGCGCGGCGCGACGACGTCGACGATGCTGACGCGGACGGGACGCGGTCGGTCGACGGCGCGACGCTCGACGCGTTCCCGGACGCGTTCGACGACGCGAGCGAGGACGACGAGGGCGAACGCGATGATCGGCGCGGCGCGGACGCGGACGCGGGCGGGCGAGGCGGGAGGTTTCGAACGGAAGGGGAGCGACGCGCGGCGTGGGCGCTGGGGTTGCTGACGTGCGCGTACTGTCACGCGTCGGCGACGGGGTTTCTGTTGCCGAGTTTGCTCCCGGCGATGAGCGCGGATTTGAAGCTGGACGATGGGCAAGGCGCGGTGCTGACGACGCTGTTCACGGTGACGTATTCGTTGCTGTTGCCGTTCGTGGGGGTGTTGGCGGATACGGTGGATCGAAAAAATTTGCTCGCGTTGGGGGCGGCGACGTGGACGGCGGCGTCGTTCATGACGGCGCACTCGGAGAATTTTACCGCGTTGTTGATTTCTCGTGGATTGTTCGCGGTCGGAAACGGGGCGCAGAACCCGGTGGCGTTTAGCATGATTCCGGAGATGTTCCCGAGGAACAAGGCGCTCGCGCTGAGCGTGTATAATTTGGCCATTCACGCCGGGCGCGCGGTGAGTTTCGCGAGCGGTGCTTTCGTCGGGCGCACGCCGCTGCCTCCGGGAGCGGAGGATCCCATATTCTCCAACGAGCCAATCACGCTTCCGTTGACGTACTTGACGGAGATCGGCGCCTTGGGCGCGCACACGATTTTGTACACCACCGCGGACGCCGTCGTGCTGACGCCAAACGTCGGCACCGTCTTGGAGAACACAGTCGGCGACGCCATGCTGTCTTCGGGGATGTCGTGGCATCAAATTTACGACATCGTCGCGCTTCCGGGTTTGATCATAGTACCGCTGATTTTGTTCACGATAGGTGATCCCGGGCGCACGTCCACGGGATCGCGCGCGGTGAAGCGGCGCAAGCGCGCGCAAGAGCGAAAGGCGCAGCGGGAGCGACGCAAACTCAAAGAGAAGATGTACAAATCTCTGCCCGCGATCGACAACGGTGGGTTGGTCGCTCTCGTGGGCTCGACGATCGACGAAGACGATCTCACGACGGAGGAGCAGCGAGTGAGAACCGCCGCGCGAGCGGCCGCGGCGCAAAGCAACATGGCTGGCCAGTACACCTCCGTCCCCATCAAGCCGACGGAGAAGAACGACATGTTCGACTCCTTGACCAGATGTTTCGATAGCGAAGCGTTTAGACAAGTCACGACGGCGGCGACATTATCTGACGTCGCCGGATGGTCCATGATTGCCTTTCAAGCGGCGTTTTACGAGCGCGTATTTTCGCTCACGCCGCAAGAGTACGACCCGCTCCTGGCGATGGTCATCCCAATCGCGGGCGTCACCGGTGGTCTCGGCGGGGGTTGGATTTGTGATAGACTCCAATCCCGCGGACCGAATGGGCAGAGGTGGTTTATATCCATCATGACGATCGCAGCTGGTCCGTTACTCGCTGCGTCTCTTCTCGCCGATGACTATAAAACGTCCCTCATGTACTTGTTCCCGGGCATCGTAGCTTCGGAAATATTCCGAGCGCCGACGGCGGTGATGACGCGAGATGCCCTACCAGAGACGCCGAGCGTCGCCGCGGCAGCGCACCTCGCAGTGAGAAACATGGTCGCAGGAATTGGACCGCTTTTAGTGGCATCCCTGGCCTCGAAGTACGACTTGCAACACGCCTTGCTCCTGGCTCCCGCGTTTTACGTCTTGGCGGGTTTTTCGTACTGGTCCGCCATCGGAGTGTTGACGGACGAGAAAGCGGCGAAACTCGCTACGAAGATGCGAAATAAACCCCAAGCAACGACGACAACGCCGTAATACTGTTGTCCTTCGTATTAAACATACACTTTGTAATCCCCACTAGACGCGCGCGCTGCTATCAACTTGCAATTTCAACCGCTCGCGTGAATGATTGGCGTGATTGCTTGTGTCGATTCTCTCATGACACTCGGAACAGGCGACGAGAGTCCATCGTCATCAGAAGCCTGCGCATCGTCATCGTGCTCTTGCGCGCTCACCTTCTCGTCTACAGTCACGCCCTCTTTGTTCGCGTCGAAATCTAGCGCCGCTCGTGACGCAGCGTCTTGGCCGTCCTTCACGTCGGCGGGCGCCGGATTATACTGCACCGTCTCTGGCGTTCCAAACGTGGCTTGCACATCAGAGACCGGAGTATCTAGAGAAGGAAACGTAATGGACGATAACTTTCGCGCCTGGAGCACGACAGCGCTGATATTGTCTCTACTTTGCCGAACGCGCGCGAGAGTGACGAGCGAGTTGGCGACGCGTCTCGTCCGTACGGGCGAGGGCGAAGAGGCCACTACGCCGACTGGCGCCGCGCGCATCGTTTCACTCGCCAACTTACTCCCCATGACATCAGTCAACCCGTCTGAGCATAAAATCAACGAATCAACGGTCTCCAAATCTACAGCGTACACCTCCGGTTCGACGGATAAAAACTGCTTGATGCCCGCGTTGCCGAAAGCGCGCGACACCGCTAATATACCACACGTTCGCAACGTCCCATCTCTACCGCGCTTGACGAACCCACCATCTCTAACTATTCTTTCCTTCTCCTCAGCCACGCACGGGCGCTGATCCTTCGACTCAAACGTCACCTGCCCTCGATTGTCCAACGCCGTGGCGCGCGAATCGCCCACGTTCGCTACGTACATTTTAGGCGGAATAATCAGCGCCATGATCGCCGTCGAACCCGCCCCTGGTCTCCCATACATCCCTCGCATATCACCTGGATTCCGATCGCACACGACGTCATTCACACGCTTAAACGCCCGTTTCAGCGCCGTCTCTGGATCACTCCGCAGCGTCGCCTCCCCCAGCACCTCCCGCGCCAGGTGCGCGCTCAAGTGCGAACTCACCGCCGCGCCGCCGTGTCCATCGTACACCGCAAGCACAAACGCTCCTATCTCCTCATCCAACACCGCGCACCATCGATCCTCCATGTACGGCCGTTCGCCTCGTATCGCGCACGCGTCGAACGCGAACCCAAAGCCATTCAAATTAAACGCTTCATTCGGCGCGCAGTTCTCCACCACGCCGAACTCCAACGACCCGCTCCGGCGGCGACTCGCGTCCATGTCGACGCGCTTCGACGTCGGGACGCGTCGACGCGGCGCGCGCGAACGACGGCGCGATTATTTCTTCGCTTTCGCGCGACGCTCGAGATATTCTTCGTACGCAGCCAACTGTTTGTCTTTGTAGTCGCGTTCGATCTCGTTCTGCGCGTAGAACCCGATCGCGGCGCCGATGAGCGTGAAAGCGGCGATGCGGAAAACGGATGGAGGCTGCGACGGGTTCGGCATGCGCCGGCGGTCGTCGCGAGGCTCGAAGTGCGGTCGCGCCGCGTTTGAAGCGCGGCTGTCGCGCCGAGCGACGCTAGAATCGAGCGGTGAAGTCGCGATGCGCGCGCGCGCGCGTGAACAAACGGTGGACTTAGCTACATGAATATGACGATTACGATTTACCGTCGCGCGCGGCGACGAGGGCGTTGACTTGCTCGATGAGACGTTCGTGCGCGGCGCACGGAAGGCCCTGCTCCTTGGCGCGCTGGACGACGTATCCGTTGAGACTATCGATCTCGAGCTTCGCGCCCGCGTCGAAATCGAGCTTGGTCGATGGAAAGTGGTCTCGGTACGTCGCTAAACCCGCGAAGACGACGTCGCGGAAATTCTCTGGGGCGAGGGCGAAGCCGTCGGCGTGCGGGACTCGTAAAATTTCCAACATTTCGTCGTACAGCGTCTCCATCGTCTCGCGATGATGCTGCAGCAAGCCATCGCAGTTGCAATCGCCCACGATCGCGAGTAAGTTCGCGACGCCATTGATGAAATATTTACGAAGGAGTAAGTACTCGAACTCATCGGTGGCGTCGCTCAGTACGCCGCACTTTTGCAACAACGCGCGCGTGGCGCGTCCTCCCGCCGTGTTCGGCATCACCCACGGCTTGTCTTCATTCTTCACGTGTATGTCGTACCCGCACCCAACTCCAGGGGTCTCGACGATGTCCCACGACTGCGGCATCACCGCCCGCGTCGATTTATTCTCATCGAACATCGGCGCCACGATGCCGTTGTGCGCCAACACGACGTTATCAAACGTAATCCCGGCTTCCGAGAGCTCTCGCTTCACCGCCTCAAGCGCGTACGTCTTCACCGCGATGAAAATAAAATCAAAATGTCTCTCCTCCTCCGTCGTCAGTCCATCGTAGGTGGACATGACGATCGCGCCCGCGTCGCTCGCTATGACGCGCGCCGCTTCCCGCGTCTCGTCCCCCGCCCGCGCCGCCCTGTTCGACGTCTTCAGCGCCACGCGCTCGACCTCGCCTCGTCGAAACGCGCGCGCGAGGTACGCGCCGACGCGTCCACCGCCGACGACGAGCACGCGACTCGGCGCGCGGCCGGCGCTCGTCGTCTCTTCGCGCGCCGAGTCGCGCGCGTCGACGTCGTCGTCGCCCGCGCGCGTCATCGCGCGCGCCTCGCGCCGCGCGCGCCGCGGACGCGCGGCGACGCTCGCGCGCGAGAGTTCGGGTCGAGTTCGCGCGCGAATGGCGGTCGTCGTCGCGCGAGTGTGCGGCGCGCGCGCGGGCTCGCGACGACGTCGTCCACAGCTGTCCACAGCGGTGGGCTCTGCGGGAGCAGGAGCCACAGACGCACTTTTTGTAAAAAAAAATATGTGCTACATTCGTTTTACCACGACCTATTCTTGCCTTTCCTGTGTTCCGCGCGCAACTCGCGAATCGGGTCGGATGGCGCGGCGCTATCGAGCGCGCGCGCGGACGCGCGCTCGCTAAGACATCCAGCTCAAACGGTGCTGAATCGCGTCGCGCATGGCTTCCCAAAAGCGATCGACGTTCATGCTTCTCGCGACGTACACGTTCTTCGGCTCGGCGCTCGTCCCCCAGCGGTCGATGACGGTTTGGCCGTACGTCAGTCGCGACTCGCACTCGACGTCGACGCGTTCGTGCGTGAATTCGAACAAGTCTCGAAATCTATCGTCCGTTTCGGATTCATCGTACGTGGCGCCCTCGATAAAATTAATCGCAGCCCACACGGCGCAGGGGTCGTGTAAAGGCGGTCCCGTCTTGAAATCGAAGACGTTCTCGTACGTGTCCTTGAAGAATGTCAAGAGCGATCTGATTTGCTTGGCGTGCGCGCTCGCGCCCGCTTTGCCGGAGTCGAAATGACCACCGGTGGTCAAGCTGTCGAGAACGCTCGGGGTGACGATCGCCGTGTGCGTCACCTCGAGCGGTATCATGTAGACTCGCAAACCGCTCTCGAAGACTATTTTCGCCGCTTCGGGATCGCACTGAATGTTGAACTCCGCTCGAGCGCCGGTGTTGCCGTCGCCGACGGCGCCGCCCATGCAAAAAATTACGGGTCGACATTCGTCGGGAAATAAATCAATCTGCGAACGCTTGGCGAGAATCATCGTCGCCACGTTCGTCAACGGCCCCGTGGCGACGACGACGAACGGCCGTCCTCTTCCCGAAGTTTCGACGTGCCGCACGAACGCGTCGTACATCGCCTCCGCCGCCGTCTTCGCGCGCGGATGAAACAGCGCCTCGATCCCGCCCGCCCCCATCCAATCTCTCTCGTCCTCTCCCCACGCGTACTCCTCCAGCGCATCCGTCGCGCTCGCCGAATCCAACCCGCTCTCGCCGTGAATCTCCTCGCACGCGCTCGACGCGCGAAGCAACGGCCTCTCGGCGCCCGCCGCGAACGCCACGCGTCGCGCGTCCCGCGTCCCGCGCCCCCCTTCTTCCCCCCCGTCTCGCGACGCCCGCGCGCCGATCCACGCCAGCGCGCGCAGCGCGTTCACCGTCGTCTTTCCCGCGCTCGCGTTCCCGTGCGTCGCGGACGCGCCGACCAAGACGCGCGCGCGCTCCGCCGTCCCGTGCAGCGCGAGGTACAGCGCGAACGCGTCGTCGTGTCCCGGGTCGCAATCCACCCACATCGACCGTCCGTCGTCGCCGTCGCGTCGCGTCGTCGTCGCGCGCGCGATCGTCGCCATCGCCTCGCGCCGTCGCGCGTCGCGCGCGCGCGCCATCGCGCGAAGGGGCGTCGCGCGCCGTCGTCCGACGCCGCGACGAAAAAGCGTCGCGACGGCGGACCGTCAGCGCCGCGCGCGGTGTGTTTTATTTTATGCGCAGCGTATTTATCATTTATCGGCGCGGTTCGTCGCCTTCGGGTGATCGTTCACGGTATGTGACGCGCGCGCGCTACATGGGCTCGGCGCGCGTGGAATACGAGACGCGCGCGCGCGGGAAACCCGCGCGCGAAGGGGCCTCGCCGACGCGCGACGGCGACACACCGCGACGACGGCGCGCGCGCGGGACGACGACGACGACGACGACGACGACGACGACGACGATGGCGACGGCGACGGCGACGCTCGGCGCGAGGACGTCGTACGGATGCGCGACGACGACGACGCGACGCGCGATGCGATGCGGGACGCGATGGACGGCGGCGACGGCGCGACGACGCGCGACGACGGCGAGCATCAAGAGCACGGAGAAGGCGAACGGGAAGGGTGCGTCGAGGCGAGGCGAATCGATGGCGAGGCGACGCGCGATCGCGAGGACGAGGCGAGAAGGAGGCGCGGGGGGGGGAGGGATCGATTCGAGACGACGCGGGAGTGGATAGGACGGATCGGCGACGGCGCGCGGGAGGTCGATGGGGTGGTTCGCGCGGATTCCGGCGATGGGAAGGGCGGACGCGGGGTGAGGGTGGGGCGGTGACGACGCGCGAGCGCGGAGACTGACGAAAAGTGCGCCGATGGAGCGCGTGGGTTCGCGCGCAGCGTTTCGCAAACCCGTGGAGTCGCGGTCGTCGATCCGGATGGGCATTCCTTCCAAGGGTCGCATGGCTGAAGACACGCAGGCGTTGTTGAAGACGTGTCAGTTACCGGTGAAAAAGTTGAACCCGCGACAGTACGCGGCGGAGATCCCGAGCGTGCCGGGAATGGAGGTTTGGTTTCAACGCGCCACGGACGTGGTGCGCAAGATTGTTTCGGGCGACATCGACGTCGGCATCGTCGGGTACGATATGCTCGCCGAGATCGCGTACGGTGACGATGACATTGTCATCGTGCACGATGCGCTCGGGTTCGGTGGATGCCACCTCGCCGTGGCGATCCCGCAGGCGTGGGACGAGATTAACAGCATGCGAGAGTTGATGGCGCTCCCGAAGTGGGGACCGGCGCGTCCGTTGCGCGTGGTCACCGCGTACCCGAGCGTGGCGAAGCAATTCTTCGAGGATATCGGGTTCGAACACGTGGAAATTACCACCGCGGACGGTGCGTTGGAGGCGGCGCCGGCGATGGGCGCCGCCGACTGCATTCTCGATTTGGTTAGCAGCGGGACGACGCTTCGAGAGAACAACTTGAAGGAGATCGAGGGCGGGCGCGTGCTCGACAGTCAAGGGGTTTTGGTCGCGTCCAGGGAGGCTTTGCTGAAACGCGAAGGTTTGTTAGAGATCGTTCACGAACTTCTCGAGCGTCTTGAGGCTCACTTGCGCGCCGAGAGTTTGTTCATGGTGACGGCGAACGTCCGCGGCGATTCTCCGGAAGCCGTGGCGGCTAAGCTCAACAGCGCGGCGACGTTGCGCGGTTTACAAGGTCCCACGATTGCGCCGGTGTACACGCCGCAACCGGACGGTTCTGGAAAGGCGGGCGAGTACTACGCGGTCTCCGTGGCCGTGCCAAAGTCTCGTATTTATGAAACCGTCAAGAAGTTGCGAGGAATGGGCGGCAGCGGCGTTTTGACGTTCCCGCTCACCTACGTCTTCGACGAGGAACCGCCCCGTTGGAACGCGCTGATGGCTAACCTCGGCCTCGACGCCACCAAGTACGAGCACCTCAAGGTGATGTAAACGGGGCGCGGTCACTACATTTCTTGTCGAGAATTTCACTTGCAATCCAACGCTTAGAAATCGTGTCACCCCGCGCCGTCGCGCGCGCGCTCATTCGTTCGTCGCGTTCTCGTCGAGTACTCCGTGCACGCCAACATGTGAGTGATATAACAGTGAATATTCTAAACGCGGTAAGTTTCTAGATACCTACGCGTCACGACGACGGTGAATTTACAGACAGCGACGACGCGCGTTCGACTTTCCCCGAACGCGCGTCGTCATTTGAACTCCTCCTACACCACTTAAAATCTCGCCTCGACTCTTACACGCGTAAGAGCGCAACCAACTCCCATCGCTGTCCTATTTCATGGACCAAGACGGACCCAACCTCGGAATACAAATGCGCGTTTATCGGGTCTTTCTGGTGGGCGTGCGAGACGATCGCCGCGGGCTCGCGAGGCCCTTGGACGAGGACTTCTTCGCCGGCGTCCGCTTGGCCGCAGACTTCTTGGACGAGGACTTCTTCGCCGGGGCCGCCTTCTTGGCGGGAGACGGCTTGGTGGGAGTCGCCTTCTTAGAGGACGCCTTCTTCGCCGGGGCCGCCTTCTTGGCGGCGCGCGCCGCCGGGGCGGCTTCGAGCGCCTTCGGCGTCGGCTTGCGGTCGCGCTTCGGTCGCTCGCCCGCAGCGCTCTTGCCCGTGAACAAGGACGCGACGATCAGCAACACTTGCACGACGATACCGAGCGCAAGAATCCCGACGGTCACGCCCGCGACGAGCGCGAGCGGGGAATCCATCTTCGTGAGCGCCTTCTTCGCGGCGACCTTGGCGGCGTGTTTCATGTCTGGTTTAAACTGCGCGAGACGAACGCGTCGCGACGTCCGAGGACGTCCGCGCGAGCACCGTCAGTCGTAATCCCGCGTCCGCGCCTCGCGCTCCCCCCCCTTCGTCTCGCGCCCCTCCCCGAGTCCGCGATCGCGCCGTTCCGCGGCGCGCGCGCCTCCGCCCCCCGTCGCCCGTCAAAAACAAGCCGTTTGCGCCCTCGAATTCAAATTTCCCCCATCATCGCCCATCGATGTCGTCCCGCGCGCGCGCGTCCGCGCCTCCCTCGCCCGCGCGTCGCGCGCGTCTCCACCGTCCTCGCTTCTTCGCGTTCGCGCGTTCCCGCGCGTCGGCTCCACCGTCGCGCGTCGTCGCGCGCGCATTCGCATTCGCATTCGCATTCGACGCGTCCGCGCGCGTTCGCGATGCGCCGCCTTTCGCGCGTCGCGTCGCGTCGCGTCGCGTCGCGTCGCGTCGCGCGCGAGACGCGCGCGATCGTCGCGTCGCGTCGCCGCGACGGACGCACCGGGTGCGCGTGCGCGTCGAGCGTTCGTGAGTGGGGCGCGCGCGGCGAGGGGAAACAAAACGAGCGGGTTCGAATCGATCGATCGATCGATCGATCGAGCCGAACGCGGACGCGCGGGGAGAGGCGCGCGAGGCGCGGAGAGGCGCGGACGCGATCGAGTCGCGCGAAATGGGAGAGGAGGGTCAGATGGATTAATACACGCGCGACGGTGCGGCGCCTAGGCCGGGCTCGGGGAGGAGAGATCGATGAGGGGCGAACGCGGGGCGGCGGACGACGCGAAGGCGGCGACGGGACGACCCGCGGTCGCGTCGGTGAGCTCGGCGTTGAGCCATTCGATGACTTGTTGATTGCTCTGTAACAGAGCGTGGGATTCGGCGAGCTTTTGGGAGAGCGCGGCTTTTTCGTCGCGCAGAGCGGCGTTGGCGGCGGCGAGTTCGCGTTGCTCGAGGGAGGCCTCGGCGCGCTCGCCCGCGGCGACGTTGACGCTGGACAGACGCTCCTCGAGCAAGGCTTCTTGTCTTTTGATGACGGCGGTTTGAATCTTCGTCTTGCTCTTCGCCGCGCGCACCTCTTTTTGTAAATCCTCGATGATACCGTTGCCTTTGTTGATCTCCGCCGCGCTCGCCGCGACGCGCTCCTCCGCCTTGCCGAGCGCGCGACGCGCTTGCTCCCACGAACTCGCGAGGGCGACTTTGTGCTCTTCGCTCGCGTCGAGTCTGGACTTTAATAATTCGATCACTTCCTCCTTATCTTCGAGCTGTTTCTCGAGCCACTCGACGCGCAAAGCGCGCGAGCTGTGCGCCTTGTCGCGCTCGTGAACTTCGGCGTCGAGCGCGGCGTTTTCTTCTCGCACGCGTTGCAACTCGCGCTTGGTGATCGCGAGTTCGCCCTCGATCAAACCGAGCTTGGTCGCCAACTCGCTCACTTTATTTTGCGCCGCAAACTTCTCGCGCTCCGTCTCGGACTTTTCGCTAGAAATATCATCGATGCGCTTGCGCAGCTCGCGCTTGTCGGCCTCGTAACGCTCCCTCGAGCGTTCGAGTTCGTCCAAGATTTCTCGCTTGCCGTTCGCCGACGACTCGGCGTACTTCATCTGCGCCTCGAGAGATTTCGCGCGCGCGATCTCGAGGGCGTCTTGCGACTCGCGATAGAGCGTTTCAAATCGTTTCAACTCTCTCTCGCGATCCTTGGCATCCAGCAAAAGCCCCGCGAGGATACGTTTCGCCGCTCGATCCGACGCCGGCTTAAACTTGAGCGCCACGTGCGTAAACTGATTAAACTCATTCGTCTCCACGATCGAAAGCGTCGACGCCGACGACTCAGACGGCGTCTCCAGCACGCAATACACATCCTTCTTCTTCCCAACCCCACTCGCGCCGTCGCACGCGCGAATCAACCGCACCAACGCGCGCGGGAACTCATCAAAGTTCACCACCAAGCGCTGCTCCGCGCGCAACCGCCCGTAATCCTCCTCCCGCACTTCCATCGCGTGATAAAAAAACGGATCCTCATCGCTCGACACGTGCACGCGCAGCATCCTCGACGCCTGACTCGACGTCTCTTCCTCCCGTCCCGCGTCCGATTCCCCGATCGACGCCGATCCCGGGCCGACCATCACGCGCACCCGCGCGTCGACGCGCCGTTCGCTCGCTCGTCCTCGCGCGCCGTCTTCGCCCTCCCGCACCCGCACCGCGCACGCCCCATCGTACACCAGCGTCGCCGTGCGCACGTTCTGTCTCGACCACGACCTTCCATCGCCGTCGATGACGTGCGCCGTGCGTCGCGCGTCGTCCTCGGCGCCGTCGTTTCGTTTTCCCGCCAAACGGTCATCTTTCGTCGCCGCGTCCGCATCGTTCGCGTCGCTCCCGTCGTCGTCGTCGATCGCGTCGTCGTTCCCGGACGGTCCGGGCGTGGATTGCGCTTCGTTCGCGCGTCCGCGCGGCGCGCGCGCCTCGGGCGACTTGGACGCGCGCAGCAGCGTGAGCATTTCGTCGTCGATCGGCGCGCGCGAATGCGCGGCGAAATGTGACGCCGCGTCGTGCGTCGCGCGCGGCGTCGCACACCGCGACGCGCGCCGCGCGCGATGGTGGAGGTGTACAGAGGCGCGAGACCGCCGCCGCCGAAGCGAGCGACGCGCGAGGCGAGCGACGCGCGCGCGTCGGGACGCCGCGACGACGACGACGACGCGCGAGGCACCGCCGACGGCGACGGCGACGACGACGCGACGGAGGCGCGCGCGGCGTTCGAACTCCCGGACGCGGACGCGGGCGTCGATTTCTCGATGAAGATGTGGACCAAGGAGGGCGAACGCGTGAGTCGGTCGCGAAAGGCGCGAGTGCAGTACGACCCCGAGACGGGGCCGAGGATTCGGCACCGCAGCGACGCGGCGAAGGGAGATTTTAACGTGTGGTGGGGGAAACACGCGACGTCATCGGGGACGACGGCGCGAGATTTTAACTCGGCAGTGAAAGCGGTGACGCGGTGCGCGCCGATTTTGGACGCTGGGGTGACGAAAGGAGACGGCGCGGGGACGACGGCGGTGTGCTATCACTTTGCGCGCGGGTGCTGCACGAGCGGCGAGGCGTGCGAGTACTTGCATCGGTTGCCCACGGCGTTCGACGACGCGAAGAATCACATGATGTTTGATATATTTGGGCGGCCGAAGCATCACACGGAGCGGGACGATAACGGAGGGACGGGGTCGTACATGCGCGTCGGGCGAACGCTGTACATGTTCTTCGGCGGCGCCGTGGATCCAAAGTGGGGCGCGAAGAAGGTGTACGACGAGGTGATGGCGCAGTTCAGCGAGTTCGGTCCGATCGAAGACGTGACGGTGAAGTTTGAGCGGCGATTCGCGTTCGTTCGGTATAAATTTCGCGCCTCGGCGGAGTTCGCGAAGGAAGCCATGGCGGGGCAGACGCTGTGGACGAGCGACGACGCCGAGCCGCTCAACGTTCGATGGGCGAACGATGACCCGAACCCGATCGCCATCGTGCGCGTGGCGAATGAAAACGATGAAAAGGTTCGCGACATGTTTTTGCGCAGCGAGAAGGCTCAAGCGCTGATGCGTGAGGCGAAGCGAGAACTGGGGATCGACGACGACGCCGGCGACGCGGCGGCAAAGAAGGCGAAAGTTTCCGAGATTTCGTTCGACCCAGCGGATTACGACGACGACGAGGACGACGGGGAGGAACCGAAACCGCACGAGACGTAGCACCAGCAAAATTTCTACTAATTGATACACCTAGCAATCTAGCGCTCGCACGTACGCGTCTATGATTTCCGTTTGCCCGCGGCGCAAAATCGAGACGTGTCGAAACCACTCGTCGTCCTCGCCCTTTTGTCCCGGAACGTCGCGACACCACGACGATCGGTCCGCGAGCCATTCATCTAGAGATTGCGCGTCGAGCGTTTTCGCGAACGCCGACTCGTTCGACGGATGGACACCGCTTCGTCGCGTGTCGTTCTTAAAGAACGCCGCGTCGCTAAAGCCGTACATTCGCAACGCGCGATCGTTTCCGAGATTGCCATAGCTTATGGTGAGCGCTTCGCCCGGTGCGATGTCTCTCGTCGTCGCAACGTACACGTCCGGCGTCGACCCGCCGTCTCGGCGCACCTCGCAGTTCGGTTGCGGGTGATGGTCTAATAAATCGCATCCGGGCACGAGCGCGAATTCTGGCACCGCCGCCGATTTCATCGCGCGCGACGACACCGCGCCGAGCGCCCACGCGATGTCGGCGACAGGGATCTTCGACATCGCCGATAGCTTTCTCACGAATTCACCGCGCGAACGCGCGCGCGACTCCGTCTCCGTACCAGCCAACGCCTGAACGTCGGCTTCGTTCAGGCACGCGTCGACGAACCGAAACGATTCCGGCAGACAACTCGCGGCGTACGACGACGCTGACTCGTCCGCTTTCTTTTCGCTCAGCGTGTGCATCATCAGCGCCACGGTCTCGCGCACGGTGCCCGGTTCAAACGCCGCTAAAAAGTCTCGAGGTCCCGCGCGTTCGGCGAACGTCGCGCTCCTCGTCGCCCACGACGCGAACGGCGTCTCCACGACGCGCGCGTTTCGACCCACGCGCGCGTTCGCGAACAGCGTCACGTTACCCCCGCCCTCGCCCGCCGTCGCCGCGATCTCGATCGCGCGCGTCGGGAGCTCGAACGTCGCGCCCGCGTGTCGCGCCAGCGCCGCGACGCGTCCGCGCGCCGCCGCCGCCGCCCCCATCGTCGCGCGCGTCCCCTACCTCACCATCAGCATCATCTCCTCGAGCTCCTTCAACCGTCGCCGTCCCTCGCTCATCGCGTGCGCGGCGCGCGACGCCTCCGACGCGCCGCCGCGCGACGCCGCCGACGCGTTCGACTCGGCGTGCCGACGGATTTCGTCGCGAATCGCGCGTCGCGCGCCCTCGTCCGGCGCGCCTCGCGCGACGCGAAGCGCGCTTCGCACGAGCGCGCGCGCGGCGGCCGCGCGCACGAACGATCCGAGCGTGCGCGTCGTGGTGCCGGACGTCCGTCGTCGTCTGCGGGTCGTCGGACGCGAATCGCGTCGAATCGAATCGAATCGAATCAAAAAAAACGTGTAACTTTTCTTGAGTTATTGTGTGTCCTGCGATTCGCGCGCGACGCGACCGTCAGTCGCCGCGCATAGGCGTCGTCGCTCGAGTCCGAGCGTGCGCGGCGCGAGCGTCCGAGCGAACACTCACATCCTTGCGCAGGGGCCATGCTAATCTTCTCTGTATTTTTTTCCAGTTTATCAGGTGTCATATCCGAAGATAAGACGTAATATATGGGACCGTTTTCGGAGGTCACGCGTCGCGCGCGCGCGCGCGCGCGTTGTTACGGGTCGCGCGCGACGCCGACGCGAACCGCCAGACCGCGATGTCCGCCGCGTTCGACGGCGCCGACGTCGACGTCGAGTGCGTCGCGTATCGCGACGGCGCGCTGTATTACCGCTCGCGTCGCGACCCGCGCGCGCTGCGCCGGTCGGACGCGCGCGAGGCGGCGCTCGCGCGCGACGTCCCCATCGCGTGCTGCGCCGCGACGGCGACGGGCGTCGTCGTCGGCGACGACGCGGGCTACGTCGCGACGACTCGAGGCGTGGAGACGCGCGTGGACGTCGCGCGCGTCGTTCGCGCGTGCGGGGAGTACGCGTCGAGCGTCGAGCGGTGCGTGCGATGGGACGCGAGGACGGGACGCGCGACGCGGCGGTGGACGCTCCCGCGGCTGGCGCCGATGACGGCGTGCGCGGGCGCGGCGCGAGCGAACGATGGGACGACGACGCTGATCGCGGTGGGAGGGGCGGCGATCGCGTCGACGTCGGCGACGAGCGACGACGCGGGGAAGCGCGAGACGGCGCTCGGCGGTGGACTCGCGATGTTACGAAAGTTTTCGTCGACGGCGCTGAGCGTGGCGAAGACATTCGTGGACCGAGACGCCGACGTGAGCGAGGACGCGGTGGGGGAGTACGAGGGCGTGGATATGGATGAGGTGAGCGCGCTGAAACGAGAGAAGCCGACGTGGAACTGCGCGTTCGTGGACGCGCCGCGACGGTACACGAGATTTGAGATTTGCGCCGAGCGCGACTGCTTCGCCGTCGGCGACGAGACGCGCAGGGTATTGCTCTTTCGCATCCTGAGTCACGGCAAGCTGAGACTGAAAGCGATCATCAAGGGGTGTCGCGACGCCACGTTCGCGTTCGACGCCGACACGGGCGCGCTGTACGTTCACAGGCCGAGCGTGCGCTTGTTAGAGATTCGTTCCGAGCGCGGCGACGCCGTCGAGACGCGAGACGCCAGCGGCGTCGCGCGCGTCGTCCCGGGCTCGCCCAAACCGTACGTTCTGATGCGCGTCGACGACACGAACATGCGCGTGCTCGCGATGGACGAGTTTTTGCGCCGCGCGCCGGATCGATCGTCCGGGCGCGTAGGCAGGCCGACCCGCGGGTAGTCATGGTTCGCGGTAACACCTCGCGCCGCTGTAACACTAAAAAAACACTCCTGCATCCATCCCCAGTGCGCGTCGCGGAGCGCCGCCGTCTGCCGCCATGTCGTACGTGCTCGACATGCGCGAGCTCGTGCACAAGCTCCCGTTCCATCACTTCACCGCGTACGGCTTGCGCACGTCCTGCGTCCTCATCGCGGTCACCTACGCCTCGCCCGGGGTCGTCGCGGCGGGAATATGTTTGATGTACTATCGCACGTACACGGCGCAAAACCGGACGATATTCGAGAACACAAACATAAAAGAGGCGAAGACGCGCGCGATCATCACGATCGGGGTGATCCTGGCGTTCATACCGGCGGCGCTGATTGGATTGATTGAAGGATTTCGAGGCGGGCTGCAGACGCTGAAGACGATCGAGGCGTGGGCGGAGAATGGACAGAGCGGAATGCGGGCGATCGGGGCGCCGATCATGGCGATGGATGATTCGTTGACGATGCTGCGCCGGGAAGCGGTGACGGCGAACGATGTCGGGGCGACGGCGACGATCGCGACGGCGCTGACGGCGGTGACGGAGGCGATGCTGCATCACAGCGGTTCGATCGAGTTTATTCAGGATTTAGAGTCGCTGAAGTGGGTGAAGACGTTCGTGGTGATTTACGTGACGTCGATGACGTTGTTGATGCTGCTGCTGATCTCGTTGCTCACGACGTCGGTGGTGCCCATCATCGCCCATCACGGCAAGACGCCCGTGTCGCAGTGGTGGAAGCGAGCGCCGGGACGAGTCACGCCAGAGTATTTCGTTCGCGCGCTTCCGTTGTTCACGCTCATCTATTGCTTCTTGATGACTTCGGTGTATTGGCCCGTGAGCGTGATCGGCGCCGAGGTGTGCTACTCCTACGAAGCCATGGTGGAGTTCGTGGTGCCGGAAAACGTGCAGCTGTACTTCGTGTGTCCGCGCTTTGGGTACGAGCTCGGAGAGTATTTGCAAGATTTGCACGCAGATAACGTCAAGCTGAAGGAGACGATCGGCAACGTCCAAGATCTGGGAGGCGCGTACGCGTCGTCGCAGTACATGACGGCGTTGAACGCGGCGATGACATCCTTTGGAGCAGACTTTGGCATCATCGACGAAGGCTTGGGGAGCTGCCAGCCGATGAGCGACACGATAGAGCTCGCCACGGCGCAGGTGTGCGACGAGGTGATGTTGGGGATGCAGATGGTCACCGCGGTGTCGTTCGGTCTCACGTGCTTGCTCATGTACGGCACTCTACACCGTTGGTTCGGCTCCGACGTCGCCAAAGAGCTCGTGCAAGACGAAGAGCAAAGCTTGTTTTCCAAGCTCACGTCCGAGTCGTTCATCGAGGCTCGATCAAGATTCGGTGCACAAAAGAAGACGCCCGCGGAGCAGGGTAAGGAAAAGGAGAAGAAAAAGAAGGATAAGGGTGCGAAGAAAAAGAGGAAGGAAGCCAAGGAAGGTAAGGTTGCCGAAGATGGATCGACGCATGTGTCGTCGTCGTCGTCGGAGGAGGAGGGCGCAGGCGCGACGGCGTCGCCGAGCGTCGAAGAGACGGCGCAGCAGGAGAGCGCTGCGCCGGCGACCTCCCCGCCCGACGATGCGGCGCCGCGAGAGATCGAAATGCAGGACGTCATGAATGATGACGAACCCTCGACCGCGGCGGACGACGACGGCGCAGAAGAATACGACTCGGGTGAGGAGGAATTTATCGAAGACGACGGCCGCGTCGAAGTCCCGTCTGATCTCGAAGACTACATCGACGACGTCGACGAAACAACCGTGGTCGAAACACCCGCGGACGAGGAGCCACCGGTGTCCGCGGTCGTCGAGCCCGAGAACGAAGGATCCGACGTCGCCGAGGCTCCGCCGCCGACCGTCGCGACGCCGTCGAGCTCGAGCAGAGTGCGAATCGTAGACCCGCGAACGAAGCAAGAAGTGACGTTCGAGCCGGCACTACCCAAGCCAAAGAGCGACGACACGTAAAACGCAACACGCGATAGGCATTGAAGATTAACAAAACTAGACTAGACGACTCGCGCCGCCATCGTTCGCAACGCGTTTTCGCGCGTTTCACGCGCGCTCGAATTCCGGCGCCGCCGCCAGCGCCGCGGCGCGCGAGCGCGACGCCCCTTTCACACCGATTCTCGCCGCGTCCCTCGCCTCCGCGCTCGTCACCGCCGTCGCCGCGTCGCGGTGTCCTCGCCGCTCGCCGTCGCCGCGCCGACTGCGGTGCCGACGCCCCGACGACGACGACGACCGGTGGTGGTGATGCCCGTGTCGCCCCCCGCGCCACGCGAGCAATCCGTGCCCGCGATGCGACGCCCCCAGCGCGTATCCCGCCGCGCCCGCGCCGATCAGGGCGAGCGCGCACACCGCCGCGAGTCGCCACCCCGCGCGTCGTCCAACACCCTGGACCCGACCGCGACCGTCGTCCTCGCGCAACAGCGCGCGCCGCTCCGCGCGCGGCGACGACGCCGACGCCGCGATCGTCGCGGATTTCGTCCCGCGCTCGACGTCGTCGTCGTCCATGGCGCGCGTCGCCGCGTGCGGCGCGTGCGGCGGTTGGGTGTTGTCTGTGGCGTTCCGCGAGCCGAACGCCAGGCGCCGACGCGCGGCGGCACGCGGCGCGCGGCGCGCGCGACGATGGCGACGGTGACGTTCGCGTCGTCGTCGTCGTCGTCGTCGCTCGCGGACGTCGGGCGACGCGCGTCGCGCGAACTTCAGCGCGGCCATCGGTTGGTGCGACGACGACGCGAGTTGTGCGACGCGCTCGAGCGCGCGCGGTCGCGCGCGGAGCGCGACGCGATCGCGACGTGCGAGCGGGACATCGCGCGCGTCGACGCGACGGTCGAGCGCGTCATCGAGCGCGTCGAGGCGCTGAAGGAGCTCGCGCGGGCTCTGGAGGCGAGCGAGCGGGGCGAACGCGTAGACGCGTAGACGCGCAGACAGCGCCGCGCGGCGACGATCGCGATCGGCCGGCGTCTGTGATGTAATGTATATTACTCTCGGTATCTTTGTTACACGGCGGCGGCGTCCTTCGACGACTGGCTGCCCTTGGAGGCGGTGAACAGTTCGCGAAACGTCTGCTTTCGCCTCGCGCCGCGCTTGGCGTCGCCCTCCTTCGCGCCGCTCGACGAGGCCACCTCGATCGCGATCACGGCCACGACCGCGAATCCGGCCGCGAACGCCAACATCGGTCGAAGCAGGGCGCCTATCCTGAACTTGCGCCGTTTCGAGCTCGCCGAAAACTCGTCGTCGCTAGAGAAATCGAGCAGCGCCGAACGATATCCCGCGCTCTGAAACGTCATATTCTCGCTGTCCCTCGTCATGTTCACCGCCATGCTCGCGTCTGCGCTCTCAAAACTCATCGCATCGTCATCGCTCGCGCCCGCGTTCTCTTTCGACTCATCGCTCGCGGCGTCGTCGAATCGAAACGACGTCTCGCTCGTCCCGGCGCCCGCCGGTCGCAGCGGGGGCGACGCCGGCGTCGTCTCCTCCGCTTCCGCCGCCTCAACTCCCGCGCGCTTCGCGATCGGGCTTAAAATCTCCGACGACGCGTCGAACGACACCCGTCGAGTCCCTTCCGCGTCGTCGCCGCTCTCGTCACCGTTCAAAGTCATCTTTTTAAACTGTACCGACTTTTCGCCGTCTGCGATCGGCGTCGCGGACGATCCGGCGCGCTCGAGCGCTCGCGCCGGCGCCGACGCGTCGCTCTGATCGAACAGCTTTCTCGCCACGGGCATCGCCGGCGCGCGCGCGCGTGTGACGGCCCGAATGCGAATTTGGAATGTTTTCGCCCGCGCGCGAGCGGGACACGCCGACGCGCGATCGTTCGCGCCGTCGCTCGCCGCGCGGTTCGGCGCGAAGCGCGCGCGAGCGTTCAGCGTCGTCCTCGCGCGGTCGCGCGCGATGATGCGACCGCCGGCGCCGCGCGCGAAGCCGACGAAGGACGCCGCCGGTGGGGCGGCCCCGGACGTCGAGCCCGCCGCGCCGAGCGCGGACGCGCGCGATCGCGCGTCCGCGCCGCCGCTCGGGAAGACGTACGACGCGCCCGCGTGGGGCGGGGCGCCCGCGCGCGAGTTTTATCTCGATTGCGTCAAGGGCGGCGCGTTGGCGTCGAGGACGCGACTGGACCGAGGCGAAGGCGAAGACGCGCCGCGAGGACACGTGACGTTCGGAAGGCATCCGGCGTGCGACGTCGTCGTCGAACACCCGTCGACGTCACGTTTGCATTGCGTGATTCAGTTCAAGGCGAACGGGACAGAGGCGTACGTGTACGATTGCGAGAGCGCGCACGGGACGTTTGTGAATAAGCGACGCGTCAAGCCGGGCGTGCACGCGCCGATTCGAGTCGGCGATCAGATCAAGCTCGGCGAGTCGAGTAGATTGTATATTTTAGACGGCGATGAGAGCTTGATGCCAGAGGAAGGGCTGAGTGCGGCAGAGATGAAGGCGTTAGCGGCGTTGGAAGCCGCGGCGGAGGCTGAGATGCAGCGCGAACTGGCGGCGTTGAAGGCGGAACGCGCGGCGGCGCGCGAACAAGAGGCTGCGGCAAAGGCTGGGTCGTCTTGGGGGATGATGGATGCCGATGACGAAATCAACGAGCGTCAACGCGCGATCGAAGAGCTGGATTGGCGCACGCACGATGGGAAATTTAGCGATAAACAGGAAAAGCAAAAGCAAAACATTCGGCGCAAGGAGGAAAAGATCTCAAACATGCGCCTAGAAGTCGATCGAATTCGAGCCAAGGAGTCGCAGCAAGACGGTGGGCTATCGTCCGGGCAATCGACGCGAATATCTGCGGTCGAGCGCGCGATCGAGACGTTGCAAGAAGAGATCGAGGACGCCGATGAGACGCTCAACGAATCGTTGCGCGTGAGTTTGGGTTTGCAAGCTGCGGTGTCCAAGCGACGTCGGGGCACGCGAGCGAACTCGGACGACGAAGACGGTCAGAGTGGAGATGAAGACGACTTTTACGACCGTTCGCGGACGAGCGCGAGTCGTAAGCGTCGAAAAGAGTCGAAGAAAGAATCCACGCAAGGCGCGGCGGCACCGAAAACGCTAGAGACGGCGGCTACGTTGTGGGACAAGCGCACAGCGATTGAGACGTCGATCACGGAAACGGAAGAACTCATCAAAGTCACCGAAGAAGCCGCGCTCGCCGAACGTCAGCGCACGGCGGGACTTTCGGCAGACGGCGACGCGTTGGATGCGTACATGGACGAAATTGGCGCGTCGAAATTCACGTCTCAAGTCGAGAGATTACGCGTGACGCTCTCCGAAAAAGTGTCTGAACTCGAGCGAGTGTCTCGACTGTTGAAGTACGCCGACCCAACCGAGGAATTCCGTCCTGGATCGGCCAAAGGAGACGCCATGCGGAAACACGCCGAGGAGGCGGAGGCGAAACGCGCCGAGGAGGCAAAACGACGCGCCGAAATCGCCGAAGCGAAGCGAGCGGAAGAACTCGAAGCGCGCAAGAAACGTGACGCAGAGATGCGACGGCAAGCGGAATGGGAAGAGCAAGGTAACTTGCAAGAGAAGCGAAAGTTCACGGGAGGCGTCGATCCCGCCTCAACGTCGGCGCCGGCGAAAGCGAAAGCCGCCGTCGTCGAAGATGACGCCGATAACGCCGATAACGCCGATGACGAAGGCCCAGTGATCGTCGAAGACGTCGAACAACGAGTCACACCGACCGAGCGCGAGATTGAAGCACATACCGCCGCTGAGACTGAACCCGTGGTGCGCGACGACGATGACGGTTTCTTGATGCCGCATCAAGTGCGCGCCGGCTTGGAAATTCGCAAACCCCCAACCAAAGCCGCGCCATCACACGCGGCCGCACCATCCGCGGAGGATACCGTCATGTCAGACATCCAGCGCCTTCTTGATGCCTCCTCGGGCGCGAGATTCGACGCCGAAGCCGCCGCCGACGATTCCGACTGGACCGCCCCGGCGAACCAATCCGGCGACGGCGCGAGCGCGCTCAACAAAAAGCTCGGCTACTGACGCGCGTTCTCTCGCGATCGAACCCATTCTCGACGCGTATCCTTTGTTTATCGAACCCATTATTTCGCGCATCGCTCGCGGCGTCGACTCCGCGCGCGAATTCGAGCCCTCGTTCGCGCGCGTCCTCGCGCCGCTCGAAGATCCAAATTTTCAAACGTCGTCCGTCTCGAATCGGCATTCACGGACGCGTCGCACCACCGCGCGCGGTCGTCATGCCCCCCAACCGCGCCGCGCGCCACCGCGACGTCGACGTCGCCGATCTCGAGCGCGAGCTCGCCGAGTTCCGCGACATCATCGACGGCTGGGTCGGCGAAAACGTCGCGCGCGAAAGACGTTTGAAGGATGCGCACGACCGACAAATCTTAAAGCTCGAGCGCGAGTACGACGCGCTGATCAATCGCGAGCGAGAGCTGAGCGAACGCGCGGCTGATAACGCGCGCGAAGCGGAGCGGTACGAGATGGAGGCGGAACAGGCGCTCGAAGAGACGAACGCGGCGAGAGAACTGGCGGAAGGACTGCCCGAGCAGTTGGCGGCGCTGCGCGAACGCGTCGGGGAGGAACGGACGGCGATCGAACACGCGAAAAATAAAGCGACGGGAACGAGCGCGATGGCAAAATTGGACGCGCTGAGGGGGGCGAGCGCGATGTACGCGGAACGATTGGGATTGAGATTTGAATACGGCGAGGCGGAGCGGTTGCGGTTGGTGTTTAAATACGTCGACGCGCGCGCGCCGGAGCGAGAGTTTACGTTCGCGGTGCGATTGCGCGGGACGGCGTACGAGGTGATGGAGTGCGCGCCGATGTTAGCGTCGATCGACGCGTTGCTCGCGGAGTGTAACCGTTCGAATGATTTCGGGAAGTTTGTGCGGGACGCGCGCAAGGCGTTCGTCGAACTCGCGAACGGCGACGACGGCGTCGGCGCGCTCGCGAGTCCGCGCGCGTCCGCTGGGCGCGCGACGCGAAGCAACAGTCGTAGGTAAATAGACAGCGCGACGGTGCCACCGGAACCGCATCATCACACAGTAGCGAGACATTTGTAACGTAGCGGCGCAGCGCGCCACGCCCGCTCCCGCGGCACAAGCCGACGCATGTCCCGCCTCGCCCCGCGCGTCCGCGTCGCGCGCGTCGTCTCCGTTCGCGCGCGACGCGCGAGCGCTCGCGTCCGCGCGTCCTCCGCCGACGCGCCGTCCTCCGCCGCGCGCGTCGCGTCGCTTCGAGCGATTTTAGGCCTCGACGACCGCGCGCTTCAGCAGCTCGATCACACGGTGGAAGGGCGCGCCGTGCGCGACGACGTTCCGCTCAGCGTGCTCACCGAGCGCGTGTACGCCCTGAGCTCGGCGCTGCCGCGCGCGTGCGCGCGCCACGCGTTCGAGCTCGCCGTCGAGCGCCCGGGGCTGCTGACGCTGGACACGTCGGCGACGCGCGCGGCGATCGAACGCGCGGCGAACGCCCTGGGCGGCGCCGAACAGCTCGAACGGCTGTGCGCGGAGTGCGCGCCGGCGTTCGCGCACTTGCTCTGGCGCGTGGGCGCGCGCGAAGGGACGCTGGCGGATTGCGAGCGACCGCTGCGAGACTGGGCGGCGGGCGAGGTGGGCTGGCATCGCGTCTTCACGCAGAGAATCGCGAGCGAGTGGGGGTACTTGTTGATGCTCGGTCGAATGGAGACGAGCGTGATGGCGGGGAAAGGCGTCGTGTATCGGAACGTGAAGACTGGGGAGAGCGTCGCGTTTCGGAAGAGCGCCGATTTCGGCGCGCGCGCGGCGGCGGCGGCGGCGGCGACGGATGTGCGACGGTGAGAACTTGTGCGACTAAGAATAATGTAACAACAGACGAATTTGTTTAGCGATACTAAGCTTTGCGTTCGAGCACGGCGACGGACTCGACGTGCGTCGTGTGAGGAAACATATCGACGGGCGTGACGGTTTTGAGCTCGTACGCGACGTCGTCCGCGCCCTCCGACGGCGCCGTGAGAAGTAGCAAGTCTCGCGCTTGCGTCGCGGGATTACACGACACGTAGACGATACGCCGAGCACCGATTGTGCGCAGGATCGCGATGAGTGCGGAGTCCATACCAGGCCTCGCCGGGTCCGTGATGACGATGTCCGGCATGGGAAGCTCTTTGCCTTTCGGCGTCGTGAGAAGACCTTTCGGGCCTTTGGACGGATTTAATCTCGCCAAATCAACGCGATAGAATTTGGCGTTCGTGATGTTGTTCAGCTCGGCGTTGCGTTTCGCGTCTTTCACCGCCTCTGGAACGACTTCCCATCCCATCACTCGCGAGCAGTCGCTCGCGACGCTGAGTCCCATCGTACCGACACCGCAAAACAGGTCGAGCACGATCTCAGACTTATCGCCGCTGAAAGCGCACGCCTCGCGAACCTGTCGCACCAATCTCGCAGCCTGCTCAGTGTTGGTCTGAAAGAAGGACGCCGAAGAAAGTTCAAAGTCGATGCCGTTGAGCGTTTCGACTAATTTGTTCTCGCCGAACACCGCCTCGACTTTCTTAGTTGACCCAGCCTTCGTCGTCGTGCCACCCTTGACGAACTTTGACGAGCGTCCACCGCCCGCGCGTCGGAGTTCGGCTTCGCTCGGCACGGAAGTGTGCACCACGGACACCACGCCCGGTACCTTCGAGACGACGTCGATGAGTCCCGCGAGCGGTCCCGTTTTCAGTTCGTTCGGCGAAGCCGTCGTCGCTAAATCGACCATCACAGCCTTCTCACCGCCGCGCTCGCCACCAGCCGTGCGAATCGTCACGCTTCTAAGGGTGCCTTCGCCGCTCGTGCGATCGAACGCCTCCAAGCGCCCGTCCGCGCGTTCCAGCGTCTCCCGAATCGCCGCCAACACGCGATCCGCCTCCTCGCTCTGCAACAGACATCCACCGCTTAAATCCACCACCGAATCGTTCGCCCCTCGCGGTCGCAACCCGACGACCGTCTTTCCTCTCGTTCCACTCGCGAACGCGAACTCCATTTTATTCCTATACCTCGACGTCTCGTCCGCGCCGACGCACGCGCCGACTTTCGCCTCGGCGTCCTCGCCCGCTTTATATATTCTCGCCAGCACGTCCACCACCCGATTCCGCTTATGCCCCACCTGCGCGTCGTAATTCACGTGCTGCCACGCGCACCCTCCGCACTGTTCGTGGTGCGGGCACGGCGCCGTCACCGCGTTCGGCGCCGCGCGTTCCGTCGCCGTCTTCGCGCCGTGCGCCAGCTTCTTCCGCAGCTTCGTCACCCGCGCGCGCACCACCTCTCCGGGCGTCGCGCCGTCGCAGAGCAAAACCATCCCATTCGCGAGCTTGCACACGCCCTCGCCCGACGTGGCGAAATCGACGCACTCCACGGAGACTTCGTCGCCGACGCGAACGTCGCCGCGGTCGGACGCGGCGGCGGCGGCGGTGGATTTCGCGGCGCAGGGCGGACGCGCGACGGCGAGACGACGCGCGGCGTGCGCGACGGGGGCGCGCGCGGCGGCGAGCGCGCGCGCGAGGACGACGCGGGCGAACGCGCGCGGCATGGCGCGACGGCGTGTGCGGCGCGCGGCGGCGACGGTTGGACGCGCGGGAGCGGGGCGGCGCGCGCGGGGCGCGTGAGACCGCACATCGCGCGCAAAAAGAATGGTTACAATGACGCGCGACGCGAGCGAGGGTCACAGCCCGGGAAGGACGTCGCCGAAGGGTGAGAGCAAACTCGCCACGGCGCGCACGTCGACGGGCAAACCCATGAGCGGGCCGAGCGGCGAGCGGATCTCCGCAGCCGAGCGCCAGGGTCCGATCCAAGGTCCGCCGCCGATTTCTAGACATGCGGTATCGCTCGTAGCGGCGTCGATGATGGTCTCGACGCGCTCGCCGCGGTCGTTGAGACGCCAAAGGGATACGACGACGACGCCCGTGAACGTCTCGCGGCACGACGGCGCCATACCCTCGTCCAAGCTGTCCGAAGGCGCGCGAATGACGGTGGATTTGTCGTCGTTCGTGCACGTCCCTTCTATCGAGCACTCGTATCGTTCACCGACGGCGGTGACGCTCCACCGACCCCACTCGACGTCCCATCGAACGGCGCTCGCCTCCAACGCCGACTCGGCGCCGTACGCCGACGTCGAGTCAACCTCCACTTGCTGCGCGGGAACGAATTGAAAAAATCGATCGCCGAAGTGCACGCCTACCAGACCGACGTCTTCGCGAACGTTCGGGAGCACGACGACGCCTCGGTTCCCTCCAGTCGCGGTTACGCTCAAATCGGGATAATCCGCGAACGAGTTGCACTGCACCCACCACCATTTCAACGGAAACCCAGCGCCGCCCCAATTCTTCTCGCTGTACGCCGGGCAATCGCTAAACTCAACGCGCTCGCCGTCGGTTTCGATCCATCCGCTCGCCAATCCGTGCGCCATGGTGACTTGCCAATGCGGCTCGAACACCGGCAGCGCCGTCATCCAGCCCGCGGGCGACACCATCTTCGCCCCCGGTCCTCCCCCCCATCCTCGAAGCGGCGTCACCGTGATGTCCCATCGCACGCTCTTCGCCGCGCGTCCTCCGCCCCACGGCCCTTCCTCGCTCTCTCCCTCGCTCGTCAACCTTCCTCGATGTCTCGCGCCCTCGCGCGACACCTCGAAGAAATCGTCGCCGCGCGTCGATTTCAATTCCAACGCGTGCGCCGCCCCCTCGAATCCCGCGCGCGCCTCCTCCGCGCCTTGTTCAAAGTACAAATATTTCCCACACGGCGCGCACACCTGCGCGCCCGCCCCTCCCCGCGCGGACTCGGGCAAATCCGGGTCGTACACGTGATAAATCAGACTCGCCGACGCCTTCGCGCTCGGCAGCGTGAACCGAAAGTACCATCCCTCGAAGAACGCCCGCGCGACGCCGCGCTGTCGATGGTATCCACTGTGCGGCGTTTTCACCGCGCGCGCCGCCGTCTCGGCGCTATCGACCGCGCGCGCGTCGTCGTCGACCGTCCCGTCGACCGCGACCGCGTCCGCCGCCGAGGCGTTCGCGCGTTCGTCGCGTCGCGCGCGCGCCGCGGTTCCTCGCGTCGCGCGTCGCGCGTCGCGCGCGGGTTCGCGCGTCGCGCGCCGCGCGCGCGCCGCCCGCGCGACGACGCCGCGCGCGACCGCGGCGCGCATGCGCCGCGAGGCTATTTCTGGCGCGGCGACCGCGCGGGACAAAAATTGCAATCGTATCTTCACTGTATCCAGCCGCGATCTCGACGCACGAACGTTCGCGACGATTGTTTTCGCGCGCTCGAATTCTTTCGGCGCCTCGATGTTACGGGCGCGCGGCGGCGCGCGACGCGACGGAACTAACGACCAACTAACAACCGACGACTGACGGTTGACGCGAAGACTGAAAGATCCGGGCGCTAGAGTTACAACACGAAGACGACGCGCGTCACGCGCGTCGCGCGAAGGTGCCGTGAAAGGTGTACGGAACGTGCATGGGGAGGGCGATGACGGCCACGGGGTCGACTTCGGTGAAGCGCTGGGCGTCGAGGACGACGACGTTTGCGGCGTCGCGCGAGACGTCGTACTCGACGTACGCGAGGTATCCGGCGTCCTCGTCGTCGGCGTTCGTCTTGGGGATGAATTCGCACTCGTGTGGGTAGTGACCGAGGGCGCTCAAGCGCGTCTCGGCCTTTTGCGTCTCGAGATTGAGTTTTTGAATGGAGTCAAAGTAGCCGTGCTCGCCGCACGAATTCGCGAGCGTGTACACGTACTTTGGTTTGCGGCGGCTCATCGTTCGCGGAGAAACCACAGGGAACTCCATGCCGATCATTTTCGTCATATCTCGTTCGCCATCGGCGTTCGTCGGCATCGCGAGCGCGTCTGTGACGTTACCGGTGGCGATATCGATCGTCATCTCGTGCAAATCGTTGTAATGTCGCGACGACCACACGGCGGCGTACATGTCGCCAAAATTCTTTTCGAGCCCGGTGCGATCGCCTCTGAGCTTGCCGTAAAGCACCTTGAGTTTTCCGTTCTCTTCGTAAGCGTCGCACGTGTGATAACTCGAAAACGAAGGCACGTTTTTCGCGTGCACGACGCTTAAATCTGATTTCCTCAGCACGACCATCCACGTCTCGCGTTCGTCGCTCCATTTGAACGAGTGTCCGAAAGACTTCATCCCGCTGAGTGCACCCACGATGGCGTCGTTCGGTAACTCCCACGGGCACATGAAAAACGTCAAGTAATTTTCGCTCATCGCGCAGTCGTGTAACAATGCAAATTCTGGCGCCGCTCGCGGAAACGGCATGTCGGCGACTTGCATCACTTCGCCCGCGGCGTTCACCTTGCCGACAGAAATACCTATGAACGGCGGCTTTTTCAACCCCCACGTGTACAACGTTCCATCGCGCGGGTCCTGCTTACTGTGCGCGCTGAAACCCATCGGAAGACTCGGTCCGAAGACGACTTCACCTCTCGTCGCGAGCGACGCCGGATCGATCGCCACCGGCGCGCCGCCTTCGCAACACGCCAAAACCTTCCCCGCGTGCACGATGATGGACGTGTTCGACGGGTTCGTCGGAAACCGTCCTAAATTTGCCATCATTCCGCTCGCTTGAGTCCACGCTCCTCGGACCGCGACGCCGCTGCTCCCGACCGCGTCGTCGTTTGTCCCATCGCCGCCGTCGCGTGCCCGCTGCTTCGTCCATCTCGCCGTCTCCACGTACTTCCCCGCGCACCGCGCCGTGTTCGCATCGGCATCCATCTCGATCGCTGTGACGTACCCATCGCCATCGAACCAATGCGCGTACTTGGTCGCCCCCAGACGAATCCGTCCCGGTCCCGCGCGATAGAGCGTCCCCGCGAGCTCGGCCGGTATCCGTCCCGACACCACTTCCGCCGCCGTCCACGGCGCGTTCGCCGCTGGTTCGAGTCCACCGCGCCACGGAGCGTCCTCGATCGCGCGCGCGATCTCCCGCGGCGTCGTCGCGCGGCAAACGCAGAGCGCGGCGGCGCGGTGACGTCGACCGAGTGGCAACTGTCGGCGGCGAACGGCGACGGGTGGCGACGACGCGGGCGGTGCGGCGAGGCGCGGCGCGTCACGCACGATGCGCGGCATTTTGTTCGAGCGCGCGGCGCGTTCGAGCGCGCACGGCGAGCGGATCAGGGATGCGCCGCGTTGTGCGGCGCGCGCGGCGACCGAGATTACCATACCACTGAACGTTTGCGTTTGCGTCTGAGTTTCGCTTTTATTCAATGCTGAACTAAGTGTGCGCGCGCGAGTCGCGCGCTGAGCTATTGAGATGATGTGCCTCAGTAATACTGCGGTTGCCCGTATCCCGGTTGCGGTTGCTCGTACCCCGGCATGCCCGGCATCGGCGGAGCCGGAAGCGCCGCAGGCATGAGTTGCGCGTAGAGGTTGCTATTCATCTCGGCCGCGACGCGCTCTTTCTCCTCGTTCACCTTTTCTTCGTTGCGGTCCGCCTTATCCTTCATCAAAATCTCCAACTTACCGTTCATATCACGCATGACTTGAATCATGTAAGGCATGACCCAGTCGCTAAGACCCTTCAACCATGCCTTTTGCATGACTTCGTCGGGCTTCAACAAGTCGTAGCACGTGCACAAGGCGGCGGAGAAGCACTCCTTGTTGCCTTGATCGATGAAGTAGTCGAGAAGTTCGTCCACGATGGTCGCGTCTCCACTCTTCGCGGCGATTTCCATGGCGTCCTTAAGTAACCCATCCCGCTTGCTAAGATCGATGGCTTGCTGCCATCGCGCGTTGCGCTGATAGATGTACGAAGAAATTCTTCGGAACTCGATCAGTTCGTGGCTCTCGCATTGTACCGCAAGAGATAGTTGATCGCAATTGTCGTACATATCGAGCGAAGTCTTCAACGCCGCGTGATCTTCTTCTTCGATCGCGAGTTCGTTCACGGCGTCGTTCACCGCCGTCAAGTTTGCACCCTGCACAGCTAAAAGGTACTCCTTCACCATGGCCAACTTACCCTCCTTGCGCATGAGCGACACCACGCGAGAGTGATCAAGTCTCGACTGAAGTACACCGAGAAGATTGGTCATCTCTGTTGGGTGCTCGCGAAGGTAAAACTCGATCGCCTGGTAGTACAAGTCCGCGTTGGCAAGCTTGACGCACACATCCTTGAAGACCACGTGCTCCCAAGCGTCGGGGTGCTTCATCATCACCTCGCAAGCGTTATCGTACTCGTCGTAGCACCTGTAAAGATACGCGAGCTCGGGCCACAACGCCACGTGGTTGCACGTGGTTATGAGTCGCGGAATATTGATGCGCGCGCTGAACAAACGAATGTGTTCCATGAGCTTGTCGGCCATGTGGTTGGCGTACAAGATGCCGAGCTCGGTGAAAATACCCATGTGCGCCCGGTCAACGCCGACGCCGGCTTCCATAAGCTGGATAAGCTCGGTGAACTTACCATTCGCTTGGTAGTACTCACTGACGGAATCGAGTTCATCAGCTTGGATAATGATGTTGAGACCGGCGAGCTGCGCGAGCTTGTTTTCGCCTTCTTCGAGACACGTAAAGCACACTTCCTTCCACGTACGCGGGGAGTTAGCCTTCTTCGCGGCGTCGACTGCACCTTGGAACATGCGAAGTTTGAGCAAAGTGCTCGCAAGGCAGCCCCAGTTGCTGAGCGCGGTGTACAAAAGTCGAGCAGCCTCGTACAAACCTTCGCCAAAGCATCTGTCGGCGACGGACTGCTGATTCGCGCTGTTCGGCGTAGCCAAAAAGTCTTCGAGCTTGGCCAAATCGTTGATCTTGGCGTACGCGTACACAAGTTCAGTATCGACGCGAGCTTCTTTCTTGTTCTTGCGCACCATGAGCAAATATGGAACCATGTCTTCGTACATGTCGGCTTGGCGCGCGGCGTGAATGACGTCGACGAAATCACTCCCATCTTGCGCCTTGATGTACGACTTGATGGCCGCTTTAACCGCCTCCGGAGTGCCAACCTTGAGCTGCGCCTTGCCGATTTGGACCCAAACTTCGGGTAAGTCGACCTTGCGCGCGTACTCGATGCCACGATCGAGGTCTTCGAGAGACTCGAGAAGAATCTTCATCGCGTCAACATGCAGATCAAACTTCTTGAAGATGGCAAAGGCTTCTTCGTACAACTCGTTACCGGCGGCAATCTCACCGACCTCCGGACCGTTGAAAGAGTCGAGTCGGTTGACGTAATCCATGACGCGAGATGCGTCCGCCTTGATGGCGGTAAGGATGAGCAAGTTTTGCAAGTTCGGGTTGTTGCTGAACGCGCTGTTTTGTAGCACGATCTTCTCCAACAACTCGATGAGTTCATGCGGCATTTCTGCCGTCATGAACGCCTTCACGGTCACAGAAACTTGCTCAGGGTTCTTGCTTTCTGGGAGTGCGGTAGACACGACTTGGTCGATAAGCTGGCGGCAGTATTTGTTTTCTTCCGTCAACACAGATGCCCAGAGATCGGCGTCCATACGCTCGACGACATATCTCGCCTGAACCTTGAACATACTGTTTCTGTTCGTGCAATCCACCAACTCTGCGTCGCAGTTGCCACGCTTGTACGCTACGCACGCCAAGTACGGATCGCGCTTCTCGCAGTAGCGACCGACGATGGCGGACTCGTAGTACTCGTTTGTGAGCAAAAAGTGCTCTGGGTTCTGGTTGCTATCGATGAGCATCTTACCCATGGCGTTGTGTACTTGCGGATCCACGCTCCCTTCGTTCACGAGGTGCTCGAGGAATTGCGTGAGGATCTTCAAGCGGTTACGTTTCTCCACTTCTTCCACGAGCGGCGCCACGGGCAAGAGAGATCGCACGGACAAGATGAGAGTCTTGATGAAATCGTCCGGGCACTCGAGATCCAACAGTGTACCAACGACCTTCGGCGCCTGCTTCGGGTTGACTTTTTGCACGTAGCCTTCGATGTAGCGCAACATGTTGTTGTTGTAAAGGTATGTCGTCAAATCCGGAACGAACTCATAACGGTCGCACACATTGATAAGCGGACGAGCATCTGAGAGCTTGGCTTCCATGAGGAACACCTTGACGCGTTCGGCATCGTAATGATCGCTCTCGCGCGTCACTCGCTCGACTTCCTTGATCTGTCCAGTCTTTGAAGCAGCTTCGATAAATTTGTACACAAGGTCCTTGTCTTCACACGTGTTCACGAAGTACCCGAGGTAGTAGAAGAGGCCTTCGGCAGATTCAAACTTGTCAAACATCTTCACGACAGAGTGAATCTCGAGTTGTTCCGTGTACTCCTTAGCAATGTTCACCGCCATCTGAAGGTTTTGACGCATGTTGAACGTGAGAAGTTCCTTAAGGCAGTCCAAAGCCCACTCGCGGCTCAGTGTACCGAAGAATTCAGTGAGCGCTTGCGGGTCTATCGAGTGTGTGTTGACGACACAACGCTTCAAGTCGGCGAGCTCCGTGTAGTGCTCCATGGCTCGAATGTAAAGACCAGCCTTCTCGCAGAGCTGCGCGATGCGCGGGCGGTCGTAGTGCGTGAGCTTTCCTTGCGCCAAGATCGCATCAGCGACGTTCGGGTATGTCACCAAGTTGATCTCAAGAACCTTGGTTTGCAGCGCCGCTTGGCTCTCGTCGTCGCCCTTGAGCAAATCGAGCAAGATCGATGTCGCCTCACGAATCATGTTGCGCTGCAAGAAGAGATCGGCGATGGCCCCCATGTCGCACGGTGGCGGTGTCATCTGACTGATCTTTTGTGCCAACTGCACCGCGCTCGCGGGATCTTTCATCATAAGAGCTTGCAACATGTACATATAGTCTGGCTTGTAATCGACGGCGGAGCAGTATTGCGCCATCTTGTCGAATTCGCCACGCTGCGCGAACGCTGCGGTTACCTTCGGACTCGCGCGTGCTTTGACGTAAATCTTAAGCGCAGTATCGGAGTCAGTCGGCGCCAGCATGTCGCCGAGTTCTTCGCTCGCCTCGAGCTTGTCCTCGCTCAGCCATGTGTCGAGAAGCTGCTTCTTGTTTTGCGCAAGCACGAGCTTTGCGAGTTCAACTGATTCCAGCTTGTTCAACTTTCCGCGCTGCAAGCACGCGCCAAAGTACTGTAACAAAGGAGAACTTTGGCCCGGTTGAGTCGGGACGCCGCGAAATCGGGCGATGGTCTGATCTGTGCGCAACGAGCTCATGCTCGCCGCGAGTTCGGCCGCCCCCTTGTAGTCCGCAGAGTTGAAGAGCATATCAAACTTGGGCATCACGAGCGCATCGGCGCCGGGAAGATTCCCTCTCGACGCGACCGAAAGCGCAAGCTCCAAGTTATTGAGCGTGCTGCTGATGAACGGCACAACGGCGGCTTCGTTCAGGGTGATCAACAAGACTTGGCCGCCTCTGTTAACAACGTACAAACCGCCAACGCTCGTCGCGGACGCGCCGACGAAGACCGGATCTTGCGAAATGCGGCTTCGGTAGATCGGCGACGCAGTTTCCACGTCGTACACGAACAGCAGACCGCTCTTGGTGACGATGTAAATGACGCCGTATTTGTCGCTCACTTGCATGACGACCGGGAAGTCGTCGGCAAACTCGGGCGGGAAAAACAACTCGCTCGTGCGCTTCGTGAACGGCGTTTGCCCTGCCGGCGCGCCGAGCTCAATCACATGAAGCTTGGAAACCACCGATCCATCGGCTTGAACCATCTTTTGAGCGAAACATACCAACTGACTCTTTTGCGCGTTGCCCGGCACTTGGTGCGTCGTGAACGCCGCCATGTGCGCCTCGAGCGGCTGCGAGCGTTGTTGCGCCACCGAGTACAGCTGCATGTTACCCTTCACTAACGCCGGTCTCGACGCGTCGCCTTGCGCGATACCGATCAGCGTGAACCACTGCATGTCCTCTGATGCTTTATAGCTGATGATCTGATTCCCGTTCAGGTTTGCAGTTCTGTCAAACACCTTCACCGGCGCGTTCGCGTCATCGATCGACCAGTGAAACACCGCGGTGTTGGTCACGATCCCCAACATTTTCGGCGTGATCCACTTCCAAAACACCACCGGCTCCATGTCGTGCCCCTTGATTTTCGCCTTTTGATCAATGTTGAAAATCTGCAACGAATCCTCCACGCCATTCTCGTTCTCCACTCTCGCCTTGAGCGCAATCACGTTCTGCGTCGGGTTCATAAGCGCGCTATCCGCCGTGATCGGTTTCTTCATCGGCTGCAGCGGGTTATTCACCTCGACGATCACCACATTATTCGTCGTCCCGCTCTCCCGAGCGCACACGTACTTCTCGCTCTCCATGGTGAGATTCGTGAACGAAATACATTGCGGGTTCACTCCGCACGTTTTCAACTGCGCACCGTTCAAAGCCGCGCGGATCTCGTCAGTCATCACCGTCCGCACCATCCCGCGCCCTTTCGCGCGACGACGCGTCCACCGCGCGTTTTCGTTCGACATCGATTGACCCAACGAGATGCGATCGCCTCGGCATTGCCGTCGCGTTCCGTCGTCTTTTCGCGCTTCGAGCGTCGCTTTCGCGCCGCGCGACCGCGGGTCGCGGACGCACCTGTATCGCTTCTTTCACCGTGACCGGCACCGCGGGCGCCGCCATCGTGCGCGCTTCGTCGCGCGCGCGATCGTGCGGTCAATCGAGATCCGCCGGACGAATAGGGTTGAGAGGTTGGGCGCGCCGGCGCGTCGCGGCGCGACACACGGCGACGCGCGACGACGCGCGCGACGACGACGCGCGCGATGTCGACGACGACGCGCGCGACCGCGGTGGTGGGCGCGGCGCGCGCCCCGCGCGTCGGTCGCGCGAAGGCGAGGACGCGGATGCCGACGGATAAGTCGACGACGCGACGCGCGACGCGCGCGAACGCGAGCGATGACGCGGAGACGGGGACCGCGGTGGACGGAAGGAAGAGCGCGTCGATTCGCGGCGTGACGACGACGACGGGAGAGGCGGTGAGCGATGGACCGCGGCCGATGTTGATGGTGGACCTGGCGGCGGGGACGGTGAAGTTCGCGCCGACGAAGCGGCAGAAGAGTCAGGCGACGGCGAAGAAGGATCAGGCGGTGAAGCGGGTGTCGGTGGAGATGAAGACGAAAGGGAACGTCGTGATCGGGGTGCTGGAGGAGGAGGATGTGGACGATGCGACGAATTTGGTGATGGACTTGTTTTTCAAGGTGAGGCCGCAGGATATCTTGGCGAAGAACCGATTGCGAGGCGAACAAGCGAAGCGCGTGCGCATGGGACTTTTGGACGGCGTGAAGACGGCGGAGGATCGTATTTTGATATCTGCCAAGGTTGGGAACGTGTTGGTGGGGATTTCGGAGGTGTCGTTGCCGAACGGCAATAGATACGGGGCCGACAAGCTGCAGCCGAGGGCGCCGAGGGACAAGGCGTACTTGTCAGACGTGTGCGTGAGCCCGACGCAGCGCGGGCGTGGGATCGGCCGACAACTCGTGCTCGCGGCCGAGCGCGCGATGGCGAATATGGGCGAAACCATATTGTACACGCACACTAAGGTTGACAACGAGGCTGCGCAGATTCTCTTTGAAAAGTGCGGATACGAGGAGCCGCCTGAGGTCAAGGCGAAGCTCACCTCGGCGCAAATCGCGCAACGTTCGAGCAAGAACAATCCCTTCGCGAAGCTCGGTCTCGTCGAGGTTGGGCACATTTTGCTCGCGAAACCACTCACAAACTCTGACCTGCCGCCGTAGAGACGAACGATGACTTTGCAATATTATTCACAACACTCGTCTCGTCGTGACGCGCTACGCTCTAACTCTATCTAATACTCAGCTAGGACTTCTCTTTCTTCTCTTTCTTCTCCTTCTTCTCCTTCTTCTCCTTCTTCTCCTTCTTCTCCTTTTTTGCCTTCTTCTCCTTTTTTGCATCTTTACTCGCCGACTTTCTCTTTTTGTCGCCGCGCGGACGAAACACGTGAATGACGCAATTACCGGCGCCAGTGCGTTGGAAATCGGAGTGTAATGCCGTCACTGGTAGCTCCGTTCGCTCAAAATCTTTTACCGTTGACTCGGTGTAAAACTTAGTTTCCGCGAGCGGATGGTGTACAGGGTACCGCTGGACGTTTGCGATCAAAATGAGCGTGTTCGGCCCAGCCAAGTCGCGCATCGTGCGCACGAGATTCGTCCACTTGGCCGGGTCGTTACCGTACACGACGTCGCTCGCCAAGACAAGATCCGGCTGCGTTTTTAACCCGAGAGTTTTTAGCGGCTTTTCGTTGCCCCAAACAAGTTTCTCTACGCGTGCGTCCTTCGCCGCGTTTGCTTCGACGTTCTCTCGCAGTAGCGTCAAGACGTCGTCGTCGCCTGCGTGGAATGAAAAGGAACTCGTCAGTTCGATGTGCGATACGCGCGATGAATGTGCGAGAGCTACTATCAGATGACACTCATGGCCCGCCGAAACGTGCGAGTGCTGTCAGCGAAACTCCCGAGTTGATGTGTGCCACATTTGAAACTCCAAGGACACAGAAAGTCCAATGAAGGGATTAACAGTGGCGAAGGACGAACAAGTCGAAAGAAGACGCGCGAAACGTACCGTCGGTAGCGACAACGTGCGCGCCAAGTTTGGAAGCGACTACGGACGGTAAACCTAAACCAGCACCGAGTTCAACGCATACTTTACCCTTCCAATCGTCGTCCCAAGCTCCACCGAGCGCCTTAGCGACGCCCTCCGTCGCGAGCGGCGATTTCTGTCGAGATAACCACTCCGCTAAAACAAAACTTCCTTCCCACAGTGCCACACCCGTGTTTCCTCTTCCCCATCCCCCACAGCTATCGTCGACGCGGACACGATCGGTACCTTTGTAACTCTGCGGTGTCGCCGCGGTGAGCTCGATGGTAGCGTTCATTGAGGGAAACTCGTACGACAACGTACGCCGCGCCGACACGGCTTTGGCGAGTGAAGCGTCTTCAACGCCGAGTCGCTCGTACGAACCGAGGAACTTTAAAAGCTCCTGCGAATTAAAGTCGTTGAGCTTCATTTGTGCGCACGCGCCCAGTGCTTTGATTAATTCATTGTCGTCGCATCCGAGCGCGGCGAGCGCCCACGCCGTGTTCGTCAAATCTCGCGGATTGAACTCGTCGATCATGGACTTCATCGCCCGCACGATGTATGGTAAAACCTCTTGCGTATTTTCGTTGAGCATGGCGAACGACCACAACACCATCGTCAAGTGGTGTGGCGAAAAGGTTTGAAACTCGACGTCGAACAACATCTCACACACCACAGCGCTAAACATTTCAAACAGTTCTGGTGCCTTGATGTCGAGTTTTGCGAACGACCACGCCAAGAACGCGATGTCGCGCGGCTGAAATTCATCTCTGCGCGCCGCGGCGTGATCCTTGTAAGCCTTCATTATCTGTGAGTTATAAATCCCGAGCTTTGCCATCGCGTGCGCTGACGTCGCGATTTGCTGCGCCGATGATTCGTCCGCTTTCCTCGCCATCGACTTTGCGAGCGCGTGCATGACTTTGTGATCGTCGACGGCGAGATTCGCGAGCGCCCACAGAACCATCGAGAGTTCGTGCGCGTTGAACTTGTTCGCGTACTCGTTTGCCGCGTCGACGAATATAGCGATCAATTCCGCATCATCGCTCATGTTCAACTTCGCGCACGCCCAAATAACGTTGGAGACGTGCTGGCACTGAAACTCGCCGCCGGAGAACCACGCGCGTTCTCGCTTCAATCGCGAGCACAACGCCTTGACACCTACTTCGGCGTCTTCTCGCACGCTCGACCCACACTTCGCGAACCCAGACATCGTATTCGCACATTCTTGCGGATTGAACATCTCAACTCGTTCTTCCACCGCCACCGCGATCCCACGTGCGAGCTCGCGTCCCAGCGCGCTCTCCTCGAACACGCCTCGTCGCGTCGTCTCCGTCATCGCCCCCAAGCTCCACGCCGCGTTCGACACCCCTTGCGGCGTCCATCCGTTCTGATGATCCGTCCCTTTATCCACCATCAACGACGCTCGTATCAAGTCTCCCAATATCAACCACAATCCCACGGTATCGCTCTTCGCCTTGGCCAATCCCCAAAACGCGTTCGACAGTTCCTGCGGCTTGAACATTCGCGCGCGCGCCTCCACCATCGCCTCGATCGCGCGTTCCATCGCCTCATCCCGCGCGTTCGCGCGTCCACACGCCCAAAGCATCGCCGCGCACTGCCGCGGCCACCACTCGCGCGGCGCGCGTTCCAGCGACGCGCGCGCGACGTTCGCGATGGTTTTCACCACCGCGCGCGCCTCCCCGGCGGCGGCGCCATCGTCGCGTTTCTCCGCCAGCGCGTGCATCTTCGCCGCCTTGCCCGCGATCGCGGCGCAGTTGATCGCGTTCAGCAGCGCGTCGTTGCCGTCGATGAGCGCGACGAGCTCGCGCGGCGCGCGAGCGGCGACGACGGCGCGGTTGAGCGACTGCGCGTCGGCGCATCGCGTCGACATGACGACGAACAGCGTCGCCGCGCGCGCGTCTCGCGCGTCTATCTCGTGCGTGTGCGCGCGCGATGCAGCGTTACGTCATCTCAGCGCGTCACGAGCGTCGACGGTCGCGCGTGACGTCGCGCGCGCGCGCGAATGCGGCGACGCCGGCGACCGCGCGCGAGCGATCGACCGCAGAATCCGTCGTGATGTTTACCGTGCACGCCCCGGCGCGCGCGACGCGCGTCGCGGCGCGTCAAACGTACGCACAGCGATCGTCCGCGCTGGCGCCGCGTCGCGCGGCGCTCGAACGACGACGCGCGCGCGTGATTTCCAACGGATTGTTCGGGCTCGGGCTTCCTGAAATCGTCGTCATCGGTGGCGTCGCCGCGGTGCTGTTCGGCCCGAGCAAGCTTCCCGAGCTCGGAAAGTCGCTCGGGAAGACGGTGAAGAGTTTTCAAGAGGCGGCCAAGGTGCGCGGCGAAGGCGTTGATCGAGCGAGCGCGCGAGACGGACGCGCGAGGGCAAAGAGTATCTCAAACGAAGGCGACGCGGGACGAGGGCGAGCGAACGCGACGACTGACGAATCGTGACGGTTGGTTTGCGACGCGAATAGGAGTTTAAGGATGAACTTACAGAGGAAATGACCGAAGAAGGCGAGACGAAGGCGATCGAGGGCGATAAGAAGGAGGAGTAGACGGCGCGAGGAATCGCTGAGACGTTGTATTGCGCAGCATCAAGACCACAAAATCTACGTTAGTTACGTCCCGCCGCCGCGGACGCCTTGGCTTTGGCCTTGCGCGCCGCCACGGCGGGGCGCTTTCCCGATCGTTTGGCCGCCTTCGCGATGCCGGCTTTACTCGAAGTTTGCCTCGCGCCTGGGGCGCCGCGCTGCGCCTCGCCGCCGCGGTGCGCGCTCTTGGACGATTTTCCACCGGGACGAGATCTCGACCCTTCCCACGCGTTTGTGCCACGCGACGTCGACGCATCGCCACCTTCGTCACGAAGCTTCGGATTCCGTCGTTCGGCACCGGTGGCGACCTTCGGCTCGGCGCGCGCCTTGCTCGGCGTGCCGGGTTTCGGCGCCTTGGATCGAGCGGCTTTGCTCACGCGAATCTCTCTATCGCCGAGCTTACTCCCGTCAAGCAAAAGCGCCGTACGCGCTTGCGCTGGCGTTTTGAACAACACGAACCCGATGCCCTTACCCATGGTCGTCTTTCTGTCTCGCACCACGCGCACGGCCTCGACGCTCTTGCGCAAATCGGGATACTCTTTATTCTTGTTGAACAACCGAATCACGTCCTCATCGTCGACATTAAACGGTAAATGGCCCAAGAAGACACTTCGCGTGTGATCATACACCACCTCACTTCGTATGATCGATGGTTTACTCGCTAAATCAACGCGAATGTGCCGTCCCTCGAACTCCTTCATATTCAACGCCGCCGTCGCCGCGCGCGCCGACGCCGCGTCGTCGTACACCACGAACGCCGTCGCGTTCGCCCGCTCCGCGTTTAATTTTCCCTTCAGCACTTTAATTTTCCTAGGTTCGTTTCCATCCGCTTCCACGGGCACGTTTCTCAACCGTACGCTCACCACCTTGCCGTGTTCGCCGAATTTCGCCTTCAACTTTTTCAGCTTCGTCTTCGCCGGGACGTTCCCGACGAACACCGTCCGCGCCAGCTCCTCCGCCGTCGCCTCCGCCGATCGATCGCGATACCCCGACCCCGACGGTTTCGCTTTCGTCGCTCCCTCATCGCTGTCGCTGTCGCCGTTCGGTTTCTCGTCCGAAACCGCCGCCGCCGCCGGCGCATCGTCCTCGCTTTCGCCCTCATCCTCGCTCGACGCCGCGTCCGACGACGACGACGCCGCGCTCGCCGCGCGCGCGTTCGGTTTTTCTCGCGCGCGTTTCGCGCGCGCGTCCGTCGCGTCCGCGCTCGCGTCGCGTCGCGCCCGTTTCTTCGCCGACGCCGACAACGGCGCGCGCACCACCGGCGCGTCCGCCGCGCTCGCGGCGTGAAACGCCGACCGCGCGTCGAACAGCGCGGACGCGCCGCTCGACGCGCGCGGCTCGCCGCCGAAGATGCCGTCGAAGATGCCCATGGCGACGCGCGACGCGTCGCGAAGTCGCGCGCGACGCGTTCGGTGCGCATCACATCGCGCCGTTCGACGCGCTGGCGTCGCGCGCGCGCGTCGCGTCGCGGCGAGCGCGTCGCGGAGATGTCCGCGCCGTGGTCGTCGCGGTCCAAGTATTACGTCGGACAGGAGGTGGCGTTCAAGCGCGACGTGGAGAAGCGCTGTCGAGAGTTCTTTTCGCACTGCAGCGTGGAGGAGTTCGACCGCGCGCTCGCGGAGACGATCGCGGCGCAGGGCGGGGGCGCGGGGGCGAGCGATGCGAAGTGTGGGCTGGAGGCGCACTGCGTGAAGCGCATGATCGCGTGCGCGCTGGATAGAGGGGCGAGAGAGCGGGAGATGTGCGCGCAGGCGCTCGCGGCGACGAGGGCGAGCGGGACGCTGGACGCGGAGGATTTCGAACGTGGGTTCGATCGCGTGCTCGCGGAGGTTGCGGATTTGAAAATCGATTTCCCAGATGCCGTGGCTGAGTGCGTGACGTTTTTGGCGCGCGCGGTGGCGGATGATGTGGTGTCGGTGACGTACCTGGAGACGGCGTGCTCGAGGGACGGTTACGGCGAAGGAAGAGACGTGGCCAAGTCGGCGAAAATGACGCTGGCCGATGCGAGTGGGGAGTCGCGCGTGCGTAAGGCGTGGGGCGGACCCGAGGGATACAGCGCGGATAACGCCAAGATAGAGATGCGGGATATCATCGATGAGTATTTGATGTCGAGAGACGGCGCCGAGGCGGAGCGGCGATTACGTCGGTTGAACATGCCTTTTTACCATCACGAGCTCGTCAAGAAAGCGCTGACGCTGGCGATCGAGCAGTCGATCTTGACCCCTAACGTCATCGAAAAGGTGGTGGATTTATTGAAATACATCGGGCGGAGCTCTGTGGTGAACGGAAGTCAAATGGCGAAAGGTTTCGCGCGCACCGCCACGGCGCTCAAGGACGTGTCCATAGACGTTCCCAAGGCACCCGAAATCTTTGGCGAGCTTATTGAACGAGCGAAACGCGCAGGTTTACTACCTGTTGGTCTGAGTGCTTGGGCATCGGTGAAACCTGCATCTTACGGAGGGAAAGCTGCGCGTGGTCACGCGCAGTTGCTTCGGTTGGACAGCGCGCCGGATCTCGCCGCGCTCGCGAAGGCGACGAAGTCTCCAGGTGAATCTCCAGGAGGCTCGCGAAGCGCGTCTCCGGCACCGTTCATAAGTGACCGTATGCACGCCATGACTTTGGAGCGCAAGAACTCTGCCGGTTTGACTCGAATGGGGAGCGCGACGAAGAGGCAAATCAACACTGGTTGGAGTGGCTTGCGCGCTCAAGCGATGCCAAACAATTTGAAGAATTCGCAACGACCGCAGGGATTCGACACCAAAGGATTACTGGTTAAAGCCATGCCTAGCTATCGTTTAGCGCACTTGTTCGCCAAACGCATCGAACATAAGCCCGAAGGTCGAACGCGAAACAAGCTCGGGCTGAAACGAACGAATTCTGCGCCGGGCGGTTTGGACGATCTTGACACATCGCGTTTTGTTCGCCCAGTCGGGTTAGTGCACGATTATATGCCTTTCCTAGACAAGTACGACGTTTTAGAAACTCTTGGTGCCGGTGGTTTTGCCGTTGTGCGCAAGGCGAAGCATCGTAACACGGGTGAAATCGTCGCCGTGAAGACGCTTCGCGTCGAAGGTTTAGGCGGCGACAGCGACGACGAAGGTGGAAGTGAGTCATCGAGCGATGAAGACAGCGACGATGAGGATGAGCTTCAATCCATGACGCTTCATGAAGTCAAGCGCGAACTCGTCATGATGCAGCAGCTCTCAGCGCACCCGCATATCGTCACCATACGAGAGTTTTTCACTGAACAAAACGATGAAGTCGTGCACGTCGTCATGGATTGCTTGCAAGGCGAGGAGCTCGACGATTTGGTGAACGCGCGCGGGGCATTTAGCGAAGAAGAGGTCAAGATAATAATGTCTGCCATGCTCGATGCAGTGGCGTTCATGCACGGCAAGGGTGTCATTCATAGAGATTTGAAGCTCGAGAACTTTGTTCTGGCTGAAAAGGGCGATTTGAAGTCGTTGAACATTGTCGATTTTGGTTTGGCGAAGGCGTTGAACGCTCGTCAAAAAGCGCAGCACGTGTGTGGTACACTATCGTACATCGCCCCAGAGGCGTTACTTGCTGGCGTGTACGGTCAAGGCGTGGATGTTTGGGCGCTCGGAATCGCCATGCACGTCCTGCTCACGAATACGTGGCCGTTTGATGACGACGATGAGGATGAACTTTACGAGCAAATCATTGAATGTGATCTCGATTTCGAAACGGAGGAGTGGGAATCTGTGAGTGATGTCGCGAAGGATTTGATAGAAGGTTTACTCGATCCCAATCCCAAGCGCAGGCTCACCGCGACTCAGGCACTAGAACACGCCTGGTTCACTGGCCAGGCTTCGCACACTTCGGACACGCTGCATAACCTGCACACCCGACTCGACGGGTTGATTTCCATCTCTCATCAACCACCTGAACGTCGATTCAAAAGCGGCGAGCTCATCACGCGGCAGGGTGACCCGGCGACGGAGTTCTTCATAATAACTGCAGGCGAGTGCACGCTGACTCGCGACGGCGTCGTCGTCGGCGTTCGTCGAGTGGGCAATTTCGTCGGTGAATTGAAAAACTTGGAAGCGAGCGGCGAAGAAGAAACTCTCACGGCGTGGACGTCAGCTCGCGCCGTAGGCGACGTTCGCGCGCTCGTGTTTCAAGACACCGAGGTACAGTGGGCGTACCAGTTTGATTATCGCCTGACGTCGGAGTTTGACAATATGATTCGTTCGCAACGAAAAGTCATCGCTCGAGAGGCGCGCGGGCAACGCAAGCGCGAAGCGCATGACAAAAAAGCGCTCGAGGCCGCAGAGGCAGAAAATGAGACACCGATGACGAGATCGGTGAGTGAATTCGCGATTCGCGAGTGATTCTACAACTACATCGACTATGTAACAACACGAAAGCGCGCGCCCAATCAAACGTACGCGGCGGGCGGCGGGTCGTCGGGCACGCCTCCGATGTCGAACGAAGGCGCGCACCACGCCTCTGAGTTCGGGACGTTCGGATCCGGCGTGAGCGACGGCGCGCGCGGCGCGTTACCGCCGCCGAACGGACTCGCGCCTCCGGGACCGCCGCCGAACGGACTCGCGCCGCCTCCGGGACCGCCGCCGAACGGACTCGTCGGTTGCGCGCTCGCCACGAACCCCGTCGCAACCGGCGTCAACGAAGGCTGATTCCCCGTGAACCCGCTCGCCATCCCACCCGCCGGCGCGAACGGCGTCGCCCTCGCGTCGAGCGCCGGCGCGTGCGTCCTCGAGAACCCTCCCCCACCCCCCACGATCGCCGTTCCGTCCATCACGCGATCCGCGCCCGCGGGCGCCATCTCCCCTCGCTCCACGCGGTCCAAAACTAACTTTAGCTGATGTTCCGGGAACGCCAGTATTCCCTTGACGTCGCCCGCCTTGGCGTCGGCGTACTCGCGCGCTCGCGCGTGCGCGCCTCCCGCGTCCCCTCCCGCGCGCACCGTCGCGTACGCCGCGCACCGCAGCTCCTCGAACGACGTGTCACCGCCGAGCAGGTTCGGCTGCTCGCCCTTCGGGCCGTAGCACGACAGCGCCCAGTTCGGTTTCTCGTCGAGCAAATCTTCCTGGAGCAGGTCTCGTCTTCGGACGCCGACGGCGGCGTGTCCGCGACCGCCGCGTCCCTGACCGCCGTCGCGCGTCCACGCGTTCGAGCGTCCACCGCGCCCGCGACCGCCCATCGCGCGTCGTCGCGCGCGGACGGCGCGTCGCGGAATCTCGCGCGCGGTCGTCTTCACTCATTCGTCGAGCGCGCGGCGCGGGGCGAGCGTCGACGCGTCGACGAAGTGTGCGCTTCTTTATTATTAAACGCGTTCGGTCGCGTCGAGCGCCGATCGCGTTCGCGTTCGCGACGTTTCATCGCGTTCGCCGCGCGCGCGCTCACGACGCCTCCGCCTCCGCCGGCGCCGCGTCCTCCGTCGCCGCGTCGCCGCCGAAGCTCGGCAGGCTCGGCAGGCTCGGCAGCGACACGCTCGGCAACGAAAAGCTCGGCAACGCGAACCCCCCGCCCGAGGATTCCTTCTTCGCCCTCGGCGCCGCTTCCTCCCGAACCGGTCGTTCAAACTTCTTCGTCGCCTTCGGCGCCTTCTTCGCGTACTTTTCTCGCACGTTGTACGACCCGCGCTTCGAGCTCTCGTAATCGCCCGCCTCGCGCGCGTCGATCTCTTCGCCGTACGACTTCGCCTTATCGCTGATCGGCGACAGCCCGCTCGATCTCTCGACGACGTTCGCGTCCGCGCCGGATTTCGCGTGCGCGATGTCCGTCGGTTGTTGCATCGCGAGCGTCGCCGCGAGCGTCACCGCCGCGAGCGTCCGCGTCGCCGTCGCGAATCGATCGCCGGCGTCGATCGCCGTCGATCGCGTCGTCGTCGTCGCGATTTTGCGCGTCGTCTTCGGAGCGCGTCGGGGCGCGATCGCGCGCGCGCGGGGCATCGTCGTCGTCGTCGTCGCGAGCGTCATCGCGGCGCGTCGGATCGCGCGCGTCGTCGTGCGTCGCGCGGTTCGATCGCGATTCGCGATCGCGCGACGGTATCAGCTCGTATCGATACGAGCTGATACCGTATTGGCGTATCGACGTATTAGGCTTTTCGTATGGGCAAACAGTGTAAAATCGCCGATTTCAATACGCATCGGGAAATTCCCAATACCGGATTCAAGCACCCCGAGTCGAGCGGGCGAGGTCGACCTCGAGGTCGATTCGATTCGATGCTCGAATCGATCGATTCGATCGATTCGATCGATTCGGATCGCGTCGATCGGGTTCGATCGATCGATCGACGCGCGCGCGCGCGATCGCGGCGACGCGCGACGGCGGACGCGCGCGCGCGTGACGGGCGCGAACGTTTCCGGCGAATCGCACGCGCGTCGGCGCGCGCGTTCGCGCGACGCGCGGTGACGACGCGCGGCGCGGTCGACGCGCGCGACGACGACGACGACGCGTCGCGCGGACACAACGGGACGACGACGACGACGCGATGGCGACGCGCGCGCGCGCGGACGACGACGCGGGCGACGCGAAGGATCGCTTGAATCGCGAATCGGCGCGCGCGTCGACGTCGCGCGGCGCGACGGAGACGATCGAGTACGGGACGTTTCACGCGCGCGTCGGCGCGGTGTTCGGGGACGGCGACGGCGGCGGGTGGCGACCGCGATCGAACGCGGTGACGCGACGGGGCGGCGACGGCGACGGCGGCGACGGCGAGAGCGCGAGCGAGAGCGCGAGCGAGAGATGCGGGGACGATTTGGATTGCCTGGAATCGGACGAGGAGGGGGACGACGACGCGCGGAAGATGACGCGGTTGGCGGCGAGCGTCGGGCGGTGTCGCGCGCTGGACGGCGAGGCGGATTTCGACGAGGACGACGCCCTGGCGCTCGGCGTCGACGCGCGCGAGCGTCGATCGATGAACGGGGTGACGTCGATGGTCGAGCGCGCGCGCGCGGTGGGCGCGCCGAGCGCGGTGGACCGCGTGCCGGATCACGTGGCGAATCCCGCCAAGTACACGCGATACGCGCTCGACGAAGAGCTCACCGTCGGTAGCGGGCGAGTGTCGAACGCGCGCGGTCCGTCGTCGGCGACGGGCGACGAGCACCCGAACACACCGACGATACACGTCGAACGCGAGTCCGTCGAAGCGTTGCCGAAACCGCGATTCTCTCGCGCGGCGGCGGCGAACGCCAAGTCGAAGACGAAAAAGCGCGCGGCGCCGGAATCGAGCGTCGCGACGCGCGCCGACGTTCGCGTCCATCTCGACGACGACGACGACGTCGTCGATGGACGAGACGAAGAAAACGACGACGATCGGTGCGCCGCGAGCGGCGCGCGCGCGCGAAAATTACGCCGTAGGAAAAATTAAATTGGCGCGGTTAGCGCGGCGTCTTTGTAGCGATTAGGTGTAGAGAGTCGGTTACGACACACAGCGCCGCGCGCGCCGCCGCGGCGCTTCTCCGCGCGCATGTCGAGCGACGTCGGCGCGCCGTGGACTCCGCCCACGTCCGCGGAGCTCTTCGCGAGCGGTACCGTCGTCGTCAAGCGCGAGTTTCTCGTCGAGCCCAGACCACCGCCGCCGCTCGATGCGGCGACCCACGCCGACGCCGGCGACGCCGCGCCGATCTCGGGCGGCGGCACGTTCGGCGCGTTCAACAAACGCGCCAAGTTCGCCGAAAAGTCGCGCGCGGATAAGCCGCGCGAGCGCGGGCTGTGCAATCAGTTGACGCGCGAGGGAAAGTGCGCCTTTGGCGACGCGTGTAAATATTCGCACGACGTCGACGCGTTTTTGAAGACGAAACCTCCCGATTTGCCGGGGACGTGCACGTTCGTGAATAAAGAGGGCGGGTGCCCGTACGGGGTGCGTTGTCGATATTACGGAACGCACGCGACGGGGGAGGGTCGGGACGGCGCGACGGTTGCCGAGTCGACGACGACGCTCGAGCCGCCGAAGACGGTGGAGAAGGAGATGAATTTCGTGGACAAGGACGTGATGGTGCGGTTACGCAAGAAGAAGTATGATTTTTCTAGGGCGGATACGATCGTGAAGGAAGTGTTGAGGGCGATGGAGACGAAAAAGGATGAGCAGACGAAAGCGGGCGAGGAGAGCGCGGCGAAACGCGCAAAAGTCGACGAAGAAAACCGTACGGATACGGGTGCGTTTACGAAAGCGCGCGTCGAAGAGAAGAGAACAATCGACTTCAAAGACAAGCTGTACCTAGCTCCTTTGACGACGGTCGGAAATTTACCGTTTCGTCGCGTTTGCAAGACGCTTGGCGCCGACATCACGTGCGGTGAGATGGCGTTGTGTACGAGTTTACTGCAAGGACTCCCGAGTGAGTGGGCGCTTCTTCGTCGTCATAAGAGCGAAGACATTTTTGGGGTGCAGATATGTGGTGGTTACCCAGACTCAGTCACCAGGTGCTGCCAATTACTCGAAGACACGATAGACGTCGACTTTATAGACATCAACATGGGGTGCCCGATCGACTCCGTGTGCCAGAAAGGATACGGGTCGATGATGCTCGAGAAACCCAAGAAGATGGAAACAGTCATTCGTGCTGCCAGCGCGGCGCTTGGCAAGTGTTCGCTAACGTTCAAAACGCGCATGGCGTACACCGATAAAAGTCGAGTCGCGCACACGTTTGCGCCGAAAGTCGCCGAATGGGGCGCGGCGGCGATGACGCTTCACGGACGCACGCGCGCGCAGCGATACCGGAGCGTGGCGGATTGGGAGTACACCAAATTAACAAAAGAGTCGAGCTCGGTACCTTTGATAGGTAACGGCGATGTATACATGCAAAAGGATTACTACACCCATCTGGAGGAACACTCCGTGGACACGTGCATGCTCGCTCGCGGCGCGCTCATCAAGCCGTGGCTGTTCACCGAAATCAAAGAGCGTCGCGACTGGGACATTTCGTCGCGTGAGCGATTCGATATTTTGAAATCATTCGCCTCTTTCGGGCTCGAACACTGGGGAAGCGACACGCGAGGCGTGGAGTCGACGCGCAAATATTTGCTCGAGTGGATGTCGTTTACGTATCGCTACACCCCCATCGGGTTGTTGGATCACAGTTACGGCGCTGCCGCGATGACACAGCGCCCACCGGCGTTTGTTGGACGGGACGATTTGGAGACACTCATGGCGAGCGAGGCGAGTAGCGATTGGGTGAAGATCTCCACAATGCTCCTCGGCCCGCCGCCTGAAGGATTCGCATTTCAGCCAAAGCACAAATCGAACGCTTACGCGAGCGAGTCTGGCGCCGCGCTCGGCGATATGGACCAGGGATGACCCTAACTAGACTACTAAAAGAATTGCTTATGTTGTACTACCGTTCTACCTACATTGGATTTCTCTAAACTACCTAACGCTTGCGCATGGATACGGCGACTTCGATGTGACTACTAAAAGAATTGCTTATGTTGTACTACCGTTCTACCTACATTGGATTTCTCTAAACTACCTAACGCTTGCGCATGGATACGGCGACTTCGATGTGTCGCGTCCACGGGAAATGATCCAATACTATGAAATCGTCGACCGCGTGTGTTGCGTCCAGTCCATCCCTGATGTTGGCGAGCAAGTTTTCAGGTCCACACGACACGTACAGCACGTGATCGATCTGGGACACGAGCGCCAACGTGTCGGCGTCGAGACCCGCTCGAGGTGGATCGACGAGGACGGCGTCAAAGTCTTCGACGCGAATCGTAGCGCCGGCTGCGTCTTTGAACTTTCCGCGCAGCAAACTTTTGGCGACGCTCTCGCTCGGACTCAAAATTATATCGACGTTCGACACCGAGTTCATGTCCAGACTCTCTCGCGCGGCATCGACTAAAACGGGGTTTACTTCAACCGCGACAACGCGCTCGTACAAATTCGCGAGCGCGCACGTATGATTCGCGTTGCCGCAATACAGCTCTAGTAGCATCTTTCGCCTCGAGAACTTCTTCTTCGCCGCATCGCGCAAGAACTCCATCGTGGCGATCGTGATCGTTCGATTAGGATTCGAAAAAGCGCCCTCGGTGTGTTTGTAAGTCAACACCGAACCGTCGCCGAGCTCGTACTCTTCCCACACGAAATCATCCCCCGTCTTCGCGACGACGCCCTTGCATCGTCCCATGAGTTCGAGCGACACGTCGTCGAACTTCGTCGCGAGTAAACGACGCGCCGCGAGCGTCCACGCGTCGACGTTGATCGGTGTCGAGTACACGAGCGTCGCCAACACCTTGCCTTCGGCGACGCCGCACAAAAAGTGCGTCGCCTCGAGCCCGTCCCGCAGCGCCGCCACCGCGCTCGCCTCGCGCAGCAATCGCCCCATCACGTCTCGGATCGCCCGTCGCGCCATGGGAAAATCATCCACCATCACCGTCGGCGCGCCTCTGTCCCACATCGCGTAGCGCGACGCGCCGTCAACGTCGCGAACGACTTGAAACCGTACCCTCGAGCGGAACTCGACGATTTCCGAGCGCGCGACGCGCGCGCGCGACGCGTCGACGAACGGCGCGAACGCGCGCGCGATTTCGGCAACCTTCTCCTCGAGCTGGCGCTCGTACGCGTCGGCGTCGAGCGCGCGCGAGCCGTGATAGCTCGGACTCGAGGCCGCCATCGCGGCGGCGGTCAATGGCGGGAGACGAAACGACGCGTCGGCATTGACCGACGCGCGACGGCGGCGCTCTGTCGCGCGCGAACGGCGCGAGCGATCCGACGACCGAACGGTCCGCGGTCCGACGAACGGTCCGGGCGCCGCGCGCGATGGAGTCGAGTCGACGGCGGAAGGACGAGCGCGCGACGAACGACGCGGGATTGCTGACGACGTTTCGCGAGCTCGAGCGCGCGCTGGCGGTGGCGGTGCGCGAGTGCGCGCGAGCGGTGGAGACGAACGCGCGACGGCGGGACGCGCAGGGGGACGAGAGCTTGCGGACGGCGAATGAAGAGACGACGCGGTGGCGAGCGTGGTGCGCGCGGGCGAGGATGCAGACGACGCGGTGCGCGGAGGCGTTGGCCCGGCGCGCGCGACGCGACGAGGCGCGCAGACTGCTTCGGCGATGGCGCGAAGCGGTTCACGTGGGACGAGAAGAACGCGCGCGAGCGCGCGAAGCACGTTTACGCACGAAACGATCGGTGCTCGATGCGTGGCGCGCTTTGCGGCGAGCATCTCGTGTGAAAGTTTCAAAGCGCGAAGAGACGTTGACTCGCGAGACGACGTTCTACCGCGAACGGTGCGACGACGCCGTGGCCAAACTCGCGCCGCGAAAGCGACACCCTGCGGCCGTTTGTGCGAACGCGAGCGGCGATCGCAATGATTCGGAGTCGGAAGTTCGGCGGGCGTTCATGCGTGGTGTGTGCGCGCTGAACTTAGAGGCGGCGAGAGTGTTGTAGTTGAAGGCTAACGGTTCGTGATTTCTAACAATTTTTTTTTTGCGTTTTTCTAATATTCCGGCGTTAACCGGTGATGAGTCTCGGGGCGATCGCCATACTCATGAGCTCTTGGAACAGAAGTTTGCAAGCGTACGGAACCATGACTTGGACGACCGACGTACGTTCGCTCGGGTTCTTGCAGCACTCAAACGTTTGGTTCTTCAAGTTGGCCACGGCAATCAACCCGCACTTTTGGCAAACGTGGATTCTGTAAGCGTCGGATTGATCCATCAATCGTTCCTTGAGGAAAGAGGCAGCACCATGACTCATGATGCAATCTCGTTCCATTTCCCCGAAACGAAGACCACCATCTCTCGAGCGGCCCTCCATCGGTTGACGAGTCAAGATTTGCACCGGCCCGCGCCCGCGCGAGTGAATCTTATCGTCTACCATGTGCTTCAAGCGCTGGTAATACGTCGGACCGATGAAGATTTGCGCGTCCAGCATGCGCCCCGTGTGACCGTTGTACATGACTTCGTTACCACGCTTTTGGTAGCCACACTTGTGCAGCATCGAAGAGATGTCTTCTGCAGTAACCGGGGTGAATGGCGTAGCGTCCCCTTCCTTGCCCATGCACGCCGCAACCTTGCCCATGATACACTCCACGAGCTGACCGATTGTCATCCGCGAAGGAATAGCGTGAGGGTTCACGATGATATCGGGCGTGATACCCTCGCACGTGAACGGCATGTCTTCTTGCGTGTACGTCATGCCGACGGTACCCTTCTGCCCGTGACGCGAAGAAAACTTGTCGCCAACCTGCGGCGTTCTCATCGAGCGGACGCGAAGCTTGACGAAACGTAAACCTTGATCGTTCGTCGTGAGCAGCACTTGATCGATGATGCCAGTCTCCGCGTGCTTCATGCCCGTGGAGCAATCCTTCTTCGAGAAGCGCTTGGACAGCACGGCGGTGTCATCTTCGGGAAGCGGCGCCGTCTTACCGATGATGATATCATCACCACTCACGCGCGTACCCGGGCAAATCAAACCATCGTCATCGAGTTTGTCGTAAGTGCCGTGACGCATACCCAAGCACGTGTCTCTGTCTGGTCTCTCGAACTCTTCTCGGCTCAAGCTGCCTTGCTTCTTCTCCTCGTCTTTGAACGATCTGTAGTAGAGAGAACGGAACAAGCCGCGATCGATGGCGCTTTGGTTCATGAGCACGGAATCTTCTTGGTTGTAACCGGTGTAGCACATGATGGCGACAACGGCGTTGCAACCAGCGGGAAGCTCGCGGAAGTGCAAGTATTCCATGGCGCGCGTCGTGACAAGTGGCTTTTGCGGGTAAAACATGACGTAACCGAGGGTATCCATGCGGATTTGGTAGTTCGTCACGTACATCCCCATCGCTTGCTTACCCATCGCACTTTGATAAGTGTTACGCGGCGACTGGTTGTGGTCGGGGAAGGGAATAATGGAGGCACAGATGCCAAGAATCATCGACGGGTGAATCTCGCAGTGCGTGTAGTTGATCGCAACGCCGGTGTTTTGCTCGACCGCGTGGCGACCGGCAACAAGATCATCGATGGTCATGGAAATCATGGTCGTTTCCTCTTCTTCAGTGTCGACGTACTCGATAAAACCCGACGTGACGAGTTCGTTCCAGGTGTACCCTGTGACGTCCTTCTCCGTCAACAATTCGATGTGTTGCTTTTTGATCTTGAGTTTTTGATCGTCCTCGACGATGAAGAGCGGACGCGTACATCTACCGTAATCGGTGTACAATCGAAGCTCTTTCAACCGAATGTCGTGCACGACACTCACTGAAGAATCGATGTCACACTGACGGCGAAGCTTGCGCAGCGTTCTGACCAAATCCGCCGGGTTCCGATGCACGCCAACCCACACGCCGTTCAGGAAAATCTTCGTCGACTCAGCAATCAACGACGGAGAGATTTCTTCCAAGTTTTCCATGGTCCACTCGTCCAAGAACTCCAAGATCGGCTCCGAGGGAGAACCGACGGAAACGAGAGCCATGAGCGCGAGGTTCTTCACCAAACCGACAGCTTGGCCTTCGGGAGTCTCCGCGGGACAAATCATACCCCACAATGAGTTGTGCAGCTGACGAGGCTTGGCCAATTTACCCTCACGACCGATCGGAGAGTTGATGCGACGAAGATGCGACAAGGTGGACGAATACGAAAGGCGGTTTAGCACTTGGCTGACACCTGCCCGAATATCTGCAGCTCCTTGCGATCCCCAGTTACCGGTGGCGAGGGAATACTTCAAGCCCTGAGTGATCGTTTTCGCCTTGATCGCGAGCTGGAGCTGAATTTCCTTGCCGCTGTCAATGCAGCGTTGGCAGTACAGACGCACGTCCTTGGTAAGTTTGCGGAACAATTGTCGGAACAATTGTGCCAACAACGGACCGCCGAGATCCAAACGCTTATTGCCGTAGTGATCACGATCGTCTTCCGGACGGCGTCCGAGAGAGCACAGCAACAAACGGTGAATCATGTAACCCAAAAAGTACGCCTTCTTCGTTTCGCAATCCTCACGCACGCCGACGTGGGGAAGTAGCTCTTTTTGCAAAATCTCCTTTGCGTACTTGATCCGCTTCTCGCGAGAAACGCCGACGGCGGATCCACGCTTACCGATGAAATCGAGCGCCACTTCTTGCGATTGGATCACGAAAGCCTCTTCGATAGACGGCCTCAACATCTCCATCATTTCATTGTCCGCGAGATCGTACACGATGTGCTCCAAGATATCCTTGTCTGCGACGAAGCCGAGAGCGCGGAACACGACGAAGATGGGAATATCCGTTCGAATGTACGGTAGCGTACATCGAATCGGACCAGGCGCGTCCTTAGTCCCCGGGGCGTGAAGTTGTCGCATCACGCACGAGCTCGCGCCGCGAGACCCGCGCTCCGGTTGACTGCGGCACTCAGCCTGCCACATAAACTTGCTCGGTTGCTTCTTCTCGAACACGTACACGTGGTTTGTACTCATACGCTCCTGCGCGATGAGCACCTTCTCGCTACCGTTGATGACGAAATAACCACCCTCATCGTACGGGCACTCCCCGAGCTCGGTCAACTCCTTGTCCGTGTGTCCGTGAAGCGAACAGTAATCAGAGCGCAGCATAATCGGAACCTTGCCGATGAAGTTTTTGTTCAAAATCTCCTTCTCCACCGTCGTTTCCCCGTCCGGTTGCACCGTCGTGACTTCCTTCACCATATCGACGTACAACGGCGCCGAATACGTGAGATTACGCAATCTCGCTTCCTTTGGGAACAGCGTTGTGGTGTATCCATCCGCCTCGGTCACCATCGGCTTGCTGAGGTAAATCTGGTTAAAGCTAATCTTGTACGTCTTCTTCTCCATCGAATCGATATCCTGTCCGGGCATGTGTTGATGTTCTGGCGTCAACTCAATCTCCCGCATCTCATCTGCGTCGTCGAACGAATCCAAAGCACGTCAGTCTCTCGTTTCCGCGATCTTATACGTTACCCTAAACCCCGCGTTTTACCCGCGCGTCGCGTCGTGCGTCTCGCTCGATCGCACGCACCGACAATCTCTTGCATCGTGTGCTGGATGAACTCATTGAAAGAGTCGAGTTGTTGGCGCACCAAACCCTTCTCCTCGAAGAAGGAACTGATGACGACCCACGCGTCTTCCTGCGCGCTCCGAAAACGAGTGAGATTCGGTCAGTCTCTGATCTTTTTCCGCGATCTTCGTCCTCGCGCGCCTCCTCCGCGCGCGTTTCGTCACCGCGCGCGACCACGGATGCGACGTCGCGTCCACGCGACCGTCCGCGCGCGCTCGAATCCGCGCGAGCGTCGCGAAAGACGACGCATTCGCGACGAATGCGGCGTCGATCGCGGGCGTCGTTCGGTGATCTCGGCGCCTTCGCGTCGCCTTCGCGCGCTCGCGCGTCGCGCGCGGGCGTTCAAACGCACCTGTCCGATCTCTTCTTCCTCGTCGTCTTCTCTGGAGTCGACGCGCATGGCGTCGTCGTCGTCGTAGACGCCCATGGTGATCCCGCGTGCGCGCGAATGACGTCCGCGCGGGCTGGCTGCGGGAAACGCCTCGCGCGGGCTCGCGTGTTTTACAGCGCTACGACTACGAGAACGGTCGAGTCGAGTCGAATTAAGGGATGACGTCGCGACCGGCACCGTAAATGATGGCTTCGCACTGACGACGAATGATGAAACGACGGCGCGGAGAAACCGCGCTGAAGTCTTTGACCGTATCGGCCAGAGCGGCGGCTGGCGAAGCCAAGAAATCGTACGCGCCGAGCGCGGCGAAGTGCTTGAACCAATCTAAAATGGGACCCACGCCGGCGTTCATGAGGATCTCGGGGACGAATAACGGTTCTGTCAGGGTCATGGAGACTAAGGTTTTGCCCAAGCCTTTGAAAGTGACGACGTCTTGGAGAAAGGGGCGCAAGACGTCTTCTCCGAGGCGGCTCATCACGTTGAAGTTGATTCGCATGAGTCGGTTGATGAAGTCGCGTTTCGGGCGCGATCCGACCTCGACGCTCATGCATTTTTGGAACAACCACGCGGCCGATAACGCCGGCTGGTACGCGTTCACCGTTCTCAGGGCTTCGCGGTCGAGGCAGTCGGCGTCCAACGCCTCTTCGCACGCGCCCGTGATTCGCGAGATGTGGCGCAAAATCGCGGCGAGGCCGCCAAAGGACAACGGAGATTGGATGCCGCTCGCATCGCCGATCGCGAGCACGCGATCGAACTCCGTCTTCAGCGGCGAGTCTCTGTACGTCGGAAACAACCCGAATAAAACGCGTTTGAGCTTGGCGTCTTCGATTGAATCCAAGCCTTGATACAAAGGCATGAGGTCCCAGTAATCGTCGAGCATCGACGCGATGCTCGGGCGACTTTCATCGGCGTCCATGTACGTGAACATGTAAGTCGTGCGATCTCGCGGCCCGGTGCTCGCGGGAAACGCCTCCCAAAAGTATTGTCCTCTATAGTCTTCCTCGATGTCCGTGACGGTGCGAATCAAATCCGCCGACGAGTTGTCGAACGCGTCCGCCTCGGCGCAACTTCCGACGACGACGCACACGCCGTCCGGTTTTCTATCGTCTCTGATTTGACGCACGATGGGCGATTGAAACCCCATGCAATCTAAAACCAGCCGCGCGCGCACGGGCACGCCGTCCACGTCGAGAACCGCGCAGTCGTCGTACACTTCGACGCCGCGCAGCGACGCTCGTTCCAGCACCGCGCCGCCCGCCTCTTCGAATCTCTTCCGACACGCCTCGACGAGCGCCGCGGGCGACACCCCGGTGTTCAAAATGTCCCTCGTCACCAAATCGCCCGCGTTCCCGTTCCCGTTCCCTCCGCCGTGAAACCCGCACCGAATCGGATTAAACTCGATGCGCGTGCACGCGTCCGCGTCCTCCGTCGTGATCGCACCGACGCGCACCAACCGCTCCAACTCCTCCCTCGACACGTTCCACTCCTGTTCGCGTCCTCTCAGCTCCCCTCGCTCGACCACCACCACCCTCGCGCCTCGTCTCTGCAGCGCCGCCGCGACGAGCACCCCCAGCGTCCCGCCCGCCACCGCGACGTCGTACGTCTCCCCGCGCGCGTCGCTCGCGCCTTCCCGTCGCTTCGCGAACGCCGCCGTCGCCGTCGCCGTCGCCGTCGCGTCACCGCGGCGCATCTTCGCCCACGCCGCGTCCAGCGCGCGCAATCCGTCCAGCGTCGTCTGCGCGCCCGCGCCTCGCGCGTCGCGCGTCGTCGCCGTCGCGTTCGTCGTCGCGACGTCTTCGAGCAACCGCGTCGTCCGCGCCGACGGCGCGTCGTCGCGGTTCGCGCGACATCGCGTCGCCGTTCGCGCGCGCCGTCGCGCCGCCGTCGTCGTCGCCGCGCGCGTCGTCGTCGCCGCGCGCGTCGTCGTCATTCGTCGCGCCATCGGTCGTTCGCGTCGTCGCGATGTGACGCGCCGAGTCGTCGCGCGTCGTCGCGACGCGCGGATTCGCGCGAAAAACCGTCGGGGAAAAATCCGTCGCCCGCGCGCGAGGCGCGCCGGCGTCTCGCCCGCCGCGGCGCGCGCGGTGCCGTCGTCGCGCGCGCGCGCGCGGCGTCGTCGTCGCGCGCGCGGCGACCGACCGACCGCGACGCCCGCGACGCGCGCGCCGACCGCGGCGCGACGCGCGAAAATGGAGACGAAATTCTCCGAGACGATCGAGCCTTCGGTGACCCGCGCGCGGCGTCGCGTCGCGTCGCCGCGGGCGCGCGCGCGTCGTCGTCGCGCGACGCGCGCGGCGACCGACCGACCGACCGGGACGGTCGCCGTCCCCCCCAGGCGACACTCGCGCGCGCGCCGCCGCGATGACGACCGCGGCGACGCCGACGGCGGACGGCGACGGCGACGGCGACGACGACGCGCGCGCGACGCTCGGGCACGCGGTGTTCCGCGTGCTGTGCGCGGAGACGCGCGTGGGCGGATTGATCGGGAAATCGGGCGCGAACGTCAAACGAATCGTCGGCGAGACGGGCGCGGCGGTCAAGGTGCTGGAATCGCCGACGCAGGGGTTGGAGCGGGCGGTGTTGGTGAGCGCGCCCAGGGGGCGGGAAGCGCGGAAGGAGGCGTGCGCGGCGAAGACGGCGGCGATGATGGTGGTGAAATTCTTGACGTCGAACGCGAGGCGAGGCGGCGAGGGGTCGGACGACGAGACGGAGGACGCGGAGAGGAGCGATGGGGACGAGGGGGGGTGTGAAAATGCGAGCGGCGACGGCGATGGCGGGGAATCGACGGATTTGGGGGACGAGGGTGGGGAAAAGAGGTTGAACGACGGCGAGACGACGGGGGCGCCGCGAAGGACGCACGTGGCGCTGAGATTGCTCGTGCCGGCGGGTCAGGCGGGGCATCTCATCGGGAAGGGTGGGGAAAATATTAGAAAAATTCGATTGCTCGCGAACGGGGCGCACGTGGCGGTGCAAGAAGTCGGGCAGGTGCCTCCGTGCGCCACGAGCGAGGACCGCGTGGTGGAGATTCACGGGCCGAGGAAGGACGTGCGCGCGGCGGCGGAGCTCGTGTTTGATTTGCTCAGAGACTTTTTGGTGGATTCGAGCGTGTTGGGGTATTATCAGCCGACCGTCGCGGCGCCGAGGGACATGCGCTCGGAGTACGCGGCGAACGCGGCGGCGGCCATGGCGTTCGCCGATCCCGCCATCGTCGGCATCACGCCGGCGATGATGGCGGCGCCGCCCATGCCTCCGATGTACATGATGCCCGCGGTTCCACCGTCCGCGATGCCGCCGCCGATGATTCACGAAACGGTCGAAGTCGAGGGCGAGGCCGTGTCGAACGTGTTGGGCGATCATGGGAACAACATTTCGACCATCGCGCAAATTTCGGGATGTCAAGTGTCCCTCATCGAAACCGATCCCGAGACGAATACGAGCGCGGTCGAGCTCAAGGGTCCCCACGAGAGCAATATCGCCGCGGCGAAGAGCCTGGTGCGCGCCTTCGCCGCGGGGGAAATGCCAGCCGCCGGCGTGCCGAACGGCGCGGTGCCGGCGGTGCATCCGATGTTCGCCGCGGGCGTGTACGCTCCGATGTACCCGCCGAATTGACGCCAAACTGGATGGATGTTTATTAAAACAAGGTAATTGCCCGCTTCGCGCCCGACGCGAAGCGCTTGGTGTACAAAAAGTTGACCCCAACCCGTGTTGACGACGCGCGCGCTCCTCAGCGAATCGCGAGGAGTTCGATGTCAAACAATAGAGTCTTGTCAATCATGCCCTGATTTTCGAGCACGAATCCCAACGCCCGCTCGCCCGAAAAGTTTGCCGGTTGCGGCTGCATCGTCCGCCACTTCTTTCCATCGGGATACCCCAACTTTGCGTTATTCGCGGGCACGATAATCCTTCGAATGCTCCCCACCTTCATTCCCTCGATCGCCTCTCGAAACGCGCCGATCACCTTCTCGTCGTCCGCCTTGAATCGAAAAAAGTCCTTCTCGTCCCCCGTGAACGCCCCGCCCTTGGATTTATTCCTCGCCTCGAACGGTCGTCCGTAGTACCCGATCGTGTACCCATCCCAATCCACCACCGCCGTTTTCCCAGATTTACCCTCGTACGTCGCCGCGTCGTCGTTTCCGAGCTTCATGTCCTTGTACTGCAGCCCGCTCGACGTGCGCTCGAAATCCGGATACAGCACCTCCTTCTTTCCGTAATCCTTCCCCTCCCCCTGCAGCGCGTTCATGTACACCGTGTCGCCGTAATCCGCGCGCGCGCGCGCCGTCGTCGTCGTCGTCACCGCGCACGCGAGCGTCGCCAGCGTCGCGCGTCGCGTCGTCGCGCGCGCGCCGTCGTCGTCGCCGTCGCCGTCGCGCGCGCTGACTCGGACGATCGTCCCGCGCGCCGCGCGTCGCGAACGAGCGTCGGCGCGCGCGACGACGCGCGGCGACGATCGAGGAGGAGTCGCGCGCGCACGCCGCGCGCGTCGCGCGCGCGATCGCGCGAAGCGACGAAAAGGACGCGCTCGGCGCGAGCGGCGCGCGCGGGACGTCGCGACGAGAGGCGCTGATGGAGGCGCTGGGAAGGGACGACGAGGTGGACGCGGGGCGGTTGAAACTGTTGGCGTCGGACGGCGGCGTGCCGGATGACGACGGTGGACGCGCGCGGGCGATGGTTTGGAAGGTGTGCTTGGAGTACCTGCCGAAAGAGCGCGCGCGGTGGGAGGCGACGGAACGGGCGAGACGAGAGGAGTACGGGAGGTTTTTGGAGGAGTTTTGCGCGTCGACGACGACGACGACGACGAGCGGCGCGTGGATCGACGCGCGCAGAGGGGATGAGTTGGCGGAGCAGATCGATCGAGACGTCGCGCGCGTGCATCCGGATATGCATTTCTTCAACGACGAGGGTGAGGATGGTGAGGGAGGGCGAAGGAAGGATGAGATGCGAAACGCGCTGTACGTGTTCGCCAAGTTGAATCCGGGCGTCGGGTACGTGCAGGGTATGCACGAGATGTATGGATGCATATATTACGTATTGGCGAATTCAGCGGACGCGCACGCCGCGCCGAACGCCGCCGCGGCGGATGCATTTTATTGCTTTACCGAGATATTCGGCGAGTTTCGCGACGTCTTCGTCATGGAGCTCGACGCGACGGATCAAGGCGTCCGCGCGTTGTTGGACGAGTTGAGCGATATGCTGGCCGTGCACGGGCCAGAGGTGCACGGACACTTGGAAGATCTGAACCTGACGACGTCGATGTACGCATTTCGGTGGATCACGCTGCTGTTCACGCAGGACTTTGAGTTCGCGGACGTCTTGCGCCTGTGGGACGTCATGCTCGCGTCGCCGCGTTCTCGCAAAGAGTGTCTGCTACGCTTGTGCGTGGCGTGTGTGCTGAACATCGGCTCAGAACTTATCGACGGCGATTTTGCGACGTGCATGAAGATGTTGCAAAACTACCCGCCGGTGGATATTCGTCGAATCACTCGCCTCGCCGCGGCGCTTCCGTACGGCATCGCGCGGTGATCGCGGTCGAATCGGGTTAGAAAATCGCATTGAAACAATCTTTAGCTAGCGGCGCGCAGTAAAGCGCCATTGTATTTATATCGACGCATCATTCATACATCGTGTACATCAACGCGGCGTCGTCTTAGTTGCTCAGACGCGGCGCGTCGTTCGCAAGCAACATCGCGTCTGAAACGGCAAAGCGTAGATGAACCTAATCACCACGACGTGGAGACATTAAAACGCTAAGTTGGTAGTGGTAAGCTATCGATGATATCACGCCCCTCGCGCCTCGCGCCGCGTGGCGTCGTGCAGAATGTCCACGTCGACCGCCGCTTCCGGCAACTGCACGTATCGCACGACGCTCCCGCGAATGAAACAATTCCTCACGCTTCGCATGTGCGGATACCGCGCCTCATCCGTCACCCGCGTGTTTTCGAGCTTAATGTTCAAGTATTGATCCACCGACACGAGCGTGCCCGCGATGGCGAGATCGTTCTTCAGCTCCACCGTCACCGGCTTCCCCACGAGCGTCTTAAAGTACGAGTAAAACAACCTACGAGCGCGAGCGTTCGCGACGCGCCGTCGTCAGTCACCCCAGTTCGCGCGCTGTGCGCGCCCTCGTCGCGTCGTCCGTCGCGCGCCGCGCCGCGCGCGCGCGTCGCGCGCGTCACCGCGTCGCTTCGAACGCACATGTCTCCCGTCCCTCACGCGAATCTTCGCGCGCGTCGAGCCCTGCGCGCGCGCCGAGCGCCGCGAACCGTCTCGCGAGCGTCGCTCGCGATCGTGCGCTCGCGTCGATGCGCTCGAACGCGACGCGACGTCGAGGACGCGCGTGCTTTTGACGTCGGCGCGGCGCGATCGCGATTTCGCGATTTTTTCGATGGCACCGCGCGCGAATGTTAGGGGGACGACGCGCGACGGCGACATCGCGTCGCTCCGACGCGCGCGGCGACATCGCGCGGCGCCGCAGCGCGCGCGCGCGGCGGGTAATAATTAATTCGCGCGCGCGCGCGTCGGAGCGACGCGATGACGGCGCGCGACGGCGGCGTGGAGGCGGAAAATGTCGCGCGAGTACGCGAATCGTCACAGTCGGCAGAGGGCGCGTCGACGGCGAACGGGGCGCGCGCGCGCCTGGGACTGGGCGCGGCCAAGGCGTGGCTCGCGGGGAAGGCGTCGCGAGCGAAGATCGCGGTTCGGGCGAAGACGAAGGCTGTGGTGCGGAGGGTGAAGCTGGAGCTGCGCGAGCAGTTCCCGCCGCCAGACGTGTGGTTCGAGCACATGGAACGTTTGGAAGAAGTCGCGGCTTTCGAGGCGGCGGAGCGCGAGCGCGCGACGGCAGTCGTGGAGTCATCGAGTGATGGTGTCGGCGCGGCGACTTCGACGCCGGAAGACGTCGGCGAACCGGAGGCTTCAGTCGCTTCGGTCGCGGGGAGCGAAGACGTAATCGACGCGAGCGCCGACGTCGAAGAGCTAAATTTAGATTTCGAGCGGTGCGCGTTGTCGCCGTGCGAGGCTTCGACGTCGTACGATGAAAATGATTACGTGTTTGATGAAGAGGACGGTGACGACCACGGGACGGACGAGCATCGCGTCGTGGTCGTCCCGAGAGCGCTCGCCCTCGACGGCGCGTTGCCTCAGTCAAACACCGTGAGTTTCGTACCACCTCCCAAGGCGTTGAAGTTGACCGGTAAAGTCATCGATTCTTCAAAAGCGAACACGTTTTGGGCGGGCGCTCGAAGTCGGACCGGGTTCGACTTCTCGCGAGACGCGCCCGTCGTCCGCGTTACGCCGAGTTCGCCGGCGTCTCCGGAGTGCCCGATTCCGAGTCCACCGCACGCGGAGAAAACCGCACACGCGGAAACGCCGCCGTGGTATCTCAAGAGACTCGATCGCGAGAGCCGCGAGCTCGCGAAGACGGCTCGAACGCTCATCGATTGGACGACGGACTTATTCGACGTTTCCGCGCCGGACGCCGATGCGCCGACGACCGAGAGCCACCTCGACGCAGACGTCACCGTGAACAGCAAAACCAAAATGGAAAACGTTTGGATAAACGTCGGCGAGTGCGACCTCGTCATCGCCGTGCCGTCCTCGAATTGCGAAAAGTGCGAGTAGTAATCTTAAATTTCAACCAGAGCGTCACTCAGCAACTCTACAGCGCGCATGCGTCTCGAGGCCAGCGCGCGTCTCGAGGCCTACCTCGACGGTCATCCCTCGACGTCGTCGCGTGCCACCGCTCTGACCGTCGCGAGCGACGCGAGCGACGACGCGCGCGACGACGACGCGGCGCTTCGCGCGATGGTTCGACGACGCATGGAACTGCGCATGTTGGGATACGATGTGTCGAGTGGCGCCGCGCTGGCGACGCGCGACGCGGACGAACATTCGAGACCGCTCGCGTCCGCGGCGCCGGACGATGGGGACGGCGTGGAGACGTCGTCATCGCGCGTGCGGGCGGCGGATGCGATCCTGAGGCGGTTGGTGTCGGAGCTGCGAGAGGACGTCGAGGCTTCGGCGGAGACGAAGGACGACGCGGAAGATGCGTGGAAACCGAGTGGGGAGGATTGGAACGCACCACCCGCGTTTTTGCTAGCGGATGGTGCGGCGACGAGCGCGCGAGGGATGCGGGAGAAGTACCCAGAATTATTCGCGGCGGACGCTCGAGCGTTGGGCGATGTGTAATGACTAGTGCTTGGAATGATGTTAAAGACTCGCTACGCCTGCTTCACGCGCCAGTGCGACTTCTGAGCCTGCGATAACCAATCGATCGTCTTACGCGTGAGCCTTAACCACGCGTAAGCGATGACTGGCGAAAGCATCACGACGATGTAGTACGGCGTATCCGTCGTCGCGCACTTACCTTTACACGCCGCCTTCAACGCATCCGTGGCGCAACTGCCGATGATCTCGCGCGTACCTTTCGCGACGCACACGTTCGTATTCACTCGATCGATTGTGAACAACGTGACGCTCTCCATCCACTTGGCGCCGAGATTGCTGACGGTGTTTAAGATTGTCATGTACGTGCCGCCCATGTCCGCATCGGAGACGCGGTTGTAAAACGCCATAAATGAAATGAAATGCGCGTTGCTGAATGCGCTGTATACGGACAGCCAGGCGAATAAGAAAGCGTAGTACCCGTACGGGATCGTCCCGCTCGATGTCACATCGGGAGCGTAAAACACGAGCAGCGCCGCGAACGCGCACGCGACGCCGCGCCACACCCAAGTCTTGGTGATGGTGTCCAACGGCCGCGCCCCGGCGGTCCATTTTCGAGTCAGCATGGGCATGGCCAAGTTGAGCGGAGTCATTAGCGCGGACATGGTGGCAATGTGCGTCTTCGGCACGCCTTTCTCTAATAACTTGAGCGTCGTCAGCGTCTCGGACGCGCTAAACGCCACGAATCGCGTGAGTAACACGGCGCTCAACTTGAGCACCGCGGGTAATCGCAGAATGGAAAACGCTTGCGCGTACGCCTTCTTCACGCTCATCTGCGTCTCGCACCGCACCTCCTTCGTGGCGTACACGAACACCGACGAAGCGATGAAGACATACCCCCAGAACGATATAAACGCCCCGAGATCTACCCCGTACGAGTTCAGCACCAAAAATCCCGTGAAGCACACGAAAAACCCGACCATTTGCCCGATCGCGTTGCACGTCGACGCCAACCCAACGTTCTTCTCGCTCAACATCGTCAGCGCCCACCCATCAACCGCGATATCCTGACTCGCCAGCAACAAATACAACCAAAAAAACGTCCACGTCAGCGTCTTCACGTCGCTCCCGTCGGCGCTAATCAACTCCCCGAGCGCGTTGGCCAAAAACAACAGCGTGCATCCGACGATCGCCTGCAGCGGCATCACCCACGTCCGTCGCTGTCCGAAAGACTTCACGTACACCGCGTCCACGACCGGCGCCCAGAGCACCTTCAACGAGAACGGCCACGACGCCAACGAAAACACGCCTTGGTCGCCGTACGACGCGCCGCGCTCCTGCAAGATGAATCCCACCGACGACGACAGCCCCATCGGCACGCCCTGCAGCGTGTACAGCAGCAGCAGCAGGCACACCGCGCGAAAGTCATCGTACGGCAGTCCGAACGCGAACGCGCGCGCGTCCGCCGTCGTCGCGCGCGTCGTCGTCGATCGTTTCGTCGTCGGCTCGTCGCCAGCCTTCGTCGTTCGCGCTCGACGCCTCGACCGCGACCGCGACCGCGACCGCGATCGAGACTCGCGCGCGCGCGCGCGCGGTCGAGACGCATCGCGCGCGGTCGATCGCGGCGGCATGGCGTCGTTCGTCGCGCGACGACGGCGCGCGGAGTGACGACTGCGTCGGCATTTCTCGGCGCGGCGGCCGAGCGCGGCGCGCCGATCGAATCGATGGCGGCGACGCCGCGCAAGCGCGCGCGCGCCGCCGCGTGCTGTAAAACGCCGCGCGCCGACGACGACGACGACGAAGCGCGCTCGACGACGACGATCGAGCGCGCGCTCACGCGAAAGTTTTCGAAGTTGGCGAAATTGGAAAACACGAAACCGACCGTGATGCGGCCGGAAAGCCTGGCGACGCGGCGCGCGGTGAACCCTTCGACGTCGGCGAACGCGCGATGGCGCGCGGCGAACGCGAAGTTGGCCGTGGTGCGCCGGATGACGACGACGACGAGCGAGCGGTTGGCGGCGATGCTGACGGAGCGCGTGGGACTCGAGCTCGCGAGCGAAAGCGAACGCGAGGCGCGGTTGGAGAGCGGGAATAAAGCGCTGGATGCGCGGTTGGGACGACTCGGAATGACGCGAGTGCCGATGGTCGGGGATGGGAATTGTCAGTTTCGAGCGTTGGCGGCGAATGCGTTGCGCGACCAGGAGCGCCACGCGGAGATTAGGGAGTTGGCGACGACGCGCGTGGAGGAGAGACGAGAGGACTTTGAGATTTATTTTGATGGACCGCGCGCCTTGGATAAGTGGCTGCGGGAGATGAAACGCGATAGGACGTGGGGGGATGAGTTGACGCTTCGCGCGGCGTGCGACGCGTTGGGACAGAAGATTCACTGCGTCCAGAGCACGCAGAGCAATTGGTACTTGCTGTACGAACCCGAAGAACTTAAAAGTAAACGGATGTGCTTCATCTCGTACGTCTCCCCTGTGCATTACGACGCGATCGCCGAAAAGGCTAAGCGATGAGGGCGTTACCAGTAGAGTACAAATATTATGTAACATTGCGGGCTGTTAATCGAACAAGCTGTCTCCGAGAGACTCAATCACCGTCGCCAAAGCTTGACTGTGCGAAGATTTCGCGGAGAGACGCGATGCGTGAGCTTCAGCTTTTGCAGCGGCCGCGCGCGCGCGATACATTTCGCGAATGGCTTCATCTTTTTTGGTTTCCTCGTATCGCAACGCCGAGACCAAGTCTCGCTCGCGAACGTCCATCGCGTCCACTCGCGCGCGAAGTTCCGCAACTCCTGGCGCATCGTGTTCGACCATCACGCGCAGCTTTTTGAGCTCGCCCTCTTGCGCGATCGCGTTCGCCGTGACGCGCGCGAGTTCGTTCTCCAGCGCCACGCGCGTTTCTTCGGCGCGCGCGAGCTGTTCGCGTAGTTCTCGCGACAAACCGTCGCCGCTCGACACCACAACCTCGTTGAACGCATCGATTTCGCGCTCCGCCTCGGTTACGCGCGCATTCACACTGTTCGCGTACGCCTCTGCACTCTCACACCGCCGACGAAGCGATTCTAACTCGACGTCTTTCTTCGCCGACTCGGCTCTCGCCGACGCCGCGTTGTCGCTCGCCGCGCGCTCCCGTCGTCGATGCTCTTCCTCCATATCCCTCCACGCCTTCGCCTTCGCCTCTAAATCTTTCCGCAGCGCATTACGCTCTTCACGAACGCGCGCTAAATCCCGCTCCGCGCGCGCGAGCGTCGCCTTGACGTCGTCCCTTTCGCTCGCAGCCGCGCGCGCCGCGCCGTCCGCCGCGTCCCGCGCCTCCTCCAGCGCGCCCACATCTCTCTCTCGCGCCGCGTTCTCTCGTCGCGCGTCCTCCAGCGCGTGCCTCGCCGCTCTCGCCTCCTTATCCGCGCGTCGCGCGTCGTCCTCGAGCCTCGTCGCCCGCGCGCCGAGCGTTCGCAGCACCTCCTCGAGCGTGCGCTGTTTCGCCAGCAGCGCCCGCTTCGACGCCGCGCCGTCGGAATCGGCGTCGGAATCGCTCTCCGACGCCCGCGCGCGATGGATGACGTCCTCGGTGAACTCGCCGAGCAGTCCCACCATCGAGCGCGCCCTCGACGGGCGCGTCGCGCCGTCCCGATGTGACGCGCGCGATTCAAAACACAGCGCGCGCGTCACAAACCGTCGCGAGCATGGCGTCGCGCGTCGCCTCGCCCGCGCGCGCGCCCGCGCGCGCGCTCGATCGACGCGCGGTCGGTCGCGTCCGTCGCGGCGCGCGCGCGGGCGCGACGCGCGCGGCGATCGCGACGGACGCGGCGAATAAAACGCCCGGTCGAGGGCTTCATCAGCACTCGGTCGTCATGAAGTTTGGCGGTTCGTCCGTCGCCGACGCGGCGCGCGTGCGAGAGGTCGCGCAGATCGTGCTGTCGTTTCCGGAGGAGATGCCGGTGCTCGTGCTGTCGGCGATGGGTAAGACGACGAATAATCTGCTGGCGGCGGGGGAGATGGCGATGCGCGCGGAGGAGGGCGTCGAGGCGCTGGAACCGCTGCGCGCGATACGAAGGCTGCACGAGGACACGATGGAAGCGCTGGGCACGGATGCGGTGACGAAGGCGGAGGTGCAAAAGTTGTTGAAGAAGCTGGAGCAAGTGTGCACGGGGATCGCGCTGATGCAAGAGGTGACGTCGCGGACGCGGGCGCTGCTGGTGAGTTTCGGCGAGCGAATGAGCACGAGAATCTTCGCGTCGTATCTGCGGTCGTTGGGAGCTCGAACCGAGCAGGTGGACACGATCGACGACATGTTCGTCACGACGGATGAGTTTGAAAATGGGATGATTCTGGACGCGACGTTTTCAAAGACGAAGGCGCGATTGACGTTGGGGCCGGGGGACGAACCCGTCGTGCGCGTGGTGACGGGATTTCTCGGTAGAGGCGAAAAGACGGGGGCGGTGTGCACGCTCGGACGGGGAGGTAGTGATTTAACGGCGACGGTGATCGGCAAGGCGCTCGGGTTAAAAGAGGTCCAGGTTTGGAAAGACGTCGACGGCGTGCTCTCCGCGGATCCGCGCGAGGTTGAGGGCACGGTTCCCATGCCGTTTTTGAGTTTTCAAGAAGCGACCGAGTTGGCGTACTTTGGCGCGCAGGTGCTTCACCCGCACTCGATGCGACCGGCGATGGATTCCAGTGACTTGTGCGTGCGCGTGAAAAACTCGTATAACATTAGAGCGCCCGGCACCGTTATTGGGCACGTGCGCGACGAAGACGAGCACAAAAATTGGCTTCTTACATCCATCGTGCAAAAGAAAAACGTCACCATGCTCGACATTACGTCGACGCGCATGCTCGGCCAATACGGTTTTTTGGCCAAGGTTTTCAGCGTCATGGCGTCCAATGGAATTTCTGTCGACGTCGTCGCGACATCAGAGGTGAGCGTGTCGCTCACGCTCGACCCATCCAAGTTGTGGAGCCGAGATTTGGCCAAGGAGGAACTGGAAAAACTCGTGCAAGATTTCGAAAACGAGGGCATCGCGCACGTGACGGTGAGCAGCGGACATTCCATCATTTCTCTCATCGGTAACGTGGAAAGAAACAACGAAATCATGGAGCGATCGTTCCGCGCTCTTGGCTCCGAGGATATCAAAGTGAAGATGGTTTCTCAAGGGGCGTCGAAAACGAACATCTCTCTTTTAGTCGACCAAGAACAAGGGAGCGACGCCGTGCGAGCGATTCACTCTGAATTTTTCAGCAAGTAATAACCGACACGTAATATGAAGTACGCGCAGTAGCGATAGCGAAGCGAACGAAAGAGTTTTCGGTATTAATAATCACCCTATTATTCGCCAAAGTCCAAGTTGAGTCATTTTCCGAGCGTTTTCCTCGACGCAGATTCCTTGAGCGTGACGATTCTATTCAGCACCGGGGCGTCCGCGGTGCTATCGTTGTCAAAGGTGAAGAAACCCAGACGCTGCAGCTGCACTTGCGTTTCCAATGGTTTGGAGGCGAATTCAATTAGGCCCGGTTCGAGGAGCGCATCTCTATGGACAACGAGCGACTCGGGGTTGATTTGAGTCAACCAGTCCACGCTTCCATCGTCTTCTTCGTCTTCTTCGGCGTCGCCTTCAACAGCGTCGGTCGCCGTCGCCGTCGGTGCGTTACTTTGCTCGGCGTTCGCGTCAACTTTACCGGGGATCTCTACGGTGAAAAGATTGTTGTATAATCTGCACTCACCCTTGACGAAGTCCGGCGTTGCCCAGTGAAGAATTCCCTTTGGCGGCTTTGCCGCGCGAGACTCCATGTCTATCGTTGCGTTGATTTCCGATACCGAGCCATCGTCGTGCGTCTTAAAATCCGTGCACGTGATGTTATACCCGAACTGCAATCGAACCGTCTTACCAGGCGCCAAACCAAAGTATCCGTCCACGTCTTCCGTCTTGAAGTCAGAACGTTCTATGAAAATGGTTGGCTTCAAATCGATGCGACGCATGCCGCGCTCGGCAAACGACGGATGCACCGGAGCTTCACACATCAACTCACCTCCGGGATGGTTCGTGATATTCACCTTCACAGGATCTAATACTGCGAAATATCTAGACGCCGAATCTTTCATCTCATCCCGCACCACGTTCTCGAGACGGCTGATGGGTTGCGTGTTGTCGTGACGTGTCACACCGAGCGACGCGCAAAACTTGTTGATGGCGCTCGGCGTGTAACCGCGCCGGCGAAGGCCCTCGAGAGTGAGCAAACGCGGATCGTCCCAACCGTTGACGTATCCTTTGGTCACGAGCGTGTTCAACTTGCGCTTGCTCATCACGTTGTAAGTGATGTTGCATCGAGAAAACTCCCACGTCACCGGCTTGTACGTGTCGAGAGCGTCCAACAGCCAATAGTACGACCCGTTCGGCGCTTGTCTAGACTCGAATTCGAGCGTGCACAATGAGTGCGTGATATTTTCTAGGCTGTCCACTAAGCAGTGCGTGTAGTCGTACGTCGGGTAAATGCACCACTTGTCGCCAGAGTGAGGGTGCGTCTCGTACTTGATGCGATACGCCGCGAGATCCCACATGCTCGGAATGTCGCTTCGCAAATCCCCCTTCATTCGCAAGCAGCACTCGCCCTCCTTGAACTCTCTATTTTTCATCTTCTCGAAAAGCGACAAGTTCTCTTCGACGCTCGTGTTTCGCCACGGACTTTCCGCGCCCTCGGGAAGCGGCGTCTCGTAACGCGGCAAGCCGCCGTCGGCGCACATCTTTTGAAACGACTGCAGTAGCTTTCGCGAGTTGAACGTCTGCTCTTTGTTCTGAAAGCACACGTACGCGTTGCCAGACTTGATCAAATCTACCGCAAACTCGTACAACTTGTCGAAATAATCGCTCGAGTACGTCGTCGCCGCCGGTTCGTGTCCCAACCACTTTACCGAACTAATAATGCTATCGATGTACTCTTGCTTCTCCGCCGCGGGATTCGTGTCGTCAAACCTCAAAATCGTCTCACCGCCTCGTTTTCTCGCCACTCCAAAGTCAAAGTACATCGCCTTCGCGTGTCCGATGTGCAAATACCCGTTCGGCTCGGGCGGAAATCGCGTTCGCCACTTCCCACCCGTCGCCGCCAAGTGATCCGCCATCGCCGCCACTGAGTTTATCGCGTAATTCTTCGCCCCCGGCGGCAAATTTTCCTTTTGTTTCGCCGTCACGTGTCCTTCGCTCCCCGGTTTCGGTAAATGCGTCGCGTCCAGCGCGTCCTGCGTCTCCGCCGCGTTCGCCTTCGCCTTCGTCTTCGCCTTCGCCTTCCCCCCCTCTCCTCCCTCCTTCGCCTTCGCCTCCGCCCGCACCGTCGTCGTCGCGCATATCGCTTCCGCGCTCTCAAACGCCGCCTTCGCCTCGCCGTACGCCTTCACCCGCATCGCCGCCATCCCGCGCGCGATCGCGTCGAGCGCGCTCGGATCCGGTCGCTTTTTCGTCACCTTTTCCGCCGCCTTCAGCGCCTTCTTCGCCGCGCTCATCGACGTCTCGCCCGCGCTCGCGTCGCTCGCGTCGCGCTGCGTCGCGTCCGCCATCGCGCGCGCCCTCCGTCGCTCGCGTCGCGCGCCGCGCGTCGCCCTCTGTCGCTCGCGCGCGTTAGGGTCGCCGCCGACGTCACGCGATCGCCCGCAGAGCGCGACGCGCGCGTCGCCATGGCGTCCGTCGACCACGGGCGCGAGCCGTGCCCGCACAGAATCTTCGACGACGTCGGCGGCGCGTTCGCGATGGGCGCCGTCGGCGGCGGCGTCGTCAATCTCGTCAAGGGTGCGTACAACGCGCCGAGAGGATTCGCGCTCGCGAGCGCCGCCGAGGCGATCCGACGCGAGGCGCCGCGAATCGGTGGCTCGTTCGCGGTCTGGGGGGGACTGTTCAGCGCGTTCGATTGCGCGCTGGTGGCGGCGCGAAGGAAGGAAGATCCGTGGAATCCGATCATCAGCGGCGCGGCGACGGGCGGCGCGCTGCAGCTGAGGTACGGATTGCCGAGCGCGGCGCGATCGGCGGCGTTCGGAGGGTTCCTGTTGGCGGTGATCGAAGGGATTAGCATAATGTTGACGCGGTTGACGGCGCCGCCGCCGCCGCCGCCGGTGATGGCGATGGCGGGAGGACCGGAGACGGGGAGCGGGCGCGGGAGCGGGGACGCGAGCGGGGACGCGAACGCGAACGCGAACGCGAACGCGGGGGGGCAGGAGAGCGGGTCGATCTGGGGGAACGTGTTCGGCGGTGGACGAAAAGCCGAAGAAGAGTCCAGCGGGTCGCCCGCGATGCCGGATTTCGGAGCGGCGACGACGGAGCTAAAGTGATCGAGGACTCGAACGCGCGCGGCGGGACGCATAGAAAGACATTTAATCCAGACAGAAACGTCCGTAGTGAAACTAAACTAAAGTCTAATCGATCACGAGCTCGCGAACTTCGACGCCTTCGAAGTTTGAGTCGGAGGATGTGGCTAAGGTGAGCGCGCGCCCGTTTTCGAGCGCGAACGGTGTCCGGTCGCCCGTGAGGTGGAAATCGTCGAGCGTCGCGTAGTCTCCATCTAAAACTTGTTCGAGAACGCGATACTTTTTCAATTGCTGACGCGCGCGGAACGGGAGGTCGAGCTCGAACGAGGTCAACGCCCGCCCCCACGCCGAATGCGGTCGACGAGACGTCAAGAAGACGTCGACGTCGCGACACATCGGACACCCTTTCGCCGCTGAGAGCGCGACGTACGACGCGAGACAGTCTTCGCAGAAAGACGCCCCGCAGCACGGCGCGCGAGCGGCTTCGCCCGATAACACATCAAGGCAAATCGTGCACGACTCATCGCGCGTCACGAGTTCGTCGTCTAAATCAATCAACGGGGTCGTCTCCGTCGTCGTCTCGGACGGCTTGGCGCTGCGAAAACCGGTGGGAATCGCGAAGACTTTGCAATGTATATCCTCCTCGCGCGGCGTCGGTGCGTATTTCTGCGGCGTCGGCGCATCGCGTGTGACCACAATGACGTACGCATCGCCGTCGTACGTGGTGACGTCTAAAACCGTTCTCGACGTCTTCGCGTCGGGATTCGCGAGGCACGCCTCCACGTTGACGCGCAACGCCTCGAGCAAGCCCCGTCGCGAGTCTGTCGACCCCTCAGCCCTGGAGTCGATCACGTGCACCGGGCGCTCGCCGTCGAGCCAAACGACGACGATGAATTGACTCGAAATCGCGCACGACGGCACGGTAGGCATCGCTCGAGCCGCCAGCTCGAGCGCTCGACCTCGCACCGCGCCGAATCGCGGCATCCATCCCAAATCCACCCTCAACGATGTCGCCTCGATCGCGCGCACGCGCGTCCGCCCACGCTCATCCAACGTGAACGCGCACGCCTTTCGCTCCAGCACCGCGTACTCTTCGTCGAAATTAATCGCAATCGTCACGTACTCCAATCCTTCGCCGCCGTCGAGCGCGCGCACGCGAGCGAACGGCGCGAGCGTCTTCTCCTCCTCCATCCCTCCCCGCGCGCTTCGCCTGTCCGCGTTCGCCGTGAACACCGCACACGCCGTCGCTTCATCCCCACGCAGCCGCCATATCGCCAAGCACGACCCGTTTCCCGCGAACTCGTCGCCCGAGTGGTTCCACTTCGTCGCCGCGCGCGCCCACGCGTACTCCCCCGCCGTCCCGCACCCGCCGACCGCGCACCGTCCCGTCGCCGGCCACGCCGTCGGCATCGTCAGCGTCTTCACGACGTCTCCGGTCGCCCCGTCCAGGACGTCGACCGCGCACGTCGGATCGCCGCGGCACCGCGCGACGCGTCCCGCCGCCGCCGCCGTCCCGACGCAGCACGCGTCCACCGCCCCGCCTCCGCCGTCGCGCGCGTCGTCCGCCCGCGCGCGCGCGTCGCGCGGGATCGACGTCCACGTCGCGCGCGCGCGATCGCCGTCGCGCGCGCCGTCGCGCCGCGGCGCCGCGTCGAAGCGCGCCAACGACCCGTCGTCGAACCCGACGACGACGACGTCGCCGCGCGCCGCGAACGCCGTCGCGCGCGGCGCGCGCGACGCCCCGCGCGACGTCGCCGCGTCGTCCGCGTCGCGCGCGAGCGCCGCGGCGCGCGCGGCGACGCGCATCGGCGACGAGATGTGGCGCCAGCCTGTCGGTCGCGTCCGCCGGCGTCAGACTCGCGCGCGATGTCGCTCGCGCGCGCGCGCGTCGCGACGGCGCGCGCGACGGCGCGCGCGACGGCGTCGACCGCGCGCGGGGGGGCGCGACGCGCGACGACGCGCGTCGCGCGCGCGAGAAGGGCGCAAGATGCGATGGGCGATGGTTCGAAACCGTTGCGGCGACGCGCGGCGGCGACGACGCGCGCGCTGCGCGAGGACGACGTCGACGGGCTCAAGGTGGACGAACTGAAGGACGTGCTGCGGACGATGGCGCTGCCGGTGAGCGGGCGGAAGGCGGATCTCGCGGCGCGGGTGAAGGAGGCGCTGGCGGCGCGCGGCGAAGGCGAAGGCGAAGACGAAGACGAAGACGAAGACGCGACGGCGACGATCGAGGCGGTCGTGGAGGCGACGGTCGAGGGACGCGCGGTGGAAGAAGCGGAGGCGACGTTCGCGGAGGCGCGCGAGGAGGGTGGTGTCGCGGAGACGGTGATGGAGACGCGCGCGGACGCCGCGCCGGCGGAAACGGCGGCGCCGGTCGAACGGCGCGCGAGCGTCGTCGAGGGATGGGACGAGGCGCGCGCGCCGACGCCGGGCACGGCGTTTTGGAACGCGATGCCGCGGGCGACGAGAGCGGACGCTCGAGAAGCGGAAGTGACGAAGACGACGTCGCCGTTGCGCGTGGTGCACATCACCGCCGAGTTGGCGCCCATCGCCAAGGTTGGCGGTTTGGGCGACGTCGTCGAAGGACTGGCGCGCGCGCACGGGAAGATGGGACACGCGGTGACTGTGATTCTTCCATTTTACTCGTGTTTACCGACGGACAAGATCGACGGCTTGACGCACGTGATGGATTACGACGTCACCAAGGGTCGTTATCAAGACGGCGAGACGCGATATTTCAACTTTCGCACGACGGCGATGCGAGGGCGAGTGAACGGCATCGACGTGATACTTCTCAAGCCACACGACGACGAGCGCTCGAATATATTTCAAGGTTCGAAGATTTACGGCGGATCGTACGATGAACGTGAGGCGTACTTGTACTTTTGTCGCGCGGCGCGCGAATTTTTAATCGCCTCTGGTGAGAATCCAAACATCATTCACTGTCACGAGTGGCAAGCGTGCGGATTTCCTATGATCTTTTGGGGACTTCGCGATGCGTACGGGCAAGACTGCGACGGTATGTCCAACGCGAAAATCATGCTGACGATTCATAACTTGGACTCCAACGGCGAAGCGAGACAGGAAGAGTTCTGCGCCACGGGCGTGGACGCCTCCATGTTCGCCACCGTCGACAAGGCTTTGGACGAACGCACCATCGGGCACAACCCAGAAAGGCTTTGCTTGCTCAAGGGGGGCATCGTGTATTCGAATCACGTCACCACGGTGTCTCCGACGTACGCGACGGAAATTCTCGCCGGCGGTGGCGGATTCACGGGGAAGAATCTCGTTGGAAACAAGCACAAGTTTAGCGGGATTCTCAACGGAATCGATCCGGAGAGTTGGACCCCGAGCGACGATCCGTTCATACCGTACGGCTATGACTCTACCAACGTCAAGTCGCAAAAGGCGTTGTGCAAAAAGTATCTGCAGCGCGGATTAGGTATGAAGGAAGACCCCGACGCGCCGCTGGTCGTGTGCGTGTCGCGCCTCGTGCCGCAAAAGGGAGTAAATCTCATCGAGCAAGCGATTCGCACGACGCGCTTTAACGGCGGTCAATTCGTGCTTCTCGGCACCGGCCATTCAGACGGCGTTTTCCGCAAAATGGCTGAAACGGAAGAGTTCGGAGAAAATTCCGACTCGACGCGGCTTATGCTCATGTACAGCGACGCATTGAGCCATTTACTCTACGCCGCAGCGGACATTGTCATCGTGCCCTCGATGTTCGAGCCGTGCGGACTTACGCAAATGATCGCGTTGCGCTACGCCGCACTTCCGCTCGTCCGTCGCACGGGCGGTCTCGCGGATACCGTATTCGACATCGATGACGCTTCGATCGACGAAAACGAACGAAACGGTTTCGTGTTTGATGGCACGGGTGCTGAAGACATCGACGTCGCGCTCTCGCGAGCATTCAATCTGTACAAATCCAAACGCTCCACGTTTGAGGAGTACCAGAAGCGCGCGATGAACGTCGACAACACGTGGACGGAACCGGCTCAGTCATATATTGACCTTTACAGAACGCTTTAAAAGCGCGGTACTTGTTGTAATCAAACTTAACCTTGACACGCGTCGCGGGAAATCGCAATTTCAATGAATGTCGTTTCGATATAACAGCAAAGCAAATCGTGCTATTCTTACTTACGCGCGTATAAAAAGATATATCCCTGACCCGTTCGAACTTCTTCCGCGGTGAGTGAGTTGACATCATCGTCGTTGAAGTGCTGCCAGTCGCTGTTTCCTTCAGCGGTGAACTCTCGCGCGCAAGCGGTGTAGTGCCCACTACCGGCGTTCAAACCGTGATGCGTGACGACAGCCACGAGATCATACATCTTATCGCTGCGCATAACCTGCGCAGGGGGGATGGCGCTCTTCCTCGGTGTGCGACGAGACTTTCCCGTCGAAGCCGGCACCTTTTCAGGTTTTTGCACCGCTTCGCCGTTGGTCTCGCAGTAAGGAGCTAAGTCTAAATCATCCAAAGGGAAGTCCACGTCGTGCGTGAGCTTGGTGCGCATCGCGTGACCTTTCCACGTGAAACGTTTCAAGTGCAAGCACAGAACAGGCGGGAGCTTGGCGATCCGCGTAGATTTCGTCGCACTCTGAACTTTACCGCATCCGTCGCAAAAGTATCGCCCGTGTCCGCTGAGGGTTTCGTTGCGCACAAACGCCGCGAGACATTGCTGCAGGGTGGCCTCTCCGTTAGGACCTTCGCCTTCTTCGATCTCCACCGAAGGTGAAACCGGGGTCGACGGCACGGAGCCGTTTTTCCCGACGACAGGAGGGATGGGAAGCGAAAGATCCATGAATGGTTCTCGACGTTCGCTTGATCGCTCGCACTTCATGCACGTCACCGTCGTCACCGCAACGCCGCCGAAGATTTCCATGATTTTATCACCCGTCACGCCGTCATCTTGTTCACATTTCCCCTGTGGTGTCTTCGGCGACGTGGGTGACAATCCACCCTTCAATCCGTTCGTTTGAGATCCCTTAAGCGACTCCTCGAGTTGCCTCTTCACCTCGCTCGCCGTGACCCCGCGCGACAGCCGCGACGGCGACGCAAACGTGCTCGAAGGCGAACTCAAATGCGTGCTCGCATCGGCGGTGGTAGTCTTGGACTTTTCGCAGCGCACCCCTTCTTGCGCTTCCTTCTTCGCCTGCGCCTTGCAAGGACGGCAAATACAACCCTTGTCGTGTCTCTTCGGCCCCCAACGAGACATGATGATGTATCCTCCGTCTTCGTCGCCGTCGTCCACTCGCCTATCTTCGTTCGACAACAGCCCATTCACCGGCGACGAGCCGCGTGCAGCGCCGCTACTTTTCGTCTCGTCGTCGTCGTCGTCGTCGTCGTTTCTCAAAAAGCTCGGGCTCGGGCTCGATCTTCCGCTGCGGCTTCTCACGCTTCTCGCTCGCGTTGGAGGATTCGGAATGCCGTTTTCGCACGGCGAGTGTTCCTTCCGCCGCGGCGTCAGCGTCCCTCGCATTTTCACCGCGTGTTTCCCACTACTCAACTCCTTTCTCAACCTATCCAACAAGAACCGCATGAACTCGTGCGCGTCCTGCTGTTCGTTCCCCGCGAACGACGGCACGAGCCTCCACACGCTTCGCAACAAATCGTGCGGCGGAAACGCCTCGTACTCTCCATCCATCAGCGTCCGCATCACGCACCGCATCTCCGCCCCCACGTCCAGCGTTTCCGCGCTCGCCATATCCGCCCGCCTCTCTCGCGTCATCGCCGGCGGTCGCATCGCGAACCTCCTCTTCGCCCCTCCCCGCTCGCTCGCGCTCGTCGTCCCCGCGTCGTCTCGTCCCGCGTCGCCCTCGCTCGCCGTCGATTCGCTCGTCCCTCGTCCCGACCGTCCCTCCGTCCGTCGCTTCCGTTTCAGCGACGCGTCGAACGTCAGCACCTCATCGCCGGCGTCGAACGACCGCGCGCGCGCGCGTCCTCGCGTCGCGCGCGCCGATAAAAACGCCGCCGCCTCGTCGCCGAGCAGATATTCTCGAAACGCGCGCACGTGTCGCAGCGCCTGCGCGCGCGTCGTCGTCGTCAGTCGTCGCTCGCGTCGCGCGTCGTCGTCGTCGTCGTCGCCGTCGTCGCCGAGCGGCCGCGCGAGCGCCATCGCGCGGCGAGCGATCGCGCGCGCGGACGCGCCTGGAGGATGGCGTTCAGGTAACACGTGTTCGACGCGTTGTACAGGCCCGCGCGAAGGCGCGCGCGCGACGCGAGGGCGACGTCGACAGCGCGCGCGTCGTCGCGCGCGCGCGCGCGCGACATCTCGCGACGGGGCGGTGTGCGGCGGACGCGAGCGAGAGAAATCTGGTGGACGCGCGCCGGGCATTCGAAACCGCGAGCGCGGCGCGCGGCGCGTCCGAGCGAGACGAGGCGAGGGCGAGGGACGCGCGAGACGACGGCGAACGGCGGGCGAGTGAAGACGAAGGAAGACGAGGGATGACAACGAGAGACGAGGTGGATAGCGGTACAGCGTTACAATGAATTATTCGCGTCGACGACGCGTCGGCGACGGCGGCGAGCGGCGAGCGGGCGGCGTCAACGCACGCGCGCGCGGCATTTCGGGCAGGTTTTGTGTCGTTGGAGCCACGGGGCGATGCAGTCGATGTGAAACGTGTGCTCGCAGCGCGTGAGTCGGACGATGTCGGCGCGAGAGTCGTCGTCTTCGAGACACACCGGGCAGTCGGAGGACTCGGACGCCTCGGCGACGCTCACGCGACGCACGCCGGTTTCGATGTCCCTCGAGCTCGTGCCGTTGACGATCGCCGTCAGCATGTCCATCACGGACGCCTTTTCCGCGCTCAGACGCTCGCCTCGACTCATCTTCCACCACCAATCCATCCAAAGTTCTTCGAGCGTGGCTTCGAAGTCGTACCCCGTCGTCTCGTCGTCCTCGAGTCTCGTCGCCCAGATCTCGTCGCGCACCGCGCATTCGCGCTCTCTCGCCAGTAACGCCTCGTTCTTCACCATCGATCGCGCGTCCGCGCCGGGATCGCTCGATCGCGACGTCGACGCCGACGCCTCGTCGAGCAACCGCCTCGCGCCGCGTCGCCGTCCCCGTCCGCGCGCGCTTCGACTCTTTCCCGCGCGTCCGTCGCCGCCGCAGACGACGTCTGCTTTCATCGCGCGCGCGTACTCGCGTTCGCGCGCGCCGTCGCGCGCGTTCGACGCCGCCTTCGACGCGGATTCTTTGACGAAAATATCTTTGTCTTGAATCGTCGCGGCGACGTCGCGCGTCGCGTCCTCGCGCGCGGACGCCGCGCGCGCGCTCGAGCGCGACGCGCGCTCGAGCGAGGACATTTCCACCGCCGGCGCGCCTTCGCACTGCGCGGTCGCGTCGCGCTGTGCGGTCGCGTCGACGCGATTGGGCGAAACGTCATCTTGGGGGCCTCCATCGGGACAGAAAACGGCACCCTGCCCCCGCGTTTTCGGGAACGGCGACGCGTAGAGTTGCTTTTCTAATTGTGTTGGATTATATGAAAGGTGTGGCTCTAATGCAAGCAAAGGCAAAGCAAAGCGCGATCGCGGGGCGCGACGAGCGACTGGGGCGCTCGACGCGCGCACAAACGTAATTGTGCCGAGCGTGTCCTAACGCGCGTTTACCAAGCAATGTGCTTGTACGACGCGCCGGCGTAGACAGCCTTGTCACCGAGTTCTTCTTCGATGCGCAAGAGCTGGTTGTACTTGGCCAAACGCTCGGAGCGGCACGGGGCGCCCGTCTTGATTTGACCGGTGGACAAGCCCACGGCGAGATCGGCGATGAAGGAATCTTCGGTTTCGCCGGAGCGGTGGGAAGCCATGACACCCCAGCCAGCCTTCTTGGACATGCCGACGGCCTCGATGGACTCGGAGATGGTGCCGATTTGGTTCACCTTGAGCAAGAGGGCGTTGCACCACTTGCCGTCGATGGCGGCTTGCACGCGCTTCGGGTTGGTCACCAACAAGTCGTCGCCGACGATTTGGCAGTTGTTCTTCGCCGTGAGCGCGGCGGTGTTTTCAGCGTCGTCTTGGTCGAACGGATCCTCGATGGAGATCATCGGGTACTCGCTGATGAACTCTTGGTACAAGTCGATCATCTCGGCACCAGTCTTCTTCATGGAACCGTCGTTGCCTTCGGTCTTGAAGTCGAGATCGTAGCACTTGTCTTCGGTCAAGAATTCAGACGCGGCGACGTCCATACCGATCTTCATCTTACCGGTGTAGCCAGCCTTTTCGATCGCTTCAACGAGGAGGTCGAGACCTTCCTTGTTGTCTTGAATGTTCGGGGCGAAGCCACCTTCGTCACCGACGTTGCACGCATCTTGGCCGTACTTCTTCTTGATGACCGACTTCAAGTTGTGGTAGACTTCGGAGCCCATTTGCATCGCCTCCTTGAAGGAGGAAGCCCCGACCGGCAAGATCATGAACTCTTGCATGGCGAGCTTGTTACCAGCGTGGGAACCACCGTTGATGACGTTGAACGCCGGCACCGGGAGCACCAACTTGCCGTTACCGGCGAGGTCGGCGATGTGTTGGTAGAGCGGCACGTCCTTCTCGGCGGCGCCAGCCTTGGCGACGGCCATGGAAACCGCGAGCACGGCGTTGGCGCCGAGCTTGCCCTTGTTGTCCGTACCGTCGAGATCTTTGCACATGAAATCATCGATCGCCTTTTGGTCGCGCGGGTCCTTGCCGATGAGCGCCGGGGCGATGATTTCGTTCAAGTTCTTCACGGCTTGCATGACGCCCTTGCCCATGTATTCCTTGCCGCCGTCGCGAAGTTCCACGGCTTCGTAGATACCCGTGGACGCACCACTCGGCACCATGGCGCGGAACATACCCTTGTGCGTGTACACATCGGCTTCAACCGTCGGGTTACCGCGAGAGTCAAAAATTTGGCGACCGACGACCTTCGTGATGGCGGGCGTCGTGCGCTTTTTCATGTACTCGCTCTGCGCGCGTCGTAAGCATTCGTCGAATCGTCAGTCAATCGTCTTTTCGTCGCGCCGCGTCGCCGCGCGACGCATCTTCGCGCCCGAATCCTCCACGCCCGATCCCGAACGGCGACGGCGTTCGCCCCGCCCACCCCTCCGCGAGCGCGATCGCCCGCGCGCGCCGCGCGCTTTTATCCAGACACCCGATCGCCTCCCGCGATCGTAACGACCCCCCCCCCGCGCGCGCGCGCTCGCACCGATCCCGCGTCCCGTCCCATTCGCCCGCACGTTTTCCACGCCATCGAACGCATCGCTCGCGCGCCTTCGCGCGCCTTCGCGCGCGTCGCCCTTCGCCCTCGACGTCGCGCCGCGGTCGCGCGCATCCATCGCGTTCGCGCGTCAATCGCGTCGCGTCGCGCGCACCACGAACGCGAGCGGCTCATCCGCCTTGGCCTTGACCGCGGCGTTGAGCGCCTCCTCGATCTTCTTCGTGAGATCGTGCTTCTCGATGTACTCCTGAACGCTCATCGCGCGCGTCGCGTCGTCGTGTGCGGCGTCGGGCGCCGCGACGGCGCGCCGGCGCAAGCCCTCACGCGCCGCGCGCGACCGCGGCGCGCGGGGGCGTACTGCGCGCGCGTTTCGCCCGTGTGGGGCGCGCGCGGGAGGTATATATGCGTTCGCACTGGCGCGCATACGTCGTCACCCCGAGGGGGTCTCGATCGAGTCGCGACCCTCGGTCGGTGGGTTTTTCCGGCTTATCCGCGCGGTCGGTCGGACCACGCGCGGTCGGTCGCCGACGGCGACGCCGCGCGCGACGGCGACGGCGACGACGCGCGCGACGGCGCGACGGCGCGACGGCGCGCGTCGGACGCGCGTCGACGACGCGCGCGCGTCCGCGTCGCGCGCGGGACCTCGCCGAGGCGCCGCGCGTCGACGCGCGCGCGGTGGCGCGCAAGATGCCGACGCGACCGCGCGCGCGACCGGCGGACCGGCGGTCCGGCGGTCCGGCGGTCCGGCGGTCCGGCGGCCGCGACGACGACGCGCGCGCGACGGAAACGAAACCGACCGACCGACCGACCGACCGACGCGCGGGCGACCGATCGGCGACGACGACGACGACGGCGTGCGGCGTGCGGTGTGCGGTGCGGCCGTCCGCGCGCCGCACACGTGGACGCGACGCGACGCGACGCGACGCGACGCGACGCGAGCGAGCGAGAGATACGGCGAACGCGCGAACGCACCGCGACATGTCGCCGCGCGTGCTCGCGCTGTTCGACGTCGACGGCACGCTGACGGTGCCGCGAAAGGAGGCGGACGACGTCATGAAGCGCTTCATGGAGGATCTGCGGTCGAGGGTGACGGTCGGGATCGTGGGCGGGTCGGATCTGGTGAAGATCTCCGAACAGCTCGGCGAGGGCGTGGAGCGGGAGTACGCGTACTTGTTCTCGGAGAACGGGCTGGTGGCGTACAAGGATGGCGCGCTCCTGGCGAAGCAGTCGCTCAAGGCGTTTCTGGGCGAGGACAAGTTGAAGCGGTTTATTAACTTTGTGCTGCACTACGTGGCGGATTTGGACGTCCCGGTGAAGCGGGGGACGTTCATCGAGTTCAGGGCGGGGATGCTGAACGTGTCGCCGATCGGGAGAAATTGCAGTCAGGAGGAGCGGGACGAGTTCGAGCGCTTTGACGAAAAGGCGGGCGTGCGCAAGGCGATGGTGGAGACTCTGCGCAAAGAATTCGCGGATTACGGGCTGACGTACTCCATCGGGGGACAGATTTCGTTCGACGTGTTCCCGCAGGGATGGGATAAGACGTACTGCTTGCAATTCGTGGAGAACGACTTCGACGTCATTCACTTCTTCGGCGACAAGACGTACCCGGGCGGTAACGACCACGAGATTTTCGAGTCTCCGAAGACGATCGGGCACACCGTGACGTCGCCCGAGGACACTCGCAAGCAAGTCACCGAGCACATTCTCGACAAGCTTTAGAGCGCGGAGTTGATTTTCGTTGATACTGGCAAGTATGTTTTTACCACACCGTTTCTTTGCTATTCGTCTAAGTCCCTACTACCGCAGCGCGCTTCGTCCGCGTCTCTACTCGGTGCCCCCCTCGCGCTCGCGCTTCGCTAAATAGTCATCGATCGCGCCGCTCTCCATCAACCGCGCCGCCTTGAGCGCGACCTCGCGCTCTTTAAAACTCGCCGCGAGCACTTCGGAACCGGCGACGCCGAACCCGCCGCTCGCCGGCGTCGCCCCGACCGCGCGCGCGCTCACCGGAATCACCCGTTCGTATCTCGCCGACGTCGACGTCCTCGAATCGTCCCTCGACGTCGCCGTCGTCGCCGTCGCGCTCGTCCCGCCCTCGCGTTCGCCCTCGCCCTCGTCCTCGCCGCGCCGTCCCGACGGCGTCAACTCCCGCTCGATCTCCCGCGCCACCCCTCGCAGGTCCTTCATCGACGCTCGCACCTCCGCGCGTATCCCTCGCAGCTCCCGCTCGTTCGTCGCGCGCTCGATCGCGCGCGCGACGCCGCCGACGTGCGCCACCGCGCGTCCCGTGAGTCTTCCCAAGAATTTCGCCGCCACCGGGACGTCTCTCGGCCCGAGCGCCAGCGCGCCGGCGCCGATCGCGAGCACGAGCGTCGTCGTGGACACGCCGAGCACCATCGCGTCGCGTCGCGCGCGCGCGCGTCCGCGCGACGCGTCGCGCGTCGAGAGATGACGCCGCGCGCGCCGGCGCGTCACTCATCCGCGCGGCGATGCGCGTCGAGACGCCGCGCGCGCGCGCGCGCCGCGCGATCGCGTCGCTGCTCGTCGCGTGCGCGCTCGCGCGCGGCGCGGCGGGCGCGAAATCGATCGACGTCGCGCTGCGCGCGGGATGGCGCGCGACGTCGTTCGCGTTGGAAACGCTGGTCGGCGTCGCGGACGTCGATGGCGCGGCGTTCTGGACGCTCGTCGACGATCTGGACGCGCCGATCGATGGCGACGCGAGCGATGACGCGACGTGCGAGGCGCGCGTGGACGAGGCGGGACGACGGGCGCTCGGGGACGATGGACGCGCGCGGGCGTTGGGATTGGCGCGCGGCGCGCGAGCGTACTCGCCGAGACTGGCGAGTTTTCGGACGATGGCGGCGGCGCTGAGCGATGCGAGCGGTGGATGCTGTCGCGTGGAGTTGGGGGGGGCGGTGTATGACGACACGGGGGCGCTGGAGGGGGCGGTGCGCGCGGGCGCGGCGAGCGCGAGCGGGAGCGCGACGGAACGCGACGCGACGTACGGCGGTGCGCTCAATGCGACGTTGCCGACGGCTTTCGCGTACGCCGCGCCCGGGACGGCGTGTTTTAACTCGATGCACCGCGTTTTAGTCGATGCGAGCGAGTCCGGTCTGGTGAACTACGTTTTAAGACCGGTACTGTTCGAGACGGCGTGCGCGAGAAGAGATTCGTGCGCTGCGTTCGGGGCGTCTGACGACGCCAACTTGCGCCTGGCCGGATTCGGTGTCGAGCTCGCGGTGAAAAATATGGAGTACAAGGCGATTGATGATAGCAAGGTCAAGGCCGAAGAGGCTGATGCGGACGACGACGCGTCGGCGCCGCTCGGCGACGAGCTCGCAGACGAGAGCGTGTCGGGATTTAATTTCGCTACATTAGCAAAGAGATATCCGAACGAAGTCGATGGTCTACGCGCATTTCGCGACGCGATGGTTGGAAAGTCGGAGCTGACCTCGGATGCGCCTCTGAAATTGTGGGATATCAAGGATTTAGGCTTGCAGGCGACGCAGCGCATCTCGCTCTCCGACGATCCTCTCCGAGCCCTGGTCGAGCTCTCGCAAAATTTCCCTTCTTTAGCGAACTCATTGTCTCGCATGAAACTGAATTCGACAATCGTTAATGAAGTGACGAAAAATCGCAAAAACATGCGTCCCGGAGGGTTGATCATGTCGCTCAACGGCGAGAATTTAGAACTCGACACCATCGACATCTACACCTTGACGGAGACCATATCAAAGGAGGTACAGCACGCCGCTGCGCTTCGTCGTCTTGGGTTGCCGCAATCGAGCGTTTCAAGGCTTCTTCGCTTGCCCAAAAAGCAGCGAAGCTCTGAGGTCAAGATTGACGTGACGAACCCGGCAATCCTGTTTTACAACGACATCGAGGCCGACGCGAAGTTCGCTTCGTGGACTAGGAATTTGAAAACGTTGCTCGAACCTTCGCGAGGCGGATTTCCGAAAGTGAGGTACAATCTCTACAATATGGCCGTTTTCCTGGATCCGTCAGACATGTCGACGTGGGATATGGTTGGGATGATGTCCCATTTCTACGATCACAAAGTACCGGTGCGAATGGCTCAAGTCGTCGTCACAGGGTTAGATAACCCTGATCCCGTCCTCGCTCAGACGTTTGCGAAGCAAACGGACCTAGTTTTCGGACGTCGCGTTGCACGTGCCGCAAATTACTTATTGCGCGAATATGGGCCTGTCGCACAGCACAATTTCATGTCTTACGTAGCGCAAAGTCGTACGGAAGAAAGACCACCGTCGTACTTCGCGCCCGCGGTATATTCTCCGCCGTCTTGGGAAGGTGCGATGGATGCGTTCGAGAAAACACTGTCAGAATTTGCCGATGATCTCGAATTTGATGCGGTGACGTTGCTCGAAGAGTTCGCATCTCGTTCGTCAACGAGCATCGACAAGTACATCGACGAAGTCCGCGCCGCCGTGAAGGCGAAAGGCTTGATGACACAGTCGTTCGTATTGAACGGTGTGTACGTCGATGAATCGCAAGGTATGGCGTATCGCGCATCGTTGGAGCAAATGGTATCGCACCACTTGCGCCAGGAGATGGAGAAAGTTCGAAGACTCGTTGTTGCGGGAAAACTTGCCGGCGCCCTGCTCGAAAATGTGGCGAAGTTCATGCAAGAAGGAGCGGTTTCTAAGTATGTTCCTTGGATATTGGATGAGGATGATGTCGCACCGGTGTATCGATTACCCATCGACCGTTCGTCAATCGCTTCGCTCAAGTACGCTCAAGGCGGCGATGCAGACGAAGTGAAAGGTATGTCCATCGTCGTCGTAGCCAACGCTGACAGTGATAGGGGCGCACTTTTGATCCTGGCGGCTGCAAAGCACGTGTTGTCCGAATCTGGTTCGCTTTCGCGATTTACAGTAGTTCATCCATCGGCAGCTGCGACGATGGGAGCGCGCTCGCGCGCGATTCAAGCCGCGTTGCATCTGCCTACGCGACGGGCTAAGATTGCCAATTTCGTTGAGCAACTCTTGGCAGAAGATGTGAAGCCCGAGGATGCGGCGGAGCGAATGGGGCTGAATTTGGTCGATTTTAAGCGACTGTATAGCGACGAGACGATTTTTGCCGACGTCGCGACGCAAAGTCTTCGACTACTGGCTCATTACGACTTGACATCGAAGTGCGCCGTTATTGCGAATGGAAGGGTCCTGGATCTGATGGCCAGACAATGTCAAATGGATGCCGAAGACCTGGACGTTCTCGCCGCCATCGAGATGACAAAAACATCTAAAATGGTATTCGACGTGGTGAAAGAAGAAATCCTCTCAGACGCCGAGGAGATGGAACCGGCTTTGTTGTCGACCATCATCTCAGACGCCGCAGCAATTGTTGCGATGAAACAAGCCGGCGCATCCACGAAGCGAACGGTGGAAAGTTTGGAGGAAATCATTAACGACGCGAAAGCAACAAGTTTTGTCACTGGCTCCGGAACTATCGTTCAGATTGAGGCCATTCTCGATCCTTTGAGTAAGGAGGCGCAACGCGTCGCGCCGGTGCTCGCGCTACTTCGAGACCGATTGCCAGAAGCGGTGACCATTCGAGTCGTCCTTAATCCCATGACGAATTTGCAGGATTTACCGTTGAAGTCGTACTACCGCTATGTTGCGCCACCGTCGTCGATGACGGAATCACCTCGTGCATTCATCACCAATGTTCCGACCCACAAGACGCTCACGATGCACGTAGATTTCCCAGAAGCGTGGATGGTGACGACTCACAGGGCGGCATATGATTTGGATAACCTGATTCTCAAAGACATCAAGGAGAAGACTGTGCACGCAGAGTACTTGCTCGAGTCTCTGCTAGTCACTGGCCACGCAAGTGATCACAACACGGGTCAACCGGCGAGAGGGACACAGTTCGTGCTCGAGGATAAGAGCGTGGCCGTGAATCCAGGCACAATCGTGATGTCGAACTTGGGTTATTTTCAGCTTCCAGCCTCACCTGGAATGCACAAGTTGTCACTTCGAGCTGGTAGATCGTCGGACATATTCGCATTTCTTCAGGTGAAAGATCTTCTCGACTCGGAGGCGCGAGACTTGACGCTTTCGCACGACGAATCCACCGTCGACGTATTAGTGGACTCTTTCAGAGGGCGGCAACTTGACGTATCTCTTGCGAGACGGAAAGGTAAGGAAGATCTTGACGTACTCGACGAAGTTTCAACCTCAGACAATAGTGGATGGTTGTCGAGTGTATTCAAGAGGACGAAGGAGGCAGACCGTATTCACATCTTTAGCGTTGCCTCCGGTCATCTGTACGAGCGATTCTTGAAAATTATGATGGCATCCGTCAAGCGCTCGACGAAGAATCCGGTGAAATTCTGGTTCATCAAAAACTGGCTTTCGCCGTCCTTTAAAGATTTCTTACCGTACATGGCAAAGGAGTACGACTTTGAGTATGAGCTCGTGAGCTACAAGTGGCCGACGTGGCTGAACAAGCAAACGGAGAAGCAAAGAATCATCTGGGCGTATAAGATTCTGTTCCTCGACGTACTGTTCCCACTCGAGCTCAACAAAGTTATTTTTGTCGATGCCGATCAAATTGTTCGAGCGGATATGAGCGAACTTTGGACCATGGATCTTCACGGTGCGCCGTACGGGTACACGCCGATGTGCGACAACAACAAAGAAATGGAAGGCTTTAGATTTTGGAAACAGGGCTTCTGGCGAGATCACTTACGAGGTAGGCCGTACCATATTAGTGCGCTGTACGTCGTGGATCTCGATCGTTTTCGCGCTATGGCGGCTGGCGATAGATTGAGAGTTATGTACGACCAACTTTCGCGAGATCCGGGTTCGTTGGCGAACCTCGATCAAGACTTGCCAAACTACGCGCAGCACGACGTGCCAATCTTTTCGTTACCGCAGCCCTGGCTGTGGTGCGAATCGTGGTGTGGGAATGAGACCAAATCTGCGGCGAAGACGATCGATTTGTGTAACAACCCGCTCACGAAGGAGCCAAAACTTGAAGGCGCGCGACGCATCGTTCAAGAGTGGCCAGGTTTGGACGCGGAGGTTCGCGCGTTCACCGAACGAGTCGAAGAACGCATGCGCGTCGGCGATAAAACAGAAGACGTGAAAGATGAGCTGTAAATAAGCCTAATACGTCGTAGCGATTTGTTATTAGAAGGGTCTCGACTCAAGCGTCCGTCTTCTCGCGAGCTTTGCGCATATCCGCAATCGTTTCCTCCACCGACCGCAAGTCTCGCTTCACCGTACCCACAACTGTCAACTCAACCGCATCTGCCGCGTACGTCGGCGCTTTATCGCTCAACCCCTCTCCCTTTTTACCGTGTTTTCCCGCCCGCTCTCTCGCCGCGATTTCGTTTCGCAACGACTCCGCGTCTCGCTCCACCTCCGGCGCCTTCTTATGCACAATCACAAACTTCTCCTCCCCCGTCGCCCCTACCTCCACGCTCTCCGAAAACAACTTCATCTCCGCCGCGATTTCGTGCACGATGTTCCTCCACTGCTTCTCCATCGTCTCAAACTCGCAAAACGCCTCCGCGCTCTCGCTCCCCGCCACCTCTCGCTCGATCCTCTCCCGCACCTCCCTCTCAAACTTCCTTCGCGCCTCCATCGCTTTCGTCTCCCGAGACACGACGTCATCCCTCGTGATCGCGCGTCCGCCGCTCGCGACGACCGTCTTCGCGCGCTGCGCGTTCGATCGCTTCACGTCGCCGAGGATGCTCGCGAGCAGTCCACCCGCGGCGTTCGCGCGCGCCTTTTTCGCCGCGCGCGCGTCGATCGCGTCCGACGACGTCGACGGCGCGTCGCGCGCGTCCGCGCGCGCGATCCCGGGTCGCTTCATCGCCCGCGCGCGCGCCGCGCGCGCCGCTCTCGCGCGCGCGCCGCGCTCGCGCGTGGTTTCATCGCCGCCGCACACGTTGGCGCCGCGCGACGACGGGTCGAGCCGGGCGGGCGATCGCGCGATAGCGTTGCGTATATCGTCAGATCCAGGCGTGTCTCGAGCTGAGCGGTGACTTCGCTCGTTCGTTTCCGCCGACGCAGCTGTTTGCTTCGCGAACCGCTTCGACGAGCACTCCGTCTGAACACCCTCCGCGAGCGAGCGGCACAGTTCGGCACATCGCTCGCTCGTCCGTCGACCCTAAGTCAAGAGATCCAAGGATATCCAAGAGATCACCATGTCAGGCTCGCTCGAGGAGTCCGCGCCCTTGGTCGACGCGCCGGCGTCGTTGACCGCGACGGATCGCGCGCAACACCAAAGTCGACGCTCGAGCCTGAGCCTGAAGACGACGCTCGCGGTCGGCTCGGCGTGCGCGCTCCTCGTCGGGGCGGCGATCGTCTCGAGCGTCAACTCCGCGCGCGATGCGTCCGTCCAACCGCTCGGCGCGCGCGCGCGCTCGGCGAAGGCGGACGCGATGGATTTGGAAGGGGACGCCGCCACGCTCGGCGGCGACTTTTACGACTTCGAGCGCGTCGGCGGCAACTTGTCGTGCCTGCCGGCGATGACGAGCGACTACCCGAACGCGATGAACGGAGACGATGACAGGGCACACGAGACCGAACACAAGATCACGCCGAGGGATTGCTCGTGGTATAAACAGTTGCACCCGTTTGCGCAGCAGCGCGCGAAGACGCCGTCGTCGTGCGCGCCGGCGAACACGCTCTTTGTCTCCATCGCGGATTCGGAAAACTATGACATCGCCAAATTATCGACGCAGCGCGTTGTGAATCAAAAGTGCTTCATTGAGCGGTACATTTTGATCACGCTGGACGCCGACGCGACGAGGAAGTGCGAAAGCGAGAAGCTGTTTCACTGCTTGCAATACGCCGACGGGCACGCGTTCGACGGCTTGGTGCACTCGGGCGGGCACGCCGACGACCTCAAATACAAACAGCTGACTTGGTTCAAACAAAAAGTCACTCTCGGTTTGCTCGCCGCGAATGTGGACTTTTTCATCTTCGACACGGATGTTCTCCTTTTTAAAGTCCCAGACTTGGGGCTTTTACTCCGCAAACATCCGCACACAAATGTGTTTTATCAACAAGGCCAGGTGGGATATAACGCGCTGTACCGTGGACGCTACCCATATATGCAAAAGAATGAGTACGCTAAACAACACCATCAAGACGCTTGGAATTTCAACTCGGGCCAAGTCTTCTGGCGCGCGTCGCCGACGACGCTGAAAATCCAGCGGCTCGCTTTGAATTACGGTCCTCACCCGATGGAACAAGAACGTGTAGCGCAGGCCATCAACGAACTCAGTATGAAAGGCGAAGCGCATGCGTTCGCACTGTCATACGATGACTACGGTTCAGGGTGTGCCGATGTCAACAAGCTCCCGGGCGAGACTTGGGATTTCGGGAGCCCAGAAGTCTTGCGTCACATGCGATCCTGGACGACGCTGCACTGCGACTGTGGCTTAGGCAAGTCGCCTGGTATGATAATGATTGAAGCTCGTTTAGAATGCCTCGCGAAGTATAACTCCGAAGAGTTGTGTGTTGGAATTCGTTCCGCCGAGGACTGGGAGAAGATGAAAGAAGAACGCGGGGCGAGTCTCGGCGACCAGGAAAGACTCAAGAAACTCACGCCTGCAAGCATCACGAGGAGTAAAATGAAGACGATGTTAGCTCGATTCGAGTGCGTCCTCGCGGATGACGGCCGCGATTGCTCGGATATCACCGTGCTCGCTTTGGACTAGACGATGATTTGATCACTCCAACTTGTTATGTCACCCGCACCGGGAAAGCGCCTCCGAGCGCGGCGGTGGCGAAAGCGATCGTCGCCGAGGTCTAGACGCTCGAGCTACGCCTCTCGCCTCGGCTAAGCCTGTGTCCATGTTTAATATCGTCAGATCCAGGCGTGTCTCGAGCTGAGCGGTGACTTCGCTCGTTCGTTTCCGCCGACGCGGCTGTTTGCTTCGCGAACCGCTTCGACGAGCACTCCGTCTGAACACCCTCCGCGAGCGAGCGGCACAGTTCGGCACATCGCTCGCTCGTCCGTCGACTCTAAGTCAAGAGATCCAAGGATATCCAAGAGATCACCATGTCGGGCTCGCTCGAGGAGTCCGCGCCCTTGGTCGACGCGCCGGCGTCGTTGACCGCGACGGATCGCGCGCAACACCAAAGTCGACGCTCGAGCCTGAGCCTGAAGACGACGCTCGCGGTCGGCTCGGCGTGCGCGCTCCTCGTCGGGGCGGCGATCGTCTCGAGCGTCAACTCCGCGCGCGATGCGTCCGTCCAACCGCTCGGCGCGCGCGCGCGCTCGGCGAAGGCGGACGCGATGGATTTGGAAGGGGACGCCGCCACGCTCGGCGGCGACTTTTACGACTTCGAGCGCGTCGGCGGCAACTTGTCGTGCCTGCCGGCGATGACGAGCGACTACCCGAACGCGATGAACGGAGACGATGACAGGGCACACGAGACCGAACACAAGATCACGCCGAGGGATTGCTCGTGGTATAAACAGTTGCACCCGTTTGCGCAGCAGCGCGCGAAGACGCCGTCGTCGTGCGCGCCGGCGAACACGCTCTTTGTCTCCATCGCGGATTCGGAAAACTATGAGACCGCCAAATTATCGACGCAGCGCGTTGTGAATCAAACGTGCTTCATTGAGCGGTACATTTTGATCACGCTGGACGCCGACGCGACGAGGAAGTGCGAAAGCGAGAAGCTGTTTCACTGCTTGCAATACGCCGACGGGCACGCGTTCGACGGCTTGGTGCACTCGGGCGGGCACGCCGACGACCTCAAATACAAACAGCTGACTTGGTTCAAACAAAAAGTCACTCTCGGATTGCTCGCCGCGAATGTGGACTTTTTCATCTTCGACACGGATGTTCTCCTTTTTAAAGTCCCAGACTTGGGGCGTTTAGTCCGCGAACATCCGCGCACAAATGTGTTTTATCAACAAGACTGGATCGGATATAACGCGCTGTACCGTGGACGCTACCCATATATGCAAAAGAATGAGAACGCTAAACAACACCATCAAGACGCTTGGAATTTCAACTCGGGCCAAGTCTTCTGGCGCGCGTCGCCGACGACGCTGAAAATCCAGCGGCTCGCTTTGAATTACGGTCCTCACCCGATGGAACAAGAACGTGTAGCGCAGGCCATCAACGAACTCAGTATGAAAGGCGAAGCGCATGCGTTCGCACTGTCATACGATGACTACGGTTCAGGGTGTGCCGATGTCAACAAGCTCCCGGGCGAGACTTGGGATTTCGGGAGCCCAGAAGTCTTGCGTCACATGCGATCCTGGACGACGCTGCACTGCGACTGTGGCTTAGGCAAGTCGCCTGGTATGATAATGATTGAAGCTCGTTTAGAATGCCTCGCGAAGTATAACTCCGAAGAGTTGTGTGTTGGAATTCGTTCCGCCGAGGACTGGGAGAAGATGAAAGAAGAACGCGGGGCGAGTCTCGGCGACCAGGAAAGACTCAAGAAACTCACGCCCGCGAGCATCACGAGGAGTAAAATGAAGACGATGTTGGCTCGATTCGAGTGCGTCCTCGCGGATGACGGCCGCGATTGCTCGGATATCACCGTGCTCGCTTTGGACTAGACGATGCTTTGATCACTCCAACTTGTTATGTCACCCGCACTCCTTTACGAAGATTTCCCCGCGTTTAACGCGCGTTCGGGCCCATGTGATGAGACCCGCGTGCGGATCGCCCGCGGCGCGTCCGCGTCAGCGTCGCGTCAGCACGTCGGCGCGCGCGCGCGACACGGCGACGCGTCGACGACGCGCGACCGAGCGACCGCGCGACCGCGCGACCGGACGGTCGGACGGTCGGACGGTCGGACCGCGGCGTCGCGGCGTCGCGGCGTCGCGCGCGCGGCGGATGTCGTCGAACGACGACGGCGCGCGCGACGCGCGCGGCGACGATGGGAACGCGGCGCGCGACGCGGACGACGCGGGCGGTGACGCGAGCGACGACGGCGGGGAGAGCGCGGCGCCGATCGACGATGGATCGTTCACGCTCAAGTTTTTGATCTCGCCGAGCGCGGCGGGGAGCGTGATCGGGAAGGGAGGGGCGACGATCAACGAGTTTCAGGCGCTCACGGGGGCGCGCATTCAGTTGTCGAGGAATCGCGAGGTGTTTCCGGGGACGAATGATCGCGTGGTGATCGTGAGCGGGGATCTGAGCGCGATATTGCAGGTGTTGCACTTGATCATCACGAAGCTGGTGGCGGACGGCGAGGGCATCGATCGCATGGGACAGCCTCAGGTGGCGCTGGTGGTGCCCAACAGCTCGTGCGGGTGCATCATCGGGAAGGGCGGATCGAAGATACGAAGCTTTGTGGAGGATTCGCAGGCGGACATTAAGCTGAGTAATCAAGATCGGATGCTTCCCGGGTGTAATGATCGCACGCTGACGATCACTGGAACGATTGATTGCGTTTTACGAGCGGTGGCTCTCGTGGCGACGACGCTGTGCGAAGATCCCGCGTACGCCACCCTCGTGCATCGACAGAGTACGTACAGCGTGCAATCGCCGCTTTCGTTGCAAGGTGGTGGAGGCGGACGGAGAAGCGGCGAATTTAATCGCGCCACGCCACGACGTTATGGCGCCGGTCAGGGCGGTGGGAGGGATGACGAGACTTCCATCCTCGTCACCATCCCCGACTCGCTCATCGGCGCCGTGCTCGGTCGCGGCGGCCGCACCATTGCCGAGGTTCAAGTCGCGAGCGGGTGCCGCATCAAAGTCAGTGACCGCGACGACTTCTTCGAAGGCACGCGCAATCGAAAAGTCGTCATCTCGGGTAGCGCAGAAGGCGTACAGATGGCCAACTATCTGCTCACCCAAAAGCTGAGCGCCATAACCGCTCAAATGTCCTTCTCGGGCGAAAATCCAATCCTGTGACCATCCCCATCCTCTCGCACGCGCACACGACAATCGAGACGCGCGCTCGTCTTCATTTCGTGATATTCTTTCATCGACGACAGGTCATTGATTCAATATATTTGTAATGCAACTTTGCAGGACGCCACGTTAAGTACAGCGCTTTCGAGTCGAGACGGAAAAATTACGTCGAGGCGAACGCGGTTCTTTCAAATCTGTCTCTAGATTCTGATTACAGAAGTGTGTGTTAATACGCTGGTAAATCGCGCGAGAAATCAAGGGCGCAACGACGTAATAATTACGTCTCACGCCTCGTCCACTCGCCAACATCGCTCGATGAAGTTGATCGAAAAAATGGTTTAATCGAACACCTTGCATTCGTCCGCCGAGGGATCATCCGCGCAGAGTTGGTCCATCGGGTCGGCGGAGGCAACACCTTCGTTGATGAGGCCGTTGGCGACGATGAGGGAGAGGTCGACGACGCGTTGGGTGTAACCCCATTCGTTGTCATACCACGCGACAACCTTGACCATGTCATCGCCCATCACCATGGTGAGAGCCGCGTCAATGGTGGTGGACACGTCGGTGCACCGGAAATCGACAGACACGAGCGGGACATCGGTGATCGCAAGAACACCCTTCATCGGGCCATCTTGCGCTTCCTTGAACGCGGCGTTGACTTCTTCAGCGGTGACGCCCTTCTTCTCAACGTTGACGACGAGGTCGACGACGGACACGTTCGGCGTCGGCACGCGAAGCGCGATACCGTTGAGCTTACCCTTGAGTTGCGGCAAGACGAGCGCAACAGCCTTGGCGGCACCGGTGGAGGTCGGCACGATGTTCAAGGCGGCGGCACGAGCACGGCGCAAGTCACGGTGGGACGCATCCAAGATGCGTTGATCACCAGTGTAAGAGTGCGTGGTGGTCATCGTACCCTTGACGATGCCGAACTTGTCGTCGATCACCTTGGCGAACGGCGCCAAGCAGTTGGTGGTGCACGACGCGTTGGAGACAATGTTGGCAGAGTTGTCGTATTGGTCGGCGTTCACACCGACGACGTAGGTCGGGATGTCGGAGCCCTTGGCCGGGGCGGTGATAACAACCTTCTTGGCGCCGGCTTGGATGTGCTTGCCCGCGCCCGGGCCGTCGAGGAAGACGCCCGTACCTTCGATGACGATGTCGATGCCCATTTCCTTCCACGGCAAGTTGAGCGGGTCGCGATCGGACACAACCTTGATGATGTCACCATCGACGGAGATCGTGGCGTCGTCGACAACCTTGACGTCAGACTTGAACGTACCCAAGATGGAGTCGTACTTGAGCAAGTGCGCCGCCGGCTTGGCGCCGCCGGATTGGTTCACGCACACGACTTGGAGCGGGCAGTCCGGGCCACGGCTCTTCCAGCATCGCACGAAGTTGCGGCCTGTGTTTTAAATCGCCCACAAGCGTTCATTTCATCGTCAGTCGCGTCGTTCGAGTCGTGCCCACGCGCGCGAGCTAAAAGTCATAAAAATCCCCAGGGTGCCACGTGCGCGCACCCCGGCGTCGATCGCACCCTCGCGCGCCTCGCGCGCCTCGCGCGCGCCCTCCCTCGACGCACGAGCGCTGCGCGCATATTCTCCCAATCACCGCGCGCCCTCGTTCGCCTCACATCGCGCGAACACCGCGCACACGACGCGCGAAACGCATCGACATCGCGACAATCGCATCGCGACCCTTATCCGCGATCGCACGCACCGATGCGGCCGAAACCGTTGATGGCAACCTTAACCTTCGCCTCGGTCACCACGTTCACGTTGGCCTAGACGCGCAAACACCCCATTCGTCAGTCTCCGCGCACCCCCGTCGACGTCGCGCGCGCTCGCGCGTCGCGCGCGCGCCGAGTTCCGCGCGGTCACGCACCTTCGCGGCCGCGCGCGGCGCGGTCGCCTTGCGGAAGTTACCCGCGAGCGCGGTGCGGGCGGTGAGTTCGACGGTCTGCGATCGCGACGCACAAAATTCTTTCCGTCAGTCCCTCGCGTCCTCGCGCGCGCGCGCGTCCGCGCTCGACGCCCGCGGTCCCCGATCGTCGTCGCCGATGGCGTCGATGAGATGATTATCCGCGATCGCTCGTCCCGCGTCCGTCATCGCGCCGTCGCCGACGTCGCGACCGCGCGTCGCGACGTCGCGACGTCGCGATCGCGCCGTCGTCGTCCGATCGCGTCGTCTCGCGCGTCGATCGCGCACCTTAACGGCGGCGGACATGGGGTGCGTATTTGTGACGTCCGCGACGCCGCGCTGCCCCACGTTCGACGCGCGCGTGCGGGGCGTGCGACGCGCGCGCATGTACGCATGTACGTACACCACGCGCGATATCGCTATGTGCGTTGCGACCGGGTGTATAAATGACGTCTCACTGAAACGCACTGAAACGCGTCGCGATCGCGCCGGCGTCGTCGCGCTCGGCGTCGCGCGCGTCGGAGCGCGGCGCGCGATGGCGAACGGCGCGCGCGCGACGCGGCGGGCGGAAGACGCGTCGACGTCGACGACGAGTCGCGACGTCGCGCTTCGCGATAAGGTGTCCATCACGGCGCGCATGCGAACCGCGATCGCGCCCGAGGCGGTCGACGCCGTGCGACGACGCGTCGCGGATGCGCTCGCGGCGGCGCGCGACGACGACGTCGACGCGTGGTGCACGCGCGAGACGTGCGAGCGGTTCCTGAGGGCGGATAAGGGAGACGTCGCGAAGGCGACAAAACGGCTGCGAAAGACGATCGCGTGGCGAGCCGCGGCGCGGCCGGGAGACGTGCGATGCGAGCGATGCTTCGAGGGAGACTTTCGGAGCCACTACATGCAGCAGATCGGGTTCGACGCGTGCGGACGGGCGATCGTGTACTCGGACATCGGACTCGCGATGGATCATAAGGCGGCGAGCAACGTGGAACACTGCGTGCAGGTGTTGGAACTGTTGGAGTCGTTCTTGCCGGCGTATCCGTACGATCAATACGTGTGGGTGTGCGACTTTCATCGCTTCGGCGCGGGGAACATGGCGCCGAGCGTGGCGACGAAGTGCATGTCGTTGTTCGCGAGATCGTACCCGGAACGATTGGAGATGATGATTTTCGTCGAGGCGCCGAAGATATTTAACGGGCTTTACACCATGTTGCGCGCGTTCGTGGATCCGGTGACGGTGCAGAAGCTTCGATTCGTCAAGGGGCCGCACGGCAAAGGGGGGGGGGCGAACTGCGAGGCGACGTTTCGGGAGTTTTTTAGCGAAGAGACCACGAAGTGGCTCGTGACGGAGATGAGCATGAATCGCAAGATGTGGTCCGTGGCCAAGGCGAAGAAATCGTGGATCAAGTCGATGATTATCGAAAACGGTGTCCTACCCGAAGCCGCGCCGTTTCCGGAATTCGCCGAGCACGACTGTCGAGGAACGCCCGAGTTTTTAGCGTCCGAGGCGGGGGCTTACGCTACGAATTTTGCGAAAAAGCACGCGCGACGTTCGGCTTTAGTCGCAAAAACTCTCCCCGAATTCTGCACCTCGATCGATGGCGAGGAAGTTGCGATTCCACCGTCGCCGAAGAAGACGCTCGATCGCGATGCGTTTTCCTTCGTCAAGGCTGGAGAAGCGTTAGATGAGTTCGATCGCTTCGACTAAAAGCGCGTCGTCCTAGTACTATTATGTATCTATACTTGTACAACAACATCGTGCGTTGTTTTCAAAGATCTCTAATCATCATCGAGAATCCGGTGCCAGGCCGAGTTTCTTCATCTGGTACCGCGACAGCTTGCGAGTCACGTCAACGTTGGCGTCGTCTCGCGAAGACGACGCGCCACCTTCCCCTGGAATCCGCTCGATCACCGTATCTTTCAAGGGCGGGTGCTTACGGCGCATCTCTTCTTCGATTCTCAGTCTTTCTTCTTCCGCACGTCGTCGAACACGATCGGACTCAGCTCGAAGCTCGGCGTCTTTGGCGTCTCGCTTGGCTTTCCATCGCTCGTATTTCACAAAGTCTTCGGGGCACTCAATCGTCGGTGGCTCACCCCCATCCACGTCTACGTCGCTCTCGTCGTCGCTCTCGATATCGATGTAGTCATCGCTCGCCGCCACGTCCTGTGCTCCACTCTCGTTCAACTCCATAGCCTCCAAGCGAGAGATGAACGAGTCCAAATCGCCGCGCGCGTCGTTTGCATTCACGCGTTCGCTCTCCGAACTCGGCGCAAGGGTCGAGATCGATGCGATCATGCCCTCATCATCCGCCTCGTACACTTCCGTAATCTCTACGCTTCCATCACCTCGTCGCGCGATCCGCGCGCGTCCATCCTCGACCGTTTCCTCCTCCAACGCCGACGCGCCGACGCCGCTTTCCCGCAACGCCGCCGCCGCCTCTATACGACTCTCCATAGCCCGTGCGTTCTGCTCCGCGTCCCGCATCTTCGCCTGAAGAAGATCCCGCCGTCGGCCAATGATCTCGCTTGCCTGTTTAGCCGTGCGCTCGATGAGCAAATCACCACCAATGCCGACGAAGACGTCGGCCTCGCCGTCGAGCTCGCCCTCGAACATTGCAAACTTTGTGCACGGAATCATGATCTCATGCTTTGGTTTTTCGGGCAGCGACAGCACGAGGCGCTGTAGACTGGCGTATTGTTCGTCGTACTCGCGAAGAGTATCACACAAGGCGCGCTCGCGGCGCACAGCCTGCGCGGGACGTCGCCGTCAGTCAATTGTACTTTTCGAGCGGGACACGCGGGACGAGACGCGCCGCGCTCGCAGCGAGGCCTCGCACCTCGGCGACCTGTTGTAATAAGTATTCGACTTCGACACCGCTCGAGATCGCGTCGGGGGCGGACATCGCGAGCGACGCGGCGAGGCGAGGACTGAGGCGCGGGAGTCGAAAGTGGAAAGAAGCTTGGTTTTCTTATTCAACAATAAATAAGCCCAATGTTCGTATGGACACAACGGTTCGTTTAACAATTCAACATCTTGAGCATGACGGCGTTTTGCGCGTGCATGCGGTTTTCGGCTTGTTGGAAGACGACGGAGTAATCGGCTTCCATGACTTCGTCGTCGCATTCCAAGCCGCGCTCGGCGGGCAAGCAGTGCATGAAGATGGCGTTGGGCGTTCTCGCCATCATCTTGCCATTAACTTGGTAGCCTTGGAAGTCTTTTTTGCGCTGTTCGGCTTCGTCTTTTTGGCCCATGGACGCCCAGACGTCAGAGTAGATGACGTCGGCGCCCTTGACGCCTTCCACCGGGTCGTGCGAAATTTCTATCGTAGACAAACCGGCGTCGCGAGCCTTTTGCAAGGTCTTCTCATCCGGCGTGTACTCTTCCGGACACACGCACACGAAGTGAAACGGCACTACCGCGGCCAAATTCAACCACGAGTGCACGATGTTGTTACCATCACCGACGTACACAACCTTGACGCCTTCCAAGCGCCCCAGGCACTCGTAAATCGTCAACGCGTCGGCTAATATCTGACACGGATGGTTATAATCCGTCAACCCATTAACGATCGGAACGCTCGAGTACGCCGCCAACTCCTCGATTTGGGAGTGCTCGTACAATCGCGCCATGACGATGTCGTTGTATCTCGAGATTACTCTCGCGATATCCTTCGTCGCCTCGCGTTTTCCGATTGAAATATCATCCGGACCTAAATAAATCGCGCTCCCGCCCAGCAATTTAAACCCCGTCTCAAAGCTCACCCGCGTTCTCAACGATTGCTTCGCAAAAATCATCGCCATCGTCTTCCCCTTGAACGGTTGAAAGCTTCGATCACCGCTCTGCAGGCGTTTCTTTTCGCTCGACGCCCGCTCGACGAGCTCCATGATTTCCTCCTTCGTGAAGTCATCCAGATGTAAAAAGTGTTTTTCGCACGGCACCGGCTTCCCTACCGGCATCGCGCGCGTCGTCACCCTCCGCGATCGTTCGATCGTTCGTTCCGTCGTCGTTCGCCGCGTCTCGACGCGCGCATCGCGTCCGCGTCGCGTCGTCGGCGCGATACCCTGGCGATTCAGGGTTGTCGTCAGCATCATCGCTCACGCGTCGTTCGCGCGTCGTCGTCGCGCGTCGTCCGTCCTCGCGCGCGCGATCGTTCGATCGTTCGTCGCCTCTTCTCCCGCGCTCGCCGTCGGCGCTCGGTTCGCTCGCGCGCGCGCGTGCGTGTGACGCGTCGCGCGCCGACGCCGCGTCGCACTCCGCGACGCGTCGAATCCGCGTCGCGCGTCTCGCCATCGCGTTCGCGTCGGCGCGCGCGCGCGCGCCGGCGCCGCGCGTCGCGCGCGCGCGCGTGCGCGCGCGATCGATGGGCGACGCGCGCGTGACGGCGCTCGCGGACGCGTTCAGGGATGACTTTGACGTCCCGCACGTCACCGCGCGCGAGGCGATGGCGCGCGTCGCGAACGGCGCGCGCGGAGGACGCGCGTGCGTGCTCGTGGACGTGCGCGACGCGGAGGAGCGCGCGGTGAGCGTGATCGAGGGCGCGATGGACGCGGAGGCGTACGAGCGCGCGCGGGAGGGACTGGGCGCGCACGACGCGATTTGTTACTGCACGATTGGGTACCGGAGCGGGAAGTACGCGGAGAAGATGGCGAAGCGCGCGAATGATGGGGACGCGAAATATTTTAACATGTACGGTTCCATCTTGGCGTGGACGCACGAGGGTGGGACGTTGGTCGAGCCGAGCACGGGACTGGAGACGAAGAGAGTGCACACCTACGGAAAGCAGTGGGCGTGCGCGGCGGATGGTTACGAAGTCGTGTACTTTAAGAATCCGCTCGCGAAGGGATTAGGGCAGATGGTGCGCGGGTTGTTTCGCAAAAAGAAATAGAGAATAGCCTACTTTACTGTATCGTTTACAATAGTCGTGTAATTTACCGCAAAAATACTAGCGTCACGTCGTCGCCGGCGCCAAGTCGCCGACGATGGCGTTCTTTTGGAACGCGTTACGCAGCTGTCCGCACGCCGCCGCCGCCTCGAGACCTCTGGTTTGGCGAATCGAAGCTGGGACGTTGAGACCTTCAAGAATGTCGCGGAAAGCGTACACCGTCGCCCGACTCGGGCGCTGGTAGTCGGAATCATCCACGGGGTTGTACGGAATCAAGTTGACGTGCGACGCCAGGTTGCGAGCGTACAGCAATCGGCCGAGTTCCTTCGCGTGCTCTGGTTGATCGTTTATTCCTCCGAGCAGCGTGTACTCAAACGTCACGCGTCGACCGGTGGCGACGAAGTACTGTTCGCAGTCTTGCAGCAAGTCTTCCATCGGGTACACCTTGGCGCTCGGGATGATGGTTTCTCGCAACTCTTGATTCGGCGCGTGCAAACTGACCGCGAGCACGGATTGCAGTTGCGCGTGCGCGAGCTTTTCGATCGACCCTCTGACGCCAACTGTGGAAATCGTGATGTGCCTCGCACCGATTCCAATCTCCTTGTTCAACGCCTCGTGCGCCTTGAGAACGTTGGGCACGTTCAGCAGCGGTTCTCCCATGCCCATGAAGACGACGTTGCTCACGCGCTGACCGAAGTACTCCTCGAGCGCCAATACTTGATCTACGATCTCGTGCGGGGCCAAATTACGGGCGAATCCACCTTTGCCAGTCGCGCAGAACGTGCAGCGCATCGGACAACCGACCTGACTCGACACGCACGCCGTGAGCCTATTCTTTCCGTTCTCCGTGGCGGGAATACCCACCGTCTCGACGACTCTATCGTCATCCAATCGAAGCAACAACTTCGCCGTCCCATCGCTCGCCGCCGCGACGTGATGTCGCCTCGACCGCCCGACGCGCACATTCGCGCTCTTCAGCTCCTCGCGCAGCTTTTTCGACAGCGTCGTAAAATCGTCCACCGACCGCGCGCTCGCCCCGTTCGGCGCGTACAGGTGATCCGCGATTTGCTTCCCTCGAAACGCCGGCATCCCGCGCTCGACCGCGAACTCTTTCAACTCACTCGCCGTGAGTCCGAGCAACGAAAACGCTTCGTCCTCGACCACTCTTCCCGCCCTCTTCGCCGTCGCGTCGGCGTCGCGAATGCTCGCCACCACCGCCGCCGCGTCCGCCTTCTCCCACGGTCCATCGCGCACGCCCGGCGCGCGCGGCACGAACGACGGCTCAGTCGCGATCGCATCGCCGTCGTCCGCGCCGTCGTCGTCGCGCGCGCGCGTCACCGCGCCGCCGCGTCGAACGCGCGCACGCGTTCCGGCGGCGGCGCGACGATTCCCTTCCCCGCGCGCGCCGTCGCGCGCGCGCGCGCCGGCGCGCGCGCCGAGCGTCGTCAGCGTCGCCCCGAGCGCCATCGTCGTCGCCGCCGCGTCGAGCGTCGCGTCGTCGTCGCGGTGCGGTCACAGCGCGTCGCGCGATGCCGTCATCGACCGCGGTTCGCGCGCGCGCGCCGTCGCGCGCGCCGACGCGCCGCCTCGCGACGACGCGCGCGAGGACGATCGCGACGCGCGCGCGCGCCGACGCGCGAGGCGACGCGAGCGTGCGCGTGATGACGTTCAACGTGCTGTGTCCCGAGTACAAGCGCGCGGGGACGAAGGAAAACGACGACGCGCGCGAGTCGGCGAACGTCGAGGACGCGCTGAGACGCAACGAAAAGATACTTGATTTGATATTCGACGCGTCGCCGGACGTGCTGTGCGTGCAGGAGTTTTGGCACGCGAACGAGGCGATGCGCGAGCTGTGGACGCGAAGGCTGCGCGAGGCGTCGTACGACGCCGCGGTGACGCCGAGGACGAGCGGAAGGTGCGATGGGTTGCTCACGGCGGTAAAACGAGATAGATTGGAGGTGAAAGACGCTAGGGACGTGTTGTTTAACGATTGCGGCGATCGCGTGGCGCACGTGGCGCGGGTGGCGTCGAAGGCGAACGGACGCGAGACGCTGGTCGTGAACACGCACTTGTTGTTTCCGCACAATGAAAATTCAAGCCTGATTCGGCTGAGAGAGGTGTTTAAGATTTTAGAGTTCTTGCGAGAGCTTCAGCGAGAGCCGGCGATCGGAGGGAAAAAGTTACCGATCGTCATCACGGGGGATTTTAACGGGTCAAGTTCGGGTCGGGTGTATCGCTTTTTGACGTCGCAAGGATTCACGAACGCGTTGGACGTGTGTCAGGGCCGGGAAGGTTGCGCCACTTCGTGGGTTTCGCACTTGAATCATCATGGTGAGTGCGTCGGAGTCGATCACATGTTTTTGCTTAACCCGTCGAAGCAAGTGCTCGAGATCGGAGCGTCGTGGAAAGAGGCGGTTTTCGCGATGATGCGGGCAAAGATCGTTCAACAAGGCATCGTGGACGATGTCGCGGCGTTCAAGGAGTTCGACGCAAACTCCGATGGGTCTCTGACGAAGGATGAGTTCATCGAATTCGCGAATAAGATAGGTTTGTGCGGCGAGAAGAGTCCGGGGCTCCTTACCGCGGAATTGGAGGCTCTTTACGAAGCGTGCGATAAGGATGGCAACGGCGAAATCGACTTTCAAGAATTCGTTCAGCGTATGGATATCAAAGGCATGGCTGACTTGACGAGTGATCCAAATCTTTCACTCGATATCGGCGACTTCATGGCGTCTTCTGCGGCTGATCAAGTCGTCGTGTCGCAGTCCTGGGACGACAACGTCTTCGGCGAGGGCGACTTGCAAATAGAATGCGCGACGCTGCCAACCTCAATGTTAGAGGGTCGATGGCCGACGTCGGAAGAGTTTGATTTATCCGACCACGGCCCGCTTTGGGCCGATTTCACGCCGCGTTAATAAATGTGTACGAATGAGAAAGAATGTAAGTATTAAACAACAAGCGCAAGCGCGCGCGAAGACTACAACAAATCCAATTTCTAAATTCCGACTCCCGACCACGAGGCGGGTGACGGGTTCACCCAACTCGCGTCCATCAAGCTCGAGTCCGCTTTTTCAACCACGAGCGTTCTGTACGTCGCGAGTTTCTCCAAAACATCGCGCGCGACGAAACTAAGCCCCTCCGCCGTCACCGCGTCGCCCTTGGCGCCGATCCGCAACCCCTCGTCGAACAACTTCAACGAGTACAGCGTATCGATCGACGCCGGCGCCGTGGGATCGTTCACGCACGAATATATCAGGCACAACTTGTCGTCGGGGTTATCGAAGTTTGGTTTCAGAGCCCTGCCGAGCGGGCCGGATTTTTCTGGAATCAGCGTCCACATGTCCTCCTTTTCGCGAGCAAACGGGCTCCGCTCCACGCCGGCGGTGTACTTGTCGCACCCACGCGCGGTGACCCAAAACCGCCCGATCTCCCCGGTGTGCAGCGACGCGCGTAGGCGTGCGAAATCTTTCGCGGTGAGGTCCTCGCGCGTCTCGAGCTCGGTGGCGACGGCGTCGAGGGCGCGGCGACACTCTTCCAGACGCTCGAGGTACACGTCGAGCGGGAGGAAACCTTCGGCACGCGCGCGTCGCGGCGACGCGCAAGCGAACAAACCGGCGGTCAGCAACGCGTCGCGACGGCGGAACTTACCGCTCGCGCGTGGCGTCAGGGCGCCGGTGGGCGAGCGCGCGGTGGCGGCGACGGCGAGCCTCATTGTGCGGGACAGTTGCGCGGGCACGGTTGAAGACGTCAACGCGTGGAACGCGCGGCGTTGGATCGAAACGCAGCGAACCGTGCCGTTGAGCTCGTTTGAAGCGCCTCACGGCGGCGGCGTTTCGATTGCTCGCGGATGTGCCGTGTATGGCGTCGATTGTAGTGCTCGCGCGACGCCGTCGAAGCCGAATCGTCGCTTTGGCGCGCCGAAGCAGCTGGTGCGCGCGATGAAGTTGCGCGTGCGCGTTCGGTGGACTCGGCGATGCGCTCTGCGGTAGAACAGGTGACGCTGTCGAAGACATCGCGAAGTGCCGCGTTTTCGTCGTCGTCGTCGTCCATGAAATCGTCTTCGTCGGCGCTTTCTAAATCGAATTCGACCGCGTTTCTTCGCACGGTCGACTCTCGGTAACTCCGCACAGCTCTCCGCGTGCGCGTGCCTCGCCACACGCGTTGTATTTGTAATGTGGCGGCGTTCATTCGCCGCAACGTTGAGAATCGAATAAACGCGCGCCATGCGCGCTGGATCCGTTGTGCAGCGCACGCTCGCTTTGCTCTCTCATGGCGCTGAATGTAGCGCTTGACTATTTCTTCGACGCATCTCTTCACGCGTTCGCGTCTACCCTTATCTTCACGAAGCGCGCGTCGTGTCGCGTACCCGCGCCACGATGACTGTATTCGCACGCACGCACGACGTCGACGCGCTCTGATGAGCGTCGAGCGCCAGATCCAAAACATCCGCGTCAATCGCTCGCGACGGTCTCGAACCGCTCTTACTCTACGAAGAGCGAGCCATCGGCGGCAGATACTTTGCACGACACAAATTGTACGCATTCGGCGTGTGTGCCAGCGCTTCAAGCTTCTCGCGATCGTGCGACCAGCGTCTCGTCGTACGCGTGCCGTGTCGACGATTTTGCGGCGTTCTGTCTCCTTCTCCACGCGTCGACGCCGCACCGCGACTGATTCTTCGATCGCGCGACTAAGGAGCTCGCGCAATGAAACCTCTGTATCTTCGTCTTCGTCACTCTCTTCAGTCACGAAAGACTTAATACGTTGCTTCGCACGTCGCTTTGCCGGAGGCTCGGCAGAAAAAGTCGATTCAGTTCTCCGAGGGCGAGCGGGAGTATCGCGCGTGTCTTCACCACATGCACGTGAACACGGCCTGGTATCTTTTTCCACCATGTCCAAGTCCGATCCATCGCTCGACAGTCGCACAGCTTCCCGCGTCGCGCACAGTTCACGCTCAAAACGCGCCAACTCATCGGCTCGCTTTGCCCAATTTTGGCACAAATTTTCAAAGAGCGACTCCGCGCTCTCGCACGGCGCGCGATCGAGAACGCGCGATGTCGGCTTACGCGACGCCGTGTCATGCATCGCGGTGCGCATCGCGCGTTACGTCTGCATGGCGTACACGAATATCGGCGCGCTCTATAGTGAAGACTCACTTCGAGTGGGCGAGGTTGACCTGACGGTCGGTTCTGCACGATTAAGTTAATTTTACAACAAGATGAGCGCGTTACCTCGGTCGGGCAATCGAGCGGGCGGTGAACGTCATGTGTGCCTAATTCGTCTCGATGTCGACGTAATGGATGGAGGGTTCAATCTTGACGATTTCCTTCTCCATGCGATCGACTTCGTCGCCGACGGCTTGAACGATTTCTTCACCGTAAAAAGACAGCGCACCGTCCATAGCTTGCGCATCCGCCGATATTGACGCCTCGTTAAACTTCGAGTGCAGCTCCATGCGACGATTTTTCTTCGCGAGATATCGCTCGACAATCTTTTTGCCGCTAAATTCAACTTCGGCGGCGAAACGATACGTCCCAGCGCCAAGCTCTTCGCTCTTAGCAAAGTAAACCTCTTCGACGACTGGATCGCGGCGCATGTGCTCCGTGATGACTTGCATCTTATCTGCACCGAGAGATCGGCCAAGTAGGAGCAGTCGGTTACTGTTGATGAGGTACATTGCCGTCACCCCAAGAAGGCCACCGACAGCAATCGAGCCCATCGCGTCGTACATCGGACTCCCCGTCACTTCGCACGCGATGAGCGCCGTACCCGCGATGCCACAACCCAACACCGCGGCAGCATCTTCTGCGAGCACGGCCACGCTGGTGGGATCTTTACCAGATTTGATAAATTCCCTCAGCGTCATTCCTTGCGCCTTGGCGTTGTCGCGCAACGACTCGTACGCCACCTTTAACGAAAATCCTTCCAACAACGCCGACGCGCCCAACACCGCGATCCCAATACGTATGTTTTCAGACGGCATCGGGTCCATCAACCCGTGCATCCCGTGCATCACGCTAAACCCAGCACCGAGAAAGAAAATTCCCACCGCGGAAATCAACGAATACACGAACCGCTCGCGTCGATAACCGTAATTGAACGTCGCATCGGGCTTTCTATTACTATTTGTGATCCCCACTTGCAACAGCATCTGATTAACGATATCTGCCACGCTGTGAATGCTCTCCGCGAGCATCGAAGGCGACCCACTCGCGCCGTACGCTCCCAATTTGCACACCAAAATCGCCGCGTTGCATCCGATGGCGGTGTGCACCGCCTTCAGCGCCCTCTGATCGTTCGCCGCGTCCATCGCCTCCGACGCTGCCGCGCGCGGTATTTCCTCGTACTCGCCCATGTTCTCTTCCTTCACCTTTCGCGCGCCGCCGACGCCAGTCTTCGTCTCGCGGTGCCCGCGCCGCCCGACGTCCAGCGCCGCGCGCGCGCTCGCGCGCAACCCTCGCGCGAACACCAGCGACGCCCGCGCGCGCGCGTCCCCGCGCGAGTCTCTCACCGCGTCTTCCTCTCTTCGCGCCGCGAACGGCGCGCCGAGCGCGCGCGCGTCGCCCGCGAACGCGCGTTTCGTGAATCCACGCCGCGGGCCCGTCCCGCGCGCGTCGTCGACGAAACCGAACCCGACGCCGCGCGCGGCGACGCGCGGTCGCGCGAGCGCCGCGCGCGCGCATCGCGCGAGGTCGCCGGACGCGCGACGCGCGACGCGCGCGAGGGACGCCATCGCGGGCGCGCGGTCGGTCCGAGACCGAGAGTGTGGGTGACACGCGAAGTGGTCGTTGGAATTTCTGGAATTTCTGATTCGGCGGCGCGCGGTTGACCCAACTTTAATGCGCGCCGCGGCGACGCGTGGAGGCGACGACGGCGCGGGACGACGCGATGAAGCGAACGATGACGAAGAAGAGCGCCGGGACGAGGCGGACGAGGGAGAGGGAAACGGGCGCGGTGACGACGCGGAGACGTTGGAGTACTTTATGGGGGACGTCGCGCGAGGCGCGTTGACCGAGTTGGATTTGGAAAAGTACGCGCGCTTGACGACACTGCGCGTGGTGAAGTGCGGTGATGTGGTGTCGTTGATCGGATTGGGGGCGTGCGAGAGTCTGCGGAACGTGACGGTGGCGGAGTGCGGCCTGAGGTCTTTGGAAGGCGCGAGCGAGTGTCGCGGGTTGGAGGCGTTGTACGCGTACGGGAACGCGATTGATTCGCTCGATGGGCTCGCGGATGGACGGCTTGAGCGGCTGCACACGCTTTGGTTGAACGATAATCGTTTAATGTCGCTCGATGGGATCGAGACGTTGATGGCGCTGCGGGATCTGAACGTCGCGCGCAACCGACTCGAAAGCGTTCCGGACGCCGATGCGTTGCGCGAGCTGAATCACCTCAACATCGCTGGTAATCCCATCAAGTCGCTCGCGTACGTTGGGGTGACTCGTTTCATACATTCGATCACGTTTAAGGACGACGTACACGGCGCGTGTGACTTTTGTCGAGGGCGATGGTATCGCTCGTACATCTTGCGAGCCGTGTCCAATTTGCGCGTGCTGGACGGAGTCGATATATCGGAAGACGAGCGAGCGAGAGCGAGCGATGAACACGCAGAAAGAGAGTTATGGTATCATATGCGATGCGCGAGGATTCGCAAATCGTTTGATGACGCGCGTGATGTCGCTCTGGAACATTTGCGTATACTCACGGCTTCCGTCGAACGCGATTTGTTGCGCGCCAGAGCCGAAGGAAGATGGCTTGATGTTGAGCGCGATCTTTCCGACATAAGTCACTTCGAAATCTCTTTCACGAAAATCGAGCGTCGAGCACGCGAGGCGTCGCTCGTGCTGATCGCGCGCGTTTTTCAAGATGCGGAAATTGTCGCAGAGACGGCGCGCGAAGAACGATTCGCATTCGCGAAAGCCGAATCAGCTGCACAGAGCGTAGACGACGTCTTCATCGAGATCTTCGGTAAATTCGGACGTGTTCGTAAAAAACGTGCGCCTCAAAAACGTAAAAGCGCGTGGATTTTGACGCGAAGGATAAGCGACATTGTGATCGCATCGAACATGACTGAGATCAATCTGCACTCCGCTGAGCTCCGCGGCATTCCACAGGAAATCGGCGAGTGTGTAAACCTACAAACATTGATTCTGAGCGATAATGCAATCAAACGGCTTCAAGGTCTCCCTCAAATGAACAGTCTAAAATGGTTGGATCTCGGGAACAATCACTTGTGGAATTCGGAGGATTTGAACGTCTTGACGACGCGTGCGCGAAACGTCACCTCGTTGATTCTTCGAGGTAATCGCAAGTGGTTGGCAAAGAGTAAATTCTACGCCCCAATTCTGGTCAAACGCTCGCCAACCTTGACACACTTGGACGGCATCGAAGTCACATCTCGTATGCGAGCGCATTATCGCGTCGTTGGATGCAGACTGAACGCACGCGCAGTGAGACGTCGTGGTAAACTGTACCGTGACGCCGCGCAGTCCGCGTCGGAAATCGTCGAATTCAGCTTGGAAGATGAATCTCTCAGGAAAGTAGAACTGTGCGGAGAATTCAACACGCTCATCGTCGCATACCTCATGAATAACTGCCTTAAATCGATCAAAAGTTTCGGCGTCACCTGCCGCCACCTGAGGCACTTATCCGTGGAGGGAAATGCGATGATACGTTTGGACGGTTTGAGTTTGCTGAAGGAATTGAAATTCCTCAACGTGCGCAACTGCATGATCAAAATTCTTTCCCCATCCTGGTTCAAGCCATTGATAAAGTTACTCTTCATCAACGTCGAGCGAAACGAACTCCAATCGCTCAGTGGACTTGAACAGTGTCGCTCAATTCGCGAAATATACGCGTCGCACAACATGTTGGCGGAAACGAGTAGCGTCGTCGCGCTCGCCGCACTTCCCAACCTCAGGTTACTCACGTTGTACGGGAACGTCATGTGTGATTTGAAAACGTACCCGCACTACGTGATATTCAAATTCAATCAATTGTCCATATTGGATACCGATTATATCAGCGAGGCAGCGCGAGCGGATGCGACAAAAATTTACTCTGGTCGTCTCACGGAGGACATGATTGTTTCCGGTGAACACGCCGCGGGAGGAGATGAAATCTCATTGGTCGCACTCGGATTGTTTCATCTTGATCATAATGTCGTGAACGCGCGCTTCCAAGGAATCAAACGCATGAATTTGGAAAACAATAATCTCAGCGATGTTTCCGCGCTGGCTAGTTTGCCACGACTCACGCGGCTCGAATTGCGCAACAATAGGGTTAATGCCAAGTTCGGTCGCGCCAGTTCTTTCAGCAAACTCAAATATCTTGATTTGAGCGGGAACTACATATCATCGCTCAGCGTGCTCGCGCTCGGTTCGTGCTCAAGTCTTCAAACGCTTCTTTTAAGCGACAACTTTCTCACCAGGCTCGACGGCATAAATCAGCTCAAGTCTTTGCGAGTACTCAAGGTTGACAAAAACAAATTAAGTAGGATCGACTCAAGCACATTCGATGGCTGTGAAAGTTTGCGGGTTTTATGCATGCGTAAGAACGCATTTCGAACTCTGAAACACGTAACAAAGCTTGCCTACGTGCGCGAGTTACATCTTGACGAAAATCGAGTGGACGACTTGGAGGAGATTAGTTGGTTGGCGTATCTGACGCGCCTACGGATTTTGTCCCTCGCGCGTAACAAAGTTTCAAGCGAATATCAGAGATATGTCGAGTTCGTGACGACGTGCTGCAGAAGTCTGGAGCAACTCGATGGGGAAAAGCTAGTATATAAATAAAACACAGCACCTACGCGTCGCTATCGTCGCTTATTGTCTCCACAAGCGAGCCGAGCTTGGCGTACTCGTCCACGGTTCTCGCGAGGTCTTGTTGCATCACCGCAATCGCTTCTTCAGTCCCCGCTAGCGATTCTCGAAGCGCGTCGTTCTCATATTCGAGCTCGGTGTTCACTTCTTCGAGTTCTCGCAACCTATCTAAAAGCTCGCCACCAGCGCCGGATTCCATTTGCTGCATTTGCTCGACAAGTCGCTGGAAATCTTGCTCGACTCGTCGGCGCGCCTCTTCTGCCGCCTGTACCCTTTCGTTTACGAGCAAAGCAGTCGCGCCGTCGGCGTAACCTTGCTCGTCAATGATCTTTCGCGCCGAGTTCAGATCATCGTTCGCCTTTGACAACAAATGGAGTAAACGTTGATTCTCCTCGCGAAGTACCTTCACCTCTTCAGCGGAAGCTGCGGACACTGGATTCGCACGCTCCATGCTCGAGAGTGCCGATTCCGCCGCCGCCGCTCGGCGCTCAGCGTCCGTTACGCGCATTTGCAACACCTGCGAATCGTTGTTCGAATAACCATCTTCCATCGCGTCTCGCAGCGCGTCCTTTGCGATGCTGAGTTCGCTGCGCAAACCACCTAGTTCGGCGCGCGCTTCAGCTTCGCGGCGAGCAATCGCGAGCGCTTCTCGCTTCGCATCGTTCGCAGTTGATTCAGCCTCCCGAACGCTGTTTTCAAGAGTTGCGCATTTCTCTTGAGCTTGCTGCAATAATGCGGTGAGTCTCTCGACTTCGTGCTCTCTCTCTTTTGCTTGCGCTTCAGCGTGAACCAAAGCGCTCGTCACCGTGCGACCGGACTGGCTCGTAGTCGATCCACCTGCAGCCGCATCCTCAATCAAGTTGCGAAGGCGCTCGACCTCGGTTTCAAACGATTTCTTATCCTGCTTGAGAGCCTCGAGTTGACGTGATAATCCGTGATTTTGCTCCTGCAGTGCGCTCACGCGCTCCCTCAAAAGCTCCGAGCGCTGAGAACTGTCACCACTTTCGACAACCGCTTGATGTTCGTGGGTGCGAAGTGCAGAAACGAGACTTTCGAGCTCTCGCACACGATTTGTCTCCAACCTTAACTTGTGCTTGAGAGTCTCATTATCTCCTTGTGCATCGGTGAGCCGGCTTCGAGTGACGAGCAAGTTTGCTTCCGCCGCGGCGGTTTCGCGTCGCGACATCTCTCTCGCGCGTTCCATATCGAATAACATCGCCTTTGACGCTTCGAGCTTTGTCGTCAGCGCTTCGTACGAACCCGTGTCGTCTCCCTTGTCACGCACAGAGTTTTCCAGTAGATGCGTCAGATTATCGACTTGACGCTGATACGCTTGCAAGTCACTCGCATACGCCTTATTTTCAGCTTCAGCCGCTTTCGCCCTTTCAGTCGCCTGCGCTAAGGTGGCTTCTGATGAGTCAAGCGCAACCTTTGCTCGGCGCAAATCGCGTTCCATGTCGTCCATGTCCGCGACAACTCGACGATTTTCGACGCCAAGTTCTTGGTAGGCGTTAACAACGTCGTCCACTTCCTTCTGCTTTGCTTTCGCGTTCGCTTCGGCCGCTTGCTGCGCTGCTTTCGCCTCTCGAAGTTCTGACCACGCGTTGTCGCGCTCGCTCGTCGCACGCAACAGCTCGGCATTGACCACCTGTTGCTCTTTTGTCATCGCCATCAAATCGTCTGACACGACGGCGAGCTCTTGGCGATATTGCGCCGTCTCCATCGCGATGTGCTTTTCTTTATCGACGGCGTGTTGGATGGATTCCTCGAGCGTGCGTACCCGTGCGAGCGCCGCGTCCCGCGCTTGCACGGCGCTGTATACCTTCGCTTCAGCTGTCGCACCGAGACGACGAGCTGCTTCCGCGGCGGCGCCTTCGCGCATGGCCCGTTCTCTCGCCTCTTCCAAAGCCTCGGCCGCAGCGTCGGCTTCATCCTGAAGGCGCATGCACTCGTTCTCTAGTGCCATAATCTTTTCCGCCGTGGAACCTTCGAACTGACCGCTACTATCCTTCTTGCTTTCTACTTCACGCAGACTCGCGTACGCCACTCGAAGCTTTTGAGACAAGCCTTCTCGCTGAGCGTCGATGTCGCCAATTATCGATTTGAGCTTTTCAACCTCATCGGCCCTTCGTGCTGCGAGTTCGCGTTGCGTATCCAGCTCTTGTTGCAACTCGGCGTTGGAACCATTGCGAGAATACGCCGCCAAGATGGCTTGCTCGGCTTCTTGCGCGACTTCGTTCGCCGCCGTTGCCGCGTCTCTGGCAGCTTGCTGCGCCGCTCTGACGTGCTTCGAATCCGACCCGTCACTCCCAGAGCCGGCTTCTTCGTAACGTCGTAGCTTCACAAGAAGAGATTCATTGTCATCAGAGAGTAAACCAATCGCATTTTGCGCCTCCACAAGCAAGCCTTCGAGTTCACGCATGCGTTCGTTGTTGAGAAACGGTTCACCTCCGCCGCCAGCGCTTGTCGTCTTCAAGGCCTGTCGCAACCTTTCAACCTCTGCTATGGCATCGTCGCGTTCGGTTTGAAAGGCTTCAGCGTCCGCCAGTGCGGCAATTTTTGCGTCTTGCGCCGCTTTTAGTTGCTTTCTTAATTTATCCGAGTCGCCCGAACTCGCCGACGCTCGCTGCAACTCGTTCGACATATCGTCCAGCTCTCTCCGAAGCGCCGACATCTCGCCCACATCCCCCGCTTGTGGAGACTGCGGGATCTGAATCGTTGGCGTAGAGATCACGCTCGAATACCGCGTCGCCATGCCATCAAGCTTCTCAAACAGCGACTCGATGAGCGTCATCTTGTCGTCTTTGTCGCCCCCTGCGAGCACCGTGTTCAACCCTTCCTTCAATTTCGCACCCTCACGCTCCGACTTCGCCAACGCGCGCCGCGTTGCCTCCAGTGCATCTCCTAATACTTGATTTTCTTCCGCTTTATCCCGCAAAGACTTCAACGCCTGCGTTCGCGTGTCGCCGGGACGCCGTCAGTCTCGAGCTCAACCGTCTGACGACCGAATGTGACCTCGCGCGTCGTTCGCATCGCTTCCACGGCCCGCGCACCTCGTCCAGCAGCTTTACCGCATCGCGCTTGACGTTCGCACCCCGCGTGTTCTCTTGCGCAAACTCGTCCATCGCGTCACGACTGCGATCTTCGTCCGAATGCGACGACGCGCGTTTGAATAAAATCAAATCGAATGCCGCGCCGTGCGCGTTGACTGCGGCGTGTTCGCGTCGTTCGCTCGGGCTAAATCGCGCCGCTCGCGTGTGTGCGCTCGCCCGACGCGCGTGTGCTCGCGCGGTGACGCGCGCGAGTGACTGGCGCGACGGTCAATCGAGGCGTGGCTGTTGGTTTGTGTTTAAATTTCATACGGCGACGAAGCGGCCGAGTCAAGCGACGCACCATCACGCGCGCGAGGCGGCGATGCGCTTCGAACGCTCGATTCGCAAGCGTCTGCGAGTGATGTGACCACGAATGTAGGACTGGGCGACGACGGCGGCGCCCCAGGCTTCGACGTCGCGAAGACGTTTTTGACGGGCGAGTCGCTCGGCGAGCGATAGGGCGGCGGCGCCGAGCTTGGTTGCGAGGAGGGATTCTAGGAGAGGGGTGAAGGGGATCCCGCGACCAGGGACGTGAATCGATATAGATTCGTACATGATGCGGCGGCGCCATAAAGCCGCGGCACGCTCCGCTTGCTCGCGAAAGACGGGTGATTTCTCAAGGAGCGCGCCGCGGAATTCGACGGCGAGCGGTGGGCTGAGATCTCGTAACAGCTCGCCGAGTCTGTGCGCACCGATGAAACCGGTTGCCAGCGGGTCGTACTTGCTCCAGACCTGTTGGAAGTCGTAAAGGTGTTTTGGGGTAATGATGGCGGCCTCGCGTAGGACACCAAAGGTGACGTGGTCTAAAATGGACGCAACGAAGAGGTTGGTGAAAACGTAGCCCATGGCGATGACGTACGTGACAAAGTACAGCACCGCACCGTCGGGAAATCCACAATCCGACGACGCCTCCGAGTGCGTGCAATCAGGTGTGGTGACCATGAGATCATACATGTATTGCCGCCACCCTTCGCCCGTGATGACTTGAAACAGCAAGAGGAAAGAACTAGTGAACGTTTGGAAATTCGCATCCTTGTTCAAAGCTTCGCCAAACTTTACGTTAGGGAAAATCTGTGTTCCGATGCCGGCGTACATGAACATCCAAATCAACATCAAACCCATGACACTTAATATACTCGGAATCGCCAGTAAGAGTGTGCTCGCCAGGATCTGCAAAGACTGAACATGGCGAATGATGCGAAAGACGCGCAGGAACCTAAACGGCCTACCTATTTGATCGCGCAACGATCCAGCTTTACTTTGTAACGTCACCGCAGAACCGACCGCGAGCGTGAGCTCGAAAGCATTCCACTTATTCGAGAAGTAGTGGCGCACGCTCGGGTACGCCGCGCTGACTTGCAACAACACCTCTATCAAATACACACCGACGAAGCAAATTTCACCAATCGAACGAACGTGAGCCAAAACGCTTTCGCCGTCGCCGTAGCGCTCAGTCGCCATTAAAGCCGCGTTCAAGCCGACTCCGATCAACACGAACGCTCGGTAGCTTCGATGGTTGACTATGTGAAAACACACTCTACGAAGACCTCGAGGTGGCAGAAATTTCATTCGCATCGGTTTGAGCGAAAGCGCCACCTTGTGCATGTCGTGCCACAATTTTTGCCTCTCAGTGAGAAGCTTGCGACCTGATATCAAACCAAACTGATGAATGAAAACACCGATGATCGTACGAATCATGAGAAACGAGCCAATCAATATAAACGCGACGAAAAAGAATGCCGCGGGCCAGTTGCGTTCAAATCGAGGTTGCATGCCTACGCCAGTTTTATCCATCGCTGCAAACATGACTTCGATCCAACCGTCCAAAGACGCCGTTTCGAGCAATGTGAGCATGGCACTGCCTATCCAATCAAACTCGAACAGATTTCTATTCCACTCGCGAGCGATGATGTCGCCTCCAGTAGAGACAAATGTACCGACGCACTCGATCTTTGTCATCACCATTAAATCGTTGCAGCTGTAAAAGGTCCCGCCGTATTCGCGAATGGCGACGATCGCGAACGCCAGGAACATCCCCCCCGTGAGCATGATGATCCCACTGATCGTTGGAAGCGTCACCACAAGCGTTTTCACGAGTCGCTGCATCGACGTCACCCGCGTCATGATTCGAATCGGTCGCATGGGTGCCGCCATATTAAATGCGCGGCGCCAGTACCTCGTGTATGCGTCACCGAGTATTAGGGGACAGGCCACAATCATCACGTCGATGATCAAGATGGCCATGTCAAATACATTCCAAACCCTGCCGACGAACGGCGCCGGCGTGAGTATGAGCCCGTGTGCGATGATATTCATGATGAAATCAACCAAGAAGAATCCACAAACGGCGTAGTTTGCAGTATCGACATGTTTTTGAAGCTCGTTTATTTGATCCACAGGCTTGGTCGCCAAAACCGCGAGGACGGATACGACGACGAAAGAAAAACTTATGCGCTCGTACCATCGCGATCGAAGCACTCTGCGTAAGGTTGTTCGTAATTTACCCGACGAAGGAAATATACACAATGCGTCGTCGGATATGTACCACGGTAGAGCTGGGCACGCCGCGAAGTCAGTAGCTTTGGAGACAGCGTCTTCAAAGATAATCTCCACGCGCCCGTCGTCGTCGCCGCCTCTAGCGATGGGATTGTGTCGCGATGCCGCTTTCCCCGTTGTACTATTTCCTAAGGCGTGCGCGCTATCGTTGTCTACACGAACTTTCATGCACACGGTCAGCCCGCCGGCATCCGCGCCGGCTGGCGCCATGTCGTCTCCCACTGAGTTTGGCGCGACTTGGACGAACTTGGACTCGCACAGTACAAATTCGCCACCAACCTTTGTATCTGACGTCGCCTTTTGCACAAGCGACACCGCAATCTCTCGCTCAATAGCTTTAGATATACGCCGTTCCGTCTCCGAACGAAGCTCTAGCCACGGTGAAAGTCGATGTGCGCGTTCGACCGTCCAACGGCGTCCGCTGAGCGTTAACTTGAATTTCACGCGAGCGCGCTCCATGAAATCTACAAACTTTTGATCTCGCATCGCCATCTTCACCGTTCGTTTCACCAATTCCTCGGATTGGACAATTGTCTTTTCAACGTCTCGCAACTCCAAGTTCTCGAGAACTACGGCGATTACGAGGTTGAGAACGATGTAGTTGACGAGCACGAAGAACGAAATATAAAACGGAATCGCCGCATTTGTGATCTGCACGCCGTGAAACATCAAATCTGTCCAACCCTCACCCGTGCTGGCGACAAACAACGCCAACATGGCTTGTGGAAACGTATTATAGTGCAGACGTGGCATGTCTTCCAAACCAGCATCACGATTCGCGAATAGTTGCATACCGAGCACGGCGTACATGGCGAGAATTGCGACGTAGAATAAAAACAAGGAAAGAAGGGAGCCGAGCGACTTGAAGACACGATTTATGGTGTCCACGCCTGTTTGCGACTTTGCAGGTCCGAAAGTCTTGAATAGCCGCGGGATGCGCAGCGAAGTCAAATTCATGCCTTTGCCCCACATCACCGTTGCACTAATTGCGACGACGCCCGTGTCGAAAACCAGCATCAAATCCTCATTCGTCGGCTTGAACGTCACGATACGTCGACCGATGTCCTTCGCCGCAAGTCCCCGTAATATCACTTCAAGCATGAACGCAGACACGAAAAAACCTTCGGCGATGACGAGATATTCTTTCTTTGTGTCGTCCAAATCGAATCGATACAGTGCCATGACGGCGATGTTCGCAGCGATTAAAATTCTCACCATCTTGTCAAAATACGGATGATTAATGCGCTCTGATAACCGATCGCGTTTTGGCCGCGCAACACCGCTCGGTATTGCTCGAGTTTGATCGTTGTCTCCTTCTTCCAGCATTCGCTTTCTCGTCAACGCCGCTTCCGCGATCGAGGCTAACGTTTCGCCCGTGCCGCCGTTTAACCTTCGAATAAGTTTTCGAATCGCGAGCTCGCTTTCGAGCTCATCATCGGACGATGCCCCGTTTCTTGATTTACTTCGCAGCATCATCTGGTGCTCGCGTCGGAGCCGGAGGAACACTCCGCTCACTGCGGCGACGAAGACAGAGACGATGAAGTACGTCCCCACGATGATGAGTGTCACAAAGTACGCCGCCGACGCTTTATACTCGGCGTTGACGATTGGGTACATCACATCCTGCCACGCCTCAATCGTGATTGTTTGAAACATCACGAGCAGCGTTGACCCGAAGCTATCGAACGATTGATAACCGTGCTGTGGATTGCCGACCAAATCGCTGCAAAATAACGAAGAGTTGGAATCGTACACCCCCGGGCACACGTAGCCTTTATGATTCGGTAAATTGCCGACGTCCCCGCAAAATAACGGTGGATCGCTCACCGCAGTGTAAAACATGCGCGCGGTCTCCGCCGAAGTCGTCTCCACGCATCGCCGTCGAAGCGAACCGCCGAAGATACCCATACCCATGAGCGCGTAAAACACGGCGCAAATCACAGTAATGGCGGCGACATCGCGTAAAAGCACGATGGACTTCTGAAGCGATTCCGCGATGAAAACCACGGAAGTCGCGAGCTTGAACCGTTTGAGCGCGTGCACCCCGCGAAAGAATCGCAATTGTCCGACGCGCACGCGCGTGAACAGCGAATCGCTCCCGTGCCACTGCATCGTCATCGAAAGCCAACTCACGGCGATGATGGCGAGATCGACCTGGTTGTACACGCTCGACATGTACGCGTGCTTGTGCCCTATAAATCCAAGACTGAAAATCCGCGCCGCGGCCTCGATCGAGTACACGCACAAGATTGCCGCGTCGATCGCGCGAAGCGGCGACTTCGCCAACTCGCTCAAGCTCGATATCGCCCGCGTCGACTCCCCGCTCGTCGCCAGCAGCACGAGCGTGACGAAGTGCGCCAATATCACCACGAAAACAACATATTCCATCGCTTGCGAGTGCATGATTCGAAAAACCGCGACGCGCGCGCGATTATCCACCCTAAACATCCCGAGCGCCGTCCCGCCCATCGTCGCGCCCGGCCCCGCGTCTGACCTCAACGCCTTCCGCGCCTCTCGCCGCTCCCGCGCCACTCGCGCCGCCGCCGCGCGAAACCGCAACCTCCCACGCCCGCGTCGCCCCTCCCTCTCCGCTCGCGCCTCCGCTCGTTCCACCATCGTCCTCGTCGTCGTCGTTCGCGCGCGCCGCTATATATATCCTCTCGCGCGCGGCGTCGTCGCGCGTCGTCGCGCCGTCCGTCGCGCGTCCCTGCGTTCGCCGTCCCGCGCGCCGAGACGCTCGCGCGACGACGCGCGCGTCCCTCGTCGCGCCGTCGTCGCCTCGCCGCCTCGCGCGACGCCGTGTGCGTCCGTCGCGCGCGCGCGGGATACGAATCGTCAACGCGGCGACCGACCGTTCGAGGCGTCGCCAACCGAGGGTTCTTTTTCGCCGCGCGCCAATCGCGTCGCGGCGGTTCGCGCGCGACACTTCGCGCGATGTCGCGCGCGCTCGCGCTCGATCCCGTCGCGCCGAGCGCCGAGCGGTACGTCGCGCTCGTGCGGTGCACGCGCGCGCAGCTCGCGCGATGGATCGCGAGCGCCGACGGCGTGCGCGCGCGCGTCGACGACGGCGGCGGCGGATCGCCGTTGACGCGCGCGAACGCGACGACGCGCGGCGCGCGCTCGGGAGGGGGCGAAAAAACGTGGACGATCGAAGCGGACGGCGTCGTGGACGTGTTTCACTCGATCGCGGACGAGGGACGGGCGACGGTGGTGCGAGGGGAGGTGCGATTCGAGAGCGCGAACGAGGGACGGGCGCTGGAGACGGTGGGGACGGCGAGGGAAAAATTGCGACCGAAGCGATCGCTGGAGGATGGAACGGCGCGAAGGGTGAAGATGCGAGGGGAGGAGGAGCTGCGAGAGAAGCGAGAGCGACACCTGAAGGTGGTCGAGGTGGATGAGGTGGCGGGAAGGGAGGGCGCGAGCGCGGCGACGAGCGACGGGTTGCGGAGAGACTTGGAGCGGTGGTCGCGCGTGGTCGCGGCGGCGATGCTCGACGGTTCGGGAAGCGAATTCTCGCGAGTTAAGGCGGCGGTGATGTCGCTGTTGTTTGAGCGTCCGTTGTCGGAGAACGCGATCCGGGATTGCGTGGCCAAAGGGTTCGCGTTGGCGTGCAAACCGCCGCCGAATCAGCGCGTGGTGCGAGAGACCATCAAGCACGTGGCGCAGCTGCGGCCTCCGGGTCGGTACGAGTTAGTCGATGGAAAGAGACGGGACGCACAAAAGTCCCACGCTCAGCTCACGGCGGCGGCGAAACATATCAAGCTGCCGAAGAAGGAAAAAGCGGCGGCGGCGCCGCCGTGCGCGCCGTCGCAGCCGACTTCGACGCAGGCGACGAACGGGACCTCGGTGCCGACGCCACCGCTTCAAGAACCGCCTCGCGTCCTTCGCAACGGCATCACCGTGGACTTAGGTGACCGATCGCCGAGCATAGATTTAGACCCCCACGCCCACGTCTTCGCGCGTCGGCCCCCGGCGAAGACGCGGGAAATCGCTCCTCGCGCCGCGGGCGACGACGACGACGACTGGCGGCACCTCACACCATCCCCGACCGTCGACGTCATCGAATCCCACGACGAATGCGAAGCCCTCAAGGCGACGTACGACACCAAGTACGACACCTACGTCTCCCTCCACGCCCGGCTCGCCGCCAACGCGGACGAGTACGAGGCGCTTCGCCGCGGCGACGACGCCGCCGCCCTTCTCCCTCGTTTCGCCTCGCTCCGTCGCGAGCGTTACGCCGCCATGCGCGACGTCTTCGACGGTTTACACGACGAGCTCCTGCGCATCCGCGTCGCCATCGACGCCTTCGCGTCCGTCTAATCGTAAAAATTGTAACGCCGACGCCTGTACCCGTACCCGCGCCTGCACCGCCCGGGCGATGCCGTGACGTCATTTCGCGCACTTTTTCGCCGACCTCCACCGCGCCGCACTCGTCGACGCTGCCGCGCGCGCGATGCCCGTCCCGGTCAGCGAGACCGGCTTCGCGCGAACGAACACCGAGCACGCCACCGCGTCCGCGCACGTCGACGCCCCGATCGCGAGCGGCGCGGATTGGTGGGCATCCATGGCGAACGCGAAGGCGAAGGCGGACGCCGACCCCGACGCGCCGAAACCGTGGCTGCGAAAACCCGGTCGCGACGCCACCGAACGCGCGGAGCGGGCGCCGGTGAAAACGGCGGAGGTGGTCTCGATCGATGGACCCGGGATCGAGGTTCGAGGGCTGACGTTCAGTTATCCGGGATTGGACGGGTCGCCGCTCGCGGGGACGACGCCGTTGATTCGGGACATGCGGCTGCGACTGGCGCCGGGGACGTGCACGCTGTTGTTGGGAGCGAACGGGGCGGGAAAGACGACGCTGCTGAAGATTTTGGCTGGGAAACACTTGGTGCCGCGGGAAAGGGTGCTGGTGCTGGGACGGGAGGCGTTTTACGATACGGGATTGACGTCGAGCGGGGACTTGAGTTTCATCGGCGGAAACTGGCAGCGGGACGTGGCGTTCGCGGGGTATAATATTCCGCTCGCGGGGGATTTCCCGGCGAGTCGGATGTTGGATTCCATTCCAGGGGTCGATCCAGCGCGGAAACAGCGCATCATCGAAGTGCTGGACGTGGACGTGAACTGGCGAATGCACAAGGTGAGCGACGGACAGCGAAGACGCGTGCAGCTCGCGTGGGGATTGATGTTGCCGTATAAGGTTTTGTTGCTCGATGAGATCACGGTGGATTTAGACGTGCTCGGTCGCGCAGAATTAATGTCGTTCTTGCGAAGCGAGTGCATCGAGCGTCAGGTCACCATCGTGTACGCGACGCACATTTTCGATGGCCTCGAATCCTTCATGTCGCACGTGGCGTTTGTCGCCAATGGCGAGTTGAAATTTTGCAAAAAGTTTGAAGATATTGAAGGCTTAAAGGACCGCGAGCCCGGTTCTTTGCTCGCCACCGTCGAGGGATGGCTTCGCGAAGAGTACGTGCTCCAGCGCGAGCGCAAAGCGTTGGAAAAGAAGGAGAAGAAGGACTTCCAATTTAACCGTAACAACGGATGGGCCGCCGGTCGAACGACTAGCACCGTTACGTTCGGTCCGACGCTCGATCAAACCAGGAATCACACGGGCATCGCCGGATCCTCCAACGCCGTCATGCGCAACTAAACATGTACACAGCTATAGTTATTTTCACAGAGTAGTCGATTGAGTATTGCTATTATATTTCCTGAGTGTTGCTAACGATGAATCGCGACGGCGACTGCATGCGATGCGATCCCCCGGCGTCGTCGGTCCATTGCGACAGTAATCTATCAGCAAACGGCGCGTCGTCACCGATTTGCGAGAGAGTCGTCGAGGCCTGCGATGCGTTCTTCGCTGTCGAGGCGCTCGCACCGTCGAAATCCTCGTCTTGCGTCTCGTTCAAGCACCGAGACGCGTGAAAGAGCCGCCGAGCAAACTTCGTGTGCTGAATCTCGTCGGCATCGCGATACCTCGCGAGTCGATAGTCCCGGAGAGCCATCTCAAGAGGCTGCGGCAGTGAGTTTTCGGCGAAAATCTTCTTCCACTTCGGTAAGTCTCGCTCGATAATCTCGCGCGTCCGCTCGTCGTCCAACGGCGTTGCAGTCGTGAGTGGTTTGGACAGAGCGATGTCGATGAATTCGGCATAGTTCGGCGCAGGTTCGGAACGGGTACGGAAACGATTGCGCCATTCATCGATGCGCATGGACGCCGACGCTCTGGATGCGCCTTGTAGATACTCCGCGCACTCCAAAAGTTCGCTCGCATTCATGCACCAACCGTCGGTAAACGCGGCGTGCAACCTCGCAACAGTTTCGCGTTCGCCATCCCGATCCCTCTCGAGCGAATCGTCGACAGGGAAATCGGATACCGGTACGACGCCGTTGGCGATGAACTCGTGCAGATGAGGTAGATCTATGAACGCATCATCAGGCGCGCGCTTCTGCTGCCAACGTGATAGAGGAACTGGGTTTCGCGACAAAAAGTCTGCCGCCTCCCCCGCGCGTCTGGCCGCGTCTTCTTCGCTAAATTGCGGCGGCTGAAAGCGCATCGCGTTGACGTCGCCATGTATGGCGTAATTCTGACACCAAACGCCGTCTTCGTCGCGCCAAAACATTCCTCCACGATCTACGCCGAGTTTTGTCATCGCAAAGCCGTGTACACCGCTCGATGAAGGCAGAGGAATGGTGGAGCCGAACGTCACCGCGCGTACTTGCTCGCCCGAATGTCCTCGCCGCTCGCCCACGAAACGCTCGCACTCGTACAGGTAAACTTCCCTGGTGCCTGGCGTAAACGCTTGAATTACGATCGAGCGACATTTAGAACACCATTGCGCAACGTCGACGATTCGCAACGTCGTCGGCGGAACAAGTCCTTGATGGTCCCAGCGAAGCACGGGATCGTTCGCGCGTCTGACGTCGCGCAGCTCAACGTTCGATGATTCTGACGTCGACCCACGCGTTGCGACGGCGTAATAGTGCTCAAACGCGGTAGATATCGCGCAAAGCGTCTCACCGCGATCGGCTTCGTGCGCGCGCCGCGTCTCGCCCCGACGACTTCGTAAATCCACCTCGTGCACGCTCGATATCCCGGTGCTTCCGACGTGACTTCCGTGTAACAACGTGCGCGGATGCGCCCCGTAACCGAGCCCGTACCAATCGCCAACCGCAGTCATCTCGCTCCCCAACGGTCGCCACGGCACGCGCTTTACGCCATCTGCCGTCATCGTCGCGACTTCTCCGTGCGTGGACACAAACGCACATTCGCCCACCATCGTCGGATGGATCCGAATCGCCGCCAATTCCCCGTATCCCGCGCCCTCGTCCACACGCGCGATCTCAATCACATCTAAAGCTACCTCAAACCTATCACGCCCCGCCTTGGCCTTGGCCTTGGCCTTCGCCTTCGTCTCCGCTCTCTCGACGACGTTCGACTCGAACCGCCACAGCGCCGCGCCGTCCCGCCACCGCGCGCACGCCTCCGCCACATCCGCCGTGCGCTCCCGTCCCTGCCCCCGCGAGCCCTCTCGCACGTCCACCTCCAAGCACACCCCTCCGAGCTCCACCTCCGCCGTCGCGCGCAGCGTCGAACCGACGCCTCGTCGCGGCGGTCCCGGCCGCGGCGCGTCCCGCGTCGCCGTCGCCGTCCCGCGTCCGCCCGCCATCATCCACGTCCCAGCCCGACCGCCTTCGCGCGCCGACGCGTCGGCGACGACCGCGAGCGCGTGCGCGCGGTGCCCGTCGCCGTCGTCCGCCTCGTCGCGCGCGCGCGCGTCGACGCGCGCGATGTCCCCGTCGCGACGAAATCGCCGCGACGACGACGTCCCGACGCCGCTGAGCTCGCGATGGCGCGTCTCGAGCGCCGCCGACGCGTCGAGGCGGATGTCGAACGACGCGAGATCGCCCGCGCGCCCGACGGCGACGGCGGAGGACGCGCGACGCATCGCGCGTCCCGCTGTGGCGCCGCGGTCGTTACTTTACATCGTGACGCGCGGCGTTCGACGACGCGACGCGCGATGGATCGCGCGACGAGCGAGCGCGACGCGCGGAAGAAGCGCGTGCTGTGCTTGCACGGATTCGCGCAGGACGCGGCGACGTTTCGAGCGAAGACGGGGGCGATTCGAAAGGCGCTGAAATCGAAGTGTGAGTTTGTGTATTTAGACGGAACGCACGACGTCGCGGGCGCGTTTGAGGCGTCGTCGAGCGATTTACGAGCGATGGGGGCGACGGATGAGGCGTCGGCGTCGCTGGCGTGGTTCTTGAGCGGGGAGAATAGGGCGAGTGGGGCGACGAAGTCGACGGACGCGGGCTGGACGCGACCGGCGCTGAGCGCCGCGTACGATGGATGGGAAGGCAGCGCGGCTTCCATACGGAAAATGTGCGCGGAATGTGGGCCTTTCGATGGTATCGTCGGCTTTAGTCAGGGCGCAACCGCAGCGGTCGCCGCTATAGCGGATGTGGAGGCGTTGCGGGCGAGCGTGTCGTTCGTCGTCTTGGTCGCCGGCTTCGAGCCGCGCGATCCGAATTTCCCTGTTCCCACGACGCCGTTGGCGGTAAAATCATTGCACGTGCACGGTGATAAAGATAGTTTGGTGACACGCGAGCGCGTGCGAGCGTTGGCCGATCACTTTGACGCGAATCGGCGCGAATTTTGGTTTCACGACGGTTCGCACGGCGTACCGAGCACGCCGCTCGCCAAATTCGTCAAATCTTGGATCGACGCGTAATCGCGCCGCTCGCTCGCGTTATCGTCATTGTAATCACCCACGCGGGCATCGCGTGCCGCGACCGCGCGCGCGCGCACTTCGACCACGCGTCTCCGTCCCGCTCGCGTCCCGAGCGCGACCGCACTTCGCCACTCTCGCGCCCTTCAGCGCGCCATGTCCGCGTCGTGGCAAGCGCGCGCGCGACGCGACGAAGACGAATCAGTGCCTTCATCCTCGCGCGAGGCCGCGCGCGAGGCTCCGGCGCTCGATGGCGAAGAAAACGACCCCGCGCCCCGCGGTAACCGTTTCTGGTTGTTCGACCGCGCGCGCACGTTCGCGGACGCGCGCGCGCGCCGCGTGCCCGCGTGGGATCGCGCGAAGATCGAGCGCAAGAGCGTGAAAAAGTTGAAGGAGCTGCGAGCACGCTGCGTGCGCTGCTTGGAGTACCAAGAACGCGCGATGCCGAGAGAACGATTGGAAGCCATGGCGGATGTGGAGTTCGGCGGCGAGCTCGACGCCGGGGTCGAGGCGTTGGCCCGCGAGCTCGCGCTGGGCGATTCAGAGAAACGGAGGGCGTACGAGACGATGAAGGTGATCGATGAGATATTTACGCGGCGGCGAAGACACGAGGAGACGAAGTACACTCGACTTATAGAGGCGATTCCGAGAGACGCCACGCGGCTCATCGACGAGTACAATATGCGAAGGTTCATTCATCGAGGGATCGACGTCGAGAGATTGGACGAGGAGGCGTTTCAGACGTTGTTTAATAGATGTTTGCAAGGCCTGGGGAACGAAAGCTTGACGCTCGAGCGAATGATTCCCGTGGATCATTTGTTGAGACTGGTTCGTCGCGGGACGTGGGAGACGTTGTGGCGCGAGTACGCCGACGCCGCCATGAAGAAGTCGCTCGCTGCCGGGTGTTCAGGGATATCGGTCGCGCTGTACGCCATCGCTGATACCGATCCGCTCGGCCCTGAGAGGTTCGGGGGGCTACCTGACTCGTCCGCGCTCCTCGACGGACCGAAAGAATATTTAAAGTTCTTGTTTCAGTTGTTGACACTGCCCGCGACGGCGCCGATTTTTGGATTGTTTTCGCGCTCAGTGCGACGGACGCTTCACATGAGCCGGTTCATGTTTACCACGTCCGCGTGGCGCACACGCGAAGCTTCAGCGAGTTTTGTCGCACTGGCTGTATATTACACCCCGTATTGGGTCATCGGACTGATAACCATCGTGTGGTATTTCACTTCCAACTCCACAGACGCCGTCGCCGCGGATGGTGTCGTGCCGGCGGCGATCGCCTTTACGATGACGTCATTCGTCGCTATGTCCCTGGCATCCACAGACGTGCAAAGCTATAGTAAAATGTCTGCTGTGACGCTCTACTTTCCGGGTGGTAAAACAGAGCTGCCGGACGGCGATAGTAAACTCGTGCAGGAGCATCCGACCGTGGACACGTTGCGCGTGCGAGGCGTTCGCGTTGCCGTGCGAGCGCCGATCGAATCGTCCGCAAAAAGTATTTCTGCTCGACAAGAGACGGTGCCAATGCACGAAGAGAATGCAAGCTCGGAGCACAAACATAGCGGGCGTGGAAAAAATGGGAAAACTGGTGGAATGCCGCGATGGATGGCGGAGATGGAAGACTTCGCCGAAAATATCGACTCGAAAGAAGTCCAAGTACAGAGACGCGCGAAGAACGCTCATGCGGGGATGGGTAAGAATGGTGCTCGCGGGGACATGCACTTGAAAGATAACATTGAAGAAATCGTCGCGACGAATAAGTTGCTACAACTGCGAACGGTGACGGAGAAGGACGTATTGCTAGCTCTTCATGAGCGCACAAACGCAGAGTCCTGGCGGACGTATTGGCTGAGCACGAAGAAAAGTACATGGTTACAGCAAGGCATTATGCTCATCCTGGCTACGATTATATCGCTCTTACCATTCTTTATTCGTGGCGCTCTTGGATATTCTGCCTTCGGCGAGGCTAAGACGACGGTCCTTTGCGTTGCACCAACCGCCGCCGCCACTGTGCCAGAGTATTTGGGTTTCACCACGTGTCCAGCGACTTTACCACTGACCATTGATGGGTGGATGGGAGTCATCACCACCGGTGTTTCCCTGATGCAACGCGCGTCCGCGCACTATGGGGTAATCCTCGCGTTTGTGTGGAGCATATTGACGCTTTTCGTGACGTTCAACATATCTCGCTGGCTATGCTCGTGCGCCTATCACGACATGCTGCATTGGTTGCTTTTCCAATCGACCACCGACCCTTCGCTGGCCCTGGCGTCTGATTTGCCGTTCGTTAATCTCTGCCAGTCGTGGTTGCCTTGGATTCGCATCCGTATGGTGGTCGAGGACCATCGTGAGCTCGAACAGTACTGGTGCCAATACTACCTCACGCACATGATTGTTTTGGTCGCGGGCACCGTCGTCGTGAGCCTTCTCAAGGTGATCCGGCTGTACCTCTTCTACGACATTCGATCCGTGATCGAAGTAAGTCCATCTGCGCCGATTTACCCTCTATTCGTGGCCACGGTGCTGATGGTTCCAATCATCACCATGGCCTCCGCCGCCGCCAAGACGCGAGATATCCAAGAGCACGACGTCGTCATCTTGCAAGAGGCGCGATGGAAGTTGTTCCTCGACAACAGTACCATCCTTAACGCTGGCATGGATAACGACAAAGCCGATATCCTGAGCAAAAACAAACGCTCAATCGAAGCCTTGAAAGAGCTCGAGCGCATCGTCGAGCGTCGCAACGTCGACGCCTGGCCGTGCCTCTTCGGCGTTCGCGTCGGCGCCGCTCAGATGACGCTCCTGTACGCCCTCGCGTTCACCACTTTCGCTCTCACGTGTGCAGCTATCGCCATCGAGGTCTTCGTTCGCACGCGTGCGGGTGCGAGCGCGGATTCCACATCCTCGTCTCTTCGCAACGTCTTGCGCGTTGGGTTCGCGCATTTGAGCGCCGGCGTATCTCAGTTGAAAGTCGACCACGTCGGAGCGAGCGGCTAGAAGCGTTTAGCGTTGTCGTGGCACTATCATTCTTACAGCGAGCCAGTGGACTCGACGCAGTGCAGGATTAAGAGTGTCATAGATTAGGAAGAGGATCGAATTCGCCGCCGCGCGCCGTCGCTCGCCGCCACCGCGCGCGCGCGAAAACCCACACGAGCGCCGGCTCGGCGCCGCACATCGCGATGCTCGCCCGACCGAGCCGCGCGGCGACGCCGACGACCGCGTCGGTGACGGCGCGCGCGCGGACGACGGCGCGCGCGCGGACGACGCGCGTCGCGCGTCGCGCGCGCGCGGGCGTCGCGACGGCGACCGCGGACGACGACGAGCCGACGACGACGACGAACGACGACGGCGACGACGACGGACGCGCGGCGGCGGAGAGCGACGGCGCGGCGACGAGCGAAGACATCGGTGCGGCGATTCGCGCGGCGAAAGAGGCGAAGGCGGACGACGGGGCGAACATATTCGCCGGCGCGGCGGAGGAGGTGGGGTTGATTGAGTGGCCGACGGCGGGCGGCGCGCTGAGCACGACGGCGTTGGTGATGGCGGGTATTTTCGGAAGCGCTGGGGTGTTGTTAGGGGTGAACGCGGTGCTGAGCGAGCTCTCGCAAAAGTTGTTTCCGTGATGTTGTAATGCCACGCGAGGCTTCGATCGAAAGCGCGTCGTTTGATTGATTGTTCTCTCGGCAAGGCGCGCGCCCGAGCGCGTTTGATTGTGCGTTTTCTTCAGTTATAACAATAGTGCTCCACGCGCGAGGCGATGTGAACGATTACACGCTCACGAACTTTGAGCACGCGTTGTAAATCTTCTTCATAAAGTCAGCTTCTTGCGTCAATCCCGCCTCGCGAGCGGTGTTTTCGTTCGTCTTGAGCAACGCCATCAAGTTGATGTCCAACTCTCCAGTTTCCACCATCTCGAGGATCATCGCCTTCTTATCCTTGGCTGTCAAAAGTTTCATCATGCGCTCGCGCGGTTGTAACATCGCCTTCGTGGTCTGATCGACGAATCCCACGAATCCGCTCGTCACCGTGTACAACGCCTCGCGCTTCTCCTTCTCCAACCCCTCCTCCTTCTCGATGCTCGCCTTGAGCGAGTTGAAAAAATCATCCGTCAACAACGGTCTGCAACGCACGATCTCATACTCCATCTCATTGATCTCCGTCTCAAAAAAATACCGCACCAACGCCTCCGGATCCTCCGGTCCCGGTTGCACGCGCGCGTCCCGCTCCGCCTGCAACTTTTCCCGTTCCTCCTTGTGTCTCTTCTTCGCCTCCTCCTCCGCCTCTTTCTCCGCCTCCTGCGCCTTCACCCCCAACCTACGATCGATCAGCATGCTCGCGGACGTCTCATCGACTTCCGGAAACAATCCATCGGGATCGTACGCGATCTCCAACGCCTGCTCGTTCTTCGTCGAGAGCCCCTTATCCTTGCTGCTCATCGCCTTCCCGGTGCCGTCGAGCAGGACGCCCTTGTTCAGCTGTTCCGCCCCCGCGCCTTCGAACGAGATCGATTGACCGAGCTTTTGCTGCAGAATCGCGAGCGATTGCGGGTCGACGTCGGCGGCGCGCGTCGCGACGTTGATTTTACGGCGTCGCGTCGACGGCGGCTTCGACAGCGTTCGGTCGTTTCGGAGCGTCGCGCGGGCGGTGCAGACGCTCGCGGCGCGCATGGCGAGCGCGGAGGCGCGCATGGCGAGCGAGCGCGGGACGTGCGTCGTCGCGGGCGGGCGCGAGGGCGCGTCGCGGAGTGCGGCGCGCGCCGCGCGTCGTCGAAATTGACCCCCTCCCGTCGAGGGTTTTTCGGATTAGGGTTTACACATCTCGCATCGTGGGCTTTTTAAAGCCATCGAGGCATTTATGCATCCGATGACGTGGCCGCGACGCCGCCGCGCCGCGACGACGCCGCGCGCGGCGTCACGGCGCGACGCGCGACGCGCGCGAGCATGGCGACGCGCGCGGTGGTATCGCTCGCGCCGCGCGGCGCGCGCGCGAGGCGCGTCGACGCCCGCGGGCGACGCGACGGCGCGGTGAAGACGCGCGCGAACGCGCGATGGCGCGATGACGCCGACGACGCGGACGACGACGGACCGTCGTCGTCGTTCGCGATGGCGACGCGCGGGAAGGTCGCGGGCGCGGCGCTCGCGGTCGCGATCGCGGCGATGGGGGCGAACGGGATGGAGGCGCGCGCGGAGGGGTTCGGGTCGGCGTCGAGCGGGGTGCTGTATAATCCGAAGCGCGGCGTCGAGCTGGAAAATTTGTTGAAGCTCGACGAGAAGGCGCGGAATCGCAAGGCGAGCGTGCTGACGCGAGGGAACATTGATTTGTTGTTGCAAGAGCTGAACGCGCTCCAAGCGGTGAACGAGGAGGCGTTGGAACAAGTGGACGCGGAGCTGGCGTTGCTCGCGGCGAAGAATTTGGAGGGACAGCTGAGCGAGTACACGGAGACGGATGCGTACGCGAATTTGAGCGATCAAAAGAAGCGGTTGGTGAATAAGAGGTCGAACGAGGCCTCGTTGCAACGTCGGTTGAAGGAGCGCAAGGTTATATTCGGGCGATTGGCGGCGCAAGGCCCGGTCGTCGTGTACGGCGCCGCGTTAGTGGCGTCCATCGTGTCCAACGCAACGATGCACCCTTTGGACACTATAAAGGTTAGAAAAATATCCTTGAGGCAGAAGAAATCAAAAGAAGTAGGCGCGAGCGTTGACTTGAGCGTCGACGAGAGCGCGGACGAAATTCGAGGGTACGATCCAACGTGGGACGAAATCGTCGGCGAGGGCGGAGTGGTTTCCTTGTACGACGGTTTGTCATCAAACTTGTTCAAGGAGGGCATTCCACTCGCGCTGTACCTCGGCTTGTACGAGTATGCCAAAGATATCTTGCTTCAAGTGGACGTTATGCGGCCGCATCCGATCGTTATTTATCTCATCGCTGGCGGGTTCGGGGAATTTTTCGCTTCGATTCTTCGCCTCCCGGCCGAGGCGGTGAAGAATGGTACGCAAATAGGGATGAGCATTCCCGAAGCGCTCGAGACCAACGTTTTAACCCCAGCGGCGAGAAAGAATCTGTTCAAGTGTTGGAAAGTCGCGCTTCTGCGCGACATTCCCTTTGGCGGCATTCAGCTAGCCGTGTTTGAGTACTTGAAGCTGCTGCTCGTCGTCGCGAGCATTCAAGCGCTCGATCCGGACGCCCCTCTCACCGAAGCTCTCTTCGGTGCGTTCGGTGGGGTGTGTGGAGCCATTTTTACGACCCCGGTTGACGTCGTCATCACCCGCATGATCAACGAACGCAAATCGAACGCCGACGCCGGTTTGCCCGAAGACGCACCAGGAACGTCTCCAATCGACACGGCGCTCGGCGTGTACTCCGACTCCGGGCTACCCGGCTTCTTCGTCGGCGCGAAGGAACGCGTTCTGTATTGGGGTCCAGCCATCAGTATCTTTCTCACCGTGTACTGCCGCATTCGGCAGTATTACTTGCCCGACATCGACATTTCCATATAGACGCGCGCGCGTCTTGTCAAGTCCCTCGCCCCCCGTCTCTGTAGCACACACCGCGCTTCGATTTATTCTTCGATTAATTATTTAATATTACACCGCTCGCGAGAATTCATCGCCAATCCGCGCTTCGAAACAGCAAAAACTTGTTCCCTTGGCACCGCCCGCACGCGATCCTCCCCGGCGTCTTCTTCGTCCCCTCGTTGCACCGCTCGCACGCCCTCTCCCCCGTCTTCTTCGCCCCCATCCCGAGCACGCCGCCCGTCATCACCGGCACGTACCCTCGCCGCTCGCACCGCTGCGTGTTCCCGTCGATCGTCCAGCCCGTGAGTCCGATGTCGTTGCACGTCGGGCACGGCTGCGTCCCCGCGCCCTGACACGCGTCGCACCGCGTCTTCGTGAGCCCGCCCTGCGCGCTCGGGTTCGCGCGCGCGACGACGCCGCGACGCGCCGCGCGCGGCGTCGCGGCGCGCGGCGTCGGCGTCGCGGCGCGCGGCGAAAGCATCCGCGCGCGCGCGAGTGACGCCGCGCGCGGCGTCAGAGCGCGGCGCGACGTCGGACGCGCGCGGCGCGAGGGCGCGCGACGCGCGCGGGAGAGTCGCGCGCGATGTGCACGGTGGATAAGGTGCGCGCGAAGACGCGCGGCGACGCGGTGACGCGCGATGACGCGCGCGAGCTGTCGATTCGTAGATTTGAACGCGGCGCGCGCTCGACGAACGCCAACTGACGCGATCGACGCGAACGGCGACGCGCGCGCAGCTGCTCATAAAGGGCATTCGCTCGTTCTCGCCCGAGAACGAGCACGTGATTCAGTTCCCGAAACCGCTGACGCTCATCGTCGGGCGGAACGGGGCGGGGAAGACGACCATCATCGAGTGCCTGAAGATGGGCTCCACGGGCGAACTCCCGCCGTCGGCGAGGTCCGGACAGGCGTTCATTCACGATCCGAAGGTCGCGGACGTCACGGAGGTGAAGGCGCAGATCAAGTTGCGGTTTAGGAACGTGATGGGGAAACCGTTCGTGGTGATTCGGTCGTTTCAGTTGACGCAAAAGGCGAGAGGAAAGTTGGAGAAGAAGGATTTAGATAGCGTGATTCAGAGCGTCGATGACGGTGGGAAGATGGTGAGCATATCGAGGAAGTGCGTAGACATCAACGCCGAAGTGCCGGCGCTGATGGGGGTGTCAAAGGCGATATTGGAAAATGTCGTCTTCGTGCATCAGGAAGAATCGAATTGGCCGCTCGGCGACAGCGCGGGACTGAAGAAGAAGTTTGATGAGATTTTTAGCGCGACAAAGTACACGAAAGCGTTGGAACACATACGAAAATTGAAAACCGAGCAAACTGGATTGATTCGCGAGTTCAAAGGTAAGGTTGAGTCGCTGAAGATTCAAAAAGACCACGCAATGAAACTGCGCGCGACGTTTGAAACGAACCGAGACAAGGCGGATGATTTGACCGATCACATCTCGTCGCTCGAAGCCAAGATACAAGCGGCGCAGGAGGAAATCGCTCAGATCGAAGCAGTGTTTTCTTCGGTGCGACAAATTCATGAGAAGCGTAATGCGTTGATTGCTCGCCGCGAAGCGGTGACTTCGGAAAACGCACGTAAATTAGCGAGCATGAACACCGAGTTAACTGAGTCACTGGAAGAGCTCGAGAAAATGGGTGATACGTTCAATCAAAAGTTTGCGACTATGAAGCAAGAACGCGACGTGTTAGATCGCAAGCTTAACGACGTACGTTTAGAGATGGAGGCTTTGAAGGAACATCGTGAGCGCATGATCAAGACTGCCGGTAGACTGGGCGCGGAAGCTGAAGCGCACACAAAGCGCATCGCGGAGCGTTCGGTGTTTGCTCAGTCAATTGCGAAGAAGTATCCTGAAATAGGTGTCGAGATCTCGCCAGAAATCGCCCCGAATGCCCTGTCGAACGCGCTGGACTCGCGACTGTCGATGCGCCAACAGGCGATTGACAAGATGCGCTCAAAGCACCGTGATTTAGACACTGCTTGTGGGGCAAAAATCGATGAAATCACCGAAAGGTTGAGCTCGCACACGCAACGAATCCAAATCATCAACGAGCAGCAAGCTGCGCGTAAAGCTCGCCTCGAAGTGATCAACAAGGAACTAGGCGAGAACGCGGTGAACGAATCGGCGATAGAGGAACTCGAAAACCGTGTGAAGCGAGCAAACGAAGCGTACGCGTCCAAGAGCAAATCTGATTTCGCCACACAGCTGAAGGTGGATATGGAGCAAGCTGATCAGAAATTAGGTGAGCTTGAGCGAGAGATGACGAAGTTGCGATCGGAGCAAGAGAGCGCCGTGCAAGCAGGCGAGAGCGAGATGAAAGTGCGTATGAAGAAGGAGGAATATTCCACTAAGAACAACACACTTGAAACTATCGTCGACAGCCGTGCTGAGCAACTACGCGAAATCTTCGGTGCGGCGATGCCGATGAACATAGAGCTCAAGGATGCAGTGATTGAAAAATTGAACGAACTCTCCGAGGAGACGGCCAACGCGCAAACCGAATGCAACACAAATACTTCGAACGTCGCCGTGCTCGAACACGAGCTCGAAGCCGCGAGGGCCGCGTTACAAAGTGATAGAAGAGAATTAGAAGAGATCAAGTCGACTGAGAAGATAGAAGCAAACGTTCGATTACTTGGCGCGGGAGGTTTTGCTGGATATCGAGAAGCTCTCGACGCCGTCAATCGCGAAGTCACTGACGTTGAGGAGAACCTTACAACGCTTACGGCGTTACAAACCTTGTTTTCGAAGTTTGTCGCCGAAGCCGAGAAGAACCAGACGTGTTCCCTTTGCAAGCGGGGTTTCCCGTCATTCAACGCTGCGGATACTTTCATTCAAGATATGCAAACAAACATCGCCAACGCTCCGGCACAAATTGCCTCATTGGAGGAACGCGTACAAAAGACGCGCGAACGCCGTGAATTGCTTCAAGCTTTAAGCGAGACTGCATCGCGATTCAAGGCCGTGTCTGAAAAGATCCCCAATTCCGAACGCGATGTCTCGAATTTGGAAGACAGTTTAGCCGACGCGCAAGCGAAGAAAAAAAACGCGGAGGAGAACCTTGCAGACAGGCAGCGCGCGAGAGAGTCGACGGCGTCTTTGCTCGAAGACGCCGGAAACATTTCGCGACTTGCCAAGGAAGTTGACGCACTGCAGAGCACGATTGATTCTTTGGAATCTCGTTACCTCGAATCGAATGGTGAGACGCGTTCGGCGCTGGACATCTCCAACGAGATAGAGATGCTCGACGTGAAGCGCGAAGCCGCCGATCGTGAAAAGGCAATTTTGGTCAAGCGTAAGGAGCGGCACGAAACGGAGTTGTTAAACCTAGAGCGGAATGCTCGTGACATGCGCGAGGAACTGCTCGTGGCGCAGTCGCGCGGCGAGAAACGCACACAGCTCAAGGCGGAGATGGCCGACATCTCTAAGGCGACAGCGGAGAGCGCTGCGGAGCAAAAGCGAATGGAGGAAGAGCGCGCTCCTGGCCTCGCAGAGAAAGAAAAACTCTCGAGTGAGCGTGAATCTCAACGCAAGACGCACGCTCAAGAGCAAGACGCGCTTGAAAACGAAATTCGCGAGTTGCAACGCGTCGTTGACACGATCACCAGTATGAGCAAGACAATCGAGGCGGCGGATGCTGCGGGAACTTCTGAGCGCTTAGTAGAGCACAACAGATCGCTCGAGGAGACGAATGGGAAAATAGAAGAGCTTGAGGCCAAGTTACAGACAAGAGGCAAACAACTCAAGGCGAAAGAGGAGGTCATCGCGCGACAAAACGATCTGAAACGCGAGTTGGAAGATAACATCGCGTTCTTGAGGGGTAAGCGAGAAGAAGAAACGATATTGAAAGAGATCGATCAACTCACCGCGGAGATGCACAACATGGGCCAGATGCCGGATGTGGAAAAGAAGCTGCGGCAAGTGACGAACGTCAAGAACGATTTCCGTACCGAGGCTGCCGAAGCGCAGGGTCGAGTGAAGGCGCATCGTGAGGCTATGAAAGCCGCTGGTGACCAGCTGAAGGGTGCCGAGTACAACAACATCGAGAAACGACTGTCGAAACAACTCGTCGAATTGAAAACCGTCGAAATGGTGAGCGATGACTTGGATCGATATCACAAAGCTCTTGACAAGGCACTGATGTCATTCCACGCGACCAAGATGGAAGAAATCAACAAGGTTGTTCGCGAATTATGGCAACGCACCTACCGCGGTCAAGATATTGATAGCATCCAGATCCGAAGCGACTCTGACGGCACTACCGGCAGAAGCTCGTACAACTATCGCGTCGTTATGTTGTGCGGCGGCGCAGAGCTGGAAATGCGCGGTCGTTGCAGCGCCGGACAAAAGGTTCTCGCGTGTTTGATCATTCGCCTTGCACTCGCTGAGACGTTTTGCTTGAACTGTGGGATCCTAGCGCTTGACGAGCCGACGACAAATCTCGACGCGCCAAACTCTGACGCTCTCGCGAGGTCGCTTATCGAAATCATGAAGAGCCGCCGTGATCAAGAGAACTTCCAATTGATTGTCATCACGCACGACATGGAGTTTGCTCACGTACTCGGTCAGCGCGAACTCACGGATTACTATTGGAGAATCACAAAAGACGACAATCAGCATTCGCACATCGAAAGAGAGGACATTTATGACTAAGACTAAGCCTGGCTGATTTACATTTGCTACGATTCATTGATGTAAGATACGAAATTCACACGCCGCAACACCCTCGCACGCGTCGCCGCGGCATAATCTTACCGTCCTTACCTACCTTCAACCCCATGCTCACCGAGTACTCCATTCGCAGCAGCACGACCTCAAATCGGCTCAATTCGTGCGCGAGCGATTGATTGTACCAAGTTTCGTGCTCCTCGGGCCACATCAAGTTGACGGCGCCCGAAGGATTCTCTTCGAGCGTCACCTTCATCTCTTGCCGCCGATCATTTTGCACCGACAACAGCGCCTCTATTTCTTCATCCGTACCGAACACGGATTTTGGGAGCGGCTGCCCGAGCCGCTTCGCCTCCGCCACCGCTCGAGCCTCATCGCGCATGAGTTCCTCGCGAATCACGCGAGGCGGCTTTCCCGAACGCCACCATATCACAGCTTTCACCATCTTTTCCCTGCGTTCACAATTCTCAGCCACGCGCTTTCTATACCTCAATATCTCAATCACATCATCCACCGTGAACTCTAATCCTTCCGTCACCACCTCAAACGGCGTCTGCTCCAGCGCCGCGTGCTGGATTGGTTCGTATCCCGGGTGTTCCTTCGTCCTCGACGGCGTCCCCGTCCGCCGCAGTTTCATATCGTGCGCCCGCACGATCCCAAGCTCCAGCGCGTCCTCGATGATATCTTTAAAGTCATCCAGCGTGATGTTCGGCTGCGACGTTCCCGCGATGCGTTTTCCCGTGAACGACTCCAAGCCGTCCACAACACCCTTCACCGTGAACGCCATCATCTGCGCGTCGCGCGTCGAATCGAGCGCGTTCCGTCAGTCGCCGTCGCCGTCGCTCGATCGCGCGCGAGTCGACGGTATCGCGTCGTCGTCGTCGTCGTCGTCGTCGTCGCGACGCACCATGAGCTGTCCCAACTTTGGCCACAGCGGTTGCAAGCCTTCGTACAGATTCACCTCGCGCCGGTCGCGCTCGGTGAGCTGCACGACGTCCGTCTCCCAGAACGGCGGCAAGACGTCGTCGAATTCGTCGCCGTCGAACTCGGCGTCGTCGCCGCCGAGCCCGAAGAACCAACCGCGGCCCATGGCGAAGGTTCGGGGCCGCGCGCCGCGCAGTGCGGCAGAAGGCGACGCGCGGCGCGCGCGAGCGAGCGGCGCGCGCATGTCGCGCGTGGACGAAGCGCTGGGCGCTTTACCGGCGACGCGCGCGCCGGACGCGCACCACGGCGCGCGGGACGCGCTCACGCCGTTGGGATTGGCCAAGTGGCGCGCGTACTTTCGCGCGCAACCGCCGCTCGCGGAGGGGATCGATTGCGCGACCGAGATCCCGGGCGTGAGCGCGGGATACGAGCTGCGCACGGGACGCGCGAATGAGCTCGAACCGCTGCTGCGACAGGCGCTGCCGATCGCGAAGATGAATCTGGAGGCGCCGGATCGAGCGACGCTGACGCGCGCGTTCGGCGGACTCGGAAAAGGAGCGCCGTTTGCGCTGAGCGAAGAGGACAAAGGCGCAGTCGCGCCGGCAATCGTGGCGTTGAAGGCGCTCAGGGCGACGGAGGCGAAAAAGGCGGAGGGTGGAGATGAGACGAGCGCGCGCGAGAAGAAGAAGCGCAAACGGGAGTCGAAGAAGGAGAAAAAGGACAAGCGGAAAAGAACGGACGACGGCGGGCAGACGACGAGTCAGGGCGTGAGTGCGGGTATTTCTACGGGCGACAGCGATGGGACGAGAAACACTGGGGCGGCGACGGCGGCGACGGCGGCGACGGCGAGCGGCGGCGACGCGCCTTCGGAGCCGATGGTCGAGTGAGACGCCGGCCGCACCATCATCGAGAAACCGCGCCGTCGTTTCCGCGATGTCGTGGGCACTCACATCAAATAGCGAAATAGCATCGAATTCAAAGATCAAGTAATCTTTCTCATTCCAACGGCGAGCGTCGTCAACATCGTTTGTTTCTCGTATCATCGTTTCTTGCGCATGGTTCTTGATTTTGGCGCTCGCGACCGAGCGCCGCCGCGAGTCATCACATTATCGAACACTTCGTCGCACACTTCTCCCCCGCCGCCGTGACGTCCTTCGAGTCCACGACACCGTCCCCGTTGACGTCCGCCGTCTCCTTCGCCTTGTCCCGACCGTAGTGCAGCGCCGTGTCCACGCGAGAAACCAAATTTTCCGCGCCGTGCGTCACCTTCTCCGCGATATCCTGCGCCGCGTGCTCGATCTCCTTCACCACGTCTTTGGCGCCTCGCTTCGTCGTCTCCTCGCTCGCCGACGCCGTCGCGCCCCCCTCTTCCTTTTTCTTTTCGTCCCTCTTCGCCATGTGCACAGAAGTGTCGTTTCGCTCGCTCGTTCTCAAATGTCGCGCACCGCGTCGTCGATCCTCGCGCGTTCGTCCCGCGTTCGCCTCGGGCGCGCGCGTAAAATTTTGCGTTCGCTCGCGCGGTCGTCGCGCGTCGTCGCGCGTCGCGCAGTGCGCGCCCGAGGTCGCGGTGTGCGTCGATGCGTCGATATCGACCCACGGGTCGCGGCGCGACCGAAAACCTCAAAACGCGACGTCAGCGCGCGTCGACGCGCGGCGCGCGAGCGACGACGGCGAGCGCGCGTCGAACGATGCGAACGACGTCGCGCGCGCGCGTCGCGCCGTCGGTGCGGTCGCGCGCGACGCGCGCGCGCGGTCGCGCGGCGTCGAGGGCGTCGGTGCAATCGACCTCGCGCGCGGTGCGCGGCGTCGTCGCGCGCGGACGCGTCGTCGCGCGCGCGAGCGTCGACCCGACGGTGTTCGTCGCGTCCAGCGACCTTCGAGTGGCGTATCAGGGCGTGCCGGGGGCGTACTCGGAGGGCGCGGCGCTCGCGGCGTACGAGAACTGCGAGACGGTGCCCAAGGAACAGTTCGACGACGTCTACGCGGCGACGGAGGCGCAAGAAGTCGACCGCGCGGTGCTGCCGTTCGAAAACTCGCTCGGTGGGTCGATTCATAGGAATTATGATTTGATTCTCACGCACAAGCTGCACGTGGTGGGCGAGGTGTATTATCGCGTGAACCACTGCTTGTTGGCGCTGCCGGGGCAACGAGTGGCGGATTTGACGCGGGCGCAGTCGCATCCGCAGGCGCTGGCGCAGTGCGAGGGATACTTGACGAACTTAAAGATGGTGCGCGAGGCGGTGGATGACACCGCGGGGGCGGCGAAAGCGATCGCAGAGGCGGGGGCGAAGGGCGTGGCGGCCGTGGCGAGCAGGCGCGCGGCGGAGCTTTACGGGTTGGAGGTGTACGACGAAGGGATTCAGGATGATAAGTCCAACGTCACGCGCTTCTTAGCGTTATCGCGGGAACCGATTCCCGCGATGCAAACGGATGTACCGTATAAAACGTCCATCGCGGTGTCGTTGAAGGAAGAGCCAGGGGCTCTCTTCAAGGCGTTGGCGTGCTTTTCGCTGCGCGACATCAACATGACAAAGATTGAATCACGGCCGATGCGCACGAACCCCGTGACGAGTGCGGGCGCGAGGCAATCGATGCAGTTCACATATTTATTCTATATTGATTTCGAGGCGAACATGGCGGATGAAAATATGCAAAACGCGTTGCGTCACCTGCAAGAGTCGGCGACGTTTCTGCGCGTACTCGGATCGTATCCCAGAGATTGCTCGCAATTGTAAACAAAACGTTAGACGTGATAGCAAAATTGTGTCACCACTTTCCTCCTTGTCGTGAATTAACTGGTTGCACGTGGTATTTACAATAAAGTGTGCTTCTAAAAAATGCTTTCGCGCGCGGGCAAAACTTTTTCGAGCGACTCTAGACTGATTCCTGCGTCCTCGGCCGAATCTCGAAGCGCGTTCGCGTGTACCGAACCTATGGACCCGGCACTCACGAGCTCGCTCAGATTACGAATCACCTCCTTCTTGGTTTTTTCATCGAATGAATAGTTCTCAAAAGTAGAGACGCCCCACACCGAGTGCACGAGCGCCTGCGGATCGACAGTTTTCTGCGAGCCCTTTTGCGAGTAAATGCGATCGACGAGGAACGCGGTATCTTTGGCGTCTGGCTCGACCCCGAGTCGCCCACACGCCCAAAGAACGCCCGCAGCACCGGTTCGTCCGACCTGACTCGCGCCCGCGCGACGTCCAGACTCGCGAAGAAGCTTGCTGAAATCGCTCGAGGCGCCGTTGTGCGGCGAACCCATGACGCCGTACGCCCACAAGACGTGCGTCAGCGCGGTGCCATCGAGTTTACTCGGCTCCGATGCCACGGTCTGCAAGACGTACTCCAGAACTCTCGGTGCGGGCGGGCAGTCCAGCATTGCCAGCGACCAGGATAAGTTGGCGAGTTGATACGGCGTGTAGCTCTGCATCGTGCTCACCGCCTGGTCCAGCATCGCCTGCACCACGGGCGTCGGGCGATCGCTGGGCGGAAGGTATCGCACCCACCGCGCGTAAGCCCACAGCATGTTCACCACGTCCGGCGACCGAAAATCGTGTGCGACGGCGAGCGCGCGCTCAGAGATTGATTTCAACAGCTTGCTTCTCGGCTTGTGCCCGAGCACGGCGAGCGCCCAAAGCGTGGTGCTCAAATTCTTCGGCTCCGCGCTCGCGGCTTGCGAGCCCGCGCGCGCGGCGAGCGCTTCGAGCAACGCTTCATCGGTGGGATAATCCAATCGAGCGAGCGCCCACAGGACGTTCGACACGCCTTGCATCGACATCTCCCCCGCCATGCGGTCGACCATGCTCATGAGCGTCTGAAACCTTTCGTCGCCGAAGAGCGTCGAGCGTTCCATCGTCGGCCTCAACTGCCCGGGCAATCTCTGCGTCGTTAGCCTCGCCACGCGATGTAACGCCGTCGACGCGTTCACCTTGTTGAACACCTCCTCTTGCTCCTCCACCATGGTCAATATAAACTCCACGTCGCTCGCGTCCATCAAGTCGCCCTGCAAATCCTTGGCCCTGTCGAGCAGGCGAATGCTCAGCGCCGCCTTCATCCTATACTCGCTCGGCAGCGCCATCTTGTGATACGCCCATCGTCGGTGCTCCAACCCAACCTTATCCAACTGCTGCACCCCCCCCTCGACCATCTCGAGCAATCTCGAGAACCTCGCGTCCGCGCTCACCTGCTTCGCCTCGCTCCTTCGCAACCGCCCCGCGCGCGACGTCAACAGTCTCGAAATCTTATACATCGCCGTCACGCTGTTCACCGCGTTAAACGCCTCCCCTCGCCTCCCGACAATCTCCAGCACGTCGAACGCGCGCTCGCACGCCCCGATCGCCTCCTGAATCTCTCGCCGCGCGCGTCTCCGGTCCCGTCCCTCGCCCGCGCGCGGCCCCTCCAAACCTCCGCCTCGATTCCCTCGCTCCCCGTCGTCTCGTCTCGCGCTCGCCTCCGCGCCGTCGTTCACCGCGTCCGTCGCGGCGCGTCGTTCGCGCCGTCCTCTTCTTCCCAGCGCGTCGCGCGTCGCGCGCGCGCGCCGCGTCGCGTCGCGTCGCGTCGCCGCGCGCGCCGTCGTCCCGGCGGCGGCGGCGAGCGCGCATCGCGACATCGTCGCCCGCCGCGCCTCCGCGCGTCGCCGCGCGCCGCCGAGCGCGACGCGAATCGAACGGTCGCGTCGCTCGCGCGCCGCGCGCCGCGCGCGTCGTCGTGTGCGCGCGCGTCGGCGCGCGCGCGGCGTCGCGCGCGCGGCATCATGAAAAGCCATACCGAGTGAGACACCATGACGCCGAAGATCGCGCGTCGCGCGACGACGACGCGTCGCATCGACGCGCGATGGCGCACCGACGCGACGACGCTCGCGACGACGCGCGCGCCGACGCGCGCGACGCCGACGCGTACCCGGGCGTGCCGGGCGCGACGAAGGCGGAGGTGGATGATTTTCTGCGCGCGCTCGATGATTTTCAACCGGTGGTGCGCGCGGACGCGACGCGACGACGGCGCGAAGCGCGCGCGCGATCGGGAACGCGCGATGCGAACGGCGTCGACGCGCGACTGACGCTGTCTCGCGAACGGACGCGCGGATTTCAGATACCGGACGAGCTGACGAATCTGTACCTGAAGCGCGCGGGCGCGGCGACGCCGGACGCGCGGGTGACGCGGTTGGTGTCGCTCGCGGCGGAGCGGTTCGTCAGGCAGATCGCGGACGACGCGTACAGGTGCGCGGTGCAGCGGAATCAGGCGCAGGCGCGGGAGAAGAAGGAGCGAGGGTACGACCCGAGGGATAAGCGGTTGGTGCTGGAGACGGAGGACTTGGCGGCGGCGCTCAAGGATTACGGGGTGAACTTGCATAAACCGCCGTATTACGTCGGTGCGGTGGCGGAAGAGGCGGACGACGACGACGCGGCGGACGCGGGGGGAAAGCGCGCGAAGCGGTGAGCGCGACGGTCGAGGGATGAGATTAGGAGGACGTCGCGCTCGAGGTCGAAATCGAAGCGGCGGCGCGTGTAATCGTACAGCACGTGTGGCGGCATCACAACCCGAGGCCCGCGATCGGGGCGCGTTCGAAGCGCGTCTCGCCTAAGCGCCTACGCCTTGGTTTTGTTTTGCTGCGATTCGCGCGCGCGGTCGTCGCGTTCGTCAGTCTCGACCGCTCGAGCGAGATCGCCCCTCGCGTCGCGTTAGGGTATCCGCGCGTCGCGCCCTCGCCCGCGCGTCGCGCGTCGCGCGCGCGCGCGCACCTGAAACTGAATCGCAAACACGGGAATGTACCCCCCGATCAGCACGATCGCCGCCGTGGCGACGCCGAAGACCAACTTTCGGTTCTTCGTCGCGCCGACGTCGTACATGCGCTTCGCGTGAATGTACGCCTGCGCGCGTCGCCGCGCCCTCGCGCGTCGTCGTCCTCGTCAGTCATCCCGCGTCGACGCGTCGACGTCTCTTCGCGCGCGCGTCGCGTTTTCGCGCGCGCGTCGTCCCGCGCGCTTTCTCGCGCGGTCCCCCCCGTCCCTCGTTCGCGCTCGATCGCGTCCCGCGCGCTTTGCGCGTCGTCGCCGCACCGGTTCGTCCGCGCCCCCCATCGCGGTTCTCGTCGTGTGCAAGCCGCGTCGCGCGCACGCGCTCGCGGCGCGTCGTCCCGCGACGGCGCTCGCGGCGAACATGATTTTGTCGTCGTCGTCTCGCGTCGATTCGTGACGCGCCGCACTCGATGTCGCGCGGCGGCGCGCGCTTCTTCGCCTACGGCGCGCCCTTCGTCGCGCTCGTCGCCGTCGGCGCGAGCGGGCTCGCGCGCGTCGTCGGCGGGCGGTTGGAGGTGCGCGACGCGCTCGGGGAGGTGGACGCGCGCGCGCCGGCGCGGACGCAGCGCGTGCGACGCGCGATGGCGCGATTCGACGCGGAGGCGGAGCGGCGACGGTTGATCGACGCGCGCGAGGACAGGGAGGCGTACGAGATGCGCGCGGTGTGGCGGCCGGAGGGCGGGCAGGGGCACTGAGACGCGACGGCGCGGCGGCGGCGGCGAGGCGGAGGCGCGCGGCGCGCGCGAGCGTTCTTCGACGGTTCGCCGAGGCGGAGGCGCGTGATTTTAGCTGAAATAGTGATGACATACTAGTACTGTAGTGGTAGGAATAAATTGGTACATCAGCGCGCGGTCGTGAGGGCTCGCTCGTCGACCGCGTCTCGGGCGTGGACGCCGTCGTCGTCGTCGACCGCGTCTCGGGCGTGGACGCCGTCGTCGTCGTCGTCGTCTTCGTCGAAGGATAGGAAATCGTCCAAGTCGTCGCGCGATCCGGGAGAGCCGTAGAGGACGACCGAACGCTCGAATGGGATCGTGCTGCCGGTGTTTGAGTCGTAACGACGTCTCGCGCGGGCGAAGGCCACGCCCGTGGCTTCGGTCCAGCGCGCTCGAATGGCGTCGGCGGATTTGCGATACGCGCGTCTTTGCGCTTCGGACGTGTTCGCGCGCTTCTCTTCGTCCGTCATGCGTCGCCTTTGCTCGGCTAATTCCTCGGCGCGGGCGTCGATCTTCCTTTGACGCATCTTCTGGAAGCTCGATGCGGCTTCGAAGGGATCCGTGACGACGCCGGTCTGGCTTTGCATGATGCCGACGCTGACTTTTTCATAGTTCACCGCCACGTGCTCGAGAAAAGGAAGCTGCTCGCGCTCGACCCAGTGAATGCAATCCACCGGGCAACTGTCGATGGCGCACTGGATGTCGTCCTCGTCGTTCAACCACTGCGCGAAGACCCGGCTGCGACCGTAGTCGTCGTTCATACGAAACGTCGCCGGCGCTTGCCACACGCACTGTTTGCAGCCTATGCAAGTGAACTCGTCCACGAACACCGCGCGCGTTTCCCCAGGTTTCGCCTTCCTCGTCGTCCATTTAGAATAAGGATTTCCCGTGAACGAATCCTCGTCGTCCTCTCGCTGCTGTTCGAGCTCGGCGTCGTAGAGCGCTCTCGCGATTGGGTCGCTCAAAATCTCATACGCCTCGTTGAGTAAAACGCACATGTCGTGCCCCTCTTCCTCGTCCTCCGAAACGTCCGGATGACACTCCTTCGCGAATCCGTAGTACGCTTTCTTGATCGTCTTCGCGTCCGCGTCGTCCGCGACGCCGAGCAGCTCGTAAAAGTCCACGAGCGCGGCGTTCTGTTCAACCGCGAGCCCTTCGCATCTTGTTCGCCCTCGGACCGATCGCCCTCCCGCGCGCGCCCCGGTCGCCGCGCGCGCGTCCGAGTCGCGTCGAGCGACGCGTCGCGCCGCACCCGCGCTCGGTGCGCGCGCCGCGGCGCGCATGACGACGCGCGTCGCTGTGACGGGACGCGATCGCGCGTCCCAGGTGCTGACTGGGACCGAGAATTCGTCACACTCGAGCGCGACGCGATCGACATGAGCGACGTGGACGCGAAAAAGATGAAAGTGCAGGTGCGGGCGACGAAGGACGCGCGCGGGGGCGGTCTCGCGGCGCGCGCGCGGCGCGGAGGGCGACGAGAGGCGACGCGATGGATTAATTTCGAATCGCATTTGAAATGGAGGATAATTGCGTTCGTTTCGACGCCGCGCGACGTCGCGACGCGCGCGAGCGGCTCTCGAGCGACGATGAACGCGCGATGACTGACGATTGCGCCGCGTGATCGGCGACGCGTCGACGCAGGAGCTTCGAGATGAGCTCGAGAAGCGAGGATTGGACACGAGCGGGTTGAAGGGGCAGCTCGTCGAGCGTCTCGAGGAGGCGCTCGCGGGCGAAGGCGCGGGCGAGGGCGAAGACGAGCTCGAGGACGTTCCGGACGTGGAAGTGTCGGCGGCAGATGCGGCGAAACTGGCTGAGCTGGAAAAGAAGGAACCGGCGGCGGAGGCGAAGACGCCCGCGGGCGCGGCGAAGAAGGATTTGCCGAAGCCGAAGCCGACGGAGGCGGAGCGTAAAAAGGCGCAAGCGGAACGCAAGGCGGAGCAAGAAAAGATCCGAGCGGAAAAGAAGGCGGCTTACGAAAAGGCTGAGGCCGAACGCAAGGCGGCGGCTGAAAAAGCGAAGAAGGAAGCGGACGAAGCGTTCGTGAAGGATTTGGAACGCAGAAAGGAACGCGCCGAGCGCTTCAAGTTGCCGTTCGCATTGAGCGAACAAGAGAAGACGCGCATTCGCAACGTCGGCGCTGAAAAGAAGTTTGGTTTGGACAACGCCGAGAACGGTGCGAACGGGACCGCGGCGCCGAAGGAAAAGACTGCGGAGGAAAAGGCGAAGGACAAGGCTGACTTTGAAGCCAAACTCAAGGCGCGCGCCGAACGCTTCGGCGACGCTTTGAAGCCGCTTCCCAAGCCGACACCCATGTTCGCGCCGAAGCGACCGGGTGGTCCGCTTCCGGGTGCGCCGGCGCCGAAGGTCGCGAAGTGATAGGGCCGCGGCGCCGAAACAATAAAACCTTGTAAAAATTACACAAAAATCTACTCGTCGTCTTCGAGCGATGGCATCTTCGAAATCAACGTCGAAAGCACTGCGGTGCTGACGAGGAAGCCCTCCGGATCGGTCAAGCGCAGCGCCGCGGGCGAGCTATCAGCGGCGACGGTGTAATCTACGAACTCTGGTACGAAAGGTTCCATCGCCTCGCGAATCTCTTCGACGACGTGGTCGCCGAATCGGCGGGAGACGTTTCCGAGATCAAGCCCATCGCTCGTTCGTAGACGCAACATGATGTGCTCGAACAGCGCATCCGAGCCATCGCCGCCGCTAGAAACCGTGCCTACGTTTTCGCCGCGTTCGAGCGCCTCGACGTAGGCGTAGTACTCGTTCATCTTGCGCGGGCGAGCGACGCGTTCGCCGTTCACGTGCGACGTCGCGCTCAACCCGAATCCGTACCATCCCGCGTTTTCCCAATAAATTTGATTATGTTTACACCGCGCGCCGGGTTTCGCGTACGAGCTCACCTCGTAGTGCTCGTACCCAGCCGCCCCCAGCGTCGCGCTCGCGTCTCGAAACATCGCCGCGCTCGCGTCTTCGCTCGGTAACCCCTCCTTTTTGTCTTTCCCCGCGTTTTCCCCGTACCATCGATAAAACGCCGTCCCTCGCTCTACTTGTAAATCATACACCGAGACGTGATCGGCCCCCGCCTCGATCACGCGCTCGAGCGACGTCCTCCACGTCTTCGCGTCCACGCCCGGTAAGCCGCTGATCAAATCCGCGCTCCATCTCGGCACCCCGCACCGCCGAAGCGTATCGATCGCCTCCTCCGCCGCTCGCGCGTCGTGCGACCGTCCCGCGCGTTGCAGCACTCCATCGTCGAAACTCTGCACCCCCAGCGACACGCGGTTCACCCCCGCCGCGAGAAACGCCCTCAACTTTTCCTCGTCGAACGTCCCCGGATCCATCTCCGCGCTCACCTCGGCGTCCGCCGCCAGCCCGAACGCCTCCCGCAGGCTTCCCAGAATCGCCTTGATCTCGTCCGCGGGCATCAACGACGGCGTCCCACCGCCGAAGAACACCGTCTCCAGCGGCGCGCTCGCGTCGAGCGCGCCGTTCGCTCGCATCGCGCGCGCCGTCGCCGCGACCTCCGCGCGCGTCGCCGCGCCGTACCGCCGCATCGCCGCGTCGACGTCCGGCCGCGTCTCGCCCGCGCGTCCGACGACCGAGATCGCGAAGTCGCAGTAGTAGCACCTCGAGCGGCAGAACGGCAGGTGCACGTACGCCGCGCGCGGCGCGCGGAGGTCGCGGCCGTCGGCATCGCGCGCCGTCGTCGCGCGCGTCCCGGTCGTCCCTCGCGCGCGCGCGCCGCGCCGCGGTCGCGCGATGGACGCCGACGCGAGCGTCGCGAACGCCGCGCGCCGCGCCATGCCGCGCCGCGCGACGTCGCGCCGCGCGCGCGTCGCGAAGTCGCCATCGCGCGACGCGCGATGGACGACGACGACGACGACGAGTACGAGGTCGTCGGGTACGGCGCGCGCCCGACGAGCGCGGCGCCGTCGACGCTGACGACGCCGACGCGCGCGCGACGCGCGGACGCGCGCGCGGGCGCGAGCGCGAGCGCGAGGAAGGCGCCGGTGGGATTCGATTGGGACGACGACGACGACGACGACGACGACGACGACGACGACGACGACGACGGGACGACGACGGCGAACGACGACGAACGACGCCGAGAACGACCGTCGACGCCGCGGCGAAGCCCGCGAACGGACGCGCGCGCGTCGCGCGAACCGACGCCGTCGCCGCGCGCGAGACGCGACGCGGCGGTGCTCGCCGAGGCGCTGGGGGTGAGCGAGACGCGCGCGGCGGCGACGGCGCGCGCGATGCGGGGCGAGACGGGCGCGATGACGGCGCGCGCGGGACGCGCGGCGAACGAGACGCGGCGCGCGACGACGACGCGGACGAAGGCGAAGCGCGCGGCGTCGCCGAGACGCGGGGCGAAGCGCGCGAAGACGAAGCGCGCGGACGGCTCGGGAGGGACGCTCGGACGATTGAATCTGCTGACGCGGACGACGGCGCGCGGGACGGCGGCGGCGGTGGTACCGGTGGCGCGCGAGGGCGTCGCGGCGAACGCGGCGCGAGTGACGGCGAATCGAGGCGATCGACGCGCGCGGGACGTCGAGGAGACGCCGGAGGTCGAGGACGACGTCGCCGCGGACGATATCGACGACGACGCCGCGAGCGCGTCGAGCGCGGAGGAGGACGCGGCGCCGCGCGCGATGGGGCAGGAGAACGTGGAATCGAACGCGCCGGGTGGGCTGGGCGCGTTGGCCATGTTGCCGAAGATGTCCTCGCCGACGTTCGCGCCGCGTTCGAGCGTGGGGGCGTCGATGACGTCGCAGCGAAACCGCTCGCGCAACACCGGTTCGCTCACGACGCGCCTACAACGCGTGTTGCAAAACGCTCGAGCGTCGCACGCGCAGTTCTTGAAGCGCGTCGGCGCCGCGCAACCTCCGTCGTCGCGAGGCGCGCTGCTGTTCACCGTGAACGCGTCGCGGCCCGACGCGTCGCTGACGAATTGCGCGGGATCGATTTGCGATTTACACCGCGCGACGAGCGATGAGACGGACGGCGCCGACGTCGAATACGCGCGCGCCGTCGTGATTTTCAACTCGACGCAAGCGCAAGAGCTCAGTCTCGAGCCCGGTCGTCGAGTCGCCGTGTACCCTCCGTGGCGCGAGATCGACCTGCCCGGGCGCGTCGACGAAACCACTTCCGCCGTGAACGAAGACGTGCCGCGCGTCTTCTTGTGCTGCGAAAACGTTCTGAGACTCGATTGAGACTCGATTGAGACGACGCGCTCGAGCGTTCGCGCGCCGTGGACACACATCATAGTTAGACGGTAAGATACGCGCCGTCGTAATGTACACAAATTCCTAGACTCGCCGCTCGCTCACGCGAATTGCCTCAAGTACGCCGCCGCCACGGTTCGTCCCCGACTGCTCACGCTCAACTTCTGCTCGCTGATCTCCTTATCCACGTCCTCCATGAACGTCACCACGAAATCGACCAACCCTTTCGCCTCCATTCGCTCCGCGTGCGCCAGCAGCACCAAAAACGACACGTCGTATCCCTCCACCGGCGCGCGCCGCAGCACCTCGAACGCGTCCGCGCGTCGCCCCAGCGACTTACAGAACGCCCGCGCCAAGATTTCCTCCAGTTCATCGCACTGCCGCACCCGCACGCTCACGCGCGCGCTGTTCACCGCGCGCTCGATCAGGCACGCGCCGTCCTCGGCGCATCCGCGCGTGATCTCCGCGCTCGGCATCAGCAGGCTCGGCGCGTCCGCGTACTCCACCTCGGCGCGGTTCTCGCCGCTCATCTTCTTCGACGGCGCCGAGCGCAGCGCGAAGGCGTCCTCGAGCGCCGCGCGCACGGCGTCGTGGTAGTCGCGGTGCGACGTCGCCATGGCGCGCGCGCGTGTGCGGTCGGCGGTCGGCGATGCGTTCGGCGTCGCCGCACATCGGCGCGCGGCGCGCGGCGCGCGATGCGCCGGCGCGCGTCCCGTCGCGCGCGACTGCGGCGCGTCGTCCGCGCGTGCGCGTGGGCGCTGCTAATGCGCCGGGGCGACGCGAGGGCGGTCGCGACGCGCACCGGGACGACGGTCGCGGTCGCGGTCGCGCGCGAGACGACGCGCGCGCGCGACGACGTCGACGCGCGCGGCGCGACGCGCGCGCTGTGGTTCGCGGGCGCGGCGTACTGTCGAACGGGGGTGGAGAACTGGACGTGCGCGTACTGCGCGAGCTCGAAGACGACGCTGGCGGACGTCGGCGTGTTTGAACACGAACGCAAGCGCGTCAGGGCGTACGCGGGGTACGATGGGACGCTGAAGAGAGGCGTGGTCGCGTTTCGAGGGACCGAACCGAGCTCGTTGTATAATTGGGTGGAGAATTTGGACGCGGCGCACTCGACGCTGCCGACGGCGAAGGCGAAGGACGGCGTCGGGAGAGTGCACAGCGGATTTCAAGACGCGTACGAGAGCGTGCGGAAGGGGTTGATATCGCACATGATCAAGCTGAGGACGAATTACGATGGGATGTGGCGACATTTTGAGGTGGAGATCACGGGACATTCGCTGGGGGGGGCGCTGAGCACGCTTTTGGCGGTGGAGCTCGAGGCGCTCGGATTTCGAATCGCGCGCGTGACGACGTTCGGGTCGCCGCGCGTGGGAGATTGGCGCTTTGCCGATTATTACGACGAAAAGCTCGGTGATCGAACGCATCGATTCACGCACGCGCACGATGCGGTACCGAGCCTACCGCCCAGGTTGCTCGGGTACCATCACGTCGCCACGGAGGTGTTTCAAAACGCCGAGGGCGAGTACGTCGTCGGCGACGGTAGCGGCGAAGATCCGAACGGTAGCGATTCCGAGTGGACGCACGCTTCGCTCTCCGATCACCTCACGTACCTCGGTATGGAAGTGTGCTCGTGTAACATGCCGTGATCGCGCGTCGAAATCGCGCGATCGCGTTGTACAAACAAACACTCTTGTAAAATTCTTTCAAATTCTTCCGCTACAATCTATGTTGCTGTAATACGCGCTATCGCTAAGTACGCCATGGCCAATACGGCGCGCCTCTGAACGTCGGGCGCATCGGGCACATACCTCCGCGATCGCCTTTGGCGCGAACGCGCGTCTCGACGTTGCTCAACCCGGGCGGCGCGTAAAACGAGACGCCCGCTAAGAGAATCGCCACCGCCTGCGCATAAATCCAATACGCCACCCTGTGCGGCGTGCACCCGTGCTTGAGCAAGTTAACCAATCCCGCGCGTTCGTTTCGACACCTCACGTATCGACCTTTGTCCAATTTTGCCTTGAGTGAGGCGTAAAAGTAATCACCGTATCTTGGATGGTTCAACACGTTGACGCGCAGCGTCACGTCGTCCCCCGGCGCCGTACTCGAGACGTACCACTCGCCCTCCATGTCCATGAACGGCGACACGTGCAACGCTTTCGGCACCGTGGCTTCGTTTTCATTCGACACCGGCGTCGGATCGAACGCGAACACCACGCGTTCGTTCCACGGCGTATTCGTCACCTCGGCGAGCGCCGCGCGCAGCTCGCCCGCGTCGTCCCGACAGTAATACACCGAGATTGGATTCTGGGCGTACCCGAACGACTTCGGCGACGTCAACAGCTCCACCGCACCCGTCAACCCCACGCGTTCGCGCGCTTCATCCGCCGTCAGGTGATCGCGCGCCTGCCCGCTCGCCGCGAACCATCGCGGCGGCGCGTCCAAGTCGACCACCGCGCACCGCAGAGGGTACTTAAACTCCCTTCTCACCGGCTTCAGCCGCGCGTGCGCGACTTCACCGACGTAGAACCGCGCTCCGTCGCCATCGTCGATCCCCAACCACGTCATCGGGCTCAACGCCGCGAGCGCGACGCCGCAAACCGCGACGGCGGCGGCGCCGAGCGCTCGCAAGAGCAAATCCAACACCTGCGCCGCGATCTGCAGCGCCATCGCGCGCGCGTCGCGTCGGCGCCCGCGCCCGCGATGGCTCGAATCGTAACTCTCGCGCGCGATTCGCGGCGCGCGCGCCGACGCGCGACGCGCCGACGCGCGCGGGCGGCGCTCGAGAGTGCGGCCGGTCGGCTCGAGCCCAACATCCGCGCTCAACACCCAACCTCGGGGCGCCGCAGAACGCGACGCCGCGACGCCGCGAGCGCGCGCCGACGCGCGCGTCGACTCGCGAACGTCGACGCGGTGACTATGGCGATGGACGATCGCGCGCCGTTGCTTCCGGAGCGCGCGCGCGACGTGGAGACGGCGTCGGGAAGCGGACGACGGGGCCGACGCGATGGCGCCGGGACGCGCGCGCGCGACGTCGCGCGCGCGGTCGGGGACGCGTACGAACGGGCGAAGCGACGCGCGGATGCGATCGTCGGCGCGTGCGAGCGCGAAGAGGTGTGCGAGGGACGGACGCGGCGGGTGCGGACGATGGCGGCGGTGACGCTGGGCGCGATGGTGATCTGCGCGGCGGGCGCGACGACGACGTCTGCTTCGCCGCGCGGCGTCGCGAGACTTGGGAGCGCCGGTGGTGATTGGACGAGCGAATTGATACGTAACAACGCGCTGGATGTGCGGAAGTTGGATTTCGGGTCGTTCCAATCGGACGTCGTGCGCGAGGTGCACCCCGACCGCACGGGCGGGTTGGCCAAGCGTTGGGCGCAAGAGTACGATCAAGTGACGCAGCCGGAGATTGCGTACGATCCTCACTTTGGGCAGCACCGCGTATCGCTGATCAACCATCGCGCCAGCGCCGCGATAGGGACGTCGCAGGCGGCTGTGCCTTCGCCGGTGCCAGTCGCGCCCGCGCGCTTACAAACGCCCGCGGCGCTGCCGGCGGCGACAGTGGTGGCGCCGAAGAATGCGGATTTCGTCGGTGATTTCGTGGGTGATATAGTTAATTTGGTCAAGCAAGGGAGCATCGAGAAGCAATACGAGGACGCACCAGATCTGGGGAAAACCAGTAAACCGAGTGATGACATTTCGCTGGCGGACTTGATGGTTGACGCCGACCATGCGGAGAAGCACAAAACGGGGAAATCGTGGGTGCGAGACGAACCCAAGGCGAAGACCGTCGAACACAACTCGCATGACAAAGAGTCGAGTTCGAAAGGTAAAGAAACACACGTCAAACATGTCGAGAAGCCGACCAAGAAGTCAACCATGAAGTCGACTGTTAAACGCTCCGAGGCTGATGATTCGCGTTTGAAATCGTCTCACGCGTCGTCGAAGAAGTCGAACAAGTTGGACTCGATGGTGTTCAACGAGTTGAGCTTCAACCGAAAGAAGAAGCCCTCGTCGCTCAAGGAGCGCGTGCAATCACACCTCGATCGCTTGATGACGCGAGCACGCGGTAGCGGCTCACGCGACGAGAGATCTTCGCGCGGAAGTGGCAAGCTTAAGCAATACCCGCACCACATTCACGACGTGGATGAAAACGACGCCAACGACGTCAACGTGTTTTACAAGCAGAAGGATTTGCTAGATTTGGGGGAATACGATCAAGATACGATCGACGACTTTAAATATGGGCGTGGACTGACGCCTCGAGGCGGGAGCGGGCGTTTGGACGGGCTTACGGTTGACACGAACATTGACATTTCCAACTATCCCGCGACGGATGGCACGCACGCGTATCCGAGTCGATCCGCGAAGACTGGTAAGCACGAGGAGGAGAATGTGGACATGGATGACTTGATGTCTTCGCTGCAAGTGACGTCAAAAGACGCGAGTAAACACGTCGAGCATAGAAAGCGCGATCGAGCTACGGAAACTAAGAAGAAACCGTCGGCGAAGGCGTCCAGGTTGAGCGACGATGATTGGTCCGACGCGCCGCCGTCGACATCAAAGCAGTCACCGCACAAGTCGAAGAAGGCGAGCGCGTTGAGCGACGATGATTGGTCGGACGAACCGGAAAAATCGAAAAAGACTGCGGCACACTCGTCATCGTCGGCGTCAACGAACAAGAAGGCATCGACGAAATCAAAGTCTTTGGACTGGAACGACGCGCCGGAGCCAACGGTGAAGGCATCGACGCACACTGAGTCTCGCTCATCCGACATATCTGGCGCGAAGGTTGGCAAAATGTCTGAAGCCGCAGCGGCAAAGTACCTGTCGAAGGTTAAAGGTCACAATGAAAAGACGCACGAAAAACTTAGACGCTCGATTCCGAAATTAGGTGTCGAAGAAGAGGTCAACGATGCGTACGACGCCATCGACGAAGACTCGGAGGAGGATGGGCACAACATTCGCCACGAAAACGTCGCGAAAGTCGTTGAAGCTGCGGAGATGCAAAACGAAGCTTCTGGTTCTGGGATCCCGCGCGAGGCTGCGTTAGGGCGGAAGCAATCCGAGCGTCGTGGATTGCAACCGGCGACGACCGAAGAATTGCAACAAGGTGGCGCGTGGAGAAAAGTGTTCAACAAAGTGTTCCACGGAAACCACGGAAACCGCGGATACGAAAAGGCAAGGGAGCAAATCTTTAGTTCGGACGAGCAATAGCTTCTGATGTAAGTTATCGAATTGGTTATTGAATTTTTCATTACACTGTACTGTAGGTGTACAAAATAATACAGTGTGGTCTCACGGACGAGTCGCCGTGGCTTGCGCCGCGGATTGCGTTACGTTGAGCACAGAGCGCACGTTCTTTTTCGCGATGGATCTGAAAATACTCGTGAAAATCGTGCACACCACAATTAACCCGACTGACACCCAACCAGTAGGCTTCACCACATCTTTGACCGCAACCGGGCACGATACAGAGAACGATTCGAACGAGCGTTGCGAAAGGACGGCGCCAAGTTGACAGCTCAAAACTCCCGACACAGCCGCGACGACAATCGAAACCTTGGACAAAGTCGAAAGGTGATTCCAGTCGGTAACCGCTGCGTAAGCTTCCTCTTTTGCTCGATCAAGTCGTTCGAGTTCTTCTACCTCTTCATCGATAGGCATCGCATCCAGCTCTTCGCGCTTTGTGAGAACAGTTTGTTCCATGTAGTACACCGCTGAAAGAGACGTGCACAGCATGCTCACAAACGCAAGAGCCAAAAACATCGAGTTCAACAAACCCCAGCTACTCGAGTCGCTCGCAGCGGCGCCGTCACCTCCGCAAGAGCCAACTTTTAGTTGGAGCGCACCTGCGATGGTGGTGTAGCCGAGGTAAAGAACCAAAACAGGCATAGTACCGATCATGATCTGCAGCAAGTCGAGCTTGAGAATGCCGCAGAGCACGGACGTCGGCCAGTCAGGGCCGCCACATAAAATAGCAATCTTCGCTCTGGAGAATCCTTTCTGTTCCAAGCAGTATCGAATCGCACGCATGTTTAGCGAGTTTATACCCACCGCGTAACGAATCGAGGGTTTTTTGCCCATTTGTTCGCCAATCAGCTTCTGCTGGAGTGCGCAAGAAAATAGCTTGGTGAACCAGCACACCAGGCAGCACAAAAACGCCGCGGGCCAGAATCCAATCTTCGGTTCCCACGTGCCGACGACGAGAATACCTCCGGTGAGGTAAATGGGCGGGCCAGGCACTGGTGGAAGCAAAAACATACCCACGCCTATAGCGATGAAAACCCCGATGACGACGTATTCGTTCAAACTTCCAAGCACGTCCACCAACCATGCAAGAAATAGAATCGCGCCCTTGCCGACTCCGATGGAGAAGGTGAAATAAAAAATGGATAAGTAGGCAGAGTATTTGAAAATTTTGGTTGGATCCGCGAACCACCACGCGAACAGAGCATAGGTGGAGTACGTGAGAAATCCGTCTTTCGGCGCGTCCGGCGGCGGTTTATGCAAGGTGAGACCGACGCGCCGTGCAGCCGCGCTGACGGCTGATATCGCCAGAGTAAACGGCAATAACGTCATCGTGCAACAAAATAGAAGAGCTTTCGCCAAATCGGTCTGCGTGTAACCCACGACCTTCTTCGTCAGTTGATAAGAGTTCAATTGTCGGTAAATGCGGTGAGGCCCGGCGGTGATGAGACACGCGACGCCGAAGATGGCGCAAAACACTACCGCGAGCTGAATGACGTCGTTCGCGACGCCCATTTCGATAGCGGAAAGAGAGACGCTGACCCACGTCCCGAAAGCGACCAGCACGGCGAGAATCGCGATCAATTGCAACGCGCTGGATTGCTTTGATAATTTGGTGCAGGAGAGCCCGTAGACGAGGTTCAAAGCCGACACCGCGAGTGGCGCGGCGTACATGATGTACGCCACGTTGTCACAACCACCCGCCTCGCCGTCGCCAGCGTTCGACGAGCCATTCGTGCTCGTCGTGTCGCAACCGAGTCGCAAAGAGAACTCATCGAATAATCGCTTGCTCCACTTTTTGTCCCACCCGAAGACCCACACGATCCAAGCGGTCAACGAGGCGAAGCTGACGAAGTAGCTCGCGTACGCCACGTGTCGTAAAAACGACCCGTTGTGCGTTCGCTTGCACACTGTTCCCTTGAACACGCGAATGAGCCCAGCCTTGAAGAGCACGTAGAACGACAGCGGCAAAGTCTCGTACTCCTTCACGCTCAGCATCCCGCTCACGACCAATCCTCCGACGCCGACGCTCGCGAAAAGAAACGTCACCGTCCTCCGGATCGCGCGCCCTCGCGATCTAGCCGCCTCCATCGCATCCAAAATCCACAGCACAGCGAAAAGCGCCATGCTTCCACCCGCGATGGCCCACGACAAACGCCAATTACCGTCGTTCGCCAGTTCCGAGTACACGTCGTCCCCGAATCCAATCATCGTGTAAAGCGCAAACAGTCCCACCGCCAGCGCGCACTCGCTCGCCAGCAACAACGCAAACTGCCCCCGCGTCATCCCGGGTTTCAATCGAACCGTCTCCCGCTCCGAGCCGTCCATATCGAACGGGTTCAGCGTCCCCCGCCCCGTCTCCTCCAACAACCCGTCCTCTTTCCCCCCCCCCGTCGCCCGCGTCGCGCGCGCCCGCGCCCGCGCGTCCCCCGCGCCCGACGCGTCGACCGCGTCGTCACCACCACCCGCGCCTCGCGCCGCCGAAACGGCCGTCCCGCGCGTCGCACGCGCGTCCGCGCCTCGCGCGCCGAATTTCCCCAAATCAAACATCGTCGACGTCGCGTCCGCCGTCGTCGGCGTCGTCGCGCTCGCCGCGTCCGCCGACCGCGCGCGCGCGCTCGACGCCATCGCGCGTCGACGCGCGCGCCGTCGTCGCTCGCGTCGCGGCGTCGACGACGCGCGGGTCGGGGCGAGATTCGACGCGCGCGCGGCAACGGCCGAAAAGTGCGGGCGCGGCACTTTCGCGCGCGCGCCGGGTGGTTTTTATCGCCTCGCCGCGGTGTCGATCATGGGCGCGCGCGGTGCTTAAATACGACGCGCCGCGGCGCAAAATGTATAATCACCGTCATCAAGGAATTCTAATCACCGTTCGCGAAACCTGTCAAACGGTTCTTTGAATGCTTCTGGCCAGGTAAACCAGTCGTCGAGGACGCCGATCGGCGACGGACGCGGACGCGCGCGAGCGTTATTACGGGTTCATTCGACGCGCGTCGAATCGAATCGCGATGCCGCGCGCGCGCGACGAGACGCGCGACGCGTCCGACGCGTCGAGCTCGTGCGCGAGCGAGGGCGAGACGGTGCGCGCGGTCGTCGCCGCGGAGCGGTGCGCGGACGCGATCGACGCGCTCGACGGCGCGGCGCGCGACGACCGCGAGGATGGGGGAGACGCGACGACGGCGCGCGACGGCGCGGGACGCGCGAGGGCGCGCGCGCGCAGGGCGAGGGTGGCGAAGACGTGCGAGACGATCGCGCGCGAGGCGCGACGCGATCGGACGTACGCGGCGGAGGCGACGCGGGCGAGGGTGGGGGAGGCGGCGCGACGCGCGCTGGAGACGTTCGGCGACGACGACGACGCGCGGCGCGCGTGCGAGGACGCGGCGCGGGCGTGCGAGGACGCGGCGGCGACGAATGGGGAGCGCGTGCGGACGCGCGCGTGCGGTGGCGTCGAGGTGCGGGTGCTGGAGACGGAGATCGGGAACGGGGTCGGGGCGAAACTGTGGAACGCGGCGGTGACGCTGAGCGAACGATTGGCGCGAACGCCGGAAATCGTGCGAGGGAAACGAGTGCTGGAAGTCGGCGCGGGGGTGGGGATGTGCGGGATTCTGTGCGCGAAGCTCGGGGCGGCGTTCGTGACGCTGTCGGATTTCGAGGACGCTTTGCTCGACGCGCTCGATCGAAGCGTCGCCGATAACGGCGTCGGCGACGCGTGCGTCGCGCGCGCCGTCGATTGGACCAAAGAAGCCGAGCGTCTTCCGACGCCCGCGGCGAATCCGCGGCACGTCATGCCCGACGACGCCGTGTTCGACGTCATCATCGGTTCCGACGTCCTGTACGAGCGTCAACACGTCGCCGCGCTTCCAGCGTGCGTCGATCGTCGACTCGCGCGCGACGGCGTCTGCTGGCTCGTCAACGCGTCTCGCTACGCCGACATGTTCCGCGATCTCTTGGCCGCGTTCGACGCGCGCGGGTTCGACGTCGACGTCATCGAGGACGATTTAGCGCTCCGTCGCGCCGACCGCGAATCCGCGCGGGTGAAATCTTGGCACGACGACGGCGAAAAAACGCTTCGATGTCGCCGCCGCGCGTCGTCGCCCGCGCCGTAGACTGCTCGCCCGCGCGATCGGCTTCATTCATTCATTCCTAGTCGCCGCACACATCGTCGGGCGTCGCGTCCCGTTTTCGCGCTCGCCATGCCCGCGCGAAAACAAACGCGCGCGTTCACCGCGCGCGCCGTCGCCCGCGTCGCGCTCTGCGCGCTCGTCGTCGTCGCATCGTTCGCGAATCCGATCGTCGCGCAAGATGACGCCGACGCCTCGGACGCCCCTCCCGGGCCCGCGCGCGTGCTCGTTCGCAAGCGAATCGTCGAGGACCTCGTCGTCGAAGGCTCGAACGTCACCGTGGCCGTCACGCTGACGAACGCGGGGGAGACGGAGGCGAGAAAGGTGAAGGCGCGCGACGACGGGTTCGCGAACGAGGACGACTTCGAGTTGATCACGGGCAAGGAGTCTCTGAGCGCGACGTACGCGACGATCGCGCCCGGTGAGAGCGTGGAATATTCGTTCGTCGTCGTGCCGAAGAAATCGGGATCGTTCCCGGGCGGCGCGGTGAGCGTGTCGTATTTGGGAACGAGCGGACGAGAGACGACGCACGGCTCGAGCAACGTCTTGGGCGCGACGCCCGTGTACACGACGATGCAGAAGAACATCTTCGCCGCGCTCAAGGTGGGGAAGTATCTCACGCTCGGAGCGTGCCGGACGATTGAGGATTGGGTGAAGTACGGCACGATCATCGGGAGCGTTTGCGGGGCGCTGTTGTTGAACTGGGTGGCGCTCAAAGTGAAGAAGGGCGTCGCCGCGGCGAGGCGCAAGATGGCCGTCGCCTCCCTCGAGCGCAGCGACAGGCGCGAAAAGTCGGCATAAACATTAGTTACGATGCGTCGCGTTGTCATCTCATCGAATCGAGTGAATCTAATCACCAGCCCAAGTCTCCCCGCGTCGTCGTTCGCGTCGCCGCAGAGCGCGCCTCGTCGTCGCCATGCCTCCGCGCCGCGGCAAATCCGCCGCGAAGTCCACCGACGTCGGTGATACGAGCGCGATGGACGTCGATGCGGCGTCGTCGTCGAACCAGGCGCTCGGTGACATCGCTCTCGAGCTCGCGAGCGCGCGAAATGCGCTCCGCGATGCGTTGGATCGAGCGACGAATTTAGGCCACGTGAAGCTTCCACCGGAGAGTACGTCGCGCCGCGCCGCCGTCGTGGTTCGTTTCTTCGTCTCGCGCGCGCGTAGACTGACGTGAACGTCGATCGACCACGCAGGCGAGCTAAAGGTGAGCGAGGTGTTGGATTACGCGCGACGCATCAGTTACACCACCTTCGCGCCCGCGGGATACGTCCCCGGCGCGCCGCTGTGCGGAATAATGCCCCCGGCGCCGCAGGAAGAACACTTTCAGGCGTCCAGGCTCGCGGCGTTCAACGCTGAACGGCGTGCGAAAGAAAAGGCGGCGTCGGCGGCGGCGGAGGCGCGACAAAAGGAGGAGGCGAGACTGAGGATGGTCGAAGCGGCGGCGGCGATTCCGCCCGAAGAGCTCATCGAGCGATTGAGCAAATGGAAGCCCGGAGAGCCGTGGCCGGATGGAATCCCGCCCCCGCCGCCGGGATGGAAACCGGGCGATGCGCTGCACTTTGAATTGCCGAAACGCGAGGACGCGGGCGTGGGCGCGCTCGTCAAGCCGACGAACGCCGTCGCGGCGGCGAAAGCCGCGCCTCGCGTCGTGCCTTTCGTTTCGTTAGATTTAAACCCAGACTTAGACGACGACGACGTGGCGTCAATTTCGGACGATTTCGAGGAGGTGTCGGAGAGCGACGGCGGCGACGACGATTCGGACTAGGCTGTAGCGCTTGAAATTCAAACCGAAATCACGCGAACCCGCACTACATCGCGCGCGTCATGAAACTCTTCGCCAAAGACGCCCTGCGCCGCGCGCCGGTATCGGTGACGCTCGACTTCGCGCTGTCCAAGTCGCAAATCGCGCACATCGTCGGCGGACTCGTGATTTGTTTCGCCATTCAGTACGGGTCGTTGTTCTACGTCAAACGATTCCATAAACGCTTCTTGAGCACGCTCGACGCGAAATCCGCGATGGATTTCGGGGTGCGATGCGCGTCGAGCGCCTGGGGGCTGTTATGCGGCGTCTGGTCGGCCGCGCTGCTGCGGAAAGCGCTGAAAACGTCGACCGATACGCTGAGCAGAATGTACGCGTCGCCGCCGTTGGAAGGGTGCGAAGAGTTGGTGTGCCTGGCGGTTGGATATTTCATGTACGACGCCATCGTGTCGCATAAGCACTACGGCATGCAGTATTTTTTGCACGCCGTCATCTCTGTGGTGACTTTCTTGGCGCCGCAGTTCATGCCGAAGGGCTTTTTACACATGTACGCGGCGAATTTCCTGCTCTGGGAAGCTACGCTGCCGTTTTTGGCCGCGCGATACATCATGATCAAGGCTGGAATGGGATCTACGAGAGTTTTCAAGATCGTTGAACTCACTGGGTTCGGGCTTTGGGTGTTCATCCGCTTCTTCATCGGAGTGCCGATGATGTACTTGTACTTCAGCGACGCGTACTCGATGTTCAAGGCGGGCAAAGCGAGTCCGCTTTGGTTATACATATGGTACACGTTTGCGAGCGCGGCGTTGCAGTTGATGAACGTCATTTGGTTAACGGCGATCATTAAGACCTTGTTTACAAAGTCTAGAACCACCGTGACGCCTGAGAATTTCGGGCAGAACAATAAGAAAGAGTAAAGGGAGTAATTTCACAAGCGCGAGCCGCGTTTTAGATTATGTCTTAGATTATGTCGCCGTAATACAATTCAAGCGTCGTTTCCAGCGCTGCGTCGTAATCGATCCGCGTAACGTAGTGCACCAAACCTTTCATGGCAATACCTAGCGGTGGGAGCACTTCGCTCAGCGCGTTCAGAGCGCGACAAAGCGAGTGATCGGTAGAATGCGCCAATTGCTGAGCCGCCGTCGTCTCTGGTGCTGCGTCGGTTCTTAGGCGCGCGAAGTTTTGCATGTGTCGAGCTCGAAACGTCCACGACAATACCCTCGTGCGTTCTACCCGTGGCACTCTTAGTGCGCGTGCGGTCGTGCGGGACACCGCACGTTGTGAAGGTGCTACCCGCTGGCGTGGGAGACGAAGAGACTTATTTTGGGCGCTAGTCGTCGTTTCTCGAAAGTGATACTACATCGCGTGCATTTCCTATATATACTACAGTTTACGTGAGGTCAATCACAGAGTCTTTGCTTGCGGTGTCTTGTGATTTGCTTGCTTTCGCACGCTTGTTTCGCCTTGCGGCGAGACGTTCTGGCGGAGATTCGTCTATCCTGACGACCTCTGGCGCTGGGCGCGAAGGTCCCGCGACGTCAGGTAGAGGTACCGGTCTTCGCGCGCCGCGTCGTCGCTCATCCGCCGCGGTACGCATCGAAGCGCTAATTGCGAGTTCTAAATTCCTTTGCTCGAGCATTTTGTCCGCCTTCGTCTTTGCATCGCCTTTTATGCGCCACGCTTCGGCTTTTTTGCGTATCTCTGCCTCAGCTTTCTTCGCGAGCTTCTCTCGAGCTTGACGCTGTCTCTCGCGCTCACGTTGCGCCTCCTCTTCCGCTCTACGAACGCGCAGCTCCGCCTGCAAGCGCCCCTGGTCTTCCACCGGATCTCTCAGCTGGAGTGCCCACTCTAAGGCGTTCGGAGGCCCTCTGACGGCCCGACGAGCGCCGCGCCGTCGCACTTCGGGAAACACGATACCCCACTGTTCCGGAAGAGGAAAAGGCTCTCCCGCACCCTCGAGCAAACGCTCGGCAAAGGCGCCAACGCCAGCACGCCTGCCCTGGCGGGCGCGCCCTGGCGCGGGCTTGGGAGCTGGTGGCGCCTTGTTCACCTTGAGCCTCGCGCTGCGCGCGCGCGTGATATCTTCTTTCGAAATATTCAAGTCTTTCATCTCGCGAATCAAAGACTCGAGCACGCTCTGTAAAAACGCGTCATCCCAGTGTTCGGAGTACAGCGCGAACATCTCCAACCTTCGCCTGCGTTGCGCCTCTTCAAACATCCCCGTCGACCCGTACGTCCCCGCGGGATGCCCGCGATTCGTCGCCGCCAAATTCGCCTTATTCTTCTTTTGCCTCGAATTCCACGCCGACATCGCCTTCGCCTGCGCGCACGATCCGATGTGCGCGTGCGCGTCCTTCCCGCAATCCGCCAAGCAATACGCGCAAATCCCCGCTCGACACCTCGAACACGACAACGCGAAACACCCCGTGAAATCCACGAACGCCTGCGAGCACCTCGGACAGCACGTCGTGAATATCTTCTCAATCACGTGCTCCCGAGTCACTCTCAACTTCTCATCCGCCCCCGCGCTCTCTCGCATCCTCGCTCGCTCCGCCGCCACGCGCCGCTCCGTCTCGTCCACGATTTTCGCCTCGTTCACCCGTCTCCTCGCCTCATCGTACGCCTTGAACGTCTCTTTCGAGCACCGTCTCGCGATCATCCGCGCCTCGTAGCATCCCGCGTCGCACGCGTCGTCGCCGAACGCCGCCGCGCGCATCGGGCATCGCACCTCGCCGTCGCGCGTCGTCAATGCCGCGACATCCTTTTCGCTCTCCGTCTTGACGTGCGCGTCGAAGCACGCTTCGCAGAGCGCGTGTCCGCGCTCGCAGAGCACGGGTTCGCCGTCGGCGTCCGGATCGTCGCCGCACACGACGCACGCCATGCGCGCGCGCGCCTCTGCCGTCGCGCGCGCGGCGTCGCGTCGCGAATTTGCGTTTCGCCACACGGGGGCGAATTTGCGATTTCGCCGAACGGGGGCGATTTTGCGATTTCGCCGAACGGGGGCGACGAAAGATTCAAAACGACGCGCGCGACGCGAACGACGGCGGAGACGCGCGCGCGACCGCTCGGCGACGATGGCGCGCGATGACGTCGCGAGTCAGCGCGATGACGCGCGGAAGCGACGGGAGAAGCGACGCGAGCTGCGCACGGCGATCGACGCGGCGCGCGTGAATCAAGAGGAACTGCAAAAACCAGAGTGCGATGACCTGGAGCGCGCGGTCGACGCGGCGGACGCGATGAACGAGGGCGTGGATAAACCGAGGGAGATGTGCCTGGACATGGAACACTACGGACAGCTGGCGGCGTTTTCGTTGGAGCGGACGAAACGGTTGGGGCCGAGGGGAGGGGCGGCGGTGAGCGCGAAGGCGTTTTTGCAGAGCTTGCGGCGACGGTGGGGGGAGGAGGTGCGATGGGAACGACTCGGGACGGGGGCGGGGAAGTTTTTTAGGGAGGCGCCGGCGCCGGGGTTCATGAATGGGGTGATGGACACGGAGATTAAGGAGCGGCGGGCGACGCAGCGACGCGCGAGAGAGGCGCTCGGTCCGAGCGTGGCGCCGGACGAGGTGCGAGATACCGCGGCGGAGCGGCAGACGGATAAGATGATGATAGCGATGAATAAAAAGTTGAAGAAGCAGCCGGGAGGAGCGACGGATGTCGTGCGCGGGACGAACAACCCGGAGAGCTTTCCTCAGTTTGTCGAAAACGTCTTCACGGCGGCGTTTTTGGTCAAGGATGGTAACGCTGGCATCGTGCCTTCGGCTACGGGCGGTGCGCCGACGCTTTCGCACACGACGCCACCGGCGAGCGGAAACGATCGTTCGAGTTTCGTGTTGCACATGGATATGGGGAACTGGCGCGCGCTGAACGCGATGTTGGGCGGCACGGACGGTTGCATGATGCCGACGAGAGAGGATGTGGACGAAGACGTTCTCTACGGCGCGCGCGCGAAAGACGAACGTCACGAAGTCACCCCCAAACGCGAACGCAAGCGCGTTCGCGCCGACGACAACGGCGACACCGCGCTGGGCTTGCACGATACCACCAATTACAGAAACGTGCGAGAGTCGTTTTCCGTCTCAACGTAGTTGACGCCGCGCGATCGAGTTGTGTACCATGACGCATTTACGACCACCAGTAGTAGAAAGTACTATGACTATGACTTAAACAAGACGACTAGAACCTAAGACAACGATACAACACAGAATGGGTCGCTGGTTCACACTTTCGGCCCGTACAAGTGTATCTTCGCCTGCGTGTTTTCCTTCACGCTCTTGTACCCCAACGCGCGGCCGATGCGCATCGAGTCCTCGAACGACTCGAGTAATGCCTCTTCTCGGTCGGAGTTGTACGCGATGTAACACGGCGCCGCTCTCTGCGCCTCCGTCGCCGCTATTAAATCCACCGCGCGCTTTACCTCCGCCGGCGACACGTTCGCAAACGGCGGATCCACGAACACCACGTCGTAAGGAAACCGCACCTGAAACGGTCGCCTGAGATCAAACGCGCGAAACCCTTTGATTTTCGTCTTGAATCGCAAATCGCAGTCGAGCAAAACGCACGCCGTTCCGACGTCGCGTTCCCACGCGCTCGCGAGGCTCGGGTTGCACATGAACAACGGCCGCTCGAACGTCCGCGCGATCGTCATCAATCTCGAAAGCGTCGAGTCGTCGTAATAAAACTGTTCGAGCGCGTGATTCTCTTCGACGTCCATGAGCGACGCCGGTTCGAGTTCTGTCGCTCGACCGTCGCCGCGCTTGACCGGTGGTTTGACTCTCTTCTTCGCCGCGCACGTCGCGCGCGCGCCGCGCGCGACGCTCGACGCGCCTCGCGCGCGCGCCGACGACATCGCGTCGTCTGCGCGCGCGCGTTCGCCGCGCGACGCGTCGCGCGTCGCGCGCTGTCGCGCGAGAGTTTGACGCGCGCGCGAGTCCGCGTCAGCATCACAACGCGGCGTCGGCGGCGCGCCTCTCGCGCGCGTTCACGCATGGCGCACGCGGCTGGCGCGCAACGAGCGATCGTCGGGCGCGCGCGCGACGCGAGCGGTCGCCGATTGACGTCGCGCGCGCGAACGATCGCCCGACGCGACGGCGTTGGACGTGCGAACGCCATGCGCGTGCGCGCGAGCGCGAACGACGCGATGCGGGTCAAGAAGCTTCAAAATGGGTCGGACATTCGCGGCGTCGCGCTCGACGGCGTCGAGGGGGAGGCGATCACGCTGGACGCGGCGACGGCGAGCGCGATTGGACGCGCGTTCGCGGATTGGTTGAGAGCGAGAAATCCAAACGCGAAGGACATCTCCGTGGGCGTCGGGCGCGATCCGCGATTGAGCGGGGAAACGCTCAGGGATGGGATGTTCGCCGGCATGGTCGAGGGGGGCGCGAGGGTGATTGATATGGGACTGGCGACGACGCCGGCGTGCTTCATGGCGTGCGTGACTGAGGGCGCCAAGTACGACGGGAGCGTGATGCTTACGGCGTCGCACTTGCCGTTTAATCGAAACGGGATGAAATTCTTCACGAGTGAGGGTGGTCTGGATAAACCGGATATTACGGATATCTGCGCGCGCGCGGCGGCGTACGTCGAGGCGGGCGTCGGGAGCGTGACGGCGCCGAGCGGCGTCGTCTCGGCACCGTTTTTACCGACCTACGCCGCGCAATTGTGCGATATCATTCGAAAAGGTGTGAACTTCACGGATAATTACGACAAACCTTTGACTGGGATGAAGATTGTCGTCGATGCCGGGAACGGGAGCGGCGGTTTCTTTGCGGATATGGTTCTCGAAGCGCTCGGTGCCGACACCTCGGGCTCGCAGTTTCTCGATCCGAATGGCAACTTTCCGAATCACAGTCCCAATCCGGAAGACAAGGAGGCCATGGCGGCGGGTGTACAGTGCGTGTTGAACGCAAAAGCGGATCTCGGGATCGTGTTCGACACGGACGTCGATCGAAGCGCCGTCATCGATTCGAGCGGCAAAGAAATCAACCGCAACAAACTCATCGCGCTCCTGTCTGAAATCGTGCTCAAAGAGAGCCCAGGCGCGACGATCGTCACAGACAGCGTCACGAGCGATGGCCTTCACAAATTTATCACCGCCAAGGGTGGGAAACACGTTCGATTCATGCGTGGATACAAAAATGTCATCAACAAAGGGAAGGAGCTCAACGCATCGGGCGTCGTGACGCCGTTGATGATTGAAACGAGTGGGCACGGTGCGATGAAGGAAAACTACGACTTGGACGATGGTGCATACTTGGCTGTGAAAATTATCATCGAAGCCGTACGCAGACGTCTGGCGAACGAGCCGTCGATAGGCCAAGTCCTCGAGACGCTCGAGGAGCCGCTTGAAGAAGCCGAAGTGAGACTTAAGATTGCCGATCCCGATTTTAAAGCGTACGGTTTGAACGTCATCGAAAACCTTCTCGCAGCCGTAAATGATCCTGCTCACTCTTTATTCGGCAAGTGTAAGCCGGCGCCGGACAACTACGAAGGCTTGCGAGTTTGCGTAGACGAGGGCGATGGCAGGCAAGGGTGGTTTCTCCTTCGCTGCTCGCTTCACGACCCAGTCATGGTGCTCAACTTCGAGTCACAAACGCAATGCGGCGTACAAACCATGGCGGAGGAGTTTGGGACTTGGATTCTAGACGAGAACTACGATAAGCTCGACGGGTCCGCCGTGTACGCACTCTACGACACGAAGGACTGTCCAATGTAATATCACGCGCTCTTCGCCGCGAATAATTTGCGCCTCTATCGTCATACGACACAGATTTCGCTTGGTTATAAAAACACGCGCTAATATCTACGTCACTATCGTTTAATCACGTTTGACACACGATTGTAAATGTATTTTTGTTTGTTTCGGAAACGACCGACGACTTACTGGCGGTAGCCTTGACGGTCGCCGCCGAAGCCACCGCGGCCACCGCGATCGCCGCCGAAGCCACCGCGGCCACCGCGACCACCGCGCGGGGCCTCGGCTTCGCGAGTCGGCGCGCGCGCGGCCTTCTTCAACGTGTTCGGCACGACGTCCGCCGACAAGTTCAAGTATTCGCGAAGGTATTCGATGCCCTCATCCGTCAAGTACCAGTAGTAATGTCTCCAGGAGAAGATCTCATTGACGAAACCCTTAGACTTGAACGATTGCATGAGCTTGATCACTTGCAAGTTCGGCACATCGATCGGGTTCTCACCCGACTGCCCCACCTCCGGGTGCTTCGGCAAGTTGTAATCCTTCTTGGCCCAAATGACACCCTCGGAGAAGAGCGCCTTGTAGACCTCGTTGCGGTTCACCTTCGGAATAAGCATGGCTGTAAATCTGCGATAGAGATTTGTTTATCAACGTCGACGAACGGGTTCGAACGACTAGAGGGTTGTGTAGTCGACCCTGCGCGAGAGTAACGATGCGCGCGCGATCGATGTCAGTCGTCTTTTCGCGCGCGTGTCGCGGTCACCAGCGTCGTCCACGCGTCGCGCATCGCTCGCGACATCGCGCGATGCGACGTAAACGCGATGCGCGCGCGCGTTCGCGCCATCGCGACGCGCGTACCTTGGCGACCGTGCGTCTGTGAGAGACGGCACGCGCCGTCGCGTCGCGCCTCAAAAGCCCTAGGAAAATCACACCGCGCGCGGCGCTCGCGTCCGACCGACCGTTCGCGCGCTCGTACGAGTAAACAGTGTGAAAATTCGAATGCGCGACAGACGGCGACGCGACATGAGCGCGGCGCTCGGCGAGAACGCGCTGCGGCGCGCGCGCGACGCGCGAGACGCGTACGCCGCGAATGGTTCGATCGCCACCGCGGTGTTTCTGGCCGATAAAGCGCTGTCGCTGAGCGGTGACGACGCGAAAGATGCGCTCGCGCTCGCCGAGCTGTTGCGCGTCGACGGACAGCATCGACGCGCGCTCGGCGTGCTGCGGCGCGTCGGCGAGTGCGGCGGTGGGAGGGCGCGGTTGTTGCGAGCGCGGTGTTTGTTCGCGCTGAAGGCGTACGAGGAGTGCGTGATGACGCTGGAGGGGGAGGACGAGGGCGGCGCGGCGGCGCCCGGCGAGACGGAGAAGCGGCGGTGCGAGCGGTTGGCGGATGGGAACGCGCGCGACGCGGCGGCGATGTGCGCGCTGCGTGGACGGGCGTATGAGGCCTTGGAGAACACGGTGAAGGCGTTCGAGGCGCACTCGTTGGCGCTGTCGTTCGATCCGATGTGTTACGAGGCGTACGAGGCGGTGCTCGCGACGCACATGTTGAGCGAAGAAGAGGAGCGTGTTTTCGTCGCTTCGTTGGACGGACACGAGGACGATGTGTGGATCAGGGATGTGTATGTGGTGATGGGAAACTCGCGGGAGGTGGATTCCGAGCTCGCGCGGGGTGCGGGCGAGGAGACGAACGCCACGGCGTCGACGTCCGCCGCGCTCGAACTGCTCAAGCACAACGGCGATGTTCGCATCGCGTGTGCGCGGCGCATGTATCAGCGCGGTGAATTTGCAGCGTGTTGCGCCGAGTTGCAGCGTCAGTTTGCGCTCGAGCCGTCTCGATTGAACGGGTTGCCTCTGTATTTTGCCACGCTCGTCGAGCTCGGGAAGAAGAACGATTTGTATCTATTGGCGCACTCCTTGGTGGACGAGTACCCGAAGAAAGCCGTGACGTGGTTTGCGATCGGATGTTACTACATGGCAACTCGCCAGTACGACGCCGCGCGAAAGTATTTCAGCAAGGCGACGAGCATCGACGCCTCGTTCGTGCAGGCGTGGATCGGTTACGGGCACGCGTTCGCCGCCCAGGATGAAAGCGACCAAGCGATGGCGGCGTACAGGACCGCCACGCGATTATTCGCGGGCACGCATATTCCCGTGATGTCCATCGGCATGGAGTACCAGCGCACGAATAATCTGAGCTTGGCGAGTCAATTTTTCCGCAAGTCGTTTGAGATTTGCAGCACCGACCCGCTCCTCTTCAACGAGTACGGCGTCTTGCTTTATCGCCAGGGCGAATACGTGAGTGCGGTCGAGAACTTCGAGCGCGCGTTGGATCTTGCACCGAAACCGGTGACGCATCGTTGGGAGTCTCTCGTCGTAAACTTGGCCCAAGCGTTGCGCAAGATGGGCCGTCACGACGAAGCCATCGAGCAGTTTCAATACGCTCTTTCCGTCGCACCGCGCAACGCGTCCACACACGCCGCGCTGGCGTTCACATACCAAGTCAAAAGCCGATGTACTGAACCAGTATCGTTGGGCTTGGCCATCGAACACTACCACAAGGCGCTCAGTTTGCGCTCCGACGACGCGTTTTCTCAGCACCACCTCGAACTGGCGCTCATCGATCAATCCGCGATCACGGTTCCCAAGCACGAAAAGGTGGATTTTGAAACCGCATTCCCCATCGGCGATCCTATCGCGGCGACTCCCGAGGCGCCATCGCCGCAGGGAGGTTTATTCCCGCCGCCCTCCCCGCGGAGCTTTCGCAGCACGCCCACATTCGGTCAAACGCCGTTTGCGAGCGCCGCCGTGGACGAGTCCGTCGACATGGACCAGTCCGTGGACATGGACGAGGGGGAGTGAGCGCGCGAACGTTTGCATCAAAATAGCGTAGCAACATCAATCTAGCTCGGCGGCGTGTTTTAATAGAAAATCAACCCGACGAATGACGACTCGAACCGCGCTCGCGCGCTCCTCTCTGAAATCGCGCGCCACTCTCGCGCGCGGTTCGTCGTGACCGACTAAAACGGCGAGCGTCACGTAGACTCACATAGATCGTAGACACCATAGACCCCTCACGTTCGCCATCAAGCGCGATGCCGCCGAAAGAACAGCTCGTCATCACCGCCGAGGAGGAAGCCATCATCAAACAAAAAATTATCGAACAAACGGCGACGCTGCAACCCGGGAAGGATTACCCGCTCCGCAAGCTCGTCAAGACCTTTTTTGCGTTGAACGATGCGATCGATGCCGGTGGCGAGGGCCTGGACGCCGCTCAGGAGGCGTTTTTGACGGAATTAGACACGTATGAATTCAGCATGGGACGGTACTCGACCGTCGTCGCGGCGAATCGAACACAGATGGAATCGTACGACGACGAAGAGGAGGCCTTGGCGGCAAAGACGCGAGAGTTAAAGTCTCAGGACGCGGAGTTGAAGGGCAAGTTACACGAAACGGTGCGGGAACGGGCGTTTCGAACGGCGCGCGACGAAGCCGTGCGGGCGTGCGGCGAGTACCCGAGTCGAGCGGAGAGCGCGTCCATCGCGGAGGGCCTCAAAAAGGCGATCGCCGAAGAAACCGCGCATCTCGGCGAGTTGGACGTCGCCATCGAGCGCAAAAAACGGTGTTACGCGCTGCTGTTGAAGGTCATAGACGACGCCTCGCGCGCGTGAGCCGCCGCTTCGCGCGTCGCGGAATCGACGTCGCGTCGCGTCCGCGTCGCGTCCGCGCGACATCCATCTTGTAACATACCTTTAGTTCTTTTCGACATCGCCGGAGCCGCGCGTTCCGAGTCGACGCGCGCGCGGCGCGCGCGGCGGCGCGTTTCGGCTTCGCCGCGCCGTCTCCGCCGGCTGTCCTATCCACACGCGCCTTCACACTAATCCAGATCTCGCGCGCCGCAGACCACGACGCGGCGCTCTCTCGCGCTCGCACCCCGGGTCGCGCGAAGATCGTGAACGCGACGACCGCGCGCGCCATGGCGAGCGGATCCGTGCTCGTCATCGCGCCCGCGCTCGCGGGAATCTTTTTCGCGTTTTGGCTGTTCACGCGCAAGCTGAGCAAGATTTCCCTGCACCTCGCGCAAACCGTGCCTCGCCCGCAGAGCTCGAGCTCGTTGAGTCGTAGCGAACACTATTCCGAAGCGGAAGAGAGCGGGGATGAGGCGCTGATGCGAAGGATGGAGACCGGGGAGTCGTACGGCGGGGACGCGCTGACGAAGGTGCGGGTGATTTACCGGGACATTCAGGAAGGCGCCAAGGCGTTCTTGGCGGCGGAGTACAGGATGTGCGTGATGTTCATCGCCGTATTTGGGGCGGTGATCGCGGTGCTCGTGTCGAACGGCGCGTCAGGGTTCGAAGGGAAGGTTGGGTTCTTGACGGCGTTCGCGTTCGTCGCGGGAGGGGCGACGAGCATGATTTCCGGGTATATCGGGATGATGGTGGCGACCTACACGAACGCACGATGCTGTGTCATGGCGAGCATCACTCCGGACAGCATGGCGTGGAAGGAAAGTTTCAACGCCGCGTTCCGAGGCGGCGGCGTCATGGGGTTCGCGCTCAGCGGTCTCGGGCTCTTGGTGATGTACTTTTTGATGTTGACGTTCAGCGTGGCGTACTCGTTCGAATCCGATGCGATAAAACTGTTCGAGTGCATCGCTGGTTTTGGGCTCGGCGGGAGCGCGATCGCCATGTTCGGCCGCGTCGGTGGTGGTATTTACACCAAGGCGGCGGATGTCGGCGCGGATTTGGCGGGCAAAGTCGTCGCCGGCATTCCTGAGGACGACCCGCGTAACCCGGCGACGATTGCCGATAACGTGGGTGACAACGTTGGCGATGTTGCGGGTATGGGTAGCGATTTGTTTGGCTCTTTCGCTGAAGCTACGTGCGCGGCTCTCGTCATCGGTGCGCAGTCCACGGATCTCGTGAGAGCTGGTTGGGATGCTGTCATCTTCCCGCTGTACATATCCGCCGTGGGTATCCTCGTGTGTATCGCCGTGTCATTCGTCGCGACGGATGTGCAACCCGTGCGTAACGAGATCAGCATCGAGCGAGTACTCAAGATGCAGCTCACGCTCAGTACGATCGCGATGACGGTGTGCATGTACCCCATCTGCTACATGTACATGCCTGATCAGTTCTACCTCGGCGGCAACACTTTTAACACCGCTTGCGTTGGTGACACGAGCAGTAAGTGCATCTCGAACGGCGCCAATGCCGCGTTTGCGTGCATTGCCTCTGGTTTGTGGGGTGGATTGATCATCGGTTTCATCACTGAATACTACACTTCGCACTCATACTTTCCCGTTCGCGAGCTCGCTCGCTCGACGGAAACCGGCGCCGCGACAAACATCATTTACGGTCTGGCCCTTGGGTACAAATCCACCATCGTTCCTGTATGCGTGCTCGCATTCGGCGTGTGGCTGTCGTTTTCTCTCATGGACATGTATGGCGTCGCGTTGTGCGCGCTCGGCATGCTTGGAACGCTTTCGACTTGTCTCACCATCGACGTGTACGGGCCGATTTGTGACAACGCTGGAGGTATCGCTGAAATGGCTGGCATGCCTGATGACGTGCGCGAAAAGACGGATGCGCTGGATGCCGCAGGTAACACGACGGCAGCCATCGGTAAAGGCTTCGCCATCGGTTCAGCTGCCTTGGTCTCTCTCGCGCTTACTGCCGCGTTCGTCACGCGATCGGGCGCGCTGGAGGATGGTGTCAATCTCCTCAATCCATCGGTTTTCGCTTTCTTGTTGATTGGTAGCATGTTGCCGTACTGGTTCAGCGCTATGACGATGAAGTCCGTCGGCATCGCCGCGATGGAAATGGTCAAGGAAGTCAAGCGTCAATTCGACACCATTCCGGGTCTTCTCGAAGGCACGCCCGGTCACGCCCCGCCCGACCACGCGCGCTGCATCAAGATTAGCACCGATGCGAGCCTTCGCGAGATGGTACCGCCCGCGGCTTTGGTCATCCTGGCCCCGATCATCACGGGAACCTTTTTCGGCGTTCGCGCCGTCACGGGTCTTCTCGCCGGAGGCCTCGCGTCAGGTGTGCAGCTCGCCATCTCCGCCAGTAATACGGGCGGAGCTTGGGATAACGCGAAAAAGTTTGTCGAGAAGGGCGGATTGTACATCGACGTCCCCAAGCGCGAGCGAGCGCACTCGGATCCGGTCGAAGGTCCGTACACCGGCGCCATCGTGCGAAATGTCGACGGTTCGCCACAACTCATTAGCGTTCGTCAACGCAAGGGTAGCGAGTGCCACAAGGCTGCCGTCATCGGTGACACCGTGGGTGATCCCTTGAAAGACACATCCGGTCCCGCGGTGAATATTCTCATGAAGCTCATGGCCATCATTTCCTTGGTTTTCTGCGATTTCTTCATGTCGATAAACTCGGGCAAAGGCTTGTTCCTCGCGGGCAACTAAAACAACACCATCACCCGGAGTCAACGCGCGCGTGCCTCTCTCGATACACCGCGCCCCGATTCATCATTCTCAATACACGAATACACGAATTGTCACAAACACACAGCGCATCGCATCGCTCGAATCGCGCGAGACGCGACTCGCGCGCCGCATTCGCCGCCTCGCCATAGATGCAACTCGATGCCTTCCGCAAAGCCACCGTCAAGGGCGTCGCCACCCGCGTCGGTGGCGCCGACGTCAAAAAGCTCAAAATAGAACTCGCCCGCGCCATGGGTGAGCGCTGCGTCGACGCGCTGCTGAAAAAGGGCGCGAGCGTCGACAGCATTCGCATGTCGAACCGCGCCTTAGTGTACGTCGTGGACGGTGTTCCGCTCTTCTTCGACCCCTCGGGCGGGCGATACGAGATGTTTCCCACGGTGTACGCCCTGTGGGCGCTCGGCGACGCGCACGCGCTCGCGCGCGTCGAGACGCACAGCGAGGTGTCGCCGAAGGTGTTGGGCGGCGCTGACTTGATGCTGCCGGGCGTCACGAGCGACGTCTCTGCTTGGACGGAGAACGAGTTAGCGGCTGTCTACGTGACCGGGAACGACATTCCGTTCGCGGTCGGAGTGATTGGGTGCGACGCCGCGCGCGCGGTTGCGAGCGGGATGAAGGGCGTCGGCGTGCGGCTCGCGCACGCGTACGGAGACGCGGTGTGGGCGTTGGGGGACAAATCGGCGCCCTCCGCGGCGTTCTCGCGAGGAAGGATTTACAAGACGGGAGAAGTGGCGCCGGAGACGCCGGCTTTGATTTTGGAGGAGGATAAGGCGCCCGAGACGGTGGCGGCGGCGATTGGCGCGATGACGTTGAGTGAGACGGCGCCAGGCGCGGAAGAGGAAGAAATTCACGACGTGAGCACTCCTGAAAAGATGGACGCGATGCTCGAGCGATGCTTCGCGATCGGGGCGAACAAGGTGAGCGATGCGGAATTGCCCATGCGATGTGAGAACTTTTACGCGAACTTTGTGCTTCCCGCGCGACCGGAGGGCGTGCAGCTCGACTTGAAGCACTCGACTTATAAGAAGCAGGCAAAGTTATTCAGCGTCATGGAGAAGAAACACAAGTTGATCAAAACAAAGTTGGTGCATAAGATTGAGAATATCGTTGCCATCGAGCGCGAGCACGCGTTGTTAGCCAAGTACGCCGTCGCGTCTACGCCGGAGGTTTCGATCGAGTCGGACGCAATCGCGCCGCCGATCGGCTCGGCGACGATCGAAGTGCAGAAGCGGTACAGGGCTTCCACAATGTATCGTCCTATCTTTGGACAGTGGGCGATCGAGAATAAGGAACGGCTTTACACCAAGACCGAGGCGCACGCCGCGTTGTCGAAATACGTCGTCGCCAACGCGCTCGGCGATGGCAAGCCCGGGAGCGAAGTAAAGCTCGATACTTTACTTGGGAAGGAATTATTCAACAAGAAAGAGGTTGAGTACGGTACGGACTCCCTGTACCCGCTCGATGACCTGTTCGAACGTCTCATCGGTAAGCTTCAGCCCCACGTTGTGGTGCAATCGACGCGCAACGGCGAGACGACAGAGTTCGTGAAGAAGGGCAGTCTCAAGCCAATCGTCATAAAAGCAGAAGACCGTGGACGTCGTAAATACATCACGCGAATCAGTGGCATGGAGACCTTTTGCATTTTGCCTGAAGAACTCGCCGCGATCTTGAAGAAGGAGTTCTCCGCATCCGTCTCGATCGACGATTTACCGGGCAAGCACGATCACGGAAAGGAACTCTCCATACAGGGCCACGTCGTCATCCAGCTCGCGGACTTACTCCGTAAGAACATGGGCGTGCCCGCAAAGTTTATCGACGCGCAAAACTAATATGTAATATCGGCACGATAACGAGGCATTTGTAACATCACCGCGAAGCGTGCGAGCGATCGTCGGCGCGACGACGAGAATCCAAACGCGCGCGCCACCACGTGCAAATCACCGCACCGCGCCACTACACGGCGCGCGCGCCGTCACCTCCGTCAAAAGGCAGTCAATGTCTAACCGCTTCCAGCCCCCTCCGCGCATCGCGCGCGCGCGTTCGCCGCGCACGGATAACGACAACTCCAACAGAGCCTCCAGAGAAGACTCGCCGCGCGAGGCGGCGGGCCAAAGTCGAAGCCGAAGTCGGTCGCCCGCGCGCGCGAGCGTGCTTTCGCTAAAACGGGATCAGATGCTTCCATTCTTGCGTAAACTGCGACCGACGTTCGTGTTCACGAACGATCGCGCGCTCTTGAACTTGTGCGGCGGCGGTTTGAACGGCGCAACGCGACCTTGTCGCGCGCGCGCCGAGGTCTTCAATCCGCTCGGTCTGTCCGTGTCGTGCAGCGTCAGCGCGACGCAGCTCGCGCGGTTCTTGCACGTACTAGTACACACGCCACTGGCTGTCGCGGGGCTGTTGCTCGCGGCGAAGTCGCTCGTCGAGCGCTCGCAAAGATTACGAGAAGAACGAGAAGCGCGCGAGGCGTGGCGAGTAGTCGAAGTGGAACCCGCGATACCGAGTGACATGGGCGTCGAACACGCGTTAGCGATGTCTATTCCTCTCGAGAACGACCGTTTAGCCGACGATGATGAAGACGAAGACGAAGTTTCGATGGCGCCCTCCGATTGGAGTTTTATTTCTGACGAATTCCAAGACGACGCGAGCGATTCGGAGGTGATTGATCGATAAATGACGCCACAAAGATGATGCGCACACGACTATAGCTATCATGCTACGTTCGAGTTGTGAGTTACTTTTTAACGAGACGAACGTACGCGCCGTCGATCGTGAATAAATCCTTTCTGCTTTTGATGAACTCTCCGAGCTTGAGCGGAAAGTTCTTCGGCTTCTTGACGCGTCCACCGAGAGCGGACATCATCGTCTCGGGGTTCGCCTTGAGATAGTCGACAATAAGATTAGCGTACTCGTCGCTGTTCATCTTCGTATCGGTCGTCGGCGTCTTGGGCGTCGTCGGTGCCTTTGCGGACGCAGGCGTGCTTTCCTTCTTTTGCTTTTTCGCCGACCCGCTCGGCGTCGAGGTCTCGGCCAACCGCTTGGTTGCAGATTTGATGACGTTGATGTCTTCAGAAACGTCCGAATCGGACGATTCGTCGTCGCTGTCGCTGTCAGCGTCATCGGAATCGCTATCGTCATTTGCCTCTGCCGCGTCGTCACCGTCGCTTTCTGAAGAATCGTCGACGTCGGAAGAACTTTCGCTGTCATCCGAGCGCTCGGACGCGGATTTTTCGTCCTCGTCGTCGCCATCCGACTCGTCGCTGTCGGATTCTGACTCGGACTCGTCGGAATCGCTCGCTTCCGCATTCTTTTTCGGTTTGTCGGACTCCGACTCGGACTCCGACTCGGACTCCGACTCGGACTCGTCGGGTTTCTGGCGCTTGTCCCTGAGCGCGGGCGATCGATCGAGCGTCTTGACCGGTTTGTCGGATTCTTCGCTGTCGGACTCCTCTTCGTCCGAGTCCTCGCTGTCTGAATCCCCGCCCACGACCTTGACCACGGCGTCTCGCTCCGGAACGGCAGGTTCGGAATCGGAATCGGATTCCTCCTCTTCATCGCTCTCGAGATCGTCCTCGCTATCGACACCCATAGCTTTCGCGAAAGCCTTATCGTCGTCACATTCGCTGTCGCTGAATAAATCGCCGTCGCTCGGCAAATTATCGACGTCGTACGGCGTCTCAAAGTCGTCGTCGTCGTCCTCCTCCTCCTCCTCCTCCTCCTCCTCCTCGTCGCTCGAGTCCGCGTCCATCTTCTCGTCGTCCGTCGCCTCCTCGTCCCCGTCCTCCGCCGCGTCCTCGTCGTCCGACGAATCCTCGCTCTCCCGTTCGCTCTCCTCGCTCGACGTCTCCCTCGCCATCGCCTCCAGCGTCCTCGCCTCCTCCTCCTCGTCGATCCCATCGTTCGCCGTCCGCCATCCCGTCACGTGCACGTCGTTCGGTCCCGTCGCTCGCAGCACGAAGCTCGCGTCCATCGCCACGTCCATCCCGACCTGATCGCACGCGTCGCGCGTCAGCGCGCACAGCGCGTGTCGCGCCCCGTCCCTCGCGCCGCTCGCCTCGGCGTCGTCCGCCACCGCGAGCGTCACCGTCGTGCGTCCCGCGCGCGCGTCCGCGCCGAGCGCCGCCTGCGAGACGTGCACGTACTCCTCGTCCGTCGCGACTTCGACGCGCACCGCGCGTCCCGCGGGGATGACGCACCCCCAGAACTCGGAGTCCATCGCGTCGAGCCGGTCGGCGCGCCGTCCGCGCGGGCGATCGCGCGTCGGCGTGTGCGCGCGCGCGCGACGGCGGCGCCGACGAGTCTCATGAGTTGTGGTTCACACACGGAACATTCATTCATTACTAGGGTTTACACACGGACTGCGACCGCGACCGTCGCAACACCCGCGCGACGAGCGACGCGAGACGCGAGCGCGCGAGCGCGCGCCGCGGCGACGCGACGCGAGCGCGAGCGCGAGCGCGCGCGTCGAACCATCGAACGCGAGCGACGACGGACGCGCGCGAGCGTCGCGATGGCGAACGAACGCTCGAGATTGATGCCGACGCGGGGCGATGGTGTTGACGCGCGGCGCGACGCGTCGAGGGGCGAGCGACGGCCCGGGGCGCGGTTTTTCGGGCCGTTTCGCGCGGGTGACGCCGTCGGTCGAGGGCCGGGGCGCGAGGGGGAGGGAACGGGCGCGCGCGGGCGCGTAGGGCGGGGAAGATGGGCGAGCGCGTGCGCGTGCGCGGCGCCGCTCGCGGCGGCGGCGGTCCTGGTCGGCGCGCGCGCGTACGCGAGCGCGACGTCGAGCGATGGGGGAGGATTGCGAGCGCTGGTGATGGCGCGGCATCGCGGGACGAGAGGCGGATGGAACGCGACGACGACGGAGGGTGGAGATGGACGCGAACGCGAACGCGCGAGCGAGCGGGACGCGAACGCGGCGACGCGAGGCGAAGGCGAAGGCGAGGCGACGGGGAGAGCGTCGATCGCGGCGACGCTCGCGGGAGAGACCGCGTCGTCGATGACGTCGAGTTATAGCGCGTGGGAGGGCGAGGAGACGAAGACGCACCCGAGCTCGACGTTCGACGCGGGGAGATCGACGGGGGCGGCGTTGCACGGGTGGTTACATTTAGAGGAGTGGTTCTTCGCGCAAGGCGCGTCGCACGACGTGAGCGCCGATCGCAGGGACGAGAACGGGGTGTGTTTTCCGCCGATGTTTCCCGACGCCGCGTCGTTGGGGTTCACGTGGTCGTCGGAGGGAGATTTAGTCAACAAGCTCGTCAAGCACTTTGGCGCGAAGTCGGCGGTGACGAGTTTCTCCGCGCATCGGGCGCAGTACATCACGGACGAAGACTTATTAGAAATAGCGTCGCAAGGGATCGAAATGGTTCGATTGCCACTGTCTTGGAGCATTTTCGCGAGAGATCCGGCCACGGTGCCTCGCGGCGGCGAGCGCATCCTCGTCGATCCCGTGTACCCGGATCGCTTGTTCGTCAACATGGCGGGCGCCGATTTAGACGCGGTGATCGAACGAATTCGCAACGCCGGGCTGAAGGTGTTGATTGATTTGCACAGCATGCCCGGCGGTGCGGCGGCTGGGACGTACAACGGCGTTTTCCCGCATCCGCCGATGATGTTCGCTCGCGACGATCTCAGTCGCACGGGGTTGCTCATCGTTCGAAACATGCTCAACTGGTTCAAATCGTTGCCGGAAGACTCTCGTCTCGCCGTACACGGAATCACGCTACTGAACGAGCCCGGGCACAACCTTCCGGCGCAAAGGTCGAAGGTTCTGCGTTGGCTCGCCAAGGCTGTGCAAACGTACAAGGATGAAATCGTCAACGACGGCGTGCCCGACGGCGAGCGCGTCCCGTACCTGTACGTCAACTTGATCGAGACGCTCGATCTGAACGTCGCGGACATGGCGGCTTGGATGCGTTCGCAATTCACGGTGAAAGAGCTCGAGTCATGGGCGGTGTTAGACGTGCATCATTACTTTGCGTGGTCGTACACAGGATGCATGGGCGGCACCAACGCGGGGTGCGCGTTTAGTTGCGACGACAAACCATCCGTCGTCGCGCAAAAAGTCGGCGAGCGCGCGGGCGAGTGGGCCGGTACTTTCCGAGCGGCGGCGCAGACGTACGGCGTACAAAATCTCGCCGTATCGGAGTGGTCGCTGGCGACGTTTTCGGACTCATCTCGCTCGTGCTCGAACAGGGAAGTCTTGGACATTATGTTTGAGCATCAAGAGCAAGCGTATCGGGGCGCCGGCATCCAGAGTTTCTTTTGGGGATGGAAGATGCCCCACGGTGGTTCGCACATCAAAGCGTGGTCGTTGAGCGATTACTTGGCCGGGCGAAGCGCGAGCGAACGTAAGCAGCACGCGCTGGTCCCGCACGGGTACTCGATCGAAGACACGCTCGAGTTACCGCAAGGCGCTTCCAAGGAGGATGCGGCGCGTCTCATTCGCGCGTACAGCCAGTTCCCGGACAAGCCCGCCGAGGATAAAGATAGCCCAGACACGATGAAGATTCAAACCAAGGAAATGTTGAAACTTTTGAGTGCAGTGGCGGGGCAGTCGACGGCGGCTGTGGGGGAGAGCGATCACGCCCGCCATCGACGCAGTCGCGGCGGGCCGTCCGCCGCCGACGCCACGGAGGATTATTTGCGCGCGAGTTCCAAGCTCAAGTCAATAATCGACACTGACGCGTACGACGACGACGACAACGACGATGACAAGGAAATCATCGTTGTTCGCCACTCGCATGTATCTGACGTAGAAAAGACGCCGGTTGGTGATCCGATCCGGCTGGACTTGCCGTCTCCGCCGCCGTCTCCGAACGTCACCGCGCCGGCGGACGTCGCGCTCGCCGCGGCGCAGCCGTCGCCATCGCCCGAGCCAGTCGACGATGGTTCGATCGACTCTTTGCTCGATCCGGCGAAAGATGTTCCTCCGCCACCGCCGGCGCCACCGCCGATGCCACCGCCGCCGCCACCGATGCCGCCGCCGAAGAGCGTGCTGCGCGCGCAACAACGAGCCGCGGAGACGCTCTCCGATTTGTCGCTCACCTCCGGGGAAGGGTTCTCGATTCCCGACGACGGCTTCGACGAGTCATCGAGCGTGAGTGCGTCCACAATCGATGGCTTCTAGCAGATGAAATTATATAGCACAGCAATTTCTTTACACATCAGTCTATCTAACGCCCGTCTGACCCGCTAAACGCGCGACGGAGTCGGGCTCTCGCAATTTGCGCATCACCGCAGGAGGAAGATTGATGAACATCTCCACCCCGTTCGCCCCTGCGGGGGCCCCAGTCGCGCGATCCGGTCGTGAACACTGGATTTGCACGATATCATTCAGCTCCGGAGGTAGCGCCAGGGTCGGACCGCCCGTGCCGAAATCCAAGTCGTACAACTTTTTGTAAATTTCAACCAAATTGTTGCACCACACCATTTGACCCTGCATGAACGCCATGATGTCGAAGTCGAATCCGTTCACACCCGCGCGAAACGCGGCTTCCGTGAGCATTAAGTATTTATTCCGTCGCATCATAGCCTTTGTGAATCCAGGTCGCAGACCGTCGCGAACTTGGGCTAGCGTCGAGTAGTCGCCCACGCTGACGCGACCCGTGACGACGCCGATGGCGGCGTTGCCAAAGTACATGTCCGGCAGACCCGTGCGTCCGCCTCGACCACTCACGACGGTGACGTGCTCTAACGGCGCGCCTTTCGGAAGATCGCACAGATCGGCCAAAGCCAGCCACGAATGCGCGCTCAACGCTTCGTTGTCGTTTGTCGCTCCCGATGCCTCGCGCAGGGCGCGCATGTTTTCTTCCTTAATGCTCACCATCATCCGATTCCCCGCGGGAAAACGCAAAAAGTCCGGGACGAGCGTGCGTCCGGCGAACAGCGCATTCGCCAGCATCGCCCCAGAGTTGATGTTATCGAACCCCTCCTCCGAAAGCATCGCTCGCATGTCCTCGACGGACATATCCGCCTCCGGCTGCGCCACGAGCGAACGATCGAACACGGGATCCCCCCACGGATGCGCCTCGTTGTTCGCCGCCTTCGCCCACGTCACTAAAAATTCAATAAATCCTTGTCCATCGCTCACCGCGTGCGACATGCACACCCCCAACACGCTCCCCCCGCCCGCGCACTGCGTCACCTTGGCCGTGAACACGGGCGCGTCTCCCAGCATCAAATCTATCCAAGGCGCGAAATCCAAAAACCGCCGCGTCGCGTCCGCGTAATCCCGCGGCAAATCCTCGAACTTCTGATCATCGTCTCTCACCACGCGCAACGGCACGCCGTCGTTCGTCAAACGCACGCCTTTATTCCACCATCCCTTCGTCTCTAAATCCAACCTCCCCGCGAGCATCGGATATTTGCCCAGCGCCGCGCGCAGCCCTCGCTCGAGCGTCCCCACGTCCAGCGTCTTCTCGTAATAGCACACCGCCTGCATCACGAACGGCACCTCCCCGACGTCGTATCCGCTCAACGGCTGCAACGCCGCCGCGCTCGCCGGCGTCCTGTCCGCGTCCGGCGCCCGCGCGACGACGCGGTCGAGCTCGACCTCGCGCGCGTTCGCCCCGTCCAAAAAATTCCTCGCCGGCACCATCAGCCCGCGCGCGACGCCGCGCGCGGCGGGTATCTCGATGAGCTTCGTGAACGCCCCCGCGCGTCGCCGCGTCGTCGCGCCGCGCCGCGCGGGCGACGTCGACCGAGAGCGACCCGTCCCATCGCGCCTTCGTCCCGAACCGCGCTCGCGTCGCGCGCGTCGACGATCGCGCGTCGCGCGCGCCGTCGAGCCCCGCGCGGTCGAGCACCGCGCGGTCGGCATGTCGCGCGCGCGCGGTCGCGCGCGCGGCGTCGCGGTGTCGCGAGTGGCGTCGCGCCGCCGCCGCCCATCGTCGGCAGTTCGCGACGCTCGGACGCGCGCGCGCGCGATGGAGCCGCCGCCGCCGGACGACGACGCGAACCGCAAGGACGGCGGGTACGTCTTCGTCCTCGAGCTCGCGACGCTCGAGACGGCCAAGGTTGGGAAAGGGTACGCGATTCTGAATTGCGACGACCACGCAAACTTCATCCGTCGACACGGGAAACAGCCGGGCGATCACCGACCGGACATCTGCCATCAGGCGCTGCTGGCGATATTGGACTCGCCGCTGAACAAGGCTGGGATGGTGAAGGCGATATACGTGAACACGCAGAAGAACGTGCTGTTCAGGGTGTCGCCGAAGACGCGCGTGCCGCGGACGTTTAAGCGGTTTTGCGGATTGATGGTGCAGTTGTTGCAGAAATTGAGCGTACGGTCGTCGAACGGACCGGAAAAATTGATGCAGGTGGTGAAACAGCCGGTGACGAAGTACTTCCCGGCGGGAGCGAGAAGGGTGGGGTTTTCGTTTAGCGCGCCCGAGGTGAAGAAATTGCCCGAATACGTCGAGGCGCTGCCGGAGGACGCGGCGGTGGTGTTTACGATCGGGGCGATGGCGCACGGGAAGGTTGATGTGGCGTACACGGATGATTTTATATCCGTGTCGCGGTATCCGCTCAGCGCGGCGTGCTGCATCGGGAGGATATGCAACGCGTTGGAGCTGAAGCACGACATCGTGTGACGAGCGACTTTGTCGTCTCGCGTCAAGCAAATCGAATCGTTCGTTCGCGCGTACGTCTTAGCTGTGTGTAATAGGAATAATGAAGTTATGAATCAACTTGATAATTTTCCGTTAAAACAGATATGGAAGGAAAAGCTAGGAAGAATCTTCTACCCCGGTAAACGTGTTTACCAGTACGTCCAGCGATCGAGCCAGCCCTTCGGGTTGGAGCGAATCAAAGACTTGCGCAACTCGTCGTACGTGAAGATCAAAATCGACCAAGGCACGCCAGAGAACCAGTGAAGGACGTGCAGCGGGCGCGTACCAAACACTTTGTTGAAGATGGGCGTGTAGCACAACGTGGCGCCGAGGACGGTTTCGAAGATCAAACCAAAGTTCATGAAGTCGTTACCCATGCCTTGTTCAAAGATGGACAACTTGCGAGTCTTGGCGATCATCAAATCGGCCCATTGGACGATGATAATCGTGATGAAGTACGCGGTTTGCGCGTACTCGAGAGCGGCGGTTTGGTAGTCGACGTTCGGTTGCGTCTGCGGAGCGCCGTTCCACCAGTAGTACGCGCCCGCCGGAGCGATGGCTTTATCGTCGACGTACCCTCTGGAGAATCCCCAGCCGGCCGTGTCACCGCCCAGGTTGGAAGCAGTGCCAGTGGTACCCGTGTCCGAGCAGAAATACGTGTACGCGGTTTGCTCGGCAGTAGAAAGCGTTGCAGATGCCAACGACGCGCAAGATCGGCCGCACGTGAGACCTTTACCGCGGAATCCATTCTCGTCGAATTCGAGGAACGGATCCACGGTGACTCCAGTCGCTCCATTCGTCGACACCAAGCGAGCAAGGAACGGGGACGCGAGATTGGCTGTGGTGCTCGGAACGTAATCGACCGGAATGGCGCATCCACCTTTGCACATGTTCGCCATGGTACCGGTCGAGTCAGCGCAGCCGAAACCGCACGCCTTCGGTCGGTAGATGGCGCGGCCTTGATTCGTGTCCACGATGCTGTCACCGTTGAGGGTGCAGAGCAAGGAGTTTTTGGTCCACTTCAAGCCGTTGCCCATCAAGATGCTCGGCGTGTAGCCGTAGTCGTTAAGGACGAGCATGTAAGTGAAGAAGCCAGCGAGGGCTTGGATGATACCGATTTGAAGGTACGCGAAAGAAATCAATCGGAAGTTGACGAGGCGATCCGTTTGCGCGTTGCGCGGCGGACGATCCATGATGTCGGCTTCCTTTTCTTCGTACGCCATGGAAATAGCGGGAACCATATCCGTACCGAGATCGACGCACAAAATAAGCACGGTGGTCAACGGAGACGGAATCTTGGCGGTGATGTAGCACAAGAACGGCGCGATTTCCGGAATGTTGGAAGAAAGCGTGTACGCGATGGACTTCTTGAGGTTGTCAAAGATGAGACGACCTTCTTCGACACCATTCACGATGGAGGCGAAGTTGTCATCCATGAGAATCATGTCAGCCGCTTCCTTGGAAACATCCTTACCGGCGATACCCATGGCGATACCGATGTCACCCTTCTTGAGCGCCGGGGCGTCGTTGACGCCATCACCGGTGACGGCGACGATTTCGCCGCGTCGTTGGCAGTTTTCGACGATCAAGAGCTTGTGTGCCGGAGACACGCGCGCCCAAACGATTTGCTTGTGATCGAGAGCCGCGTCCCACTTGGCGCGTTGAGCGACCGGGTCTTCAATTTCAGTCCACGCGCGAATGTCGTCGCCCTTCACGACGCAGGCTGTGCCGTTGTCGAGGTTTTCTTGAGAGACGATGTTCACTTGCTTCGCGATGGCCGCTGCGGTGATCGGGTGATCACCCGTGACCATGTAAACCTTGATGCGAGCGCGGTTGCACTTCGTCACGGCTTCCGGAACGCCTTCGCGCGGCGGGTCAATGAGAGAGAAGAGACCGACGAAGGTGAGGTCATCGATCGGGAAGTTCGGCTTCGGCTTTTGGGAAAACTTGAAGTCATTCTTGAATCCAGAGAGTTCCTTGAACGCGAAACCGAGGACGCGCTCACCGCGACCGCCGAGATCTTCGTAAGACTGCGTGTAGGTGCGCTCGAATTCGGCATCCTTGCTCGACGTCTTACCGTTGGAAAAGTACGACGTGCACTTGGCCAACACGCGCTCCGGCGCACCCTTGAGCACGAGCAGAGGCGGACGGCCGCCCGGTTGCCCGTGAATGGACAGCTGCCACTTGTTCGTCGAGTTGAACTTGATTTCGAACAACTTCGGGTACTTGGCGCGGGTGTCGAGAGCGTCGTTGAGCGGCTGAACCAACTTGAGCAAACCTTGTTCGGAAGCGTCACCGGTGGCCGGTTGCTTGAGAATATTGAAGTTCGGGTTCATCATTTCAGCCTTGAGGTCGATGAAGGAGCCGTCTTCGCTCTTCGTCAAGTACTCGGCGTTGTTGCACAAAGTGGCGACTTGGAGCAAGCGTTGGAACGCTTCCGAAGACTGATCGTAGAACGGTTCACCATCCGGCGTTTGGCCGGGTTCAGAGATAACCTTGAGATCCGGGATATTTTTACCCGCCGGGCAGAAGTAAACCTTGTTGTCGTACCACGCGTGTTGCACCGTCATGCGGTTTTGCGTGAGCGTACCCGTCTTGTCGGAGGCGATGACAGTCGTCGAACCGAGAGTTTCGACGGCTTCGAGGTTCTTCACGAGCACGTTCTTCGCGTGCATGCGCTTGGCAGTCAAAGCCAAAGACACAGTCACGGTGGCGAGGAGACCTTCCGGCACGTTGGCGACGATGATACCAATCATGAAGACGACGTTTTGAATAATCGCCGTCCCGTTGGTCAAACCGACGACAAAGAAAACGATACCGAGCGTGATGGCGACGATAGAAATGAGTTGGATGAACTTCTTGATTTCCTTAGAAATCGGCGAGTCTTCACCGCTCGTTTCCGTGGCGAGACCAGCGATTTGACCCATGACGGTGCGATCGCCGCTGCCGATGACGACGCCGCGACCGGAACCAGAGTTGATGATCGTCGTGTAGAAGCACAAGTTCGTAGATTCGAGCGGCTGCGTGACGATGTTACCATTGGAGTCGACCGCGAGTTCCGGAGTACGATCTTGCGGCTCAGACTCACCGGTCAAAGAAGAGTTGTCAACCTTGAGTTCGTTGGAGCGCATGACGCGAATATCCGCCGGGACTTGGTCGCCGTCGTTGAGATCGACGACATCACCCGGAACGAGCTCCCAGGCATCGATGACGACAGCCTTGCCGCCACGGATCGCCTTACACTTCTTCGGGATCATGCTCTTGAAACCCTCCATGATGGCTTCGGACTTGGCTTCTTGCAAGAAGGAAAACGTCGCCGTAATCATGACGACGGTGAAGAGCACCACGCCGAGATACAAGTTCGTTTGATCCTTTTCACTATCGATGGCGTAACCAACGAAGCAAAGCACCCCACCCCCGAGAAGCAAGAGCGCGAAAAAGTTCGCAAACTGCATCAAAAACTTGATGTACCACGGCGTCACCTCGGGAGGCGTCAGCCGGTTTTCGCCGTACTTGGCGCGGTTCTCGAGCACGCGCTCGTTGGACAAACCATCTTCGAGCGTGCATCCAAAGTGCGCATAGAGCTTTTCCGCCGCCCACGTGTGTTCGACGAAGTCGACATCCTTACGGAGCGCCGCGGCGCGTTCCGCTTTGGCCGCCGCCTTGGCCGCCGACATCGCAAACCTCTACTTAAAGCGCTCGCGTCTCCAGCGCACGCGTCAACCTGTTTTTCGCGAATCACGCGCGTCGATCGTCAGTACGCTTTCCCCGAACGCATCCCGCTCGCCCGCCCGCCCCCCAGCGCCTCGCGCGCGCGTCCACGACCGCCGTCCGCACCGCCCCGCGACCGCATATACCCCAATCGATCAATCCGCCGCGAACCCTCCCCTCGCGCGCGCGCGCGCGTCCCGTTCGCCCCGTTCGCGCGCGTCCCCACCCCGCGCGATATTCAACCACCGCGCGCGCGCCGCGCGCGCGCCCACCTCCCCGATCGACCGCGCGCGCCGCGCGTTTCCCCCGATCGACCGCGCGCGCGTTTGCCCTCGCGCGCGACGTCGCGCGATGTCCACCCTCCCGCGCGCCGCGCGCGCGCCGCGCGCGCCGCTCGACGCGCGCGCGTCGCGATAATTTCCACGCACCTCTCTCGCGTCGACGGCGTCGAGATCGCCGCGCGTCGCGCGACGCAGACTGCCGCGCGCGCGCCGTCGGCGGTCGCCGCGCGCGCGAGGCGCGCGCGCGGACATAAAAGCCCGCGACGCGCGACGTCGTCGTACATAAGCGCGCGCGGAGCGTATGCAGCGCGCAAAACGACGCGCGCGAAAAGTCGACCGACGCGCGGCGTCGCTTCGATCGACGCGTCGTTTTGCGCGACTCGTATTCAAGGGAAGGTTTTACCATGTAATCGCTGATGAGTCTTGACTCAAGTGGTGGATGGGGTCGGCGCGGTCGGTCGCGCGCGCGCGCGGCGACGACGCCAGCGCGCGACGCGCGGCGATCGCGCGCATGGGGGCGTGCGCGAGCGCGAGGTGCGCGAGCGATCGCGAACCGAGTCGCGACGCGCGCCGGCGTCGCGGTGACTGCGCGCGCGCGCGGGCGCGAGCGCCGAAACGCGCGCGGATGCCGACGCGGTGGTTACGCGCCGCGGCCGACGACGACGACGAGGGACGACTGACGACGACGACGCTGTTCGGCGATGCAGGCGGTGCCGGCGCGGGACGCACGCGAGCGCGCGCGAGGTGCGGCTGGGAGACGCGATGTACGCCGCGCTGCGACCGCGGGGGGCGACGAAACCGGGAATAATCCTGCGCGCGGTCGTTCGGGACGGGTTCGGGAGCGCGGAGGCGAAATTGGAGAAGCGCGTGATGGCGCGCGCGTTGGGGCTCGGACGCGATGACTGGGAGCGTTCGGTGGTGTTTCGACGGTTTCACGCGATGTGCGATCAGTTCGGGCGCGGGACGGTGCGATTGTGTGATTTTTGGCGGGCGTGCGCGAGCGTTCGATGCGGCGCGCTGTGGACGCCGACGCGACTGGACGCGGTGATCGATCGGCTGACGCGGACGGTGCGATGGAAGAGGTTGTCGGATGAGGAAATACGGTCGGTGTTTGCGTTTTTGATGACGTCGTTCGATGAGGAGCGGTCGGAGATTATTGGCGATATGGATTACGAGACGTTTGCGCGAGACGTCGAGCGCGGCGCCGATTTGAAAGAGGCGTACGCGTTGTGCGATGAAATCATGTCCATCGGTACGGTCGCAGGGCAGCTTTTGGAGATTTTGAACAATCCCGCGATAGACACGTTCAGCGACGACACGGAGTGGATCGGCGCGAGCGCGTTCGACGCCGGCGCGCGGCTGTCCAGTTCGCGCACAGAGAGCGGCTCGCGCGCGTCGTCGTCGCCGTTCGCGCGAGAGGCCGAGGTCATGACGGCGGCGATTCGGGCGTGCAAACTGAATCGTACGTACGAAATGGAACGTTTGGTCGATGCCGAGGGCTTAGACGTTGACGCGCGCGACGAGACGAGCGATGAGCAGACGTTGCTCATGATCGCCGCCGCGAACGGGAACAAGGCGACGTGCAAAAAGTTACTAGTGCTCGGCGCAAATCCAGCCGCGAGAGACGTTCGAGGGCGAACCGCGGTCGATATCGCGGGGAAATATAATCATTTCACGCTGGCGGAATATTTACGCACGCACGGCGTGCCTCTAGGAGTGGAGACGTCGGACGAAGAATCGCATTACAAGAGTGGGAACGATGCGAAAGCCGATTTCGGTCGCGATGATTACGTCGCACCGTCGATGGCGTCACCGACCGCACCTCCGTTGGAAGTCGAACCTGGAGGCGGCGCGCGGGGCGGCGAATCTGAACTCCTCACGCCGGACTAGTAGACTCACACAACGTAGCGAACGATAGCCCTAGGCGCCGCCGTGATCTCAATACATCATAGGTGCGCACTCTTCAAACTCCAATCGTCGCAAATCCGATCCGTGCCAAAGCGCACCGAGCCCGGGCGGCGCCTCAAACTCGTGCACTGCGCCGTCCATCTTCGTCGGCCCCGCGGTGCTCGGCCCGTGCCGCCGCCGATGCTCATCCCAATTCGCGATGTAGCACTTGCACGAACAAAAGAACGCGCGCTCCCAAGCGTCGAACGCCACTTTCTTCGCCCGCGCTCGATAAATTTCCAAGCACTGCGCGCACTCAAACGTCTCGTCGCACCGCGCGTCGCACCCAAAGCAAAGCGTCGTCGCGCACTTCCCCTTCTCCAACTTTTCCCCGTGTCTCCCGAACTTCACCTTGCTCTCCGCTTTATTCGGATCCAATCCCGCCCGCCGCATTTTCGCCGCGTTCTCCGCCGTCGCGCGTCGCCAAAACCCCTCCCACGATCGCTCGTCGACGTCCGTCGCGTCGCCCAGCTCGTCCTCGACGTCGCGCTCGAATCGCGCTCTCGCATCCCTCTCGCGTCGCTCGCGCGCGTCCTCGTCGCTGTCCGACGCGTCGTCCGGTTCGTACGGATCGTTCGCCATCTTCACCCCTCGCGCGCGCGTCGTCGCGCGTCGTCGTGCGCCGCCTCGCGCCGCGCGCGCCCGTCGCGTCGCGTCTCCGCGCGGGCGTTTTCGCCAGAAACGCTCCGCGCCGTCCACCGCGCCCGTGACGACGCGCTCGACGCGGCGTTCGCGCGCGCGTCACTCGATCCGGTGATGTGTTCTTTATCGATTTTTTTCGCGTCGCGTCGCGCGGACGCGCGCGACGCGCCCGCGCGACGACCGCGACGCCCGCGCGACGCGCGCGTCGCGACGACTCAAAACTCGCCGACCTCGCGCGCGGCGCGGCGCGCGCGCGTCGCACTCGCGCGCGCGCCGCCCGACCGCGAACCCGCTCGAGCGCTCGATGGAAACGATGTCCGCGTTCGCCGACGCTTTGCTCGGCGCCGGCGCGCCCGCGACGACGCGCGCGGTCGACGCGACGGCGCGCGCCGATCCGATCGCGCGCGCGCCGCCGCGGGGCGTGACGCGCGTGACGTGCGAGCGCACGGGATACGTGATGACGAAACCGTTCGAGGCGAACAATCCCATGCCCGAGGCGTTCGATCAGACGTGCGAGTACATCGTGGCGATGCTGAACCCGGTGATCAAGCCGAGGGGGGAGGGGGTGCGGAGGCCCGCGAGCGACGCGAGCGAGGGCGGGAAGAAGAAGGAGAAGAAGGAGAAGAGACCGGCGGCGGCGGCGGCGGTGGACGCGGATCCGATGGAAAAGGCGAAACTCGTCGTCGGACGCGTGATCGAGGTGGGACGCGTGGAGAATAGCGATAAATTGTATCTGTGCAAGGTGGACTGCGGCGAAGAGAACCCGAGGCAAGTCGTCACGGGGTTGCGCAAGTTTGTCCCGGAGAGCGAACTGAAGGACGCTTTGGTGCTGACGATTTTGAACTTGAAGGTGGCGAAGTTGGCGGGGCAAACGTCCGAGGCGATGATTCTGGCCACGGAGTTCGAGGTTGACGGCGAGACGAAGGTGAAGCTCGTGCGCGCGCCCGAGGGCGCCGAAGTCGGCGCGCCGGTGACGCCGACGGGGATGACCGCGTCGGAGACGTACCCGAAGGAGTGCAAGAGTAAGTTTTGGGATGCCGTTAAGGAAAAGCTCGTCGTGAAGGATGGCAAGGCGGTGTACGACGACAAGGTGCTCGCGTGCGCCGCGGGTGAGTGCACGGCGCCAGAGACGCCTTCGGGGTCGTCCATCAAGTAGAGGAGCATTTATTTACGCCGCGTCGGTGTCGCTCGCGACGTATTAGTTGATGATCGAAATGAAAGAATGAATTTCAAAGACAGATCGAATCCGATCGAGCACCGACGCGCGTCGATTACGCGGCTTCGATTACGCGGCTTGATTACGCGGCTTCGATTACGCGGCTTCGATTACGCGGCGCTACCCCCACGAGACCGCGATCGAGTTGATTTCGCCCGGCGTGCCTCCCTCTTCGTATGAACTGATCCAGCTGAACGGATCGTTCGGATCTAGACGAACGTCGATGAGCTCGAGGCTGTGTCCACCTTCCGAGGTGTCGGGCCACGGGGACTTGTCGTCGTACGTCAGCTCGTACACGGTTTCGTTGGACGCGTCCAAAAGACGAACCGTCTCGCCCTTGGCGGTGAGTCCAAACTTGAAGCTCCCTCGGACGAGCGCGTCGAGCGCGTTGTCGCGGTCGCGATACGCTGTGCGAAACGCCATTTCGTCGCGCGCGAGCACGGCGAACGATTTCGGGGCGAGCTCGAGTTCGGGCAGCTCGAACCAATGACCAACCGCGACTTCGGGATTCTTTTCGATCGCGCGCGCGCTGCGATCGGTGAACGCCCAACCGGTGAGATCTACTTTGTCGGTTTCACTCGGGTTGTAAATTTCGATCCAGTCCCCCGAGCCCGCGGTCTCGCCCTCCGTCGCGTCCGCCGCGTCGAGTTGTTCGTAAGAAATCTCAGTAATCTGCGCCGCGCCGTATCGCGTCACCTCGCGCGGTTCAGCCGGTATCGACGTCGCCTCCGCGACGACGACGCACATCGCGACGATCCACGCGCTCGACCACCGCATGCTCGATTATGAAGCCCTCGGAGCGCGCCCTCGGAAACGTCACCACCCAACCGTCTCGCGTCGACTCGCGCGTCGCTCCTCCACCAGCTCCAACCCCAGCCCCCGCCCGTCCGCCGTCCGCAGCGTCAGCGCGTACATCAGCACCCTCGCTCGACTTCCCGCTCGAATCTCGACTTCCACCGCGCCCTCGCCCGCGCTCACCCGGCACGCGAAGACGTCGTCCTCGAGCGCCTCCACCATCCCGCGCACGTCCTCCCCCGCCATCTCCGCCGCGCGTCCGCCGATCGCGCGCGCGCGCTCGCATCGAAACACGAGATATCGCGCGCGATACCCCAAGTCTCCGGGCTCGCACAGCGTCTCGCCCACGCACGGAAAGCACGCGCACGCGGTCCACATCCGCAGCGTCGCGCGACACGCGTACGTGCGATCGCGCGCGCCGTACGACGATCGATGGCTCGGCGCCATGGCGATCGATCTACCGCGCGCGCGTCGCCGCGCGTCGCGGCATCGCGTCGCCGCGTCGCGTCGCGTCGCGATTCGGCGTCGCGCGCGAACGCCCGCGCGCGGCGTCGCGCGCGCGGTCGCGACGTCGCGCGTCGATCGACGACGCGAGGTTCGACGCGCGCGCGCGACCGTCGCGCCATCGATCGACGGCGGACGGTCGATCGATCGCGAGACCGGTGACGCCGCGCGACACACGGACGAAGCGAATCTCGCGATCGAATCCCCGCGCGAGGCACGCGTCGCGCCGCGACGGCGGATCGCGACACACACGCGCACGCCCACGAACGAGATGTCCCTCGTCGCCGCCCGCGCGATCCGAATCACCGCCGCGAAGGCGCCCGCGCCGAGCAAGCGCGCGGCGACGCGCGCGACCGCCGTCAAGGCGCGCGTCGCCGACGTCGTCGATCGCGTCAAGCTCCCCGCGATGACGCTCGCGGCGCAGATCGCGTGCGCGGTCCCGGCGGCGCACGCCGAGGCGGGGAAGCTGTTCGACTTCGATCTCACGCTGCCGATCATCGCGACGGAATTTTTGCTGCTGATGACGATCCTCGATAAGACGGTGTTCGGGCCGGTGGGGAAGGCGCTCGACGATCGCGACGAGCTCATTCGATCGCAGCTCGCCGCGGTCGGCGGGAACTCGGCGGAGGTTGAGGCGTTGATCGTACGTTTGAGCGACGCGACGCGCGCGCGCGAGCGAGAAACGCGCGCGAGGAGTTTTTTTTTGTGCGGGACGCGCCGGGGGGGGGGGGCGGCGCGAATCGCGGGCGCGCGCGGCGCGAATCGCCGACGGCGAGATGGGTCGTTTGGGGTTTATCCAAACGGGCGCGCGCGGGGCGCGAACGGAACGACGACGCGAGAGCGCGAGTGACTGACGGTGTGCGTTAAATTTTGGTATCGATGATAGGCGGAGAAGGAAAAGGTCATCGCGAACGCGCGCGCCGAAGTCGCGAACGAAGTCACGGCGATGAAGGCGAAGATGGACGCCGACGTCGCCGCCGCCGCGGATAAGGCCAAGGCGGAGGTTGACGCGCAAATCGCGCAAGCGATGACGGCGTTGGATGCCGCGAAGAAGGATTCGGCGAGCCAAGTGGATGCGCAAGCGTCCGCGATCGCGAACCAAATCATCCAAAAGGTTGTGAACGTTTAAGTGCGCCGCGCGGGGTACTTAAATTACGACGACGAGCGCGCGTAGCGGGGCGCGCGCGCGAAAGCGCGCGCGACGCTCGCGGCGATGCGCGCTCGTCTTCTTAGCCAATATCAGCCAGAGCAAACTATTAGCATTCAATTCCTTTGAACAACATTGTAAAAGATCGCGAGGTCTTCACCAATCACACAGACGACGGCGGCGAAGGTGGTTTACGTAGAAATACAATACAATACTGTACAATCGACCGAGGACCGGACTCGCGCGTCCCGCGGCTACTAATGCTACATACTGCGATAATTCCTCGGATACACCCGCGATCCGCGCGCGCGATGGTTCTTCATCGCAACGCCACCCGTGACTTCTTGGGTTTCTTCTTTGACGGCTGGTTTTCGTCGTTCGCGTCGTCGCGCGCGCGCGCGAAACCCACCCCTGCGAAGGCGGCGCGAAGACGCGCCGTCGCGAAGACGAACGCAGTCGCGTCTCCCGCGGCGGTCGCGGCGACGGCGCGATCGAGCGCGCCTCCGGCGACAAAGTCGTCGGTTTTATCGTCAGCGATCGCGCGCTTCATCGCGGCGTCGGCTTCAGACGTCGACTCGTCGGCGAAGGCTTGCGCCGCGCGCAAGAGATACAGCCGCGCGGCTAAGCAAGGGAGTCGCAACTCGCGACGCGCGGCGTCGCACGACGCGCGTTCGCACGCCGTCATGATGTTGGCAAATCGCACGACACCACCGCACTCGTGCGCGCTCATGAGCGCGTTGACGAACGAAGCGCCCCCATTCGCGAGCGCGCTGGCGCACCAACGCGCCGTCGCCTCGAAGGCGTCCTCGCCGGCGCGTTTGGACACGCGCTCAGATACATCGGCGGCGTGTGCGGCGGCCCAAGAAGCAGAAAAAGTTACTGCATCTGCGAGTGCGCGAGAAGTCTCGCGCGTGCACCGCTTGGCGTACTGACCACCGCCTTCGGAAGTCACGACGACTCTGAACATGTCGTCTCGGAGCGCCGCCGCGTTAGGCGCCTCATCCGCCGCGCGACACAAACGGGCGATTTCCACGGGATCGCCGACTTCAGCGATGCGCCGGCGTAATCGCTCCGCAATTTCTATGTGAAGCTTCAAGTACGGTCCGAGTGCCGCGCGACGACTGGCGATTTCGGCGTGTGACGGGGCGTCGCCGCGCAAGAGGGCGCCGCGAATTGTTTGCAACGCCGACAAATAATCCGCCGCCGTACCCGTCGGACCGAGATAAATCGAACCTTTCTGGCGGATCAGCGCCACAAGTGCTTCAACGGCTTTTCTTGCCGTTGCCGCTCGCAAGTTGGAGGATTCACCGGAACGAATCCCGTGCTCATCGTCGACGCACGCCGCGCGCGCCACAGAGGCCAACCAAGCGATCAAACCGCCGCCTTCGACGAGAGGTCGGGCGGCAAATTGCACGGCGCACGCGCGCGAGATGAGATCAAGCATGAGGAACCGCACGAAAGGCTCCGCTAAGGTCGTGCTGTAATGACTCATCACCACCTCCAAGGCGAAAGTTTTACGAAACATCGTGGCGTCGACGTCATCCTTCAACGACGCTCGGAGCAAGCGAAGGATCCAAAAACGGTGCTGTCTGGCGTCAACATCACCGCTGTTCAGCATGGGAAGAAACATGGGAAGACCGTCGAGATCGAGCGCCGCGCGCTTGTTGAGTTGCCTCTGAAGCGGTAAGAAGGTATCAAGTTCGGGGTACAAACACGAAATCATGCACTCAGCCGTGAGCACGGCGCTCGGCGAGGGCCAACGAATCAACGCCTCGCTCGTCGCGTTTCGTATCGCGCTCAGGCACGCCAACACTTGAGTTCGCTCGCGGAACGACATCATTGGATCACTAACCCGATGCTCCAACGTCGATAGGATAGCGTACGCCACTCGGCGCGTGGCTTCATCGTGAGATGAAAGCGCGGCCGCCGCTAGCGGGGCGAGTCCCCACGCGATCGCCTCGCGCGGATCCATGGCATCCGTCATGAGCGAGCGCAGGGCAAAAGGAAGGACCCACGAAGGGTCGTATCCAAAAGAAACGCACTCATCGAGTGTTTCATCCGACACCATGGCCGTTGAAGGTGGCGTTGATCGCGTCACAGGGTAGCGATTAGCCGTCGCCGCCGCGCGGCGCGCATCGGGCGGCGAACCCTCTCGAATAGCGGACGCCACAAGCGCTGGAGACGGCTCGGAGTAAAGCAAATCTTCGACGTCGTAGCTTTCGTTTTCATTTCTGCGAATTGCGATCGTCGCTTTCACGAAGTGCGTCACTGACTCGCCCCAGAGGTATCCGAGCGACCGCAACGCGCCGCCGCCCGTGCTCGCGTCGATGGCGAGCATCAAGTCTTGCGCGACGCGATCGGTTTCGCTCATCGTCGCGCCGTATCCCGAAGCGAGCGTTATGAGTGTGTTCGCTCGTTCAGCGCGCCACTTTCTGCACGCGATCGTCTCGTTTGCCCCATTCGCATCTTGTAATTTCCAGAAAGAGTTCAAAACGCGCAACAATTCCAGTTTCAACTCACTCGAGTTTGACGCCACCGCGCCGGTTTCAAACGCTGACGTATCCTCGACGACTTCGATAATCGACTTAACGGTGATTGGCATATCGCGAACATTTGCGGGTAACGTCGCATCGTCATCACTCGACCCGGTTGTGAGAACGCGCGTGAACAGGGGATGCGCGACGATTTGCGAAACGACACCCTCGGCGAGCGTTTGCATGCCGAGGTGCGTTTGCGTCCTGATCGACTGGAGCTCGTTTAACACGGCACCAATTCGCCCGATGACGCCAAATCGTCGATGCGAGCGGAACCTATGCGCGATAGACTGCAAAATGAACGCTTCGCACGCATTTACGAGCCGATTCAAAACGGGCGCGCTCGGACTCGAGAGCGGTCGTCGTTGAATCTCATCCAGCGCTCTGGTTAAGGATTCGGCGAGGTATTTTTCCGCCGAAGCGTCGCGCTTGATCATTTTGTTGGTAGGTGTCAAAGCCGCAAGAGATTGGAGCAGACATGTCACGAGCCTGAGCTTTTCGTCGAGTGCATCGCTCTCGACAAAGACCCTCACGGCAATCTGCGCGCGAATGATTTCGATGTCGCTTTCGCGGGTCCAGCCCTGTGGCGGTGTTGCGCGTTCGACGAAGCGCTCGTACTCAGACGAATCAGCACTGAAGGGTGCGATTTGCAAGCATGAGACCAGTGTTCCGACGGCGTGGTTGGATATGGACGATGATATGACGTCACCATCCTCGAAGCACGCGTCGATGAGGAGATTTCGGTACTCCGTCGCCAAGTCTTCGGCATTCGGCGTAGTGTGGTAGAGCGCGTTCCAGCACATCGCTCGTTCGCTCAGCGGCAACAGTTTGAACAGATCATCGTGTGATAAGCTCTTCGTGGATACGTCTGTGAGATACCATGACGCAAGCGACTCCGAGTGCGCTAAAAACGAGGCCGCCAATTGCACTCTGGCCTCCGAGCTGTGATCATTCACAACGCTCTGAACCAAATCCAAAGCCTCCGGCACCGCGGCAAAGTCCGGTGCCCTTCCAGAGAGTACTTCTCTTGATTCGAGCGCGTGCAGTGAGTCGATCGCAGCTTTTGCTACTCGACACGACGTTCTTACGAGAGAATCAGTCGAGGCTTCGCTCAACGCGATGCGAACGGCAAAACGAACAGCGTGCATTCGCACAGGCGAGCTCGAACTCGGCGCGTCCACGACGGCTTCGGCAATTAGAACGGCCACTTCCGGCATTGAATTCGCTTCGCTCATCTCCAAAAGGCTCAACTTTTGTTCGTTCGATGCCAAAGCTACCAGTGAAACGTTCAGGGAACCGATTTTGGACACTTTTTGGAACTTCGCGTTTATTGTGGACGTCAAACTCTCCACCGAACGCAGGACGTAAGGCCGGTAGAGTTCGCCTTTGCCATCACACGCGAGAGCAGCGCCAAACATTACGAGATCCGACACGGCGGAACTTGTTGAATCGTCTAAAATGGCGTACATTGCTGTCGTTGCGAGCAACACGACTTGAACTTCGCGTAGTAGGTCATGACATTCTTGTCGCGCACGACTGAGCACGACTTTACAGAGCTCGATAAGTCGCGACGTTGTCTTGGCGTCGCCGCGCGCGTGGTTCCATTTGCACCAAAAGACGAGCGCGCGAGAGGTGCGGACAACCTCACGCAACGGGCACATCGCGATCGCACGCGAACAAAGCTCGTACGCCGGCGAAGCGTGAGTCATACTCATACCCAACACGGGACGTGGTCCAGACGCGCACGCCGCGATTACGTCGGCTGCCGCAAGGCTGTTAACGAGCGCCGTCGTCAGTTCAACGTTTTCGTCGACCGTATTCACCGTGCCGTAGAGAGTTAGACAGGCTAATTCTGCGCTGATAAATCCAATCGTTGGAATATGGGCATGCGCGCAGAAAAGCACCAGTCCTCGATCCTCCGGAGAAAGCGACGCCAAATGTCCGAGCGCTTCAGACAGTTCGCTGATTGACCACTCATTCGGGCGTTTTCCTCGTGGAACGGAACCGGAGCGAGGGACCAATTGTTGCTCGACTGTCTCGCTCGTACAGTTGCACAAAAACTCGCGAAGCGACCCCATTGCCACGTACGCTCCAGCTACTTCATCACTGATGGCTTCAAGTGCAATTGACGCGAGCGCCCAAGGATCAAAGCTCGTCTGTACGATGCTCATCAATGCGGATGCCGCGTACGCACTGACGGAAAGCTTAAACGCGCTATCACGTTTTTCACTTTTAAGCACTTTGACGATGCTCTCGCACGCTGTCACGGCGAGCGCACTCACTGAAAGCGTCGCGGCGTTGAGGTAATCGTCGGACAAATCTTCCACGACGTACCGCTCAGGGCGGTTATCTTTCGTTTCCTTTAACGCGGTTTGTATCACCGAGTCGTGCTTAAATCGTCGTCGCGCCGCCGCAGTCGTGGCTTCCGCCAAAAACTCGGTGCATGACATCAAAACATCGCGAGAGTATTCAAAGCCATCGACCTTGAAAGACGTTAGTTTATCAATCCACACGTCGGCTTCCGCAGTGCGACCGTCCAACGCTCCTGAAGTCACCAAGTAATGCTTCGCAAGACGTCTTGCTGACGCACGAGCATCAGGCGATGTGGCAAAAATCACGACGCGCAAAACAGATAGCAGGTGTCCCTGATTGACGCCTGATTCCTGGATCAACGTCGTCGTCGTCGACACGTCATCGCCCGCCGCCTCCTTCAAGCCCCTAGCGGAGCAAAGCACGCGCACGACAGCCGCAAGCTCTGCCGGTGCCAAGCTTGTGGGATCATTTGTAGGCAGTAATTTGTTCACATCGACCTTCGCGTCCACGAGCGTCTCGGGAATGACGCTTATCTGCGTCGCCATTGCGTTGAGGGCGTGGCATCGCGCGAGCAACGCCGCCGTGGCTTCCTTTTCGGACGTACTCAACCCCTTGCTCGCCGTGTACGCAGTCATTATGGACTGAATTTCCGGTAAGTATGTCGTCGCGGCTAATCGTGCGTACGACGCTAACTCTTCTACTCGCCATATCTGATCGCTTCCACTGTTTCGAGCGTCTACGATGGCGGCGTCCAAGTGCGTCAGCCGCGCGGCGACTGCTCGCGTCACTTGAACTAATAAACACAGCGAGCCGTGCCTAATGATCGGCGAGCTGTGCGCTAAACCTTTTGACAAGGTCTGTTTACTCACACCTGGTGGTAGAACGGCTTTGATAAACGCCGAGCCTTCGCTCTCACCGACGACGCTTGAGGCTTCGAGTCGAGCCGCCGCCGCCGAAGATGCTGCATCTTTACCTGCGGCGACGGCTATTCTTCCAAGTAGACTCGCGCTGTTGAGCCAATGCGCGGACAGGCGTGGCTCTAAAGTGTACTTCGCTCCCGGCAAATACATCGTCGCGAGCAATGGATGCGTCTCGCACGCGAGGAGAAGAATCTTCAAGTGCGCGTCGCATTCAATCGGTCGAAGCTTTTGTAGGAGTCGAACAACTGAGGCGCACTTTTTCGACGATGTCGTCGATCCGTCGGGCACTAACCCGTGTGCCGGATCCGTGAAAAGCTCCGAAAGCACTCTCGTCGCCATCGCCGCAACTCGTCCTGACGTCGATTCCTCGTCTTCGCTCTGCCCCGCGATGGTGGCGAGCTGTTCAAGGGTGACGTCTCCAAACAAAGCCGCGCGAAGCCGCGCGGGTATACCACTATCACTCGCCATCACGTCCTCTTTCATGACTTCTAACATTCTGAACTGCATTTCTGCCTCATCACCAGCCGCGAAGCGCGCCACGTTTCCAAACAACACGCGCTGCGCTAGCACCGGACGCAGCAACGCGCGATCCTTTGTGGAGAAAAACGCAAGTACGAACTCACAAAACGCCCTTCGCGTCGATCCCGCGAGAACATCACTCGGCTCCTTCTTACGTTTCGACGAAACACCACCATCTCGCACCTCTCGCGGCGGCGACGCAATCTTAGGCAACGCCGCGAGCGAAAAATCAAACGTACGAAACAACTCCGCGGCGTTCCGCTTCCCTCTCCCGACGATCGCCGCGAGTAAAATCAAAGCCGCATTCACTCGCACTCGAACCCCACTTCCTAAATGCCCGTACACGTGCCGCATCCTCCTCGTCATGATCGCCCGCGCGAGGGAATCCAACGCTAACCGCTCCCTCGTCGACGTCCCCTCGCCCGCGTCGTCCCTTCCTCGCGTCATCATCGTTCCGCACATCGCGAGCAGAGGCGCGCACACCTTTTGCGCGTGATTCGCGTGATACGAGTCCCATATCGTCAGCACGTCCGCAAAATCCGGCGAACGCGCGAGATACGTCTGCGGATCGTTCACGCTCGCGTTCTTCGCGTCAGTCCGCGTTCGCGTTCGCGGCAGCCGCCGGTCGGTTCCGAACGAACCGACACGCGCGCCTTCGCGCGTCTCGTCGCGTCGCGTCGCGCACCTTGACCACGAAATCCGCGCGCTCGGGCGAGCGCATCATCTCTCTTCGCAACCACGTCGTCGCTGCGCGCGTCGCGTCGTCGTCGTCGTCGTCAGTCGTCGCGTCGGTCGCGTCTCGTCGTCGCGAATGCGCGCCGCGCGCGCGTCGAATCGAGCGCCGCGCACCGCTCGCCAGCGCGTCCGCGTCCGCGCCCGCGCGCGCGAGCGACTCCACGCGCTCGACGACGTCGTCGTCGCCGTCGCGCGCGCCGCCATCGCCGTCGGTCGGCATCGCGCGCGCGTGTGCCGCCGCGCGCGCGGTCGCGCGATCGATCGATCGCGCCGTCGATCGACCGCGCGCGGTCGATCGATCGCGCGAGGGTCGCCGCGCGCGCGCGACCCGGGTTCGCGACCCGGTCGAGGTGGCGCGAAAACCTCGGCGTCGCGCGCGCGAGTTCGCGTCGCGTCGCGTCGCGTCGACGGCGGCGCGCGCGCGGCGAGGGCGCGCGACGCGCGAGCGCGAGGTTCGCCGACGCGCGCGCGCGTCGCGGGGCCGCGCGCGCGACGATGGCGACGGCGGCGGCGAGCGCGGCGCGCGCGATGGGGACGAGACGCGAGGTGACGACGGCGACGATGCGCGCGCGGGCGTCGACGTTCGCGGCGCGAGGAGGCGCGCGGGCGATGCGGAACGACCGAGGCGCGGTGCGCGCGCGCGGGGGGCGTCGCGCGGTGATGACGCGCGCGGATGCGTTCGCGGGAATGTCGGACAAGCTGGATAAGGCGTGGGCGCGCTTGCAGGGCGAGAAGGATTTGAACGCGGATAACGTCAAGGCGCCGCTTAAGGATGTGCGACGCGCGCTTTTAGAGGCTGATGTGTCGCTGCCCGTGGTGCGGCGGTTCATCGCGCGGTGCGAGGAGAAGGCGGTGGGAATGAAGGTGACGAAGGGCGTGGAACCGGGGCAAATGTTGGTCAAGTGCGTGGCGGATGAGCTTTGCGAGCTCATGGGTGGCGTCGGAGCGGAAGGGATCAAGTTCAGGGACGATGGAGAGCCTACGGTGGTTTTGATGGCTGGTTTGCAAGGGGTCGGGAAGACGACGGCGTGTGGGAAGTTGTCGTTGGCGTTGCGCAAGCAAGGGAAGAGCGTGTTGCTCGTCGCGACGGACGTGTATCGACCGGCGGCGATCGATCAGTTGAAAACGCTCGGGAAGCAAATCGGCGTGCCCGTTTTCGATATGGGTGTCGATGGCAACCCGCCGGAGATCGCCGCGAGAGGCGTGCGCAAGGCGAAGGATGAGGACATAGACGTCGTCATTGTGGACACGGCGGGTCGATTGAACATCGACGAAAAGCTCATGGGTGAGCTCAAGGCGACGAAAGAGGCGACTTCGGCGGATGAAACCTTGCTCGTCGTCGATGCGATGACTGGTCAAGAAGCGGCGACGCTCACGGCGTCGTTCAACGAAGCGGTTGAAATCACCGGAGCCATTCTCACTAAGATGGATGGCGACACACGAGGCGGCGCTGCGTTGAGCGTACGAGAAGTCTCGGGTAAGCCGATCAAATTCACGGGCGTGGGCGAAAAGATGGACGCCCTCGAGCCGTTTTACCCTGAGCGCATGACTAGCCGCATCTTGGGCATGGGTGACATCGTCAGTCTCGTCGAAAAAGTGCAGGCGGGCGTGAAGGAGGAAGAGGCGGAGAAAATCAAGCAGAAGATTATGAGCGCGACGTTTGATTTCAACGACTTTGTTGGCCAGCTTGAGATGATGAACAACATGGGTGGGATGAAGCAAATCATGCAAATGATGCCGGGCACCGCCAAGCTGAGCGAGGCCGACATGGAAGCGGCGGGGAAGAGCATGACCATCGCGAAGAGCTTGATCAACTCGATGACCAAGGAGGAACGACAGTACCCAGACATGCTCGTCGCCAGCACGACTGCGGATTCCCGCCGTCAACGCATAGTCAAAGGTAGCGGCCGCACCGAAGCGGACTTAGCACAACTCATCATGATGTTTGGAGGTATGCGTACCCAAATGCAAAAAATGAGCGGGCAACTCGGCGGCCAAGCCGGCGACGTGGGCTTGCAGCCTCAGCTTTCTGAAGCCGAGCTCAGCAAGCTCGCTATGAACAAGATCCGCAAGACAGTCAAACCGGGCATGGTGCGACGGCAGAAGGCTAAGAAAGTGCCTAAATTTTTAGCGGAGCGCGAATCATTCTCACAGTGACTGGAATGACGTATTTGAGATTTAATATTGATTGCTTCTATCCCCGCGTCAGACGCGAATCCAAGCTCTATCCCGCGGCGGCACTCTGTAGTGCGACGCGAGAAAGTACTCCCTTGCCGAGTATGAGCACGCCCGACTCAACGCCTCGACAAGCCACGCGTCAGGACCGATGTAATATCGGTTCTTGGGCGCGGATGATTTAATCGCGCTAACGACGGCTTTGACAACCTTGATGGGGTTCGTTCCTGCCGCCTCTTCGGCGCGCATGATTTTTTCCGCACGATCAGCGACGGGATCGGACTCGAACCCGCTCGATTTGACCACGCTCGCTGCGCCTTTTTGTAATCTTAAATCGCCGGGCTCGATCAAGCTGACGCGCACGCCCGAGCCCTTTGTTTCCATGCGAAGCGCGTCCGTGTACACCATCAGCGCCGCTTTGGAAGCGCTATACATGGACTGAAACGGAATACCGATTCGACCGGCGATGGAGCCGACGTTAATGATGTTCGCGCCTTGGCTCAGATGTGGCATCGCGTGACGAATAACGCTCACGGCGCCGAGGAAATTGGTTTGCATAATCATCTCGGCGTCGTCGCGCGGCGTTTGTTTCGCCCACGAGCAAAGGCACACGCCCGCGTTGTTGATCAAGACGTCAATTTTTCCGTGTCTCTCGACGATGGACGCAATGCATTGGGCAATAGAATCTTCTTTGGTGAGATCCATCGTTAACAGCGGGTGCGAGACGACGTTTTCCTCGTTGTCGAGTTCGGCGCCGAGCGGCACTGACGGGTCGTTCTTCTTCGCGATCTCTTCCTTTGATGGCGTCCCGATACCAAAGAATCCGCTCGATTGGCGACCGAGTTTCTTGCTACTCGCACCAGCGCGCGAGGTTCCGTACACGATGGCGTTCGGGAACTCGGTGCGAATGCCCTCCAGTAGCAGCGAACCGAGTCCGCCGCTCCCGCCCGTGACGAGCACCACCTTGACCTCGCGTCGACGCGTTGACCTGTAAAAAACCACGCGCGCGATGGCAGAAAACGCAATGGTGATCAAAATCATCTTCACGTGCATCGCAGCCGCCCCCGAGGACGCGAAAGCGATGATGACATCCAGCATCGCCTTCGCCTTGGCTTCGCTCGGCGACGTCGTTCGCAACGCCCCGGCGCGCTCGCTCAAATGCTTCACCAAAACCACAAAGTACCGATCGACGAACGCCAGACCTCGATGCGCGCCAATTTTTGTCTCGACGACGCACCTCGCCAACGCGGCGGCGAGCGCGTTCATCTTCGCCGACCCTCCGACGACGCCTCGCGCCGTCGCCGCCGCCGCCAACATCCCGACGACGCAATATCCAATCGCGACCCGCGCGTCCGCGCCCAGCGCCCGTCGCGCGCGCGCGCCGACGTCCAAGGTTTTAACCATCTCAACCGCGCGCTTCGTCGTCGTCCTCGCGCGTTCGATCGCCGGTTTCGCGCGTTTCATCGACGCGTCTTTGACACCGCGCAGTTTCGCGCGCGTCTCGTCGACCATCGTCCCTCGCGTCGCCGTCGCGCGCGTCCCGCGCGCCATCGCGCGTCCTTTCGCCGCGCGATCGCTTCTCTCGCGCCGTCGCGCGTCCTTGGAAACGACGCGCGTCGCGATCTGTCGCGCGAATTCAAATCGTCCTTTGACAGCTCGCGTCGTTCGCGCTCGCCGACCGCGCGCCACACCGCGCCGCCGCGATGGAGCTCGCCGTCTCCGGCGGCTCCCTGCGAGCGCTCCATCGCTCGATCGCGTTCCTGTCGCGCGTCGGTCCCGAGGTGCTGATCGACGCGAGCGCGCGCGACGAGACGCTGACGCTGAAATCCGTCAACGCCGCGCGCTCGGCGTTCGCGCGCGTCGCCGTGCGGGCGAGCGCGTTCGACGCGCGAGAGATAACCGCGCGCGGAGGACGCGCGCAGACGTGCGCGCTGGCGAAGCACGTGATGGCGTCGCTGCGGTCGCACGCGCGCGCGGACGTCGTCGTCGTGACGCTGGACGACGAAGACGACGAGGGACGAGAGGCGCGACGACTGCGAGTGACGACGACGAGCGCGAAGAGCGGCACGAAGAAGACGTATGAGATGCACGAGGTGATGGACGCGGAACACGTCGACGCGGAGATCGACGCGGAGGCGATGCCGGCGAAGGTGGTGAGCAGGGCGAAGACGCTGCTGACGCTGTTGGCGCACTTTTCGAGCGCGGCGAGAGAGGACGTGACGCTGACGTGCGGGATCGAATCGGACGTGTGCGTGGACGGGGACGCGGCGGGAGCGGCGAAGATCGTGACGCTGTCGAGTTATTTGAGTCCGGGAGGGGGGTTGAGTCAGGCGTTGCAGACGAGCATTTCGTTGAGACGCGACGACGAATCGATTTTGTTTTATAGAAACACCGCGGCGGCGCCGGTGGAGGTGACGGTGAATTTGAAGGATTTGCGCAGCATCGTTCAACTGTGCGAGAGTTCGGACGTGGATGTGGCGATTTATTGCGCGCAGGCGGGCGCGCCGGTGGTGGTGAAGCCGACGGCGGATTTCAAAATGTTTCATCAACGCGACGCGTTCGGGAACCAGCCGCAGCACACCACCGCGCCCGCGAGCGTCGATTTCGAAGCTGAACTCGTGTTGGCGTCCATGCTTCCTCCCGAGGACGCGTCAGCGGTGGAACCGAGCCAATGCGAGCAGCCGCGCGTCGAGGCGCCGGCGCCGCTTCAAAACGCGCCGTTAGGAAGTCAGCCTTGGAGCGCGGTGCCTGATAGCGAGAACGCGTCGCAGCGAGAAGTCGGCGGCGGTGTCGACGCGCCGAGTCGACCGTGGGGGCGAGAGGCACCCAACGACGCGGCTACGACGGTTTTGAATGACAACGACGACTGGGCGCACGACGAATTCGTCGAAGCCACGCCTCCGGAAAAACGACAACGGCAGTAGGATGAGTTCGATTACACCGGTGACACACGAGATACATTTTTGTACACATAAAGTAGGCGGTAGAAGTTACAACATACATATCTACGACGGTGAGACGACGACTTTTCATCGACGATCGCGCCGCTGGTCCAGAACCAACATTCGCGCGCTCGCGTCACGTCATCGTCGCCTTCCGGTCGCTCATCGATTTCTCGCGTCTACGCCTCGAAATCTGCATCATCGCCCTCCAACCTGCGACGGAACTCGCGCCCGAGTTTGCCGAGCGCGTCGGCGTTCCAAAGCGCGCCGACTATTAAGCACGCAAATCCGAGGTACGTGCACGTCAAGAACACCCACCCCACGACGCTCAAACATCGAATATCGCCGTGCTCGCACCCTGGACGATACATCGCGCTGTTCGTCGTCCACAATTCGTGATCCTGAAGCACGTGTCGCATCGGGTCGGCGCACAGAAGCGCGACGCTCGCCGCCGTCGTCGCCGTCGGTCCGTACACGCGCCACGCGTTCCCCCGACGCCCGCGCGCTTTCCTCGCGCTCGCCACCGTGGCGAGCGTCGTCACCATCGCGTTCATCCCCAGGGAAATCGCGTGCGATTCGTGTTTGGCGCTTGCGCTCGTCGCCGCGGCGCCGAAAAACGAGCCGACGAGCAAAGGCCAACATCACGCCCCCACGAGCGACGGCGCCGACGCCAACACCGCCATCGCCGTCAGCACGCGCTGCGATGACATCGCGTTCGCGACCTTACGCACTCTCCGCGCCCCCGTCGCCGCGCGCGCGCGTCTCGAAACGTATTCCTCGTCCGACCGCGCGGATTCCGAGTCGCTCGATCCGTCGTCGTTCGCGCGCGCGACGTCGCGCGGCGCGACTCACGACGCGCAGCGCGCGTCGTCGTCGTCGTCGCCGTTCTCGCGAAGCAGCGGGGCGTCGAGCGCGCGCGGCATCGATCGACGACGCGCGTCGCCGAGTGCCGGCAGTCACTCCTCGCCGCCCTCGGATGTCGAACGAACCCGACGCGCGCGCCGCGACGGCGACGGGCGCGCTCGCGCTCGACGACGCCGCGAGCGCCAAGTTCGTGCGGTTTTACCGCGGGCTTCCGAGCGAGACGGCGCGCGTGGTGCGGTTTTTCGATCGTAAAGATTGCATCAGCGCGCACGGCGATGACGCGATGTACATCGCGCGGGCGTTCTATAAGGTGCGTCGCGAGCGCGCGGGCGCGCGGGTGCGATCTTCGAACGCGTCGGCGCGCGCGCGGGGCGCGGGGCGCGCGCGGAGGCGACGAGAACGCGGATGATGATTGGTGATTTTTGAATATCGGCGCGCGGCTGTCGCCGAGACGCGAAATCGGCGACGAGCGCGGCGGCGCGATCGTCGAGGGTGCGCTCGAGCGATGCGCGGGCGAGATGACTGACGCGAAGCGTTTGACCGTTTGGTCCACTTTTGACGTCGGAGCAGACGACGAGCGTGATCAAGACGATGGGATCGGGCGACGACGCGTTGCCGGGCGTCGCGCTCAACCGATCGATGTTCGAGAGCGCGCTTCGCGAACTTTTACTCGATGGTGACGGCGCGCGCGTGGAGTTTTACGAAGAGAGTAAACCGAGCGGGACGTGGACGTGCGTGAAGTCGGCGTCGCCGGGGAAATTGCAAGCGTTCGAGGATGAGCTGTTTCGGTCGAACGAGATGTCGGACGCGTCTGTGGTGTGCGCGGTGCGCGTGGCGAACGGGAACGTGGGCGTGGCGTACGCCAACACGACGACTCGGGAGCTCGGGGCGTGCGCGTTCGTGGATGATGAGCAGTATTGCACGCTGGAAAGCGTGTTATGTCAGATTGGAGTCAAAGAGTGCGTCGTGCCCAAGGAAGGGACCGAGACGCCGGAGGGGCGTCGATTGCGAGACGTCGTCTCGCGATGCGGTGCGCTCGCCACGGAGCGTCAGGCCCGCGATTTCGACGCGCAAGACTTGGAGAATGATTTGGGGCGACTCGTGCGAGGAAACGTTGAGGCGCATCGGGCGGTGATTGATCAATCGCACGCCGCAGCGTGTCTCGCGGCGGTTTTGCGATTCAGCGAAATGTTGGCGGATAGCGCCAACCACGGTCGATGCACGCTGAGTATGTACGACACCGGTCGGTACATGCGACTCGATGCTTCGGCACTGCGCGCTCTGAATGTTCTCCCTGAGCGCTCTGACGGCCCGAGCAGCTTCAGTTTGTACGGTTTATTGAACAAGTGCCGAACGCCGATGGGGCGCCGTTTGCTCTCGCGATGGCTGAAGCAGCCGCTCGTGGACGTTAACGAAATCGCCACGCGACACGATGTCGTGAACGAATTCGTCACCAATGCAGAGGTTCGTGACGCCCTGCGCGGTGCGCACTTGCGAGCGTTGCCGGACATCGAACGGATCACTCGTAAGCTCGAACGCCGCAAGGCGTCGCTCATGGATTTGTGCCGATTGTACCAAGCGAGCGCGGCGCTTCCACACATGGCCGAGGCGCTCGAACGGTGCGAGGGACGTCATGGCGATTACATTCGCAAGAAGTATGCGGAAGAACTCAAAAAGCTGAGCGCCCCGAGTCATCTCGGCCGGTTCGAGGCGCTCTTAGAAGCGGCAGTGGATCTGAGCAAGATTCCCGACGAGTACGTCATTTGCGCTTCGTACGACGCCGAGCTGGGCGAGTTGCAAAAACAGAAGGATACACTGGAGAAGCAAATCCGTGATGCGTTTGCGGATGCGAGCGATGATTTGGGCATGGAACGCGATAAGCAATTAAAGTTAGAACACAACAACATGCATGGTTGGTTCATGCGATTGACGAAGAAAGACGAAACGAGCGTGCGAAAAAAGCTCAGCGTGAGTTATCAGATTCTGGAAGCGAAGAAGGATGGCACGAAGTTTACGAACAAGAAGATTCGTGGTCTTTCGGAGCAGCGTGTATCTCTCGACAGAAGCTACGACGCGAAGCAGCGACACTTGGTCGATCGCGTCGTCGACGTCGCGGCGACGTTTTCCGAAATCTTTCTGAGCGTTTCGGCGATGACGGCGGAAATCGACGTCCTCGCGTCTTTCGCTGAGGTCGCCGTCAGCGCGCCGGTGCCGTTCGTGCGCCCGATTATGCACGAGAAGACGTCTGATACGATCCACCTGGAGAACTCGCGCCATCCAAACGTCGAAGCGCAGGACAACGTGCGATTCATCGCCAACACGTGCTCGATGAAGAAGGGCGAGTCTTGGTTTCAAATTATCACTGGCCCAAACATGGGCGGTAAGAGTACATTTATTCGCCAAGTTGGCGTGTGCGTGCTCTTAGCGCAGGTTGGAAGCTTCGTGCCGTGCGACGACGCCGTGATTGCTGTACGAGATGCCATCTTCGCGCGCGTCGGCGCCGGCGACTGTCAACTCCGCGGCATTTCCACCTTCATGGCGGAGATGTTAGAAACCGCCGCCATCTTGAAGGCCGCGACTTCATCGAGTCTCGTTATCATCGATGAACTCGGCCGCGGAACGAGTACATACGACGGATTCGGTCTCGCGTGGGCGATAAGCGAGCACATCGTCAATGAGATTCAAGCGCCGTGTCTGTTTGCCACTCACTTTCACGAGCTCACCGCGCTCGAAGGCCCGAGTGGCGTCTCCAACTTTCACGTCGAGGCGCTCATCGACCAGGAGAGCCGAAAGCTCACCATGTTGTACCAAATCAAGCCGGGGGCGTGCGATCAGTCGTTCGGGATTCACTGCGCCGAGTTCGCGCGGTTCCCCGAAGAAGTGCTCAAAATCGCTCGCGCAAAGGCGGACGAGCTCGAAGACTTTTCCAAATCCGGCGCCGAGCGCGCCGTCGCCGACATCTCCGACCCCAAGCGCCAACGAACCGATGAACCCGGTGTATCCGACGACATGGCCCGCGGCGTCGTCCGCGCTCGCCAATTCCTCTCCGACTTCGCCGCCGTCCCTCTCGACCGCATGACGCCCGCCGAAGCCGTCGCGCGCGCTCGACAACTCAAATCCGAGCTCGAGACCGACGCCAAGCACTCCCCTTGGCTCCTCGACGTCCTCTCCAACGCCGCGTGATCACTCAGCCGTCCGCGATCCGCGCGCGCGTCGCGTTCGACCGCGTCGCGCCCAGAACGAACGTAGAACCGAATCGCCCGTCCCGCGTCGCGCGGATGAATGCAAAAAACAAGATGACTGGATGACGTCCCGCGCCACACGATCGCGCGCGCGTCATGCCCTCCGCCGCGCGCTCCCGAGCGTCGAAGCGCGCGAACGCGACGACGGACGTCGCGACGACCGCTCCCGAGGCGACGCTCGACCCGACGCGCGCGTACACGCGCTATCGCGGCGTCGTCTACGACGTCACCGAGTTTCAGCATCGCCATCCCGGCGGCGCGCAATTGCTCTCGCTCTGCGTCGGACGCGACGCGACGATCCTGATCGAGAGCCATCACTTGCGACCTGAGGTGGTGCGCAAGTACATGAAGACGCTGCCCGTGGTGGAGGGCGCGGCGGGCGCGTTCGGGAAGGAGGAGACGTTTCCGAAACCGCTCGATTCGGCGGTGTATCGAGCGATACAACGCCGAGTGCGAGATGAAGTCGTGGAACCGATGAAAGCAAAGTCTGGAAGGGAGGCACACGGACGCGGTGGGTGCGTCGTGGACGCGGGGGTGGTCGTGTTGACGTTTGTCGCGGCGATGGTGGCGTATTGGCGCGCGCCCTCGGCGCTCACGGGGTGCGCGTTGGGACTGGCGGGGTACTGGAGCGGCACTGGGTTGCAACACACGGCGAATCACGGAGGATTGGCGAAGAGTGGATTTTGGAATCAGTTTTGGGGATGGCTCGGGAACGACGTGGCGATCGGGAAGAGTTCGGTGGAGTGGCGGTATCATCACATGGTGAGCCATCACTCGTACTGCAACGACGCCGATCTCGATCAAGACGTGTACACCGCGTTACCGTTGTTGCGACTTGACCCATCGCAGGAGTTGAAGTGGTTCCATCGGTACCAAGCGTTTTACGCGCCGCTCATGTGGCCGTTTTTATGGCTCGCCGCGCAAGTCGGTGACGCGCAAAACATTTTAATCGATCGAGCGTCTCCCGGCGTCGAGTACAAGGGCTTGATGAAGAACGAAATCGCGCTGTACCTGCTCGGTAAAGTTCTGCACTTCGGCTTACTTCTCGGCGTTCCGGCGTACATCCACGGGTTGTCCAACGTCATCGTGCCGTTCCTCGCGTACGGCGCGTTTGGCTCGTTCGTCCTTTGCTGGTTCTTCATCGTCAGCCACAACTTGGAGGCGTTGACCCCGATGAACTTGAGCAAGAGCACTAAGAACGATTGGGGTGCGTGGCAAATCGAAACGTCCGCGTCGTGGGGTAACAGCTTCTGGAGCTTCTTTTCCGGTGGTTTGAACTTGCAAATCGAGCACCACTTGTTTCCGGGATGCGCGCACAATCTGTACCCGAAGATGGTTCCCATCATCAAGGATGAGTGCAAAAAGGCTGGCCTCGCGTACACCGGCTATGGTGGCTACTTTGGATTGTTGCCCATCACGCGCGACATGTTTTCCTATTTACACAAGATGGGCCATCAACGACCGAAGGCCATGTAGAAATCCGAACAAACCGTTGTACCTCTTGTTTGATGAATACAGTATTTATTTTACAACGCAACTACGCATTTATTCCTCGCTCGCGAACGCCTCAGCGGCATGCGCTCGCACGCAGTTACCTTCAGCCAACGCTGCGCTGGAGTGCAAGTACTTGGCCGCATCGCGCGATTTTTCCACTTTGCCCCTCGCTCGAGCCAACATCGCTCGCTCCGCCGCCGCGAGCGCCTCGTGCGTGCTCTCGAACGGAAACACGCACCCGTGTCGTCGCTGTCCCGGAAGCATGTACTGCGGTGATCGAACGATACATCTCGCCAGTTGCACGGCGTCTACGAGGGCCTGATTCGCGCCTTGACCCTTGAATGGAGACATCGGGTGCGCAGCGTCGCCGATGAGCGTCACGCGAGACGTGACTTTGCCTCTCAACACCTCCGCAGGCGTCATATCGCGGTCGTACGCGGGGTAGCCAGCCATGTCTTCTTTCCGAGTTTGATTGAGCAGTCTCGGAACGGGATCTGGCCAAGACGCACATCTGCGCAGCGCTTCGTTCCACAACGCCTCCGAGTCAGTCGCGAGCGCTCGAGCTCGATCCTCGTCGACGGGAAACGATAGCTGCCACATCATCGCTCCTGGTTCATCTTCACCCTCGTACTGCTCGTCCAGCGGTCGAATACAACCGTCACCATCGGGCGACGCCGTGAACGGCATGGCGTACATTCTATTCTCGCCATCGACGACTTGAAACACCTTATTTCTACACAACGGAGCGTCCACGCCGCGACAAATGCCCAACACGACGAGCACGCCCAAATACGATAGCGGATCATCTCCGAGCTTCTGCGCGCGCACGCGAGAGAAAATTCCATCCGCGCCTACCAAAATGCCCGCCTCCTCGCTCGTTCCGTCGTCGAAGCGCAACGTCACGCCGTCCTCAGTCTCCTCGTACCGCTCCAACCTTTTCCCCCATCGCACGACGCCGGGCTCGAGCGCGTCCAGCAGCGACTGTCGCAACTTTTGCCTCGGCAAGTGCACGTTCCTCTTCTCATCGCTCACCGCCTCCGCGACGGCACCACCATCGCGCGCGCCTTGGTCCGCGTCCTCCTCGCCGCCGACGCGTCGTCGAGCGCTGTGTCCGTATTCGCCCAACACGCGCCCGTTCGCGTCCATGCTCACGTGCGCGTCGCTCCCCACGCCTCGCAACGCCAATCCGAGCGCTCGCAGCGCCGCACCACCGCTATACTTTTGCATCGTCAACCCGTACCCTTGTTTTCGCGCCTCGAAGCGCTCGTCTCGTTCGTACACCGTCGCGCGCGCGCCGCGCTGCGTCAACGCCAACGCCAACGCCGCGCCCCCCACCCCCCCGCCCACGATCGCCACGCGCGCCGCCGCGCCGTTCGCCGTCGCCGCGCCCTCGACGACGCCCGCGCCCTCGCACGCCGCGCACTCGACGCGCTTCTCCGGCGCCTCCCGCGTCGCCGCGCCGTCGTCCCGCTCGAGTCGCCGCCGCTTTTTTTGCGCTCTCGACAGCGCGAACGTCGCGCCCTCGCCGCGGCATCGCTCGCACGCGCGATGACGCGCCGACGCGTCCGCGCGCGCGGGCATCGCGCGCGCGCGCCGCCCGCGCGTCGCGGTTCGCGCGACGCGCGCGACGGCGCGGGCGACGGCGCGCATCGATGTGCGGCTCGAGCGAACGACGCAAAGTGGCTACACATAATCTACACGCACGGACTACGACGACGCGCGCGGCGCCTCGGACCCGCGCGCCGCGCCGCCGCTCAAGACGTCGAATAATCTCTCGCGATCGACGAGCTCGCCGTGTCGCAGCGACACGACGAACTGCCTCGCGCCGACGACGTCGAGCGGGACGAAGGCGCGCGACGCGAGCGCGTCTAAATCCTCGCGCGTCAGCCCCGCGAGCGGCGGTGTCACGCGCGTCGCGACGTCGAAGTCTTCGTCGACGCGATTTCCCCAGAAATCCATCGTGCTGACGCGCAGCGCGCGTCCGTCGCGCGTCAACGCGAGCTCGCCGACGTACCGCGACGCGTAGTACTGCGTCGCCGCGCCGCACGCCGCCGATCCCAGTCCCGCGGCGACCGCGGCGGCGACGAGCGACGGCGCCGCGGTCGCGTCCGCCGTCGCCGCGAGCGCGGGCGTCGCGAGCGCGCCGATCGCGCCCAGCTGCGCGATTTTGAACCGAACGAGGACGCGAAAGAGCCGCATCTGCGGACCGCGGTACAGCTTCACCGGCGCCGACGCCGTCGTCGACGCGGCGCGCGACGCGAGGCGCGACGCGCCTTTTCGCGTCGCGATCGCGCGCGCGAGCGCGCGCGCGGCCATCGCGGCGCGCGGCGGCGCGTCACCGTGTGCGGCTCTGGTGGTTTTATTGCGACGACGCGGCGAGCGAGCGGGCGATGAAATTCGCGCGGATGTCGCCTTAAGAAATGAATAACTCTGGCGCCTCTCGAGCGTAGGCGCAAAAATCAGCGGCGTTCGACGGCACGATGTCGGCGCCTGATGCGTCGAGCGGTAGCGGGGCGTCCGGAGTGATGCCTATCTTGTTGATGTCGGTGCCGTTTGGCGTGCGATACTGCGCCACGGTGACGCTCACCGCCGAACCGTCGGAGAGCGGGACGAGCGTTTGAATCAAGCCTTTACCGAACGTTTGCTCGCCGAGCACGATGGCGCGCTTGTTGTCTTGTAAAGCGCCGCTCAAGACCTCGGACGCGCTCGCCGTGCCTTTATTCACGAGGAGCTTGAGCGGCGTCGCGGCGTCCAACGCCGTTCGATCCGCCTGGAAGACGTCGCGCTCGCCGTTGGAGTCGGCGATGTACACGATCGTGCCTTCATTCATGAACGCTTTGGCGATTTCCAAAGCACCGGGAAACAGCCCACCGACGTTGTCGCGCAGATCGAGCACGAACACGTCGACGCCGTCGGCTTTCAGCGCCGCGAGCGCCTCCTTCGTCTTCGCCCCTGAGACTTGATTAAACGCCGACAATTTCACGTAACCAATTTTCTTGTCTCCCTTCACCTCGCACGTCGCCGACGTCACCGGCACCACGGTGTATCGTTTTCGCTGCACCGCGACGTCTCGAGTCTTCCCATCCCGTTCGAGCGTCAGCGTCACCTTGCTCCCCTGCGGCCCTTGCAATTCGTCCGCGACTTCGTACAAACTCTTCCCGCGCGTCGCCGCGCCGTCCACGGCGACGATAAAATCCTTCGCCTTCACCCCAGCCTCCGCCGACGGCCCTCCCGGCGTCGGCGCGACCACCACGACCTTCGCGTCGTCGCCGAATCCCATCTCCACGCCCACCCCGCTCACGTCCGCCTTCATCGTTCGATCCGTCACGCTCGCGTACTTTTCCGGCTCCAAAAATTGCGTGAACGGATCCCCGAGTTTCCCGAGCATCTCTCGTATCGTCCCGTACGTCGCCTCCGTGTCGTCCAAATCCGCCGTCTTCAATCCTCGTTCGCGCAGTTTAAACCAATTGTTCCCGTTGAACGTCTTATCGACGTACGCCTTGTCCACCGCGCGCCACGCCTCCAGGTACAGCATCTGATTCTCCGTGATCGCGCTCGCGCGCGTCGCCGCCGCGGCGTGCATCGCGAGCGCCGCGAGCGCGGTCGCGATCGCGTCGCGGCCTCGCGCGTCGCGTCGCGCCGTCGCGCCGTCGTCGCGCGTCGGCGCGCGCGGCGACGTCGCGCGGGCGCCGACGTCGCGCGAACGGCGTCGCGTCGTCGCGTCCGCGCGCGCCGTCGGCGTTCGCGCGCGCGCCGTCGACATCGCGCGCGCGCGTCGCGATGTCCCGCACACGCCCGCGAGCGACGGATGGCGTCGCCCGCGCCCGCGGACGCGCGCTACGACCGCCAGCTCCGCCTGTGGGGCGCCGAGGGCCAGCGTCGACTCGCGCGATGCCGCGTCCTCGCGCTCGGCGCGTCGCCGGCGACGTGCGAGACGATGAAGAATCTCATCCTCGGTGGCATTCGCGCGTTCGAGTTGGTCGACGACGGCGCGTGGCGTCGCGGCGCTCGAAGCGCGGGCGAGACGTTCGAATTGACGTGCGAAGACGTCGAGCGCGGCGCGCGCGAACGAGGCGGGAAGACGATGGTGGAGACGGTGGTGGAGAGACTGGCGGCGCTGAATCCGGGCGTCGACGGCGCGGCGACGACGGCGAACGCGCGAGCGACGGCGAACGGGGGGAAGGAACGGTACGAACGGTACGACGCGGTCGTCGCGGGAGGCGGAGGATTGAGCGATCACGATCACAGAGCGCTGGCGCGGGCGTGCGCGGAGAGTGGGACGGTGCTGGTGACGACGCGGGCGAGAGGATTGTTCGGCGAAGCGCGGACGAGCGCGAGCGAACGATGGGCGACGGAGAACGTCGCGCCGGAGGGGTCGACGGCGTGGGATTTGCGGTTGGATAAGCCGTGGGGGGAGTTGGGGGCGTATGTGGAGATGAAAACGAGCGATTTGGATCGGTTGGATGGGGCGGCGTTTAAGCACGTGCCGTTCGTGGCGCTGCTCGCGCACGCGGCGGCGGCGTGCGGAACGCGGGATCGGCGGTCGGTGAAGGATGCGTTGACGTCCATGAGGCGGGGGATGGACGAGGAGAATTTCGATGAGGCGATAGCGAACGTGCGGTACGCGTGGACCGATACGGGGGCGGTGACGAAGGAGGTGGAAGAAATCATTCGCGACGAACGCGCGCGCGCGTTGACTTTGGAGAGCGACAAGTTTTGGTTTCTCGCCGCGGCGTTGCGCGAGTTCGTCGATCGCGAGGGGTGCTTGCCTTTGGAAGGAAGCATTCCAGATATGACCAGCACGACGGAATCGTACGTCGAGTTGCAGCGTTTGTACTCGGACAAGGCGGCTAGAGACGCCGCGTGCGTGTGGGAGAGCGCCAAGGCGTTCGCTCGCGACGTCGGCGCGCCGCATCCCGAAGAGTTCATTCCCGAGCGCGACGCCAAAATCTTCTGCAAAAACTGTCGACACGTGCGATTCGTGACGTGGAGGTCTATGGAGGACGAGCTGTTTCCGTCGCCAGCCGCTGGAACGAGCGAGATGTTAGCCCAAGCGCTCGCAGACCCGTCGAAGGCGATGTCGGCATGCATCTTCGCCGGATTGCGTGCGGCCGACAAGTTCACGACGCTACACGGGAGAAGCCCAGGTGTGCGTGACGCGGGTGACGATTCTACCGTGGATGGCGATGATGATGAATTCGTTCGACGCGATGGAGAGTCCGTCCGCGCGTTCATGGCGGATTGGTTCGAGGCGAGCGAAGTCAAACTCAGCGCGGCGAACGACAAGCTTGCCGACGACGTCGCGTACGAAATCGCTCGGTACGGCGATTCGCAGATTCACGCCGTCGGAGCTGTGCTCGGCGGTATCGCGAGTCAGGAGCTGATCAAGATTATCACGGGACAGTACCTGCCGATGACGAAACCACTTGTGTACGACGCCGTAAGCTCGACGATGGCGACGCTCTTTTGACGAACGAAAGTGTACTTTACTTTAGTAGCCTCTTTCCATCGATAGAGATATACAATACTAGCTAGCTATTGCTACGTGACTACATGCTGCTTGAAATATCACAATACAACGTGCCTGCGCAAAACGCCCACGACGACACGGCAAAGATGGTTGTCACGGCGACGCCGAGAGATACTCCCGCCGTCATTTCGCCACCCTTCGTCATCATGGCAAACACGATGAGCGGCTTGAGTGTGTGTACGAAGATCAACGTTATGCCGGCGGCAAGCGTATCGAAAAAGATACACGTCCCACTCGACGAATGGTTGACGCCCAGGAACATGGCTGAGCCCACAAAGGTGAGACCGACAAGGGCGACGGCGGCGATGACGTGTGGTCTACGATCCGTTGAAGACGCTATCAACACGAGAGGGCAGATTCGAAGAAACGCACGCATAAGGGCCGGTAACAACGCATACCACGAGTTTGAAACCACTGCCGACGTCGCATGCGCGCCGTCCGCGATGGCGAAGCCGATGGCAGCCAAGAGCGCCAAGATGGCTTCCTGGGTGAAAAAGACGTTGCCGAATCGCCGAGCGAGCACGCGCCCCTCGATGTCAACGTCTTGCGCGTCGTCGTCGTCGATATCGCTCCACGGGCGCATGTCGCGCAGACTCGACAGACTACTCGTCCAACGCATCGCCAAAATACCTCCTAAGACGCTCGTGAAGCCACCCAAAACCACAAACACGAATGCGGCGCCTCCCGCGGCGCCGCGCCAAACAGCCCACAACAGCCGAAACGCGGCACTCGTGCCTGCCGTACTTGCCGCGATACCAATGCCTGTCGACGACCCGAGACCTGATAACGACATCATTGATGGAAACACGTGAATGAGCGCCAGCACACCGACTGGCGCGTACACCGCCGCCGCCAATCCCACGTCCATGGCGCTCGACGCGGCGACGGCCGCGCCATCTCGCGCTGCGCTGCCGGCTTCACCGTAACGCTCAACCCCCTCCATGATCATCCTGAACACCTCTAATGCCCCGGCGCTAAGTGTCACCATCGTCGCAACGTGCTTCGGGTCGCTCGAATCCGCTAAAGCGTCCGGCAAGAGCTCCGCGAAGACGATCCACACCATGCAGCCCGCCGCGAATCCGAGCGAAAACGGCAACATCGGCTTAAACGTCTCTACGAACATGAACGCCGGCACCGCCAACAACGGTTGCGGCAGACTCGTCATCACGCACCACCACGCACACTGCCACGGTTTCACACCCCTCGTCGCCAGCACGTTCGCCACCGCTAAACCTTCCGGCACGTTGTGTGCGCCAATTGCGAGCGTCACCAACCTTCCCTGTCTCGCCCCTCCCGCGCCGCTGAACGACACCCCCACCCCACAGCCTTCCCCAAACGCATGCGCAGCCATGATCCCCACGATCATCAGCGTCTTTCGCGCGTCCGCGCCGCGCAATTCTAAGAAACTCAGCCCGTCGTCTCGCGCGCTCAGCCACGTCTGCGCCTTGGCGATGAGCACGGCGCCGACGACGACCCCGACCGCCACGCTCATCGCGCCGGACGATTGCCCTTCGTGTATGAGGTCGAACGAGGCGGCGAGCATGACGCCGCACGCGCACGCGTTGGCGAGCGCGGCGAAAGACTTTGGAATTCGTTGATTTTTCGTCGCGATGTACGGGACGGCGCCGAGCGCGCTCGCGCACGCCATGAGCGTGGTGAGCACGAGAACGTATCCGACGCTCACGTGAGGCGCCGACGCGCGCGCGAGCGCGCGCGCGGCGTCGTTCGCGTCGACGTCCATCTGGACGGACGCGCGCCGACGAGTGCGGTCGAGCGAGCGCAGTCACCGTATCAAATCAAATCAAAACAAGAATATTTAGCTATCGTTCGAAAATCTCTGGCGCTTCACCGGGGTGATTTGCGCCTCTTTGCCGAGCTGACGGCGCTGGAAATTCGAGAAGGCTTGCGCGGTGGCTTCGATGTACTCTGGTTCGCGGCGGCGACTGAAGACGCGAACGACGCGATGGACGAAATTTCGCGGCAAGAGCGAACTGATTTGCTCTTTGGCGATGCTGCACGAGGTTTCGTCGTCCCAGTAGTGGAAAAACCTGACGTTCTCCACGGGATCTTTGTGTCCTTTTTGGCCGTAATCAATCTTCAGGCACTGCACAATGATGTCGTCTGGTTTCAAACCGCCCGGGATGTTGTTCGTTCCTTGGCATGACGTGATGTCTTTCGCCTCGACCGGCTTGAAATCCACCACTTGATCCTCGGGCACGGTGTATTCATTCACGAATCGGTACAACTCGCGACGACGGATGCGTCGCACGATGTCTCGTGCCTTGGCGAGCGCGGGATCGTCACAAAATTCAATCTGTTTGAGCAGCGTGTCGTCCATCGCGATGAAATCCTCAACGCTCCAAATGGAGTTGCTAATTCGCCCGTTCCACGCGATGTCGGCTTCGACTAATGCATCGACCACCATATATTCCACCGCCTTGGCCTTTTTGTGCGTGTACACGCTCTGGTGCATGGACGCTCGAGAGTGGAACAACGCGTACACGTTGTTCGCCTCACTCGACTTGAAGCAAATCCTGTCATCGATCACCTTCATGTGCGACGTCAATCGCATCGTATCCACGCTCATGCGCACGCCGGCCTGGTAAGAATCTCGCAACAGGTACTCGAACTTGTCCACGTCGATGCCGTTTTGTTTGTTGGCGATGATGTCAAACAAAAATCGCTTCTCCTTCGCTCCTTCCTCGTTGCTCGTGATGAAATCGCACACGCGCCGCACGACTTGAGGCTCTAAATCAATGTGGTTATCGTCTAAGCACCAAGAAAACATGTCCACCCCCATGCGCTCGTGATTCCACGGCGCCACGACTTTCGGATCCCAACCGTGTCTCAACGGCAAAAACTCGTTATCGAACACGTGCGAAAACGGCCCGTGGCCCATGTCGTGACACAGCCCCGCGAGTTGCACGCATAACTTATCCTCCACAGTCAGCCCTAACCCGTGCCTGGGCGCGCTGCGCTTGATGGACTCGAACACCGTGTTCGCCAGGTGACACGTTCCCAACGAGTGCTCGAACCTGTTATGCCCCGCTCCCGGAAACACGTAATACGACGTCCCCAACTGCTTCAACTCTCGCAACCGTTGCATTTGCGGCGTATCGATCACATCGCACAGCTTCGGATTAAAGTACATGTGTCCGTGCACGGGATCGTTAAACGTCTTTCCTCGCGACCGTCTCCCCGCGCAATACGCCGTCGCCGCCGCGTTCTCCTCCCCCACGTGCACCCGCGGTTCGTGCGCGATCTGACTCAACTGCGCGATGAACGGATCATCATCGTCGTCCTCCGCGCGCAGTTCCATCCCCGAGTCCATCGGCGCCGCGCTGTCGTCGTCGAGCCTCGCGTCCCTCTCCGAGCCGTTGACGCCCGCGCGCCCTCTCGGCGACGCGCCGGCGCCGCGATGTCCCGTCTTTCCGCGCGCGCGCGCCGCGGACGTCGACGGTTCGCTCGCCCGCGCGCGTCGCCGCTCGGGCGTCGCGTACGCGTCCGTCTCCATCGCGCGCGGCGTCGCCGTGTCGCGCCGTCGCGCCGTCGCGCGGGCGTCGACGCGACCGGTTTCGATCGAGGTTCGAAAAACGCGCGTTCGATCGACGGCGCCAGGTTCGCGAGTTTCGCGCGGTGGTTTCAAATCCAGGGTCGAACGCGCCCGCTCGAGCGTTTGGGTTTTCGCCCGGCGGCGGCGCGCGATCGACGCCACTTTGTCGCCGCGCGACGCGCGCGCGCGCCGAACGCTCGGTAACGCGCGAACGACGTCATGCTCGCCGCGATGCGCGCCGATTTCGCGGCGCGGGACGCGAGGACGCAGCGCGCGGTGACGCTCGCGACGCTCGGGACGACGGTGGCGTTTTTAATCGCGCGACAGCGCGCGATACGCGCGGCGATCTCGAGCATGCTCGCGGTGCGTCGACGACGCGAGCGCGCGATTTGAACGCTGTGCGAGCGCGGACGAGGCGCGGGAGGGGCGCGCGCGGTGGGAAGGCGCGGGGGTAGGGGGCGATCGGAGCTTCCGCGAGGTTCCGCGGGTCGAGCGGGACGCGGCGCGAGCGCGGCGAGGGGTAGGGGAGCGCGAGGAGGCGCGGGAGAGAGAGAGAGAGGCGCGGGAGAGCGCGCGCGAGACGCGCGGTGGCGCGACGCGGCGCGTGGACGCGAAGACTGACGATGTCGCGACGCGCGGTTTACGACGCGCAGGGGGCGGCGAATGCGTTCGCGGTGGACGACGCGGCCAAGCCGAGCGTCGCGAGCGCGAGAGAGGATGCGCAGATCGCGATGATGCGGCAGATGCAGCAACAAATGCAGCAAATGCAGCAGCAGCAGAACGGTGCACAAAATCCCGAGGACGAGGAGTTGAGCGCGCTCGAGCGGTTTTGCACCGACGTGACGGATGAGGCGCGTCGAGGCCTTCTCGACCCGCTCGTCGGTCGCGAGGAGGAGGTGCGACGGTTGATTCACATCTTGTGTCGACGAACGAAGAACAACCCCGTGTTGCTCGGGCAGTCTGGGGTCGGTAAGACGGCCATCGTCGAGGGTTTGGCGCAACGCATCGTCAACGACGACGTGCCGCAGGCGCTGCGAGGGGCGAAGCTTCTCGAAGTCGACCTCGGCGCCGTCGGCGCGGGGTGCCAAATGCCCGGTGAATTTGAAGAGCGCTTGACGATTATCGTGCAAGAAGTCGTGGACGCGACGGCCAAGGGACCGGTGGTGTTGTTCATCGATGATATTCACAATCTTTGCCCGGCGCCGCCGATGAATAACAACGGAGCCGCGATTCTCAAACCCGCCCTCGGGCGAGGCTTGCTTCGGTGCGTCGGCGCGACGTCGGCGGACAAGTTTAAGAAGACTATCGAACAAGATGCCGCGTTAGAGCGCCGATTCCAGCAGGTTCCGGTGGAGGAACCAAACGTAGATGATACGGTGAGCATTTTGCGGGGACTGCGACCGCGTTACGAGCAGCATCACAACATCGCCATCAGCGAAGGCGCTCTCTTGGCGGCGGCGCAGTTATCCGCGCGCTACGTCTCCGGACGCCAGTTGCCGGATAAGGCGATCGATTTGCTCGATGAAGCCGCGGCTGCGGTGCGTATGATGAAGACGCATAAGCCAGACGGCTTGGACATGGCGGACCGCAAGATTGCGCAGCTTCAAAAGGAGCGCGATCAACTCTTGCGCAAGAACGCGGGCGAATTGGCCAAGGCGGGGACTTCCAACGTCGCCGCCGCCGAGCTGCAGAAGATTGCGGCCGCGCTTAGCGTGGAGAAGAAGGCTCGCAAGGAGATGCAAAGCAAGTATGACACGGAGCGTCGCATTCAAGACGAGTACCGTCGCGCGTACGCGAACAACTCTTTCATCAAGCGCAAGGTTGAAAACGCCAAGATGAAAATCGCGCAGGCGACCCAAGCCGAGGCTGGATCCGTGCTCGCCGCCGAGCTCGGGCGCGCTCAAGCTGAATTGAAAAAGCTTGAACAGCAAGTCAAAACGACGGAAGATGAACTCACCGCGGCTGAGGCAGCCGTGCTCGAACTCAAAGACGGCGGCGCCATGATGCGCGAAGAAGTCACCGACAACGACGTCGCCGCCGTGGTGAGCCGTTGGACGGGTGTGCCTGTCGCCAAGCTTGTGTCGAGCGAGAAGGCCAAGCTGTTGCAACTCGAGGCCGAGCTTCATCAGCGCGTGATCGGACAAGAAGCCGCGGTGACGTCTGTCGCGGAGGCGGTGCAGCGATCTCGAGCCGATCTCGCCGATCCGAACGGACCGGTGGCGTCCTTCATGTTCCTCGGCCCGACTGGTGTGGGTAAGACGGAGCTCGCCAAAGCCTTGGCGAGCTATTTGTTCAACTCCGACACCGCTCTGGTGCGTCTTGATATGAGCGAATACATGGAGAAGCACTCCGTCGCGCGCTTGATCGGCGCCCCTCCGGGCTACGTGGGCTACGACGAGGGCGGTATGTTGACGGATGCGGTCCGTCAAAAACCGTATTCGGTCGTGTTGTTTGATGAAATTGAAAAGGCGCACGTGGACGTTTTCAACGTCTTGTTGCAACTTCTGGATGAGGGCCACGTCACCGACACGCAAGGTCGCAACGTGTCTTTCCGTAACTGCTTGATCATCATGACTTCCAACTTGGGTTCGGATGAGATTTCCTACGCCAACAAGCGTCGCAACAAGGTGAACGTCAAGGATGCGGTCATGCAGCACGTTCGCTCGCACTTCCGCCCCGAATTCGTCAACCGTCTCGACGAGTTTATTGTTTTTGAGCCGTTGACGCACGCCCAAATCGAAGAGATTGTGCAGTTGCAAACGAAGAAGTTGTCGCAGCGCATCGACACCCAGCGCATGAACCTCTCGTTGGACAGAAGCGCCATCGAGCACTTGGCGCGACAAGGATACGATCCGGCGTACGGTGCGCGTCCGGTGCGTCGGGCGATTCAACGAGAACTCATTCAGCCCTTGGCTAATGCGATGTTGCGAGGTGTGTTCAACGAAGACGACACAATCCTTGTCACGGCGGACCGCCAGGGTATTTGCCTTTCCAACGGTCCGAAGATTGTGCGCGAGGTTTACGACATCCACGCGCAAGACTCCGAAGATGAGTCCGCCAACTTATAGAGATCACTCGAAGTCACTCTAGGCACACACTAATAAGCGATTGTTGTTTGATTCTTTCCATTACATGAAAAATTTATCTTGATTATTCGTTGCGGTGAAGCGTTTTTCATCCTCCGTTGTCAAAATCAGTCGCGTCTCAATCGCGTGAAAGCGATCTTTGAGACGAAACGTCACGTGTGTTCTCAACTTCGGACTACGCACTCGCGTGGTAACGGTTCGTATCTTGATAAATGACCGCGGTTTTAAAGCTCAGTCTTGTCCGACGCCGCGATGAGGTCGTTGAGGAGCTTGTTCGCGCGGTTTATGACGGCTTGGCGCTTCTTCCACGCTTGCGTCTTCGCGTTGAACTCCTTTGTCGCCGCCTTCATCTCCTTCTTGATTTCGTTCAACTCGGCAGTCTTTTCCTTCAACTCGCTTTTGAGTTCAGACTTCGACTTACCGTCCATCTTCTTCAAGAATTCGACTTCGTTCTTCGCGCACCCCTTCTTCGTCGCCGCGTCGCACAACGGCTTATCCAGCGTCTTCGTCACGAACGACTTCAACGCGTCGTAATCCCGTCCGCCCTGGTAATCCTTACCCTTCTTATCCCCCGCCGGGTAATACTTTATCGTCGGGTATCCCTTCACTCCAACCTTTGCGCACGTTCCAGATCCCTCCGCCGTGCAATCCACGTCGACGATCATCACGCTCGCGCTGTCCTTGTAATCCGCCCCAAGTCGATCCCACGCCGGTTTCATCGACTTGCAGTGTCCTCACCACGGCGCGAGGTACTTCACGAAGACGTGTTTCCCCGAGTTCATCACCTCGCGATCGAAGTTCGCGTCCGTGCCGACGAACGCGCTCGCGTCGGCGCCCGCGACGAGCGCGAGCGTCGCGAACGCCATCGCGACGACGCGCGCCATCGTCGCCATCTTTCGACGAATGCGGCGTCGACGACGCGCGTTCGCGCTCCGCGAGTCGCGCGCGAGCGTGCGCGAGCCGTGCGCGCGCGAGTGCGAGTCGTGCGCGAGCGCGCGGCGACGACAGACGCGCGGGCGCGGCGCGGAATGGCGATCGCGATCGAGCGCGCGATTCGAGAAACTTCGACAGTCAGAGCGCGGCGAATCGAACGAGGATCGGATCGGACTCGAACGAACGGACGAGCGCGAGAGATGAGCGATGGATGCGAAAGATGCGAACGCGACACGTGCGATGCGATGGTATTGTACAACAGGAATGGAGACGGTGATCACGCGACGGCGACGCCGGGAACAAAGCCGCCGCCGACGCGCTCGCGAAACGAAAAACTCTGCACGTCGTGGTTCTGCATCGAACGCCCGGTCGCGGCGGTGAAACCGACCCAGGCGCGACCGTTGTCCAAGTCCATGAACGCGGCCAAGTTGATCGGCACCGTCAAGACGGGATCGGCGAGATCGTCGATGAAGACTTTCATCGTTCCTAAACCGTGCTTGTAGTCGCGCATCAAATCGAGCAGGTACGCGCCGCCGCGGAAACTCTTGTGCGACGCGTCCTCGGGGACAAAGTCTGGGTCGTAGACCACGCGCACGACGTGACGCTCACCGTCGGATAAATTCGGCACCGTCACGCTCGTCCCGATCGCCGCGTCGTGCGTCGCCAACGCCGGCGCCTTCGCGCCGCGCGTCATAACCGCCACGTGGTTATGATACGGGTCTCTCGAATGCGCGTCGTGAAACGTGTCGAACTCCACCGCGACGCAGTTCACGATCCCCCCGTACCCAATCTGTCCTCCTCCCCCCCCCAGCGCCCTTCCATCGGCGTTTTGTATCACAAACGCCAATCCGTCGCCGCCTCTTCGCGAGCACGTCGCCGGCGCGTGGTCCACCCCCTCGCACGGCACCTCCACGTTCGCGGGCGTCGTGATCGCGAACGCGAACTCCGCCACGAATCCACCGCCGACGAGCTGTTTGCTCGTCGCGAACGCGCTTCCCGCCGCGTTCGCGCGCGCGGGCGTCACCCGCAGCGCGTGCGCGTCGCTCGCCTCGCTCGACTTGGCCGGCGCGGCGACGCCCTGGAACGTCCACGACGTCCCCGTCTGCGCGAAGTCGCGCACCGCGACGTCGGCGGCGACGCGCGACGCGCGCGCGAGCGTCAGCAGCGCGGCGAGCGCGACGCCGCGCGCGCGATGCGGCCGCGGCATCGCGCCGGCCCGGCCGGGCGCGATGTGCGGCACCGCGCGGCGCGCGGCGCGGCGCGATGGCGCCGAGCGCGCGCGCGACGGCGATGGCGATCGAGCTCGATCGATTGCTCGGCGCGCGCGACGACGCGAGCGGGACGCGCGCGGTGCGGAGCGTCGAACACGCGCCGGACGTGTCGCGAGCGGCGCTGTTCGGAACGACGCGAGGCGACGAGAACGCGTCGCGAATGCCGGACGCGTTTTACGCGTGCGGCGACGCGCTGGTGATGTCGCACGACGCCGTCGTGGGCGTGCGCGAGGCGTCGGCGAGGCGATGGGAGGGCGACGACGACGACGCGGATTTCGACGCGGCGGCGACGGCGCTGTGCGCGAACGGCGATCACGCCACGGCGTGGAACGCGCGAAAGAGAACGATGAAGGCGCGATTCGACGGCGTCGAGAAGATGAGCGCGCGCGAGCGGGACGGATTGGTGGAAGGCGCGCGCGATGAGTTGGCGTTTGCGCGCGCGGTGCAGAGTCGATTTCCAAAGGCGCCGAGCGCTTGGGCGCACCGGCGATGGGTGATCGACGCCGCGCGCGCGGCGGTGATTGGTGATGGGTCGAAAAAGGACGCGTGGGCGCTAGAAACGTTTCGAGAAGAGTGCCGGGCGTGCGACGCGGCGGTGTTGAAGAAGAGATTGAATTACGCGGCGTGGTCGCATCGCGCGTGGGCGCTGCGGCGCCTTTTGCCGAACCGTCGGGAGTTGTTAGATCAAGAGCTCTGTGAAAACGAACGCCGCGTGCGAACGAGCGTGAGCGATCATTGCGCGTTGCACTACCGGTCGCACATCGTCAAGCGCGCGTTGGGCGCGCGGCCGGCGGATCGTCGTTCGATTGTACTCTATGAAGACGAATTGTCGCGTCACCTCATACGCCAATACCCGGGACACGAGGCGCTGTGGTCGTACTACAGATTCGTGTTCGACACGATGATTTGTGCGTTTCCACGCGATGGCGACGTTTTTGCGAGCATTAAATCGTTTATCCACGAACAGTGCGACGTCGACGAGATCGTTAGAGTAGATCCAGCTCGGGCGGAACGCGACGCGCCGACGCAACGTCGCCTCGCACTCGCATTCGAGATTTGGATGAACGTCAGAGTAGCGCGCGAGCGTGGTGAAAGTGTGGTCATCAAGCACACACGGGCGACGAATGGAAGCACGGTGGAGGTGGAATCAAAAGCGCGCGTTTAGCGATAGGAACTGTTTTGTAAAATAATTGTCTCAATGGCCCGCGAAATCAACAACGGCGTCGCGCAAGAGCTTAGGCTTGTAACCGATCACTTCGTTGACTTCTTTGCCGTCCTTGTAAAACTTGAAAGTCGGCATGGCCTCGATGCCCAACTCCTTGGAGAGAGGCGCCAAATCCGCGTGCGCCGTGTCGAATTTCGCGAAGACGACATCCGGGTACTGATCGATGAGCTTGTCGACCTCCGGGGCGATTTGTCGACACTTGCCGCACCAGCTCGCCATGAAATCAACGACGACTGGCTTGGGTCCAGCGATCAAGGCGTTGAAGTCTGCGCGCGACGCGATGGGCGTGAGCTTGGCGGCGAAATCGCCGTTCGACGAACCGCCGCTTGAAGACGATCCCCCACTTGGCGCGCCAGCGTGTTGCTCGAAATACGTCTTGGACTTTTCAGGATCATCGATCATCGTGGGCGCACCGGGCGTCCATCCCGCCGGACACACCTCGCCGTGTTCCGCCGTGTACTGAAACGCTCGCACGAGCCGCAGCGTCTCGTCCACGCTCCGCCCCACGGGCAAGTTATTCATCGTGATCTGCTGCACGATCCCCTCGTCGTCGATGATAAACAGCCCTCTCAGCGCAATTCCTCGGTCTTCGAACAGCACTCCGTACTTGGCGCTGATCTCCTTCGTCCGGTCGCTCACGATCGGTATCCGCATCGCCCCCAAACCGCCTCGTTCGCGTTCCATCATCGTCCACGCCAAGTGCGAGTACTCACTATCCGTCGACACCGCTATCACTTTCGTGTTCAGCGCTTCGAATTCATCCGCGCGATCGTTAAACGCCGTGATCTCCGTCGGGCACACAAACGTAAAGTCGAGCGGGTAGAAGAACACCACGCAATACTTCCCGAGGTAATCGCTCAGCTTCACCCGGCCGAGATCGCCGTCGACGCACGCGGGAGAATCGAACTGCGGCGCGGGCTGGCCGATCTTCACCTCGGGCGAAGGGTAGCGCACGCGATTGTGCGCGTCGTCGGCGAATTCGCGCGCGATGGCGATGGCTGACGGTTGGGCGAACCGTCGCGCGCGAGACGACGCGCGCGGAACGCGCGTGGACGCGGTGACGTCGCCGAAGAGCGCGAACGTCGCGCGCGCGGTTCGCGCGGCAAATTTGTCGCCGGCTCGGCGGAACATGTCGGGCAAACGCGCGGTGGTGTGCGGATGACGGTGGCGGATGAGGGGGCCAGCGCGGACGGCGGAGACGCGCGTCGATAGTGGTAATACGTGATCGTTGCAATCGTGTGGTTGTGCTAAAGTTTCGACGTGCGTGGTATTAACGCGCCGGGGTGGCGCTGCCTTGGACGTAGCCGGCGCCGTTGAGCCACGGGAAGTTTTCGGTGCGCTTGGCCTCGAACGCGGCGATGTCGGCGTCTTGCTGCATCGTCAAGCCGATGTCGTCCAAGCCGTTGATCAAGCAGTGCTTGCGGAACTCGTCGACTTCGAATGGAATCTTCTCGCCGTTTGATCGAATGACGACTTGGTTCGGCAAGTCGATTTCGAGCTCTTGCTTGGCGTTGGCGTCCGCCATGAGCGTGTTCACGGTGGCTTCGTCGAGAACGATTGGCAACATGGCGTTCTTGAAGCAGTTGTTGAAGAAGATGTCGGCAAAGGCGGTGGAGATGATGCATCGAATGCCGAAGTCATTAATCGCCCACGGCGCGTGCTCACGAGAAGACCCGCAACCAAAATTGTTACCGGCGACCAAAATGGAGGCGTTGCGGTACGGCTCGTTGTTCAACACGAAATCCGGGCGTTCGACGCCTTGCTCGTCGTAACGCATTTCGTAAAACGCAGAGACTCCGAGGCCGGTGCGCTTGATCGTCTTCAAGAATTGCTTGGGGATGATCATATCGGTGTCGATGTTCTGAAGTTCCATGGCCGCGGCTACACCCTTCAAGGTGGTAAACTTGGCCATGCCGCCCGCGCCCGCCGGACCGTTGTCCTTCTTTTGCGGCGGCGGGGAAGTGACCAAGGCGTCCGATAAGAAGTCCTTGCTTTCGAGCTTACCCGGAGCATCTTCGCCGGTCAAGACAGCGCCAGAGCCGAGGGTGCGGACGTCGCAAAGCTTACCCGTGATGGCCGCGGCGGCAGCCATCGCCGGCGACATCAAGTGCGTGCGACCGCCGTTGCCTTGACGACCTTCAAAGTTACGGTTGGAGGTTGACGCGCAGCGTTCGCCCGGAAGCAACTTATCCGGGTTCATTGCCAAACACATCGAGCAACCGGGCTCGCGCCAGTCGAAGCCAGCTTCCTTGAGGATGACGTCCAAGCCTTCGGCTTCGGCTTGCTCCTTGACGATGCCCGAACCCGGGACGACCATGGCGTACACGTTGTCGGCAACCTTTCTACCTTTGGCCACCGCGGCGACCGCGCGCACGTCTTCGATGCGACCGTTCGTGCACGAGCCGACGAACACCTTGTCGACGACGACATCTTGCATCTTAGTGCCCGGGGTCAGACCCATGTAATCGAGCGCGCGTTGCATCGACTTGCCGCGCGCCTCGTCGAAGTCCTTCGGATCGGGAACGATGCCCGAAATCCCAACGACATCTTGCGGGGACGTCCCCCAAGTCACCGTGGGTTCGATATCGGACGCCGGAATAACGATCTCGCGATCGTACTTGGAATCCGCGTCGGAGGCGAGAGACTTCCAGTACTCGACCGCGCGATTCCACGTCTCCCCTCGAGGCGACATCGGACGACCCTTGAGGTACTCGAACGTGATCTCATCCGGGGCAATCATACCCGCGCGCGCCCCACCTTCAATGGCCATGTTACAAATACTCATTCGCGCCTCCATGGAGAGCGAGCGAATGGCTTCGCCCGCGAATTCAATCACGGAGCCGTTTCCGCCCGCCGTGCCGATGACGCCGATGATGTGCAAAATAATATCCTTACTCGTCACCCCATCTCCGAGCTTCCCATCGATCGTGATTCGCATATTCTTCGACGGCTTTTGCAACAACGTCTGCGTCGCGAGCACGTGTTCGACCTCGCTCGTCCCGATTCCGAACGCCAGCGCCCCGAACGCGCCGTGCGTCGCCGTGTGCGAGTCCCCGCACACCACCGTCGTCCCCGGCAGCGTGAACCCCTGTTCCGGTCCGATGATGTGCACGATCCCCTGTCTCTTATCGTCCATCCCGAAATACGTCACCCCAAACTCCTCCACGTTCTCCTCCAGCTGCAACACCTGCACGCGAGAGTCCATCTCCTTGATGAACGTCTCCGCGCTCTCGAACCCGCTCCGGTCGCTCGTGGGCACGTTGTGATCCACCGTCGCCAGCGTGTTATCCGGTCGTCGCACCGCCCGTCCCGCCGTTCGCAGCCCCTCGAACGCTTGCGGCGACGTCACCTCGTGTATCATGTGTCGATCGATGTACAGCAGCAGCGTCCCGTCGTCCTGCGTTCGCACGCGGTGGTCGTCGATGATTTTATCGTACATCGTCTGCCCCGCGTTCGCCACCGTCGCGCGTCGCGCCGTCGCGCGCGTCGCGCGTCGCGCCGTCGCGCGTCGCGCGCATCGCGCGCCGCCTCGCGTCATCGCGCCTCTCGCGTCCGCGACGCGCATCGTCGTCGTCGTCGCCATCGCGCGTCGTCGTCTCGCGCCGCCGCGACCCTATCGCGCGTCGGCGCGCGATCGCCGCGCCCGCGCGCGACGCGAAACGCGCGGCGTCGATCGCGCGCCGACGTCGACCCTCGATCGCGCGTCGACGACGACGACGACGTCGCGATCGGACCCGTCGCGCGAGGGGCGACGACGACGCGCGCGGACGTCGTAGTGTACCGACTCGAACGCCATGTGACGCGCGCGCGCGCGCCGCGATAAAACGGCGACCGACCGACCGACCGCGCGACGCGGATCGACCGCGGACGTCGCGCGCGGCGCCGCCGCGCGGCGCAGTGATCGACGCGCGTCGACGCCGACGCGCGCGAGCGCGATTCGAGCGACGCGGGCGATCGGAGCGACGCGACGCGACGAGGACGCGCGCGCGCGGGACGCGATCGGTCGGGTTTTGGATTAGTGGCGTCGTCGGACGCGCGCGATACGGGGAGACGCCGGGCGCGCGCGCGCGAGGATGGCGATCGTCGATCGCGGGGTGATGTCGACGCGCGCGCGCGGCGCGCTCGCGCTGGGGCGGCGGGAGACGACGCGAGAGGGAGGGAAGCGGCGCGGCGACGCGACGCGAGGGGCGAGCGCGAGCGACGCGCGGGCGAGCGCGCGCGGGAGGGCGTCGATGCGAGTCGGGCGCGTGGTGACGTGCGCGGGACGAGGGGACGAGCCGGGAGAGATCGGACGCGCGATGTTTGAAAACGGCGTCGGGACGGCGAGTTTTCGCGGATACAAGCTCGTGGACGAGATAGTGCTCGAGCTCGAGGTCGGGGGGGGCGCGGAAGACGAGGACGAAGAGCGTGAAGTTCGGCGACCGGGGGCGGGGAGAGTTGGTATGGCTGGGTTCGACAGCGCGCCCGGGTTCGCGTCGTTCTCGTGGATGTCGGACGAGGCGTACGAAGAGTACGAAGAATCGCACGAGCACGAGCACGACGATGAGGATGGCGAGGGATGCGAGCGATGCGAACGATGCGAACGATGCGAACGATGCGAACGATCGAGCGATGCGAACGAAGTCGTGGCGCTTGGGATGAAGGCCACGACGAGTATTGTGAAGAAGACGGTAGAAACGACGTCCATCGTGCGGAAAAAAATACAACAGACATCCCTCGCGACGACGATGATGCGCGCGACTGAGAGATTCGATACCGAGACCAAGCTCATTTACGGTGGTATCGCGACGGCCGTGGCTCTTATCGGAGGTAAACACAGTTTTTCAGCCGATCGGCGCGCGGCGTCGCCGACTGTGCCGCAGGTGACGACCTCGATCGTGGCTGAGCGTCCAAAAAATGTGGTGAAAACGGCAACAGTCGCCCCGTTCGCTCAAAATTTACCAGCGGTAAATGCGACCTCGATGACTTTGCGTCACAATAATGCGCTTCCGCCAGTCGTTGCAAAAACCGCTGCGGTAGCTGGTATCGCGTCTGCGGCTGCAGTTGCCGCTGCGGCAATCGGCTTCGGTATCTCTCGCTCTGGCGTTGACGTGCAAAAAGTGCGATCCAAATTGGAACGTTTGCCCAGTCTTGCTCAGCCTTTGGAAAGCGATAGTAGCGCGGTGCGACGCTTAGAAGTACTGCGGCAGTCAATGATTCTGGAGTTTGAAACCGAAATCGAAAAGCTCGGCGCCATGAAGAAGGAGAAGAATGATAACCTCAAGACTCTGAACGACGACTTCAAGCGCCACATGAAGGATGTGCAAATCGATTCGCTTTCAAGCGCCGGCGCGGGAGGACAAAGCACCGAAGAACTTCAACGTGTGCTCGTAAAGATGAAAGAGGAGCACGAAACCGCCATCAAAGCAAACGAAGCTGCCTTCCACGCGCAAGAGGTTACGCTGAAGGGCAGCATCGAGAGGCTTGAGAAAGCGCTGAATATTGCTGAGGATGCTTTGCACGAAGCGAAAGAGGTGAACAAATCTATGGCGACGCGTCATGAAATCGAAATTAGAGCCGCGCGTGGCTTGATTCGCGCTGAACGCGAACTTGGAAGAAGTGAAGCAAGCAAGTATCGCGCATCACGTGACCTGCAGCGCATGCACCTGGCGACGCTTCGGTCAGAATTGGCTCTTGCGAAGGTCACCTCTGGAGAACGCCTGTCATTCCTCGAAGATCAACTGAAAGCGATTTGTGCGTCTTATAGCGAGAGAATTGTGAAAGAGCGGGCCGATTTTGCCGCCACGCTCTCAAAAGTACGGGAGCCGGTGGCGGGACTGATTCAAGACAGTGACTCGACGACTCAGGACGAGTTCCTTTCGAAGATTGCCGAAATACGTGCCGAGGCTGAAGTTGAAATTAGCTCTCTCGTGGCCAAGTACGACAGCGCGATGCGCGGTGCCGCTGGGGAGCGACGAGCGCTAAAGGCGCTTCTTGATTCGGAGATGAACAAGGCCAGTCCTGGACGCAACATCGAGCGCGGCGCTCCAGTTGAGCGCGCCGATCCAGTCACATCGGTTGTCGATGTAAGCGCTCAAGCGAACGATGCCATTCGTGACGCGCAGATCCAGTTTGAACAGCGCGTGGTTGCTCTGAAGAAGGCGCACAGCGAAGAGATCGAACGAGTCAAGGCGAGTAACGCCTCAAAGCCGAGCCAGAGCGCGCTGAGCGTCGATCAATTCAACGCGGCACTCCGTGAGGAGCAGCTTAAATTTGAGCAGCGCGTGGTTGCTCTGAAGAAGGCGCACAACGAAGAGATCGAACGAGTCAAGGCGAGTAACGCCTCAAAGCCGAGCCAGAGCGCGCTGAGCGTCGATCAATTTAACGCGGCACTCCGTGAGGAGCAGCTTAACTTTGAGCAGCGCGTGGTTGCTCTGAAGAAGGCGCACAACGAAGAGATCGAACGAGTCAAGGCGAGTAACGCCTCAAAGCCGAGCCAGAGCGCGCTGAGCGTCGATCAATTTAACGCGGCACTCCGTGAGGAGCAGCTTAACTTTGAGCAGCGCGTGGTTGCTCTGAAGAAGGCGCACAACGAAGAGATCGAACGAGTCAAGGTTTCAAAGAAATCTCAGGTCGCGGTATCTCCGGTCGAAATGCGAAACGACGTGGACGTTGACGCAGTTCGTGACGAAGCTGTGCGTGGAGTTGCGGGCGAGCGTCGTGCGCTCAAGTCGATGTTCGACTCTGAGATGCGCAAAGCGAGCGAGCGAACTTTGACGCGGCTTCAAAGTGAAGTTGCCATAAGCGAAGTTTCGAGTAGCAAGAAGATGAACGACGCCATTCGTGACGCGCAGATCCAGTTTGAGCAGCGTGTGGTTGCTCTGAAGAAGGCGCACAACGAAGAGCTAGAGCGCCTTAAAAGGAGCGCGACGAAGGATGACGCACCAGCCAAAATAAAAGCCCTCGAACAGGCGCATCAGATGGCGATACAGACTACAGCCGCTGCTCACGCGACAGCATTAGAAGACGCACGTAGAGAGTCGGATAGAAGAGTCACGCAAGCGGAGGATCGCGCACGTGACGCTATCTCCAAGTTGAACGAGAGTGAAGCGTCAAAAGCTCAGCTTCTCGCACAGTTTGAAGCCGAGCGCATCAACGTTAAATCGAATCTTGCTTCAGAGCAGGACGCGGTAAAACAGGATGTAACTACGCTCAAGGAGATGTATGATGATATGCTCGTTCGAGCGGTTGCTGAAATCCAGTCGCTTGCTGAAGCTAGCAAGGTACAACTCGAGTCAGCTCTTAAATCCACAACTGGAGAACGTAACGCGATGTACAAAATGATGCGCGCCGAGGCGGTTAAGAGATTGAACCAGTTTGACGCTAACGAAGAAATCATAGATCTCAAGAAGCAGCTGTCTGAGAACATGGCAATTGCCGAGGAGCAGCTCGTCGAGGCCGTCGCTGAGCTCAAGGCTGAGAACGAACAGCTGGAGGCTTCATTGCGCGCATCGTCCAGCTCAACTGCCGAAGCAAGAGTTCAGCTGAACGACGCCATTCGTGACGCGCAGATTCAGTTTGAGCAGCGCGTGGTTGCTCTGAAGAAGGCGCACAACGAAGAGATCGAACGAGTCCGGGCGGCCAGTAAGGCCAGCACCCACGCTGTGGAATCTCCTGCATACTGGGAGAAAAAGATCAAGGACGTTGAGCTCATGAAGGATGCACAGCTGAAGCAGCTCAGGCAGTCGTACGAACAAAAGATTGCGGATTTACAAGCCTCATCCAGCTCGAGTAGTAGCAAAGATGTGGACGCGCAGGTCGCCGCGCTCAATAAGCAGTTGGAAGATGCGCAAAAAGAACGCGAAGAGGCAGTAAAGCGCGCGGTAGCGGAAATCGTTGCTGATAAAGACCGGCTGCAAGCCGCGGTTGACGCTGCAAAGTCGCAGCTCGACGCGTCCCTGTGCGAGCTCGAAGAGCTGAAGGCTTTAATCAAATCAGACACACCGGGCGTGGACGTGTCGGCGGAGATTACGGAGCTCCAGCGGCAGCTGCGCGAGCGAACCGAAGTTGAGCGTGATCTCCGAAATCAGATAGCATCCGCACAGCAGACCGTCAAGTACACTTCGCCGGAAAGCATTACTTACAAATTCGAAGACACGTCTAGAAAAACACCGGAAAACACTGCGAATGTTAACGCGCTAGAGGCCAAGATCAGCGCGCTCGAGTCGCAGCTGACGGAAATGCAGAAGACCAAGCGAGAGTATGACGCGAAGATTGAGTCACTCAAGGCGTCTGCACGCGCGGCGCCCGCCGTGCCCGCGGCGACGACCGCTGGGAGCGACGAGTCAGCGGCGAAGGATGCCATGATCCTGGATCTCAAGAAGCAGCTGTCTGAGCAGTCGTGGCGTTTGCAAGAGCAAAAAGCCATCGCCGAGGAGCAGCTCGTCGAGGCCGTCGCTGAGCTCAAGGCTGAGAACGAACAGCTGGAGGCGTCATTGCGCGCGTCGTCCGGTTCACCTGTGGACACGAGCGCTCAAGTGAACGACGCCATTCGTGACGCGCAGATTCAGTTTGAGCAGCGCGTGGTTGCTCTGAAGAAGGCACACAACGAAGAGATCGAACGAGTCCGGGCGGCCAGTAAGGCGAGCACTACGACCGGTGTTTCTGACAGAAGCGCCGAAATCGACGCCCTCAACAAGAAGCTGCAGGATGCCGAAAACGATGCCGAAGAGCAAGTTGAGGCGGCTGTCGCGACGATCCTCGCTGATAATGCCAAGCTGCAAGCGGCGGCGGCGGCCGAGAAGGCGCAGCTCGACGCATCGCTGCGTGAACTCGAGGAGCTCAAGGCATCAATGTCCAAGGCGTCTGGTAGTGATGGTCTCTCGAGCGTCGTGTCCGACCTGCAGGCGCAGCTCTCCAAGCGCTCGTCGATCGAACTCGAACTCCGAGGTCAAGTCGACGCGGCGAAAGCCGAACTTCAGTCGCTCAAGACTGCGTCGAAGAACGGTGTGAAGTACACACTTCCGCAGTTTATCAAGTACACATTCGAGGGCGGTTCCACGGACGACAAGCTGATGAAGGCTCAGCAGGCCAAGATCAGCGCGCTCGAGTCGCAGCTGACGGAAATGCAGAAGACCAAGCGAGAGTATGACGCGAAGATTGAGTCACTCAAGGCGTCTGCACGCGCGGCGCCCGCCGTGCCCGCGGCGACGACCGCTGGGAGCGACGAGTCAGCGGCGAAGGATGCCATGATCCTGGATCTCAAGAAGCAGCTGTCTGAGCAGTCGTGGCGTTTGCAAGAGCAAAAAGCCATCGCCGAGGAGCAGCTCGTCGAGGCCGTCGCTGAGCTCAAGGCTGAGAACGAACAGCTGGAGGCGTCATTGCGCGCGTCGTCCGGTTCACCTGTGGACACGAGCGCTCAAGTGAACGACGCCATTCGTGACGCGCAGATTCAGTTTGAGCAGCGCGTGGTTGCTCTGAAGAAGGCACACAACGAAGAGATCGAACGAGTCCGGGCGGCCAGTAAGGCGAGCACTACGACCGGTGTTTCTGACAGAAGCGCCGAAATCGACGCCCTCAACAAGAAGCTGCAGGATGCCGAAAACGATGCCGAAGAGCAAGTTGAGGCGGCTGTCGCGACGATCCTCGCTGATAATGCCAAGCTGCAAGCGGCGGCGGCGGCCGAGAAGGCGCAGCTCGACGCATCGCTGCGTGAACTCGAGGAGCTCAAGGCATCAATGTCCAAGGCGTCTGGTAGTGATGGTCTCTCGAGCGTCGTGTCCGACCTGCAGGCGCAGCTCTCCAAGCGCTCGTCGATCGAACTCGAACTCCGAGGTCAAGTCGACGCGGCGAAAGCCGAACTTCAGTCGCTCAAGACTGCGTCGAAGAACGGTGTGAAGTACACACTTCCGCAGTTTATCAAGTACACATTCGAGGGCGGTTCCACGGACGACAAGCTGATGAAGGCTCAGCAGGCCAAGATCAGCGCGCTCGAGTCGCAGCTGACGGAAATGCAGAAGACCAAGCGAGAGTATGACGCGAAGATTGAGTCACTCAAGGCGTCTGCACGCGCGGCGCCCGCCGTGCCCGCGGCGACGACCGCTGGGAGCGACGAGTCAGCGGCGAAGGATGCCATGATCCTGGATCTCAAGAAGCAGCTGTCTGAGCAGTCGTGGCGTTTGCAAGAGCAAAAAGCCATCGCCGAGGAGCATCTCGTCGAGGCCGTCGCTAGTATTCAGGCCTTTGCGTCTTCCGAGCTGGCGCAACGCGACGCTTCGTCTCGTTCAAGCGCTGGCGAGCGCCGCGCGCTGTATGCGATGATGCGAAACGAAGCGATAAAACAGTCCGCAGACGCTATGGTTGAGTTCACGGCTGAGGTAGCCACTGCCGAGGCTCAATCATCTATTTTCTGGGAACAGAAGATTCGTGAGGTCGAAGCAGCCAAGGATGCACAGATTGATCGGTTGAAGCAAGAGTATCAAGGTAAAATTGATGCGCTTCAATCTTCTACTGCGTGGGTGTCGAGTGACGACGATGAGATGAAGAAAATTAAAGCGCAGCTCGCAGCATCTAAGTCTAGCGAAAGTGAACTTAGAAAACGAGTCGAATCGACGAAAAAGGACCTCGAAGACCTCAAGCAAAAAAGTAAGGGTGGCATCAAGTACACGCTGCCTCAAACAGTGACATATAAGTTTACTGGCAACAAGGTAGATGCATCGCTAGAGAAGGAGCGCGACGCGCTTCAAGCGCAAGTCACACGCCTTGAATCCCAACTTGACGAGATGCAAAAGTCCAAGCGGCTCTACGAGCAAACTATCGCGAACATGAAATCGACGTCGAAAACGGACACAGAGACCGCTACGATTGATGACCAAGTTGCAGCTCTGAAGAAGCAACTCGCCGATGCCAACGAAAGCGCCGAACGAGAGCTTATCCAAGCCGTCGCTGAAATTCAGGCGTCAGCGGAGGCTGATCGAGTAGCGTTGGTTGCTTTGGTCAAGTCGGAAGCGGATGACCGCGTATCGCAGGAGTCAAAGCTCTTCCAAGAAGAAAAAGAGGCGCTGATCACGGCTCAGACTCTCGAGATCGAGACCCTGCAAAACGCCATGAAAACTTCTCTCGCGAGCGATGAAACTACAAAGGTAAAGCAAGCTGAGGACTTGTGGAAAGCAAAACTCGAAGAAGTTGAGAGGTCTGCGAAGATACAGGCTGATGAAATCGCCGCGGAGTACGAGGCGACAGTCAAGCGACTGGAACTTCAACTAGAAGAGGTTTCCGAAGGTTACGAATCGACGATAAAGAAGCTCAATAAGACTCTCAAGCGCACGGCGACGGAGACGGAAGCAGAGCTCAGGCTTGAAGTCACTGAGGCTCGCAAGGAGTTGGATGCGTTTAAACGCAAACAACAGCAAAAGCGTGAGAAGAGTGTAGTTAAGTACACCCTTCCCCAATCTGTCACGTACAAGTTCGAGGGAAGCACTGGCGAAGTCAAGCGTCTCAAGAAGCAGCGCGACGCGCTTCAAGAAAAGCTTGAGAAACTTGAAGCGGAGTTCGCTACGCAAGCTAAGAGGAGCAGCCCGGACGTGGAAAAGCATATCTTCGACTTGGAAGCGCAAATCAAAGCCGTCCGCGCTGAGCGTGATCAAGATGTGCTATCGGTCACGACAAGACTACAGTCTGAGAAGCTGGATTCCGAGCGACGACTAGAAAAGGAACTAGAAAAAGCTCGCAAGGGCATGCAAAAGGCTGAAGAGAAATACAAGGCTGTTTTGGACAAGGCGAAAGGCGATCGAGGTGGAATTTTTGCTAGCATCATCGGCGCTTCCCAGGGACAGGACGCGTCCCTTGATGCTGTAAATGCTCAGATCAAAGATCAAACTGTGCTGTTATCAGCTGCAGAGACTGAAGCACGCGATGCGCAAGAGCGCGAAGTCAAGCTTCGTGAGGAAATATCGCGTCTGACATTGGAGTTTGAACAAAAAAGTTCAGCTTCAGCGAATGAAATCGCGGCACTCAAAGCAGAGTTGAAGGACGCCGTCAGTAACGCATCTTCTACTTTTGCCGCCGAGAGTGAAACCACTGTCAAAGAGTACAAGCAACGCATCTCCGAGCTTGAGTCCAAGCTTAAAAGCGGCGATGATACCGTCGCAGCCATCGCCAAGCTCCAAGCTGATGCTCAAGAACAGCTCGCGGTAACCGTGGCGCGCCTGAACGAAGAGCGAGAACGTGCGGTTGCCGACGCAGAGACAAAGTATGCGCTCGATTTGGCGCGACTTACCGAAAACGCCTCGGCGTCGTTTGATGAGGATGACGAGATGACTGCTGCCGTCGCACAAATGCTTCGTAAAATGGCCAAGTTGGAGCAAGAACGTGACGCATGGCAATTCGACTCCGTTGCTTGGAAAGATCAAGCAAAGTCGTACGAAGCGAATGTGCGCAGTCTTGAATCCGAACGAGCAGATATTTTGGTCAAGTATCAAAATAGTCAGGCGATGTTGGGTTCTAGAATTTCTGAAATGAACGCGATGAAGGAAAAGCACAATGACGAGATCGTTCGCGCTGTCGCTCAAACAACGGCTGATGCTACTTTAGAATTCAACCAAAAGATTCAAGAAAGCAAGGAGCACACGCGAGAGGTTGAAGTTCTTCTCGCCGCGTTGCGCGAAGACTTCAAAGAACGCGTGCGAGACTCGGCGCAGCTAATGAACAAGCAACTCAAGTCACGCGAACGCGAACTTGAGAAGCAAATCAGACGTGCGCACAGGGATTATGCGGAACAGGCGAAGAAAATGGAGAATGTCCAGTATCGACTTGCGAGTGTTCAGGCCGACGAAGCGAATGTGCGCAGTCTTGAATCCGAACGAGCAGATATTTTGGTCAAGTATCAAAATAGTCAGGCGATGTTGGGTTCTAGAATTTCTGAAATGAACGCGATGAAGGAAAAGCACAATGACGAGATCGTTCGCGCTGTCGCTCAAACAATGGCTGATGCTACTTTAGAATTCAACCAAAAGATTCAAGAAAGCAAGGAGCACACGCGAGAGGTTGAAGTTCTTCTCGCCGCGTTGCGCGAAGACTTCAAAGAACGCGTACGAGACTCGGCGCAGCTAATGAACAAGCAACTCAAGTCACGCGAACGCGAACTTGAGAAGCAAATCAGACGTGCGCACAGGGATTATGCGGAACAGGCGAAGAAAATGGAGAATGTCCAGTATCGACTTGCGAGTGTTCAGGCCGAGTTTGCCGAAGCGGAGGCGAAATGGTCCCGTTCGATGCTTTTGATGAAGGAAGACTTCGAGCGAAGATTGAAATCCGAGCAAGTAACTCTCGCAGAGAAGATCGCCTTTTATGAGCAACGCGTTGGTGCACTCACTGATGAACTCGATGTCGCAAAGAAGCAATCTTCGTCATCGAAGGTGGTATCGGAAACCTCCGTTCAGCGCCCTCTCTTTGAATTCAACAAAGGCAAGGTTGCAGCTGAACGAGCCGCGCGCGAAGACGCCGAGCGTAAGCTTCGTGCGGCGCAAAGTGAAATGGTTACTTTGCGCGATCAGTTGCTTGCAGCGAAGGAAGAAGCTACGAAAGCGAAGGAAGATGCGGCGTTGGCGGCTGAAGAAGCGGCGTTGGCGGCTGAAGAAGCGGCGAAGACTTCCGCGCCTTCGCTCTTTGAACGTCTCTTCGGCGCGTCGAATCGCTCGATGAAGGAGACGAACGCGTCTACACCGACGGAGTCAGTCATACAGAAGAGCAAGCCCGCTCAATCGCCTAGCAAGGTTGCGACGCTCGAGCGTGATCTTGAAGCCGCCGTGAAGAAACTGAGCGAATTTAAGACGGCACAAAAGGCTGAAATCGAGGCGGTAGAGAAAGCAATGCGCATCGAATCCGAATCAAAGCTTAAGGCTTTGGAATCCAAAGTTTCTACACTCGAAAATCAGCTCGCAAACTCTGAGAAGATTGCGAACCAGAAGTTGGCGTCCGCGATGGAAGCTGCGAAGGCGGAGCGCGACCGTATGGAAAAGACTTTGCGCACTGAAATCGCGGCGGCAAAGAAGCTCACCGAGAGTGCCAAGCTCGCGGCACAGCGTGAATATATCGCGGCTCTGAGAGAGGCGGAAACCACAGCGAAGAAGGCGTTGCGCGATCAATTGGCCATCGCCGCCGCCGAACGCTCAAAATCTGAAGCGGCGCTTCGTGCGACGGCGAAGAAGGCGAATGATAAACTCAAGGCCAAAATTGCCAACTTTGAAAACATGCTCAACGATCGTGATCTGGAAATTGAAGCCAAATTCAACGCGCAGTTTGATAAGCTAGTCGTAGACTTCCGTCAAGAAGTTGAAACGCTTCAACGGGCTGTGCGCGACGCGGAAAAGCGCGCCGGGCAAACAGGCGGACCGCCGCAAATAGTCGAGAAGGTCGTCGAGAAGATTGTTGAGGTTGAAAAGATTGTTGAGAAGGAAGTTGCGACCTCGACCGGCAGACGTGGCGACGCTGACGCTTACGCCGAAGAGATAGCCAAAACTCAAGCGAGTCTCAAGGAACTTCGCGAGCGAAGCGAGATCGATATCGCCAAGCTTCGCGAATCGTACGAGGCACGACTGAGAGACACCATCGCGGCGAAGGACGCGGCGCTCAAAGCGAGTCGCGAAAAAGCGCTCAAAATCGTCGCGGAAGAAAAGTCTAAAGCCGAAAAGAGCCTCAGGCTTAGCGTCTCCGATCGAGAAAAGCAGCTCGAGGCCGACAGACTTGCGCTCGAACGTTCGTTTGAGCAGACGGCAACCGAACGCGATGAGTACGCCGTGGAGATCAAGCGCCTCCGCGTTTCCCTCGACGAGGCCAAAAAGCGTCTCCGCGACTTTGTGAACCTGAGCGATGAAGAACTCAAGGTTCTCGAAGAGTCCAAAAAAGTGGCCGGCGAACTCGACGATCTCAAATCCAAATACGCCGAGTCCATGGGTATTTCGGTTCAAGACGTCGAAGCCGAAGACGTCGTCAAATCGATGACCATTTCATCCCTGCGCAGCGTCATCACGCGCAAGACAAACACCAACGAAACGAAGAAAACCGCAGCCAGCGCGGTGGATTATTTCACGCAGCTCCTCGACATGTCGAACGAGGACAAGTAATCGCGAGCGCGTTCGCGAAGGCGACGGCTCTCCAGCGTGTAATAGCGTACACTCATTCTTTCACTCTCCACACGACGTCGCGCGCCCCATCGCGCGTCGCGCGCGTGCGCATTCGCATGGACGTCGTTCGCGTCGACGTCGCGCGCATCGCGCGCTCGAGCGCCCAGCGCGCGCGATGTTCCCGCGACGTCGTCGACGCCCTGCGTCTACCGCTCGGCGCCCCCGTGCGCGTGCGCCTGCGCAGACGCCCTCGCGCGGGCGACGGCGCGGACGAGGAGTTCGTCTTCCTGTGCGCGCTCGAGCCGTGGGACGAAAAGCCCGGGCTGTGCGCAGAAATCGACGCGAGCGTGCGCGAGGCAGATTCGGCGGCGAATGCGAATGCGAAAGAATTCGACGAACGCGACGCGTACGAGGGCACGATCGAGCGTTTAGACGCGAAACCGATCGCGTGTGAACGCGTGCGCGTGCGAGCGCCGGTGAGCGTGACGCCGGCGGCGCTCGAGCGAGGATTGCGAGAACGCGTCGTGCGCGTCGGCGCGTCGGCGTCGACGAGCGGCGGCGAACGCGAGCGCGTCGTCGTCGAACGCGTCGAGCCGAGCGTGCGAGGGAGCGACGATAGGAGCGTGACGTGGCGCATCACGGCGTCGACGGTGATCGAACGCGTTGAGATGCTCGGGGCGGATGAAGAGACGGGACGCGCGGCGAGCGGCGACGCGGCGGCGGCTCGAGCGGAGACGCGCGTCGTCGCGTGCGATGAAGCTTTGAACGCGTTGCGTCAAGCCATCGTGTGGCCGATGCGGTACGCGAGCGAAGCGCGAAGGCTCGGCGTGCGGTTTCCTCGAGGCTTACTTTTGCATGGACCGCCGGGTACGGGAAAGACGGAGGCGGTGCGCGCGGTGGCGGCCGAGGCGGGGGCGACGATTTTAGGGGTGAGTAGCGGGGACATCGTGGGCGCGTACGCGGGTGAGAGCGAGAAGCGTTTGCGTAAGATATTCGAACGCGCGCGGAAAGAGGTGACGAAGGGCGCGCCGTGCGTGATCATGATCGATGAGCTCGACGTGTTGTGTCCGACGAGGCAAGAAACGAGCGCGCACGAGACGAGAATCGTGGCGCAGCTTTTGACGTTAATGGACGGCGCAGGGGAGTCTGACGAGGTCGTCGTTCCCGTCGTTGCCACGACGAGTCGGCCGAACGCCATCGATCCTGCGCTTCGTCGACCGGGTAGATTCGATCGCGAGGTTGAGTTGTCGCTACCGAACGCGATGGAGCGCGCAGAAATCCTCAAACTTCACGCGAAGTCGATTCCGCTCGCCGACGATGTCGCGTTGGACATCGTCGCTTTCGATAGTAAAGGGTACAGCGGTGCAGATATCGCGGCGCTTTGCCGCGAAGCCGCGATGCGTGCGATTCAAAATCGACGCGAGGACGGCGACAGCGAGATGACGGTGTCGATGGCTGATTTTCAAGCGTCTCGCTCACGCGTGCGCGCGTCCGTCGTGCGTGGCGTCGCGATCGATTTGCCGCCGATCACGTGGGATGACATTGGCGGTTTAGCCGACGTTAAGAAGCGGCTTAGACAAGCGGTAGAGTGGCCGTTGCACCACGCAGACGCGTTCAAGCGTCTAGGCTTGCGACCGCCAAAGGGTATTCTTTTGCACGGACCTCCAGGATGCGCGAAGACCACGCTCGCGCGCGCCGCAGCCACGGCATCGGGCGCGACCGTTATCGCGCTTTCCGCCGCGGACGTGTTCAGCAAATACTTGGGCGAAGGTGAAAAGATTCTTCGCAGTACGTTTACCAAGGCGCGCAAGTCGGCGCCGGCGGTTCTTCTTCTCGACGAAATCGACGGTATGTGCGGATCTCGCGGCGACGGCGCGTCGGACGGCGCGCACGACGTCGCCACTCGCCTGCTTTCGGTGTTCTTGACGGAGATGGATGGGTTAGAGACCGCGCCCTCTACCGCGGGCGGCGTGCTCGTGATGGCGACGACGAACCGCCCGAAGAGTCTCGATCCCGCGCTCACGCGCCCAGGAAGACTCGATTTAGTGCTCGAGATTCCCCCACTCGACTTCATCGGTCGCGTAGAGGCGTTACGCGTCCACACCCGCGACGTCACGCTCGACGACGACGTCGATCTCGACGCGTTGGCTCGCGTCGCCGTCGGTTACACGGGCGCCGAGCTTCGTCACGTCGTCAAGGAAGCCGCGCTCGCCGCGCTTCGACAGGACATGAACGCCGCTCGCGTGCGCCACGAGCACTTTACGATCGCGTCGAAATCATAGTCATGCACCCAAACCATCGTCGCATCTAGCGTTGTAGCCGATAGAGCCTCGAATCCGTCGCGTTTCGACGGGCAGCCGCGCCGCCTCGATCCAGGGGAACGACCGCTGGTGGGACCCCGTCGCGTCACAATCGCGCGAATCATGACCGCGCCCGGCGACACCGATCCCGCACAGCGCGAGCGCAACGCGAGAGGCCGCAGTCTGTTCGTCTGGCACGTCGTCGTCGCGTGCGCAGCCTTCCTGACGTCCGCGAACGGCCGTAAAAACTAATCGCATCGCGCGGCGTCGGAAAAGTGTCGACGGAAAAGTGTCGGTCGGTGTCGCGTCGCGGGTTTCGATGTCGCACGAGCACGTCGTGGTCGTTCGGTTCAGCGAGACGGACGGACAAGGCGTGGTGTTCAACGGCAGTTATCCGGTGTACGCCGATTGCGCGTTCGACGCGTGGTTGGAGCGGGCGATGGGGAAAGACTGGGCGTGGACGTGCGGGCGAAGCGTGGCCGTCGCCGCGAGCAGCAAATGGAACTTTAAAAAGTCAGCCAAGTTTCTGGATCGGGTGCGGATCGCGTGTCGAGTGCCTCGGTGGGGAACGACGTCCTTTGACGTGGAGTACGTCGGAACGGTGGATGGGGGCGCGTGCTTCGATGGATTGGTGACGTACGTGTCCGTGGACGCGGAAACGCGGAGACCCACGCCGGTGCCGCGGGATTTAAAGGAAGCCCTGAGCGCCACGCGTTCGAAGATGTGAAGATGTTGTACTAACTACGCGTGAAATAATGAATATGATAAATGTGAAGTTTAGCGGCATCGCTCGCTAGCGGTCGCGCATGCATTCGAGCATGGCGGCGTGCCCGTATCGCGTGAATTCTTCGTACGTCATGTATCGATTTTCGCGCAAATTTTTCGATCCACGCACGATGGACATCACGGCGTCTAATTGTTCTTCGGACACGTGCCTGTGTCCACTTCGCAGCTGGTTCAAGTCGCCCACCAAACACTCGAGCTCGGTTTCGTCCAAAACGTTGTCTCGGTTGCGGTCGTAGCGTTGCCACAAGGAGCGCAGAACCTGCGCTGGAACGACTTCGGTGACGCGCGCCTGTTCGAGCAACCAGCTCCCAGCTTTTGGATTCCAAGGTGCCTCTTGAAACTCTTTCGACTGCATCTCCGCGAGTCGACTCGCTGCGCGGTCCCACGCGAACTCTTCGTCGCGGGCGGCGTTTTTGCGAGATCCGTCGCCGGCGCTCGCGCGGTACAGCTCTTCAGGCGACGCATCCGCACTCACGAGGAGTTTCACCTTATGCTCGTACATGACATCTATGAATGTAATGAATCTTCGCACCAGATCGAGTCTGTCTGAGCTCAAAGTCGGCACGTGCCCGACGCCTATGGAGTTGAAGATGCTCGCGAGGGCGGTGTAATCGGCGGCGCCCAGAGCGCTGTCACACAACTCGTTAAAATCAAAGTGAGCGATGCCACCACCCGCGCGCCGGACGTGCACGAGGCGTCCACCGATCGCTATTTGTAGCGGTTTGAACGAGCGCTCGCCCGCGAGCACTTGCAAGCGTTCGACCAGCCAACGCTCGCGCTCGGCTTCGTCGCCGCCGGATTTCCACATCGCTTGGTCCTCCTCACTCCGTGCGCGTCCAGTGAGACGATAATCGCGATCGCTCGCCATCTCGTGCACGATGCATCGTCTTTTAATTTCCGCTATGCACGGCAAAAACTGCGCGCGATTCAACCCATTCTTGTACAACTCATCCGGATGTCTGTTGCTCGTCGTCACCACCAGCACGCCCTCGGCCCAGAGATTTTCCAGCAGACGCTTGATGATCATCGCGTCCGCGACGTCGACGATTTGAAACTCGTCCAAGCACAGCACGCGCATCTTTCTCGCCAACGCCGACGCGTATTGACCCACGGTGTCCATGTTCTTATCCGAGTCCTTCAACTTGTGCAACTGCGTGTGCGTCTCGAGCATAAACGAGTGAAAATGCTCCCGACGCTTCTCCACGCCGTGTTCACCGTCCAGCGTGGCGTAAAACAAATCCATCACAAACGTTTTCCCGCTTCCCGGTCCCCCGTGCACGTACGCCCCCCCCTCTCCGGCTTCGACCTCGCGTTTCGCGCTCGCGTCGCCGCCGAGCCACCCCGCGAACGACCACCCTCCCCCCGCGCCCACCGCGCCGAGTCCTTCCCTCCGCCGCGTCCCTCTCGCGCGCCCTCCGACGACGTCCAGCGCTTTCAGCGCGTGTCTCTGCGCCTCGTCTTCGCGCACGACGCCCTCGGCGCACAGCCTCGCGTACGCCGCGCTCGCCGTCTCGCCCGCGCGCGTCAGCGCTCGAAAGTCCAGCCCGCTCCCGAGCGCCGACGTCGACGCCTCCGCGCCCGCGCGCGCGCGCGTCGACGTCCATCGTCGTCCATCGCGCGCGCGCGCGCGCGCGTCGCGCGCCGCGTCGCGCGCCGTCGAAATCGCGCGAACGACGCGCGCGCCGTCTTTCGCCCTCGCGCGCGGCATCTCGCGCGCCGCGCGCGTCGAATCCGCGTCGGCGTCGAGCGCGACGCGCGTCGCGCGACGCTCGACCGGCGCGCGCGCGCGCGCGCGCGAAGCCGCCCCGCGCGCGTCACTGCGGCGTCGCGGACGCGCCGACGCGGATTCGACGCGATGGCATTCTTCGACGCCGCGGTGACGCGCGCCGCGACGCCGCGGCGACGCGAGCGATGCGCGCGAGCGTCGTCGCGCGCGCGACGCCGGGCGCGCCGCGCGCGCGCGCGACGCCGGGCGCGCGCGCGCGACGAGGCGTCGTTTCGACGAACTGTCGACGCGACGAGGTCGCGCGCGAGATCGTCTTCGTGCGACGCGACGCGCGCGCGAGCGCGGCGGGCGACGCGCGCGCGAGCGGTGGGCGCGTCGCGGCGGTGCGTCGAGGGAGCAAGCGCGCGGTGCGAGGGGAGACGCGAGCGATCGCCGCGAATGGTGAAGAATTGCACGAGAAGAGCGTCGTCGACGCGCGAGAGCTGCGAGACGTGTTCAACGAATCGATCGCCGCCATGCGCACGGTGACGCCGCCGTTCGCGCAGGAAGGAATGGAGGAAGATAAGGATGCGCTGAGCGAGTACGACGTGGAGACGCTGGTGAAGAGCGATCCGGTGTTTAACGCGGAGATGTCGTGGTTGGCGTTTAACTGGCGAGTGCTCGCGATGGCGGCGAACGAAGAGGTGCCGATATTTGAAAGGTTGCGATTCGTGGCGATCAGCGCGAGAAATCTGGATGAGTTCTTCGCGAAGCGCGTCGGCGCGATCAAGCGACAGGCGGCGGCGGGTTTGGAGAACTTGGTAAAGCAGCGCGGACGGGAGGTGTGGACGCCGCAGGAGACGTTGCAAAACGTCGCGGCGGAGGTGGAGCGACAAGTGGACGCACAAGCGGCTTTGTTGGAGGATCACATCGTTCCAGCTTTGAAGGCGCACAATATCTACTTGGAGCAATACGATGATCTGAGTAAGGACTTGAGAACGAAACTCGGAGACTATTTCGAGGCTCAAATCGAACCGGTGCTCGATCCTCGCGCCATAGATCCGTGCCACCCGTTTCCGTTTCTCGGTTCCCTCTCGCTTTCCATCGCGGTCGAACTCGAAGATGCGTTCAAGCAGGAAAAGTTTGCCATCGTGAGCGTTCCCGCCGCGCTCGAGCGTTGGATTCGAGTCGGCGATAGCAAAGATTCCAGCGAACAGCGATTTTTGCCGCTCGAGCAGCTTATCGAAGCGAACATGGAGAAACTCTTCAGAGGATGCAATATTCGTGATACGCACGTGTTTCGCGTCACGCGCAATGCCGACATAGAGCGTAATGAAGACGAAGCCGAAGATTTGCTCGAGATGATGGCAGACGAGGTGCGAGAGCGTCGGTTTGCGTCTTTTGTTCGCCTCGAAGTCCAGGACACGATGCCCGAGTACATTCGAGATAAATTGATCGACTCTCTCGACGGCATCACGCTCACGGACGTCATTACCGTACCTCATCGCGCGCCACTCGGTTTCGGTACAATCGATTCATTACCGGTAAATTTTGGCATGGATATCGAGATGCTTTACCCACCGTGGTCGCCGCGAACGCATCCACGTTTGGAACAAATTCGCGGAAGCGAAGGCACCATTTTCAGCGCGATTTCTGAGGGAGACATCCTCGTGCATCACCCGTACGTCTCTTTCGCTACATCAACGCAGGCGTTCATCGAAGAAGCCGCGCGAGATCCGGATGTGCTTTCAATCAAGTCTACGCTTTATCGCACGAGCGACAATTCGCCCATCGTCAGAGCCTTGATCAAGGCGGCTGAAAACGGTAAGCAAGTAGCCGTGCTCGTCGAGCTCAAGGCGCGTTTCGACGAAGCAAGAAACGTGGGTTTTGCGCAGCGCTTAGAAACCGCCGGATGCAACGTTGCGTACGGTGTCAAGGGGGTCAAGACGCACTCGAAGGCGTCGCTTGTCGTGCGTCGCGAAGGTAAAAAGTTGGTCAAGTACGTGCACATCGGTACCGGCAACTACAACCCATCGACGGCGGGTATCTACACGGATTTCGGTTTGTTGTCGCGTGACGACCAGCTTGGCGATGATGTGAGTAACTTGTTCAAGTTTCTCATGGGCCATCACTACCAAGAACGGTTCAACAAGCTCATCGTCGCCCCGTTGCGCATGCAAAATGAATTCGTGGAGATGATTGAACGCGAAGCAGAGAACGCTCTCAAAGGAAAGCCGGCGTCCATCATCGCTAAAATGAATGGCCTTGACGACGCGGTAATATGCGCCGCGCTGTATCGCGCTTCGCAGGCAGGTGTGAAGATTCATCTCATCATTCGAGGCATCTGCCGCGTTAGACCGGGCATCCCCGGCGTCTCAGAAAACATTCGAGTCGTCTCCATTGTCGGGCGTTTTCTCGAGCATCACCGCGTGTTCCGATTTGAAAACAACGGATCACCCGAGTTCTACATGGGGTCCGCGGATTTGATGCGTCGTAATCTACTTCGACGCGTCGAGGTCATCACGCGTGTGTACGATCCGAAGATCCAAACCGAGTTACAAGAAGTCCTCGACGCGTGCTTGACGGACCAAGTGCTCGCGTGGGAAATGGGCTCGGATGGCCGTTATTACCGCACGCCGACGTCCCGACAGGTCGCGGCGAATCACTTGGCGCACGATCCTGGAAAGGGACGACTCATGAAAATGGCCGCTACGGATGGCTTGCACGTCGCGCTCATGGCGGATACGCTCAAGATGATGAAGCGATCGGACAAGCGCGCGAATCTCGCGACTCTCGCGACGAAGAAGGTGAAAAAAGTTGAACGCGCGCCCAAGGAGGTGCGTGCTCGCGTTCTCAAGACGAACGCCCCGGAGGTGAACGATAAAACCGACGTGATTGAGCAGCAGGTCCAAGCGAAAGCACCGGAGAACACGCGACCGAAGTTTGAAGACGTCATCTCGGTCGAAGAAGGCGTGATCATGAGATCGGTCGAAGACAGCGCCGACGAGTCGTAAAGTCGCACACCATAAACCGACAAACGCGATTTTGTGATTTTGTTTCTCGCATCGCGCACAGTACACTGTACTATAGTATATACATTACATTCTCTTGCAATTCAAGGTTCCAGCGCTTCTTTCGGACGTCTCGCTTCGTGATCGTCAAACACTTCTTCCGCGCTCATCGCCGCACGCTCTGGGTTTCGAATCTCGTGCCCGTACGGAAAGTCTGGCACCGAAGGATCCGCATCCAAACTATCTAAAACTTGAAATAACTTCTCCGTCACGAATCGTTGTCCGTCCTCGCCGAAGTGCACGCCGTCTTCAAACAAAACCGCGCCGCGCTCCATCGCCGCGCGCGTCTCCGCGTACAAATCCAACGCGTAGACGCGATGTCGACGTTCCTGAAATTCGCGCACCACGTCCACGAGCGCCTTCCCGTACGCCTCGACGTCCGGTCGATGATCCTCGAACGGTCCTCCGACCCAGTCCTCCCCCCATCTTTCGCGTTGCGCCTCGACGCGTCGTCGTTCGTCCACCGCCGGCGGCGTCATCGCCACCACGATCTCCGACGTCTCCACCGCCCGCGCGATGATCGTTCGCATGTTTTTCGCGTACTCCTCCAACTCCACCCTCACCCTGTTCGTTCGCTCCGCCGTCGCGTCGCGCATTCGCGTCGCGTCGTTCGTCCCCAGCATCACCGTCGCCAGAAACGTCCGCCCCTCGCGCCGCGCGTCCGCCGCGAACGCCCCGTCCAGGACGTCCTCGCGCGCGCACCATCGCGAGTTGTACCCCCCGTACCCGCGATTGAACACATCGCACGTGCGCGCGTACCGATTCGCCTGCCGTCGTCGTCGCGCGCGTCAGTCGTCGCGCGCGTCGTCGTCGCGACATCGCGCGTTCGAATCCATCGTCTTCGCGTCGCCGTCGCGCACCAGCGCCGCGCCGAACCCGTGCGGCTCGAACGAACGCTGCGTGAGCGAGTCTCCGAACACGACGACGCGCCGCCGTCGCGCGGGCGTCATCGTGTGCGGCGCGGGCGACGACGGGCGTTCGAATCGCGCGCGAGCTGTCGCGAGAGCATGACGCGCGACGGCGCGACGAGCGCGTTCTGGCGCGCGCGCGCCGAGGCGCTGAGCGCGATGACGCGCGGCGGCGCGCGCGAGGGCGGCGCGGCGGCGGCGGCGGCGACGCGCGCGCGCGGCGCGGCGATGACGTTTCGCGACGACGCGAATTCGCGCGACGACGACGACGACGACGGGACGCGCGAGGCGAGCGACGCGCGAGGCGTCGTCGCGTGGCGCGCGAAGGCGGTGCCGACGGTCGGCGCGACGGCGACGACGGCGGCGCGGTTCGAGCGAGGACGAGGCGTCGACGCGGCGCTGGACGACGCGAAGTCGGTCGAGGCGCTGCGCGCGGGATATAAGACGCTGCTGCGAGAAGTGACGGCGCGGCACGAACGGGCGCGGCGGACGATGGAGGAGGAGATGGAGACGCTGCGAGCGCGGGTGCGAGCGTTGGAGACGGAGAGGGCGTCGACGGCGGCGACGATTTCGGGGTCGCAGACGCGGATGAAATCGCCGAGGCGGGAGATACTCGCGCCGGACTCACCGGACGATGGCGACGGACTGTCGCCGTTGTCGTACGAGTTATCGCCGCTGTCGACGTCGGAAATGACGCCACCGCCGCGGTGTGCGCTGGAAGAGGAAGAGGAGGCGGCGCAGACGCCTAGAGCGTTTCTCCCGCCTCGACCGCCGAGTCGCGAAGGATCCGGCGGTGACGATAGATCATGGGTGGAGGCGTGGGAGCGCGCGCAGTTGAACAATCCCGCGGCGTCGTTGCCGACGAGCCTCCGACCGGGACAAGGGTTTGTGTGTCCGTTTACTGGAAACGTCGTGCACAAGACGCCTTGAAGTGACCGAGCGTCGTCGTCGTCGGCGGCGGCGGAGGAAGTAGAACATTTTTGTATCAATCACAAAATTTATCTAGCCAACGACTATCGCCATCTAAAGACACGGCCTTGTTTACTTCCAAGGCGCCCTCAACGAAATGAATCCGCTTCGACCCATGCGTTGCACGTCCATTGCGATAAACTTGAAAGGCAACCATGAGATCGCGCGACCGAGCGGGCGAAGAAATCTATTTCTAGACGCAACGGGTGCGAATTCGCTCCATGGCGCCGTCGCGCAGCTCTTCATGACGTCTAATACCTTCATCGCATCCATGTCTTCGTCGCTCAGTTCGAAGCCGAACAAATCAGCGTTGCTCGCGATGCGCTTCGCCGAAGTCGACTTGGGAATGACGACGACGTCGCGCTGCACGTTCCACCTCAGCACCACCTGCGCCGGGGTCACACCGTACTTTTTCGCCAATCCAACGAGAATTTCGTTCTCAAACAACTCCCCTCCCTGCGCCAAGGGCGAATACGCCGTCACAGTCAACCCTTTCGACTGCGAATACTTGACCAACGAGTCGTTGCTCCACAGTGGATGCGACTCGATTTGGTTACACGCCGGCTGGATCTTCGTCCTGGGATCATCACACAACGCGGCGAGCTGCGCTTCGTTAAAATTACTCACTCCAATGTGTCGTACCAACCCGTCTGCGACGCACCGTTCGAGCTCGCTCCAGCACTCCGCGATGGACGCCTCCGCGTCTGGCTGCAGCACGGTGCCTCGTTTCCACGCCACCGGCCAATGAATCAGGTACAAATCCAAATATCCCACCCCTAAATCGTTCAGCGTCGTCATCAACGCCTCTCGAACGTCCCTCGGCCGTCGTCGATCGTTCCACAGTTTGCTCGTCACGAAGACGTCTTCTCTCTTCGCGTCGCCGCGCTCGAACGCCTCTCGCAGCGCCTCGCCGACTTCGCTCTCGTTCGCGTACGCCGCCGCGCAATCGACGTGCGCGTACCCCGCCCCGAGCGCATCGCGCACCGCATCGCGCACCTCGTTCGGGCGCGCTTTCCACGTTCCCAGCCCGACGCGCGGGATTCTCAGTCCATTCGCGTCGTTGACTAAAATCGTCGACGGGGCCATCGCGTTCGCGTCGCCGCTCGCCGCGCGAATCGACGCCGGTCGTCGCGTCGTTCGCACCGCGCGATCGACGACGACGACGACGTCGCCGCGCGGTGCCGCGCGCGCGCGCGCGAACATGTGGCGCGTGGCGCGGCGCCGTCGTTACGTGTGCTGCGTATACAGTAAATTAAATGCTTATTGAACAAGTGTTCGCTGCGCGAGCGTTGCGTCGCATACTTGAGTCTTGCTTGAGTCGTGCTTGAGTCTTGCTTGAGTCTTGCTTGAGTCTTGCGCGACTGCTGATGATGTACACGAGAGACGATGCCTTGTCTCTCAAGCCGCCGAGGGCGGTCACGCCGCCGCGGCTGGCGACGGCGTCGAGTCCTCGATTTGGCCAACTCCGTTGGAGTGGATTATAGACTTGACGAGCGGGACGTCGATCGCGCCGCTGGTGGCGAGATCGATGAACTCGTTCATGTTGATCGTCTTGTCGTGGACTTCGTCGACGCCGAGGTGAAGGCGTTTTTCTGTGTATTTCTCGACCGCTTCAAAGTTGCCGGAGCGAATGATGTAGTACGCCATTTGCTTCAACTCGTCGCGCGAAAACGCACGCTTCGCATCGACGACGACGTTTGCACCCTTCTCCGCATCCTTCGATTGGGAGAACGCCGACTCGAGTAGGTCGGTGAGATCATCGACCGTGAGCGCGTCGGTTTTGCCGCTGTTCTTGAATATTTGAGCGGCGATGATTGCTTGAACGCCGTAGGCTGCGATGTTGCGTTCAAAGTGCGTGCGCTCGTACAGCATGCGAGAATACATCTTCGATCTCGCGCCAAAGCACGTTGTCGCCATGAGGATGCACAGGATCTGGGACACGCCGAAGAGCACGAGACCCGAAACGAGCACATTCACAAAGTACACCAAGTTGAAGGTGGCGATGATGCCGGCGGAGGAAACTTCCACGTAAATACCGTAACGTTCCCAGTCGGAATAGTAATTATCTTTCGGTCGTCCCGAGTTCCCGCTGCCGAAACTCACGGGTTCTGCGAGCTCACCTTCGCTGGGAACGCGATGAGTGACGTCTTGGCCCAAAGTTGTCCACGCCAGGCGAGGAGTCAACTCGAGCACGGCGTACGGTTCGTGAGAGCCCGTCGCGCTTCTTTTGCCGTCGAGGTTGTAGTTGTAGTAGAGCATCTTGGCGATGACGCGCATACCGCCCGTCCTGATTTTTGGAGTGTTCGCAGCATCGACTCCTTGGCCGAACAACTCATTCACGGAATCGATTTCGGCGTAACGCTTGTCCAAATCGACGCCGACGGCTTCGAGAATCTCTTCCACGGTGAGACGGACAGACTCGCCGGCGGCGAATGTCTTGATGTCCACGTCGCTTCCAGCGCGTCGAACGTAAACCGGAGGATTCGTGCCGGCTTTTACGCCCGAAGCGGTGTCGTACGTGTGATCAATCCTGATTTCTATGGCCTCGGGCGCGACCGGTAGGTACGAAAACTCCTTGGAGTAGTAACAGACGTCGCCGAGCTTTTTCCGCAAAGGGACCGTAAGAGGTACGCCTTCGTTCGTGAAGATCGGGTTACTCCCGACCGTGAGACCCGAGGTATCCGCCGCGCACGTCGCGGCCGAACCGCCGGAGAGGTAATTTCGGTAGACGAGTTTGTAGTACACGTGCGTCGTGACGAAAATCCCGCCGCTCGGGAACTCCCTCACGAGTTCGTCCGAGTCGAGAAACGCGCACATCAAGTGATCGAACTCGAACCCAAACGACCGATTAAACTTGTACGCCGCGTCGATCGCCGTCGCATCGCTGCACGGCATCAAATCAAACGTTCGCGAGACCCCGTTCGACGCCGTCACCGTCGTCGTCGCGCCGTCGCCCGGCGCGTGAAACGCGTGCTTATCCACGAGTCCATCGAAATACTCCGTCGACGTCCCGATGTTCGATATCGTTCCGTGCGGCACCTCTTGCTGCAGGTACGTCTTCCCGTTGATCAGCGAGTACAGCACGTAAAACGCCACCAGTCCCCGCAGCGCCTGCAACGAAATCAGCAATCGCCAATCCTGAATCGCCACCGATCGCGGCGCGACGAGTCCGAGCGCGTCGATCGCGAGCGCCCTGAGATGCATCGCGCGCGTCGACGCCCCGCGTTCGCGTCCGTCCGTCTTCGCGCGCGCGCGTTCGCGCGTTCGCGCGTTCGTTCGGTCGCGCGCGTCGACGATTGCGCGTCGTCGATGCGTTCGACGTCTCGTTTCGTCCCCCCCCCTCACACCCGGGTGTTTGCGAGTCGCCGTCCGTAAACATCGCGTCACTGTTTGCGCACACGCGCGCGCGCGGTGACGATGGGCGTCGACGTCGACGGCGCCGCGGCGGAGGCGCGCGCGCACGTCGCGCTGGCGGTGCCCGTGACGCTGGCGTCGCTGTGCAACCGCGCGCGGGACTTGATCTCGCTCGGCTTCGTCGGCGCGGACGCGGCGACGACGGCGGAGCTCGCGGGGGCGGCGCTCGCGAGCACGATCGCGAACGTCACGGGAAACGCCGTCGTCGTGGGGCTGGTGAGCGCGCTGGTGACGCTGGGGGGGCAGGCGTACGGTCAGGGGCGCGGCGGCGAGGCGTGGGCGTGGGCGCAGCGCGCGCTCGCGTGCTGCGCGGCGACGGCGACGGCGACGGCGATCGGCTGGCGGTTCGTCGAGGGGGGGCTGTCGGCGTGGCATTTCGACGCGGCGATCGCGAGGAGCTGCGCGGCGTACTTGCGCGGATTGCGCCCGGGGTTGTTCGCGTACGCGGCGAACGCGTGCGCGCAGGCGTGGTTGCAGGCGCAGGGGTCGACGCGGCCCATCGCGTGCGCGGGCGTCGCGGCGACGGCGTTACACGCGCCGGCGTGCCTGTGCTTTCGAAGGATGGGGTTCGGTGCGGTCGGGCCGGCGTACGCGACGAGCGTGAGCACGAGTTTGGTGTTCGCGGCGAACGCGACGTACGCGCGGTTGAGAAGAAATCGGAACGGATGGTTTCGCGAACGCGACGAGGCTTTGGCGGAGCGCAGAGACGCGTGCGCGTCGAGGGTGTGCTTTAGGACGATGTTCGACCGCGAGGGGTTGGTGTTGTTTCTGAAGCTGGGCGTGCCCGGAGTTTTGTTAATGAGCGAGTGGTGGGCGAGCGAGTTCATCGTGCTCGCGGCGGGGAAATTGCGAAATCCGAGCGTCGCGATTTCGGCGATGTCGATTTACCAGGCGACGAACGCGTTCGCGTTCATGGTGGCCGTTGGTTTCGGCGCCGCGACGGCGACGCGAGTTTCGAACGAGGTTGGCGCGAAAGATGCGTCGCGCGCAAAGCTCGCCGCATCCGTGGCGTTGCGCTTGATCGTCGTCGTCGAAGTCGCGGTTTCCGCGACGGTGTATCTCTCGCGCGAGCGATGGGGCGCCGCGTTCACGTCTGACCATGACGTTCGCGCGCTCGTATCGAAACTGATGGTTCCACTCGCTTTCTACGTCTTTTTCGACGCCGTGTGTTGCGTCAGCACGAGCGTTCTGCGAGGCGCCGGACGTCAAGCGTTTGCCACTCCCATCGTGCTCTTCGCGTATTACGTCGTCGGCTTGCCCCTGAGCGCTTGGCTCGCGTACAAGGGCTACGGTGCCATGGGTTTGGCCATCGGAGGTGTCGTCGGTACCGCCACGCACGCTGGCATCATGACTCGCGTCGCGCTCTGCATCGATTGGCCGACGGAAATCGCGCGCTCGAAGCACATTCGAGGCGCTTCGGCGTTCGACGACGACGACGATCTCGCCTCTCGCCTCCTCGTCGACGTCGCCGCGGACGACGAGCTTGGAAACGGCGTCGATGCGCTCATTTAGTCTTAGTTTACTAGCCTTTAGCGCGACGCCGCCGCCTTTGCGACTGATTGCAACCTCGAGAAACCACGCCTCGACGCGCTCGCGCTTCACTGCGCCGCGTCTCGCTCGCGCTTCACTGCGCCGCGTCTCGCTCGCGCGCCTCGCCATGGGTCGCGTCGCCGCGGTGAAGAAGAAGACTAAACGTTTCACCGGGTGCGTTCGCGCGCGCCCGCGCACTGTCCTCGACGCGCGATGCGCGCGCGTTGAATGCGCCGCCGCCGCCACGACGCGACGACTGACGACGACGACGACGCGACGCGACGCGCAGGGACGATGACGGCGCGGAGACGGTCGGATCGCTGACGTCTGGAATAAAGAATAAACAGCGAAGAAGCGAGGTGTACGGCAAACTTCGACACGAACGCGCGGTGGCGAAGAAGCAACGCAGGGAGACGCGACAGAAAGCCGAAGCCGCCGCGCTCGAGGCGGGCGAAGAACCGGCGCCGAGACAGATCCCGAAGACGATAGAGAATCAAAGAGTGCGCGATGCGACGCATATTGATGATTTAAACGACGTGGACGTGGTCGAACAGGACGCAGAGGATGAGTTTGCGTCGTATTTCAGTCAGGCGACGTCGCCGAAAATTATCATAACGACGAGCCGAAAGCCGAGCGGGGACATGTTCAAGTTTTTGGAGAATTTGTTCACGGTGATCCCGAACGCGTATTACTACGCGCGAAGGAATTATCAGGTCAAAGAGATCGTGAAGCATGGCACGGCGAGAGGGTTCACGGATGTGTTGGTGTTTAACGAGAATAAAAAATTTAGCAAAGGCGCGAGAGTAAACGGGATGTTGCACGTCCACCTTCCCGAAGGACCAACGTGCTTGTACAAGCTCTCTTCTCTCAAGTTGTCGAAGGAGATCAAAGGTCACGGGAGGGCAACGAGTCATTACCCGGAGTTGATTTTAAACAACTTTAGCACGCGATTAGGGCACCGAGTGTCGAGAATGTTTGCGTCGGTGTTTCCGCAAAAGCCCGAATTCAAAGGCCGACGCGTGGTGACGTTTCACAATCAACGCGATTTCATATTCTTCAGACATCATCGCTACGTGTTTGAAGAAAAGAAGGGTCGTCGGTTACCGCACGCGGGACACTTAGCGACCGCGGAGGTTCCCGATCACGTGCGCGATTCTATGAAGGAGGGTAGAGGGAAGCGCTCATCCAAAAAGAGAAAGAGCATAGAGATGGATGACGACGATAATAGCGAAGAAGAAGACGATGAAGATAGTGCTGATGAAGATAGCGACGAGGATGAAGATGCGGAGAAGCCACCGCCCGTAAACACGATGATTCAGGCCCGATTGCAAGAGCTCGGACCGCGATTCACGCTTCGACTGATGTCCGTACAAAAGGGCACCTTCGACAGCAAGCACGGCGAGTACGAGTACGTTCGAAGCACCGACACCGACGGCACGAGACATTGTCGCCGCAAATTCGTCCTGTAATTATACGGTTCATCTAAAGTTTGGTAATCATTTTGTCACAACGTCGCGTCCCATCGTTTCGTCCTTCTAGTCTTCGTCCTCGTCTCGCACCCTCCTCACGCGCGCATCGCGCGGCATCGCTCACCGTACCTCGCACCGCATCGCTAGCCCGCTTTAAACAACAAAAACGCGACGTTGGCTATGTAGTAATAGATGAAGTGTCCGCTCTCGTGCGTGACGTAACTTCCAAAATTTCTCCCCACGACGCAGTGCCACGTCGGGCCGTGCTTTCTATCGAATTCCTTCTTCACGTGCGCCGCGATGTCCTTCTCGACGTTGAACTTTTCCATCGCCTCCATGGACACCGTCACCGCGTCGTCTTGGATGTCCTGCGCGCGTTCGCGTCGTCAGTCGTCGCGTTCGTCGTCGTCATCGTTCTCGTTGACTTTGTCGCGTCGGCGCGTCGGCGCGTCGGCGCGTCGGCGCGCGTCGCGATCGCCGACACGCACGTCCGGCATGTCCGCCGCCTTGATGATGGCCTTTTCCTTCGTCGCCGTCATCGCGCGTGCGTCGGGGAGCGCGATTGTGACGACGGTCGGTCGCGCGCCGGCTTGGCTCGCGCGGGCGGTTGACCGACTCGGACGATGATTTCGCGGTTGACGCGCGCGCGCGCGTGCGTGCGTTACAACGATGACGAAGAATGGCGATTAATATCGACGACGACCATCAGTCGTCGCGCTGACCGCGCGCGCGATCCTTGCCGTTGAATTGCCTATAGCCGAACCACTCGAGATTTCCCGGCCACGTCTTGGGATCGGGCTCTGGCAAACTCTTGTCCTTTTCGCAATCCTCGTAGTACTGGTTCACCCCACCGCGCAGGTGGTACAGATTATTATACCCGGCCTGATACAGCTCGAACGCCCCCGGAAGCGACCCCGCGCCTTTGGTGGGATCGGTGAAGGATTTATTCTCCGGCGGTTGCGTCTCCAGCGACCCGCCCCAAATATCGCACAGAATAATCTTCGTCGTCTTATCGGGCAGCGCGCGTTCGACGTCCTCCACGAAATTCGCGTTCACCTTTTTAAATCCCGGCAGGCGCATCTTCGCCAGGATCCCTCCCGAGACGTACGGCACGCTGACGCTTCCCGGCACCGACCACTGCTCGTAATCCGGCTGGAACCGCACGTCCAGCAACACCGCCCTCTGTCGCGCCATCATCTGCACGCACTCCTTCGCCGACACCGTCTTCATCTTATACTTTTCGCGCAGTTCGGCGTGTATGCGTCGCCACTCGCGCGCGCCGCTGCCCATTCCCGGGACGATTCCGCGCGCGTTCGGGACACCGTCCAAGCGCGACGGATCGACCGCGACGACCGCGCGCCTCGCCGCGCGCGAGCGGCTCGAGCGCGAGCGGCTCGAGCGCGCGTCGACGACGCGGACGCCGCGCGCGTTCCCGCGCGCGGCGAGCATCGCGCTCGATCGAGCGTCGCGCGCGCGTCGGTGAGTGGGACAAACCTCGACGCGCGCGCGCGTCGACGCGCGACGTCCTTCGAGCGCAAAGGCGCGCGCGCGCGCTCGGACGACGAATGATGACGAGCGGCGCGCTCGGCGCGACGCGCGCGGGCGCGCGCGCGAGGGCGCCGTCGGTGGCGACCGCGAAAAGCGCGCGCGAGAGGTTGAGTCAGCAAAGCGCGCGCGCGCGCGTTCCGAGCGCGGGCGGCGTGCGAGCGCGTCCGAGCGCCCTCGCGCGCGACGACGACGAGATGCGACGCGCGTCGGTGGTGGTGACGCGCGAGGGAGGGAGGATGCGGCGCGCGGTGCGCGCGAGCGCGACGAACGCGACGGCGGCGGCGAGCGACGAAGCGAACGCGAACGCGCCGAGCGCGTTCCTCGTCGGCATCGCGTGGTTCTTCGCCCATCAGTTGATCGGAGTCGGGAACGACGTGATCATGAAGTTTACCGGTGCGAATCTCGGCGTGGCGCAGGTGGTGTTTCTGCGATTTTTGTTCGCGACGTTGACGATGGTGCCGGTGATGGCGGCGGGAGGGAAGGAATCGTTCGCGACCGATCGAGTGCCGCTGCACATCGCGCGTTCGGCACTGTTGGCGGGTGGTATATTTTTATACGTTAAAGGTTTGACCATCGCCCCCATCGCGGTGGTGACGACACTGAATTTTACCATTCCGTTGTTCACGCTCGTGCTCGCGCGCGTGTTTTTAAAGGAAAAGGTGGACGCCACGAGATGGATCGGCACTTTGGTCGGTTTCGCGGGCGTCATGGTCGTAATGCAACCGGGAGGAGCCGTGTTCAACCCGATGTGGCTCGTCGTCTTGCTCAGCGCCACCATGTTCGCGTCGTTGGACGTGTTGAACAAAGTCTTCGTCGGCAAAGAAAGCTTTTGGGCGATGATTTTCTACACCGCCTTGTTCACGACGCTCATCGTCGCCTACCCCGCGCTCACGTCCTGGGTACCGCCAACGACGTTGCAGTACGGACTCATGGCGGTTCTCGGCGCCGGGGCGAATGGGTTGCTGTACTGCCTGCTGAAATCCTTCAGCATGGTGGACGCGAGCGCGCTCGCGCCGTTTAGATACACCGAACTCATCCTCTCCGCCACGGTCGGTTTCTTACTGTTCGGCGAAGTCCCGGCCTCGAGCACTTTGCTCGGCGCGTTAATAATCGTCCCGAGCACGCTCTACGTCGTGTGGAAAGAAAACCAAAAGGTTTCCGATTAACATTAATAATAAACTCGTGGCGAGGGAGCGAGAGACGATGTTATACAATTTTCTTCAATGCATTACACGCGACGCGCGACCGAAACTCGCGCGAGCGAATGACTCTCAACTCGCGACGCTCAGAAGCAACACCAGCAGTCGAAAGGACAATCTCCGCCCGGTTCGCCGTTCGGTCCCCGTTTCTTCCCGTTCCCGTCGTCGCACTGCCCCGCCTTCATGTCGCTGAAATCCCCGTACGATTTATACACCGGCAAACCGTCCTCATACCTTCGCGGTTTATCTACGGGCGTAAACTCTGGCTTATCTCTCTTCTGTTTCGGTTTCTTCTGTCCCGGGAGCAGCACGCGCACGCGCGGCGCCTCCGCCGCAGCCGCCGCCTCTCGCGCGCCCGAATTCATCTTCACCGCGCGCTTCTTCGCGTCCCCGAACAGCGCGTCGACGTCGAACCCATCGTCATCGTTCGCTTTCGCCCCTTCCTCACCGCTCGCGCGCGCGTCGCGTCCCCGTTTCGCGTCGTCGCGCGCCGCGCCGTCGCCTCGCCCACCGTCGGCGGCGCGCTTCGCCTTCGCCTTCGCCTTCGTCGTCGTCGTCGTCGCCCCGACGCCGCGCGCGGACGCCGCCGGCGTCGCCTTCGACGTGCGCGCGCGCTCGCGCGACGGTTTCGTCATCGCGCGCGGCGCCGCGCGCGCGGTTTTGCGACGTCGACGCGTCGCATCGCGTTCGCCGTCGCACTCGACGACGCGGACGCGCGCGAACGCGTCCGTCCATCGCGCGCGAGGCGCGAGGCGCGCGAACGCGAATCTCCTCTCCCCCGCCGCGCGCGCGCCGCGTCGCGCGCGCGTCGACGCGCGAGCGCGGAGGATAACGACGCGCTGACGTCGGCGACCGGGTGTCGTCGGCGACATGTCGACGACGACCGCGAGCGCGGTGATCGTGAACGTCGCCGCGGCGACGAAGAACGATGGAACGCGCGCGCCGAGCGCGTCCGAGGCGGCGAACGGGGGATCGACGAAGAAGAGCGAGGCGGAGGAGTCGTTTTGGAGGCGACACAAGGAAGACCTGCGACATCTGCTGCCGTACCTGTGGCCGAAGGATCAACCGTTGCTCAAAGTGATGTTCACGGCGAGCGTGATATTTTTGTTGGCGTCCAAAGTGGCGAACGTCGCGTCGCCGATCGCGCTGAAGGCGGCGGTGGATAAGATTGCGAAGGGGGAGAACGGGTACTTGCAGCCGATTTTGATTTACGGCGCGCTGCGGTTCGGGGCGAATTTGTGCGCAGAGCTGAAGGATAATTGCTTCGCGTACGTCGCGGCGCACGCGAGTCGTGGAATATCGCTTCGAGTGTTCACGCACGTCATGGATCTGAGTCTGAGATTTCACATCAATAGAAAGACGGGGGCGGTGATTCGGGCGTGCGCGCGAGGTTCGGAGTCGTTCGCGAACTTGTTGCGATATATTTCGTTTCAGATCGCGCCGATCTTCTTAGAGGTTGGCTTGGTGTGTGCGTATTTGTTTTCGCAATACGAATGGTGCTTTGCCGTCATCACCGTCGGCGTGATCGCGGCGTACATCGGCTTCACCGTTCCGTTTACGGAGTGGCGAAACAAGTTTAGGAGAGAAATGGTTCTTGCGGACGACGCGTTCAACCAGAAGGCGACGGATTCGCTTCTGAATTTCGAAACCATCAAATTGTTTTGCGCTGAGCCGCACATCACTCACACCTACGACGAAGCCTTGCGCTCGACGCAAAAGGCGACGTTAAAGACGACGCAGTCTCTCGCCGGATTGAACCTCGGTCAAGCGCTCATCATCACCGTCGGTATTACCGCATCTCTCGCTCTGGCGGCGAAGCGAGTCGTGGAGGGAAAGATGACCGTCGGTGACTTTGTTCTAGTGAATACGTACATTTTGCAGCTGTACGTGCCACTGAATTTCCTAGGGACGTATTATCGCATGATAAAGCAGTGCATGGTCGACGTGGAGTCAATGTTCAAACTTCTCAGAGAACACCAAGAAGTGGAAGACTTGCAAGATTCGAAAGTGCTCGTTCTTAAATCTAAAGCTGACGCCAGAGTGGAGTTTGAGAACGTTACTTTTGCGTATAATCCTAACGAGAGGCTTATTCTCAATCGCGTATCGTTCATCGTCGAGCCCGGCACAAAGGTGGCGCTCGTCGGACGATCCGGCGCTGGAAAAAGTACGATAAGCAAACTCATCTACCGCCTTTACGACATACAAGGTGGTGTTATACGTATAGCTGGTCAAGACATCAAGCGATGCACGCAGCGAAGCGTGCGGTTGCACATCGGCATCGTCCCGCAAGACTGCGTCTTGTTCAACGACACCATCGAGTACAACATTGGCTTCGGCAAGCTTGGCACGGGGGAAGTCGCCACGACGGATGAGGTCACGGCGGCTGCGGAGCACGCCCAATTCGATGATTTTGTCAGGCGCCAACCTTTAGGGTACAACACTCTCGTCGGCGAACGAGGTTTGAGGCTCAGCGGCGGCGAGAAGCAACGCGTCGCCATCGCGCGAGCGTTGTTGAAGAATCCACCAATCATGGTCTACGATGAAGCGACATCGAGCTTAGATACGCACACTGAGAAGCAAATCATGGTCGCTATCAACTTTGCGGCGCAAGGAAGAACAAATCTCGTCATCGCGCATCGTCTGAGTACAGTTATGGATAGCGATAACATTCTCGTCTTGAAGGAGGGCGAAATCGTCGAGAGTGGCGATCACGTCACGCTGCACGGGAAACAGCGTGGCTTGTACAGGGATATGTGGGAGCAACAACTTAACTCCAAGAACTCTCGCGAAGATCGAGTGGCGTCAGCGGCGGCTTTGAATGGAGGCGCATCATAGAAGATGTTTAATCAGAATTTTATTCATAAATTCCAACCACGCGCGAACGGCGCGCGCGCGGTGGTCGAGGCGGTCGACATGGACGCATTCGCGTCGGCGCTTCGCGGTTCGTTCGCTCGCGGCGGTCGCGGCGGTCGCGGCGCGTCGACGCGTTTTCGTTCGACGCGTTCTGACGAGTTGGCAGCATTCTTCTAATCTTTCTCGAGCCCCTCCGGGTGAGTCGCGACTGGTCGGGCGCGGAGCGCTCGAAGACGAAGCGCGGTTGCGTGAATGCGGGGTTGTTACAATCGATCGGCGCCGTAAGGGCGCGCGGTGAATTTGATACAGAAGTTGCGAGTACAGGAGTAGAGTTCGAGCGCGCGCAGAATGAATCATCTCGATTTCCGCGCAGAGTCGACTTTTTGCGATTTCGCTCGCTTGGCGCTCGGTTTGCTCGGCGTCGGCGGCTTGCGCTTTTGTCCGGCGACGGATGTCTTGAGCATGAGTAGGTTGGCGGCGAGAAGGTTGTCATCATCATCTTGAACGCGCATTTGCTTCGCGCGTGCTTTCGGGACTCCACGCTTGGCGTTGACACGCTGACGCTCGCGGTGAACATCGGAGAAGGCATCCGATTCCGTGCGAAGCTGCGGATGGGGATTGTTCGCCGTCTCGGCGACTACGTCGTGCCGCGCCCATCCTTCGATCGGTTCCTGAGTGATGCGTAAGCGCATGCCCCCAACGATGGTTTCAGTGATGGTTCCCGACGCTCCGTGCGGAGAAATCGGGACCGGGAGGTAGTACACGGTGGGACTGACGAAGCGCTGCGCGGCTACAGGCGGCATGTTGTGAACCTGCGATTGCGGCAGTGACATCGTCAAGGGCGATCCGCTAGGGACGTATGTGTCGGTCGTCACCACGTGTTCTCTGTACGGTCGCGCAGCGTCAATGGTGGCGCGTTCGTGAAATCGGTCGTAAAACTCTCGCAGTTGCGCTCGGCCGTTGTCGAAGAGCGGCGAGTCGACTGTCCGTTTGCGCGGGGTCTCAATGTGACGCTGTTCGATGCCACCGATTTCACCGATCGTAAGCACTGGCGCACCCAACTCGACTTCTGCGTTCGTTGCGTTGCGCGGTTGATCCCAGAATGGCGTGCCCAAAACGGGCTTGATGACGGGCAAACTGGATGGAAGTTCGCTGTGCAATCCATTTTCTGGGATGAACGCTTCGCCCAACTCTTCGTCTTCGTCTTCGTCTTCGTCTCCGTCTCCGTCTCCGTCTTCTTCAGCGTCTTCCTCGTCTTCGTCTCCGTCTCCGTCTCCGTCTTCTTCAGCGTCTTCCTCGTCTTCGTCTTCCTCTTGCGCTTCCAGAGCCTCAGCGGCGGCGGCGGCGGCGGCGGCGTTCGACGGATCGCTCGTTCGATCCGAGGATCCACCGTGAGCCCGGTTCTTTCGCTTCTTCGGCGATGGTGTTCGCATTCTCGGCGGTGTGCTCGGTCGCACAACGCGCTCCGAATCGAGCGTAGACGGTGACGTCGCACCCTTCGTGCTCTTGCGCAGCTCGCTGAGATGACCATTTGAGCCTATTGGAAACCTGAAAACGCGCAAGCATCCGTACGCCGCCTCTTCGGTCAAGTTGAAAACGAGCTCCACGCCGGCGGCAGCGCACAACGGAAGTATGTGCTTCGGCCCATGTCTATTCCAGCGTAGCGGCACTACTTGCACCGTCGTGAGCGTCCAGCCACTCACGTCTAAGTAATGCGACATGACCTTGACGCGAACAAATTTCTCGACTTTCTCTCCGTTGGCTTCGTCGCGCAACGCGCTAGAAATCGCCGCCTTTGTCGGCGCCGTCAAGGACTTTGATGATATTTCTAACAACGAGCCCGGCTTGCACGATCCAACCAATTGCTTGTTCGTGTACCATTCCTTACCTCCGCGCGTGTTGAGATGTAAACCCACGATGACGTTTCCAGGCTGGTACAGCGTGTTGTTTTCAAACGGCTTGTTTTTCGCTCGACCGCGCGGATCAAGCGATACGCGCCTGGTCTCTGACTTCGCACGTAACGTTTGCTTCTTCGTCTTTGATCCCGCGCCACCACCACTCGTCGACGGCAGCGGCTGTTCGCCTCTGCCTCGCTTCGCGCCGCTCGCCGTCGTCTTGTAACCGTTTCCATTCGCACCCGCGAGACCGGCGCCGCCACCATCGTTTTTACCGCCATCGCGCCCATTCGGCGCGCCCTCCACCGCTTCCAGCTCGCCCGCCTCGTTCAAGTACTTGAAACTTTCCGACCGAACCAACTTTCTCCGCGGCGGTTTCTTCTTCGTCTCCGTCTTCGTTCTCTTCCCTCGCTCATTCGCGCTCGCGTTCGCCTCTCCTCCGCCGCCGTTCGCCCCCTTCCCAGCGCGTCGATTCATCCCTCGAAGCATCGCCACCGCCGCCTCCGGAGAGAACGCCAATCGCGTCCTCGCGCTCACCGCGCCCGTCCTCGTGCTCCTCGGTTTTCCCTTTCGCGACCGTTTCGCCGGCGACGGCGACCGCGTCCGTCCCTCGCCGCGCTCCCGCGCCTCCGCCGCGATCCGCGCTTGCGTCGGCGACGCTCGCACCGCCTCGCTCGTCCCTCGCGCGCTCGTCGGCGCGCGCGTGAACCGCATCGTCGCCGCGCTTCCGAACGCCAGGTCTTCGCGCGCGTCGCGCGTCGCGCGCGCGACGTCGCGCGCGACGTCGCGCGCGAGCATCGCGACGCTCGCGACGCGCGCGACGCCTTCCCGCGCGCGTTCGAGCGCTCGAGCGCGCGCGGCGCGTTCGCGCGCGGTCGCGCGCGGTGTAATTGCGACGACGACAATCGCGCCAATCCCGATCCTCGGCCGAACGACGGCGGCGAGCCCAGGCCTGGGGGGCCGAGGGCGAGCGCGAGCGACGCGGACGAGCGCGACGAGCGCGGGGAGACCGATGCGTGAGATTGAGAAACGCAGACTATGGGTCGAGTGGGATGGCATCGACGACGCGAGACGAACGCGATCGTCGCGATCGTCGCGGCGGAGACGCGAAGGCGTCACGCGAAGGCGGCGGCGGAGACGCGAAGCCGAAGCGGCGGTCGCGAAGCGCGGACGACGTCCGCGGAATCGAGAGATACGGCGAGGAAGGCGTCCAGCACGGGCTGAGGAATGTTTTTGTCCACGGCGATGCGCTGCTTGACGAGCTTGAGGGAGCCGTCGGAGGCGGTGCGAAGGGATTGCGTCGTCTCGAGGGCGACGCACGCCCACGGTCGTAAAGAATCCGACGCCTCGGTCGCCCGTCGCGCGGAACGAGCGTTCGATGCGTTCGTTTCGTCGGCGAAGCAGTGTTTGACGATGACGAACACGTCGACGCACCGAATGGTGACGATATCACTCGTGACTTCGACGACGATCGGCGTGCCGATCGATGAATTTTCGGCAACAATCTTCTTCGTCTTTCCCGGATCCACGAGAGAGACGCTAAACTCGGGCGGCGGGCCGAACAAGTTGTGAACGAAATCCAGCCCATCGCCACTGCGCATCGTTCGAGATGCGACAAACATGACACGCGCGGCCCCTTTCACGCACGCCTCACGCTTTTCATCCGCGGATACGTTGTGCAAGTTGCACGTCGAGCAGTCTTGAAGCGCGGCTTCGATTTCGGCGCACGCGCGCATAAAGTGCACGCGAAACGGTCCCGTGGATACGTAGGACTCCTTCCACGCGTCGTCGGAAATATTCTTAAACCCAGCTGCATTTCCACTCGACGCTCCACCGTGCCGGTTGGAAAATCGTAGCACGAATCCCTCCTCTCTCTGCCAATCCTTCATCATTTGACCGCCGCTGTCGACGTTTTTGGAGGACTTTTTAGCTGGTTGAGAAAAAGTCGGCGCATCGACGAGTGCTTCTCGCATCCATCGCGTCGTGAGAAGAGCGCACACGTCGTTGGACGTTTCAGCCGCGCGAAGGGCTTGAATTGCGTGTTCAAGCGTGTGCTTGAGCTTCGTCACGTCGCTCGGTGGTCGCGCGGAGCGCTCGAGTTCCGCGGTCGCTTTCGCCAACTTCTCTGTCTCTGTCTCGCGCACGAGTTGAACCTTGAATGAGCTCTTGTGAACGCCGTTCGCGAACGCAGGGAGCTTTGTTCCCAAGAACGAGTACAAATAGTCTTTAAATCCTTCGTGGTCCGGCGCGGAACCGGTTTCTCGTCGCTGATGCTGCACGTGCAAACGCCACATCTCCGTCCATTTATCGAATCGTTTATTCACCATGTCTTCGACCGCGTCGTCGTTCACCACCTTACGATCGCTCAGTAACTCGTACGCGCGCAGCAAAAGCCTCGGTTTGATTATGCTCTTCAAGTTTTCCTCGGGCTCGAGCTTTTCCAACAACTCGTCGCGCCACTCGTCGATCACGCGCCCGCGTTCAGACGCCCTATTCTTCGTCGCGGCGACGCTATGAAACACATCCATGCGCCGATCATCCACGTCTGCGTGCGCCGGACTCTCGGGATTACTCGCGCTGAACTCGATCCCTCTCCATCCCGCCGCGAGGCTCGCCTCAAAGTCGCTCAGCCGCAACTCGAGCTCGTGCAACACCTCCGAGATCGTCACCGCTCGTCCCTCCTCGCACGCCCACGCGATCGTCCCCTCGCACAACCTCTCGATATCCCTCAACGTCGCCTCATCGACCCGTCGTCCGACGTCTCGCAGCGCTCGGTGCGCCAACACCTTCGCCGCCGGCGCCGCGCACGCGCGCACCGCCTCGCCGACGCTCATCTTCCTCGTCAGGCATCCCGCCACCCCGCGCACGCAGCGCGCCGCCCGCGACGTTCCATCGTTCCCGCCCGCCGTCGACGCGCGCGCGGCGCCCATCGCGCGCGCGAGATCGTCCGTCAGCGCGTCCACGTCCATCGCCTCCCGGCCGCCTCGCTAACCACCGCGCGCCGATCGATCGCGCTTCTTCGCCGCGCGCGTCCGCGATCGCGTCGCGACGCCGGCGCGCGCGCGATCGCGATCGCGACGACCCGTTCGTCCGCGCGCGGATCGCGCGCGCGCGCGCGTCGCGGTGCGCGGCGCGCGATGGGTCGACCGACCGCGGACGACGCGTGTGTTCCGTGTGTATAATTCGAGGAGTCCCCGGTTTCGCCGTTCGTGACTCGCGAACGACCCCCGCGAGACCCGCGCGGACGGGAAAGATACGATGGCGACGACACGCGCGAGCGCCACTGATCCACGCGGTGCGTCGAGCGACGACGAAGAAGCGACGCGCGCGCGCGACGCGCGAACGATCGCGGCGAGACGCGCGCGAACGACGCGAGCGAACGCGCGAAAAACGACGCGGGTGGACGCGATGCGGACGATCGATCGGGCGTGACGTTGGCGCGGGCGAAAGATTGATTGATTGGATTGCGGCGAGACGCGGTCGCGGATGGAGGCGAAAAACGACTGACGATGCGCGCGCGATGGCGAACGAAGGATAGATAAAGCCGACGACGATGCTTGCGACGAGAATCACGGCGAAGGCGCCGACGACGACGCGAATGACGATGAAGTCTCGCGCGGCGCGACCCGCGCGATTCGTGGCGCGCAGAGCCGCGGCGGACGACTTGCAAGACAAGTTGAGAGAAGTCACGGACACGCTCTCGGAGAAGTGGGAGGAGTCGGATGAAAAGCCGGCGATCGTGACGCTCAGTGTGTACGGGTTCGTCGGTCTCGTCGCGGCGAACGGTACGCTTCGCGCGGTGGACTCGTTGCCGCTCATCCCGGACCTTCTCGAACTCGTCGGGATCCTCTTCTCGGGTTTCTTCGTGTACCAGAACCTCCTCTACAAGCCCGACCGCGCGGCGTTGAAAGAGACCGTCACTAAGACCTTGAACAAGATTTTGTAATCTTCGAGAATCAGCCACCGTAACGACTTAAGCGCGTTCGCAGAGACGCCGACCGGGACCTCGGAGTTTATTATGTTTAGCTAAAAATGCGTCTTCGACATTAAAACAAACGTGACTAACCAGCGATTGCGAACGACAAAGAAGCTTACGCTTGCTTCGTCGTACCGAAAACCTTCGCCTTCTCTTCGGAGGTTTGGAAGCGACCGTGACCGAACTTGGACGAGGTGTCGATGAACTTGAGCGTAATCTTCTCCGTGGCGACGCGACGCGTTTGCTTGAAGAGAGATTGACGCATCGTGATCAAGCGCTTGCGCGGGCCGACGACACCACCCTTGATCATGACGTAGTCGTGCTTGACGATACCGTAGTGCGCGAAGCCACCCATCGGGGTGATTTCCTTCTCCGTCGGGTCGTGGAACGTACTCGCACCGAAGCTGTCTTGACCAGCCTTGCCGATCTTGTACACCTTCTTGTTGATTTCCGTACGGTGATGGTAACCGTGTTGACCCGCACGGGCAACCGTGTAGGAAACACGCGACGGGTGCCACGCACCGATGCAACCAACCTTACGCAAACCTCTGTGGGTCTTGCGCGGAAGTCGGGTGACGCCCCAACGGGTGACGACGCCTTCGTAACCCTTACCCTTCGTGACGCCGATGAGATCAATCATTTCGTCTTGCTGGAACACGGTGTCGACCGGCACAGCCTTTTCGAAGAGAGCGTAGCCAAAGTCAACCTTGGCGGCGACGTCACCACCGTTAACTTGAATCTCCATAATGTGAGCCTTCTTTTGCTTCAAGCCTGAAACCTTGCGCACTTGCGTGTGCGCGATGACGCGAATGACGTCGCAAGACTTCTTGAGCTCGTCCAAGTCCTTGTCGATGGAACCGTTGGTGTAGTTCTTCGTGTACTTGGTGAACGCCTTCTTCTTGGACTTGAACCAGTTCTTGTAGAATCGACGGCGGACTTCATCGTTCAAGTGTTCGGCCCACACCGTCTTCTTCCCGCGCAAGCCCTTCGGCGTGCGCACGTAACCGACGAGGCCAACCACGATGAGTTCCGGGCACTCGATGATCGTCACCGATTCGCACGTTTCCTTCTTGTGCATCTTCGAGCCGGGCTTATCGACATCGCGAACGATGTGCGTCATGCCAGCCTTGAAGCCCATGAACGCGGTGAGGTGCGGCGGCTTGCTCGCGTCATCCTTCGGGAACGACTTGACCTTACCCCGGCTGCGCTTCGAGCGCTTCTTCGGCAAGAAACCGAGGTTACCGTAACGCGGGTCTATATTTCACACACAACACGTCTTCGTCAGTCATCGTTCGCGTCGCATCACCGAGTCGAGTCGCGCGAGGTCACCTTCGCCGCTAGGGCTTTGCGCGATCGCGTCCCGAGATCATCGTGCCGCGCCTCGCGTCGCCACGTACGTTCAAACTTGCGATGAGACACTGTGAATGATGAAAACGAAACGCGCGCGTCGATCGTCAGTCTCTTGTTCGCGCGCTCGCGCTCGCGCGAGAGGTTTCACGCGCGATGCGCGATCGCGGCGCGCTCGGGGTTTGGCCCGGTGCGTCGCGGCGGTCGGTGCGTCGGTCGCGCCACGCGTCGCTTCACGAGCGCGCGCGAGGCGACGCGAATGGTTCGATTGCGTTCGCGCGCGCGCGTCGGCGGTCGTGACGTACTCTTCTCTCGCGTGCGTCGTGAAAAGGCGGATGCGAGCGCGCGGGAGGCGACCCCGTCCCGCGAGGTCCGTTTTTACCATCACTTGGCGAAAAACGCGGCTCGACCATGATTTGGCGAAATCTCTCGAGGCGAAAGGCTCGCCGCTACAACCGCTACAAGCTACAACGAAGGGCTACGGCGCTAAGAGCGCGAGGGTCGACCATCGTCGGCGTCGACGCGTAAACGGGCGAGAGTTTCGCGAAGAGCGTCGGCGCGAGGACGCCAGGACGGATCGATGCGGACGTCGCCGAGCGCGCGCGCGGCGGAGAGCGCGGATTCGCGAGCGTCGGCGGCGGCTCGAGCGCGCTCGGCGCGAGCCTGAGCGGCGGCGGCGCGCCGCTCGAGAAGGTTTCTTGCGCGACGTTCGCGGTCGAGATCGAGCGCGCGCTGAACCTCGAGCTCGCGCTCGCGGACCTCGAGCTCGCGCTCTCGCCGGCGTTTGGCGCGCTCGAGTTCCAGGAGCGCGTCGGCTTCCATTTGCGCGCGAGCGTCGAGGATGCGGCGCGCCGCGGCTTCGGCCTCGAGCTCAGCGCGCGTTTTTGTCTTCTTCGTTTTCAGTTTCGCGCTCGCTGCATCGGTCTTGGGCTTTTTCTTTTTCGGTTTCGGATCCTCCTTCGCGCGCTCGGCGACCAGCGCCTTGCCGTGGAATTCCCGTCCGTGCAGAGCCTCGATCACGCCTCGCATGCCATCGCCGTCCGCGCACTCGATGAACATGTACCCCATGTGCGACCCTCCTCGCACGGGCACGCGCACGTTCTTGACGCCCGGTAATCCCGAAGCCAACGCTTTGACGTCCGCCGCCGACGACGACTTTGAGACGCCGGACACGTACGCCGTCCGAAGCGCCTCACCCGCGCGTTCACCACCGTTCGACGTCGTCGCCGCGCTCGATGACGTTTGACGCGCGTCCTCGTCCTCGTCTTCGTCCTCGTCCTCGTACTCGTCCTCGTCCTCGTGGACTTCGTCTTCGTCGTCTTCGTCGTCCCAGCGCGCGCGCGTCACCCGCCCAATCTCCCCGCTCTTCAGCCGCACCTTGATCCCGTCCGCGTGAAAGCTCGAGTTCGTCACGAAATCTGAAATCTCTCCCACCGCCGTCGCCGCGTCGCCCGCGCTCGCGCCCGGTCGACGCACGAGACGCACCTCCACGACGTCACCGAGCGCGAGCGCGTCGCGACGCCGCCCGAACCGCGCGTCGTCGTCGACCGCGGGCGCGCGCGAGGCGCGGACGCTCGCGCGCGCGAGGCGCGCGCGCGCGCGAGGCGCGACCAGCGCGCGCGGCGGCGCGCGGCGCGCGGCGAGCGCCATGTTGTGACGGCGCGGCGGCTGCGCTCGCGCGGCGGCTGCGCTCGCGACTACAAACTACTAATACAAAACTACGCGAGCGCGATGCGATAAATAGCGATGCGCTGATCGGGAAATAACGATTCGAACGGCGGTGGGCTCGGCGGTGGACTCGGGGCGCCGCGCGGGCGAACCTCTTCGCACGTCAACCCGTTCGCCGAGACGTTCGCGAAAAAATCCAAATCCATCCCGTCGTATCTGTGCTTGGTGTGCGCGTAATAAAACACCGCACCCGACCGCGCGCGCGAGAGCAACGCCTTGACGACGCGCGGAAGCGCGACGACACCGGCGTCGTCGTACACTAAATCCGCGCCGAGCACGACGTCGACGTCGGCGAGTTCGGGCGAATCCGCCGTGAGCGGCGTCTCGTCCTCCGTCCTCGCCGAGCCCCTCGCGTCCGCGTTCGCGCCTTCCTCGCCGTCGCCCGCGTCGCCCGCGTCGCTCGCCGCCGCGTCGGACGAAAACGCGTTCCAATTCAACGCTCGACACCGCGCGCGCGCGCCGTCGTCGCCCTCGATCCGTCCCCACGCCGCGTTCGCCCGCGCCCGCGCCTCGAGCCATCGCAGCGCGCCGCCTTCCGTCGTCTCCGTCATCGTCACTCGCACGTCGCGCGCGCCGCGCGCGCGCAGCACCGCGAGGCCGAGCCAACCGTTACCGCTGCCGAGTTCGAGCACCTCGCGCGCGCGCCGCAGCGCGTCGCTCGCGTCGAGAAACGCCGCGAGCGCGCGCGCGGCGGGCCACGTCAGCTGCCCCGTCGTGTTCGCCGTCGTCCGGCGCGCGTACTCGAACGCGTCGCCCTCGACGAAGGCGTCCGACGACGCGCCCGTCGTCGAGCGACCGCGTCGCGCGTCGCCGTCGTCCGGAGCGCGCGTCGTCATTCGTCGACGCGTCGACGAATGACGCGCGCGAGCGACGACGGCGACGAGGACGGCGACGGCGACGCGCGGCGCGCGCGCGCGACGACGGGCGCGTGCGTGGACGCGTTCGTCGTGTGCGGGTTGCCGCCGAACCCGCGCGCGATGCGGCGCGCGCGCGCGCGAGGGGTCGGGACGTCGAGCAACGGTATCGCGAGCGGAACGGCGACGGCGACGACGGCGGCGGCGACGGCGGACGCGCGCGAGTGGACGCGGACGGTGTATCACGCCGGCGTGCTCGATGAGTGCCCGCGGGCGAGCGCGCGGTACCCGGCGCAGTTGGCGACGCTGGCGCTGCCGCGAGGCGTCGACGCGTACGGCGACGACGAACGCGCGGACGACGAACATCCGACTCGGTACCCGACGATACTGACGGATGAAAACGGGGATAGGATATACGTCGCGTGCGTGTCGTTCGTGGCGGCGACGCCGGAGCGGAGCCTGAGGACGATGAGCGGGGAGACGGCGGGGGCGACGCGCGCGCGGGCGTGCGTGTGTTTGGTGTCGCGAATGCCGTGCCTGGACGCGTGGATGGAGGCGTTGGAGCACGTGTTCGAGGCTTACTTTAGAAAGCCAGGGCGAGGGCACCTACCGGTTCTGTCCGTGATCGCGGAGATGGTGGTGGATAGGTTGATGTGGCGACGCGATCGCGCGGTTTTGTTTCCAATCGGCGGCGCGTTGGTGACGGTGCCGCCGCGGGGGGCGGCGGATCACGGCGCGCGCGAGGCGTTTGCGGACGGTAAAGAGCCGCTGATGCGGTGTTTGCCCGTGCGAACTGTGTTCAAGTGTGTCGCGGCGATCGCGTGCGAGCGTCGGTTGCTGTTGCGAAGCAAGCAGGTGAGCTTGTTGGTCAAGTGCGCCGAAGCCCTGAGCGGGCTCGCGCATCCGCTCGTGTGGAGACACGTGTACATTCCCTGCTTGCCGATTTCAATGGTTGATTACTTGGATGCGCCCATGCCGTTTATCATGGGAGCCACGCACGACGTCGACGTGGATGAACGCGCGCTCGAGGGTGTTACGGTGGTAGATTTAGACACGGGATCGATGCGAGACGGCGGCGAGCAAATTCTCCTGCCTCAAGAGAGCATGTTGCGAGATTTCATCGAACGCGTGCGAAAGATAATCAAGCCTGGTATCGTTGATACGGACGAGCTCGATGCGAGCATGTTCGTCAACTGGGATGCGGACGTCAACATGCGTGTGACTGCGGTTTTCACCGATTTTTGGTACGAGTTACTTCAGCTCGATTCTCTTCATCGTTACGTCGTGCAGGACGCCAGCGGGGCGGCGCAACTCAAGAAACACGATTATAGGCACGAAATCAGTCGTTGGCGCGGTGCGTTCACGGATCAGATTTTGGAAACAAATGCGTTCTTGTCCTTGCTAGACGACGCTTCGTCGCTGTCCAGGCTTGGAAAATCTGTAGCAGGAGACATCGGCAGGAAGAGACGCGCGAAATTTCGTTCGACACAGCTGACAGGCGACTCGTTGGTTTTACCCGCTTCTATCGAGTCTCGGTCGACGGACTCGCTTTTGATACCGCGTCTTCATATTTCGAATTTCGATGACGCCCAGCAAAGCGCAAAGTCTATGCGCTCGCTTTCGATTTATCAAAAGATCGAGGCAAAGTTTATGGACTCTTCTCCTTCGCTCGGCGGCGAAAACGTCGACAAATTCAACGATGTTCCCGTCCGAGATGCTCGATCGTCAACCAATTCGACGCTAAAGCGAGCAACATGGGGATGGTTAAAAGATAGAGTGCGACGTCGAATGGGGTCCGACGCGTTGCCCGAAGAACGCGCCCTAGCAAAAGCGATACAAGTCGCCGAGAACGCTGACAAGGCGGTCAACTTTGACTGGTATTACAACACGCTGACAAAGAAAGATGCGGCATCATTGGCTGACTACATCCGTTCGCACCGTGATGATTTGGATGTGCTTGACGACGATGAGGCGATCGATACGGTCGAGGTCCCGCAAGATTTGCAGCCATCCAATGACGATGACGACGTCGACGAGGCGACGGCGCTCGTGTATCCAATTTTCACCAATCACGACGACGTCGTGGCGGCCGCCTTGGCGGAGCACGCCGCAACTCTCAACTACATCGCTCTTCTCACTGGTGTCAAAAGGCATTTGATCTCCGGTACCAGGCGTTTCAATATTGTTTCAATCGCGATCAGCGCAGCCGTTCTGCGCGCCGATGCTGCCGGCGATGCCACGTCGCTGGCGCACGCCATCCGCATCGTACGCACTTATCAGCCTTCGAATACCCGCACGCTTTGGTTAAAGGGAGCCGCACGATGGGATGCTGTCAATCTTTGGTGCGGTTTATTTGCCGTCAATACAGACGTCGCATGGTTACACGGTACCGACGCCGAAACCAGGACAAGTGATCTGGTTCGGTGCTTTGCCCTCGTCGGACTGACTTCGGACCAATCCTCTGCGTTATTGAACGAAGTCATGGTGAGATTTGATTTTGAGAAAATGTGTTCCGTTGAAGTCGACGTTAGTGTTGGCAGAGCTCTGTCGGCGTCGGCGTACTCCACGATTTCATTCGAGTCTTGGGTGGAAAAGTTGCGACAATCGAGCGCATTCCACTTTGGCGCAAACGACAGAGCCTTACATTCGTACGCACCCGTGCAAGATTGTTGTCCTTCGGACGTTATTGAAGCACAGATATGGGATCGATCAGCCATTACGGCGATGACTGTGCAGTCTGGTGTTGTCTCGTCCTTGGTGGCTCTTGGAAGTGGCCGAGGTGACGTCGCTTTCTTCGCTCCGGATTCAGGCGTCACGACGCGTTCGCACAGTCCGCAAATTCACGCATCACCGCTCTCTGCGCTGACGTTTATACCGCGTAGCGCGCATGCGTTCTGCGGTCGCCGTGATGGGGTGATTGAGACGTGGGATTCGGTGACGGGCACGCGTATATCCATCGTTCCGGACGCGCACAGAGGAGAAACCGTATCCTTCGTGTCTCCGGTGGTGAATCAAGTAATATCGTCTGCGCCGCTCACCGCATCGGCGGGAAACGATGGCACCGTGAAACTCTGGGACGCTAGACAAAGCGATGCAACGCGTGCAGTGAGCGTGATTAAAGGCCACGTTGGTGGCGTCACTGCCTTTGCCACTCGCGACGCGCGCGGCGGTGCCGTCGGCAGCATTCTCACTGGCGATGCCGCGGGCGTGGTGCGCGCTTGGGATCCTCGTTACGCCACAGCAGGGCCAGTGTCGCTGGCACACGCGCATCAAGGCAGAGTGACGTATTTGGCACCTTTGCGAGGGTCAGACTCTACCGCCAGCGCGGGTGCGGACGGTTTAGTGCGAGTGTTGCGTCTCGATGGCGACACCGGGGGCGACATTCGTCTGAGCGGGCACTTGGGTGACGTCACCTCGCTCTGCGTACTTCAGGACGAAACTCGTGGTCGTGAGCCCGTGGGTATAATCGCATCTGGTTCCAGCGACGGCGAGCTGTGCCTTTGGTCCGGGGGCGAACTCGTGAACGATGTTCGTCAGGCGTGGCGCTGCGTGAGCAAGTCTCGAGCGCACGTCGGAGCGGTGACGTGCCTGACGACCGAGGGGAGTGGAAGACCGAAACGGACGAATTCTGTGAATGCGGGAAGCTCCGGTAAGGGAGTCAGAGACATGGAGATGAAGCCATTACTCTCAGCATCTACAGACTGTTCATTTGCGTGCTGGAACCTCTCCACAGCGCGTCTACAAGGACGCCGCTCGAGCTGGTCGCCTGTCGCAATGTGCGCGCCACCTCTGAAGCGCTCCACTAGCGCGCTGTGCTCCGTGATTGAAGTATCTCGAAACAGATATATCTACGGTGATCGATTCGGCATGCTCTCTTGCGTCGCGCTTCCGACGCCCGCGGCTTAGGCCGCGTCAACCAAAATATTTTGGTCAACCAAAATATCTCTAGCCCGTAGGGCGTTGTCACTGTGAGAGAGCGCCAGCAACAACATACGCACGCGCGCGATGAACGAATTCGAGCGTCAGCGCGAGGCGCGCATCGCGCGCAATAAATCTATCCTCGAGCGTCTGATCGCGTCAAATCCCGCGCACGCCGCGCTCCACGCCGAGCGCCCGACGCCGGCAAAGCCTCGCGGCCCTCGTCCCAAGCAACCCACAAACGAGGCTGATTTACGTCGCTCAGGGCGCGTCCGTCGGCTCCCAGCCCCGGTTTACACGACCTTCGACGTCAACGATGATCTCGGCGACGGTGTTTCGGCGCGCAAGCGCGCGAAGATGACGCAAACGTCCTCGAGTGCGACGACGAAGAAATATTTCTCTTCGAGCAAACGCGAGGCGCCGAGCGCGAACTCCCTGCGTGCGTTGAACGCAAATCTCTGGGATGTGTACGCAAATTATCTAGGTGAACCGATCCATCCACCTGAGAGCGACCGGGGGGCGTTGAAGGCGGCGGTAGTTCACGCGTTGAGTCCGGTGAGCAATCCAAAATTTTCCAAGATGAGTGGAATACAAGAATGGAAAAATTGCGTCGCGCTATACGTGAACGTCGGAGACAAGCACGGAAACGCGTATGATAACGTCTTCACTCGCGCGGGGTCGCGAATCACGTGGTTCGCGCAACCGAGACAAGATGAGGATTCACCCGTCATCAAGTCGATTATGAAGACGTCGACGCTAGAAGAGGAGAGCGTGGAAGACGCCATGACACGCGCAGAGAACGGCGAAGAAGCGGCACCAAAATACGTAGACTGGCCTTTACATCTTTTTTGTCGCATGGAAGGGTGCGAGTACGTCTATTGCGGTAGGTTGAAGATGGTGGATGTCGACACGAAGAAGCGTCCCATGAAATTTACGATGAGACTCGTCGACGCGCCGCTACTGAGAGGAAGCGAACACTTCTTAGGTTTGGTCGATCTCGCAGACGCCGACGCGACCTCTTCCTAGGCTTAGTCCATGCGTGGATATCGGCGCACGTTTTTAGCTATAAGTAGTAGATAATCATCACAATCTCTCAACTCGCGGACCATCTGGCGACGCCACTCACGCTCGCTTTCCTAGACTAGAGCCCGCTCCGTGCGGGCTCACTCGCTAATTCCGCGGCCTTGGTCATCGGAGTGTTGCTTCGCGTGTGATCCAAAATTTCTTTCACGCGGGCAAGCTGCGAGCGCAATGCCGACGTGGATTGCACCAATGTTTCTACATCATCGTCCAACAAGCTGCCCGTTTCCTCCAGTTTTCGCATCTTGTTCCCGATCGCCTTAAGTTCTTGCAGTGAAACTGAAAACTCCGTGTGTGACACCAGGTCATAAGTCTCAACTAATTCTTCTAGCTCCTCCTTCATGTCTTCTATTTTGCTGAAACGATAATCCACCGTGCGAGCAAGTATCGTGACCTCCTCCTGTGAAGACGTTGGCGCCATCTGCAGAACGTCGTCGAGCAATTTGCGAACGACGCCAACTTCGCGGATGATGGCGTTCTGAATCGCGCTGATGTGATCGCTCAAAGCGCTGACCACTTGTGAGTATGCGTACATCTCTTTGAGCAGCAGCTCTGAATGATCTTTGATGTTCAGCCTGACAACTTTGCGATGCTCCTTCGCCTTGAACGCGAGCCACTGCTGCGTGAAGTTGGCGCCGATGACAGAAATCGGGAGCGCGGTGATCACCACGGAACCTAACATCGTGATCGCCGCGACAGATTTACCCCAAATCGTCGTCGGCACGGCATCACCGTAGCCCACGGTCATCAAAGTAACCATGCACCACCAAAACGCGCTCGGAATGGAATCAAACTCGTCGCCTTCGTTGGCGTCCCACGCGTTCGTCGGCGGGCTTTGTCCGTTTTCGGCAAAGTATATCAACGCACTGAACATCACCAGTCCTAAAGCAAGTAGAAACCCTAGCACGACGAACATGTCCGCGCTGTCTTGCACGGCGATCAAGACCACTTGGATTTTCTTCGCCCGACTACCGAGTCGGAACACCTTGATGACGCGAAACAGTCTAAAGATTCGCAAAACTCGCGCACTGGATGTCGACGATGAGCTTTCCGCTCCCTCGTAACCAAATTGCAAGCCTGAAATCGCTATCTCGGCGTACCACGGAATAATGGACGCCAGGTCGATCAAGTTGAGCGGGTCCTTCACCGCCATCCACCGCTTTGGCGCGCAACATATCTTCAGCGCGTACTCGAGAGAAAAGATCAGCTGACACACCATCTCTATGATGTCCAAACTCGCCTTCCCCGAGTGCTCCGGCATTGTACTCGCGATGAAAGAGCTGATCGACACGAAAATCAACGTAAACATCAACGCACTGATCGACAAGGCCAGCCTTCCCGACGACGGCTCCGTGAGCGCGAGATAAACCTTTTGCCTGAGCGTCAAAGCCAACAGCGTCTTTCTCTTCGTCGGCGCGCTAAACTTTTCCTGCACGCGGCGAATCTCATCCCTAATATCCCTCCCCGTCACCCCCACGAACTCGATCAGAAGCTTATCCTTATCGTGCAGCTTTTCAAACTTCTCGCCCCGCCGCACGCGTCCGAGCAATTGATTGAGAATCACCACCACTCGCACCTTGGTCCACAGCCCTCTCGCTCGCATCCCTCGCCGATCGCTTCGAAACCTGCGACACCGCGCGCGACGTGCGCTCGTCAGTCACCTCGCGCGCGCCCTTCGCGTCGTCGCGTCGCTTCGCGCTTTCGTTCGCTCGATTTCCTTCGCTTCGCGCGCTTCGCTTCGCCGACGCACTTCACCACCCTCAGCGGGCTCGCCCCGCCGTGTCGCATCGCGACGTTCGCGTGCAGGCGCGCGTCCAGCGCGTCGTCGTCGTTCACGTTCGCCGCCACCGCGCCGCCCAGGTACGGCATCGCGTCGCGTTCGCGTTCGCGATGAATTCAATGAATTCAACGCGCGCGTCGAATGAATGAATGCACGCGCGCGTTGAACGAATGCGCGCGACGCGGCGTCGCGATCGACGTCGCGATCGACGTCGACGTCGTTCGACGTTCGCGTTCGCGTTCGCGTTCGCGCCGCGCGCGCGTCCGCCGAACGCTCGCCGTCGACGCGCCGCGCGCGATCGACTGGCGCCATCGAAACGCGTCGGGGGAAACAGCGAACCCGCGGCGTCGACGCGGACGAGACGCGAAGACGCGAGGACGCGCGCGGCGCCGACGCGCGGGACGACGACGGCGCGATCACGCGATCTCGTGAAAAGATAATGTGCGTGTGATGTACAAGACGCGCGGATCGATCGATCGACGCGTCGGAAAGAATGACCGCGCCCGTCGCGGCGGTTCGATCACGAGGGCGCGAAGCGCGACCGCGGCGGCGCCTCGCTCGCGTTTTCGACGCCCGGACGCGGCGCCGCGCGCGATTTATCCGCGATCGCGATCGTCGCGTGGTGCGCCTTGCGCGCGACGAATTTCGACGCCGGGCTCAGCGCGCTGTCCGTGGGCGAGTGGAATCTGTCCGGCGTTCGCGCGTCGTCGTCAGTCGCCGCGCGCGTCGTCGACGAATCATTCATTCATCATTCATCATTCATCATCAATCATCAATCATCGCGCGTCGTCGTGTCCCGTCGCGATCGATCGCGCACCTCTTCCCGCCGAGCGACGACGCGCGCGCGTGTTTCGTTTCCCTCGTCGTCGCGTCGTTCGTGCGATCGCGCAGCGTCATCGCGTCGAAACTCGCCGCGAGCGTCGTCGGCGTTCGCGCGCGCGCGTCGTCGGCGTCGTCGGCGGCGGCGTCGCGCGACGTCGTCGTCGGTTCGGGCGTCACGGCGACGGGCGAGCGCGCGTCGTCGGCGTCGCGCGCGGGCGAGGGCGCGGACATGGCGTCGACGTGTGCGGCGAATGATGAATTGGCGATTTAAGTTCCCCCGACGAAAGTCGGCGGTCGGCGCGCGCGACGAGGACGGGCGCCCGATCCGGCGCGACGATCGGAACTGCGAGCGAGCTACGAGCGCTCGAGCCGGTCGGCGCGCAGAGCGCGAGACGCGAACTCCCACGCGAGCCACTGCGCGGCGTTGGCGGGAAACGCGCGCGCGACGACGGGCGCGGCGCCGCGCCAGAGCCCGGAGACGCCGCGCTCGGCGACCAAAGCGCGAAGGAGCGCCAGCGGCGGTAAGTCGCGCGCGCCGCCGGGACGCTCGCACTGGTAAATAGTCTTCGCGTTATCCAACGGAAGGACGATGAGCCAGGTGACGACGCCCGCGGCGCCGCCACACGAAGCCGCGGCGAGCGCCTCGACGAGCAAGCCCCGCGCGTCTCGCGTCTCGAACGCGGCGCGCGTCACGTCGCCGCCGACGTCGCTCGCGCCGCGCGCGCGCGGGAAAATCGTTCGGAAAATCTCATACGTCGCGAAATACACCGCTCCCGACGGAATCTCGCGCGCCGCGGTGTGCGAGACGCCGCGAAACAATCCGAGCGCGCCGCGCGTTCGCCAGACGTCGAGCGCCACCGCCCGCGCGCTCCCGCCTCCGTCCCCGACCTGCGCTCGACACTTCACCAGCTCGAACGGCGTCAGAAATGGGGTCATGAGCCCTCCCGCGAGGGCGCCCGCGAACGCGCTCGCCGCCAACCGCGCGCCCGCGCCCGCGCCGCTCGCGCCCGCGAGCGCCGCCTCGCGCGCCTCGTGAAAGCACGCGTAGTTCGCCCCCGTCTCGAGCGACGCCCCGACCAGGGGCGCCGCGACGCCCGCGTACAGTCCTCGCGCGCCTCGCGCGCGGTACAGCGCCGCGATGGCGCTTCCAGTCGTGTGTCCGCGGTTCTTTTGCACGAACACTTTCACCGTGTCGAACGGATGTCCCGCCGCGACGCACGCCGCGCCGGCGACGACGCCGGCGACGGCGTCGTCCGCGCGCGAGCGCCGAGGCGCCGACGCGTCCGGCGCGTCGGACGCGCGCGTCATCGACGGCTCGCGCGCGACGCGGGCGCCATCCGGTCGGCGTCCCGGCCGCACAGTGCGGCGCGCTCCGAACGCCCGCGCGCGACGCCATGGCGAGCAAGGCGCCGATGATCTGGAAGCACGACGAGCGCGTCGTCGTGTACCCGCCGTACATCGACGCCGCGCGGTCGGTGGCGAAGGGACGGCGCATCGCGCGCGAGGACGCGGTCGAGCACCCGCACGCGCTCGAGGTGGCGGACGCGTGCGAGCGCGCGCTCGGGATGCGGTGCGAGCTGGAGGATAAGGCGTACTCGAGAGATTTTTGGTGCCGCGGACGCGTGCGCGTGGAGTGGAAGCGAGACGACGGGAGCTTCGTGAGGGAGGAACTGAACACGCGAGGGAAGCTGCTGCGGGCGATCGCGGCGGCGGTCAAGGCGCACCCGGAGCGAGGAGAAAACGGGAAGCCGGGGACGAATCCGAGGTTTATGACGCAACACAGGGTGTTCGAGGAATACCTGAAGCAGGTGGCGGGCGCGGCGGGGCCGGCGCCGGGGCAGGGGAAGAAAGCGGAGAAGGCGCGCTCCGGCAAGAAGGGGAAGAAGGGACGGAAGTGAGGGCGTTTTTTCGCACGTCGCGCGTCGGTGTTGGTAATTAAATCGTTAGAGAGTCTAGAAGAAGTCCATATCGTCGTAGTCGTCGTCGAAATCCGCGAGATCTAATCCTGAGGCGTCGTTGTCGACGCCGCGCGACGCGAGCGCGTCGGCGGTTTTCGCCTTCTCCTTGGGCGGGTAACGCATCGCCTTGACGGCTTCGTTGTGCGTGTCCAAGCAAAACGCGATGCGCACGTGGAACGCACTTTGCGGTTCTTGCGTGCTGTAGACGTCTGTGGTCTCCTTACTATACATCACCTTGGCCGAATGATCGATGACGGCGTCGACGTTGCCGTCGCGAATCGCCTTCGCGACGACGGATTCCGCGTCCTCCACGCTCGGCAAACCGAGCTTCTCGGCCACGTCGGCGAGGGAAATCTTGGAGTACGCAGTGTTAATACGCGTGAGCCCGGTTCGAATGACATTCGCGCGCAAGCGGTTGATCAAGTTGGACAACTTGTCTTCGGTAAACGTCGTCCCGTGCGTCTCCGCCGCGCGTTGAAACGCGGTCAAGTCGCCCATGCGCACCGCCTGGACGAGATCGAAATACGGTGCCAAGGCCGCGCGCATCTCCGGCTGAGTCAGCTCCTTTCGCTCGGGAATCTCTCCCAAAAGCATTCGAACGATGGTGATCCACTTCAACAGCTCGAGACGGAACCCCTTCGCCCCCGTCGGCGCTTTTTGGTACGCCTGCGTCAGGTACTCCTTCGCCTCGCTGTATTCCAACTGCACGGCGCGAATGCGACCGAGGTAGTACGCGTAACGGCACTGCTGTTGAATCGATCGCGATTGCGGCAGCGTCACCCTCGATCGAAGCTTTTCCGCGTGGTCGTAAAGGTTGTAGTGCAAGTAGTTGCGCAACAGCAAGTTGACCAAAGTTTCTTGGCCGATTTCGTCCAGGCGCAGCGCCGACGTCCGATACAGCGCCAGAAGCGTCGCGCGCGCGTCTTCGAGCGATCCAAATCTCTCGTACGCGAGTGAGTAGTAAAAGTACACTCTCGCCGCGAGCACATCCATCGATCGACGGTTAAACTGCTTGATTCTATCGACCGCCTCTCGCGCGCACTCGAGCGCGTCCTCGCCTCGCTCGCCGTCAATCAAGTGCATCAAAACTACCAAGTACGCGTACACCTCCGCCTCTGGAAGCGCACACGGCGCAACGTCGCTTAAGTCTACCACCGCATCATCGCTTTCGCCGCCCTTGCCCTTCGTCCCCGCGCTCTTCCCTCTCGTCTGTCTTCCCGCCGCTTTGGTCTCGCATCGAGCCAAGAGCGCCGCTCGCGCCGCGCTCTCCTCCGGCAAAACCGCGCCCACGAACGCGCGCACGTTCTCGCTCGTGAGCTCTCGTCGCACCATCGCCGTCTACGTCATCCACCGCGCGCGCGCGCACCGTCAGTCATCGCTCGGTCGTTTCTTCCGCGTCCGCCTCGCGTCTTCGCCTCGCCTCGCCTCGCGCGTCGCCGTCTCGCACCTCTCGCAGCGCTCTCGCGACGAATCTCGCCTCGCCCTTCGCCTCTACCGATTTCTGCACGTCGCGCACGCATCCCGCGAGCTGTGTCCGTCGAACGCGTCGTCAGTCCGCCGTCATCGCGCGCGCTCGATCGAAAAGCGTTCGACGACGACGCGCCGCGCGTCGCGATCGATCTCGACGACGCGACGTCGCGTCGCGTGCACCGTCGACGACGCGTACCCGGTGCGCGACGTCCGCGCGACGCGCGTTCGCGTCGCTCGGTTCGACGTTTTCTTTGGTCGACGCGTCGGCGTCGACGTCCATGCTCGACGCGGTCATCGCGATCGTCGCGAACGGGCGACGGTTTGTGCGGACGCGGCGCGGCGAGCGGCGAGGCGAGCGAGCGACGATGGGGGTCGATGACGGCGATCGAGCGGAAGGATGGAACGACGCGTGACCGGAATGTTTGAAACGCGCCGTGGACGTCGTTTTACGGATGTCGCGCGGTGGCTAAACGCAAGAGTTCGTCGACGATTTGACCGTCGAGCGACGCGGCGCCGTAGCCGAGACCCAAAGTCGGCGGTCGCGGATTCGGGTCGCGCTCGAGTTTCTTGGACGAACCGTCGGCGGCGAATACGGTGACGTAGTCGTAACGTGTCGTGAGCTCGTTGGCGACGACGGCGTCCAGACGGTAGCGTTCGAGGGATTTGCGCGCCTTGTCGGCGAGTAAATCGACGTCGGTTTCGAGCTTGAAGCCTACGGCGAAAGCCTCGGGACACCACTCGTGTTTGATCATCCCGAGCATCTTGGGCACCGGTTTCAGCGTCAGCTCTAACCCAGCCGCACTGTGCGCCGAGCTTTGAATCTTATGTTCGGGTAAATCGCACCACGGAACGTAAAAATCGCTCACCGCCGCCGCGAGGACGACGACGGCGCGTCCGCCGCGCGCCTTCGCCTCGTCCCCGACCGCCTCGCACGTCGCCTTAAGCGAAGTTAAATACTCATATAACGTCTTAAATCGCACCACGATCAACCTCTCGGACTCTGCCTCGACACCACGAAGCGCTTGAGTCAACACACCACAACTATTCGTCCCGCCCGCGTCCCGAGCGCGAATGCGCGTCGCGCCCAGAAATTCGTCGGCGGCGCCATCTTTCACCATCTCAAACGCATCCAACGCGTGCGGCGCGCGCCCAATTTCGCGCGCGCGCGAATCATTCACCAGTGATTCATTCACCATGCGCTCGTGCGGCGCGCACGATCCCTCGCGCTGCAGCATCACCACGTCGCAGTCGCCTCTTCGCAACAGTTCCTCCACCAACCTCGCCCCGCGCGCGCCGCTGCTGAAATTATCCACGCACCGCACCTGCGCCCGCTCCAGCGGCGCGGTGGTGCCACCGGAGGTGACGACGACGATGGTTTCGGGCGCGGCGTCGCCCGCGATGCGCCGCGCGCTCCACGTGGCGCGCAAACGCTCGCCAATTCGTGACGCGCGAAGCAACGCCGCGCGCGGGACGTAGCGCTCGTCGTCGGCGAAGAACGCGGCCGCGCTCGGCGAGGCGTCGGCGGTGTTGACGTCGTCGTTTTCGCGCGGCATCGCGCGCGGTCGCGGCGCGCGCGCGCGGGCGTGTGCGGTGGAACATTTCTGTTTCTCTACAGAGCGCCGAGTGTCTAACATTCGCTACGCCGCCGCGCCGCCGCGCGTGCGCACGATTTCGCCTCGCCAGAATTTCGCTTCAAAAAAACTGTCCTTCGTGCGAAGAGCGTCGACGCGAACGTAGGCGTCGCATCGAGCGACGGCATCGGCGGCGGGCGACGCGGCGGCGCCGAAGGAAGCTTCCACGGCGCGGACGGCGTCGACGCGCTTGCGACGATCGCCGACGCTGGACTGCGAGGGAAGGTCGGCGCGAGTGGCGATGAAAACCGCGTTCGCGTCGTCTCGGCTGTCGTGAAAAACGTCGAGGATGAGATGGGTGGCGCCGCTCACGACGTGCGCGAGCGAGGCGCCGGTGGCGGCGTCGCGCGACCAGCACGCGCCGGCGATTGGTTCGAGCGACACACGGCGTTTCCGCGCTCTATTCGGTCGCCTGAAATCGCACGCGAAGATGTCACCATTCGTCTTACCCGCGATGAGACAGCCGCCAGAAGCAGACATGCACGTCACCGCACAGCCGTCGGCGGGATCGAGCACGGCGAACGTCGCAAACAAGTCGCATTCGTCGACGACTGGGGTGCGCGCCAGCGCGATTTGCGCGGCGGTGACGTCACCTGTGGCGCGTACGATCGCGCCGTCGCTGCATCCGATGAAAAGCGTGATTTCTTTCGTTGAATCATCTTTACTGCACGCCAAACTCGTGATCCAGGCTTTTGCCGCGACTCGCCGCGTCGCGACGATGCGCACCGTCGCGTCGTCGCCGACGAGAAAAATGACGACATGGCCACTTTTTGTACCGCACGCGAGCATGTGATGGTACGTTAGCGTGGCACCATCGGCGCACGGTATCGCCATCCACGCGCAAGACATGAACTGCAAAAGCTCGGCTTTGAGCATCGGAGCGTCGTCGTACGTCAACTGCACGTGCACGTGCGTCTTCGATGATTTCGGCAGTTCAAACCCGGGGTCGACCTCAGGAGTCGTCGTCAAGAGCTTACGTATTTCCACCTTTGCGTCGCGTCGCGCGCGTGTCGATAAACCCACCGAGTCGAAAATCCGTTCGCACAAGCGAGCGTCTTCGTCGTCAAATTTCGCGGATCCGTTATACGTCTTTTCCGAAGTTCGCAAACGAAAAAACTCATCCATCGCCACGCGCGTTTGCTTTGCGTCGTCGCCTATGGCAACCTGCGGTGTATCGACCATTTCGACTTCATCGCCTCCCATCGCCGTCTCGTCATTCTTTTCGTACTCGAATGCGCGCAGCGGTAAGCGTACGTCGTCCTTCGCGGCGATCCATCCGCCGCGAACGCCGGTCCACGTTCGCCGACGACGACACGCGCTCACGGGCACGAGCGCTTCGGCGGAATTTTTCGCGAGACTAAACTTCACCGTGACGTCCTTCCCAACCTTGATCACCTGCGCTAACCGCCATGTGGACGGAATTTCGTGCATGACCTCGATGATTTCGCCGGCGCGTAAATCGCTCGCTCGCACATCGTCGCGAGGCGGAACCGGCCGCGCGACGCACGTCATCCTCGTCGGTCGCACCTTGCGCACGGCGAATCGATCCTGCGCGGGAATCGTTGCGACACCACTCCCCCAGACGTCTTCATTTGCCCATACTAAAAACTCCCCGCGCACCTTGTCGTCGTCGTATTCTACGCGCGCTCGCGGCGCGGCGTTGAAGTTTGCCGAAACGACGGAGCCGACGCGCCAAAGCTCTGGCGCCACGTCCGCGCTAGAAGACACTTCCACGCCCACGCCCTGACGAAGCGCGCCGTATACGTAAATTTCGTCGCCGTCGACCGTCGTCGAATCCATCGGTTTCGGATCTTCTTCCTTCACTCGCTTCGCATCCGAGCCGCTCGCGTCTTCAGCGGCGCGTCTCGCGGCGACTTCCGCCGCGCGCTCGAAACAATCCTCATCCCGCTTCACCTCTAGCCCTACCTCGGCGACGACGCCCACGACGTCATCGCGCGCTCGCGCGTACCCATCGCTCGCGCACGCGTCGCCCCACGCGTCGCTCAAACGAACCGCTCGCCTCCACGCGCTCGTCGCCTCCGTCTCCGGCGGCGCGAACGCCTCGCACGTCCCATCCGTCGCGCACATCGCCAGCGCGCACCGTTCGCCGCACCCCATCGCCCCCACCGCGGACCAATCGAGCGCCCGCGCGCTTTTCTCCGCGTTCGCGCCATCGTTTCCTCCCGCGCGCGTCTCCCCGAACCGGTGCGTCGTCGTCCCGCTCGCGTCCAACCGCCGCGCGCTCTTCGCCGCCTCCAATCCGTGTCTCAGCGCCTCCGACGCTCGCGCGTTTCCCTCGCGCGACGCATCGAACGTCGCGCACTCCATCCCCGGCTCCGTCGCGTCGAATCCATCCCGCTGCGCGTCGTCGTCGTCGGCGCGCGTCGTCAGTCTTTGGTCGATTCGCTTCGTTCGCGTTCCGTCTCGAGCGTCGCGTCGCGCGCACCGCGACCACCGCGCCGCGCCGCGCCGCGCACGCGATGTCTCCGCACGCGCTCCACCGGACGACGTCGCACCCGCTCGAGCGCGGCGTCGCGCGCACGCGCACGACGTCGCGGTCGTTCGCCGGCGTCGGCATCGCCGCACAGTGCCGCGCCATGAGCGTGCGCGCCTTCATCAACAGCCCCACGGGGCCGAGGACGACCCACTTCTGGGGGCCCGTCGCGAACTGGGGGTTCGTGCTCGCGGTGCGTCCGTCGCCGCGCATCGGACGACGGCGCGACGCGCGTCGGACGACGACGGACGACGCGCGTCGAACGACGACCGGGACGACGACGACGACCGGGACGACGACGACGACCGGGACGACGACGACGACGACGACGACGACGACGACGACGACGACGACGCGAAGCGACGGACGCGAAGCGACGGACGCGGCGACTGACGACGGCGGCGCGACGCCGCGCGACGGGCGCAGGGCTTGGCGGACACGAAGAAGCCGGAGTCGATGATCAGCGGACCGATGACGGGCGCGCTGGTGGTGTACTCCGGGCTGTTCATGCGGTTCGCGTGGAGGGTGCAGCCGAGGAATCACATCCTGCTCGCGTGTCACACGGCGAACGCGAACGTGCAGGCGTATAATTTTCAACGGTGGGCGAGGTGGAACGGCGACGCGCCGGAGACGACGCGCGAGGCGACGTCGTGACGACGCGCCTCGAACGGGGCGCGGTGACGAACGAGGTGCGCGTCGTTCGACGGTGGGGCGTCGCGCGGGCGTCGCGCGGGCGCGTAGCGTAGCGTTTTGTGTGAGTAGAGAGAGGTTCGAGGCGACACTCCGCGTCCCGCGCCGTCGCGAACGTCGACGCGCTCGATCGACGCCTGGACGCCGCGCGAACGTCGCGTCCGCGAGTCGACGTTCGATCATGTCGTTCGCGCTTCGAGTCGACGACGACGCGCCGCGGTATTTCCGTCACCGCACGCTCGGCGGCGCGTGCGAGACGTCCTTCGAGTGCACGGGCGTGACGCTGCTCTCCGCGCGCGAGGGCGCGAAGCGCGTCACCGTGCGCGCGCGATGCGACTCCGGACCTTCGTTCGTCATCGCGCGGTTGATTCCCGACGTCCACGAGAGCGTGTCGTTCGTGCACGTGTTCGAGGGCGAGGACGCGCGCTTTAGCGCGCGCGGCGGCTCGGTCGAGCTGCGCGGAACGACGGAGCACGAAATCCGCGCGGTGGACTCGAGCGACGACGAAGGATGCGACAGCGATGAGTCCTGGGGGTCGGACGTCGAGGCGTCGAGGGAGGTCGCGGAGACGGCGGGTGGAAACGAGGACGCGCGCGCGAGGGAGACGGCGGCTCGACTCGAGGCGGCGCGGGCGGGGAAGTGGCGAACGTTGGATGAAGTGCGAAAAACGATGGATTGGTGGGACGGGGACAAAAATGATTTTACGTTTCACGTGCAAAGCGCGGGCGCGAAGCGAAGCTCGAGGTCAGGGAAGATGCCCACGTTCGCGTGGACGGGGAAGCTACGACCGCGAAAGACGACCGCGAAACGATCGTACCCGAGCGGGTTGAATCCTCCCGATTACGCCAGTTCTGGATGGCCGGAAGAGGAGTTTGGGTCACGATTCCAAAGCACCGTAGAGGTAAAGCCGCATGAGGCTCGACAGGCGATGCGCGCGGCGTGTTCTTTGGCGCGACACGTGATGGATACAGTGGCGTGGGCGCTCGAGCCCGGCGTCACGACGGAGGAGCTCGATCGTATATGTCACGCGGTGACGGTTGGAAACGGCGCGTATCCGTCGCCGCTCAACTACATGGGTTTTCCAAAGTCGCTGTGCACATCCGTGAACGAGGTCGTGTGTCACGGCATTCCCGACGCGCGCCCTCTCGAGGACGGCGACATCGTCAATTTGGACATCACGGTTCGCCTGAACGGATACCACGGCGATTTGAATGAAACGTATTACGTCGGCAAGGGCGGAGCCAAGTCGAAAGCGGCGCAGAAGCTCATGGACTGCACGCGCAAAGCCCTGGAAAAGGCCATCGCGTACTGCCGACCCGGTCGACGATTCAGAGACCTTGGCGAAATCATCGCCGAGGAAGCTTCCCGAGGCGGATACGCGAGCGTGAAGGACTTTTGCGGGCACGGCATCGGCCAGCTTTTCCACTGCGCCCCGAACGTTCCACACTACGCTCGCAATAAGGCGATCGGTGTGATGAAGGAAGGAATGACGTTCACGATCGAGCCCATGTTTAACGAGTCATCGTCGCACAAAGTCGTGCACTGGCCGGATGGATGGACGGCGGTGACGACGAACGGAGCGCGAAGCGCGCAGTACGAGCACACGCTGCTCATCACGTCCGATGGGGTCGAGGTGCTGACGGCTCGAAACAAGAATAGTCGTCCGTTTGTAGCCTAAATCGTACTAGAATCTTACTTCAAGTCGTCTAATGGATACTCTAGCTCTTAAATAAATCAGGCGTCGCCGAGCAAGGACGACGTGTCCGACATGTTATCCCTATCCCCAATCAGCGGCGATCGCTCGTCTGAATCGTCGGAGTCGCGATCCTCACGCATTGCATCGCACGTGCCACCAAAGAACATCCTCAATTCGTGGAACATCAAACCAGCCTTGATCCCGCCTCCTATAAAAAAGAGGACGAGCGAGCCCACGAGGAGGCCTTCGTTGTCGTCAAAGCAAAACAGCATGCCGCCGACGGCGAATACGACGAGCGCGATCTCAATCCACGTGTATAAATACAGCTCTTGCGAAAAATATCCAGGCGCGCGGCGCTGCTTCAACGCAGCTCTCTTTTCCAACGTCCGTTTTCTGTCGTACAAGAAGAGCCCGCTGCCGATTGGGAACAGCAGAAATGAAATCGCCCAAATCACGTTCGCTCGATCGGTCAACGTCTCGAAATCAGCATCATTCACGTACGGATCGAATCGCCCACTCGTTGCCCACTTACAAAATCCAGGACTGTACAGTAACGACCCGAGAATTCCTAAAATTAAACCCGCGACGTTGAGCACGCCCGCGAAGACGCGGTACAACACCCTCGAGTCTTCGTCGCGCTTGGCCTCATCGTCATCGCACGCCACCTTCTCGTCATCCAACGACTTCGAGAATGTCATCGACGGTATCGCCAACGCCAAACCACAGCACACGTACCCGACGACGCACAGCGTCGCGGTTTGGTCCCATCCCGACAGCACAAAGTACACGCCGCCCAAGAAGAATGACAAAAGCCCGACGTTTGTCAGCAGCAGCACCGCGACGTTGGTGGCGAATTTCGGCCGGCGGCCTAAATCTCCGCTCGAATACGCGCGATGTAGACGCTGCGTGTTCACCCTGAGCTTGCTCGGCGACATCGCGCGCGTCCGCGGCGCGTGCGGCGTCGCAACACTAAACAAACCGAGTCCGTTGACACTCGACGCGGACGAGACACCGCGCGACGTCCTGGCGTCGAGATCCGAGATGCGCGACGCGACGCGCGCGCCGATGGACGCGTCGCGCGCCTCGCGCGCGCGGTCGCGCGCGGCGGCGGATGGCGCGCGCGACGGACTCATCACAACTTTTTTCTACTTCGCCGCGTCGAGCGCGACGCTCGGCTATTCGGAAATTACCCCTAAACGCTGTCCCACGCCGCTCACGGCGTCACTTTTCGGCGCGACCGTGTGCACGCGAAACACCACGTCGCCCTCGACGACGACTTGGACGTCGATGACGAGCGGCTCGGCGAGTCCGCGTCGAATGCGTTCGACGCCGCCGAAATCCGTGACCAACGCCTTGACGATGCGGCGCACTAAAATGAGCTTCGCCAGCGCGTGAAACGTCGACCGATCCAAGGGATCGGTGGACGGGAACAATAAATCAAAGTTATCCCGCAAGAAGGCGTGCTCGCTCGCGCTCGCGGGCTGAATCGCCACGGCTTCCGGTCGAAGCGCCATGACGTTCCGAATCGACCCGCGTATCCCGTCGCTAAACTTAATCAGCCCCTCCGCGCTCAGGCTCACCGCGCGCGCGTCGCCCTCATCGTCGTCATCCTCGCATCGTCCTCGCGGGTACCTCTTCGCTAATTCATCGAACGTCTCGTCCAACGCCTCCGTCGTCCTCGCGTCTCGCAGCACGCTCGTCAACCTCGCCCGCCCCGCGCTCGCCCGCCCGATCCCGATCGCGTCGACGAACCACACCCACAGCTCTTTCCCCAGCCTTCGCTCCAGCGCTCGGCACGACGTCGCGCCCGCGACGTATATCGGCAGCGACGGATCGACGAACGCGCCGCTCGCGCGCGCGCCCTCGCCCAACAACCACCGCCGCGCGACGCCGCGCAGCGGCACCAGCACCGACAGCGCGCGCCGCGTCCACACCGTCGACGACGCGGGAACTCGCGCGTCGTCGTCGCCGTCGTCGTCGTCCGCGCCGTCGCCGTCGCGCGCCGTCCCGCGTCGTCCGCGCCGTCGCCTCGCGACGCCGTCGAACAACGAACTCGCGTCGCGCGCGCTCGCCGCGTACGCGCCGCACGCCGCGCACGCGAGCGCGCACGCGAGCGCCGCGACGCGCCACGCGGACGCGCTCGCGCGTCGCGCGCGCGCCGTCGCCATCGCGCGTCGCGTCGTCGCGTCGCGTCGTGCGTCGTCGCGTCGTCGCGTCGTCACGTCGTCGCGCGCGCGCGACGGACGGCGCGACGTTCGGGTACGTCCTCGCGCGGGCGCGCCCGCCGGGCAAGGGCGCCGCGTACGCCGCGCTCGCCCTCCTCGCGTGCGCCAACGTCGCGTACGTCGCGTCGTCGCGACGCGCGCGCGCGCCGGACGCCGCGCCGGCGCGACGGCGCCGGCTCGAGATTCGCGCGCGGCGCGCGACGCGCGACGCGTGATCGCGAGCGGTCGCGCGCGTCGCGTCGCGCCGATCGCCGCGCGCGATCGCCCGCGCGCGCGACGGACGACGCGACGCGACGCGCGCGCGCGACCGAACGACCGACCGACCGCGCTCGAACGGCGAACGATCGCGTCCGGTGACGACATCGGCCGACGCGTCGCGACGCGCGAGGGCGAGCGACGATCGGGATGCGGGCGACGACGCGCGCGACGACGCGCGGCGTCGCCGACGCGGGACGCGCGTCCGGCGCGCGACGAACGACGAAATCGACGCGTCGGATTCATCGATCGAACGCGAACGCGAATGCGAATGCCGACGAGACGCGACGCGCGGTGACGCGCGCGGGACGGTGGGAGGACGAAAAGGCGCGATGGACGATGCGGGACGTCGCGGCGGTCGTCGCGAGCGCGGCGCTGGCGATGTCGAGCGTCGGGGACGCGCGCGCGGAGGAGGCGGGGGGGGACGCGAGCGCGGAGACGCTCGACGCGGCGACGCTGTACGCGAGGGCGGTGGAGGACTCGGAAGAATCCGTCGCGCCGGCGCTTGAGGACGATAAGGATTTGAAGGAGTTTGAATCGTGGAATTGGCGCGCGCTCGTCGGGGCGGGCGCGGACGCGAACGATGGGGGATCGACGAAGACGAAGACGAAGACGAAGACGAAGACGAGCGCGCCGAGCGCGAACGGGCCGAGCGACGCGACGTTGAGGGCGCAACAGAAGCGCGAGGAAAACGCGGCGCGGTTGGCCAAGGTACAAGCGGAGGTGCAATCGAGAGATTCCGAGAGGCAAGCGAAGTTGCGGGCGCAGATTAAGGAGAGAGACGCCGCGGCGATGGCGGCGGTGGAGGCTCGACGGGCGGCGCAACGCGAACTGTTGCAAGCCAGAGCGCGCCAAGCGAAAGAAGAGACCGCGGCGGCGCGCGCGAGACGTGACGCGCAGCGTGAGCGCATGGAGGCGCTTCGATCAAAGACGCCCGAGGAGAAGGAGGCTGAACTCGAAGCGTTCCGCAACCGCGACGCGCCGTCTCCGTACGCCGCCAAGAGCAAGCGATCGACGGCGAAGAAATCGTACGCGGCGAAGAAATCCGGGTCCAAGGTGAAGGCTACCGCAAAGCCCAAGCCCGCGGCGGCGCCGGCGCAGCGCAAGAAGTATTCTGGCGCGCTCGATCGCAACTCGTTCCGCAACGTCAAAAAGCAAGAATACGGCGCCGGCGCCGCGCCGTTCGCCTTCATCGGCTTGTGCGCGTTCGCCTACTATCTCTTGCTCCAAGAAGAAGACGATTGATATCTCTTCACACTTATCTATGCACGCCGCTCGCGCGCCAACCAAGACTTTCGTAGCGGCCGTCGCCGTCGCGAGTAATAACAAGCAAAACCAAACCACGCTCCAACGCGGTTCCCATACTTCGACGCGCGCGATGGGGAAATGTCGCCACCCGATCGACGAGACCGCGCTTCTGCGCTTCTGTCGCGCGCGCGTACCCGGGTTCCCTCGCGCGTGCGCGTCGCTCGACGTCGACCAGTTTGCGCACGGACAGTCGAACCCGACGTATAAGATCCTCGCGCTGACGCGCCGCGGTGACGTCTGCGGGACGTACGTCGTGCGAAAGAAACCGGCGGGAACGTTGCTGAAGTCCGCGCACGCGGTCGAGCGCGAATACGCCGTGATGCGGGCGCTGCGTACGACGAACGTGCCGACGCCCGACGCGCTCGCGCTGTGCGAGGACGCGCGCGTGCTGGGCGAGGCCTTTTACGTCATGTCTTACGTCGATGGGGATATTTATTTGCAACCGCGCATGGAGGAATGCTCGGAGCGTCGTCGCGGAGCGGTGTACGAGAAGATGGCGCGAACGCTCGGGACGCTGCACGCGGTGGACCCGCGCGCGGTGGGGTTGGGCGATTTCGGTAAAGCCGAGCGCTACGGCGAGCGACAGACGGAACGGTGGGCGAAACAGTACGAAGCGAGCGTGGGACCGGGGGTCGGCGTACACGCAGAAGAATCCATGATGACTTTGATCGCTTGGCTGCGCTCGAACGCGCCGGCGAAAGAGATTAGCGGGCGGTTGGTGCACGGCGACTTTCGATTGGACAACTTGGTCCTGAGTCGCGCGCGCTCGAACGGCGACGACCAAGTCGACGTTTTGGCGGTTTTAGATTGGGAATTGAGCACTCTGGGTGCGCCATACGCGGATGTGGCGTTCAATTGTTTGCCTTATTATTTGCCTCCCGGGTTGGAGCTCTACCCTACGCTGGACCCCGCGAATTTACCGCGAGGCGTACCAGACGTCGGCGCGTACGTGCGCTCTTGGTCGCGCGCAAGCGGGCTTCCGAACCCTATGACGGAAGGCGCCTCGACGACGTGGCCGTTTTATATCGCGCTTTCATTGTTTCGAGGAGCTGCGATTCTCGCTGGGGTGCGCGCGCGCGCGATGCAAGGCAACGCGTCGAGTGCAAACGCGCACGAAATGGGACAGCTCGTAGACGTCTTCGCCAGGCGCGCGTTATTGGTGGTTAAGGGTGCGAACGTGCCGCGGGGTGTCAACGATCTCGCGCATCGCTCGGAAACGACGTCAGCTACCGCGGTAGGATTTGAGCCGAGCGCCAAAGCGGCGTCGTTGCTGAACAAGCTCAAGCACTTCATGCACGCGCACGTGTACAAGGCGGAGGAAGAACTCGAGGCGCACGCCATCACGCCTGAACGATGGAGCGTATCGCCCGCGGTGGAATCATTGAAGACTGCGGCTAAAAGCGCTGGGTTGTGGAACTTGTGGCTGCCCCTCGACAGCGCGGCGCTATTGAAAATTCGCCCCAACGACGGCGAAGAGTCGACGCTGTTCGCGGGTCCAGGACTGACGAATCTCGAATACGCGTATCTCGCCGAAGTCATGGGCGCGAGTGTTTGGGCGAGCGAGGCATTCAATTGTTCTGCGCCTGATACGGGCAATATGGAGGTTTTGTTGCGATACGGCTCGGTAGAGCAGCAAGAGCGATGGTTGCGCCCGTTGCTCACCGGTGAAATACGATCGTGCTTCGCCATGACCGAGCCCGCAGTCGCGAGCTCGGACGCGACGAACATCGAGAGCGCCATCGCGCGCGAAGGATCAGATTACGTCTTGAACGGACGCAAATGGTGGACCTCGGGGGCGTGCGATCCGAGGTGTAAGGTTATTATTTTCATGGGCAAAACCGCAAAAGATGGATCGGGCGTGGCGAAGCATCGCCAACAGAGCATGGTGCTGTGTCCGATGGATGCCCCGGGCGTGCGCGTCGTTCGTCCGTTGACCGTTTTCGGGTACGACGATGCCCCGCACGGACACGCCGAGGTGACGTTCACCAATGTGCGCGTCGACGCCGCGGCGAGCATATTACTCGGCGAAGGGCGCGGTTTTGAAATCGCCCAGGGTCGTCTGGGTCCGGGACGATTACATCATTGCATGCGATTGATCGGCATGGGTGAGCGCGCGTTGGAACTCGCAAGCGCGAGAGCAAAATCTCGAGTCGCCTTCGGCAAACCACTCGCGGAAAACGGGGCAGTACTCCAAAGACTCGGTCAATGTCGCGTCACGCTGGACGGCGCTCGATTGCTCACGCTGCAAGCCGCGCACGAACTCGACGCGCGAGGTATCAAACTCGCTCGAGGCGCCGTGGCTGCCTGTAAAGTGGCCGCACCGGCCGCAGCGCTTTCCGTCATCGACGCCGCCATCCAAATCCACGGCGGTGCCGGCGTGAGTCAGGACACTCCTCTTGCCCGTCTCTACGCCGGCGCCCGCACCCTCCGCCTCGCCGACGGGCCGGATGAGGTGCACTTAGAAACCATAGCGAAGATGGAGATTCGCCGCTCGAAGCTTTAGTGTTGTCATCATTCGCACGAACCATTCATTCGTTCCACGGACGCGCACGATCGTCGATCGAATCTTCGTCGACGTCGTCGCTCGAGCGCGACGCCCCCAGTGCGCGACGCGCGACTGGTCATCGACGCCGTCGTCGTCGCCACCGCGCGCGATGCTCGCGCGTCGCGCGCGCCGAGCGCGAGAAATCACATCTCTGCTCGCGCGCGGCGCGCGTTCGGACGTCTTTCTCGCGAACGACGCGTCGCGCGAGGCGTCGACGTCGTCGCGTCGGTCGAAACCGTCGAACGAGACGAAACCGTCCGAGGCGAAGCGCACGCTGCTGCGCGAGCACCTCCACGACGCGCTGTACGCGCCGAACAAAGGGTACTTTACCAATGATCGCAAAACGAGCGCGCCCGTGGGGACGATGGACGAAGGCGCGATCGATTTCAAGGCGCTACGGGGACAAGATGATTACTTTGGCGAGCTCAACCGGCGATACGCGCGTTTAGGCGCGCAATGGTTGACGCCGGGAGAGATCTTCGCCCCACATTACGCCGATGCGTTGGTGCGATATGTATTAGAGACGCATCGGGGCGATTGCGGCGATGACGAGGCGTTGGAGCCGTTGCGTGTGTACGAAATCGGCGGCGGCGCGGGTACGTTTGCGAGTGGATTTTTAGACGCGGTGAAAAGAGAGGCGCCGAAAGTGTACGAAAAGATGAGGTATACGTCGATTGATATTAGTAAAAGGCTGTGTGATGACCAGCTCAACCGCGTGCGGCGTTCGGGACACGCGAATGACGTCCACGACGCGACGGTGGGCGACGCGACGAGTCTCCAAACGTGGGGCGCGACGAACGAGGAGACCTGTTTCGTCATCGCGCTCGAGGTGTTGGATAACCTACCACACGACAGGGTGTGGCGGCCTAAACGCGGTGAAGGTGAATGGATGCAAACGGAAATAGTGAGAAATTTGACGACCGGCGAGCTCGCGCAACGCGAGGCACCGCTCGCGGATGCGTTGATTCAGAGAACGTTGCAGGCGATCGATTTGACCGCAGACTTAGCCGTGGACGGTGATGGTGGCGCGTACAACCCACGCGGGTTCATGCACTCGATTCGTCGCGCGCTTACTTCTTTGGCGTCGAGCGGGGACGAAACATGGTTCGTTCCCACTGGCTCGATGCAACTCATGGAGACGTTGCACGCCAAGCGCCCGAACCATCGTTTCATCGCGGCGGATTTCGACACCCTACCAAACGTGCGCATCGAAGGCGTGAACGCGCCTCTCGTCGCAACTCAGCGCGTGGGCGGGCAAACCGACGATCACGACACATATCTCTTGCCCGAGCGACTGGCGGGATCGGCTGACGTCTTCTTTCCGACGTGCTTTGACACGTTGCGAGCGATCGACTTCGCGACGTCAAGTCAAAACACCCATCGCGCCAACGCGCGGCTGTGTACAATAGTGACGACGAAAAAGTTCATGACGGACTACGCCGACGTCGCGGCCACGGTCACCGGAAGCGGGTACAATCCGCTGCTGCAGGATTTCTCCAACACGAAATTTCTCCTGAGCGGCGCGCCGGCGCATCCCCACGACCACGATCACGACGATCACTGAGTGCGAGTTGCGCCGACGAGACGCGCGCGTTGTTTCAGCGAATATTAATTTATATTGCATCGCGTCCATCAATCCTCGTCGTACCTCTGATCGTGTCGCTTGCGCTTTTCCCGCGCGTACTTTTTCCGAATCGTATTATACAGCGCGCGTTCTCTCCCCTTGTACGCCACCATCAACTTTTCCATGTTCGCCGCCGTCGCCTTCTCCGGCGCGTACTCGGAATAAAACGCCTTTATCTTATCTCGATACATCCTCCCCTCGGGTGTCAGCGTCCCGTACGCCCGCCCAGGCGGCGGCGTGATATTAAACACGTAGTCCAAGCACACGAACGCCGTCGGCGCGACGAACAGCAACAAAAAGAAGACGTGCGTCCACGAAACGTTCGCCAGGAACCCACCCTTGGCGCCGTCGTCGCTCGCGCGCGTCGCTCGTTTCGCGCCTTCCGATCTCACCGCCGCCCCGTTCCCGCGTCGTCGTCGCACCGTCGTCGCGCCCGCGCCGCTCGCGCGACGGTCGACCTCGACGTCGGCGTCGACTCGGACGTCTTCGTCGTCGCTCGCGCTCGCGCTCGCGCTCGCGCTCGACGCGCCGCGCGCGCGCTCGACGCCCGCGGTCGCGCGCTTTTCGCGCGCCCTCGCCAGCGCGCGTCGCTCGGCGCGGTTCATGGCGACGCGCGACGCCGAGTGACGATCGACCGCACGTCGCGACGCGCGCGACCGCGACGATGGGCGACGACGGCGACGGCGACGGCGCGCCCGAGCGCGACGACGTCGAGGCGCTCGCGGACGACGTCGAGGCGCTGCGGATGACGCGCGACGACGACGGCGCGAACGACGACGACGACGACGACGACGCGGGCGACGACGGCGACGACGCGACGCGCGAGGACGGGGAGGCGACGACGGCGACGACGAAGAAGAAGAAGAAGAAGAAAAAGAAGAAGAAATCGGCGGCGGCGGTGACGTCGAATAAGGTGTACCCGAGCGGGAAGAAACAGACGAGGCCGCCGTCGACGCCCGTGCGCGAGCTGTACCCGGGGGCGAAGTATCCGGCGGGGGAGATATTGCCGCATCGCGAGCATAATCTGTGGCGCGAGACGGACGAGGAGAAGCGAGAGTTGGAGAGGTTGGAAGAGAATCTGTACAACGAGGCGCGGCAGTGCGCGGAGGTGCATCGAGAGGTGCGGCAATACATTTCCGATTGGGTGAAACCCGGGATGAAGTACATCGACGTGTGCGAGACGTTGGAAAATAGCGTGCGGAAGCTGATCGAGGAGCGCGGGCTGGAGGCTGGGGTGGCGTTTCCGACGGGTTGCTCGAAAAATCACGTCGCCGCGCATTGGACGCCGAACGGGGGGTGCGAGAGCGTGATCGATAAGGACGACGTCATCAAATTCGACTTTGGGGTTCAAGTGAAAGGACGCATCATCGACTGCGCGTTCACGAAGACGTTCAACGACATGTACGACCCGCTGTTGAAGGCGGTGAACGAGGCGACAGAAACCGGGATCAGATCGGCCGGGATCGACGTGCGGTTGTGCGATATCGGTGAGGCGGTGCAAGAAGTCATGGAGTCGCACACGGTGGAAATTCACGGCAAGGAGTACCAGGTGAAGTGCTGCAGCAACTTGAACGGGCACTCCATCGATCCGTACAGGATTCACGCCGGGAAAAGTGTCCCGATCGTGAAAGGTGGCGTTCAAACGAAGATGGAAGAGGGCGAGTATTACGCCATCGAAACCTTTGGAACCACGGGGAGAGGGTACGTGCTCGCTCGCTCGCTCGCTCGCTCGCTCGCTCGTTTCTTTTTTTCTTCGATTTCGGTGAATTTAAAACGGCGAAGACCGTCACTCGTGACACCCGTCATGGTCTTCATAGTGTCTGGAGTTTTTCCGGGCCAGCTCGTCACCGAGATCGTACATCGAACACCAAGATATCATAGTACTGCGCGCTACCTCGCCCGGCGAGACTTCCCAGTGTTCGCGCAGCCTCCATTGGTCTTGACATTCCTCGCTTGCTTCTCGACTTTCACTGACCGCGTGCGCTTACGTTTATTTCTCTCGCAGTTACGTCATCGAGGATGGCGAATGCAGTCACTACATGAAGAACTTTGACGTCGGTCACGTGCCGCTTCGTCTTCCTCGCGCCAAGCAACTCCTCGGCGTCATCGATCGAAACTTTGGCACGTTGGCGTTCTGTAAGCGATACTTAGATCGTATCGGTGAGCAGCGCTATTCAATGGCGCTAAAGAATCTGTGCGATAACGGCATCGTCCAACCTTACCCGCCACTTTGCGACATCAAGGGGTCGTACGTCGCTCAGTACGAGCACACGATTTTGTTGAAGCCGTCCTCGGGCGTCGAAGTGTTGACGAGGGGTGAGGACTATTAGGGCACGACTTTTTTCATATAGGAACGAATTTATATGAGAGTAATGTTGACTTTGATGTTTGTTATTATGACGCGAAACCTCCTAATCGAAACCCGGGATGTACAAGAGATTGACGTCGAAGACGACTGGCGAAAACGGCGGCACCTTTGGTCGACCCGGCGCGCTCGCCAACCCTTTCGGAAACGACAGCTCGCCCGGAATGTACAACCTACGAACACCACCAGACTTCATCGTCAGCAGCCCCTCGTCCATGCCCGGAATCACGGTGCAGGAATCAAAATCGCCCGAACCCACGCAGTCGACGACGCGAATATCGTTCGGCTTGCCCTTGGCCAAGCTGTTATCGAAAATTCGTCCCTTTTCATCCATGGCGATGTAATCCACGACGACCTGGAACCCAACCGGCGGTTCCATCCCGTCGCCTTCCTTGATTTCCTTGTACCTCAGCCCGCTCTTCGTCGTCTTAAACTCTTGACTCTCCAACCGCTTTTCGCACGCCGCGTCGCACAGCACCTTGACGTCGACTTCATCCGGCAGCGAATCCGCCACCGCGACCCGCGCGCTCGCCATCGCGAGCGCCATCGCGCATCCCGCGACGACCGCCGCGCACTTCTTCCCCGCGCTCGCGCTCGCCTTCGCGTTCGCCGCCTCGTCGTCGCCCGTCCGCGCCATCGCGCGTCCCCGTCGCGTCGCGCGTCCCGCGCGCGTCGCCGTGCCGCGCGTCGCGTCGCCGCGCGCGCGCGTCGCGCACCGCGTCGGCGCCACCGCGACGCCGCGCATCGTTCGCGCGCGCGTCGACGCGCGAGACCCGAGATTTCCACCGCGCTCGCGCGCGTGTGCGGCGCGACGATCGCGACGCGCGCGATAGGGCTGACGCTGACGTCGTCGACCGATCGACCGCGCGCGCGATGGGAAAGAAACGGCGAAAACGCCTCGCGAGCGATGGACGCCGCGCGAGTGATCGACGCGACCGACGCGACCGACGCGACGCGAGCGATCGACGCGAGCCGAGCGATCGACGCGACCGACGCGATCGAGCGCGAGCGCGAGGCGCGCGGTGATGGACGCGCGCGCGGGACGACGCGCGGAGGCGCACTTGGAACCGAATCGCGAGACGACGCGGGACCTGTTCGGGAAGTGCCGGGGCGAGTGCCTGCGGTGCGGCGCGGCGTGCGCGGGGGGGTACTTGAAACGCACGAATGAGTACGCGCGAGACGCGTCGAGCGCGGGGGAGACGCGAGCGCATCCGCACAACGATTTGACGCTGACGAATTGCTCGAGGTGCGGGTGCGCGAGCGCGGAGCACGCCGTGGACGAGAACGCGGATTGGCGCGAGAGAGGGAACGACGCGTTCGACGACGGTCGGTTCGAACGGGCGGTGGGGCACTACACGCGGGCGATCGAGTGCAGGGCTGGGGATGCGAAGAGTTACTCCAATCGTAGCGCGTGCTTTTTGAAGATGGGCAAGTATTCGCAGGCGCTGAGCGACGCCGAGCGCGCGGTGGACATCGACGGGCATTACGCCAAGGCGAGGACGCGCGTGGGCGCGGCGGCGTTGGCGATGGGGAACACCGATGTGGCCAAGAGATCATTCGAACTCGCGTTGAAGCTCGACCCGACGTCACAAACGGCGCGAGACGGGTTGAAAGCGTGCGAACGCTCGCGCGCGCCGCGGACGAAACCGGCGCCAACGAAACCGGCGGGACCGCCGACGGCGACGCCATCGCCCGCGCCTGCTGACTTTGAGGATACTGATTCCGTCTGTTTGACGATAAAACAGTCGATCGAGGAAGCCAAGTCGCTGTTGTCGCGTCTCGAGCGCGTGATGCGCGACATTCGCGTCGAAGTGGCGACGTGCGAACGTCTCGGGCCGGTAAAAACCGCGATTCGCAACGTCGATAGCGAAGTATCGATGAAGCATGCGGCGACGAGCACAGTTGGTGTTTCTATGCCCATGTCCAATCGTAGAGAAAAGGAGGAGGAGGAGGAGGAGGAGGAAGAGGAGGAAGAGTCATCGCTAATGTCACGATTATTGCGCGTCGTCGCCGGCGAAGATACCGACGAGCAGGACGACGACCTGCGAATGGCAGATAGTATGAACATGTTTAAAGCATTCGAGCGCGAACACGCCGACTCCGTGACGGACGCTGCTGAAGTCGAAGATGCAGATGAACTCTGGGCCGAAAGATGGGAAGAAGAGCAATTTGCACGCCAGCAACAGCGTAACGCAGAGAAGATCGTTCTCGCGGGTGCGACGAAACGGCGAGCGACGGAAGTGAAAATGATCAAGCCGCCAGGGTTAAAGGTTGATTCTCTCGCCGATTTGTTCAAGGTTAAAGAACCGTGCGGTGAGATGGGCGACGCCGACGCTGAAGGTGTGCTTCGCGGTCCGTGCAAGATTTGCGACAAAGCGTGCACGTCCTTCGCGAAATTTTCTTCATGGAAGCGCGCGCCGTTGCCGAATCACGACGCGAACAATGAAGAATACACGGCTTTGTACAATGCAGTGGTGCTCGCCCGCGATGGCACTCGATGTGCACGTTGTGGATGTGAGTCGAGTAACCATTGCAACGAAAAGGAATTTCGCAAGCGTGAGCGTCTTGAACGCATCGAAAAGACTCGCAAGGAAGATGAAGCTTGCGCTCGACGCCATCGCGTGCGACTACTAGGTGAGCGCGTGCAGATTGCGCTAGAGCGAGAGGAAACAGTTTGCGAATCGACATGCGACGCCGTCTCCGGCGCCGAACGCGTCGGCTGTCAGACGTGCACGGAGTGCCCCGGATTCAAACTCGTCTTCCCGCAGACCGAAGCAAACAATCCAGAAATCGTGTGCTTTTGCTCGATATGTGGTTGTCGCGCGTCCGATCACAGCGTATGCAAAGACTGGGCTCGCGAGAGAGAAGCGAGTCGCGCCAGGTTTGAACACGAGCAGCGCGAGCGCCAACGCGAGCGCTCGCAGCGAGTTTTTGAGATCCAACGCGAACGTAACGTGCAAGTCGAGCACTACAAAACTCTGGGCGTCGCCGTGAATGCATCAAAGCAAGAAATAGCCAAGGCGTACCGCCGAGCCGCGCTGTTGTGGCATCCCGATAAGCACACGCACAAGGCGGAGAGCGAACGAAAATCGGCGACGAGGATGTTTATCCGCGTGTCAGAGGCGTTTAAGGCGATCGGTGACCTCCCGTGATACATAACCTACGTCTAGCTAATCGTTTCTAGCACTTCTACATCGATTCGACGAATCTCTGGAACAGTTTCAACCCACCCTCGAAATTATGATCCACGTCTTCGCCGTCGCATTTACGCACGGCGTGGCAAAAGTCGATGTACCTAGCCTCCAATTTCGATTCTGGAACGCACACCGCGCCCGCGATTTCTGACGGCGCCAAGCTCCCACTTTCGTACACGACGAGCAACGATGTACCGACTAATCGATACGACAGGGCTCTGAGCGGTTCGCTTAACAACTGCTTCAAAAGCGCCGGCCAAAACCACGCGTTCCTCTCCCCGGTCGCGGGATCGCGCACGAAATTTTCCAACGTCTCCTTCGTCAGCGCCTCGCTCATGCGTATGCGTTTACATTCATCCCTCGACAACCTTTGCAGCGCACCACTCGCGTCGTACGTCTGCGCGCCGCACACCTTGAAACCGAGCGTCTCGTGCGTCGTCCCCGCCTCTGATTTCGCTCGCTTCTCCAAATACTCCGCGCTGTGCTTCCCATCCCACGTTCGAACGCCGATCTTCAGATCGATCACGCACGGTCGCGCGTATCCGAACGTCAAATTCTTCAATCTCAGGTACCCATCCACGTCTAACCCATCCCCGAACCCATCGCTCGTCCCGAACGTCTCGTTTCGTCCTCGCGTCTTGCTCGCGCGCGACGCCGGACACCTCGGTATCCGCGCGCACACGAACGCTCGCAGCGCGCGCGCGGCGTCGTTCGCGTCATCAGGCGTCTTCGGCGTCGGCACCGCGTCATCGACGCGCTCGCGCGGCACCGCGTCGTCGTCGTCGTCGTCGTCGTCGAGTTTCGCCTCTCTCGAAACGTCGGCGTAAAACGCAAACTCTACCGCGCTCCGCGCGTCGCCCGCGACGTGGGGCTTGTAAAACCACGTCCCGCACGGCGATTGTTTCGCCATGCGTCCGTGCGCGTGATTTCCCGCCACCTGCGTGTCCGCGTCGACGAGTTCGAGCGGCATCGGCGTCGGCCAGACCGGGTGTCGCGTCACAGAGTGTCGCGTCGGCGTCCATGGGCGGCGCCGGCGCGAGCGACGCGCGCGCGCGACAGTGGCCGTTCAGTGTCGTGCGCGCGAGCGACGCGGACGCGTTCGTCGACGCGCTCGGCGGCGACGCGACGCGCGTGTTGACGCGCGCGGAAGATGTGAAAAAGTACAGCGTCGACTGGATGGGGAAATACGTCGGCGCGAGCGCGGTGGTGGTGCTGCCGCGAACGACGGAAGAAGTTTCGAAAGTCATGCGTCACTGCCACGCGCGGAGGATCGCGGTGGTGCCGCAGGGAGGGAACACGGGGTTGGTGGGCGGCGGGACGCCGACGCGAGACGAAGTCGTGGTGTCGCTGGAGCGCATGCGAGATATCGTCTCCATCGACGAAGACGCGGGATGCGCGGTGTGCGAGGCGGGAGTGGTGTTAGAGGAGCTGGAGAGCGCGGTGCGCGCGCGAGGGATGACGGTGCCTCTCGATTTAGGGGCGAAAGGGAAGTGTCAAATGGGCGGGTGCGTGTCGACCAACGCGGGCGGTTTGAGATTGTTGCGATACGGCAGCTTACGGGGAAGCGTGCTCGGGTTGGAGGTCGTTTTACCGAACGGGGATGTACTGGACCTCGTTCGCACGCTGCGGAAAGACAACACGGGGTACGATTTGAAGCAACTCTTCATCGGCGCCGAAGGAACGCTCGGCGTGGTGACAAAGGTGGCGATTTCCACGCCGCGCGCGCCGCGGAGCGTAAACGTGGCTTTGTTCGGCTTGGAATCGTTCGCGAAGTGCGTTGAGATGCTCAAGCTCGCTCGAGGGCTCCTCGGGGAAATTCTGAGCGCGTACGAGTTTTTCGACCGAGAAAGTTTGGACTTGGTCTTGGCCCAACTCAGCGGCACGCGAGACCCTCTACCCGGGAAGCCGTGCGAGTTTTACGTCGTCATCGAGACCAGCGGTAGCGATGCGAAACACGATACCGCTAAACTCGACGCATTTTTGAACGTCGTCAAGAGTCAGCGCATCGTCGTCGATGGCGTCGTGGGTAGAGACGAGAAGCACGCCTTCGCGTTGTGGACTCTTCGCGAACGCATATCGGTGGCGCTCAAGTACGCGGGCGCGGTGTACAAATACGACCTTTCACTGCCGACGGCTCGCATGTACAATTTAGTCGTCGTATTGCGCGATCGTTTACGTCCGATGTTCGGATCGCGGGTGAAGGTGCTCGGATACGGGCACGCGGGAGACGGAAATTTGCATTTGAATGTGTCGTGCGCGGAATACGACGACGCCATCGAACGTGCGATTGAGCCGTTCGTGTACGAGTACACGCGCGATGAACGGGGAAGTGTCAGCGCTGAGCACGGGTTAGGGGTGATGAAGGCGGAAGAAATTCACTATAGTAAAGACGCCAAAGCCGTCGAACTCATGGCGACGATGAAACGCGCGCTCGATCCGTTCGGGATCATGAACCCGTACAAGGTCCTACCGGCCGCTGCAGTGGGTTTGAGTAAACTGTAGGTATAGGTAGTTTTCATATTTTCATATTCATTCGTCCGCGCTATGTCTCACTCTTCTCGGCGCTTCGCTTCCGCGCGCCCCGCCGCAGTTCGCGACTCGGCGGTGTGCATGGAGTTCGAGCTCTTGCACTCAACCACGACCGAGGTCTTAAAGCCGTTGCGCGACGCACTCAAAGGCTTCGTGTTATCGTCTCCATTGCTCGCGTTGTGCACCCTTTGCGCGCTACCGACGGCTTTGCTTTACCTGAGCCATCGCACCGAGCGTGATATAGCGCGCGCAAACGCCGCGCTGGAGGAACGCAAGACGCGATAAGACGTCTCAGCGAGAGAAATTCGATTCATCGTTCGATGTCGCAGTCCGCCCGCGCGTCGCCGACGGTGAAAGAGCGAAACCGACGGGACTTTGACGACATAGGCAAAGCCACCGAAGCGGCGATGGCTCGCGTTAGCAGCGCGCGATCGAGACTAGAGGCGCAGAGGAAAGCGAAATCGATGCCGAACACGCCCGTGGACGCGTTCGGCGGTGGCTTCGGCGTCGATAGTGGGACGAGGACTGGGCGGTTCAGCGGCGCCGAAGACGTCGGCGGCACTCGCCTCGACTTTTTGAAAGTGATTGATGAGGAAGAGAGAGGCACACAGAGCGAGGCGAAAGTAGAGGCGAAAGTAGAGGACGCGGTCGAAAGACTCGTCAGACAGGCGGCGGAGAAGTGTGAGAAATTAGCGATTGATGGATTGGACGTCGAAGTCGCGACTGCGTCGGCGGCGCGCGGCGAGTCCACGTCGGCGCCGGCGGCGGTGGTAAATCAGGCCCCAGCGCTCGTTCCAGCGCCGCGCGATTTGCCGAAAGCAGCGCCAGTCGTAGTCAAGTCTGCCCCGGTCAAGAGCGTAGAATTCAAACCGCCCGAATGTTACCGCAACTCGCGGAATTCTAGCGCGGCGCCTCTGGACGCACCCATCCCGGATAATCCGAACGATGCGTCGCCGGCAAACGGCGACCAGTGCGTCGTCATGTAAGCATTTCGCAATTGCTGTACTAGCTCTATTACTATATCCCAGCGATCCTAGTGGTTGATGGCTGAGCCATGCTCTACGCGCTAATCTTCTTCGACGTCGAACGATAAACCGCCGACGCGTCGACTCGTCGTCGTCGTCTCCGCGACTCGTCCCGCGTCTCGCCGCTTCTTCTTCGCGCGTCCGAACGATACATCGATCGATTTCGACTTCACCGCGACGCCGTCGGGCGATCTATCGAGCGATCTCGCGCCCGTTACTGTCTCCGAACCTTCCGCCGCGCCGTCCAGACGTCCGACCGCCCAACCGTCGACGAAGCGTAAATCTCCCTCCGGCACGACGACCGGTCCGTCGTCGTCGCCCCGTTCCCCACGAACTCCGCGCGACAGTCCCAACGTCGCTCGCCTCGCCTCTCGAAGCGCCGCCGCGCCGGCCGTCCCGCCGCTCTCGATGCGCGACATCGTCTTCCACCTGTCCTCCTCCGCGAGCGCTCTTCGTTTGCCCTTACCCAGCGCCCCGCTCGTCGCGAGCGCGGACTCGCGCGCGCGCGTCGTCTTCGTCGATCGTTTTCGCGTCGCGTCGACGCGCACGACGCATCCATCGACGACGACGACGTCGCCCGCGGCGACGCCGTCGCCATCGCCGTCGCCGTCGCCGTCGTCGTCCTTCGTCGTCGCGCGTCCGAGCGCGCGCGCCGCGGCCTCGATCTCTCGCACCGTGTGCGTCCGCCCTCGCTTCGGCGGGTTGTGCAGCGCGTCGTTGGCGTGCTTTTCGACGTGGAAGACGTTTTCGCGCGCCATGGCGTCGCCGCGCGACGTCGCGGCGTCCCGCACTGCGGCGCGATCGTCGCCTCGACGCGATGAAGGTGCGCGAGATGGCGCGAGATGGCGGACGACGTCGCGGACGACGTCGCGGACGACGCGGTCGCGGTCGCGCGCGCGACCGACGACGCGACGACGCGACGACGCGACGCGACGCGACGCTCGGCGTGACCTACGCCTCGCTCGACGACGGGACCGACGCGACGACTGACGCCGACGACGACGCGCGACGCGATAGGTTCGAACGGCGATAAAGAAACTGTGCGAGGCGTGCAGGATCGTGCGACGGCGCGGGAGGCTGTTCGTGGTGTGCACGAAGTCGCCGAAACACAAGCAAAAGCAAGGCGTGCACACGGGGGCGCGGGAGCGCGGAGGCGGAGACACCGCGACGACGTTCGCGGCGAGCGGGGAAGAAGCGTTGGCGACGACGTGCTGCGAAAGCGTGCGAGGGGGGGGGGGATTCGGCGCGCGCGGATTGGCGTTGACGGGGAACTATCGACGACACGCGGCGATGCCGTCGCTCTTGCCGAGAATCGCGCAGTTTTAGATTTTGCGACGACGGGCGCGCGGCGTGTAACAACAACGAATTCTACTAGACATACAGATATTACATGCGATGAGCGCACGGCGCGCGCGATATTACGCACGGCGCGCGCGCTCACGCCGTGAGTAAAATGTTCGTCGCGCGCTGCACGTCGTCGTTCGCCCGGCGCAACGCTCGAGCGGCGGCGGCTTCATCGAATCCCATGGACACGAGCAATTGAATGTTCTCCGCGCTCGGTTCGACGCCGACCGCGCCGTCACCACCGCGCCCTCGCGGTCGACTACTCGCGCGAACGCGGATGATTGGCCCGGGCGCGCCGAAGCCTCTGCACAGGCTCGCCACCCACTCCGGCGCCGCCAACGCGCGGTGATCGAGGCCGATGCCATCCGTGACGACGTACCCCGCGAACGTTCCTATGAGCGCCAATCTCGCGCTGACGATCCCTCGACCGAGCGCCAGGCACAGAGCGCTGAAATAGGTCAACGATTTATCGCTCAACGCGAAGCTCAGCGGGCCGACGCCCGCCGCGTACGTCGCCGTCGCCGGAATCTCCCGTCCATACATCGCCAACAGCGCGAACACCACGCCGTACGGCCCCGACACGTCGTTCCCGACCCCTCGCGCGCGCCACGCGACCCTCGACACGATCTCCATCGCGCACCGCGCCGCCAACGTCGCCCCCGCGAACCTCCGCGTGCCGCACGCCCGCTCGACCGCTCGACCGAGCTCGCTCAGCAGCGTCATCCCGATCACGAGCTCCGCGGCGCCGTGACAAAACCCCCACTCGCGTCCGACCATCGCCGCGAGCGCGCGCGCGTCGCCCCAGCGTCCTCGTCCGCGCGTCCTCGACAGCGCGCGCTCGATCACCGTCGCCGCGCGCGCGCCGTGCATCGCGCGCGCGGCGACCGACGTCGCGAGCGTCATCGCGCACATCACGCGCGCCAGCGGCGCGCCCGTGAATCGCCCGACGGCGCCCATGCCGCCGCGACGAAACCAATCCAATCCGACGCAAAGTGCGGCACGGCGCGCACACGACGACGCGCGACGACGACGAAGACGACGACGAAGACGACGACGAACGTCGAGGCGGCGGCGGCGATGCGGACGGCGACGCCGCGACGCGCGCGCGCGCTGACGACGACGCGCGCGGCGGCGACGGAAGAGACGTTTGAGTATCAAGCCGAGGTGCGCGCACGACGCGAGACGGCGCGCGAGTGGTGGCGAAGACGGAGGCGCGCGAGGGCGTCGCGCGCGCGACGGAAGAGAGCCTTCTAGAAGGCCTTCTAGAAGACGCGAGAGGGAACGGAGGGAACTTCGGCGAGACTGACGATCGCGGTGCTCGCGCGCGCGCAGGTGCACCGATTGATGGATTTGATCGTGAACTCGTTGTACAGCAATAAGGATGTGTTCTTGCGCGAGCTCGTGTCGAACGCGAGCGACGCGTGCGACAAGCTTCGATTCTCCGCGCTCTCGGACCCGAACGCCATGGGAGGGAACGAGGAGTTGAGAATTAAGATTAAGGGAGATCCCGAGGCGAAAACGCTGACGATCGAGGACACGGGGATTGGGATGAACAAAGAAGATCTCGTGTCGTCGCTCGGGACGATCGCGCGCTCGGGAACGGCCAAGTTTATGGAAATGTTGCAGAGCCGAAGCGACGGGGAAAACTTGATCGGTAAATTCGGCGTCGGCTTTTATTCGGCGTTTTTGGTGGCTGATAAAATCACCGTGTACTCCAAGGCGGCGTCGGGTGACGACGACAAGACGTGGGTGTGGGAGTCCGAGATCAACGCCAGCTCGTACACCGTGAAGGAGAGCGAAGAAGCCATCGCGCGCGGGACAAAAATCGTCTTGCACCTCAAGGAAGGATGCGAGGAATTCTCCACAGGGGAAAAGCTGTCGTCGCTCGTGAAGACGTACAGCGAGTTCATCTCTTTCCCCATCGATGTCTGGGCGAAGACGACCAAGGAAAAGGAAGTCGAAGACAAGGCTTCTACCGATGCTTTGAAGGAAGCGTGGGAGAAGAAGAAGATCGAAGCCGAGGCCAAGGGCGAGGAGTTCACCGAGCCGGAACCCAAACCCGTGAAGAAGAAGGAGTTCGAGCAAGTGGAAGAGTGGACGACGGCCAACAACGATAAGCCCATCTGGGTTCGTTCGCCCAAGGATGTCGAGCAAGAGTCGTATAACGAGTTCTTCAAATCCACGTTCAAAGAGTTCCTCGACCCGCTCGCGCACTCGCATTTCGCCGTGGAGGGCGACATCGAATTCCGCTCCATCTTGTTCATCCCAGGCATGGCGCCGTTCGAGCAACAGGACATGATGTCCAAATCGAAGGCTATTAAACTCTTCGTTCGACGCGTGTTCATCTCCGACGAGTTTGACGAGTCGTTGTTGCCGCGATACCTCACCTTCGTTCGAGGCGTCGTCGATTCTTCCGACTTGCCTCTCAACGTCTCTCGCGAAATCCTTCAAGAATCTCGCATCGTTCGCGTCATTCGCAAGCGCTTGATTCGCAAGACTTTTGACATGCTTCGTGACATCGCCGCGCGTGAAGGTGACGATTACGACACGTTCTGGGAAAACTTTGGACGTAATCTGAAGTTGGGCGTCATCGAAGACACGGACAACCGCAAGGATTTGGCTGAACTCTTGCGCTTCACCACGTCGAAGAGCGGCGACGACGGCGAGTTGCGAGGCTTGGACGACTACTTGAACGACATGCCGGAGGGCCAAAACAGCATCTATTTTGTCGCTGCAGACAACAAGGACGCCGCTGAAGCTTCTCCGTTCCTCGAAAAGCTCAAGCAAAAGGGCTTCGAAGTCTTATACTTGCTCGATCCGATTGATGAAGTCGCCATGGCCAACTTGGCGACGTTCAAGGAAAAGCCCATCGTCGACGCTTCCAAGGAAGCGCTTGATCTCGGTGATGAGGACGATGCAGACAAAGCCGCGCGCGAAGCGCTCGCGGAAGAGTACAAAGATCTCACGGACTGGATGAAGGCCACGCTCGGCGAACAAGTCGAAAAGGTTGAGGTGTCAAACCGTCTCACAGACACCCCGTGCGTCTTAGTGACTTCCAAATTCGGCTGGTCCGCGAACATGGAGCGCATCATGAAAGCCCAAGCCATGGGTGATAACCGCGCGCAAGATTACATGAAGGGCAAGAAGACGATGGAAATCAACCCCGCTTCTCCCGTCATCGCTCAGTTGAAAAAGATGAAGGAATCCGGCGTCGCCGAAGCCGCAGACAACTGCCAACTCTTGTTCGACACCGCTTTGCTGACGTCTGGTTTCTCCATCGAGAAGCCATCTGTTTTCGCGAGTCGGGTCTTCAAGCTCATGACCGCGCAAGCCGCCGCTGCAGCGTCTGGAGACGACACAGTCACCCCTGAAATCGTCTGACAGAGCGCCGTTGTTTTTCCGTTCGTCGAAGACGTTCTAGATAGCAGCGCGCGGTTTTCGATTTGACTCGCACATTCAAACACACGAACGTGATTTAATTAATTTCTCTTCAAATACGTACTATTACAATCTCCGACGCTCCCTCGCGGACGCGACTCGGTCTGCGGTCTACTTCATCACGACGTCTTGGTTCTCCATGCTCGCCTTCTTCGCCGCATCATCTATCGCGTTTCTCGCCGCGCGCCGTTCGTTCCGCAGCGCGTGCCTCGCCGCTTTCCCCGTCCGCGCTTTACCGCTCACGCGCTTCTTCATCGCGTCGTGTTTGGCTTTCGTCCCTCGTTTCAATTTCAGCGCCTTCGAGTTTTTGCTGTCGCGCGCCTTCAAGGTTTTCTTCTTCTTGTTTTGCCATCCCGGAGCGACCATGACGCGCGCGCGATCGCCGCGAACGCGTCCTTCGCGCGCGTTTCTCGCGTCTCGATGTCGCGCGCGACGCTCGGGACCGCGAGACGCGCGAGAGTGCGGCGAGAGCGGCGAAGGGCGCCGGCGGCTGGTGACCTATGATTTGCTATGACCAATACTATCGGCGTTCGTCCGCGGCTCACGCGCGCACGACGCCGTTGATGCGCTTAACTTTATCGTCCACCCAGGTTTTGATTGTCCCGAAGTGCAACGTCGAGACGCCGACGGCGGCGCCGGCGAAGACGGCGTACCTAACGCCGACGGCGTGCGAGACGAGTTTCGTCGCGCCGGTGCGCACGGCGATGCTCTGTAACGCCGAGCACGACTCACATTGAGGATAGAAACGCTGCAAAGGCACGCCGCGAATGAAGTTGAACACGCGTCTGGTCGTGGACGCGCCTCGATTCGCCGCCGCGCGCGCCCCGCTACCGAACGCGGTCTTGTTCGGCGGCATGTGGTCGCCGATGACCTTGCCTTTCGAGCTTCCGCAGTGATGACAGCCAAATTTTTTAAACCACTTTTGCAGCGTTTTTTTCTGTCCTTCGCTCGCGTAATCGCTGCCACGCGCGGCGATACTCTTGTACGCGTTCGCGCCCACGCGAGAGACGTCGCTCGGTAAAATCCTTCCCAAATTGCCTCGACTCAGCGCCATAAACGTCGCGAGCCCGACGCCGACGTCTCGCGCGACTTCGTCCTCGTCCACCCCCATCGCCGCGTTCCAACTCGACCGTCGCCGAGATTTCGAGCATCTTTTGCCTCGCCGACTTTTATCATCGCTATATAAATTCACCGTCTCTCTCGCCGCGTGTCCGCTCGCCGCCGCGCTCGCGCTCGCGCACGCCGCGCTCAGCGCGCCGCCGAGCGCGCCGCCGTAACACCCGACGTTTAAAATCAGCCCGATCCTCTGCGTCGCGATCGCGGACAGCGCGAACGTCACCGATGACGACACCGTCGCCATCACCGTGTCTCGCATCGCGTTCGCCGCGTCATCGCGCGGCGCAGTCATCGGCTTTCGCGCGCGCTGCAAATTTGCAAATTTTTAAACGCGCGCGACGGCGCGTTCGAGCGCGTCTCTCGCGCCGTACCGCGCGCGCGCACGATTCGCGCGCGCGCGTCGCGTCGACGCTCGACGCGTCGCGTCGCGTTCGCGCGTTCGCGCGCGCGCGTCGACGTGTAGCGCCGCGCGACGCGTGGTCGTCGCCCGACGCCGCAGAGCGACGCGCGTCATGGGGAGCGCGGCGTCGACGCCGACGCGCGGCGACGACGAGGGCGATCAATGGGAGACGCTCGACGCGACGGACGACGCGGCGGACGCGCGCGAACGCGCGAACGACAACGACCGAGGTGGCAGACATCATCGTGCGCGACGCGCGGAAGATGCGACGACGACGACGACGACGACGACGACGTCGGCGACGAGACGCGAACGAGAGGGAGGCCGATCGACGACGCGCGCGACGACGCGCGCGTCCACGGCGTCGGTGAGCGGGACGTACGGGGAACTCCGACGGAGTCTAAAGGCGATGTGCGAGACGCGAGACGCGACGCCGGAGATTACGGATGTGTTTTGGTACGAGATAGGGAACGCGGTGAGTGAACCGATGACGTCGGTGAGCGAGAGGACGCTAGATGAAATACTGCGGCCGTATGGACGGGCGTTGTTCGTGAATAACGCGCGAAATGGTGGGTTGTATAAGTTGGCGAAACACGCGGCGAGGCAACTGAGCGTGGCGAGCGGAAACGCGCGCTCGACGCCGGTGAGCGCGATAAACGTCACCTTGTTGGTGTCGATATTCATCAAGTATTTCATCGAATTCGCGAGTGAGGGTGATGGCGGATTTGGTGGCGTCGCCGCGCTCGGGGGTGGGCGCAGCGAGCGAGTGCGCGCGCTCGCCGCTACGTTTGCGCGAGACGAGCGCTGGGAAACCGGCGGAGGACCGAACGCGTCTTTGGAGAACACTTCGCCGTTTGACGACTTACTGCGAGCGTGTGTAGATGTTCTATGCGGCAAACACGTCACAGCGCAGGCGATGGCGTTGCATGTTGCGTGCGCGCGGCTTTTGCTCGTCGCGACGTCGTCGCAACTCACGTTCAATCTCGACGACGCCGAGGCGAGAGAAATCGGGCATCCACTCGCTCGCAGGATCGCGGCGATCGGTTCAAGCGACAGCAGGCGCACGGGCGTGCTGATGTGCGCGCTGTTGCGTCGCGTCATCGAGCGACCACCAAACATCGGTGATATTTACGAAGGCGCGGTCAACAGAGAGAACGCCGAAGCTAATGGAATCACGCGCGGCATGGCGAGCGTGCTAAGTTCGATGCTTTCCATGCGCAGTAAGCCGAACAAAGACGTCACCGATAATACGGGGTCTCACGTCGTCATCAAGTGCGCGCACACTTCTCGATCTCCTCTCGCGGACGAGTGCGCAAATTTATTCCTGGCGTTGTGTACGCACGGCGCTTTCGGCAACCGCGACGAGAATCCGTTTCGCATTGCGGTAAAAAATATGAAGGACATCTCGTCGCGTTCGTCCGTGGCGTCGAACAAAAGACCCTCGGAGTTGGTGGACTTTGAGCGGCTCGCTGTTGCTCTGAGCGCATCCTTGTGTACCGACGTCGGCTTGTTGCTTTCGTACGTGACGCTATCCACAAACTCACGGTTCGTTTCACATTTGAGCTCGAGTGCGGCGACGTCGAGGTTTGTACAAGGGCTACTCAAAGAGCTGTACGAAGCGGAATCAAACAAACTTGCACACGTGTCGCAGTTGATTGTCACGATATTTTTGATCCTGTCTCAGGACGTGCGGTTCAACAGGATGATGCAGACGGAGACGATCGCGTCGTCAAATTGGTACAAGGAACGCATCCTACAAAACAGTTCGCTCGCAAGTTTAATAGTTGTCGTCCTTTCACGCACGATAAAGTACAACGTCGCAAAAACTGCCACAGTTTCAAAAATGTTGAACGCACTCGGCAGCATCGCCAACATGGCATGCGTCACGCGCGACATTTCTGGTTACGCGGCGCAACGCCTGGTGAATACTCTGGCGTTGTTCACGCGCAGGTACTTCAAAATCACTCGCGAAAATGCTTTGTCTAGCGATGGTTTACGCGAGCCCTTTTCCGACGCGGACGTGTGCGAGGACTTTATTCGGGTCATTTTCGAGATACTAAACTGTCTCGCCACCGATCTCGATTCACTCGAACACAACCCGGAGATTGTCTACGCGCTCATGCACCGCGAAGAATTGCTCACGACGTATCGAACGCACGAGGTGTTCGCGGAGTACGTGCAAAACATTGAGACCGTGCTGCAGCATTACAAAGACGCCGTCGAATCGGCACAGAATCGTGAGACTGATAGCCCGATTTCCGTCAGACGTCTCAAGCGCGTGATTTCGGAGACGTCGTTGACGCCGAGTCCGCAAAAGCGAAACCAAAACGCGTGCGATCGCGATTGTTCCGTGCATGATTTCCACCCCATGCGTTTCGCGTACGTCGAAGACGAAGTGAACGCGCCGTACTTTTTAATACCGTACGTGTGGGGCGTCGTGCACGCGCAAAGCGGCGTGTTTTGGAATCGCTCCGCCATCGCGCTTTTTGCCGCCGACGCAGACGCCGACGCGTCGTTGCATTCGAGCATGTCAGAGGACGGTCCATCATCGGCCGTCGTGTAGCATCATAGCCAGCCTCGAATAGTTAGAAGAAGATTGATTCATCATCGCGTCGCGCTCGTCGCGTCACTCGTCGACTCCTGGAAAGCGCTCCATGCTGCACCACGCCATCGTCATCGTCGCCGCGGCCGGGCGCGGCGGTCGCGCGCCTCGCCCCGGCCGAGGTGGACGTTCGAATCGAAGCGACGCGCCCGATTGGGCCAAGCCGCCCGCGGAAGGACGACAAAAACGCGCGTCGACGTCGAAGCCGCCGCCTAACGGTGGCGGCGGTCGCGGTGAAAGAACGAACGACGGCGCGCGCGCGGCGTCGTCGAAGGCGACGACGAGCAAAGGTGAACCGTCGCGCGAGCGCGCCGTGCGCGCTTCCGATGATTTGCGAGCGGTATCAGCGAATGCGTCGACGAAAAATTTTGACGACGGTGGACGCGGGACGACGACGTTATTTGACGACGGCGGACGCGGGACGACGCTCGAGGAGTGCCTGCGATACGAGCGAGAGGGGCACACGTGCATACGAGGCGCGGTGGACGCTATGGAAATGATACCTATGGTGAAGGCGCTGAGCGGCGAGATTATGTCGCGACGCATGGAGGCGTACCGACATCGAGTGTCGGTGCTGTGCCCGCAAGTCGACGCTCGCGAGTTGCGAGACGTGGAAGACGCGAAGCGCGCGCTGAAGAAGCACTCGCAGGAGGACGTGGGATTTTTACAAACGTTCAATCTGCACAGAGAGCAAACTAGCGCGGCGCGTGAGTACATAATGAGCAAGCGATTTGCAAAAATCGCCGCCGAACTCATGGGGTGCGAAAGAGCTCGAATTTACCAATCGTGCATTTTCGTAAAAGAGCCGGGCATGGCTGAAACGAACTGGCACTCGGATTTAAATATGGTACCACTCGACACGAACGACTTCGTCACACTTTGGATTCCACTGAGGTCGCTCGAAGAGGATGACGCCGCGTTGCACTTTGCGAACCGTTCGCATCGAGATTTTTCACTTCCGTATTGGCGCACTTTGGAAGGCATGGAAGATCTCGAAGGGCGGTACGAAATTGACACGTACGACGAGCTCGATTTAGGTGACCTTACCGCACACCACGGGTGGTGCCTTCACTGGAGCCCACCGCAACCGGAAGATTGCGTCCCTCGATACGCGCTCAGCGTGTGCTACTTCGCCGACGGCGCTCGACGATTGGACACGGATCAGCTCCGCCGCGTGCCGCACGACGAAGACGCGTGGTCTTACGATAGCTGGCTCAAAGATATTAAACCCGGGGCCGTGGCGAAGCATCCAGAGTTACCGATAGTTTGGCCTTAGTGAGTGGGCGTTGTTAATATAATATTCAATCTACTGCAAGTCGGCTAAGATGGCGCGTTCCTCCGGAGTCAGCCCGTCGTCTGGGTCCTCTTCCTTGTCCGCGTTGTACCAGTTGCCGTCGTAGTCCACAGGCAAGGGCGGATTGAGCCTGTGATTTGAAAAGAAAGGTGTCAATTGGCGTGCGTGAAACTTCGGCGCGGATTTCTCTTACCAAAAGTCACCGGGAGTCGTCAACTGGTGAAACTTGACGCGCTCGTCGCCTTCGTCGCCCAAGCAATCGAACACAGCGTCGGCGCGAGAGAAATCCTCGTCTTCGCTGTAAATGCTCTTCGTCACGCAGCACCGCATACCCGCCGCCTTGGCCGCGGTGCATCCAATGTGGGTGTCTTCCACGACGACGCATCGCGCCGGATCGACGCCGAGCGTCTTCGCCGCCAAGTTGTAAATATCTGGGCTCGGCTTCTTCTTCGGCACGACGTCCCCCGCGAACACGGGCATACGATCGGCATATTCAGGCAGCATCGTGTTCACGATCCCTTGCACCGCCTTTTCGTTCGACGTCGAGCACACCGCCACCTTGGCGCCGTGTTCCAACGCCTCCGCGACCATTCTCTTCACACCCGGTCGCAACGGCAGCGCGCCCTCGTTCACGAGCTCCAAGAACATTTCCGTTTTTCTCAGGTGTAGCTTTTTCACCAACTCCTTCCGCGCCTCTGGGTCGGTGACGCTCTTCCACGGCTCCGCGTCCGGGACGCCGTCAAAGTAGTGCGTCATGCGCTCCTTCCCGCCCCCAATCTTCAGCAGCTCCCCGTACAGCGCCACGTCCCACTCGTGATCGAGCCCGAACTCTTTGAACGTTTTATTAAACGTCACCCGGTGCCCATCGCGCTCGGTCTCGCACAGCACGCCGTCGCAGTCGAACAGCAGCGCCTCGGGGTAGTCAAAGTTTCGCAGCGCCCGCGTCGGCGTCGCGCGTCGCGCGCGCGTCGTTCGCGATCCGATCGCGCGCGATCCAATCGCGCGCGATCCAATCGCGCGCGTCGACGCGCGCTGCGCAGACGCGGCAGGGCGCGCTCGCGGTCGCATCATCGCGTCGCGCTCTCCCGTCGAGGGTCCCTCTGCGCGTTATCCGCTGGCGAGCCGACGGCGCGCGCGACGCGCGAGTGCGCGACGCCGCGCGCGGATGTCGAGCGCGGCGACGGCGCGGAGCGCGCGCGCGCCGTCGACGAACGCGCGCGCGGCGAGACGTCGGCGCGCGACGCGCGCGACGGCGAGCGCGAAGGACGCGCGCGACGCGTGGACGCGCGCGCGAACGGCGTGGCGACGAGCGACGCGCGGCGAGAAAGGCGACGACGACGGACGAGCGACGATGGGAGGAACGACGTTCGAGGCGCGCGAGGACGCGACGGCGACGTGGCGCGAGCTGGAGGCGGCGGCGGAGGGGAGACGCGAGACGACGGACGCGGAGCGCGCGGACGCGCGCGCGGAAACGCGGACGTTCGACGCGGAGGGAACGCCGAGGTTGAAATTGTATCGCGACAGCGCGTCGTGGTGCCCGTATTCTCAAAAGATTTGGATGCAGCTGGAGGAGAAGCGGATCCCGTACGCGCTCGAACGCATCAACATGCGCTGTTACGGCGCGAAGCCGCGCAGTTTTACGGCCAAGGTGCCGTCCGGGGCGCTGCCAGTGATTGAACTCGACGGTCAGACGATCACGGAATCGAGCGTGATCGCGCAAGTGATCGAACAGGAGTTTACCGAGCACAAGAGCTTGCTACCGTACGCCCCGGGGAGCGCCGAAGGTTCTCGAGCGACGAAGCTCATGCGACTGGAACGAACGCTCTTTTCGAGATGGATGCAATGGATCACGAGTTCGTGGTCGGACGCCACGGCGCAAAGCGAGTACTGTCAAGTTTTGGACGAGGTTGACGCAGAGCTCGCGGCGAACGGTGGAGGGGCGTACTTTATGGGAGAAGAGTTCACCCTCGTCGACATCGCGTTCGCGCCGTTTCTCGAACGCATGGCGGCGAGCATCTTGTACTACAAGGGCGTGAAGATTGAAGGAAACGGCGGTCGATGGCCGAACGTCGACAGATGGTTCGCCGCGATATCGCAACGCAAATCGTACGCGGGCATCAAGAGTGATTACTACACCACCGCGCACGATTTGCCGCCGCAGCTGGGAGGATGCGCCGAAAACGGCGACAACGCCGAAGCACGCGACGCCATCGACGGCGTCGATGGCGTCAATTGGCGTTTGCCTCTCGGACCATTGGACGAAAACAGTTTAGAACCTTGGTGGGGCGTCGATGATCCTCGCGCAGCTCGCGTCGAGGCTGCCCTGCGCGTCATCGGCAATCGCGAAAACGTCGTTCGATTCGCCGCGCGCGGTTGCGGCGAAGCGGGCCAGCCCGCTTACTCGGCGCCGTTGTCCGACCCGAACGCTCGACCCGGGGAACAGCACATACCTGCTGTCGACGAAGCGCTTCGAATCGTCGTGCACGCGATGCTTGACCATGATTTCGACGCGGCCGCACCCGCGCCCGTCGCGGTGAGCGGCGCCTCGTCCTTTTCCGCGGCTCCGACCATCGCGTCGTTGGCTTACCTGCGAGACCGAATCGGTGTCCCACGAGACATGAGCTACCCAGCAGCGCGTCAATTCAGAGCCTACTTGAACTGGGCGATCGATAGCCTAGCCGCGCTTTAATTTTAACGCGCACATACGCAAACATTTTCTAGAAAGAATTCGATGCCTTCTCGCGGTCAAGCGTTACTATTTCGCGAGATCGCGCGATGGTCAACGGCGGCGAAATTGGGGTGAAAGCATTACATATTCGGACGCTTCGGGCGCGTTTCGTTTGTGAAAATCACTCCCGTGTTGAGGAGAAAGTCTGCGACGCCGCGAAGTAGGATCATGTCTTCGTTGGGATAGTACTTACCACCTCCGCGCCCTTTCGCCTTTTCTGGTCGAGAAGACGGCAAGAACGAAAAAGCGGCGGAGAATTCCCGAGGCCCCGCACGAATGGGAGCGTCAAAGTGGCACGGGACGATGCGATTAAAGTCCCACTTCGCGACGCGTCTCGCCCACTCGTTGACAGGCTCGGGAACGTTCTCGTACACCAGCGTACCTACAACCGGGGCGACGATCAAACGATTCGTAATATCGCGCCAACTTTTCTCTGGGGAGAGCAAGTCATTCGGGCCAAAGTACAACGCCTGCAACGCGTTTCGCTGCCAACCCAAACGCAGTAATTCCAATCGACTCATGTCCTTAGACGTCGTCGTGCGACTCAGGGCCTTGGTCTTTATGTCGAACAAGTTCAAAAACTTCAACGCGCTGATTGTGAAGTTATCGTCGTCCCCGCTCTCTTCTAAATCTCTATCTGGAATGCAGTCGGGGATGTTCTCGCTCACGTACACCACGGCGTCCGTAACGAGCAGCGTCTTTGATGGCTTGTGCAAAAACGCCGCTTCGATAAACGAGACGTACGACGCAACGCCGAGAGCGGGCGGTGATAAGAGCTCGTACTCAAACTCGTCGTCCCACGGCGGACGATCTTGTCCTAAAGTTCCGGTCTTGTTGATGCCGAAAAACTGCGGGGGTAAATTTATCGGCCAACTCCACTGCTGTGGGACGATCCAGCACTGCGCCTTCGGGTACTTGCGCTGAAACGGCCCGACGAAAATTTTGTGCTCGAACAAAGTCGTGGGCAAAACCACGTGCTCAACGGGGGCGTCGAGCTCGTCCAACAGCGCGACCATCTCCGCCGTCGGCGCCACCGGCGCGTGCACCCACAACCCGCCGGTTTTCAATTTGATCACAGTCATTCGCACGTTTACGCTCACATTCAACCCCAACCCGATCCCTTGCTTTTGCTCGAAAAACCACATCCGTCCCGGGTCGACCTCGTACCTGTACGTCTGCCGCGCGAACGCCGGTACGAGTGGAAACAGCGGCGGCGGCGCAATGAGATACCGCCTTCCCTTGCTCTCGTCTGATTCTCCCGTCCCTCGCGTCATCGCCGTTCGGCTACTTCGGTCGGCTTGCGCGTTACTGTTACCGCCGCGCGCGCCACCGCCGAGTCGTCCTCGCAACGCCGCCGCGGCGCCCAACGCGGCGCCCGCCAGTCCCAACGCGGCGCCCGCCGTCGTCGGCGACGTTGGCAACGCTTCCAGCGTCTCCGGCATCACCGCCCGCGCGCGCGACGATCGTCGTCGCGCCCCGATGTATCTCGCTTGACGCACCGCGTTCCCATCGCTCGTCGTCGCCGCTCCGCGCACGAACGTTGACGTGGACGCGCGCGCCGGTAAAGTCATCCGCGCCGTCGCCGACTCACGACGTCTCGATGTCGTCGATCTATCGCGCGGTCTTTTCGCACTCACGCCGTCAGTCGCGCAGTGTCGCTCTATCCAAAAGGAGGAGGAAGCGAGAGGAGAAAACGCTCGCCGGCGATATCAAACGTACCGGTTGCGGACTGGTTGCATTAGATTACATTTCAATTGTACATCGTCCTGTTCGTTTTCATCCCCATTGCCGTTGGTTGGGCGGAGGAAACGGCGGCGGCATCGGCGCACGTAATGGAGGCAACGGCGGCGGACCGCCGGGCATCCCGCGCTGAGAGTTTGTCGGCATCGGTGGTGCGTTGCCGAATCCCACCACCATTTCGCTCATTTGCGCCGGCGCCATTTGCGACATGAACGGTGGTGCCATTTGCGCCCGCTCCACGCCGAATCGAGTAGCCCTTTGCTGCGGTTGCGCAAACTCTAGCAAGGATACACCACCGTCGTCCGACATACCGAGCGCGGACATATCCTGCTGCAAATTCGCCCATGACTCAGCACTCATCAAGCCCTCGTTCGCTTTGGAAACGTCGTCGTCCTTCGACTCTCCCTTGAAGCCGTACTTCTTGCCGAAGCGATAAATTTCCAAAAGCTCTGATTCAAACTCGCCTCGAGCTTGCAGATCGAGATACTTCTCGTAAAGCTTCACCGCAGTACGCGCGTCTTCGATGGAGTCGTGTGTTTCACCTTGAATGTCTTCGCCGAGCAAGTACGTCGCCAGAAACTTGAGCGATAACTTGCGCTGGCGCTTGAAATGGAAAAGTTCTACGGTGTCGATGACTTGCTCGGGAGGGACGACGATGTTAATCATCTTGAAATCCTGTTTCAAGCCATGCCCAACGAAAATGCATCCGGCGTCGATCAAATAACGAAGTTTCAGGTACGCGTGCTTCAGCTGCGTGATGAAATGCCGACTCGTCGCTGGATCCAAATCGCCTGGTACCAAACCACTGAATCGCGTCAAGTAATCGTGCACGGGCTCGACCGCGCGAATGTAGTCGTCGATTATAGGCGTCAACTTTTTATCCCCGTGACCGCGCACGACTGAAACACGCGCCAATCCAAGCCGTGCGGGCACCGATTCATACTCGGTGCCGTCGTCGCGAGTGGACATGATCGGCGGCGCGAGCGAGACAAACTCGGCGTCGATGCCGAGCAAGACTCCCGGACCGGGCGTATCTTCGCCGACGCACGAGAACGGCACAAACGGCATCCCTCGAGGAACAGACATATCCAGTGTAATTTTCCTGTACAGCTCAAAGGTTATCGGCGACGGCGGTAGCGGTAGCGGCGCGGGCTTCTCAACCTTTGTGTACATGCAAAGGCATGGAACTTTCAGCTGTCCGTACAGTTGTGTGACTTCGTCCCTGGAAACTTGACTGACCACGAAGTCGTTAAACAGCAACCACTCGTTGGGCGTGCCTGGAGCCGACGTACGAGCCGTCGCTGGTGTACTGGGACTCGTCGTCGGCGCGGCGGGCGGCAGGCTAGTCGCATCTGTCGCGCTCGTTTTCACCGTGACATCCGACTTGTTGAGTGGCGAAACGCCCGGCGTGCTTCCAGGCTTTCTTGGCGACGCCGTGAAGTCGCCCGCGACGTCTACGTACGGTGGCTTTACCTTGATGAAGCTCACCAGATGACCGGAAATATCGGAAGTCTTGGTCTGCCGTAAATCAGAACCCTTTTTGATTTCGTCGTCGATGTTTCGACTAAACACGACGAGTCCGGTGAGCTCGTACACTTCAGAGTTCCCCACGTCTTGGAACTGCGACTGATCCAGCGCATGTTTAGCTTCGAGTGTCTTCTTATCTACATCCAGCACGACTTGAATGAAATGCGGTAGCCATCGTTCTTCAACCTTGCCACCGAACGCGTCCATCGTCGGAGGTGCGAGCGTGTCTACGCCCCACCAGTGCAAATCCTTCAAGTCAGCCATGCCGAGATTCACGGACAGCACGGTCGGCAGCGACAGAGGCAAGCGGTTTTGCTTCATGCGCGTATATGCCTTGTGTCCTTCGCACCACGCGCGCATTTCTTGCGAAACGGCGAGTGACTTGCTCAGCAAATCCACGAACGCCGGCCGTTGACCGTCTCTCGTCGAAGGGTACTGCAAATCCACTTGAAAGTTTCGTATTTCCTTTGATGCGGTCACCGCGCATTGCGTGCATTTGAGCGTCTCTTTTGAAATCGTTCCAAAAATTGACTCACAAGCTGTGGGACCCGTCGGGGCGATATCGCCGAGCGCTTGCCGTCTCGACAATTCTTCCTTGTTCAATTGCTCTAAAATAAATCGCAAAAACGCCTGCACGCGGCGAATGGGAGAATGCTCGGCGCGAGCTTCAAGCTCATCGTGACCTTCGATTAAACCAAGTGCCGCTGCTTCGCGCACCTGGCGAAGCGTGCGCAAAAAGTTAAGAGGCTGCGTCGCGAGTCCTGGCGGGCAGGCGCTCAGCATGTGCGACAAAAAGCTCATTTCGCACGTCAAACAAAACTCCCGTTCGCACGTGTGTCCGACAACCTTCGAACGCAACTCCGGCACGAAATTCAACATCTGTAGCACCGGGTTAACGTAGCAATTCGCCAAGTCGTTCGTCAACCCCGGCAATCGCGTCTTATTATACGCTGAAAAGTCAAACTCCTCATAACGCCTCTCTGCCGTCATTGCCGAGCGATTGCACTCCACCCGCGCGTACATTTCTGGCAAGCCCTTCTTCTTCGTCTCGATCACTTTGGCGCCGTGCAAACTGGAATTCGACTTGTATTCAGCCTTGGCGGGGTTCACCTCTTCCGCGGTGAGACCACACGCTAATAACTCCTCGGGAAGCTCGAAACGTTGCTGCGACAGCACGACCTCGTCCACCGGCGCCGTAGGAAACGACTCGTTGTTCACGTACGGTTCCTCGTTCGAGCTGTATATGTGCACCCAACCTGAATCATCGTTGAACGCAACCATCTCACCGGTCGAACACACACTTTGACCGACTATGGAAGCACCATGCGTGTCGATTTGATAGTTGAACGGGGCCACCGCAGGATTCGTCACATCGAGCGTTCGCACGGCGCCGGTGGCGCCAGCTATGCTCAGCGTCGGAGACTCGTAGCCGTGATTAAATTCCACCGACACTGGACCTGCGGGAAATTGTATCTGATTCACTAATCTCGCGTTGAACCTCACGTCAAACACCTTAATGAACTGGTCCAACACCACTTGTCCAGCCCTGAGCGTCGTGCCGCACGTCACGACAAGATCTCCCTTCGCCGTGACGCACTTGACGGTGCCGGACCCGTGTGCCGTGGCTACTAGCTCTTGACGCATGCTATTTCGCGCGTCGCGAAAACTAAGCTCACCATTTACCTGTCCGACGACGAGCAACGAGCGCTGGGTCCCCCAATCCATGGTCTCGCAGCCTTGACTCGTCTCGGCGGATTTCAACAACACGCCTCTCGTCATGTCGTACTGTTCGATGACTGGCGTCGCGCGCCCGACGAACAGCTTACCCGCGATTCGCCCGTTTGGATGTTGATACGCCATCGCTTTCAACGCGTTTCTTTCGCCGTCGCACTGCGCGCATCGCAGCGTTTCCACTCCCCCACTCGTGTGAAACGTCACGCTCGACGCGCTCAGGCTCAGCGCTCCGCTCGCCAACGGCACGACTTGCGTGATGGCGTGCGCGTGCGCTTCGACGGAGACGTGTCGACCGAGCGTCGGAGCGTACATGGCGGTCAACCATCCGTCTTCGGTGCCGCAATACAGTAACTCTTCGCCGAGATCGAACGCGATCGAGGTAATTCTCGGTGGCAGATGACCTTCGTCCAAGAGCTCGGGTTGCAGCGTCGTGCTCGCGTCGAACGCGAACGCGGGAAGCAGCGCGACGGGACCGGGGGCGTGAGGCGCGACGACGCCCGAGCCGTAAGCATGATCGTGCGCGGCGCCCGCGTGGGCGTAGTGCACGGCACCACCGCCGGGATAGAACGCCCGCCCGTTGGGGTCCATGGCGCGAGGCGCGAGATGAGGCGGTCGTTGATTTTCGCATCCAGAGCGGCGCGCGCGGAGCGCCAAGAAGTCAAACGCGAGTGGGACGTGGGTTAATGCATTTCCATTCGTTACAATTTAGAAGTAGACGAGATGATGACGTCGTCGAGGAGGTGAAGAAAACGAACCTAAATCAACTAAGCTCTCGAGAGCGCGCGCGCAAAATCGTGAAGCAATTCGCGACAATTTTCCGCGTTTACGCGCCGCACATGACGCAATCGTCCTTGTTCGTCAAGCTGCATTGGAGCTTGGCGGCGAGGTAGGCTTCCTTCTCTTCCTCCGACATCTTATCAAGGTCAGCCTTGGTCGGCTTGCGCGGCGACGCCGGCGCTTCGTTTTCCTTGTCAACCTTGGTCACCTGCTTTTGCTTGACGTCGACGGTGAACTTGATGGCGTCCGCGGCCGCGCGAGATCTGAGGTAGTACATACCGGTCTTCAAACCCTTCTTCCACGCGTAGAAGTGCAACGACGTGAGCTTACCGCTGTTAGGATCGCTCATGTGCACGTTGAAAGACTGCGACTGGTCGATGAAGGCGCCGCGGTCCGCCGCCATGTCGACGAGGATGCGTTGTTTGATTTCCCAAACCGTCTTGTAAATGGCCTTGAGGTTCTCCGGAATTTCCAAATCAGCGACTGAACCATTGTTGGCGATCAAGGAGTTCTTCAATTCGGGATCCCACAAGCCAAGCTCGGTCAAATCCGAAAGCAAGTGCTGGTTTACGACGGTAAACTCGCCGGACAACACCCGTCGCGCGTAGATGTTCGACGTGTACGGTTCGAAGCACTCGTTGTTGCCGAGAATTTGAGAAGTAGACGCGGTCGGCATCGGGGCAACGAGCAGCGAGTTGCGAACACCGTGTTGCGCGATCGCCGCACGCAGGCCAGCCCAGTCGTGACGGTCACCGCCCGGCATTTGCGTCAAACCCCACATGTCGGGTTGCAAGATGCCCTTTGAAACCGGACTCCCTTCGTACGTCGTATAGGGACCTTCGACGACGGCAAGCGCGTTGGATTCCGTGAGCGCAGCGAAGTAGATCGTTTCGAAGATTTCAGCGTTGAGCTTTTGCGCTTCCGGAGAGTCGAAAGCCAAGCCAAGAAGGATGAAGACATCCGCCAAACCTTGCACACCGAGACCAATGGGGCGATGACGCATGTTCGAGCGCTTCGCCGTCTCCACCGGGTAGTAGTTGACGTCGATGATGCGGTTCAGATTGCGCGTAACCTTTCGCGTGATTTCGAACAACTTATCGTGGTCGAAATAACGTTCCTTCGCCTTCAGAGAACCGACGAGCTTCTTCACCTCCGTGCGACCAGTGGGCGAAGACGGGTTGTTCTCGATAACGAATCGTGGGAGCGCGATGGAAGCCAAGTTGCAGACCGCCGTTTCCTCCGGGCTCGTGAACTCCACAATCTCGGTGCACAGGTTGGAAGACTTGATCGTGCCGAGGTTTTGTTGGTTGGACTTGCGGTTGCACGCATCCTTGAAGAGCATGTACGGGTTACCAGTTTCCACCTGAGACTCGAGAATCGCGAACCACAACTGTTGCGCCTTGATGGTTTTCTTGCCCTTGCCTTCGGCTTCGTACTTTTGGTAGAGGGTTTCGAATTCCTCACCCCAGCAATCGGCCAAGCCCGGGCACTCATTCGGGCACATCAACGTCCAATCGCCGTTCGCCTCGACGCGCTTCATGAACAAGTCGTTCGTCCACAACCCATAGAAGAGATCGCGAGCGCGCGCTTCTTCTTTGCCGTGATTCTTGCGAAGGTCAAGCCAGTCGAAGATGTCCGCGTGCCACGGTTCGATGTAGATGGCGAAAGCACCCTTGCGCTTGCCGCCACCTTGGTCGACGTAACGCGCCGTGTCGTTGAACACACGCAACATCGGGATGATGCCGTTGGACGTACCGTTCGTGCCGCGAATATAAGAGCTCGTGGCGCGAATGTCGTGAATGGACAAACCAATGCCGCCAGCGGACTTGGAGATGCACGCGCACTCCTTCAAGGTATCGTAGATACCTTCGATGGAGTCTTCTTTCATGGCAATCAAGAAGCAAGACGAAAGCTGCGGGCGCGGCGTACCAGCGTTGAACAGCGTCGGCGACGCGTGCGTCATCCAGCGTTCGCTGAGCATGTGATACGTGTCGACGGCCTTTTCAATATCCTCCTTGTGGATGCCTATCGACACGCGCATGAGCAAGTGCTGCGGGCGTTCGACCACCTTACCATCGATTCGCAACAAATACGAGCGCTCAAGAGTCTTGTAACCGAAGTAATCGTACTCGAAGTCGCGATCGTACACAATCTCCGCGTCGAGACGTTCGGCGTTCGCCTTGATGATTTCGTACACGTCGTCCGCGAGCAACGGTGACCACTTGCCGTTGCGCTCATTCACGTGCTCGTACATTTGCGTCATTGTCTCGCTGAATGACTTCTTCGTCGTCTTGTGCAAGTTAGACACGGCGATGCGAGCCGCGAGTTGCGCGTAATCCGGGTGCTTGGAAGTCATCGACGCCGCGGTTTCCGCCGCGAGCTCATCCAACTCCTTCGTCGTGACGCCGGCAAACACGCCCATGCACACCTTTTGCGCGACGATCACCTACGGCGAAAAAGCGATGAAGCGATCGGTCAGTGTGTGTTTTTCGTTCACGAGCGCGCGTTCGCGATGTTACATCGCGTTCGCGCGCCGTCGACGCGTTTCCCCACGCGGTGTCAATTCAAAAATTCCATCAGAGGCCAATTTGAATTTTTTGAATTTTGCACCTGTCGAACTCGCGACGTCGCGAAGAGGCGAGATCGAGGTGATGCATGCGCGGCGCGTGCGCCGCGCGAGCGAACAACGGGCGTCGACGAACAATGGACGCGTGCAAGATGTTTTCGTGCACCGCTTCCGAGCGCCGAATCACCGTTTCAACGCTCGCGCGAGACACGTCCGCGCCGATTCGTTGAGCCGGCCATCATTCAACGATTCAAACGAACCCGTCGTAGTAATCGCATCGAGCGCGCGTCGTCGACGCACCGGATCGCAGAACTCTTGGGACAAGCCATAGGCGAGCTTTTTAATGCGCGCCGTGATCTTGTCGAACGCCACGGGTTCTTCGCGACCGTCGCGCTTGACGACGTAAAGGCCTCCCATCGTTCTCGCGGAGTCGATTTCTGACGCCACGCGACGCAGCCGGGGTGGCTCGAGAGGGCGCCGTTTGTCCGACTTTTTCAGCCGAGCGGCGCGCGCGCGAAAATGATGAAGATTTTTACAAGAGAACGGGCTGCTTTCGCAACGGCGCGCGATCGCGGCGTCAGAAATCACGCGATGTTGACACGCTCAGACCGCGCCGTCGTTCATGGGGAAGTACATGCGCTCGGCGATGAATGCGTTCATGTCGCCCGGTCGCGGATAGAGCTTGGCCACGCCGACGTCGTACGCGTGATTCGCCACGGCCACGGCGACTTGACGAGAGATGTCACGGATTATAGAAACAGAAGGATAAATGGTGCCAGAGCGAACGTCCTCATCGGGGACAATAGCGGCGAGCGCGCGCGCGGCACAAAGAAAGAAGGAATCCGGAACGTATTCTGCTTGAATGCTCACGGCGGCGAAGCCGACGCCGGGAAAGATGAACATATTGTTCCCTTGACCAGGCGTGTACGTCTTACCATCGATCACGACTGGATCGAACGGCGATCCCGCAGCAAATAAGCACTTTCCCTTGGACCAAGTGTACGCGTCAAGCGCGGTGATTTCCGCCTTACTTGTCGGGTTGGAGAGCGGAAACACGATGGGCTTGCCGATGTGGTCGCACAGCATTTCGATGTGTTCCCGCGTAAACACAGGACCAAAACCAGACAACCCAAACAATGCATGCGGCTTTACGCGTTGAATCAGAGCGCCCAAGTCGTCGCAAGGTTCGACACCGACTTGCGCGAACTGCTTCTTTTGATCCGAGAGTCCTGCGAAATCCTCGCGTTGGTCAGTGATTAAACCTTTAGAGTCCATTAGATAAATCGACTGCCGCGCGTCCTCCTCGCTCAACCCCTCGCTCATCAGTAGCTGTATGATCTGCGTCGACACTCCGATGGCCGACGAACCCGCGCCGAAAAATATTATTCGCGCGTCTTTTGTCGGCGTTCCTTGCGCTCGAAGCGCGTTGATGAGGCCTGCTAAAATGGTCGCCCCGGTTCCTTGTATGTCGTCATTGAAGCATAAAACCTTATGGCGCATGTGATCGAGAATCCTAAACGCGTCTTCAGTTTTGAAATCCTCAAACTGAATCAGACAATTCGGCCATTTATCTTTTACGGCGAGACAAAATTCTGTCACCACGGCGAGATGCGCGTCACCCGTAAGGCGGGGTTCATCCGCACCCAGATAGAAGTCGTGCGCGCGCAGAGCGACGTTGCTTGTGCCCAAATCCAAGCAAACCGGCATCGACTTCGCCGGATCGAAGCCTCCACTCGCAACGTAGAGACTCACTTTTCCAACCGAGATGGCCATCCCATTTGTGCCCAAATCGCCGAGACCGAGCACTCGGCCTCCATCCGTGACGACGATGATTTCGGTCTCGGGAGAAGGCCAATTATCAAGCATCCGTCGCATCACGCCGGAATCTAACCGACTAAAATACATTCCGCAGCGATTACGGTAGAGTGCGTCAAAGTTGATGCACGCCTCGCCGACGGTGGGCGTGTACACGATCGGCATCAAGTCTTCGAGATGTTCCACGAGTACGCGATAGAACAACCGCTCGTTCTGCATGTGCAAATTTTCGAGAAAGATATACCTGTTCATATCTTCCTCGAACGCGCACAACTGCGTCCACGCGCGTTTCACCTGAATCTCGACGGTTTCGTACTTGCGCGGAAGCAAACCGCGCAAGCCCAGACGCTCACGCTGCGTAAATGTGAATCCCGTGCCTTTATTCAGTGACGGTGAGTCCAACACCGCCGTACCGCGCACGTTATCTATATTGTCCATCGCTCCCTTACTCGCCTCGCGCAGAATCCTGATGAAACGTCGATTCGGTCGGGCGCAATCGTTAGATGCCGTTGACGACGAGAGCACGCGTTTGAACGGATGTACGGCGCGTCCAGGCGTACGAAACCAGTGGGGTGTCTGTTTTTTTGTTTCGTATGGTACTCGTCGCCGCCGCGCGAGGTGCGTACGAGCAGACACCGTTCGCGCGCTCGAATGATGTTCCACGGTCTGCCGAGTCAGCATCGGGCAAGAGTTGGCTCGTCAATTTTGCTGTTTGTTTGAAAGAATTACACGCGTCTCGATGCTATGAACGCGCGCGTGCTAAGCTAGCTAACTATTATCTCGTGAGAATGTGTTGTCCACCGCAGCCTCCACGGTCTCGCTCGCCAGCCCGCTGTGTCTGGCCGACCGCGGCGATTCGCCGAGCTCTTCGCGTTGAGCCCCTCTCGCGCTTGCGCTCGCACCCGTCAAGAGAGATGTGGTCTCATCAAGGTGCTCGTCCTCTCGTTTCGCGAGCAAGATGGGCGCGATGACCTTTTCTGCGATGTCGTTCATGTATCTAAAAAAGCTTCCCAGGCTTCTGTTGCGCCTCAGCTTGTTCGGTTCGTCTTGCTGTGCGGGCGCTTCTGTCGTCGGTTCGAGAAGCGAATCGACGACCCAACGTGTCATACCACCCTGGATGACTATCGTGAACGCCACGATGAAGAGTGTCACATCAAACATGACGTGGCCTTGTTCACCAAGATCACGCTGCGCCTTGACGGCGAGCGCAAAGGCGACGGCTCCTCTCAATCCGCAAAACCACAAGAGATACTGCGTATTCGGTGTAATTGGCGACTTCTTCCTCGCCGACGACATGTTCAGTAACAGAGATCCGGGGAATATGTTCACAGCGCGTCCAACATAGCATGCAACCAGTCCCACTATCGCAGTGACTACGTGCTCGACACGGAACGAGTACATCGCGCTCCCCATGTATACAAACACGAACGTCTCCGAAAGGAAGCTGAAAATTTTGAAAATGCACATCGTCACCATGCGCGGTGCTCGCGCGAGGTTTGGACGCGTGTAGCGACCCATAATGATGCCCGTGAATAGAACGGATACGATTCCGCTCAGCTCAAAAGATTCAGCGAGCGAATAACTCAGGTACGGGAACAAAAGCACGAGCGTCGAGTCGACGGCCCATCCTTCCTCGAAATAGCTCGTCGTGCTGACGTATTTGTGCAGCAAGGCGGAGAAACACCCGATACCAACACCAACGGCAGTCGCTTGCCCAAAAGCGAGCATGAATGTGCCGATTGCTTGTAAAATGAGCGGGGTGAAAGCGTCATCAGTTTGTAACATCTCGAGCGCCGTCACATCGCCGGCGTTGCCGATGCCAAGCAGGAGCGACTCAAAATACACAATGGTGACGGCGTCATTCAGAATACTCTCGCCCAATATCATGGCGTGCACGTCAGGGGATATCGGTGATTCGCTGAAAATGCTAAGCGTCGTGACTGGATCGGTTGAGCTAATCAGCGCTCCAAACAACATGGCGCTCTTCAACGAAAACTCATAACTCCAGCCCAGTAAGCCCGCCACGTACATCAACACGCCGGTCGATATCGCGCTCGTGAGCGATCCTACGAAAGCAAACATTGAGATCGCGTCGGCATTTTGAAAAAACGTCGTCGGATGCAACGTGTAACCGGCTTCAAAAATCAAAGGCGGAAGGAGCACTAAGAAGAAGAACTTTGTATCGAACCGCATGCACTGGGCGAAGGCCTTGATGGTGTAGCGCATGTTTTCGGGCATTGTCTCATAAGATAGCTCCAAGCCAAGGAACACAAAGCATCCAACGGCGATACCGAGTAGAAGAGCGGCACCGCTCGAGTTCAACCATCGAGATTTGTAGTGCTTCAACATCACGCCCAACATCACCGTCAGCAACACGATGCCGATCATCACCGTCATGGTTAGCGCCGCCACGCGCTCATCCGTCGCTTCTTCCTGCATCGTATGAGGGGCGTCGCTTGCCCCAGTTGCGAACGCGAGTAACTCATTCTCCGCATCCGCTGCATTTGAGTTCACGTCCAACCCCGCTTTTAGCGCTACGTCTTCCACGATGCGGTACATCTGCTCGTTCATAGCGTCGGAGCAGTGCTCGCCGATGCAGTTGGCGACGTCGTTTTGCTGACCATCGTTCGCAGCCACATCTTCCTCGTCCTCGCCTTCTTCCTCGTCGTCTTCTTCTTCTTGGTCCTCTTCCTCGTCGTCTTCGTCCTCCTCCTCCTCCTCCTCCTCCTCCTCCTCCTCCTCCTCCTCCTCCTCTGTCGCATCACCGGCTTTGTCTTCGCCCTCGGCTTCGTCGTCGTACGTGGAATCGTCCATCTCCTTTCCGTCCCCAATCGCATCAACCGCGGGTGGTGGTGATGCGACTTCACCCGCGGACTTCGGCCCATCCACGGGCGCGCTCGCCGTCGCATTGCTCGATTCAACCGCAGTCTTGGGCTCAACACCCAGCGCCGGGTCCGTACCGCCTCGCCGCGCACCGCTCGTCGACGCGCGCTGCCCACGCTCCGATCGTTCGGCGGCGACTGCGTTCGACGTTTGTCGCCGATTTGGGACGGACGCCATCGCCCGTGAACACCGCGCGACGCGTTCTGACGCGCGAGCGCTCGGATCGCGCGTTTAGTGTTCGGCTTCTCGCGACGCGAACGCGCCAGACGAGCCGCGAGCCATCGCGCGACGGCTAAAACACGCGCGAACGCGAAACGCAGGCAATCGCATCAACTATTCATCTTGTTTTCTGTTATATCGTTATATCGTACAATCACAAAGACGCGGCGCGTCACAACGTCACAACTTCTTTTCCAACGCGAACCCGTCGGCGAGATGGTCGGCGAGCGCCTGACGCATCCAATCGTGCTTACATCGTCTCCACGCCTCGTCCGGGGAGAGCCAATACCTCGTTCGCTCGCCTTCCTCAGGCCACGTCTCGTACTCGCACTTCACCTCCATGGTGAACACGTGCGCCACGCACTTGGCCTCGTCTCCGGCGCATCCAGCCTTGACCCTCGACCTCGACACGAATTCGTACGTCTTTTCCGAAGCGCTCAGCGTCCCCGCGACACCGCCTTCTTCCATGCTCTCGCGCGCCGCGGCCTCGGATGCGGTCTCATCGAGTTCCCATCCACCCTTTGGAAAGATCAAATCCCTTCCATCCACTCTCGCGCCTTTCTTCGAGTTGAGCATGAGGACTTCGACGCCGTCCTCGCGCGCGCGCGCGAACGCGTCCGCGTCGGCGGAATCTTCCACGCGAACCTTCGTCGCGGGTCGATGACATATGCATCCAGCCACCAATCGTTGATTCACCGCGTTGTATCGCTGATTATCTCTTCCCGTGCGCGCCGCCATCGTCGACGCGCGCCTCGAGCGGGCTCGAAAACGCTCGCCGCGTCGTCGTCACCGCGATCGTCGCTCGAGGCTCGGCCGGCCCGCGCGCGCCGCGGGTCTGGGCCTGGTTCGGATCCCGTCGTCCACGGCCCGCGCCCCGGCCGTCGGTCGCCGCCGCCGTCGCGCGGTCCGGTCGTCCGCCGACGCGCCGTGGACGCCGCGCGCCGCGGAGTGGGTCGCGGCGACCGCGCCGCCCGGCGTCGTCGGTCGGCGTCGTCGGTCGGCGCGCGTCGCGGGCGTCGATCTCGAGTCGACGGACGCACGGCGCGGCGCCGCGCGCGCGCGATTTCGCCCGCCGCGCGCGTCGCGCGGGCGGACGGACGGACGGACGGACGACCGACGTCACTTCGAGGCGACGTCGAGGCGACGGTCGAGACGATGACGACGGGCGCGCCGGCGACGGCGACGGGCGCGAGATGCGCGAGATGCGCGAGATGCGCGACGCGCGCGTCGACGTCGTACGGCGCGACTCGACGCGCGCGCGCGACGACGACGCGGGCGACGACGACGACGACGACGACGACGCGAGGGACGACGACGACGACGACGCGCGCGGCGATTCGCGACTCTCTCTCGCGCGCGCGCGCGAACGAGGGCGCCTGGCGCGGGGGGACGCGCGCGAGGCGCGCGATGACCGCGACGCGGGCGCAGCGACAGTCGAAGGCGACGGAGGAGGCGACGACGACGACGACGACGCTCGCGGAGTCGTCGCCGGCGAGGCGGAAACAACGCCTGACTCCGAAGGAGGCGCTGCGATTGGCGCTGGCGGATTTGGACGCCAGCGGGTGGTGGGCGGTGATCTCGAGTGGGATCGTGTTCGGGACGTTCTTGTTGGAGACGTATAACGTGTCGAGTTTGGGTGGCTGGGATATCCTGTACCGCGAGGACATTCCCTGGTACACGGGCATCATCTCGATGGATTCGCTGACGTCCATCGAGGATGCGTACAACTTGTTGTTTTTATTCGAACTTTGCCTGCGCGCGTACGCGGCAGATTTCAGCTTGAAGTTTTGGACGAAACCGGTGACGGTCGTCGACGTGGCGAGCACGGTGCCACCGCTTTTGGCCATCGTCGACGTTCTCGATCGGAGCACGCCTTTTTATCGCTTTTTGAGATTACTTCGAGTGTTACGTTTGTTGCGTTTGTTAGACCGATCCACGGATTCGGTGTTGTTTGGATTAGTGAAGAGTGACAGCATGGGCGTGCAGCTTATCGGTATCGGTGCGGAGTTTGTGTGCATCTTCGTCATCGCCGCAGGCGTTGTCTACGATTTGGAAGTCGGCACGAACCCGATGGTGCACAACTTGAACGATACGTTGTATTGGGCCATCCTAACGCTCACGGGGATCGGTCAGCCGTTCGAAGTCGTCACTGCGGGAGGACGCGTGGCGACGGTGATATCTATCATCGTCGCTTTAATCGTCGTCCCGGGTCAGCTCGCCAAGCTCGCCGCGATAAGTGGCGCGGAGAATTTGCGCAAGATGATGGACGAGGACGAGGAGGAGGACGAAAACGGCTTCATTAGGATGTCAGGCACCTTTGACGAGTTGGACGAATCGATCTCGAGAAGAGGACTGTTCGATGATCGCGACTGCCCGCAATGCGGCTTGAGCATGCACGAGACAGACGCTCGTTTTTGTCGTCGCTGCGCGGCTCGTTTGCCCGAATCCGCTCCGACGACAGCCGTCTATCGGCGGTCAGATCGACCTAAGCAAGTGCGCATGATGCCCGAGGCTCAACTGCCGGGAATGCGCTTAGGCATAGACACCACGAACTCGGTATCTCGATCTATGAACGAAATTCAGAGGCAGCAGCGCCGCCGCCGCGACTGATTGATTATTTTTACACGCGCGTTGTTTATTCTTCTTTAATGTCACCTAAACCACTTTGCCGCTATCTACGTCTACGTTCGCCACGACTCGCGTCGCCACCGTCTGCGTCGCGCTTCACTTTGCTTTTCTCGCCCCCCGCGTCGACGACGAGCGACATCGCGTACGCGGCGGCGCCCGCGACGACCACCGTGCTCCACGCGTAGCCCTGCCAACGTCCCCACTTCTTCATCGCGTGTCGCCACAGCGCCGGGAGCGAGTGATTGGACGACGTCGACGCGCTCGTCATCGTCGTCCTCGCGCGTCGCTCGCGCGTCGTCTCCACCGTCGGTCGATGCGATTCGCCAAGTCAACGCCCGCCGCGCGTTCTGGCGTCGCCCCGGTCGGCATTGCGCTGCGCATCGCATCGTTCATGTCGTCCGACGATGGCTCGGCGACGCGCGCGACGAGCGAGTGCTTGACCGTGTGCGAAGACGCGGTGCGGAGGATGTCGTTCGACGCCGGCGAAGTGCGCGCGCTGTCCGGGTCGACGACGACGCCGCCGCGCACGAGCGAAGACGACGGGACGCGGCGAAGCAAATCGCCGCGACCGCCCGTCGCGCCGAAACGAGCGACGCCGCTCGCGGGATTGAGCTCGGCGCTGACGACGATGCTTGAGGCGGTGTCGCCGAAAGCGGGCGACGACGAGGACGAGGTCGGACGCGCGATGTTTGGGAGCGGCGCGAGCGGACACGCGAGGAAGCGAAGCTCTGACGCGAGTTTCGAGTCGACGACGACGAGCGAGGGTGAGGGAATCAGCGCGTTACCATCGCCAGGGTTCGTTGCAGCTCGAGGGCTAGGGGGGAAGTCGGCGTCGTTGGCTTCGTTTTTACCGGCGTCCTCGTTGTCGCCACCGACCGTGCATCGGTTCACGAGCGCGCTCATAGAAGAAACGTCGCCGCAAGCGCGATCAAACTTCGTAGTGACACCGGGGTCGGCGGAAAACACCGAAACGAGTACGGTCATGGGGAAGCAAACCAGTACAAGCGCGCCGGAGGAGCGCAGTGCGACAGCCAAGTACGCCGGCGGTTTTCCGCAAACATTCGGCGATTTCAAGGATCAGTTTGTTACCGCGGAAAATCCTACGCCGCAGAGTATACCGCCGCCAAAATACGGTGATCAGGGAATTATTGGTGAAAAACACGTGTTGATTATGGTAGGGTTGCCGGCGCGAGGTAAAACGCACATGGCGAAGCGACTGTGTCAGTATTTACGATTTTTCCACGGTGCGAACACACGCGTGTTCAACGTCGGTGAATATCGTCGTCGAGATGCGGGCGTCGGTCAAACGGCCGATTACTTTACCAAAGAGAATGAAGAGCAGCGAATGAAGTTTGCGCGAGCAGCACTGAAGGATATGATTGACTTCCTGTTCCAGGAAGATAGCATGAGCTTTCTCGAGCAGCGCGGCGTCGACAGCGGACGCGTCGCAATCTTTGACGCGACGAATAGCACGCGAGAGCGTCGTAGATGGTTGATCGAGCAAATCGGTACGCTACCACTGAAAGTGCTTTTCATAGAGTCGATATGTACCGACGAAGCGGTGGTGGAAAAGAACGTTCGGATGGCAAAAATCAACAACTGCGATTACTCCGGCGTCATGACAGAGGAACAAGCGTTCAAAGACTTCATGCAGCGCGTTCGCAACTACGAAAAAGAGTACGAGCCCATGGGCAGCGACGATGAGGTAGATTTAAGCTTCATAAAACTCATAGATTGCGGAAGGCGAGTCGAATTCAATCGAGTCCACGGGTTCTTGCTCGGCCGCGTGGCGCAGTTTCTTTCGAACATGCACGCGACAACGTGTTCGATTTATTTGTCGCGACACGGGCAGAGCGAGTATAATTCGCACGGTAAAATCGGTGGTGACTCTGGACTCACTCCGATGGGCGAGGCGTACGCGCAGAAACTCGCAGAGTTCGCCGACCGAGTGATTACCCGTGATCCAGAGAACGGCGAAGCACGACCGGTGAGGCTTTGGACGTCGTCTTTGCAGCGCACCAAGCTCACTGCGCGTCATCTCAAGCACGACAAAGTGAAAACAGGCGGTGGTAAAGATTGGATCCAAATGGCTCCGCGCGTGCTGAGAAATCTCGACGAGATTTACGCCGGCGTCTGCGACGGTATGACGTACGAAGAAATTCGCGCCGCATATCCACGCGAATACGAGCTGAGACGACAGAATAAGCTCTCGTACCGCTATCCGCGCGGTGAGAGCTACTTGGACGTCATCGCACGCCTGGACCCTCTGGTGCAAGAGCTCGAGAGTTATCGCGAGGACGTGCTCATCGTCGGGCATCAAGGCGTGTTGCGTTTAATTTACGCCTACTTTGCCGGGCTCGATCGCGACGAGGCCGCGACGCTTTCGATTCCTCTGAACACAGTCATTAAGCTCACCCCTCGCACGCACGACTGCATCGAGGAGCGTGTCTTGCTGCACGATCCCAGCGAAAACCAAGAACCGATCGATCCACCTAGCTACTAACGCGCCTTTTCAAACATCCAACACACCGCAGAAGTTTCAAGTTCTGCCTATGAGCAAAGTCGGCGCGTGAATCCGCGCGTAGACTCCCGCCTTGAGAAGCGCCTCGCGGCGAGTCGAGTTATTTTCCACGACTCGCTCGTCAAACCACGACTCGAAATCCGCCGCCTCACCTCGTACCTTATTCGCAAGCACGAGATCAAATGCCAACATCGAGCATTCCTTGACGTCGGTGCAGTCGCATCGATGCGCTCGTTCGCGCGCACGCGCGGCGCTCACAAAAGGGTAGTGTAGGATGGCACTTTCGGACGTCGTCACTTCTTTGCCACCGCCTTTTGTTTTAAATCGATGCGCACCGTTAGGTCGAAGTCCTGGAGAGGACACTCGACACGCAGACTTACCGTTCGCGTACGCTAGAAAGAAGTTTGGATTATCGCGTCGCGCACTCTGCGCGAATCGAGCGTACGTCGCCGTGTCGATGTGCAAGTGATTCCTTTTGAATAAAGTCACACTTTTGAATGTATTTGGCTCGTTAAGCTCGTATGATGGGCGTTCAGGTACCGCTTCGTAGTTCGGGAACACCACGCGGTCGATGTGTGGACTTTGACGCGCAAGCACGTCTCGTAAGTCGAGCGTCGACGAACCCGCGGGGTACACCAACTCGTCGACGTCAACGTGCAACAGCCATTCGATGCCATCTTTCTTCGCTCGCGCGATAGCCAATTCAAGATTGAGTGTTTGGCGCACGAAAAGCGCGTTCGCACCGCACGTAGAGTTTCCCGAGGCGTAGGGCGCCAACCACTTCGCGAATCGCGAAGGCGAGTTCTTTTGGTTTTCATCCGCTGTTTTCCGGCTAAAAACGTACACGTCGGGCGACCATCGACCTGCTGTCGTCCCCATTCCCTCTTCGAAAATGTAGAAGCGCGTCACGCCGATGGCTCGATGGTATTCCAGCCAGTCCGTCAGTTGCCTCGACGACGACGCGCACGTCGACGCCACCGCGACGCCACCGCGTGACGGTCGCCGCGGCGCGCTGGAAAGAACGACAGTGGCGACGACGACGATGACGAACGTGAGTGCGATCAGTCTATTGTGACTCACACCTTTTCGGCGCACCTGGTACATACTTGCGCGTCATCTTGTGAACCATGGTCGCGTCGTGACACGAAACGTCGCCCCTTGGGTTGTCAAACTGTCAAAAGCTGACGTGGCGGTTTCCCGATTAATTGTAATTGTAATTGCACGGTGCCGTGCGACGACACTTCACGACGCCGGCCGCGTCGATCAAAACCCGTTCGGAAAATAAATGTTCACTGCTTCGCACACCACCTCCAAGGTCACGCTGCGCGCGCGCGTCGCAACGCAACCACGGCGAGTTTCCCGCGCGAATCGTCATTCTCGAAGTAGAAACGCGGCTGTCGGCATCGACGACATCACCGGTCCGATCAACGACACTATCAAGGAGGTGCAGTCGATCGGTGGCGCGAAGGATGTCGTTCAGCGTTTGGGTCTCTACGGAGCTCCGCTCGTGTTCAGCGCGAGCGCGCTGCAGGCACTGCACTTCGGCGGCGCCGGTAACGCAGCCGCGATGAAAGCTGCTGGATTGGCTGGGCCCGCGGGACCGCTCGCGCCGCTCGCCGCCATCATGCTCTTCTCCGCCGCGTCTCCATACATCAACTTTTTGATGGCATCTGCTGGCGTATTTAAGATTGGCGATGAGATTCCCCGGCTTTACTGCGGTGTTCTCTACGTCGTCGCCGCGATCGGCATTTGGCACTTCGGTTCGGCCGGCGCCACCGATATCTGGACGCGCCACTGGACCGTGTGGCATCTCGCGCTCGGGGCGCATCTGCTGACCGCGACGAACAAGATTCGCAACGTTCTTGGTTCTTCCATGTGCGACGGTATTCGTAAGGTGGCAACCGTCGGCCCGGCCATGCTCATGGCTGCGCTCATCTGCCAAAACTCGACGTGGACGGCGTGGCAGGCAGCCTCGAGCGGACCAAACGGCCCTCTCGCCGTTCTACTCATCCACCCGCTGCACAAGTACGTCTCTCTCGGTGCTTGCTTCGCCTACCTCACCGGCGCCGAAACGAAGTTTTCGAGCGTCTTCATCGCCTTTACGTACTTCATCGCCGCGGCGTCGTTCATGCCACCGCTCGTCGCGCCGCTCTGCTATATTGGCATCTTGATGAACTTGCACAATGGTATGGCGCTCTGGAGGGAAACGACCCCGAAGGATTCACTTATCCCAGCGCTGTGAGCGTCACAAATACAAGCAACACAAGACCACACAATCTCAAGAAAAAATTGTAATACAACATTCGCTACGCTTTGCGAAACGACGCCTGCTCGCCGAAAATGCTCGCTCGAGCCGAGACCGATCCCGTAACGTATGGCTCTTCGATGAACACTGCTTCCTTCTTCTGCGCGTCCTCAAAGGTAGCAGCCATAGCCGCTACGATGGGCGAAGAAGCGTCTACGGCGCGCGTTTTTTGCGGCGGCGCTCCCATCTCGCGAGGCTTGGGCGCTTGCGAATACGATACCCTGTTTGGCTGCTTTGAAATTTGATGCACGATCTTCGCAGCCGGCTCGCGCTTCGTACTTTCGCCGACGTCAACATCCGAATCGTTAGAATCGCTTTCTTCATCTACGGATCGGTTTCGTCGCGCGATCGCTGCGGCCCACGCGTCGTTTGCGTCTATTTCCTCAGGAGTCACGGCGACGTTCGGAACCGATGTCGTCGCGGGAGGGTTGCTCTTTTGCGGCGACGCTCGAACAACGGGTGCGCACGCCTTTACATGCGCTGCGGCCTCGTCCGTGCTTATAGCCTGTTTCTTGAAACCCGCATCCTTTTCTTTAAACACATTTGACGAGACCGGAACTGTCGGCGGTACTTCAACCGTCGCCTCGTGGCGCGGCTTAACGACTTGTGCTGCAGCCGCCCCAACGGTCGTCGGTGCTTCAATCGCCGTCTCAACGACCTCATCCGGAACAATGGTACGCACATCCTTCATATTTGCATTCAAAACTCGCTCGGCGTCGTCCGCGCTCACACCAGTCAAACGCTCAAGCTCTGCGAGCTGCCTTCGCAAAGTCTCCATCTCGTCGGAAGTACCGTACGATGTCGCTGGCTTTGGGGCGACGTGAGCATCGTTTGTGTCGTTCGCAGGAGCTTCCTCGAATCGCACTTCACGCTCGAAACTCTCGTGATCGTCCAGAAACTCTTCTTCGAAAACAGACACTCGCGTTTGTCGCGGGATTACCGTCGGCTGCTCCTCGTTGGCAGGCGTCGGCTGCTCGCGCTTCTCTACAGTCGACGGCGGCGCCACGCGTTGCTGATACTGCGGTAGCCGCGGTTGCTGCAGATGCGCCGGTGGCGCTCGCTGCGATGGCTGATGCTGCGTGTGAGTGCTTGGTTCGCGCATTCTCTCGCGTTCATACGCTTCTTGCGCCATCTGGGGCGTCCGGTAGCTCGTCACGCGTTGAGTTTGTTCAGGCGCGTACGCGACGGCGCCGCTGAAACCGAACGCCACCGGTCCGGACGGCTGTGGATCATCAGGATGCGGTAACTGAGGCGCCCGCAGTTGTACGCGCTCGTGTTGGTCGAATTCATCGTCCAAACCTAGCCAAGTGAGCCAACTTTCGTCCTTATTCATGGCGTTCATCGTCGGAAGAATTTCACCGGGCATCACGAATGCCGCCGCGTACGCGGGATTACCGCCCCCCCCGTGAGGCGCGAGCATGAGAAGCTCGCACTCGTAGTCACCGACCCGAACCTTGCGTCCCGGCGAAAGACCGACGACGTGCGCGGCGTGCGCCAACCTCGCACCGTCCGGATGCGTGTGCAACAGCATGAGATTGTGTCGCTGCGGGATCGTCAACAGACCCTCCGCGGACGCCGATCGCGACGCGCCGTCGCGGACGCGGGCGTACGACACGACCCAGCACTGCGCTTTCGTCGGCATGTCGCGCGGAGAACGACGCGTCGATGCGAAGTGACGGCGGGAGATTGAGTGGCTGGGACGCCCGCACTCGCGCGCGCGATGTCGCTTTATCGCGTCACCGTCGACGACGTGCGCGCCGAGCTGATAAAGCTCGGTCACGACGGCGAGAGTGTAAGCGATCGCACGATCGCTCGATATCTCTCGCGACGGCGACGCGCGCGCGGGGACGATGCAACCGAAGATTCGAAGAAGTCGTTAGCCGACGATTTCGACGCGCGCGACGACGACGACGACGACGTTGATTGGGACGCGAAAGATCGAGGACGCGGTCGACGAAGCGAAAAAGTATGTCGTCGTTTTTGTTCGTCCACCGCGCGGCCTCCGTGGGACGGGGACGCGTTCCAAGTCGCCCCTAGCGCGCCGACGTCGTCTGCGCGAATCGACGCGTTGCCGAGGAGAGACGGGGGTGGCGTCGCGAAAAACGCCGCCGTGGAAGGTCGAGCGAGCAGCGGCCGAATAGACGTGGTGGCGGTGAATGGCATGTATAGAAAGCAGTGGGCGGCATCGCCGGCGGTCGTGCGAGGCGTGAAGCAACGTCTCGTCGGGTTCGCGCAATACTTTCGCGCGCAGCACGAACGAGAGCGAAGAAAGCGCGAGACGCTGTTGCAGGGCCGTCGGAGATATCAAGCGTAGCAGATTGTTTTACAAGATGATGTCGGTCATCCTTCTCTCGTGAGTCCTCTCGCCGCGCACCGCACCGCCGCCGTCTGCGGTTCGACACCACTCCTCTTCCAAAACGGACCCCTTCACTTTTTGGAATCGCCGGATCCAAGGGGTCACGGTCCGGTCACTTACTATATCTCCGAGTCGCCGCCGGCGGCCATCGCGCATTCGTACGTCTACACTACCGATTCTTCTGACGAGAACGCCAAAGCCAAAGCCAGGGACGCGCTCGCGTCGCGATCGATGACGCCGCTTCGAGTGGTTTCTACATCGAAGGCGTCGACACATCGCGCGAAGGAATGTTTGAACGTACTCGCAGATGGATCGAGAGCGAGAGCGCCGTACGCGGTTGCGCCGACGATGACGCCGAGCGCCGCCGCCGCGGATCTGTAATCTCCAGAGCCGTCGGAGTGTTGCTGCGCCTTGATCGCACGCACCGCATCTTCCGCCACGTAGTTGAAAACATCCACCGCGCCACGACCACCGCCGCCTCCCATCCCACCTTCGATTATCCCAGGGGCGTGTCGACGGTCGACGCGTCTCGCTAAAATTTCGCGCGCGCGAGTCAATCGATTCTTTGGATGTCTAATCTCGCGCATGAACGCGCGCTTGGCTTCATCGAGTTCGAGTCGAGCCTTGCCCGTGCACTTCCACGCCTCCGCATAGGCATCCTCGAGCTGCACGCGAATCTTAACGTGCCTCCGGCTCGCACCATCGCTGGACTCGCACGCGTCGAGAAGACTCGACAGCGCCTCGAGCACGTCGCGCGCGGCGGAGGAAACCTCATTCATCCCGCAATCCTCGGCGCCTGCGCTCGTCGAAGGCGCTAAGGACGCGCGCGAAACGCTGCATCGCTTCATCTTCCCTTGGCTCGGCGCCTCGTTGCCGTCGCCGCCGGCGTCGCTGGGCGCCACGAGCGCAGCGCGCTCGCTCCCCAAGCACGACGCATCCACCATCTTTGCAAACCACGCGCTTCGATCGCCCTCCGTGGGCGCGACGTCCACCACAAGTCTATACAGGAGTGCATTTTGCGCCAATTCTCCCGCGCGTTTCCGCGCTTCTCCGCCAAGTGCGCCGTGACACTCAGCGGCGAACACGCGCGCGTACGCGTCGCGAAAGAAGACGGCGCACGAGTGCAAAAACAACAGCCGCGCTCCGACGCGCGCGTATTCCTCGTTCGTCTCGTCTTCGTCATCACTCTCGAGATCTTCGTCTCGGTACGCACGCGCAGCCTTAGCTTCTGAATCATCGTCGTCTGAATCGCTCACCACGGCGCCACGACGTCCCCTCGTCTTCGACGCGTCGCCTCCGCGCGAGCGCGTCGAGTCGCTCGTCGTCGTCGACGCGTCGAGAAGTTGGTTGAAAAATTTCCAATCGCGCTCGGCTCGCCCGCGCACCGCGCCCGGCGACCTCAGTGCGCTCGCACTGGCCTCTTCGCCTCGAATCGCGTGCTCAAGCGGCGTCCACGTTTCGCGCGTCGTCACCACCGTTGGCGCGTCCGCCTCGCTCAGATCCACCACTTCGCGCCGTCGCTTCTTCTTCGCCGACGACCCGTTCGCGCCACCGGCGTTCGACGCACTCAGCGCCGTCGCCGGCGCGACGACATCACACAAGCGTAAAATGGAAACCGCCTCGCGCGCGATGGCCGCCTCGCGCTTCGTCGCTCTTCGTCGCGCAGACGTCGCCGTCGTCGCGAGTCTGGCGAGATGTTCGCCCCTGGGCGCGCGTCTGAATCCATCGCTCGCGTCCGGTTCGCGCAATTCGCACCGAATCGCGCGCGCGAACGCTTCGTCGCTCCACCGCGCCGCGGCGTTTCCCCGAGCGCCGTCCCGTGGTCCCCCCGACACGTCCAGCGACTCGGTCGCGACGAACGCCGCGGTGAAATCGTCAAACGCGCGGACGCGCGCGTTCGCGCGTTCCCCGAACGTCGTCGCTCGGGGCGTCGACGCCGCGAGCACGTCGTCGTCGTCGTCGTCGTCGTCGTCGTCGTTCCCGTCGTCGACGACGATCGCATCCTTCGCGCGCGTCATGCGTCGCGTCCCTCGCGCGCGCGCGTCAGCGGCGCGCCCGGGCGACGCGACGCGCAGACGAAGACGCACCGCGCTGACGCGCATTCAAACGAGGGTTTACGTACGCGCTGTAAATACTGTGAACTCCCATATTTAATAAGGATCGCCCGTCGGTCCGATCGTCACTCTTTTGTCATACGAAACCTCGCCTGAACAGCTGATATCGATATGATACATGTCGTCCGTAACACTAAGTGCCGTAACACCGACACCTTGGCCCGCACGCGTTTACAAAACGCGTGGCGCGACGCTCGGATGGTCACTCGCGCGCGCCGATACCGTCGGCGTCGCGGGCGCGCTCTCTGCATGCGCTCTCTTCGCCATCGCGCGGCGACTCTCGGCGGTTTCGACGCCTCAAGATGCGGTGCGCGACGAGCGGGCGTCAATCAAAAGTACGTCCGTGCTACCGTCGTACGGTGCGACGGTATAGGAGCTGACGCTCGGAAAACAGTCTTTTTTGTCAATTTCAACTTTCAACTTTTTCGCAAACAGTCAATTTCAACTTTCAACTTTTTCGAAAACAGTCTTTCGCCTGGAAAGGAGGCGAAAGACAACGCGGGCGGGACCCGCCGAAGAGACACTCGCGAGCGTCCACCTCGAGTGCGACTACGCAACAACCGGACATCGCGGCGACGGAAACAACTGACGGCGGAGGCCGAGCGTCTGGTTTGGGAACACGTATGTATGTCTTCTGTGTATGTATTTTACTCGGGGCAAGCTGCTACGCGAGGCCGGTGAGTTGGATGAAAAAGAGGTTTCTCGTTTGACTCTACCCACACTTATCTGGCGGGGGTTCCGAGCCAGCCTCGATGTCAGCGCCGCATTGAGGTGGGAAAATTTCCCCTTGAGCGAAAAAGCCGTCCTCCTTGCTGGATTTGTAAAGAACGACATCCGGGACGTCAACTTCACACGGCGAACTGATCGTCGTGACGAGTTTGACGAGCGCATCAGGCTTTGGTACTTGATAGTACGCGCCAACGCCCGCCGCCATACCGGAACCCGTAAGCGAACACGTAGCGGGCTTACTTGGATAGTCAAAATCGGTGAAATACGTCGCAAGCGTGGTTTCACCATCGAAACACGGTGGTGGGGTGTTCATGGCAGCTGCGAACATGTCCAGACCGACTTGAGCACCTTGAGAGAAGTACACTTCGGGACCAGAGCAAATCGCTCCAGCCCAGCACAACTCGATTTGCACCATTGGTATCTCGAGCTCGGCGCCGACTTGAAGGTGCGCCGATACAGACGCTTCGAGCCCGTCTTCGTCGAGGTGCGGCTGCGGAGGGTTAAAGTAGACGGAGAACTGTCCTTTTTCGCTCTTGATTCCAATCTTCATATCAGGAATCGAAAGTCCATATCGGAGCTTGGCCTCTGCGTCAGCCTTTGCGAAGTACGGCAACTTGAAGCCAACGCCAAAAGCCAAGTTGACATAGAAGCCATAAGCGCCCATAACTTGTTTCCTTATCACGGTAGGATTCTCGATTGGCTTCTTGGTCTTCTCCATGATGGACTCGAAGAAATCACCTTGTACGAAAGCATCGCCCTTGAGCGTCGCCTCGAGCGTGAGCTCGAGATCCGATGAGACGCCGATATCGAGATCGGTGTTTTTAAGTTCTGCCATTGCGCTCGTGAGCGCTCGTCGCGCAGATCGCAGTTTCTCAACCGCATCGCCAAGCTCAGCGGTATCGTGCTCAACACCCATTTTTCTTGCGCGCCTTTCCAAGAGGGCACCGTAATCCGGGAAATTGGCCATTTTCTTCGGATCCTGGAGCAAAGGATCGAGAATGAGTACTTCTCTGATTTGTTCGAGACCCAGCAAGACTTGATCTTCGATGCGTTGCATTTGTGATTTGTACACAAAATCGGCATGTGCGATGGAAGCAGCCAAAGCCTCCGTGTGTCGACGAAGTTCGTGGTGATGTTCAGCGATATCTTCTTCGGAAAGCAAACGCCTTCCACCGAACACGCGTGAAATACTGTTCATGTGGTCCTGCGCTGTTTTCAAGTGGTTGTTGATTACTGCAATTTGCGCGTCGATGGCGTTGACTGGAACCATGATTGCGTTCTTCGCCTCGGTCGCCGCCTCCGTCGCGCCTTCCTGTATGCCATCAAACAAGGCGCCAAAGAAGAGTCGAAACGCGTTAATGAGATCTGTGGCGACTTTGGTTGGAATGTTGAACTTGTTTATGCCAGCGCACGTTTCCCACGAGGCGACTGGAAATCCAACGTCAAATTTCGCGGGTGAAAACGGAGAGCTTCCCAATTTCTTAGGCCAAGGCATCTCGTATTCTTGTGAAAATGCCGATTCAGGAAACAAATCGCGCATCGGGGCGTCGTAGCATACTTGGCTCAGACTCTTGATGGAAGTACATCCAAGTTTTGCCGCCTCCCCGTCGGTTGTATTTGCGGGCAAGGTTGAGCAGCCGAGCTCGGCTGCGCGTTTATGTGCGGCGCCAAGTTGTGAGGCGTAATCGTTATACAGAACGCGGCGAAGATCATCTCTGAGAACGTCTTGATTGAGTCTTCGAACGAGACCACCGATCGCGGATGTATCTTCAAAATACGGTCCGTCGCGACCTTCTCCCAGAGACGCCGTTGGCGAAAACTTACCAGCGATATCGTTCACCATGGAACCAGCGTCTGTCGGAAAGAGCTTTCCGTACACTTCTTCCAAGAAACCTTCAACCTTATCACCGATGGTTCCGACGAGCTTGCCAACTTCATTCTTCACACCATTAACTTTCCCTGGGAAGGATTGTATGTCCCTGCTCAAGTCGTCGAACGCCGCGCCAACTTGATTGAACGCGTTCTTACCCGCGTTGAACAAATTTTCCACGCGATTGATGTTGTCCCTCAAGTCACTTATGAAATCACCGAGATCGGAGCGCTGGTGCGAGACGTCGACACGGCTCGCCCGCACCCTGGGCGTCGTCGTCGTCGTCGTCTCCGCCGTCGCCGCCGCCGCCCGCCCGCGCGCCGCAGACGCACCCGACGCGCGCCCGCACCCACTGAGCATCAACACGAACAGCACCCGCGCACCGAATGCCCGCGCGCACCGCCGCCGCCGCCGCGCGGGCGCGGGCGCCCCGACGCCCACGGGCGAGGATCGCGAGCAAAAACATCGGCGTCCACCCATCGCTGCGCCGCTCGCGACGTCGCGACGTCGCGGATTGGCGTCGCCCGCGCGTCTCGCGCAATTCAATCGACGTGTTTTAAAAATCATAGCCGTTACGCGTTTATTAGTGCAAAACGTCTTAATATATGTGAATAGCTCGTGATGTGCGTCAACACCCTTTTTGTCGGCGAGACTGTTGGGCGACGCGAGTCGGTCGTGACTTCGGTGCGCGCGCGCGTCGCGTGACCTCCGCGCCGAAGGATTGTCTCGTCGCGCGCAGTCATGACGACGATGGCTGATGAACGCGCCTCGATCGCGCGCGTCTCGGTAGTGAAGTATGGGGCGATTCCCGATGCGTCGGCATCGACGAGCGCGGGCGTTCGCACGGTTTCGCGACGTTCGGGTCGGGCGCGCGCGTTGTTCGGCGCGCTTCTCGCGGCTTGCGTCGCTGTGCTTGGGTTTTGTCAGTTTTTCACCGATGTCAGCGCCGCCCACGTGGTGTCGTCGGTCGGAGCGGTCGGAGTGGGCTACGCGCGGTACTACGCCGCGGTGACGCGGATGCGCGTCGACAAGCTTTTCGGGCGTTCGACAGCTTCTGCAGCCTCTCTGGGTGGATCGAAGGAGATTGAATATTTTGAATCACCCGCGACAGGAAACGCATCGGCGACGCTCGGTGCCTGTTCAATCAGCAGTGGTAGCGCTCCCGCGAACTGCGCCGTTCCGCAATTGGCGGTTCGGTCGTGCTCGTACCAGGGAACTTGCTCCACTGTTCCTGCGTGCGCGCTCGGATATGTTCCATCGGGTAGCAAGGGTACCTGCGCGACGCGCAGAATCTGTGCCCCTCGAATTTGTGCTCCTACTTTTTGCTGCAGAACAGCGGTGCGCTGCAGAAGAAGAAGAAGAAGATATAGATGTAGAACGGTATGCAAAAGACGCTGCGGAGGTGGATGCACTCCCGGAGCGTGTCAGGACATACCTTACAAATGGTCATTCAGGTGCACGAAGGCCGCGACCGTTACGACTGGCAAATGCGATGCGTGCGCGCCGTTTTTTGTGGCTCGTGATTCGAACACGAAGTGCATCGTCGATCCGGCGCTCACCGCCGCGTATGACTCTACGGTTGGTGCGATTAAAAACGCCGAGTCTGCCGTCACCACCACCATCAACGATATTAATGACGTCATCAACGATCTCACCACCGCGATCCCGAACAAGGCGAACGAGATCGCGAGTAAGATTGAGGACGTCTCCAAGAGCATTCCAAACGCGGTGAACAAAGTTGTCAACCAACTCATCAGCGAAGCGTTTCCGGCTGACGCAGATGAGTTCCTCAGTCAGATAACGGGCGCTCTCAAAACTGCGTCACTCGGTGCGAGCAGCGCAGAAGCTGGATCCCGAGTGGTGAACGGCAAGAGTGACCATTTTTCGACGGTTTTGGCTCATAACCGCGTGCGTGCGATGATCCGCGACGCTCTTGGCAGAGAGGAAACGCACATTCCGAGCGAGGAGCAAGCGAACCTCGGGGGCAAATGTGGGACACCAGAGCTCACCATCTCCCTGCCTCTTGAGGAGATTCTACCCGCTTCATTGGTCGATCTATCTTACGACATGCCGTGGCCGAAAAAGCTTGGTGACAGTCCTTTCGCGCCAGCAACCCTCACGGCTGGATTTCCAGATCCGTCCTGGACCATGGGCTTTGAAATAAGTGAGTTCTTATTCCCCAAAAAAGTGGCGACGGGGATACTCGACGCGTTCATGGCTTTTTTCAAACCTCTGTTTCAATCAATTGGAGACGGCGCCTTGGACGCCGCGGACGAAGTTAAAGATTCTATGATGAGTCCGATCGACGCACTGAAATCTTCCGTAAATACGGCGAAGGACACAGCAAACACTGTGAAATCCAAGCTCAACTCTGTCACGCAGTCTCTCAGCGGCCGGAAGCTGCTTTCTGATGAGATCGAGACGCATGCGGAACACCTTCGCGCTGTGCACGCCGCGAGCAGCGCGCATCTCAAGTACGCTGAAAATGTACACGATCAGTTTCTGGATAGAGTCGAGCACCTTGTTTTGCTGCAAGTCGCAAAAGTACGCACCGCACTCTTGGAAGATCCTTGGCTTGAAAAGCCAGATACAATCACGCAGTTTCCACACATGCACGCGCAGCTTGGCGATGCCGTCCTGCAGGACGCTGCAGACGCCGCCAAGCAGGAACTTATCGATGCGATGCAGGCCCTCAAGGATTTCACGATGAAAGCAGTTTTGTTCACGAAGCTTCACGTGGAATTCGCCGTCGAGGCGCAAGCGTCTGCATTCAAATCTGGCAACGTGCTTGATCTGGTGAAAGGCTTGCCAACGTCTGCTTCATTCGAGGTGGAATTGCCAGTTCCGTACACTCCATTCACGATGAAGATGTCTTTGGGCGCTGACCTTTCGTTGCCGTACTTCTTGCAGGCAGAAGCGAAAGGTGAGTTCTCTTACAGCGTCGATGTCACGGGAATGGAAGTCGGTATACTAGTGACCGACGGCACGTTGAACGCCGTGCTCCCAGATCCGCAGGTAGAATTGACGCCCTACTTGAACGCCAACTTGCATGCACATGCTCAAGTTGGGCTCGTCTTAACTGTTAATGACATCACCACGCAATTATGTATGCCTGGCATGGTTTGCAGTGGTCCGAAAATGAAAGCCGAGCAGAGAGCGTATGCCGGTGCGGACATGGCCGCGACTGTGAACAATCAAGGCACACAAGCGTGCTCTGCGTTGAGCGCCAAGTTCAACGACAACTTCGAATACGACGACGCTTACAGGGCAAAACGCTGCTCAAGCGCAAGTTTTGGTGGCGTCGATTGCAGTGTCGTCGTCGGTGCGTACTTCCAAGTTCCAAAAACCGACATTGACGTCGTGCTCAAGACAGACGTCGACATTGGCGGCGTCTCCATCTGCGTACCCGACGTCCAACTATACACGTACCCCGGGTCGACGAACGACCCGAACTTTTTGCTCAAGCTCGCATAAACTATGGAATTAAAAAACGCTAAGTGTGTGCTACTTCTCGTTTCTTCGCGGCGGCTTCATCGAGAGCGACTTGCGTCAAGCGTACGTGTTTGTGAGCGCACGCGCACGAGCGACGCACGCGAGAACATGCGCCGCGCATGCGCGCGAATGTTTGTACGCGAAGCGAGACGCGCGATTCCTCGTCGCGCTGGGACGCGCGCGTGAAGATGCACATGTGTGACACGCGTCGGGAGTGAAAATGAACGATGAAGCTTTAGAAATGTAACGTGTAGAATTAGAATTGATCCTCCCGCGGTGAAGATGCACATGCGCGAACCACACGGGGATCGCGAATGAACGATCGCGGGCTAGAAATAAAAGAAATACGAATGCAAAACGATTCACCCACGTCGCCGTCGTCGTCCCGCGTCGTCTCCCAGCGCGTCGCCCCTCGAACGCGCCTCCCTGAAACTAGGGTTAGAAACTTGGGTTAGCAGTGTCTCTGGAACATGACGCTTTTGGCGCCCTGAAAGTTGCGCGAGTAAAGGGGTCACCGAAACCACTACACTGGCGGTCGACGACGCTGGAATTTTGCGCACACGCATGAAACACGCATTTGCATCTATGTACGCGCGCGTTTCGCGGCACTCTGGGTGACGGCGGCGACCCGGACCTTTACGTCGACGCGGGCGTAGGCCGCGGTTTGGGTTTTTTGGAAATGTGTGATACTGGTTTTGGGTTGAGGACTACGTTAGTGAGGGCGGGATAAACGAGGGTTTGGATGACTAGGGTTCGGTTTTTAGGGTTTAGGGTTTAGGGTTTAGGGTTTAGGGTTTAGGGTTTAGGGTTTAGGGTTTAGGGTTTAGGGTTTAGGGTTTAGGGTTTAGGGTTTAGGGTTTAGGGTTTAGGGTTTAGGGTTTAGGGTTTAGGGTTTAGGGTTTAGGGTTTAGGGTTTAGGG